GATATGTACGCTTGGAGAGGAGCTTGCTCGATTATCCATCTGTTGTGGAGAGCGAACCGATGTGCATCTCGAACAAAAGCCGTTAGCTGCCTCTGATCCGTGTGTTCCTGCATCTCTATTAGTATAGCTCTCTGACGGTAGTAAGTTATACATACGAGTAGGAGCTTAAGCTGTCTTATGGCAATGACACCCTCCGACATAGCTTGGAGTAAGCTAAGAGCTTCGAGCCAGTAAAGGTACTTCTGCTCAAGGAAGGTCTGGATCGCATCCAGTATGTCGTTTTGCGGCACGTCCTTATCGGAAATTGAGTTGTAGAAATGGTCAACCCAGAAAACGCACGAGTACCGTACTGTGACTAGTGGGTCTGGAGATGGCGTTTGAACCTCGTCGATTGGGAATCCCGGTATACTTAAGCCGTATATGTCGCGTTGCAAGACCGTAGACATTGCAGTGAGCGACCTCGAGAAGATGATGTGGTTGATATCTTTTTCCCCAAAGGGGAAGACCCAGTTGAAAGCCTCTCGAGAAGCTTGGTGCGCGGCCTTTCCCTGTAGAAAGTCTTTAGCGGATTGGTGGATGAAATGAACAATTTGTCCCCGAAGGGTTAGGAATGAGCCGCAGATCCTGATAACTTCTTCTAGGGGCTTTAGATCATCTGAAATGTCGTCTGGTATCTTGATAAAAGTAGACTCTAGATTATCCGAAATGTCGTCCGGCATGTCGATAAGAGTGGAATCCAGATCATCCGAAATGTCGTCCGGCATCTCGATAAGTATAGTTAGTTCCCTAAGGCTGATAGGTCGGCGAACAATCGTAATAATGGCGAGAATTTGCTTGCAGAGGTCTGCATCTTCGGAGCAACGAATCTGTTCCATCATTCGCTCATATAGGGAATTTAACCCCTGGGGAAATGAGTGTAATTTTGCCCGGGTATGCCGCTTCTGAACCTCGTTCGCAAGTGCTTGACAGACCAAGGCCACCCAGAGAAATGTGCCGTTCGCATGAGAAGAGAGATAGGCCTGCACAGCCTTCTTCATTGTACTATTGTACTGTTTCCGGCGAGATAAATCGAGAACTTTGTGGCGGATGTATGTGTTGACGGCAGTGGCGACAGATTCGGCATTAAGCTCGAGGCTTAGCTTGGCGTTCTGCGCCGCCATCGCCAAATGTTCCTCAATCTGCGGCCAGTTGCGACTTGAGACTATCCACTTGACACGAGGAGATACACATGACATTTGGGCGACCAGGTCGAGAAGCCGCAGCAGGTCAGTGACGCACTCGTCAAGCGCGTCGATGATCAAATAAGTCGTCCTTAATCCCGGATCTTGCAGGATAGCGGTGAAGATCTCTCGCAAGACAACCCACGAGTTCGTGTCCTCAAATGCTCTTTTGCCAGCGACATTATACTGTCCCCGTACATGTGAGATGAGGGCTGGTTGTTCGCTGACAAGGAGGTAGATTAAGCCGCGAAGGACGGAGGTGGCGTTGTTGATACGTAAGTCGGTAGCCTGGCAGAAGAAGAATGACAGAAGGCAGGATGGGGTAGACATCTTTAGTTCGTCTATAATGCCGCAGAGCAACATAGTCTTGCCCTTACCGGGGTCACCTTTTATCCAGAGGAGCCGGCTTTCTTCGCCGTCGCGCCATTGTTGGAATTCGACGTTGCTGAGAACCCAGCGGTACGCGTCTTTCAGGAGTCCACCCTTTGCGGTTTCGATACGCCCCTTGTCGTGGCGGGGGTCGGTGACACGTAAGTCGGCCAGACAGCGGGTGTCGGCCTCATCCAACGTTGGTTCACTCCTTGAAACTTTAATAATCTCCTCTCGCAGCCGTCGAAATGCTTTATCTTCTCCTTCGCCGTACAGAAGTGGCAGCTGGACGTCGAAGATGCCGAAAAGCGAGTATGCCCTATCTTCTTCGCGTGTTGTATTGCGTTTCTCAATCCATGCCATTCGGTTATGGACACTGAAATCAGACAGACGGCCGCATCGGAGGGCCTCGAAAGGAATCCCCGTCATGTTATGAATAACTTGCTCCAGAGACCTCTTGTCTCCAAGACGCAATTCCTCTTTGGAGAAGAATTCGACTGATCCCGGAGCAATGAGCTCTTGGAGAGTCCACCCGCGGGTGAACCACCTACTCGCTCGAAAAGTCGCTTCCCAGACGGAGTTATCGTCAATGCCAAGAACAGGGGTCGAGACGTCCACCAAATAGGCGTAGCATTTAGCCGCATTACGGTACCACCGAAACATAGAGTTGATCGCCTCCTGTAGCTCGGCACTGCTTGACTTGTCGATGCAGCATGTGTCGACCCAAAAGAACTTCAACCCATCTCGAGAAGCCTGATCTCCGCAAAACTGAATCTTAGCATAGCCAGCCTTGTTCTTCCCTGTACCGTTCATCAAGTCGCTGAAGAGGACCTCTTCGTTACCCCATGTGTGCGAAAGTATCGCGTACGGCGGAATTTTGTCGATAAGATCCTCCGTTAGGCGGATCCCGCCTGTGTCGTCGCGTTCCAGCAAGCGCATCGCCCAAAGACTGCCGAGCTCTCAGTAACTATTGATAGGGATGTTCGTCGGCACAAAGGGGGAGCGGACGGACGGTGGGACGGCTCAAGGGTTCGCTGGATCTGTAGGTACAACAATCAGTAGCTGAGGCTGAGAAAGCTGCCTAATGCTAGACAAGAACTACCTACCGTGGAAAACTGTCGTAGTACTTAGCACGAAATCTCGATTGGGGGGTTGAAGCTCGAAGATTGCTGCTGCTGTTGTCACTCAGGCCCCAGGAGTTTCGATGTCCAAATCACAACCCCGCACGTCAGGCGTCTGATTGCGTGGCGCCTGAACGGCTGGCGCCGGCTGTGCACACTCGAAAGCATCGTGATTGGTACAGTGGGCAGCAAAAAGTTCTAATCTGCTAAGAAGTACCACGCTAACCTAACCAGGCAATCAAAGCCCCTCAGTTCTTGGTATACCATCCCTTTGCCTCCAAAACAGCTGCTACACGTTTAGGCATCGTAACCGATAATCTATATAGAACCTCCTGGTCAGTTGACCACCAGGACTCCTTTGTAGCTTGTATTAACTGCTGTAATGCCTCTTCCGTATCTGGTACTCGCTCAAGCTCTGGATATAACCTATAGATCTCAGCCTTCATAAGAGCCCAGAGGTTCTCAATTGGGTTAAGGTCTAGAGAGTATGGTGGCCATACCATAGCACGGATGCCTAGCCCAGTAAGAACAGCCCGTACTACCCTCGCAGTATGGACTGATGCATTGTCGTGCATAAAGGTATGTCTAGGTTGAATGAAGCCTGGAAGGTGGGCCGAATATAAGCAACTAATTACCCATCTAGATACTCCTTGCCTTGCAGAGAGAGGATCGCCATCAAGAGGAACCAGGCCAGTGCGTATATCGTGGCCAAATGATAGGGGATCTCGGAGGTCTCGTAAATATTTGTCAAAATGGTATGTAGAATTGATGGATGGGCGAGAGCGGAGCTCGCGCCCACGAAGCTAAACATGGAGCTTGTGAGAATTCCTTATCTAATCTACCTATGCATGGTCCAATCGATTCTCACGGCCCTTGCGCCGCCAGTAGGCCCTTTCTTCAGATGACGTGTTTCCGTCATCAAACCCGAAACGCGCTATGCCGTGACACTTCCACACTTCCAAAATGGAACCTTTCATACTGCTCCCTTTTTCCCTATCAGCTGCACTTGCTAAGTGCCCGCGCCACGACACCACGTGCCGTGACGGCAGTGATAAAGAAGAGTCTGAAAAGCTGGTAAAGAAAGTACTGGTGAAGGAGCCGCATGTTCGTGAGTCCCATAAGCGAGTTTATAATACACTAGCAATAGAAAGAAGAAGAAAGCAATGAGGAGGAAACATTTAGCAAAGAGGACAGAAGAATAATGAAATATTTTATCACGATTATTTCGGTAATCTGAAGATAAATATAACAGGGAAAGTACCCCAAGCACGGGTAATACAAGAGATTGATCCGGGAGTAAACCAGTCAATGAACTGTGTTGCTTACTTGGGTAGGCTAAGTTCTATCTGAATAAGCGTAACTATCTAAGGTTTATAAAATGCACGCAATTCACATAATGCTTCACCAACAACTTGTCATCGTTTGCGGAAGAATGAGCAAAGTACTCCAATCAGCGAAGATCCAAGGGACCAATCTTCGAGAGAGATAAAGTTTACTTGTCGCATAAAAAAATTCGGACAAACTGACTAAGCGACAAGCTCGACTACAAGAAGCTGGGACTATTCAAGATTCTAGGGAGAATTTCGACGTCTAACTGCAAGATTAACCTCCCCAGCATGCAGGAAAGGCAGGAGGAGGTTCCCGCCAAGGCCGCTGCCAGTTTCTCCACTCACGTAGACCGGCCTGAAGGGTGATCGTCACCTAGATCACGGAATGCGTGTGCAATACGTGAAAAGTAGGTAAAAGGATGATGATGAAAGGAAGCTCGGAAGCTCTGCCCCGCCAAGGATTTGTGAAAGCTCCTTCGGTGGGGCAGTGAGCGAGGCCCAAGCGCCTAGGCCTAAGCTCTGCTAATCTATGTACCTAGGTATCAAATTACACATGCCTAGTCATGTGACCCTCCGTTGCACTCTCCATGGCACAATCAGGCATCATGTGCCTTGGGTAGGCTCCCAGGTTTCTCCGTCTTTCAGGTGGTATAGCATGATGCCAAACCCACGCTGTGCGGAGGCATCAATCTGAAAAAAGAGCTGCTTGTTTGGGTCGTGATGGTGAATAATCGGGGCAGACTCGTTGCAGATGATGTCTTGCAGGGCTTGGAAGGAGAGCAATTCTTCTTCTGTAGGCTCGAACGTAGTGGCCTTGTAATAGTTTGCCCGTCTCTTCAGGTGCCCGTTAACGACTCTGCCTTCGTTCCTTCCCTCGGCCAGCAGGGCGACCTTTCGAAGCTGTAGAGGTCCGACTATTTTGGCATAATACGGAATGAGGTGACGCAGAAAACCTGTACTCCCTGTGACGGCGGTCCACAGCAACTAGGAAGAAGGTCGCTAGTATTGCTATACCATTGTCTAAGGATTCTAAGATAAGGAAAAGAAAGGAAGAAATTCTACAAAGGTGTGATCCCGGGCTCAGGGAAGTGGTGGTTGTGCCAATTGCGCCCCATCAGGTCCCCAGTCCCGATTGGGGATAGTGCCAGGTAGCGTCATGGCGGGGTTCAGTGCAGCTGGGCGCCGACCGTGACACTCCCGATATATGTCTCTAAATCCTTCAGTCTGGCTGGAAACTTGAGCTTCTTGAAGGCCTCAACTCGGTCCTTGGTGGTGGTGAGACCAAGGCCGTCGACGCGGAAACCGAGCAGCTCAACATTTGGGTAGCCCATGTATGACTTCGTTGGGGAGATCGCGATGTTCTTACTAAGGAAGAGCTTGAACAAGGTTCGTAGGTGGCGGAGGTGGTCTTCTCTGGTGTCTGAGAAGATCACTATGTCGTCTATGAAGGCTCTGCAGTAGGAGTGGTCGGTGAGAAGCCTGTCCATGAACCGTTGAGTGTAGGCGGGAGAGTTTCGATAACCCATGCCTCGAGGACTAATTAAGGTAAACCGGTCTCTGTGTGGTGGGTAAACTCCGAACTGGTAGAAGAATGAGGTTGCGTCTATGGCCGTGATGTATGTTTTGCCTCGTAACGAAGCTATCACTTCCGCCTGTAGGGGCAACGGGTAGTTGTCTAGGACAGAGACCCTATTCAGGGATCTCAAGGCGATGACAACTCGGCCTTTTTCTAACCCGTGAACAGTACGCCATACCACAAAAACGGGCGCTGCAAACGGTGTCGGTTCGTGAACGCATTCCATGCGGTTTTCCCTGTGGAGCTGATTGAATATAGTATCGAAAACCACTCTATCACCGCACAGTCAGCTAATTGAGGCAAGGCTGCAATATGGTCGCTGTATTCGTAGAATCTGAAGCTAAGGAAGAAAAAGAAGGAAGCAACCGAGCCCCGCACTAGGTGCGAGAAGTAGGTTGAGTGTGGGTCACGTGCCAAAGCTGTGCACGGACCACTGCCTAAAACAGGTGACAGGTGAGGCCTGCCGGACCCCACCGGACTGTAAAGGAAGAGCAACAACTGGCTAGGCCACTGCCGCTAGCACAAGCCACTAAGCCACGTTAAGGCGCCACAACCCACAAGCTTTCACAAGCACATGCAGGACTGAGCTCCTGAGCATGTATATAAATAAGTGGCCCTCGCCCCCTTCCTTTGCGAGGGCCAGGTTGAAGTCTTCCCCTAATACCAGTCATTGCTCGTAGTTCTTGTTACCTTCATTGTGACCACCTTGATCTGGCGTACCTGCCGTCTCTCACACGGACCTTGCCGTGACGGCGGCCTCGATAAGAGGCAGCCTGAAGCGTGTTGCCATACCTGCCACCCTGTGCATTCACATCGGCGCCCTTCTCGAGCAGCATCTGGACGATCTTATCGTAGCCTTCATAAGAGGCAGCCTGAAGCGCGTTGCCATACCTGCCACCCTGTGCATTCACATCGGCGCCCTTCTCGAGCAGCATCTGGACGATCTTGTTGCGGCCTCGATAAGAGGCGGCCTGAAGCGCGTTGCCGTACTCGCCACCCTGTGCATTCACATCGGCGCCCTTCTCGAGCAGCATCTGGACGATCTTATCGTGGCCGTCATAAGAGGCGGCCTGAAGCGCATTGCCGTACTCGCCACCCTGTGCATTCACATCAGCGCCCTTCTCGAGCAGCATCTGGACGATCTTGTTGCGGCCTCGATAAGAGGCGGCCTGAAGCGCGTTGCCGTAGTAGCCACCCTGTGCATTCATACCGGCGCCCTTCTCGAGCAGCATCTGGACGATCTTGTCGCAGCCTTGCTTAGAGGCGGCCTGAAGTGCGTTACCGTACCTGCCACCCTGTGCATTCACATCGGCGCCCTTCTCGAGCAGCATCTGGACGATCTTATCGTGGCCGTCATAAGAGGCGGCCTGAAGCGCATTGCCGTACTCGCCACCCTGTGCATTCACATCGGCGCCCTTCTCTAGCAGCATCTGGACGATCTTATCGTGACCTTCATAAGAGGCAGCCTGAAGCGGGTTACTGTACCTGCCACCCTGTGCATTCATATCGGCGCCCTTCTCGAGCAGCATCTGGACGATCATGTCGTGGCCTCTAGAAGAGGCGGCCTTAAGCGCGTTGCCGTAGTGGCCACCCTGTGCATTCACATCGGCGCCTTTCTCGAGGAGCATCTGGACGATCTTGTCGGAGCCTCGATAAGAGGCAGCCTGAAGCGCGTTGCCGTACATACCATTCTGTACATTCACATTGGCACCGTTCTCGAGCAGCATCTGGACGATCTTATCGTGGCCTCCATAAGAGGCAGCCTGAAGCGCGTTACTGTAGCGGTAATTCTGTGCATTCACATCAGCGCCCTTCTTGAGTAGCATCTGGACGATCATGTCATGGCCTCTAGAAGAGGCGGCCTGAAGCGCGTTGCCATACTCGCCACCCTTTGCATTCACATCGGCGCCCTTCTCGAGCAGCACCTGGGCGATCACGTCGTGGCCTCTAGAAGAGGCGGCCTGAAGCGCGTTGCCGTACTCGCCACCCTGTGCATTCACACGGGCGCCTTTCTCGAGCAGCATCTGGACGATCTTGTCGCGGCCTCGATGAGAGGCGGCCTGAAGTGCGTTACCGTACCTGCCACCCTTTGCATTCACACGGGCGCCCTTCTTGAGCAGCATCTGGACGATCTTATCGTGGCCTTCGGAAGAGGCAGCCTGAAGCGCGTTACCGTAGTGGCCACCCTGTGCATTCACATCGGCGCCTTTTTCAAGCAGCATCTCAATGATCTTGTCGTAGCCTTCAGAAGAGGCGGCCTGAAGCGCGTTGCCATACCTGCCACCCTGTACATTTATATCGGTGCCCTTCCCGAGCAGCGCCTGGACAACGGTATTGAGACCCTTTAGAGATGCGAAATAAAGTGGGCGAATTGTATTTGGTTCCGGGTGCTCATTCCAATAACATTCAGGGTTAAATAAACGACCCCAGGTCGTATATGCCGTATTATTTTGAAAGAAGTCCAAAATGCTTTGTATGACATTATTCAGGGTCTCCGCAGGTCTGGCATGGTCCATCCAGTACTTTGCCGAGTACCTCGCTAGCGGAAACTGGGTAGCGATATTGGTAATCGACTCTCCGGATTTGATACAAGCAAGGTAGGCTAAGCAACTCCGTGTTATGGAACCCCTAGAGTTTGGTTCGGAAAATTTATATCGAAATGATTCCGGGAGTTTCGTAGATATCAGGTACTCTTTAACGGAAAAATGGGCCAACTCGAGCTGTGTCACCGTTTCCCCAGCAAATCCCTTAGTTACGAGAGAAACTAGGCCTGAACAGAACCTCGTGATCTCGTTGGGACGTGGCAATCTGGAATTTTGGTCAAATTGGCCATGAGGGTCGAGGCGGATGGCTATTACATCCACAGCTTCTTCAACAGTCAAGGGCCGTTCTGAGTATATTAGAAATTGGAGAATTCGGACTGCCTTTTCTCTCCGGCCTTCGGGAATACTTGTGAGAATTCGAGAATATGTTTCATTCAAGTCTTGTGGCAGAGAATCAAGGGCGCTCTGCAGCTCATTGTAGTCCAGGCAGTGCTCGAGGCTATCCAGTTGACATACAGCCCATCGGAACCTGTTTATGAGTAAGCATATGCGGTGCTGCTAGACTCGCGAAGTAGAACAAAAAAGATAAACAAACTTACATTCCGTTAGATTTTCCCCCAATTACGGATTCGATCTCTTTCAACACATCAGGTCTCGAGGCCCATCGCATGAATTCGCTGCTTTGTCGGAGTCTTGCTTCAGTATAGGAGCGAATATCTGCATTGACGAGGTTACTATCCAGAGGGATCATATTTTCCTTATCCATCCATCTACCAAGACCAGACTCTAGCTCTTCCTCGCGCCTGCTTGTAGCGATAAAGTAGACGTTCGTTAGCTTAGAATCAGACAAGGTCTCTATCCAATTTAGCAGTTCGGATCTAGCGGTGCATTCATCCAAAGCATCCAATATGATCTTAAGCCTGTGAGGACGCTGCATCATAAGATGGACAGCTTTAGATAGCGACTCGGTTGTTGGTTGCTTTTTGCCGTCCTCGTGCGAGACAAATAGACTATTCAGCTCCTGTTGTGAATCGACGCATCGTGAATATAGCTGGAACGCAAGCGAACGTAAAAGGTTGTCAAGGTGCTGTTTGGCCTGGTCGCGAAAGTCGAAGAAGAAATCCAGGCACACATACGAGTCTTTCTGGATGTCCTGCAGATGGTCAAGAATGGTCGAGGTGAGGACCGTCTTGCCACAGCCCGCCAGCCCGTGCAGCCATAGGTGTCGGCGAGATCCCAACTTCCACTCAACAAAAGCGGCGCTATCGATAAACCAACCTCCAGTGCCTTCGTGGCGCTTCTCCTTTGCCGTATTAAGATTGGTTGAGGGATCGGGAGGAGAGAGCCACTTCTTGAGTTTGTCAAGATGACCGTCTGACTTGAGACTATCAACCCCCGCATATATACGGCTCGTCGTGGAGTGGATTTCCCGTACGTCGTTCTGAACTACATTACTGTTAACGAAGGTCTATTCCTCCCCTAGATGCGTGCCTGATATGAAGGTAATTGCACTACTTACGTTCTGCTAGTTTCCCTACCCATGACTCTAGCGTGGATACCTTCTGAGGTTTCAACTCATAAAGAAGCTCTCTCGCATATGCGGCAGCTGTCAGCGCTGCATATTTATGCCATTCATCATTTTTATGCGAGTCTGAATAATCGCAAACCCCTCGAATCACCAGGCACGGAAAGTTATTCATCAAGCCCGCGGCTTCCATCTCGAAGCATAGCACGTTAAGCTCTGGGTCTTGGGCGTATCGGTCTCTCTCCGCTGCATCTTTCATGACGGAATTAGCGGATGCAATAGTGCCGTAGTGGACAATGACTTCACGGCTGATAGAACGTAGCGGACGCTCCTCCAACCCGCTAACTTCGCAACTACTGCAGTTCTTCCCATCCTTATGGTCATAGTCGGCGCGAAACAATTGATCTTGGGCCGGACGCCGGTAGTCAGGCATATCATCCATGAGTTTTAGGTGCTCGGCGATTCTATCCGGCTTCCTTGGGTCATTGTGGTGACGTTTGATCCTGGGGAGCGCTCCTAGAAGTACCGTTGGGGGAGCGTTTAGCTGGCCGGTCCGCTGGAATCGACCGTCTGACTGCCGTTTTCCTAAATCATATTGCACCACGCCTCCGAACGCGCCCCGTGGTGCGCTGACCACAACATCACCGAGTCGAATGTCTCTTTCCCGTGTTGGAGCGCCTCCCCCAATGCCCACCATTAAGGCGAACTTCAAGTTGGGGAACGATCGGACCATATCTCTAGCGACGATCGCTGCAGAGCTGGCCCCATACACACCATCTGGTAGGCATCCAATGATCACACTATGTCCATCAATGCGGCCAAGAGTGTAGGTATTGTTATCATTGATCTCATTTGTCTCAGGACCATCAAATTCTTCGTCAAGCATCCGACATGCAGCCTCGTATTCTTCTTGTAGGGCACATATCCAACCAATCGTATAGTCTTCGATAGATGGTCCCGGGATGGGCATGGTCGTGGCTGTATTGAGGGTTTTCTTTTGTTCCGACATAGAGACTATGGTGGTATTGAATGGTCGTTGTTTGGACGGCCCCGGCATCGGGAAGGCCATGGATAGGAGATTTTGTCGGTGAGAAAAATTCCAGCGGCCGTAGCGACGACGATATTGAGCTGGAAGGAGCGAGAAATGCTTGGGAGTTTTGTGAGAGAGATCAAGATCGCCGGTAGGCTCAGACCGTCGAAGGTTTCGGTGAAGCCAAATCGCTATAACGCCATTCAGAAGAAGAACGGATTCTGGGGGTTCTCGACGAGCTATTATAATGTCTTCGGTAGATGGGCGCGTAACAGATGATGGCTAGCTGTGCAAAGATAAAGAAATCTGCGACCGACTTGTTTTTCGTTGCGCGGTTATCGCGGGATGATTGCGGGGTCGAGGAAGCTGACCGCTGTAATTGGCTTGCTTCGCTGCCAATAGCACTGACGTGGCGGAGCGGGACAGTGTCGGCCAGGCTTTCGTTGAGGCTTTCCACTTTCAACCCAAGTCTTGTCGGAAGAAGCCGTTAGGCTACATACATGGCGCACATACTAGACGTGGCGACCCAACAAAGAAATCGCCCCACAACGAAATTGGCCCACGCCATGCCCACACCCACTCCACGGGCGCAAATTATCCATTTCTACACAAAATAACTAGCAAAAAAATACTCAATCCTCTTCTTCGGCCTGTCTATATTGTTCGAGCCCACGGGCGATTATTTCCCGGGCTTCTTCGACTGCATGTGGCTGGCTTTCTGCCCGAGCCGTTTTTTTCCGCTTTGGGGGTATTTGACTAGCTTTTTGTGCCTTGGCGATGTCCTCTATACGTGCAAATCGCTCATTTCCATCTTCATATACCCTCTTACGCGTGCGAGGCTTTGAAGCCTCTAATTCGGTTGTGAGATGCGTAATTTGTGCCTTCAAAGACGCGATCTCTGTATTCTTCAGATCCAGGGACCTCCCGACCTTAGTAAACAAGGCCCGCACACGCCGCTGAGCCGGACTGAGGGCATTCCGAATACTGTCCTGGTACTTCTTGATGTCCTGACTGCCGTGCGGTGTTTTGAAGAGCCTGTCATCGTCGTTCGGGGCCGTCGGCGGCGGTGTTGAAGGCCGGGCCGGGAGTGCCTCATTGTCCTTGACCGCCTCAGGGTCATCAAGTAAACAAGCCGGGTTGAAGGGCCAAATCCCGGTTTTACTGAAGCCCGACATGATGTTACGGGCACTCATGCCTTTACCCGAGGCATCTCTGTAGCAGTAAAGGAACCGAACCTTGTTGACAGGAGCTGACGATGTGAAGCTCGCGAGGGCCTTGGTATTTTCCCTAAAATAGGTCTTTAAAGGTGAAAAGACCGAGCGATCGAGAGGCTGAGACTTGTGCAATGTATGAGAAGGTAAATAGACGAACTGGACCTTATTTTGGAAGGCCGCTAACATGAATTTTTCGTTCATATGGCTCGAATGTTCGTCAAGGATCAGTATACGCCATTCGCCCGGCCTTTGGGGCTTTGTTTGGATCAGGTAGACCTCTTTGAGCCATTTCAGCGCAATACTGGCGTTGCTCCAGCCTGTAATTGAGTAATCGTACTTCCATTCCCGGAATTCCTTCGTCAGGTTGAAGTTATCAGGAAAGTGTTGTCCTTGAAGACTGGCCCCGGTAAATATGATCACGGGCTTCAAACGAACGCCCTCAGCAGTGCCGCATTCGATAACTGAAACCCAGGTTGTTGCATCAGAGCTTTTCACGTAGGTTCGGTTCGTCAGGGAGCTTCCTATGACCTTTCCGGCCCAGGTCTCGAGCTCCTGCATGCCGTGCTCATCCATGTTAGCGATGTTGGCCGGGATGACCTTTTTATCCTTGATTTGGAAGGCCAGGCGCTTGAAGAAAGCTTCATAAGCTTCACGAGTAGATCCGCAGACTCGAGAGGATTCCAACAAGGTTGAATTCTTCATCTTTACCGCCGGGTTGCGGCGTAGGAAGCGGTCCACATATCGCTCCCCAATGGTCTTTTTCGTGCCGGCCTCATTGAGTATAGCTTGAGCGAATCTCTGCACCTGACGACGGCTAGGAGCCCTGCCTGCAGCCTCCTCATTGAGGCACCAGTCGGCTAGGAAGCTTTCCTGCGCATTGGAGAGGTTTCTTTCGGCTTGTTTACTTTGTGCTCGATTTTCTGCCCCGTGGATGCGTTTGCAGAGGGTAGAAGGAGGGATCCCGAAGTCATGCGCGGCCTGCTTCTGCGATGCGCCCTGTTCAACTGCAAGTATTGCAGATTAAATTAGCTGCTCTCGACGGTTCGACATGATGTATTTTGAAGCTATTCGAGCCTGAATTGATGAAGTTGTGTTGTGTTGAAGTTAAAGGGCGGGAAATTAGATGACAGGGGCAGAGATTTCGTTGTGGGGCGATTTCTTTGTTGGGTCGCCACGTCTAGCTAACAAAAATGAGAACAGCCCCCACGCAAGCCTCAAAAAATAGCCTAAGGTTTGATTAGAAAGGCTGTTGTCCTTATTAAGTCTAGGGGTGTATAGGTACCCCTAATGCCCATCAACGAGGGATTTGACAGAGGTTATCTATACTGATGACGGAAACACGTCATCTGAAGAAAGGGCCTACTGGCGGCGCAAGGGCCGTGAGAATCGATTGGACCATGCATAGGTAGATTAGATAAGGAATTCTCACAAGCTCCATGCTTAGCTTCGTGGGCGCGAGCTCCGCTCTCGCCCATCCATCAATTCTACATACCTTTTTGACGAAGATTTACGAGACCTACCAGATCCCCTATCATATACAGAGCGCGGACGACCGATGCTGATAAAGAGGGAATGGCGCCGGGGGAGATACAGAGACCAGATATCTCTATCATGGCAGGTACTATGGTGGGGGGCACGTGACAGGCGGTGGGCGAATGTGGGTCGTGAGCACGCAATCCTACTGATGCATGAAAAGTGTAAATAGCTTCATTACGTGGAGCGCTGGTGGGAGCCCCACTGATGGCGTTCGGCGCTACATCTGGCACGTGACATAGCGGGGTCTGTGGATTTCCAACCTCAGGGAAATCCGCCGCGCCCAACTAGCCTTAGAAAAATCATCACGTTTTATACCTTTTTATACCTTTTTTGCATCCCTCTCGGTATTACCGCTTTAAATGGTAGCTGCGACGCAAGAAAGAGTGATCTTACCACACCACAACTTACTCACGCAATTTGAGGCAGTAGTTTCCTCTACAACCTCAATTTTTCGCGAGCCCGCAGCCACGCGCGCGTGCAAGTGACATGTCAGGCACCTCCCGGTCAGAGGCCTAGCGAAACATCGCAAAGCCTTTGATCACCCCCACTATAGTACAAACCCGCACGCCCGGACCTGGATTAATTCAATCAATTGCAGATGCAAAGGGTTCGCACCTCAGCCGCTAATCTTTAGTAGGCCGCTGAGCATCTTCAAAACCCAAATATGTGGTGATCATTGGTAGCCGCGCAGAAAGGTCGCGAAGTCTAGCACTAGTTAATTGGCTGCTGATCCCCTTGGTAGGTAGCTGAGAGACGAAGGCTACCCCCTCACATTCGTTTTCCTTCATCTTATTCACAACACCTGTTGGCTTGCTGCACGCGACAGGTGTCGTCAATTGAGAATCCACCATGGCCAGCCAAGGAGGATCATCCAACTGATCTGATGCCATGACTGGCGGATTTCCTGAAGAATCGGACCCGGAATTATGCAATGAGGACCACTCTTCTGGACCCTTCTGGACCTCTTTTGGACAAAGGAAATCAGGTCCTTTGGCAGGAGTCGCACACAGCTTCTGCTGGACCATCCACGTACAGCTTTCTACCCCGAGCTCGTCCTGAACACATTGGCAGGAACAAGGAATCCATATTTTACTTGGAGACCGAGATCACGACCAGCCGCAATGATATCAGGAACCAGATCGCGGATTTGAAGAGACCCCTGGGCAGACGAGACGCCAAAACAGCAGCTCAGCTGGAAGACCTCGCCATCAAACAGACTTGCCTCACGGAACAACAATAGTTGGACATGAAGCACATCATCAACTTGCTCCAGACTAGCGAGAGACGTATAGCAGCTGAGCAAAAGAGAATCCGTCAATCCATTCAAGGACACCTCAAAACACAAGCTACGGACAGTCGTAACCATACATATGACACCATCATCAGCCATCTCAGCAATCAGCGTCAGCGTGCCATGCCTGACATTACAGAGGGAGACAAGTCTTTGAATCTGCTGAGGAGGATGATCAGCTAATTCATAGCCCTAAGGCTGACCAAAGCAACCCCAGATCGACTCCTGAACTACAGCCGATCCCCTAGATCATTCGAGGCAATCCCTGAATGTCCCTTCTATACAGCCAATCGTACGCACCTGTCAACACTGCTACTCAGCAGCAGGAACGACAATCCGCAGGCTCGGACAGACATTGCCGACGTCGAGTCACCATAGACCCCCGCCTAGAAGAGCTCGAGATACCAAGCTCCCCGATGATGCCTCGCTGACCTCCTTGGAATAGAAGAGCGAGTATGTCAAATTCCTACAGCGGTTTTACATCGTCAGTATCCCACGTTTTAAAGCTCAAAGACACTGGTTGGTTCTTGCTGGCCCGGGGATAGTCTAACATGATGTTCTCCCTCTACGCAGCCAAAATGGTTTTCTCCTGCTCGAGGTTGCCGACTATCTTTGGTTCTCCCCTGGGCAGAGCAAGTCGAGAGGCATGTGCAGCGACTGGCAAGTAGCCAGAAAACCTTAGAGGTGCAGCAGGCAGGGGCTTGAGAACGACTTTGTGCGACATTGTCAGGGCTGTTCTGTAAGGACTCCTTGTGCTGTTACGGGTGTCGAGTGTCGTGGCTTAGTTGAAGACTGCGTATGAGCGGCTGCGGTCGAGCGGATGCGGGTGAGTGTTTGGTGATGTACATGGAGAGGGTCAAGAAGCTGGAGGTCAACGGTGCCTTTTATACGCATTTTTGCACGCCAGTTCGGCGTGGTCATGGTCATCTCAACTCGCTCCATACTAGCCAAGGTATCTGCGCTTGGTAAGGGAAAATGGTTGGCCGTTGCTGAACTAGGTTGCCTCATGATACGAAACGGGCCAGCAACTTACGGTGAAGTGAGGCGCGGTGGTGGTTGAGTTTTTGAGATTCCTGCTCCTCCGGTGGGGGTTCAGCTCACGTTCGAACGCCTCGGCTAACCAAATCCTACATAACAAATGCAACCAGGGTGGGCGAAATATTTTCAATACAGAGATCAATCCATATCGCTTATCGGCCTTATCGATCGATTATTGATCAATATTGATTCAATACTGCTGACTCATCAAAATACTGCTTAGTCATCCACAATATTGACCTCGGCTCCCAATAGGTGTACGGGATCCCGTGCAATTACGTAAGCCTTCCTTTTTGGGATGCCCGCGCCGTTATCTGTCAGATTTGTTGTATCTGGATTCTCCTCTTTTTCCTTTTTTTTGTTTCTGGCTGACCCAGAGAGACTATATTATAGTACAGTGGGTGGCGATAATGGGTGGCGATAGTTGGTATAAGCATTCTAACAAACCCAATCTAGTTCTTTCTACCCCTTTCCATCTGACATTATCTATTCTCGCGAACGCGAACGCGTCCGCGTCGCGATGCACTCTCGCGATGCATTCAGTTCTTATTCTGTATAGTTGTAATGGCTAGTCTCTCATCGTTTCCCGATGACTGTCTCCCACCTGAGGGTGATTACGAGTCACGAGAGGCCCTATTCCAATCTATTAATAATTGGGCAGCAACACGGGGATATGCCTTTATTGTGGGGCGATCCACTAAGGAGAAATCAGGCAAATTGACGATTACCTGCATGTGTGATCGAGCTTGCCGACCCCCCAACTACATCGAAAGAACGGCAACGGAAAACAACTACCCGGCGAACCGACTGTAAATTCTCAGTCACAGCAAAGCAATCCTTGGATCAGAGCACTTGGACCTTGAAGCATCGACCTGTCTCGTCATTCCTATTGGCCGGCTCCACTTTCAGAGCTATGACTAGCCCAGAATGGGCGCGGTTCATCACAATTTGGCATTCCACTTTCAACGCTACATCGCCGTCGCCGCCGCAGAGCCACAATACGCCGCCTGGCTCACCGCTCGGCACAGCTCCTAGCCGATGATTAGGAAGCCTGCCTAGCGGGCTAGATTGTCCGAATGGCTTCAATTGGAAGCCCTCCCTCGTATAAAACGGTTAGGCATCTGGCGGGCCGTATCGCCCTCATCGCCGAGAAGGAAGAAAAGGTCGGAAAACAATGGACACAACGCTTTATCGCCAGGAACACTCAAATCGGCACCCAAAGAGCGAAGCGTGTTGACTCGGTGAGGCTCAACGGTGCAACCCGGGAAATAATAGAGGAATGGTTCAATTTCGACCTTCCCCCCGTCAGGGACATCAAGCCTGAGGACCGTTGAAATGAAGACGAGACAGGCCTGCAGGAAGGCTAGGGCAGCAACGGCATGGTCCTAGGATCTAAGGAATATAAGACTCTAATCAATAGATCGCCCAGGGCCCGCACCTAGACCCCCTTGATTGAATGCATCTCGGCCGCCGGGCAGGCACTTCGACCACGCGTTATTTTCAAGGGGAAGTAGTTCTCCGCGAGTTGATGAAGGCAAGTTCCGTGTTCATGTGTCTCAGCCTAATAGGTCCCCGAAAGGCCGCAGGAAAGGCGTTCTCAGTTCACCGACGCGATTATGCCATTTTTCCGGAAACCGAGAATGAGGCTTCCCAGGAGCTAGATACACAACCCGGTCAGAAAAGCAAACCCCCTTTCGCAGTGCCTCAATATCGAGACAGGTTATTTGGCCCTCACATTTGAGGACATTAACTCTGATGTAACGATTCATCATGTTTTCATTCTCAACTTAGTATAGCTATGGGACAGCGCTTCGTTACTAGTTCCCGACCCTTGATAAGGACCCGTTCCTTGCGACCGCCGTCAGACCAACTCAGCAAGCGATACGAAATGACTTCCACCTTCACAGCGATAGCCACCACTCTGCTTAATCCACTGGTACCCCATAGGGCAGCGTCCCATTGCCTCGAGCTTTGCACATAAGGCGGCTTCCTCCCTACGTCGCCGTTCCTCTTCTACCAGCCGCTGCACAATCTTTTCGCGCGCCTCAGCTGTGGCTCTGCGACTCGCTTCACGTAAGCGAATGTACTCGTCATCTCTCTCCTCTTCAGCCTGCCGATCTTGTTGCAGCTGTTCCCAGACTTCATCGCTCACCCCGGCATCCCTCTGAACACGGCGTCGCGAGCGTTGCTCTTGTGGTCCTGGGCTGTCACTCTGATCAGTAACTGTGGCCAATTGTTCGCTGTCGTCTGGTCCTGCGAACGCAGGCTCCTGGTCCTGCACCTGAGCTGTGTGGGCTGTTGTGGACATGTCGACCGGTGCTTGCGTGGCTGGCCCAAGGTGCTGTTGCAGCGCTTGATCAAGTGTCATGACGGGCGGTGGCGTGGCATGTTGGCTCCGAGACCTGCGATCGCCCAGCATTGCCTGCACTGCTTGGGTAATGATGGCTTCGCTCAGCACAACACACTTACGAGCAAGGTCCTCTTTGCATTGCAAAACCTTGTTGAACATGGCCTTTGCAAGTTCCTGCACGTCTCGCGCGTTGGCCCAGTCTTTTTGCTCGGTGAGATGCTGCAGCCCGTCGGCTAAAGACAGCCTGAATAGGTGGCTTGGCGTCTCCAGACAAGACAGGTTCAAATCCACGCCTTTCGACCTCAGAACTGTCCGCTGCCCTTGGAGCAAGGTCGTCAACAGTGATATGCATTCGTCCGTTGTCAGCGCCCGAGAGTCTACCACCGCTGGAAATCGCGACGTTAGGCCTGCGTTGACCGTCATCAGGCGATTGATGTCAGCTTCATAGCCCGCCAGGATAATGATGAGCTTCTTGAAGTATTTCTCCTTGGTGACAGAGTCGACGATTTCGTCCATCGCTTCCTTGGCAAAATGACCTTCGGCTAGCCGGTATGCCTCGTCGACAAAGAGGACTTTCCCGAGGGCCTTGTCCAGGAGGCTCTGGACTTTGGGTCCGGTCTGCCCAACATACTGCCCAACCAAGTCGCTCGCTGAGCATTCGATGACTTCGGCGGTAGCAAGGAATCCCATGTCGTAGAAAACCTTGCCCATCTTCCTAGCTGTCGTCGTCTTGCCGGTACCTGGGGGGCCGCGGAATAGGAAATTGAACGGGATGTTCTCCTTGGGGTCCATGTCAAACACCTTCATTGCGCGTACTGTCTCTTGGTACCCTTCAAGCAGTGCCACCGTCTGCTCACAACCAACCGTGCCCTCGAAAAGCTTCTTGACATTGGTTTCCGACCTATCAGCTCGGTCAAAGTTCTCGTCAAAGTGTTGCGCTTCGAGGAGGGTGCTTGACTTCGCCTCCCCCTTTGAGAAACTCCTCTGGTGGCGGGCCTTTGTTGAGTCAAGGAGGATGTCGATCTCTCCGGCGTTCCCAAAGTTAGGGCGGTTGCGAGCCCGCTTTAGCATCTCCATTGCAGTCTTGGCGGCCTGGCTGGTTGCCTGGTATCCTTGCTGTTTCATCTTCATGTCAAATATCTTGCGTAGGTCAGCGTCGGAGAAGTCCTCGAATGTAAAAGCGGACGACATGGGAAATCGTCGACTGAGACCTGGATTGACGTTCTGGAACATGGTCTCCATTTGGTCCTTATACCCGAGCAGGAGAACACAGCGGTCATCTCCGGGCACACTTTGCACCTCGGCCACGATAGTGTCGATGACGGCGGTCTTGTATGGGTCGCCGGTCGAACCTTGGCCTCCTCCGTAGAGCCCGTATGCTTCGTCAATCACAAGCACCTTCCCAACGGCTGCAGCGAGAATCCCTTTGGTCTGCTGCTCTGACTGGCCCAAAGCGGCACCAACAAAGTCCGATGGATTTCGAACAATAACTGAAAACCGTTAGCATTCGTAAGGTCCAAATATTAATTGCGCCAAAACTCACCTTCGCCTTTTGACAGCAGACCGAGTGCGACCAGGATCTCTCCGTACAGCTTCGCCACTGTCGTCTTTCCAGTGCCTGGATTACCAAGGAAGAGTTTGTTCAAGGAATATTGAATCGGCGGCTTCTCCTCGATCTCACGCTGGTAGTTTTGCTGGATGCTGTCCACTAAGGCCTTAATTGACTCTTTGACCGACTCGAGCCCAATGAGGGTCTCTTGCAATTTCTTCCAGGCTTTGCACTTGGCCAGCGCCCCAGATGGTTCCGGTCCAATTAGGTCTTCCTTGGTGAAGAAGAGATCATCTGGTTTTGCTCCGCCTTTGCGCTCCCTGCGTAACCGGTCTGCTTGACGCCGCGAAACAATGCCCAGGGTGTTCTCAACTGTCCGGGCGTTCCCGAATCCCTCCTTTCCGCGACCGAGACCAAGTCTCCTAGAAATGATTCTGCAGTAGAGGCCGCGGAGACCATCTTCGCACTGCATCATATTCCTGTACTTCTTGTTGACCTTCAGCTCAAAAATTCTGAGCAGCTCATCGTCTGAATAGTCCGCGAACTTCATGTCGATTGGAAACCTGCTGGGGAGGCCCGGATTATGCGCGTAAAAGCTCTCCATCTGTTTGTTGTAGCCAGCCAGGACAAAAACAATCTTTCCTCGGAGATTCTCAACTTCCGCCAGAAGGTAGTCAACGACACTAGCACCACCTGGGTTGTTCCCGGAAGTCAGTTGGTAAGCCTCGTCGATGAAGAGAACCCCACCACCGTCATCAAGAATCTCTTGCACCAGCTTCTTGCATCCGGAGACGCCTAGATTAGCCAGTCCTGACCCCGTTTGCTCTTTGAAGCAGGTTCCCGGGACTACTCCCACTTCGGTCATGAGTTTGGCGTACATGCGAGCCACGGTAGTTTTCCCTAAAATTTGTCAGTCATGACCGAGCCAAAGACCAAGGGAAGCTCACCTGTCCCTGGATTTCCAAGCATCGAACAGCTGAATCGTTCTGAGGCCAGAGATACTCCCTGTCGCAAAGCAGTGTCGACTTTTGACTTGATGGAAAGGAATTCCTGCTTGACTTCCTCCAGCCCGACCATGCCCATCAACTCGTCCAAGGCCTTGCTTCGCGCCAGCTCAACCTGCTTCAACTGGTCCCATTCTTCCTTGGCGGTATTGGGCAACGAGTCTCGGGCACTAGATGGGCTGACTTGGGACGCAGGATCCACGCCAGATGGTGCTGGTTCGGTTGCCTTTGATGCAACTCTGGCAGCCATCGCCGCTTGCCGCTCCTTTTGTTTCTGTATTCGTTGTTGGGTATCCTTCAATGCGTCGAGATCTGCACGATGCTGTTCGAGAACCTTTTTCTGTTCCTCCTCCTCAGCCTCGTACTTGTTGATGCGACGCTGGTGCTGAACCTCGTCCTGGATTTCTTGGAGCTGTCGGACATATGCCTCTTGTCGACGTTGGCGATCCTCCTCGAGCCGGATATCTCGCTTGATCAGTCTCTCTTGTTCCTTGTCTTCCAGGATACACGTTTGGCATTCCACTTTCTGTTGACCACAGAGAACGCGTGTCTTGTGCTGCCGCGCACATTCGCGATCGATGAGCTGATTACATTCGGTCCTGCTGTGGTCTGTCACTCGATGGCAACGCGACCTGCATTTGTGAACCCTGCATTTAAGCATGGCGCCGCTATCAAAATTGTTGTCAGCAGGAAGACATGTGACCATGCGCAGAGGGCTTGAATGCTGGGGACAAGGAACTATGGACATACCAGAGCTCAGTACAGCCGCCATCGGGACACGACTTGTCAAAGTCGATTGGTTCCTTCAGCAGCGCAGTCTTCTCTGGGTGCTTTTCGCATCTGATGGGCAGACCATCATACAGATGGTTTTTGGACTTGAGCAATTCAAAAAATGGGTGCCAAGTCGCTCTACCCTTCTTGCTTGCCATGAACGTATCCATGTTCCCGATCAGAACCAGGCAGTCGCGAGCCCTAGTAATGAGGACATTAAGGCGTTCTGGGGCCGACATGAAACCAATGTCACCAGATTCATTGCTGCGGGTAAGAGAGACAATCACGATATTGCTCTCCTCCCCTTGGTAGTTATCTATAAAGTGCAGTCAGCCCTGTTCAAACTCTTGCGAAAGTCGCGGGGATCTCTTACCAATCGTGGAAATTCGAACAGGCTGTTTGTCAACCTTTGACGCAGCTCTGCTAAGAAGCCCGGCTCGAATCAATTCAAACCTGTCCATCTCGCTGATCTCGGGATCATGTTGGTTCTTGACGAATAGGTCCTGCAAAACACGGAGCTGGCCGAGGTACGGCGTCAAGATCACGATCTGGTTCTCTGAGAACCCTTGTTGGCCGAGGTATTTGTAGATTCGCAGGATTACTTCAGCTTCGAACAGATTCTTCCTGCTCTCTTTCGTCCCTGGGTCACGTCGATCTTTGAGTGCTTTGTCGGACTCTTCCAGCTTACCGTGGTTGAAAAACACAACGCAGTCTTGAAGCCCACGAATTGGCGGCCGCCCCGCGGTATCGGGGCCATCTAGCAGGTCAGGGTAGGTTAAGTTGCGGGGGAAGATGGAAATCTCTGGAACCATTCGATGTTGCTTGCGCAGAGTTGTGTGAGATGCGCCTTGTATGATCAGTCGCTCAAACAGCGAGCGGTTCAGGTCGAACCCATCGCCTTTCTCGACAGACAGTGCATAGTTGTTGATTTTTGGACGCAGCTGTTTGTGATCACCAATAAGGATGAGCTGCTTGACACTTGGCGCGAGCGCCGTCAAGATGTGGCTCTCTAGAATCTCTCCGGCCTCCTCAACAAGGATCACATCTGGTGCAGCCGCACGGATCAGGCGAGAGTGAATGGCCGCCCCGGTTGTTGTACAGCCGACGACATGCTTCTGGCGTAGGATGTTTGCGTCTCCTTCGTTAAAGAGAACATCGAGTTGCTCTTGGGTTGTATTGCATTGATGAGCATACTCATAGATGGTTTGAAGGCGCTCATCAACAAGGGACTTGGTCCATCTCTGCACGTGGCTCATCCGAACGGAATTTGGCATGTCCCAGATTGCTCTCGACACCGCACTGACGTCTTTCGAGAAGATGCCAGGGCCATCACCCTTCACCCATCGGTCGTAGAGATAGTCGGGGCCGATCTGCTTCCTGCGCTTCCCAGCGCGACTCCAGTCGGGACTCTCTTCTGGTACAAGGAATGCTCCATAGAACAGCGGATCCTCGAATTCCAGGTGCTCCGAGATTTCCTGCCATTTAATGAGAGCCTGGCTTCTGAACTGTTGAAAGGCATTTCCGAGTTTCGACCCTGAGTGGTTGATATCCGATTTCAGGGAGTTGATTCTCGCCCAGGCGTCTGGGGAACGCCGGTAGCTCCCTTTCTGCGCAGAGAGGAGAAGCGGCAGTGTTCTTGGTGTGCACTTTCCCTTTGCGCCCATGCGAACCATTGCAGCAGGTGGAATCCCGACGTCTTGGAGGTCTTCCAAGAACTGATCGAGAGCGTGGTTGGTGTAACTAATGACGAGTATCCGTTGGCCGGCTTTGAACAGCTCATTGGCAATACGTGCCCCGATGAAAGACTTTCCCGTGCCTTGGAAACAATGTTAGCAAATATGCCAGATAGCCTTCATCGGTGATTCGACTTACCCGGTGGCCCCTGTATCAGACTCAGTGATCTTGTCAGGGCATGGATCAAGGAGTCCAGTTGCGAACTGTCAACTCGAATGTTGTCGGAAGACGGCAGGTTCACCATATCATCTGGGCCCAAGCCATGGCTGATACGCTTTAGGTCTTCAATCAAGCTGTGCAGTTCTGGTGCGACATTGCACTGGACGTCCGAGGCGACTGGGTTGGTAAGCACGTCTTGCAGCGGCATGTCTCGTATGGCTTGAAGTCCGAGAAGAATCGGCTCATATGCAAACACCGGTGTGTCGACGAGGATGAAGCGAATAAGGTCGGCATTTGGCGTTGCGAATGCACGTAAGGCGGTCCGAATAGCTTCTGCATCTGTAAACTGCAGGGAAACAATAGGCGGCGACTTTGCAAGAAGGTCAATGTTTCGGTCGACGAAAGCAAACCCAAAGATTTCCTTGTCTCGGCATAAAACGCCAAAGGCTTGGTGTCTGAGAATACTGGTCTGGTCCTGCAAATACCGCTTGCGGCTTTCGGGATCCTTGCGGTGAAGAAACTGGAGGCCGTCATAGCACTGAACCAGAAGAGTGCATTTCTTGAACCTGTTCCTTGACTCGTCTTCGAATTCAATTCCCACCGGAACAAGTTTGCCTAGCGGAGCAAACGACCTCTTCCCTTTCTTGATACCCGTATCGACTTGCAGATCCTCTCGGAGCCCGGCCAGCATATCTTCCCTGTTAAGACGGAATTGGTTGTCAAGAAGAACGAGGGGACGACTGTCAGGGTCGGCGTCCGAAACCTCCTTGGTGGTCCGGTAGAATGGCGGATGAGTGGAAAGGAATTCGTCTGTTGTCGGGTAAATGCAAATCTCACGAAAATCGGCATGGTCGTTGTCATGGCGGCCACCTGGTCCACCATGCTCAGCGTCCTGTTGAGGAGAGCGGCGAATTTTGAGGTCGTTGCTGATTCTGTAGCCAAGCTCGCGGGTTTCATGATTCTGGGCCTTCTGGAGACTGCCCTTCTCGTCAATGGCCTGAACGTCGGCCAAAACATCGACATCCGCCTTGGCAGGGAGTAAGAGAAGCTCTAGTGCAAGCCATGCAAAGGGGTGCAGAAGATCATCGGGGATTTGGTTGTCATGGAACAGTTTGATCATCGCATTCCAAGTGGTCGAGGGACTCACAATGACAAGAAGCACTTGCTGGAGAAGCTGACCGTCGACAAGGGTCTTGATATCTGGATTGGAAAGGTACTCTAAGAGGGGGAGGGTGTGCGAGAGAATGAACGGGGCGGAGAGATTGACACGGACAGAGATTCTGACGGCATCAAGACCCGGCTTGCTAGAAACCAAGGCCTCAATGCACGCACCAGGCGACTTCTGGGCCCGAATAGCTTCAAAAAATAGCTGGGCATCTTGAGCCAACGTCACTTGACGGTTTCCGGAGAGAACGTCGCGAAAGACGGTCTTGAGGCGCACAGCCCGGCGGTGGTCTTGCTGGTTCGTGGCCATGGTGAGTGTGTCCAACTTGTTTACTTGTCGACGAAAAGGTATGGCAGCGATTTGCAGTGATGGTGGGAGTTGCAATGGGCCTTGTGGAGGCTGTACTGGAGGCGGTATCGATGTGATTAATCAGGAAAGAAGTGGGTGGTCATATGGAAGCGGAACGAAGACACCGGGGACCGTGTCATCAGAAGACTTTCGTTTGCAGCCCTGAACATTCCTGCTCATTTATGGGCAATTTAGAATATGCCGGAAGCCGAGCTCGAGGGTCCAGGCGTTGTGCGACCATGTCAGCGACCCAAGATAAGGAATTGCTGGGACTGTACATAGCCCATAGCTGCCTAGCCCAAACCGCCCCGATGCCTCATTGGAGGCTTTCGGGTGATGAGCTGGCTTGTAGGCCTCCGTGCATGGTGCCACAGGCAGGTTTCAGTGACGAGTCCTCACCGGAATTTGGGCACCGGCCTCCAATCGTTGGGAGGTCGACAGCTGCAACTTGGCGCTGCAACGAATGAGCTACGCAGAGAGGCTCACGGCTGGTTCTGTTTGGTTGTGGAAATGTCCATGGGTCGCGCGCTGATGGATGCAGACGTTTCCGCGATCAGCCCGTGTTCGGGTGCCGTAGCAAATAAGGAAACGAAGTGCAGATTGAGGCCTACAGCCACACAGCCAAACCAGAGGAAAAGGCTCGCAGGTGAGAAAGAAGGACGGGACCGGCGATTCTGGCCTGCGTAGATAAGACACTTGAGAGGCAAACCTGTTCGTCTTCTTCACAGCTGCTCCTTGTCTCGACACGGTCGTCTAAGGAGTAGGTATTCCAGCATCGTGATTCCTAGCACACAGCCCTAGCACCTACTAGATCGACCGATCGGCCTTTCCTCGCTGCACATCCCTTGAGTTGTTAGCACATCGATATTTCTCAATCACTTATCAACCTCACTACAACATTTCATAATGTCATCTTGGTCTCACAAGCGTCGATTTTATCGCAACAGTGACGAACAGAATCGCTGGCAGAATGGTCACAAGACTCCCATTCCCGTTCCAACAACAACGCCTCCACCTCTGGGAAAACTCATACAAACGGTTCGGGTAAAGGACTTGGCGGGCGAATCCAAGAACTTCATCGACTCGGCTGCGATTCGCGATTGCGAGGCCATCGCTTCCTTCAACTGGCTCGATAAGAAAGGGTCCGAGTCCACGGTTCTGACTCCTGGTACGTTCTGCTTTCTGCCCTCTGCTCCGAAGTCCTTGGTCCTCCTGCTGCCGTTCGTTTCAAAGCTGGCTTGTCTTCTGACTTCGTCATAAACCAGGAAAACCGCCTTTGTGGACCCCTCCAGTCGCACCCACCGTGCTCAAGGAAGATAGCGGGACGTATTTCCGCGACAAGAACGCTGCACGATACCCCAAGCATCCCATGGAAGCAGCCATCGTGACCGCCCTTGGTGTCGATCGAGACCTCCCTGCTAAGCTGGACATTATGGCCTGCGGCAGCACACTAGGCAATCTGCTGCGCTTTGTGTGCGGACAAGACAAACCATTTCGTATGCTGGCAGAGAAGGTGGATAACACCGTCTTCTTCATCCGCCGCGAAAACTCGCCGACAGAGTTAATCCCCAACATTCGGGGATTTGGCCACGCTTTTCCAGAGGCATACACCACATGGGAGCTCGATGTCAAAGGCTCCGCATCGCACCAGCGCATCCTTCGCTACACTCTCGGCGGCCTCAAGATTGCCATCCGCTTCGAGGCTGACGGATATGTCAAGGCTCCTCTCGGCGAGCACCCTGTCGTGCCTCTGGCCAAAGCCACTCACCTTTCGTCGGAAGATTCCCTCGACACTCTAGTTGCGGCTCTGTCCGAGAACCAAGTCTCGCCGTCGTCCGTTGAGTTGTCGTCCATTGCGTCGTCGTGCGCTGTGAAAACCAAGCCCGGCGGCAGCTTCATCGGCCAGGAGTACGTATTCGACCTAAAGACTCGCAGCATTAAGACCAAGTTTGTCAAAGACCACCTCGGCGAGGAACTCCCCCGACTGTGGGTGTCGCAAATCCCAAAGTTTATCCTTGCCTTCCACGCCAGCGGCTTCTTCAAACCCCAGGAGATTGAGGTTAGAGACATCCGCGCCGAGGTCGCCAACTGGGAGAAGGAACATGTCGACGATTTGTCTCGTCTCGCCGCACTCGTGCACCGAATCATTGCGATGACCTCCTCTGCCCCCGGCGGAAAGCTTGAGTTGTGCCATCAGACCATTGGCGAGCTGCATGTCAGAGAGCAGCTGCCAGACGCGGGTGACGTCATGTCCACTGAGGTGAGGGCACGCTGGGGGAAGTCAGCGTCGGCCATTGCTGTGGGGATGGATTCTCCAGCTGTCGAGGATCGCTACGAGGACCACTCATCAGAGGAAGACTCAATCTCTGAACATCAAGTGGCCTCTGGGAATGATGGCACTGTTCGATATGAAGGCTGGGACTTTACTAGAAGTGAAGAGTTGGATTTTACCGCATGTTCTTTTGGTGACTGCGGATATTGTGGTCGATGCTCTTATTGAAGGATTTTTGGCCGGCCTAGACCTCTGCTGCCTTGGATATTACGTCCCTCGATGTTGGATACTCGCCGAATCGCCACGTGTCGGGCTATGCTAGGTTGGGCTTGGCCAAGGTGCAAGTTTGTCCAAAATTGTTGAATAACTGTTTTCTCTTTTTCTAATTCTCTACTTTTATTTTTCTCTTTTTCTAATTTCTACTTTTATTTTTCTCTTTTTCTAATTTCTACTTTCATTTTTCTCCGTCTTTTTTTCTTTTCCACTTTACATGAGCCTAACTCTACACCATTATCTTCCCTGGGACCTGCCCATCTTTATTTCACTACAAAACAAACGGAAGCCAGAGTACCTTGGTAAATGAAAAAGCCCAGAATATTAGACAAAGGAACAAGCGCATTGTAATGTGGATTATTCCACGATAATCAACATCCTCCAACATCTGCCAAAAAGATGTCTTCATGAGATCTGGACAATGGAGTAGTCACCTTGGACTGTGTCACCGCCGGTGAGGAAGGGGGTACAGCTCTCTTGATTTTCGACGACAGTGCCGTCGCACTGCGTCATGGAGCCCTTAGAACAGTGGTAGACAGGGGTGAAGCCGACGCGACCAGTAACGCCTGCCGGAACGCCGACGCTATACTGGATCTGCTTCGACGTCTGGTTGGCGAACTCAAAGCTAACGCCGAGATTGATAATGCCGAACGGGTCGCCGAGGGATACAGAGAATCCCGTAGTGGTTTCAAACCCGCTCGAGTAGGTGTTTGTAAATGTGTACGCTGAGTCATTTATTGGAACGTTGCCTGCGCTGACGAGCATGGTGTCCGTCGTCTTCAGGAAGTCGCCGTCCTCACCCGCGTTGGGCTTGTACGAGCCCTCCTGCCAGCCGTCGCATCGCCGCTGAACGGCAGCGGGAGAGGGAGAAGCGGCTGCGGAGGCCGGCGCAGAGGCCGTCTCGACGGGCGCGGCGGGTGCGGGGACCGGCTCGGAGGCCGGTGCGGAAGCGGGCGCGGAGGCTGCGTCGACAGGGCTCCCGACTTCGAGTGGCGTAATGATGGTTCCGTTGGCAAACGTCATATACATGCTCTGGAGGCCGGCAGCGGCACGAGAGCCGAGAATAGTGAGATTGCCAGACTGGCGCGGAGTATGCCCTCTAATTGGCATGCTGCTCCGCTTGATGGGAATGCCCAGGTTCAAGCACTCGGCACTACCGCAGCAGAACTGGACCATGAAGGTTTTCTGCAAGCTCAGCGGCGACGACTTGCACTGCGCCGTGTTGGAACTCGCAATCAGATTACCGCATCCCTGAGAAGTCAGACTGGCCGGCGACTTGATCATGATTGCGCCCTTCTCACCGTTTGGGCACAGAGCATCCGGTTCGGCGTATTTGGGAAACACGTCGAAGAGGATGTCGCCGGTGCCCTCTTCGAACCCCTGGCCGCCAAAAACTGTATTGGTGTCGTAGACCACACAGTCGGGATGTCCTGCACCGGCCGACGTGATACCCGAAGGACAGGAGGCGCACTTTTTGTCAATGCAGAAGTCCGCGACATCGCTAGCGCTCACAACCCCAACGGCTACCAGAGCCAAGGCGAGACGAGAAAACTGCTGCATAGCTGGTCTTTGTCGAGTGGCGTGAATATGAGGGTATCGGTAAGGATGGAAATTAAATGAGACGTGAAGGCTTCTAGTTAGTCCTGCTGAAGTCCTGCTGATGATGCCAACGTGGGAGTGATGATGGAGACAAAGGAATGGAGTAGAATCAGCGAACGAACTACTTACTTATACTAAAAGTGCCGGGATCGGGTAATAGTCAAAACTCGCTTCCCGAAATTCGAGTAGACACAAATTATAGCAACAACACAGTAACTGCCCTCGTCAACAAATTTATCCTCCATTGATTGTGCATTCCCTACCCGATTGGCCAACGGACTCGGTCCAGGGGTGATTGTCGGTCATCTTCATCGACGCTCAAGACGACAAACAGACACTAGCATAATGGCTCCCACGTGTCACAGGCTCGGTTGAGTGAGCCGCGGACCCGGAAGTTCGATAAGAGTGGCGCAGTGAACATAGCACAACAGCGAGCCGCAGTGAACGTAGCACAACAGCGAGCAAAACGCCGAGGTGAACTGAGGCTGGGGCTAGGTTTTACGATGAAAGATGATTGGATTGATTGCCAAGACCGCCGATTAGGGTGAACGCCAAGACGCGCCCACGCGGCGAACGTGGCTGTCAGGAGACACTGCGCCGGGCGCGTGAATTGGCCCATGATTTACGGAGATAGGCCGAAGGAATGAGCCGAGACGTCGCGCCTCACTTGGCAGGAAAGAAAGCACACTGTAGCAACGGAGAAAAGCTGTGGCAAAGGAGAGGCTCGACCCCTGGGCGGCCTAGTTTCATCGGCGGCACGCCTCGTCTCAGTCGCACGAACCACGCTGTGCAGTCGATGCATGGGCGTTCTTTGGCTGTTGCTCTGTCCAGCACAGACCGCGCACACCGGCAACTGTGTAAAAAAAAAGTATAGTGTGAATTCGCCGTGAAAAACTGCGTTATGCAAAACGGAGGTGGCAAGGAAGATCAAGAAGACAGGAGCGTGGCCGTGACGGGCCTGTCCAGAACATGTGTTCCGAAAGGATAGCGGGGGAGATGGCCGGTATTTTGAGTGGAAAGCCATTGCCGTCAACATCTATATAAGCTCTTGACCCGGTCGTGATCCAGGATTAAACAGAACATCATCCTCATCCTCAGCCTCAAGTCTCTTGACAAGCCTCCTCGTCACCCAACAGCCATCAACCAACCAGCCAGAGCCTACTCAACGGCTAAACAGAATTCGGCAGCGCAACAACATCAATCGACGGGGAACACCTTAAGATGGTCTCCTTCACCCATCTCGTTGCGCTCCTGCCCCTGCTCGGCGCCACGTCTGTCCTCGCAATTCCGTCCTCGGCCCAGGGCGAGAACAGCACGGTCCCCGCCGGGCAGAACTCGACAGCCCCAGCCGGTTCAGCCAACGAAACAGCAGCGCTCCCCGGCGGAAAGGTCGGCAAGCACGGTCCGAAGCCCGTCGAAGCCAGGAAGGCGCCGGCCAACGGCACTGCGGTGCTGCCGGGCGTGAAGGGCGGCCCGAAATCCATTGGTGCCAGAAAGGCGCCGGCCAACGGCACTGCGGTGCTGCCGAGCGTCAAGAGCGGCCCGAAACCCATTAGTGCCAGAAAGGCGCCGGCCAACGGCACCGCGGTGCTGCCGGGCGTCAAGGGCGGCCCGAAACCCATTGGTGCCAGAAAGGCGCCAGCCAACGGCACCGCGACGATTCCCGGCGGCAAGGGTGGTCTAAAGCCTATCAATGCAAGGATGGCGCCGGGAGGTATTCTTGAGGCCCGCAGGGGCAAAGGTAAAGGTAAAGGCAAGGGCAAGGGCGCCGGTGCTGGCGCGGGCGCTGGTGCTGGTGCGGGCGTTGGCGGGGCATCCGGAGCCAACGGCACTGCCGGAGCCCTTGGTGACGCGGCAGCGGCAGCCCCTGACACCGCTGCAGCGGCAACCCCTGACGACGCCGCGGCTGCCACTACTGACGACACTGCGGCGGCAGAGAAGCGGCAGGCGTCGGAAATCCCACCCAACAGCCTCTACTTGATCGAGTGGTGGCCGAGCGGGTGCGGCAACGGAGGGGGCGACACGCTCACGGGTGGCGAGGAGACGCTTGGCGCCTGCGTCAACACCGAGTCGCTGTGGGACACGGCGCCCACCACCGATGCCGCTGTCCGCTTCCTGTTTCCTTCCGACGGCCGCACCTATAAGTGGCAGATCTTTAGTACCAACAGCTGCAAGACCCAGATTGCCTCTGGCGAGGGCGGTGGCTGCCACAACGTGCCGACACTGAGTGGCCAGCATGTCGGCGCTGTTATTGTTTTCACCTGAGCGTGAGGTGGGTGCTTTCTCTGGACTAGACGAGACTGTTTAGAGGTAGCTAACCTCTGGAAAGACCACTAGACAATGGTGAAGTGTTCCATACCATGTGCTCTCCGGGAAAGAAAAACAGAGCTGCTCGATGCGGTTTATGAGGAGCCGGCTGGACCGTGGTGTGGTTAGTGACACATTTCCCGGCAGGGCCGGTTAGATTGGCACCGAAAGGGGATTAGACTGCAGCATTGGATTTGTTTGCTTCTAGGCTGTCGTTGCTCCCTTCTCAACTCTCCTTACTAATTAATTTGTATATATCCTTCTGATCATGCATGGGCATGGGATAATTTGGGCCTTTGTAATCGCCGTTGAAGCTGGGGTATAATCTTGCTCGTCCATGCTGGTTATGGCGGTCCTATCATTCTTTAAATACCTTACCCAGGCAGTTAGTTCAACTACAGTCATTACCTCTACAGTGAGTTCAACTACGGTCATTACCTCGCATAGATTCGGGTTATTCACGCTTTAGTGACTCGGTCGATTTGGTACGGGCGTTCTTGCGCGATAAGTACAGGGTATCCCGTCACTAATTTTTTAATTGAAAGGGTGGAAATGAATCTTTACGAATCGAGTTTTTTCTACATTTTCCCGGAGATATGAATCTTGTCATCTCATTGTATTTAATCCGTGGAAGGTCTCCTCTAGCACCCATATTTGCTCATTTTGGTTCCGGTCGTCCAGCTGTTGGCACCTGCCCGTATTCACTGACCTCGGACTCCTTAGAATATACATAGTTGCATAGTCGCATAAGCGATATCTAATACGGTAAGCTTTCCCTAATCCAACCCTATCAAATCAGAACACCCCATTCCTCACCAATCTGAGAAAGATGACCCACCGCCCGCACCGAATGTTTCCAGAAAGCCTCGAAAGCCGGATTCATACCTCTGGCCGCCGCGCGCTCCGTCCACTGCTCAATTGGAATTTGGTCGAGCGTGTCGCTTCTTCAATTCCCATGTGTCCCTTCGGTAATCCACGCCCGCAGGTCGTTCGTGGGCAACTCGACGTCTCCAAGATGATGCACAAACCGCACGTCGCTTGCGGCCCACCCTCTGCGCCATCCCGTCTCCTTCACTGCGTCCATGACGCCGCGCACCACCGTGTCGAGCGTGACCGAGTCCAACGAGCCTCGCGTCTTGCTGCCCAGGGCAGGCACAGCGCGCAGCTCGCGTGCATACCGCCGCACGTTGTGCACCAGGTCGAGCTGCGGGTCGTCGACACGCAAAATGTTCGAAGGCCGGTGCACCCACACGGGCTAGTCGCGGTACTTGGCCTTGAGCTTCTCCAGGAGCACCTCGCTTACCCACTTGCTGCTGGCGGAGCCTGGTGCCAGCTGCCCCGTTCAGCGTCGCGAAGCGCGGCACCAACGCTGGGCCAACGTGGCTACGCGCTGTCGCCGCCGCGAAACTGCACGCCCCACCGCTGGAGAAGTAGTGCAGCGGGACCCTCCTCACAAGCCCTAGGCAGGGTGGGCGGCGATATATTCGACGCCCCTGTACGAATATTTGGCGAATACGATACGCTGAAATGGACAGAAGTTCTAGTGGGTAAACGCTAAAAATTAGTGAGATGAATACTGTAACTTAGCGGGCCGGCGCTAGGCTACAGCGGGTATTTTCCCTTTACGTTTTGCTGCCTGCTTCGCCCCCTATGGTGCCCGCAACAGCAGTCCTCATCTCGCTAAGTTTTAGTGCGTCATATTCGCCAAATATTTGTACAGGGATATCGAATATATCGCCGCCCACCCTGGCCCCAGGGCCGCCAGATCCTTTGTCGCCTGCACGTTCGGGCGACGCAAAGACGCGGACGACTTTAGGTGCGACACGTCGGCGCCGTTGTGGATAATGACATCGGCAGCGTCAAAGACAGACCGAGCTTCGGCATCAGAGAGTCCGAGTTGCGGCAGGACCAGGTCGTCTTCGTGCACCTCGACCTTGTTAGACAGGCCTTGCAGGCGACGGCCGTCCCGAACGGCCAGGCAGTGGGTCCTCCGCGCGTCCGGATTGGCAATCAAGGCCGACAGGGTCCCGCGCCCGAGGTAGCCCGTCGCACCCGTGAGGACAACTGTAGTTTTGGACGAAATTCCAAAGGGCCTTTGCCACTGTTTGTAGATAGAGCGTGCGAGGATTAGTATAGGTCCGGCTGGAGGACGGACGTCAGTGCCGTTTCGTTTTCCCAGTCGATCTCGGCCGACAAAGACTCTGTGGTAGTTGTTTGGTCTCGGAGCTGGCAGCATCCCCCGTCCTTGCCACCAACCATCAGCGCTATGCTCGCTAGGGTGCTCGCGTTGAACATATCAATGAGTGAAAGCTCGATATTTGGTTGCGGAGCTTGCAGCTTGTCCACATGCTGCTCCGTGTCGTCATCTACTAGTAGCACGCTTGGCTCGCAGTCTTTTGCCTTGACAGCCAAGCGGTTCCACGGATTGCCCTGGCCCAGAGGCAAGTAAACAGCGCCAAGTCGCGTGGTGGCTGGGATGGACGCGATCCAGCCGCCGGTGGGCTCTTGGAGGACGGCAACTCGCGAACCTACATTGATGCCGCTGGCGAGCAACACCGTCGCGATGGTATCAACTCGGCCTCGTAGCTCCGAGTACGTGATTGCCTGTCGCCACCATCCTGCTCCCACGTGACCGCTGCATCGGTCGCCCTCGTCTCCATGATCTCATCAATCCTATAGACCATAGTTTCGGGCCAGTTACCACTGTCGACGTTGGGACGCCGGCTCGAGAGGCGACATGACGCGCCTCATGGCGGACCATCCACTCGCAGAGCGAGAGACCCAGACCGTGGCTGAGTCCCGCGAGCCAGTACGTTCTGGATTCGTCCAGAACCAACTACGCGTCCACGGGCTGCACTTGGACCTGCACATCTGAGTTGAGGGCCCAGGATCAGGTTCGCGCCCGCGGCGACAGCTACGCGCGAATAGCCGGTCCGCAGCTGCTGTGCGGCCTGGTGCACGGCGATCAGGCTCGAGCTGCAGGCCGTGTTCAACATCACGGACGGGCCGTGGTAGTACCCCTTGCTGCTCCACCGGTCGGCTGGGATGGCTGCTAACAGTTCTCGCGGCTCCTTCAGGAGCTCCCAGAGCTTGGAGGGCGAGCTGGTGTCGCCGGGGAAGCGACAGCCACTCCCGATGACGGCGATGGGCTTTGGCGGTGCTGCATTGGCCATGTCGAAAGGCTTTCGAAAGTGATTGAGTAACGATTCCACGCTGTGTTGATGACCAGTGGTGTGATAATCGTGCCATTAAGAGACTCTCTACCTTGGACTTGAAGGTACTTCGGCTACAATTATGTCACAATATTGGGATTAGTGAGCAAGAAAGATCTAGAAGCTGCTATGTGATTCTTCGCCACCAGCTTTTGTCAGTATTCATAACTATAAAAGAGAGACTTTGGCCCTGCCAAAGGAAACAAGAGATTAGACCTTTTCAGACAATTCAAGCCTTACCTCCCTGCATCAAATGCTTCATTTCCGTTGCCCTGTGAATGCGCGTGACAAATTATCTATAACTGCTCAATTAGACAGGAGTCCTAGTCATGTCTCTTCCCGGCCTTGGTCGACCGGCCCAGACCTAGACAAGGCGGCTCAATACAGCACCATGAAAGAATAGGAGCCTCCCCGGGTAGTTATCCAGCTGTATTTAAAGACTTTTGTGAACGTTGCCACTCTCTCCTCCCTTTTCAGATGAGTTGGGAGCCTTTTTTTCTTATTACAAATCACAAATACAAATCACAAATACAAAGCAAAAGCAAACTAAGGCGCAATGGCGCCACGCAACAGCCGCTTAGCCTTCTTCATATCACGGCGCAGCGACCGGATGCCGCCCTTGCCGTCCTCGGCCCGGCCGACGTCCTCCTTGCGTATGAAAGCCTCGGCAAGCTCGAGGAAGCGGTCGCTGGTCCTAAACAGCCCGCCGTCAATGCAGTCCACGCGGGTGCCGATGCGCAGCTCCCTCGGCAGACCGAGAAGCGTCTCGATGCGCTCCAGCATGTTGGTCACTAGGTGGATCACCATGGTGGACTGCAGATTGCCAGACTCTGTCTTGCGTGTCGGTAACTGATGCAGTCACGGGTGGACAGAATGTTGGCAAGTTCACTTACGTAGAGGAAAGTTGTCAAACCCGCACAACCCAGGGAGCGGCAGGATAGTGCGGTCATTGCTCTCCGAGATGATTTGAAAATACTGCCGGATGTGCGTAAAGAGGGCCACATGGAGTCTCAGGATGTGAAGGTAGCAAACGAGAATGAGAAGCAGAGTCGAGGTGTCTGGTTGGGCTGCGGCTGGCGAGGTCGCGATGCTCTCAGGCGCCGATGCTAGAGACGACGGCGAGGTGGCGTTGCTGCTGCCGCTGTCTTTGAGAGGGTCCGTCGAGGCCGAGGACGTGGAAGGGTTTGCCGAGGCACCCTGCGGAAGCGGAACATGGCCACCGAACCCGCCGAGGGAGGACGGTGTGTTAAAGTCGGACGACGATGCCAGGGAGGGAGAGCTGGCGATGGAGCTCAAGATGTTGAGATACTGGCGGGTCGTGTTCAGCATGTCCTCGAGCGGTGTCGTGAGGTCTCCCGAGGGGCTAGGGCGGGTGCAGTCTGGGACGATGATGCTCTTCAGACTCACATGGGGCGACCCTCGCACCATGCGCTTTACCTGGGTGGCCAAGTCGAGGTTGATTCTGGAAAGCTCATGGACGTGCCGGACTGGATCGTTGGCGGCGCTGGCGTCGTGCAGGATGCCAAGGTCCGGCGAGGTGAAACTGGCAAGAGGGTGAGTTTCGAAGACGTCTTCGTGGTAGGGCATCCACGGCATGACATTGGCGGCCGGGCCTTGGGGCTGGGTATGGTGCGGATCAGAAGAGGACGGGGAGGTGCCGGCGGGGTTGTCGCCAGATAGCATGTGCTCAAGGCCCAAGATACCACTGTCCCAGTTTGGGGGAGGAAAAACGGCGGCGGCGGCGGCGGCGGCGGCGGCAGCCATGGGGGCGACGTTAGCGACAGGTGGCTGCAGTGGGGGCGGCCTGTCAAACGACTTGGTGGAGACGGCAGAGCCGCTAGTGGACGGAGTCCAGCTTTGATGGTAGTCGGATTGCAGCTGCTGGTGGCGATCCGCGTGTGGTGCATTCGCCGACAGCGCGTCGCCTTCATTGTGCCGGCGACGACGTTTGTTAGACGAAGACCGCGAGACGGGGCTAGTGTCAACCTGACCGGGAACCAGGCCCGCATCGTATTCGGGCTGCCGAGAGCCCCGGCCCCAGCCCCGGCCCCGGCCCTGGTCCTGGCCCTGGATGGAGTAGTTGCGCATGTGGTAGATGGGGCTAGTCACGCATTGGGCATCGGCCTTTGCACAGCGGTCACAGCGGCCTTGGGGGTCAGCGCCTTTGCGGAGACATCGGAGCTTCTGCCCGCGGCAGCGGTCGCACGCAGACCGTCGCGATGACACGCCCAGTGTCAGGGGCTGTTCTCGTCGCATTCTGTACCTATTTTGTCGTCTTCGTGGGCTTGCAGTCTGCTATTAGTGTCGAACGTAGCGCGCGAGGTCTTTGATGGGTTGGGTACAGAGTGGGTGGGGATGACCCGCTACCTAGTGGATGGGGATGACCCGCTAACTACCTAACTAATGGGATCCAATATTATCTAAGCAGACGCTGACCTGCGGGACTACTACACTGCATGTATGTTGCCTAGGCGCATACTTGAGGATGGACTCGGCACAGGACCTTATCCAACAACATACGGCCGTTTACAACGCACCTAACTTGTTAGGCTCATTACTAATGACTCGGAAGGTTGAATTGAACGGCCCGGCAGGAGAGTGCGTCGAGCGCACAGTCCGAGACATCTCATCCCAGAGCATCTTCCTAGAACCAACCGCCTAACCGCATCGCCAACCGCCTAACCACCTCGTCAACTACCTAGGTAATGACGTAGACAACGGATTAACTGCCTGCCAACTACCTAGGCAATGAACCGACTACCTACATACTTACTGGCCTACCTAGGTATTATGCGGACCATTCGCGATACCGTCAGATGGGGCACCTACCTCTTCATCTTTGTGGAACACTCTTCGCATCAAAACGCGTATTTTGCGCATTTGCAGGACCGGGCTTTAGTGCCTTGCGCGTTGAACCCGCGAGCTTTATAATTTTTGTCACCATTTGCAACCCAATATTAACGCCCCATGCCAACTAGTGCCCACCTAGGCAATGGAAAAATAGATTGGTAAATTAATTCATTAGGCCTACCGGGGACATTTGCTCTCTAATTATGGAGCTACGGCTCGCCTGGCACGGGTCGCGCTTGACACGGGAGGGCAACCTGATGCAGCCCTGTAGCTCGAGGAAGCGGTTCTGTCCCGCACTGTATCAGGCCTGGCCCTCGAGCTGAGGCAGGAGGAGCTCGCAGCATTTAAACTTTGGTGGCTGCTACGCCGCAAAGCGCTCACGACATCTGTGGCGGGGTTGCCTTACACATGCCTTGGTCATGTGGGCCCTAGCCCCGCCGAGGAGTTCTCGCCCACACGTTTTGTAGGGAGATTTCCTCCTAGAATTAGTTTCCCAATTCACACATTGTCCATCCACACAACATCCATGACCCAAGCCACTCAAGCTGAGAAATACGGCTGCACCCCAAGCCCGCCGCCGTGTCAATATTAGCACCACCCTCTCCGATTCGACCAAATCTACGCCAAACAAGAGACGGCGGCGAAGTCGGCAGTTGCAGTGCCGTACCACCATCAATGCTGGCCTATCCAATCACGTCCTGGCCTCCGCCCTCTACGACTAGCTACACTTGGAGGAGCTACAAAACATCCATCTTGTCCCCCTGGGTCCGAACTTGGTCGGAAAGCCCACCGAACGCCAACGGGAAGGTAGCACACAATCCTTGGCCGGAGCTTGTCGGCTTATTCTTATGTTGGCAGTCTGGCATCAAGGTCATCCGCCTTCTTAAACTATGGAGCGAAGGAGGAAAGAGAAGGGGAAGCAAGCCGAGATATAATTATATCGTCAAGACTGTTGAGACCCCCGCGCTTTGACACCGGAGGCCGAACCAAGACATCCAACCCGTACTCTACCTGCTTAGGTGCCAGCCCGTGAGCAGGGGCTAGGATTTCCTGCAACCCAGCACGTGCCTCGACAACAAGGCTTCGGTAGCCGGCGCCGAATCCATCAACTCGGGCATCGACTTTGCCATGGTCGGTCTGGCCTGGTACATGATCCGCCCGCTGCGCACGTCGACGGCCACCACCTAGAGGTTGGGCATCATTTTTGCCGTTGGCGGCTTGTAAAAGCTTTCCTGTCCTGCGTGGCCGAGCCTACAAACGCTAACCGCATTATTTCCACCCGTGCCTAGCGTCTAGACCTTGATACAGATGGCGAGCAGCATCTTTTACTGTTGTCCGGCTACATTCATGCCCATCCTGCCCAGCGCGAAGACGCTCCGGCGCCTAGCAGCGCGCGTCACTAGCAGTTCGATGTCGTCCGCTTCTGACAAGACACCGTCGCATCCTTCGACCCGCCAATTCGCGACGACGCCCAGCCAACGAGGTGCGGGCGGCAGGATCCTCGATCAGCACCATACCCATCGGCCAGAACTGGATGAAACTCGACGACGGCGGCAAGCCGGGCGGCATCACCGCCTGGGCCGAGGCCAACTCCGAGAGCGTGCAGCGGAGTGTTTTTGTCGTGTAAGATGCGCGAGCTGAGGGCGGGTTTTGAGAAGAGTATTTGACCGATTTTGGGGATGTCTGCGATTTTTCTGACACGCTGGGCTGTCGTTACACCATTCAGATCACTCGGATTGCTGAAAGAACCATGGTTCGTGCTCTGTAGGAGTAACGTTATACGACATGTCAATGCATATCAACTAAAATTCAGCACGGCGGACCTAGTTCGACACATTTCTATATATACCCAAGCCAGTCATACCACCAGCAAAGCACTTTGAGAGAGTTATGAACTCACCCGTAGCTCTGGAATATAACCAGTGACTGCCAAGTTTTATATTGGTACACAGGGTCGTCTCCATGGGCAAGAGTGTCTGAGAATTGCCTGGTTGAGCAGACAACGAATCAGAGTGGTCAGGAATTATTCGACGTGAAATTCAGTCACTCTGCCGCTTAGTTCGCTCAGTGGAGATATCACGCAGATGGTGTACAGATCTCCTGTGTACCAAAACATTCCTTCCGGAGACGCCAAATTACGGGACGGACCGTCCATTGATCAACTTCGAAATTAAGCCAAACTTTGGATTTCCAAGACCCAAGAATCCTGGTATCGTTCTTGGCCATTCCTTCGGACATCTGCCTGTCAGCTCCGAATTTAGTGACTTCTTCGCTGCCAACTACAAGGGCTCGAGGCGGGTTTCAGATTCAGGCCCCTTTGGCCGGATTAGGCAAATTGGCTCCGAACGTGGGCGGAGTGCCGCCAACCCAGAGCCGGCCTCCGACTTAGGCGTCAAAACAAACGCAAACGGAGCAAGGCGTAGACACCTAGGGCTAACACGCGGCATCGAAACTGCCGAATATGGATGCGAAAGTCGCACAGCTGGGGTCCGAGCCGCGCATGCATTGATGCAACGCTAACAGGTACACGTGTAGCCCCTACAGTTCCTTGCCGAGGCAACAGAAAAGACAGAACGGCGACTTGGTACTTGCTTTACTTGCTCCAATAAAAATCCCTAAAGAATCTCCCCTCTGCCAGACGAGCTCCCGCGCAGCACACCCCCTTGACGCTTACTTACTTGACGTTTAGCTTCCATTTTGCCTTGTGCCAATGATAGTTATTGCGCCCGCCGTCCCCCTTCCTCCATTCCCTCCCCCTCCCCCTCCCCCTCCCCCTCCATTATCTTCCCAGCCCGCCGCGCAATCTTCCTGTCGTCTTTTCCGGGCTAGGTGTTAGTGTCGCACCGGACTGTACAGTACACCCTGAGTGTAAACACGGCACGATGGGCTTACTAGATTTTGGCTTCGGTGTGAGGTCATGGGCGGCGTCACTTGTCTAGCTGGCGCCGTTGAGCGGTGTCATCTACGTCATCGCAAGCTCCGTTTACCTCCTCTACTTCCATCCAGCCTCCAAGTTCCCCGGCTCAAAATTCTCGGCCGTCTCGTATGTCCTGTACTGCTCCGCCTCGTGAGTTCGCATTTGTTTATTTGCTTCGTTTGGTTGGAATGGCTGCTAACTGAACTGCTTGGTCGACTAAAGGATACATGGGCGGTATCCATAGTACCAAGAGGACATGATCCACAGATTTAGCGATGTAGTCCGCATTCCCCCAACGAGGTGCTCTTCTACACGCCACAGGCGGCCATGGACATTTACAGCCCCGCCGTACGCAACCAGGAGCTGTTTGTCAAGACAGACCTCATGGACTTTGGGGCTGGTGACCTGGGGTTCATTTGGGAGTCGGACCCGGCCAAGCGCAAAGCTATGGCCAAGAAGATCTTGCCGGCCTTTAGTGCCAAGGCCATCAAGGAGAAGGAGCCCCTCGTTCACCAGTACCTGGACCTGTTCATCGCCAAGATGAAGGAGCGCAGCAGCGGGCCCAACGACCTGCTGATGGACGACTAGCTGCTCTGACTGAGTATTGACATGGCTGCTCTGACTGGGTATTGACATGGCTGCTGATCTGGCCTACAGCCAAGAGCTGACCAAGGTCAAGGACGGCAAGACGTCCGATGCTGTCGAGATGATCCGCCAGTCCAGCTTCGCCGGCAACCTTTTCCAGCTGTCGCAAGAAATCCCTATCATCGCGCTCGCGGCCACCTCCTTCGTGCCGCTGCGAGTGCTTCGGCTGATCCTGGCAGTGCTGAGGGCCAACGCGGCCGAGGTCAAGGCGCGCATCGACAAACGCGGCAAAGCCAAGCACCGTGACTTTATGGACCACACGATTGAACCAGAGGGTCCGCCACCGGCAACCGAGAAGGAGCTCGTGCACGTCGAGCAGGTGACGTTCCAGATGTTCATCGCCAGCTTCGACCCCGTGCAGATTACCTTCCACGCCGTGCTCTCCTTTACTCTCAAGCATCCCAAGACGTATGCCATCCTGACCAAGGAGATTCGCGACGCCTTCGCCACCTATGACGACATGACCCCGGAGACTCTCACCCACCTCAAGCACCTGCACGCCTTCATCTACGAGACTCTGCGCTTTCATCTGACCACACCCACTGGCATGCCTCACATCAGTCCGGGAGCTACTGTCGACGGCGTCTACGTGCCCAAGGTTGTAAGCACGGTCGTCTCCCTCTTGGCTTCATCAACGCGTACTGGCCCAACTAAAAACACAGGTCGTCGTACAGCTAAGCAACTTTACAGCGACGCGCCACGAACGCCACTTTGCCGACCCGCTTGACTTCCGCCCAGAGCGCTGGCTGCCGTCAGACCACGCATTATATGACAAGCGATACGCGGGTGACAACCTCGAGGCATTCTTCCCCTTCAGCTTAGGCCCGCGCCAGTGCTCCGGGCAGGCCATCGCGTGGTCGCAGACGCGCATGTTTCTGGGCAAGGTGCTGTGGACGTTTGATCTCGAGGGCGTGCGCGGGCACGAGTTTTCGTTTGATCGGGATTTCTCCGTGCATATGTTGTGGAATAGACCCGAAGTGGGGCCAAGGTTTCTTCCTCGCCGTTGACTAGTATTTGCAGAGTGTGTGAAGGGCCGTCGGGAAACACAAGGTAGCCTTGGCTAGATAGTCGTCTCTTCTGTCCTTCTGTACTGCCAACCACAACCTTGCCAAGTCGTGAGAACTTCAAAAATTACCCAAGGTTTTTGACTACTATACACAGACTGGAGACAGCAAAAGCGAATTATTAACAGGCCTCAGTCGGTTGGTTATACCAGGTCTAGGTACGAAAACAGCCTTTGACTGATGTGAAAATCAACGAACCAGACTCGCCGCGACATGCAAAATAAGCTAGATGCCTACATTCCTTGCTCAGGTGCAAGTCTCTATTGAGTATACAGAAACGGAATTAAACAAAACTAGTCGTAATTATTTAACGATTTGCATGTCTCGCACTAAAATATCATGGATATAACATCACAAATGCCCATCCCCTAGGAACCCAACTTTCGGCATCGGTAAAACACCACATCAAAACCCACCTCTTTTTGAAGCCTAGCCAACGAAAGATAACTTGGTCCCTAGGCCCGTCTCACTAACCATTTTCTGTTCAAAATCTTGAGCTCTTATTTGCTCAAATTTTTGGGCGACAAGGAAGTTTTACCGACGCCGAAAGTTAGGTCCTTAGGGGATGGTTGAAGAATTTTATGAGGTCAGAGTTAGGGTTATAGATTGACAGGTGAAGGCGAAGTTCGCGGGATTAGCTTGAATCCCATGGGTCGGGGTCTGGAGCCGTTGAGGCGGGTGACTTGGGCCCTAAACAGTAAAACAAGTCCGAACCCGAACACAGCACTATTCCCAAAAGGGAAAAACGACGCCGAATTGCACGACCTACCAGCGTCCGCGGATTGCACATGCCAACAAGCCACTCCATTCAAGCCTCCCATAAAAGGGAAGCCTCCCATCAAAGGAAAGAGCTTCAAAATATGCACCAAGATGCACGACTATTTCCTCGCTGTAGACTGTTTTCCACAGAAGAAAATCTTTTTTTTACACAATTCCTTGGAGCCACCCTTGGGCCGAGTCTGAGCCCGACGATAAACATTGACCTTTGGCGTCCTGGGGTGCAAATACCTTACACAAGAACCTTGCCGACACCCAAAAGGTATCGTACACGTCTTGCCATCCTCCAGGGTCGAGCACCATACGCATACGCATCACCGCAAGTGGCCTGCCATGGCTTCCGACGCGCTCGTCGACGGCCGCAAGCCAGCTGGCGGCCCTGGTGAGACGGTGGATAAATCGTCGTCGGCGGCCGAAGGCGTTCCTGCTGCCACCGCCGCCGCCGCCGACGTGGAAAAGCCCGAGGAGGAGGAAGAATTTGAGCGCGGCTTCCGTTTCTGGACCATAATCATCGGCCTAGGCATTACTACACTACTGGCCTCGCTCGAGCACACGGTCGTCACGACGGCGGGCCCCTACATCCTGCAGGACTTGGAGCTGAGGGAGAACTTTATCTGGATTTCCAATGCCTTTTTTATTTGCAGGTGTGTCTCCTCCCAATCTGACCCCCGTGTCTCTCTCAATCGCCATCATTTTCAGGGAACAATCAAGCTAACTCGGCTGCTCTGACAGCACCGCCTTTACGCCCCTCTTTGGTCAGCTCTGCAACATCTTCGGCCGGCGCTGGGTGTTCCTCGCCATCGTTTCCATCTTCACGTTGGGCAGCGGCATCTGCGGCGGCGCGACGACGGGCGGCATGTTGATCGCCGGGCGGGCGGTGCAGGGCGTTGGGTCCGGGGGTATCGTGCTGACGGTCAACATCTTGGTCTCGGACCTCTGCCCGCTGCGCAAGCGCGGCCAGTACATGGCTGTGATCCTGGCCATCTTTGGAATCGGCATGGCCATCGGCCCCTTTGTCGGCGGAGCCGTCGCCGAGCACTCGACGTGGCGCTGGGTCTTTTATGTCAACCTGCCCATCGGCGGTGTGTCGCTCGTCACCATGTTCTTGTTCCTGCACGTCTCGTACCACGACGACCGGCCCCTGGGCGAGAAGCTGCGGCGCATTGATCTCGTTGGCAATCTTATTCTCATAGCCGGCACTGTGGCCATCCTGTACTCGCTCACGTACGCCGGTACCATCTACGCGTGGGACTCGTGGCACACGCTGGTGCCGCTGCTGCTGGGGTTCCTGGGATTGGGCCTGTTCGCGGCGTTCGAGGCAAGTGGCATCGCGCCTGAGCCCGTCATGCCGGTGCGCCTTTTTGCCAACCGCACGTCCATTGTCGTACTCATCAACACATTCCTCAACTCGGTCGTCTACTTTTGGTGCCTATACTTCTTGCCCGTCTACTTTCAGTCGGTGGCCCTGTACTCGCCCGAGCGCGCGGGCTATTCACTGCTCCCTCAAGCCGTTGCGGGCATCCCGGGGGCCATGATCGCGGCCATATCGCTGTCGCGCTGGGGCAAGTTCAAGCCGATCCACCTGAGCGGCTTCGCTCTGACGACACTGGGCCTGTGCCTGCTGTCATTGCAGGACGCCGACACGTCCATACCCGAGTGGGCCGTGTTCCAGATTGTGATCGCGCTGGGCATCGGCATGGTCATCGACACGCTGCTGCCGGCCTTCCAGGCGCCCGTGTCCGAAGCCGACCAGGCGGCCGCCACTTCTACTTGGGGCTTTATCCGCGCCTTCGGTGCCATCTGGGGCGTCGCCATCCCCGCCGTCGTCTTCAACAACCGCATCGACGAAATCCTGGATTCCGTGTCCGACCCCAGGGCCCGCGGCCTCTTGGGTGGCGGCGGCGCCTTCCAGCAGGCCTCTGCCACGTTCGTCGAGCAGTTTCCGCCCAACGTGCAGACAGAGATCCGCTCCCTGTATGCGAATGCCCTGCACCGCGTCTTCTGGATTGGCGCTATATTTGCCGGGGTCGCCACTGCCCTCGTCCTCATCGAGCGCGAGGTCCCGCTTAGGAAGCAGCTCGAGACGGAGTACGGGCTGAAGAAGGATGTCGGCAAGGGTGCGCAGCCCGACGCCGAGAAAGGCATCAACTCGGGCGACTGAGTTTGTTCATGGGGTGTTGGCGCCAATGAAGAACCAGTCTTACCGAGCTTGGAGGCTAAATCAGGAGATAGGGATCAATCGGCGTTGTCATTGAGAACATTTCCTCCACAACGTGCCTACCTTAATTCCTAGTTGCATGTAGATAGATGTTCGGTGTTCGCCACATTGCCGGCTTGGCGCATGCGATTCCTGCTCGAATTGTTCGTAGTCAGCTTGCCAGTTTTGGCGTTTCGGTTTGTGCGCCCCTGAGCTCTCCAGGGATTTGTTCCCAGCCGAGCCCACAACATGCATCCTATTATTCTTAATCCCGTTCAATTACTACCTCGGTGATTCAGCCGCAGACTCAGTGTTAGTATTGTTGTTGGCATTTTTCATGTTTCATTGATCATCAGTCGTTACCACGATGCCTTCAATCTCAGCTGACCCTGCTCTGCTCTTAGCCTGTGGGTGGGGAATTTCTGGCGTCGCGGTGAAATATCCCGGCTAGACACATTCAGCAATTAATTAGACCAGATACCATAGTTACTGCAAGTTGCTCCGGGTAGAATCATTTTACGGTATTCAGAGAAACGAAAGTGTGAACATTTACTCCTCATTAACTCGTGTTGAATTAGATAAGGCAAGCAACAGATCGACCCCGGCCCCAGGAATGCCAAGCTTGAAGAATGCGGAGAATCAGGGATATCACCATGCTTTCCAAGATCGCACGTTCCTGGGTCGGCGGGCCGCGACCTCCAATTGTTCGTGCCCCTCCTGGAAGCCTCACACAAAAGTCTGCAAAGTCCCTCGGGTTTCTCAAGCTTCACATCAGACTCGTTGATGTTTGTTTAAAATGGGTTAAGTCGACAGGAACGCTTAGACAGGCCTGGCCCATGACGGTCATACCGCACAGGGTGCTCTGTTTGCGCTTGACATCCTAAGGACTTGGCAGCATTTTTGTTGCCCGCCCGGTGACTTGGTGAAATTATTATGAAGCCAAGCGACTGACGTTTCCAGTTTTTATGGCGAGCGGCTAGTGTCCCGTTCGTTTAACTTTCCCAGCTCCTCGTCTTGGAAAGAAGGCGAGCGTGACTTTGTGTACCATTTATGATATGCTTAGCTTGTACTTGCGTAGCTGATCTGGTCGATCGACGAGCGCGGGAGATCTATTTATCGTCTCTAGGCTCTCCAATATTGGCTTCGTGGCTGGCGGTGAGCATCACCCCACCTTTTGAGCTTCTCTCACGACGGAGCCTCGGCTCCACGCGTTGAGGCCAAACTGGCTTTCCAATGTGTGCGTGATATGGTACTCGGCTGCTTGCGACTTTACGCTTTCTCTCTTGCCCTGAGCTGTCATCTGGGAGCTGCAGATGAAGAAAAAGGAGGAGCTTGGCGTTGGGATTGCCATGAGCATGGGAATTGTGTACTTAGTGGGCCGTTCCTAGCACCCCTGGTTCAGAGTTTGCACAGCTTTCTTGCTAACACGCGACTAGACAGCGCCGGAATTGTGGCTTCAATCAAGATGTCCCAGTTAAGCAAGACGTTGTTAACCAAGACGTCCCAGTTAAGCAAATTTGCAAGCAAAGATTCATGTTTGTAACCTCCATCCTACACTCCCTACAGGCACTTGCACAGCCGATTCTAGACTAGACGGGCTAACAAGAGTCAAATCCAGGGGATGCAGCCTAGCTTATTATCTGGGACACGGCTGAGATCTCGGTGACCATGGCAGCGTCGATTCCGTCAATGCGGGTCCTCTTTGGCGAAGTCAGAACGTCAGCAGCGCGGTACGGCTCAAGCGGGAACTCGGGGGATAGAAGGACATCGATTGTCAAGCCGACGTTTGAGCACCGCACCTTCGAAGTCAATAGTGGCTCCAAAGACGACGACAGCGATAGGGAGATTTTAGGCGCGACGGGTAAGATATACCACGTCGATGAAGTCGACATTGAGTCGCGGAGTGCAAATGACTACGAGATGCCGCCAGCGTCGACAAAGGCCTCAAGCTGATTGATCGGGGTAGTCACGCGGACAGCGAGGCTATGGTTACCTTGGTTATGAAATAAGATACCTAATTGATTACAGTACTGGGTACGGATGCCTCGTGCCTTTTCTGTGCTTTTGGTCCAGGAACCTCCGTGTGGGTTGCGCAACTGAACTGACAACTTAATTATGTGAATGAGCGACTCGGTCGCACCGAGCAGGCCATCGGCTGCTGTCACATACATCGCTGCATTAATTGAGGGCAAAAAGGTGCTTGTATTCGGAAGGTTCAGAAAGGTGGACATAGCCTGAATACCGTAGTATGCGGCATTCGGCTGACACAACCTAGGCTGTAAATGGTCTAGCATGTGCGCCACCTGCGCCCATATGTGGCTTAGATGCGCCCCTTCCGACAGCTGCCGACTGGGCTGACTTGATGATGCGCCCCTGAGCCGAATTAGTATCAAAGAGGAAAAGGAGTTGTCGGGGTCGCTTGAGACTTAATTGGACTCGGATATCGAATTCGAAATACCGTCCGCAAATGTCAACGGCGGTCGTCCCAGCAGGGGCGGCGGCCTGTTTCGTTGAGCCTGCTCTGCGGCACGGGGTCCGACAGGGCCGGCCAGGGCGATTTTTAGTGTTGAGCATTGCGCTGAACGGCCCCCATGACTGCGGCGCAGATGGCAGCCGTCGGCACAGAAGCACGCCTGCTTTGCCCCGCGGGCCGAGCGACGGGGCCTCAAGCAGAGACCCGATTTCAAGTCGGGCGGCGTCAAACTCGGCCGTTTCAAGCCCGCCCTTTCCACCACCGCATTGGCACATTGGATTGCTCGACACATGGCTGCTGCCGCCCATTCCACCGTTTTTACGTCAAAACTGTCACGTTCCCCTCCGCACTGGTTCGTACCAGCCTTTGTTCGTACCAGCCTGCCAAACATTGGCGAAATTGTTTCAGGCCCGACAAGTGCCGACGACACTGGAAACATGTGTAGGTTGCGGGGGAAAGCGTCGCCATCATGGTCGCCCCCAGGTGCGCAGCGATGGCAGAACCTGCCCCTTCGCCTGCCGATATAAACAAAGCATCGCTCATCCGCGGGAGATCGACGGCGATCCTTTTGAGACTTTCCCTGGCTCTGCACCATAGCTTCTCGACCGACTCCCCTCGGCTGTCTGGCCGATCCGACATCATCACCTTCTCTCTCGCCCTCACCCTCGCCCTCCCCTTCGCCTTTGCCCTCGCCCTCGCCCTCGCCCTCCCCCTCGCCTCCACGGCTTTGGCAGCCTCGGGTTAGAGCCTCGGAAGCATCAGACCCAACTCCGGGGACCACTCGTTATCCGGGGACCACTCGTTTGCTAGATTGCATCAAGGACAAGACTCAACATGGAGTTTCCACAACAGGACCCAAATGACTCGGTCACCAGCGAGACGGCGCCGCTGATCGAGCCCATCGACTGCGACAGCGACCACGGCCTCTTCCAGGTCCCTCTCAAGCGGAGGACAGGCTCACCTCTGGGGCCGAGTCAGCTGTTCAAGTCGCCGCCTCTCACGTCGGCCGAGACAATCTCTACGAGGCTGCGCTCGAGCACAAATGACAGCCCACCGCAGCAGCACACAGACTCCCCCATAATCATGTCCCCGGCCTCGTCCGTCTACGACGCGCCAGCGCTGCATGATCTCCAGTCCCCGATCCACGACATACGAGACGGGAGGACCGGTGCCAGCGGCATCATATCGCCCGCCCGTGCCGCGCCGCCCATCCCGCCGCTGGCAGCCGGGCGGCATCACCACCAGCAGTACCAGCAAAGAGCCAACAACAACAGGCAGCCGGACGTGTTCCCGACGCCGCCTGTGTACGACGACTGGGTGGTCCCAGACTCGCCGCGGGAGCGGCTGTCGCAGATGCGTGCGACGCCCGACTCGGCCTACGACCGCGCGCGCAACATGGAGATACACCGCAGCGAGTGGAAGAACGTCGTCTACCGCTTCCCCGTCAAGGGCAAAGGCCACTGGGTCGTCGACTGCGACCTCACCGAGTCGTCGCACGCGCGCCTGTCCGACGTCGCTCGCCGGTCCAGCGAGGGCTTCGAGTGGAACGGCGACTACGATCTGGCCAACATTTACCGCGTCCTCTCCATCGTCCACAAGAAGCTCATGGACGAGATGCGCGCAGAGCGGCTCAGGCCTAGTAATAGTGGCCAAACCCAGGCTGCTGCTGGTGGTCCCGGTGGCGGTAGCGGTAGCGGTGGCGGTGGTGCTGGTGTCCGTGTGGCCTGAGCCGTGTGGTCTAAGCCAATGACAGAAATGTGATTCGTTATTTCTTCAACACTCATGAAACCACGAGCGCCAGCAACTCTACGCGTGACAGTATTAATATATATATCTTTTTACGTTCTTTGTCCTTTACTCTTGCAGTCACTAGGTATGTGGGCGGCGTGAAAAGTCGACTGCGTTGTCAACATCAGCATTAACGGGAGTTGTGGTTCAACATCGTTGGAAACAAACGTCATGTGCCATGTTTTAGTATCTCAATATTGGCTTAGTCTAGAATTAATTATATAGGACCAATCATATAGGGTTGAGTCACGGTGAGGGCCTAGGTAAACTTCCTTTCCAACAAGATCGTTGCATAGTAACCATTTTGAAGCTTTTACTCTGACTCATTCCGTTATTCTTTCTTGACAAAATATTTACCAACCTTTTAAGGTGTGGCTCGGAATTTGCTGAGTAGGTACCTACTTATTAAGTTATCTGTACCAACTCCCCGTGTCCCGCATCTTCCCACTGTAAGTTTCCTCCTTGAAGGATTCTAGATAAGTTGGTCTGTTGGTGTGTTGGTGTGTTGCAGAGGCGCTCCCTTCATTACAAATCCGATATTCGTATCAATATCGGGAACAATGCGGCTGGAGCGCGGATAGCTGGCGTTAAAATCCTCCCAATCCTATTCCGGCGGTGAAAGCAGAAACCCGGTCAACGCTGACCATACTTGGTATGTATGTATGTACAGAATCTTCAAGCCCTGGGATTCGGGATTATCGACGATTGCCCACCAGAGCGGCGCGAGTTTCGTTCTGGACAAACTTCCAATTGTCCCTTTCATTTTCTCATTGAACGTCTTATAAATACAGAAAACAGGGTTCACAAAGGCCAGGAAAGGTCGAAAGTCTCGCCTGTGCCCTGCAGCTCAGCTGAAGTTGCAGCCAGAATTTCGGCTCGCTGTAGGCTGCACCCCTGCATTCGTAGCCAAAAAAAAAAATTGAATCTGTGCAATTGGCCGGCTCGGCAAAGACTGGGCGTATCGGTCTCTACGATCCCGGATCAAACACTTTTGTCAAGAACTCGCTGATCTGATTCGCTCGCTCGCCACGATATTCTCATGTTCCGGGCTGATAAGCCACGTGTTAGGTAGCATTGCTAGGAATATCCGATTCCTGGGGTCTGAACAGAACAAAACAGTTCATAGGCAATCCGTGGCGGTCTGTGGGCGGCGTTGAGGCGTATTACCACCTCGGATGTCAGGCTGCTTGATCCTCCAAGTCTGCTTTGTCATTTCTCAGGGCCAAGGTGGTGTTTGATATTTGTAATCGGCCCTCGCACTTTCTGGTTTACCGCGCGGGTGTCAGCCTGGGGAATTGGTACAGCCCCCTTACATGGGTCTGCTGCCAAGTGCGTAGGGCGCAGGTGAAAGTGAAACAAGCCTACATTAGACGAAGCTTGTCAACGCCGACTTCCGAGCACCGACAATACGCTGCATGACGCACACGGCTACATCACTGCACACGCACAACAGCAAATTACACCTCGCACTCGCATGATCTGTTAGTACCGACAGCTTCATTGCATTGACTGTCTTGGATTCCCTATTGGAAATGGAGATAAATATGTCGGCCGTTCTTGGCCCCATTGTCTTGCTCTCTCTCTCTGTATTCCTCATCAACTCTCGCCTAGCAATTTTACCCCGTTATTTTCGCGCCACCTTCACCCTTGTCCTCATACTTTACCTGCTCCCACCACGCGCCATAGATACCATGTCGTCGCCCTCAGCCTCAACCCTCGCACTCGCCGAGGCCTTCAAGAACCGGCGGTCGACTCACACGCTGTCGGACGACATCACTCTGCCCGACGCACGGATCCAGGAGATCATCCACGACGCCGTAAAACACTCCCCAAGCCCCTTCAACTACCAGGGCAGCCGTGTCGTGCTGCTCCTCAAGGCCGAGCACCACAAGTTTTGGGACATTGCACGCGAGGTTGCCCAGGCCAAGATACCCGCTCAGGTGTTCAAGGAACGCTACGAGGCGCGCATCAACATGTTTCGTGCGGCGTACGGCACAGTGAGTTTCCCCTTTCCTCTGGCAAAGACAACATCGCTAACACTGAGACCACTTAGGTCCTGTTCTTTGCTTCCGGTTCCAAGTTGAAGGATTTGCAGACCCAGTATCCGCTCCTCGTGGACCATCTCCCCCAGTGTGAGCATTCAGAGCCCCCTTGGAGTTGCATAAAGGCTGGCGGGCGCTAAACAAACTTGCACCCAAATAGGGGAAGAACACATGAGCGGGATGCTGCAGTATGCCGGTAGGACACCCCCCCTCGTCCCTCGCTTGTATGATCGCGACTGACATGCAACATGCAATCAAAAGTCTGGAACATGCTCACATCCGAGGGCCTTGGGTGCAACCTCCAGCACTACAATCCCATGGTCAACACACGCGTCGCTGAGGAGTGGAAGCTCCCCGCCGACTGGAGTCTGAAGGCGCAGATGGTGTTCGGCAAGCCGGTAGGCGAGCTGCGGGAGAAGACTTTTGAGCCGGTTGAGGGGACGCGGTTTTTTGTTCACGGCGTGTGAAGCGAGGATATAGGCCCTCCCCCCCCCCCGCGACCAGCAGCATTGCCTTTGACACATTAAAGTTTGCACTTCCGTTTATATAGCGACCTGGCTTTTAGATTATGAGAAACACAAAAGATGCATTGGGAACCGCACACATCATTCAATTATCTAAGCTTTCGTATACTGCTGCCGGTGTGTTCGTTCTCCGTCTCAAACAATCCCCCTCATCCCAACGTAGCACCGCAACAGCCCTTCAGGCAGGCATCAACCCGCCTTTCCCCTCCCCATCACAACCGCCGCAAGTTTCGACCACGTCCCGCATCTCATGTCTCCGCCGTCTAGGAGACGGCCAAACCAGCCCCCTCACCGCAGACAACCAAACCCACAGGACCATCGCAACAACCATCCCAAATACCACCCACACAGCGAGCGCGAGCCACCACGCCACAGCCGGTGGGTCGCTGTCCGTCAGCCCCATCCCCGTGGCCATAAACAGCCCCACTGAGAAGAAGAACAGTCCCAGTAATGCAACAGAGGTCACCAGCACTAGCAACGCCGCGTGCACTCTATTTTCGCGCGGGAGAGAACTGCTAGCCGCGTTGTGAGAGTCGCGCAGCCGGTGGCGCTGGATCCCGGCACGGATCTTTGCGGAGAGGAACCAGCCGACCACAGCCTCGAAGATGAGCCACGGGACGATGAACGTGGCGTATCCGCTGGTGAAGAATTCAGCTACCGAGTTGGTGATGAGTTGGTTCAACGTTGCGGCCAGGGTGCAAAACGAGAGGGGAACGAGGAGGAGCGCCCAGAAGCATGCGAGGAAGAGTGAGAAGTCCATTTTGCCTCTTTCCCTTTTTCTTTCAGGGCGCGTTGCCGTCTGTAATTCTGGCAATTAATTGTCGCAGGTTACTTGTCTGGCCAGTCTTTAGTCCTACTAGCGCAGCTCGGAAGGGGTGAGGACTGAGGAGGTAGATTTCGCCGCAATTGGTCTAGGGTTTTTAAGAAAAATCCCCCCTGGATTGCATTTTGAGAGAAAGGGGAAGAGGAGAATCGTGCTGATGGGGCGAGGGCCAGGCGTCCTAATTAACCTGGCTTGCTCCGTCCTTAGCCCGACGGGGGTCGTAGGGCTGAAGTCGGCAGAACTTGGCACTGTTCCGGCGGCTGAGAGGTTGTCGAAGAGCCGTTGGATGTCCGCGTTCGGGTCTCTGGCTGCGCCTCCACATGGACGCCGAGCCAATTCTGCCAACCAGTAATGATTGGAACGAAGCAATTATCATGCCAATGCCTGATAGGGGTGGGCTCAAAAGATGTTAAATGTTCAACCAATCAAGAAGCAGACCTGAAAACACGCTGAAACTGACTTGGAAACTAGCTATTTGGGCGAGGGTCCTAAGCAACTCTAACCCTTTTTCAGAGAATGAACTTTTTGCCCTGGGCAAGTTTAGGAGTTAGCAATGTCAAGTTCATTTTCAGAACAAAGAGTGCTATTATTTAACAATCGTTACGTTAGGCTCATGCGTGGTTTAAATCTGCCATTCCTGTCCTGGGCTGCATCTGTTGAAACTTTAAGCGAACACTAGCTGCGGACGTTCTCAATGCGCGCATGCACCTGGCTGCTGGTCATATGCAAAAGCTCACTGCCGATTTCTAAATCTGCCTTGACCGTGTTAACCCGAGATCGTACCTAGGAAGCCGAAGCTCGGAAGTTAGGGGTCGCATAGCAGCAGAATGCGTCACTAATTCTTTCCCACCGGTACGCGCATCGGCATTCTCTACGGCTGACGCACTGGTCAGACTTTTACCTATTTGTAATTATGACCACCACCCGTTACAATTCTTCACTGCTTGCCGAGTGCAGCCCCGGGGTTCGGACTACCGCGCGCTTGAACTAGGCTAACTAGGTATTTATGTCCCGCTTCATCACCACCAGCTCAGTATCTTCCCGGGAAAAGGGCCGGGATGCCGTCTGGGACGCCGGCGACAATGTGCACGTTGCAAGGGACTACAAATATTGGCCGGGGCGACAGCACACTAGTCCGGGGTCTATGTCAGGGGTGGCCGCCCTGCGACCTATGCGTTTAACGATAAAGCTCTGATCCGGGGCCCTCTTCTTTCCAGGAACATCGATCTTTACCGACACCCTCATTCTGAGCCTACGGCTCGGTCGCCCTGATCCTGCTATTGTTGTTGTTCCTCTTGTGTTATTGCGCCTTTTCGCCGCTTCAATATACGAAAAGATTAAATCCAGAAAAATACTAATCATGGTGCTTACTTGTCGAATGTGTACAAATACAATATAGAAACAGCCCTACAACAATATCCTCACATATTACACGACATCAAGCTGGTCCCAAGGCTGCTGGACCAGCTGTTCAAGCGAAGTGACCACGTCGTCGAGCAACTTCACTGCATGGTCCTTCCACGACTCAAATGTGACGACTTCGAGGGTGAGCGTGTCGCCGTCGTGGAATGCCTGGATCTTCCACTCCCTCAGTGGTTCTTCGTAAGGGTAGAGCGTCTCGAACTTTGCTGTTTGGCCGACAAACGACAGCGTCTCGACGTGGGCGACGTCTTGGTGAACAACTGTGTCGAACCAAGTCGTCGTTTCCGGGTCCCAGTCGGTGCATTGGCGCACGATCTCGTCGAGGCCCATGCTGTCGTGCGACGACGTTGTCATGTGCTGGTGCTGGAGAGTGGCCAGGAGGTCGTGGCCCGTTTTGATGGGCGGCTCGCTGTCGAACCGCACGCGAGTCGGCACGTACTGCCAGCAGGGGCCCGCGATAACATTCGCGTCGGGCACGCCGGGAATGTCAACGCTTCGGCCAGATGCCACCTCGCCAAAGACGACGTCAGAAACACGCAGACGACGGGCCAGTGTGAGTGCCCAGGCGGCCGAAGGTAGTGTTGCCACCGTGACGTCGCGGCTGCGGGCCGAGATGTTGACAGAGCGGTGGATGGCGAAATGGCGGCGTGACGTTACCGGTATGCCCGGGAGAAGTACCGATATCCCGCGAGACCCGGCGAGGAGATCGCGCCAGTAGGGAATCGCACGGGGTATGCTATCCCGCAGTGTGTAGTTGACAAATGCGGAGAAGGGAAATGAGGGGGACACTGTCTTGGGGTCCTGGTATAGCTGGTGGAGCTGATTGAGGAAGATGGGAAGGCAGATCTCGTCGTACTGGGCATGTGAGAGCCTGAAGGCGAGACTGCATTGATTCCCATTTGTGATGAAAAACCACTTGACAAAAGAAGAGCCGTACGGGATGCGGGTCTGGGCGTCGACTCGGCAGAGCTGGCTGGTGAATTCCTCGGTACTGTCGCCGTCGATCTCGTACTCGATCACAGGGATTGGCAGACTGTCCAGCACGACACCGTAACATGTGCCGTCCACCCGGACGAAGACAGTGCGCAGGATCTCGTTTTGCGACACTAGCTCCTGGCACGCCGTGAAAAGTCGCATCTTGTCCACCATGCCATTGAAGTGCAGTAGTTCATATCGCAGGGAGAACCGAGGCAGCTCGACGGTGCCGCGCACAGCAATCTCCTGAAGCGGCCGCGTGGGGATCACGTCGGAGATCTTCCACGTCTTGTCGGCGAGCTGATCTCGGAAGCGACCCATGAAGTACGAGAGGAACAGGGCCATCGGCTGGTACTCGGCCGCCCTCCCTGCCACGGTTGCCAATCCGGTTGCAGCTGCCTCTGAAGAACCCGACGTCGCGGGTGTGGACTTGGGCGTGGGCGTGGGGGCATTTTGTAAGACCTTGGCCATGTCATAGAGCGTCCTATTCGCGAAGACAAGTGCCACGGTGATGTGCATGCCCTGTTGGCGCGCCTCGGAAACCAGCTTCATGGCGGTGATAGAGTCGCCGCCGCGCGCAAAGAAGCTGTCGCCCAAGTAGATGCTATCTTCGTCGACGTTGAGAAGGCGCGCCCAGATGGCGCGGAGCGTCTTCTGCTTGGCCGAGGTGGCCGTGACGGCAGGAGCTGTCGCTGTTGGGCGCTTCAAGTTGCGGGCTGCGACTGCTGCCTTGGGCTGAGACGTCTTGAGTAAGACACGGAAGGTGGGGCAGTCAGCGCTACTGAAGTCGAATCTCGCCAGGCGACTGGCTCGGTAGAATCGCGACTGCCTCGCGAGCTGCTCGCTGTCCACGCGCTTGGCCCAGTCTGGCCTGGCGACAGCCACGGCGGGCGCAGGCAGCTGACTTCTTGTCTCGATAAGCAGCTCCCCGACCGCTCCGCTTGGCACCAAACGCTGGCTGTCAGCAGCGTCGACGATCCACAGCGACTCGAGCCCATCTGCAAACTCAAACTCAAACGTGTCCGAGTCGGCACTTGGCATCTTGACTTGGTTGCCCAAGAGCTGGAGCTCGTGCATGTCGGCCTCTGTCAGACACTGCACGTCCCCGATCCTCCGCTGCCTTGCGTCTTGGTCGCAAAGCTGCAACACAACGATGCGCAATTGCCCGAGCACGCGCTGGACCGTGTCCTTGTCGACTGTGTGCGAATCGAAGCTCGCCATGACGAGAAATCCGTCGGCCGAGAGCGCGCACACCAGCATGAGGGCGTACGTGTTGAACTTGAGTGCTTCCTGGGCAGCCTCGGCGTCGCCCGCAGGTACCAGCCCGTTCGCCGGCGTGTTCTCGTCGACGGCCACCTCGCCGGCAGCAGGGTGCAGCACCAGACCGGTGCGCAGCTCACACGCCTGCAGCGCGTCGTCGCTCAGCCGCCGGATGTGCTGCAGTCCCGCGTGCTCGTAGGGGATCTGGTTGATCATTTGCTCGGCAATGGACTGGAGGTATTGCTCGACCGTGGCATCGTGGTCAATCGACACGCGGACGGGCACCGTCGTGATCATGGGCCCCTCGATCTCATCGGCGCCAACAATGGGCGCATTCCGACCTGTCAAAGTCTCGCCGAAAACCATGTCGCGGTTGCCGCTGCAGTACTGCGATGCAACAAGCGCCCACGCTGCGCGAATCACAGTGGCAAGCGTGACGGTCGCATTCGTGCAAGCCGGCGGTCTTCGGCCGTCCAACTGGACTTCCAGCTCCAGCAGCGAGTCGGCCTGGGTCTGGTAGCCCTCAAAGGGGAGACGGGGAAACTGCACGCCTGTGGCACCGGCAAGCTGATCGCGCCAGTACGCATCACATGCAGTCCGGTCCAAGCTGTGATTCAGGTAGTGGATAAAGTCCTTGAAGTCGGCAGCCGGTTGCTGCAGTGATAGACCCTGATACAACCGGTTCACGCGGTCGACAACCAGGGGCATGGACCATCCATCATATAAGGCGTGATGCATGCTGAGCACGAAGTGAGCATTTCCACCCTCCATGATCATGGCGTATCGCACCAGCGGCTTGCCGAGATCCATCTGCTCCTCGCGGTCTTTCTTGAGGTACTCTGCCAGCGAACCAGCCGAGCGCCAGACGACAGGCCCCTTGACCAGAACTTGCATCAGCCCATGCTTTGATACCTGAATGATACGCGTGCGCATGATTGAGCTGTCGGCCGAAATGGCCCCAAAGGCTGTCTTCAGGCGCTTTGCTGACTCCATGTTGTCCATTTTCAGGACCCGCTGGGCGACATACGCCTCCCTGACTTTGGCTGAGAGAGCCATAAGCGCCTCTTGAAGTGGTGTGCAGGGGTAAACATCCTCAATGTCGGCCTCGTCCACGTCACAGAGCCTGCTCACCTCACTCCGCGCGTCCTCCGCATTCCAGTCAGCCTCGAGCAGTGAGAATGGTGCAACTGGGTGCTGAGAATTCGAGTCCTCTCCAGAAGAGGGTATCTTGGTGGCCACGACTGCCATGTCTCGCAGCACCGGGTACCGGAAAACATCGGCGACAGTTATCGCGATTCCTTCAGAACGTGCTAACGAGACGAGCTTCATAGCCCTAAGAGAATCGCCGCCCAGAGCAAAGAAGCTGTCCTGGACGGAAATTTCGACTCCGTCTCCGAGCAACGCCTGCCAGACGCGGCACAGTGCACGCTCTGTGTCTGTCTCGGGATGTTTGGACCCCCCCTTTTTGTTCCTCCGGTTGCTGGTGGCTAGTTCCTCGCGAGTCAAAGTAGCCCCAAGTTCACGCAGTTTCTTGCGATCGATCTTTCCTGACACGAGAGATGGCATCTCGTGAAGAGGGATGTAGGCGGCCGGTACCATGTACCGAGGAAGGTCGGCAGCAAGGGACTCGTCGATGCTGGCCAGGGCTTCTACCATTTCCGCCGAAAATTCCAAGGGCTCTACATCGACGTCACTCGCCGCCTCTCTTGGGGAGCCGGGAGCAGAATTGGGGTCGCAAGCAAAGACGACCAGCGTTGGTTCACCACCAATCGGCTTGATGACCTCGGCCGCGATCTTTACTCCGCCTAGGAGTCTACTGCCCAAATGGTGTTCAATCTCAACCAGTTCGACACGTTGTCCCCGAAGCTTGACTTGAGCATCCTTTCGTCCAACAAAAATGATGTCTCCAGACCCATCGGCGTCATAGCGGACGAGATCGCCTGTCTTGTAGAGACGACCGCGCCTGCCAGGAGTGGCGCCGTGCCCGGCCACAAGCCACGCAGGATCATCGATGAAGACCTCGGCCGTCTTTTCTAGCTCGCCGAGATATCCCAAACCCACAACAGGGCCCTCTATCAGCAGCTCGCCCACTGCACCAACCGGAACTAGGCGCTCAGAATCTTGGGGATCTGTAATCCAGCCAACGCCGCCAACGCCCTTGCCAATGTTGCCAGTAGTGAACAGCTTCCTCTCGTCGTCGCCTCTGCCGTGAGCGAATGTGTTGTTCACCGTGCAACCAACGGTGCACTCGGAGGGGCCATAGGCAATGATGACGCTGGTCTTTCCTTTGCTCCAAGCCGCCGCATCAGCTGCCGAGACAGCCTCGCCGCCCAGGCCGAGGACATCAAGCCCAGAAATGACCTTTGGATCGAGGACGCGTGCTACACTGGGTGTCATGTGCGCCATGTTCGCACCGCTGGCCGCAATTGCGCCACCGAGGTCGTTCATGCGATCTGCGTCTGAAGGAATGCAGATTGTGCCTCCCATTGCGAGCGTGCATAGCATGCAGTCAATACTCACATCAAATGCGTAGCTTGCAAACTCAAACACCCGCGATGTTGAGGTGTACCCCACCGCGGCTGCTCGCGGAATCGCGCCGCTGGTGTAGTTGGAGTGTGAAACTACAACGCCCTTCGGTCGCCCGGTGCTTCCCGAGGTGAACTGGATATAGAGTGGTGTTGTCAAGGCCGGGATGAGCGGCAAGGATGCCGATGTGCCTTCGATTCCGTTTCTCAACGTGGCGAACAATTCGTCAGAAACGGTGACAACCTGGCCATTCTGCGGCACGATCTGTCGCGCCAAGTCAGACTGTCCTTGAGAAGCCACAATCAAGCTGCCGCCTGTTTGCTCAACCATCGCCTTCAATCTGGCTTCGGGTTGACTAGTCGGGTCCGTGAGGGCAAAACCACCGCCTGCCTTTATAACGGCCAGCAGTGCAACAATCGTCCAGCGGCTCTTCTCAAAACACAGGGGAACAATAGTTCCGACAACGATGCCTTGGGCGACCAAATAGAGAGCCAGCCGGGTTGACATCAATTCTACTTCGGCATACGTGAAACGGCCATCCCAAGAAGAAACGGCGACTTGCTCTGGTCTTGTCCCAGCTTGGTCGGAGATGATGTCGTGAATGCAGCGGTCGATGGTCGGCGGCAGCTCTGCGTTCCATTTCCAGATTTGGTCCGAGTCGCAGCCGAGAGGGTCGAAAAGGACCGCGATTGGTTTCTCGGGGGTCTTCGTAATGACGCCCAGGATCTCACCCAGCGCTTCCAATTTGCCGAGTGCTTGTTTCCCTGCCGAGGAGCCGTCCGTGTCATTCCGCAGAATTCTCAGGGTGAGATTCTGTCCGTCTCGTACGGCTTCTAGCTGGGACAGCCATGTCTGGTTTATGTTAATCCGGGCCGCCATTGACGGGAAGAAAAACCGGGCAACGCACCTGTCCTTCGTGATCCGGTTGGTGTTTCTGCGACGACAGTCGTGTGACTTTCCCTTCATTGAAGTAAAATGTCTTGCACTGATCTGAAGCAACACCAGTTTGTGTTGATCTGCTTAGGGCGTTCAATATTTCCGAGATGGGTTTGCTTTGTGTGCGGCTCAACTGCAAGCCCGACACGGAAAGTGGGAATTCGGAAGCCGCTCCGGCTCCGTCGGCAGTCCTTCGACCCCAAGATGCCTGCTCTATCCGGTCTTCTTCGCTCCTCCCCCTCTGCTCAAGAACTATGCAGGCCAGAAGCAGTGAATTTTGCAGTTTGGCATCAATGCTGCCGTCGGTCGAAGTCGCGTCGACGGCGAGGCACGGGGCCGGTATGGTTGCTATCGCCACCTCTATGATTGAATTTGCCGCAGTGCGGCGGGAGCCATTCCCGACGCCCCCATAAGGGGGTGCGTCCCGCGCGAGATGCATCCTGCGGTCGCGTGGAGCAGGTTCCGGAGCCTGTGCCGCTTGATTCCGCCCGCGAGTGTGCCTGGATATGCCGTTGTCGTATTGGATGGATGGTGAGGGTGGAGGACGGGTCAACGCATATGGGCATCAAGTGGGCGCCCCAGGCATTGGCTGAAAAGAGCTCTGCGCACAGCTGCGTGTCTCTGGTTCTCCGTGGGTAAAGAGATAGATAACTGCCCCTCACCTTTTGCATGCATGGGTAAAGGAGAAAAGCGAGGCGTCGCGATTCTTTCTACTCCAGAGAACTACCACAACAACCCTGGACTGAGGGCAAGCTAACCAAGCCCAGACGAAACATTCCCACCCGCTCCTGATCCGACCATAATGGCCACCCCCACTCCGTTCATCGGAAGTGGGACTCGCTTGAGGGCTTGCGTGTCTGAGGCCATGGGTGCTGCTTCCCAAGGTCGGTCAAGGGCATCCATGTGCAGCCACCACCTGGAGGATAGCCCCGATTTGGTTAGGGCAGAGGATGGCGACATGCCGCGGTCAGTGAGGAAGTTCTGCTTCCCTCTTGCCTGTTACGGGTCCATCACGGGAGCCAAGAACTGAGGGCAGGGATCAAGAATGTGTGCGATGACTACTACCAATACTGGTTCAGTGGTTCGCCCCGCCCAGTGACCTGCAGCCATCTGCCAGAACAATGCAGTCGCGGGGGTTGATGGGAGGGCGCGCGTCGATACTGGAGAACTATCCATCTTTGGCGCTCTAAAAAAGGTACGGGGCACGGCTTAGGCAGGCGAACCAGGTTAGCGCTTGCTGCCATGTGATGAAATGAAGTGGTCGACCAACCAGCCGGCAACCGGAAGTGGAGAGACGGTTGAACAGGGGGTGCGGATCTGATAACTTTAATGGGCCAATTGCCGGTGGGGCTTGTGGGGGCTGCAATAGGGATATGCCCGTCACGTTGTTTGGCTCTTCTTTTTTTCTTACCCCCTTCCGGCACCTCCGGCTTCGGGACACGGGAAGGAGGGGTTGGTGGAGAGAGGAACAGGACCCGCATGGGAAAGGTTGCGGCAGTGCGGTGCTTTGTCAAAATGAAACACCACGAATGCGTCATCTAGGGTGTAATATGGACACATACTGGTGATCGGCATTGTTGATGCCTTGTTGACCATCTAGGTCTATGTGATCGCTAGGCGTGCGCGTACTGTAAAGTTCCCGTGTGGATATTTCTTATTATATTTTATGGGAACTGGCTTGAAGAGGAAGCTCGTGTAGATTGCTTTGAAAAGTGTCAGTGTCCTAGGTGGCTGGTGAGATGTTTACTTTACAAGTAACCCGCTGGCCATTGTGAATACGCATTTCCTGGTCTCAATCCATTATATCTCGGCCGTTTCCAGACTCATATTCACTTTGCCACCCCAAGCTAAAGACAGAAGATACGAGAAATTCGTTATAAATTCTTTATTCAAAATGCCGTTCGCCGTCCTTCCCGCCCTGATTCCGGACATCCAGGCCGTGTACGACGTTTACTTTGAAGCCTTCGCCGCAGACCCCGATGGCCACGGGCTCCTCGACATTCTGTTCCCGAGCGGCTTCACCTCGGCAGAGTTCCGCACCGCGCACGCCGACGCCACGCTGGCGTGGTGGCACCGTGCCGACAACGACACCCCACAATACACGTTCAAGTGCGTCGACACGGCATCGGGCGACGTCGTCGGCATGGCCATCGCGTACCTCTACACAACCCCGCGCAAGGACGCCGAGCCCTTCAAGGCCGAGTGGCTGGAGGGCGGCCAGCGGGACAAGGCCGAGCGAGTGCTGGCGCCACTGTGCGAGACCAGGGAGCGACTGTGGAAGGGGAAGGCTTACATATGTGGGTCATATTTCACGTTCATTTTTGCTCTTGTCATTGTAATCAATGCTGTAGTTGCTGACATCATGACCAAAAAAAGACATCGAGGTATGTGCTGTGCATCCCAAGCACCAAGGCCGCGGCGCTGGCACGGCGCTCGTGCAGGCCCTTACGAGCCTCGGCGACAGCTGCAACCTGCCCGTCTACCTCGAGTCGTCGCGCACGGCCGTAGGCCTGTACACCAAGTCGGGGTTCCACCGGATTCCACCCGCCGAGGCACGCGTCGTGCACCCGGCGGCCGTGCTGGATAGCAGCGTTGACGTCGAGGTGCCTCTCATGGCGAGGCTGCCTGGGACCAGCACTACAAGTTACACCGCGGCCGGTTCTACTTCGACAGCAGACGACGAGACGTCCTCGGTCCCATGGCTCCTGTCGGAAAATACAGCCGCCTTGGCGGGTGTCGTCGCCATGACGCTGGCTGCCATAGCGTACCGGGGTCTCAAAGTACTACAGCTATAGACTTCCTAGATCAACAAACATATGGCAAAAAAATACGACAAGCTCGTGCGGGAGTTGGAAGGACGGCGGGTTAGGTTTGACAGCTAGGACAGGGGTCGTGGGTGGTGAAAAGGGAGTTCTAGGCGCCACGGAGAAATCAACGTTAAAAAGGGACCAAACAAATTTACTACGGCATCGTACGCACATAAAGACGAATTCAAGGAATGAGTGAATTAGCCTCTGAGTTGCACAGAGAAAGCCATGCAAACTTGTCGCGGGAGAGTCGCGGCCGAGAGTCGGCGGTTGCGTTCGTGTTCGCGTATTCCAACGTCCCACTGGACGATCCTGGTGGGCACGCAGAGATTTTATCAGATCATCAGATAATGCACAACGGGCGGGTGGACAACGGCTAGTAGGGGGCCGAATCCCGGCATACGTTCGGGATGTGTTGCCTGTACGTAATCGCCCGCCCGCTAGTGAAGTGGGTAGATAGTGGGACGTCACGCACGAACCGCCCAGGATCGGATGGCCGAATGGTGGGGATGCCGTTAATGGTTCCACAACGAGCTCGTTTCCTAGCTTGGGAGCTCTCCGAGCTGCTAATGCGTGTGTGTGCGTGTGTGTGTGCGTGTGTGTGTGTGTTTGTGTGAATGTGTGTGCCAGTGTCTGGGCATGGGTGTGAGCGTGCCTGCGGATGCAACGCAGTAACGCGCCAATGCCCTCAGTCCTTGATTAGCGAATGCGAGACGGCACACAGAGAACCACGTGGATGATATTAAAACCGGGTTGAGTCAATCTTCTGTACTGGAAGAGAAGTCGGGTCGGTGTAGAGATGGAGGCAAACTGGCCACGAAAGGCGTCAAAGCGATGCCGCGATGCGGTATCGGGAAGGTGACCCCAACGACAACCCCCAGGATTCCCGACTCAGGGGTCGATAACGCGCCATCAGGCGCCAAGTTTGATCTGATAGCTTTAAACCGGTGACCCTCCAAACCCGTTGTCGCCAGCTTCCCTCCAGAATGGCGACATACTCGAGACTACCTCATGGGGTGCTAGCCGTCGTCACGAAAAGACGGCGAACAGAAGGGTGGCCCGGATTACCAAAGAAGATGCATCTCCGCTGTGGACCGAGGGATTAATTAATTAGACGAAAACTGAAAATGGAGAGGGAATCCTGGATGGGTGACATCGCGCTGCAGCGTGCTTCATAGTGAAGGCTTGGGGCCGTCCATGGCGGGGCTTTCGGAGGGGCATCAGATGAGAATTTTTTATCAGATCCGACCCCTGTCGTCCCTTTTCGTTATCAGATCCGTCCTCGCCAAGCCCGGCATCGGGCATCGCCAGTCGCCAAAGCACTGAGCTTCTCGGTGACTAATGGAATGGTGAAATTTGAAGCCGACCGGCGCAGGCAAATCAGAGCGATATGGGGCATAATGTACTGTCGCCCGGGAAGAAATCGTAGGTAGCATCTTTCAGTCCTCTTAAGCAAACACACCACTCGCGCCTTTCTTGTCGGGTGTTTCCAGCCCGCAGCCGAGATCGAGTCGGACTGGGACTGCTTACCTAAGGTGTGTATTGCATCGTGCCTGCTGCCGTTGCCTGCAGGTCAAGTCAATCGTCCTGGCGCCTGCCGTGCGTGGAATTTGAGCCTTGAGGGAGCTGCAATCCGAGCTGGCAACAATGGCGGTCGAATCTCTTGGAGAGAAGCGGCCCTCAAGTGCGGCGAGCACGGGATTGGCAACACAAACACCAGAACAAGAGACGGCAAGTCAATGTCAATCGACACTACCGGCAACATCGCCGGCGAAGCCAGAGGCGCAACCCAAGCCAAACGCACCCGTCAGTACCCATCTCAGCCGTTGTTCCCTTTAATTTCCGAATAGCGAGCGCGCAGTCTTTTCCAGAACTCGAGGCCCCTTGCTGACACTGGCTTGCGCTTCCCACAGTTCTACGCGCCCCTCTTCTCGTACCTGCGCATCTTCACCGCCGTCGATCCGACATGGTTGGACTACTTACTTCTCTTCACGGGCACCGTGGCGGCCGCTGCGGCCGGTGTGCCGTTCCCGCTAATGGGCATTCTGTTCGGCGAGCTGGTCGACGACATGAACGGTGCGACGTGTGCTGTTGACGCCGAGGCCGATCCATATGCCTTCAAGGACGTCATCAACGACAAGGTTCTGCAGCTCGTCTACATTGCCATCGCCGCCTTCGTCGTCATCTACGTCTACATCTTGTCGTGGAGCCTGGTCAGCCAGCGCCTCGCCCAGCGCCTCCGTGCACGCTATGTCGCTGCTCTGCTGCGGCAGCCGCCCGCATTCTTCGATGCCCGCCTGGCCGCCGGCGAGGTCAGCAGTCGGCTGCACGGCGACATGACAGCCGTGCAGACTGGCACCTCGGAGAAAGTCGGCATCTTGATCGCCAGCATCAGCTTCTTCATCACTGCCTACGTTGTTGCCTTCATCAAGCAGCCGCGCCTGGCCGGTATGCTCATTTCCCTCGTCCCCGCCTTCTTGCTCATGGCCATAATCGGTGGCTTCTTTCTCAACAAGTACCTCCAGAGGTCGTCCGAAGCCACTTCTCGGGCCTCGTCGATTGCCTCCGAGGCTCTCTCCCATATCACCGTCGTACAGGCTTTCAGCGCGGGCCCGAGGCTCGAGGCCAGGTTTGCCAGCCATGTTGCCACAGCCCGTGCTGCGGGAATCCGGAAAAGCATCGCATCGGCTGCTCAGGCGGGCTTTCTATATTTCATTGCCTACTCGGCCAACGCGCTTGCTTTCTGGCAGGGCAGCATCATGGTTGTCGATACCATGATGGGCCGCGGCGATGACTCGGTTGGCCAGATCTACACCGTCGTATTTCTGCTCGTCGACGGTAAGCCTTCCTCGACCGTTATTGCCAGCCCTTGGATGGCGATTCTAACTTGCCGATCTAGCATGTGTGGTCCTTGGCAGCATTGCGCCCTTGTTGCCCCTGTTGAGCGGCGCTTCGGCCGCCTTCCAGCGGCTGATCGATGACATTGACGCTCCCTCGGCCATCGACGGCACCTCAGATGTAGGCACCGTGCTACCGTTTGACACGCCAGGCGCAATTGAGTTCCAAAATGTGTCGTTCTCATATCCTTCACGCCCTGAACAAACTGTGCTCCGCAACGTCAACTTGACATTCCCGGCTGGGAAGTACACTGCCATTGTTGGGCTCTCTGGAAGCGGCAAGTCAACCATTGCATCGCTCGTGGCCCGTCTCCAGGATCCTACCGAGGGTACCATTACCCTCGATGGCTGCGATATCCGCGAACTCAATGTCCGCGGCCTCCGCAGCTTCATCAGCCTCGTCCAGCAAGAGCCATCGCTGCTCGACCGGTCCATCCTCGAAAACATTGCTCTTGGTCTCATCAACTCACCCAAGCCGGAACACCAGCATTTCAAGGAGGCCCTGCATGGGCACCAGCTTGCTGAGCTGGCAGAAAAGGGCAAAGATGCCATCACACCTTCGGTGGCTAACAGTTTTGGCCCCCTCGTCGCCGAGATCGTCCGACTCGCCCAAGACGCCGCCGATCAGGCCGATGCAGCTGTCTTTGTTGAGCGCCTTGAGAGGGGCTATGGAACGTCTGCCGGTCCCAGTGGTTCGCTCGTTAGCGGTGGACAGCGCCAGCGCGTTGCCCTCGCGAGAGCCATGATCCGAGACCCCAAGATTCTCGTTCTAGACGAAGCCACCTCTGCCCTGGATTCGGCAAGCGAACAGCGCATTAAGGAGGCAGTCGAGCGAGCAGCGAAACACCGAACCGTCATCTCAATTGCGCACCGCCTGTCAACGATCCGAAATGCCGACAACATCATTGTGCTCGAGGCCGGCCAAGTCGTCGAGCAAGGCACCTACGAAGAGCTCATGACCCGCGAGGGCGGGGCTTTTGCCCGCATGGCCAACCTACAGTCTGTAGGCGCAACTGGCCAGGGCGAGAGCGGTTCTCGTTCGTCGGTATCGGGAGACTCCATCGAAGCCTCTTCGCTGAAGGGCGAGGTGCTTCTGACGGAAAAGCCCGAGGCTGCAAGCGCCGTGACTCTGAGGAAGATGGCCAGCAAGTCGAAAGACGAAACAAAAGGCGATGCAAAGCTGGATCAGCCAAGACCCTGGGGAACGGTACTTAGAGGGATGGCTCGGCTGGTCCGCCCTTCGCTTGGGTGGCTGGTGGTTGCCGTCATTGCGGCTGTCATCGTAGGCGGCACCTTTTCGGGCTCAGGTCTGATATTTGGATTCACCGTGGGCGGTCTCAACCCGTGCCAAAACAGCGCCGACCGCATCTTGTATCTCGGCAAATTCTTTGGCGGCCTCCTCTTCATGCTGGCCATCATTGAGCTCGTAGCCAACTTCTTTGCATGGTCGTGCTTCGGACTCTTGGCAGAGAGGCTGCTGTACTCGGTACGAGTCTTGTCGTTCCGCTGTCTACTCGAGCAGGGCGTGCAGTGGCACCAGTCGGAAGGTCGCAGCCCGTCGAAGCTGCTGGCCATCATCACAAAAGACAGCGCGGCTATTGGAGCCTTTGGCGGCTCGACCATCGGCACCGTCTTTTCCATCGTCGTCAACTTCATCATCGCCATTATTCTGTCTCACATTATCGCCTGGAAGATTGCCATAGTGTGCTTGGTAACAATCCCCATCCTGCTCGGCGCCGGCTTCATGCAGCTGCGCATGCTTGCGCGCTACGAGGAAAGACACGCCGAGGCGTTCTCGCGGGCCACCTCTGTGGCTGTCGAGGCTGTCGAGTCGATCCGCACGGTAGCCGCTCTCTCGCTTGAGAGTGAGGTGTCGGGATCATACTCGCGGTTGTTGCGCAGCACACGCGACGAGATGGTGCGGGCCGCCGCGTTCACCAACGTGTGGCTGGCGTTATCCAACAGCACCAGCTTCTTGATCTACGCCTTTGCATACTGGTGGGGTTCCCAGCGCATCATAGCAGGCGAGAACAACCAGACCCAGTTCTTCATCATCCTAGTGTCCATGCTGGTCAGCGCTCAGCTGTGGGGTCAGATGTTCTCGCTGGCGCCCGAGTTTTCGCGGGCCCGCACGGCATTCTCGCGCATCCTTGCTATCATGAGCCTTGGGTCTGATCATACACTCGTGGAGAAGAAGGGGGGTGATTCGAGTCCGTCTGACGGCACAGGCAAAAACGAGACCCAAGGCAGTCCAGACGTCGAAGCGGTCGCGGAGACAAACGCCGGCCAGCTCAACGCCGAGAAGAGAGAGGGTGTCAAAATCACATTCGACAACGTTTCTTTTGCCTACCCGGCCCGCCCGGATGTGCCCGTCCTGGACGGTGTGTCGTTTACAATCCACCCAGGCCAGTTTGTGGGACTCGTCGGGCCTTCGGGCGCCGGCAAGTCGACCATCATGAGTCTCGTACAGCGGCTATACACGCCAACGAGTGGGGCCGTGTCGCTGGACGGCGTTGACCTCGCACGCGCGTCGACCTCGTTCAGAGACGCTGTTGCGCTTGTCCCACAAGAGCCGGCCCTCTTTGATGGCAGTGTCAGCTTCAACGTGGGCCTTGGCGCACGGCCAGGCCACGACGCCACAGATGGCGAGATCGAGACTGCCTGCAGACTAGCGAGCATCCACGACACCATCGCCGAGATGCCCGACGGCTACGCGACGGAGTGCGGTGCGTCTGCGTCGCGGCTGTCTGGTGGGCAGCGGCAACGGCTCGCGATTGCCCGCGCCCTCGTTCGCCGCCCGCGTCTGCTGCTGCTGGACGAAAGCACGAGCGCGCTCGACGCGGCAAGCGAGGCGGCGCTGCAGGAGGGCCTCGAGCGAGCCGCGCGGGACACGACAGTCTTGGCCATTACGCATCGGCTGCACACTGTTCAGAAGGCGGACGTCATCCTGGTGGTCGAGGGCGGCCGTGTTGTGGACAGCGGCACGCACGCTGAGTTGATGGAACGGAGGGAGAGCTATCGCGTCAACGCCATGCAGCAAATGCTGCAATGAGCAACTGTCGTGGAAGGCCGCTGTAAAAACTCGGGTTGTCAATATTGTAATAATTAGTTTGGTTGGTTAGATAGGTATTAAAAGTGTGCATGGTTTTTCAACGGAGTTGGAGGTTTAAAAACATGAAAATAGGCGTCGCGATATTCCCGCATAATTCCCGGTCTTGTGTTTTGTGATAAAACGACAAGAACAACAAGGATAATAGATTAGAGGTCGACAGATGAATCGCGTACCTAGCTAGACTCGTAAAGGAACCTGGAAGAGGTTATTCCGAACTTTGCTGAGAGTGTAAAAAGAAGACGCAAAAGTAAAACGACCGCGTTGGGACTCGAACCCAAAGCCTTTACCAACTGAGAGATGAGGAACCGGAAAGTAACGCGCTGCCATTGCGCCACGCAGCCATTGGATTAGGTAATTGTTAAGACTTGCAAGTGAATTATGCCCTATAACCTAGGTAGCTCAGATGTTTCGATTCCCGTTCGATCAGCCGCTCTCCCAACTTTGCAAAACCCACATCAGCACTCAGTTTCCAAGAGGATGAATTAATCGTATTGTTTTGCTTGGGCTCGACTCCCAACCTTTAGATCCCGCGTCTAGTTGTAAAACATGACCGTACTAGTCCTTCCCAGCCACCCCATCTAATTAGCAGCAGCCAGGGCCTGGATGAAAGATGAGGTGTGAGTAGGATTGTCGCGGCTCCCTGTCAACGTCGAGCCATCATGTCCTAACTACTATCAGTTATAAGTGGTGGGCTGATCGACACAACTTAGCTCCAACCTGGATGTGCTGCAGCCGCATTTGACGGTGTAGAAATGTGGGGATCATGAGTGGGCCAGGTCAGGCCATAAAGACAAGACAACGCAGTGGAGGAATCACAAGGTCAAGATGGAAGAAAAAAGAAGAGAAAAAAAAAAGGAGGATGGAGTTGCAGCAGTGAAGCCGAAGCTCCATGGAAAGTCTGTCGCCGTCGGGGTGCCATGGACGACGGCCACGGGAAAGTCAACGAGGCGCCATGTGGGTCGGGAACGCCGCCAAGCAAGAGCGGAGGCAACGGGTAAGCCGCCGACGACAACCAAAAGCAGCAAACAAAGGATTAATGATGACGCTGGGATCACTGACAATGCCTGAAGGAGCCGCCTAGAGGCGCCACCCCCGGATTTCGTGTCGACTGAAGATGAAGATGCGGGGCTACGTCACAAATGGCACTTTTTGGGGTCTTGGCGCCGCCCATTGGACGGTGCCGCAGCTCTGGGCCGTGGTTGACAGCAGGGATCGGGGGCCATGTGCCCGTAACAAAGCTTGGTATCGATTGCTTCTTCGCTCCATCTGGCTCACTGTTCAGTGTGACATCATCGGCCCTCAACAGCAGACCTCTTTGCAGATCACCACCAACAAGCAATAAAGTGTCTATTTAATCGCACCGCCATGGACCGACCGCCCCGACCTTTGTTTCTTCCCCGCAGTTCCCCAGGTCGTCAATCTGGATCGGACCGAGCGAGGAATAAACCATAATTAAGACTAAACCACACTCACACGCACACGACAAGCCGTCGAGATGGTTTTCGGCAGAAGGTAAGCCACAGACACCTGCACCACCTGCACCACCTGCACCACTTTGCAGATCATCTAGCTATGCCGGGCCCGTGCTAACTTTGTCTCCGGCAGGTCAATCCGCATCAATGGCGCCGACTGCGGCGTTGAGGCGCTGCTCCTCGGAGCTATTACGTCTGTCGGCGGGTTCCTGTTCGGCTACGACACAGGCCAGATCTCGGGCATGCTGCTGTTCACCGACTTCAAAAACCGCTTCGGGCAGGTCGACAATGGCGACGGAACCAAGGACTTTGAGCCCATCATCCAGTCGCTCATCGTCTCGCTCATGAGCATTGGCACCATGCTTGGCGCCCTGGGCTCGTCCTACACGGCCGACTGGCTGGGCCGGCGGAAGAATCTCAGCTTTGGCACCGTTTTGTTTATCATCGGCAGTATCATCCAGCTCACGGCCGTCAGCAGCTGGGTGCACCTCATGATGGGCCGTTTCGTGGCGGGGCTTGGCATCGGTGTCTTGTCTGTGGGCGTGCCCATGTTCCAGTCCGAGTGCGCGCCGCGTGAGATCCGTGGCGCCGTTGTCGCCACATACCAGCTCATGATCACGTTTGGCATTCTCATCTCCAACATCGTCAACTACGGCACGCGCGAGATCGAGGACGAGCCCGCCTCGTGGCGCATCGTCGTTGGCCTGGGCATCGCATTCTCGCTACCGCTGGGCTTGGGCGTGTTCATGGTGCCCGAGTCGCCGCGCTGGCTGGCGGCCCGCGAGGACTGGACAGGGGCGCGGTGCGCCTTAGCGAGGCTGCGCGGCATGAAGGACGATCTGAGCCACGGGCTCGTCGAGGACGACATGCGCGAGATGCGCGAGATGATCGAGAAGGAGCGCAACGTCGCTGTCGGCACCTGGAAAGAATGCGTCATCCCAAAGAAGAACGGTGTGCCCAAGCAGGTTTACCGCACCTTTCTGGGCATGGCGCTGCAGTTCCTGCAGCAGTACACGGGCGTCAACTACTTCTTCTACTATGGCGCGACCATTTTCCAGTCGGCCGGCGTCGATGACCCGATCCGCGTCCAGCTCATCCTCGGCGCCATCAACGTCGCCATGACCTTTTACGGCCTGTACATCGTCGAGCGCTACGGCCGCCGCATGCCCCTGTTCATCGGCGCCATCTGGCAGGCCGCGTGGCTGGCCGTGTTTGCCGCCATCGGCACCGCCCTCCCCCCCGAGAACAACAAGGCCGCCGGCATCGTCATGATTGTAGCCGCCGCCATGTTCATCGCCTCGTTTGCCTGTACCTGGGGCCCAATAATCTGGGTCGTCATCGGCGAGACCTTCCCGCTGCGCACCCGCGCCAAGCAGGCATCTCTGGCCACGGCGACCAACTGGCTTGGAAACTGTAAGCTCCTCCCCTCCTATCCCGTCACCAGCACTTGCAAAGTGCACCTCAGTACTGACCGTCCGAAACAGTCATGATCTCGTTCCTCACGCCGCTCGCAACCAGCGGCATCTCGTATTCGTACGGCTTTGTGTTCGTCGGCACCAACATCGTGGCGGCCCTGGCCGTGTGGTTCTTCCTGTACGAGTCGGTCAGCCTCAGCCTCGAGAACGTCGACTCCATGTACGGGCAGAGCAGCCTCAAGCCGTGGACGTCACGCAAGTGGGTACCCCCTGGCTATCTATCGCGCATGCAGCGCGACGACGAGTACTTCAACCGCCACGGCAACGGCCATGCCACTGGTGTCGATGATGACGAGCAGACCGTCGTGCCGAGCAGTCGGCCCAGTGCTGCCGTGGATGCCGAGAAGATCAGCCACGGTGTTCACAAGGGGTCGAACGAAGACATTCCTCGTGAATCCCACGAGGAGAAGGTCAACAAGGTTGTGTGATCGAAGACAAATGCCAAGTCGCAACGAAAAGGCGGTTTGTATGATATGGCTGGTGTCGCTTGTAAATTATGCCCGGCGTTGATGAGCGTTGGACTATCTGCATTTTTATCTCTTCTTTTTTGGGTAGGGTGCATCGGAGCAGGTTCATCGGAGCAGGTGTATTTATGCTACAGGAAAATAAAGCTCAAGATCATACCACTATCCTCTAATATTCTTCAACCTATCCGAGACATGACCAGTCGCCAATCAGCTTCTTGATTGCCGTCTTTACGATCCCTCTTCCATCTGTTCCTTCAGGGGCTGCTCTTCGGCCTCTATCTACGTTGCCACCATAGTGTTACGCTCTATTCTATGCTGATTTCGAAACAGACTATGTAAGTTGGGAGCCATCATCCGTCGAGTGACCGACGAACGCCACCCGCGAATATAATTATTACGGCAAACTAATTATGGGATTTCCACATCGGCCATAACCGATCCCAGAGGTTAAGATATAATTAACAGCCAAAGGCAGTCCACACGCGAATGAAGCCCCAGTGAGCTAGTTTTAGAGCTAGTTTTAGAGCTAATTAATTGTTACATTTCGATTGAAAATGCTGGCCGTTCAATTACTTTGTTCGATTTCAGAAAACTGGTAACTATCACAGCTTTGCTCTTCTCTTACAGCGCGGTGTCTGTCCCAAAGCCGGCGAACTGTGACTGCCATTGGTCGCTGCGAATTTGTTTCGTTCAATCCAACTCAACTGACTTGATTCACCATGCGACAGACAAGCAGTCGACGGATGGCTTCTGAAACCTCTGCACAGCCCAAAGTGACGCTCGCGCCGTCTCTGGGCCCGATAATGTGGCTTCACTTCCCGTTCAACGGAAGTTCGGCAAAGCAAACCAAGAGTGCAGAGAAGCATCTTGTCGCGTTTCGCTGCTGGCACGACGACCCTGCAGCTAATTTTACGGAGCGACCGCACGACTCCTGGATCCGACGGTCGATCCCCCGGAATGCTATCGCAAGGTCCAGCACCCGGGTCGGTCCAGCGGGCGGTTCATGCAAGGCACGGTGCAGAAGCTGGCGCCGCTGCTACGCTAGAGGCCCAACCACACAATGCTCCATCGCATCCCTCTGTGTCAGCCAGGTTTTGGCGGCACCCGCATGCAGGCCTGCCGTCACCCATCACGAGGGATATTAGACGGGCAGAAGAGGTCGGACACGATCGCCTCGAGCGTGCCGAAACAGCCTCCACCAGTCGAAGAATATCTAATGGCGAGAGCTCACCTCATTACGCAGCCCCTTGTCTTCATTCTCTATCCGATTGCTGACCCAACTTGAGCGCCACCATGAAGAGCAGATTTCCTCATTATGGGTGCGGTAGCCGCTGGGTGACATGTCTTACCGCCGTCGCCCTCTTGCAAGGCGTCGCCCAGGGCGCAGTCCAGCGAGATGTCTTCATCCAGCAGCAGTATCTCATCGACTACCTGGGACGGCCGTACAACCTACCCGCCGACACTTTCACCCAGGCATTCAAGTCGTCCGCCCTCGCCACCGCCAACTCCTCTTCATACCCCATCCCCGGGTACAACGTCTTTGCGCGGGCCGGCAACAAGGACAATCATACGGGGCTAAGTGCGGATGATGCCTTGGCCACTGACGGATTCCAACTCGTCGTTCAGGTTGCGGCCGACGTGTCGCTGCAGGGTGCCAACCCGGCAGACCCCTCGTCCTTTTGGGCTGCCGGCGTCGACACGGCCGCCAAGGTGTTTGACGCGGCGCTCATTTCACTGTCGGCCCCTGCCAGCGTTGGCAGCGGCAACAGTTTGAACGCCTCCATAAGTAATGTTGCCAGCCTCGGCAGCGGTAACGGCGACAGTGGCTGGACGGTGTGCGCCGCCGTGTGGCTGCTGGGGCTGTCGGACGCGGCGCTGGCGAACACCACGTCGTCCTCGGCGCCGCCCGTGTTGGACGGGTCGTGCCGTGGCTTGCTCCCGCCAGATTGTGTCGCTGACATGGCGGCCGGGTTTGATGCCGCTGATGGCAACTGCCAGAACCAGACAGTGCCGCAGAGCTGCCGCGGGTTCTTGGCCGGTGGGCTGGACGGGGGCGCTGCATTCAACGTGCCGCAGAGTGAGTCTCGCTGGGTGCCAATGTCCCAGCTATCAAAGTCAACCCGCTGATCATCAAACCATTTCCAGCTCTTCCCAGCTCGCTCTTCACAGCCGGGAACGGAACAAACACCAGCAACCCATTTTTCATCGCCTCGACGCCCCCGCTAGACAGAGGCAACGAGACTGCCCTAGACGCCGTCCGTAACTGGGTCTTCCCTGTCGTCCTGTCATGGACGCACAGCGACCAACAGGGCGTCGACAACGGCACGGCACCCGCCACGCACTCACACGTCGCATGCGTCAGCGCTAGTAAACTGCTCTCGTCCTCTTCGTCATCTGCGGCGACAGGCGCAGAGAATGGAGGAGGGGCTGTCGCTGGGCTTGGAGACATTACCAGCACCGGCTCCTTGTCGAGGCCCGCGCAGAATGGCTGGGCAATGTTGTCGGCTATCGTTATTGTTGTGCTGCTTGGCCAATTATTTGCTCATTGAGACTGTGGAGTTGGATCTGGCTATACGTGCAGTCGTGTAATGATTGTTGTATGATGTATCGTTGCTCGGTTCATATCCTGGCGTTTTCTCTTTATTTTTCTTGTACTTATAGTCAGGGAAACAAAAGTTTTGTTTTCAAATCTATGATGCGTCAAGGCCATCCGTTCATCCATGGGCCGGAATCAAAAAGAAATCTGTGGGCTGAGCCGCTGACCGAGATATTACGGAGCCTACGTCTGTGGCTCGCCAATTCTTTACAGTACGATGAGTCCCACCGGCCGTGTAGGTAACTAACTGGTCAGACTCGAAAGAAGAGAGGTTGCAGTTGTGCTAATGTTGGCTCGCAGCCATCTATGGCAATTGCATCGCCGCCAAGCGAGTTTTAAATCATGACGACAACAAAACCACAAGCGCGGAGTGAGTGTCGTCGGCTCTGATCTTCAATCAGTACGTACCCCGTCACGAGACCAGCAAATATAGCAACATGCAGCGCACAATGCACGCTTTGCTTCCAATCGGATGATCTACCACAGGATGGATTGCCTAAATGGCTACATGCACCGTTTACAACTCTTGTATTGGCCAAGGCGACGGAATATCCTCCGAGCCGCTTCAGGGTTCGATTGCGTGCCTCGGTACTTTGGGGGTTCGTATATCTGAACAAGGCAGGAGGCCATCAACCCCGAGATGCATGAGGCGCGGCATGTAGATTGCGTGCTGGAGTGCCGCGCATCCAGAGAGCCTCCGAGGCTATCTGCGTAGGTACCAAGTAGAGAAGGTGGCCATACATATAATATCGTGTAATATGTCATGCAATGACCACATCTGCAAACACAACCAACGTCCCGAGCCTGCCAAGCTTGTTTCTGCAAATCTGTTTATGGAAAATGTCTCTGGGGTTACAATGGTTGCCTTCGATGACTCGAGGACTAAATTACCTTGCACCTGGGGAATGGAATTATTCCGAAAATGAAAGGGGCAAGGCAAGATCACAGTCCACGGATAAACCACCTCCTTAGTCTGGGAAGAGCTGATACCTGGATTGGGTAGGAACGCGGTGTTAATACGATGCCCCTTATATCATCAGGTGGGGCTTTGGGCACTCACCTTGACTTCCTCCCGCTTTCACAATCCTCACCTCCTTTCCCTCCCGTGACGCGCCCTGTAATACTCGAAAATTTGAACAAGTGCAACGCAATACAAGCGCAATTGTCTCCAGAGACGAGTCCCCCGGCGTAGCTGGTCATGGTCAGTACTGCCGAAGAGATGCGGCTGGGCTGCTTTCTGCACACCTGCCTGATGCAAGGCCGTCAGCTACCAGTTGGGACTTGCCCCTTTGAGGCGGCCCACCCGCCGGCGCTGAGGCTTTAAAACGCAGTTACTGCAGCGCGAACTTCGGCTAAAGTCGGATTATGGTTAGGGTAGCATGGACCAAGCCTCCATCTGCCGGGCTCAATTAATTACTTTCGAGGGCACACATGGTTCTTTGGGCAAACCATGGGGCCAAGTCGCGGGAGCTAAGGTCGCTCCTGTGGAACGGCGCATTCCGGCATTCCTGCAAGGGCTCAAACTTGGTCGGTCGGCATGTGGTCCCCTCCATCGAGAAATTGGAATTGGGTACAAGGAGTACCGCGACTACTTCCTTCCTGATTTGGAAGGAATCATGGGGATACAAGCAAGCTCCTGGGCACCAACCCGGTCCCTCCGCCCGTTGTCTTGGATCTCGACAGTCAAAACCCTTCAGCTATCTAAACAGCCATACGCCCTCTCAAGGTTTTGAGACAGCGAGCTATGGACACTAATTGCATCTAGTCTTACCGCCAGCAACGCCTTTTACAAGGCACAAGGTCAATATACTTCGAGCCTAAGCCGGTTGTGTTGGCGATCTGTTCCAGCCAAAGTTACTTTTGGCATGTGCCTCCCGACTTGACCTTGCCAGCCTGTCAAAAATTTCTTGACCTTGCCAGCCTGTCAAAAATTTCCTGACCTTGCGTTCCAGCGGCTTCTCCTTACAGGCTGACGGCTCTCATTGCGCATCTGCAATTCTCGACTAGGCCGCGCGGCGATTAGTTCGGAGCCCATCGTCGCCATGCTTCTGTCTCTGCTATTCGCGGCCGTGGCGTCGGCCCGCGTCATGGACAGGCTTGCCGCGGTGCCCAAAGACTGGAGGACGCTCGGGCAAGCGGCGCTCGACGAGCCCGTCTCCCTTCGCATCGCTCTCAAGCAGCAGCACACCGAGGCGCTGGAGCAGGCCGTGCTCGAGATGTCCACACCAGGGCACCCAAACTACGGACTGCACATGACACGCGACGAGGTGCGGTCCTATACGGCTCCCTCAGGCCAGGCCACGGCGGTTGTTTCTGAGTGGCTTCGGAAACACGGCGTCGAGCCTCTGGTGGACAACGACTGGGTCTCTTTCACGACGACAGTCGGCACCGCGAACGGGCTGCTCGGCACAAAGTTCGGCTGGTACGAGTACGTAGGGGGCGGCGGCCCCAAGCTCCGGACGCTCTCGTATGCGGTGCCTGAGGACGTGGCCGTCCATGTCGACCTGGTGCAGCCAACGACCCGCTTCGGCCAGCTCGGCGCCAAGAAGTCGACCATCTTTGAGATGCGCCGCCTGGAAACCGTCGACAAGACCCCTACCGCGACGACAAATGCCAACTTTGTCGCCCAGGCCGGCGCTGCCGTTTGCGGTTCCACAATCACGCCGGATTGCTTGAAGTCGTTGTACAACATCAACTACACGGCATCTGCTTCTGCCGACAACAAGGTGGCCTTCGCATCCTACCTCGAGGAGTACGCAAGATACGCAGACTTGCAGACGTTCGAAGAGCGCTACGCACCAGCCGCTAAGGGGCAGAACTTTACGGTCCAGCTAGCCAACGGAGGGCTGGACGACCAAAAGAGCTCCAGCGACAGCGGTAGGCTACCCACCCCTTATCTCCACGTGGTCCACTGGACAGCTAAGCAATTGAACAATGTGCTGAGAAAACGGCTGTAGGCGAGGCAAATCTCGACATCCAGTACATTCTCGGCATCAGCCACCCAATTCCCATCCTCGAATACAGCACTGGTGGCCGCGGGCCCCTGGTGCCGACACGCGACCAGCCGCGCCCCCCGGGAAGCAACGAGCCGTACCTTGAGTGGCTCACGTTTGTGCTCGGGCAGCCCGACTCGGAGCTCCCGCAGACAATCTCGACGTCGTACGGAGAGGAGGAGCAGTCGGTACCGCAAGACTACGCGGTCAAGGTGTGCAACTTGTTCATGCAGCTGGGGGCGCGGGGCGTATCGGTGCTGTTCTCTTCGGGCGACTCGGGGCCGGGCAACTCGTGCGTGCGCAACACCAACAACAAGACCTTCTTCGAGCCCACGTTCCCGGCGGGGTGCCCGTGGGTGACGTCGGTGGGCGCGACAACTGGCACGGCGCCGGAGCGCGCTGTGGGCTTCTCTAGCGGCGGTTTCAGCATCTACCACGCGCAGCCGAGCTACCAGGCAGGCGCCGTCGGCGCGTACCTGCAGGGCATCGGCTCGACGTACGCAGCCTACTTCAACAGTTCCGGGCGCGCCATCCCCGACGTGGCTGCGCAGGGCTCCAACTTTGCCGTCATCGACAAGGGCTTCAACGCGCTGCTGTCGGGCACCAGCGCGTCCAGCCCTGTATTTGCCGGTGTTGTCGCCCTGCTCAACGCCGCCCGCAAGTCGCAGGGCCAACCGCCCCTCGGCTTCCTCAACCCTTGGCTGTATAACAACACGGCGGCGTTCAACGATGTCACCACAGGCTCCGGAGTCGGCTGCTATGGCAGCAAGGACCTTAAGAACGGCGCGCGGTGGAATGCCACCGTCGGCTGGGATCCCGTCACGGGGTTGGGCACCCCCAAGTTCGACAAGCTGCTCGAGGCGGCCGCGCCGGGCGTACCGAATGCCTAAGAGGGGAAAGGGGAAAGGGGAAAGGGGCAAGGTTGGGGGGAAAAGTTGCCCGAAGTAAAGAGTGTCCGGTTGTTAAACGCCGTTGATGCTGCTGGATCAGTAAATTGAACGAAAAAGAATAAAACATAACGAATGCGGAATAAAAAGTAACGAAACCTACGGGGCCACATACCGCGACAGCAAAGCGTTCCGAGTTGTGCAAACCACATGTGCCTGGTTTGAAGTGGATTTGCCGTTTCCCACAAGCTGCGGCGTGCGATGGAAAGAAATCGCGGCAATTGCGTCGTGTAACCATCAAGAGAGTACAGGAGGACAACCGCACGTCAGTTGGTGGGCTGGATCTTGTGTAGAACGAATGTGCATGCTGCGAGTGACGTCCGAGGAATGAAAATGGCGGGAGGAAGTTGTCGGCCTTGTGCTACATAAGGCACGGAAAGATTGACGAAGGATGGATGTTGCGTGCAATCTCGGTCGAGTTGCGGACTCGAGTATGAGCTCTGAACGACCTCCACGGCTTTCAGCAGAGGCCCGCGGAATTAATAACGTTGGAACCATTGGGAAGATATGGATACTGCTTGGCGAGATGTGATTGATGGACGATCCAGGGCGTTCGTGTCCAGGGTGGCTTCAGATAGGAGGCTAAAGTTAAAGTAGACAACGCGTTGAAGAACCCTTCATCGCAGCATGTCGATAGACTCCGCGGCGCCAATAGCAGAGGCCGCGGCCCCCGGGCGCGTGACAGTAGAAGTCGTCCCTCAATGTGCAACCGCACGGCGGTATGCTACCGCTGTCTGAGAGGAACACGGTTGTGTTTCAGGCGACAGCATTTCGGCGGGTGTCGTTGCGTTTGTGCGCGAACCTGTGACTCGGCGTTTGTGAAGTTGAATGGACCCCCCCACCCTGCATCGGGCCCGTCAGCTGCCCCTGTTGATGCGCCGAAATTTACTTGCGCAAGCCAATCACGCTCGAGGCAAGCCACCACCGGCGCAACTGAGGCTAGAAATGTAATTTGTCCACCGAGTCTGGGTCCCTCCCCGACGCGGGGATCTGTCCTGGGTTGCGGGAGCAGCCAGGAACAAGGCGCGCTGCCCCCAGCTCGTAATTTGCAGCCTGAGCCTCTCCACACCTTCAGGGCTTGGATCCAACCGTCGCTGGCTGCCGCAGCAGTGGTGCTGACTCGCTCTGGGGTCTCCTTGGCATCTCGATCACAATCGGCATGCAGATCCTAGAAGGCTGCCTACCGCTTGGGTGGCACAGGAGGCGTGCTGCAACGACTCGTCGGGTTGTTGTAACCTGTAGCACCTACTATGTCTGTATGCACATACGGCTCGCCCAGGACGAGCCGGCAATCCTTTAATGATGAATACGATCAGAAGGTGCATGACAGGGGGAAGGAAGAGCGGGGCACCGTGCGACCCCACAACACGGCAGTGGGCTGGTCACATTCGGTGCTTTTTCTCCAGGCTCAAGTGTTATCCGACATTGTCCAAGGTTTCTAGACGGCCGTCTCTGCTTTCCATACCAAATGGCTTTGTTACGCATGTACAACAAACCGCTTGATGGGCGCACCGTCGGACGCCTTGAACCGACGAGTCACGACAGGCGGGGCGCTGGGAACCGGGTGGCAGAGGCACCAAGCGCTTTCCTTAAGGTAACCGAAGGTATCAGGTTGGAGGGGAAAGCCAAAGGATGGAACAAGCTTTAACCTGCTGGCGTCCTGTTGATGGCGCGCCAAACCCCGCCTCACTTGCCATCCCGACGGCTCATCCCCTCATCAGCCGCCGCCGCTCCCTGCCGCTGCTGCCCGCTGCTGCGCACGCCTGCCATAGTCCTCCAACCTACCAAGATGCTTAGATGCGATGCCGCTAAGGCCGCGGATGCTGATTCTAGATATTGCTGCCTCCCTTGCGCACACCCCGTGTATGTACGTACAATATACATGGAATTAAGTTGGGCGATCGTAGCGATGGCCTGCGCCGCGCCTTACCCGTCCGCTTTGCTTACATCTGCTCGTTAGCTCACGTGGCCGTTCGTCTGGTGTTAATTTTTGTCTCCTTTCCTCTTGAACCCCCGGTTTGCGCCAAGCCAGCTGCACCCAGAGCAAGTCTGTACCGATTGAATCGAGAATAACGAGAATATTCCATGACAGGTGCTTCAGTGGGGTGATAAGGTATGCCTGCGGTTTACGTGGTTTCGAAGTCGTCTAAAGACTAATGGACAGCTGAGATGCAAGCTTTGGTGGCGATCGTGCAAGCCACACCCTCACACAAGCAGCGCTAATCTTCAGCCATCAGACCCCCCTGGTTGTTAAACAGCACTAGCGCTAACTCGCATCCCTGTCCATTTGGCTTCTGGCCCCATCCTTTCTCGCGGCCCTCTCGCGGCCCCTGGCCACTCCACCCAACCCCTAGCGCGCTTTTCCGTCGGCAGCAAGCTACCTTAGCTCGGACCACCTCCAGTCCCACTGGAGCTGGCACCAAGACCCTACAGCTTGGGCGGTCACGCAGCAGCGGCCTTCCCCAGACGGCCCTGCCGACGCAAGACGCAAAATTTATGCTCTCCCGCATTCACGCCTCGCACACCCTTCTTCCCTCCTCCAAACCTTGAATCCCGGGGCCCAGACATAAAAAAGCCGGCATCGCGACATTCCTCGACACGCTCTACCGGGCATTTTGCCTCGTGTGCCGGCGCGCTGTCGAGAAAAGGACTGCTGAGAGGCCAAGCCCCTGGGCGCAAGGGGGAAGAAAAAATTTCGACAACCATCGTCATTGTTTTGGACAACGCAGACCCGGCACCCGCCAGACTACTCGCCACCATGGATCCAAGACAACAGCCCCAACTTCCCTTTGCGCGGAACGCTGCATCGCCATTTAGTCGCCCATCGTTCCCGCCAGTGCCTGCATCGACGCAGCAGCCGTATCCTTCGACTGCTCCCCATGCTCCCTCGACAAATCCTGCATACTCAGATCTCCATTCGCGGAAGCCCTCCGATCCACCGCCCTACTACCCAGCTTCGCGAGCATACCCTCCCGATCCTGGCCCCGGCCCCGGCCACCTGCCGCCGTCGACCCACTCGCGCCACCAGAGCGCGTCGTCGATACCGTCCGGCTCTGCTATGAACCGTGGCATGCCACGTTCGGCCTCGCCGTCGCTGCAGCACCAACATCCGCAACAACAGGGCCAGGGTCAAGGGCCAAGTTCGCACTCGATGGGCGGTCCGTATGGGCTGCCACCTCCGCGACCGCCCCCCGTCTCTGTTGGACCGCCCACCGCATTTCCCCGAGGCCGTGAGCTGCCCGCGCTCGAATCACTGCCGAGGACGGGGGGCTCTGGCAGTAGCATGTCAATCTCCTCGATGCTAGGCGGTCCCTCTCCTTCTAGAGACCAGCCTCCGCCACCTCAATACCCGGGGCCTCCTCCAGGCGTCTCTGCGCCGTCGTATAGAGAGTCGATGCACGCATCTCCCCGCATGCATTCTACAGCCGGGCCCGAATACGTGGCTTTTCGGCGGCCGCAAACACCCGAGCGCCACCGATTATACGATAGCCGAGATCCGAGAGGGCCCGCAGCTGGATCGCCCCAGGGCTTCCACTCGGCCCCTGAAGTTCAGCGATATGGTACACCACAGGCATACCCCCAGAGAGGCCCCCCGCTGACCGCTGCAGAGCAAGCGAGAGAACAAGCGCGCATGGCCGGCAACACGGTGCCTCCACGTCCGAGCAGTCAGCCGAAAGCATTTTCGAATGTTGCTCCTCCCCAGCGGCCGATGGAGATGGGCAGGCCACCACCAACAGACATGTATGCGCGTAGGGAGGACTTGCGACAGTCGGATGAGTACAACCCAGAGCGCCCAATAAGAGTAATGAAATTCGAAGATCAGAGATACATGTCGGAGAGGGAGCGCCAGGAGCGAGAGCGTCAAGAGCGCGACCTTCAGGAGCGAGACCGCCAGGAGCGAGACCGCCAGGAGCGAGACCGCCAGGAGCGGGACCGACAAGAACGGGAGATGGAATTCCGGGAACGGGAGCGCCGGGAGAGGACCATGTCAGGGGGCGATATAGGGCGAGTGCACCCTATGCACCAGCAAGAGTATGCGCGGCAGATGGAACAGAGACCGCCACAGTTTAGTCGGCCTCCAGATCCGAGAGAGCAAGGGATTTGGCCGAGACCGGGATACGAGCAGGCCAGAGCACCTTATGACCCTGCCGCTCATCTTCCTCGGCATCAGGAGTACCCGCCGGCTACAGCGCCGCACTACAACGGCCACCCTCCCTACGCTCCAGTCCCAATCGAGCGCCATCCTCCACCCCTACCCTCATCTCACCAGCACGGTATCCCCCCGGCCAGCCTCTGGGGCAATCCTACGAGTCTCCAGATCGCCAGAGGATGAACCTTATGCATCTCGAACGCCAGCAGCAGCAGCAGCAGCAGCTTCAACCGCGCGGCCGAGAGGAGCCACCCGTGCCGCCCCAACCAGTTGCTTATGGGAATCCAGGAGCGCCTGCCATGTTTGATTCGGCAAGGCTTCGCACCATGGAAGACATGGCTACGCCATCTGGCCACCAGCGTACTCTGCTTGGAGTCCAGGAGATGAATCGCAAGGGTCGCATATCCCCTCTCCCCCAAGCAGTGCAAGGAGCGCAACCCCAACTTGCGGGCCCCGCTGGCGAGCCGGGGATCAAGAGCGAGTTCGGCCGCATGTTCTCGGGCATCGGCACAGGAGTTGGCACAATACCCAGCCCGATCTTGCCATCTGGCGCACAGCCGCCATTCGCGCCCACCGGGTTGCTGAGGCGCGAGGATTCCGACGGTGCCCCACCAGAGGCCAGCGTTGATCCGTCGGTCAAGGTTAAAGGCGAGCTGCCGGCGCGAGGCAAACGAAGGAAGCTCAAGGAAGAGGAGGCCAGGAATGACGACGAAAGCACAGGCAGACGGACCCCTGTCGGTGGCCGCGCCAAGAAGCCAAAGACCCATGGTCACCACCATCACCAGTACGTTGCAACTCCAGTGGGCTCGTCCAGTGCTAACATGTTCAGCCACCACCACCACCATCACCATCACAATCTCGAACAGACAGCGTCCCCTACCGTCCCGGGTAACACGACATTCAAAAACATAAAAGGATCAACCCCAGTTCCATCGCCAACGTCTGCCCTCGCAAGGGAGCTGCCAACCACCCATCACCATGCCGTCCCCCGCAACGCCCCGCTGTCTGCCCACAACGCCAAACCGGCTGCGCCGCCGCCTCCAAGTCCTCCCCCCGTAGTGATCGAAAAGCCCAGGCAGTTTGTCTTTTCGAAAGAAGTTCTAGACAAAGTAGCGGACCGCCCGCGGATCCATCTCGGTGATATTGTTTATGACCCCATTCTTAAGCCGGCTAGGCTCCAAGACCCGCGCACTGGTCGCCCCCCTCGAAGTGGATATTCGTCGACTCCTCGGCCTCTTCCATGGGATCTGATCGAGGGAAAAGAAAACTGCACACTGACAGTCAAGATCGGCAAGGAACACCTCACCCCTGCCGCGCGAGAGGAGATCACGTCTCGGAGGGCCCTGTGGGGAACCGACGTCTACACAGACGACTCTGATGTGATTGCGGCTTGCATCCATGCTGGCTGGATTAGGGGCGAGTGGCCCGAGGACGTGGCTGTGAACCTACTCGGCCTCGACGAGGGGTTTGAAGTATCCGACTTGGCTGGGTTGAATGGACATGGGAGTGCCGTCAGCAACGGCAAAGGCCGCGCGGTTTCGCAACCGGAGGAGCCGGACGATGTTCTGACAGAGCCCCCAGCAGACGGCCCAGCCATCGTCAAGGAAAACCGGGATCTCCACGTCGATCTCCTCATCCTTCCTACCCTGGAGAAGTACTCGTCGACAACCCGGTTTGGGATAAAGAGCCGGGAATTCGGCGGCTTACTCGGGGATATGGAAGAATCGGGCCACCAATCCGGCCAGCGCGCAAGGCATGACGGAATCAGTTTTATGATTACTGGGCTCCGCTGGGTCATCAATGGCGGCACATCGCAGAACCGCCTCAGGGGCAAGGTCCGGCGCGAGAGGATACGCAAAGCGCTGCGAGAGGTGGAGCTTACCCCTTCGTGGGCGGGCGGGCCGAGGAACAGCAGCTTCCACGAAGACGGCACGCTAGAGGTCGCGGGACAGCCGGGAGAGGCCTCTAGCGCCTGGTGGAAGCAGCAGCCTAGCAAACCTCCAAGTGAAGGCGACAAGGAGAACCGGCCCGCTAGAGAGAAATCGGCTCGGCCTGATGGGGAGCGGAACGAGAGCGACCAGGCTGAGGCTGTGAAGCAAAACGGCGCGACGGAAAAGATCGAAGCGGAGGCCCAACCCCAGCCCCCTTCTGAGTTGGAGAAGGCCGCGCCAAAAAAGGACGGGGAGACTACTGAACCGCCGGTGGAAGCACAGGCAGCAGTGGTTGCCGAAGAGGCAGGGGCAAAAGAAGCAGCGGCGGTCGAAGGATGAGCTTGTTCGGGCTGCTTCTCGTACGGCACACCAGGTTTGCTGAGTTTACGGTTGTTTGAAGGGTTCGTTGACTGCGCTAAATACCTTTGCTCTAGCTCTGGCTTCATGTTTTGTTCACCCCTCCTTGCATAGCAGGAAGGCGTTTCGGTGCGGTGGTATTCTTTTCTTTTTATTTATCAACTTTGCTTTCCCGCCCTCTATGTAAGCCTAATACTTGTAAGAACACCACCGCCTTATATATACATTATCCCATAGACATGGGTATATACCTAATCACGCGCCCAGCCGCCCGGGAAGCGCTCGGACATGTGGCTTCGAGTGATTCTCATTCGTTTCTGCGTGTTCCACTTCCGTGAGAAATCTCTCGTCTGATTGCTTAGATGGTTTCTTTGTCTTGTTTTTATACATTGCATTATACAGCTGGCCTCTCTTTCTCATCACCCAACACACGCCTCGGGCCCGTTTGTGTGTTTGCTTGTTTAAAAGTCCGTGACGCGGCCGTTGTAGCTCCAGTCGCCGGCGCTGCCCCACCGCAGCGGCTCATTCTTGGGCCCTCCGACCTCGCCCGTCTTGGGGTTTTTGGGGCCGTAGAACTCGGGCGGCGCGCCCTGCCGCATGCCCGAGCTGAATGTGGTCTCCTCCTTTTCCTGTTCTTGTTCTTGTTCTTGTTCTCGTTCCACTGCTGGTGGCGCCGTCGCCCCGTCGTGGGGTTGCGTCGGCGCTGCTGCGGAGGGTGACGAGACGTGGCGCGACGTCGCGAGCGGGAGCGCTGCTGTTGTGATCGTGTGCGAGTTCAGCGCCGCTTCGGCCGCCCGCTGCAGCCGCTCAAACTCGGCCTGCTGCTCGGCAGGCAGCCGCGGCGGCGCTGGCTGATCCTGCAGGAAGCTGCTTGCCTGGCGGAGGCCCTTGGGGAGTATAGAGGGAGTAGCGGTAATAGTGAGGGTCGGCCGGAGCGCTGTCCGCCGGAGGAGGGCAGCGGTTGCGGAAGCGGCGAATCGCGCAGACATGTTGTCGTTTCTCGGCGGTTTGAGGCTCGGCGCAATGGGGCGGGATCTGAGAGACGGGTGAATGCGTTTGTAATTTTGTATGGCAAAGTTGGCTGCACTCTTCGATTATCTGGGGCGGTCATCGGCGGGCGAACTGTCACGAGAAGGGAGGCGAAATCTGTTCGTCAAGGTCCCACCCAGCAAACCTCGGCCGACGTTTCTCCTGATGACGAAAAGTCGCAAATCGCCCAGCAGCGGCTCAAGGGCCAAGTGGGTTAAGTGGCCCCGATCGCTAGAATAGGTTTGGCGCTTTTCTCCCAGCCCAGAGCTGGCCTGTGCTCTCCTGGCCGGGGTCTCCCTCTCCTCGGCTCCACTCCAACAACAGCTGTTCAGCGAGTTCAGAGGAACTCCCATCCGGTTACGTCCATCAGCAAATGGAATGTTGGTCTTTCTTCTCGTTAACTAACGGCTGTCAATCGGACTGAAAATGTCGCTTCAAACTTGTTCTGGTGGGAGGCAATGGCTTTCATATTTTATGATGCACCTCGACGCCCAATTCGGCTCAAGAACCGCCACTACCCGAGCTGCCTAGAAATGGAATTTGGCACAGCCTTCCCTTCCTGTCGTGTCGTATTTCCATGGAGACTGGCCCGACGTTCGACTCCAGACTCGACATGACGCGACACAACCGATGAGGACGGGTCGGGGAATGCCGGCCCATTGCAGAGACAATGGTGCCATCCACAACGTCTCGAGATCAGAAGCATCTCTAAGATGTTCTCTGCCCGCGCTTGCCGACCTCGCGCAGTATTTCCCCTAACGACTGACAGCAACGTCGACGTGATCTCGACGAGCGCCGACTTCCCGCTTCCTTACTCACAAAGTGGGCTTCGTGCATATTCGTTCTCACTCGCTCCGGCCTGCCATTGTTGGGTGCTACCTTCTGCCGAGCCGAGATGCAGGCGGCGACAACAATGGAATTTCCAAACGCCAGTTCAATCCACAGGTTGCATTTGGGCCCAACACTCCGGCCTTGAGGCCTGAAAGAGAGATCCTCGCCACCTCGTGATTGGCTAGAACACCATTAGGCCACCCCGGCGCAGCATCAGGCCCGCGACGTGGAGCCTTGCCCAGCCATGCTCCAGCGCGTGTGTCCAGCGTAGGACAGCGGCGTGGTCGCCATCCAGACTGCTCCGCCCAAATCGCGGCACGCTGTGGTCATGCCGAGTCGCCGACTTGCCTGCCCCAGCCAATGGACGCAGCACCTCTTACTGGGCTTATCATCCGCCTCCTCTGCCGCGTGCCTGGAAGCTTCCAGGTTGCCTGCGAGCGCTGCGCTGCTGTACATACCGTGTACAGTAAGTGAAGCCAGCGGGAGCCAGCGGGAGCCAGCGACGAGAGCCTGCTGCAAGGTGGCCTGGCCCAGACGACGAGACGGGACCGAAAGGGAACTTTGCGGCGTCCCCCGCACCCCCCTTAGCTGCGCTGATGACACAAAGACATTGGATGCCAGCTTTTTGGCTTTTGCAGTCTTCCACGCGTCTAGCACGCCCCTCGCTTCCCCAGCGACATCTTGCAGTGGTTATGATCAGCAACCAACCACACAAGCCATCGACGACACCTCTCGGCCCCGCCACAGAACGCAGCGTCCATCCGATACTAGCTCGACCCTTCGCTCTCTCCTTAGATCTCTTCTGATCTACCGGTTGCTGCTTTTTTTTCTCTGAGATAGAACAAGACGGAAACAGAACACGAGGCGCAGAAGGAGATATTCATGGCACCGCTCGCGCCGCTGACCTCGTCTATGCAAACCTGCAGCCCCGCATCTGCGTTCCCTTGATGTACCCCGCCAACCATGGACGACGAGCCATACGATGACGACGCCGGCGGCGGCGGCAGCGCGCAGACGGCGATGCCACCCAAGTTCGTACTCGCGCCGCTGAACACGGCGGCGAGGAAGGCGACCGAGCACTTTAGGAACAAGTACTACCAGTACCAGCTCGACAGCCACAATAATACGTTTGGTCTGTGGATAGACTTCTCAGACCCGGCAAAGCAGTCCTTCACCCTGGGCCGCGCCGACACCGACATCTTCCTGCCCGAGCTGCGGTCGGCCAAGGGCGCTTCCCAGATCTCGGACCTGCACGCGTCCTTCCAGGTCGTTGCCGACACGGGCGCCGTTTTGCTCTTCGATCATTCCGACCTCGGCACCACCGAGCCCTTCTCCGGCACCACCACCGGCCACGGCTTTACCGTCAAGTTTCGCAACAACGCCAAGTCGGTGCTTGTCGCGCGCGGCATCAACTCGCGCATCGCCTTTGGCCGCGACAAGTGGTACCAATTCGAGATACAGTGGCGCTCTGACGGCCTGTACGACTTCCCCAGCAAGGACGAGCCATACACCGTGGGGCCCAGGAATTCGAGGGCGAAGAAATACGTGCAGGGGGAAAAGGTGGGCGGCGGCGCATACGGCAATGTGTGGTGGGCCATGGACGTCACGGATGGGAAGCTCATGGCGGTGAAGAAGTTTCACAGCCTGTCAGGCAAGAATCTCGAGTTTGCGACACGCGAGGTTGCCAACCTCTTTAAGATCAACAAAGATACATCTATACAACATGTGAGGACATTTCCACTACACTAATCTTGCTGTCTTGTTGGCCGCCTTGCAGTCCAGAACACTTCGCGTCGGCGAAAGCCGGTTCTGTTGCTGACATGATTTCTTTTCAAAAACAGGAGCACATCCTCCAGATCATTGATTCGGCGGGCGGCGGAGAGAACGACAACTGGGGCGAGATATTCATGCCTCTCAAGTTGGGCAATTTGAAAACCCTGGTCGAGAAAACGCCCGGAATAGACGAACAGTCGCTGGGCGAGACCGTCTTGCGGCAGATGCTGCTGGCTCTGCAGTGCATTTCCAAGCACAACATCGTCCACCGCGACATCAAGCCCGAGAACATATTATGGGAGTACGACGCGGACAACAAGTACCACTTCTGCTTGGGCGATTTCGGGCTCTCCAACGATCCCAAGATCGCCAAGACGGTCGCAGGCACCGAGCCGTTCATGGCGCCAGAGGTGTTCCACAGGCAGGCACAGACGACCAAGGTCGACATATGGTCCCTCTTCGCCACCGTGGTCTGGGTGCGCAATGCCCAGTTCCGCGCCTCGTGCTCCCAGCTCGGGGCCCCGCAAATCCACGCGTGGCTCGTGCACATCGCGATGTCACCCGAATACGCGAGCATCCACACCATGGCGCAAATGAATCCCAAGAAGCGGCCTTCAGCTACGCGACAGCTCGCTATTCTCGACGGGACCGTCGACAACTATGGCGATCCGGCAGCGACGGGCTACGGCGCCGACGTGGGTGCGGACCCTGGGGTGGCGGCGGACGAGAGCCACGTTGGCGAAGAGCTCGGGACTCAGTTTGCGCGGGCCATGAGGCTCCACGATAGCAGTAATCCAGGCATGAGCTACGGGTCAGGCAGCTCGGACATGGTCACGTCGCCCGAAATTCCGTACTACGAGCCCTACACGTCCGGGATAATGGACAATTACCCGTGGGGGGAGTCGGGCGAGGCAGGGCCAAGCAAGGACTACGTGCCTCCTCCGGCAGGCGACTCGAATGCGCCACGTGACCAGCGAGTAAGAATTTTGCACGATTCTATTTGACCGGCCCCTAGTGATCTCAATTGTCGAATGCCATGAACAAATAAGAGCCAAAATCTAATCACTCTTTCCTATATCACAGGTGTGGGTTGCCCCATACGACAATGCCTATGGGCCGCCCGAAGACCCCGATAGCGGCGGAAGCGGCACCGCCGTGCCCGAGCTTTGGACTGCTCGCCCGCTCGTCACCGAGGAGGAACCCGCCCACCGCGAGGCGGCGCGGCGGAAAGCAAGGAACAAGAAGACTTGATACAGACATGCTTCTTCCTGGCCAGCCAAATACCACCACCCACCATCCATGATCTCCGCTCGTTTCTCTGTATGCTTCGCAGCTGTGGTTGGGGAGATTCATATCGTCCGTGGCGCATTACGATGGTAACAATTAACAAAAGAGATTCAACATGGACGTGGAAGTTCATTTGAAAGTTGCATTGGTTTTGGATGGTTCTTCCTTCATCTGCATAGTTCTCCAGGTTGTATGTTGGTCACGGCGTCACTGTGGTCGAGTCGGGAGTCAGAAGTGCTTGACCGAAGCTGGGGACCCTTTGGCGTAATGCGACGTGTGTGTGCGTTTTCTCTTCTGTTATTTTTCGTCGCCATGCTGAGATCGCGGTGGTCTCGGCTGGGATGGGTTCACGAGCGTAGCGGGTGGGTGATATCCTAGGTCTAGAGGGTGGGCAAAAACCGAATGCATAATTGGGTACTGGCGGAGCGCAAAGGAAATGATACCTAAATTCACTTCGAGTCTTCTTCCCGTGCTTAGCCGTAGTAGTCATAGCAATCGATCATATAGGTAGGCGGAAGCGACTAGGTAAGGATGGAAAGAGTTCGAATGGGCGAAGGCGCATGGGGCTTGTTGGGATCCTTTTCAGACTCACCGCTTCATTCTCATTTTCCTCCAGCCAAATAATTTCCCTCGGGCGGCCGAGCCGAAGCGTTTCCGTCTAGGTCTTTCCTGCCCCGCTGGCCGTTCGACGTCACCTCGTTGAACTCGCCGGGGATTTGAAACTGGGTCAGATCCAACGCCACCCCCAAAAGATTTAAAGTGTTACAACAAGAAATGTCCTCAACTAACCAACCCAGAACAATTCAAGTTGGATAAAACTCGGCAGTGAAGTGGAGATTCGGACCAAACCCCCCTTTTCCTGGGCCACTTATCCCCGAGTCAGCAGGTCCGTTGCAGCAGTGTTGCTGGGATCAGACAGTTGCCCGATGCTGCCCAGTGCCAGGGCAATTGCAATAGCGTTGCCGTCGTTAGGCAGTTGCCTAGGTGCTACCTAGGTAGGGCCGTTGCCGCAATGCTGCCCTCGTCAGAAAGTTACCTTATCTACGTGCCGCCCTAGCAGGGCAGTTGTAGCCGTGTTGCGGGCGTTAGGCAGTCGTCTCCCCCCCCTGCCTCAGCGAAAGGGCTTGTTGCAGCCTAGCTATCCATTTTGATTTCTTATCCATACATACGCCTGTACCACAAGATGGCTAACACTGACACTCTTCCTACCGCCTTGGATCTGCTCAAGCGTGAGAGGCATGTCGGATTGCTGCGCGATACAATGGCTCGTTTGTCGAACGACGACGCCCGCACAAAAGAGTACGAGAATATTTTACGCTACTACAGCAACGGACCGCGCCCACAGTTCCCAGAAGGGATTGTCTTGGTTTGGTCAATTAAGGGCAAGGCCGGGCACGGCGGCATAAGCGAGTACCTGCAGCAAAGCTCCGAGAGCAACGATTCAAGCGTTCTGGACGTATTTTTGACATTTCTCCTCAATCTAATCGTCCTCTAATTAATCACGGGCCTCTCCTTGCTGAACTCGCGACTTCATACGTGTCATACTTTAGATGCAGGCCAGGTCGTTCGGAGAACACTTTGTTCCACTCGCACCGGCCCCGGCCCTCGTGATAGTCGAGATGAATTCAACTTATAGGTATGTAGAGTAGGCGCCAAAGATAGGAGACCAAATACAGCTCATCGATCACTAGGCCGTCTTGGCCACTGCCGGTGCCGCTGAAGAGAACGTCTACTAAGTTCGTATTTCTCCCCTTCTCACTCCGTTCCCGATACGAGTTCCCGAGTAATCACGGGGTATTTATACACGGCTCATACTAAATGACACCGCAAGCAGATTGCAATTCAGTTCCGCGCCATTGAAGAACCGCCACCAGCTTAACATGTGAAGGGAGGGTGCACCATAGGTACATGAGGCTCGCTGATAGAAATCAGTACCCAGGGAGTTTATAATGGCCCAAGACGACAACGGACACGGCCTGTTACGACTAGCCAGCCTCCTTAAGAATGGCCCCCTTCAGCCGTCTGTAACAGCTATGGGGAGTTTAATTATCTTATATTGCGCTTATTGTTCGTGGTACTCAAACTACGTAGAAATCCTACAGGTCGAAGGGTTGGTAGATCTACCGGGGGTAATCTTGTGTCTATTCTCCCTCTCTCTCTCTGCGGAACCAAGGTAGGTTCTGCGTGCGACCGGGGTTTTTGTGTGTGTGTGTGAGAGAGGTCCGCGCGCCGCACGTGCCTACTTGCACGTGCGTACTCGCGCGATCTCTGCTTCCTCCCTGCTAGTGTGCGGTCACTAGTATCGCTATTCCAACACTTATTGACCTAGGTAATTAGGTAGCTGGTATATCTAGTTTAAGTTTTACCCCTTTTGGAACCCGGCGTTCTGGAAAATAAAATCCTCGACAGGGAAACCATTTCTCTTTCTGGAGCCTATGCGCCGGGACTTGACAGCGCTGGATAGAGAGCTCCCGTTGTGCCCTGTCAGCCTTCTTCTCCATATTGAATTTGGCTGCGAGGTCCAGGTGCGGGCCCCGGGCCATCTCTTAATCAGAGTCCTGTATTCCTCGGATCTTAGGACCATGCCGTTTCTGCCCTAGCTTTCCTGCAGGCCTGTCTCGTCTTTATTCAACGCTTCTCGGACTTGATGTCCTTGACGGCAGGGAGGTCGAAATGCTTGAACCAAGCCTCTATTATTTCCTTCGTAGCACCGTTGAGCCTCACCGAGTTAATACGCTTCGCTCTTAAGTGGCGATTTGAGAGTTTCTGGTGGTAAAGCGTTGTGTCCATTAGCGTTGTGTCTACTGTTTTCCGACGTTTTCTTCCTTCCCGGCAATGAAGTGTTGTAAGTGAAATGCTATACCTCTATTCCTGGGTAGCCCGGCGCAAAGAGACGCCATTTTTGACCATTTCGAGCGTATTCTATACGCATTCTTCTCCGTAGTCGCACATGATGATGCCGTCGCACATGATGATGATGCCTAGTTAACTCTGCGTCGAATATAGTAGAAAAGAAGGAATTTGGAAAAGAATTGAACAAGTTGTGCGTGTTGAAGCCGTGTGGGCGCGGGTGAAGGAAGTGGTGCCGTTGGTGGCTTACACGCCATGTTCCGCTTCTAGCGTGTTCCGCTTTTGGCATAGTCGACTTAGCCCGTCACAGATAGGTAGTCTCGAATCATACACATAGCCTTAGCCTGTGCTCAGGTTGCAATGAGGAAACCTACGAAACCCCAAAGCAGGGCGGTGCGAAACGCTGCACCTACTCAGTGCTCAGCCATCTCCCTTCTCCTCTACGCTAGTTGCCCAGAGGCACTGGTTCCGCATACGTGATTAAGCTCAGGTGGCCGTCGAGATTTGCATTTGATTCAATCTAAAATCACGTCGCGTACAAACCATCCATCTGCAAACGTCCGCCGTACGAACGATTCTTTTTCACCCGACTAGCAACATTTCATTATACGGCGTAAGTATAACGACGATTCATCGCTCCGCCCGCGTAGTATATACTCTCTATCAACTACGTATCATTAGTTTACCAATCCTCGGGGTTTTTTTTTCGATACGTAGCCCAGCATACGCTAACTACTGATTAGGAAATAGTTCAGCATGTCGTCCACCGCTATAGCCGAGCCCGAGGCTTTCGGCAAGTAACGATATCGGCGCTGCCCAGCTCAAATGCTAACACTCAATAGATAACGTGGCGGTGGCAAACGCGGCCAACACGTCTATTCGCGGGTACCACCATAGTATATAGCCACTACATGCTTCTAGCACATACTCTGAGCTAACACACTAGCAAGCCCTATCCCTTATAACAACCGTGGTGGTGAGCGTGAGTGTAACCACTTTCTAGCACATACTGAGCTATAGTTTAATCCTAGAATTTCTAAGAAAGAGACGGGCCTCTAGGACCCCATAATAGATATCGTTTTAGCTATGGCCGCAGCGAAAAACCTTTAAGGTGGACCGTAATATATTAAGGCCTTTCAAATCTGGAAACTTGGAAAGTCACCCGAAAAGAGACCACATCCCTTTGCGAGATTTAGGGTTCCGAATCGGATTGGTAGGTAGGCACCTAATTAACACACTTTCTGAGCCGTCCTGCAAGGATCTATCTAGCTATAGCTGGTGCTACGAACCAGAGGGATAATCCACGGACCAGAGGGATAATCCACGGACCAGAGGGATAATCCACGGACCACAGGATTTGCTGTTTCCTGATGGAACCTTGAGATTGGAATGAAATGTCTGGCTCAAACGCCAGGCACGTCAACGGAGTCACGAACTGTACACAGTGGGCGCTTCGGAGAAATTTTATCTCTATTCATTTCCCCGATGGGCTTATCAACTCTAGTTAATCTCGGTCATGATCCCCGGCAGGTGAAATCCGGCCCCCAACCACACCCTGGCCGTGAATTTGGTCATAGAAAACATTGCGCACGGGTCACGCGAGGTCAAGAAAAGACCGCTGCTGCCTGTCCTGCTGCCTGTGCCGAGTCCGTTGTACCAGGTTTAACACGCGTCGTGGGCAGGGGTGGGGTCCAAAATGCCAATTTTGTTTTGCTTGGGCCTACGAGACCAGGTAACACTCGTGTACTACTAAAGCTCTCGGCTCGACGACAAAATTGAATCGTCTGTCCTTTGTTGATGATTTAAGCAGGCCGCGTGTCGCCGAAAGCCGAGCCTCTAGCCCATTCATTGCCACCTCGCTCATCGCCCCCTCGCTCATCGCCCCCTCGCTCATCGCCCCTACCTAAAGGGAAAAAAGACGGCAAAAAGATGGTGACATTCGAGAAGCCCTCGGGCCCTCCCGAGCCGACCCCCAACCCCAGTTCCGGCGGCAGCGGCAGCAACGGCTCCGTCTCGTCGGCCTCGGTCGCAGTCCGCCAGTTCTCGTCCCTCGTCCTAGTCGCACTCCTCTACACGGCCGCAACCCCGTTCGAGCCCTTCTCGTGGCTGCTAGGCCCCATGGCGACGAGCGGCAGCTTCCTGTTCGACAGGCTGCTGGCGGGCTTGCTCCTGTTCTGCGCCTTCTACTTCCAGTGGCGCGTGGCGTCGCTGCGCCGCGACCTCGTGGTCAGCCTGCCGCTGCCCGCCGGCGGCGGCACGCAGATCCGCAACGGCCGCATCGAGACGACCACCAGCCGGAGCGCCCAGCTCTGGCTCTGGCAGCCGCGCGACTACTGGCCCTTCGCCGTCAGCGAGGCGGCCCTGCTCATCGTCGCCGAGTTCGTCGCGCCCGAACTGCTGCGCAGGGCCATTGTCGCCGTGGTTCTGGCCGGCCTGTGGGTGCTTGGCTGGTCGGCCACGCCGCAGAGCTACAAGCGCTGGGCCTGGGAACACATCAAGGTCTACCTGTTTGTGTTGGTACTGGACGAGATTCGGCGCATTGGGTGGAGCGGTGGCGGTGGCGGTGGCGGCGGCAGGCGAGCTGCGAGAGGACGGGGGCGGTGGTGAGTATGCAGCCTCACCTACACAAGATGCAATTGGGTGGGATATGCGAGGCACCGGCCTGCGTTCCCTATTCAGGGACCTTGGGTAAAAGATGGGGGGGCGGGGGGACTGTAAGCGAACGTGGGTCATGTTTTGCAGTTGGTTGGGTTCGGGATCCTGTTACTGTGCTACGGTTCGGAATCTTGTCACCCGCCTGTTGGTTGAACCGTTGAAGTCTGGGTCTGGTTAAACAACTACACGAGTAGTGTAGGTAATAAACGCACATGTCTTTTGTTCTTTCAGCCGTAGCAGTAGTTCATACCACCACTTGCCCGGTAGGTACACCGCCATAGTGCCTTGCAAGGTTTCAAGCTATACGGATAGACGAGGCGTGCCAAGCTCGCCAACACGATGTGCGCTTAGCCCTCCCTACTACTTTGTCTGCGCCCTAAAGTCTATACTTATTACATAACCATTAGATTTTAGAGAAGTATCATCGCCTAAGCAGGCAAAGTATCATCCCCTAAGCGGTGCTCTTTGTGGGGGGCAATATTGGTTGCAGGGGCGAGTTTCTGCTGCTCAAGCTTCTAGAAACTGACCAGCTATTGACTGCGCGACCGTCCACCAAAACGCCACACTATGCATCCCACGAAATGACTAAGCTGAGAAAAACAAGTATCAAAGGCGGGGCACTATAAGTGTGTGGCATTCTTCGGCTTACGATTCTTGAACATACCGTCCGACAGCGGCCAGCACCAGAAATTCGCGTCCCGGTCGAGACGAGGTATAGTCCTCGTGATGGCAAACTGGTGTGAATTTTGGGGGATAAATTGGCGGCCCCGATCGTCTCTCATGCTCTGTCTCTCTCTCTCTCTCTCTCTCTCTCTCTCTCTCTCTCTCTCTCTCTCTCTCTCTCTCTCTTCCCTAATCCTCTTCATATACTTATCAGACCTCAAGTCATCATCATACACCATCACCGGAACGATTTCGACCTGACGGAACCTCACAACTTACTCATAGGTTGCCATTCGTCAAAATGCTCACCAAAGTCTTTGCCGCCCTCATGCTCTCGTCCATTGCCGCCTTCGTCTCGGCGGAGGAATAATTAAGTTCCAGTTTTGTCTAGTCTGCGGTTCGTTCTTTTGTCAAAATCCGAATGGGACAGCGTGGCACTTGGCGTGTTGTCGTGACCGGCTCGGGCCGCGGGGGCACTACCCGATACTGCCTTGAGCTCGAGCACTAGTATTAACTACTGGGGTTGGATGCATGAGAAGCTAGTAATGGAGGTGCCACGCGAATTACCTTTTTTCTTTTGCGTTGCTCTTTTCCTTTTTACAGCCTCTTTCTTCTTGTTTACTTGGCACACCTGACTGCAAATGGGTCCACAGTAATTAACTCTGCAAAATCACAACACAATACATCGTTGTTGATATCGCCAAAAAGTCAAATTAACCAGGCGTTGCTTTCAATCTCAAGGTGAGAACTTTACATGAGTCGCGGGACAGTTCTTCGAAACTCCTATTCGGCGATTGAATGTGCTTTGGAACTAGTTCTAGATTAGTATGTGGGGTCTTGGCGTAAATACGAGACGCCGAACGGAGCCGATGTGCTATTCGTCATTGCTCCTTTCGTCAATCGTCTATTTCCGCTCTCGGTACGCGCCCGCGCTATTTCCAGCCACTTGTGATCGTGTCCGATTGACGGCTTTCTATTTTTATTTTTACCTTAACGTTACTTTTACTTTTTCAACAACCACATTCAGCCCCCAGGCGTGTCGTAATTGATTGACATTCTCTAACCTTCAGCCTTGGTAATTGCCTTCCCACACAGCACAGCATGATAACAGCGCTGGGCAAGTCCCTTTTCTACGAATCGGGGCTACGATCGGTCTTCACGACGGGCCGCGATGCGTGGTCAGTCCCCGATGACGTTCTTATTGGCCCCCATACGGAGGTATAAGTGATGGGACAAGATAGAAAAACTAACGCTCTCAATGCAGGCTCATAATCTTCTCGCGCAGCTGCCGCATGATTGCGTACGGGGCCAGCTCGCTCATGCTGGCTCTCTTCTTCGCCGAGCTCGACGTCTCGGACTCGCGCATCGGCCTCTTCATGTCGCTGACGCTGCTCGGCGACGTCGTGCTGGGACTCGTGCTAACCCTTATCGCAGACGGCGTGGGCCGCCGCCGCACCCTCATTGCCGGGTCGGCGCTCATGATATTCTCGGGCGCCACCTTTGCCCTGTGCGAAAACTACTGGGTTCTCCTGATTGCAGCCGTCGTGGGCGTCATCAGCGCCACGGGTGGCGACTTTGGGCCCTTCCGCGCCATCGAGCAGTCCACAATCTCGGAGCTCACCAGCCCGGCTACCCGCGCCGACGTCCTGGTGTGGTATGTGACAGCCTCGAGCCTGGGGTCGTCCCTCGGCACCGAGCTGGCCGGCAGGATCATCGAGGAGCTGCACGCGAGAGAAGGCTGGACACTCCTCGACGCATACCACGCCTGCTTCTGGCTATACGTGGTCATGGGGCTGGTCAACATGCTGAGTTGCAGCTTGCTGTCGGACAGTTGCGAGCTCAAGAAACCGGCCCGAGAAACGGCCCAAGAGACCGAGCCGCTGCTTGCCTCGGCCGAGGGCCCCACAGCCGAAGAGCCCAAGCCGCCAGCGACCAGCCGGATAACTCAGATCTCGAGCGAGACGCGGTCTCTCATGGCCCTTCTCTGGGTCTTTTTCATGATCGATTCGCTGGCGGATGGCATGGTCAGCATGTCGTGGACGACGTACTACATGGACCAAAAGTTCCACCTCCCCCAGTCCGCGCTCGGCGACATTCTGTCGGCCAGCTACTTCCTCGCGACGTGCTCGACCATCTTTGCCGGGCCGCTCGCCCGCCACATTGGCCTTGTGAACACGATGGTGTTTACGCACATCCCGTCGTCGGCGGCGGTGCTGTTCTTCCCGCTGCCCCAGAGCGTCCCGGTCACGGTGGCGCTGCTGCTGCTGCGCGTGGGGCTCAACAACATGGACCAGGCGCCGCGGACGGCGCTGATCGCGGCTGTGGTCCGCCCCGAGGAGCGCACCGCCGTCATGGGCATCACGGGCATGCTGCGGACGCTGGCGTCGACCACGGGCCCCAGCATCACGGGCGTGCTGGCGGGCAACGGGAGGTTCTGGATCGCCTTTGTGGCGGCCGGCGCCCTAAGGCTGGCCTACGACCTCGGGCTGTTCGCCATGTTTATCAACATCAAGCTTCACAGGCACGAGCAGGAGCACGAGCCGCTTCCGGCGTCGTCGGACGAGGAGCAGCACGGCGCAGCCCCCGACCCATCACGCAGGAGTGACGAGAGCTCGTGATTCTGACCTGGGCCTGTCGGAGTCAAGAAATATCATAACAAATAATGCCATTGTTAGAGACGAGACATGACCCTCGCATCTTGATAGAGACGTGCTGTATTCTAGATAGGTCAAGAGCACAGGGACAGGGTTAGGGTTATACTCAGGAAATACTCCTTTTTGTTTCTGTCAAGAACAGGCGAAGGCTCGCCCGTCATGTGCTTCATAGTTCAGGCAGTAACTCAATCTGAGGTGCTCGAGAAATGAAGGCGCCAGTTGCGATTGTTTCCAACACTTGGCGACTGTTCCTCCAGGATTTACAGGTCCCTGTCCCAGGCAGTCGCGTGCCTTGTTGGCCATCCGTTCATGTGGGGCGGCGGGTGTGTTCATCCGTCACGGGGGCTGTTGCTGTTGGCTGTTGCTGTTGGCCGGGGCTGACCTTCCCATCACAGCTAAACTCCAGCGCATAAACTCCAGCGCAATTCATGCAGCGGGCAGAGACAGAACTGCAGCTGCCATGACCAACACCGGCATCTTCAGCGGCGACGGCGCACCGGGGTTGCGCGGGCCGCTGCTGGTGGCGGAGATCACGGCCGTGTGCAGCGCGGGGTTCCTGCTCTTCGGCTACGACCAGGGCGTCATGTCGGGCGTCGTCATCTCGGAATCCTGGCTCGACGCCATGGGCCGCCCCTCGGAGCTCGTCGTCGGCACCATCACGGCCCTCTACGACATTGGCGCCATCATCGGCGCCCTGCTCGCCGCAGTTACCGCCGAGTCGCTGGGCCGCAAGCGCACACTGCTTCTGGGCGCCCTCGTTGTCGCCGCCGGCGGCCTGCTGATGGGCGCCGCCCCCTCGCGCGCCCCCTTCATGGCCGCCCGCGTGGTTGTCGGCGTCGGCGTCGGCTATACGACGAGTGTGACGCCCGTCTACCAGAGCGAGATCAGCGCTCATGCCCAGCGCGGCTGGCACGTGTGCTGCCAGCTCACCACCATGCTGGTCGGCCTTGCGCTCGCCTACGTGATCAACTACGGCCTCTACTTCCGCCCGGGCTCGGCGCAGTGGCGCCTCCCGCTCATCTTCCAGTGCGCGTTCGCCCTCTTCATCTTGGTCTTGACGCCCTTCCTGCCCGACACCCCGCGCTGGCTGGTGCGCCACCGGGCCGACGAGGGAGGGGCCACTGCCTCGCGCGGGCTCGCCGTGCTGGCGCGGCTTAGGGGCAAGCTTGAGGATGACGAGGGTATCCGCCGCGAGATGGCCGAGATTCAGGACGCCATCGCCCGCGAGTCCAAGGAGCGCGCGGCATGGGCCGATTTGTTCCGGTCCCACGGCGTCAAGGCCGACAAGCGCCTCTACCTGGCCGTGGGCATCCAGTTGATGCAGCAGGCCTCGGGCATAAACATCATCACGTAAGAGCCGCCATCTTGCCCCACTGTCACCGAAAAGCCTAACCTTTCCTTTCCAGATACTACGCGCCGACGCTGTTCACAGCCAGTCTCGGCATGAGCCAGGAGCGAGCGCTGTTCCTGGGATGCTTCACGCAGATATGGTACGTCTTCGCATCGCTCGTGACATGGTACACCATCGACCGCATTGGGCGGCGCAAGCTGTTCATCACCATGGCGCTGGCCATGAGCATCATCCTGGTCGGCGAGGCGCTCGCTACGGCGACGGGGACCCGTGCAGGCGCCGTGGCGGCTGTTGTCTGCCTGCTTCTGTTCGAGGCCTGCTTCTCGTGGGGTTGGATGGCCTGCGTGTGGATCTACCCGCCCGAGATCCTGCCGCTGAGCATCCGCGCCAAGGGCTCCGCGCTGGCGACGGCGGCCGACTTCCTCGGCAACTGGTTCGTCGTGCAGGTGACGCCAGTCGGCATCGCCAAGATGGGCTGGCGGTTCTATCTCATTTGGGCCGCGTTCAACCTCGTCAACGCCGTCGTGGTGTGCATCTTCTACCCCGAGACGGGCGGGCTCCAGCTCGAGGCCGTCGACCACGTCTTTACCGAGCAGCTGGAGCGCACTGCATCGTCGCCTGCCACGGGTTTGGGGCTGCTGGTGGAAAAGTTGCAGTGGGCGCCGGTCAGGGTTGCTGCGCAGGCCGTCGAGGAGAGCAAGGCTCGTGCTCGTAGACTTGGAGAGGAACAGGGTCTCCTAGAGGATGAGAGCACCGCAGACTACGGCATATAGTGGCGATTAGTTGAAAATTACGGTGGGGTTTACATCAAATTCTTCCAGGTACGGATTACTGTACACAGACCGAGGAAGTGGATCGCTGCTTGTCAATTTTGGCGTAATTACCTACCTACCTACCTACCTGTACGGATACAGCCTGTCAGGCAGACCACAGCAGCCCAGAAGGGAATAGCTCAGTACACCCCGGCCATCTCCCGTCCCCGTGCTACGAAATGCTTGGCAAAGGCAAGTGGCTCCTGCCGTCTGGGGAAGATTGGAGAAAACAGGGCAAACCTGGTCCGCAGGCCCCCAAGCCACCACTGACGACATCAGCCATTGCTGTGCGCCAACAATCTGGGGGTTCATTCTGGCTTTTAGACGCGACCCAACTCAGCAACACACCCAGCTTTACAATAGGCAAGTTTTTAACCTACCGACAATGGTCACTGGCAATTCGGCAGCAGTAACCAAGTAGCCATATTCTTGCCGCGGTCGCAAATCGTGGAAAGCGAGCATGGCCGACAACAGCGACGAGCTGTCACGGCAGCAGCCAGAGCGAATCCGCCATCTCCCAGGATGGGAAACGCCATCGCACCCCCCCAAGCGCTCGCTGTTCTCGCGCTTGACATCGAACCCGGCCTCGCCATGGAACAGCCACCGCCAATCCACCAGTATTTCGGCGCCCCCGCTCGCGACAGCCTCGGCGCTGCCGTCCAGCCACGTAATAACATTTGAGCCGGCGGCGCAAAAGGAGGAATTCGCGCTCGGCGAACGCAGCGATACCGACGACCCCACCCTCTCGTCTTCCTTTGCCCCTCTCCCATCCGGGGCACCGAACAACCACAGCCCGTACCTGCCGCAGCCGGCGACGCGCAGCAACCGTCTCAGCTCGCGCTTCGACGCCCTCCTGCCGCCATATCGGAGATACTTTGGCGACCGGCTCTCACGGCGCTCGCTGCTGCTCTTTGTGGTCCTCCCAATAGCACTGCTACTCATTCTCGCGCTCGCTCTGGGCCTGGGCCTCGGGCTGCGGAACCGCGGCAGCGGCGGCAGCAACAGCACCGGCGACCCTGCACCGGGCGACCTGCCGCTTCCGAACAAGGGCACGGACAAGATATACACGGGCGACATCACGTACTACGGCACGGGGCTGGGGGCGTGCGGGATCACGAGCAGCGACAGCGACATGATCACGGCGGTGGCGCACTCGGTGTTCGACGCGGCCATGCCGGCGGGGGTGACGAACCCCAACGCCAACCCGCTGTGCGGCAAGCGCATCCGCGTCACGCGCGACTACAGCGAGGCCGGCAAGGGCCTCTTGAGTGTTGATGTTGTCGTCGTCGACCGCTGCGTCGGCTGCCAGCCCACCGACCTCGACCTGGCCCCCGCCGTGTTTCTGCGCCTCGCCCCCGAAAGCAAGGGCAGGGTCCTGGCCAGCTGGCATTGGCTGGACTGACCTGGCCACAGGCAGCGCCTTTGTTGAGTTTCTGGTCAAATGCCCTTTGAGTAATATCGGTTCAGGCGGTGTCTCGACGGCACGGCCGTTGTTTTCTAGCTGGCGTAGCTAGCGGTTCTACTAACTATACATATTACCTCTATCCCGATAGCTTGGTTAGTGACAAACCAAGTCACGGGCTGTGTTTAAACATTGCTGTATTATACCAACATCGCGCACGCGGGCGATGTGGAAGCGAGAGTTCTAGAGATACCCAAAGAGGCGGGAGGCAAAGAAGGGCATCAGCAAGCGAAAGAAATTGTTGTATCATAGCTGTACTATCGTTCCCACATGAGAACCACGGCACTAGTATCATAGCTTCGTGTCATATGGAATACAGAATTATCGTTTGTGGTCCCAGTTATTTCACCTCCGTCTAACCTTCCCACTAGGCACTGAAGTCTGAAGATTAAACGCGACTGAACTTGTCAAGAAAGAGGCTTCTTCACTCCAAGTCGCACAAGCACGGCACTGAGAGTTGCGGTGCTTCATGAAATCGAGTAGATGATATCATTATGGATCTGGCTCCATCTAAGCCCAGCGATCCGCATCGACACCCCAACGCGATCTTTAAACGACTGTTTACAATCACTGGTTTCGCCCCAGGTTATATACACCCATGCCACATCCTGCAGCGATTTTCCACGTCCTTGTCCGTTCACACCCATCCAAAGGAATACAGGAAACGCCTCGTGCATCATGGACCTAGGCGCACTGCCATAGGCCACCGCTAATATTGTGAACCCCGTCTGACCCTAGATAATAGGAATAAAACAAGAAAAGAATAAGAATAAGGACAGCAATTGCGGAGCTCAAGTCTAAAGAGAAACTCTGCATCTTGTCTTTGTACACCATAACCGGGAAAACATCTCGTTCGCGCCTCGCTGAAAAGAAATGAGGGTAAATCCAAACACGACGGAATCACAGATATCTACAAGAAAACTTCCACGCCGACAATGAGCCCGACGCTTGATAACAGCAACAACCAGGGAGGCGGCTTGCCTCCTACCGCTGGTTGACGAGAGAGACGTCGACTGTTTGCCTCTCTGGGAAAACAGAGTCAAGGTAGTAAGACATGCAAGCGTTGCAGGTGCGCCGCGTGCGTGCATGCGTGTGGAGGGAGAACGGGGACAGCTGGCCCGTCTATCCACGCCTGGATGTGCTGATGGCACGGGTTTCACTCGCATGCCCATCCTGGCCACGAAAAGCCCGAGACTTAGTCCCCATCGACTGGATGAAAAAAGAGTGAAGAGGGCGAGGGGGTCGTGAGATATCGACGAAAGCAAGTGACAAAAGAAGATTAAAACAAAATAAGAGATACCAAGTGACAGTGACAGAAGAGATAAGATTCTCTCGGAATAACACAGTGCCGAGGATTCTAGGCGCCTCGACGCTCTTGTAATGTGAACTTGGATGTTTTTTATTTCTGTCGGTGCGACGCAAAGAAAGACGCAACAGTCGGCAGTGATGAAATGGGGGGGGCGACACTCAAGTTACAGCAACGTGCGCGGGAGAGCCGTCAATGGGCCGCAGTAACAAAAGTGAGGTCAAATGACATCTCAGCCAACTCGTCGCGAGAATGAGGCACAAAGACACCATTCTGTGTGATTGTCGCAGCTGAAGAGACTGGCGACGTGTACGCGTGGCTATCCATGCTCATCATTGACGAAGCCATGCCGTGCTCTTGGAGCTGGTCGGGGTAGCCAAAGTTGGACGACGAAATCGGCATATTATGCAAAGACGAAGGTGCGTACATGGAAGTGTTGATGTACAAGTCGGACGCCTGTGCACCAAGGTCACCCTGCAGGCTCTGGAACGAAGGGTCAATGCCGTCAAGATCGCCGGCAAACCCTCCCCCAACGCCGGCAAAGGCGGCGGCCATGTCGTACGTGTTGGGTCCGAGGCACCGAAGGCTAGCTTCGGCGTCATAAGCCAGCTCGTTTTCGATGTCTTCGGGGTCGAGGCAACCGACCGATTCAACACCGTTAAGCGCGAATGCACCTTCCTGGTCCATTGGCACAACCTGCTCGACCATCCAGAGCTTGAGTTCTGCCATGGGCGGCCAGTCGCCACCGCCTTTGCCGCCACGCTTCTCTTCGTCTACTTTGGAGGCAGAGTTGGATCCCTTGGAGCCGTTCTTGGAGCTGGAGCCGCCCTTGCGAGCTGGCTTGACCTTGAAGTGAGTACGCCTCAGGTGGGCGGCGGCATTGTAGTAGGCACCGTACTGCTTGGACTGCAAGCATTGCTTGCAATCACTCAGCGGCTTGACAGCGGACTCGTGATGGGGGACGCCTGCGAGTTCTGGATCACGACATATCCACTTCTTGACTACGCTCTTGTGCCGCGCTTCAGTGTGTCGCCGCAACTCGTGCTCACCTCTAAAGCCCTCGGGGTTTTCGTTGCACTGGAAGCACTTGACCTTTGGGTGCTTGGGGCGTTCGTACTTGGCCTTTGCAATCACGGCCTTTCCGTCCCCATTGGAGGCCGTGTTCGCGGCAGGCTCCTTCTTGATGATCTCGGCAGCTGGCTTGGGCTGAATGTGGGGAGCCTTTGACGCGTTGACATTTTGGCGAACGAGGGCCTCCTTGGCTCGGTGCTTCAGCGACTGGGCTGACTTGATGCTGTCCTTGGACATTGACCGCTCCATGGAAAGATGGTCGGCGAGGAAGGCGTCATCGGGGTCCTCGTCGGAGGGCAGGCCAGCCGACGACGAGGATCTCGTGCTCGACTGTGAATCCGACCTCTCCATTGCGTGTTCGTGCTGTTGCATGAGGGAGGCTGCGGGAGCCGAAGACGGGTAGGCGTCGGGGAAGGGCCCCTGAGGGCTGATGCCGAGGGCAAACAGGTCCGAGTCAACTGCAGACCGTTTTCGGTGTAGAGAATGGCTGAAGCTGTCCTGGCGCACATGGCCGCTTGTCGACCGCTGGGATTGTATCCGGACCATTTCGCTAAACTGTCCCGAGATGGACGCACTGTCGTTCATGGTGCTGTTGGACCTGGTCATGGGCGCTGTCTCCAAGGTCGGGCCCGAAGTCATGGATCCGCAGGCGGATGGAATGTTGGAGTGGTTGGAAAACTGCATGGCATCGTGCGGGGACAGGTGGTTGGCCGAAGAGATCCCAATAGGGGATGCTGTTGCCATGGCGTCGCCGCCAACGCCGATCATGGTGAGGTACTCGGCCACGCCCATCTCTTTGCCTACCGGGGCCAGGGACTCCAGGGTGAGACGCTGGGGCTGTCCAGAGAAGAGCGAGTCGCCGTGGATAAAGGCGTTTGCGGGCTGCTGCAGCTGAGTCTGGTTGAGGTAGTCATCTAGCATGCCGGGCCCGGTATGGGGGAGGCTGTTTCGTGCGGGGGGGGGTTGGTGGAACGGCGGGGCAACAGGGCCCGGCCCCCTCGTCACGAAGGGATTGGATTTTGTCACTGCCATGGCGGTGGAGGCGCTCGAGCTGGACCTCATCATCTTTACTGTTGACGAGGACCCTATAGGGTGAGTGGTCTTTGAACGCTTCATGGGACGCGCCTGGTCCTAACGCGGCATGAGTGGGGCTATCCACGGTCATTTCAGATGGGAAGATGAGGACCTTACCAGTTGTTGGAGATGCTCGACCTTGAGGTCAATGCTTGCAGCCATGCCGACGGGCAGGGCACTGCGGGGGACTGTGTTGCTTCTGGAGCGCACATTTTCGTTCGGTGCCGGCCGCGAGAAGACTTGGTAGTCGCCTGGTCCGGCGTCGAACTCGACATTGGCCGTCGTGGCAGACGAGCGAGCGCGGTTCAGCGCAACCTCGAGCGCGCGGGTCTCTTCGGCCTTTTGGCGCAGCAGTGCTTCGAGCCTCTGAACATTGTCCAGGTTCTGCTGGCTCATGTTGAACCGAGAAGCGGCAAGAAAAGGGCAGGGCAAGACGGAGAAGTCGGCTGGCGATCTCTCAGAGACGGGCAGCTGCGGAGCGATAGAAGACGAGTCGAACACTGCAGCCTCGTCGATTCTTGACTGGGACCAGAAGCGTGCTTGCCAACGGCGAGCAGTGGAGGAGCTCTGTGATTCTCCAAGAAGCCTCGTGTGAGTCAAGGCAGGTTTCGCTTGCAGCAGCGGGCAAGCAAACGAATAACAATGGAAAAGCGGATGTTGCAGGAGGAAATGATTTGGCAGTTGACGGCGAGCAAATGATACTTATCCAGTCGTCTTCCACGAGGCTTCGAGATGCAAGCGCAGGCCCACGGCTCGTGTCGATTCGCAGCGGGCGGTTTTGGAACCAAGAGAGACGGACGGACGACAAACAGCGGAGCTTGGGTCGATATGCAAGCTGCACTGCAGCACTGCACACCAGATCAAAAGGGTGGGATTCGATACTTGGGGGAACATGGATGGATGCGGACGTGGAGGGCGTGGAGGCGTGGGCTGGGCGTGGGCGTGGAGGGCAGGGAGGGGTGTGCGTGGTTGAAAGGGGCACACCACTCCCAGGCCACGCCCACCCACACCGACGATGCCAGCCTGTTTAAAGGCCGATAGCATCCCGCATGGATTCGTACTCCATATGGCGCCGGGGACGAATTCGTTTGAGGACTGCGTCCAAGTGTGTTTTCCACGCTTGATTGCCCTGACGTATCCTGCGTGTATGTAGGAGACTGTTTAATCTCGAGCCCGACTCTCAGTGGTTGGCCGTGGCACTGCCGCACCGACGCCGGAATGGCTTCGTCTCGGCGCGTCGCGCTGAAAGTGCAGTAGTGGACAGCCTTCTGGCGTGCACTGTGTGACGAATCCGAGAGCCTGCTGTGGAACGCCTGGGATGCGCTAGAAATGCACGCTGGAAGGAAGATCTCGTCCCCGATTAGCGGATCCGGGCGGGCCCTCTGCCAGACCGGCCGGCTGCTGTCCATCTGCCACGACTCCCCTGCCCACCGTGCTCCCCCGTGCATACCCTTGTTGCGACCGACTGCAAGCACGCCGGTTTACCGCAGCACAGGGACTACCGTGCGAGAATGGCTGAACTTTTGTCTTGCCACATGCGACGCCCGGTATTGCCCGTCAAGCGTCTGCCACTTGCACTATTGGCAGGCCTGTAAGTTGGCCTGTGGCTTAGGTAGTTGCCGGCCGACCTCTGCGTTCCCCATCCGGCTGGGCTTGGGTTGCGGATTTGCGCAAGTCGCCGGCAGGACAGAGCATCTCTTGCAGACCTGACAGAGCTTGCAGCGGAGAGCTTTTGGTGGGATGTCCGGAGGTAGCCGCAGCAGTCTTGAGCACGGGGCGCACTTGTCGAGTCTGATCAGATCTGTTGCTGCTCGCGAGCGAACTGGGCATCCATGGAAGCTTGGGTGAGGTGGGATTTCCATTTCAGCGTCCAGGGTTCTGGGTGCTGACGTCTTTGCCAAATCAGTGCCAGTGCCGGTGCCGGTGCCTGCTGATGCGCCGGTTAGCGCGCAAAGTCTCACGGGGTGTTCTCAAAAGGTTTTAGGGGATCCGTGTCGGCCAGACTGTCTACCTTTCTGGATTCGATTGCCTCAATCGGACAGTTGGAAGTTGAGTGGTTGAAACTGGCTGCAGCGCTTTTGCGAGCTGTGAGTGGGTGGGTGTGATGCGGAGAGGATGGCAATGAGGGGTCAGGTTAGATGGAATTCTTGCTGATTACTCGGGAGGCTGCATTGAGCGACTGCCACTGCATTGCTTTGGTGCTCCCCTGCTCCTGCCTAGATCCAAGTTCAACTCAAGCGGAGGTCAAGTTGAGCTGTTTCCGCTCTTGGCCGCCCTTGCCTGCTCTTTCGTCTGGGCTGATAGGTTGTTGGAGTCTAGAACAACTGTACGAGTGACCTTAGGTTGGCTGAGGTAATGCGGGCTACCTACGGTGCTTCGTACTTCGCATCCCCTCATCGTCTTCAAACCTGGCCTTTCAGACTCGTCAGTTTCGACATGTACACATGTACAATCAAGTCTTCCGCCTGGCCAGCTGTCTTGCCTCCCGTCCTGCACCGCCAGATCGAACGCTCCCCGCTTGGATCAGAATTTCCCGGCAGTCGTGGCCCAACGGGAACGGACCTCGGATTGGGCACCATTCCCCAGACTTCAAAGACCTGGCTGGCCCGGGATCGAGGTGAGCGGGCGTCAGGACATCTCGTGTTAATTAACTGTCGCAGCGCTAAAGAGCCGGCCGACACACCACCACCATCATCATCACCATCACCATCACCACACTCTCCCCCCTAAAGCGTGGCTTGAGAGGATTGTGGCAGAAGAGCCCGGCGAACACAAACGCTTTTCCGTCAATCATTTGACCAGGGCGGGGGATGTGCATCGCTGCGTACGACTGCACCACGGTAGCTTTTCAGTGCGTGTTGCACTGGGCCTGTGCTGCACGTTAGATAGGGGTGAAGCAGGCAGCCAATTGTGGCTATTGGGAATTGCTGGACTTGCATGCGTCGCCTCGCTGTCAAGGGGGTGCATCAGTCACCCAGCCTGCTTGATTGGCCAAAAGCCCTCCAGAAAGTGAGGCGATGCCCTGACGGCTGTTGACTGGCTGAAAAAGCTGCTGCTGCCACCCTTCGGGCGGCGTTGCGAGCCAGTTTTCCCAAGCTAGCCGTTGACCTCCTAGCCCTCCGCTTCCGTCGAGCAGCCAGGCCAGCCTGGTCGCGTCTTCTAGCGGGCCTGTGCACCTGATTGTCTGCCTCTCTTGGCGGAGCTGGCGGAGCCGGCGGATTGGGCAGGCAGACTTGGGTGGATTGGGCTCGGCTGCAGCAGCCCAAGCTCCATCTCGTCCGGTGGCCGTCTCACCTTGCCATCTCACCTCGGGCTCTGGACGCCCGGTGCAATTGTCCAAGTTGCGGTGCTTAGCGTTGCGCTGCTTAGCGTTGCCCGTGCTGCTGTTGGACCAAAACCTCCGACTTGCAGCCAGACTCCTGCAGGTGATTTCTGGGGATCTCGGGGTTGCTTGCGCCCTCGATTTGAAGTTTCCATTGGTGTTGGATGGTTGAAGGACAAGATGGACATTGGAGGAGACAGAGACATGGAGGAGACAGAGACAGGGAGTCGGAAGTTCAAGCACCGCGGTGGCAGGCCGTTCGCCGGCCCTCGCCCGGACTCTACCGCACCGGTAGGGGGTCGACATCTTGGCTTGCTAGGGAGTGGGCAGAAGTGCGTACGCTGCTTCTGTCTGCTCGCCCTGGCAGTATGTTGTGATACAAAATCCGGGTCATACAGTAGTCGTTCGATTCCTCGGACCCCACCCCGCCGGCGCCGCGTCTCCGGCTTCCCAGTCTACGGGGCACCCTCAATCTGCTTCGTCCCTACAAGGCAAATATTTTGCGGCCTAGCCTTGCCCTGAAATCCGTGCACTGATGTGAAGCAGAAGCCAAGGTGCATCGGAGAATTCACTCTTGAGACTCTTCCAGCTATCCCGACCCAGCCTCCAGGCCGCACTCGAGGCCGGCAGGGCGCACAGTCGTTGGTGTAACAAACAGATGGCCCGGTCTTGGCTTCCGATCGGACCCGAAGACATCTTAGTGCTGTTTTGAGCGAATGGCGCCCAGCGGGAGTCGCCCGAGACCCGTGCCCCTCCCACCCCGACTTTCCGCCCCTTTTGCACCGCCAAAATTCCCCGTACTGTGCATATGCGGTCTTCTCCTGCATATCACGCCTCTCACGACTTTTGTCGCTGATCAGCACTTTGTATTTCAATTTTGGTTGGGCTAGATGCACGCTCAATAAAGGGTGATAATAAATATCCCAGTCAAGTGCGGCCACCTTTGTAACCCCTCCTTCTATTAGGTCCATCCTTTACCGCGGACGACTCGGGGCAAACACATTGGTTCATGCAAATACAGCCCCACCATGACCGCGAGCGAGGGTCCAGAGGAAGCCCGATATCATCTGATTGATGAGTAGATTTTTTTTTCGTGCGGGCTAAGGTGCCGATCGTGGCCGTTCCCTCTGGAGTTTACTGAATACATTGCTAACCAAGCCACCGCTATGGGGTTTTGGTTCGAGGACGTGGCTTAATACGTATCGGCGACAGTCTGGCCGAGTTTGGTAGGGATGGGATAGTTGATCGTCGCTCAAAGATCCCGGGCATGATCCCCGAAGCTGAATGGTGGCCTAGCCCTTCTCATATAGAGAGAGAAAGAAAGCCGAGGAAAAAGGGGAAAGGAGATAGCGAGCGACACGAGAGAGGCCAGCCGACGGGGACTATCCTGTGCCAATCCTACTTTTATTGGAGAAAGGTCGAAGTTTTATCTTTAAGCTGGGTTGATGCTCAATTCGGTGGCCAGATATTCCGTACTTTACCTAATCGCCCAGAAGCAGAAACAGCAGGAGCCGTGCTGCGAGTCCAGGCTCAAATAGAAACGACCGCATACTGCAACGCTGGCAATTTGTGCTTCATCAACAAGCAAGGACATTATAGCCACAATTAAATGTTGTTACTCCGTATAGTGACGATGGCGGAAAGCAGATGCCATCCGTCAAGTGGTATCTGTGTCCGTATCCCGCCCGTAGAGCCAGGAACAAAGCGGGCAGGCACAACCTGTAGCCAACCGACGTGATGACATAATCGGAAAGCGCGCAGTCGATAAAGCCACCTTATCAAGTTGGACGTGCGGCACGGCCCATCTGCAACGTCAAGCCAACACCACCAACATTACTGTCAAGACGACTTGCGCGAGAGGCAGAATGCCACTAACGGCACAATGCGCCGTCTCTCTCTGGTCCTCATAGCCTCGCTGCGGCTTTGTGCTGCGCGACAGCCCGGCTTCAGCATCCACGATGATCTGTTGGCCCACCCCCAGGTACGTAGCTGCAGCTCCTTCTCGCTCAATGGGCCCCTCCACAGCCGAACGCCACCGCTGCCGCGTCGCTGTCGCTGTTGCTGTTGCTGTTGTTGTCGCTGTCCACCGACTAACCACCTTTGTAGTTCGAGGTCATCTTCTCAGACACGTACATTTCCGAATCCGACGCTCTCGCTCTTCTCGAGTCGCCCCGCGCACCCCATGCCACGTACTCCGATGCTTCCTCGCAGACCGACCTGACTAGGAACGTCCGCGAGTCCGCCGCCGCCGATGCGGCCACCGGACGAAGCGATGATTCCGACGAAAATGATGCCGGCCGCCAGGTCTCGGAGACGTACGAGATTATCACAACCCCGCCATCGCGCTACCTTTGCTCCGTCCCTATCATCGCACCGCCCCCGGCCCTCAACCAGACGGCAACGGAGCTCGCCAAGGCGGAGGAGGCACGCGAGCTGACTAGGGCATCGGCTAAAGGCTGGGAGCTGATGAACGGTCTCGACGGGCATTGCCTCTACTTCATGTCGGGATGGTGGAGCTACAGCTTCTGCTATGGCAAAGCTATCGTACAGTTCCATGCTCTACCAAACGCTAAGGGCGGGCCACCTGCCAAGGGCCCGGGGGATCAGGAGTACGTGCTAGGCACAACCTACCCCACCAGCGACGAGATGCAAAGGGCTTCCAAACCGCGACAGCGTGCAGACTCGAACCAAAACCAGAAAGAGCCGCTGGGCAAAGAAGACGTGACTGCTGCGGCTCCTGTCGACGGACAAGGTGCAGAACAGAACAAGGGCGCCGCGCCTCCCAACACGGAGCTCGCGGTCAAGGGCGACCAGCGCTATCTTGTGCAGCGCCTCGGCGGCGGCACCGTGTGCGATCTGACGGGCCGCCCCCGTACCATTGAGGTCCAGTACCACTGCGACCCTGGCTCCAACGTCGACAGGATTGGATATATCAAGGAGGTTACGATTTGCACGTACCTGATGGTGGTGCACACTCCCCGGCTCTGCGCCGATGTTGCCTTCCTGCCGCCCAAAGAGACGCGAGCCCACCCGATCAGCTGCCAGCACATTATCGGAAGCGAGGAGGAGGAGGCCGCTTGGCACAAGCGCAAGACGATTGAGGCGGCCGAGGCCATGGGCGTTGCCGGAGCGCACCGAGAAGCAGCCGCCCAGTCGTCCAAAGAGGCTTCTCAGAACCAGCACGCCGGCATGACGATAGGCGGAGTCGTCGTGGGTGGCCGTCGGGTGTTGGGGTCCGGCGAGGACGGGATGCCGCCAGCCAGGCTCCCATCTCCAAGACACCAGGTAGGTGGAAAGCTAGCCGGGGCCCCGGTAGTCGAAATAGTTGCCGCGGCCCAGAACAAAGAAGATGGAGGCAAGGTCGAGATGATGACCCGAGAGCAGCTAGAGAAGCTAAACCTAGATCCCAAGAAGGTCGAGCAATTTAGGCAAGAGATCGAGCAGTACGCCGAAGGCAACGCCTGGCGACTCGAAGTAGTCGAGATGCCGGGCGAGGTACCCGAGATTGTCGGCGTGGTCGACGTCGACGACGAAGAGGGTGCCAGCCCAGCGACGCGAAAGGACGGAAGGAAATCCGGGGGGGCGGGGACTGGTGGTGGCAGTGGTAAAACAACTGGAAGAGGGAACGAGGACGAGGACGACGAAGGCTCCCAGGAGACCTTCTTCAAGGAGGAGCTGTAAAAAAGCGCACACATTGTATATGCACGGTATGATATGGGATGATACAGCGTTGTTTTTTTTAGGTTATTCTTAGACATTTCGGTATTCTTTTCGATTTCGAGCGTGCGTGCTCCCTGTGCCTGCGGGAGTCTAGATCAATGTGATGCGTGCCCAAGTACACACACCCCTGCATCCCAAGGCCATGTCAAATCCTTACATGCCATACTGTTCACATTATCTTGGCTTTGTAGTGTATTTTATGCCAACTCTTCTGCTCCTGTCGATCAAGACGCAGAGGTGAGCTGCACCAAGAACACAAGGAGGGAACTCCAGTATGGCCCGCACAGTGTCAACATTGCGGAGCCAAGGCGGCACTGGGTAGCTCCTGGCAGGCACATCCGGCATGGCATTCGTGCGTTCGGATCGATCAGGAAACCGTCTGCCGTTCATCCTTTCGTCTAATTACCTACCTACTAAAGTCTTATCAGAGGTGATCTGGTTGTCCGGAAGGGTGTCTTTGCAATCGTACGGCAAATTGGGTACCTTGGCTAACGCGCCTACTCAGGAACGCGTCCAGAACGGTGCTGGGACACTGCTGAGTGGGAAGCCGATTGTCGACGTCGCACACCATGGAAACCTAGGAGAAGAATCAGGGCCGACAACGGGGTCCCGGCCCCGGATCTGGGCCCCCCTGCACCCATAACATTCACAACCCCAACAACGCCAATAACGTCAGCCTAGCCCGGCCTATCGGCCACGCCTCGGTGACTGATTCCATCACGCCTACTGCGGAATTGATTGCCTGTGATCATTATTTAAAAGAGGGTCTATTATCCCATCCTTTGCCTTTCCAACCTCTCATATACACGCACTCATGCCAGTGTTCAAGAATGCTGACTTTCTCTTCACAAGGACGTCACTGCGACCTCCAGTCACCCTTTGTGCCATGCCAGTCAGCAAATCTGGCCTGCACGAGGTATCATGTTCTCAATAGACAAGAACCCAAGCTTAGAGCGCAGGGTTGGGACCGCGAGAAACGCGCCACCCCACATCGTGATGAGGCGAGCGCCAAGTAAGCTCCATATTCCGCAGCCCAGTGACCCGCTTCTCACACGCTTTCCAGATTCAATGTAGGCACCGATTATGGGCCACCTTCGGCCACTATCTCAGCTGCCTCCCCCACCCTGGAATCTTCCTGGCCCAAACCAGGGGCGGACCCCAGCCAGGCTTTCCACGGCAACAGCGTTGTCCCTCCAGGTCGGGGCCAACCAACAACCAGAAATTATCACTACCTCATACCGGAGTGTGTGAACCTCTACTACAAGCACATCTATCCCGTCATGCCGCTGCTGTACATGCCGGAGGTTTGGGCTGTGACGCGCGTGTGTTTCAATGTTTCAGACCTAAACCCTACAAGCCAGAGCCTTTTCTACGCTCTTTCAGCTTTAACGTGTTTCCACATGTCTAGCAATGGTCTGCAAGCCGAGGGCGTTGAACCGCCGGATTCGTGGGACAGCGCCGGGCGCTACTTCTTAGACGAGTGTATCCATGTGAGGAAGTTGTATGGTCTTGTTCAAGACCTCTCAGCAATCACAGTCGTGACGTCCTTTTGGCTATCGGTATCATCATTCGAGATTGGTGAGGCCCGAAATCATGGGGTTATCTTCAAGAAGCCTTGAATTCGGCTCTGGAGCTCGGCCTCCAGAAGAACTCCTCGTACGTTGGCATGTCCTCGGAGGCAATACTTTGGCACCAACGCTGCTTCTGGCAGCTTTTTATGGCCGAGCGGTAAGGCTCTCCGCAAGGTCGATTCCCTTCGCTTATTTGCTAACAAGTTCGGCGAAGCTCCTTTACGCTTTTGCGCGGCAAGTCAATCGTGCCGAGGACGGCAATCATGCTAAAGAAGACGCTCGAGCCTCCCACTGGGCGGTATCTATACGAGTCTCGAGATATCTCTTTGCGATTCCTTCAGCTCGTATCATTGTATCTTCCGCTGGACGAACCTTCTGTCACAGCATGGAACGGCTCGTCTGCCCCTCGCGTCAGCCCTGAGACCAATCTCGCTCCACAGCACCATCTAGCGATTTCGCCAGCGTTAACACTGCAATCTCCAGTGGCAGGATATCTTTTAGAGACGGTACACACTACTGACGCAGATGTCGCCGCATCCTCCGAATCAGTAGAGGGAGCACCCGCCAATCCGCCCGTCGATGAGCACGGCCATAATTGCAACACCAGCAATAAGCAGAACAGAGACGGCCCCCAGAGCTCTGAGCCAGCCGATATACAGACAGTTAATCTGCTCATCACACAACAGTGGCTACGCCTCATCGTGTGGCAGAGCTCCCTCCGGCAGGGGCTGATCAGCTGGAGAGCTCGCGACAAAACGTTGCACTTCGCGTTCCCGCTGACCATTGCCTGCCGCACAGCATCCCTACTGGCGGCACTGCCACGTTCGGCTGTCCAAGTTCCCGGCACGAGCATATTTGAGAAGATATTTCAGATCGGCATATCGTGCATCAACTTTCTCGACGCCTGCGACGCCAACCTTGCTAAAAATGGTGTTTCAGTTACGAATGTAACGGCTAGGTTTCTAGATGGCATAGAGTGGAGGAATGGCGCCGTGACCATCGACCCGGTAGAGTTATTCGTCAAGGCCTTGAGCTCCAACCCCAACAGCCGCACCCAGTTCGCCCGGGACCTGCGGCTGTTTACGAGCATGCGACCACTTGGTATGAAGATAACGCTGACGCCGCTGGTATTAACGCCGGCTCTTCGTAACAGGAGTGGCTATACGCGAGCGCACCTGAGAATGCCTCCAACTTTGCCGGCTGCCCGCGGAGATAATTTTGGGACGGGCGGTGTGGTCCGGTTTCAGGCTGACGAACAGATGATGGGAACAAGTCAAGACGCTGAAGCCAATATTCCATTCTCGACGGGCCGGAGCAGTAATGTATTTGGTATTCCTCCACCTGCGCCGGGAGCCGAAAGCAATTACGTGCCTACGGGTGGTTCTTCCACTGCGGTGGGCACGCCCCTACCGTCGCTCAGACCGACGCAGCAGATGGCGACCACCCACTCCCTGCCGATGAACCGGGGAGAAACCGAAGATAGAGAGGTTGAGTATGGCGGCGGCGGCGGCGAGGCCACAGTGTTCAGCCCTGACGTGCAGCAGCCTGTTTGCTGGTGCGGTCGTTATTGCCTTGACCATCAGCCACGCCCGGGTGATGGGGCCCAGATGCGGTATTTTCCGAACACGGGATAAAGCCCATTTTCTATGCACCTTTATGGCTTGGTAGATCTTCAAAGCACGGTGGAAGATGTAATCAGCGGACTTTAACGAGTGTTCATGTTTCTAGCGGACCAGCTAAGGTACCGGAAGTAGGTACCGGTTCATCAGCGTTGACTGTATTTCAGAGGATTTTAGCAGTTGAGAATATTCGCGAATAATGCTGCATTGCGTCCGATGATATCATTATGGAAGGACTGGGCCCATGTATGCAAGAGCGTTGAGATTCATTCAACAACACATGTTCAAGAATCCTTGACACTTGGTGGGAGAGGCAGTCTCTGTTGCTCGAGGCACCTCAAGTCCATCAGATCCGGCGAGAGCAGCGGCGGGATACAAGTACATTCCCCGGTCAAGTGATATATTGGAACTTGCCATTGCCACAATTGCAACGGGAGGGTTCGTGAAATTCGGCCTTTCTGGGATCTCTGTGACAGACGACAAGTGAGCGTCTGGGTCGTCATTGGCCCCAGGTATCACGAACCATCATCTCCCGTGCCACCACATTGAACACCACGGTAAGAGCTGGTTCATGTGGTCTGGCCATAGTGTGCTTTTGGAAACTACGGCCGAGCACTGGTTGCTGTCGAGAGGAAACAGCGAGTGGAAGCCCACGGATAAACTAGTGGTCAAGAGGGCAGGCTTGTTGCGAGACTTGGGCACGATGGTCGATTTAGAGATGGGAATGAGGCATTGTCATGGCGAATGACATTGCCCCAGAACTTAATACGGCTGTCCGTGAGTGAGAAAGAGTCACATCGTTTGAGATGTAATTACGACGAACAAGATACCATGGAGGCGAATAAGTTGGCAAATATTATGTTGTCTATTCTACACCTAGTCCTCGCCGCCTAGCTCGCCTCCAATTTTAACACCCCAGTGCCACCAATGCCACCACCTCAATATCACCACCCAGCCATCCAACCCTTCCCGCCGAGCCCAGCAAAGCGTTGCCGCAGTAATATTGTCGATAGTCTGTGGTCCCGCCGCCACCCGGAGGCATGACATTGGTGATCATCACGAATGACGACAAGCCAAGCCCACCCTCCGCCACAGCGACCCCCCAGTGCCCAAATTGCCCACAGTTGGAGGCCCACCTCATACCCGGGGTCGAGAAGACCCCCCTCCAAGTCACACCCGTCAATGAGAAGACACCCGAGCCCACGATACCTAGAACGAAGCCTATGGTCCCCCAGTACCCAAAGATGCCCCCAGTTGGAGGCCCACCACATACCCGAGATCTATGCAAGGCGTTTAACCTGAGACCCCCCTCCAAGTCAAAATCCGCCAAGAGAAAGCCCCCAGATCCCACGATCCCCCAGAGCAACAAGCCTGTGGTCCCGCCACCACCCGGAGGCACGACTTGGCGTTCAATCCCGCAGGAGATTCCAAGCCCACCCTCCGCCACAGATTCCCCCCCCAGTGCCCACGATTGCCCCGTCAAGAGAAAACCCCCCAGAGTCCACATTGCCCTCCGTTGGAGGCCCACCACGTACCCGAGGTCTATGCAAGGCGTTTAACCTGAGACCCCCCTCCAAGATGATCCCCCAGTGCGCACATTTGGAGGCCCACCATCACTCCCGGAATCCATGCAAGGCGTTTAACCTGAGACCCCCCTCCAAGTTGCCGATGCGTCGATGCTGGCGATGCTGGCGATGCTGGCGATGACGGCGATGATGGTGATAACAGTGACGCTAGCGATGTTGGTGACGATGGTGAAGTGTCGATGTGTCGATTACGGCGAAGTTGTCGATTACGGCGATGATGGCGATGTGTCGATGTGTTGATGTGTCGATTTAAAAAGGAAGAAGTGTTGGAGGGAGAAAGTGAGCCGGAGGAGGGGAGGGCGGGAGTTTAAATACATTTTGTGGGTGGTCCTTGCACGACGCGAAATTTCGAGAGTGGGGCACCGCGAGGGCAATGGCGGGCGCTGTGTGTGTGACTCACGCGAGTGCAAAATGCGAGGGGAAGAAGCAGAATCAGTGAATGTGAGGGCGTGTCCTATTGTCTGGTGGAGACGCCGGGCAGGCGTCGAGTTGAGGTGTGGAGCCGCCGATTAGGGTCTGCGCTGTCATTGGTGTGATTTAAAAGAGTTGGAAGGCCGGGGAATGCTCTGGAAGAAGGCGGGAAGGGAGTTTCTGCGGGTAGTAGGTTTATTGCGTTAGAAAGTTGAAAGCAAAAGTGAAAGTAAGGTGAGGTGGTCGTGATATTCAAACGCGGGTACGCGGTGCGGCTCAAAACCGTCAAAATCGGTCACTTACACGCTAGGCGACCCATCCGCCCCACCCAATGGTTGCTGCAGCACAGAGAAGTGGGGCTTCCTGCATGGCAACCGTCCTATCAGCCCTACAACCGTTCCCTCCACACTCTGATTAAACCTTGACCGTTCGCGCACTTCAGCTGGTCGCCCCACCCCATCAGTGGCCCTGCCCCATTTACGAACGGGCTGGCGTGACTCTTCGAGGTCCGGCTTTTCTCGAGCTTAACCACTCATTAGAAGCACCTTCGATTAGACTTGCGCTTCATCAAATTACCCCACCTTGCTCGCGGCGTTTGGCCGGTGTGTCTGCCAAGACCACTCGCCTGCTCACCTCCTGTCCCACCTTTCAGCCCTTCCCCGCACAAGATTTCGACACTTGCATTGTGAAGGAAAGAACGTCATTTCGCACCAGTCCTGCGAGCCAACAACCCTTCAGCAGGCGGGACACCACTTCACGGGCAAAACGAAGCGTCCCGGCACAAGCCTAATCATTACAGCTTTGGTCTAAAGCTTCAGCATTCCTAGTCTTTGGAGTTACGTGGAATCCATCTTGGCCTCCTTGCCAACCCGAAGGCCTCCTCCAAGACCCACCTTTCAGCCCTTCCCTGAAGTCGGGTACCCCCAAAGCATCCACGAAAGTCAAGGTAACTTCCCGATAAGAAGCGTCTTCGAAATACGAGATTCCCTTTCGTAATTCGTCCCCGGATTAATAAACTTCCCGACAAGAAAGCATCTTCGATTCACAAAATTTTCTTTCATCATCCATCCCCGACGCAATTCTTTCGCCCTTCATCTCCGATCTCCGAACCAGCCTAATTCCATGCGCGATCTTCGAGGTACCAAAACAAATTCAATTAGTACCTACTCGGTATGTCGATACCTCTGGGCTATTAAATAAGCTGGAAAATACTTGCTAATTAGTTTCATATGTAGCCAACCTCAACATGTCCGAAAGCGGTACAATTCTCGCACCTCTCGATTTCGAGGACCTGAAAGCCAAAGGCTTGGTGTCTCCGGAGAGCGCGGCGGGGTTCTGCCGTATTCACAAGCGCCGGCTAAACCGATCGAGCGACGAGGAGCATCGTAATATTTCCTTCGACGTTTCACTCGAATCATCAGTCGCATTTTCCACAATTCCCGACGTCCTAATATCTCGGGAAACTATGATTCACAATGGGCTATCTACTGAAAAGGCCGATGAATTATGGCAGCAGTGGGATAACTGGCCCCACGATGGGCCCCGCCGTGAGGTTGACCCCGACGACGGAGGTTTACAAGTCTCGTTTCTTGACTTTGTTCTTGGACGCGTTCTACATAAGTCCGATGCTATAGGGGAAAACGATGTCGAATGGCGGGTGTGTTTAGACGCTTGCGGTCTTGCCCCTGCTACTCAGGATGCCATCATGGATCGTCACTTCACCTATCTCCGGCAATCCAATTCTTGTCAATATTGGGTCAGGGATACAATCGAGATGCGCTATGCTGGATTGCAAGAAATTCAGAGATCATCGCGTAGTCGTGAGATGGAACTACGGCGAAGAGCATCACGGCCAGGCGGGCATCCGAGGGACGACGGTACAATTCAAGGAGATATTGAAACGAGTTCAGGCTTGTCTTCGACTCCAACTGGTCAATAGCGACTTTCAGCCCCTGGTCTTCAGCAGCAAAGTACGCCCGGAATGGCCTACGACATTTGGAGCTCGGCGAGCGCCATCGCGTCCCGCAATGCGCCTTCATACACTACACTCTTCAAAGGAATGGACCAGGGTGGCATAGGTGGACTTTTCGACGACGCCAGAACGCTGTCCAATATTGGGACACTTCGAAGTCGAGCGCCGTCGGATTTTAGCGCCACACGATCCCTCTTCTACTTCTCCCCGGACATGAAAGTCGCAGAATATTATGCCAGCTACGCCAAAAGACGCAGCAATTCCGAGTCCGTCGTGATCATCTGCTTACGAATCCCCAACGCTTCGATAGAGACACTATCTAAACCAGATATCCGACGTCTATGTTGGCCGGATGATGCCTGGATAGAACTTGTCTGGCGTTGTCGTACCGGCCAGTCTCTCCCTACCCGTTTACGGACATATCAGGACACCATTCTTATCATTGGCACTATATCGCGGAAACCGGATGCCCAATATCATGCGCTGAGCTCTTGAGAGGATATTACGGAAAGCTATCTACTGAAGGTGGGAGTAGATGGGAGTGGCGATACCGCTGTCCAGTATTTTTTCAATGGGGAGGATGAAGGTTGTGAGTGGCTGGAGGAGAATGGTGCTCGGGATATCAAAATTTTGCCCTACTCTTTACAAGATTTTGAATCGTGGATTGCGGCGAACCCTGTGAGCCACTCGTAGTAATTATGCCGCTGGGTGGTGTTTCTGGGGGAGATATGGGCCTCTAGGATCTAATAACGGAATTCTAATAGCCGTTAATCCTTCGGCAAAATCAGGGCAACTCCACCAAACGGTTTGCTGCGTGCCAAGGCGCAAACTCCTTGCTGCATGACATGACTCGATACCAACCCACTCCTTCAATAAACAAGCATCAAGCAAGATAGCCGAGCGGTCTAAGGCGCCACATTGAGGAATACATCCCTTAATTCACGAGCGAGGGATCCCCCCCGCTCATATGATTCCGTGGTTCGAAAGGGCGTGGGTTCGAATCCCACTCTTGTCAAGCAGTATATCTTTGACTCCCCAGGCGTCATAGGACAGTTCCTTTCTGTATCATTCAAAAGGCCGAAACTAAAGCGACTGCCATTAATTCTGCGTGTATTGGACAAATCTGGTGTAGTAACAAACGGTGGAAGCCTTAATCACGAGAGCTTGTCTCAGTTTCGTTAACTTTTGGTGCTGGGAACTTTATTGATTCAACCTTTCTCGGGCCAAGAGATTATTTCTGGGAAGCGGTTACTGCTAGACACTACACTCTATTTTCACGAGGCGTGTCTAGTTCAGTCCATCTCTCGCTATATCATGACTAGATACTTTCCGAAATATGAAAGGACCCAGGACCCCTACAAACATTTCTTCAAGGGAGGCGGTGGGTTTTGTAGCTCCCGGCACGTAACCATCGAGATTACTTCTCCTCGCCAATTTCTTTCCCATAAGCCTGAATCTTCCCAAGTAACTCGCCAATAAACATTCAGGGACTAGACTGTGGATTTTGCTCTCATGGAGCAAGTGAAAAGATGGATGCAATGTCGAAACCGAAGGCGTTGTAGAAGGAGCCATTTAATTTACGGGGAAAAACTGCAATTGCTTCGTCGAGCATTGTGACCGAGTACCCGGCAAAGTAAAGAATGTCTCACATACGGCCTCTTGTCTCTCGGGTGCTGCACTTGACAAGTTGACATATCAATCTCTCGGCATCGAGCAAGTTGGGACAGGCACGGGATCCCAAAACAGCCCTAGATCCGTGCAATCGCTAGCTACGCGCCACGGTCTAGTCGAGGGTTAGGATGTGGGAACTCTTCACGGTTGTGGCTATCGCCGTCATCAACACGTCATCCATTAGTCGTGGACTGCTAGCTTATATGAAGATGGGATAGTAATTGAGGAGATTGCAACGTTCGCAAAATAGTAAAAAATCACATACACAGACAAATTCAGTGCTTAGAAAATTCAGTGCCTAGATACTAGATGGCAAGCAGATCTGTTGCACAGTGTGGCCGCAGTCCTAGGGCAATCGGGGGCGCCGTGAGAATCGCGAGCATCGGGTCTGCTCTTCCCCGATCACCGGCACAGGCTAGACAGTCCCAAAGAACGTTGTGCACTACCAGACCGCTTCTGGCAGGAATCCCAAACATGCAGACAATCAAGGTGCGCAGCCCAAACGGTGCTGCTTGCTCGTGTGCTGATGCAGTCGCAGAACACGCTCGCCGAGAACTTTGGCGGCCCCATGTCGAAGCTGGGGTCGAACCAGTTCAGCCTCGACGAGTGCCCAGACCTGACGGGAAAGGTTGCCATTGTGACAGGCGGAAGCCGCGGCATCGGCTACGGCATCGCGCACACACTGCTCAAGCACAACATCTCAAAGCTCTACATCCTGTCCATTACCAAGGAAGCGGGCGACGCGGCAAAGGAGGCGATCGCAAAGGACCTCGGACAGGATACGGCCGACCGGGTGACGTGGGTGCACTGCGACCTGGCCGACTGGAAGCAGGTGGAGCGGGTGGCGGCGGCGATCCGGAAAGAGACAGACCGACTCGACATTCTGGTCAACAACAGCGGATGGGGGATCATGACACCGTCGCTGACGAGCTACGGCGTCGACAAGCACATGGCGGTCAACCACATGGGCCACGTGGTGCTGACGAGCCATCTGCTGCCGCTGATGAAGAAGACGGCGGACCGCGGTGATACGGTGCGTATTAGCAACCAGGCCAGCAACGCTCACCAAGGCGCCCCGTCCGACACGCAGTTTGCGAGCCTCGACGAGATCAACAGCGACGCGGGACCCAACGGCCAGTACGGCCGGAGCAAGCTGGCGAACATCCTCTTCACGCGCTACTTCAACCGCAATGTCACCAAGAACGGCTACCCTAACATCCTCATGAACGCCACGCACCCGGGGTTTGTCAGCACCAAGCAGAGCACCCAAGACATCCACGAGCCGTGAGTGCCCTCCCCAGAATCGGGGCGAGAGCCACGAGAGAGCGTGTTGTGCGTGTGACGTTTGGGCTGACACGTCCTGTCCTTCACAGGTACCCCATTGCCGGCTACGCCATGTCGTACGGCATGGACCCGATCAAGAAGGACCAGTTCCAGGGCGCAGTGCCGAGCGTGTACGCGGCGACCATGGCCGAGGACTCTGGCCAGTTCATCTGCGCGCCCGCCATTCCGGAGCCGGGCAGCGAGATGTCGCAGAGCGATGAGTTGGCGGACAAGTTGATGGATCTAACGAGGCAGGTTGTCAGCGAGAGGTCGGGTGTGATCATCTGACGGCTGTCTGAAAAGGGGGGGCCGGCATGCGCGTATTCCCGCACAAAACATTGGCCCCCTCAACCAGCGGAGGAAGGAAGATCTGATTTAGTTGTAGATATCACCTATCCCGATCTCTTGCATCGCTTGCCAAGGGCCATGTCTGCTTATTACACACCTCTTCACCTGAGGATTTGGAGTGCACTCCAGCGATGGCTCTAAGCTCAGTTTAAAGTTGGTGGCCTCTCTCTCTTGATAATCAATGCATTTCCGGCTCAAGTTAGTTACACACTCTTCCCCTGGAGATGAGCTGTATGCCGTGTGATCCTACACGTAATTACATGTCGGATGCGCAGCTGTACGTTGCTGCTGCCGAGGATAGCGTCACGTATCTCCCGTGCAAAGACCAAGGTCTGTGCCCGGGTACGCACGCCGACGCGTGCTTGCAATCTTGCCCAAAGACTCTTGCCGCCCCTGTTACCGTGCAAAGAACCCATCGTGTGCAAGTCTCAAGTCGCGGGTCCTGCACCAAGTGTCTGCATCGCCGCCGGCCCTGTGCCCGGCGGTCGGGACGCGCGAAAGCTTTCTACCCACGCACCGCTGATAGCATCAGACCGCGCCGCGCTCGTCGACGACCGCCTCCTTGACCCTCGACGCGTCGAGAGGAGGTCGGGATAGCCGGGTCCCCGCCCGTGCCGCGGCCCCATCAGCGCCTCGGTGTTATCATCATCGAGACGCGTCGATGCGACGAGGTACCAGACGCGCTGTCACAACTCGGCGTTCGCCAGCTCTGCGACGAGCCACTCGTGCGAATGCTGCACGCGCACATTGCTTGCTGCGGGACTTCTAGAGAGATTGCTGATGCCCAGTGGGCAGGGTCAGAATAGTTACACTCCTCATACACTTGTGTTTGTCGAGACGGAATATCCACAGTAAAGAGCCGCCTGGGCGTCGGTTGGGTATCACTGCAAAGTGTTGTGAGCCTAACTTGGTGATGGTGGCATTGGCTCTGGCTAGGAACTGAGCTACGAGTTACACGACTGGAGAGGGTTGAGGAGAATCCTTGGCCACAGCTGCAATTCACCGAAACTGTCTCGGCATGGGCGGTGATATTTCCGTGGCGTTTTCGTGCGATTCCAGTTCGCGCGAGACTTTTGTAAAAGTGTTTGCTGCCACTGCTGTTCAGCCATCGCAATTGCCCGAGACAGACATGCACAACTCATCACAGGCGAGGAACGAGAGGGGCGAAATTGACCGCTTTGAGGCTTGCTGGACTGGCTTGCTGTATGTGCAGATGCACTGCACGTGGTGCAGGACGCAAGGGATGCCGATTGCCAACCATTTTGCATTGCGCTAGCTTGTGCATTCAATCGTGGGCGGCCGCTGGCCAAACGGTGTGCTTCGTGGAGTGTTGCACATGACGTTGACTTGACAAGCCCAAATGGCTGTGAGCGTCTGCAGCGGCACATCAAGTTCGAGCCGGCTCGAAGTGAGGCCTGGAATTGGATCTGGGCAGCGCTAACCCGTACGGACACAGAAGAAAGGAAAGGGATGAAGGCCCATCCGCGCCAGACCGGGGAAGGTTTCCGTCAAGGCCCGAGAGCTTTGGCCCCTGACCAAGCCAAAAACACGCCGGTTGGACCGTTGGATGGGCGGGAAGAGGGGTCGAGGACTTCCACGCCTTTCGCTGCACTAGCACATGGGAGTCGACGTTGGACTATCAGCTTCTAGCCTTTGACCGAGGCCACGGCAGAATCGAAGACGTATACATTCAACCTTAATTAAGCACCATAGGTGAAGCACCACGGCGCAGATTATGCATGCAGTCGCGAGGTGATGTGACTTTGGCCCACGCCGCTCTCAGAGAGAGTGAGGGGAAGCTGTGCCTGCAAAGTGCCGGCGTCACTGCTCTGTATCGACAAGAACACCGCAGTGACCCGACGGTGCGGACAAACCGGGATGGGTGCAGCCCACCAGAAGCCAGTGTGATCTGGAATCCAGATGCATAACTCGTTGGGCCGACTGGGTTGTTTTTAACGAAACGCTCTAGAGGGCAAGGGGTTTGCCGAATTTTGCAAATTCCTCAGCGAAAAGGTGCCCTTTCAATTCCTCACGACAGCCAGAACGAAGTGTTGTGAATTCGAATTAAAAACCTTCCCGCGTGGGCCCCTTTTCTGACCTATTTCAGTGCCGTCTTGGGATGGCCCCACTCACTCCTTCCAGGTCACAGCGGAACCGGGCTGCCTGCATCCAGGACTCTGGGTTGGAGTGACGAAGCCCGTGATTGGCTGTCAGCCGTGATGCCCCGGGAGCGGGAAATTGTTAGAGGGTTGCAGAGGCCACCCCTGGCCACCCACTGGCCGCCCACTGGCCGCCCACTGGAGGGGCCGAACCCGCTCCTCTCAAGTTCCTTGGCCCACAGTGGCAGCAAAATGATGACACGAGTGACTTCATGGCAATCTGCTCGAAGAGAGACAACAATCCGGCATCAAGGTGCATTGCGGTCTTTGGGCATCGCCGAGTGTTCGGTCTCAATGGTGTGACGACGAAATAGGTGGTTAGCCCTGCTCAGGTGTGAACAGAAAGCAAATGGAAGACGACGGCTATCTGCTGTTAGAGCACTTAAGCGAATGTCACTGTCGAGTGACGCACCCAAAAAGAAAGTACGCTTGTGCCTTCCTGCAGGTGCCAGTGCCAATCAGCTGCAAGGCAGGGACGCTAGCCACATGGAGTAAGCCCAAGCTTCCAATCCTCTCGAATCAAAAAGTTTCTCCTGCGTGCTTGCCTCGTTTGATGCACGCTGATGCACTGTCGCCGCTCGCAGGGTCCCCACGCCTGCCAGTGCTGCCGTGGAGTTCCTTTCCTGTGGTGTCGTTTGGTGGCTCGGCCGGGCTGCTTCGTTTCCGAGCTCCTCCGCTGACATGATCTCCTTTTCCTGCTTTCCTCCTAGATTTGCTGCCTGAACTTCACTGTTTTCAGTGGCCACGATCTCTCGCGTCGCTGCACGTCTGTCTTTTTTACGCATGTCCGCGGATGGTAGCAGTACTCCGTTGGAACACCACTCGCTCCTCCGATTCTCGTTCCTCGCTCCTTGAACCGAGACATCTGACGAAACCACAACGACGCAATATCCTTCCGTTCCTCGCATCCCCTCGGCCGTTCCCTTGCTGACCGCCTATTCCAATTGGCCGCTGGCCCTTTGCTTCGAAGCCTGCCGCTCTCCCTGTTCCGAAGATAAATCTGCAAACGCCTTGTCCGCTGAAAAGTGACAACAACACGCTGCCGGTTTCAATAGCAACGAAAAAAAACGACTGGCGGCATCGACGTCGACCATGATTCCGGTTCCGCTCTTGCCCCTCACATTTCCGTGACTTGACGTATTTGCGACGGACGCTTGCTGTGTGGTAGATCGCCGGATCCCCGCTGCAAGCCGGGTTGTGCCCCTTGACGACTGTCGATATTTACTCAGTTAAGGGCGAACGAGTCTCAGCTAGAAGCGGCCGGCCGTGTTGCGTATCCTCGTTCCTATACAGTGTTGTCAGGTCCAGTAACCCTTGCCTAAGGAGTCTTCACGCCACTTTTTACAGGCATCATCCCTTGACCTTGGCATTCCATTCTTATCCTCTTTGCCTGGCCGGCCTCCGACTCCGTGCGACATTCGACTGCCAGCTAGCCAATCGCTACGGCTGCGACCGGCTGACGTGTGGCTGACGACTTCTTTCTGACGTCTATGCTGCATCCACAAGCAGACGGCGTTTGTCACTGCCCAACATGGAGGGCCTCGGTGCACAAAGTCAATCCGGCGACCGCCCCCGACCCCCCCCCTTCCCCCGAACCGCCTCCAGGTCCAGCACCAGTTCGACCCGGACCAGGATGAGCAACAACAGCTCGTCCTCATCGCAAGTTGCCCCTCCGCACGGACACCGATTCCACCACAACCGGTGCGCCCGAACGCCAACGTCGGAACGATCCAAATCACAACTGTCACGCGAGGCCTCGGAGCAATCCTTGCCCCCCATGTCAACCTTCCTGCAGGAGCGACTAGAACGGGAGCGCAAGGTCGAGAGCGAGCGCTCATTAAGCCGGGCGAGCAACGAGGCCATGAGTGCCTCAGCAGACCTCAGAGCCGTGCAGAGCTCACCCGCCAGAAACAACCCCCCCGAAACCCGGCGGCCTGGGTCGAGTAATGGCCCCGCAGAGCCTTCCAAGAAGAAGGGCCTCGGGCTCAAGGAGATGGAACAGACTCTCTCGACGCTACACAAGCAGAACTTCGACCTCAAGCTCGAGCTATTCCATCGGCGCGAGAGGCAGAATGTTCTTGAGGAGCGCGTCGAGAGGCTCGAGACGATGGAGAGGGAGAAGGCGCAGACCGACGAGATGAACGACCAATTGATACAGGAGCTGGAGAAGCGAGACAAGGCAGTCGAAGAGGCGGTTGCCATGATCGTGGTTCTCGAGGCGCGGGTAGAGCAGCTGCTGCGAGAGCGCGAGATGGTTAGGCAGGTCGAACAGGACGGGCTGTTCTACACGCGGGCAAGCACACCGGTCTCCACCGCCGCACCCTCTAAGTCGAAGATGCTCGACTTGCCCAACAGTACTAAGGCCCTCAACCGGATGCCGAGTTTTCTTTCCGACTTCAGCGAGAACACCGAGAACCTGCGCAATGTCTATCTTGGCGTGCGTGGAAGCGTACTCAGTCTGCCGCGGATGACCGAGGACTCGCACGAGGCGGAGCGCGCTGCCCATAACGGGGTCAGCAGCCCGACCTTGAGTGTTCTCAGCGAGAGCTCGTTCTTGAGCGTGTACGGCCAGAAGAGGCTGGATGGTAGGTCGTCGCCTCCGCCAGACAGCCCGCCGTCCCTGGACGGTGCCGCTGCGAACCAGCCAACGGTGATGCCCGGGTCTCCGGCAATGTCCGCCTCCGCGACGCCAACAAAGCCACGTCGCCAATCTTCCTCTCGGAGCGCCTCCAGCGGGCTGACCCCATTCCAGAATATTAGCGATATCCTGGACATGGGCGGATCGCCTCTCCAGCGGCTGGAGAAGCTCGAGCTGACGCTGAACGCGATGCGCGAGCAATCGAGACCATCCACCTCGAATCCAGAAAAGGACCAGACTCTTTCGGCTCCTGCCCCCCCAATTCACACGCAGCCCAAAACGAAGCAAGAGAAGCGAGAAGCCTTGCAGAAGGTGCTCACGCAGGGCCACTTGCGCCGGGAACTACACGGGCTACCGCCGACCCCGGACACGATCTCAACTTCGACGCTGCGCCGCTACCAAAATTCGGATGACACTTTGGCAAAGGACCGAAACCTAGTTTATGAGCGCAGCTACCTCGCCCTTTCGGAGACGACTGCCTCGCAAAGCTCTTTTAGCGAGGGTGGTGGTCAACAAGATTCGCACAACCCGACTCCACAGTCTGGGACGATTCCCACCTTTGACAATCTCAAGCACCTTCCTAACAACGGAGGTCCCTTTGACAGCCACTTTGCCATGTCTCAGCTCCAACGGCCCCGTTCCGCTAGCGAAACTACAGTGTCGTACCGGCCGGGTAAGAACGGCTGGGACAGCGACAGCTCGGACGAGTTTGTAGATGGGATGGAGTCCGTAGTCAGCTTCGACCCCTGGATGCGGGAGAGCATGAAACCCAACCAAGCGGGTGCGTTGGACCCAATGAGCTCAGTGTCCCAGGCTGGCCCGAACAAGAACGGGGGCCGCATATCACCCGACCTCTTCTCCTTTCCGATCAGCACCGACGGCTGGGCCACACACGCTATGTTCGGTACGCTTGGTGGAGCCGGCTACGTAGGTGCCGGTGGCCAGAGCACTTCTCCCACGCCGATGGCAGATGCACTGGATGCCCTCGGCGAGTCGTTGCCGGCGCCACTGTTTGGCTCTGGTATTATGGCCCCGGCCCTTGCGGGCAATGCCCCCCCGCCGCCTCCCAACAGGCGCTCCAGCCTACATGCAAAGACTGGATCGACTTCTGCATTGGTCATAACGTCTGGTACCGGCAGCATCCCGCCATCGCCTGCACGACCGTCGCCGATGAGCTCAAAGGTCAAGAAGAGTCCAGCCCGGGGTAGCAGAACCCGCAGTAACAGCATCGACGCGCGACCGCATTCTGCTCAACCAGACTTGACAGAAGCAGGTCTGAGGCAGAGCCGGGCTAAGACGGTCCCACCGAAACAGCTGCATTTGCCTCCACCGCAGCCGCAGGAGCCGCAGGAGAAGTCCCCATCGCAGACCATTCCGAAGCAGCGGCACTACCCCCCGACAGCGAGCCAAGCGCCTCGCACCCGGGGATTTAACAACCTCTTCCGGCGCTCGACCGGATCGGCAGAGCAACACCAGCTCGCTGCGCCCTCCAGTGCTGCGGCCACCGAGACGTCGTTTAGCAACGTCCCGGCCCCGATGATGGGTGCCCCGTCGTGGGGCAAGCGGACCTCTCTTGTAGACGACGAGCGAGCCAGCGCAACGCCGCCTCCGATCCTCAGGAATAAGGGTCCTGGGCGATACGAAAACGACGACGGCGGTGTGCCTCTGGACTCCCCGGGCGGCGGCGGGGTGCTAATAGGAAACATTCCCGGGTCAGCGGCGCAGGGTCCCGGCTCCGCAGAAAATGGGGTGGCCCTAGGTGTCAATGGCTCCGTCCCCGCTGGCGGAGGCGGCAAGCGCAAGTGGCTGGGTCTTGGCCGGGTGGGTAGCCTGCGCAACCGTGGGGCCTAGGGGCGCATACGAAAGTATAGCAGGTGACTCGGGTGGGCATTCGCATTCGCCATTTTTACATTTCTTTTTTGAACTGGACGGAGTGGAGATTTTGCTTTCGGCGTTTTCGTAGGCTTGAGTTTAGGCATTTGGGCAGGCTTTTTGCGATTCTTTTCTAGTTCCGTGATCACGAACTCGTCTGCAGTGTAGTTAAATTGAGCATGTCTTTGGGACAGCCCGAGTTGGCATTGCGTTGTTTTGAGGCAATTTACTGGCTCTACAGCCGAGAACGGATGAAAATCCCCTTCTATTGGAGAACAAGAGCAAGACAGGCGAAGTCTCGGCCTGAAGAAGATCTGGGAGTGAGGGATGGGTGTGGCCGTGGTGTGGATGTTGGAATGCTTTTGAGCCCGGGCTACACGAAGGGTTGAGAAAAGGTGAAAGAAGGGAACAGCGCAAGTCAACAGGGCGGTTTAGGATACGTGTATATACTTTAGCGGGACGGTCGTGAATCTCAACGATGGATATTCTTGTATTGCATTACTTTGCTTACACCGTCTCTGAGTCTGAGTTTATCCGTGGTGCGACCTAGCTAATCACCCGGAGCGTTACGTGTTACACCAATTCTATCAGTGCTAGAGAAGAGCAGAGCTCTACGTTTGTGGAAAAGAGTGATTCAGCAGTCTAGGCACCTAAGCAGCGCAAAGAGTGTTCCAAGATCCCAACCCTCCAAAAGTCTCATCTATCCAATTCCACCATTCCCAGTCCAATCAGCAAGAGTGTTCAGGCCTACAGTCCCCCAGAATGTCCCTCGGCTTCGAGCGAGTAGCTCCAACTCAGCCCCATTCTCCATCCTGTCTAGGGCGAAGAAAGTGTCATCAGTTCACCCAGCCGCGGAAGCGGTTGGCGATGTCGCTGACATAGGACGGAGTCGCACCCTGGCCATCGCTGAGGTTGTCAGGGTTCACGGAGCCCGAGTTGTACTCTCGCAGGGCCGGGTAGATGGACTCGCCGCTCCACTTGTTGCCCCAGGTCTTCAGGTTCTCCTTGTAGTGCTTCGTGCCGCCCTTGATCATTCTCGTGATTTGGGCCTGTTCATATATGGTTAGACCTATTGAAGGTGGGAGTGTGTAGGGTAGAGACGAAGGCAAGAAGAGAGAGTTACCTGAGTCAGTCCTTTCTTGCCCGGGAAGCCATCGCAGCCAGTGCACTGCATCAGCCCGGCGGTCGGGACGCCGTCGGGGCTGATGGTGGTCTGGACGCCCACATAGCCGTGGCTCTCCTGCATGATGATGCCGAGGATGACGCGCTCGTCGACGCCGAGCTTAGCCGCGTCGATGATGGCCACCTTGATCTTGGTGATGTCGGCCGAGGTGCTGCCCGACGCGCTCATCGAACCCCGGTTGCACTCGAACAGGTCATCGAACGTGAGCCACGTGTCAATGTCTGGGAATTTCCTCCAGTTCCCGGAGTACGACTTCTTGCCCGTGTTGCACGCCGCGCTCTTGGTCAGCTCACCGCGAGTCTCGAGACCGACCATGGGCGAGGCCAGGACCAGGGGGAGAGCCGCGAGGAGTGCAGTGAGGAGGGGAGTCATGGAAACCATTGTTGCAGTGTTGGGGTGGTGGTGTTTGTGGTGTAGAGCAGGTTGAGGCTGGCTGAGTTGCTTGGATCTGACTGAGTGCTGGTGATGATGATGGGGATATCACAACCTCCAACGGCGCTGTCCATTGCTCTTTTTATGTTTCTATTGACCTTCACACGGTAGACTCTGTCAGTCTGACTCTCTCCTCGTACGACATTGCCAGACACACTCAGCGAATGAGATGCGTTCGCAAGGCGTATTTCGAATCGACACGGCTTACCTGCTCTTGAGAGAGGAGACGTTGCATGGGCAGACGTGTTCGTGATAATGTAAGCTGAGATTATCGTGCAGCGGTTGAACTAAAGTATGAGGTCCTCGTCGACGGCCTCCATTACTGGAAGCTGTAAAGACTTCGCGTCTGTGGCAATATCGGTTTAATCTTTCTGTGGATTGGTCAGAGGATGAGTAACGACCGTCAAGCATAAGCTTACCAGGCAATTTGGTGTATTGGGGCAATGATCCGGATCCGGGGAAGTCTCCTTGTGGAATGTGCAGGTGGCTGGACCAGCACCTAGTACTGAGCCGGGTTTTCTCGTGAAGATTTTAATTTTCACCTTCAATTCTTTTTGCATTTGCGCGTACTTGACGATATCAGGAGATCTGTAGAACCCTTTCAATCTTTAACTGGCGTAGTGCAGATGATTGGTAGCGTAGGTATAAAGATCTTGGGACAGAGAGCCTCAAATTGTTTAATCTGTAGGTAATTAGTACATTCCAGCCGAACTCGGGACCCGGATAAGATGGATGCTGATGTTGACGATGACACCCTCCCAGTCTTGACGGGACAACACTGGCTGTGTTGCGAAGTGCCCGATATTACAGCCGAAGAGAACAGATGGGCCGTGCTTGCGGTGTGCCTGTCTGACATCGAGGAGAATAGCGATTAGCGGGTAAACGGGTTATCGGTTCTTCCTAGCACCTGCATGCGGCCGTCCCAAGCAGCGACCGAGCCATCTGTCACAGACTGCCTCTGCATCGGCAGACAAAATAGACGATCGATGCCTCTTACTCCAAGCAACGGCAGCAATATGGTCGCAACTCCCGCCACACCGTCCGAGTTATTATTTAAATAGACCAGCAGGCAAATGTAACATCCGTGCTTCGCATTTAAAACCCGGAATGGAACGAGTTACACTATCAGGGCCAACCCAGGTAGTCACGGGACACAGAATGCGGTAGCGAAAGACGCTGAAGATGCAGTCTAATTATAATTACAGCCTCGTCTATATTCGCCCAATGCTGATGCTCGCAATACACGAACCGGGCAATGCTGATGCTACGTAGCAATATATACACGGGGGGCAAGGCTGATTTTGGCAATATATACAGAGGTCACTCTCGCCGACATGTCGCCACGATTAACCAGCTAACGTTAAAAAGAATATAGGGGTCGGCTTGGCGTAAGCTATTGTACAACCAGAATGTAATTAATTGACCCTCGCTTTCTATCTCTCTGGCCGGCAGTCAAATATGGCACCTATTCCGCCCCCATTCCACTATTGTCAATCTGGTAGTAGGTAAGTCCATACAATAATAAAAATAGGGAGAGTTTCTATAGACTCTGGACTGATAAAAGCGATCGTGAGATACTCCGTACAGAGGTCTAGCCGTCTCGCATATGCAGTCAGAATGGTGTATGTTGTTTATGGATTAACGTATGCTGTTGGACAGCTGGAGTAGGCGAGTAGATCAGGAGTAGAAAGACGTTGTTTTATATGGCGTTACGAGGAGGAGCCAAAGCCTGGAGCGGGTATGAATGAGGTAGAGGCTGTGATAGTCGCTCCGCTCGGATCTTTGCGGGCGTAGGGCGGACGAAGTTGAGAGATTTACGTGTGCGTGTGGACAGCGCACGTAGTAATACGTCAGGCATTGACTTAGCATACAGAATTAACACATTACCGTTCCATATATTTGTTTTGCTGTTTTTCTTGGAACACCAACACGGTGGGCAGTGTTGGCGCTGGTGTTGGCCTGGATGTGGGCTAAGCCAGGTGCAAGCCACTTAGTCCCCGGGATTAGGGGCACGAAGCCGGCCTGTTTCACTCGAGAGGCTGGGCAAGAAAATAAGACTAACAGCCCAATCATTAACGCTGAGCTCAAGTCAGCTGGCATGGATTGATCAACCAGCGCCAGCTGTCAGCAAGTCATGCCAGCTGCAGCAAACCGACACGCACTGCAAAGCACCTGACACAGCTCGATGAACCAGATGCTATGAAAGACCACAACACAACAGCAAACCGGCAGTAAGGCGAGGCGAAGCTAGCCTCACAAGGCACTGACACAGGCAGTCACATGTAGCTAGGTAGGTCGGGCAAGAAAAAAGGAAGACCTCTACGGAGTACAATATGCCCATATAGTTTTTCGAACACTAACCACCCCAACGACACTGACAAGATCGAGCTGCAGCTTCTAAGCAACTGTTCGGCGTTCGAAAAATTTGCTCATATGTTGGTACGTATGCGCCCACGCGTGCCTGAGTTCGGCGGTAGTAGAGAATGGCGCGACTCGGCCGCAACTGATGAGCTGAGCCTGCCATGTTGCACAACTCTCCGAGAAGTGAAAGGCAGCCAAAAAGGCATATGCAGAGGGCCAATCAATTCGCTCCGATCTCAATGAACCTGCGCTCTGCAAGCCAAGCGCAAGCCACAGTGCAACACAAACGATGTCGTGCCAGGAGCCTTGTTGAATGGGTTGCACTGTTTGGAAAGGCTGGGCCGTTAGTCAATTCGCCGTCGTACCCAGGTTTGGTTCTGCACTGCTCGTCTCGAGGGCCCGAAAGAGTTGAGGTGTGCCCTGGGCCATGGAACCACTGGTCAGTGACTGACTGGCACTTGCAGCTGGTCATCGGTCGGCGACTCGGAATTTGCTGATTGAGGGGGGGAGGGCCGCGCCTTCCTGCCAAAAGTGCAGCCGTGACAGTGTCAATTCGGAAAGACACTCAGCACACATCGCAGCACGCGGCAATTTCCTGTATTGGCGTCTCGGACCGCCCTCCCTTTCCCCGCTCTGCGCTCGTTTCTTGTGCCTGGAAGCAGACACGAACCAATTGCGCCGACTCTAGTTCAATCGGCAGCCTCGAGGATGAAGGGGGGGCATCCATGACCCTTCCCGCCACCAATGGACCGAGCCGACGGCGTCAATCTTCTCTGGGAACTGGGACGGCGCAGAGCCTCATGCTGAGGTCTGTGCCACACACCCAATTTACCATCGGTGCACAATTGGGATTGATTCGACTATGGCCGCTAGCACTATGTAGCCGAGTCAATTCTCGGCTGCGCCGCTCCGGGGCTGATTTGCCCTAGGATCCTGCAGATTGATCGCGAACCTGGGCCATTTCATTCGCTGCCGCGCCCGCCAGGCTGGACGCAACCCTCCCAAATCGGAACAGAGCTGCTCCATGTTTGCCCCCTCTTACTCGCCTGTGGTCGCGCTGGAGCATAAAGAGTCGAGCTGCCAGAGCCTGGTGGTTTCCAGGTAAACCAGGCTCCTAGGTCCCTAGAATGACGCGCCAACATGTCGCTCCGTCCAAATCAGCCGACACGGCCGTCCCTGAACCAAGGTCACCGATCGAATACCTGGGTCGTGACACCTGCAAAGCCACTGACCCATGTTGATCAAGACCTCGCCCCTCCGGCCTGTCTTTCGGCCGAGCCGCATGGCCCTGAGGCCGTTCGAGACCCCCTCCAGCACTATTTTGGATGCATTGAAATTTCCGAGCGCCGTAACTTTCTCGACTTGGAGATTACAGCCGAAGACGGTTCAAAGATCAAGAATCCAATATGGGAGTACGAAGCGGAGCTAGAGCGCCAGAAGCTCAAGGCGCAGGTCAAGACTCCGAACGAAAGCGGTCAGCGTGAAGAAAAAGAGGCGGCCAGGATTGCACAAGAACAAGAGGTGGCAATTCGCGTGGACAAGAAGATTGGGAGTATAGCAGTCGCTATCGATGCCCAATACAAGAGGACGTTGATACTGCGAGAGGCTCTCCGCAACGCACCCGACCCAGGAGCTTCGGCGCCCAGTAACGCCTCCCAGGCCACCACGGCCCCTCCGCCCGAGGTGAAATGTGGCCATCTGGTTCTCCGCGTCGAGGAAAGCTCCAAGGCCTGGAGGGAGTCAAAAGAGTACGAAGATGGGATTCTAAAGGTCCAGGCTTGGAAGGAGAGAGAAGAGTACAGAGGTTGGATGGGAAAGTTTGGGCCATTCCGCAGTGCCTGCAAGAAGAGAGTCGTTGATCGAAACATGCCAGACTCGGCAATGGACCCGAACCGTGAAAAGATCAGAGAAGTGGTCAAGAAACACCGGAATGTCCAGAAACTTGACTCGGAAGTCGGCGACTACGATCTTTTGAGAGATGTCAACGCATATCTGATACAATACACGGGTACGAAAGGCGACAAATCAGTCAATTCTGTTGCATCCACCTTAACTGCCACTAGGGACGTCCCCCCAACAACAGATTCTTTCTCGCTGCCTATGGATAGCTCGGCATCTGCCCGGCAGAGCATGCAAGACGACCATTTCAAGCCCACCGACGAGGAGCTAACAGACATTCGATTCAAGGGCAGGTTTCCCGACCAGCGGTTGTCTATGAGTCTACTCCTCGACGACACACCGGAGCCGGGCAGTAATATCCTCTGGAAAGGGCTCTACACAGAGAAGGATCCGAAGCGCATACGATATTTCCACATTCCGTCTAACAATATGGAGGTAAGAGCTTAGCCGTCTGCCAACATGCCAAATTCCATTCCAGTCAATGTATAGCTGACTTGTCTTGTCTATCAGTGGATAGAGGTAACGAAGAGCTCCAGGTTTCTTGCACTGGACTAAGCTCACGTGTTTCAGCAAGTAATTGCCGGGTACTACGGCGAGAAACGCCCAGACCTCGGGAGCAGCCATCGGGAGCCGCTAGTGAAGACCCAAACTCGAATGCTTCTCAGGCCCCAGTTTTGGCGTGGCCAGCAGAACGGCACACGCAGCGGCGTCGTTCACGCAAGGCATATGCGACCCCTCTGCGAGCGAATATCTTCAGGCAAGTCCACTAGTTTAAAAGTGGTGCTTTACTAACTCGAACAGAGATCAATGAAATCGAAGACAACCCAAAAAACATCGTTCTTTTTGTACGTCAGCCTCGACTTCGGGAAACGAAAAAATTGTTACTAACTACGCTCACTAGATGCCGTATCTGCACTGGGAGACGGACAGAATGAGAAGCTCAGTAGCGAGAATGATTGACTTTGAGTCACAGAAACAGCGTGTGAAGACAGAATCATACAACTTGGAGAAGAGAAAGGAGCGCAAGAAGATCCGGGAACATCTGGTGTCTGGCGCAAGAAAAACAACACACGGAAACGAGCATCCAAACCAGCAGATTATCGACAGGCTCAGTCGTAGCGAAGCACCAGCAAAGAAGGATGACATCCGGATCGAGAGATCAATGTCCCAACTCTTCAAAGATGTTGCTATACACATTGACACTGACCGCCACGGCCGACTGAAACTCAAGAACATGAATCGCCTGGGCCAGTATCTTCTTGACGCTGCACGGCTTTACGAGGGCATGTCGACCTGGCGAGACCAGAATATGCTGGAGAAGTATCTGTACCACGAGCCCCCCCTTCACCCTCGACGGACATTGGACCAATCATACTACTGGACCTTGAAGACAACGAAGGTTCGTGACCGGGATCAGGTCGTTTACCGCGGAACCAACATGGATCTTGAGTTCCGCCACAAGCTACACAAAAAAGAGCCAGAGAAGAAGGAAACAATCTTATCTAAATGGATGCGGGCTAGACCCGCCACACTAAGCCCCGACAGCCCAAAGTCGGAGAATGAGTACCAATGGACGGACCACTGGAGCCGAACAGACGAGCACGGGTGCGACCATTGTAAGAACGACATCAAAAAGGTTTCACAACTTATTATGGTGGACCAGCTGTGGATGTGGGTCCTTGACGAGCAGACCATTGTCACGTCATTTCCGAGGCGATACGGTTACAACAAACATGACCTTTCTGGAATCCACAAGTCGATCCGAACCCGGCTGAAGTCTGCCCGCAACAACCAGATACGATCGGTCTACGACCTTGCCCTCATAATCCTAGACGAGTGCTCCAATACTTTCTTTGATCGAACCAAGACCGAGGTAGGCCGACTCCCGAGTTGTGCGGTTCGACTACTAATACGGCGCAGGACAGTCAACCTCAGGTCATGGATATTTTCTCCGAGGCGATTGGCAATGTGGTTAGTACCGCTGCAAACAACCCACGCTGTAGCGGATGCCTAACCGAGACGCAGACAAACCAACACACCATTTCATTCCAGCACGTATGGCATTGGACGCAGAAGGCGTCGCACGTGTATCGGTCCAAGTCCAAGTTTGTTGACTCATCCCAACTCCATGTCCCCTTGCTCGATATCCACCCCGAAGGTAAGCTGCAGCGCGAAGTCAAGGACATTATCGACGAGCTTGATATCATGATCCACATCCACCGGAAGCAGAGGGAGGTGATCAGGAGATTCTGCAAGCATGTCGAACATATCTTGGACCCCGAGGGCCAGTGGAAAGATGGGCCATGGGATCAGCGACATAATGAACACATGGATTTGCACCGACCAAATCGTTTGCATAACGATCCTGGCAGGGAGCGCGACAGGGCCACGAAAAAGGACCAGCTGTCCTGGTTCCGCATGCAGTCTCAAGAGCTGCTTTCCGAGGTGGACGACCGGGTTGACGAGCTCGAGGGGCTGAGGAAAGGGGCCGAGAGCACGGCCACAAGTGTAAGTCGGATTGCCCGCGCCAGATTCCCAGACCAAATGCTGACACTTCCCAAGGTCAACGATCTTCTGTCGTTGAAGCAACAGCAAGCTAGCGTCGTGCAGGCCTGGGAGTCGGTCAACCAAGCCGAAGAGGCAGTCCGCCAAGGACGGTCAATCATGATGTTCACCACTATCACTATCGTTTTCGTGAGTCGCTTCCAGCAGCCTGCATGGACACACTCTGGTCATTTCAGATATTAACGCACGAGTAGCTGCCTCTTTCCTTTATGACGAGCTTCTTTGGCATGAACAATATCGAGTTTGGAAGCAGTGGCACGTACTGGACCATCGCCGAGCAGATAAAGCTTATGCGTAAGTCTCCAGGTATCCTCTTTATAGCGGTTGTATAGTAACACACTCAGTCCCCATATCCTTTGGAATTGTCCTTATTTCTATCATCGTCACATTCAGCAACCTGTTGCGGGCCAGTGTATGGTCCGTGTACACCTACGTCGTTACCTGGCTCATGGTCAAACTCGGCCTCTACAGGGTCTGGCTTACGTTCAGCGATGAGTGGCACGCGCAACGACTCATGCAAAAAACTGAAGAGGAGGTGCGGAAGATGAAGGACGAGATCCGCAAAGCCAAGAAGATCAGAAGGTCAGAACGGCCCTTTTGCAAAAAGGACAAGGACAACGAGAACAAGGAGGGAGAGGGCACCGAGAACGAGGCAAAGAACGAGCACCGCAGTAGTCGTCCGAGTTTCTTTTCAATCGAGTTGAACAATATTGAAGATGGCCATCCAAACCCGGGTACACAACGCAAACGCACCGCTGACACTGTCGCGAATGGGAACGGTACGGGGAATCACGCAGACACTTCATCCCGAGACCATTTCGCACCGCCAAACGGCCAGAGACCACCCAGTGCAAGCTCGTCGCAGCCCGTCGAGGAGCGAGTGTCAAGGGTCGATGTTCCGAGTGCGCCGGCAGTCCAGATGCAGCCAGAGCATATGGTATGACTAATGTAACATTACTTTTCTTTCTTTTCCTGTTGTTGCGACACTGTTAGGCTATGTTTGTCTCGGGAGTTTCAGAGAGCAGATGAGGACAAGATTCGTGTTCAGTGTCATGTTTGTTTGTGAGTCAGGCGGCGTTTTGACAGCTCTGGCAGGAGGTTTCTGGTGGGGTTCTATCGTCTCATCAAAGACGTTGTTCACACAATAGCTTTTCTATTTTACGGAGAACGGCCCTAGGCCCCTTTGGATTATGATTGTGGGAGCCGAAGCTTCGCGCGGATTTTATTAGCTCAATATTTGACGGCCAACTTCCATGCCGCTGTCTTTCCTGTTTCCCACACCAAATTTGACGCGCCACATTCTATCAACGCGCCCTGAGCGAGGCGAACGACGCGCATCCTTTTTCGGCAATCTCTCATCTCTCAAGCAAAACCGCGCTGTAGTTCCACGCAGGGAAAATGGCGCAAAATTCACTCTGCCGTTTCACGGCGCCGTATCGCGTATCCTCCGGGCCCATGCGAGTCAGCACTGTCAACGAGCACCGCATCTCCTGGAAGAATGACCACGATACGGGCATACTGGAAGCGACATGGCCGCGAGAGGTCGACATGGAGGCTGCGCGCAAGCTGGCCGTTGCTCATCTCCCAGCAGACACCTACAGCGATGCCACCATCGAGCCCTTCGCAAAGGGCGGTTTCCACGTCCTCTTTCTCATGTCGTCCGCCACAGACTCGGCAGCCCCAAAATACCTGATGCGCATACCCCTCCCGGTCGACCCCTTCTTCAAGACGGAGAGCGAGGTGGCGACTGTCAGAAAGAAGGCCATTTCGGTGACCATCGACGGCCGCCTCGGTGACCATCGACGGCCACCTCGGCGAGCATTACGGCCACCTCGGTGACACTAAACAACAAGTATAAGAATAAGGTGTCTGGCATGCCACAAAAGACAGATCAATCAATCTACATCGTTTTCTCCCCATATCACATGCAGTGCAGTACGTCTGACAGCGACCATGGAATATGTTCGGAAGCATACAGCAATTCCAGTGCCCCAGGTGGTGGCATACGCATCCAGCGCCTCCAACGAGCTGGGTTACGAATGGATTCTCATGGAAAAAATGCCTGGCGTCTCGGGTTCGGAGTTCTGGGATGAGACTATGCCATTTGACGCTAAGAAGCGTCTTGCCATCGACATTGCAGGCTACATGAAGACCCTGTTGCAGCTTCGCTTCCTGCTGCTGGGTAACCCGTACTTTTCCGACATCTGGCTCCAGGTTAACTACACGCCCGTGACGTGGCAGGAGCACGACCCAGACTGCAAGCTGTCTGACCCCGACGACAATCTCGGCCTTGACCCCGCCTTCGTCGCCGGTCGCATGGTGTCGCCCAGCTTCTACAGCGGCAAGCGTTTTTTCTTGCAAGCGCATCGCGGTTCCTACGGCACAGCACGCGACCCCATCGTCGCCAAGATCGACCTACTCGGCCAGCGAATTCACCGCCTCACACCCAAGCCCGGCACCGAGTACTATTGCAACACCGATGAGAGCCTGGCTGAGGGTGGACCCGAGGCGCTCGAGGCTTTCGACGAGCTGCGCCAGGTTGCGCCGCGCATCTTTAGCGACGCCGAAGGCCCCGAAGATGCCAAGGTGCTGTAGCACAGCGACTTGTCGGCGAACAACGTGCTCGTCCACCCAGACACCTTCGCGCTCACCGGCGTCATCGACTGGGAGTCGGCAGGCATCTGTTATGCGTGGGATATGGATCAGGCTATGCCGTACTTTCTGAAGGGCATCGAGCTCTTCTAGGAGCCGCCGCCGCGCGGAAGCCTGACCGAGGAGGATGAGGAGAATCTTACCGAGGCCCGCCAGGACTAGGACCAACAGGTGCTGCGCGGCATCTACGCCAAGGCACTAGGGGACGCCCTATTCGACAACTCGCTACATTCCAAGGATGAGGTGAATCTCAAGAAGAAAGTGCGTCATTTGGTGGAGATATTTGAAGATCGGTGGGAGAGCGTGACCTCCTGGCTGAATAACGAGATCGACAGAGAGAAGTATGGCCTGAGTGCTGCCGAGGATAGTGGGGAGGAGAGTGACGAGGAGGCTATCGAGGGAAGCGAAGACGATGACATGAACGAAGGTGGCGAAACCAGCCAAGAGCCTCAGGGTGTGGTCATGAGGGTTATCCTCCGTTTGAAGAGAATGGCGTTAGGGCGTCTGAGTGTGCTGGGATTGTATTAAGGCAATCAGACCACCACCCGTTTACACAAACAGGTCTCATGAGTCAAAACACCACGACATTGGCTTCTATAGTCACTGAAGGGCAGACGTCTGGAGGTTTAAAGGGACCCTGAGTTGGGCTTCTCCAACCCCACCCCAACCCAGCCATCCACAGCAACTTCTTCTCACCAAGGCACATAGCTGGTTAACCACATCGCAATACAAGACAACATAGCACACCCGCTCATCTCAGACAATTTGCTTACATGAGTATCAATGCCTAAGCGCACTTTCCTAGCCTTCCTCGAAACCATCCCGGCCGAAAAGCTGGAGGGCTTCCCGCCATGCAACGGTATGGCTACTATTTATAAGCAGCCAGCCAAGCAGGGAGGGAACTATCGCTTAGAGAAGCAATGTGTAAGCTTACCCAGACCCAGATGAGGAAGCATGTGTATGACTAACCGCACCTTTCTTGATAGTTCACGGCGGATGGGTACCACAACCTGCAGATCCAGGCCAACCGAAAGGCCAAGCTTGCCAGGGTGAGGTCGTTTGAGGCTCCGAACGCGGTGGCCACCGTACTGCTACTCGAGGGCGCCGAACCGGCCGTATCTGCAGAGGAGGTCCGGAATGCCTTCCTTGCCTCGTGGAACGACGAGGGTAAGGCTGTCCATCTCGGCACAAAGCCGGCCGGCCGCCTCGGCTCGGAGCTGGAGCTGGAGCTGGAGCAAGGTCCGAAGCCCGACAAGCGGGGCTGGCGAGGTAGCGTAGCTAGCCTGAGGCGCTGAAAGCTTAATTATGTCACGGTCGGTGATCGAACTCAGGGAGGGAATTGACTGATTCTCGGTCGTCCTTAATCCCGAAACAGCAATCACTTTCTATGGCCTTGCCACGCAAGCAATCATTCCCTATGTCGTGGCACGCAAACAAGTCAGTCGCAGCAGCTATCTAGCCGAGGATGATCTCCCTCCACTCCGCCCTGGACCGATCAAACGCGGCCTTGAACACCTTCCCCAGGCCAACACGGCGGCAGAAACCTTCAAACGGTGACCCCTCGACGAGCAGCACATAGAACAGGTCCCACTCCGACTCTTCCCGCTCGCTCGGAATGTAGTAGCCCCAGTGCGGGAACTCGGCCGCCGTGAACGACTTTGCGTCGGATATGGCAACAAAGTCAAACTCGGTTCTCTGCTCCCCGCCACCCCGTGCCCCCGCATGCCCGTGAGTGTGGTTATGCCCATTCCCTGCGTTGTTCTCGTGATTAGCTGTTCCCTCTGACGGGGAATCTCCAACCAGCGTCACTTGACTTTGGTCTGTATTTCTCCTTGGCACTGCCCCCACTCCATCCACCTCTGCCTCCTTCTTCATCCTGTGGCACTTGCACTCGCAGTCGGCCTCTTTGTCCTTCTCGACCGGCGGCTCCTCCTCCTCGTCGTACCTCCTGGGGTTGAAATCTTCGAGGGGCTTTTTCTGCCTCGCGAACCACTCCGGGTCCAGCAGGATCGACCCGCACTTGTCGCCGCGCCGATCTATGATGTCGAACCGTGCAAGACCCTCCTCGACCTCCTCGTGATCGGAGACGCAGTGGCCCGACGGAGCGACGTCGGCGGGCACGACGCGGAACGAGGCCCGCCACGAAAAGAACTGCAGGAAGATCTGGTCGGGAAACTCCTGCACTGTGCCCCGCGCCCGGAAGGTCCCGTCGACGGGCACATTGTACGGGTCCTCGGGCAGCGTCAGCGAAAACTCGGCGTCGGCGCTCACTCTGCGCACCGCGGCCCGCCCCGGCGAATCGCGATGGCGGCCGTATGCGTCGTACTGAGGGTCTGCTACAGGGCTGCCCATGATATCGTCCGAGTGCACGCCTAGGTTTTGATTGTTATGCACCATGTCCAAGTCGTCCGAGTCGTCCGACTTCCCGATAAGGGCGTCCAAAGACAAGGAGGACCGAGTTGAGCGATCTGATCCGTCCCACTTCGGCACGCGGCGCGAGAATTTTTCCCTCGTCAGGGGCTGTCTGCTGACTCCGTCGTATTTCCTTCCCGTTCTCGGACGAGGCGTTGTGAATTTATTCTCTCTTCTCCGCATGTCGTGTGTCATGTCGACTGGGTTGACTCTGTCATGTCTAGTCCTTGATTCTAAATGAGCAAATGTATTCGCCCTCTCCCGACTGATTTCAGTGCGCACCGACCTGCCCCGTCTGTCCAATTCGCTGCCCGACGACTGCTGATTCTCAATAGACGGGGCGATCGAGCCCGTTTCCACCTCCATGGCGCGGCCATAGCCTCTCCATCTTGGCTGCTGCGTGTCGTCTTCGTCGGAAGGCTGCTTCCGGCGCGACTGGCGCTGACCCCAGACCCTCTTCAGCGTGCCCTGGCCGTCCCGGATACGCCAGTCGATCCAGGTATGGTCCAGGAGCCACTCGTGGACGTCCTCGAGACACCCGCCGACCATCTCGGGCCGGTACGCCATCCCATTGCTCGCCCAGCCGGACCAGGACCAGCTCGGAAACTTCATCTCCTTGTACTTGGGCTCCTTGGTGTGCACGGGCTTGACCAGCCTGGAGGACCGGCCGACGGGCTGCCACAGCAGCGCAAAGTCGAAGTGAGAAGTCGGGAGGCCGAAGAGGAACGGGCACTTCATGGTGTACTCCATCAGCTCGGACATGCCGCTGAAAGCCGCGAGGATGTCGAACGGCTCGGAAAAGTTCCGCTGCGTGTAGAGCTTGACGCAGTGGACGTAGAACCACAGGCTGCGGCGCTTCAGCTGTGACAGCATCTGCAGCGGCGACCGTACCATGTCCAGCGACCAGCCGCGGCCCCTGCGGTCGGCAAACACATCCTCGCACATGCCCGTGGACCGGCACTGGAAGTAGATGCGGCCGCCGGTAAAGATGAGGCAGCGCCGCGACAACAGTCGCTCTTGGAACGTCCACGCCCGCGTGTTCCACTTGGACGCCTCGATACTGGCCTCTGGCGGCTCGTGCAGGAACAGGCGCACCCCGAGCGCGCACGTCTCCGTGTGCTGGGTGCGCTTGAGCCTGTTGTCCAGCGCCCGCAGGCCGTCCCGTGCGTCCTCGCCGTCGGCCGCGCAGAGCGTGATGGTCGCGTTTCCGTATATCAAGTGCATGGCCCGGGCGTTGAGATTCCACGAGTGCGTGCTGTCCTGGACAATGCACAGGGCGTCGATCCAGATGTATTTGATTCCCAGCGAGTGGACTAGCTGGATGCTCTGCTGCAGGGCAAGGGGGAGCTGCGCCATGACGGATGCCAGGCCGCCCGACTTGCGCCTCTTTTGCACGTTTCGCATGTTGGTTTTGTAGTGGCGGTTAGCGCTTTTGCCCCAGACGTAGCTTACGGCCGCGTAAGGGAGGAAGCGGATGTTGCCTTTCTTGTCTGTCTCCTGCGGCAGGGGAACTAGTCGCTTGTTTTCAATGTCGAAGACGCCAAAGTACGGCTCAGTCAAGATGCGGAGAAAGTCCTGCTCGACCCCGAGGTTCCTTGTGCACAGCTTGCCGTGGTTTGACTCACAGAGCCTCATGAACTCTCGGATGATGTTGCCCTTGTACTCTGTCGGGCCGACGCGCCTTCCCAGGAACTGGGTCTCGTCGTTCAGGAGCTGTCGGTAGCCTACATTCGCCGGATCGTATCTGGCCGGAGCCGCGAGGATCAGGTAGGCCACGTAGTCTTTGATGGCCTTCCGGGCCGCGGGATCGAGATCACCGTGGGCGGGAGCCGTCCAGCACACGCGAAGCCTCCGGCTGCGTTTCTGTGGCTTCGCCGAGTCCATCGAGAGGCGGCCGTCAACCTCCCAAAGAACATGGCACGTCGAATCATCGGGTAGCTCGTGATGGTCTGGAACGGCTAGGGAGACGAGGCTGCACAGCTTGCAGTCGTTGTTCGCCCTGTCCCTGATGCGCTTCCAATTGCCCAATTCGAATCGCCTGTTGCAAAGCTGCAGTAGTTCGACAGTCGGATTTGCGTCGACTGCTGCGTCGTCCGAAATTATAAACGTTGCCGGGGTGAGGTTCAGTTTGGCACACCACTTGCAGGTTGGAACAGCCATGCTGAGAGATGGAGTGTGGTGATGGCAACAAGACACGGTGTAAGGTGGCGATCACGATTTGAATGCGAATGGCCAGTGCTCTCTGCCTTTATGGAGATGAAGGTGACGTGGTTTTATTCTACATGACACGCTGCTAAGAAAAGAAGCAGAAAATACAACAACGCCCAAGTCGGAAGAAAACCTCACGTCTGCTAGATGTAACGTTCCCTATCGCACCGGATCGGAAGTTGCCTTTTCGCATTACAAATGCTCTTTGTTTAGTTTAGCTCTTGCATCTCGGTCTGCGAGATAGGTATGAACTCGATGAAGCGGTGAGCCTCAAACACTGAAGCACTCAGCACGGTTTGTCCAGCCTTGTTGAGTCTCGGAGCAGTCCAAGTCCACGATGTAACCCACACACCCCCGACTTCTACCGCACAGAGTGTCAGTCCAAATTGGGTGCAGAATGAGGAGCAAGACGGCCTGTCCAATTGGTAGTCGTACGCCCAGCGTGGGCGCATCTTTGCTCGATTGGGCACCAGGGAGAGGAAACCAAGGGACGCATGCAGCCGGCTGCAACTCGCTCATCGGCAACTGCGCCATTGGTTCCGTGCTTGATGCAGCTGTTATCGCAACCCGAGGTGAGTGCATCATGCACGGCAAGACTGAGCCACTTAGTCTGCATGCTGCAGTGTAATTCTGTCACCAGCCACGCTGGCACCAGCCCTATTTCGGGCTCTCGGATCCCACGGCCCCTTTGTAAGCTATCGACTTTGATCGTAAGCATCCTCACACTGGCTACACTCCTTGCCACAGACTCCTTGCCACAGACGACACGTCGACCGAGGCCCTCAATCTTGTCTCATTGTGTACGCGAGTTTGCCACAAATCAGCACAATGTCTCCTAGCCCTCATGCAGAGACCCTCCCAATGTGGGAGTGCCACCGAGAGACGATTACCCGCTTGTACCTGGTCGAGGACCGACCGCTCGATGAGGTGCGGAGGATTATGGCCGCCCAATTCGGCTTCAAGGCCACGTGAGTTGCCCTCTTGGGTGTAAACACCGAGATCAAGACTTGACGCTGAGCCTGGCGTGCAGTAAGCGAATGTACACGTTCCGCGTCAAGAAATGGGGCATCAAAAAGAACTACACGGCCGACGAGAAGGATGAGATCGCCCTGCAGATAGCCGACGCCCTGGCCAAGAACCAGGAGCTGTCCGGCCTGGTCTTCAACAACCGACCCATTAAGCATCACCGAATCGTAAGACATGTGAGGTCCAAGGAGCCAGGGGCCACTCCTTGCACCCCCCAGCTGTGGGCCCAGTACCGGGGGCGTAAGGACGCCGCACATCAAGTCCCGGGTCAGCCAACCGATCACATTGGTGCGACGCTGCCTTTCTCCCAGACCAGATCTGCCGAGATCATTCTTCAAGCCACCCACAGTTTCGTCAGCTCGATTGCAGACATCACGTCCTGCAGGCCCAGCTGCAATGCAGCAGCGGGTGATCAGTCCGGCTCAGTCAAATCCGGGCCGTCCAATCCCGCAGTCCGGGGCTTCTGGGCTGACTTGGGCAGCGCTCTGTACCTGCTGCGCGTGGGGGCGTTCAAGCTGGGCTGGGAGAACTTCCACGTGGCGTGGCAAAAGGCGCCTGAGGCCGCCGTCTCCGACCCTGCAACTCTGCTGAGGAGGATCTTGACCATCGCCGTGCCCGCTTACCTGGGCCACCTCCCCGGTTTGTGCGGGCTCATCTTGAAGTTCATGGCCGAGCTGCTCCAGATCAGACTCGGTGCAGCCCACCCGCTCGTTCGAGTCTGCGCCCAGATCCAGCGCGACGGCGAGACCCGCAAGACCCTAGACGCCGCCCTCGGTCTCGTGAGAGACTTGTTTGAAGAACGGCTGGGCCCAGAGCATTCCGAGACGTTCAAGAGCCACCTCGCGCTGGTCGTGTGCCAGCGACGGAACTTGGACCTGGCAGCCGCGGAGAAATCCGCCGTGGGGCTGATCCAGCGGTGTCGAACGTGCCCCGGCCTCCACTCCCAGCTCACAGACGCAGTGCTGATGCACGCCTACATACTCAAGGACCAGCGCCGCTTCGGCGAGGCCATCGCGCTGCACCATCAGATCCTCAGCGAGTTCCACGGTATGGGTCTGGTGCGCGACGGGCAGCGCATCGGCTCCAGGGAGTGCCTCGCCGAGCTGTACCGTTTCCAGGGCCACCTCGCGGTGGAAAGCTGGCACCTTGCCGAGGCGCTGAAGGACGCAGAGAGGGTGTATGGGCAACGCGCCGCAGAGACGCAGCATGTCCGGGACAAGTTGAGACGGTCGCTGAAGGAGCGGGGCCGTCTTGATGAAGAGGCGTGACAAGAGCCAGGAATGGCCCGCCGCCTTGTATCCCACCATGAAAGCCATGTATGACCAAAGAGCGTTAGCAGGGTCGCAGTATTCATCTCCAACGAGTGGTAAGCTGCTGTGCTTCATTGTCTGGCGATGCATCTACAACAGCCCATTGCGGGTTTACGATACTCCAGTCTCGTGTTCCCTGCTAGGCTTGCTATTCACAAATGCTGACGGTTAGCAAACATTGGCAGAACAAGAAACAACAAAGACAACGAGGACGCGCATGCCTAAGGGGGGTAGCTCTTTGCTCCTTTGGTACCGGCAGGGCGCCGCGGCCGCCATGGCGATGGCCTTGATTAGAATTATATTTGTCATTTCAAAGCCGTCGAAACAGCGGGAAGTAGGGGAACTAGATTGCTAATTCCTTGCTAGAAGTGTAAACACCTATATTGAATAGCTAGCAAACTCATCGTGATATGTGTCGTCTTGATCGCCGCCCAAAGGCGCTCTCCTATATCTCGCCTATATTCTTGTCGTATTAGGTCTGTCTGCGCTTAGGAGTTGGGTTGGGGGACGGGAAGCCCTGCTTCCGCTTCTGCAAAGCCGAAGAGGCGCTCGTTTCTGACGCTGAACCCAAGCCTCCAAAATCTTGCCGGCCATTGGGTCAGCAAGCAATACGAGGCAGCGGCTTGAGGTGGAAGTTAATCACATACCTTCTTGGATAGACTGGAGAGGCATAGCGACGGTCGGAGCACGGGCAGCCACATTGGGTCCGGAGGGAAGCCCATTCGCTAGCTCTGTAAAGTTTCTGGGATACCAGTGACCCTGTGCGTCCGTGCCTGTGTTAGTAGGCGGGGGGGCATGCGTCGTCATGGTGCGATCCAAATTCGTGTCTGGCTCAGCTTTGATGGGCCTCAAAGCCTGGGGATTGCGGGGGGGATTCCAATTCGAAGGGCCCTTGGGAATTGGTCTCAGGTTCATGGGAGGAGGCTTGATATGGCGACGATTACGATTTGTGTCGGAGGCTGGAGTCGCAGCGACGGGAGCCGGCGTGCTCGGAGGCGACGTGACAGCCATTGCTGAACACCCAGGGTCAGACCAGTATCAAGAACAAGGGTTAGAGTTACTTACCAGCGTCAATGATAGACTGGATCCTCACTCTCGAGATGCCTGAGAGCATTGCCTCATCGATGGTATCGTAAATGGCGCGGAGTTTCTTGCCATCCCCCTCCATAGATCCGTTTCCGGGCCGAGAGGTGTTGGGCTGGTTGTCTGCTAAGAGTTAACCGTTGCACCATATAGTCTAGTGGGAATGTAGTGAAGGGGAAGGAAAGGGAAAGGAAATCAGGCGATGAGGTCAACCGTCGACTTTCAGGTGAAGGAGGTGTGCGACGGCACTTGTGGAATGTGGACACGGGCGGGATCAGGGGCAAACTTTTATAGCAGTTATTGCGACCTTTCGCCATGATCTTCCAAGTGTGCGGTAGCGAAAGCTACCCGTAAGCTCGGATGTCGACGGTCAGTGAGGTTGATTAGCAACGCGCAGGCCCGCCGTCGATTTCTGGAAGGAGGTTGTGGAGGGGAGGTGTGCGCTGTGCGAGATGCGTTATATCAAAGATGCGTATGGAGAGAAGTGTTACGGCAGGAACGCGTTATATCAGAGACGCGAGAAAGGAGGATCAGGCGACTGCCAGCTGCACACTGCCTAACAACGCCAGTCACACGCGGCGCAAAGGCTCATCGCAAGGCAACCGACAGACTTGGGATGAAAATCGAGTAAAATATAGAGAATGACGAATTCGTTCGGGTAGGGAGAAATAGGGTTGGCTGAATTTTTCGTGCAAAGTTTGAAATTTCGGAAGGGTTGCGGAAAGTTCATGAAAAAAATCAATCGTTTTTTCAGTCCGTGCGTTGAGCCCCACTTTTCCTCCAATCTGGCCAATCTAGTTATTTAGCTCTCAACCAACTCGAGCCGGGCGGGGGTGGGGGGAGGATATTTTGTCATATATAACCCTAACCCGAAACATACGACTTTTCATGAATTTCATGAAAAGTGAGATTTCATGAAAAATTCGTATTTTTTCCGAAATATGCCAACACCGGGTAGAAAGGAGAAAGAAAGCGCCGAAGCCGACGGGATGCAGCGGGCAGGGGAATTTTGGGCATTTCAGCAAGGCATGGCCAATCAGATACGTATAGATACGGAAACGTTGAGACCTGGTCGGGCCTTCCTTTCAGGTCAGGAAGGCGCAACGCAGCCTGGCTACTCTTCCTCCCCACCTTCCCCTCTGAGTGGTGCTCTGGGATTCTAGCCCAGCACCGGTCACCACAGCTTCTTGAACCGAATCTTCATCTAGCGGTCGGGCGGCATCGTAGCCGCGCCGGCATAGCGCTCATCCATCGCTATGAGCCTCCCTGTCCGACTTGGTGCCATCGAGCTTAGTCCACTCGACAAACTCGATGTCGAACCGTGTGCTTATCGCAGCCGTGACGATTATTATTTCTTGCTTGGTAAAGTGCCTGCTAGGACACATTTCGCTTCCGCCGCCTAGTCGCAAATCAGTTAATTAACCATTGTTTGTCAGGATCCACGAACGGACAGCCGACGAAGCATATCTTACCGTACGGATACCAGGCACCCGTCCTGCCAGCCATCGAGGTCGCGTACTCGGGTTTGTAGCTCTTGGGCCACCGACTGCCAGTTCTTCAGCTCCGACGTAGCCATAATCTTCACTGGTTGGTATTTTTCACGGCGACAGTCGCGAAACAGAGCGAATTGGACAGGAAGAAACACTCAAGGCACTAGTCCATTTTAGGGTGCTCCTAGTAGGAGCACCCTAAAATGGACTACTTGGGCTTTCTTAAAATCGTACACAGGGGTCCTGCTCCGGCCATCTGGATGACCACCGCTAGTGGCCAGGTCTATATAGAGGCTTGTATGAACGGGGACTAGCTCCCACCAACGGAATGCCAACGAGTGAGCTGAGTTGGTAAATATTGCGTTTTGATTCGAGAATCTGACAAACTGGAAAACTCCCTTACATTGCTCGCAAAGTCAGAGATAATACAGTCCCTACGGGCTGGAGTTCTCCTACCGGGTGGGTGCACATATTTCTGGCAGCCCAGCACATTCAAACTGCACTTTCCTATAAGGTACGACGGGTGCCTCGCTACGTCACTTAGTTATTAGGAATATTCTCAAGCCATATCTAGTTGCCTTATCTCTTGCCTGCCATATAGATTGGCTGTATTATTCTAGTACTGTCACAGCTTCCTGACCGGCTTGGTTTGTTGCAGGTTTGAGCCGTATTTTGTTACCTTATTGCCCGTCGATTGCCTTCTCTAGCTCTTCCTATTTGTGGAATTGGAAATTTTTACTGGGCCGCGGCCGCTGGTGTTTGGCAGTCACACTCTTTTGAAGTACCGCTTGGGGCCCAGAACCTCGCACATCATCCGTGGGCAGCGGAACATTCAGGCACTATTACGACCCAGACAGGACATCGCATCTGAAGGATTCATCTCGTATTCCAAGCGAAGTTCGTGGGTCGGCGTGAACTTGCTAGAGTTCTTGAAACGGGACATGGGAGAGAGCGCGTGGGGGTCGTTCCAGGGCCCAAGGAGCCTCGAGCTGGACCCCAACATGGTTGGTGCGCTTTGGGATTTCGACATGGTCGCCTTCAGCCTGCTGTACGGCCTGCCCAGGTGGATGATGGCGAGTAAGTGGCGCGTGCGGGAAAAGTTATTTGCCCCTACGACCACCGCGGTACTTAGACGCAGCTCGGAAGAACTTCGACTGGGATGGCCTAGATGCCGAGCCGGACTGGGAAGAGCACTTTGGCGCTCGCACCTCAGGCAAGTTGACCAAGTATTTGAAGGAGGCCGGATTCACAGACCGTTCCATCGCCTGCTACATTTCTATCATTGCTCGGTGCCGTAATGACGTGCCATGCTTGTCTGCTGACTACGACAGGATCAACACGAACACGATCCCGATGAAAGCGTGAATGCTTATGTACCTCATCCGAGACCCGGCCCTCCACCAAGCAGCCCGCAAAGAGGCAGTGCATGCACTCGTCACCGATGCAGCCACCGGGGCCCGGACAATTGACGCCGCCAAGCTCGTCGCCCTCTCGCTTTTCTAGCCCATTTATGTCGAGACTCTCCGGTTGCACTTCTCGATGCCCATCACTCGCGAGACTCCGGTTGCACTTCTCGATGGCTATCACTCGCGAGACCACGGCTTCGGTCGTGCTCGAGGGGCACAAGATTCCAAAGGGCTCCTTCGTGCAGGACTTCACGGGGGCCATCTCCCATCTCGACGAGACTATCTGGGCCAAGGGCGGACACCCTGCGGCGGAGTTCTGGGGCGGGCGCCACTTCCGGAGCTACCCGACACTTCCTATACGATAGCCTCGGCGACCGGGTGAAATTACCTTCGTTTTAGAGACGCCAGAGGATCAACCAGTCCGGAGAGCCCTTCAAGTAGACAGTTTTGTCGCCCAAGCACCGCGGACCGAAGATGCCTGGCTGAAGAGAAGAGAATATCGTGGGCTTTCTGACTCAAGATCATCCATCCAGACCTTACAATTCGTCAACTATACGGTACCGTCCATCCGATCCTCGTCCATAAAACCAGATGGAAGTCCTGGTATACAAGCTCTCTTACAAACTTACCAGTACTAGGGGGGATGCCGTGATTTTCAGCAGAGCTACGGAGTAAGCCGGTTTCTGCATACTCTGCCAGCGCATTCTGCAAATCCAACTAAGTATATCGCTTCATCTTTCATTTCTCAATTGAATGGAGAAAAGAAGATAAGTATTGAAGCAGAATTGGTCGAGTTGCAAGCGATTGAAATAGGTGAGTTGGGTGGCGAGCGGCAAGTCCTTGATGACAAGCCTTGTTCCAAATCCAGGGGTGTTCCATAAGCAGACCACCTGACTTACTGATCGGCAATAAGCGAGATTAAATATTTCAAATATTTCCAATCGAATATTTTTTGCCCACCCTGGATCTAGGTGGACCTCCAATCAGGAAGTACAAGATACTCTGGAATGAGTCTACGCATCGGAAGAAGGCGTCAGAAGACACACCGGAGGACATATCAGAAGACGAGCCGGAACACATATCGGGAGATGCTGTGGAACACGCATCAGCCCTTGTAGGCAAAATGAGAAAAGGTTATAACCTTGAGCCCAAATAAGACTGCATCTCATTCTCGGTGCCGTTCCTGATCGTGTTAATAGGTTTTGAGATATTCAGGTAAGCCACTATCATATGCATGGAAGAGGTTCTTTGCTAACTGTATTGTAGGTTACCTGAAATAAACGAAGACTTTAAAATGAAGATATCTCAGGAAGAAATCGATAAGTCAATTTACACCTTGTAGTCTACCGAGCGCATATTGGGAATCAGGCATCTACCAGTTGAGGGCCAAGATATATCGTCAGGTACGTTCTATATATCTATCATCGACCGAGGGACCAACACTTATCCGTTACCAACAGGCCAGAGAGGCGACAAGAGCGCGGGTTATACGCCACACCAACGGAGAACGCGATTTCTCGCCAGTACTGTCGCTGGCTTCTCGGATTTATCGAATGCTTTACAGAGCCAGGAGCCTGGAAATACGAGAACACATACCAGTAAGAGAAATCCTTGGTTTAAGCGCGATAGATAAGGTCAGTTGAGTTCTCCGCCTAACAGTCACGGACAAGGTCTACTAGTTCCTTCTCTCTCCAGCATCGAGTAGACGACCCGCAAGGTGGTGACGGGAGAAGCGCACAGCCCGCATTAGAGACAACACACGGGCAAGCGATCTCTGGCGTATTCAGCACGCAATTTACAGCAATCAACCATAGTCCGGGCACCCTCAAGAAGCGGCACGGGGACGTTAGGCCCCCCCACCAACCTGGCAAAAAACGACCGAGACGCGCAGATCATCGTGCGGATAATCCTCTACCCGCATCCCAACCTCAGAGTCAGCCAGATGCGCTTTTGCCAACGCTTCAGTCGGGGAGCGCACCCAACGGCGCCACGATTCATGACACCCTCCCTTCCAGCGACACGCGCCATTCGTCGCCGAGCGGACCCGATATCGAGGATCTAGGACCCCATGCACCGCCTATCAATCCCACTCAGCAATCGCCAAGCGGAGCCGGTGCTGAGCCGAGAGTTTCTGACAATCAGCCTCTATTACTACCAGCCTTACGAGTTCAGCCATTGCGGGGTATCCAGGTACGAACATCTAACGACAATGGCGCCAATTTGCTGGCACCCCTAAGCAGTGATAATACCGCCCGAGAGCGAAATATGCAAGAGAGAGGCATACGGTTCGTATCTATTAGCTCCTCGTCAATAGCCGGCATATATCTACACAATAGCGGTGGCATTCGTGATGTACTACCTCCCAACGAAGCGCGCCGCTTGGAGTCCGAAATTTATAATGGTGTAACCGCATCATCGAGTACAAGGCACAACGCCAACCCGTCGCTCTGGGGCGCCGATGACGGGACCGGGGGAGCAAATCTACAGGCTCGACCTACCAATGCCGCCGAATAAGCGACCTCGCTACTAGACAATACCGAGCAAGGAGTGCACGGTGTGAGATGCGTCAACCCTACGTCCTTGAGTCAGACCTCAATCTAATCTGCGCCTGGTTTCGAGGGCGATTTATTGATGGAAATCACTAGGCCCGAAGACGGGAACACCTCGTCGGGTACAAGCTACAACGCACATTCCGTACCAGACCTCTCGGTGCAGCAGGAATACGGATCCCGCGTAGTATTATTCTTAATATTAATGTTTTGACTTGCAACCCATTCCTTTAATACCGGCCCCTTGATTGCTTTATTAGAATATGTTATTAATCGGAGATGTATATAACGTATTTGATGAGCGAGTTAGCCATGATAAGCAAGTTGGCCACCTTAACGAGACCGGGTAGCGTGCGCAGCCAAATGCGATAAGAAATTGATAAGATCACTAACAATTTACTAACATCTTTTTGCTTGTGCCCCACCAAATCTCGTTAAGGTGGCCAACTCGCTTATCATGGCTAACTCGCATATCATGAACGTTACTGATATGTTCATTTTTGACCGCTTTATAGATCTGCCGGTGTAAATCGATAGGATGGTACTCGTATATTTCTCCCGGCGTATTTTTTATTTGCTCCTATATCTCCTGTTTCCGCCCGGCTTCCTTATACAGCTATGTAAGGACGCTTTCCTGTTTTTTCTCAGCGATCGATGTTGGGAATAGCTACCTCAAATCCATGGCTATTTGCGACGTAAGGCTTTGGGGATAGGAAAAGGAAAAAAAGTCACTTGAGAAGGGCCCAAACTGCCATTTAAGCTAGAGACCGGCCTCTCGTATTACTACTTGTGAAAATATTGGGTACCAGGTTAGGTTGGAGCCTCAAATGGTGGGGAAACTCAGCAGACTGAAATTACTAAGCAAATATCTAACTCCAATAAACTACAAAAGCACGGACCAGGTTATTGACGTCATTGATATGAAACATCGCCGGCTTCTAGTGCCCGTTTCTTTTTCTAAGACGACTTATTCAAGGAAGTCATCGCGGGGCCAGAAAGCAGACGACCTCAACTTGCTAACTTCATCATACCTATCAGTACCATTTGGCACGCCGCTGGCTGACTCGTCGGCGGCTGCGTCAGGCGTAGATTCAGTTTCCTCCTACGCCCCATTATTAGCAAAATTATTCACTAACGTGTGTGATAAGCGAGATGAACAGACAAGCGAGTTGAACACTTTTGACGCGACGCGCCTCCTCTCTACAAAACACCAAATTCCTCAACAAACTCAAATGTCTCTTCCTTCATACGAAGCTAGGGTGAATTTGGCCCTCAGGGCTATTCAAAACGACCCAAAACTCAGTATTCGAGCTGCAGCAACAACATATCAAGTCACGGTAAATACTATACGCAACCGACGCGACGGCAAACCTGCACGACGTGATACTCCAGCCAATTCGCGTAAGCTTACGGATTTGGAAGAGAAAACGATTGTTCAGTACATCATTGAGCTATGTGCGCGCGCATTTCATCCCCGGCTTTCGTACGTAGAAGATATGGCCAATCGATTGCTACGCGAACGCGACGCGCCCTCTGTCGGTACACGCTGGGCTCACAACTTCGTCAAGCGCCAGCCAGAACTTCGGACGCGTTTTACGCGTAAATACGACTACCAGAGGGCCAAATGCGAAGATCCAAAAGTTATTCGCGAGTGGTTTGCGCTTGTGCACAACACGAAGGCCAAGTACGGTATCCTTGACGAAGATTTGTACAATTTCGACGAGACCGGCTTTATGATGGGCATTATCATCCCCGCTATGGTAGTTACTACCTCTGATGGCCGTGGTAGGGCTAAGCAAGCCCAGCCTGGTAATCGAGAGTGGGCTACAGTCATCCAAGGAGTGAATGCTCTAGGCTGGACTATCCCACCATTCATTATCTTAGCTGGGCAATATCACCTTGCTAACTGGTATCAAGAGTGCAACCTTCCGGGTACCTGGCGTATCGCAACAACCGACAATGGCTGGACTACTAATGAGAAAGGCATGGATTGGATTCGGCACTTCGATTTCCACACAGCATCTCGTACGAAGGGAATATACCGACTGTTAATTCTCGACGGCCACGATAGCCACCACTCCGAAGAATTCGAGACTTACTGCCGGGAGCACAACATCATCACACTCTGTATGCCTCCGCACTCTTCACACCTACTTCAGCCATTGGATGTTGGTTGCTTTGGGCCGTTGAAGAAGGCGTACGGCTGTCAGATTGAGCAGCTGATGCGGATGAACATCACACATATTAGCAAGCTGGAGTTTCTTTGTGGGTTTAGAGAGGCGTTTTTTGCTTCGGTTACGGAAAGGAATATCCAGGGGGGGGTTGCTGGAGCCGGCCTTGTGCCGTACGATCCAGAGAGGGTGATATCCAAGCTGGATGTGCGTATTCGGACTCCAACACCCCCAGCTACAAGCCCAACTACATCGCTACCTTGGGTCTCCCAAACGCCACAAAACCCGAGAGAGGCTGCCTCACAGTCAGCGTTCATCAAAACTCGAATTTCCAACCATCAGGGCAGCTCTCCAACACCAATGCTGACTGCTGTGGATCGATTAGCTAAAGGTACGATAGCTATAATGCACGAGGTGGCTCTTTTGCGTACAGAGGTCTCAGCACTTCGGAAGGCCAATGAGGGGCTTAGTAAGCGACGGAGAGCCAAGAAAACACGTGTTCGGCTTGGAGGATCACTTACTGTACAAGAGGCACAGGATCTACTGGATCAGAAGGCTGTGGGTGGGCAGTTGGTCCAGGAAACACGACAAAATGGTGGTGGTGCAGGGGGGTCTCGTACGAAGATTCGATGCTGTGGCGTATGCGGCAAGCCTGGCCATAATGCACGTACGTGCAAGGAGGCTGCAGAATCGTCTGATTCATCTGTTTCCGATTCAGTTATTGTTATTTCCTAGTGTTGTGGTTGTGTAATTGAGGGTAGTTGTGGTGAGGTTGTGGAAATTGTTCAACTCGCTTGTCTGTTCATCTCGCTTATCACACACGTTACTAGGTTTTGGTGTCAGTGCTTACCTATCCTGAGTCCTGTCCTGAGTCCTCCGGAGCCTTGTTTCGAGTCCTCATCTGGCTTATTGGCAGTGTCGTCAGTACCTTCCTGTTCCGAGTTGCTGTCTAAACTATCGTGAGTTTTAGCCTCTTAAGACGGCATATCAGCCAAATGTTTGTCTATACTGATACCAGTACTTACCCGTTGCTGTAATTCATTCTGCTCATCTGTAGTATCATCTGTTGATAGCCCGGGTTCCACCCTAGTCTTCTCAAGTCAGCTAGTGTCATGTATGGGGTGCTGGTATTTACCGCGTAATTGGGTTACCAATAGACCTCCTCGCCTGATGTTATCGTAAGAGGTATTATAAAGTCAGTGGGGCGCCCTCACTATCCCCAAGGGGAGGCACCCGAAGAATAATCGCTGGAGGTTAGCGTAGCTTATAAACGGGCCATTAAATTGTATCGAGGATCGTTGGTAGTCCGAGCAGAGGTAGTAAGAAAGGTCTATGAAACTTATAATTCCCAGGCTACACCGTATCCGAAGCAAGAGGGCTACAATCAACCAACCCACGTAAGGAAATTACGATAGTGAAGAATTTTGATGCCGAATAGGGCCCGCAGCCGTAGTTGTGATTGTAAACTAGGAAGTGATTTTGGAGGACAAATTGTGTGAACAAGTGAAGAGGGTGAAGAAACGGGCCGGTGTGTCGCCACCAAGGATGCCATTCTGACGTAGAGAGTGCGATAGATGAATAGTTTGAATACCGGGTATCCCAAGAATCCAGAGCCGAGACGTTGCTCAGGACGGTTGAACGGACAAAGACTGATGTCGTAATGCCTCTGTTTGTGATTGTAGTACTATGTGCAAAGCCCCAAAAAGCAGACTCGTATACCGGAACTAGCACGAGTAGACTAGATTGTAAACTGCGAGGTGACCTTGGGCGTCAGAGCGAGTGACATCTCGGAAGGGCCCTTCAGGAGAATCTCGATACGGAGGGCTCGGCAGAAGGTATTAAATTGGTCGCAATCGGCTGCTGTGGAGAGCGGCACTGCTGGTGTAGGTTGCTCAAGCGCGTTTGAGGCTGTTTCCAGTTGGGTTACAGCTTCCCGTATGTGACTGCTAGAACTTGCTTGTCTCTTTAATCTACCTGGGTAGATCACACCACTAGCTCGTTTCTGTTGGCGCTATAGCCCCAGCTCTTCTCTCATAACATCGCGTATTTGTGCACACTGTTTCTTATAGCTGATTCGGTTGCTCTGGTCCTGGTAGTTGTGATTCATGTACTTTTTCGCTTGTTTGAAGGTAATGTTGCAGCAGGTCTTGTTAATACAGTAATCTGCGCGCTGTAAGTTAGCCATTCTATCGAAAACCGACGGAGGATTGGGGCCGTACGTATGGCATAATGCCGCAAAAGGTCCTGTTCCCTCGAAAATTCATTCTCACAATCCTTGAACGGGCATTTGAGCATTGTCCCATCGGTTCCCGGGTGATTCCTGTTGATGGGATCTGCGACGTCGTTGCTGGCGTTGTCGTCCATTTCCAGCCCACAGTATGATACCAGTATATTAATTCGAGCAACTAATAACTCAACTTCCCTCTGTCGACTATGTTCTCCGTGCGAGACAAGCAAGCTGGGCCAGTCTGTCGAGTGCTGTCCTAATTTCGTCCTTAGAGAGTGGTTAGACGGCTTTTGAACAGACCACGAGGCTCGAGTCCAAACTTGTTGTTTCTGATCAGCCAAAACCGGAGCGTACACTTGATTCTTGAGCATGGGGTGGGCATCTCTGGCAGGCTGACGGCGGTGGTTATTTTCAGCACCACCCTTCAATGCTTCGTCATGGAGCTCTTTGACGGCACGCCGTGTGCTCTGTTCTGAACCGCTGCCGCGCCAACACAGGCGGACGCGGTCGTCCCGATTCGGTGCAGCATAAGTGGCAACGTCGACCGGCGCGCTGCATCGTCATTGAGGTGCCAGAGCAGCCACTGGGCAGTGTTGCTCCGTGCGCCGCGCCTGCGACATGTGCGCAACTGCGAGGCTTGCAAGCGCATCGATCCTGTGGCCCTCGACCTCGATAGCAAGCAGGCTGATGAGGCCGGACCCTGGGGTCGTTCCTGTCTTCGGCAGGCTCACAACGATGCTAGCGCTAAGGCTCGCGACGTTTAAAAGGCATCCAGCCCTACCATGTGGTTAGTGGCCACAAGCGCGCAGGACGCCGACGTCTACTCCATCGCTGTGTTCATCGCCGCCTGGTTTGGGACATTGGGCCCCGCACCTCTAGCCGGCTCGGTCCGCGCTGGCGGGCCGAGCGAGACGTGGCTGGCGCGTCCTGGGCCCCTGGGGGAGCTGCGAGCCATGTTCAGGAATGACCTGAGTGAGCCACTAGCGGTGCACTTCTTTGCACCCTGTGTGGTCTTGGCCGAATGAAGTCCTTCGGGGTCGGCGGCTTTAAGGGAGAAGAGGGAAGCGGCAGCGGAGACGCAAATAAGCCACTTTCGCCAAGTGGCGAGCGAGCCACTCGCATCGTCAATCTCATGCTCCACCTGGGTGACCGGCCGGCTGTGGATCGGATCGTCTGCTGGGATGGGAAGGGCCAGGCCAGCTGGGTGGGAACGAGTGCGAGGCACAGTCTACGATAGGTGCGGTGCTCCGGATCCCAGCCGGACTCCCACCCCGAAAACTACTTAAGACAGGACCCGCCGCCGGTTGGTTAAAGTCGTGCTGCGCCAGACGCTACCAAGACAATCCCTGCGGCGCGTATAAGGGCAGCCTGACAGCCTGACAGCCTGCCTAGACTTCCCCGCCAGCAAGTCTGCGGATAGATGCATATCAGATTTTAAACTGTCCATCAGGGGAGCGATTGGCTGCCGGAAATGAAATGCCGTCCAACTCAGCTGCCCCGGTCCGAATGCGACAGAAAGCCGCCGTGCGGTGACATCGGCGCCGATTCTGCCCTGCACCATTGGCGCGCTAAGCCCCTTTGTCGAACGAGCCAAGCCGAAACCCGATCCCGAGGCCGAACACGAATATTCAAGCTAGCCGAGCCCACAGCTCCCAGTGGCGCAAGGCGGGGCGACAGAGGCTTGAAACAGCGAGCAAAAACCTCCGAATCACATGCCGGGCACGAAGGGTCTCAGGTGCCATACCCTGCTGAGCGGTGCACACAGCGGTGGCACTCACCAGGTGGCACTCACCAGGAGCAGATCTCGGCGGTAGCACAACGTCCAGCAGGAAGCTCGTGTTGGCTCCAAGGGCAACCCTTACGAAACTGAGAGAGCACTAATTCGGCTATAGGTGCAGGCGTTGGGCCGGAATTCCGAGTTGCTGTTGTTACACAGTTGGTTCGTCGTCCACAGTTGGTTCGTGCCCGCGGTCTCTCCTGCACCGCTGTGTCACACAACCTCTCGAGGCTCGCTCTCCGTAGGAGGTCTGCTTTCCGCAAGAGGTCTGCCCAGGAGGCGTGATCTACTCCCAAATCCACAACGGCGGCCAGGTCTCCACACATATCCACCCCTTCGTTCAGGGCGGGCCACCCCCCTGGCGCTATTGGCGCTGTGAGTGGAGTTACCCCAGACCGTGAGCAGCTTTTCCGCCGATGTATACAATGTGGCCCTCGCCTCACTCTCTTACCTGGCCGGGCACAGTCCCAACCCAACGCTGCAGTAAGGCGCGATGTACTCGCCGACTGCACGTCGGGCGGCGACCGTCAGCTACTCGAAAATGGTAGCAATGTCGCTGCGGCGCAGGCGCAGGCGGCAGCCCTCGAGATATAAACGCACCGGCCCTCTGGCCATCTGCTCGCCCAGACCCCCCCTCGAGCCGCCACAGCACACAACCTCCAACCATGGGCCATCCTAGTCCGAGAACCGTCGCCGCCGTGAGGGCCGAGGAGGCCGTGTCTCCGGTGCTGCTGCTCAGTGAGAAGGGCTCCGGCTCTGCAAGCCTCGACGGCGCCCTCGCGCAGCAGTACGGCGGCAAGCATGTCGGCGGCTGGGTATCACGCCTGCCGGCATCGTGGGTGCCGTACGTGCAACTGACACGGCTCAGCCCGCCGGCTGCCCTGGCCCTCATCTATTTCCCCCATTTCTTCGGCGCGCTGTTGGCCGCCATCCTGCGTGGCTCCCCGGTCGCCGCGGTCCTGCGGGCTTGTGCCGTGCTGCTCGTCGGCAGCTTCTTCTTCTCCAACGCCGCACACGCGTGGAACGACCTCGTCGACGCGCCGCTCGACGCGGCCGTGGCCCGCACGCGCACCCGGCCGATCCCACGCGGCGCCATATCACCCCGAGCCGCCTTCGTCTTCACCGCCACCCAGGCCGTCGGCGCCGCCGCCGTGCTGCTGCTCTTCCCAGACCCTGCCGGGGCCGCTTGCTACGCCCTGCCCAACATGCTCGCAACCGCCTACTACCCCTGGGCTAAGCGTCATACCCACTTTGCCCAGCTCGTGCTCGGCGCCTGCCTGGCCTGGGGCGTCGTTGTAGGGTGTGTGGCCATGGGCTACGAACCCTTCGCGGCGTCCCCCGTGTTCGCGCTGCGGCTACCAGCAGGCCATCCCAGCCCGCGGGCTAGCACCCCTAGCGTTGCCGTGTGGGTGGCTTCGCTGCTGGGCACTGATGTGCAGCTGGGCGTGTCGGTGCTGTGCCTGTGGGTGGCGTGCATGCTGTGGAGCGCCATATACGATACCATCTACGCGCACCAGGACGTTAAGGACGACGCCGCCCTCGGGCTCAAGAGCCTCGCCGTGCTGTTCCGCCGCCGCACCAAGCCCGTGCTGTGGCTGGCCCAGGCCGCCATGGGCGGCCTGCTGGCGGCGTGCGGTGTGTCTGCGGCCATGGCCGTTCCGTACTACATCGTCGCCCTCGGCGGATGCGCCCTCTCGCTTGGCGCCATGGTGGCCTGCGTGGACCTCGCGGACCCCGCCAGCTGCTGGTGGTGGTTTCGCTATGGGTTCTGGGGGGCGGGGTTGTCCATCGCTGGGGGCCTGCTGTCTGAGTATCTGGTGCGCATCGCCTAGGGGTGGTAGCTCAAGCATGGGTTGCTGTATCGTAGTTCTGTAGCAGATGGCTCTTAAAAGGGGACTTTGTCCTAATGAGTCGGTTTGACTTTAACGTTGTCGCCTTGAATTGATCTTGGACATATTTAACTTGCTCTTTGCGTTGGACATGTTGCTTGATCAATAAGACGTGTTCAGCAATACTGTCGGCACCCGGGGGGCATTCGACACCCGGGAGGCATTTGACGAAGGCCTGCTCGAATGCTCCTTGTGACATTGGACTTGTCTTCAACCCTCTGTGGCTCGAGTGACCGCACCCGAGAATGCATGCGCGCTCCCGCAGACCACCCGGCGCTGTGCTGACGTCTGGACAGAGTAAGAATACAGAAGACTGCTCTCAGCCTCGTGCCTTTCGGCGTCGTTTCCCAAAAAGGGGATGCGGCATCCGCACACCACCTCATGCACGTCGCTGCACGTGGTCAGCACTTTGTGCAATTGCCGGTAACAGCGCTGGTCAATCGTTTGCCGGCTAGGTCAACTCCTGTTTCGCTAGGGCGGCTAGGATTGGCTAGTGCCTCCAGACACCATAGTGACACCGTTGTTAAACGCACGACAGTCTGTTTTGGGCTGGCGCCCGCTTCATATTCCAAGGAAACGTTGCACTGGAATTCTGCGATTACCCTCATCTGGCCAAGAATCGTTGTTCACGGTTTCCAGAACCCAAGGGATCGCTACCCATGCTGTGCAAGCACCAACACGGGAGACAGCATCCAGTCGCTGTGGCAGGTTATCTGCAGTTGGTTGTGAACTTTCAACGAACAACCAACCAGTCTCGACAAGATGGTCACAGATTAGCTTCCAGTCTACCAGAGTTCATAGTCACCAGCCGGCGACCCTTCAAAATTCCAGCCTTCTGGCAATGCCTAGTAGCGTGGTTAGACTCTTAGATTCAAGATCCACCTGCCGAGGACCATACTGAACAGGAGGAGAACCGAACAGGAGGAGAACCGAACAGTAGGAGGACCGAACAGGATGAGAACCAAACAGGAGGAGAACTGAACAGAAGGAGAACCGAACAGCAGAGACGGCTTGCAGGCACCTGAGGCCCAGTGGATGCCTGCCGCTTGTTTCAACGAATGGAATGGAACTTCAGACGCCGCGGACTGCCAGGGTAGGGAAACTACGGTACCAGCGCGGAGCGGGAGCTATCCCACACTAGAAGACAGATGGGTGTGGAGGAGGCCTGGAATCGCGGGAGCCTATCTGGTTGGGCGACTGGCTCAGTGGCGGCTAGGGTTTCCGCTGCATTACCGCATTTCCAACACTTCATACTGCGCCTGCAGTGGACTTTGGCCTGGCAGAGGCCACTGAGGGCCTGTTCCAACTAGGGCCTAGCTCCAACAAGAGTGCTGCTGACGCCGCTGTCCGCCGCCGAACCAGGCTGCTGCTAAAGTTGAGCGCCTCCCTCGTTCCGCGTACCTCTCGATTCTCCGACCAACAGTCTTGCTTTGAGTCCTGATTTGGGCGCCATTACCGCAGACTAGACGTGTCCAGGCCACACGCGCACCATGGGCACAATCATCATCACCAGAGCCAACGGCTCTCTGGCCGTCCCGGCAGTAGAGCACCTTCTTACGAATGCGTCAGACTCGACTCTAGTGCTGAAGGTGCGTAACGATAGCGACAGTGACGCCAACACCAAGGCACTACGGGACGTGATTGCCAAGCACCCGACGCGCGCGTGTCGATTCGAGCCCTCGGCCTCGCCCACCTCGACGCTGCCTACACGTTTGTGCGAGCCATCGCGACCGAGGTGGCCCAGGGCACGCTGCCGCCGCTACAGAGCATCGTCTGCAACGCCTACTACTGGAACCTCGCCCGCCACCAGGAACAGAACAGTGCTTCTCTGGCCGGGAAAGGACGGGGTGATGTATTATCTCAAGAGCCTGCTTGGTCGAGCTTGAGCGGTGGCAGCTGACTCCTGTAGGGTTGAAGGTGTCCTGACTATCACCGACCGGGTGGATGTTGAGAGACGGTGTGCGTGGTGGAATTTTGAGATAGCTGAAAACATGCCCGAGCTGATGAGTTTGAGCCGCCGGCTGCTCAATTGCGCGTTTCAAGTGTTGATTGACCAGCCACTGTTGAGAACATTGATTGAATTGCCACTGAATTCAGACTGAGACGGAAGTGAACAAAATTTAGGCTGCACTGCCGGCAGCTTCAACCAGCTGAAACTTGTCCAATTCGAGACATCGTGGTGAGGCACAATCCCGAGACCAACAGTTACCAGCTCACGGGCATCGACGGCTGGGGGCGCGCTGGCTTCCTGTCCGAGTACGCCGAGCGCCCTGCTTGAGGTCGCATTCAGCTAGGACACCAAGTGCCTCAACTTCATGTGCCTCAACTTCATGGGAGGTCGCGCCCAAGGGAGCAGTCTCCGACAGGGGGCCCAAGGTCAGGGCCGACTTGACGAGACTTTTGAAAGCCGTGGAGTGGTGAGCGGGTTGATCATTATGATGGGCTGCGCGCTGCAGTGACTGAGTCGAACTGATTTTCAATTGCTGAAATCCTGCTTCTGTCCTGCTCACGTGTCGCGGACACGCTCCTCCGCAGCTGCTTCCAGCTGGCTGGCGCAGTGTCGTTGGCCTGCTGTTGGCGTTGGCGTTGGCGTTGGCGTTGGCGTTGGCGTTGGCGTTTCACAACAGGGGCACAGCCGATTTCTTTCGCGTGAAATGGCCTGGCCTTGGCGGTACCTGGAGAGACTTGACGTGCAATCTCTCCACGGTCGTAAAATGGCATTTATGATCTTTCCAGCCTGAAACTAATCGGTGAATTGATTTGGAGGGAGTGAAGATATTTCGTGAAATTCCAACACATTCTCGCATTCGATTTTCACATCCGGATTTTGCATTCCGCTCGGGGGTCAAGTCACTGCAAGTCCCGCTATTCGAGAGGAGGACTCCTGATTGGCTGTCGCAGCTTCAGGCCCCGGCCCGCAAAGGCCGTCGAGGACCGCAAGCAGACGACCCTGTCGGACACTGCACATAAGACTGCGTCCCGTCCACCGAACTCTTCATCTCGCAACTGACGTCATCTCGCACAGCACGTCTTCAGAGATCGCCATGGCAGCCGACACGAGCGCGGAAGCAGAGGCGCTCTGGGACTCCAAAATCTTTCCCGTCTTCTCGGGCGGCTTCCACACCCCGGAGCAGAAATGGATGGACGCGGCCATCGAGCACTTGCGGCGGCGCCACGACGTCATGGGCGAGTATGTTCGGCCCTGCGATGAGATCGGCGAGCTCGTGGCGATAAAGAACATGCCGTATCACGCCGAGGGCGGCTTCGCCATGGACATTGTCACCCGCAAGAGGCCGGAGGCGACGCCAGCCCATCTCCCCGAATACACAGAAGAGGAGTACACCGTCACGATCAACACCGAATTGGAACACGACATCTCGACTTCCGTGGCCAGAGCCATGAAGACCGACCCCCTGGCACTCGAGGTTCTGAATTTCGCCATGGACTCGCAGCCGACCGACACGGCGTTTCATGGCCACTTCCTCCAAGCCACCCGCCGTTTCGAGGGCGAGACGCTCGAAAAGGTGTGGAAGTCAAAGACAGACACGGGGGAGCTGGCCGAGTTCACGCAAGAGATAGCCCCCCTACTCGCCGCCGCCCTGAAGCGCCTGCACGAGTCGGCGACCTGCCACTACATCGGCGTGCCGGGCGAGCTCAAGGCACGGCTGCTAATGCAAAACGTCTTCTCCGACGGGCGCGAGCCGGACATGGGGCCGTTCGAGCGGGCGGGCGTGGTCGATGCTGAGGAGGCGTTTGACGAGTGGGCGCTGGGACATCTCACCCTCGTCGAGCAGGACAGGTGGCGGCCGCTGCTCGCCCAGGACAGGAAGGAGAGGATACAGAGGCGCCGCAGCAAGTATACACCGTTTGTCGCGACGCACACCATGCTAGCAAAGCAAAACATCTTGCTGCAGGCAGACGAGTCGGGTAAGTACGCCGTCAAGGCATTCCTGAACTGGCGGCGTGGCGGCTACATGCCCGACTATGTCGAGCGCGCCCTGGTCGAGACAACCTTCAAGGACGACAGGGTGTGGTTGGAAATCCTGAGGAAAGTGGTGCCGGCGGGCGGGATCTCGACTGCTCAGCTCGAGAAACGGATCGAGTTCACGGCCCTTTTGGTGGAAGAGGGGAGTTGGGGTTGCCCTTGATGGCTGGTGCTGCGGGGAGTGGGTTTGTGTGCTCTGGAGTTGGTGCGTTGACTTTGTCGAGATACTCTGAATGGATAGTTGACAGTCTAATGCCGAACTCTTCCTTTCCGTTCCTTTGTCTTGTTACCTTTGTCTTGTTACCTAGCTTTTATCCTTACTTCCGCGGCTGGCGAAGTTTTTGATCTGAGCCGTGATTCCAAGAGGCCATTCAACAATAGGATTTGCATGCAGCGGAATTGGGTGCCTGCGTGCTTGCCGGCCGGTGTGTACTCGTTCTCTAGGCAAACGGTATGGCGATCTATGAATCCCGTCTTTGCGGAAAAACACTCGCGTCAACGATCCGGGGTAGCTATGGCTCGTTCTGACCGAACAAGTTTGGCATGGCTTGCGAGAACACGTCGTGGACGCGCCGCTAGGTCGCTCCTCGGATGGCATGGAGTATTCCTGCAGACGCCGCGGTTTAATTAGCAGCTCGCAAACACAAATTTGACGCTTGGTGCAAATGTATTGGGCGGGAGTCGCCTACTAGACTGCGAGGGCGTTAAGCATGCGAATGCTTGGATATCAATGTACCGTGCCATGGCGTTTGCTGTGCGGCAAGCTGCTGGCTTCATGGCAACCACAAGCTCGAGTGCCTTGAGCGTTGCATGTATGCAGCTCAGTCCGTTGTTCTCGAGTGGCTGCCTTGTGTGCAAGCTCTGCTGCTTTTCATCCAACTCAGTGTCGATGCCGATTGCTCGTTGGGCGTGTCGCTTTCGTCGACTTGGCGCTGGCTGGTCAACAAAGTATAGGAACGACTGTTGGATACGTTTTTGGCCCTTCGAAATGTCCAATAGATTACGTGCCCGAGTTGGTTCCGACGTCTGGCACGATGGCGATGTAAAGATGGGAAGGTGTAAGTGTTGTTCATTTTTGCGGACGCTCGGTTACGGTTAGGGTTGGGCTTGCTATGTGGGGCACGCATGCCTGGGCTCCGACTGCGCGGCCCGGTGGGCTATTCGTGCCTCTAGTTTCTGTAAGCCTTCCGTCTTCCAAAATCTTCATCAAACCGACCTCTACGGATTTCTGCAAACCACAAACACGAAATATCGCACACAAATGAGGAAAATGGCTACGAGCACCTCCTAGACGACATTATGAAGGTGTGGCTCATGGTATCTACTTGGTGGCAGGAGGACACGGCATGCTTCCGGCTGGTGGTGCGCTCAAGCGCATCGACGAGTCATTTACGCAGCAGCATGAAATATTCAGGATCAAGACAATCAATAGGTCTCGGCTGGCCCAGATGAGGGAGCTGTGGCGCGGGACCTCTAGTTAAACATCCGGGGCAGCTGGGAGGGGAGGGCGGCGGTCTGTAGACCAGCCCTGAGGATTTCAGTTAGGAGAGGCCGAATTAGAGATGGGACCTGTGGGCCGCGATAAAGACGTGGCAGGAGTGAGAACAATAATGAAAATCCTTGTGGTGGACAGAGCCGGATCCGTCTTGTCCAGTTCCCCAGGACAAAGACCGCACCTCCAATACCCCGCACATCCAATGGCAATGGACCTCTACGCAGTGCTGAATTTCAGTGTCTACTCTGAGAAAAGTCTAAACTGCTGTCAATCCCTAAATGTCCAAAGCTTGCAGCACAGTCATTATTTGCCAGCATTAAATTGCCAGCCTCTCACAATGTCAAACCCGCAGGCGCCGCAGCGGGCGCAGTCGCCGTGGAGGGCCAAATACGACAGCGTCGCGCCGTACTTCGACACGCCCAGGATGGGCAACATCAGCCACTCGGGCCTCGCGCCGACGATGCCGGCGTGCGTGCAGCCGTTCGGCATCGATTGGGCCCTGCCGAAAGCCCCGTACCCGAAGATCCCAAACAATTCTATCTGGCTCGACAACATCTTTTACGCCGAGGAGGAGCAGCTCCAGGCCAATTGTGGTATCAAGGGCTGGCAGGTTGGGTCCCTGAATCGGGGTGTTAACTGCGAACCTGTGGTGCAGCCTGGGGGTGGTGGTGGTGATGATGATGACGATGTTGAAGAGGAATACTCGAGCCGAATGGTAAGTGAGACTGGACATATTACTTTGTCTATGCTGATGACATGCAATCCACAGACCAGATCAATGGCACGGGGCAAGAGGAGAGAGGCAGCGACGGAGGGACGATCTGCAAAGCGCCGCCGTGGCGCCGGCCGTGCTGCTGCCGCTGCTGCTGCTGCTGCCGCCGCCGACTCCGCGCCCATCAACCCGTTTCGCTTCGTCGAGGTTAAGGAGGACCTGTGGCACCCTGTCTTCCGTAAGAACCGCTGGTACGACTGGGAGTACCCCATCGACGATAGAGCGGGCCAGCCCATCCAGCCGCCGCAGGTGCGGAGCGTCGACTACCCCGAGCTTTGGAAGGAGCTGCGCATCTGCATCGAGATGGCGGATAAGTTCCTCGAGGTCTCGCTGCATGCTGACTGGTATGTTCTCTTTTCCTGTCCAGTTCTTCGTCATGTGCTGGAGCTGACTTGATGCGGAAAGGCTTCACCACGTGCTCTTTTCTCCGAGAACCAAGGAGGAGCATAATCGAGATGATCTGGGTCCGGGCTTCTAATTCCAGAAACAAGACTTTGACCAGATGCCCCACCGCATTCAAATCGCGCCCAACGGGGATGGAGATGGAGATGGAGATGGACGAGTGGAGGTCGAAGTGAAAGTGGTAGATGACGACGGAATTGATGTAGACGTGAATGAAGAAGACGCGGACGAAGCAGAACACGCGGGAGACCAAATGGATGTGGACGTGGAAAAGGGTGAGGGCGAGGGCGAGGGCGAGGGCAAGGGCGAGGGCAAAGACGAGGAAAACAAAAAGTACAACGATTCACAGCAACGGATCGAGGACTACACCAAGTACATCGTGTGGAGCTTCTACAACTTTGACGACGCGGCGGGCTGGAGCAACATCATGGGCCCCGACGAGTGGCAGACCCGCGGCGTGACGGACTGCGAGAAAAACAAGAACGGAATACCTGAGGGCCTGGAGCACGAAAACTTTGTATCCATCATGCTGAACACGGCCCTGCTGCGGCCCCTTCTGGAACTCCCAGACTCGCGCGAGGGCGTGGCGGAACGGTGCATTATCCGGTATCAGGTGGCGAACTTGGTACGTGACCCCTTGCGACTGCTCCTCCGCCATGGTGCCTGGCTGATCATGACCTCAACAGCTCGTCCACGACCTGATGGTAGGTCAACTCCCGACTGTCGATGCGAAGCTAACCTGGCAAGCACGCCATCCACAGGGTCATGTTTATATTAGACTACGAACATATTTCGGCGTGCGAACCGGTAAGCAGCTATCCTTTGTCCTATTACAGATTCTGTCTAAGCAGCTCTAGCTCTACGACGCCGAGAATGCATCGGAGCTGGGCAGCAGCTGGGAGCAGGCGCACTTTGGCGGCTCGATAAACTCGACGCCATACTTGGAGACGCAGGCGCATCTCGCCGGCTATGTGCTCACGTCTAGACCCTAGCCAGCCGCAGCCATACACGCTAAGCCCTTTAGCATTCTCGACTGCGACGGTGACGGTAAAAGAACCACAGAGTGGAAAAGCTCGCTACTCCCGACGCTGTGGGCGTCGAATTTTGCGTCCCAAGACTACTGGGATGCCGAGCATGCCAGGTACGGCGTTGGCGCGATGAAGGTGACTCCGGTGTTGCAAGCCAACCATACGCAGACGCGTGGAGGCCCCGGCCAAACCAAAGAGGCGACGGATCAAGACTTGGGCCCTCCAGGCTCGAACGTAGCACTGCAATCTGTCCACGACGACCTCGCAATGCGGAAGGACCGTCTGGATCGCCTCCGCCCGTGGTTCGAGAGCGAACTCGGCGTGTGGTCGCGCATCCCGTTCGAGTGGACCATGTTCCGCACCGCCCTCGACCGTTTTTCCGAGGCGGTCGCCATCCGCGACGAGGCGGCGGCGAGCGCGGCGTACGGGACCGTGGCCATCTGGCTCGATAACGTGCGCACGTACCCGGCAGAGATGAGGAGCCGCGCCTTGTACCGCGCACTCTCTGAAATGATGGACGCCGCAAGGCCATTTCGGGACAAGCCGCACACGACCGACGACAACCGGCCGTCCACCGACGTGCAATACAGGCCCAGCCAGGCGGCGCGCGCCAGTGGCGTGCCGTGGGAGTTCACGTCCCCGCTCGGCCGCACCCTTCGCCCGGAAGGACGCCCCCTAATCCCCCAGGACGTGCCGGAAAAACACAATACGCCCCCAAGGAAAGCCAGGCTTATCCTGCTCGACCGGGCCGGCCGCGCCATTGAGAGAGCCCGCAACTACCGCCCCAGTATGGCAGACTCGACGCTGCTGCAGCGCGTCGCCGAGCTCCAGATCCACCTCCGCAGCGAGGTCGAAGACTACAAGCGGGACGACGAGTGGCTGTCGTGGAACTTTAGCTTTCCCGACTACAGAACCAGCGAGGCTGATCCCTGCGACAACCTCGAGCCCGACGACGACGAGAGTGAGGGTGACAGGGCTGGCGAGAGCAAAGAGAGGTGCGATGACGATGCCAACGATGACAACAACAACAATGACAACGACAACAATGACAACGACAACAATGACAACGACAACAATGACAACGACAACGACAGCGACTTGCCCCCTGAAAGCTCGTCGAGCAGCGGATCAGGCTCGGGCGACGACTACCGAGAAATTTATGGCGTAAGGAAGCGGCGGGAACTGAAAGGCCGAGAACAGCCATCCAACACGCTGCCAGGCGGCCGCCGTGTCAAGTACTGGACCATCTCGGAAGTCGCCGGCCACTGGTCCCTGCAAGGTCGCTGGGTGATAGTGGAGACGCGCAGACACCACGGGTACGGCGTCTTCTCCGTTCCAGGTAAGTCGGCTGCCTTGCTCTGCCATCTCCGTAATTTAACTACAAACACTGATCAACCCAGACTCTGCAATGAACAAGAAGCCGTTCCAGAGCCTTGCCAACTTCGAAAGGCAAGTCGTGCACACGCCCTACGGAAAAAAAATTGACACGTTGAAGAATAGCTTGCTCGTGCGCGCGATCCGCGGCAGCGCGTCTGTCGGCAGGCTGCTGCTGCCGCGGCCGCACGCCGACGTCGAGGAGATGAACGGCTTAGACGGCCGCCCAAAGTGGATCTACTTTGGCCAGGACGTCTACGACATCACCAGTGGGCCTCCCACTCCATACTCCATCTTCACACGGAATTACTAACGACACGGAACTACTAACGAAAATGCGCAGAGTTCCCCTTTGCCGACGCGGACGAGGGGCGGTATCTAAAAGGGCCACACGGAGGCAACGTCGCGCTGTCACTGTACGACCGCTGCAGCACCATCGACGTGCCAGACCTGCTGAAGCGGCTGGCGCCGTACCGCTGCGCGACCATCAAGCCGCCACTCCCCAACCCGCTGCCCCGGCCCCGAAGCCAGCTGCCCGTGTACACGATGCGCGAGGTCAGCCGCCACGTGTACCGCGAGACGCGCGTCTAGGTCGTGATTGGGCGGCTCGTGTACGACTTTATGGGTGGGTCCCCCCTTTTCACTCTTGTCGTTTCTCCTGGCCTGACACCCCCTTGCGGGCGGGGCAGACTACGCGGATCACCACCCCGGCGTGGGCGACATAATCTGGCAATGTGCCGGACAGGACGCGACCGGCCTCTTCTTCGGCAACCACGGCAACCGGGCCAAGGCGAAGGCGATTCTCGGGAACTTCGCACACCTGCGCGTCGGGCGCATGGTGGAGGAGTACATCGAGGCCTACGGGCTTCACGCTTTTCAGATCCGCATCGGCAACTACGTGTACAACTACCAGCATAAGTGGCCCAGTCTGTTCCGTCTACATCCTCCCCGTTCACAAGAAGCTCGTGCTAACGGCCACAGGCCTCGTGGAGAGCCAAGCCGGCCGCGCCCAGTGGGGCGGCCTGGGAACGTACAGCCAGAAAGACGCGACCGCGGACGCGGACGCGCGGCAGTACGGCGCCGGCCCAGACCTGCTGCACGCCCTGCAGCAGCGCCGCGAACCGATCTCGGGCAAGATCCGCCGCGCCATCAAAAACGTCGTCTCGCGCGACGAGCTGGCGCGTCACAACCGTATGCGCTCGCTGCAGCATCTGCTGGCCGACTGGCCGTCCGTGTGGGGGTCGTCCGAGGAGCCGCCCAGCGCCGAAGCTTATCGTGGCGGTGGCGACGTTTGGGGGCAGGGGCCCGCGGCGGGCGGTGGTCCGGGCCAGCTGCCGCCGAGGACGTTTGATCCCGGCGACGTCATTTCCGACTCGGTGTATGTCAGTCTTGAAGGGCTGGTGTACAACGTCACGGGCCAGTGTTTCTTTTTCCTCTTTCCATCAATCGCCCCCAGCATGCTCCCAAATGGAAGTGATAAACGACAAGAATTGCTGACGACACCACAGACATGATGCGGTACGGCGACGACGACATGCAGAACGATCTCACCCACTTCGCCGGCGCCGAGATAGACCGCCGACTAGCCCACCAGCTCGAGGTGAAAGACAAGTGTCCGATCGTGGGCCGTCTCGGGCCCGAGCCAAGGTACTCGAGCCAGGAGGAAAAGCGTAGCGAAGACGAGAAGCATGGCTGGCCGAAGAAGCAGTCTCGAAGACGCGAGGGTAGGTGGCCCTTTGCCCCCTTTCCCGTGGATCTGTCATGATGTCATCGGACTGCTTGCTAACTGGCGCATCACGCGGATGCAGATATCAACTACCGACGGCTCAAGCGTGATAATAAGAGGCGGCGGATGGCGCGTCATAACACGCTAAAGATCGGTAGCGGCTCGTGCGGTACCGTGAGGAGGATCAATGTGCGCCTCGAGCTGGAGAGGGAGTATAGGGAAGAACTGGACGACGAGGCGCAGGGCATGGCTGGGTTGTCTGGGGAGGAGCCTACGGATGAGTCTGGGGATGTGATAGTTGTTCAAGGGTGTCATGGCGGTGATTGATAACTACATAGTTGGATATCTGTAGCTTCCGTGCACCCTCTTCGGTCAGAAAATAGCCAAGATTTATCGTTGGAAATAGGCATTGTTCCGTATTAGGACCATTGTTGATTGTGGTAATTTCAACCTTGGGCTCTGGGCTGAGCCAGGGGTTGTGTGTATGTGCAGGGGTTGTATGTATGTGAGGGATGTGTGTATGTGCAGGGATTGTTGTTTGTGTCACACAACATTCTTCGGTCACAAGAGTGCTTGTATTTGGAAGAAGGAAGAACGGCGGGTATATCCTAGGTGCCCTGCTTTATAGGGAAAAATGAGGTCTTTTGTCCTTGAGTGTAGACCCGGAAATGGTCAGCCGGGTCACGTGGCTCGGCTTCTTCCGACAGTTTGTGAGTTGCATGTCTGCCTAGAGCTGACTTCGGCTGCTTACTGTTGGGAAAATTTTATCCTCAGCTCTGCATCTCTCTTTTCATTCTTCCTCGCCATGGTCATCTCAGGCAGACTTCATGGCTGATCCACTCATCATCGTCGGTACGGCTGGGGCCGTCACTGGTCTCGTTGAGGCTCTAGGCAGGATCATTGAGGCAGTGTCGGCGCTTCGCAGCCAGTGGAAGGACGCCAATCTAATCGCGCTAGCGTTTGAGACGCAGCTAGTTGCAATGCGAGCTGCCCTGGCCAAAATTGAGCAGTGGGCCAGCATAGCCAGCGAGCCTCACCACCAGCTCGTCATAGATCTTGGCCGATGCGTATCCTGCTGTCGGCTACTCGTCGACAAGCTAGACGTCGAGGTCGCTCGATTCACCAATTTAGGTGGCGCCTTGAATACGTCAGACAAGCTCCAATTGATCTTCAAATCGAAGGGACTCCAACATGTCCAAAAGTCGATTGAGATTCAGACCACGGCCTTGACGCTGCTCCTCACCGCGTGCAACAGGTGAGCATCTGGTTCTGGCTCGGGCATGGACCAAGACTGACTCCCGCCAGCAACACCCTTGCAGAGCAGAGCGCGCTCCTCCAAAGGCCATCGCCCCGAAAGACCTTCAAGAAGATGGAGGCCGACGCAGCATCCATTATTGTGCTGCGAGACGTCGACTCTATTCTCAGCGGCTACACCGCGACCTCCATCAACTCCTCCAAAAGATCGCTAGTCTTTGAATTCGACCAAGACCTTCTTACCTCGCGCATCTATCAGAAGTGGATTCGCGGGTCTGTTAGGGGTAGTTTGCTAAAACAACAGGGTACTACCCAGACGAGGCCCCCCGGACCGGCTTTGAAACTACTTTCGGATCGAGCGCTTCGCTACTCTTGTGGCTACTATTCCTGCCCGTTCTTGATAACTGGTACTGAAACGCCACCCACGATGGACATGCTGAAGAGAATGAAAGCAAAGTTTCCGAGGATCTACACCAAACGGGACGAGGTTCGAAACCGGGCACTCGTCTTGAGTGCCGTCATTGCTAGTGCACGATCGGTCGCGCGTGCATTATTGAAACTCTTCGACGTTGAGCTAGGAATCCAGCATGGCATCGAGTACACAGACTTGCTGTTCCTAGAAAACTTTGGGTCTGGCAGCACCCAGGGTCTTACCTTCGACTCCAGGTTTCCAAACGCGGTTGAGTCACTGAGAAAATGCAACTGCTTCCAGAGGCTTGAGGATGCTCAAGTCGAGGCTCCCGAGGATGTCTACCCTTGCATCGAGTCCGCAGAATAGTGAGTCCCTACCTGCTAATTGCCTAATATGCTTCCCATGTTGACCTTAAGCTTGTGCCCAGCCTATTCCTGGAGGTTCGGAGAATATGGAGGCCGGACTACATACCCAACGACCTGGATATTTTCAGGTGCGGAAGTAAGCCAAAATGGGCCGGGCAAACGGCCCTGCAGATCAGGATAACACTCGACAAACATTTTTTGACCATCTATGACATACCCTTTGAGGTCTTCGACATGAACTATCCCCCAAACCCTATCATCTTCGTGGTTGACCTGGACCATTACGACCGACCAAACGTGGCCAAGGCGTTGGACTTTTTGAGAGACGATGCCGCACGCCGGTCCAATTTTTGGCGACACGGTAAGGAAGTAATGATCGTGCTCTACAACTCGATACTTTTCAGATCTAAGCTCGCCGCCGTGCCGCTGAGCAAAACGTTTCCAGATTACACTGGTGGGAGCGATGTCGATCAGGCCTTTGCATACCTACTTGAAACTTTCAGCGCTTTCGGCGGACCGTATTACACCTGTAAGTTTGATCCGACCAATCCAACAGGAGATGAGGAAGTTCTCTTGCACATCAAATTCTTTATTTCGGAAGCAATCAATAAAAAGATATTGAGAGACTCGGGTTTCCTGTAACAATTAGCAGCGAATCAGTACACGCCGGGGCCCAAACCGTTCAAGCCGCAATCTTTTGAACCGACAATAGTTACCTAGCATTCGTGATGTGGCGTGACTCTAGAACCACCCCAGGGGACGTAATGATGTGATCCGGTATCTAGAAGATAAATGTAGGAACATATTCGTAGCTACCTAGATGTAGCGGGGGTTGCGACTGTATAATTAGACGCTGTTGCTAGAGTGCCAGGCAGCAGGTATATCTAGTTTTTCTGCTAGTGGAACGGCACACCATTACACTAGATGTATTGAGATTGGACAAAAACGGCGTTCATTCGTAATCTCCACTGGCTGGATACAATTTTACCAACATCACAAAATAGGTACCCAACCTAGGCATAGATTAGGTCAACTAATGCCTTCCTCATCTCCATTCAAACCAAGATGCTTAGTCCCGGCCGAGCTGGCTTTCCGTCTGTGTTCCTGTTAGACGCATAGCCATATTCCAAATCAAGGTTTAGTCCCGCATGGTTGGTCTTGAGAGGTCTGTGCAGGGCTCTGAACACGGCGCCCTGGCGACCTGCCATAAATTCTAGAAGACTTGATTATTAAAGATGTAACCCACCCCTCCGGCTGCGACAACCACTCTCAAGCACCATTAGTTTTATAAGCATTTCCTCGAGTCCGGGAACTAGATCTCTGGTGCTTGTTGTTATCTGACGCGCATGTTCTTTTTTCTTACCATTTTGGAGCGTGGACGTGTCGAAAGATCTGACGTACATTGCTTTTTCCTTTCAACTATTCTATCTTCGGACACGTGCCGGCGGAAATTAGGTAACGGGACAGGGGTCCTGGCAAAAAGAAGCCGATTTTTTTCCTGTCCCCTTGCCCCCAACCAGAACGCGATTCACCACCCACACCCACACACTCTCTTAGGAATCCTCCCACAATGTCGACACAACGAAAGAGGTACGCGGCCGATGCGCCCCAGATCGGCGCCAAGCGACTGAAGAAAATCTGGGATGGCAACAACCGGGCCGAGACACTAGAGGACGCCCTGGAAGAGATTGCCTTTCTCAAAGCCCAGCTGAGCGACGCGCTGCCTTCATTGGCGTGGCAGTGGGTGGGTGAATGAGTGCAAGTTCCGTATTGAATCTGTCCTGTCCTCTCGCCCACCAGACGCATCCCCCGCCTCCCTTCGGCGTGGGGAGAGCCCGCGGCGGCTCAGGCCTGTACTCGGCCACATCAACGACAACAGTTTGACCATTGGAGCTGACCGTCTCGAAACACTTGACTAGTGGCGGGGGCAGCAGAAACTCGCCCTCGCCACGCGCCTTCTCAAACACGCGGTCCTCAACGGCGCCGTCCCAACCCGCCCAGGACCAGATGGGGAACTGCCGGTCCGGATCCCCCAGCGTGGACTGCAAAGAGGTAGGCAGCTCGGTACCGCGGCGCGGTAGTCTTGCGGCGGGTGTCCACAGCAGCGTGTGGCTAAAGACGGCCGCCGACAGCCCGTGCAGCGTGGTGCTATGGAGGTGCTCGTCCAGCACGGCGAACATTCCTGCGAAGCCGCGCAAGATGTCAGCCTTGAACGAGAAGCTGCGCTGGCTGTACGATTCAACCAACTTCCTGTAGATATGAAAGGCCCTGCCGAGCCGTGCACGCGGCGTCATGTCATACAGCGTAGCGAGGTTGAGGAGCGGGTTGTCGCGGCTGGCGCTGCTAACAAGCTGCCCGTCCGAGGGTGCCGCGTCGCTGTCAGGTAAATCTCGGTGTTGCTTGCATCACCCTGTGACGTGTCGTAGTCGAGATCCGGCAACCGTTTCGACACGGTCAGCGTCTCGACTGGCTGAGGTGCTCTAGTTAGTGCCCGGTATGACTCCCGGGAGGCCGGCGTCGGGGCCGTTCCCGTGCAGACCTACGACGGTGGCAAACGCCTGCCCGTAGACAATGAATGTCCGTGTTGGGGATATCGCGGGCCATCTCCTCGCCATTGTCCTGCACCATTCAGAAGGTATCAACCCAGAGAAACCGCTCGCCGAGTTCTCAAACCCTGGCGGAGCGTTTCCTGCGTCGATACAATCTGGACCACTGCACGGTTTGTTTCGGCTGGGTCTGCCATGTCTTGCTGCTTTGCGTGCTATCTGTTCAAGGGCTACCGAGTATGATGCGAAGTGCATGAGCGGGAGAAACAGGAGTATTGTTCGTGATCGAGAGCTGCAAAGACTGGAGAGGGGAAGGTAGCTGCCAAGACGTTCACTCACCGAGAAATGTACAGCTTCCCCTCCAATTAAATGGTTGGCCAGTGAGATGGGAAGTCATGCCTTTCTTGGCGCGCAACGATATCACGAGCCGACTTGGCGTGGCTATCCTAGATAACCCTCGAGTCTGAGTGGGAGAACACCGTTGGTAGTGAGGGAGAGAAAAATTTACATACAGCACCTACGGTTTGAGGATCGACTGGAAGCGATGGTGCAACACCATGGCTAGGATTCGGGCATTGCCAAATTGTGCCCATCTCGTAACCACAAAGCGAGTGGCTAAATTGGTCACAGACTCATCGGTGAAATATTATCTAAAAAAATATATTCCGAGGATTATTGAGTTGAAATACTAGTTTATGGCGTTGTCGTGGGACCGGGGAGTAAGCCGTAGTGTAATAGCCATGTAAACCGCATTCAGCACAAAATGCTTCCTCCAGAATTTCCCGCGGGTTTCGTGTGATGGCGGGTAGTAGATGCTGTGCAAGCGGCAAAAGAGCCACCCAAGGTCTTCCCCGGATTCGCCGCACGCTAACTGATATTTCGTTGGCTTTTTCTCAGCCCATCAAACACCACATCCTTTAGGAGTTCTTAGGCTCAGTTTCCAGCTTCAATTATTGGCCGCAGTGATAACGGCAGTGCCATTCTGCGCAATGACTAGCCTAAACTGCCGCCTCGACAAAGCCTCGACGTGCGGAGTTACAACAATACACCTCACTATCATCTTGTAGAGTGCTTGTGGTTAAGATAGATGAGACGTGGGGGCTTTTAATCGGAATCGGCACATAGGCGAGAAGAATAGGATAAAAGGCGCCCCCTCCCTGACGTGTCTCATTCCAACATCAGCAACCGTAACTGAGCGTTCCCGATCTTGTCAGGCATCGCTACCCAAAGACTCAGTAGTCCACCATGCCGACTTCCTTGACAGAAGCCATGTCCATCTTCGAGGGAAACGTCTTTTGGCCCGCCGCGGTTGAATTCCTGGTGGCGCTTGCGGCTTCTCTTGGCTTTCCCAGGTCCATGGACGGTGACGGCCCTGTTGTCATCGCCGAGAAGATACCTTTTGTCTCCAATATATACATGGTCTTGACAGACATGGGGAGCTTCGTTCGCCGAGTAGGGTACGAACAGGTACTGGTCCCGTTGTCAGTGAGTGGTCCCATTGTCAGTGAGTGCTCGCTAACGGGTAGCACCGCGCTACAGAGACCTATTAAAACTACTTAAAAGTGACACCATATGCTCTGCCTCTTGTGGTCGCCATCTTCCCCCTCTCCCTCCCTGCTACCTGCTGGCCGGTGTTTGCCCCCCCTTGTCTTGTGCTCGTTCCGTGGCCCGGAATGATGGACTTCGGCGCAGGTGGCCTCGTTTCCCTCTGGCCGCACGCACATGAGCTTGACCCTGGAAGCGGAATCCCGCTTCTCACCATGTTCAGATTCTACTTCGCGCGCTACTCTGCGGCATCCGCCATGCCCCAAAGCCCACCGCAAACCTCTGCCCTGGTCTGTTCCTGGGGAGGGCAGCCCATACACTCCGAGTCTGGCGGTCTCGCACCAGGGTAATAGTCATCCCTTGACAGGGTTCACTTTGGGATGCTGGCTGGGCCTAGACGGACAACTGAACGCCGAAAAGTATTACTTTTTTCATATTGGAGAAATGATTCCGCACTGCTCGCGATATGTGGGAGATTGCAGTACAATAGGGCTGATTGGCCACCGACTCAGATGCTCTAATCTCTCCAGCCCACCCCTACTAAACTCGATCAACACGGGAGTGCTAGAACTTTCCTAGCTGGGAGCGCGCTACTCGGATCTGCTGAATTATCCATCCCTCTTTCCTGCGTTCCGCGTCCCCGCGCTCTGGTGCTGGACCTAAGGAGGCGTTCGAAGGCGTTGGTGTTGGGGCCAATGCCTCGTCTCGGGCAATGGGAGCAGGGATCCCGCTTCGATATTACTCGTTTCCTATGTTCTCCCCATATACCCCCTGCGGTTCCCATGTCGTTATATTGGGGTGATCCGGGCACAGACGAACAGGTCCGAAGCCGAACCCGGGGAATATTGCTTTTTTTCGCGTAAACGGAGAGAATCATCCCCCGTTACTTGTGGTAAAGCTCCCAATCTTTGTAATATAAAGGCTAGCTGGTTTCTTTGTCCTGTGGGTGAATATAGGCCACCCAGGTTTCCTCAAACTGCACTTTCCTGTAGAAGCCATGATGCCTGTCTTGCCTCACCTTATCTCCCTTGTACTCGTTTATCCAAGATGTGGGACAACACTACTACCGATCGATCCATCGACGACCAGCTTCCAGAGGCAATTGCCGGCTATACATTATCCTGCCTCCCTCAAGGGCTATTGCTCTTCACCTCCCGGCGAATCATTCAGCAGTCGTTTTCCAAAAAGCGGAAGATGCTATTACAATCCCTGCCAAAAAGTCTGTGTGCATTGACCACCCCACCATCAAATCTCGCGACGCGTCAAAAACACCCTCTTTCTTCAACCACCCATAACTTTCCACAATGGCGCTCAATTCCAGAGCTTTTGGCACAGAAATAAGCGGAAATCGCGGCCCTAACCAGGAGCTATCGAAAGAATCGCTTTCTTCCATTGTCACGGCAGTTATGGCCGGTACAACTAAGGCCCAGGTTGCGCGCGCGACCATCGCGTCCACCGCAACACTATTGACAGGACCTTAGAACGTTTACTAGACCACAAAACCTTATTCGCTCCCTAGAAGTGGCTGCCCCATGAAGTTCAGTGCCGCGGATAAGCGTAATGTGCTTCGTTACGTTCGAAAGGATCCCAAAATCAAGTGGAAAACTCTCCGCCGTCTTTTAGGCCAAGATGGCGTCTCTATCTCTATCAACGCACTCCGACTCATTATCGACGCGTCCAGCATAGGGCACTGGCGTTCCCCAGAGATGCCAAAGCTTACAGAAAACGATGCACGCCGCAGATTTGGCCATTGCCGCTCCTGGCTCCCGCGAGAGACCGAGCTTATAGAGGCAATTTATACCGACGAATGCTCGATCCAGAACGACCCAGATAAAGGTTCTGGGTGGGTTTTTCGTTACAACCACGAGAAATTTGATAGGCGCATGGTCCAGAAGACCCAACAAGCTGCCTCTTTTGGCTTTATGGTATGGGCAGCGATTTGGATGACTGGAAAACCCGAGCTTATCTTTATGGAGAGGGATCTAGGCTCCCTCCGAGGAGGATATAGCTCTATGAGCTATATTTGGGCGCTGGAGGAAGGTCTGCTTCCTCACCTGCAGTCCGGCGAGGCTGAGGGAAGGTTATTTCAACAAGATAATGCTTCCATCCACACTTCTCGCGATTCCAAGGCGTACCTCGCAGGGCACAGCATCGAGCTGATCGACTAGCCACCTCACAGCCCAGATTTGAACCCAATCGAGCATATTTGGAAGCGTTTGAAGGACCTGGTGTATGAAATGCACCCTGAATTTGAGGACCTGAAGGATAACGAGGCTGACAGAGCTCTTGCGATTATGTGGATTAAGGAGGCGTGGGTAGCTATAGATCAGGAGTTTATTCGGGCGCTCTTGGAGTCTGTGCCCCGCTGGCGCCTTGCAGTGCGCCGGGCCAGGGGCTGGTATACCAAATATTAAAGATCTGTCTTTAGGCTTCATTTCGATATTGTTTTTATCTCGGTAGCTAGCAAGTTGAGTAAGAAATGGATGGTTGAAGAATGAAGTGTCAGATCGTGGAAGTTAGTGGGGTGGCCTGTGCACACAGACTTTTTGTGTGGGGGTGTACTACGAGCTCGAGTTCCATTCATTTGCTCAACTGTTCTCTTGGTCCTTTTAGTTGGTTTTGCTGTTGTTTTTGGCCTCGCCCGGAAGGCGGTTTACATTCCCCATCATTATATATACCCGCTCTTTGTCGCTTGGAAATTTTTTCACTTTTGTCTATTCAGGTATCTATGGTATTCTCCACCAACCCCCCCTCCGTTCTCGAATATTATTGACATACTGTAGGTTACCGGCCGCCTCTATACATTCTATATCAAGCATCCGGTGGACGGCCAGAAATTAATACTGGCAGCTTTCGTTATATTTGCGACCTTATATAGCGCTTATATTGTTATGTGGATCGTGCTACTTGTTTATCCGTAGTTCGCTAATAAGCGGTTTATTAACAAGCCACTTCCGGAGTTCTTGTGGTCTTCACCGGCCTATATCCAGTTTGCCATTGGCATTGCCGGCATTGATACGCTCACCCGATTACGTCTACAACGAAGTAACGGCGGGATATGGAAGAACCTTCGGCTAGGCTTTGGGAAGGGTATGGCATTCTGGAGGGTAGTGTTATGGGCATTTACCGGACTAGGGCTGTATTTATTTTCGATAGTAGCTGCGGTATATGGTTTGCCGTATATGGTTCAGCACTCGTCCTGTGTGGCCTCTTGGCTTGAGTTTGAGCTATGGAATTGGTTGACAAAGCTGTTGAGATCGAAGGAAACGCAACCCGGTACTATGAGTCGGCCCAGTACCATGCCGAGTTCCGTAGGCAATTTCTACGCAAAGGATTTAGATAGCGGAGACTCCGTCGAAGAATGGTATAACTACGACTGTAGGAGCCGCCTCGAGTCTGGAGGCAGTGGAGAGTTCGGGGCCAGCCAAGTTTTCCACCTCCCTTTCGAGGCCCAATAGTTGAGGGAGTTGTTTCGAATTAGTGACCACGGTAGATCTCGTACTGTTCCGCCAACTTTCTGCGCCAACTTCCTGCTCCAGGATGAGCGTGGCTGCATGTGTCGGGCGGCAATGCAACTCCGCTTTTTGTGGGCGTGATAAAGAGCAGGGGAGGAGACGAGGCCGGGAAAAGTCCAGTGGTATTCAAAGAGTCGGACGATCTCTAAGGAGATTTCTTGAGCATAGAGGAACCGATTCGCACTTGTTGTTTTTTAATTATACTATGGAGAGATTTCGGGAGTACTTCTTAGCTAATTGGCAGGAGAACCTTATCAGTATAGGTACCTCCGCTCTCCTCGTCTTCCCAGTCATCCAAGCGCATTAGTCGGGATACTCTATACTCGTCAAAATCTCAATTTATTTTCTGGTCTTCTTTTTTACATTTATATCTTGGCCAAGGCTTAGCTATTGGGTATCGGCTGGCCGAAGCCTATGGGACTCGTCGCCTGACGTAAGCATATCTAATACTTGGGTGGTTTTATATTCGTATTCTCTTTTCCTTTCTCCTTCACTTCTATTGGTATTTTCCCCAGGAACGAATTCTCAACCTGTCACAGTTTTACGCGACATAGAATTTCCCTGACCTCAATCCCGGCAAGGGTGCCGCCCCCAGTAATACGACGTCTTCGTCGCGCTCTCGCTCGTCTCTTTCTTTACTTCTTTCCTTGATGCTACATTTACATAACATTCTTCGTACCTATCTTTCTCTCAGGTTCTCGCTCCGCTCTCTCCATTCTTTCCTATTCCCCGAAGCGGGGCTTTGCCCATCTACCCACCGCGCTGCGCCAAGAGCCGAAGAAACTGCCTGCCTACCTGCCTCCTGGCCATTTTTTTTTTCGATAAGGAGGAAGATAGGAAGCGGAGAGGACGGAAATACTCGTGAGTTAACTTGTAACGTATGGCGCCTAATCTGGCCGATAGAGTGCTAATTAATATACGCCTATATAGTACTAGACTATTGCAATACCCGTATAATCTTATCGGTGGCTCTTAGCAATCCTTAGGCACAGGCCTCGTTTACAGCACCGCATCTTCCTCAAACAAACATTCTTAATAACCCTGACCCTTTTATTAGCACTATTATGGAAACCATAGAGGGCTCCCTCTCTCCCTCACCGCCATCATTCTAGAGCCCCTATCCCTCCTATCCCCTTAGCGCGTAGTCGAACTTATAATACACCCTCGACGTTTCGCTTCCGCCCAAATCCGATCAACTACTACGAGGCCAGAGTAGTTTATCCCTTCAGGATGTCAATACGCCACAAAAGGGAGAAATGAATCGGCAGATGGCGCAGGAGCAAGGGAGCACAGCTAATGAGTCGCCGCTCTACGTCAACGCGAAGGAATACAAACGCATCCTAAAGAGGAGGAGAAACTGTACTGGGGAGGGCACCGGCGAGCGCGCAAGAAGCAAGAGGAAGCTACACGAAAGGTAGATGAGGAACGGCAGCCAACTTCCTAGAACGCTGGAGCCGATCGTTGGGGCAAGGTAATACTAACTTTGTAGATTTATTACTTAATATGTCAATTAGAGTTATTAGCCTGGCGTAATTTCTATTCGTTAAACTGAGGCGACCGAGGTCAGGACCAGTTACGTCTTCTATCTATATACTGTCGATGGCCCAGCAATGGAGTCGTCATTTAGATTGGGGTCCACGGAAAATCCTGGGGCAGTCCATTTCCTTGCCGCGACAGACAGATATAGGGATGGGTATAAGAGGGTCCAAGAGTAGAAGCCGGGCAGGGTGGGACCTCAATCCCACGGGGCGTCCACCGCTTTTTCGGTGCCTTAGACGTCTGACTCGGCATTGTAGTGTCGTATGTCTCACTGTGTACTCTCTGCTTGGCCACCCGTATGCCGTCATGGACGGGCATCTTGTCATCAAAGCCCAACTACACAGTCATCCGCGGGCCCATGTATACGCAGCCGACTGCCAACTTCATCCGCAAGATGAAGAAACTCCAGGCTGTCAACCTGGATGATCATGAGGAGGACCCATGTGAAGAGGTGAGGACCTGGGATCCACAGCCTGCCAACAGGTGCTCAAGCCGAGCTTCGGCGGCGGGCCGAGGGGGCGATAAGTCGCGGCTTTCTCGAATGTATTGCATGGCTGTCTATGTGTCGCGTCGTATACTGGACGAGATTGGGCTTCGTTGGCATGGGTTCGCGTATCACGCATCCGGGAGATCTTATGTGCCGTGTTTTTGGCTCCGATATGCTGGTATTACTACGCCAGATTCGACACTTTGGCTCGGATCTAGGGATATTATACTACCTATTCGTCGCCCTAGCCGTTGTGCCGGTTTGCATGAATAGAAAAAGAGTCTGACGAAGGTGCCGTCCGGTTCCGGATCAGCTGATGGGTCGGCGGCTATTCTGAGGGATCCGCGATAGTATTGGGCAACATAAAAAAGGTGATGGATTCGATGATGATTCTGGCCGAGGAAAATCTCTGGCCCTCTCTTGTGGGTAGACCACGCCAGAACCACGCTAAGCTATCTACCAAATCAGGAGGCGGCTACCACCTTCTAGAAGGCTTATCCCTTCCAATAGATAGTTGTACAAGAAAGTGAATTGACATGAGGTGCAAAGAGGCCCTTATCCTTATCTCCTAGCAGCGTCTCACGCTACAATGTGTGCCAAGTCTACTAATACCAAGCGGGGTCGGATGACTATCCTCACTTAAGCCGAACCAGACTCCGAACCAGACGAGGAGGGTCGTCGAATGATGTTCTATCTGGGCTCGACGTCTCGACAGCCGTGTACTGAGGGTTAGCTTCTCTCTGACGCTGACGGGCCAAAGCAACGCGTGCTTGGATGTCACCGATATCGATGGCGTATGTGTTGTGGTCCTGGGGCTGCGATTCAAAGCAGTAATGCATATACCCAGGGCTGTAGACTCGCTTTGGCGGCCCCGATGTTATATGTGAGGACCAAAAGTAGTCTTGGTCATTACAAACGCCCAAGAACTTCCATGTCGTGAATACCAACAATCGCGCCTCGGGCCAGCCCGGAATGGAATCGGATACGACGCTGACGGTGTAGTCGGTATGGCAGCGTGGACAGCTCCGAATGGCGTTGAACGGGATACTGTCGAGACACGTGCAGGACGCTTTGTGGAACAGCGCACACCGAAGTCGTTTGTGTATGTGGGCCGTCTCCGCCGACAAGGGGGTAACTTGCCTGTTCAATGCTGTTATGGGTTGCGAGAAATCGGCGACTTGGTGGGCTTCTTGTTCGGTAAGATGCTGGTCGAGACCGGATCTGGCCATCTGCAGGACGAGAAAGGGGTACTCGTCACTCCACCGAAGGTGTCCACAGATAGGGTCGGCGCTTGTTACGATATGACTGATCTCGTAGAGCGTCCGCGGCGTGATGGCACGGCCGGGCCTAATCCGGGGTGCAAAAAAGTCTTGTTAGCACATGATGAGCGATCGGTAGTAGTTGCTCATCTTGAATCGTGTGAGGGAGAAGCCACGCCCGGTTGATTGGCCAAAGGGTCTTGTGAGATCGGCTGCCAGTTTCTTAGCGGTAGAAGCGTCGACTTCGGGTGATAGACTCATGCGTCTTCCAGGCTTTCGCGACGGATGCCAGTTTAGGCAGCCGACAACCTCCAGTTTGGGCAGAGCGCCTGAGGGGACCTGGCTCTGAGCCTCGGGGACATTCTTGTAATTCCACGTACGCGCTATCTTGTCGCCAGCGTTCGTCGCCGTCTAGTTGCCTGCATATTGAGGCCAGAATGCTCTGCATCTTGAGCTTTATCAATTTCCACGTAGCATGGACGGTGGACATGATGGATGATGGTAATGGATGATGGTGATGGATTACAAAGAAAGGTGGTGTTCTGTCGGAGGAAGCGGAAATTTTGTAGTCAGGCGACAACCCATTTTGCGTAAAATCATACGGCCGAGCTGTATAAAGTTCCGGCTAGTTATCTTTGCCGGAGCGGTGGATTATATTCGCCTCGTGTCCCCAGGAAACGTCCATCTGGCCACTAATTAGCTTTCAGAAGCCGTAGTCGGTAAAGTACGTACCATTTTGCTTCGCCACGAACTTAAATCTCGTCGCAGATACAATCAACGAACCGCCTGCCAATCGCCGCGTTGGTGGTTGGAAAAGAAAACGGACAACATCGAAGTCCCAGGATGTTGCTGCCACGCCAGCGCGTAGAGGTGGAATCCGGACCGGCTGTCGATAGTCATGTATATTCTAGGAGAGGAACGTCGAAAACTTCGAAGTTCGAGAACTGCGGCTTGAGTGGTGATTTGCGCAGACGAGACCGGCCGCTGATAGCCCTGTTGATCCTGGGAGAGGTGTGCTGAGATAGAACCTCGACGCCAAAGATCTGTGACTAGATCTTAACTTTCGGTAGACCGCCTGTTTGTGAAGCTTGGATCGCCGATAGCCGGGTCGATTGATCCGAGAGAAATACCGCTTCCTATGATGAGTGATGCTACTGGTGGGTGATGCCGCTGATAGATGATACCGTTGATGGATGATACCGTTGATGGATGATACCCTGGACCGCCAATGGAAGATGCCGCTGATTGATGCCCAATGTCTGGATGATGCCGCCCATAGATGACACCGCCTATGGATGATGCCGTTGGTGGGTGATGCTGTTCATGGATGGCACCCCGGACAGGATGGATGGTTTCAGAAACAATGTATTCCAGAATGTAGCCAAATGAGGCACAAAATAGGGCCTTCAACCGTGATCCACTGATTGATGTGTAGGAAGAAAAAGGCCTGCCGCAGGTAGGTCCGGGGACCTGTATTGACCCCGTGGAAAAGTTGTTTAATTACAGTGGCCTGTGCAGGCCCTGCCGGGCCCCTGCACCATACCCGATTTGGGTAGGTCTTTCTGACACACCCCCTCAGTTGAAGCCATTCCCAGATTCGACTGCCAAAGTAAACAAAGACCCGACAATGAGAGTATTTCCAAGCCGCTGGTAAGCCCTGTAGTCAACTGAGGTTCCTTCCTTTTCTGCGCCTGTGTTCTTTCTTCCCTTCTCCATGCCTGGTTTTTCCATGCCTGTATTCCTCACTTACGCAGTATATGCGCTGAGTCAATGCGGTGTGCTTCCAATGCAGTACGCTTCCAACGCGGTACGCTTCCAATGCGTGTTGGTGATGATTTCCTTGGTGTTTTTGCTATAGACCTTCATGGTCTGGCCACCCTGTGACTCTGTAGCTCCCTGAGTGGCTCCTGCCTTCCGTCTTTCCGGCTCAGGGGCTTCCTTTTTCCGAATGATCGGGCCTTGTAGTGTAAGTGCTCGCCTCTTGCCGGGCCCTGAGTGGCTCATGCCGTCTGCTCAGGGCCTCACGATGTAAATAGATGGCCTTGAGGTGGTTCCAGGCCTCTGACCGGACCCTTAGTGGCTCATGCCGTCAGTCTTCCTGCTCAAGGCCCCTAATGAAGTAAATGAATGACTGGTATGCCCACAAGCCGGGCTTCCACCCCTGAGTTCAAGGGTATGACAGTATAATGTCATGAAGGTAATAGACAACAGGGTCGCTGACCCCCGTGCCACCTGCATGCCGGCCCATCTGGATCTCTCTCTTGATGTGGGCCTATGTCCCCCTGTTTGTCGGCGCTTCGCAAAGAGCTCTGCTCCGACCTGCAGCCCCACCTCTTCTAATTGGGACTAGCGCAGCTGCCTCTCTTACAAAACTACTGCCTGCAGGCTTCTTTTCCTTTTCCTTTCTTTAGCTTAGTTATTTAAGAATTCAGCCATTCCTTACTTGCAGCCTTGCCTCTTGTATTTGCCTGCTTTACAGGGAGCTCTTTCCTTATGCGATAGAACTTCTATTACTCGACGGTTGTTGTCGGATTGACTCTTTGTTCTTCTTATCTTGCTATATCTACGAACCGAGGTCTTTCGGGAAACGAGACTGTAAAGCTGGTAGGCTTTTCGCAGTCCTCTGACCTGGACGTCTATTTCTTTTTACCGTCGTAGGCCCAGCGAAGACAGATAATATGGGTTTATTATTATTATTCTTACCCCCCTATGCCCGTGGGCTTGTCGGAACTTCTACTGCTAAATACGCAGTAAAATCGTGCTCTGAGCTGATGTGGCCCAGCCCGGGTAAAAAACCTATATCTAAGTTTAAAATAGCTGTCTTGTTGTTTCCATCTTATACGTTGGGGGTATATCCGGCCTGGTTAGCTACCTTCCTGAGCTTCGCCTTCCTTTTCTAGGTCTTCTATAATCCTTACAGATAATCTATACTCAGTGAGCCTTCCCAGGCTAAGCAGCCAGGCTAGGATATCCCGTGTGTGCTGGTTCCCTGCAAGGGCTTGGTAGAGGTCGTTTCTGGTGCGTACTCTCTGGGCCCAGCGGCCTCTTGGTTTTGGCGGCTGTGTACACCACACTGCTATGTGTTCTACTGTTTCTTTTCCTGTACTCGCAAAAAGGAGTGCTGATCTCTGGAACACGGGTTCTGAAAAGGAAGTCTTTTAGGCCTATGGCCCCTGTGCGGGCTTGGACTAGCAGTGAGCTCTCTGCTTTAGTGAGGTCCTCGTGCTTTCTGAGAGCATTGTCACTGAAGATAGGTGCTGTATCCGCTGGTTGCGTGGCTCTCTCTGGGTCTGGTTGGAAGCTAATATGAGTTTATTTAGAATAATAATAATACGAGTGGCGAAGGGGAAATAAGTGGCGAAGGGGAAATAAGTGGCGAAGGGGAAATGAACGGCGAAGGGGAAATGAACGGCGAAGGGGAAATGAGGGACGAAGGGGAAATGAGGCCGTAACGAGGAAAGAGGGGGAGGGATAGCATAACCTAGTCCTTTCCATTCCCTGCTGGCCATATTTCTGGTTGGTCTTGTAAACGGTCGTCGTTGGTTGGTCTGAAGGATACGAAACGGGTGTGCCGTATGTCGCCGCATTTTTGATCGGTGGGCTTCAAGTTGCCAAAAACGGAGGGTACTAGGGGCCGAAAATGGGGACTTTTCAGTCCAAGAAATAAGAATATAGACCGCCAGACCAGTAGTTGGGTGGGTGACCACCAGCGAATCCCTGGTGCTGCATGTTTTTGGACTTTTTACCGTCTTCGCTCTCCGAGCATATAGCAAGCTCTTCTTCCCTGGCGTGCTCACCACTCTGAATTCGATCGATGTCTTGCTCGTCGGGAGACAGCTTAGGGAAGGCGTCAAGGGACATGCACCTCGACTGCAGTTCGGCATCCTGAGCCGATGGCATGAGCAAGAGGTACTAGCGCCGTTGCTTAGTCATATCTCACACGTCAGACACTCTTCAGTATGCAAGCTCGCTTCCACAGGACCCAATGCAAGCCCGCAATCCAGGCAGCCTCTGCATGATTTTCATTGGCTGCTACGGTAATGCTCTGCTTATGGGCATCCGATTCCAACCGGTTTGCCTCGGCGCTCGCAACAATGCAGCAAAATGAGGCCATATTTGAGCTTTTCCAACATGTATTTGAGTTAGTTAATTGTTTTATTTACAAATATTTGACCGGCGCTGAAAAACAATATTCCGGCCCGGGTAAACCCCGGCATAGAAAAAACCTGCCAGCCGAGACGCCGAAAGCTAGCCAAAGCCATGCCGAAGCTTCAAAACAGGCCATTTCGCCGCCAATTTAATAGGCACAATAGCTTGATGGTATCGCTACTGAGCCCGTGTCTCTGCAGTCCAACGATCAATTTGGCCATATAAAATGGGCCCACATATGTCAAGTATATTTACGGATCTACGGCTTCATATTTGTATTTAATTTGGTCTTTTTGCCCTAACGTGGTTTATCACCGAGCGGGCCACCCCACCGAGCGGGCCACTTTTCCTCGACTCCATGACTTCTAGACTCAATTACAACCGCACCACAATAAAAATTCAATCGGAATCCATCTCGTTGTCTTCACCCGATAGTTCTTCATCCACGGGACAGGTTCGTACATTATGCCCAGGCTTTCCGCATCGTCCACAGCACCGAATAGTCGCCGGCCCTGCCTGCAACAGACCCCTATCCTCGTCCTCTTTGCTCTTTTTCTGGCGACTAGAATCTATTTTGGCTATCAAACCGCGCGCATCTTCTACAGAAAGTGTACCGCCTTCTTGGAGTCTCGTACGCTTGGCCCGCCGGCGCTTTGCAAGGGCCTGATTGGCCTTCTGAGTCGTACGGAGCTCTGCCCGCAAGAGTGTCATCTCGTACGCGATTGCCTCCGTACCCTTTGCTAACTGCTTAATAGCGTTAAACATTGAAGTCGGCGAGCTCCCTTGATGGTCGCTAATCCTCTTCCGTACGAATTGGGATTGCGAAACAGCCTCGGCCGCCGTACGTGGCGTGTGGGAGGTCCAAGGGCTGGCGTCGGCGGAGGGGGGGCCAGTCGGTGTTGGCGTCCGAAGCTTAATATCTAGCTTCGATAAGACGGCTTCTGGGTCGAATGGCACTAATCTAGCACCGCGGAATCCAGCTATAATGTTATTAGGCGTTATAGTGTCCTAGTGGGCGGCGATAAAGGCGATCAAGAACTCGGGCTTAGTAATATGGTTGATATGAGCTCTAATGAAGTCTTCAAGTTGCTTGCCGTACGACCGTTTCAAGGCGCTAAAACAACCAATATCGAGAGGCTGGGTAAGGTGCGAGGAATGTGCAGGGAGACAGAGAGTAATGATGTTCTTCTCCTTGCAGTATTGCTCAAACTCGTACGAAAGATGGCTTTCATGACCGTCCAAAATAATCCTGCGATAACCACCCTTCCGCCGGGAAGTAGTATGCTTATCAAAGTGCCGAATCCAATCCATAGCCGTTTTATTATCAATCCAGCCGTTAGAGGAGGGCTTGATAACCCAGGAGGCTGGGAGATCGGTGTCTTCGTACCATGACTTGAGGTGGTTTTTGCCTTGTACGATGAGAAATGGCGGTACCACAAAGCCGCCGCTACTCACGCACTCAATTGCTGTCGCCCATTCTCGATTACCTGGCTGTAGTTGCTTGCCTCGTTCGCGACGGTCTGCACGTGTAACGACCATTGCAGCGCAAATAACGCCCATCATAAAGCCAGTCTCGTCGAAGTTGTAGAAATCGCAGTTTTGGATACTGTACTTCGTACGCATATTCTTTACCAGCTCGAACCACTTCCTGATAAGGTCTGGATCCTCGCAGAGGGCCCTCTGGAAGTCGTAGGCGCGAGAAAAACGCGTCTTTAGCTCTTGACGGCCTCGTACGAAGCGGTATGCCCAGTTCTTGCCGACGCGTTTCGCGCCACGCGTCGTACGAAGGAGATTCGCCATTTCCTCAACACCCTCAATCCGGGGTGGAAATCCTCGCGAATCTAGGTCGAGAACATATCGGACAATCGTTTCTTCTTCGACTTCGGTCAATTGATGGGCGGCGTTACGCGCTTCGCGTTTCATAACGCGGCCAGTCATTCTGGCCTGGAGAGTAGTTCTGGGTACGTCGTACATCTGTGCAGCGCTTCGGATTGACATTTTCTTAGATGTACGGATAGCCTCGATAGCAAGGATGATTTTGGCTTCTTGGGTTTGGTTAGACATTGTATTGGTTGTGGTGTGCGATAGTTTGAAGTGTGGAGGTTATGGAGCCGTGGAAAAGTGGCCCGCTCGGTGATAAACCACGTTATTTGTATTTGCCTATATTTGTATTTGCTTTGCTGCATCACCGTATTTGCATTGTTGCGAGTGCTGGTTTGCTTCTCCAGACTTTGATCTGTTGCTGAGACCGTTTGTATGCCCAACGGCATCCTCGACACCGGCCGGAACGCCATATCTCTTGGAACGGCAAACTGCAGAGCAGCCCTTAATCTCGGCCTACAACGGCGACAAAGGCGGAGACGACAAAAGGTGTCTTGGCAGAGTTCGCGGAGCGCGTGAGTGGCTGGCAAGATCACCGTCGTAAGTCTCTGTGGATACGGAACAAAACATTGCCCCTGCCTGGCCAGTCAATGACAAAAGCAGTGTACCGATCCACCCAGGACTCTAACCTGGAACATCCTGGTTAGTAGTTAGACGCCCTACCGATTGAGCTAGCGGACCTGTTTATATAGTTCCGGTACAGAAAGTTATGTTTTATGATGTCGTGTCACCTAGTTCAGCATTACGGCGACGAAATTCATCTACAGAATGGCTGATGTGCATTTAGAAGTGAAGCTTGTTGTATTCTGTTATCTAGACAGACCGTTCAACAAAGAAAGAGAAGTGAAAAACAAAAATAATAAAAGGCAAACAAACAAGGAGCATAACCAGCCCATTTTGTTCAGCTTCTTCAGCCATTTCCACCATCACCTCACCAGCCCCTAGTTCCTCGCCTAACGGCACATCAAACTCCCTTGGCCTTGCTGTTCAAATCCAGGCCTGAATGATTGGTATCCTCCCAACAAAGTTGTCGAGATACACCTGCCGTCTACACACGTCATTCAAGCACGAGCTGCCAGGCCCGTGGACCTGATTCAGCAGCCTGCTCACATCAAGTCTCACCGGCGGGGAGGCATGCAGACATCGCAGATGACGATCTTGGTCTCCAGTGCGCGGGCATCCAAGACCATCGTTGGGGGGAGGGTACTGTGGGCAAAGGCATTTCGGTGGCCCGAGCATAGGACGGCCGTGTACATTCGCGGGTCGTTCGCATCCATGACCTTCTTTCCGCAGTTTCTGCAGTTGAACGTGTACCGCCTGCATCCGCACCTGAGGGTATCGGCAAGTTCTGCGCCTGGTCCTTGTTTTGGAGGCCGCGGCGCTTGCTGACTCTTCCTCCTTTGATTAGGAACAGCCCATGATGATTTGGCAAGGGTGATGATTGGTTGTTTGAGATTTTGTTTGAAATCGCATCAAATGGAAGAGCTGTTTTGTGCGTTGGCCTTTGATTTCAAGAGACAAATTTGAGAGAATCTGTGAAGAGTCCAGACGTCAAAAAAGGAAAACTCTCACTGCATTTTATACTCCAGCTTGGTAGAGAACCAATCGCATGTAGAATCAGTGGCGGCATTGACCTGCTTGCTATCAAGACGACTCTTGCCCTTAGTCTTAACCTCGTTGAGGGCGCAGTGAATCAAGACGAGTCACCAGACCGACATCCAGAGGTTGTGTTGCTCAGTCCCCAAACATATATCGGCGTGTTTGCGCTATTCACGCCCACCGCAGCGAGGCTATCAACGTGTTTGTTGTCTTGGAAGTTATGATCCTGTAAAACACAACCCCTCGTCCACGACGAGATGGCAAAAGCAAATGCACCAATCCACCCAGGACTCGAACCTGGAACCTCCTGATTCGCAGTCAGACGCCCCACCGATTGAGCTAGCGGACCTGGTGAATTAGTTTAGATTTGGAAGGTGGCGTTTTATACACGCGCGTCCAACAGGAACCCAACACCATGTACTTTGATTCTGTCTGTTCTTATGTGTGTACACGCCATCTCTGCTTACTAGAGCTTTTATCAAAGCGCCGGCAGTTCCTATTTCGTGTGAAAAGGAAAAGTCGAGGTAGAACATACGCCTCGTTCTTATACGCCTCCTTTGAGCCCCAGGCGTCACCCATAACCCGGACACAAACCTCCCAGTCCGTACCACTCATGGAATGTCTGCAGTGATTGCCGATCGCATTTAAAAACGTTACTACATTCTGTTCCCGTACCCAAACTGCTGATCCAAAAAAAAAATAAGTTACATTTGGCCCATTTGGCTAGCTCCTTTACCCATCCCATCCCAACCCGTGGCTCCTCACTCCCATGCTCCTAGCCCGTATCTTCCTCCTACGGCTCAAAGTAGCTCGCGCCGGGTCCGGGCCACACGGTGACTGGCCGTGGCCGCACCTGTCCAGGGAATCAGTAATCTAGCATGGACACAAGGGCTGTTGAGTTGCTCACCCGGCGTTCCCTGCGCCGTCTTTGCTCTTGGCGCGCGCAGTGTACGCAGGTTATCTTCCGCGATTTGATCAGGGCCTTTTCGACATACGCCGAGGGGGGTGGGTTCGCAGGATCCGGCATTGCCTTGCACGTCATGCACTTGGCAATATCCAGTTTTTGGTTTTCTTCCTCGTCCTCGATCATGTGCCCGCACTCGCGGCACTTGAACGACCAAAGGGTGCAGCCGCAGGGCAGCCGGGTCGCCACTACCGCATATGGGTCGGTCGGCCACAGCGCAGGGTTTCTCTCCGGGGGCAGGAGAGTGTTGGGCCCCCCGACGAAAGCGCCGCCCCCGAGATGGTAGGCCCCGTCCGGCATCAGCCCCGGAGCTAGTTCTACGTCCTTTGATGGAAGACAGCCCATGACTGCAAGGTATCTGGAGTGTTAGAGAAGGACATGCAGGGTTGTTGTCCGTTTCTTTCAACAGGCAGAAGGGAGAGAAAGATGATGACATTTGGAACGAAATCTTTTCCTCTCCATCTTATACTCCCAACAACGAAGCCAGGCCGCGTACGTTGCCTTTGCTATAAAATGACGTAGACGCCATCGGACGTACGATGAATCTTGACGGAATGGAGGCAATGGGCCAGGAGCCATTCGGGTCGTGTTTGATCCGCTAGGTAAAGGCACAAATAGACTGTGCTGCGTAGCTCGACGCCTTGCGCCTCTTCAAGTGAAGCGCCCACTCCGGCGTCGTCATCAGGCTTAAGACATCGAGTCAAAGCCCGTTTGCGTTACACTCAGCTGGCAGGCTGGTTATGGCAGTAGGGTGCAGCAAAGTGCCATAAAAGGCGCCCTCAACCCGCCCTGATGCGCCGGCACCAGTCCCTCCCATGCTGCACCTGCCAGTCGCACAGCCAGACCTCCATGGCCATGCCGACGAAGCCAGCGACGCAGATGCCGCCGCTGTCGCTGACTGACGTGGCGCCCAGGCTGAACTCGCGGTCCTCGACCGGCACGTCCTCCATGATCTTGGCAAACGTGTTGACATAGACAGCACCGCCGAGCAGCCCCTCCCAGAAGACGACGGCAAACACAAGATACACCGAAGGGATGAAGTTGAGGAGGGCGTGGAGCGTCAGCAACACCAGGTTGACAACCTGTAGGATCGACGGCAGGTAGAGGTGGCGGATGCGGATGAACGGCGACGACGAGCGCGAGATGAAGACGCCTAGCTGGTACAGGAAGCCGTAGAAGGGGTAGAACTCCCTGAGATCGGCGAAGGGCGAGGCGTCAAGCGGGAACAACAGCGTGGGCGCGACGCCTTGGTTGATGGTGTACTCGGCAATGTACACTAGGAGCAGCGGCAGCATGTAGGGCACGAACAGCGATCTGGAGCGGCGAAGATTAGCCAGGAACGACATCCTGGCGTCGCCCGGGCGCGCAGAGTACGCCGTCGACGCAGCTGCCGGGACAGACGGGACCGACGACGCCGTTCCGGCAGGGGTGTCAAAACTTTCACTCTCCCCATCCCCCTCGTCGCTTGGTTCCTGCTCCGACAGCAGCGGCTCGTAGTCCCTCTGCACGGCGGCGCGCATCGGGCCGTGGGGCAGAACGAGAAAGAAGCTGACCAGCATGATGACGGGCAGGAAGGCCGAGGCGAGCAGGCTGGCCTTGATGCTGAAGCCGATCCAGTCCGTCATCAGCACGTACAGGCCTGCGCCGGCGAGGCCAGCGGCTCCCGTCCCGCTGCCCCACGCCGCCAAGCTCATGTGGCCATAGTAGTGTGTCAGGCCGAGAAAGCTCAGCTCGCCGCCGCCGCTGCTGAGGCTGGACAGGACGACGCCGACGAGCTTGACGGCGACGGGCTGTGACGGGGGAGTGAAGGCGACGAGCAGCATGCCGGCCGTCGACAGGGCGACAAAGACGAGAATGCGAACGGCATAGGGGACGCGGTGGATGAAGTAGGGGGCGACGAGCTTGGTCAGGAAGCTGGGCACGACGTCGGCAAGGAGGACGACGCCCTTGGGCACGTTGCCGACGAGGTCCTGGGCCGCCGACAGGATGATGACGTAGAGGACATTGTTAATGAGGCCTGGAGGTGTTAGAGGGTCAGGGGGTGGGAGGCGGGAGAGAAGGGGGGGGGGGGGGTCGCAGGCGCACCAAACAGCCAGAACGCGACCAGAACGGGTGTGTCCGACTTGTGGAAGAAGCTGGTGACGCGGGCGCGGAAGAGCGCCCACGACGACGACGGCGACCCGGGCAGTGGCAGTGGCAGCAGGCCTAGCGACGAGGGCGATCGGTTCATAGCTTGGTGTGGCGTTTTGTCGCGCGCATGCTGGTTGTGCAGTTGCTGCTCGGATGGTGACAGGCAGGCGGATGGTGACAGGCAGGCGGATGGTGACAGGCAGGCGGATGGTGACAGGCAGGCGGATGGTGACAGACGAAAGATTGACGACGTCCACTGCGGCTCAGGCGTTTAGGCTGCCAAGCAAACTGACAGGGGCTTGCATCACGCGTGCGCTAAGAGAGACCCCTAACCCAGACGCCAAGAGTTAAGCCTGGCACGGTCGGGTTGATGACGACGACATCAGAGACACCTCATCCTGCTGACAGCTTGATCCAAAAAAAAAAGGTTGCAGATTAATTCCAGACATTGTGCGGTTCTCGCTATCTACCAACACCCAAAGGAGCTATTTACAACGCGGCCATGTCAGACAGCGTAAGACACAGCCATAACAAGGTATCACCGTCACCATCACATGCCATCACCATACCCGTCACCGTACCCGTCACCGCCACCAGTTGGTAACCACGGCCCAAACTTCGTTCCATCACACAGCTCTTATTCCATCCCGCAGGCAGCACTAGCCTCTCCACGGCCCGTCGTGCGCCGCAGCACCCGTGGCCGCCGCCCAGTACGCCTCGACCTCACTGCGCCGCATCTCGGATGCCATCGCCTCGGTCCTCCACCCCGCCCGCCGTCTATGATTCAATACCGAACCCGCCCGCGCCGCCCCTCCCAAGACCAAGATCCAGCCCGCCGGAGACGCGGCGGCCACGAGTCAGCTGGCCCACGACGACGCGCCGCCGCTGGCTGCCCAGTTCGCCCGCAGCGTCTCGCCGCGGCGCACCATGGCGGCCGCGCGCCGGCCCAGGTCCGCCACGGCGCGCGACCCGACCTTGAAGGGCGTGAGGAACAGGTGCTGGTGCGGCGCCTCGCAGGGGGCGCCACCAAGAACACACGGCGTGCGCACGTGGCGGTACACTTCGGCCTCGGGCTGGGCGTTTGGGTTTGTGGTGTCAGCCATGCCGCCGTCGCGCAGCTGGCGCTCCACCACGGCGTCGAGCACGAGCCCGGCCTGGTCATGCAGGAAGGCGTCGCGCAGCGGGTACTTATTGCGGGAGGCGATGCGGTCGAGCAGCGACGCGGACGCGCTCGCGCTGGGCTCGTCTTGGCCCTGCGGTGTAGTGCGCCCGCCGCCCGGCCCGCGCACCCAGTCGTGCAGGTTCTCGGCCAGTCGCGAGTTCCACTTGCCCGTCAGCGCCGCCGCGTTGCGCAGCTGCTCGGCCTTGGAGTGGACCGCGGAGAGCGCCGGCCGCGCCAGGTCCCAGCCCGGCGTCAGTGACGGGTCGAACAGCGTCGGGATCATAATGGAGAACTGGTCGGCCCTGCGTCCTTTCATGTCCGTCTCTGGGTTGGTGTTGTCGGGGTAGGCGTTTCTTTTAGCCGTCGCGCCCCCGCCTCGCTGCTGGCCAGCTACGCCAGACCACGCCACCGAGCCCTCGTCCAGCGCGCTGTGGTACAACCGCTCCGCCTCGTCGAACACGCTATCGGCTAGCAGCTCGATGACGGTGCCGCTAATGTTTAGGGGCATCGACGCCAGCGCCCAGACGTCCCACGTGCCGAATGTGAACACCCACAGCGTCTCGTTGGGCCGTGTGCTGGGCGTGCGGGTCCCCAGGAACGCCGACACCTGCCTGCTCAGATCTGGCAGGCTGACCACGGGGAACTCGTCGGCCTGGAAGCCGTAATTCCCGCCGGGGCTGTGGTTGCCCCACGTCTCGTTCATCAGGTGCTCGACGGCGGCGTCGTAGATGCTGTTGGACACCATGGCGTGCGTGTTGTTGTCGGCGGCCGGGACGAACGACTGGTACTGCGAGCATTTGAGCTGCGCACGTTAGCGATGTCAAAACCCAGATGTGACATTGACACTACCTCTTGGCAGAGCACCTCTGTCCATGCCCGGCTCGTCTCCTTCTCGAGGCCGCGTACGGGTGCGGGCATTGCAATGTCGTCGGCTCCAAACACGACAATCCTCAACCCGGAAGCAGATCCGTCCTTGCTACTGCCGCCGTGAGCATATACGTCCGCTAGCGGCGATGCGGTGTGAGCTGTCGGCGTCGTCTCGTCGGGCGTTTTGTCCGTCGCCCAGCCGCGCCAAATGGTCTTTGTCGTTCCGGCTGCGACCGCCGACAGCCCCTGGTGCGGCACGAAGCGGATGATTAGGATGAAGACGACCAGACACGCGGCCAGGTGCAGTAGGATCTTGGGGCCGCCGCGGAGCACGCGCGTCGAGAAGAAGGCCAGCAGCGCGTGCACGCCAAACTTTTCCCGCGGCGAGAGCATGCCGCCTGGGAGCGACGGGATATTGCTGTCATGAGCGAGCATGCCGGCGCGGCGCGCGGCCTGCCGAAAAAAGTCTTGGCGCTCCGGGTGTGTAACAGAGGACGGTGAAAGCGAAGGTATGTTTGTTGTTCTGTTTGGATTTAGCACCCAACCAAGCCGTCACTTCTGGCCACGGAAGATGGAAAGCCCAGATTGTATCATGAAGTCTCGACGCGGTCGCTGCTCTGCGTAGCCTTGTAAAATGCGCCTTGCTGCCTTCGATAAGGCGAAAGAAGTAAGGAAGGACAAAAATAAGGTAAGGAATGGGGTCGGTGGAAAGCTCAAAGACTTTTAGGTATTTTGATCACGGCGTAGATTGAACACGGCCTAGATTGAAAACGTAAATTGAAGACGTAAAATGATGCAGGAACAGAGGATGCACCGGCGGCGAGTTTAACGGTTTAGTAGGCGACCGTTTTAGCTACGGAAGGAGAGATGGACAGACCAAGCCCGACGGCTTCCCGTGTCCTCCTGCCAGAGCGGGCCATGCTGCGGTTACTTTTTGTCTCCCAACCAAGTCCGTCCGTCGGGGTCTGGCAGCTCGGCCCTGGCCCAGCATCTCGCCTGGCGCTGCTTGGATAGTCCAAGCGGGACGCGTGGCCCGGCTGCCAAGACGGGGATGGGCTACATCGGAATGCGGAGATGAATGGTGAGGCGCCGGGATTGGCATGGGCCCAGTGTGTTTCGACGCCCGCCACAAGCGCTACTTCTGTGCTCAAGCAGCAAGTTGCCAGCTAGCAGTTTGCTAGCCCAGCCGCGCCGACAGAAGTGAAGGGCTGGTGGTGGGTTGTCTGGGAATGGTCAGGAGATAGCGACCATGCGCCGCGCGAACGGGAAGTAGCCGGGAATACGGTAGCAGTTGGTACCCTATTCTTATAAAGGGGCCGACAGCACCGCGCATGATACAATGGGCCGAGATAAGCAGAAGAAACAGAGAGATGGCATCCGAGGAAGGGCCTGCTTTCACACACATTCAGTCGTCCGTCTAGGCGAGGTACAATCCACCGCCTTCGTTGATCATCCACGGCCGGCCCTCCTCAACGATATTGGCTCGCTTACTAGTGTCTTGGTGATCCGCCTCGTTGTCTCGATGCTAATAATCGGATAGGTTCTCTTGTACCTCGTTACGACGCACGTCCAACATCAGGGGTGATGCCGGCCAGCTTTTGTCAACGTACACTTTCCAACGAGACATTGCGTACATAGCTTCGTAGCTTTACTCGACGACTGTCGTGTCGAGCCACTAACAGAAACGGCGATCCTCCCACCGTTGGTGCTTGAACGTCGACAGGGCCAGGCTCTAGAACAGCTATCAACACGATGCAGCAGAGCGAACAAGAGCCCAAACATCCAAGACAAACATGGCGTGGCGTCCGTGCATATCGATACGCAGAAACAAAGTTAAGGTTGGCGCGAACCGCCGGTCCAAGGCGCCAGGGGATTTGCAACCGACCGGACGATCCACATGTACGTATTTGCTAGTCGGTGAGCAAGCCTCCTGAAACATGCTGGTGGACCGACACGCGTCGTGCCCACATCCTACGCGTAGGCATTGCTTGCCCTGCGAGTTGGCTGACGACAACGTCAGAGAGGTGAGCGGCGTGATATATTGTCGCTGTCGTGTTCAATGATGTAAGACTCACTTTTTCTAGGTCTTGTTGCCAGGTTAAATATTTCCCATTCCTCTACTCTTCTTTTATTTTCCCTTCTCTCCTCATCAGTTTAGAGCTGCCGGCGCATGCCCGAGATTATATGGCGCCAGTAACTTTGCAAAGGCCACTGCAGATATCTCATCCTGTGAACGATGATTCATGTCATTGACTTCGTTGTAGGCTCTATAACAATTGCGGCCGTGACAAATTGCCGAGGCTGGGTTGATAGAAGAGGATAAATATCGAAAGAGACCGTTACAGTCTGCCAAATGTTAATTCAGCCGCAATGAACACCTAAACCCACGTCTCGTAAGCCCACCCCAGGACGCCGAGCGACGCAAACAGGGTAAAGAAGGGCATCTGCGGCCAGCCCGAGGGCCCGAATTCCGGGTCGACGCCGTCGACGCCGGGGAAGAGCGTGGCCACGAGGCCAGCTACCCAGTACAGGGTGCCGGCGATGACGGCCCGACCCAGGGCGTCTTCGACTCGCTGCGGCGTCGCGCCGTGCGGGAAGAGACTCGGCCACCACGTGTAGTACAGCGTCGCGACCCCCAGCATCACGGCTATGGTGATGGTCTGCGCGCCGTGGAACCTGTGTGCGGTCAGTCCGTGGTCCCAGAGCCCGGTAGCTTGCCAGGGCAGCGAGGAGGGTCAGACGTGCTTGGCATGGGGCGGCCACCGCGGGTTGAAGATGTGCGTGCAGCTGAAATAGTCTGCTTTGAGCGTGCCCGCGATCATGCCGACGGCATCGAGGGTGAGTAGGATCTTGCCCAGCATGTTGGCGTGTTGTGACAAGTCTGAGTCTCGACACGTCTTATCAGGAAGACTGAGGCTGTTTTCGAGAAGCGAACTAGAGGAGCAGCATTCGCAGTTCGCTTCAACGAATGCCTAGCAAGCTCAAATCCTCAGCACTGGAAGCAGACGTCCATGAGAAGATGTTATAGGTGTTGTATGTGCCGGTACAAGCAACATCTCGGCCGAGGGGCTGCATGTATACGGCCACACCCCTCATTTTCAGGCCGTTTTGTGGAGGACGGCAGCTTCGCTCCGGGTGGCCCGTCCGTTTCCTTGGCCAACCAGGCAGCTAGTTGTGGTTACATCACGGCCGGCTTTCGATGGTAGCGATCGCAGAATCCTGGATTGTATACAGAACGTTTGACGGACGTAGGATCGAGGTGGGACATGTTCCTGGTCTGCCACCGGAGACCGAGCAGCGGACCGAGAATTTGTCATGCTCGCTCTCAGCTCTTGCTGTGGCCTTGCAATCGCGAGTGACAGTCATGTATCCGTGGACCTGGCCAGACCGTGTTCTTGTATTACCTCGGTGCCTTTGGGGGCCATGGGCTGTCTCCAGACGATGCTGAGACGACAGGACCTGCCGCACTGTACAGCATGTCTGCGTGGTATAGTATCCGCACTTGGCTAGGAGGGACGTGACGAGCCGGCTTGCTCCGATTTCACCCCTTGAGTTCGTCAGCTTCGCACATGGCCGGTTGGATAAACGTTGGGACAAACGTTGGGACGAGCTGAGATGATAAGCCCGACCAGTCGATTGCCAGAGTTTGAAACGTACCAGTAGACATTGATGAATGACGGAGTGCAAGACAGCTTCCGTTGCTCGTCACGGCACCCGCTCCACACCGCCAGAGATGGCGCAAACCTTAAAAGCAAACCCCTAGCCGCAAACAGGCCAACTACAGTGGTCTGCTGTGGCACTGGTGGCCTGTGGCAGCAAAGAAAGCACCTACTGGACCAAGACAAATTTTGGGGCGGCGGCTCTCCACACACGGCCACCAACAGCCTAACCGGCCAGCCATCTGGGACCAACGCCCCGCCCATTCCATTCTTCTCCAAAATCACCTTCGAACTTTTGCCGCCCGCCCGCCCTGAGGCGTCCAGCTCCCGTCCTTCTTCAACCCACGGCACCCAGCCCTCCAGCAGCCTCTGCTGGGCAAGAAGACAGGGTTGCCCGTGTCGCAGAGACACGCATCAGCTCTTCTTATTTTTCACAACATTCCCACTACTCGGGATTAGATTATCCAATCTCGTCGACAGGTATGGCGTCTCCCAATTTTGTCTTGCCCCTCCGCCCGACGAAGCCTTTCAGCTGGCCTTCCCCACTGCTGTGCACCACCGCAGCCAGCCGACTCCGCTCTTCACCCAACCACTCAACCACGGCCAGACTGCTACCCGCTCCCCTTCAGCCTTGGTTCTCCCTTCGGCCTTGGTTCCTCCCTTCAGCCTTTGGCTCCATGCCCTCTGAAGAGTTTCAGAGGCCAGTGTCTCCAGCTCTAGCAGTTAAGAGTATGGATGCATAGTCGGCGCTTGAATGTTCGTTCGTTAACGTCTCTCATCATCACTAGGCCGAAGAAAGTCATGGCATTGCCCGACGTCCCAACCAACCAGTCCACAAAGCTGCAGGGACTCTGAGCCTAGTCCCGAGCTCTGCTCGCTAGACCGGCGACTCTTTCACGCTGTTCTTCGACACGATGGGGGCCGGCTGATCTCCACTGATCTCTCACAGAGGGCTGTAGATTGACTCAGTTCCCGCCAGCCCCGCCCAAGTAGACCTCGGACACGGCAGTCCGGGACAAGATAGGCAGGCATATCACACACAACAGATCACGCACAGAGATGTCAAAGAGACGGTTGCATATCACACATACGGCGGGAAGATATACCCGACAGTGTGGACAAATTCAACTCGACGGCGGGCAAGCCATATCAACAGACCCTAGCTCTAGTGCACCTGGTGGGAGCATGAAGAGACAAGGGCGCCCAGGGAGCGGCAACAAAAAGTATGGGTCTCGCGCCCGTCTCCGCCATCCAGCAGCTCCATCCAGCAGCTCCAAACCCTTTAGGATGTCAACTTCACACCGACATGGGACCAGCATGGCAATCATCTTGAAGCAAGTTTGCGGCAACCACAAGCCACGTTCACCAGGTTTAAAGCCAGCTGTACACGCACGCGGCATCGCCTTCACATGGGTTCAACAGCGGCATTACTCACCTCCGCAGCGACCTACGCCCGTCAACTTTAGCTCGTGCAGCTGGCCACCCGCCACATCAACAACTGAGCAGTTCGCATTACGTCATGCGACACAACACATGATTGGGAAGTAGGCTCCTATTCCTGTTATATCCATTGTCTTCTGTCTTCGCCGAATAGCGAGCTAGGCTCCTAGCCGAAGTGACCAAGCGCAAGGCGCGACGGCTAAAGACTGCTGGCGGCCGCCAGCCAAAATTGCCAAGGGCATTGTGCCATCCACCAAAGTACTTACCTAAACAAACGCTTCTCCCAACCCCGTAGTCCTTTAGCCCCTCATTTTCCTTATATCATGAGCAAGGCGCTCGTTCACCCGCAAAGCGGATCCCATCGCGCCTCGCTTCCCATCAAAATGCAATGCATGCTTCGTTCCCAGCCCCAGACTTTTAAAGGTACGCCTCGGCGGCAGTATCGGGCCCGTCCAAGGACAGGCCCAAGGTAGGGCTTCGTGTCGTTACGTTGCGAGTGTCGTCAACCAAGACCCGGGATATTTAATATGATACAGGCAAGTGCAAGTATTCCTACAAACAGAAAAAGATGTGGTGGTCTTGGCAGGTGGTGTATTATGGCGAGATTAGTGTCTGCTGGAGTACCGCAGTCCGAGGCTAAGTGTCGAGGATCGTCCGGCACGACCGGAGCAAAGGCTGCTTCAGACGAGCCAGCGAAGCGTAAAAGTGTTGATGCAAGACGGATCATACACGTTCATATAGGAGGCAAGCCAAGTGACCAGATAAGTCATGGTCGGACCAGTCGGAGCAGATGGAAGTGCTGAAGCGACGAGTCATCGAGATCTGTAGCCACGTGGAAGCTTATTCCTCTTCGGAGCTCTCCTCGTCTTCACTGTCGTGATCTGCTTGCGGTGTCGGGTCCGTTGACGCTCTGCCTGTGCCCTCGATCGACTCCATGGGCTCTTGGCTCCCTGAAGCCCGAGGCCCGGCCTGGGCACGCAGCTCGTTGAGCTGTGCAATGCGCCGCTCCTGCTCCATCTTGCTCATAGGTTTGTTCTTCTTAGTCTTGGCAGAAGTCTTGTTCCTAGGCGCAGCGACTTGCGGCGACGACTCGGCAAGCGTCGTCTCCTTCTCGGCACGGAGGTGGGGAAAGGTCTTGGTGACGAGGTCATACAGCTTGGTCAGTGCATCTTCGGTGAGCAGCTCGATATCTAGCTCGAGCTCGCCCGAGTCATTCTCGCCCTGTCCCGTGTCCTTCTTGATGATGTCAATAGCCTTCTCAAGCTGCTGTCCGTCGAGTTCGGCAATTCCGCCCGCAATGATTTCCTTCTCCAGCACGCCCATCTTCCGCTTCGTCGCCTTCTTCGTGCCGGACTTCTTCGGTGCTGCCTTGTTGTCGCTGGGGCCGGGGGCTGCTTTCTTGGAGCTGCCGCCGCCACCCCCCACGGAAGCCTTCTTGCTCTTGGCCGGCTTCGGCTTGGCTGCCTTCTTGGCCGGAGCGTTGGCCAGTTTTGACCGCTCCTGCAGGAGATTCTTTTGCAGCATGGCAACCACAGCCTGGGCAATCTCGACATCGTCGAGCGCGGCTGTGCCCGAGTTGACCATCTCCGTGATTTTCTTTTGTTCCTCCTCGAGGCGCCGTTGGATCGTAGCCAAACGAGACTGCGCCGCTTTCTGCTCTTCATCGAGTTCAGGCTCGGCCTCCGATTCGGCCTCGTCGTCCTCGGAGTCATCCTTGGGGCGGGGGCTCGTAGTGGCCTGCGAGGTTGCTGCTGCTGCAGGCGCGTGGCGCGCCATCCAGTCGTCCTTCTTGTTCATCTCGCGACGGAACTGTGTCTGGAGCCTCAGTGCCTGGCTGTAGACGAGGTGGTTTTCGCCGTTGAAGGTCTTGCAATTCTTCACTATAAGATCGAAGTCCTTCTCAAACTCCTTGAGAGAGGCGTATTCACCATTGCTCATTTTGTTGCTCATCGTCTGGAGGTCCATGGGCTTCTTGATGATCTTGTGGTACTGGGGGATGTTTAATTCGACGGGGTCCACCGGCTGCTGAAAGGGGCCGTTGTACTCAAAGTACTTGGGCTTCCGTATCTCGCCGAGGACCTCCTCGCAGAAACGAAGCTCGGGAGACATCTTCTTCCGTTTCGTCTCGTACACCAAATCTTTGGGGTGTGCGGGTTTCACCGGCCGCTTGGTGCGGCTGTCGGGCTTGGTCGAGTCGCGCCGAATGAGGGGCACGCCGTTGCTACTTGCAGGGATGGCGAACGCAGGAGAATCGACCACCGGTGCCTTTTGGGGCGGAGTCGCAGCGTCGTTGCTCTTAGCAGGACGCTGAGGGGGGGTGGAGGCGGATGTGAGCGTGGTTCTGTGTGGCGCGACGGATGTTGCTTGGCGGCCTCCTTCCGGTCCGCCTTGACTGGTTCGGCAGCAAGTTGCTGCGACATGCGCGAGAGTATGGCCTGGCGGGTCGACTTGGCTGCAATTGTGACATCATGGCCTTCGCCATTGAACAGCACCGAATTCGAAACCAAGAGGTCCAGGTCGCTCTTAAATTCGCCCATAGTTGCGTATTTGGGGCCGTCGCCCCGCAGTCGCTTCTCCATTGCGCTAATGTCGGTCGGGTTCGACACCCTCGCCGTATAGCCGGCCCATAGCTCAGGCCATAGATTCTCGACGGACGACTTGAACATTCCGCCGGCTTTAGTCTTCTTGACTCCAGCAAGCGTTATCCTAATCTGCTTGTTCTGCCAATCCGTGATGGGGTTGCCGTTTAGCGAATCATCTGTCAACGACTTTGGATTCCCGTTCTCGCCGTAGACAGACAACGTAGCGCCAGCTGCCTTATTGCGGTCCGCTCCGTCGTCCTTCTTTGCCATCTTGACCTCGACCTGGTCTGCCGCCGTGTCGACCCGCGCCCGCTTGGCGACAGGCTCGTCCTCGCTGTCGGCGTCGCGTTCCCGCGACACTTTTGCAGACACCTCCGACATGCTGTTGTCTGCAGTTGCAGGCACTGGCGGCGATTGAGCGTCGACGGTCAGACTTGGTTGAGTATCGGCAGCAATGCTTGATATCGGCACATCTACCGCCAGACTTGGCGGGGTGGCTACTTGGGTCTGGGAGTCAACTGGAGTGACTGGCGGCACGTCGCTAATGGCTGTGTCTTGCGTACTCTCAGCCTGGTCGGCAACAGACGGCTCGGCCTGCGACGGCGCATCGTCCATAACGACGTCTTCCTTCGCGGGCGCATCAGCGGTCGAGTCTGGCGCAGCCTCAGGCACTTTCCCAGATATGCTCGCATCAGGAGCTGGTGATTTTGTGGGCGCATCAACCATATCGACATCGCTGGGCAGGTCGGAGTCCATCTTCGCCGGAGTCACTGCAGGTTCGGCCTCTGACTTCTCCACGTCTCTAGTGTCGTCAGCTACTGCCTGGTTTGCGGAGAATGCGTCCTCGTTCTGGGCAATTGACGCGACGGTGGTCTTGGGCGAGACCGACTTCTCGGCCCTATGGATTGGAATGTCCTCCGCTAAAGACTCTGGTGTCGCAGTGCCGGGTGCCGGGTGACTATGGTGTGTTAGTGATTGATGCAGCAATAAGGCATTGCGCGCGACGAGTGCAACTGCGCGTGAGAAAGGTGTGGAATACCCGTTGGTCTCCGCAGTGCCATTGCGAGCCTCCTTATCGATCGCAGTGGCCATCTTCAACGGCTTCTCCTCGAGGAGCGAGCCTTCTGAATGCTGGGTCGTCATAACTGCCATTCGGAGGAGTGCGCAGTTTAAGCGAGATAATGCGACATGAAGCCGGCTGGGCGAGTCAGTACGACGGATGTGATAGAGAAGTTGACGCGGCGATGCGATCGGGCAGGTTGCGCAAATGCGAATGCGCCGGAATGTTCGCGATGGGGATGCGATGCACACGGTGATGGCCACAGACCACGTTGGCAGTCCCAATTGGCGCGAGGTGGGGATGGAGCGGAAGGGACGTGCGCACGCGTGGATCACAAAGAAAGAAAAAAAGAAAGAGAGAAAACTGCGACCACTCACAGTTTCGCGAGTTGCGGTAGAAGAGGCTGAGAATTAAAAGCCGCGGCCGGCAGCCAGCCTCGTGGAATGGAGAGGGTCGGGAATGGAAAAACTTGGGAAGGCGGTCGCAAATGGGGTGGCTGGGTCGATGACGGGCAGGCAGGGCCTAGGGAAGTAGGAAGGATCGCAGCGACCGAAAAGGCCGGGCTGGGTCGAGGGCCAAAAGTCAAAAGCGCGTCGCTGCCTGGTGCGCTGGCTCTGGTTGGTCCGTGGGGGGGGGCTTGTTTTCGTACCGCGTCGCTCTTTTTTTTGAAATCGAATTTCTGGGTGAGAACACATGTCAGTCCCGGTCGGCAGCTCGGGGCTATTTATGAGAGCTGTTTAGCTCCAGCGCGCCGCGGGTGGCTCCGCCTCTGACTGGCTGGCTGGTCTTATCGAGTGCCTTTGAGGGGCGTGGTTGGCCACAGCGTGCACAATGGTCCGTGCACGATTGACACAAGCGGCACTAGCCCGTCCTCACACCAAGTTCGAATTTTCTTCTCATTCCCTTCCTTCAAAGAGTGCCGCCTCCCAGCATCTGCAGCGCTGCTCCCGCCTTTCAGACGCAGTGCTAGAGAGTGCTAGATGCAGATGCTGACGCTTGCCTTGGCTGATGGAGCACAACGCCTGACGATCCGGTGACAACCGCATGCGAACGCTCCAGCCGGCACGAGCCTTCCAGCACAAAGACAGGAACGAAAGGAAAGACCTACTAGCAACTGGAATCCGCAAGGGAATCGCAGGGAACTGTGATGGCGGTTGCGATGCGATTGCAAAGGCCGCTACAAACCGCGACTGCACCGATTGCAGCGCGCCGTGCTAACAGCGATGAGGCAACAGCAGCAACGACCTCGGGGGCAGTGAGTGTCGAGGGGCGACGCGAAAACGACGCGATAAATGCGATGCGACAGCTCAACCACGGCCTAATCAAAGGATAATTAACCAACCGACGCGAATTCGTAGGCTGCTGCTGCGTGGCGCGCTTTAGTAAGAACGTAGAGCACGGATCTCGGGAGGGGTACTTGGCGAGGTACCTTAAGTCCGATGCGTGGAAGGACCGGAAGGCGGAAATCAAGACTTTTGGCGAGCAAAATTGGCGAAATTCTGGAATCGGGGCCAGTGTTATTTGTAGGTTGGTTGGTCGGTTTAGGAAGCCGCCAGCCCAAGCTTCACGGGGCCAGGGAGCACGCCGCAGGGATCTGGGTTCGCCCAGAGGCGGAACGGCCAATCAGCAGCCTCTGTGCCCCACCCTTCCCGCAGGGATGCATTTGCCCCGACCTGGAGTGCCTCCTTGGACGGCCACTTAGACGGCCAGTGAGGGCGACGAGACGAGAAAGAAGAGAGCCTCTGAAGCCTTAGTCAGTGAGCTAAACGGCTATAAGGTCGTTGAGAGAGCATCTAGAGACGAAAGAGCCCAGACGGCGTAGCAGTGTCAAATGCGCCGGTCCTGCCTTGCTGGAGCATCCTCTGGGCGCCTAGCCAATTAGCATGCATCGGCAGCAATTTCCCCCCGTATCCATCCATATTTGACGTCGGGTGCCTTAGGCAATTTCAGGCTCCCTACACAGCCACACTCAGCCGTCCTCTGGTGACTCATCATGCAGCCGTCAGGAGCCGGGGCGAGTCCGAGTCTCGTCACATGAGCAGTCACGGGGAGATTGCGAGTAGCTTATCTGGCCGCCAGCGCACGGGATCGGCCAAGACCGTTGAGGACGAATTGCGGGGCTCAGACAGAACAGAAAAAAAGTTTAGTTGCATCCTTAATTTTTTTCAGGGCTGCATTTTCAACTTCAACTTGTGAGAGCTGCACGGCCAGCCATTACAATTCAGCGGATGACCGAGTCAAAGTGCACTGTCTTCACCTCAGCCAATTCGTACGAGCATCATTGCTGTGGTCGAACTCCCGACTGGTATTCCGCCGATCACTTGGCGCTCAAGGCCGCCTCTCGCTCATTGCCGCAACTGCAACTGCAACTGCACCCGCGACCAGCACTCCCAGACACCATGTCGAGCAGGCGGAAACCGCCAACGATTCTGGCACGGCCCGTGGTCAAGCCTAGCGCCAAGACGCCCGTCATGACCAGGATCGACGAGACGCGGACGGCCGTGTCGACAGGGCTCTCGCCAAAGTCATTGTCGCAGCCCAAGGCCGACGCCATCGAGATCTCGAGCGACTGGTCCAGCCACGCCAGCGGTTCTGACAACGAGGAGGGCGAAACCGACGCTGCCCCCACAGCCGACCGCACAAGGCTCCCCAAGGAGGCCCGGCAGAAAGCCGCTGCCAAGTTAAAACCCGAAGACGGCGACGCCGAGATGACATCACCAAAGGCGGCTGGCGAGGGGGGCGACAATGACGGCGAAGAGGACGACGACGCCGCGGAACCGACCTTTGGCGACCTGGTGCGCGGCGGCAGCTCCACCATCGACGTGCCGGCGGCGCTAGCCGCGCAGCAGCTGCAGAACTCGCTGAGCAAGGCCGAGGGCAGACAAAAACAGCTGACGAGGACAACCGCGGGCGGGCCGCTGCTCAACTCGACGTCGCTCGGTACCGTGCTCAACCAGGCGCTGCGGACCGACGACGCGGACCTGCTCGAGTCGTGCCTGCAGACCAACGACGCCAAGATAATACAAAACACCATCAACCGCATGGACTCGGCGCTGGCGGGCGTGCTGCTCTCCAAGTTGGCCGGGCGCATGCACCGCCGCCCGGGCCGCGCCTTTGGGCTCATGAAGTGGATGCAGTGGACGCTGGTGGCGCACGGCGGCACGCTCGTGACGCAGCCCGACCTGGTCAACCGGCTGGGCGAGCTCAGCCGCGTGCTCGAGGAGCGGTCGCGCGGCTTGTCGAGCCTGCTAGCGCTCAAGGGCAAGCTCGACATGCTAGACGCGCAGATGCGCTTCCGCAAGTCGGTCAAGACGATCGGCAGCCGCGGCGGTGACGACGAGTCGGCCGAGTCCGACGATGAATCCGACGACGACGATGCCGATGAGCCGGGCGTTGTCTACGTCGAGGGCCAGGACGAGGCTGGCGGCGGCAAGACGCTAGCCAAGGGCACCGCCGCGGCCGTGGCGAGGGGCGCCGCGCTGCTGCTGGACGACGAGGACGACGACTTCCCGGTTATAGGCAACGGCGTCGCGGGCGACTCGGACGACGAGTCTGAGGAGGACGACGACGAAGACGTGGAGGAGCTAGAGTCGATCGACGAGGATGAGATCGACCACGACGACGTCGAGTCGGCCGAGGAGGACGAGAGCGACGGCGATGGGCCGCCGGCGAAGGTCCAAAAGGTGTCGTCCAAGTTCGCAAAGAGGAAGTGATTTCATGCTACTAGATGTCTATGCCAGATGGTGCTGCTAAATATGCATGCAAGTTGGTGTTGCTAGATGGCGCATGTAGAGGAGGATACAAAGTCATGTAAATGTACAGGTACCGTCAAGATAAAATAGAATTTGGCCGGTGTCGGCGTCCTGTGTTGATTCCAAATGTCTTACCGTGACTTATGCCTTGACGTGGCATATGCCTTGCAGTGGCTCTTGCCGTGATTGTGCCAGAGTCTGTCATCAACATTGTCACACTGGCCAACGAATGACACATGCTGAACTAGAACTAGAATCTCTTCGACTTCTAAAATGCTCTATCGCGACTTCTATCTCTCATATACATGTAAAAGGTCACGCCTTGTAGCCGCCATGTAGATATGTACCCCAAAGTCTTGTTTAAAACGTCTTGCCCCTCGCAATGCTATGCTATGATGATATGATTCAACTTGATTCCAAAAGCTGATCCAAGTGTCTTGAAGCCGTGACCAGACTCCGGTTCAAGCCCGACGCCTAAAGAAAAGGGTAGACCTGTATCCAAATCCACCCACAAATGAAACTTATCGAGGTGTATGTCCTGTAATCCTATGCCCCGATCAGGGCATGATGCTCCGACGCCAGCGCTCCACCATGTCGGCGTGGGCCTGGGGCGTGACCATCGGCATGCCGTAGGCGGTGCCATATGCCGCGGGGATGCCGTTCATGCCGTTGGTGTTGTACATGGCCACGCCGTTTGGCATGACGCCCGGGAAGGCCGGAGCGGCGTAGTTCATGGCAGGCGGCATCGCGACTGGCACGCCGTAGGCACTGGCGGCGCCGTTGTAGCCGCCAAACTGCGCACCTCCAGGCATGGCCTGCTGCGGAGTCCCGAAGATGGCGGCGTTGTTGTTGCCCCCGTAGGCCAGGCCGTTGGGGATCGTAGCGCCCCCGAGTCCGTTGTTAAATCGCCCGCCCATGTAGCCTCCCGGCTTGAGACCAGAGTTCGTCACGGGCAGGACGGTCGGCATCTGCGCCCTCACCGCTGCCATCCGTGCATCTTTTTCCTTCCTTATCCGGGCCGCCTCGGCCTCTTGCCTCATGCGGTCCACGTCCCGCGGGTCCACCATGCCTCGCGGGGCTTCAAGCGGGTGGCTGCCAAGCACGTCGGCCATTGACAGCCGGCGTGACAGGCGGTTGGCGTCGAGGTTGGCCCTAGCCTGCGCAAAGTTTGCGTTGGTGCCAAGAGGCGTCCCAGCCGGGATTGCGCCACCCGTGGCGAACTCGCGCTCGCGGGCCTCGCGCTCGGCCTGCAGCCTGCGCCGCCGCTGGCCGAGAGTTTCTTCTTCCTCGGGCAGGTCATTGCCAGGCGCCGCGTTCTCTTTGCCGCGGTCGGTTACGGTGTGCCCGTCAGAATCAGTCCCCTTACCCTTGTCTTTGGGGTCCTCGCCGTCGCCGCCAAAGTGGCTGAGAAGTTCGGACGTGAACAGGCCGCTGACGGGGCGAGCGCGGGGCAGGGGGTTTTCGGCGGCCAGGCGAGCCCTGCGAGCCGCGAGACTCTCGCCCTGAACCTCACCGTCGCTTTCCTCGCCTTCGCCAACTTCACCAGAGCCCACCACAGAGCTCCCGGATGGCTGCAGAGGTAGGGCCAGTCTGGACTGCGACCGCATGCCTGGCGAGCCAGCAGCCGGCGTCATTGTTAGCTGGCTCATGCGCTGCTGCATCACGCTCAGGGACAGCGGCATGTGGCCGTTATTTCCACCCCGGAGCCGGTCGCGACGGTGGCTCAGAGGCTCGTTGTCCTCCATCTCGCGGCGTTCCATCAGGCCGAGCGGCCGGTGCACCTCGTTCATGACAGCGGTGATGTCTATGGTTGACCGATTCACCCCGTTCGCAGCGGCGGCCGCCTTGGCCGTGAAGAGCATGCCAAGCGGCACGTCGTCGTCGTCCATGTCCTCGAGGTGGTCGAGGTTCGTGCTCGGGTCTTCCCAAGCGAGGTTGACACGCTTGGCCCCTCTAGCCTTGCGCTCCACCTCGGCGACCGCATCGAGCTCGAGCAGGGTGCTGTGCATTCCGTCCGGATAGGCCTGGGCAGTCGGACGGGTTCTCATCTTGTTGCGCTGTTTCCGCAGCTGCAGCTCTGCGAGCAGTGTTGTCGGAGGTCCGTCGTATGCCAGGTCCCCTTCCTCGGAGCTTTCTTCACTCCCATCTGGGTCTTCGTCCGAGTCGGGTGCGAGCTGGTTCGGAGAGAAGGGAGCGTGGTCCGTGGAAGGCGACGAGTCGTCGTGCATGCTCGAGGCGCGGCTGGCGCCATTGAGAATCCCAAGCGTCGTCCGTCGTTCGTTGGCTTCCGTGTCCGGGCTCCGATTGCCGAGCAGCGAGAGCTGGCTTGCCCGTTTTTTGGGTCCCTGCGGACTGAGAAAGTCGCTCGTAGAGTTCCTCATGATGATTGTCTTGCGGTCGCCCATGTCCTCGGTGAAGGGTCTCTTGCTCTTCCTCTTCTTTTCGCGGCCGTACACCTCGGATCCCAGATGACCGGCAAAGGCGTGGTCCGTAAACGCGCTAACGGGGGCATGTGCTGACGCGTCTAGAATGCTGTCGAGCGTCGCCATGGCGGAGCCGCCCTTTACCTCGATCTGCGGCGTGGTCGAGGGTAGGTCGAAAAAAGCACTCGCTCGCAGCTGGGGCGGCAGTCCTTCGAGAGCCGTAGCACGCGATTGGTGCTTGTCTGTCTTTGTAAGACGCTGCGGCCGGCGAATCTCGCGCTTTTCGGAGGGGATGGGGGGCTGTGGCGGCTGCGGGATGATGGTGCTTGTCTCAGACGGCTGTCTCACGTGCGACGGGTCTTGCTCGCGATCCACCCCGTCCAGCCCAGCGAGCTGTGGCGTCTGGTCCGCGCTCGAAGGCGCCGGGCCGAGGTCAACCTCTGAAAAGCCTGCCATGAATGGCAGGTTATCCTTGCTCCCATGCAGCCCTTCGATCGGGTCGGGCAACCACACGCGGGATTCGCGGGCTGCCAGCGGCATCGCGCTCATAACTTGGGAGCGACGTATGTTGTGTGCCGCCGCCGCTTTGGGCTTCTTTGACAGCTTGGGCGGCAGGTTCAGCATCGCAGGAACGCGCGCGGGATAGTAGACCATCTGCTGTCCCGTGCCCGTATCAAAGTACGTCGACGGTCGCTCCTTTGGAGGGGCGGGCGGTCGCTGTCGCTCCTTTCTGGGCTGTGGTTCTGGGACTGCCGGGGGCTCGTCGACATCGGGGTCGCAGTGGACGCCGTCAAAGTCACCAAAAGCTGTCTGCGCTTGGTCGTACGTCGCGGTGGTTCCCGAAGTAGTTGGCCTCTCCGTTCCGTCGCGGGACTGTGGGCGATAAGGCAAGTACTCGTCGGGCTGGTGAAGCTGTAGCCGAGGGGCCTGGTCGAATTCGTGGTCGAGCATTGGCTGCATGGCCTCCGTCTCAGGCGTGTACATGTCGTCGTCGTCTGCAAACTGCGCTTCAATGTGCTGGTGGGCCTGGGCCCTGATCATTTCGTCGTCATCGTCGTCCAGGCTTTCCCCTGAAGCGGCAGCACGGTCTGCTTCCTCGAGTGCTTCGAGGGTCAAGCCAGTCGGGTTGTTGTCGAGCTCGGCAATCTGGGCGAGAGAAAGTTTGCTCGCAGTGCTCCGTGTCGAGCTCTTGCCCGGGCCATGGCGGGCCACGAACGGAAAGTCTTCGCCGTTTCCAGCCTCGGACAGCAGGCCAGAGTTCTCGGCAACGCCTGTCCTGGGTGACGGCATGCCGGCAGAGCTCCCCTTGCTTCCCGAGCGCAGGAGCGCCGACGAGAGTGATAGAGAGTCTTGCGGGCTCATGAAATATCCTCCGGGCGAGTAGCCTCCTGATCGCGCCGCGTTGTTCGTGCCCAAGATGGAGCTGTTCCTGCTTATGACAGATAGGGGCTGGCTGAAGATGGAGCCGCTTTCCGACGAGACCTTCCTGTCGGCGTGGACGAGGATCGAGGAGCGGCGGCTGTCGCTACGCTTCAGTTCGTTGTGTTCGTCGCGTATGGCGTCCTCGATGGAACTTGTCATGGACAGGCGCTCGGCGGTGGCCTCGAGAGCAGCAATGTTGCCGAGGTAGGCGCCGGATCGGGACCGTTTGTTGAGGTCAGGGGTCGGGTGGCTGATTGACAGGCTAGCAGTCGAGGACGTGCGGACAAGGGGCTGCTCCGAATTGGGCAATGCAAAGGGCACGGGCCGGGTCAGTCTTGTGTCGCCAACAGTAGCGGATGGGAGCGAGGGGCCGACTGCAGAGTCAGAGTTGAGATGGGAGCCCGAAGGAGTTGATGGTAAAGGAGCGGCAGTGCGCGGCACAGGTCGTTGGATGCTGTGCGCTTCGGGGTTTTCCAGGCGCAGCGCGACGCCCTTGTCTCTGTCTCTATTTTCTCGATTTTCGTCGGCAGTGCGGGTAGCAATGTCTTGACTCGCTGTCGCCGTTGACCTACTCGCGTCCAAGACCGTTTTTGCAAGCGTTGCACCCGTAGCAGTAGCTCGAGACGGTGGCGGCGAGGGAGAAACCGTCAACGGGGGCGAGACGAGGCGCGCGTGCTGACTCTTGATTTTAATCGCCGATACGAATTTGTGTCCCCTGGCAGCTGCGGCGGAGTGCAATGCCTGGAGGGCCTCGAACGATTGGATCCTAGCGTTGACGCCGTGCGCTGGGGTGGGTGCAGGCGCTGGCGCTGGCGCTGGCGCGGGTGCCGCTAGGGCCGCTGGGGCCGTCCTGTAAAAGGCCCCTCCAGATTTGCCAATTCGATCGCGCATCTCCAGCTGCTGCAACAGACTGTGTTCTGATTTGGGGCTGCCGCCCACGTCTGACGGGCAATTGTCGCTGACCATGGACAGCGGCGTAAAGGTCTGCTCGGCCAGCGTCATGTACGTCGAGGGCGATGTCGAAGGTGAGAGCGAGAGCGAGAGTGAGGGCGACTGCACGGTCGCTGTGGGCCGCGACGTCGAAGTCGGCGATGACGGCGATGCGAAAGCGGTATGTGTAGGGACAGCGGGCCCTTGGCGGGCGTCGTCATGTGCATCGGCCTGGCCTAAGGCGCTGTACGGATACCTTGCTGCCATGTTTGTTGTCCCCTAGGCAGTGCAGGTTTGCCCGCGGGGGCAGATCGCAAGGGCAGATCCGGCGTCGATGGTTGAATCACGGCGGCATGGGAGCTGCTTCGCCGACCCGTGCTTCCTGGTTTGCCTGGCCTGGCCTGGCCTTCTTGCCGACCTTGCCTTTCCGGCCTGCCTTGGCCTTTACTTAAGGTTGCCGGCCGCGTGCCTAGGGCGTCTAGTGAGCGCTGATACTTCGTAGTGTAAGTCGAGGGAAGGAGGCGAGCAGCACATGGGGTGCGTCTAGATGTGCGGCGAATACTCGGTGGGCCAGTCGGTGTAAGGGAATGTGTCGCGTGCGTGTCGGGACAGACGGGCAGAGACAAACCTAGAGCTAGGGAGAGACAAACCTAGAGCTGGGCCGAGAGGCACGACCGAAGAATAAGGTATTAGGTTACATGTCAAGAGTCAAAGAGACGAGAACCGGGAGGGCCAAGGTGGCTACGGCTACCTTGTTTATCTAGCGAGCGAGACGGCCGGGAACCAGGAACGAAGCATCGGACTACATGTGCACCAGCGGCCAACACACGGTTGGCTGGACTTGTTAATCTCTGAAGGTGGTTGCTCTAGCTCTGCGATATCCGGGTTCCTGCCTGCAACAGGCTGAACGTTGACGTGTGGCACAGGGGGGCAAATCAGGGATGGGCCACAGCGCGGCCACAGCCAGCTGAGTGGCAGTGGCACTGATTGCGGCACCTCTTCCTTCAGTCGTTCGGTGTGGCTCGTGGCTGCTCTCACTGTCTCTCAGTTATCGTCGCGATCGATGCCCTCCACTATCTACCGCATCCACATCCGAGTGCACGCTAGACGACGATCTGCGCAACAGAACAAAAAGAGAGCCCTTGGGGCGGGCCTGACGATGCGGACTTGCGGTCGCATTGATCTGTCTGGTGCGGATATCGTGTGCAAGTTGCATTCCGAGCAATGCGAGACACGAGACACGAGACACGAGACTCTCTCTCCCCGTCGCGCTCCCCTCTGCTTAACTCTGCCTCTGCTCTCAATCGGCGGGCGCGAACTAGTCGGGCAAACAAAGCCAATTTCACAACCTGTCTCTGTCGCTGCCCCTGCAGGAGTGGTGGATGTTGCTGGCGCTGGAACCAAGAAAGTTGGAATCTCCCCACTCCACTAGCTCTCGGCAGCTAAACTTTAGCTCGCCCAGTTCAACCGAGCTGCCTTATCGTCGACCAGGTCATTACCGCGCCTAGCTGGATCTCGGATGCACTGCACCTAGTGGCTGAACCAGACTCCGTAGTCTGACGAATACCGCAGTAGATATCGTAGATAGACAACCTTATCGACCGGGACGCGGCCTGATATTGGCCAAATTGCCAGCGCGTGCACACAGCCATAAGAGGCGACATGTCAAAACACTGGAGTGCCAATATGGCTGCCAGACAAGCCGTAAGCTTTGGAATAGCCAAGAATGCTGCGAGCTGGGTCGTTGGATCCACCCGATCAAACGGCGAGATGCCTGCCACAGTGCCTGCCGAAGACTGCGGTTTACGATGCGCAGAGATCTGGAACCCACGCCCTGCGCCCACCTCGCCAGCAATCCAACCTGATGATGGCACAGGTCCTGACGAGAGCAGCAGCATGGCACAGCTAGGCACCACGGCCGAATGGCGACTCCCAGATACGGGTTAGTTGCCATGGACTCGTCCGCGAACCGGTCCCTGTGCCGCGTGCGCCTTGCAAGGGAACGGCGCCCCGTCGTCATCCAGCGGGACGGGGAGGAGAGCGCGACGACGCCGTGGCTCCTTGACGCGCACGTCTCCCGCGAAAAAAAAAAAAAAAAAGGCACAAACACGCTTGGGCCCTGGAGATCACGATCCAAGCTCACGTCTCCTGTCGCTTTACCAGGGCCATTGCATTCTCTCCCCGGATTCGGTCCCAACCAGACCAGAAGATGAGTGTCTCGTGCGCAGTTTCAACGCCGGCAATCGTCCATCGAGGCCTGCTGTTCGGCACTCTGCGACACCAGCAGTTGAGAAAGGTTGGAACAGGCCGTTGATGACACCCACCAGCATCATGGCCCCCAAGTCCCGGGCTCACCATGCCCGGCAGCCAGCCTCTGCAGGGGCAGATGACCACAGATTGCCCAGCGTGACCCCCATCGCCCCCAGGTTTAAGCTGCAGAAGGTTGGGGCCAGCCGAACTCTCGTCATTTGGGTTGACGTCTCACCGACCGCCCCGCCACGCAGTGCCAAAGCCGTCGCCGTTGCACTTCCAAGCTTCGGCTGCTCGGGCCAAGACGCGGGAGCGCATCCTGAACCCATCGTTGGTCTCGAAGCCAATACAAATGCCAAAAATTAATTAACGGGCAGCCCTCATCTCCATCAACGTTTCGTAGGGCGCTCCTTCGGCTGCCAGAGTCTTGGCTTCTATTTAGGTTCGCTGGCTGGGTGTTTGCGCTGCTCCACCGACTCGTCGAATACTGATTTCTGGAAGTCTGTACCCCGTCGCACCCGACGTGCTTGCCGACCCGTGATTCTGTGTTCTGTTCCTTGCATCTCTATCTCTGTTCCTTGCATCTCTGTTCCGACACTGCATCTGTTCCGACACTGCATCTGTTCGTACACTGCACCTGTTCCGACACTGCAGCTGTGTCGGGCGTGAATTGGCCGCGCACAAGTCTGCCGACGGAGGAGAGAGAAGGAGCATCCCCCCGCTGCACCCGCCGCCTGGGTGCTCGGTCTCGCCCAATGACCGCCCTGTAAACAGTAGGACGCTCCCCCCCTGCAATGCTCCCTACCCGATGGGATCGCTTCATCAGGCAGTCCGCTGAGGTGTTGACCGTGTGCTCCCTCATCCTCTCTTCATGAGATGCAGATGTCGGTTAAGCCAATTTAACGAAATAATGCACCCTCAACCGACGCGCTTCCGTACGCCCATCCCACTGGACCAAGCGGACGAAGACCGCCTATCTCGCAGCGCTGCGAGTGTGTGCGCAACAGGCAGCTGGAAGCCCAGCCCTTATCAGGCCCCCCACGACACCGCGCTAAGCGCAACCACCCCTCCCGTGGAACAACCCGGTCGGCCACAAGGCAGAGATAGTGCTGCGCTGAGCGGATGGCGGCTGGCTGGAGGGGCGATTCATGCAACAACCTAATATCCACGGCCACCACGACAGACAATTGCAACGTCCGGGTACTGGGGTCGTCGGCAAAGTCTTCATTCGTAGCAGACTTGCAACTGAGCTTCTTTGCGTGCAGAAGAAATAGGCCTGTGACACGGCTATGACGCGATTGAGATTACGGGAGGACCACGGGGGCTCGAGGTTGTGCGCAGTTTCAGAGCCACCTTGCTTGGCGACGTCGAGAGCGACAACCCAAGTTTGGGGTGGAACAGGGACACGTTGTATCCTATTGATATACTAATCAGCCAATTTATCTGTGGCGCAACTGAGGAAGACAACACCTCCCGTCCTCCACTCCCGAGTCTGCTTCGACCGCGCTGATATCCGTATCTTTCTGGTGTCGCCCAGAGTCGGCTTCTCGCGATCTCTTATCGTGCGAGTCGGGTTGCGTTGCCAGCCGTCGGTCCCATTGGTGGCGTCCGGTAACATTTAATTTGTTACAGAGGGCACTGGCTCAGATTGAGGTGAGGCTGTATCCGGGCTTTCGGGTGAAATTACGGCTCGTTTCTCTAGGTAGCGAATCACACGCTGTTGATAGCTGTTCCTACATTTCAGTGTCGTTAGCATTTCATTGTGTTGGATTCAGATAGCACCAATTTACAGCACTAGTTGGAATCTATCACAGTAAATACTTTTGGCCCCGACCTCCGTAAACGTTACCAAAGCTACCTTAAGCATCAACCTCATACCTTTGCTCTGAACGGCCTCGATATGTCATCGCCTAGACACACGTTTATCCCTCTCGAGCCTCAAGGTCTGCTTAGAGACGTCGAGGAACAGCTGGCAAGCCAGACACCAACACAGAAGAGAGGATTGCTATATACCTACGATTTACCAAGCTCTTACCGAAAGGTCTTCGATACGGTTGTAAAGCCAATGGTATGTCCACTATCATATTCACAAGACTTTAACTTATAAGCGCCGAAGGCCGACGATATGAAGAAATGGGCAGAGTCGCAACAGAAGGTTATCAACGACTTTGAACGTCCCCGCTATCAGCCGCAATTCTTCCAGCTTAAGAAAGGGGGCGATACGGTGTGGACGGATAATGGCTATGTCTGCCTGATAGTGCCTTTTTTCAACGGTACGATGGAGGTCTTGGTTCGGATTCTGGGTAGTAATAATGAGTATTCGATCAAATGGGAATCTGGGTCGGTTCTCCACCTTGATGAAGCGACGGGTATTCTGCCCTTGCAAGGAGATCTCATATTCCATTATAGCCTCTTCTGCGTGAGCGCAACGGGTGCGGTAGCAACAACTTCACAAGGAACACAGAGCAGCAGGAGGACAGAAGGGTAAAGCTGTGTTGTTACTCTCTTGGTGCTATTATACAACATCGAGAATACAATTGCCGCTTATGCCCCGACAAGATGTTTATAATGTACTATTCATCGCTTAGTTCCTGCATGGTGTCCATTATACTAGGCATAAAGAACTCAGCACCATATAATCCAAACAACTCTTCAGTGCCGCGAACTGGCGGAGAGTCGCCCTTATTGGGGCTAGGAAACAGAGGAGATTGCTCCGTGCCCATAGACGACCACATGACCGAAAGTGAAGGCCGGTCTGCAGCCTGTGGCGAAGCAGCAGCAGCAGCAACAAGCCTATGGGGATGCGACGGAGATTTGGTGCGTGAGATGTCTAAGAAAGTTGGATCAATGTACCCCGTGTTGGGCGAGGTAGGGTCAGTCAACGAAAGATGTGCAACGAGCCGACTTGAATATATAGGTGGTCCATCAGGTACTGGGATCCTTGAACTAAGTCCTGCCAATGAACTGGAAGCTACCATGGAATTTGAGGGGGCTGGTTCCCCGGGCCAGATAACACGGGAAAGTCCGCGTGATTTGATGTCATGGGCAACCGTCTCGTCCACCTGGGCACCCGATTTTCCGTGGTCGTTTTTGTCGTACAGATTTGATTATTCGATCCTATCCTGCGCCTGTTGAGCCGTAGCAGCAAGCCAGTAGAGAGGCAACGTATCTTGAACCAAAACCTTGCTGGAGTTGCCGTGGTGAGGGCCTCCACGGCGGCTGGAGTTGATAGCTTGGAACTCTCTGCTTGTTTCTCGCAAGTCCGTCCCTCTAGCGTCATTATCGGCGTCTAATGCTCGCGGGTCGGTGTTGTTGGTACCAAACGCATGTGTCGACATGCTTGGTTCTGCCTGCGACTGTAACATGGGTGTAGTGTTACCGGGGGAAAAGTTGGAAATATTAGAGGGGTCTGATTGTGTGGAACTGGAATGGACGCGTGAATCTAGGGTGGGAAATAACCTATTAGCATATTATCCCGACTTCCAACGAAGCACAAGACTCACCATCACCAGATCCCGGGCCCCCAATAGCCCGCTCTCCTCTCTTCACCCTCCTGACCAGACTAACGCCGTTATTATTGCTAGAAGTGGACTTCCATTTGGCAGAGAGGATATGATAGTTAGATCGGATTCCTAACAGGATATTAGTAAGTTCTCTTCTATATAATAGTAAGTTAGGCCCTACTGTAGTTATCCACTCGATCATTAGTAATGTAGGTGTTAATGAATGTAACAAAAGATTTGTCTGGTTGGGTGGTGGATAGGACCGAGAATAACTGTCTCTTCTCATCCCTAGAGAGACCATTTATTCGATCCAAGAATTTGGCTCGATGACCAGGGGAGACAACATAAAGAGCAACGATCGCTAACTTCCCCCCTTCTGCGTAAGCTACCATCTCGGTAGAGTCAGCATGCAACTCATTTCGTTTGCACTGAGCAATAGTAGTTAAGACCCGGCCCGTGGGAACATGCTTCTCGACCAACGGGACGGAGAGTATGTTGTGAAGTGTTTGCGCGCAACGGATTGTATCATTTGAAGGGTAGAGTTCGGGATGGTGTATGCGGAGAAACAGTAGACAAGCTCAGGGTGTTTTTGTCTCCGGGTGACGGGATTGATGGGGGGGAAATCCAGTAACATGGAGAGTATTCTCCGTACCAACGAATATGCCGAAAGGCATTAGAAATTTAACTACCTCAAGAACAATGAGGTTCGTGAAGAATGAGCTTGAGATTTCCAATATTACTGTGTATTGTGTGTTCCCACAAGCGTGGGAAAACAGGCCCAATTCTACACGCTATACCGAATTCGACGCAGGGGAGTCTCCCCTGCGTCGAATTCGGTATAGCGTGGAGCCGGCTCTGAAGATGGCGGAGGTGTCTTCGGCCTACCCCGCGTTCTGACCCTGATCCTTTCCACATACTATTTTCGTGATGGCCTGTAAGTACGTAGTCTTCAACTATGCATCGAAGCCGCCATTATCCGCTTTTCAGAGCCGTCTCGTGGAAAAAAGATCACAGCTATGAAACCATGAAAGAATAAGATACTGTCACGGTCGCCACAGGGCTCATGTGACAGGATTGATTCTATTGGCTGCATTGTGCTTAGGGTGTGGCCTGTGCGCACTGAGCACCACTACCTATTTCTCCGCGCCCTGCGCGGACCCCGCGATAGATTCCTTTCTCTTCCTTAGTTTTAAATCCACATTCGTTGCTGCCTTCAACCATTGACATCCCTACTGCGTAAGGCGGGCCGTCACAGGTACGTAATTATTATAGTGCGGAATGTGCACGCTTATCTAAGAGGCGATTGGATACGGAAGCCGCTACCAAAAGTCTTTTCTCACCGCTTTTAGTGTTTTTATGCCGGCAGAATTCCTCTAAAGGGGACTACAGGCGGCCACCCACTGTAAGCGACTGGCCCAGAGAGAGGTGCTCTATAAGCCACCAATAGCGCCGTTGCCAGAGCTGGCGCCACTACGGCGATCAAAGAGAAGAAAGAAGTAGATAGTCATTCTAATTAATAATTGGCTGCGATTGCGATTAATTGACTAGATAGGTGTATCTTAGTATTGAGTTCGTTGTTAGAATTGGTGGTGGGTGGAAATGACCAAGGTGCTGTATTTTTAGTAGGTTTAGTTGGGAAGCCCTGTAGCGGCTGGATTGCCAAGAAGGCGGTGAAAAAAGACTTTTGGTAGCGGCTTCCGCCGCACTAAGGTACCTATTGGTCTGTGGGATCTAATTTTGACAAACGACCAGCCCAAGTCAGTTGATCCACTCCAATTAACCAGAATCCTCTCCACGCCAGAGAGCATCGACAGCGTATGACGGAATTGGCGCCTCTTGTTTGAGATTTTTCCCGCGTCGTAACCCACGCGCTTCGACAGACCCTCCAGTCCACTTCAGTTATCGACATTATCGAGCTGCCACAAACCAACTCCCATCCTCGCCCAGACCCGGCCATCCAGCTACCAGCAGCCGCCTAGCTTCTTCGACCTTTGTTCAACCATTGCCTCTCTCCCGAGCTTACCGACTGTCGCCTTAAATAACGATTGGGGTCATCTCCGACTCCTTCTCCGATCCTGCCTCAGAAGAAGGCCTTGTCGTCCCATCGAACCCGCTCGGGATCTCCGATATACGCTTCCAGCTCGGGACGCGCCTCACAGTCGCAACCGCCTTCCTTATTGACCATATCAATATCTTCCGGCTACGTCTCTTGCCTAGCCCCACCGCGAGACTTAACGGCGCCCTTCTGGATCTCATTCCCCCAACGATACAAATATGGATGAGAACGCAATGGCCCGAGTGGTTACGCTCGCCGAACGTGGTCGAGTTTGTACGACGGACCTACAGACAATGGCCAGGCGAACCTCAGAAACGGTCACTTAGACTATTAGTACGGCGCCCGGACGTCAGGTGGCATGTTACCGTCACCTTCCAAGATGCACCAAAAGTGCCAGAGGGGACCCCGTCATCGCAGCAGAGAAGGGACCTCGAGGATCTCTGTCTCTGCATTGACTTCGACCGCGTACCGCTATCGCGCGACACCGTCACCGAACTCATTCTTTCCACTAAGGGCAACGCTGCGCTGCCGATGAAGGCGGAGCCTGATACGAACAGCTTATATGCGAGCATCGCTGGAAATCTACGTTTCTATACTCGGGAGGATCCGCTCCGGGTACGCTTCCCCCCCTCAACGCCAGCGGCGGGGCGTCGAGGGACATAACAGAAATCACCAAAGAGCAAGAAATAGCGCCGGGGATATGCGTGGTCCGCATTAGCGGAGACGAGAGGCTATACGTCTATAAGGAGGTAGATAGACCTCAATACCAACCTGAAGATTCCGAAATCCTACAACGGGAGCTGCGTAACCTGGAGCAGCTACCCCATTCGGAAGAAATCGTGCGTCTAGTTGCCACCGTCTCATCTATCAACCCGTACAGAACTGCCGTAGCGGACGCGGACAGTTCTGGTGCTTCCTTCCTCCGAGGTTTCCTCCTTGAGTACCACCCAAATGGCACTCTGCGGGACGCTCTACGATCAACGGACTCGGAGGCCGTCTGGCCCTGGCGCCGGTGGGCGCTTCAAATTGCATACGGGCTCAACCACCTCCACTGCCACAACGTAACCCACTTGGATTTAAAGTCGTCAAATATCGTCATCAGCGAAAACTCAAATGCTATTTTAATCGACATCGGAGGAGGCGGTTATACCCGTGAGTGGCTTGCGCCAAATATGATCGGCGTATCCAATCCGATGTGGGAACCCTTTGAAGCTTGGGTAAAGAATGACATATGGGCATTTGGGATGATACTATCAGAAATGGCAAGCGCCTCATACGATATTACAGAACAGAAACTGTTAAATGACGTTGCCTCGCGTACCGCCTCACGCACCTCCCATCCCATTCCTCTTAACCAAGCTATCTCTTTACTCGAGTAGTAAAATAACAACCTATTTGTCATTCAACCATCGTAATCATCCCAGTCAACGTCATAGGACTTGAACCCGCCATTAGAATGATCACCTTAAGCTAGAATTAGTCCGATTATTTAGAATAGTACGGTAGTTGAGCTTTGCAGCGAACCTGGACCCTCACCGAGGAGGTTGGGCTTTGTAAGAGAAGGCAGGTACGCCTGATCAAGATGGTCACAATAGGAGCAACAAGCAGGGCGAGCAATGACTGGTATTGGCGTAAGACTTCAACCTGGCCTGAGCTAAAGAGGTGTGCGAAGGCCATGGTCTATATACACGTGAAAGGGGTTACGAGTCATCCTTGCGTGGCCAGGGTGGTAGTGGCAATAGTGCGTGGCCCTGGTAGCGGTGGCGATAGTGGCGATGGTGGCGAGGGTGGCCCTGGTGGCGGTGGCCATGGTGGCTACGAGGGTGGTTTCCTTACAGGCTTTTTGTCACATCCTTTAATAGAACATGAAGTCCCAGTAGTACTCGAAACCTCTGATCCGCCGTCGTCACAAACTGTTCGGATTCTCTTTGCTTCGTTACAGGGCATTGTGAGGGACTTGGTGTAGTGCCCACACGTACCGACGTGAGTGGTGAACTTGCACATGACTATGTGGCTTACTGTTTTTTGTATTTATAGATTAGGAGATAGGAATATTGGGGGTAAGGGAAGAAGGGCTAGGGAGGAGGAAACTGGAGGCTTTTATCATTTTCCGTAATGTAACATCAATATTCCCCTATTCAAGCCCTTCCTCCATAATCCAATAAGCATGATTATCGCGACTTTATTAGTGGGCCAAAGGACGACGACGCTTTGAACCGCGAAGTCCATGATGAAGCACTCTGACTGGAAAGTATTAACGAGAAAAGCCGCGATTGACGTGCAGTAGGAAAGAAAAAAGCACTCAACCCCTCCTTCGGCAGCTGCACTTCTCTACCCCAAGCAAACAGCAGCACATCCACATTCTTGTAGGTAAAGGAACCAATCACTAGTCAGTAATTGTCAAGCAAAGCCCCAGTCAATGGAAGCCACGCGTCGCCACCCACATCTGCGAGAACGTCCGCAGTCAGCTCGGCGAGAATTAAATCAAGTCGACAAAGAAGCAGTAGGGGATGAGTGCCATCACAGCCATGAAGTTGGAGCACTAAATCTAAGGAAACCTGTGGTTAAAGGAACCATATCTTCTTGAATTACCATTTCTCTACGTTGAAGCCCGAGGAACTAGCGAGCTGAACCCTGTCAAATTCCAGACCCAGTAGGCGCAGGTTGATAAGGGGAGCTGGATAGGGTCCCTGCAGATACTGACCACCTCAGTCAACCGAAGGGGATATATTTGCCTCTAAGCAGCATGCTCTCCTCTGTCACCTGAACTTCGCCGACGAATGGGAGGACAAAGAGTCACTTTCCTGGCGGCCTATAATTTATAACGACGTGAGTTCTTAATAATAATCTTCATCTGCATCACGATGGTCGAGCCGCATTATATATCAAGCCAGGAACTACACTATCTTTCTGGACCAGTCAGATCTCATGATACGTCCCAACCATCGTAAGGTCACGTGCGCCCAATAGATACGTAAGCAGGGAACCCCGCACGAAAATGCTCCACAACCACAGCATTCTCAAATTCCATTTCTAGCATCATCAAGGGGGCAGCTCCACAGCGATTCCGTTACCAACCATGAAGTTGTGTATTATGTGCGGGCCTGTATATAACCCCAAGCCGCGTACGTTACAAAATATGCCCATAATCGCGGATTCTCGGCGCTCAGATCGCCAATAGACGACGACATGCCTATCATCCGCGCCGAGGATATCGTCCGTATCATGGTTGGGATAGGGCCGCTCAACGGACCGGCAACAGAGCCCTTCTGGGTGGTGGCCGAACGGATTATGGCCCACGTGCGGGAATTGGCTGAGCAGGTTGTCTGTCGTCCCGAGGAGATGCAATACGCGGGTGAGAGGAGCAACCTATTAACGTTGCCAATCTCGGCCTTGCCCCTATCGGCTCGAGCGCTGGGCAAAGGACTTTACGAGGACATGGTTGGTAATAACTTACACTTCAGGGTTAGATAATGCTAATGGAAGACAAGGAAAAACCCCTAGGCAAATGGTGCAAGGACAAGGAATTACGCATTGAACCGACACCATGCTATGGGCCAACTTTGCTCTGGCTCCAAGGTGGCGGTGTGGTGTGCCCAGACGATATGGTTGCGATACTCGTATTCGTTCACAGGCCTAGACCGGGCAGCGATAAAGGAGCCCCAGGAGGGATATCAGTACCGGAAGCAGGGTGGGCGACAATATATTGTTTGCTGACGAATCAATTATCGGATATTCGTCAATATTTGCTGACAAATATGCGATATTCGTCGATGCTGAGTAATCAATTTCAATCTCTGCTTAGTCATCCGCCCCCATCTCCCACGATTCAATATTTACAAGCCCTGACCTTATCCAATGCTTCGAACACTCAAGATATTCAACAGTATCTTCACCTAACTGCATCCTTTCCCAGGATATTGTACGGCGAGCCCCTGAAAACACTCTCTCCGGCTCAGCACTCATTGCTGGAATAGACAGGATGTTGATTGCTAGTTGAGATAGTCTTGGCCAGCGTTGTTGTTGTTGTATATTTAACCACCAGGATAATGCTGAAGATTGGATTGGAATTGCAGCCTCTGTGGTATATTCTTCGAATTCGTCCTTTGCTTGTATCATTGGAAGGATATCCAGATTTTGAGCAATGATATCGAATTGGTCGAGATTTTCATCAATTTGCATTGATGATGTTGTTGGAGGTGTAATCGCTGACTGGTCTTTATACTCATCCCAGAGTTTTTTGACAGAATTGATTGCTGGCCGTATCCATTTCTTGTCCCAATTGTGTTTGAGATATATAGTTCGTCGTGACGGATGAAAGATTACCGCTGCTGCATAGAACGGAGAGTCCTCTGTCTTCAGATAGTATTTATCGAAAACAGTCCAGCTTTTCTCGATCCGAGAAGATAGGAAAAGGTTTGATTTGTATGTCGAAAAGCTATTCTTGAAATGCTGAGCAAGAATATCCATGGTGAATAAAACCCGGTCAATAGTTGCTTGATCTCCTTCAGTCATTTTTGTTGCTCGGTAAAACGGTTGTAAAAAGGCCGATATTAATCGAAGATGTTCCCAATCGCCTGGAGAAAGATAATCCTTTTGGAGAGGCTCATACCACGATTTGATATATGAATCAATTGCACCGTCTTTTTCAAGTGCAACAAGGATCATCAAAAACCAACTGTTCCATCGTGTAGAATTATCCAAAGGTACCATTCGGCCGGCAAGTTGAATAAACTGATTCATTCGAGCAGGAGATCCTCGGATATGGGTGATAATGTTGTGGAGTTTGATAAGAGGACTGAGATCAAGAGAGATCTCAGCTTCCTCTATTTCGGTATTTTCACCCTGATCGTCTATTTTTTTGAAGAGAAATGCCTGGACAGCAAGATTGATGATGTGCCCATTACATCGTATTCGATTATTCGATGATGACCAAGAAATTCCCCTCTCACTAAGAGCTGTTTCGAAGATCTTGCAAAGGCTGTCGTTTGTTGAAGCATTGTCGCTAATAATTGTCCCAATGTTTGATAGAATGTTGTAGTCTTGAAGGACGCATGAAAGAGCTTCGTATTGAACTGCTGCATGGTGTGATGGGATAGATGGAAGGCCGATGAGTGCTTTTTGGAGGGTTTCTGATTCGAAATCCACAAAATGGGCACAAACTGCTAAGAATAGTTTCTTGTTCGGAGAAGTCCAGACATCGATCGAAAGGTGAACTTTTGAGTGAGATGATTGAAGTTTTTTCCGAACGATATCTTTGTAAAACAGCCAAGATTTTTTGATATGTTCTCTGATTGTTGAATGTGCTGAAACAACTTCGTTTGAGACTGATGGATTGAGGGCTTTGCAGAGCGTATGGAATCGAGGGCTTTCGACGACCCGGAAAGGAAGGTTGTCAACCACAATAAGCGAAACAATCGCCTGTGTGATAACTTCTTTATTTAATACTCGTTTGAGGATTTGAGCATCAAGTTCAGAAGTCTGGTTGATCGTCATTGCTTTCTCATATAGAGATTGCAATGCAGTATTGCTGAGCTCGTCAACCTTTCTTGCTTGGTTAGGAGCTACGATTCCGTGCTTGGATTGAAGGTGTTGCCGGAAGTTTGTTGTGTTTTGAGCACCCCATGCTAAGCAATATTTGCAATAATACATGCGGTTTTTGCCCTTTCGTGCTGGCTCTCCATCTTGAGGTGGTCGAGTATGTTCCAGAACCAGGCTTGGGGCTCGGCCTGTATCTGAAGAATCCTCAGAAACAAAAGACATCTTCCTTTGATGCGAAATAATGAGAATGAGAAGGATTTGGCAGATTTTGGTGGTCAGGTTGCGTTGGGCATCGAAATATTTGTTGGTTGTGCTAGCTGGCAATGCCAGCTGGCAAGCATGGCTATACAGCTGGTCAGTGTGACCATGCAGCCGTAAAGCCTGACTACCGGCCAGCTGACTAAGCAACGAATATCGTCAATATTTGCGATATTCCGAATACGAATACATCCGCTGACAAATACACGAATATTGTTATTCGTCGCCCACCCTGACCGGAAGAACCCCCTTTGATGGGGATTATCAAATATTCGATAGGCGGTCCTATCGTCATCCCATCACGGTTCGAATGTCAAGTGGGTGATATCATTATTCTTGAGGCAAAGGAGCAACTATTTGTAGGGGAGTGTGCAGGACCTCGTGACATTTGTATGTTTAGTGTTATGCATCGAACATTTCCAAGGAAAGACACGAGCGAAGGAGGGGGGTTTAATGCCTAATAACTATGACTACTCTGGCAAACTTGAAAACCTAAGGAAGTTGTCCAAGTTATCCGGCGAAACTTGATCGAGGCTAGAGGGTTGCTCCAAACCGTCTACTGTAGAAGCGACGTCCATAGTTCGGTAAATTGGAGCCGGAATATAGTTGTTGCCCGAGTGGTTTGCTACTGGCATAATCTGGTCAAGACGCGAGAGCTCGGAAGAGACTGCTGATGCTTCGTTAGTGATGTCGCTTGGTACTACTGGGATGCCTGTGCCCGTTCCGACTCTAATATCCCCTACCCAAACCACGTCTCCTTGGTTGAGCCCAAAACATCCGATTGGGAAATATGTCCAACCAGGGAGACTAAAGTTGCCCGCACCGGCGGGTCTAGAGTTGCTCGTGGTGATTCCCATCGACACATCGCCCACAAATTCGAGCCGCAAGGGGTTTAGCCGCATCACCTGCGGCCGCGTGACTCCAATTTCCCACATGCTTGGTCCGGTAGTTTTCCGGGAGCCATTGGGAAGCCGAGTATCCGGCTCCGTGGCCGCAGGACTTGTCGGGTCACTAGCAGACACCACGGCCGGCGGGTGCATGAGTTGGGCAGCAGATTGTGACCGTCCAGCCATATTCGCAAGCAACTGGAGAGGCGTGGCGTACTGGGCGGGATTTATAGGTGGCTTGGAGGATTCCTGGGTCTGGCCGCCTAGTCCAGCTCGGTCGGGCGGGTTGGGATGTGCAGTCACAGCTAACCAAGAATCTGGGCTAAGCTTCGTGACTGTACTCTGTGTTGAACTAAAACATTCTCTGGAATCGATGGAAGCCCCTGTCGTCGGATCTCTAGGCCAGCCAGCACTAAAAAGTGCTCGTGAGTTGGCGTCATGTCGCCACGTTGGTGGTGAAAGAAGAGGGCTGCCTGGATGAGACTCTGCGATGCGGCTCTGGTTGGTGCTGTTGCCTCCGTATCTCGCCTCGTAAGTGTTTCGACTTGGCTCGCGCTGGGGCCCCGGGCCCTCAGTAGGCATCAAACTTGCCGCTCGGCCTCGCTCTTTTGTAAGCTGTTGGCCATCCAAGCCGATGACTTGCGGATTGGCAATAGTGTCTGTCAAAAATTGAACGCCGTTCTTTTCGAAAGTCTGGAGCTCCCCAAGACCGCCTCTCTTCGCGATTAATATGGAAAGCGATACTTCCAACCCAACCTCTGCCAACTCCGAATTTGTGAAATCTAGGCCTTTGAAGTTGCCAAGCTTGAGGAACGAGCATACTTCTTGATACCTATCTCCCGATTAGTAGAGAATAGGAGGGGACTTGATAATAGCTAACATACTCAAGTTGGGTATAGCTAAGGTAGGCTGGAGGAAGTATCACCTGCGATTGCAGGCAAATCGTGATTGGAATATACCGTAACCCATCTAAAATCATCTCTAGCACCTTCTCTCTTCGTATTGTGCCGAGTTGTGAGCAGTTATGGAAGCCAAAATTTTTCACTGGTTAAGTTAGTGCTTGAAGCCAACGGGGTTTATCCATAATACATACGACAAGCGGCACGGTACACTACGAAAGCGAGCTCTTTCCGAAACCCATAGAGACGGTCCACAAGTTCATTAAGAAATTGACTCCCCCCTTCCCATCTTCGTTGCTGGACTTGCGTTGCATGATCTGGGTGTATTTCGACTTTTTCTTGCTTCATACGCTGGAGGTATCGATAGGATGAGAGCATATGCTTATGCTTCCATGCAGACCCCTTCCCTGGTTTCTCAATTGCATTAGCATTTTCCCGGAGCCGCATCTCCAGATTGTTCTCGTCGTTGATAAGACTCTGATTGTGGCGGTAAGTGACCAGGCGCTCATCGAGTGCGGCGGGGGTCGTTGGATTGGCGTCCTCTATTATTAACTCTTTGATACCAGTTACTAGCTTCTTTATTACGCTTTGAGCGGTGGACCGGTCTTTCGTATCATAACTCCTGGCCTCCGCGCTGGACCGCTCGCCGTTCGACCCGCCACCGCTTCTAGAGGACCTTTTCCGCTTGCCTCCGGCGTTAGACCTCCTAGAGGCTGCCTGTTGCAGTTTCGTTTCTCTCGTCATTCCACGTGGAGAATAGTCGCAAGCTTTTGAGTCTTCTCATCAAATGCTGCTTCTGGGTTATCGATAGGGTTGATGGCGCACTAATTACGTTGTTAGTCGTAGACCGGTAAGGCTCGCCTTATAACTAGAGATATGAAGGTTTCGAACCGCTCTTCTCACATAGCATCATTAGCATAGCTCTAACAACGGGTTTTGCTAGTACTGTATTGTAAAGGAGCAGGCGATAGGCTGGCTGCTGGTAGCGTTATGCTTCGGACACCAAATTTCGAGATCAGGAGCGACGCACGCGTCACGCCTCACAGAGGGGCCCCTAACAAGCCGCAATATAGGGGTGTTGCTCCGTACTTACCCCGCATAACCCATTTTCGCGGCGGGAATCTTCCGAGCGCCGTCCAGTTCCACCAGACCTGCGCGCTCCAACCGACTCGACTCGATTGAGCACACACACCCGCAACGGCGCGCCCGTCATTATTTTCCACCTTCCCCGCTTGCTTTTTTGGACGGATAATGGATAATTCTTCGCCGACGCCTACTATCTCTTTGACATGCGATGAATATGTCACGCTCATCCTTGCCCGACTGAGGACATACAAAAATGCGCCAAAAGGGTTAGCGCTATCATTTGCAAAGACCAAACAAGCCGAAAAGAACACCACAGGTAGAATCTTTCTAGAAACAGGCGGCTTCCAAACCTGGTTCGCTTATTTCCTTATTAAAAACTCCGCGGAGAACAATTTGCATTTCCACGGCAAGGCGAAGTGCCGCCATCTTATCGCCAGTCTTGAGGTCGAGTCCACCGAATTGCGGGCGCGCATCGCTAGAGGTCGCCGCTGCGATCCCATCTGCCCGAAAGGCTCCGTGCTACGGCCAATCAAGGCTCATGGGACCCACCCTGCGGGCAAACGCGGCCGGCAAAATATCGAGTCATCTGAATACAAAAACGCACCACCACCACCAGAGGAACAAATACGAACCTTATCCTATGCAACGATCAGCTTGAACCGGATTATTACGCATTTTCTCTTATAAAACCAGACGTGCCTGAAAATTCACCTTGTCCAGATTGCAAAGGCACTGGTATAGATAACGGGGCTATCTGTGGCGGTTGTAACGGGTTGGGGAAGAAGAGTAGCTAACTACTAGGATTCCTGCGGGTAAGTGTTCTGGCTCTCCTATCTCCTTATAGAAAGTACTCAATCTAAGAGCAGTTTTCTATCAGGTAGCCCATCTTTCTAACGCATCCATCGACCAGTCCTCGTATCACCAAAATCTGCGCCAGCGCACCATGCAGCGTACCCAAGCCCATTACCAAGCATCGTCAGAGCCGCGAGAAGGAGATGGCAAAGACAGCAGTGTCGACGAAGCTGTGGGGCCAGCCCCCGCCCGGAACGCCGATGGGTATTTAGAAGTTTAGGAGGTCGGGATATTAGCAAATGTGTTAGACGGGGAGGTTAACCCGGAGGATAAGTACGTACGAAACATCGCAGCTGTCCTTCCTACCGGGGATGACGAGCTGCGGCGGGTGGATGTGGACTTTGCGTCTTCGTGACGGCTCTGAGAGATGAAGGGCTCAGCCAGGTAGGCGGGGTAAGTGGGGTACTGTGAGTTGTAAGCGCCAGTATAGTATCCACTTTTGGCGCTAGGGAGGCTACCTTTGCACACTGCCTCGATGTCAACATTCCAACATACTGCATTTGGAAGTCTTACATAGTTCAAATCAGCTGTATACACAATAGATTTGTTGTTGTTCATGCATGGCAGTGCTCAAGTCCATTTTGAAGCGTTCAGGCATCCCGAAAAGTCCCAAAGTCCTGGATAGCCGGCGCCGAGCCCTTCGAACCACCGTCAAATTCGACATACCGATGCCTCCCAAAGGCACCAAACGAAGCCGAGCTCCTACGCTTGATGACCATGCTGTCACGGCGTTGCCTCGGAAAGGCCGAGCGAAGAAGCCCCCTGCAAAGGCCGTCGATGCCCTCAAGCAGACGAAGGCCAAGCCGGCTCCGAAGAAGCGTACTGCGCGCGGCGCGAAGAAGCCCACCGATGCCGCGACGATGCCTCTGACGATGCCTCGTCAGTTGACGAAGACGAGCCAGTTATTCGCGCAGAAAGAGAAGAGAAAATCGTCGTCATCTTCTGCAACCGAACCGGAGCTGAGGACGACGTCATGTACGCCGGCACCAGCGCCGTCATTAGCATCAAAGGGGGGCGAGGTCTTCCTCTACGGCCTTCTAGGCCGCGGAGTAAAAGAGCTTCTTGTGGTCGACACCGATACCCCTTCCGCCCGCTTGCTTCTGGATAAACAAGTGCACCCCTTCCATGTCGGCGTGTCGCTCCGTCCTTTGCCCAACATGTTCTCCAAAGATGGACGCCCCCGGGACAGTTTTCTACCTTGTCCCTAAAAACAACAACAAGCGTGCTACGGAGGCTGTTCGAGACCCCGCTAACAGCAATCGAAGATGCATTCTCCCCCACGTCGCAAAAACAAGCCATGCTTGCGAATTGGGCTGGATCAGCCAGTTAAAAAACCTCCCTACCTCGTGACCATCGATATACCGATGACGACGAAGCCGTTCTCGCGCGAACATGTTCAGGAAAGTAGAGACGTCTTTGCATGATCTGGCCGCACAGCTAGTGGCCACTGCGAACCATTGTCAGCTCCGCGAGACCGCCAGTTCACTATCTCCTGGATGATTTTATGGTATTGCTATGCAATGGTTGAACGGAATGAGAGTTTTAATTGTTAGATAAAAATTAACGGAGAGATCAAGCAACTCAATAATACAGCCTCTTCAACTCCCCACTACTAAGCCCCTAAACGCCGAGGATCTATCACCATTGGAGCGATGCCCAAATGCATTTGCCGGTCCTGGTCTGCTTGTTGCTCTGACGCCGCGCTAGCGAGCCTTCCTTTCTCCACCCCCCTCTTCCTCTTCCCCAGAACTCCCGCCTGCTCGGGAACCTTGGCCATTGTCTGTCCATCGCGTTTATGCACATCCGCGGTATGGTCCATCCAAGCTGCCCGGCTCTCGATTATAGCCTTTCGTCCTTGTCTCCCACATTCGAAGCATGCGAAGGGCTCCTGAAAGATACTCCCATGCTCTTTGTTGAGGTGTCGCGAGTGGCTGCTTCCTTCAAAGAACATGTTTTCACAGAAGAAGCAACGGGCGGACCTTTCTTTAGCGGGCTTTCGCTCGGCTGGTCTGACCTCCTTCCTGTGCCGTGGCGGCATCGGCGTGTACTTACGACCGTGGCACGTCTCCACATGGTTGCTCCAGTGCTCTGCCCCGTCCACGACGTGCATCTTTCCTTGACGGTCGCACTCGCCACACGGAAAGGGACGGTCGAAGGCACCTTTACTGAAATGATCGTTCTCGTTGTGCCTTGTCAAGCCGCCGCGGAAGGTAAAAGATTTTAGACAGAATAGGCATTGCCAGCGCTCGGTCTGTTTGGCGACGTCCTGCGTCTTATTATCTCCCAACGAGCTCATAATGGTCTCCACCTCAGTACCCCGGTTTCCCAGGTACGCAAGAAGTAGCTGTGAAAAGACCCGGGCTCGCCGGTATCCTCCCAGATCTTTCTCGCGAAGGAAGCGGCCAATATACGTAGCGACCTTATCGACAGCCGCGGTCCGAGTTAGCGGCTTATGTAGCTTTACCGTTGCCGTTGGCGTAGATAAGTCGTTAGTTGATTGCCCAAGGGCCCTTCGTCTATCCACCTCTTTGAGGTACTTCTATCGCTTATCCTGGACTATAAGCTCTATAAGTTCCTTTCGACGGTTCATGTACGTATTACGAGCCCGTGTCGAATCCCTATGGCCCCATCCTTTACATTCCCGTATTTCGTCGTACTCGTTCTTCACCTCCTGAACATAAAGATGCTTTGTAGCTCTCTTCACCTCGTCAACGGTCGGGTATATCGGAGCATTCTCGTCCCTCTTTAAAGTCGCGCTCCGTAATATTTCGTAAAGCTCGTCGCGTATCCCTGCCGTTTCTATACCAAATATGATCGGCATTACTTCTTTTCGGAGTGCTTCGGGAAGGTAGTTTTGTTGGAAGACAGTCTCGGAGTTGGCCATGAATTGTGACCGTAACGCCGGCGTGAAGACGCCTAGAAGAATATATAATATTAGGTAAATAGAATAACGTGTGTGATAAGCGAGATGAACAGACAAGCGAGTTGAACACTTTTGACGCGACGCGCCTCCTCTCTACAAAACACCAAATTCCTCAACAAACTCAAATGTCTCTTCCTTCATACGAAGCTAGGGTGAATTTGGCCCTCAGGGCTATTCAAAACGACCCAAAACTCAGTATTCGAGCTGCAGCAACAACATATCAAGTCACGGTAAATACTATACGCAACCGACGCGACGGCAAACCTGCACGACGTGATACTCCAGCCAATTCGCGTAAGCTTACGGATTTGGAAGAGAAAACGATTGTTCAGTACATCATTGAGCTATGTGCGCGCGCATTTCATCCCCGGCTTTCGTACGTAGAAGATATGGCCAATCGATTGCTACGCGAACGCGACGCGCCCTCTGTCGGTACACGCTGGGCTCACAACTTCGTCAAGCGCCAGCCAGAACTTCGGACGCGTTTTACGCGTAAATACGACTACCAGAGGGCCAAATGCGAAGATCCAAAAGTTATTCGCGAGTGGTTTGCGCTTGTGCACAACACGAAGGCCAAGTACGGTATCCTTGACGAAGATTTGTACAATTTCGACGAGACCGGCTTTATGATGGGCATTATCATCCCCGCTATGGTAGTTACTACCTCTGATGGCCGTGGTAGGGCTAAGCAAGCCCAGCCTGGTAATCGAGAGTGGGCTACAGTCATCCAAGGAGTGAATGCTCTAGGCTGGACTATCCCACCATTCATTATCTTAGCTGGGCAATATCACCTTGCTAACTGGTATCAAGAGTGCAACCTTCCGGGTACCTGGCGTATCGCAACAACCGACAATGGCTGGACTACTAATGAGAAAGGCATGGATTGGATTCGGCACTTCGATTTCCACACAGCATCTCGTACGAAGGGAATATACCGACTGTTAATTCTCGACGGCCACGATAGCCACCACTCCGAAGAATTCGAGACTTACTGCCGGGAGCACAACATCATCACACTCTGTATGCCTCCGCACTCTTCACACCTACTTCAGCCATTGGATGTTGGTTGCTTTGGGCCGTTGAAGAAGGCGTACGGCTGTCAGATTGAGCAGCTGATGCGGATGAACATCACACATATTAGCAAGCTGGAGTTTCTTTGTGGGTTTAGAGAGGCGTTTTTTGCTTCGGTTACGGAAAGGAATATCCAGGGGGGGGTTGCTGGAGCCGGCCTTGTGCCGTACGATCCAGAGAGGGTGATATCCAAGCTGGATGTGCGTATTCGGACTCCAACACCCCCAGCTACAAGCCCAACTACATCGCTACCTTGGGTCTCCCAAACGCCACAAAACCCGAGAGAGGCTGCCTCACAGTCAGCGTTCATCAAAACTCGAATTTCCAACCATCAGGGCAGCTCTCCAACACCAATGCTGACTGCTGTGGATCGATTAGCTAAAGGTACGATAGCTATAATGCACGAGGTGGCTCTTTTGCGTACAGAGGTCTCAGCACTTCGGAAGGCCAATGAGGGGCTTAGTAAGCGACGGAGAGCCAAGAAAACACGTGTTCGGCTTGGAGGATCACTTACTGTACAAGAGGCACAGGATCTACTGGATCAGAAGGCTGTGGGTGGGCAGTTGGTCCAGGAAACACGACAAAATGGTGGTGGTGCAGGGGGGTCTCGTACGAAGATTCGATGCTGTGGCGTATGCGGCAAGCCTGGCCATAATGCACGTACGTGCAAGGAGGCTGCAGAATCGTCTGATTCATCTGTTTCCGATTCAGTTATTGTTATTTCCTAGTGTTGTGGTTGTGTAATTGAGGGTAGTTGTGGTGAGGTTGTGGAAATTGTTCAACTCGCTTGTCTGTTCATCTCGCTTATCACACACGTTATCTCTTTACAAAAGGCTAACATACCGTCGAGTTTTGAACTAGCACCAACTCGGAGGGAATATGGTCGCCGATGCTCTCGGTTGCCAGATACCAGCCATAGGCGATGCCATGTTTTCCAAAAGAAGTCGTAGTTCATCGTAAATATTTCACGATTCATAAAATCATCCTTCCAGTGGAGCACTAAACTGCGGGTATATTCGAGGTTCGGCCGGCGGAGCATCTCATCGAGAGATTCGAAGGGGGTGTCAAAGGCACCGGCGGCGATGGCTTGGGTGGCGATGAGGCTGACAAGACAGACGAACTGGCAGGGAGCGAGGAAAACTTGAAAAGTTACGCTTTAAAGAAAATTAGTATACTAAAGATATCGAAGAAGGGAGTAATTATACCTTGCTTTTATAGTACCGGTCCCTTGCGCTCGGGCATCTGCCATTTGACGCTTCTCGTGGGTTACTGTGATTTTTGCCACTATCGTGTTCTGCGACGGGTTCTCTGGGTCCGGGACGACTATAAGACGGACATGCTTGTATTCGAACCTCATCAACGAACCCGGTCGGAATCCGAGGCCTGCGAGGACCAGCGTCCAGTGGAGCGCGACACGGGACTCAGGTTGACAAGGTACATCCTCAGCCAGCGTCCACAAGGTATCGAGGAGCATCAAAAGGTCTTCGGCTGTTGTCTCGGCCTTCTCGAATGAAAGCTCCGATTCGCGCCTTAAGTTGAACATTTCTGCAAGATCCGTCCGGATCCACTGAACGTATTAGCACGGGGAGGCCCTTTTATAAAGTCGGACTCTCCTTACATTACTGATATCAGCCACCGGGGTTTCTCTAGAGTCGCCTTTATCCCACCTCAATTTCCATAAACCACGATTGCTGGGGTCGTTGCGCCTCTTGTCTCTGAGGATCGTGTTGTCCGCCTCTGCAACCAAGCACTTCCAATGCATTATTACGGTCTTCGTATCAGTAATCGTCTGGATAGTCTCGTATTCGTCGTCCCCATCCCCGAGGACCGGGCGGGTAGTCTTCGACGACTCAATATAATCTCGAAAGTACGACTTTATTATAGTCTTTTCGCGTTCCGGTCGTTGCAAAGACCCAACCAAATCTGGTCAAAGCCTCCGCCCTTATACTTCTCAACGAATCTAATATCTTATCGTTAACGAGAACAAATAACATGACCTACGAGATCAGGTAGGTACTTACAGCCGCATCGCTTGCCATACGCGAAACCGCTCTTCTTGCAGACGAGGACATACTTTCCGCTTGCTATCGAAATTATCATCTGCGAGGAACTCATCGTCCTCGTCCGCTTTTCGTTGTCGCTCTTTATCGTCGCGCAGCTCGACAGGTTTACTGAGAACGATAACGCGGCGTCGGGACATTTTTGGCGCGACTCGGATGCTTTTTGCTCAATATCTGCGGCAGCGAGAGCTGCCAACAGGAGGGAGGCCCAGCTCCCCTCAAATAGACTTGCGCCGCCGCCGCAACGGCGAAGCTGGCGAAACGGTCATCTTAACAGCGTGCCGCAAATTCGACGGTGTTTTCGTCTCCCCGGCAGACAAACATTTCTCTGAATGTCTGTCGGCGTGGTACCTAGGTGGATACCGACAAATAGTAAAGATCACAATAAATAAATATGCCGGCTAGGAAAAGCCTTTAATTGGTATTTCTAGGATAGAGAAAGATCTCCAGGATTCTAAAATAGGGATTCTAATAGCCTTTAACTCCCTTAGCGAAAAACCTTTAGGGCTCGCCCTAAGTTATTAAGGTCTTTCAAATCTTAGAGAGTCCCCAACTAATAAGCATTCAGGGATTAGAGTGTACTCCGGCCATGCTTAATTGCTACTCGCTACCTATGATTCCCGGATGTGTCGTAAAGCCCATGGTCTTATCATTGATAGCAATTTATACAAACAAAATACGGCACCTGGTGCATCAGATATCGTTTTTTACGGACGAGATGAGGCACAAGGCAGATCCCATGAGATTTTTTAGGTTGGCAGTCATGTTCAAGTTGACTCGTCACTTCACTACCTCTACGTCCGCCTTGAAGGCGATCTTAATAGTACTACTAACTAACCAGCGGTGGGTAACATGATCTGGTATTAGGAGAACGAGGGAACCGCCGATAACCGGCTGGTCGAGCACGGGGACCCTTTTGCGTGTATATGTCCCAGTTGAAACGATCGCTAATGTTTCGTCTCCGGAGGCTATCGCCCTCTCTAGCCAGAACATCTGTTCGTATATGCTGAAGGTGTTGTTGGGATAGCCATTGTAGTTGGACGGAGGCCATACATTGCCCGCAGGCAGTCTAGCGTGATGAGGGATAAGCAGCTGTGTGCCCCTCGCGGACGCGCCGGCGCAGGAATTCGGCGGCTAGTGGTATACCTCTTGCCGTGGGTTGGCCGTTTGCTGGGACGTGGCGCGATTCTCGTCCCAAGACCCAAGTGGATTGTAGGTAAGACGAAGTTGATGTAGCTGCGCACCGAGTCGGGTAAGCTGTAGTTCTCGCATGATACGTGCAAGTCGCCATTGGCTTCAGCAGTGTAAATGTCGTGGCGAGTTTGAAGCAAGGCTTCTGCTTCTTCAACTGTGGCATCAAAAATTGCCCGGTTCGCATCATGAGAGCGGACAATGCGGCTGGCTGGGATGCCCGACTCGCTCGAACAAGCTCTAACGGTGACCCAAGACTCGCGTGCCGGTGCGTATCGGGCAATCACATCGGCTAGCTTGTAGTGGCGGCCAAATGTCGGTGATTGCGGCTCGGACACTTTGAGGACGTCGTCATTGGCAAGGTGCAGATTTTGTTGTTGAAGGGCAAGTTTGAAATGCAAGGGGGTGTCTCTGGGAGGCGGTTGCGACAGGTTTCTCTAACTAGACGTGTTTCCCGAACGCTTTTCGACAACGAAAATTCGTTTGCGGGCACACTCACTTGGCCATTCAATATGGCCGAAGCCAATTGAAACATTCTTTACTGGTTTCGCCAGTTCACGGCAGTGGTGCAACTCGAATGCTACAATGGTCGTGATATTTCCGGGCTACGCGATTCTACCTCGTCAGATGCTGTATTGCTTCCCCGTGATCAGCACCGGATTAACTCCCATTTAGTCATGGAAACTCCGTTTGGTCTGATATCTGACAGGGTATGCGGCTTGAGGGACTAATATCTCGAAATTACGCTGTCTGGTGAAGTATGAACAGCAGTTTCGAGAATGCCAAAAGGCTAAAAGTACGTGCGTCTGAACTCGTGGAATAGAAGGAGACCCTGTCTCTACACGATCATTGCACTGTAAAGCCGAGAAAAGCGCAACCAGAACAACATCGCGAATCTTACATCACTATGCAATTCTCAGCCATCACCGCCGCTCTCCTCTTCGGAGCCGTCGCCAAGGCCTACGAGATTGTCGTGTATAGCGACGTGGGATGGACGGGCGCTGAGGCATCCTTCGCCTATGACGGATGCCACTACCTTGAGTAAGCCTTGCCGAGCTGCTTCGACGAATAACTTGCCTTTTCTGCATCCAAAACTGACGAAAATGCTTCCTATGCAGCTTTGTGGGCCACTCTTGAGACTTTCTCTCACCCGGTGGAGATGGTTGCTGTGTCCGTACGTGCCACACCAACAAAACACTATCCTTCGCGTACGTTGGGAAAATGCACTGACATAACTTATGTAGGCTTCTGCTACGGGGGCGAGCCTGGTGGCTACCGTTGTAAGTTAACCCTATGCTGCCTCTTCTTCAAAGCTCCGGTGAAAATTCACTCTAGATATTAACTCAACGATAATTAAGGCAGCTAATCCTCCGACTATCGTAGCAGCTCTCCTATTGACGAAGTTATCACCGGCTGCGGCGACACGGAGCTGGACTGCTAAAGTACTCGAGTGATATTCTTTAGCGGTGGAAGCGGGGCGATCTTGCATGAGGTCTTCTTTAGTCATGGTGGAGGTGTCGCCCGGAAAACATTGTGAGGGCAGAGGGGACAAGGGAAAGCGACTGTTTACGGGGAGTGGATTCCACCAGATTAGGCTTCCAAGCGACAAAGGGCTGGTGTGGGCGGGAGCGCAGGTTGCCTGCTTCAGAAGACTGCCCTGCCAGGCAAGCATATCGCCTAGTTTCTGATTAGCATAGTTACGTAGCTGGGCGCATCGCTCTTCCTATAGAGATAGCTTGATGAAAAATCGGCTCTCCCTCCAGTGATGTTGGTTTTGGGTGGTGTAATTGGTGTGCGAATTGTCTTTCCTTTTTTTGCCTGTGCACTAACAGCAAGTTATCTGAGACGAATCCAGATGTCCATGATTCCGTAGTCGTGCATGACCCTGAGCTGATGCTGCCTTAGCCTGAGCTGCAGTGATCCTGGCGTGAGTGTTACTACCAGTCCCCAAGCCTCGTTTCTGGCCCCGGCTAGACTTGCTATTTATCAATGCAAAGAAGGGCGGTGCATACCGCTTCAGCAGAACCTTCTAGACTCCTGCCTTGGCATTTCCTCAAAATACCTTGCTACAGTTGGGCAGACACTTCCCCTGTTTAGGTACTAGTGAGCGAATTAACCTTGTCTGTTAACTTACCTCGTGGTAACCGGGAGAGCCTCTTGAAGCAGGCAACTTACGACTTCCCTGTCTTTCCTTCGAGGCTCAACTTCCCAGACCGCAACGAACTACAGCAACCCGTGCAGTTGCAGAAGGTGTCATTCGTCGCCACCGGTTACTTTCGACCTCAGCTAGCGAGACCCACCAGTCAGAGTTCACTGTCGTGAAGACGGACTTCTACAACAACTTGAAGAGCTATATAGCCGCGTGGACTGCAAACCCTTCGAAAATCAACAGCTTGAAAGACGTCGTCGCTCATAATAGGGAGCATGCCGAAGAAGAAGGTGGGATTCCTGGCCGGCATGGAGCGTGGTCGACTGGCCAGGACAATTTCGCGCGCAGCATGGCGTCCGTCCCATAGCATTGAAGGCAGCACATGTAACAATGCGCTCGTGTTTATACGGCAGAAGTCACGCGAGGAGGGTATAGACGCCGCGCTTTAGACTGGGGGTCCTCAGATAGATGGGCTACTAGTCTTAGTTCAGTCCGAAGGCGCCATCGCCTGTCTGGTTACAGCGGCAGGTCAGTTTTGCCACCACCCATCCCCCCGCCCCCTGCCACCATTACGGACTACTATGTTAACGTGACGAAGACTACCCGATAAACGATCCCTGTAGGTACTGACTTGAATAGTAAGTGTCACTCTCCTAAGCGGACTTGGAGCCCAAAGCTGATTCCAGTCGGGCAGGCGTCCCGCCTAGGCTAGCCATCATACAGTCAGCATGCAAAGGGGAGCTTCTCGTCAAGTACGGCTCCGCCATTAAGGATATTGCACGTAAAAGGATCAAGACCAGATTTCGGAATGTTAATATCAAAAACTACATGTATGTTGGCGTCAAGCCAGGGGCTCAGGGGCAAAATGACTTCGACCAAGGCTACATATGTGTACAGAAAGAACTTGTGCTGACGATCTACATATGCATGGTCAAGCTTCCCGGTTTTAACCGGACGTAGAAGAACACTATGTTCTCGTAGGACATGAACAGGTTTTTTCAAGAAGAAGAATTCTACCACGGAATCGCGCACTCTGCGTCGAGGCACAAGCCGTGCTCTTGGTCTTGCTCGTCATTCAAGAGCCAAACCATCGGCGCAGCCCCTAGCCGGTCGGCTTCGCAGTCGACCGTCTGGCAAGCGGTGATCATGAGGCGGCCGCTAGTCGCGTTCATGGGGATGTGGGTGGCTGGAAGTGGCGATTCGCAAGCTGCTACAACACAACCGCGTCGCGGATCCAGAGTTCTTCAAAGTCACCACTCGCTGGGATCTTGACAGCTCCTGCACACGCAAGAAATGGCTCCATTTGTTGCGCCCGGGCGACATCATCCAGATCATCCCGAAAGCCAACTCCCTGGGTTGGGTCAACATCGTCCGGGAAGCCAGCATCGAGATCGAATACCAGCCCGTCGAAGCAGGACCAAGTCCCCAAGCGGGTCATGGTCTACTAGGCCAATAATTGCCTACTAGTTCTAGCAGCTCCGTTACGAGAACCAGCAGATCCGCCTCCTCGTCGTGAAGCCCGGCGCGCCCGGAGACGCCATTCACGCTCGCTTTGAGCACACAAGCTTGGACGGAGCCGCCGAGGACGCGGCGGATTTTCACGCCCTTTCGTACTGCCGGGACAACTCAGCAGAGAGTGCGAATATCGTCTTGGAGACTGGTGCTGAGCTTGGAAGCGAGAACACTAGCGAAGCGCCCTTTAGCGTTTCCGGCGCGGTGGAAAGGGCAATCAGACGGCTCAGGAGCGAGCAAGAGCCATTGCGGATCTCAATCGATGCCCTTTGCATCAACTAGCACGACCTCGAGGAGAGGGCTCAACAAGTCGGCATCATGGGACACATATTCTCCCGCGCAGCAACCGTGCACGTCTGGCTCGACGAGGACGAGACTTCGGGCGTCGAAGTGGCGCTCCCAATCGTGCGAGACATATTCAACTTCGACCAGCGCCTCTGCTCCGGCGGGGAGTGCCGGTGTGCCGGTTCGAAGCACACTCTTCAGGTCGAGCACCTCGAGACTGCGAACCGCGGACTGGACTGGATATCCTTCGGTTCCATGTGGGAGATCTTCAATCGACACGCATCTGGCTTCAGCTCTTTGGCAGTGCAGGCTGCGGGCGGGGAAGGACACGCGCACCTGTCGTATCTCATGCAGAGCCTCTTCCAGCACCCCTGGTTCCAGCGCGTGTGGGTCGTCTAGGAAGCGATTCTCTCCCGGCGGACCCTGGTCCACTGCGGAAAGGAGACCATCGAGTGGCCGGAGCTGCTCATGGTCAACCGGCTGCTCGACATGCCTCAGTACAAGAGCCAGGCGCCAAACCTTCGAGGCCAGCTGACCATGCCCGCCATATGGACCACGCTAGCAGACGCCGGCAAGGTAAGGCAGGAACGCATCCGAGCGGACCACGGCAGGCCAGCCGCCGAGACGGCAGAGGGCGATCGACAGGAGCGGCAGACCATCTTGGACGTGTTCCTCGCGGCGCTGGATCTCAAGGCCACCGACCCCAGGGACAAACTCTTCGCGCTTCTTACCTTTGGCCGGGAGACCTGCGTTGCCAGCGCGATACCGGCGGCCCTGCGGCCAGACTACGGCAAGCCCGCGATTAACGTGGCTGCCGACTTCACGAGATGGTGGATCCGAGAGTACCGCTCCCTCGACATCTTGTCCTATGTTCACTGCACGCCGGCCAGGGCGTGGCAACGGACCCTCTGCGACGACAGCCCGCCCGCGGAGACGGCGGTTCCCCGAGCCGTACCCTCCTACTGTGCAACCCACCGGTAGCGGATCCTACGAGCAGCACCAGGCAAACGAGCTTCCCGCCTGTGTCGAGCCGTGTTTCTTTGTGGCCGCCAACGGCTTGTGCGGGCTCTGCCCTTGGACTGCAAGGGAGGGCGACGTTGTCACTCTGCTGAGCGGAGGTAGTGTCCCTTACCTGCTTCGGTTTGCGCCACAAGATGCGACGGGACGCGACGAGCAACGTTACGAGCTGTTGGCGAGTGCTTCGTTGAAGGCATCATGAACGGAGAGGACATGAAAACCTATGAAACCGAAGCGGCAACGATCACCCTAGTCTAGGAATATTGTGAGAAATTTTCCTGTACCTTGCAAAACAGAAACACTTCAATCTGGGGTCACCGAACCCAATTCTAAGCCACTGAGCCCAGTTCTGGGCCACACCCAATTATATATAGCTCACGGACCTCAGTTCTCGGCCACCGAACCCAGTTCTCGGTCACCGAACCCAGTTCTAGGTCACTGACCCCAACCCTAGATCGCCGAGTCTAATTCAAGGCCATGGACCCCACTTCTGGGCCGCTGACTTCAATTCTGGGCTACTGATTCCAGTTCTGGCCCGTTGACGCAGGTTCGTGGACCTAAGGCACCCAGTTTCTAGTTTCTGGTCATTATTGTGCGCCACTGATCCGAGTACAACCACTGCGCCGAGAGTCAAAGTTGCTGGCCTAGCTAGGTCTTGGGTTGTAGACTACTGGGCCCAATTCTGGGCGTTGATTCACCAAATCCTAAGAGCAGAGACGCTATGACGACTCAGCCAGGTTATTAGGGTGAGCAGAGGTGAGCAGCGCCTGAACAGGCCTGAGCAAAAAGCGGCGACGCATCACATGGGTCAGACCAGGGTGCAGTCGTCTGGATTCGTCTCATCTAACAATTTTACCACCACACAACGGGTATTCACGGGCTGCAACAGGCTTCCAAGGGCTGCAACAGGCTTCCAAGGCACTGCTAGGCCATGACGGTGTGGCTGTTAGTGCACAGGCAAAAAAAGGAAAGAGCAATTCGCACACTCCCACAGCCCCACAGTGGCAAGTGCGTATAGCTGTGGGGCGCACTCAAACTCCTGACAGCGGCCGCGCTTTTTGGGCTTATCCTCTGATTGGTTGGTGGAAGGGTTCTGGTAGTGGGGATCTGGTAGTGTGGATCTGGTAGTGGGGATCTGGTAGTGTGGGAATCTGGTAGTGTGGGGATCAGTAGTGTAGGGATCAGTACTCTAGTGTGCGTGCCCAAGATCGCGCGGTAACCGCTGTGGCTGAGATTCTGAGACTACAGTCATCGCCTTCCCAATCGTACCCAGTCAAAAGTTGCAAAATTGTCCACCGTCTTGTGGCGATATGGCTGAAGCTGCCCTTCAACAACAGCCTGAGCGGTGCAAACTCTGCAGCAACCTCGTAATTGATGACAACGAGCCGAGGGGCACAGGGCTCCATGGAGCGCCCTACGTCTCGTATCTTGAGGGGAGTCACAAGAACGGGTGTCGGTTCTGCGGCTACCTGCTACAGATCCAGCACCTTTTCGGCATCTTTGTACGGTGGAACTTCAACGGTGATAGCTACTCAGGTTACTGCGATCGTCCGACCTTTGAAACCCTCAAAATCAGTAACCCCACTTGTCCGACGTCCAGGGGGGAGCGAATCCTTGTCCGGCCATTCCAAGTACACCATAAAGCGCTCGAGATATATCGAGAGCACTCCGGTGAGAGCTCTTTGATAAGGACGGTATCACGCGGATTACTTACATTTTGAAAGGTCTGCCGAGCCCATTTGGCAAACCGATCGCCGTCGGTGAACGGACAGACTCGGCGTCCACCTGGATATTCCTCCAGGACTGCCTCACGTGGTGCGCAACACATGCATCCTGTGCTCAAGAGGGACCACTTCGCCTCCCCACCCGACTCTTGCACTTTGATTCATGTTCTGCAGGAGTCGTCTCTCTCGTGGAAACCAAGCAGGGTGATGCGATGCCCTATGTTGCACTTAGCCACTGCTGGGGCGGCGACCTTCCCGTCAAGCTCACGACCGCCAGCTACAAGTCCTTCCGGAGCGGACTGCCGCGGGAATGCCTCCCCAACACGTTCCAAGATGCCGCTACTGTCGCAGCTCGTTTCGACATCGCGTACATCTGGATCGATGCCCTCTGCATCATCCAAGACGACGCAGGTGACTGGGTCCAGGAAGCTGCGCAGATGGCTCATGTCTACAGCAATGCGCACTTCACCATATCCGCAGCGTCCTCGAAAGACGGCTCTATCTCATTTCTGAAGCAGCAGAGGACTATGCCACTGGTCCTTGGCTTAGAAGACGATACCGGCCACCTCGACAGTCCACCAGAGCAGCTCCTAGCACGGAAGCGGTTTGAGACGGGCATCCACTCGTATGGCAAGGCGTTCGACGCTACCCTCGATCCAACCGATCTCCGCGGCTGGATCATGCAAGAAAAAGTCCTCTCGCGACGCACAATGGTCTTCTCGTCGGATGAAGTCCAGTGGGAGTGTCGAAAAGCTCGAGTATGTGAATGCTCGGGCATCACGCCCTGGGACAGCAATATCGGCCAACCAATGCACGGGACGGCAAGGGAGGAGCCGCGCAAGGGGTCTCACGGACCAGGGTCGCTCGAGATCTGGCGCAGGTCTAGCCCCGGGCAGAGGCATGAGAGCTGGAACACTCTAATCTCGGATTATACGCTCCGGTCTCTGACCAAAGAGACGGATAAGCTGGTGGCATTCGCTGGCATGGCTAGGAAGTTTTCTTTGTACGAAAATTCAGCCTACTACGCCGGCATCTGGCAATCCACACTGCCGGCTGGATTGTCTTGGTACGTGTATCAGCACTACCGCGTCCGGAGCCTGCTGCCACAGAGCTACATTGCGCCTTCGTTTTCCTGGGCGTCTGTCAAGGGGAATGTCGACATCATGCCGGCGATAGCTTCTGAAAGCTTCAACGCTTGCGCCCTTATTAACAAGGTCGATGTATCCCTCGCCACAGCGGATCCATTTGGCGCAGTGCGGTCTGGATCGATCACGCTCGCTGGCATCCTCATGACCGGCGAGATGCGTTACAATTCCTCTTGGGCGGGGATACGGGTCAATCGCAAGTCCGGCAATCCCGGGGCCTACACGGTTAGCTTCAAGGGTACCGTGGCGTTTACGGACGACCAACAATTGCCTCAATTCTTCCACGACTGCGAGCTTGTCCCACGAGGCAGCAGTGCCGACGCGGACGGCGAACAAGCCACAGTCGGGCGGTCAATCGAAGCGAGCCCAACATCGTGGGGCCCAAGCACGGTATATTTGCTCCCGGTCTGCATGGCGGCGGTCTCGACTACGTCTCCATATGTCGGTATGCACGGCCTCGTGCTAGGGCGGCGGTCCGGCGGCAGCAGCTTCGAGAGGCTTGGACTGTTCCCGTTTGGCTTTGGGGGGTTGCAATTTGACGACATGACAACCTATCAAGAGCAAATTATCAGAAGCTTTGCCGCAGCGGGGACGTTTCAGGAGGTTGTCATCGAATAGGTAGGCAGATGCTTTAGTTATACGGCATCAATAAGTCTCGCGGACTAACTCCGTCTATATAAAGGGTCATACTTCAAGAGTTTGCCCGTCCTTCATTTCCCTCCAGAATGACGTCCGGCCTTAGACATCCATTAGACAGCTGTCAGCCCACTTCCTCGGTGTGATACCGCCCTTCATCCTACCTGGGCGCAGCACCCAGAGGAGGAGCCGGCTCCGGCTCCCTCCCGTAATCTTATATTGTTTGCGAATAGCTTCATTCTATAAGGCGTTGTTTAAGTTGCCACGTCCTACTTATATAGGGCACCACCGGAATTTTCCGTTGCCAGAGGTGTTCCGAATATTGGTTGACAAATTCGACCACGGCTACGTCCCTGTGGAGGTCGATAAGAAGAACTGGGAGGCCTGTTGAGTGTTCCCTACACCTCACGCACCTGAAGTACTAGCGAATTCTAGCCGTCAACACCTAGACGACCGGGGCCTACGACGGCGTACCAGCATCTATTCAAGTTCTCGGCGGACGCCTGTAGGAAGAGAAGCTCTTGGCCATCAGCGGCTAACCCATCACCAAGGCGCTCGACAAGCACCATCACGAGGCACAAACCCAGTCACCACCAGACGAGAGGAATGTAGGGACATTGCTGTCAGTTGACTTCTAGCCTGCATATGATGCCGGTTGCACGCACCACTAAGAACCTGGCACCTTGTCGGACTGCCAAATCATGAAGTCTCGGTTAACATGAGCCAATCGGTGGTTCGCTCGATAGCGCGGAGTACTTACCTATCTTAGGTAAAATAGTCGGACTGGGACAGCATTGAAGTTGACAAGAAAATTACACCCTATCTTCAGTCGAGTCCATGTGCACCAGTAATGCTTCGTTCAGCCCTCGGAATGCCCCCCATAAAGGTCTAGAAGACTACCAATAGTAGGGCGCACGCATGCATATGTAACTATGCCTGGAGGTGCGGGGTTTCGAGCTATGAAAAGCTACTTGGGTGATGCATGAAGGGAGAGGTGAATTGGGGGAATGCTAGTTGGGAGAGAACTTCAAACCTCTCCCTAGGCTGTGATTGGAGACGCGTGAACAAAGTGTTACGGGTTGATAGTGGAATACCCGCAGTTATGCCGTCTTAATAGTACTTTGCGTGTAAAATTCTGTTACGAATCTTCGGTACCGGTTAGCCGAAATCACGAGAACGTCCTATATCTATTTAAGCAACTACGTATTATAAGAATCTACACGTAGTAACCCAGGAAACCCTGACCTAGTACGGAGTACTGCAGGGAGATCCCGGCTACCTACGGAGGCACGTGTCTAACTAGCACAGACTGACATTGATCGGGAGAAAGATGGAGATTTGGAGAGAACAGACTTGCAAGATCAGTCACGGAAAACACAACAAGGGATGGCATTGAGAAAGCTTGTCTTTCAGTACGTAGTAAACAAAGGAAAAGACCAGTTTATGTACAAAACAAAGGTCGAGCAGTTGTGAGCACGCTAAGTAAGTGTGGGCATACCAGGGTATGCCGGTACGGGCTTGTTGAGTTGTTGAGAGCACGGGGCGAATGGCTTAAGCGCGTGAGCCACACCCGCGCGCCACGACATGTGTATTGATTCTTGCAACAAGAGAAAAAGGTGAGAGTGCAGCCGTCAAGTAGCACTAGAAAGGCAGCAATGCAGCTGCGAGACCTTTGACAGGCGCTGTCAACAAGCGTGAAAAAGCAAGTGTTGACAAGGGCTAATATCTAATGGGTCGAATCATAGGCCAGCATCCAGGCGGAGACAAAACATTGGTATATCGATAGCTCTGTTCAAGTTTGCCCGGTCCAACGCAGCCAAATTAAGATGGATAAATAATAAAGCCGACGATGAGGCTGTTTGAGAGTGCCCAGTTGAGGTGTGATGGACCACCTTATTAAGTCTGTTCAGTTTTACGCCACCCCGAAAGGCATCGGTACTTTACGGCTCTCCCTGAAGATTTTTCGCCGAAGGAGGTAAAATACATTTGAATACCTGGGTACTTTAGAATCCTAGAAGCCTGTCTCTTCTCTGCAACACGGCTTTTCCTGGCCAGTATATTCGCGAGGGCATAAAATTTGCTCTGCCCAAGCCACGCTAACAAAAATTCAGAGACTGGATTGCACGTTGTACACTAGCTTCTCAGCACTGACCGGCTTCATCCACTCCTCAGACCTCTGCACAGGACCAGGGCCCATCAACGCCAGCCCATCGGAGACAACCCGGTCCAGACCGCCAGGCATGCGGCGGACAGGGCTCGGTGCCAGCTCGCTCCCGACCGCTCCCGCCAGCCACTCGTAGAACGCCGCCGCGAACCGCCTGGCGTCCTCAGACGCGCGCACGACGATGCCACTGTGGTACTGCACGTCGGCGCCCAGGCCCTCCCACACGGCACCGTAGACGGGCTCGGTCGGCAGCTCGGCGCCGTCCCACGCCTTGCTCTGGCGCGAGCGCACCACGGCCACCCGCGGGCGGTCACCGGGGTTCTGGCGCAGTGTGCTGCACGCGCGCTGCACCGTGCTGCCCGTGGCGATGCAGTCGACGGCGAAGTCGACCCCCCCGGAAGCTAGCGCTGGCACCTGCTCCGCCCAGTCGGCGGCGCGGTAGTCGACCAGCGCGTCGTAGCCGTACGCCGCCTGCAGCAGGGCGAAGCGTGGGGGGCTCGCCGCGCCGAGCAGCGTCAGGGTCCGGCCGCTCGCCTGCGTGCTGCATCGTACTAGCTGCGCGGCGTACATGCCGACGGATGTCGAGGCGCCGTAGATGAAGACAGTCAGGGGTTTGGCCTTGTCATCGTCAGCCTCTGTCCCCTTGGACCACGCGAACGGCGCGGGCAGGCCGAGGCGGTAGAAGACCATCTGCGCAGCCGTGAGCGCGCACAGGCTGACGGCAGCGGCCTGATCGAGCGTGATAGAGTCTGGCACGCGCCACACCAGGTCCGCCGCGCACGTCAAGTACTCGGCGAAGGCGCCGGGCCGGTCGTTGGCGCTACAAGCGCCTTGCAGGAAGCCGGCCACGCGCTGCCCGATGGCGAGGATGTTGTTGGGCTTGGGCTTGGGCTTGGACGTCGGTCCCAACTCGACCACCGTCCCGGAAAAGTCGCTGCCGACGGTGCGGCCCGTCGCGCCCAGCGGGTGCAGCACGTACGTCGCGTCGACGGGGTTGAGGGCCACGGCCTCGACGCGGATCAAGACCTCGCCTGGCCTGGGGCGGGGCCGGGGGAGTTGCTGGACCGTGGCCGTCTTTTGCTCGGCGTTGAGGATGAGAGCTCGCATGGCCATTGTTGCGTGTTTCTTGTGGAGATTTCTTGTTGAACCAAAGTCTGCTTCGAGGTATGATCTGCTTGCATGGCGTCCGGTGTCCAGCCTGGGTGCCAGAATTGCAGCCTTTATGTCTTTCACACGTCCGAATGCGGTCGTATCAACGATGGCCCGCGGGTCAGCCTGCTATCATCCTGGTTGACTAAGGCACGCAGCAAGATGGTGTAAGTCCTGGCTGAATAATCGGCTCGCATGTGGGTGCTGGAATTGAACCAATGAACTCGCATTGTTGCGATGCGGCGGGCCAAGTAAGGCAAGGTATGATTGAGGCAGAATGTTGATCCTGCGGATTGCTGTTTGCGTGTTAGTCGTAGCCGAGGAAAGCGCGTGAAGCGAGCTGAAATCCCGACTAGACAGCAGGATGACACCGAAAATGGACAAAAGAGTTCGGCCCCGACTCGTTGTCTGCGTTGGACCGGGCGGCTTCTTGCGGTTAGAAAATGTTGAATTTTTCACGGTCTCATTCCCGGCGTCGATTGGCGACGATAAGGTACCTCACCTTAGTTGACCCCTCACTAGGTACCTAGCTACAGAGCTCCAGTTCACTGAATGTGCTGGCTCTGTGGTAACTTGTGACGCTGGCAGCCACCTGTTGCCCACTGCTTGCCTTCCAGGGCGCCCCTGCCAAAAAAGGGCTAGCCACTCCAAAATAGCCAAGGTACCTCACCTGCCTTTCTTGACAACCTGGAAATTTTCAAATTTTCTCACCTCCAACCTAAACGCGATCGGACGTGTGCCCAAAGTCGGAACCAAGCAAAGCTTCAGCACCGCCATGGCGGCCACGACAGAGAACCCGGCCGAGGACCCTGGAAAGTAAGATGATTACCACGCTCGCCCTTGGTCCTTTACGCTCGTACAACTGCGCTGCACTGGGTCCTAATCGTGGCTACACTGTACAAGATAGAATGCCAGCCCTGTCTTCTTATAAACGCCATTTCAAGGCTTCATCCGATTCACTCGCCAATAGGCAGCCCGTGCGGCCCCCAGAACCTCCGCTCAGTGCAAAACATGCAGGAGAAGCACGGTTTCTTTTGCGTCGCTGCTTCGAATGTCCTTGAGCACATGTATGCTTCCTGACATGCCTGTCGACTTTGAGCTTGTAGGTGACCATGTCGGCCGCGTAGTCAGGGGTTTCTCTCAGCAGGCTGTCAAACTCGTCCTTTCCGTGCTGCATTGCGCTTCTCAGTTTCGGGTGAGAAAGCCTGACGGCTAGGTCGCGCAGGACGCGGTCGGTTTTTGGGGGCGGCGACTCGGGCCCGTAAATTTCGGCTCAGCTAACCACGCCTGATAGATATTTCAATGCCAACAACTGGTTGTCTGACGTCGTCGTTGCTTCAATTGGGAAAAGCTCAAAGCCTACCGACTCGTCTTGTCTGCGCGCTCCGACGTCTTCAAGAAGATGTGTAATGCTCTGGGTCCCTGGAAAGTAATTACGACACTCCCGGCGTGCCCCAGACCGCCGCTAAACTAACACGTCAAAAGGAGAACAAGACCCGCCTCATCAAGCTGGAGGATGTCGACAGCGCTGCCGTGCAGGCCATGCTGTATTTTATGTACCGCTCCGACTACAATAAACCCAAGAACACGTCGGCCATGCTCTTTCACGCCCGCGTCTACGCCTTGGCCGACAGATACATGGTGCCCGACCTGAAGCTGATCGCCGCCAGCAAGTTCAAGGCCGCCTTCAACCAGTCTTGGTTGATAAAAGACTTCAGTACCGGTACCCAGATACATGCACGTACTTGGCCAAAGACTTCCCGAAGCTCTCCGACAGCGCTTCTGGCGCGGGCGACATTGTATTTGGTGCCGTCTTCGACACGTTGTTGATGGCGGCGCTGGTTCAGGACGCTTCCTCGACATGGATTATGAGCGGTGTACGGATGCTGCAGCCTTGCCAGATCACGGTCTGCCAACTTCCCAAGACTTCATGGCCTGGCCGTGAAATCAAAGTCCGTTGATTTTGCTTGCATCTGAATCATAAGTCCTGCGTTCCTCTCGCTTGGCAGTTGCTTTGCAGCTGCTATCAATCTTACCAATCCTGTGATCAAGCTACCGTCTGCCCCACATCAACCTCTGTTCGTCGAACAACCAACTGGTGGACGCAATGCAGGTCGCGCAGTTCCCAGAGGATCTGAGCCAGGCTTTCTCGGCCGTGAGTTGATGATGTACGACCTCTAGTCGTGTCTCACAGCTGCAGTCTGGTCTCCCTTCTCCTCTCTCGCTCGCCTTAGCCCACAACATCGCCCCGTCTGTGTGCCATATCCGCAACTTTGGCAAGGTAGTCGACGCGTTGAAGTTGGTAAGTCTATCCTGATTTATGCCACCTTGTCGCCGCTCTGACTGGGCACATACCAGGCCGCCAACAGAGCCTCGTCCACCCCCGGCCTGTCTCGTTACACGTCTGTCCACACCCTGCTCCTGCAATGGGAATTCGATGACCTTGGGGTCAGCGACGAAGTGCAGCGGCTCTCTGACGTGTTGCGTCTCAATTACGGCTTTGATGTCGAACACTGGAAGATCCCGTCAGCCAAGCCCGCCCTCAACCTGACGCAGACCATCAGCGATTGGATCGAGCGGTTCGATGGCAACCACAACCTGTTTGTCCTGTACTATGTCGGCCACGGGAGGATCGATGATGGCAGGCAGGTTTTTTTTGGCGCAAGTCAGTCAGTCCTTAAGCTTTCCATGAGAGTCGAGACCTTATTGACCAAACGACATGCAGCCTTCGCGATTCGAGCCACGACCAGTTTGCCGAAATCAAATGGTCCACCTGCGAAGACATCCTGCACAAGGCCGCATCTGACACGCTGTTCCTCCTGGACTACTGCTACTCTGCCGGCTCGGCGTCGCCGCCCCTCCGCGTCTTCTCCGAGACCATGGCGGCGAGCGGCTTCGACTCCGTCGCCCCGCCTCCCGGGCCCCGCTCCTTCACGACGACGCTGACTAGGGTCCTGCACCGCTAGGCGTCCGAGTCGAAGGCATTTTCGGTTGTGAAGCTGCACGCCGAGATCCTCGTCTCGCTCAAGGAGATGCCGCCCCGGCACATCTCCGAGGGCAGCCTGTTCGAGTGGAGGCGGACGCCAGTGCACTACATCCCGTCCAGCGACCTGTGTCCCCCGAGCATCGTCCTGTCTCTGCGGCCTAATTCGCTTCTATCCTCAGACGTCGTGACTCTACGACGTGGCGATGCAGACCCCAGCGAGGGCGCCTCTGTTGCAGAACGTCCGAGGTTGATCACGAGCATTACCCTCTCAGAGGACCTGCAGAGAGACGACGGCGACACCTGCCATCGGTGGCTGGCTTCGTCAGCGCTGGCACCAATCCAAATAAATGCCAAATCAATCAAATAAGGAAATCCGTATTTGCAGGCAAATAAGCCATTTTAGAGGTCAAATTCAGGCCAAATTGAGGGTCAGGTTAATTGGCATATTTGTAAATATTTCCCATTGGTTGAGCCATTTTTGGGCCCAATTTTCCGGGTTTTCCTGGCACCAGGGCAGTCCCTGACCAAGGCCAACCCTGCATTTTCTAGTCCCGGGAAAATCCTCGAATGCCCTGAATTCGAGTGCCGCCGTGCCGCTGCAATGCAACTATCGCCAACCGCTGTAAATAAACTGTCGAATCCTATCTTCCTGCAGCGATTTCCCTGCTTCCTTGGCTCCCGAGTCCTCGACAACATGCCTGCCTCCACCGTTGATGTCACGACCCTCTCGACAAGCCTCCCTACCGCCGAAAATCGTCCTCCTTCCCTTCGTCCGAAGCAATCACGAGTAGCTAGACAGTTCGATGCGCTCCTTGAAGAGGGAGTAGATCTCAAAGATCTAGCAGGAATTGAAGTCAAGGATTGGCCGAGGATAAAAATATCAAGAGGGTCCTTCATACCGGAAAAGTGGGCAGGAAAAACACCAAAAAGGACATCGTGGATTCGTGATCACGGCTACTAGGTCGCCCAAGTCATCAACAACGCCGTCATCGAGTGAGAATACTACTGGGCATACCACTATTGCGAGAAGCTGTTCAAGGCAGAGTCAACAAGCTCGGCGACTATACATTTGGAAAAAGACCACAAATTATACCTATCCAATTCCCAGTCTGGTATTGAGAGGCCAGGAAAAAGGCAACGTACGCTTGAAGTGGTCAATACGAAGCGCGCGAGGCATGTTTTACTACCTCACAAGCTCTCTATAGAAGAGAAGCTCATCGATCTAGTCGTCGGCTCGAACCTGCCTTTCAGCATCGTTGAGCATAAGGGATTTCGTGATTTTTGCATGAACCTGAATGCCGAGAAGACAGCCGCCCTGATTCCTTCCTCGCACAACACCATACGAGAGCATATTCGAAAGAGGTTTGAGGCTGAACAACAGGCCCTACGTGAGAGGTTAGCCGCATCGCCATACAAGAAGCATCTCTCATTCGATATTTGGACTTCCAACGCGACAGTTTCCTACCTAGCGGTCTTCGTGCATTACACCGATGTTAACAGCGCCGTACAACAAGACCTGCTTGGAATGCCGCACCTTCGAGGCTCTCACAGCGGCGAGAACCAGGCTCTCTACATCTCTCGGCTAGTCAACGACTACGGCTTCGCTAATAACGTTGGTTATTTTCAGTGTGACAACGTGGATTCGAACGACTGGGCAGTAAAATTTACCTTGGAGTCGTTAATTCCTGGCCTTGGCCGGTTTTCCCGGGATTCCTTAGCCACAAAGCGTCGTGTACGTTGCTTCGGCCACATCCTCAACCTAGCAGCGCAGGCCTTCATTCTCGGCAAGTCGACTGGCCTCGAAAGAACCTTTGACGATGACTTCATCGGCCAGTTACCGCCCGAGCAGGAAGAAGCGTTGTTGAAGATGTGGCGAAAGAGAGGGCCGGTTTGAAAGCTTCATAATGTCGTCCACTTTATTCGGAGGTCACCACAACGCCGGGATTCCTTCCTACAGGTCGCGCGCAATCAGCTCGGCGATGAAGATGCACAGGAATTCGGCACGGTTATATTTGACAGGTCAGTCGAAGGTTTACAGCTTTGTGGTGATAATTCCACGGGTTGGAATTCTGTTTTCTTCATGATCGAACGCGCGGTGCAATTACAGAGCCAAGTAGATTACTGGTGCCATAAAAATCAGAGCGAGAAGGACCCTCGGAAGCGTATGCCCGCCGCCGACCTGCTACAACCGAGTGACTGGCACCTACTTTCCCTTGTTTTGTCTATTCTTGAACCTTTCAAGAAGATTACAAAGTGGTTTGAAGGGCGCGCGGCTACCTTTCCTGAAGTCCTCGCTACACAGGAGTGGCTAATCGATCTGCTTGAGGATCGCCTTCGAACCCTACACCCGAACCTTGAAGCCATTACCGATTTTACCGGCGGCCCAGTACACACCCACCCAGAGATCACGGTCGCAAGCCAACAGCCTCTATCATTCGGCATAGACAACGACGATGACAACGGCGTGTTGTTTACTAGGGAAGCATCACAACGGTCGCAGCGTAACCGTCGTCTTCTTGCCCGGTTCGACGACTCGGTCATCGACCTACCCCGGCGCCTGCCGACCGGCCAGATCAGGCCGCCCTCCCTCGACCTTGTTGCCGACCTACCAAACAACCCTCCACCCTCCCCGCCGCCCTCAACACCTGATCTTGACGACGATCATCTATCCTTTCTTCGAACAAGCATTGGCCTAGCTATTCAGAAGCTCAGAGAATACGTTGGATTGATGGAGGAGAGCCCAGCATACTGGTCGGCCATGATACTACACCCAGGGCATAGGGAGAAGTGGGTAACCCAGTTCCTGGGCGGTGGGCGGGCCGAAGAAGCGATGAGGGCATTCCGGGGTCTCTACCAGGCCGAGTACGCCGTCATCCCTCTCCCGGTGCCGGTTCGTACGCCTCACGAAGGTCGAGGGAGTCATCTTATTACTCACGACTACCATAATGACCCTGATGACCCCAACCAGAAGGATGAACTAGCTGAATACCTTCACGAAAGCGTCAGGCGGGTGGATAATATACTGGCTTGGTGGAAGGAAAGAAGAGAGCGTTGGCCCCGGTTGTCAAAGATGGCTTTTGACTTGTTGTCAATACCGTCTATGTCAACAGAGTGCGAGAGGGCATTCAGCCAGGGAAAACCGGTCCTTGGCACACAGAGACATAGTATGGTCGACGAAGCCCTGAATTACCTCATGTGTACGAAGAATTGGGCAAGTAAATGAGGATCCTGAAGGTCAAGGGCTTTTTTCCGGTCTCAAAGTGCCATTCAGGGCTCGATTTCCTTGTTTTTTGGTGGAGCGGCAAATTCCGTCAATTAAGTCAAATAAAACCCACCCAATCAGAGAGAGCCTCTTACACAGATAAATACACCATTTTGGGCCTCAAATACAGTCAAATAAGGCTTCATATTTGGCCTGATTGAATTGATGCCAGCGCTGGGCTTCGTTTCCGCTGCTTACTACAGACGTCACCGTCGAAGGAGTCTACCGGGGCTTCTCGACAGTCGTCTTGGTGTCGCTGCCGGTAGCGGCGTGGGATCTCTTGCCGGACATACCGGGTTGCAATTTTGTCTGCTTTACATGCAGCGGTCTGCTTGACATGCAGCGGGAATCTGGCTTCTCTGTCTGAACATGACCCGTCTCTCTTAACCCGTAAGGAAGAGTCGAATACTGCTTCGATAAAATCTTAGTTAGATGACATTTTACAGCAACAAAGACTACTACACTTGTCGACCGAAGCTAACCTGAGCAAGTCTCATCTCCTATATTTCCTTATGGAGCAGATGAGTAAGTGCCAAGTCGCCCGAATTTAGTTCGACTACTTCATGCTCTGACTCCTAACAAGCAAATATATTGTACAGGCCTCAACACTACTAGTGGTCCTGCAGTCGGGCCCGCCGAAGAATACGCTCATCGTCCTGGTTATATGGCCGAAGACCTGCTAATGATTGTCGACGTCAGCCACCTTCATAGCAAAAGGGACGCCACTTACGTTTTGAACAACGGGCCTTCTATGTTTTCGCCTGAAGAAATGGAGCAGGTAGCCTCTAGGTCCATGGTCCCCTGAGTACTTGAGCTTCTGAGAAACGGTAGATCGGAAATCGTCAGCATTGACGGACACTTCGACCCAGCCCAGTTTGAAAATGCCAGCCCGCTCTCATACATATGCGCATTACTCTCGGATCTATTTCAGCAAGGCCGAATCCAAACCCCCACCAAAGGCTACCAAACGGGGTCCCGGGACTTGCCCTCGGCCGTCGTCCTAGAATACTACTGCGGGATGCATTCGGGAGAGGACGGCAGCCTATGTGGTCCCCAGGGCCTTGTTCGCTATCTGATCACACAGATGATCCTGTCTCTCGTGGTGGATCTCCGGATTGTCGAAGCCGAGCTGATAGTGCTGCCAGGCCTGTTCGAGGGCGACGAGGAGCGGGTGACGCAGGGGGACCTGGAAGCAAGCAATCTGCCGCCCGTTCAAGGAAATGTTCCATCTGGTTCCGCAAGGAACAACTGTCTATTGTATTGTCGACAACTGGTCCACGTATGAGAGATCGGGCGTGTGGGAACACGGCTACGGTGCAGTGCTGGACACCCTCCACTACGCTGTCAACGCCCCAGCCAGTCTTGCCAACATCATACTCATATCCACCAGTCCCACCTTCAGTAGCTGGCCGGCTAACTTGGGTAGCGTGGAGACAGCCCTGACAAGCTCAAACTGGCTGTGGTGGTTTTCGTCACGGGTATATGTTGCAGATAAGACCGACCGACGGAGCGATGGTTGTTCGGCTTTGTGAGGTATGACAGTCTGGACTAGCAAGAGTCCAAGAGTTGAGTTGCCGGCTTCTGAAATAACCCGGGTGACTCGTTGAGAGTCGAGACGGGTTTCTAGATATGGTAGTCAATGTTTCATTTTCATGTCGTTGGTGGCCTGCGACTTGACCTAAGCGAGCAGGATGGAAAGAAGAACGAAGGCGGGAATCTGAGGGCTCGGGCTGCGTGACCTGTCTTGATTGGTGGTGGAGCACGACAGACATTGACAACGCTTCGCACAGCCTCAATGCTACCAAGACGCCTCGTCTCTTCGACACATCGAACACTTTTGAAAGCTGGCCCGTATCACAGCAGAACCGCACAACTAACTCCCGAACACATCGCTCCTCGCAATCTGATTGTGCAAAGTACGGAGCACTGAAAGTCTCCGCGTCCAATCCGCTCCCGCACACGACAGACAATGGACGAGGCGGCGGATAGCCCGGCGCAAACCATTCCCGAGAGAGATAGCTATGCGTACTCGCCGCTGCCAGACCCCGACTCGTTCCGCACCGTCGAGGTCCTGCCCGGCGCCGGCGCCGACCCGGTGGTATGCAACCTGCGTGTGCACAGCACCAGCCCCGACGACAACGACAACAACGGAGCACCATGGCCCGAGTACGAGGCGCTGTCGTACGTGTGGGGCGACCCGGCGCCGAGCCAGCGCATCCGCATCCGCGACGCCGACGCCGACGGCGACTGCGACGAGACGATGGCCGTGACGGCCAACCTGCACGCGGCGCTGCGGCGGCTGCGCCAGCCTGACCAACCACGCACGCTCTGGGCCGACGGCATCTGCATCAACCAGGCCGACGCGGGCGAAAAGAGCCACCAGGTGCGGCAGATGGGCGCCTTTTACTCTCGCGCGCGCCGCGTAGTTGTGTTCCTGGGCGGCGAGGCCGACGGGAGCGCGCTGGTCCCGGGGCTGGTCGACCACATCCACGCCGCGCTGCAGCAGCACGACGACGGCAGCGGCATACCGCTGGCGCAGCGCATCCAGCCGCACACGTACCCGCTGGCGCCGGCGCCGGCGGCGATGCCGGAGCCGCACGACCCGGCGTGGCGCGCGCTGTCGGCGCTGTTCCTGCGGCCGTGGTGGTCGCGCACGTGGGTGATCCAGGAGGTGGTGCGGGGGGCGGTGGTTGAGCTGGTGTGCGGCGGCTGGGCGCTGGACTGGGAGCGCTTTGCCGAGGCGAACCGGGCGGTGCAGCACATGGTCCGGCCGACGGGCGACGGCGGCGACGACGACGACGGCGACCACCACCACCGCCGCCTGCACGTGCTCAAGCTCGCCGAGAAGAACTTTGTCAACATGGTCGTGCTGCGGCAGAGCCTGGTGCGCGAGCCTGCTGCAGGAGTGCGCAAGCTGGCGGACGGGACACGACGGGCAGCGAGGGCGCGCGTCCGCCACCGCCCGACGTGGCAGCTGATCGACCTACTGGAGCGGTGCCGGCACGCGCAGGCCACCGACCCGCGAGACTACGTGTACGCGCTGCTGGGGCTGTCGGTCGACGAGGCCGAGGGCCAGCTGCAGCGCACCGGCACCGCGGTTCCCGACTACACGGAGCCGGCGACGCAGACTTTTGTGCGCTACGCCGAGCACACGGTGATGATGGGCGGCGCCATCAAGCTGCTGTACAGCGCAGCAGCCAACATCGGCATCCGTGGCGGCGGCGGCGGTGTGCCGTCGTGGGTCCCGGATTGGTCCGTCCGTGGCGGACCGCTGCATGTGCTGTCGCCGCGTGATGACGGCGGCGTAAACAAGTACTACGCGGCAGGAAGCCTGGGCGCGTTGCCGGCACGGGTGCGTGTGAGTCCCGCCACCGGCTGGCTCGAGGTCGGGGGTGTCGTGGCTGGGCGCGTGGCACGCCTTGGCGCGGCGGCGGCCGAGCCCGGGCCCGCCGACCCGGCTCGGTTCAAGTCCGTGTACCACCGCGACCTGGACGCGGTGGCGCGGGGGGCCATGCAGCTCGAGGAGTTCCTCGCCTCAGACATGCGGACCAGCCCCCCGCACCTCGAGTACGTCTGGCGCACGCTCTGCTGCGATGTCGACCTGCACACGGGCGAAGACATACTGCGTGCCGCCCGGGGGGTGCCGGTTAACGAGGGTGGTAGGAGCGCCATGATTGATGGCTTTGATGCCGTGCGGCAGATCTGGCCGGCCTGGCGGGCTGTTTTTGGGAGTGGCGACGACGGCCCTTTGGACGGTTTAGATCAAGAAGACGAGGCGATCCTGGTGGAGCATATCGGACTGCTGCAGGGGCGGACGTCCGACTACCTGATGGCGACGGCGCCTCTGTGCCTTGGTCGGCGTGTGGCCGTGCTGGACGACGGCCGCCTGGCCCAGGTCCCGCCCGCCTCTGAGCCCGGCGACGTCGTGTTCGTGCCCTTCGGCTCAGCCGTCCCATTTGCGCTCCGCCCGTTCGGTCAGGATAGAGGCGGCAGGCCGCCATTCCGCCTCCTCGGCGAGTGCTATGTCCACAGCGTCATGAGAGGGGAGCTGCTGATCGAGGGGCGGAAGGCCGAAGACGTTGTCCTGGCTTGAAGGCTTGAATGCTTGGAATTGAAACGATACAACTTTTAGTACGGGTATATTGTTTGAATTGGCTTGAAATATTTCCCGTGCCTACCTGACCTACCTTTCATAGGACGCCGTTGAATACCTAATACCTCCCCCTACCTGGTATCATGTGTGTGTGGATGCGCAAAGCAGTTACTCATAACCCGAGTCGCTTGCCGAGAGCCATTGAAAGTTTCAAGCACACTCAACTCGACTTAAAGTATCAATAGGATATCCCCACCTGGCCTTCAATACGTAACCTCAGCTTTGCATTGAGCAGCCCGTGATAGCTCATGAAAGGCCATCAAGGTTAGCTATGAGCTGGAGCATTCGCTCCGCGGCAGCAGAGCCGAGACATAGGTGTGAGACAGGAGCCAATAACAGGTTCTGTCATCTGGAGCTCGTCCGCCGTTAGCCAAGGATCAACGTTTTCACGGCATCAGCGGACTGCCGGTCTCAAGGGATAAGTGCACGCCTGTGCTGTGCTGGGGTAGCCTACAGCCACTCAGCCTACAGCAGTATATAATACAGCCTACAGCAGTATATAATAAGTTGACTAGACTCCTAGGCACACAGATATCTGTTTTGTCTAGCTAGCACAGCGGCACCTATTACATGTGCTAGGCATGAGCTGTGCCCCTTGGGTCGTGATGACGTGGTGAGATCAGTTTGTAGTCCCGGATTCCCGGTTGGGTTGCTTGTGCGGCGCAATCTACGTGTAGCCAATCACGGGACGCGTAGCAATTGGAATCGGGAACCGACAGACGCGGGATGCAGCGGCACTCGTGTCTGCTGTGCCGTGCACTGTGACAGCTCATCTGGCCTCGAATAAATGAGCCCCAGAATTCGATTGCAGCGAGTATGCAAAGGTGGGATTCGAGATTCCACGGAAAGAATGCAACGTCGAAGTGGATGATGGGATCGACATACGGAAGCAGCCAAGATGGGCAACCGGAACACGGAGATAACAAGGCGAATCACCGCAACGAATAATCCTGGACCATAAGGACACTGCCACTTCCCCGCAAGATCCGGCTAAGAGTCCGGGGTTGCCTGGATGCCGCTGTACGCGGTGTTCTCGGTCCCCACCTCGGGACAGTCAAGGGCGCGGCCTTTTACGATGACGCAGAGACTCCCACGCGGCGACGCAGTTTTATATTGCCGCACTGGCAGTTCCCGTTTGAGAAAGTGCTCAGCTGACCAGTTTCCCAGAGCGATCATGCCTGCGAGGGCGGAATTGCCCAATGGCGGTTGCGAGCCGGCGTTGGAGACTGGAACGCGTCCTTTCGGGGATAGGCGGTCTGCAAATGCCGGCTGCCAGGGACCGCCTCGCCCAATCAGCCGGACGCGTTACGAAACGGGCATGACCAGGGAAGGGTGTGCTGCGTGTGGCGACGAGAATTTTGATGTGGGTTGCGTGCCGACAGATCTCTACTTTCGTGCTCCTTTGACATGGGAAACACGGCGAAGCATAACCAAATGCGAACACTGCGATTCATGTTGCGTAGTATGGTGATAGCCTGAACAAGCTAGCGACTGGCAAGCTGAGGCGACTGATCCAACACAACTCCACCAGTATCGCCAGTGCATCGCCAGTGCATCCATCGCCAGTGCATCGCCAGTGCATCCATCGCCAGTGCACCGGAGCAATTGGCGTGCCTCGATGGTCACCTGCTAACCGGGGCTAGCGAGCGGTGAGCGACTGTGGGGGGCCGGCGCCAACTGGGTGCTGATACGCAAGCTGGGCAGCGAGAGCCGTGCTAGCTGTGCCAACTGCAGCGCAGCACAATCAGCACAAAACGGAACAAACAGTGCATGTCGGTGCATAAGTAGTGTGACCGCGTCCGAAGAAGGGCTGGCTCAGTCTCCGAGACCCCCGCGTGGGTTACTCCGCGTTCGCTCGTGGGTCTCTCGGAGCCAGAGTCAGAGCCAGAGAGAAACTGCAGTCGAGGCAAGAAATGGGGAGACGAGATCATCGCAACACGAGCGGCAGGACTGAGGCGACTAAATATCATCCGCGTCTAGCCAGGGCTTGACCCACAGGCGGTAGAGATTGCGGCCATGTGCTCGCAGCGGGCCTCGACAGTGGGCTGGCAGCTCCTTGCTCGCAGCTCCTTGCTCGGGTGCTTCATCTCGGGCCAATATGTGGCTGGCGTTGTGGGTGCCGCTGATGGCGGCTTCGTAACTGTGGTAATTACGGGTCGGAGGGCTGAGTCCCTCGGCTCTCGAGAACTCGTCTCCCATCGAAAGTGGCAAACCACGCCGCCCACTCAAACTCCCCCTAAAATGCAATTCGGCGGGCCACAAACATCAGGCCGGGCTGAACGGCCTCGTAACAGCGTGGGCAGTGTCTGACATTTCCATTTCGTAAGGGAGTGACCGCTGAGGCTTAAGGGGATCCCGCGCCCGGACCGTCACTTGACCGAAAAGGCCACCTGGAGCGTGGCTGAATGTTGTTGCCCTGGCGTGAGGAGAGGCTCCGGCGCCAAGGGCAGGAGGACCCTGGGCTAACAACGGCGTGACCATTTTGGGAATCCATGGACGGGTCTGCACAAAGAAGCTCTCGACTCTGCGAAGCATCTTGCCGCCAGGCCAGAGATAGCAAATCTCGAGAAAGATAAGGTACGGAAGCCGACTTTGTGCACGCTTCGGATCTGCAACACACCCGCACTGCGCGGGCTTGAGAATTCAGGCAGTGTGATGATGATGTCAGTCAGGAGCAAATTGTCAAATGCACCCGGGCGCTGGGCTGCTCTATCCGACGCTCCCTCACTGGCAGTCAGGGCACAGCGGAGCCTTCGCGCCCACAGCATATCAGCACCCGACAAGAAGAGGCAAGCGCGGCCAACCCCCGCTTCAACCCTGCACGCAGGGTGACCAGAAAATCGTTGAGGGATTGTAGCGGCACAGTGCGGGGCTGACGGCTGAACAGTACGGCCCCAGAACCCGGTGCTCGTGTCTCCTCCTCGCCTCTCAATTCACAGCGAGCCCAAGTCACGCGGCCACAGGCTAAGCCGTGTTCGCCAATCCGCACGGTGCCGAGTACATACGCAGCCCACCCCTCCATCCCACGCCCACTTTCTGCCAGGCCCATGCCACTGCGTGGTGGGTTGGCCGCTGTTCGGCCCACGGACTTGGCTGCTAGTGATGCTGCAATAATAACCTACACGCCGTGCCACAGTATCCCCGACCCCCATCGCCCCTTTCCTCCCAGCCTCGACCGACGTACAAAAGTATCTCGAACTCTGCCGGTGCTGGTGCAGTGCTGGGCAGCCGCTTCATTTCTGCATGCCAGAGCGAGACATTCCAGAAGGTGGTTGCCCAGCTTGCCAGACCTAGCACTCGCTCAGCGTCCGTTCAGACAGCGTCACCAAGCCGACGCTCGGCCCCGACTGCCTGCTACTGTCGCAACCTACTACACCCACACACGACTTGAACTTGGAAGCCTCGCCGCTACTACGCCGTCCCGGTCCGCACTGCATGGTTGACGCCCCAATCGACAACTTGAAATGAGTAATTCGCGAGAGAGGCCTCGAGAGCGGCCCCGCCCGCGCTTTGCTCCCATACCCATTGAGACCACCTTCGAACGCTACCGCAAGACAGTCCCCCCCGGCGAGCTCACGCCCAGTCCCTCGCCGCGTTCCGCCTCGCCGCGGTCGCCCCGCGTGAAACGACGGTTTGCACCGCAGCTGGTCGAGTCGTCGGTCCGGAGATCTCGCCGAGCAGGAGACGAGGGGCCCGCCACCAGGCCGACGGACAAGACAGATATCACACCCTACACTAACCACATATACGCCCCAAAACCACGCAGGCGTCCCAGCCACGAGCCGAGCCATGATGTCGTGCCGGTCACGCCTTCGAGGCAGAAGGGCCACGCCCGGCGGGAGTCGTGCGATGACGAGATTGCAGGCGGCGTCTTCGACCTGGTGGCTCGCGATGCCCAGAGGAAGCTGCAGGAGGTGGCCATGAGCGCCTTCCCCAACAGCGGGCAGCGCATCGGGGGTGCCGAGCATTTCTACGTACGGGAGGGGTCCGACGATGACAGCCCCCGGGGGCGGACTACGGTCCGAGGCCCGTGGGCTCACCTGCAGTCGCGGCGGAACTCGTCCCAGGAAGACATCAGCTGGGCGTTCAAGGAGATGCAGGAGCATGCCCATCTGGTGAGCCGGGAAATGGAACGCATGTCCACGATGGATCTCGATAACATGAGCATGGACAGCCCGCCGTGCGACGCCATGGGCCTGACGAGAGGCCCCAGGGCGTCCATGTCCAGTTCTCCCATGTGGTCCTCGAGGATGTCGTCGGGCTCGCTGGTCCCGATCGGGGAGACGCACATGCCGCTGCTTCGTGCCGAGTCCCCCCTCGCCACGATCGGCGAGGCCGCCATGCCGTACCTGCCTCCCGAGTCTCCGCTGATGCGTCCCATCGGCGAGTCGTACATGCCCTACATCCCCTCGGCTCCGCCGGGCAAGTCGGCAAACATGCCATATGTCCCGGCCTCGCAGATACCGGCCGAGACCAACTTCCAGACCTACTCGTCGCCCTTTTACTCGTACGGCCAGGAGAGAGATCTGTCCCTGGAGCGGGCGCGCAACCAGCACCGCATGCGGATCAAGACCTCTCCGCCCATGCTGGGCGACGACCTGACGTTCCGCATGTGTCCGTCGCCTAAGATGACGAAGCTGGAGCCGGACCATCTGTGGGATCTGGAAAAGGGCCAGACGGCAGAGCAGCAGAACCGCGATCCTAGCGAACAGCGCGGTCTGTGGCGCGGGTATTGCTTCACAAACGACCAGACGGAAAAGCTCGCCCGCGTAGATCGACCGGCAATGCTGCACACGCCGCTGCCTCTCCGGTTAGCAGAGGACCCGTTTTCTCAGGCGTTTGGGGCCACCGCTCCCGTCGACCAGAGCGAGCAGACGTCACCCACCGGTAGCGCGACGCGGGCCGGCACCGTTCCGCTGCCTGGCAAGAACGACAACGGACCGCAACACATGCTGCGCCCAGGGCACCGGACACGCACGCAGGAGCCCAAGGGACTGCACATGCTGCAGGGGCTGCAGAACCTGGACGAGCGGCTGCGAAAGGAGAAGGCGGCGGCAGAGCTTGAGGAGAAGATTGCGGCCGAGTTTGACGACAAGTTCGTGACGCAGGTGTACAACTACCTGTCGCTGGGGTACCCGGCGCTCGCGCGGCAGTACGACGAGGAGCTGAGCAAGATCAACCGGATCAGCGTCGAAGAGCTCGAGCAGGACGACGACGCCATCATGGACCACCTGTGGGGCGGGGACGACAACCACGAAGTCTACGGCACCCGGTCGAACCCCGCCATCGCCACCAGCCCCGGCGGCAAGAAGACGCAGCCCACGGGGCACATCATGCTAGATAGCGAAGAGAAGGATGGCATCCGTGAGGAGGACCGCTGTCCGCGGTGGAAGGCGCTGAAACTGTACATCTACGAGTGGGCGCGGCAGCACCCCGATCTCAACGCCATCAGCCCGCTCGCGTGGGGTGTGCGAGAGCGGAGGGGGAGCTGGGGGATATAAGGGGCCGTCAGCATCGCGATGTTGGGTATCAGCACATATGCTTGCCCGCGTTCGCTGTATTTCTTTTGCGCATTATCGTCTGATTGGAATCACATTGGACGACAGTTTCGGGCGACAGTTCCTAACTCTTTTTATTCGTTTTCACTTTCGGCAAGAGCTATTATTTTGAGCTACTGACGACTTTACGACCTTTCCCGTTCTATTTTCCTCTTTGGAGACGGCGGAACTGGTACATATTATTTCCACGCCACGAGACGAGCTCTGGCCTGATTTTGACTCGGTGTGTTTCACTTTGCTTGGGCTTGGTTTTCACAGCACAGGGGCGCGGGAGAAGCTCCAGATGTGTTTGTCGAGCTAGAGAAAAGGTGAAGAGAAAAGGTTCTAGAAGAGGCACGCGGAGGGCTGTTGATAGAACTGGGACAGGACGCGGCGGCGGCAGGCGCGTGTAGGGGTATGGTGTAGACACTTTCTTAGCACCTGGCTAGTGCTCGTATTCTACTAAACAGGGTGTCCCGCGTGTACGAGTTGAGAGACGGACAGCGAAAGCACTGGGTTGGTACGACACAGCATGGCGTGGGCATAGCATGGGCCGTGGCGATACCCGCGTGGGTGAGGGTGGGGGGTGTGTACTGACTGAGTGTACTGACTGAGGGAATATCAGTTGACATGTCCATAGGTGCCCAAGAAGGGGTGAAGCTCTTGTAAGGCGAGAGTTTTGGATACTGGCGAGTGATAATGCATCTTAGCATGCGATGTGCGTCGAGAAGTGGCTTCCATCTTATAGTATTGCATGATAGCGCGCGTTCATTAGATTGACATTTCTGTGCTGATATGTATGTGTATGTGATGTGATGTGAAGGTGTTGCAGTGCTGTAGATTCGCCATTGTTCAAAGGGGTGGCTGTTGTCTCTCTCGTTGAGTGACAAAGGAGCTTCGCAGGGTAGCTCACTCGTGGTTGGCATGTGCACTGATGCTCTGTCTGCGAACGGCAAACAGACAGCAGGTTTCTGATTGTTGCTCGCTTATTGCCCATAGTTTCTTGCACTTTGAAACGGCATCACTTCCACTTGCTCCAAGCCCGTTGCAACTTGCAAGCCAATTCAAGGTCGAACCGCCGTTGCACCAGCTCCTCAGCCCTACGGAAAGCACGGCTGAAGCGCACCGTGTGAATACCACTAAACCTAGCGCCTGATCTGATCCGCGCACGGTGCGCTTTCGCTCCATGCTCTCTCCAGTCTGGGGGCAGGCAGCCCGACTCGCAGCGGCCGACGCGGGCGTCGCATTTCCCGAAAACCGCATCCCGTCAAAGCCAGATCGCCCAGCCCGAGCAAATGACCGGAATAATACACGAGACTATATGGAGCAATCCCCTCTCACCCACCAGCCTCGCCCCGAGGTCTTCCAGCAGAAGATAGTCCAGCTGTACGAGGCGCTTTTCAAGGTTTGCCCGCCCGCCCGTCCACCGCCCGCCAGCCCTTCGCTTGCCCCTTTCTGCAAAGCCTTTATTTTTTAAGCCGTTGCCGTCCGCTTCCGTGCCTCTGGCGCGGAATTCCTGTCGCATTTCCTCTGCGCATTTGCATTGCAGTTCCTAGTGTGCGCTGCTGTTGCTGTCGGAAGCTGTGCGAACAAACGCTGACGTGTCTGAACCTGACAAAAGGTAGGCATACTCTCGGTTCGACAACACTTCAAACCCTACGATCACAGACGGACTAGATTGCGGGCTAGCTGAGTAACGTTGCAAAAGAAGGAGAACAAAACCAACATGAATGGCACTGATTTCCCCCTGCCCCCGATAGGACGACCGCGACGATGGCGAGAAACCCGAGGGCTTCTGGCGCGAGTTCTTCCTGCTCCGCCCCGACCGGGCCTCGCTCCGGCGCATCCTCGACGACATAGGTCCGAACGACCTGCTCCACTACGAGCTGCAGACAGGGCAGCTCTTTGCGCGCGCCGTGGCGGCGCTGAAGAGCGGGCACGGCGTGGCGGATCTGCACGCGCTCGATGTAATTCCCTCTTGCTGCCTGCTTGCGCCGGAAGCGCTGGTCTGGGTGCTGATTGGCGATCCAGACACTGAGCATCTTCATGACGGCCGTGCTGGCCAAGAAGTACACCAACCCGAGCTCCGACATCATCGAGGTGCTGGCCGGCCTCGACCACGTCGACAGCGTGTTTACCGAGTTTGTCGGCGCGCTAGACTCGATCATTAGGAATGGCCGGACCTGTATGCACCCACACCACCCCGTCACTGGCAGCCCAACTGACACTCGCAGTGGAATTACGGCTCAAGGCGGTCGAGGTCGCCCTCTCGGTCACGTCCGGCGCATACCAGACCAGCTTGCTTACCTACTTTATTCAGCGGGACCTGTTCCCGTCCATCATGAAGGTGAGCCAGGAAGCCAACCGTGGAGGCACTGGTGGAGGCACCCAGGAAGAGACTGACAGGCTCAGTTGATACAAGACATCGACAACCCAGCTGCGATGGCGGCGCCGTTCACGCTGGTCGGGCTCCTAGCCAACTACAACAAGTTCGAGTTCCAGAATCCGTACCAGATGCGGCTGAACGATTTCGTCAACGAGGGCGTCATTAAGAAGATCATCAAAAGCGTCGGCTACACGTGCCAGACGATACGGGCTCACTACGTGGAAGTACAGGACGACCTGCCAGAGGGATGGACGCTAGCAAGCACGCTGAATCTGATTGGGCTGGGCGCCATTGCCCCTGGGGGAAAGGCGCCGCCGAAGCCGGCCTACGACGCCGAGACGGCCAAGAAGATGTTTGCCGAACTGTAAGTAAGCCTGTCAATCGTGCAAGCGCCTGCTGACCCCTAAAGGCCGGTCGAAGAGGCTGCGATTCTCCTCGCGACGTACGACTTCACGCACGCCAACAAGCTCTTTTGCTTCAACTTTGTCACGCTGCCGCCGGAAAAGGGCGAGGAGCAGCCGTTCGCAACCTTCATCTCGCTCACCTCGTACCTGCTCCAGCACGCGCACCTCTCGCAGCGCACCACGCTCTACTCGCATCTCAACCTCATGGTGTTCCGGCTGCTCGTCGAAGACCCCGTGCTGTGCAAGCGGATATGCAGCGACGAGAGCAAGGCGGCGGTGCGCCTCTGCCGGCAGCGGTCGCCGTACCTCCCGCTGGTGCGTGGCGAGCGCGTCATGGCCACGGCGGTCATGGACACGATGATCGACGCCATCAACCACAACCTGCGGCGGCGGCTCGACGTGGGGCTGTACACGCTCTGCGTGGGCATCTTGCTGCGCATCATCAGCTACCTGTCGCGGTCGCGCACGCGGCTGCAGTACCACTGGGCCGACCTGTTCCGGTCGCTGCTGGCGCTGGTGCGCTTTCTCACGACGTACGCAGGCGACCTGCGCGGGCTGCCGCAGATCGACGTGCTGCTCGACCACGTCGTCAACCTGCTCGCGCTCGGGCTGTCGGCCGGCGAGGCCTTCCTGCCTACGCCGGCCGCCTACGACGACCTCTTCTACAAGGTGGTCGAGTCGGGCGAGGTGCTGGTCAAGTTCCGCGACACGTACCGCCTGGTGCATCGGCCCAGCAACTCCATATCGACGCTGGTGAACGTCAGCACGCACTACAAGGAGATGCTGGCGGAGAGCGAGGGCGGCGTGGCCAAGCCCATCGCGGGGAAGCGCTCGGGGTCGCAGCTGACCAGCCTCCAGGTCGCCGAGGTCATCAAGCAGGGCTACGAGACGCTGAGCATCCAGACCAAGGAGGGCCTCGACAGCTGGGAGAACTACCGCGAGGCTGACGAGCGCACGCTGCTCAAGAAGATGGCCCGGGCGGCCGTGGCGGATGTGCGGATAATGGTGGCCGAGTACGCCTGGGTGAGGCTGGAGTGAGGCAAGGCTGGATGGAGTAAAGATGTTTGTTCTTCGGAAGGGCCCTGGAAGGAGACGTCGTGGTCTGCTTCTCTTTCACAGGGCAATAGATGATATCTCAGCCTTTGCGTGTTGGATGCGCGTCTTCCACGTATATAATTCTAGTCGTGATGGCCTGTCGCCTGTGTGGGAGCTTCGTTGTGGGTGTTTCGTTGCAATACGCACCGGGAGCTTCGATCTGAAATTGCGCAGTTGCAGGGGCATCCTGGCTCAGGCAATCCGAATGCAAAATTGGGATAGAAAAAGAGCAGGAAAAGAACCCGGAGTGGGAACCAGGCAGCCCAGGCAGTTTAAGTTTCTCAGTATAAATTGAAACCTAGCTTTTTCGTTGAACGGCGTTGCACCCCATGTTTGCGACCGGGCCGCCCGTCTGGTGTCGAGGCTCGAAAGGCCAAAGCGCCGATTCCTAATGTGCTGTCGCTGATTGGCCAGCGGAAACCGAGCGGCTCCCGAGGCTTGGCGTCATGTCATCGCTCGGCTGATCGAGCCAACGTTAGAAATCAAATTGCCGCTTTTTGCAATCGCCGACCGCAAGCAACCTCCAACCGCCCTCAGATCACCCCCCACAACGACCTTCAAAATGAGCGCACCGCGGATGCTCTCCAGGAGAGCCCTCCACGTGTGCCACTCGTGCCGCCGAAGCATACTGCAGTGGCGTGAGTTCTCGGCGACGCCCGCACCCTCCGCCGCCACCTTCCAGTCCTACTCGCTGCCCTCCCAGCCGCCGTCGCCACCGCGCAATTCCTCCGCGCTCGACACCTCGATCGCGCGCGCCACCCAGCAGCCGCCGTTCCCCCGAGTCTACGAGACACGGCCGCCCAGAAACCACCCGCCGACGCCGCTGACCAGCACGCCAGCGTCCCCGGTGTCAATCCCCGAGCGAGAAGCGCAGCAGCCGCGACCGAGCTTTGCGAGTCCAGCGCCAGCAGAGACAGATTCCGCTTCACAGAGCACACTTGCGGTAGCCACGCCGGTGGCACCAACTGCACCGGCAACCCCTGCAACAACATCTGCAGCCCCTACAGCTCAGGGGGCACTACCAGCCAAGCGCTCGCGGCTACGGACGCCGCGCCGGGCGGCCATGAAGCTAACGCCGGCGGCGGTCGACCACCTGCGCGCGCTGCTGGACCAGCCCGACCCCAAGCTGATCAAGGTGGGGGTGCGCAACCGCGGGTGCAGCGGGCTGGCGTACCACCTCGAGTTCGTCGACAAGGTGGGCTCGTTTGACGAGACGGTCGAGCAGGACGGCGTGCGCGTGCTCATCGACAGCAAGGCCCTGTTCAGCATCATCGGCAGCGAGATGGACTGGGTCGAGGACAAGCTGAGCCAGCGCTTTGTGTTTCGGAATCCGAACATCAGTGAGTTCATCTGCCTCCCTAAGTTACTTGACAGAAAGATAGGAAGCTAATCGCGTGTGCTTCAGAGGAGCAATGTGGCTGTGGCGAGTCGTTCATGGTATGACAGCGTGCGACTTGAGTTTGGCTGACGCAGCTGAGCGCCCAGCCCGGACGAGCCTAGACCAGGCTCTTGGCTCGTAGTTGTCTGGCGGCGGCTGCGCAGCATTGATCGTGGTGATGTAAACAAGGCATGCGAATGGCGTTTGGCTAGAAGTGCTCTGCAGGTGCATTGACTCTGTTTTTGTTTCGGAGCCCGTCTCCCTTTGCACATACATACCCGAAGTACCTACACCACACCACACTGTACATACTTAGAATAGAAGCCTGCATACCTAATTTCAGCAGAACGGAGTCACTGGGCCACCGTCGGCGAGCTTACGAGCGTAAGGTAGCGAAGAGAGGCCGTCTTTCGACTCCATTTTGCACCGAATGTTTCCGTTCCGAGGATTGGTGGGCCGGATTGACTACTCCAGGAAAGGTCCTCCGAGCGTAGCGAGCAGCCCGCCGCAGGCGCCCTCGGACGGAATAAAGACAACCTTGCTGATAAGCTCAGCCGAAACTTGTTAATTTTCCTAAGCTCCGAACAGCCTAGAAGCCAAGAGTTAGTTAGGTTCGAGCTGCTCGCGAAATGGGTCAGCAAAGCGGCCCGGAAGCTACCCCACACTCAGCCTGCCGAACCGTGGTGGCGGGACAGGGCTAAAGCACGGGCCCCACGTATTACAGGGGCTACAGTGACGAACGCGTCCTAAAATCCAGCAATAAACGATCGCCCCTCAACGCGTCTCCTAAATCGACGAAGAAAACAGCAATTCGCACCCGACCTACGAAGCAACCATATGCACAACAAAGCAGTATCATCTAGCGGCGGGAAAGAAGTAGCGCCCGATCTGGGCTGCGGTGGTCATGCCCGTGGTAATTTGCCCCATCTGCGACCGGGAGGTCAAGCCGCTCGACATCAACGCCCACATCGACTCGGGCTGCGAGACGTACCTCCTCGAGAAGATCAGCATAAATGACGACGCCAGCGCCAGCTCCAGCGCAGGTGGGGGTGGGAGCGGGCGTACGTCGACTCCCCCCAGCCAGACACAACCGCCGAGCTCGACACAGAAGAAGCGCTCCGCCTCGACCTTCTTCCAGACCCCGGCCGCAAAGCGACAGGCACCCTCAATCCCCGCTACGACGAGCACGACGGGCTCGACACCTTTCCAGTCGAGCTCCAGCGCTGGAGCAGGACCCAACACCGTCAAGGCGGCCGCCGGAGTGAAGCGCAGCTTCGAGGAAGGGCCGGGACAGAGCTCACCCCCGGTAGCAAAAACAGAACCAACCGGGCACTTAGCGGCTGAGGTAAATGGCAATCCCACAGAAATAAAACCCAACGGTATCGCGGCCATGCCCCCCGGCGCGAAGCGGACCAAGACCAGCCGGTCGACGCCGCTAGCAGAGCGCATGCGCCCGACCTCGCTCGACGATGTGTGCGGCCAGGACCTCGTCGGCCCGAACGGCGTGCTGCGCTCGCTAATCGAGTCGGACCGCGTGCCGTCCATGATCCTGTGGGGCAGCTCGGGCACGGGCAAGACGACCATCGCCCGCTGCATCGCGCGGCGCGTCGGCAGCCGCTTCATCGAGCTGAACGCCACCAGCACCGGCGTAGCCGAGTGCAAGAAGCTCTTCGGCGAGGCCGCCAGCGAGCTGGCGCTGACCGGCCGCAAGACCATCATCTTCTGCGACGAGATCCACCGCTTCTCCAAGTCGCAGCAGGACGTCTTCCTCAAGCCCGTCGAGGCCGGCACCATCACGCTCATCGGCGCGACGACGGAAAACCCGAGCTTCAAGATCCAGTCGGCGCTGCTCAGCCGCTGCCGCACCTTTACCCTGCAGGTGCTGTCCCTCGAGGACGTACAGCGCATCCTACTGCGGGCCCTGCAGCAAGAAACGGACGGCGCGGCCGCGCCAAGCCCCCTCGTCGACGACGAGCTGCTGCACTACCTCGCGGCGTTTGCCGACGGGGACGCGCGAACGGCGCTGAACCTGCTCGAGCTCGCGCTGTCGCTCGCCAACAACCCCACGCCGCCGGCGGACAGCGACCACCCGCTGACCAAGGACGACATCAAGGCGGCGCTGACCAAGACGCTCGTGTACGACCGGGCGGGCGACCAGCACTACGACACCATCTCGGCGTTCCACAAGGCGGTGCGCGGGTCCGACGCGGACGCGGCGCTGTACTACCTGGCGCGCATGCTGCAGTCGGGCGAGGACCCGCTGTTCGTGGCGCGGCGCATGGTAGTGATCGCGTCCGAGGACGTCGGGCTGGCCGACAACACGCTGCTGCCGCTGGCCACGGCCGCGTACACGGCGACGCAGCAGATCGGCATGCCCGAGGCGCGCATCCCGCTAGCCCACTGCGCCGTCGCCCTGTGCCTCGCCCCCAAGAGCACCCGCTCCTACCGCGGCCTCAACAACGCCTACTCGGCCCTGCAGGAGCCCGGCGTCGCCGGCCTGCCCGTGCCCCTGCACCTCCGCAATGCCCCGACCCGCCTCATGCGCGACCTGGGCTATGGCGCAGAGTACAAGTACCCCCCCAACTACAAGGACGGGAAAGTCAGGCAGACGTACCTACCCGATGCCCTGCTCGATCGCCGCTTCCTCGAGGATAGGGACCTCGGGACCGAGATCGATCCGGACGCCAACATGGCGGATTAGGGGAATGGAATGTATTCTTAATTTTACGGCCCATGGTTTGCGGTTCATGTCTCTCCCAGACCACTGGGGTCGGGTTTATTGGTTGGTTTGTTAGATATAATAGGGGTTTGGGCTTGGTTTGGCGCCCTTTGCTCTTTGGAGGAGTCACCTAGGATACCGAGGCAGTCGATTTAGTAATAGAGGCGATTAAGAGTTTCTTGTACAAGACGTACGAGGTTCCTGTATACCTCTACAAGCTCTCTGATACGGAGTATCTACCCAAGATTTCTAGATCATTTCTGATTCCCTTTGTAAGTTCTCTAATCCCTAGTACATACCCGGGATGGTTAGGTACCTGCGTGAGCTATGCTGTGATGCCGGACCGGGTACGGGGGGCTGGCCGGGACGCACTGCCCCATAGAATTGGGAGTCCTCCACGAACAGCGGTTCGGGAGGTGCTTCGACACGGAACCGGGAATTCGCTGCGATCGGGGGATCGGGACAGGATATAACACGGAACCGGGGACGTACTGCGGCCCCGGGTATGAGGGGCCGGCCGGGACGTACTGCGGTATCGAGCCCGGAGTCCTCTACGAACAACGGTTCGGAGCGTGCTTCGACACGGAACCGGGGATCCGGATCTGCTGCGACCTCGGGGCCAGCGTCTGCTGCCGCGGCCCGGCAGCCGATAGAGGGACCTTCCTCTGGCACCTCGGCAGAACGACACAGGCCCCACAATAGCACATCCCCTAAAGGTAGTCTTCCAAGGCCAAACGCCAATAGAGGAGACGAGTGGTACGAGACTGAGCGTTATTGTATAGATGAGACCAAGAAAGGGTGGAGAAAAGGATAGTAATAGATAGGACTAGAGTTGGTAAGAAGATGCCCCTTTAGTAAGTTGGAATAGGGAGGAGCAGATACATGGATTTTGACACCGATTGTGAAACAAGCCGTTGGTGTGAAAAGGCCGAGTTCAAACGGACCAGGGCTCCCGCATGTGATCAATCATCAACTATAGCGTTCAATTTACTCTCTCGTCTTGTGAAGTACCTTTTCTTCCTGGAACTAGCTCCTCTGCCATCTCCAAGGACTGTACTCCCACTGCTCCGATTACAGCTCCATTCCGCATAGCTCTGACTAGGCCACCTTTAGAAACCTTCGGTAGGTGTCTAGAAAGCTTTTATTGATGTCTAGAAATCTTAAGTACGCCTTTTTAATGTCTAAAAGGAGGTTACTTAATTTATCTAACACACACCCAAAGCGGTGAACAGACGCTTTACAGTAGCTGAATAGAACACAACTGAATATCGAAAAAACAGAATCACTCAAACACGAACTCTGCTTGATGTGCATTATTCCACGGCCAGGATACCTTCTAAATAACATCAGAACAAACACTAGTACGCAGCAGACTCGTAAACGCTGCCGCTGGATTCCTTCCGCCGCCTCGCCTGGGCTACGTGGGCGCCCCAGTCCGAGTGATGCCCGCCTACTATAGCAATATCCTGCTGGAGCTCTACAGACTCGCTCAGCACATCCAGCTTCTCGATAGCCTCGACTACCTCTCGCGGCGGCTCGGTGCCAAACACGGCCTGGATGTCGCCATACGGGTTGAGGCCAAAGTGCCAGGTGCGGCTGCTCGACTTGGCCATGATGCCGCGCGCCCAGACACGGCGGCGCTCGTAGCACGCAATGATGAGCAGCAGGGGCGCGTTGACGGTGCGGATGATGGCCACGTTGACATAGTGGAAGGCGGCCGGCCCTAGAATGAACTTGAGCGGCAGCATGACGGCCAGCGCGATCATGTTGAAGGGCGGCGGGTACGCAAAGATGGAGTCACTCTTGACGCCCTGGAACGTGAGCACCGCGCGTCGAAACTCAATCTCGGCCGCCGAATTGTCCATGATCTTAGAGAAGGTGTTGGTCAGAATGGCTACCAGGATGGTCAAGAAGAGCGTGTTGCCCAGAAACGCAAACGTGACTGCCAGTGTCGGGCCGAGAACCGCGTGGAAGTCGGCCGTCCGCTCGATGCCCGTGCCGTCCAGACCAAACCAGATCCAGAAGAGCCACTTGCCAATCGTCACATATGTCGGGCTGTTGGCCTGCCACGAGGGCGTGCTGGTGTCAAAGTTGGTCCGCATCAGCCACACCAGCCCGAGGAGAAACCCGGTGAAGCACCAGATGGCGATAAAGGTAAGGCGCATAAAGTCGCGCATCATGGCGTGCATGGCGATGAACACGATGTTGTCGGGCATCAAGTTGAAGGCAATCCGTGTAAGGAGGACGGGCGCAGCTGTGCAGAGGATAGGCAGCGCTAGGTTGATGTCAAAGCCAAGCAGGAGCTCGATTGCGCGGGCCGCGCCGTACATGGCGTAAATAAAGATGAACGTGATGTCGAGGAAAGACCACAGGTTCTGGGCGTGCACTTCCCAGCCATGCTCGATAATGGCAGCAAACTGTTCAAGCACCCAGCCGGCTGTGAAAATGCTAAAGGCGGCCTCGTAGATCCCAAGCTTGCGGGTCCCGTGCGTGTTGCCGTTGCAGTGTATCATGGTGAGTGCATACAGCGTCAGCAACACGGCAAAGTGCCAGAGCTCGATCAGGTTCCGCAGCCGGGGCACGATTAGGCGGCGGTGGTTGAGGATGGAAGCGCGGCGCGGGTCGTAGAGCGACACAGGGTGGTGTTTGTAGTGGTCGGGAAGGATGTCGACCAACGACACAGGGGTATACACGACCAGGCCGCGGTAGACAGCGTCGACGACGCGCTGACAAGCCAGCGACGCGACAAGAATCTTGCTCTCGGACAAAATGGCAAGCTCGAGCGCCGTTAGCTTGCGCTCGCGGCCGCCGCGTTCCTGGGCCGGCCACTGCGGGGAACGGCCCCGGCGGCGGACCTCGTCTGGGGCGGCATCAAACGGGTCAAAGCCCGAGACAAGCACGTTGGCGAGCAGCAGCAGGCCTGGGCGTCGAGGGTGGTCTTCGTGAAACCGACGCAGAATGCGAGCGGCGACGAGCTCGCAGAGGGTGGCGCGCGCAATGTTGACCGTGTAGTGGAGGGCTTCGTCCGACTGGGAGCGGAGAAACTGGACGCGGTTGGCGAGGAGGCAGTAGACGGTGGAGAGGTCGTCGGGGTTGTAGAGTCGGTCGACAAGGGGGCGCACGAGGAGGGACGTCATGCGAGGCGTCCGCAGTTCACCGAGCGTATACGGGTCATCTGTCAAGAGTCAGCCGAGAGCAAGGCGGAAGACGGGCAGGCAGGGACGGGCACCATACCAATGGCCGCGATCATCAGACGCCGAATGCTATTGGTGTCAGCTGTGGCCTAGTCCCGACTCTCCCATCGCCCATACCGATGAATTGACACGTAGACTGGTATTGTTTCTTGGTCACTACTTCCAGTGCCCGTTACGCCTTCATGTTCATGTTCGCGTTCCTGCCCACGGCCCTGTCGGCGGCGTGGAAAGAGAGGTACGGTGGTGTCTGTTTGAGGGGAGCAGGGAGCCGACCCGGGCCCGTATTCGTCGAGGTCGATGTCAGGATCGTGGCCGCGGCGCGGCAGGCTGGGACTGCGAATGCGGCCTTGTACAGCCATTTCGGCGGTGGCTGCGTTGGTCGAGGTTCATTGCGGGTTGGAGATGTCGATGGGTTGGCGAAATCGTGCAGCCAACCGCCGAGCCTCCGACGCTGCAGTGGGGCGCGGCTTGGGGGCTAGGCACGTAATCCTGGGCCAGCTTGGCATTGTGCGTGCCAGGGCATCATCATTGGGGCGTGTGGTGTTAAGTTGCTGGCATCGACGACCAAGGAACGAGCACGGCAACGATGGCCGCCGACGTGGTGTTGCCTCTGCAGACTCGAAACTTGCCATCCCTCCCGTATCGATGCATCGCGCTTTCTAGACGGTAAGGCGGACGGCAGGGGTCCGCACACGAAGCCCTCTCGGGGAAGGGTTCTCGGAGAAAAGCTGGATAGTGCCAGGTCAATTGCTCGCCTCAAGTGATGGACTGATCCGTCTATTAGACTTGATCAGATGTCGTGACAGACGGAGGTTGTTGCACTGAATGCCATGTGCTCCCGACCTGGTGCCCCGCATTCTGCAGTCGTTCGGGCCATCCAGCGCTAACCCTATTCGGCGAGGACGGTACCAATACTGTACGCGTTGGTTGATGCATTCACTTTCTTTCACTGCTTTGAGCCAGTTCGACTTGATTCAATTCGATCTGGATTCTGAAGTTACATTTCCCACTCATCAGACTGAATCCATTCCCCCCAATTAGAAAAACGTCCCATTGAACGCGGTGGCCACGGCCTGCGCCACTAGCTTCTGGATTGCAACGCCCGGGTGATAGCTGTTGAACCACAGACATGACTTGCCGTTGGAGTTTGTGCACGTCGCATCGGGCGCCCCGTATGCCTTTGGGTTGGCCAGCGCCGTCTCCCACGGGGGGCTGGTGTCGACTATGGTGAAGTTCGCCTCCGGGCTCGCCGTCTTGAACGCCGCGACGCGTGTCGGCAGCTCGTCGTTCCACTGCACGATCGCCGTCACCAGGTCGGCGACCTTGGCGTTGGATTTCATCTGCGGCGTCTTGTTGGTGGCTATGCGGCACGTCAGCTCGGCCCACCGGAAACATGTGAGAAACATACGAGGGATGCTGAGTAGCGCAAAGTTCCTGGCGCCGCCTGCGTAGAGCGTGCCCAACAGACTGAAATACCGGTCCAGGTCCTTGTTCAGACGAGCCGCCTCGCCCGACTGCGTGAACGAGTTGCCGACGTCGTTGACGCCAATGAAGACGCCAAAGAGGGCATTCTCAGCCGTCCAGGGGGCGTACGACGGCTTAGACTGCAGGTTTGACGTCCACGTTTTGACCTGGTCGGCGATGCTGGGAACGCTGGACATGTACGCCTGCACGATCGAGTTGTCGACTGTCGCGCCTGCCACGGCGAAGTTGAACGTGAGCGTCAGCGACGTGTTGAGTTGGCTTGCCAGGAAGCCCGCCCAGGTGAGTCCCCCGCTCTGCGTGTTGCCGGGCAGCGGCGGGTTGCCCATGGGGTTAGACGCCGACGGCTTAGCCCCGTTGATGTTGAAGCCGCTCGAGGTGTAGGAATCGCCGCTTTGAGATGTTAGCCGTGGCAATGCGTGTTGACGCGATTCAGGCCGGGTCTCACAATACGAAAAAGTATTTGGTCCCGGTGATTGCTGCCTGCGATATGGGAGCGGCGACGGCGGCCCCCGCGGCGACCAACAAGAAAGAAAGCCGTGCCAACATTTTCTACGATCTTGGCTCCGTTCGAATTACTTATCGTGGCCGTTTGATCACCCGTCGTGCCTTCACCTTTATAATGGTGTCTGGTGGGGAGGTGGTGCAAGCAACGTCCATTAGGCTAATAGGCGAATTGCAGCCCGAGGAAGAGTCCAGCAAAAAGTAGGACACGGAGTTAATTTGTTTAAACAAGTTCAATTCATCCATGGTGGTTTATTGATTGGCCTGCTGCCGACTTCCTGGTTGACAGAGAGCTCGTTTGTTTCTCGACTTGCAGCTTGACAACTTTACTATGTTAAATGTTCGGCTCGAATGAAAGTTGAGAGACCCAAGCTGTTGCAATAAGGGCAATCGTAAATCGTAATTGATTTGAAATGAGTCAAATTCGCATCGACGTGTGCTGGGACGGAGTCTTGCTTGCCGCTTGGTTTGGCGGAGGCTGTGGCCGCGATTAGAACTCTTCCCTGAATCCTCCTCTCGGTCAATGTATCAGGTTAACTGGAAATGCTGATTTACGCGAAGAGGCAGGTGAACTTGATTCTCTTTGGTCTAGTTGCGAGTTGACAGCATCTCAGGGGTAACCCTAACCCAGAAGCTTCTTATCTTATCGATTGCCGTCCCAACGTGGTGGAATGGTGGGGTGGCCCACCGGTGTCGGCAGCGCAGTGGCAGGAAAAGGATCGACCTAAAAATATTTTCACCGTTTTCTTATCGTAGACCGCCGTGCGCAACCATTTTTCACATTGATTGACTGAAGCCGTTGAAAGCACCTTCAGTTCGTCATGTCTGCCATACCCGGAGAGGCGATGCCTCACAAGGCCTTTGACACGGTCCTGGTCCTGGATTTCGGGTGAGCCGCTTCTCGTGCCCCGCCTTCGCGCGCATCGAAATTGAAATTGAAATTGAAGCTAACTCGCGGCCCTCGCAGATCTCAGTACACTCACTTGTATGTCACCGGTGCCAAGACACCCATGTCTCGTCTCTACCTGGACTCATAGCACCCAAGCCATCATCCCACCACCCCATCATCCCATCACCATATTATCCCATCATCCCATCACCCCATCACCCCGACCATCCACAACAATGGCATCCCTATGCTGCCGCCAGTTGAACTGACCATCCCAGAATCACGCGCCGTCTTCGCGAGCTCAATGTCTTCTCGGAGATGCTCCCGTGCACCACAAATATTGCAGACCTAGACTTCACCCCCAAGGGAATCATCCTCTCGGGCGGCCCCCACTCGGTATATGAGGAAGGAAGCCCCCATGTGGACCCTGCAGTCCTCGATCTGAGTATGCCCCCCGGCTCTTGGCGTGCGCCCTGTGCTGACATCTACTAGACGTTCCTATTCTTGGCATATGCTGTACGTCTACTGTCCTGTCCTAGCCACGCCCGCCGCAGCTAACCCAGACATGAATCGCAGATGGCATGCAGGAGATTGCGTACCGCGTAAACCCCGAAAACGTCATCGCCGGCACCCACCGCGAGTACGGCCATGCCAATCTCAAGGCGCAGACGGTCAACGGCCACGTCGACCGCCTGTTCCAGGGGCTCGAGGACTCGATGCGCGTCTGGATGAGCCACGGCGACAAGCTGGCGAACCTGCCCGAGGGCTTCCACACCGTGGCAACCTCGGACAACTCTGAGTATGCCGCCATTGCCCACGGCAGCAAGCACATCTACGGCCTGCAGTTCCACCCCGAGGTCACCCACACCGAGAACGGCACCAAGCTGCTCGAGAACTTTGCCGTCGGCATCTGCGGCTGCCAGAAAAACTGGACCATGGCTGCGTTTCTCGAGACGGAGCGGAAGCGGATCCGCGACATTGTCGGCGAGAAGGGCCAGGTGCTCGGAGCTGTTAGCGGCGGTGTCGATTCCACAGTAGCCGCCAAGCTCATGGTGCGTCTGATTGGCTGCTCCAAGCCCGTGACAATTTCCTCGTCACTTCCAAGTCACGAGGTCCGCTGACATCGAGTAGAAAGAGGCCATTGGCGACCGGTTCTGGGCGGTTCTCGTCAATAGTAGGTTGCCTGTTCGCTTCCAACACGTCTAATCCATTCCAATTTTGTGCTGTTTGAGGAAATGCTTACATATATCAGACGGCGTCATGCGGCTCAATGAGTGCGAGCAGGTTAAGAAGGATCTGACCGAGAACCTCGGAATCAACCTCACCGTTGTAGATGCCTCGCAGGTGTTCTTGGACGGGCTCAAGGGGATCTCGGATCCGGAAAAGAAGAGGAAGTTTATTGGTAAGGCTCTAAGCTCGGACTCTAGCATATTGATTGACAATTGATTCGTTGCAGGCGGCAAGTTCATCGACATCTTCGAGGAGGAGGCGCTCAAGATAGAGGCAGCGGCCGCCAACTCTGATCGGGCGGGCAAGATTGAATTCTTCCTCCAGTAGGTCCGGCAAAGCTACGTTGTGGCCACTTCGCTAACGACATGCACAGGGGCACTTTGTATCCGGACGTGATCGAGAGTCTCTCGTTCAAGGGCCCCTCCGCCACAATCAAGGTCAGTCGAGGTTGTCCCAACTGCATGGCAACAAGTACTGACAGCCTTTTAGACCCACCACAACGTGTATGTCGTCTTCGCCTCCTTGCAGAGCCGATGCTAACTGACCCAAGTGGTGGACTCCCTGAGCGGATGGCCAACGGTTCGGGCCTTCGCCTGATCGAGCCGCTTCGCAGCCTGTACAAGGACGAAGTGCGGGGTACGTCCTGGTCTCCTGGCTGTATATATTAAAGGTCCTTCGCTGATAGAGCTGGACAGAACTTGGCCGTGCTCTCGGAATTTCCGAAGAACTCGTCATGAGAGTACGTCTTTGAACCCCGCCCTGATCATTGACGAATGCTGACTTCCGCACAGCATCCCTTCCCAGGCCGTATGTGTCGCCGCACCCCTTACCCGCTGACATTTGCTAAATAACCCAGCCGGCATTGCTGTCCGGATCCTGGGAGAGGTGACGCCCGAGAAGGTCGAGATCGCTCGTCGCGCAGACAATGTCAGTTCCTTATCCCCTCTAAAACAGGGCAGTAACTAACAAAAGCCAGATCTTCATCACGGAGATCCGCAAGGCTGGCCTGTACAACCAGATCTCGCAGGCATACGCCGCCGTCGACCCCAGCCGCGCCGTCGGCGTCATGGGAGACAAGCGCGTGTACGGATACATAATCATCCTGCGCGCTGTCGTGACCATCGACTACATGACCGCCGAAGCTTGTGAGTGCCTGCACGCACCAAGAGCTAGGAATCGGTGAAAACAATGAATCTAACGAATTCGCAGTCGAGTTCCCATGGGCGGTCCTCCAGAAGGTCATGAACAGGATCATCAATGAGGTGGACGGGTATGTTTCTCCAGTCCCCGAGTGCCATTCGCAACGGCCCCACTAACGATGCTCTTGTGTAGTGTTTGCCGCGTCACCTACGATGTTACAAGCAAGCCGCCTGGAACGATTGAGATGGAGTAAGCCTGGGCAGTAAAAATGGCGTGTGGTGTCGCGGTGCGGCTGGTTTGGGTGGGTTTAAGGCGATGGAGAACATCAAGATCGGGTAAGGCTTATCAAGCCCATGAAGTCATTGGTTTCGGTAAATTCGGATAGATTGGCATAGACAATCAGCTTTCACGTTCCCAACGGCGTGGCGGGCTGTCGGCCCCACAAAAGCACGCCATACCGATTGCCGAAAGGCGTTCAACCACACAGTGAAGCCTTATTTGCCTTTTTCTATCTCGACAGGGACAGTCGCCTTGGCGTACGCTTTCCTCCTACGCCTGCAGCCTGCATTGTTGATTTGAAATTGAGGAGTGGATTTGCCGTGGAGCAGCGAGCCAATGGGATGGCGCCACGATGCTGACGTGATGCCAGGCAGCAGCCAACGACTTTCCAAAGCGATCAAGGCTCTCCTTTCATTCGCCCAACACCAATGTTGGCATCGACCATTGTCCAAGCCCTTGCCTCGATGCCCTCTCCTGGCCTTGCGATTGAAGCAAGCATGGCTGCCAGCGCCCCCAGACTCAAGTACACGGCCGTGACCGGCTTCTTCAAGCACAGCGACGAGCCCGCCATTCCGTCGTTTGAATCCGTGAGCCTCCGCATCATCCGGTTGTGCTGACCGGTCGAGCTTTGCTGACGGAATTTGTCACGACAAAGATCACGCTGCCGGGCCTGGGCCTCATTGACCGGGCCTACGAGACCGACGACACCTTTGACCCGCGGCGCGAGAAGCAGCCCTGGGAGCGCTTCGTGCACTACCTCGGCCACCTCAACAGCCAGGGCGCTACCGCCGACAAGGCTGTCGCGTACAAGCTCATCTATGCCGCCCGCCATGGCGAAGGCTACCACAACGTCATGGAGGCCAAGGTCGGCACTGTCGAGTGGGAGGTATTCCAAGCCACCCTTACGCATGAAGAAGAGCAATACTAACCCTAACAGGCCCACTGGGCGCGCCTCGACGGCGACGGCACGACTACCTGGTCCGACGCTAGCCTGACGCCCACGGGCATCAGCGAGGCGCGCGCTATACAGGTCTTCTGGGCCGACGCCGCGTCTAGCTTCAAGCTGCCGCTCGCGCCGCGGCACTACGTCAGCCCGCTTGCGCGCTGTCTCGAGACGTGCGAGCTGGCCTTTGCGGGGCTAACCGTCCCCGACACGCCAGTCCCGCCGTTCAAGCCCATCATCAAGGAGCTCGTGCGCGAGCGGCTGGGCGTGCACACGTGCGACCGCCGACGCTCGCGGACGTGGATCGCTGAGAACTACCCACTGTTTGCGTTCGAGGACGGCTTCGCCGAGGCCGACGAGCTGTGGAACCCCGACGTCCGCGAGACGCTGGAAGAGCACGCCGCGCGCGTCGAGGGGTTTCTCGATAACTTGTTCGCCAACGATAGGAGCGACATTGTCTCGCTGACGGCGCACTCGGGTACCATCCTGGCCCTGTACTTTGCCATTGGCCACCCCGAGGTCAGGCTTGCGCCGGGCACGGTCGTGCCGGTCTTGATCAAGGCCGAGGTGGTGGAGTAAGACGGTTGTCCGCCTGGTGTTCGTCCTGCCTTTCTCGTTAGAAAATTAGCCTATACGCCTGTTCCACATTTCTAAATGCTTGCTCAAGCTTTGAAACGCCTACTCGACCCACCCGAAGGCCTACTAATATATACGATTTGTTTTCTTCTGCCTACCTTACTCTAGGTCTTGAAGCGACTTTCAAGGTAGAGTAACATATAATGAACACCCTCCGACTTTGGTCGGATCCGGGCCCGGTCGTACGGCTTAACTCTACTACGGCCACACGGCGCCAGCGTCGGGTTCCAGGTGCCAAGCGTTGTTGCAGAGGCACTGACCCACTGACCTAGCAGCGAGCCAGCCATTCAGCTCTTCCGTCGTACTTCGATGCCGTCCCCGGCTGTGCCGTGCTTTGGCGAATACGCACTTGCATAAGAGCAAGTATCTACAACCTGGCCCAGGCCCGGGAAGCGGGGTTCGAATTTCGCACAATCGTGCGATTACAAACTACAGAGTGCGGTTGGAGAGCTTCAAGGCCTGGGCCTAACTTGGGTACCCAAGCGATGGTGGATGTATTATAATATGGCATTTTTAATCAGGCCCACGTCTCTTTACACTTTGACGGCATTCTTCGCCTTCAAATATTCATCTTCCAACGCTCCAACACAGACAGTATCAAGATATTGACTTCCATAGCTATGCCCCCTTATAGCGTCGAGACTGGCGCCGACCAGATCGTTGCCAACTTCGCTAGCGAGGTTAAGAGCAAAGCGGATCTGATCACGGGCGTGTCCCCCAACGGCCTAGGAGCCTTCTTCGCCGAGGCCATCGCCAAGGCATCTCCCAAGCTCATCATTCTCGCCACCCGAAACGTCGAGAGAGCGTCCGAGGTGGCTGCCAGCATCAAGGGCATCAACAGCACAGCCCAGACGCGCATCCTGCACCTGGACCTGGCGTCTTTAGCCTCGGTGCGCGCGGCCGCCCAGGAGGTCAACTCGTACGCCGAGGACATCCACGTCGGCGCCAACAACGCGGGCATCATGGCGGTGCGCTACTCGACAACCGTCGACGGCCACTAGAGCCCCTGGCAGTCTAATCACCTCGGCCACTCCCTCTTCACCAACCTGATTATGGCCATGCTGCTGCGCAGCGGGCCTGCCCCGCGCGTCGTCAACGTCAGCAGCAAGGGCTACCGGTTGGGCGGCGTGCGGCACTTTGACCACGGCTTCCACGGCGGCGCGTCCTACGACCCGTGGTTCGCGTACGCCGCCTCCAAGACGGCCAACATTCTCCACGCCGCCGATCTAGCCCGCCGCCTAGGTAGCAGTGGCCTCGTGGCCGTCAGCCTGAGCCCCGGCGTCATCTACACGAACCTGTCCACCCACGGCGCCATGGGCAAGTTTGACGACCTGTGGGCCTTGCTGCGGAAAGTTGGCGACCCGCTTCGATGGGCCGCCCCAACCTCCTTGGATTCAAATCACGGTGTCGCCATCCACGCCCATGCTGCGCTGGCCCCGGTGGTCAAGGGTAAGTGAACAAATCTCCGTAGTGGCGAGGACCTACTGTATTGAGCTAACCTGGTATGGCATTTTCAGACTTCAATGGCGGGTACATTCGCTCGCTCGACACACTGCCCGATCCGGTCGAGGGAATGTCGCCTTGGGCCATCGGCTACAAAAAATGAGTAAAAAGGAAAAGGAGTGGTGGGGCACGGCACTAACAGACCAGTGTTTAGCCTCAGGCAGCCACTGTTCAGGAGCTCACAGTCTATCTAGGATGTTAGTCTTCTCAGTACGCTCTCACAATTCTTTCACAAACTGAAGTTAATCACAGTAAACTCTATTGCCCTGAGAGCGGTTCTGCAGGGTTTCCTGAGTTCGCTACGCGTCCTTGCGTGCGTACCCAGCAGGTGTTTCCGGTTTGTATGAGAGAAAATCAAGTTCCATTACAAGCAGCAATCCCAGAGTCATATATATAATTAGAACGTTCGACTGTAGCTATGAAGCACCTCAAATCTTCCGGTCATTCCTCCACCCTCCCAACTCTCGTCCGTGGCTAAGCTCCCTCTACTCCTTCTCAAAATTAGCGAATGTAGTAGTCGACGACGGGGTCCTCGTTCCTTTGGCAATCGAACCCGAGCCCACCGCCGTCGTCATCCACATGACTACCAGGGCGAGGACCGCTACGACCGGCGCGGGAGCCGCAGTCTCATCGTGGTCGTTGGGAAACTCGAAGACACAGCACAGGCCTGTCAGGACTTGAAGGCCGGGAGCTGAGGATTCGGTGCCGTAGTCGGAATGCCATGATCTTTCGCACAGGGCTGTTAGGTCGGTAGTTTGAAGGACTGACTGCCTCGCAGGCGAAAGGGTGTGTTCGGACTGGCTATATTCCAACAGATCCATAATTGAAGTCTGTTCAATGCGACCCGATTGATCAGGTCGGTTTTTCTGTATGACGGGTGACAAGGTCGATCTTCCTGTCAGCGGTGTAGGCAGGCACCGTCTTTGTTGTGGATGATTTGGCTATCCGGGCGAAGCCATCACCGGTCGGGCGTTGAGTCTTGTTGCAGCAGATCAATGCTGTCAAGCAGAGCCTATCAATCCAGATCCAACGATTCTATCCTATATAGGTACCTGCGATCTTCCTACAAGAAGTCTACAACGCACCCTTTGATATAGCGAGCGCCCGCATGGGTTTCTCGTGTTTCGAGACGGATACGGTAAAATACATCTCGACTTCTGCGAATCTATTCACCGGCAAGGCGGATAACCTCGCGCGAGTGCTCGTCAAAGGTGCTAGACATGAACCCCAACATGGCTAAATTCCCCAGCCTGAGACAGCCCCGACTCGGCGGTGCTGTTGTTGCTACTTGTGTCGGTGTTGCTACTTGTGTCGGTGTTGCTACTTGTGTAGGTATTCTAGGTTTTCTTCTAGCCATAGAATCCGAACCCACCGCCGTCCTCATCCACGCGAGGAGCCGCAGGCTTGTTATAGTCGTCAGGAAACTCGAAGACACGGCCCCGTCAATCGTCGCAGTTACCGAGACTCGGTAACGTCATGTTTACCCAACGTAGTTGGCGTACCATCACGGCGCCGGCGCTCACTACCACGGCCACGGCCACCACCACCACCACGACTACTACTACCACGGCTTACACTACCACGACCGCGTCCACCGCCGCGTCCACCGCAGCCACGACCACCTCCGGCGATCTGCCCACTAGGTGCAGCAGAAACCACCGACGCCAACCTTACCACGGCGCCATCTTCTCCCGCGAGGACGTTGTTCAAGAGCCTTTTCGAGACGAGTATTTTGTCGTCGGTAGATCCCTTTCCAGACTTGACGACGCCCTTATCCTTGCCTGACGTTGCCCACCCATCAGTTCGGAGCTTTTTGCGTCGGGGTTCGCGATTCTTGCCCTCAGTCGGCGCTTGTGGCGCCGGCTCTTCCGCCTCGCCCAGCTTCCGCTTTTGCGGATTTAGTCTCCAGTCCTACGATGTCTTTATGCTGCTTTATTCACGCCGAGGTCGAACAAAGACGTCGTACTTTACCGACTGGCCGTGCAACTCCCGGCCCAGGACACGGAACACCTCTTGCTTGGTGGCGTTCCCGACCCACATGCTCCCATTGGCCATTGTCGTCTCCCAAGCCCCCGGTAGCAGCAGGCGTCTTCAGCCAGACACCGAAACCCATCTGCTCCACCGGTATCTTGACAGTGGCTTGGACGCTGTTGGATGGAACCATTTGGACGTTCCTACGGGTAGGCGTCTGTCCAAAACCTGCGGAAAAGGATTTTCCTGATACGGCTGGACTGGAATCTGTTCTTGGGCATCGCTTGAAATTGCGCCGAGCCCTCTACGGTTTGACCCGCAGCCACGGTCGCCCCCTCCGTCGCGATACCACAATATAGAGAGCGCGTAGGGTTTTGGGCGAGTAAAGAGGTTGGTGGGAGCCTTGGAGGGATGATTGAGCATGGATAGGTGGTCACGTTGGCTTTTGGGGGGCTTTTCGTCCGACGACAGCCTCACTTTCGACGGACCCACATGTGCAGACTCTAAATTTACCCATTTACCTACGTTACTATTGTTACTATTGTTCCTTCCTCGGAAGGTAGTTAAATTGAGGCCTTCCGTCAATGCCCCGAATCCCCTCTGGCTTCTTGTGATTAGATACTCACTCCTCAAAAAATTCTCCTCTTCACACTATTCATGACCTTCGGAGCCCCTTTCAACTATCCCGTGAGCCTCCCTGCATAGAATCTCCTCAGCTTCTGTAACAGGAGCCTCTGTTTCGATAACCCTCGGGTTGTTCACAATACACCCTCGACTTTTAAATCTCAAGAAGCCGACACCAAATCTCACAGCTTATTTTCTCTCCCCAAAAGTTACGCAACAACGAGCCGCAATGAGTGAGCTCGCAAATACCCCTGAGCCCATGGCCCACTATATCAACACTGGTGCTGTTTCTGAGCACACCAGCTCTGCGGAAAAAAGAAGACGCGAGGCGGGGTCGAACATTCTGGAGGACGAACCAGCGATTCACCAAGCCAAGAGATTGAAGATGTACGGCGAGGCCAACCTTGCTATTGAGCAAGAGTCCCAGCATGAGGATAGTAGTATCTCAGAGAACGGCGATATCTCAGAGGACAGCGATATCTCAGAGGGCAGTAATATCTGGGAGGATAGTGATACCCCGGAGGCCAGTGACACCGCCTCGGCCGAAGACACATCACCCGATCACAGTATTCTGGCTCTCATCATCGCCTGGGCTGTATCGCATCATGAAACCTGGTACTTCGTCGACTCGGCAGCCCTCGAGGCCAACAATGTCCCGGTCTTTGGATTGGGCGACTTCGACAAATTCATCATATGTCTCGAAATCGGCACAACTTGCTTTCTCGCTCAAGTCAACCCTGTCAGCGGAACGGTTTCCGTACTGCAATCTACAAAGTATAACCAAGACTTCAGGGACGCGAAAGCCCAAATTGCGGAATTCATATCGACGCATCTCGTCGGTCACAAATACCAGGAACCGGAAGACGTATGGACTGACTGGAACATTGCAACTCTGCCTTGTGCAAACCGCGATGCTGCTGCAAATCACGGTGCTGCTCATGACTACGACATGGTGTGTGCAGTGACCACGGCCTTTCGATTAGCCTGCGACATAGACTTGAAGACTCCGATTGACGAGAGTCTCGCTCGCCGTTTTCTCCCGCTCTTCATCGGCTTGAGCGCCGAGGTGTCCATCGCCGCCCGGGAGGACTCAAGCTGCCTCGAGTTCGATGCGAAGGAGATGTCATGGAATATGCTCGAGTCGGTACGGTCTTGGATCAGCTGGGTGAGAGACGCCAAGAATGCCGGCGTGTTTTTCCAGCCCTTCCTGGACGCCGTCAACAATTCGGGGCTGTCGATGCTAGATGCCTTGGAGACGCGTTGATATGCAGTTCATCTAGAGCACAAGACGCTACAAGAGATGGGCGAATGGCTGGAGGTCTTGAGCAAGAATGCGATAGGTGCAGAGGAGATCAGCGTAGGAACCTCGGCGGTCATCCGAGAAGAACAAAATGACTAGGCTGAGATGATGCAGAAATGGTCTGGTTCATAGAGCAGTCCGGAGATGTAATTCGTCAAGAACCAGCAAAATTCATTAGCCCTATTGTCTCAAAGCTGGGCAACACGCGCAGCGCATATGCGCAACTCGGTCGAACGAATTCCGGCGGTTCGACAACATGTCATGGAGCTGGCATCGGGGTCGAAGGTGAAGTTAGACTCCATCGATCAGTGTATCGACGAGATTGTAGCACTCGGCTTTGAGAACTAGTCTAATTTCGGCTCTCTAAAACTGTGTCTCGGAAATCACATTCACGTACACGTACAACCAGCATAGATAATTAGTGGTATTACTATTTTAAAGTGTGTGAAACTTCGTGACATGTTCTTTCTAATCCTGTTACGCTCATCCATATCCATCGCTGACCATTACTAGCTTGTCCTGGGCCTCCATTGGCTTATTAGGTTTCAAAGCTTCAGCACAACGTTGGAATTTATACTGCACCGTGTGAAGTCTTTCCCATCGTCTCTCCTCAACTATGTATGCATTCTATGTACCTGGTCCTCTGGCTATACCTACTGCTTTCGGGTGTCCACCTTGGCGACGAAGTTCATCGATACGCAGTGTTTGGACTAAGATGGCTCAGCCCCGAATAGACTTTGATTACGCTGAGATATATGCCGCCGGCCGTGCCTTGGGGATTTCTGCGAGTTTGATGTCAGTCTCTGTCAATCTCATACTTTCATTCGAGGCAGGGCCTGCAATCGACTTGGTTCATTGAGGCTGCCTGAGTGAGAGCACAGCTCCTTGGATGGGTCTAAAACAGGCTCAACTTGAAATCACAGGTGAGGACGTGAGTCAACACTGTTACGTTACTTCGTAATGGATGTTACGTCGATCCCTGTCTTGGTGGCGTTACGATTTGCGGGCCAATCCGCTGACAGGGCCCTAACGCAGCCCTACTGCAGAGCCCCTACTGCAGAGCCTCAAGCAACAACACACTGCCAGTTCTCCAGCACTCTCCGCAAACACCGACTCCCCACGAGTGCCAGATTGCATATTACTAGGTTCAGTGTAGTGGAAATAGCTTGCACGGGCCTTATATGTACATGTGCAAGACACTACGCTGTCAATCAAGTAGGGCTGCGATTGCATTGACAGTTGGTCAAATCAAGCCCAGGCCGCCCTGCCCCCGCCCCCGCCCCCGCCCCTGCATGATCCAATGCAACGCTCCACTTACACCGTTGAGCACAACGCCCGCCCGGATGGTCCATGCTAGTCGACTCGTAATGGATGCCAAACCGTCCCGCAAACTATCGCACAGTGGGCTGTGGCCCATAATCAAAATTCACTTTGCATGTTATTACGTTGGACAGTGACATGCGGCCGGAAGGTTAAGTTGGCTACAGAGTTCTCGCATTGATCCTCTACGTCAAGCGGCCTGGGTCGCCCGCTACACCAGACCGCGCCCTACCACCTCAGCTCTTCGTAATACCGAACTTTTCCAGTGTACCCGTGCCATAGCATTACCGATGTCATCAAACCCCGATCAGTTGTCCTTCTCAATCACAGCCCCGTCACTAGCCAAATCTCCCATCGCCTCGGTGCGGGGCCGAACGATAACGTCGTACTTTATATTCGCGCCATCTCCACCTTTCTCGCGAGCCAGGAGACCAGTCGCTTGCTCGGCTGTGGCGTTCTCGATGGTATGGTGTGCCTGTCTTCTCGATGCGTCCGGCAACCGTGGTGTCGCGTTTTGGCCGTAGAACCAGGCGGCTATTTGTCTCGCACGCCCGCTCGCGCGTTTCGCCGTTTAATTGCATTGTACTGGTTTGGAGAGATGGTTCGTGTGGGAGGTGGGCGTTGATTGCGGCAGATTTGGTGTTGAACTTGGAAAACCGTGACTGTAGGCTGTAGTTGCCCCGCTTCCCGAGATGGCAAGAATTCCAGTCCTGGAGGCAGGCGGGGGAGCGTTTTGGTGCGCGGAATTTTTACGTGTGGGGCTGTCCAAAATTGAGCTGATTTCAGATGAAAACTGGTAAAGATACATCAAGATACATCCATAGTTACGCAATCCTCCCTCCAACAGACCTTCACCCCCAAACCAACTCCGAGCTTCCCAAACCATCACAACAAAACCGCAAGAGAACCGGCCGCGGCAGCTCAAGGTTAGTGCCCCTTCCAGCGGCATTCTACAGTTGACCGTTTTAGTACGCCATTTTCTTTTCGGGGTGGCCGCCGGTGCGGCTGCGCGACGACGAGACCATCGAGTGCCTGCTGGCCGACGATTGACAGTTTTTTTAACAGTATATTATGTAGAGTGCGTCTACTCAGGAATTACATTACTGTGCAGAAAGCGCAGCATTTGCAATGGCTCATAACTTCGTACTCGTCCGATTCGATACTTCCAATCTGCTTCTGTTTGCCGGCTCTTTTCTTTCTCTGTTCGTTGCCCCCCTCGTTGCATGTCATAGGATTTGGCTCGATTGTGCAGGGGTGCGGTTGCAACTCGTCGAGAATGGCTCCCCATTCCGCGCCTTTGGAACACTGCTGCTCTTCGTGGACTTGCCTAGGGCTCTGGGAGGGCCCTGCTGGGGACTTGTGTTTGTTGTTGCTTTGCGCCACACCGCGTTTCTTGAACAACAGCAATTCCCGGACAGCCCTGTGGCTATTCTCTGATGCTACCGAGATGGGCGTGCGCTCGCGCTCGTCACTCGCGTCCAAATCAACTCCATCCTTGCGTAGGAGCTGTCTGACGACATCCGCGTGATCCACGGGAAGTGGTTCATCAGCCCGGCCACCTCCATCTCGAAGCAGAGCACGCCCTCGGCCGCGGCAAGGCGGTCCCGCACCAGCGCGTCCTTCATCAGGCTGTTCGGCCGATGCAACCGGCCCGTAGTGAATGGCCGGGCTTTCCTCGTGCTCTCCCCTCTCACCCCGTTCCTGGAGCAAACTGGGAGTTCTAACGCAGTCCGCTGCGCCGCGGCAGCCCGCCTCGCCGTCGTGCGTCATGTGCGCCCCGAACAGCCGGTCCGTGCCCGGGGCTGGCTTTCCATACCTGCTGGTGAGTCTGGGCTTCTTCAGGACCTCGTCGATGGCGGCTTGCAGCCCGTGGTCCTCGCTCTGGAACCTGGCCTCGAGGTCGTTGACAGCCGCCAGCAGCAGCGTCGGCGGCTGATTCAGGTTGCCCGTCATCCTGAACTAGATGTCGTGTCTTGGACATTAGACCTGTCCTGTGGCGGAGAACTTGCCGTGAGGCCCTGGTCGCCCGGGGCCCCTATGAGAGTCTTTGTGTGGGAAACAGGGCCGGAGACCGGCAGATGAGTCGGCAAAGGCGCGGACTGTGACACGGAATCTGGTAGCTGCTGTGCTGGGCGAGCACTGGAAAGCTGTTTGGCCCCGTCGGCATTCTCCGGACAACATGACTCGCAGCAACGGCGGCAGGGCCCGCAGCACGCGCTGCACATGACCTCTATGAATTGCTAGCTAATTTCTGTGGACAAAGATTTTTGTCAAGCGAACTCAAGCTGCGTTGATTTGATGGCATTAGAGGTTGAAGGGGTGTAAAGCACAGGGGTGTAAAGCACAGGTCTGGCCATTTCAGTATCGTGTCTGTATGACCGAGCAGGGAACATGAACTAGGGCGGTTGAGGACTGGTCGGGCCTTGACACTCCAGCGCCTCCCCGAAGGAGTCAACTACAACTAATTGGGCACGCACCGTACTTGACTCGCGCACTCCTCCAATGCCGCCCAAAGCATTGGATGCGGACACCTCACGTGCCACAGTGCCACGTAGGCACGACTTTGCATGCCCAAGCAGTTTAGGGGAAGCCAAGGTGGTTCGGCGTACATGCCGTTCATCCTCACCACCTCACCAGTGGCTGAAGCCGCTCTGACGAGGTGGGATCAGCCCCTCCAATGGTCGGCCGAGCGAGGCAAGAATTCTCCGATGAATACAGGTTGGGCTCCAATCAGCAGACACACCGACCCGAGTCTTCCCAACCAGACAGTCTAACGGAATTTGGAAAGACCAGGAAATTGCACTTCAACGCCGGTGATAGATGTCAGACGGCTATCAGCATCAGCACTCACCGCCGGTCTATGTCAGCAGACCTACGCAAATGAACCAATTCCGCTGCGTCTAGACGCGCCGTTGCATGTGCATTGCCAGAATAGCATCAACGTCCACCTGCCTCGCTGCCCTCAAAAACACACATTGACAAACCAAAAGGGCAGCACCACATAGGAGCACCTGGGTAAGCGACGGCGTGGTTCGGCCGCCTCCCGCTCTTCTAGTAGTTACCTCGCGTATTCATGTCTTTCCCGTTGAATTCTCCACGCATCTTATGCAATGAATACATGTCTGTATGATCATGAGACTGGGCCATCAGACGGTGTTTTGAATCTGCTGCTTACCCGCTCAGCCCTCGCCTGAGCCGCCGCTCGAAGCCGCCGCACGTGCAATCGCCGCATCTGCTCCGTGCTGGGCACGATCCACCACTAAGGCTGCGTTTGGTTGTGTGTGTAAGGATCGGTAAAAAGCCCACTTTTTAGGTTTAGGAAGACCGCTACCGGACCCCCTTCATATCCTCCGGTAGGCTTTACCAGCATGAACTGGGATTTTGAATCCAGTATAACTACCGGGCGAACCCTGGGCTATTATTGGCTGATTTTGGTGTGTGGAGCAATCTTCCTACCGGCTTTCGCCAAATGGATCCCGGTAAGGAAGCCAATTAACCCTGAAGGCCCTCTTTACTAGACCTTACACGAAGAACCAAACGCACCCTAACTGTACGGTCGGGGCATGGTGTCGACCTTGCTGACGAAGTCGAGGTCGCAGTGCATGCGCTTCGGCTGGCCGCGGCGGTACCGGTACGTGTACATCAGCTTCTTCTCGCGCTTGGTCTCGATCAGGAGACAGACGCGCGAGATTCCCGTCGGAGACGTCGTCGAACCGCACGCTGGCGAGCGCCGCGGCCGAGCTCGCCCGCACCGTCACCATGCCGATCCGTCGCGGCTCCCGCTCGGGCAGCTCGGACAGCTCGCATATCGAGTACGTCTGGCAGTGCGAGTACGCTATGTCGTTTCTGTGGCCGACGCCCTGTGCAGGTGTCTCCGGGACGGGCACGGCGCACTCGGCCGGCCAGTTCAGCCTGTGGAGCACGGGCTCCCAGAGGTTATGGCATCGAAGCGCGTCTCGACGACCTGGTCAAACTGAACTTTGTGTTCACGCAAGACACATCGGGAGAGCACTAGACACTCAAAGTATATCGAATTGCTGGCCAGCTAAGTCCAAGAGAATGAGGACGTGAAAGAATGTTAATCTAGACCAAGTTGCTCGTTCCACCCACACCTTTCCCTCTGGAGCCCACTCCCACCCTTTCCCTCTGGAGCCCACTCCCACCCCATCCAACCACTACACCTGCTCCACTGCTAACTACCAACCCTAGTGGCAGAACGAGTTGAAGGTGACAGGCGGCTGGCAGCCCGACGTGCACAACTGCTTCCAGATGATGGTGCCGTTGTCGCGGCAGCCGTACAGGCCGTTGTACAGCTGGCTAGTGGTAGGACTCTGGCCGGCAGCGGTGGCCGCCGCCTGCAGCGTGGCCTGGTCGTAGCCTGTTTCTAGAAGTTAGCTTGGTTCGGTTTCAGAAGCAGCTTTGGGCTCACGCACCGTAGACGCCGTTGGTCAGGATCCAGCCGCACACGTCGTACGGCGCGTTGCACGCCCGCGTGAAGGCGGCTTCGGTGCCGGCGATGGCGGCCGCGATGGCGAGGGCGATGTTGGCGAGCTTGACCATTTTGAATTTGGAGGTAGGCAGTGCTGCAAGGTTTCTTGAGTATTTGAGTTTGTGGGTTTGATGAGCCTGAGTTTGCGGATCGAGTTGCGAGGCGGGAGATTGACTTTGTACTTATAGACGCAGAGAGCATTGACTTTGGCTTCGGATTTCCAGCTAGTTGTAGTGCAACATTCGTCGACGTGCTGAAGCTTCACCAGTATACCTTGCGATCCCCTCGTACCTTGACTAGACATCGCGACCGGCAGCGGCCCGACCATCCGCCATGAAGCCAGCAACATTCAATATTTGGTTGCTGAGTAAGACTAGCCATCAACAAATGGAGCAGGTTGATGGCTTCCACGAAGGCGAGGCTGTCGGGTGCGTATACGTATGCGTATGGCAGTCAAGATGGCGGTCAACAGACGAACAGCGGTTGCTAAAGGTGGGTAGTATTTAGCGCAAGGCGGCGTACAATAAGTGCTGGTGCTGGCTGGCAGGATGCGCCAAGGCTCACTCTTTTCTCCCAAAACATTCACCACAGGCCTTGCATATACGAAGCCGGGTAAGGGCTGTAGTCTCCGTCGGCGAGACTAGCAAGCCACAGATCTCTGCGTTGAAGCGACCGCCACGTTCCAGGAATCTTTGTCTCGTGGCGTCGGTCAATATTTCATGTGGCTTCAGACACCGCCTGTGAAGGGGCTGGCACAGAGTACGTCCTGGTTGGTAGGACGTTATAAAATCTTTTTGGTGCAACCCACCGCTTCTCTTTGCCCAACTGGAAGCAACTGCAATGTACAGAGTCTATGAAGGCACATGCAAAGACTGAGGATGTGAAGTGCCAACTTTCATTCTGCAGAGCGAGATATCTCATTCTCACTGCAAGACGGAGCAATTTCAACCAGCAACTTCAACCACGTGTCTGTCACAGAGCCCTCAGCCTAGACCTCATTGCCGGGTTAAATGCTGACACAGGCGGCCCGATAGCCAGGTCCAGTTGTCATTGCAATGAGTAAGAGTTGATCTCGCCTCGGCCTATCAGGCAGAGGAGTGTCTGTGGGGGCAGCGGTCGGCGACTTGTCAGCTGTAGCAACGTCGCATTCCGGGGCGGCGGACGGGAATTCCCCTAAATCCTCGTCCCCGGTTCGCCAGGAAGATGCACGCACGCCCGAGAGGTCCGACTACCGAACTTGGGTTTACACGGTAGCCAACTACATTAGACAGCTTGCCAACCCCTATCCTCAACAATGAGTGACCGGGCTGTCGAATATACTGCGCCTCTGTGTCTGCATCTGTCGTCCCGACTTCCCGGCTCACTTCGTACGATGTCCAATAAGAGGCTGAGCAGTGTACTCGACAGCACATATGAACAGCACGTGTGAACAGCAAGGCTGAGGCAAAGCTTCACAGTAAGCACAAGATGCGCCGAAATGATGGACCAAGAATTTTTTCGGAAAGACGGCTGTTCAGCCGGAGCAATCTCCCTGAATCAACCACAGACTGACAGACTGGACGTGCGAGATGTTAGCCCCCCCCTCCCCCACCGACAATCTGTCGTAAGCTACCGCTGCACCAGCAGACAACAGGCGCGCATGTTGCTTGGAGGTCTGGGCAACAGTCCTTGTATCGGCTGTCGGCTGTAAGTGCAAGCTGTATTAGGCCACCGCAGCATCAAACATCAAACACCCCCCCGTGCTCCTTGTTCATATGACCATAGCACTCGTCGCCCATGTCAAACGTCGCCAGACACACCCAGCAGATATGCGTCGCGCAGCCGCCGCACGTGACGTGGTTGCAGCCGTCAATCTTCTCCATGGCGGTGCGGCAGCGCGGGCAGTCCTTGATGCCCAGCGCCTGCTTGACCCTGGCGACGGCAGCGCGCGCTCCCGATGTGTCGTCTCGATGCTCGGCACATGTCATGCCGGGGTGCAGGCCGTGGCAGGCCGTGCAGACGCAGACGAGGCACTTGGCGCACGTGAAGGTGTTCTGCGTCGCAGCGGCATCGGGCGACGATGGCGACGCGCGGTAGATCTGCCCGCAGTCGGGCGTAGGGCAGTAGCGAAAGCGCGCCGGGTGGCGGCTGATGAAGAACGCGAACGACGCTTCCAGCAGGTCTTCAAATGTTGCGGAGGGGAGCAGCTCCTGCAGCTCCGCGAGGGCGAGGACCTGCTTGCACTGCGCCGAGTTCCCGACGCAGGTGATGCAAAAGTCTGTCGGCGACGACTGCGCGTGGCAGAGCGCGACGAAGCAGTCGACGCAGTAGACGTGGCCGCAGGACGTGCGCACCGGCTGCTCTGCGTCGTTCCAGCAGACGGAGCAGTTTGTCTTGGTTGTGTCCGAGGCCGACATAACAGAAGAAGCCTCCCGGCGGGCGATGAGAGCTACGGCGAAGGCATGGTCCTGCTCAGATCCGGCGACGAGGATTCTCTTTGGCGTCGACACAATGTCGAATGTCACCATGTCGTCGCCGAGCCTGGCGCCGATTGTCCTGAATCCGCCGCGACAAGCCCACTCAAACTGGTCGGCGTCGAGCTCAACGACGTGCTGGTTGTCGCCGCCGGATTCATCCTTTACAAGCTGTTCAAGCGCCACTACCGCCCTACTACAGCGCTCCTCGGACCCAAATAGCCGGAGCTGCGACTTCCGGCGGTCGCGCACAATTGCGATGCCGTGCTCCTCCTCGATGCGCTTGAGGCCCTTGCATCCGGCGTCTCCGTTGCGCTGGAAGCTGGCGCTCCAGATTTCGCTGCCGTCGCTGCTAGCTACGACGCCGGCGATCACACGGTCGAGCGAGTCCTTTGCCCGCGCAACCAGGACGGGATCCTCAGCCTCGAGCTTCAGGACGCGGTAGCCGTGCTGGGGTGGATACGCGAGGAAGCGGACGAATTGGCGCTCCCAGACGGCCCTCTGCGACTCGAGCTGCTCACCCACGGCGTCGTAGACGCGGGCCAGCACTTTGACCTTGGACGACGTCATGAGCTGAATCGTGAGCCTCGCAGTCCTGCTGAACGACAGAAGCTTGTTGTTCAGCGTCAAGGCGGCCTCTCGCGCGTGCGACTCCTCGACGAAGCGGGCCTGGGCCTTGACGCGCTTGCCGCCCGAACTGCCCAGCTCCCACCATTCCAGCGGGCCAGCCTGGAGCAGCATTGACTTGACAATCGTGGCAGCCGTGTCGGCGTCGGCGGTGTAGCTGGGCAGTCCCAGCTCAATGTGGCGCGGCCTGGCGAAATCCGGGATCGACGTCATAATGTCCAGCTTGTCCGCCGTGCCGGGCATCTCCAGCATCACTGTCCAGACCCGCCGGTTCGACGGGTCCTTGGACACCGTGGGCGCTTTCGCCTTGACCTTGGTGCCGGCCACCCTGTAGATGCCTACGTCGAACTTTTGCTGAGCCTTCTGCGCCACCTTCTCGGAGCCAAAGTTCAGCCAGGCCGTGCGAATGGGCCGGTGCCATGAGCAGTGGACGCGTCGGCAGTCGACGCGATGCAGGCCGGACCCGCGCGGCATGGGGCTCGGGATAGGGGTGAAGGCGATCTGCGACGAGCCTGTGCGGAGTTTTAGTCTGCTGTACATGGCTTTGGCCAGCACGGGGTCGTCGACATGCACGTCAGCGCGGCTGTCTGTTGCCGTGACACGGACATCCCCCGCCACGTCCATGTCGGTGAGCAGCGCGGTAACGGTCTGTGGAGTGCTGTGTGGAGGAAGTCTGTCTAGGCGGACGCCAGCGATGTCTGAGGGGAGGGACACTTTGGCGACCACTGCGCCGTCTTCAAACTCGGCAAAGCCACCTCCAAGCTCACGGATCCAGGTGTCGCGGTGTTGGTCCTGTATCGATCAGCCACGTGCCTGGCCATACCGGACAGGTGCTTACGTCAAAGGCAGCGTCCTGCTCATTTTCAGACACTGGCGTGTCCGCCCCCGGCGTGTCCGTGCCCTCCGTGCCCTCCGTGTCCTTGTCCTTGGTGTGCTGAAACGGACAGCGGTCGCCGTTCCGGCAGCCCTTTGAAAAGAACTGGCATGGCAGCTGCGCTCTCGAATCGACAGTGGACTGGACAGACACAACGACACTGCCGGGCGCTGGCGATGGCGCTAGCTGGTGTGCAAAGTGGCATGCATCTCCCCGGGCGCAGTGCCCGGCTGCAAAATAGCGACACGGCGCCTTGGCCTCGGGCGAGCCCGACGTGGGCGTCGGAGGGGACGCAAGGCTGGAGGGGCCTGGATGCGCGAAAGCGCAGGCGCTGCCTTTGGCGCAGTGTCCGCGGGCGGCAAAGCGACAGGCAGCCTTGGGCTTGCGGGGGACTGGCTGCGACGACATGGTCAATGCTGGCTTCGTTGCAGAGCGATAGTTAGGTGCTGCGTACAAAGATGACTCGCCATCTTCTCGGTCTAGCTAATTTCGCTGGCAGATGAGGTTGGGCTTGGTTGGGTAGCGACGAAAGCGAGTGCATTCGGCTGTGTAACCGTCCCGACCAACGACTGTAACCGACCGTCCCCAACCGGCAGCGTGAGGCCTACCGGGCAAACTGTTCCAACATAGGCCCCTCGATCATGTTCTTCTTCTCGCCGCTAGTCTCTCTTCCTATGCGTCTTGATACTATTCTAGGCTAATCCTGGTCGTCGCCTGTCGCTCATTGGGTCGGAGAGGTCTACGAACTCGATGGTCCATTTAGCGCCTGGCAGTCGCTGGACCATGCGATCATAGTCGCTGGACCATGTGATTGTAGTCGCTGGGCCCCGTCTGTCGATGGTCCCTAACCATTCGGGGCTCCAGTGGGCAAATTTAGAACTAGATATTGAATAGCGCACAACAATCTTCTCGAGGGAGGGCATATCTGCAACGCCGCACTCGTCCAAAGTTTTGATTCTTTCAGTATGCCAATCACGAACAACCCCTAGGTATTTTTGATAGTGATATCTGCCGATCCTGAATGGGAGACTCCTACCATTAGACAGTATCTCGATGGTCCTCAAACGCGAGCACGTTGCCTGAATCATTCGAACAGCCCGAACACTCTCAGGGTCCGTCTCGATACGAAGCATGTTCGCAAAGCGGATATGCCGCACGAGACGCGCAATAGCCCCGATCTGTTGAAAGAAGGGCTCGACATAATAGCGCGAGAAGGTCGAGGGCAAGGGAGACAGAGGACGGCAAGTGTGTTTCTAGGGAACGGTCTCCAACGGCCAGGAATTGACGTCGCCGAACTCGAATCGGTTATGTGAGTAAAGAATGGGCGCGGCCTCGGCGTTCACGGTCATGCTGGCGCAGAGAAGGGCCGCGCCCCCGCGCTTGCTCTCCTGGATGACGCGCCGTTCGCCGTGGTAAATCCCGAAGCGAAGCTTGACGGCATCGTCCTGGACGAGCACGTCCGAGTAGATCTGGAGGCGGATCTCGGCCGGGAAGCTGAAGAAATGCATTGCGGGCTGTCTGTGCAGCGTTGGAGTGTCGGCGTGATGCGTGTGGTGAGGTGAGGAAGCTTAAGGCCAAGTGCGGGGCCGGTGTGCCTCCGCAGTAGGGTTAGGGCTTGTGCGTGCCGGAAAAAGGCAAGTTCTTGCCCGTGCTTCGCCCCACTTTATTTCGGATTCGTCAGGATTCACCAACCGAATGAGATGTGCAAGGCGGCACATGATGCCCAGCCCACCCACTCCCAAGTCTGAATCCTTCGAGTGCTAACATGTAGCAGGAGGCGGCCGAAACTCAGGCCACCAGCGCCTCCGCCCGTAATGCAATGCACCCAAGACAAAAGGCCTGAAGACAGACGTAGTGTTGCATAAATTCGCCGCAAAGGAGCAAGCAATGACCACGCCATATACCATGGCCCGTCTTATTGGTACAAGGCCCATGAAGTCGGACTTGGAGATATAAAAGAGGATCCGGGGCCCTTTAATTAGACGTCCAGAGACAGCTGGTGCAACTCAACTCGACTCTCTTCCATACAAGGTCGCCTACAAGCATCAAGCTAGCTTGCACAACGTCAAGGTTACGGAATCCCAGCTCGATTCTTTCCCGGATACATAATTTCCCTTAAGACGATGCGGGTGAGTAGATTCCTTGCTACCTTAACGCTGCAGAATCTGAGCTGATGGATCAAGCCGGAATACGTATTCTTCGTGCAAACGGTCGCTCTTCTTTTTACTAGTGCATTTGCCTCCTGTCCGAATGGGGGAGAGGACCTTGGGGTACCATGCAGTGTGGATTGGGATTGCCCCCAGGGTGCTGCATGTATCCGAGGCATGTGTTGTCGCTGAGTAGAGTGCACGTTCTGCGGTGCTAGCCTTCGTTGGAGATGCCGAAAGAATCGCGTGTTGGGCGGCAGAGCGGTGCTAGCTTGGCCCCAAGACGGCTTGCCAGTGATGCGCTGCGGCATTTCCGCGAGGCCCCAGACATCGTGGTACTCGTGGAGACATCGAGGTTGCGGCCGCTAGTTTGTAGCCCTAGAAAAATCTAGCCCTCACCACATTGCTTCGTCGTCCATGCCATGAGCTTGTGCATGTACAGTCTCGTGGTGATATTATCGAGCCATTTTGACGAGCCTTTGAGGTTGCGGCGGCTCGTCGTCTCGTCGTCTCGCTGATAGGCATTCGGTCTTTCGTCGCTGATCCTCGCCGCATACTTTCTCTTGTTTAGTCGTCAGCGACTGGTGGAGAACTGGGATCGGTCGACACCCTCTCGGGAGAGATACTTTCGCGCGGCGTCCTCCGTAGGCGGCCTACAGCTTAACTCGCCGCCGGCTCATCCGAGTCTTCATTTTCGACGACGGGAGGCTGTAGCGTAATGTCAAGTGCGGGGGCGGGTGCGTGTTTCCAGGAATGGAAGGCACCTTGAAGGTCCAAGAGGAAGGCGCGTTGGAGGACCCAACAGAATGACACTTCACAAGTGAATATTATTGACACGATCAGGCAGCCAGACGCATCGAATCACATTTCAGCTACGTGTAGCATTGGTGTTGCACTTAGCGCCGTTTTCTTCGTAGGTATCACATCGCCAGTCGCGATAGCTGTCAGATTTCTGTAGCTGTCAAACTCCACCCTACTGTCACACGAGACTCAACGTGTCTGCCCGAATGTAAAGAGCTCAGTAGACCATTTGCTAATCGGCATTTTGAGCATCAGATCATCGAGATTGGCCCTATCTTTGGCGTGAACGACGCGGAATAGCCTAAAGACTACAACCATCTTCTCCAGCGAGACGAAAGCCTTGATGTGCTTGTCGTCGAGCTCTTTCAGCTTCTCTGGTACCGCATCATCATCGGGCCTGGATATATGGGTGTATGCGTGCACCAGATCTTGACCGTCTTTAAACCAGGGCACGTTTGCTGGACAAATTGAAGGGCGTCGCGGTCCAGCTCGCCGACTGCGTCACGGAGGGGCAGGCGAAGATAGCCAAAGCCACGCAGATTCACTTTGCCGAAATAGTCGCCGAGCTTGTTGACTAGCTCCACCTCAATCTCCTCACCTCGCTCTCCCGCCTCACATTTCAAACGTCACCAGTCGAACTTCACCGTCAAACTTCACCACCAAACTCCGCCAAACCCAAAATCAACTCATCCAATGGGCATCATCCGCCCCGCCCCCGTCAAGGGCAAACCGAACGGGTTCATCGTGCGCAGCAACGACGTGCCGCACGGCATGTACAACGCGTACCACATTGAGCACGACCGGGCGAACGCGCCCAAGTTTCGCTACGGCGAGGTGCAGGTGCCGCCGCCGCGCGAGTGGTGCTACATCTGCTCTGGCAACGGCCGTGGAGGGCCGCGGCGCTGCGAGTTTGCGCGCGCGCGCGACAGGCCCCGCGTGCGGCGGCCGATTGCGTTCCGCGAGGCTGGAGGCGTGTATCCCGACGATGTGCCACAGGAAGATGTTGTTGAGCAGCCAATGGGCAGCGAGACGGAAGAAGTGGACATCACCTTTTGCAACGGCGGTTGCGAGGCGGGACCCGTTGCCCTGAGAGATGTGACGCCAGCGCCGGCGCCGGCGCGCCGCGCCAAGAGGCTGCCCAAGGCTCTCGCCGGGCCGCGCGGCGCCATCGCCGAGGGGCAGAAACTCGCGTGCGACGCGTCGGCGCTGCCCGTGGCGGCGGCGTGGCCGCGGGCCTTGCAGCCAGTTGCGAATGGCGTCACGAGCGAGGATAAGGAGGTGGCGGACCTGATCCGCATGGGCGTGATCCGGCGCGGCGACGGCGACGGCGAGGACATTGGCATGAACTGCATCCCCGCGCCCGAGACGCCGTACACGCTGCGCGTGGTGTCGGGACGGCGGAAGGGACGGCGGAAGGCGCAGGACTTGCAGCTGGGCGCGGACTGGTGGACGCCGGACGACGAGTCGGTTCTCTGGGATGACGGCGGGTGGGTTAGTCGGCTGGGGTCGGAGGCTAGCGACTTGTCGTCATTTGTTGAGGTTGACAGCGGGTTCGTGGGAGTGTGAGGTGTCGTGGTCTGAGTAATGTAAGCTGGTATGATCAAGAGCTTTGATGACGCACCCACCACTTTTTCCCTCGCACCTGCCTGGGGACCTTGGCAGCTGTTGGCAGTTGAGATACGCAGAGCCTATTTTAGGCCGGTAAAATCGTGAAATCGCCCATGCGCTTCCCATGTGCCAATCTAGCTGCCCGGCCGCCCGGGTCAACAACGTTGAAGCCATCAAAACCTTCAAAAGCCCTGAAAACGCGTTTACCGTGGCGTTTTCCATTTTGACGATTTCTTCGTTGCTGAGTCGGCCTCGGAATAAAGGTAACTTGCAAATGGCAACTCTGAGGCCCAGATTTGTACGTAAATTTGCCAAATTCATGGTAGACGCCCAGTTGCCTAAATGATCTATCTGTTCAATCCTGATTTGTTGACACGGTGATGCAATTCCTTGGTGTTGACTCTATCAATCTAGTAACCTAGTCTATGTCAACCTGGTCACCCTCGCCGCCCTTCCTACGAGGATAAGGGTCATCCTCACGGGACAGCGACAGCCAGCGCGAGGGAGCCGGGGACGGCGAGGGCGAGGGAGCTAGGGAGCTCGAATCGTCAGAGGAAATCTCGATAAAAGGCATGACGAAGACTGTGAGCGGAAAGGTGGGTTGATGTGTTCAAGGGTTGTTTGGCAAAGGAAAAGCCTGCAAAGGCCACCTGGCCGCTGCAGACCTTAAAACACCAACTGCGCACACAAATGCCGGCATGTGGAAGTTTTAATAGTGTCATTTTGACTTTGCCGGGCTTCCTTAATGCCCGGTAGGCCGTTGGGTGGCGGCCATGCAATACGGCATTTTACCATACAAAAAGCGGTCCCTGCGTTGCCAGCTGCTAATGACCCCTAGGTAGGTGCGAGGGAAAAGGTGGTGGGTGCGTGCATCAAAGCTCAGGACCAATACGATCGGTTGGGAAATATCTAAAGGCACCGAAAGGCCGCGTTGGTTGCGGTTGCGCACATACGGCCACCCGCGGCCTAGGCTCTGATGAGCTTAATTCTGTGTTTAATCAACTAGTGCATGTGGCACGCCTAGCTTCCTGTCTTCTTTCCAACATAAGCACTCCTTTTTTAGTCTTTTCTTCGTGCCGCTGTTTGTGACAGAAAGCATGTCTCATGGCAAAAATAGACAGACATCGTTTGCTTGTTTGTAAAGCACATGACGCAGCGTTTGAAACCCAAATTCTTCGCACACATAGACCAAACCCGCCCTCCAGCGTCACCCCTGACACGGCGTCCACAGCGTATCCAAAGCAGCTCGCACTTGCTGGCCCGGTCCATCACCGCCAACCGACCCGGCGTGCGGGAGGGTGTCGTCGAATTCAATCGCCTCGTGGGACAGCGAGATCCACAGCGCCACCGTGACCGCCGCGGTACCGTCTCTGGCAGAGCACCCCGACGTCGCGAGCGAAGACCGCGCGCCCTCGGGCGTCAGGGCCAGCGGCAGGCTGAACGCGCCGTCGTAGCCAACACCATACTTGCCATACGGGTTCTTGGCCGCCGCCTGGTCCGCACTCGACGGATTCTGGCAGATGTGAGCAAACCATAGCGACAGATTAGAACCGAAAGACACTCACCGACGCATACGCGACCCGAACCTGAATCTTGTCCACGAAGCTGCCCTTCTCCAGGCTCAGGTACCCAGCCACGGTCGCAGTCTGGATGGAAAACGCGTAGCCCGTGGGGAGCCCTGCAAACGCGAGGCGCGTCGTGCAGTCGATGTGTCCGGCCGGCGAGTGGCTGATCCGCGCACCGGGAAACACGAGGCTGCCGCTTGCGACGGTGAATGCGCAGCCCGAGGACGCAGCGCTCGAGCGCGTGTCGAGGTAGTCGAGGATGTTGGGCGAGGGGTCTCGGTCGGGTGATGGGGGGAGGACTGCAGACTGCGCGGCTTGTGCTAGGAGCAGCGGCAGCAGTGCGCCGTTGAGCAGCGTGTTGCAGCGCATCTTGGCGACTGCGGGTGCGCGTTCGTAACTGGTGATGCCAATTCGCAAGATTTAGTGAGAACGGGCGGTTATATAGCTGTGCACATTCGGTCGGCGAAACAGGCTAAACAGCCAGTGTATTACGGTTCCCCGAGATTGGGGTTGCATCGTGCCTGTGTAACCTCGGATCTAGGAGGTAGATGCGTATGCTGGCCGTGTTGATGCCGGTGGCTGCGGTGAACTTTGCGAGGGCGGAAGATGATGATGAAACTAGTCGCGATATTCGCCTAGGTCTAGTACTCCGGCGCGTCAACGAACTCCCCATCGTCTTCCTGCTCGTGCACATTGTCGCGCTCGCTCGAGTTGATGCCGTCGCTGCCGTCAAAGAGTATCCCCGTGTCGTAGTCCACAGACTCTCCCTCCAAATTGATTTCGTCAAACCAGTAATCATAGTCGTCGTCCCACTCATCATTGACCAACTCTGGGTTGTCGTAGAGCAGCTGCCACTGATAGCCCACCCAACGTCGGAGCTGTTCGTGTTGGCCATTCGCTTCCAGTCGCGATTTTGTTTCCAAGAATTGTCTCGAACCCTAGCTTCGTCTTCTAATCTCGAGGATCAGGGAGCAGAACGCGAGTGCCTCTGCCTGCGTCGGCCTCGATTGCACAATTTCCAACTCATCCACCAATCTTCTTGTGTATACACCCAGAGATATGTAGCGACTTTCATTACGATTGTCAGGATCCAATCCATCCATCTTGACTGATCGGAAGTATTGGATCTGAGCAAACGTGCCATAATAGGCTGTACAAAATAGTATGGACCTGCCCCAGTTATCGACAACGTCAAATTTTGTTCCAAGCTCGACGAGTTGCCTGATGGCTGCCATATTATTCCACGTGGAAGCCGCTATCAAAGGCGTCACGCCACTATAGTCTGTGAGGTTGATGTCGGCGCCAGCATCAAAAAGTTGGCGTATAATCTCGTCGACGTCGAAATAACCTAGGGCTGCATGTGAACCTATGGGAGTAACTCCCCAGTGATCGCGTGCGTCTGGATCGGCTCCGCCTTGGACCAAAGCTCTAACTTTTTGAGCGGAGCTCGCAAGGTGTAGAGACTGTATTCCGTTCCGGTTCCTGGCGTTGACGTCGGCTCCGTGTTGAAGAAGCAGTGTAATCATTGCAGTTGACACTGAACTGAGCTCAGCGGCGATATTCAATGGAGTAGCTCCATCGGTCTTACGTTTTTGATTGACGTTGGCTCCGTGCCGGATCAGAGTCTCGGCTGCTGAAAGGTTGTCCAGCCTCGCCGCCCAGTGCAGTGGTGAATGACCAGAACTGTCGAAGTCGCAGATTCGGGATGGATCCAAGGCTAGTGCAGCCTCTAGCGTGATGTTAGTATTGCCGAGAATAGCTTCGTGGATAATGGTCGATATTTCCGTCTCGTCCTCGTCACTTTCAGTGATTCGTTGAAAGGTCCGACGTGAGTCGACGGATAACCCCAGGTGGCTCGAACCAATCGCAGTGTGCATGCAGAGGGCCAATCGAGTCACAGAGAACGGGGTCCTTGCCGTAGGTTAGCGGGGACGGTCGGGTCGAGTTGGATTCAATGACGACTCTTACCAGCCATGGGGGTCTGGGAATGAAGTGTCGGGAACTTGCCGAGTACAGCGCCGGCCAGGTCATATCTGTCCATGTAGACCAAGAGCTACATGAATTTGATCACATGTCATGATTATTAGCTTTCATCATTGTGCGCCAGTGAATGAGTGTATTGAGAATGTAACAAAGACATCAAATACTTGAGTTCGCGTTCATTCAATATGCTTTCACCCCTATCGTCGATATCTGTGGAAAGAAGCTCTTTCCTGGCTATCATGTCTCGCAACCAATCAACAAGGTTTAGAAATACAGCGTCCCAGACATTCCGCATGTTTTTGACCCTCGGTACTCGGAGATGTAGTGAAGCACCGGCGTCTGTTAGGGACCCCCAGACTGCAGTGGCACATATGGCGCGGCTGATGAGCCAGTTCGGGAAGCTGTAGGTCATTGTCATGGACTTCCGGGAGGTTGATCGACACGAAGAGATGTTGCAGGTCCTCCGATCAAAAAGTGGAATGCTGTTGTATTGGACGAAAAACGAGCCGACAAGAGACCTCGCCCAGCGTGGAGTTCGGACGGCAGACGACGTGTGGCATTGGCAATTGCAGTACAGGCTGCACTTTTGGCGGACAGACGTTTGAATGTGGACCACGGAAGATGGCTGGCTGGCCACGTACGTCGAAGCATCTTCTGGCCTGGCGTGGGTAATCTGTGATTCCAGGGCATCGAACCGGCTGTGGACGGAATTGAGCCGGTGGTCGACAAGATTGGTTAGTTGCTCTAGGTTCTGCTGCATCCTGTCGAAGCCCCCCTCGACAGTGCTCGTGGATGTTGCTAGGATTCCATGCACTTCCACCAGGAGCCGGCCTTGGTGAATCTGGTGGGAGAATCCGAGAAGGTCGATGCAGGCGGACAGGTTGTCGCGGCAGCGTCTTGCTTTCTCGCGCAGGTCGACAAGCCTTTGCCGCCTCGGCTGCCATCGCAACACTGATATCTTTTGCTGGCCCTTTTTGTTAACACCATTGCTTTTGCGCGCGATGTCTCTGGAGATAGCATCAATCTCGTTGACGATTTGGCTGAGCTCTAGCTGAATTTTGGTTACGGGCTCGACGGCGCGCTGGGGGAGCAGGAATCCAGGCTCGGCCGCGGCTTCCATAGTTCCTCGCAGCTGATAGAGCAGCGCCCGGAGCGAGGACAGCTCGTTGAGCATGTCGCAGAATTCTGCCGACGTGTTTTGTAGGGTTTTTAGCGAGTCGATTCCAGCCCCGATCGCCCCCACGGCCTGGGCAAGGGCGATGGCCGACGCGGCAACGGAGAGAGGGTCCATTATAGACGTTGTCGGCGTGCTGTAAGCTGTGGAAGGATGCGGCTTTTGGCCGAGCGACGGAGGTTGGGACGAGAAGAGCTGTGGAGACGAGAAGAGCTGTGATGGGTGGAGGGAAACTTGGAAAAGAAAGGGAAATGAGGGGGTGCTGTCGCCTCTGCGACGAGTCAGGCACTGCCACGCAGGGCATTTTGGTAGGCAACTCGCAGCCATCCATCTTCACAGAGGCTGAGGCGCGGGGGCCAAGGGCCGACTTTCCAACTTCTCCCGAGACCAAGGCACGCATAAGACCACCCGAAAACTGAACGCAAGGCTCCCGAGAAGCACCAGCCTTCCACTCCTGCAAGAAATCCACCCAGAATTTTCCGAACCATTCTCCCCAAGTCCCCTCACCTTCATCGCGTGTAACCTGACGCCATTCGCAACGCGCGCCCGAACTGAAGTTGGCCCCCCAAAGCTCACATGGTTCGTCTACCTCGTCTAGTAGGGTGCTCTGCACCTTGAGGTCGGAACCACACGCAACTGTTGCATCTGGAGAAGAGCGTACACATTCTGGCTGGCTGTATGCTCTGGGCAACATATCTACACGAACGACCAACAGCGCCCTGGTCTCAATGCCAAGTACAAGAAGTAGACCGTCACCACCCGCTCACGAGTCGGGCACCCTCCGCCCTATGGCGCGACACCAGGCCTCAAACTTGGCCCGCTCGATCATGCCCGAGCCGGCGCTCTCAGCAGCCCAAACATCCTTGGTCTCGACAATGGCCTTGGCAATCCAGCTGCTCTGCGACATGAACAGGCTCCCCACCAAACTCCCCGAGACGCGGCCGGCCGCCGGCTGCTGGTCCCCCAGCCGCATGACCCGGCCGGCGAGCTCCTGGCACTCGGCCTCGAGGTGGCGGAAGCGCGCCGGCGCCAGCGCCACCAGCAGCCGCGCCTTGAGGATGCGGCACGTCGTGTACGTGCCGCGCAGGGCCAAGTGCGTGCCGTCGTCTCCACTCTCGTCCTCGCCGGCCGGAAACGCAGACACGTCGCGCGCCATCTCGTCGTCGTCGTAGGACCCGTGCATCCGCAGCCCGATGCGCTGCTGCGCCATGCCAAGCCACACCAGTAGCCGCGTGCGGTCGCCTAGCAGCCGCTCGATGAGGTCGTCGACAGCTTGCTGCGGCGGCGGGCTCGGTGCGCACACCAGCGCCGTCGTCATCTCGAACACGTGCGGCCCGCCGACTAGGTGGCCCCACAGTGCGAGCACCAGGTCCACCTGCCGCGCCAGCGACGCGTCGCCGCTGATGGCGGCCCGCAGCACGCGCAGCCACGCGTCCTCGGCGAGGAAGCAGGATTTGTTGTTGAGGAACGCTTCGGTTACCTGGGCAGGTTAGTTGGCGCGGGGAGAAAAAATGGGAGGGGAGGAATGGGAGTGAAGGGGAAAGGAGGGAGGGGACGAGGAAAGGAGGAAGAGAGGGGACGAGGAAAGGGGGAAAGGGGGGAAGGGGGAAGGGGGAAGGAGGGAAGGAGGGAAGGGGGGAAGGAGGAAAGGGGGGAAGGGGAATGGGGGGAAGGGGAATGGGGGGAAGGAGGAAAGGGGGGAAGGAGGAAAGGAGGAAAGTGGGGAAGGAGGAAAGGAGGAAAGGAGGAAAGGAGGAAAGGAGGAATGGGGGAAGGGGGGAAGGAGGAAAGAGCTCACCGCCGGCCCGGCATGCGCCGTCAGCAGCGCCAGATCAAACTCGCTCTTGAACCTGTCGACGCCGCGCACCTCAATCAGGCGGGTCGCGCCGCCGACGTGGCGGATCCATGAGACCGGCTTGCCGTCTGCGCTGAGCAGCTGTTCAAGAGGTGTTAACAGATAAGCAATGTCGACGTGTCGTCATGTGTAATCAGGGAGTGTACCTCGTAGACGCCCAGCAGCTGCGTCGCACACAGCGTCTCAGGGGTAAACCGCTGCTCCTCATCATCCAGGGCCACCTGCAGGGCCCGCAGCGCTTTGGTATAATGGCCCAGCACATCCGCTTCCCCTCCCCACTGGCCTACCATCATGTGGCGCAGCTTGGCTACGACGCAGTCGGTGGCATGCGTGAGCGTGGCCACCTGGCCGTAGCGGCTGGGGATAAAGGCCAGCAGCTTGCTGCTCCCTAGCCGCGGCGCCGACAGGAAACTCGGGTCAGGCCCGCGGTTCCTCACCTCCCACGGCGAGGGCGCCAGGCTGGCCAGCCCCAGCCGCAGCCCCGTCAGCGGGGCGAGACTCATTAGCATCGACAGGTCCGACGCCGTCACTAGCCTTGCGCCGCTCTGTGGAACGGGGCGGAAGAGCTGCAGCCTGGTGGCGGCGTCGGTGGGCGGCGACGGGCTGGCCAGAAAGCCGCAGTCTCGCTCGCGCAGTGGGAGGGTCTGATAGGCCTGCTCGTACTTGGTGATGCTGTGGGCGGAAGTGGCCGTCTCGATGCATCTCGGCGTTGGTGTGCCATCGTCGTCGCTGGCGCCGTCTAGGGGGGTTGCGTCGTCCCTGGGCTCGGCCTTGACGAACTCGCCCACGAACACGGGGAACTGGCGCAGGTTGTGCTTGCCGTAGTCGCCGCGCTGCCGCCGCGACGCGGCTACGTCTTTCATGGCGCGCCGCCGGATCAGGCTGCGCGTCTTTGCGTCGCGCGGGAGCCTGGGGCCGTCATAGCTGACAAAGGCGAAGTGCTGCGCGTGCTCGGGGTCCAGCATGGCCATGACTTGCAGGCGAGACTGGGTCGATTTGTCGCTGCTGTCAGTGGTCGTCGGCAGGCCTTCTTTTCTTTCCCAAAGAGGGCAGCGAACGCAAATCACTGAATACTAGCTCTGAGCAGCAAAGTCCGGCTGCAACGCTGCGTCATGATAAGGTTGGGTGAGCCAGGGCTCTAGTGTCCGTCTTAAGTAACCGCTAAGTCGTTGACGTGCGTCAGCCAGGGGCCGCTGCTGCTGTACCGCAGCGGCACGTCCAACGCGGCCCAGACAGTACAGTACAGTCAGCCAGGATACCACGGCCCTAAAGGGGCTTAGTTTCGGCCGTGACACCGAGCTAGCTCTTAGGGGGCGCGCTGATTGGCGGCGGCGCCCTTTCTTGTGACATGGTGCAGACGCTGCCTCAGTGCCTGCCAAGTGCCCTCTCGGCAGGATCTGACGCTGAGGTGCGCGCACTGCAGATTCCCCGTGGCCCGGGCAGGCAAGAAGTCTTGGTCTGTTGGTCATCACCGCCAAACGTCACTCATGTAAGCATGCGCCGGTGCACATCGCCAACTAGATTGCGAATCGCCGCCTCATGTGCCCCGTTTTGGGCACTAGAACCCCGGCAGGCGGAGACGAGATGCCCCAATGTTGCAGACTCAACGTTGCAGGCTCAATGTCGCGATCCGAGGCGTCCGGCCGAGTCTCTCGAACCGTGTTGGCAGATGTCGGTTTAGTAGAGATTGAAACAAGTACATAAAGTCAATCAACCGCCGGAAAGATGAGTCCAAGTCGCAGAGCAGAGCAGAAGCATCAACTCCAGTTTTGAGGATCTCAACACGGCAACAAACGTCTCCGAAACCGCAAATCAAAAAACCCCATCAAAATGGCTCCCACCATTGCTGATCTGACCGAGCGCAACAAGTCTGTCCACCTCCCAGAGCAGCTGCAACGCGCGACTGACAGAACAGGGCGACTCTGGCCGAACACACGCCCATTCCGACCTTTGGCGAGATCCAGGCCGCCAACGGGCCGCTGCCCACGACGCTCATCGGTGCGTAATCGGAAAGAATCCGACTTTCAAACTTCCCCAGCTGACAACCCAGTGACGTGCATGGACCCGCGGTGCATTCCCGAGCGCTACTTCAACCTCGGCGTGGGCGGTAAGTCCATCCGCCCCTAATTCCCCCCCCCTCCCCCGTCAGGACTGACACGCAGGCAGAGGTGGTCGTGCACCGCAACGCGGGCGGCAACGTGCGGCACGCGCTGCGCGACATTGGCATCGTCGAGGAGCTGTTCCACGTGGCCGAGCTGGCCATTGTGCATCACACCGACTGCGGCACGCTGGCCTTTACCGAGGACCAGGTGCGCGGCGGCGTCAAGGCGCGCGTCGCCCGCGAGCACTGGGCCGACGTTGACCGCATCACGTTTGGGGCGAATGCCGAGTGCGTGTCTCTCTCCCCTCTATCTCTTTTGTGGGTGTCGCTAATTAGCTGTGTGCAGCCTCGTCGAGAGCGTCAAGGGCGACGTCGCGTGGGTCCGCGCCCACCCGCTCATCAGCGACCGGCTCAAGCAGGGCTGCCAGGGCTTTGTGTTCGACATCAAGACGGGCGAGATCGAAAAGGTCAACGTCTGATTCGGAGGAGGCGTGCAGGTGGATGGGGTTGGAGGTCTGTAGTTCTAAGCGTGATGTTCCTGTTGGATGTTCCTATTGGAATCACCAGGTACCGGTACTGGAAACAACAGGGCGTGCTGCACGCCGAAAGCTGGTGGTTCAAGTGATGGTCATTGTTGTCTATGTGTATCTAGAAGAAAGAGGTGGCCGTAGGCCACTTATATGGAATCTGGGACCCCTACGCCTCCACCGCCGCCTGTCTGGCTGATGAATGCGTTGCTACAGCCACCTCTATGTGGCTGGAATGCGCGTTGTTCCAACAGTTCCTGTTGAAATGAATCAAATTCTACTCCGTTGCCAAACCAAGCCTAGGCCTCGCTCCAGAGGGACACAGCAAGGTGTTGTTGTTGAATTCAATTCACAATATTGAATAGAGCTGTGATCAGCGTACCCGCCCAAATCTAAATTAGGGATCTTGCCGAATGTACAAGGTATAGAGAATGGCCTTGCAATGTCAGCTGCCGGCAGCCCCATGGGGGAAACGTGGGACGGGGGCTTAGGCTAGAAAAAGGGTCACCCTTCACAGTGATTCAGGTTTGAAATCCCACGGTACAGCTGCCGTCCTATTCCTACGGATCTTCCCACACTGTGAAGGTAGGTGGCTTGGCTTGTTCACTGGGCAGCTGGTCTAATTAACACCTTTCAAGATTGGGGCGATCTCCTATTCACAATACAGGAAGGAAATTCAGCTCGACTCTTAATTGGTCAACTTCACCCCGAATTGTTCAACGGAGGGCCCCGCGGTCGTAGGGAGGTATTCAAGGGGGGCCGTGGAATCCTGAGCGAGAGAACACTGACAAGCAAAGCGTCTTGCAACCACCCATTACATCCCACTTCGAGCACGCTGTGTGACAGACCCCCTGCGAGCACCCGACCCGACGCCGAGTTACAGGCCCATTCCAGCGCTCTCGGGACAACCCAACCTAATAACACGCGGGCCCAGCCTACCTTACCTGGTATTCCCGTCATCCAGCTGACACGCAGCAATTGGAACCTCGAGTCCTTAATCTCGCCGCCTCCACTTGTATCCATGGAGACTCTATCCAGAAGAGTCCTCCCAGACTCCACCCCCCAACTTGTCGACAGCGCCAACGGCAGCGCCAGTGCCAGCGCCAATACCAACGCCATGGCGAACCCGACTGGCCATGATTCGGATGCGGTACCGGCAGGTGGAGACGGTTCCGTGTCCCACTCTGGCTCCGGCTCCGGCTCCGACGACGGCTCCGACGACGGCTCCGACTCCTCGACGGCGGACTCCTCGACGGCGACTCAGACTGCACCCCGACGCGCATCATATTTCGTCGCCGCAGACGAGCTCCCCGAGCCGCTGCCGACCGACGCCGCCATCGCGGCACCCACGCAGGTCCTCAAAGACGTCTTCGGCTGCATGGTGGTCCGCGTCGGCGAGCACTACGTCGCCAAGTACGGCACCCGCGTCAGCCTGACCGAGGGCGAGAACATGCTCTTCGCCCGCGACACGTGCGGCCTGCCCGAGGGCTCTTGGCACCAGGCAAACGAAAGGACGGCCAATCAGAGGTGGCCCGGTGCCAAGAAGGGTCTTGGCACCAGGCAAATGGCCCGGCACGCTAGCAGTGCCCAGCGCCAGGCAGCTCCTTCCTGCCGGGCAAGTAAGAGCTGCGCTCTTACTGGCCCGCCATAATTAAATAAATACGATGACCGTGTCCACGGTCTTAGATAGTTCTTGCTTGGTTCTTCAAGCAAGCAATACACATTCGCTGCACTCATACACTTTGAGTGGCATTCCGATTTGACTGTATTACCCGTGCGATAGGAGCTTGCCCTTTGTTCTATCTTCATAATTACCAACCCCAGCATTCTGTGGAGCCCGTGCTCCCTTACAGACAGACGACCCTAACAGTCGAGTGGTTTGTAATGGTAGAACGACTGTAATAATTTTAAAAACGAAGCTGAAATTCTTAAGGGAAGTATCTTCCAAGCTAAGCTTAGGTTTATACTAAACCGAGATAGTAATAATACGTCGTTAAACTCCGCCTAGCACATGGCTTATAAGTATATAGGAGTGAGGGTGTGTGGAGCAGCTGCTAAGGATATTCTGACTCCGTGCCTAGCGTTCGACAAAGTGAAGTTAAGCTTGCTTGCTGACCTCCCAAAACGACAACAGCGTGGGGACGTTAATGGGTCAAATTTGACCGAGGCTGTAAAAACTATAATAGAAAAGTAAGTAAACACTTTTAATTTTGTTCTAGCTTAAGTTTAACGTATATATAGTACTTACCAGGGTTATTATAATACTTGGAAGAATAAAGGGGATTACCCTTGCAAGAATCGAGCTGGGTTGGAGAGGTGCCCGGGGCAAGATATGACAATATTTACTCGAAATAAGGTAAGCAACTACTCGAGGTCGACTCGGCAGTTGCTAACACCGTCTAGACGCTTTTTGTGGGTTGCCCTCGAAGCTCGGATTCGGAGTCATGGCACACTTTATGGCCTATTATTAATATACTGTACGATTTAATATTGAATAGTTCAGATCATTATGTTAGCGTAGTATAGATTTAGTCGTAGTGCATGCGTGAGCCGATCGCAGAACGCCAAGTCACCTAATACGGGCTCAGCATATGCCGAACACTGGAAAATATAAAAACATATTATTACTTAGCCACCAAAGTATGACTCAGTTTACACTCTATCTTGCTTTCTTTAATAGTTTAGACAAATTAATTTATTGTACATCTTGCTTTAATTGACTTTTTATACTACTTTATTTGCCTTGTACTGAGTTATATATTTTTTATTGGGGCTGCTCAGCATATGCTATGTGGCATGCCGGGTCTCTGCCTGAAGCCGAATGTTCTCGCTGAATGCCAGCTAGCCATCCATCCGACCGACATAGTGTACTGTGGCAACCATCTTTAGCAACGATGGGTATGCAGGCGAGCTATCAACAAACCGCGATAGGGTAGTCGGGCGGCTGAATGCTTGCTCCTGAAAGCCAGGAGGATGGCTTGCTACGCTGCATGTCTTGTGCGATCTCTGGCAGCCCGGTCAAGCACTTTAGGGGCCTGCCACACTTTGCTTGGGTTGGGCTTTGTTACACGGCAGTCGTGTGTTTGCTCCCCGCTTCACGGCTAGCCCGCCTGCACCATGTTCACCGAGAGGTCGACTGACTGTTTGCATGTTGTCGATGGTGCGGTCCAGAGCCAGGGTGCGAGTTCCAGACAGTCTCACCGTGGGCCGTCTCCTGCCTGAACAGGACACGGCCCTGCCGGGCTACTCGCAGGTTTGCGGCGGTCGCAGCTCGCACGTGTACGACGGCGCTATATATTCGGTATTGCCAGGCTGTAGGTTTCAGCTGCTTGGTTGGCCCACCCGTGTTGGACTGTGGATCACAGACCATGGTCCATGGTCTCTTGGGCTGCCGGGCGGGCGCGGGCACTTGTTGGGGCGGGGGCTCAAAGCTAGCTGGGCTTCTGTTTGTTGGGGTTCTCGCGTCCACACCACCATGAGTCCAACTTCGGGTTCCACGGCGTCCGGGTATCTGCTGGAACCCCCCCCCCCCCTTTGGCCACCAAAGGGGCTTAGCCCGGGAAATCCCGCTTTTTGGAGGGCAAGAAAGCCCCCTCCGTAGGGAGGTCCCCAGGAAGGTCCCCAGGAAGGTCCCCAGGACTTTGGTCTTTCCAGGCAACGGAACACAAACCTGTGATTAGACCGAATCCAGCCTCCTCTGCGCCCTGCTTTCCAACACCATCCGGCATCTACGCTCTGTCTCGAATGGCTCCGAGCTAGTTAGCAAATGACGACGCTGGATGAGGGCTGCCATGCCACATACGGACAAAGCGAGACCACTACGAAATTCAAAACAGGGTGCCTGTCTGGGTGGCAGAATACTTCATTCTGCACATACATCGAGCACTTGGTGACCCTAGAAAAGGGCTCGCTTTGCATCTTCTTTTCTCGAAACGTAATATTTCAGATCTGGCAGGTTATGCTACTCTCGCACAAAGCTTTCGTGACGCCATCTCTGACCCGACGACCGGCGTCTCCAAGTACTGAACCGTGCGGTTGCTGCTACGGCGCATTGGCGGTGGCAGGTCTAATTACATAGATAGGTAGCTAGGCGCGATAGTTCAAGGTACCTCGATGCCCCTTTTGTACCTACCTACCCATGGACCACGGCGTGGGATGATATTTCTACGGTCCGTACGGACATGCTCATCAAAATACGATGCCCAAAACGCGTTCTTTCATTTAGCCTAATTAATTTGAGGCCGAGTGAAGGTCTGCATTCTCCGCGCCCAACATTGCACCCAGAGAATCCTGCCACGAGATGCCGCCGCCGGCCGGCGGGCTGGGCGCGCTCTAGAGTCTACAGGCAGGTAGCATGAACAGCGCGTCAAAGACTGTATGTTCTTCAATGCAACTACACACGGTGCTCATGTCCCCTTTATCGGGGTCGTTTGTTGATCGTTGGCATTGTCTCATGCTGCGCCTCACCTTGTCCCCACACCTATTGTAACACGGCAAACGTACCCCTATCAAGGCGCAGTAGTGTGGCTCCCAAGCATTTGAGCACATGCCTCTATGCTCACAGCCACCCTACCGTGCTCACATTGCCCTATAAAGGGTACCCTTCCCCCTATGCTCTCTCTTTTGTATAAATAACTAGACCCTTTCCTTTACAAATGCCTTCAATCTACATCCTTTTCTCAATACAGTTCCCCGGCTCTATTTTCTAGGTCACAGCTCTTCTCAACAACACATCAGAACCCGACTACCCATATATACGAGCAGAGCAAGCAGGGCAGGAGGGTCAAATAGCGCCGTTAGGCTCTAGTCGGCTCGCTAAAGCTGTAGGGGTAATTCCTACGACATCTTAGGTGCTATGTCATTTTATCTTGGTTCCCCTAAGGACTAGGTAGGTCGTCGAGTGCATGTATTCAAATTGAAGATTTACAGCACAAAACGTGGTCCCTAAGATGACAGGTGTCAAGGACCCCGAGGTCAAAGCCTCATACATACTTATATTCAAAAATGAAATATCCCGTGGAGAACTACGTCGTTTCCCTTACCCTTATCCTTCCTCTCCTACTGTTGCTGCTGCTGCTGCTGCTGCTGCTGCTGCTGCTGCTGGTCTCCCGTGGCCTGCTCGCGCGCGCATGCCGCAACGGAGAAGCACAACCAGGAAGCGCGGCGCAGTGCGTTGGCCCAGCATGGATATCGCGCTGCCGTTTGTGCTCCCTCCCCAGACGGAAATGAGCTACGAGCACGGTTTCTTTGCGTAGCCAGGCCTCAGCCACATGGCATAATCACGTGCCGGCGAAAGAAAAAACATCCATCAGACGCCTTAAACAGTAAAACAGAAATCAACGCCCAACCGCCTCCAGATCCTGCGGCCACGGAAAGACAGCAAGCCGCCTCTCCACGCCCCTGAAGAAACACACCCCCGGCAGCCACCGCCTGATGCGCAGCTCGGGTGCCACCACTCGCCCCCCAGCAGCAGCAACAACAGCCCCCTCCTTCCCGACCTCGACCTCGAACGAGACGTGCCGGTCGAGGTCGCTGGCGTCGCACTCATCATCACCTCCTTCGCAATCATCCCGCGACTTCCAACCACCGCTGCCGCCGTCCTCAGGCCGCGACGTGGTGAACGCCCACGACGGCTCGCCGCCCTCCCACGTGCCACCACCACCATCGCCACCGGTCCCATTATCCCACACAAACACAGCCATGTACGGCGTCGTCGCCGCACCACAACCGCCCCAAAGACACGCGAGCCGCAGGGCGCCGCCGCCGCGCGCGACGGCGTCGGCGACCTCAGCCGCCATGACGAGCATGTATCGCTCAGAAAACAGCAATTCGCTTCTGCTCCTCGCGAGCTGCGCGTCGCGGCAGAGAAGCGCGTCTAACTCGTCCGCGAGCGAGACGTAGCCGTGCCGTGCAAGGTATTCCACGAGACAGGCGAGGCTCCAGCGTCCCGGCCAGGCCGTCGACCCATGTGCCTTCTGGCCGCCAGTGGCGCGTGTCGATCGTCTTGTGCAGCCGCCACAGGTGGCCCGACATAGCGATGCCGCGCTCGCCGAGCGCGGGGTCGATGAAGCGGCAGCTTTTGTTGAATGTCAGGCTGTGCGGCGCGCTGGCTGGGGTCTGAAAGTCGCGGAAGAGACGCGACGTGAGGTACTGCGTCGCTGTCATGTCGGTTGCTGCGGCGGTCGCCGGGTGCCCGTTGTGCAGGACCTCGCCGTTGAGCAGGCACAACGCGAGCATCGACAGGCTGAGGCTGGCTGCGGCGCTGCGCTGGAGATGCTGGACGTCCAGGCGTTGTGAATATTGGCAGCAATTGGCGGTGATGGCCAGCCGGTTCCAGCGGTCTTTCATGGTCCGCCGCTCAATGTCGTGGACGATGCGCGGCGTCATGAGGCCGGACGGCGGGACGATGAGCTGGTACCTGCCGGCGGCGGCGAGGATCCGGTCGATGGTCGTTTTTTTCCTTGTTGCCCAGGCCGACGAGGGGCCTCGGTAGCGGGCGATCTGGTGCTGGCAGGCTAGGCAGAGACGGGTGGCCTCCTCCATGAAGTCGACTGACCGGATGCACAGCTCCCCGCGCAGGGTGCCAAAGACGGGATGGCGCTGCTTGACGGGTTCGAGGTGTTCGGCGTGTCGGATGAGGAGAGTCATCCGCGTGCCTCCCTTGTAGTTCTCCTGAAAGACCCAGCCGCGCTGCCACCACTTGTCTGCGGTAATTCGGCCAAGTAACTCGAGAGCGTGCCACACGTGCTTTGAGCTTTTGTGATGCGACAGCCGGATTTTGTCTCCATGCCCCCTGATCAACTCGCCCTGGATGGTGTTCGCGAGGAGCCCCAGCTCGTACGCTGATGTGATCGGCCGCCCCAGCAGCCCGACTGGATGCTTACTGCGCTGGTAGACGAGGTCCATGACCTATATGGCCTTCCGATTCTCGATGCAGTTTTCGTGATCACACCCAGGGTCCGTGCAGTTGGGATCGCCTTGGACAATACTGTGCCAGTCAATTCACAGGAGGTCGACCCTGACTGCTCGCATATAGTTGAAAACGCGGTCCAGGACCAGGTTGCGGACCTGGGACGGTTCCCACCCGGCGCCGTCTCTTCTTTGGAGAGTACAGCCCTGCCGTGGGGCTCTCGTGTGCAGAGGCGGCCCACGTGTACGACAGTGCTACATAGTCGTGGCTAGGCTGGAGGGCGTCTATTTGGTGTCGGTCTACTCGTGTTGAAGCATGACCGCCTAGGCAGCTGGGCAGGCGCAGGCACTCGAGATTTCGGAGAAACCGCAGAAGCCTGGGCTGGGTTGCCCCTGGGGTTTCCGCAATGTCGGCCAGCAGAGAAACAATGGACTGCCGCGCGCACGCGCAATTTCAGACAGAGACTGCCTTCTGTCGTCAAGTTTCGCCATACTTGGTCACCGGTTCTGTCAGTTTGTGTTACTGAATGGTGGTAGCTGAATGGTGGTGCGACTCACTCGAGCTTATTTTGACGCTCAAATCGTGAGTCAACGCTCACGTTACACGGCATCTAGTTGCTCCCGACTGGTTGGTTACTAATCACAATGTTAATTCGAATCATGATGTGCTTGTACTAGGTACATGAGCAGAACAAGACTGCTATCTCCAATCATCGATACGTGCAATTAATTGTTTTAATTTCAAGTGGAACGAAGTTCCACGCTTTTAACTCACCCAATAATTAAAGTAAAATAAGCTACCTGACCAGTCAGGAAGGGGTCAGCTGAACGGATGCCTCCGGCGGCGCCTGCCGCGGGCTGTCCTCGTTTCGCTCGAGGGAATGGGTGACTGGGCCATTTTACTAAGAAATTAGTAAGGACAGCCCCGCTTTGTGGCACAACTCGCCAAACTGTGTCAACTGTGTCAACTGTTAAAACTAAAAAACACAGGAGAGTCATCACAACGTAAACAGCATGGTGTTGAGGCAGAAAAAGTCGATTCCGCCATCTAGGCTACACCCGGAACCAACACCTCGCCAGCGTCAACACGGCGCTGGCAATCCGCCGCACGCAAGGCGCTTGTGACGTCGTTCTTGACCTGGATTTGGTCCAGGGCAAAAGGAACGTCAAACATTAAGCCCTGTAGACTAGTAATGCGTGAGACAGCCATATAAGTAAGCCCTAAAGAGAAATCCCGCTCAGAGATATCAAGCACAGCCCTGTCAAGCGTAGCTCCCTGTGACTTGTGAGCCGTGATGGCGTACGCAATAGCAACGAGGAACTGACGGCGAGAGCATGCCGCATTACCGCTCTGGAAGTCCCGCAAGGACTGGAAGATCGGCACCACATTTCTCGGAATAGCCTCATCGTTAGGGAAGCAAGCCGGGCCGTCATACATGTCCATCTTAACAAGCAGAACAAAGGGAGCCTCGCGGCGAGCGTCTTCCACGTCGGCAGCCCAAGCGATATCATAAAACTTCGGAAGTAAGGACTCTACCCAGCTGAACTTCGGGACAACGGATTTACAGCTATTCTAGCCCTCAATACCAGAATAAATTCTCATAATAATTCGATATTTCGATATTCATGGTCTAATTGTTGGATTTCTAGGGGCAAGCCCCTAGGACCCCTAGTGCCTGCAGCGCTCTTAGCCTACAGCGCTTTCCTTCATACAACTTACGCGTTATATCTACTAATTGGGAAATTGCTCCTTCCTGACACAACCAAGACACAGCAAAGCCGCATTTCACGGCTTAACCTGTCCGAGGTTCATCCGATCGACCAGTCCTCGAGTCCATTTCGACACGGACGAAAACTGGCCAATCGCTGTGCGAGAAACTTTCGGCACCCTCACGGTAACATAGAATACAGCCTCTCTACGCCACCTCCGGCTCGCAAGCTCGCCTACGGTGGCTCCGTTCAGCTGAACAACATGTTACACGTCACCCCAACCACTCACGCCGCAACAACCGACCACAACTCGGCCGCAAACGCGAGCTCGCCGCGCTGGCGCATGCTCTCGGGGTCGACCAGCACGCGCAGGCCGACGGCGTCCGCCCCGAGATTGAAGACGCGGAAGACGACATACAGGGCGTCCGTCTGGCGGTCGTTGGCGTTGTTGTTGGACACGTTTTGCATCTGTTCAAAGTCAGTCAATCAGTCAGTCAGTCAATCAGTCAGTCAGTCAGGCAGTCAGTCAGTCAGTCAGTCAGTCAGGCAGTCAGTCAGTCAGCAGCCCGCCTTCTCAAATTAGTTAGAGAGTACTCACCCGCTTATACTGGCCCTTACTCATGTAGAACGGCGTGTTACACGGCCCCGTGGTCGCCTTGACCTCGACGAAGCACTGCAGGCCTTTGACGCCCGCCCAGACGCGCGCGTCGAGGTAGCCGGCGCCGACGAGCAGGCGCGCCAGCGAGCCGTCGGCGTCGGCGTACGTGATGTCGGCCGTCTCGCGGCCCGTCCACGGCGCCAGGTCTGCGAACTCTGGGTGCGCGGCTGCGTAGCTGCGGATCGTGCTCTGCCAGTTGGCGCGCGAGAAGCCGGGCAGGCGTAGGCGCGAGAGCAGCTCAAAGACCTAGTTTTTAAGCACAGGGTTAATTAGACACGAGATGGTATGGGATAGATGGTATGGGATAGATGGTATGGGATGGATGGTATGGGATGGGATGAGACGAGATGGAAACTCACAAACAGCTCGCCCGCGGCGCCGATGCGCTTGTCGCGCTCCAGCTGGCTCGTCGACCGTAGCCGGTACCGGTCCGCTGCGCCGCCGCCGGCCTCCTCGCCTGCCACATCCAGCAGCGCTGCCTGCACGCCCGGCATGTCGAACGCACCGCCAGACGGGAATGTGGTCCGGCGGGCGGCGGCGACGACCTGGTGCAGTAACGCCAGGTAGTCGCTGTCGGGCCCGGCGACAATCGCATCTGGTTCGGCCTCGTGTGGTGCAGCCGCGACTGGCTGCGGTCTTGATGGCGATGCTCGCTGGGCTGCTGCTTGCGATGCATTCGCGACGGGTACGGCCCCGCGCTGGGTGGCAATGCCTGGCTGACGGAAGAGCTGCGGCCGCGGTGCGGATGCTGCGGAGTGAACCGCCGCCGTGTAAGTGGGAGTGTGCTGCCGGGCCGTCGCCGACGATGACGATCTTTCGTCCCGTCCAGCCTAAAACGAACGGCCGGAAGCCCGCGAGTCGACCGACGACGGCGGCGTCTCAACATCGACCAGCGTCTCGCTGCCACTGCTCGCGGTACTGCTCGAATCGCTGCGCTGACGGCGGGGCGTCGGCGTGCGCGGCGGGCTAACAACTTCCACCGCCTCAGCCTCCTCCACCTTTTCCACCTCGTCCATGGTGCAGTCGAGCACGGCGGCGAGGGGAGCAAAGTCTTCGCCGAGGTTGCGGCGGTCGAGCAGAACAAAGGCGTCGGTGCCGCGCGCGAGCCTGAGGCGGCCGCCCGGCAGGCGCACGGGGAAGACGGCATTATCAACAACGAGGCCCGGCGCGAAGGCGGCGCCGCGGTCGCGCCGCGCGGCCAGGAACGCGCTGAAGACCAGCAGCACCTCCTTGGCCTCGGCAGCCGGCAGCTCCTGCTCGCCCGCGAGCTTGCCGTACACAAGCTCCGCTGTCACGGTGCCGACGCCGAGCATGTCAGTGAAGAAGGCCTTGAGCCCGTGCGCGCCGTCGTACAGTGCGTCGAGGACGTGCATGCCACGTATCGGCGTCGCGCTCGACCAGAGGCACTCGGCGGCGCTGTGCCAGGACACGACGCTATCGCTGTCGGCGGCGAGGACGCAGATGAGCGCCTCGGCGTGGAAGATGTCTCTCATGTTGGCTGCCGCGCTGCTGTCGCCCGCCACCGTGTCGGCCAGGCACTTGTATAGCTTACGCATGTGGTCGAGCTTGGCCTCGGTCTTGTAGACGCGCGCGACGTGCCGGACCTCGTCGACGAGGTGCTCCCGCGTGCAGTCGGGGACGCCCAGCGTGCGCGTGAAGAAGCCGGCGAGCGAGGCCAAGTCGTTCGGCGCCCTCGTATGCTTCCACGTGTCCGCGTACGCGTTCTGCAGCGAGCACTTCTCCCACAGATACACGGGCGCCTCCCACACGCAGTCCTCAAGTTTGGTCCACTCGTGCGTGCCGTCGGCCAGGGGGTACAGGATGCACGGCTCCAAGCGCATTGCTTTCCTACCGACACGTCAGCACCCAGACAAGCACAACTGACAGCTCACACTCACCTGATGCGCTCCCGGCACGGCTCGGGGCTGCCCGACTCGCCGACCTTGGCATCGAGGTACTCGTACAATTCAAGAACACGCTGCTGCTCTACCATAGCCGTCTGCTTGGGGTTGCTCTCGACCACACGCCGCAGCACGGCGAGCCCAAACCCAACCAGGTCCCGCTCAAAACCCAACCCAAACTCGGCCCCCAGCGCCTCCCACTCGAGCGGCCTGGTACCATGGCTCAGCGGCGCGTCGAGCGCGAGCCATGGGAAGAAGTCGCCGCGGCGCAGGAACTGGTCGCCCAGCGCAACGAGGTCTGCCAGCGGCAGGAACGCTTCGCCAAGCGGCCGCAACCCCGTCACATCGCCCGACCGGCACGGCACGCTCACGGCGCGCAGCTCGCGCGCCATGGCCTCGGCCTCGCCCGAGATCATTTTTCCGTATGCGCCCTCCCAGCCCTCGCGCAGCACGCCCACGAACTTGTCCGGCCGGTGTGCCGCCACGTACCGGCACGCGGCCGACAGCACCACGCCGTCGCTGTCCGCAATGGGCACGTGCCGCTGCACGCTGAAGCGCGCAGCCAGCCAGTCGGTCCAGGACATGTTGTCGTTGATGTCGTCATTGACCGGCGGCGGGCGCTGCAGGTACGCGTCGTGCAGGAACAGCGCGTCAAACCCCGGCGCACCTGCGCCTGCGCCTGCGCCTGAGCCGGCGGCGGTGGGCTAGAACAAGATTGCTGGGCCGTACGCGTCGGCCTCGTCGCGTAGGTACACAACGTCGGCGGCGGCGGCGGCGGCGGCGGCGGGGTCGGTGGGCGTGCCGCGGTGTGTGAAAAGGCGGATGGCTCGCGTGTCGTCCGCGGACATGGGCTTCGCCACGAGGTGCTCTGTCAAGTACAGGAAGCGGACGTGCTGCACGGCGCGGGCGAGCGCGACGGGGTGCCGGCGATCTTTGTGGCGCCTGACGATGGCGTCGCGGACGAGGTTGGCTGAGGCGGTCTTGGCGCCCAGCGCGTCGAAGAGTTTCCTGCGGTCGGCGTTGGCTGCGGCCTCGAGGGAGATGACGTTGAGCGCGAGGTCGAGTGGGATGGCGAGGTCGGTGAGCGCGACTTGCGGGAAGTAGACGTCTGCAGGCGCCGCTGCGGCTCCGAAGGGCGGCGGGGCCTTGGCCAACGTTCAGTCGCCGCTTCGTAGCGGGATCAGGGGCAGGTCTGCCACCTCTTTGCAGCGCTGCGCCCAGTTGTTCCGGAAAGGCAGGTGCAGCAGCCGTGCGGCACGAGAGTGCCAGTCCTCGTCGGTGGCCGGGGACTTGAACCTTGACGACGCCGACGCCAGGTCGTGCTTGGCGCGCTCGATGTCATGCTCCATGCACACCTTGGTGAGCCCGAACGGCTGCAGCCGGTCAAGGTCGGCCTGTTTGTAGTGCAGCGACAGGTAGATCTCGGGCTCGACGTCGCGGAACAAAGGCGCGCCGTGCCGGTCGAGCTCCAGGGCCGTGTGCGCGCGCGAGCTGCGCGGATCAGGCGCAGCGGGCGGGCCGGGGCGGCCGGCCGGAGCACGGGAGTCGCCTTGACTCGCTCCTCGATCTTGCCGATGACGTCCCCCCAGAAACTGTCTCAGGGATAGCCGTTCTTGTCGGGGACGTAGCGCATCCACCTGTACTGCAGCGTCTCGTGGTCGCACATCTGCAGCACGCCGCGCACAAACGCCTCGGCGATGCCCGCGGCCAGGCTCACAACGCGCAGCTGGTCGCAGCTGCGGGGGGAACACACCTTGAAGCCCATCTGCTGCACGGGCAGGAACGCAAACGTCCACTAGTTCTCCAGCACCGGCACCGACACCGCCGTCAACGGGAACGCCAGCACGACCTCGCCCCGCTTGTAGGCCCCCGACGCCTCCTCGGCCGCCGAGTAGGTCCGGTGTTCATTCTTGGGCAGGCTCGTGGCCACGTGCCGCGTGGTGTGGTAGTACTTGACCTGCTGCCGGGTCTCGCCGTGCTCGCACGTGGACTTGGTGACGGCGACGCGCGTGTCTGTCTGGCGGTCGATCGAGTACGTAATTTCCGTCTCAGGCTCATCCTCGTCGTCCTCGTCGTCCCCGTAGAGAGCGATCTTGATGCGCTGCAGCTTTTTCATGAACAGCAGGATGGTGTCGTGAATCTCGAGGAACTGCTGACGGATCTCGCCACGGGCCTTTGCGCGCTCGGCATCGGTGCCGTCGTCGTGCAGCAGCAGCGTGATGCGCGTGCGGCACGCGCCAAGGGACTTGCCTTCGTCCTCCCACACGGGCATGATCATGCCCATGCCCGAGTCGCCCGTGCGGTGCTGGAAGAAAAACGAGAAGTGCCCCGACTGGATGTGCGCGCGGTACGCCGTCATAAACACCGACTTGAAGCCGATGCCCTTCTCGCCAATGTAGCCCTGCGCCCCCGTCTTGGAGCTCTTGCCCACGTTGCAGATGGCCGCCAGGTTCTCCGCCGTGAACCCGTCCTCGTTGCACTCGACCACCACGTGGTCCGGGTACACGCCGAACGACACCTCGGGCACCTCGCCGCACCCCAGCGCCTGCGCGTAGTGGTTGTCCTCGGCATTCTGCAGCAGCTCAAAGACGAACCGCGCGTTGCTGGTGTACAGGTTGCGCGCCAGCCTGCTCGGGTTACTACGAGCGCGTTTGAGGGGGAGCGGCAGGGCTTACGTTGTCACCGAGGACGCGATCAGCGTGTCCTTCATCTTCATGGCGTTCTCTACCTCAATTCGGTCTTCCTCCGGTATGCGCTCCAGGATCTCGGTCGGATGTAGCCGTGTTTCTTGGAGATGCCCTCGACCAGCCGGTGTGCCTCCTCGCGGGACGGCGGGTTTGATGCCGGCATCTTTGATTGCTGTCGTCAGCGACTCGAGCCAGTTGAGAAGCTGATGCGGAACAGGCTGAACGTAGGCGATCAAAACATGAATTGATGTTTGGCAACTCGCCTGCCTTTCCAAGAGGTCGAGCTTGATTTAAAGACTGCCGTGCTGACGGCGGTGATCGAAGCTTATATATTCTCCACGGTAAATTGAGATGGTTGTCCCCTTCGGGCGTGGCTAAGCCCCAAACACCAAATGTGCAAGGTGACAGGGGCTATTGAGCTTCACCGACGGCCTCGTTGCGCTCGCGCGCGGCTACAAGAAAAACAAGAAAAAATAATACGAAGCCCTGAAGCAAAAAGATTAATCGTATTTATGAAACGGCAGCAGTCGGTTCATTCTCCTTCTTTTCTTTTATTCGATTCTTTCCCGGCGTGGGTGTTGATCGTCGACATCGCCGTGTGCTGCGCCTCACATTCAGAGTTTGGTAAGCTCCGTTACGACTCCTGAGCTCCTGCTTCTGGTGACACACCACACCTCTTCAGTACATCAACTCCTACTCCTCCTTCAGCGCCTCATTGGCGGCTCCTCCCTGCTGCGAATCTGAAACTATGTGTTTAGGTTCCTCACAGCATATCGTCGGCCGGCCCACGCATCCCGAAGAGGAAATGCGCCCACCGGGCCGGTCCCCAATTGGCCAAAACAGAAACACGGATTGATGCTGGTAAATCAGCGGGCGATTGCCAGCTTGGGCGATGCAGTGATCAAACGCACATGAAAGCGCTTGAAAAAAGGGAGAAAAGGGCGCATTGAAAACTCCAGCTCTTCTGTAGAGGCGTGATGCCATCAGAAGAGAAGATGATGTATTTAGGAAGCTAATTAGGTTGCAGGACGGTCTCTAGCTCGATATGTGTCTCAAAGGGCTATGCGTTGCTAACGTAACAAGCTCTGTTGATGAAATCTTTTCGGAGCAAAGGGTCCATGAATTTGGGTGCATGCGCGGTGATGAGTGTAAGCCATCTCACTTTAGTGGCAAATCTGGCTGTGGAAATTGCTCCTTGAGAAGACGAGAAAAGGAAAAGGGGCGATGAAGCTAAGCTGATGTTTCTATTCCTAATCCTCCGCAATTGAACAAATGAAAAACAAAGAGAGTGAAGCCATATCAATCTGTTCGACTGCTGGTAAAAAGTGATAAGGCGGTGGCCGAGGCAGTCTGCCGTCTGCAAAGCACAACGAGACCTTATCAACCTGTCGGCAGGCAAGTTAAACAGGCGCATGGGTATGGTCAAGCCAAGTCCAGCTACGACTAACGGGCCTGGGTCGTACTTGGTCTATGTGCTCGTTCATAATTGCCTCGGCTTCTTCAAACAGGGTGTGTCACACTTCATGATTTTCCCAGTCGTCTGCCCCCTCAAAGTTCTCAGTGACCCAAGGGTGCCAGTTCAGGTTCCCCATCTGATCCATGGTTTGTGTCTGGTAGCCGGCTGACTGCATAGGGGGCTCGTACGTCAAAGGCCACTGCGGGCTGTCGGAAAACTGGTCGGGAAAGCCGAACGGCAGCGGTTGCGCGTCGGGCAGCTCCGTCTTCTGGACCAGCAGCTGTTGGTGCAGCTGCGCCGCTTTCTCTCTGTACTGGCTCAGCTGTATTTGCAGATGAAAAATATGGTTTTGCACAGCGTTCGGGTCTGAGAGGTCGCTGATCATGTCTATTCCCAGGCCTTGGTTCTGACCCAGCATTTGCCACTGGAGCTGGAACCTATTATCCTCTACCCCTGAATCCGGAGCCGCTAGCGGCGTGTGGAACCTTAGTCGGCTTGCATCAAGCGCCGAGCAGGACGCGTCGCTGCTGCTGGAAGACACAGACGAGGTCTTGCCCCATATTTGTGAGCGCGCCTTGAGGGAGAATCTGGGAGTTGCTGATGTTATGTTTGGGATGGGGGGCTTCGCTGCTGAGCAGGGAGGAGGCTCGGGCTGGGCTGAAGTCGGGTTTGGACCGTCCGCGCCCCCCTTGCACCGGATCTTGCGGTCAAACTGGTCCGTTACTTCGTTGAACAGCTCCACCAGGAGGCTGTCCAATTTAAGAGGGTCCTCGACTGCGGCGTGCCGCGATCTTGCCTCAAGGAAGCGAGGGATGATTTCAGAGCCCTGGGCCGTAAAAAAGTCACGCAGCATGCCCATCGTCTCCTCCACCACGTCCCCGAGAAACGGCCTCGCCGGCCTGGGGGCGTCCTCACCAAATATAATGTGATAGACGGCATACCACTGGTCTTCGGGCGAGAGGGTTCTGTCCACCTTTCGCCTCAAGAGCGCCTGCGCCTTTTCCGACACGACTTTGGGCTTCTTTTCGGCTGCCGTGGGCTTCTGGAGCTGGCAGAGCTGAGAACGGATGTGATCGTCTCGCTGCTGGTCAGACGAGAACTTCTTGAAGCAGATGGGGCACTGGCAGGGCGGCGTGTAGTGCCGCCGCTGGAGGTGCTGCTTCAGGTCGCGGATCCGGCTCAGGTTGAAGTTGCCACAGTCCTTGTGCGCGTCCGGGTCCGATCTGTAGAAGGGGCACGCAAACCTCGGCGTTGCATCGTCTGATCGGTCGCTTGGACGGTCTTTTATCCGTTTGCTCATTGAGCAGTCGCTGTCGTCGGAGCCCTCCTCCTCTCCGTGCTCAGTTATAAAGTCACGGGCAAGGCCTGTCCATTTACGTTTCCTTTTCCCCCCTGATGCTTGGTCTCCCTGTATTAACGGACTGGGGAAGCTTGTGGGTAGTACTCTTGTTGGGATGGCATCATGGCCAGGACTTGAGAAAACAGAGCTCCCGGCCGGACAGTAGCTAGTGGGCTCCTTAGCCAGGGGCCTAGGGGAGGCAACGATTGCATGGCTCCCGCTCCTTCCCAACGGCCCTGGACATAACCCCAGTCTTTCCACGCTTGAGGCTAATATGAATGAATGTGGGTAGTTGGGCGATACTAAAGCTCGACGTGCGGTCTCCTCTTGATCTAAACTGCTCCCACAGCCATGCATCTCAGCGGGTATTATCTTCACATCTATATTGTTTCTTACAAGCTGTTCGCTCGATTGGCCGATATAACCTGGATTGCGGTCCACGTCGTCATGTGGCCCTGTCGTCATGGTCAGCTGTTGCTCACAGACGAATGCTTGTGACATACCCCAGCCAACTATCTCGGGGCTTTGATCAGAGTCAAGCGATGAAGTGGAAATGACGTCGCCGTTGCTGAAGACAGGCGCAACCTCGCCCATGCTGTGGGCTTGCTGCCCGCAGTCCATGTCTCGATGTGCCGCCATTGCAAGGACAATTAGTGGATGTTGCTAGGATACCGAAGTCATCGCGGGCCTGACGCGGCTCTGCGACATGGACACCAATCCTGGACAGTCTTGCCACGGTTCGCGATATTTTCAAAATACAGAGTTTGGACGGTCTTGGCAGTTGGAATTTCGGTGAGATTCTCGCCTTTCAGCAAATGTTGGGGAGTCTGCCTTGTCCTAGGGGCGTGGCGCACATTTGTGTCGGCGTTTTTGCGAACCTGAAACAGCCCCCTGTTAGGGTGTGGGCGTATCAATCAGTCCAGGCCCAACAACAACAAATACCGGATTCGGAGACTGCATTGCGCTGCAGTATAAAGCTGAAATATCCGCACTCTACCAACTGATTGCGCTTTGATATGAAACTCACATGTGCGTTAAATCTGTAAGCCATTGTTGAGTCTCACTCTCTGCCTTTCAATGTGATAGGTAGGTACCTATGGCCATAGACTATTTGACAGGAATCTTGGATAGCTGGGAAAGTTTAGTGACATGGCCGTACCGTCACTTGGAGAGATGGTACTTAGCAACAGCCTAGATTGACAGCCAAGCGAGACAACTCACCTCTAGTGTAGAAGAATTTCCTAAGCCCTTGGGAATTAACAGTTCTGCATCGTGATTTGAAGCGTTGCTGATTCATACCCACAACTCTGTCATCCATTGGCCAATAGCATGGCCAATGGCCCGCTAGACACACCCCAGGGTCGAGTTTGGGGTCCTAAACAGCGCCTTGGGGATAGCCTCACATTTGTGCGACCCCGAGGCGCGCAATTGTACCAGGCTGGGGAGGCCTCGGAGCGTCCCCGTGCACGGCCATGTTTACCAAAACGGCCCATCCTCCCTGCCCTCCGATGGTGCCAGACCTGCGCCAGTCATTTTGCGGAGTAATAATATACCTCCGCGACTATCACATACAGCTCCGTCGACTGTCTAGACACCTACCTCCCGTGTCTCAATTACTGCCGTCACCTTAGCTGTCATGGGTTTCAGCAACTTCTTCGTGATGTTGAGGGCCAAGAGCCGCTCAAGCAATAGGCTTCAGAAAAAAGAGCACTTGTCTCTGGCTCTTTCATCCAATGCCTGCAATGCGCTCAAAGGTACGCGCACGACTTCGCACAATTAGTCGCTGTTGACAATAGAGCCTAACTCCTTTATTACAGAGACTATTGCGGTTGTGGGCACTCAAGGGTCGCAGCTGAAGAACTCCCCCGCGTCCCAGTGGACGCTCACTGTGCCGCCTACTATCCCAATCGCATCAGCCGCAGGATGCGCAGGTTCGGCAGAGACCGCCTTGGCGCTGCTGCACCACTCCAGCGGCAACGCACCGCATGTCCAGGTCTTCTCGGATGGCAAGGTCGTCGCCATCTGGATTTTGCAGGCGGCTGGAGTCTCCGGCTTGTCTCTCCCGGGCGGCTACCAACTCCCCCGGGCTCCGGGCCGGGCTCCGGGCCGGCCACAGGCACTCCCCGCCGCGGCCGCAGCAAAAGCCACGGGCGCTCGCAGCAGGAAAGCAGCCAAGACGCGCAAGAGAAAGGCACGTCATCCCGGCGAGCCTCAAGACGACAAAGACAGCGACGACAGCGATAGAGAGCCTGACGACCCCCAAGACCCCGAGGGCCCCGAGGATGCTGCCGACGAGCCCCGGCGTGGCCGGAACTTCGCCTGCCCCTTCTACAAGCTGAACCCGCACGAGTACGCGGACTGCTGTAGGAAGAAGCTTAACACGATCTCGCGCGTCATGCAGCACTTCAGGCGGTGCCACGCCATGCCCGCCGAGACGCGGGGGTACTTCCACTACTGTGCACGCTGCTTCACGCAGTTCAGGGATGACGAGGAGAGCATCTGGCGAGAGCACTGCGTCGCCTGCGTCACCGTGGAGCCGGCTCCGGACGACCTGTTCAACAACGAACTCGAGGAGCTGCACCGCCTGTTCGAGACCAACTCGCGGCTCCCGCCACCAAGACGGTGGTACGAGCTGTGGGACCAGGCCTTTGGCGTGTTCGGACATGCCCGCCCCTCCTCCCCATACGTTGAGCACGGCGTCGCCGAGGTGATTGGACTGATCCGCTCCCAGGGCGTGGCCAGGCTTGCCGCTCAGATAGATACCGTGCTTCAGAACCACTGCGTCTTGCCGGGCCTCGCCCCAATGTTCCGGCGGTTTGCGCAGGACGTTGTCGACATCATCTTGACGCCGCCGGCCCTTGTAACCAGGCGAACCACCCGGCCGGCCGCTGCGGCCGGGCAAGCCCCCCCGCGCCTACCTTCGCCCGCCACCGCCTTTGTCGATAGGCCCGAGGGCTCCGAGCAGCTCCAAGATGCCAGGCTATATGACGACAGGCTGCATGACATCGTGTCGTATGGCGACGAGCTGCCCATCGACCCCGCACTTGATGACGCCGTGCTAGGCCTGCAAGGGCATCCCGATGGGGCTGGTGCCCATCTCGACAACAGCGGCGAGGCATCAGGTCCGTCCTCTGCGCCGTAGATGATGTCTACTGCCCTATGCCAGTCACCCGAACGCCTTTGACCCAGCCTCGTATGCTCCAGGTCTAGCCTCAGATGCATCAGACCCAGCCACAAACGATTGAGGTGAGATCGCTTACCCTTCCCGCCACTCCAATGGCACTGAGCTAACACACCAGCGCCGAGTTAGATTGACTTAGCCCTGTTTGTTCCTGTTCGTATGCCCCTTTGTCAGCGCGGCTGTCCGGTTTCCTTTTACGTTTCTGTTTTTATCGTAGCGACGGAGCGTGTCAATTTGGTACGAGTAAAAGCCTACATGCACGGCGTCTTGCCTTTACTCAGCTGGGCAGCAGTATATCCAGTGTTCACAACCATAGACTGGGCCGGCGATCAGGGCCATGACTTGACCTACGGCGATAGACTTAACAAGAAAGACTTTATTGGATAGGTATATAGTGATCCGAGATGAGAATAAAAGGATGGAGGCAATAACTGCCGCATTAATCAACCCAAGAAATGAGAAGAGAGGTCGTTGGACTGACTCTCAACTCTCTGTCCCACTTGGAAGCCAGCCACATGTACGTCTCAATCAAGAAGAATAACAATGGTTGCCGAAGAGTAACAAGAGCGTCCAGCAGCCACATCCTCACGACATCAAGGTCAGGTATTCTCGAATAACTGCCGCCGGAGGATGACATACGCAGGGATTCGTATGTCGAAAGTGAAAGGTCGCCAACGCGCTAGCATTCTATAGTCGGAAAAGGAGAAGATATAGTTCGTCACGAAATGAAGGTGACGATGCCTGGACGGTGAGAGAAAAGTGCCACAAGGGAAACGAAGCTTTCGAACTGGCTTCTGTAAAGGCTACGCACTGCTTAACGCAGGCCTAAAGTAACACAATAGGGAATGGTTCTGAACAGTTCCCATTCAGCTAGGTACTATGCTTCCCCATGAAGACCTCTGGCGCGTACGCACTTCAGCTATGTGGCTGATGGAAAGAGGGAGAGAATGGCAAAGAGGTGGCTTGTCGGTTAGGTCGGAGCGTACACCAAAAAAACATTGCCAACGCCGTCACCGCCACAGAAAGGCGAGTGAAAAGCCCAAAGCCACTTAAGCTTTCAGTGCTATGTATGCTCTTGATTGATCCTTTCTGAAGCGGCGATGGTCGACCTGAGGTTACGCCTTCCACAGCAAAACAGAAAGCATCCGATAGAAAGATAAGAGGCGGCGGGCACTAGTGGGCCAAAGGCTTTAGGAAAAACGGGATGGGGAGATATGGATGTTCTAGAAAACAATTGTCAGCGGGAGATTGAAGTTGGTCACAAAAAAAGCCAATACCATACCCCACCCCCCAACGGATCAACCTAGCAGTGGATTACCCTTTTACACCAAGACACTCCCTTTTTGAACAACAATAACGTAGCCAATTTTGAAGCTGTTCGCAAGTAGACACTTGAGCTAGTCACGTAATTGAATTTAGTTTAATCTTTGTATGAATTTGTCAGCCCAGAAGCCGTACTTCTTTTGCTACATTATCGCAAAGTAACTCCAAATTAACTCCAAATTAGCTTCCTGACATTCTTCTCCCCTACCTTTGAGTGTGAATTGCGTCTTGTACTACCACAATGTCTGAACAAAGTGATAATATGGTCAATGCGTACCTAGACGTCACAGACAATCAGCTTCCTATTCGTCAATTGGCTCAAAAGCATGGAGTTCCTTATATAACGTTGAACCGACGACTCAACAGTATCTAGCATTGCTTCAAGACTCTGTAAACTGAGTGTAAAGAAGCAGGGCAAAAAGACCCTGTAGGGAAAAACTGGATTTCTCGCTTCAAAGCTAGAAAGCCGACATTCGAGCCAAAGTAAGCAAGAGAATGGAAGGCGCTCGCTTTCACGGGTTTACTCCCAAAGCCGCCAACTGGTGCTTCAATATAAGGGAGAAAGAATACGACTGGATCAGGCCTAAGCTCACCTTCAACGTCGATAAGGCCGGCATTATAGCGGGCTTTGGTGAGTAAATAATGCCTAGTTATATTATCTATTACTTATACTATATAGGGCTTGATTCATTGGTCTTAGGGGATGTAAGGAAACCACCCTCGTAACCACCATGGCCACCGCCACCAGGGCCACCCTCGCCACCATCGCCACTATCGCCACCGCTAACAGGGCCACGCACTAACGCCACTACCACCCTGGCCACGCAAGGATGACTCGTAACCCCTTTCACGTGTATATAGACCATGGCCTTCGCACACCTCTTTAGCTCAGTGTTACGATCCTGGTTCAAAGGTGCAGAGGGCGCTGCCCGCCTTCTCTGGATTGGCTGGAACAGCATTTAAGGTGGGGGGCTCTCGCTCAAGGGTGCATCCAATGAGGGAGTGCTCAGTGGGGCCATTGCCGAGACCCACTGAGCGCACTAAGCGGGGAGCTCAGTAGGATCAGTGCCGAGACCCACTGAGCGCACTGAGCGGGGAGCTCAGTAGGGATCAGTGCGTCTAGGACTGAGCACGACTGAGCATGTGAGTCAGGAACTCTGATTGGTCCTCCTTAGATAGATATATACGACGACCGTAGCCACGGTCCTAGATAGTTCTTGCTTGGTTCTTCAAGCAAGCAATACACATTCATTGCACTCATACACTTTGAGTGGCATTCCGATTTGACTGTATTACCCGTACGAAAGGAGCTTGCCCTTTGTTCTATCTTCATAATTACCAACCCCAGCATCCTGTGGAGCCCGTGCTCCCTTACAGACAAACGACCCTAACAGTCGAGTGGTTTGTAATACTCAGGCCAGGTTGAAGTCTTACGCCAATACCAGTCATTGCTCGCCCTGCTTGTTGCTCCTATTGTGACCACCTTGATCAGGCGTACCTACCTTCTCTTACAGGGGACATCAGAGACGAAGAAAGCCTACCTAAAAAGCGACCAAGGTCGAGGCTGGTCTCCACCATCATCGAATGCATCAGTGCCGGGGGCCTCGTACTCGACCCGGGCATCATTTTTAAAGGGAAAGGCCTTCAAACATCGTAGTTTGAAGAGGAAATGTAGAAAATCTGCAACTGGCGCTTCTTTACTACAGAAAAGGGCTGGACTGATAACCACATAGCGATCAGCTAGCTCGAGGATATTTTCATTCCACAAACCGACAGGCTCCTGGACTACGAGAATGAGGCTCGGCTGCTTATTCTTGATGGCCACGGTAGCCATATAACTCTAAGAGATAAGTCCCGTACGCTCTTTCATCCAGTAATCTCACAATATATATATATAGGACGACTTCATGACGATATGCGGCCTGAATAATGTACATCTTTGCTTCGTACCGGCCCACACCTTTCACGGCTTACTATTACAAACCACTCGACTGTTAGGGTCGTCTGTCTGTAAGGGAGCACGGGCTCCAAAGGATGCTGGGGTTGGTGTTACGATCCTGGTTCAAAGGTGCAGAGGGCGCTGCCCGCCTTCTGTGGATTGGCTGGAACAGCATTTAAGGTGGGGGGCTCTCGCTCGAAGATGCATCCAATGAGGGAGTGCTCAGTGGGGCCATTGCCGAGAGCCACCGAGCGCACTAAGCGGGGAGCTCAGTAGGATCAGTGCCGAGACCCACTGAGCGCACTGAGCGGAGAGCTCAGTGTGACGAACCTGGTTCGTACTGGACCAGCTGCAGGAAGCGGGCGCCTCAGGCATGACTGGGGACCCCGCCCGTCAGTTGAGCCAGTCAGACGGTGCCCGGTGCCAAGAGGGCCCTTGGCACCAGGCAAACGGAAGGACGGCCAATCAGAGGTGGCCCGGTGCCAAGAAGGGCCTTGGCACCAGGCAAATGGCCCGGCACGCTAGCAGTGCCCGGTGCCAGGCAGCTCCTTTCTGCCGGGCAAGTAAGAGCTGTGCTCTTACTGGCCCGCCACAATTAGATAAATACGATAACCGTGTCCACGGTCTTAGATAGTTCTTGCTTGGTTCTCCAAGCAAGCAATACACATTCACTGCACTCATACACTTTGAGTGGCATTCCGATTTGACTGTATTACCCGTGCGATAGGAGCTTGCCCTTTGTTCTATCTTCATAATTACCAACCCCAGCATCCTGTGGAGCCCGTGCTCCCTTACAGACAGACGACCCTAACAGTCGAGTGGTTTGTAATACTCAGTAGGGATCAGTGCATCTAGGACTGAGCACGACTGAGCATGTGAGTCAGGAACTCTGATTGGTCCTCCTTAGATAGATATATACGACGACCGTAGCCACGGTCCCAGATAGTTCTTGCTTGGTTCTTCAAGCAAGCAATACACATTCATTGCACTCATACACTTTGAGTGGCATTACGATTTGACTGTATTACCCGTGCGATAGGAGCTTGCCCTTTGTTCTATCTTCATAATTACCAACCCCAGCATTCTGTGGAGCCCGTGCTCCCTTACAGACAGACGACCTTAACAGTCGAGTGGTTTGTAATAGTTGGTAATTATGAAGATAGAACAAAGGGCAAGCTCCTATCGCACGGGTAATACAGTCAAATCGGAATGCCACTCAAAGTATATGAGTGCAGTGAATGTGTATTGCTTGCTTGAAGAACCAAGCAAGAACTATCTAAGACCGTGGGTACGGTCATCGTATATATCTAACTGTGTAACCAATAACAATGGTCCCACTGGCCCGTGGTCCCGAGACTTGCGGTCTCGGGACGCCGGGCGCGCGGGACACTGTCCCGCGTCCCCGACCTTAAGTGGTCCCGAACCTCGGGACCCAGGGACACTCCTAATTGGTTCTTTCCATGGGACGCTCCTGATAGGTCCACACCAAACTGAGCGTGCCCCACTATTGCGCATTTCGACAAGGATTCGTACAGCACCGTATTGAAGCCCTGGAGGCTCAACTGGAACGTATTAGGCCCCGAAAACGAAGGAAAATTCCTAATCCTAACAAGCGGTTTATGGACCTAGGGACTATACTACTAGGCGGTGAGGTTCCCGCAGGGCCTCAAGCAGAGCCTCAAATTGAAGAGGTGGATGATGAAGATGAGGCTGAAGAAGAGTTGCTTGCAAGACTGACAAGATCTGGCCGTGCACTTCGTGTGCTAGCAAAATATATAGATTGAACAGTCAACTAGCTACATTGTGCCATATTTAGCTTGTAAATAGCTTCACAATTGAGTGCGCTGTTGTTGTTCAAAGATGTAGTGTTTTGGTGTAAAAGGTGATCCACTGCAGGGTGATCCACTGCTAGGGTGATCCAGTGCTAGGGTGATCCAGTGCTAGGGTGATCCAGTGCTAGGGTGATCCAGTGCTAGGGTGATCCACTGCTAGGGTGATCCGTTGGGGGGTGGGGCATGGTACCCAGCCGAAGCACGAAGCACAAGTCCAACACGAAAGGTTCTCGGATCCGGCTGAGATTTAGTGCACTATTCGCCACTCACTCCCCGGACTCGTCGACCACCTTGGCCATCAAATCCTGGAAAACGTGAGAATATAGTGCGGCAAACGCGTCGCTGTCCGGCTCGACGTGCCAACCACTGCTAGCCAGGTACTCGGCGATACACCTGTAGCCGTGAGTGGACCAGTAGTCGCGCAGAAGGGACACTGTGCGTTCCAGGCCCTCGGTGAGGTACGGCGAGCAGCCGTACTCGTCGGCGTCGGGACAAACGGTGGCAAAGACGCGGCGCCAGCGGTCCTCCTCGGTGGGTGCGGTGGCGGCCGAGCTGGCGGCGCGCTTCTGCTGCCTGGCCAGCGCGGCCATCTGGGCCCTGGTAACGCCCTCGATAGCGACGGGCGGTAGCGGCGTACAGACGCGGGCGCGCACGTGCGCGTCTCGTCCCGTCGCCGACACGAACACGCCGTTGCAGAGGGGGCAGTATTCTGGCTGCCGATGGTGGCGCTGCAGGTGGCGCACCACGCCGCGGATGCTCTGCAATCCCCTCCCGCTTCGGTGAGAGGGCGCGAAGAGGCACGCTCCGTGCCGTGCCGGGTTGGCGCGGTAGAACGGGCACGCCAGGTGGTGGTAGCCGTCGATGGGCGAGAGGATGTAAAAATTCGGGTTGCTCGGGTCGGGGGCCTCGACGTAGCGGCGCGTCGTTGTTGCGGCGATCCTGGTGTTGCGGCTCCTCCGTCGTGCGCGCTGACGGACGCGCTGTTCGGGGGGGACCATGTAGCGTGCCGAAGCCATCCAGACGCGAAACTTTAAGTGGGCAAACAGCACAATGGCGAGGCGCAACTGGGCGTAGTCGTGGTCTGACAAGCCCAGAGCTTGCGCGGTTGCGGCGCTGGAATCTTGGAGAAGGGAGTCGCCATTATCACTTTCCGAGTTTGAGTCTGATTCCGAATCCAAGTCGCTGTCACCGCTCGAAGAAAAGGTGCTGGTGCTGCTTTCCGAATCTGATGCCGCCTGGAAGCGCTTTGCGGGGCTGCTGTGGGGTGCTCTGCGATGCTCAGATCTGCCCCGCTTGGGTCGACTTGGCGGGACATGGTAGAAGTCGTCGTCCGAGGAGCCCTGCGTACCCTGATCTCGAACTGGCGGTCCAAGTAGTGGACTGGAACTGCCTCCCTCGCCGCTGCTTGGCTTGTTTTTAGGGGATCGGGCATGGGTGCGGCTCGAATAGGTCTCGGTGTGCCGTGGCTTGCTCGATGGGCGTATGGCATCTTGTCGAACGGATGGTCCGTCGGGTTGCAGGGATGGTAGTTGTTTGGGTTTATTGCTGCAAATTGGAAGACGCCGCTGTAGCGTGGGTGCATCGTGGTCACAGTGGCCAGTGATCTCGGACATATTGAAAAAGCCCTTTCTGCAAACGCACTGAAGAGGGTCAGCGTGATCCCCCCGAATCTTGGGGAGTTTGGAGCAACCCTAACCCTAGTTGGGCGAGCCGTTCGAGACTGCGGTGGAGGAAACTGCGTTTGACGGTGCGAAGATGCTAACTTGCGCCTCAATTTTACAAGAAAGCATTGCAGAGAAGATAGCGAGATGACCGGTCGGTTTTATTCATTAGATCCTCCGATGACCGAACGCGAAGAACGAAGACGGCCTTCCTTGTCCAGCGCTGAACCCTGGCGCTCCCTGATTGGCTGCGCTCAACGTGACACTGACATCGGGCGACGGCGCGTCAAGCGCACAGCACAATTGTGCTCTTCATCATCGAAAGACAGCAGCGCGGCACTGGTATCCCATCAACGCCACTGTCTCACAGTGCGTTAGGATTTAGTTTGCTCACCCCTTCATTGCCCAAGCACAACTGCGGAAATTTCGCGGCCAGGCAGCGCTGAGGATCCCACCATTGCTGTCATCAAGGCCTCTCGGTTTGTCCAACTCCGAAACATGCGAGGCAAGAAATACAAATGCCAATGGCAGAGGTAGGCCGAAACTATAAATGCACAGGAATGGGGCACTGAAACGTCAGCGGCTCAGCTGACCGAGCCGCGGCTAGGCCTCTGGAAGCTTGATGTTGGAGTCGACACAAATGTGCAGACGCAAGATCCTTTCGCTTTTTGCGACATTGGCAATTCGACATCCACACGTTTGGAAATTACCCTGCCTAATTAGTTCCAATCTGCCCTTAACTAGGCAATGCCTGCGCTCGAAAGTCCCATTTTCTCAAATCTTCCCATCCTCTTCCTCGGTCTACGTCCCCATCCACGATTGAGCCATGTGCCGCCCCGTCCCAACACTTACCGAAAACAGGCAAAATCAGCGAGGTTCAGCCCTCGTGTTCCTCATGATCCCACCGTTCTTGCTCATCTACTCGGGTCTCACCAATGCGCATTTGCGATTTCATTTTTGACTCCCAGTGGCTTGCTGCCTTGAGCATGTCACCGGTAGGCCTAGTGACGAATATTCGCCTGCTAGATTTGCCAGCCAATTACCTCAGCATCTCACCAAACTTGACTCATAGCGAGTGAAATTCCCTGACATCATCACGACCGACGACCTCAGATGCACTCACTCATCTCGACACTTGGGTCTTTGCTTCCTCCGTAGTGCTTGATTTGAACTCGAATCAGCGACTTTGCAATCTCTGTTCACTCTCTGTGTCATTAGGTTTACTTCTGCGACGGGACCGTCTCGGTGCACCACTTTTGCGTTGTTCTGTTTGGGACTGGCATCAACGTAGACAGCCATCTTTTGAGCGTTACTTCTTTTCATGGCAGCGTGAGGACAGACACAACGATGCAGCTCGTATAATGCTTAAAACACCTCTCAAGACTGTAATACTTGAAGAAAATGACATGTTGACGCCTCTACATCGCGATGCATTTATCACCTTGTTTTTTTTCCGCCTTCGGTGCATTTCGTTCCCGGATCCCTGCCAGTATGTGCTCGTAGTCATTGGGATGGTGGTTGCCTAGCTACAAGGCACCCCCGTAGGCGATGCTTGCCCTGGATCACCGTCTCCGACTGTCGAAAGCGGTAGGCTTTTGGCCAGGGCTCTTTTCAGGGCCTTCAGACTGGGTGTTTTCACCGTCCCGGTGCTTTGTTTGCATCTCGGGTTCGACAACGACGGCAGAGTCGCCGTGTACTGTCTCCGTCTCGTCGCTCCCTGGTCCTAGCTTGACGGCAAAGCCGGCGGGTTCCAATCTCCATGCCGCGTCGATGTCTTGGATCACGATTTCAGACCCAATCCCGAGCTCGATGACGCACTTGGGCCGCCAGCGGCTCGTAAAGAGGTCGAGTATTTCCGCGTACGAAGCGGCGCCGCTTTGCAGCGGCTGGACAGCCGTTAAAGCATAACGTACATCAACAGTTCCCGGAAAACGATACTATAGACTTTCTCTCAGTGGGTTTCTCGATTAGTCTCCGAAAGGCAAGCTGCAAGTATAGTCATCCAAAGGTGGACTTTGATGGGCTCAACTCACCAAACTCTGTGATGCACGGATAGTATTTGGCGGCCAGTCTTTGAACCCGCCTTCTGGCCAGTCCTCAGAGCATGACATATTGGACATTAAATCGCACTCTGCGCTGGCATATAAAGGCTGTATGAAGAGGAAATCCACATCCATGTGACCCCGGCGGTTTGCACTCGTCAAATCCTTGCGAGAGCCTTTAAGTTTACTTGCCTGTTCCACAAAGGAATCCGTCAATCTCTCAATGCTCAGCCCTATTCTTCCTACTGCCGACCCAGGATACACTACCTCGGAGTTGGGGTAGGCAGGAGGCCAATACATGTGGATAAGAACACTGTCCGTTGAGTTAACTCTTCCGCGCCGCCATTGTCATGGCGTGTGTAGCGATTGTATCCGCTCAACGGCATCCCCGCGCTTATAGTACTCCCTAGAAGGTGGTTTGGAAGCGGAGGTGGTTGATTGGGCCTCTTCTGTATTAAATTCGTAAGTCACTTTCCAATAGGGTTCCTGTGGCGTTGCAACATCCTGTGGCGGTGTAGTACTTTGTGGTTGTGTGATATTGTTAGACGGAGGCTGACCCCCTCCCGGCGATCCCTTATCATCGTGAGTTTCGGGCGGTTCCGGAGCCTCGACCGACGAGTCGCTTTTCGAGGCAACTGACTAGAGCTCTATTTCAGTGTAGCGGTCTTTCAGCTCCTCAAGATATCTGTGCAGAATAATGTTTGAGCTAGCCGAGTCAGACCCAGGGCTGTTTCCCGGCAGTTGCGCTATGAGTGTTTCGATCTGCTCTAGGATGTTAGCCGTGTCTTCCTTGATAATAGCGGTATCGCTCAGCAGCATGCTAGTGTTGACGTTTGTGTCCTTTGTGAGGTGCCTAACGCATGTAAGTGCTGTGAACAACGGCATGAAAGCCACGACCTATAGTTGTAGCATATCTAGCCCTAGCTCTAGCGCCGACTTGTAAGATTCAAGTTCTCTCAGCAGCTTAGCAATGTCGTCCCGGCCGCTAGCGACCCAGGAAATTCTCCGTGATAGCGAGTCTTGCTTGTACTTGGCAAGGCATTTCTCAGTATCGAGGACCACGATGTCGCAGTTGCTGAGGATCCCGGAGACATGCGTGGCCATGGACTCGGGGAGAATGACTGTCGGCGTCTTATCATCCTCGAGCAGGAGCTCGAGGATGGTCTTGAGCGACGTGAGCTCGCGCGACACGTTATCGAGGTCGCGGCGTGTCTGGCGCAAGTCTTTGACGAAGGCCGTGATAGATGTCGAGACCTTTGTGATGGTAGCCACCAGCCCCAAGCAACCCGCTGAGATGGAAAACGGATCCATCTTGGTCAGTGTTTAGACTTTGCTGGGATAGTGAGATGAGACAGAGTCAGATAACGACCAGATGAGCGGGGTCAGCTCAGCCTCACTGCAGACGTGGGAGTGTGCCTCGCCAGTGTCTGCATGCATGGTGGCGCCTAATGGATTCACGAGCAACGCGAGCTCTCCATCAACCCGAACCCTCTATGTATTCGTTGATGGTTGCGTGGCATGTTACACACAACCATGGCTCGTTCATTTTTCACTCGTTCTCTTACTTTCTTTCCCAATTCATTTTCACTTTCTTTCCTAATTCATTTTCAGTTTCATTCTCACGTTCTTTTCCACGATCATTTTCCTTTCCATTCTTCTTTTCCATTCTTCTTTTCCATTCTTCTTTTCTTTATTTAAAGTCTCTTTTTAAATCTAGCAAATGCCTGATCATTCACCCCGAGAACGAATTTGGCCTACGATATGGCTGCACATGTCTCTGCTCACCACTATAGGAGTTAAGATAAACCTTGAAACCACATTCTCACGCAACTTAGCCACCCCTATTCAAACATCTCCATCCCAGCGTCCCCCAACAGCACCCCGCCAATCCCAGCCTCAACCACCACCCAGTCCAACCACGCCCGCCACTCGCCCTCGGCACCCTCCAGGTCTCGCCACACGGCCCTCAACACCCGCTCGCAGCAGCCCTGCATATACCAACACACCCCCTCAGCGGCCCCATCCCGCTCCAACGGCCCCAGCAGCACACAGTAGTGCGCAAGCAAGACCAGCGCGGCGGGTTCGCGGGCGCGCAGCAGGGTCACAAACGGCGGCTCTCCCACCGCGCCCCGGATCCGCGCCGGCCAGAGCCGGATGGCCGCCCAGGGCGTCAGCGCCGGCGCCGGCAGGGCGCGCACCGCCATGCCCAGCAGGACCAGAGCGCCAAAGTACGCGGGCCGCCGCGGCAGCGGCACCAGCAGGTTCAGCAGCTGGGCGAAGCGCGCGGCGTGGTGCGGCGCGCCGGCCGGCAGCGCGGTTCCGGTTCCTGTCGGCGGCAAACTGCCTCTCGCGTCCTCGAGCAGCGCGCGGGTGAGGTCTGATGTTTGCCCGCCGCCGCCGCCGCCGCCCAGAGACGCCGCCGCGAACTGCAGCACGGCGTGGCTGTTGCGGAGCGTGGCGAGCCAGGCCGCGAGGTCCGGGACTTCAGTACTGACTTCAGTGCTGCCGTCGCACTGCGCGTACACGTCGGTGGCGAAGCAGTAAACGGCGAGCAGGTGGGCGGACGCCAGCAGCGCGTCGCGCGTCGTGGCCGACAGGGCGGTGCTGGGCCCGGCAAGCAGGGCGCGGCATCCTGCCAAGGCGCGCGCGTGGTGCCGCGCGGCCAGCACGACGTAGCCGCGGCGCAGCGTGGGCTGAAGATGTGCGATGTGCAGCGCGGCGCAGGCCAGCACGCCCTGCTTGAGGACGTCGTGGCCGAGGGCGAGGGCCGGGACGGCGGCGCGCCAGACGCGCTTGCTCTGCGCGCTGCGGCCGAGCGTCTGGTACGTGTCCTGCGTGAAGTGGATGAACAGCGCCAGGTCGCTGGAGGTCCAGCTCGGCGGCAGCGCGATGTCTTCGAGCGGGTACTTGTGGCCGGGGGGCGTTTCGGAGGCTGGGGCGGCCACGACAAAGTACCGCAGCTGGTTGCCGCGGAAGAAGGTCTGCAGGGTCACGGGGCGCCAGTGCGGGCTAGTGTTGCCGCCGTCGCTGGCGCTGTGCGCGGCCGCCCAGTGGCTCTTCATGCGCTTCGCCGTGACGCAGAGGTGGAAGCAGCCGGCGTGCTCGCAGGCGAGGCCCTGCTCGGTGGGCAGCAGCGGGATCGGCGCGTGGTCGGGCAGCGGGAAGAGCACGGCGCCGGTGTCCGCGAGCTGCAGGCCGGCTGCGTACTCAACCAGGCCGCGGCGGGCGTTGCAGCACATGTGGTGGATGTCCTTGAAGTGTCGGGCCACCGCCTTGGGCTGGATGGCGTAGCGGCACTCGGTGCAGATGACGACCTGGTAGTCTGCTAGGTAACGCAACAGCCCAGGCTCGGGCCACTCGGAGGAGGCCATGCCAGACTTGAATTGGTTTCAGTCGAGGCGTGCCAGGGTGAAGACACCGACTTGATTCCATAATCACGACGGCTTTGGATCCGACGTGATGTCTGTTCCGTGTCCGTTGGGGTGGACGACAAATGTCAGCAAGACGAGGATTCCCCGACGGGACTAGCGGCAGACGGTGCCGTTCTCGCTGCTGGTTGGCTGCCGTTGCCGCGGTGGGCCGGCCGACCGAAGATGGCTGTAGATATATGTCCCTGACTTACACTGGATGTTGACGAGGGCACAGGATTCACGCCTCAAGTTACAAAGCAGATTTCAAACCAGGGCAGTTGTGCTGTTTTCCCTGCCTTGTCTGGTCGCTGACGGACGCATATAAGGTAAATAGTATTTCTGTCGAACTAAATCAAACACATCTCAAGTTGTCCAATCTCGGCATCTCAGCCACTCAACTCTAACTCTTAACCACCAACCAACAGCCATGGTGCTTAAAATCTACGGCACGAAGACGTCGACGTGCACGAAGCGCGTGCTCGCCGTGCTGTACGAGAAGAAGGCTGGCTTAGTGTTTGCCGAGATCGACTGGCTCAAGGGCGAGCACAAGTCGGCCAGCCACTTGTAGCTGCACCCGTTCGGCAAGGTGCCGGTGCTGGAAGACGACGGCTTCGTGCTGTTCGAGAGCCGGGCCATTGCCAACTACATCGCCCGCAAGTTCGCCGGCCAGGGGACCCCGCTGCTGCCTGCCGACGACGACGTGAAGGCGCGCGCGCTGTTTGACCGGGTGCGTCCCCTTGCCATGGCTTCAAAGACGATTCGCTGACAGCTGCAGGCCGCCTCCCTCGAGGCCTTCTACTATGACCCGGCTGTGTCGACGCTCGTCACTGAGAAAGTCTTCAAAAAGGGCTACCTCGAGACGTTTGAGAAATACCCGCACGTCGAGAAGTGGTTTGCGGGGCTGCTGGCGCTCAAGAGCTGGTAGAAGGCGTCGACGGGGGCGTAGATGTTGATGCTGGCTCAATGCAGCCCTGGCCGTGGTTGGGGATGACGAGGTCATGAAGTGGGGAGCCTGAGAAGAGAGGTCCGATAGTGCGACATGATAGTAGCTTGAATGAGTGACAGACCAATGTGACAACTGTAGCAAAGAGTGAAGTCGAGTCAATTGCCGAGTTCCCATTTCCTTGCGATTGGCCTTCATTTCGGGTTTCATGCACGGCGCCCCAGATTGGGGGATTGGCTGGCGCGTTGGCGGTTGGTGGGCAGACGGTTGGCGGGCAGACGGTTGGCCCGACAACAGCTTGTTGACAGCACCCCACCGCCTGTCACCGCGCACCAGTCGGAGCGGCCCGCCGACAAAACAATCTGCACAGCGCCTGACAGCAACGAGCCAGCGCATCGCTCAGTTGCAGCTCTAATTGGCGTCTGGTTGCCAGGAGCGTCACTCTCAGCGCCACAGCGCCTCGAACAAACAGATACAAAACTCAAACCCACCACTACTCCCGCGAACCTTCCGAGCTCGCTCCATCATGGCTCGAAAAACAGCGCAGCCCGAGGATTTAGACTTTCAGATTTTTGTGGACCCGTCGTGCCTGAGCGAGCCCATGGAAGACCCAACTGCAGCTCCCGAGCCTTCCCAGGCGGCCCTCGATGAGCTGGGTGCCGTGCTCGACACCGCGCTGCAAGAGAACGAGGGCCAGCACGACGACACAGCCGACGCAGAGGCAGCCGACGCAGAGGCAGCCGACGCAGAGGCAGCCGACGCACAGGCAGCCGACGCAGAATCAGCCCAAAGAGTCGGTGAGGAGAGTGAGGCCGCGGACACGGCTGCAAGCAATGCCCAAGATGTCCAAGAACAAGAGCTGCCGCAGCTACAAGAGCAGGAAGCGTTAGTCGAGGCAGAGCCATGGACAATTGACCCTGGGGCCGTCGAGCAACCAGACGTTGAGCAACCAGGCGTCGGGAAAGACGGGTAAAAAGAACCGATGGGTGACATACGACAGCTGCTAACTGAAGATAGCCCGACTCTCGACCCGTCTCCGATCGATGCAGCACCAGCCGACGCATCACCAGCCGACGCATTGCCAGCCGACGCAGCACTAGCCGACGCAGCACTAGCCGACGCAGCACCAGACAACGCAGCACCAGCCCACACGACTCCGAGTGTCGAAGAGCCTTGCGAAGACGCCACACCCGAAGAACCCTCTACAAATGAAGCACAGGGCGAAGTTGAAGTCCTTGAGGACACGACCAGTGACGAAACCCACGATGCCACTGCCGACGATGGGACCCACGAGGCAGACGCCGACCAAGTACCGCTCGACACCGAACATATCGAGGTCAGTGGCGTTGCTGAGGATTTGGACGCAGACATTTCCGCAGATGTCACCGAGGTCCACAGCGCGCCCGATGAGCATGATATCCCCACAGCAGAAACAGAACACGGCCAAGAAGAGGCACGAGACAACGACCTGAAAGCAGACGACGCCGACACGCCGCGGCCCGCAGAGACCCCAGACTCGGAATACGCAGATGACGAGGCGTACGCTGACCGAGGGACCGACAGAAAGACGTCGCTGCGGACCGAGGCGCTGATCCACGCGGCGGCGCTGGCCGTGGTGGCCGAGATTGAAGGCCTGCGCGCGACGCAACACGACGACGCCGAGCAGGAGCAGGAGCAGGAGCAGGAGCAGGAGCACTCTGTGCTCAGCACGGACACACGCAACGATGAGGAGGAGGAGCAAGAGCAAGAACACTCGCTGCTGAGCACAGGCACACACGATGACGCCGAGGACTCGCTGCTCAACATAGACACATATGACGTGGGTGGCGAGGACGAGGCCGCAGACAGCCGGCGGCAGTCGAGCGAGTCGCAGGTACACCACGAGATCGCCTCGCGCTCGGTATCGGGCGACGAAGGCGGCGACAGCAGCTCGCAACACGAGGGCGAAGCGGACGACGACGACGACGACGACGACGACGACGGCGTGTTCAGCGAGCACGGACGCAGCCACAGCGCGCGGAGCTCCGTCGGCTCGTTTGACGGCGTCACTCCCAACAACCACGCAATCGCCGAGGACGAGACAGAGACCAAGACGCCACAGGCCAGCCCGCACCCCACGGGCCGTCGCTCGCCGCGGCTGTCAGGCGTATCAGCCATCTCGGGACTGTCGCAGTACGAGCACGACGGCGAGACGTTCGTGCCGGCGAGCCGCGAGACGCCGCGCGTGCCGTTCCGCACGCCGTCGGCGGTGCGCGCGCTGCAGATGCGGGCGTCGCCGACGCCGTCCGTGTACGATGACGAGGGCGGGTCTCCGCGGTCGTCCAATACCAAGAAGCGCAGCCAACACACGCACACGCACACGCCCAGCATGCTCCCGGCAGCCTCGCGGCTCGGCAGCCCGGTGCAGTACTCGCCCAAGGGCCGGGCGACGCCGCCGCGGTTCAGGCGGGCGCGCGCCGAGGCGCCGCTAGTCCTACTACACGTGACGCTGCTGCCGCTGCGGTGGGCGTGGGGTGACGTGCTCAACGGGCTGGACGCGGTTGGCGGCAAGGCTATGGCCGACGAGCAGACGGGCGCGCTGTACGAGGCGTCGGAGCCCCTGAAGGCGCTGCGCGACGCGTGGCGCGAGCTGCAGGACCGCGTCGGCGACACGGTGCTCGAACGAGGCATCCTGCTGCCGCACCCGCAGAACGACTACGAGGTGCTCGAGGAGCGGTTGCTGGATGCGCTGGAGCTGCCCGTGCGCCGCCGCGCCCGCATCCTCGAGTGCGGCCACTACCTGGGGCCGGCCGACGAGATGCTGGCCGACGACGACAGCGAGGATGAGGACGACGACGGGACAGAGACTCGCCGCCACTGGTGCACGACGTGCCGCGGCGACATCCAATTCCAGAACCTGGGTGCGGCCGCCCGCGTGTTCCGCGTCAAGGTGTACGCGAGCAACGGGCTGATGAAGGCGGGCGCGTGGGAGGCGTGCTGGCGCGAGATGGAGCGCGTCGACGCCGAGGTCGAGCCCGTGGTCGACGTGGTCCTGCAGGGCGAGCTCGAGCGCCTCGCCACGCTGCAGCTCGAGCACGACGACCGTGTGCGCCGCCAGCGCGAGCGCGACGCCGAGACGGCGGCTGCTGCGGCGGCTGCTGCTGCTGCTGCGGCTGCCGCTGCGGCTGATGCCCAGCTGCTGCACGAAGCTGAACTCGCTGCCGCAGAGGCTCAGGCTCAGGCTCAGGCTCAGGCTCAAGCTCAAGCTCAAGCTCAAGCTCAAGCTCAAGCTCAAGCTCAAGCTCAAGCTCAGGCTCAAGCTCAGGCTCATGCTCAGGCCGAGACTGAACTCGCCGCTGCACAGGCCGAGGCACAGGCACAGGCCGAGGCACTGGCACAGGCCGAGGCACTGGCACAGGCCGAGGCACTGGCACAGGCACAGGCTGGGGCGACAAGAGAACAACATACGCCCGATGTCGCCGACCGCAGGTTCAGCGTTGATATAGACCCGGTGGTGGAGCTGCCGCGGCTGCTGCCCGACAGCCGGGCGGTGGTGATGGCATCGCCGGCGGCCCACGCATCACCGCCCCTCCCGAACTCGGTGCTGCGCGTGCGGTCGCCACCCAGCGGCGGCAGCTCACCACCGACACCGACGCTGCGGCTTAGCCGGCGCCGGCGCGAGCGCGACGGGCGGTCGTCGCGCTCCTCGGCGCGCTCGGCCGCCCAGGAGCCCATCGACACCTCCGACGAGCGCAAGCGCCGCGATGCCGAGCGGCTGCGCGAGATCTACGGGGAAGTGGCGCCGCCTGATTCGGTGCTGCAGGGTGCGGATGTGGGTGTGGACATGGTCCCGGCTGCGCCGTCGCCGTCGCTGTCGGAGAGCACCATCCGCCCGTCGGTATCGTATGCAATCCCGCCGTCGCCGTCACAGGACGCACACGCCCGCCGTGAGGAACTCCGTTCACGGTCTGCGTCTGCGTCCGTGCAACAGCAGCAGCAGCAGCAGCAGCAGCAGCAGCAGCAGCAGCAGCAGCAACAACAGCAACAGCAACAGCAACGGCAGCAGCTGCAGCAACAGCAACAGCACCAGCAACAGCACCAGCAGCAACACCACCCTCAACAAGGCCAGCACCAGCACCAGCAACAACACCACCCGCAACAACAACACCACCAACAACACAACCCCCAACACCCATCCCCAGGCAGTCACAGGAGTAACCTCGACAACGCATCCTTCGCTGAACTACTCCTCGAGGCCTTCAAAGTCCTGCTGCGCGACCCCAAGAACGTGGCCATCATCGTGCTGTGCGTGTTCCTGTGGGGCTTCATGGCGCGGCCGGCGCCGGTGCCTGCCGTCGTGCCGGGGTTTGCTGTCGACGCTGTGCCGTATGCGTACCGTGCTGCTGTCGACGGGGTGAAGCAGCAGCCTGGTCGTGTTTCTGCTGCTGTTTCTCATGTGCAGGGGCAGGTGCAGACGCGTGACGATGCCGTGGCTGCTGTTGTGGTTGAGGCCGTGGCTGCTGTTGTGGTTGAGGCCGTGGCGGGGTTGGGCGTGCCGTCTGCGGCTGGTTTGGACAGCGGCGTTGCTGTGCGGGATGTTGTTGGTGTGGATGGGGACGTGCTTGCCGTGGACGGCTCGGCGCCGGCTGCAATGGACGTCGAGGTTGGTCCCGTCGTGCATGTCGCTGAGGTCGATGCGACTGCTTTCGTCGTGGAGAGCCCCGCGTTTGAAGCAGAGATCGCAGACCCGCAGATCACCGAGGAGACTCGTCCCTCGCTTGACGATGTCTTGGACGCTCACGACGAAGAGCATCCAGGCGCCATTGACGACGAGACCGAGCCGGCCCCGGCAGTCGAGCCAGCAGACCTCGCCTCGCCGCCCACCACCCCGGACACGAGAAGCAACATGCCAGCCGACAGCGACGGCCCGCAGCGCAAAACCGTGCGCGTGTTCGAGACCGTCACCGAGACGGTGCGCGTGCAGCTAGCCACCGCGAGTGGTGCGGCCGAGACATGGACAGCCACAGCGTCGACATCGGCTGCCGTGAAGACGACCGTGCCCGCTGTAGACGGGGTCCACGACGAGCCGTCAGAGACGGTCACCGTGACGGTCACCGTGTCAGTACCTGCGGCGTTTTGAGGCAGTCTCTCACAGGCCGTATCGGCACAGGTGGGATGATGTCTGTCTGTCTGTCTGTCTGTCTGTCTGTCTGTCTGTCTGTCGACATACGTGTGTGGCGAGATGAGCGCCTCGAGAATTGATGTTTACAACGAACCGGATCTATCGGTCGGTCGATGACGGATGCATGGATGAAATTTGGATTTTGGGTTAAGCATATGAGGATTTCTGAGCGAGCGAGCGAGCGAGCGGAGCGATCGAGCATGGTTGGTTGCAAGAGTTTGTTTACTGTCACCAGTTTGTATGGCTTCATTTCCTGTCTGGGAAACACCTCCTTATCGTAATTACACTGAGCGACTTGGATGCAAGTTGGTACATACATAGCAGTCGAATTCTTTTATCTGATCATCGCCGTTCCCAGCGTGTGCAATCGTTACACCGGCTCTTTGGCTGGTGTCTCATCAAAATCATTCAGCTGAACGGAGCTACCTTAGGCGAGCTTGCGAGCCCGAGGTGGCGTATAGAGGCTGTATTCTATATTACCGTGGGGGTGCCGAATGTTTCTCGAATGGGAACTGGTTAGGTTACTGTGTCAAAATGGGAGGTAGGAGGTAGGAATTGGTCGATCGGATGAACCTGGGACAGGTTAAGCCGTGAAATGCCGCTTTGCTGTGTCGTGGTTGTGTCAGGAAGGAGCGCTGCAGGCTCAGCGCCGCAGGCCAAGAGCGCCGCAGGCACTGGGGGTTCTGGGGGGCTTGCCCCCTAGAAATCCAACAATTCGACCATGAGCATCGAAATATAGAATTATCACGAGAATTTGTTTTGGTGGTAGAATGGCTGTCAATCCGTTGTAGGTGGTCCGTACTGTACCTTCAACTTTCTAGCCAGCCCCCCCGCTGAAATAAACCACTTTCCTCATCAACCTCGTAATACAACCAACTTCAGTCAATCGCACGTACGATTTATCGCTTTCTAGCTATGAACAGGCACCCCGAATACTTTACGATTATTACCCTATTAATCTCTACTAATATATTACCAGGAGCGCGTGTTTTTCGAGCCGCCGCGATGGCTACAGTAGGGTCTCTCAACCGCAGCCCCCACGGCCCGATGCGCTAAATCCAGGCGGCCGTGGCTAGCCTCCCGACGGCCCGATCCTACTAAAAGAGACCCCGAACGACCAGATTCCTCCGAGGGCAGCCCGCCGCAGGCGCCGCCAGAGGCAAAAAACAAGAAGAAAAGAGGCTCCGTTCAGCTGACCCCTTCCTGACTAGTCAGGTAACCTAATTTAACTAGCAATTCTTCCAATCCGAACAGCAGCACAGCAGCACGGCAGACCAAACACTCAAATCATAAACCGCAACAAGCACTCCATCACACATCACACTTCTACACAACCTACTCCTCGCGTACTTGCAGCCCCAAACTAACCAGATACTCCCCCATGTCATGCATGGGCGGGTTGCCAAAGACCATGCCGCCCAGACTACCCACGCTCCCGGGCGGCGCAAAGCGGAACAGCTCGACGGGGCCTTGCGGCGGCGTGCTCGACCGTAGCAGCAGCGGCTCGCCGGCGTTGAGCAGCTCGCGCGCCGGCATGGGCGCGAGGTTGCGCGCGCCAAGGCCCACTGCTGCCAGCCACTGCATATACGGCACGTCGCCGCGGGGGATAGGGTCGCCCTCGTGGATCACCGCGAGGAACAGGCCGCCCACATCGGCCGCCGGCGCTGTGAGGGCCGGAGCCGTCACGGGCGGCGCCGCGAAGGTGATGGCGTGCACGCTGCGGAAGGCTGGCCCTGTGTCAGCACCGGCGTCTTTACGTGTGAGGAGATGAGAAGAGGGCTTACACTCTCTGACCCCCGCCAGGCCGTTCCGCTCGTTGCCAGCGGGCTTCATCATGTGCGCGTACAGCAGCGCTGCGACGGCCGCGCCGGCCGAGTGGCCCGTGAACAAGAGGTCAATCGGGCCGCCGACGTCGTGTCTCTCCCGCACCGCCTTGATGAGCTCGGCGATCTTGGGCGCCATGGCGCGCGCGCACTCGAGAAATCCGCCGTGCACCCTGTACGACTGGCCCGGCGAGGGCACGCCCTGTGCCCCCTGCTGTCAGCATGGGTATCTCGTCTTGTCTGCGAGGTCGGCCTACCAGGAAGTTATCAGCCGCACCCGCTGCGTCCTTGTAGTTGGCGTTGACGGCCCAGTCGTGCTTGGCCTTGGAGCCCCTGATGGCGACGATCACGGTCGGCACCCACGCAGCGTCGCGGGCATGCTCGGCGGGCGACGTGACCAGGGTTACAGTCGTCGCCTTAACCATGTTGTCCCTGGACCATTCCCTGAGCCATTTCCCGCCGGCAGCGAGGTCGGGCTTGGGCTCGGTGTAGACCCGCTTGGCGGCCCAGGCGCCCTGTTCGACCAGCCACTTGCCGAAGCCGCTCAGGTGGAGAGCATCGAGATCAATGTCCTTGAAGGACGAGTTGTCGAGGTCTTCGGTTCGCCGGATCAACAGGCTGACGTTCAGCCCGCCGTCGTAGCCGTCTGGACGAGTCAGTTCTGGCCATCCATAACTTGACTCGGCGCATGTATGTACACACCTCCATCGGGCAAGTCCAGTGTTTGGAGGTATTCGGTGACCTCGACAAGGTTGCGCGAGACGGCTGGTAAGTTTTTGCTACCTGACGAGGCACCTGAGGGGGCTACGACTGATAGCCCAGCTTTGAGCGACTCGATCTTCGGTCCGCCTTGCTTGACTAGGTCAAGGTACCAGTTGGCCCGGTCCATCATCTTGTCCGCCATGGTCGTGTTATGTTGTTGTCGTCGTCGTTGTCGTTGTCGTTGTCGTCGTCGTTGTCGTTGTCGTCGTCGTTGTCGTTGTCGTCGTCGTTGTCGTTGTCGTTGTCGTCGTCGTTGTCGTTGTCGTCGTCGTTGTCGTCGTCGTTGTCGTACCGTCGTTGCTGATGCTCTTGCTTTCCTCGTCAACAAAGAGCGGACAAATGTGCCACCAAGAGCTCTTGAGAAGGTCAGGACGAGGATGACGAGCTGCATGTGACAATGGCTGAGCTCCCCGGACCTGTGGCTGCCGCCGTTTGACTGCATGGCAGGGCTGCATGAAGCTTGGCATTCGACAGCCAATGGGGATATGTAGCCCCCTGTTAGGGGTCCAGCCGCCCGCCAGTGACATCCCACGACCCCTCAGCAACCCCGGTAACTGGCTCGTGCCTGGTGCCTGGTGCCTGGTGCCTGGCTGGTGGCTGTTCCAGACCTGGTTCCATGAGCGACTGCGGCTTTCCGTCGTCATGTGTCGCCAGCTTGGTACTCTGCCCGTCTCAGCCTCTGTACTCCGTACCTCTCTGCCTCTGTACTCCGTACCTCTCTGCCTCTGCCGCCTGTGCCCCTGCCGCTGTGCCTCTGCCGCTGTGCGTCTTTGCCTCTGTATCCCTGTACCTCTCAACCTCCATACCCCTCCACCTCAGCGCTTCCACTCAACCCCCCAATCCCTCAACCTCTGTACCTCTCTGTCTCTATGTCGCTCTACCTACCTCACCTCTACCTCTTACCCTACCTCTTACCGTTCGACCTCTACGTGGCTCAACCTCAGCCACGACTCCACCTCGACCTCACCTCTGCGCTAGGATAGCCTGCAGCTACAGCTTATACAGGTACCCTTGCCCAGACCTCCACGTAACAGGTGTTGTCTGCTGGTGCAGCGGTAGCTTACGACAACTTCGACATCTTTCCCCCCCCTCCCGAAGCACGCATGGTTAGCACATCCTCCAAACCGGCCGGCCGCGCCGGGTACCGGTCGAGATGGGCCCAAGTGAAGGACCCGCTCCTCGACGTGCTTCAGCGCATGTACTGGGACGGGGTGGCGCGCGAGATGGCCTCGGCACTCGTCGCCTTTGCCAAAATATGTCAGCTCCACCCCGAGAGCCTGCCAGAGGAGACAGTGTCCACCCGCGAACTCGTGTCGGCGCGGCTGCCTAAGCTGCAGAGCCTGTGGGACCCGACCATCGGTAGGGAGATTCAGGAGAGCGGCAACATCAGGTACGGGCCCTCGACCATACGACGGAGCCGGACCGGCGTCGAGAACCTCGGAGTCTTTGAGCGCGACGCCCCCAACCTGACCCGCCGCGTGGCCCACGCCATGCGCATCGACCCGCGCGAGAAGCGGGCGCGGGCGCTGCTGCAGGCAACAGGCCTGCTGGACGTCGACATTGCCAGCGAATACCGCGACCCCGTCTTGTCGTGCCTGGCGCCGCCGCCGCAGTTCGACGCCCTGCCCCACGTGCTGATCACCCGCCAGTGCTCCGAGTGCCGCTGGCCGATCCGGTCGTACAGCTTCTACGAGTGCGCCGAGGGCTGCACCGACACCAAGGGCTGCACGTCTGACCGGGCGCCAGCCGACGCCGACGCCGAAGCCCCAGACGCATCCTTGCAGCGCAACCAGTTCATGCTGCTCGGGCACAGCGAGGCCGGGCGCAAGGCCGTCGAGCGCAGCCTCAGGCAGCCGACGCCCTTCCGGCTCTGTCCGGCCTGCCTGCACAACACCGAGCGGCCCGTCGACCACCTGCGCGAGGTCGTGGCGTTTCCCGACACGGACAGCGACGACGCCAAGGCGTTTGCGCGAGAGCTCGATGCGTGGGAGGACCGCAAGCGCGGCCAGACAGCGCACGGGCGCTCGCTGCAGAGCGTCGACGGCGCGGGCGCCGTGGCGCTGCAGAGAGAGACTCGGACACCGTCGAGGCGCGTCTTCCCCGACGGTAACACGCACGCGACGCTCATGTTCGGGCCGCTGCTGATCGAGAACGGCGCAAGCGCGGGCGCGCTCATCTCGCTGCGCAGCCCGCCGGCGCTCGGCGTCGACACGGCGCCCGAGATGGACCGCTACCTGGCGCGCGACGACGACTTGGAAAAGGTCAAGCATGGGGTCGTCGTCACCTCGGTCGAGTACAAGCTGGCCGAGGACAGGGCGCTGTTCACGCGGCGGCGGAGCAAGCCGCGGCACCGGCTGGTGCGGTGCGAGAAGCAGATCGCCGGGGGGCTCTTCACGGGCCACGACGACACGTGCGTCGATGAGGAGGACGAAATTGTGCGCTGCTTCCTAACGCGCGCCAACGACTGGCGAGCCGTTACAAAGTCCCGCCGCCCCACCCAGAAGCAGCGCCTCGAGAAGCTGCACGCGTTTGCCGCCGAGATCCGCGACATGATCAGAGCCGGCTTCGAGCACCGCGCCGACCACTACCTCGGCACGTTTGCGCGGCGACTGTCCGACACGGCCATCAAGCTCAACTCTAGCCTGATACTCAATAACTGCCAGATGTTCTGCAACAACATGGTGTTTCGCAACGACACGGACTCGATATACTTTCACCGGCAGTTCCCGTTCATGATGCCGATGGGCCGGAGGGACCTGAGGCTGCCGGCGTACCTGATGAGCTTTGCGCGCGACGCGCCGCACGGGGCCGTGGACATGGCCAACCGCGGCATCGCGCGGCTGGGCCGGCTGCAGTCGAGCATGCAGCTGCACGGATGCATGGCGCACAACCCCGCCGACGCCATCGACCACGCCGCGAGCGTGCGCTACAAGATCGACGCGGCCGGCCGCTCCGTATGGGCGTCGTCGTCAGCCTCCAACACGTGCCACGACGACATCCTGCTCAAGGCCCCCAACACGACGTGCACGACCGAGCCTCGGGGCACCGGCGGTCACGCCTGCACTCTCGCCGATCATCTGCTCGACTGCCCGTTTGACAACCTGTGCGTGCTGACGCTGCATACGCACCGCGACATGCGGTACTATGCCTCCGCGCCGAGTCAGGACCGCGATGGCACCGTGCAGCAGGGGAGGCAGCTGACGAGCGCGACAGCGGGCGAGCGCAGGGAGTGGTTGGCGAACCGCTTGCGGGTGTTGCACCGGACGTACGCGCTCAATACGTTCCTCGCCGAGATAGTGCGGGCATACGGCGCCATGTTGCGCGATTCGCTACCAAACGACGGGCGGTGGTTGCCGCCCCTCATCGCGCGCATGTACTGGGAGCCAGGCAGCGGCGCCGAGCATGGGCGGGCGTGGTGGTACCAGAAGGCCTCCGGGCCCAGCGTGTATACTAGGAACACGGAAGACGCGTGGCCCGCGTGGACGCATCTCAAGCCTAAGGAGCGCGCCCGCGCGCTGGAGCTGACCGTAGTCCGCGACGGGCTGGCGCGGGACAGCGCGCTGCGGGCCGCATGGCGGCGTGTTGCTGCGGCGGTGCGGCGCGGCGCGGCGACGCCCGAGGCGGCTGGGTCGTGCTGCTGCGAGGTGTGTCTAGGCATCGAGGGCGAGGTTGTGTGTCGGCGGGCGCTCGGCGCTGAGGCCGTGGCCGCGGCGGCTGCCGTGGCGGTGGCGGCCAGTGACGCGCCCTCCCGAGACTCGCTAAAGCAAGGAGTCCAGGGGCTGCAGAGCTGGCTGCGGTCCGAGGCGGGTCTGGCAGCGGACGGGTCTGGCGAGTTGGAGGACCTCGTCCGGCGGGCGACCGAGTTGCTCAACAATAAGAATAAGCAGGTTGGGGAGGGGCGGGATGGCCGGGTGCCTGCCAAAGCAGACACTCGAGGGGGGCGAGGGATTGTGCAGACTGGCCGTCTGCCAGAGGAACATAAGACGTGGATCTGACTGAGGCAAGGACAACCAACATGTCAGGTCACGACCCATGTGGACAACAGCCGTGTGCACAAAGCCGTGTGCACACCAACCGTAGCGGCGGCATCTTTTTGGTGGTGCCGAACTGACACGTCGTTCAAGGCTGTGAACGAATAATGTTTGATATAAGAGCAAAAGATACAATGATCAAAATATGCTATGATCAAAAACGGCGGTCCAGCTCCATGGTGAAAGAATAGCTGCGAACTGGGTTGGTTGTTTCCTTTAGTTTGAGGACCGGAGGCCCGAAGCCTACACGTAAGAAGACATTCCTCAACTGTTGGGTAAACCCTAACCCTAGTCGTACCCGTCTACAGCATTCGCCAGAACGATAACAGGAAAGAGCGCAACTGAAGCCAGAAGGAACGAGAACAGGAAAGAGTGATCCGCCTCGGTCAACCTAAGCAGCGGAAACGACAACAGGAAAGAGTGCATCGGTTGTGCAACGCAAACTCAAAGTGAACATGCAACAGCCGAGCTGACATCCACATGCAACTCCACACCAACACCTCGGCAACCCGCCCTCGGCAGCTAATAAGGCCACGTAGGTGGGCCAGTCTCCATCAAATCCTGACAGCAGCTCAGGACAGCAGGGATGATAGTATAGTGGTCAGTATCTCTCGTTGTGGCTTCGTGGCTCTTGCAAGAGATGCCAACAATACCCGAGAAGACCCAGGTTCGATTCCTGGTTATCCCAGAACCAGTGCAGGCATTATTTTGCAGGTTGTGTCCATTCCATGGGGATTTTTATTTTTATATTCATTTTTCATTCTCGCCTTCTTTCTCTCTCTAACGCCTTCTTTCTCTCTCTAACGCCTTCTTTCTCTCTCTAACACCTTCTTTCTCTCTCTAACGCCTTCTTTCTCTCCAAATCTCTTCACTTCCTTGTTCTCCTTTCATTCACTTCGAGTCTACCTGCTTGTTCTTTTTTCCACTCCCTGCAAGGCGCAAGACTCTTTGACATGTTGTTTTCCAGACGTCCTGTCAACACATCAGACACATCACATAGACACTCAGTCAGACACGGGCACATCAGACACAGGCACGGGTATCAAGCATCTATTACTTTTATCTATCGCATCACACGCGTCACAGGCTCCCCGCATCCTCTGTCACGCCGTTCCCCGCCGGCTTGGCCGACGCCAGCGTCTGCTGCAGCGGCGGCAGCAGGCTCTTGGCCGTGTGGCGGGCCTGCTGGGCGAGCACGGCGTCCATGACGACCAGCGCGGCCATGGCCTCGACGATGGGGATGGCGCGCGGCACCACGCACGGGTCGTGGCGGCCCTTGGCGGCGAGGATCCCCTCGGCCGACCCGTCGTACGTAGCCGTCGTCTGCTCCTGGCCGATCGTGGCCGCCGGCTTGAAGGCGACGCGGAAGTAGATGGGCGCGCCGTTGGAGATGCCGCCCTGGATGCCGCCCGAGAAGTTGGTCTTGGTCGTCAGCTTGGGCCGCGGGTGCCCGGTGCGCGCGGCGCCGCTCTCGGCCACGCCCGACGGCAGCTCTGCCGTGGACGACACGAACGGGTCGTTGTGCGTCGACCCCGGCACCTCGCACCCCGCGAAGCCCGAGCCGATCTCGAAGCCCTTGGTGGCGGGGATGCTCAGCATGGCGTGTGCCAGCATGGCCTCGAGCTTGTCGAAGCACGGCTCGCCCAGGCCGCTCGGGGCGTTGCGGATGACGCACGTCACTGTGCCGCCGATGCTATCGTTGCGCTCCTTGAAGTCGGAGATGTACTCGACCATCTTGGTGGATGCGGCCGCGTCGGGGCAGCGCACGGGCAGGAAGCTGTCGACCGTCTTGCGGTCGATGGACTCGACCAGCGACAGGAAGGCGGGGTTCGTGCTCGGGCTCGGGTGCTCGGCGGTGGGCGGGAACAGGTGGACGGCGCCGACCGAGGTGGTGAAGGCGACAATCTCGACGCCGTAGGCCAGGCGCAGGTACTTCTCGGCGATGGAGCCAGCGGCCACGCGGCCAATCGTCTCGCGCGCGCTGCTGCGGCCGCCGCCGCTGCTGGCCTTGACACCGTACTTTTCGAGGTAGGTCCAGTCGGCGTGGCTGGGGCGGGGGAACCTGTCCATGGTCGAGTTTCCGTAGTCTGCTCCAGTCGCCCGTCAGCCAAGTTCTCTGTCGGGGGCGTCAAATAGCAGACGCACCCTTGGGGCGCTGGTCTTCGTTGAGGACCATCATGCCGATGGGGGTGCCCAGCGTGACGCCGAACTCGGTGCCCGACTGGATCAGCACGCGGTCCTTTTCGTTGCGGGGCGTGGTGATGTTGCTCTGGCCGGGGCGGCGGCGCGTCATCTGCGGCTGGATGTCGTCCTCGGTGAGCTCCATGCCGGGCGGGCAGCCGTCGACAATGCAGCCGACGGAGCGGCAGTGCGACTCGCCATAGCTGCCATTGTGTCAGTTGTCAGTCTTGGCCTGGGCTTTGCAATCACGAGGGAGCGTACGTGGTGACCCGGAAGTAGTCCCCGAAAGTCGACATTGCGTGGTGGTTGTTCGGATTGTCGTTGAGTCAGAGACAACAATGTGGCATGATCGGTCGTAAAATTTAGTGAGCAATTGAATTGGGCCCCTCCATGCCGCCCGGTCATCGGCACACCCACCCCGCGAAACGGCGGGGCAGCGGCGGTGAGTCCACACTAGTAGTGTAGGTAACCCTGAGCTCCACTACCGGACCCCTGCCACTGCCCTGTCCACGCTAACGCAGAGCTGGGAGCGAACCTCTACTGCGGATGGAACCTTGACAGACCCGACGAATGCAGGCTCAACTGCAACCTCAATTCACGTCTGCAGCTGCGGCGTCGGGGTTGTCCTGTTCGGGATGAAGGCTACTCGGTAAAGACACAACCACCAGGCACTCTAGACTGGATGCATGCAAGCACGTGAGCCATGTCGCTCATAGCACAGTGCAAGCCGCGGGCATTAAGAGCCTGTAGCTGGGCTCCTCGGCTTCACCTTCACCTTCACCTTCACTTCAACCTCGCGCCCAGCTCCGTCTCAGCAACTCGCCGGCGCATCTCGACCAACCACGACCGGGACGCACTGCTAGCACGGCCAGTGCAAGTATACCGGTCGACCTCATCCGACCCGTACGTCAACCTGTCGATCGAGCACTTCCTGCTGCAGCGCACGCACGCCGCAGCGACGGTACTCTTCCAGTACGTGAACCGGCCGTGCGTCGTCGTCGGCCGCAACCAGAACCCGTGGCTGGAGGCGAACCTGCAGCAGGTGCGGCGGGGCCTTGGCCCCGATGAACCCGTGCCAGTGGACCTCGTGCGGCGGCGGTCGGGCGGCGGCGCCGTGTTCCACGACGCCGGCAACGTCAACTGGGCCGTCGTGTGCCCAGCCGCCGCCTTCGACCGCGACCGCCACGCCGAGATGGTCGTGCGCGCGCTGCAGGCGCTCTCTCCCGGCACCGGCACCCCGCGCGTCAACGCGCGCCACGACATCGTCCTCGACACCCCCGGCAGCGGCGGCGGCTCGTTCAAGATCTCTGGCTCCGCGTACAAGCTGACGCGGCTGCGCGCGCTGCACCACGGCACGTGCCTGCTGGCGTCGCCGCACCTGGGCGCCATCTCGGCGCTGCTGCGGTCGCCGGCCGCGCCGTTCGTCAAGGCGCGCGGCGTCGAGAGCGTGCGGTCGCCCGTGCGCAACGCCGGCGCCGACCCCGGGGCTTTCATGGCGGCCGTGGTAGCCAAGTTCCGCCACATGTATGGCGATGCGGGGGACGAGGTCATGGTCGGCGCGGACGCGCTGGACGCGGTGCCTGAGATCAGGGCCGGTGTTGCTGAGTTGATGGCGAGTTGCCTTGCCTTTCATTCCATTCCATTCCGTTTCACTCTCGTCTATAAGGAGCCACGAACATGGACTGACAAGAACCAGTCTCCGGAATGGATCTACGACCAGACGCCGCAGTTCACCTTGTCGTCCCACCCGACCGACGACGACCCGCGCCCGCGGCCCGCGCTCCCCCCCAACCTTCCGCCGAACGTAAGCCCACTTTCTCCCACTCTTTTCCATCAGTCCTAACACGCACCGTACAGCTACGCATCCACCTGACGGTGCGGCACGGCGAGATTCAGACAGCCGCCGTGTCCGGGCTGCGGTACGTGGCCCTGTCCCGCGCAGACGAGTCGGCGGCCCACGACGCCGCGCTGAGCACATCGCTGGCGGGGCAGCGGCTGCACGACATCCGCGACTGGCACGCGGTGCTGGAGAGGGCGGCGCCGGTGAGCGCGGCGGACCGGCTGCACGTGGGCGGGTGGCTCAACGGCATGTTTGGGCTTGAGACGAGTGCGTAGCCTGCAAACCTCAAGCACGACATGTGAAAGCCTGTGGATTACATGTGTAAATAATGTATGTATGTAACACCATGTATTAATATTGCCGCATGATTTCTCAAGAGTTTGATTTAGGTGTAGTGTTTCCCTTGTTGCAGTTGCCTTTGCTGTGTTTCTGCCACTTTCGATACGATGTGGCGTGAGATGGAATGTTCCCAGCAGTCCTTGAAAACACGACAAACACGACCAGGAAACGCATGCACAGGCTGAATCATCTCTCCATTCACTTTTCATTCACCACGCTATATAAATATGACTTGCAAACGCACACCCCCACGGCAGCTACTCCAGACTCTGCGCCGTCATGACACCCCGGCCAAACCACTCGGCGACGGTCCTAAACTTGTCTTCGCTGCGGTCGAGATCGTCACGGAACAGCTCGTGGCGCTCGGCGTTCTCGTCCTGGCTCTTCTTGAGTGCGCGGATCGTCGCATTGTCCCTATCACAGAGCGGGCACTCACCGTCAACGCCGGTGCCGCCGCGCAGGCAGCGCTGGTGGAATGAGTGCTTGCACAGAAAGTGCACGGCGGGCAGCTCGAGCGGCAGCGCGCACTGGTGGCAGCGCGTGGCCTGGAACACGGCCGGCTTGCTGCCGAGGTCGGCGATCTCGGCGCGGCGCTGGTCCGTTTCGGCGCGGAAGGCCGCCACGTCGCGCCGGTTCTCGGCAATGTCGCGCCGCTCGCGCTCGATGCGCCTCGCCAGGTACGGCTTAATCATGCCCATGGTGGCCACGGCGTTCTGGCTCAGCGCCTGCACCACCTGCAGCGGCGCCATCAGCCCGTCGCGGTCGATGCGGTCGAGGATGCCCGCAAGCTCGTCGGGCCCCGCCTCGTCCAGCACGCGCGCGTCCGACGTCAGGTACGACAGCGCCGCCGGGTACAGCTGCGGCGCCTCGGGCCCGTACTTGCGCAGCGCCTTGATGGCCCCGCGCGTGTCCTTGGCCGATGTGTACGACCGGAAGATGTCGAACAGCAGCCCCGACTGCTCCTTGACGAGCGTCGTGCCGTCGCGGAAGTCGGACAGGTGCGACAGCAGCAGCACGTTGGAGTTCTCGATCGGCCGCTTCTCGTGGCCCGTGCCTTCGATGAGCGCCTTTGCCTTCTGCTCCCACTCCTCACGGTGCTGCGCCCCCTTCTTCTCGTTAGACTTGTGCAGGTACATCTCGAAGAGGGTCGTGTATACGTCGGTCTTGTCAGCCTCTGGAAGCGTGTCTTCCTTCGCGAGGGCTTCTAGAAAGACGATGAACTCGTCGGGGTGGTCGATGAACGACGAGAATGCCGTGCGCGGGCGGGGCGGCGTGTAGCTGGGCACCGGCACATCCTCTGGCTTGAGGACAAAGGGGGCCTCGCCGACAGCTGTCAGCTTGGCGCTCTGTGGCGCGACCGGCGCTATCGCCGACGTGTTCATGTACGGCAGCGGCAGCAGATTGCTGAGGTTCTGGACCGCATTTGCAGCGCCGGCCGCAAACCCGCCGTTGACCACGGGGGGGTTGGGGTCGACGGGGGACGGGATGTCGACCCTGGCACGGTAGTTGCCCGTGTAGTAGTCGATGAACACCTTCGTGGCGCTCTTGGGGCAGTGCTCGATGAGCACGCGGGCGTACTTCATCAGACACGGGTAGGCCTGGATCGGTTAGCTTAGCTTAGAGGGCAAGTAGTTCGGTCAACTGGAAGGGGCAGACTGACAGTCTTGGGATCCAAGTGGCAGATAAAGTCGAGCGCCTCGTCGTACGCCTTGGAGTCCTCTATCAGAATGTCGACAACTAGGTCGTTTTCGCCGTGCTTCTTGGCGAGGTACGCCGCCTGCTCGTAGTAGCCGCCCTGGCGGCACATGGAGATGGCCGTGTCCAGGTCGAACTTGAGGTCCCCCGGAGACTTGATGAACTTTTCTAGCTTGTCAATGTCCTTGAGCTTGGCGTAGCAGTTGAGCAGCAGCGTCGTGTGGTCCGACGTCGCCTTGTGGCGGTCGTGCAGCTGCTCGAGGTACTCGATGAGGTTGTGTATCCGCTGCGTGTCCAGGAACTTCCTGATCACCTGCGACGGCTCTGTGCTGTCGATGGCCTTGATGTACTGGGTCATGGCTTCGTCATACGCGCCCTTTTGGTAAAGGTAGTCGCCGTACTTGCGAAAGATAATGCTCTGCTGTGGGCCGTCCATGCCGGACTTCTGGGCCAGCTCGACGGCCAGCGTGTAGAGGTTGCGCTGGTAAAGCATCTCGAGACGCTGCGCCAGCGGCTTCTCGTGGTAGCGGAACACCTGGACGGGTCAGCTCTGCCTACAGCGGCAGGGTGACCAAACTGCAAGGGACTTGCTTACCTTGCCATCCTGCGTCAGGGTGTAGAGATCGCCCCAGAGCTGGAAGACGTGCTTCACGTCGGCCAGCACAGTCTCGCTGTGGGCGACGATCCTGAGGTCTGGGTGTATCAGCGTAAAGGTGAAGATGCTGTCGGCGGCAGCGCCCCAGAACCGCCGCCGGGTGTCGGATTCGGCCGACGGCGTGGGCGGCGAGACCAGCGCAATGTAGTCCTGGTAGACGGCGATCAGCTTCTTCTGCGCCTCGTATGCGATGGGCGGACCGCGGCCGTCGAGTGTGTACGTGTAGATGGCGTCGTCGCGGCCGACCACGATCTCGCCCGTCGCCCTGTCGACCGCCATGCACCCGACACCGCAGCCAATGTCTTCGACGGTGCGCGGGGGCAGGCCGTGGCCCTTGCCGGAGATGACCAGCTTGAGGATGCGGGACGTGGTCGCGATGAACAGGGTCGTAAGGGCCGCGTCGACATGCAGCTCGACGCCCGTGACGGGCTCGTCCGACTCGTAGATGATGCGCTGCTTGGTGCCGAGGTCGTGGATCAGGTCGCCGCGGATGGCGGTGACGGCGCCGTTGGCGAACCCGACCGCCAGCTGCGTCAGGTCCTCGGTCATAGTTAAGGCCGATATCTGCCCCGTCAGAGCAGGATCAATTAAACAACACAGGCAACACGTACCGGAAAGGGCTTCTTGCCATTGTTGATGGTGACGGTGCTGAGGCAGGTGGGGATGCCCGTCTTCTTGACGGGCTTGTCCAGCGCCCACACCTTGAGGACGGGCGCGTTGCTCGAGTCACCGGTGCTCAGCTCTTCCTAGATGGCTGTCAGATGCTGTCGGAAGACAACGGGGCTCGACGTACTGCGATGGTGACCAGCAGGCTTGTGCCGTCGACCTGGCGCATGTGGGTGATGGGGCCCGTCTCGTAGGCCTGAAAGGTGCGGACGACCTTCCAGCTGGCGCCGACGATGCGCACGTGGCCATCGTAGCTGCCGAGGAACAGGCTGTCGGAGCCCGAGCAAATGCTGGAAATGTCGTTGCTCTCGAAGAAGGCGCGCGTGTCGTCGTCTGCGATTTTGATCTGCGTTGCGTCGAAGAAGTCAAACGACCTCCACTGCGTCGCATTGCATTAGTCCCCGCACAAAGCTCGAGGTTCAAGACATATCAATCCTACCGTCAGCGCCATGGTCGCATCTTGTTCCGGCGTGCCGATTTGCTGTGCCCTGGCGTCGTGTCTGTCTGGTGTCTGGTGTTGGTTGGTGAGCCCGGCGCTGTGCCTGCGCTGGTGACGACTGACCGACCCACTAGAGCTTGAGCTCCCGCCCCGCCGTGGCTTGTCAGAACGCGGCAACCCTAACCCTGGGGATCAAGTCAAAGTCGAGGTCGAGGCAGCAGCCTGGGTTCAGGAATGTTTTAAACACCAATGATGAGAGGATAAATGTTCTAGATGATACATTGTCTAAATACGGGGAGGGGCTTGGCGATCGTTGATATCGTCTATCCCAGCATGGACCTTGCCATGTGCTTGTGCTTATCACTCCTGCCCCCTGCCCCCTGCCCCTGCCCACCGCCCGACGTCTCCCCACAAACCATCATCTTCTTCTCCTCGCAGCCGAAAGTCAGGTCAAGGAGCGGGACCATCGACGGCCGCCCGTGCGCACACTGAAACGGGAACGCGCACCCGGCAAGGCGCTGGACCAGGTCTGAGCATTCATCCAAGGTCAACGCGTCGTTGAACATGATGGCGCCTATAGTGTTAGCCACGGCTCGTCTAGGGCAGATCTGGCGAGGGGACTCACTTCGGCAAGACCGCGAGTTGATGAGGTCCAAGATTCCCTCTGGGCAATCGTGGAACCTCAGAACCCAGTCGTGCTCTGCATCGGCGGAAGTCATCGAGCCGCCAGCCATCGAGCCGCTAGCCATCGAGCCGCCAGCCATACCACTGCCGGCCAGCCCCACATGGTCGTCGTAGAGCTTCCACACCTGCTTCCGAAGCAGCTCGACGACAAGTCTCGGTTCCACGCGGCACCTCTCCAGGATGCTCGGCGGCAGGCTCTGGACCTCCACGGTGGCCGCGCCATCCTCTGACACTGCCGACGCCGCACGGGACACGCCATAGAATATGCCCCAGTGCCGGAAATGCTTCGTGAAGCGGCCAAGGAGCTCGCCTTCCTGTCTGGGTAAATCAAAGCGCAGTGGCTTTTCCAACGTTTCGCTCTGCGCCACCGGATTGCCGTCTGCAGTGTTGTCCGGAGCGAAATACCCCTTCATCAGCCCTTCCACTCGGCACCTCTCGTCGGCGGCATGCTGGTCGATGAGGACAAGAACGCATTGCTGCTGGCCGTCTTGTCGCTCGGTCTTCCCAGCGCAAGCCCCCAAGTCAGAGTGCGCCGTAAATATCTTTGCCAAAATGAACTTGCGGTCGACTTGGCCAATGACCTCGGCTCTTCGGAGCGAGCCTTTGGAGATCCTCCCCGAAAGGGCCAGCGAGACGCCGCTGTTGGGGAGGTCGACGTTGATGCCCTCGACACCGCAGCAGTCGTGTCCTGCCTGCTCAATTCCAAGCAGCTCGGAAACCTGGGGAGCACAAGGGATGGGGGGCTCGGTGGGTGCAAAAACCAGGCTGCTGCGGACCTCCATTGGTGGTTTTGAGCTGCGGCTGGGCACCGTCTTTACCTGCGCACGTCGAGGGATACCTTCACCCTCAATGTCCCCCCGATTCACCATGAAGCCCGTCCGCGAGTTTATAAGCGACGAGTTTATAAGCGACTTGATCTTGGTTGCTCGGTCGATCCAGACTATAGTGTCGTCCGTATCGGGGCCCTCTTTCTCGGTAGGCTGGTCGGCAATTTGTTCCTGCGACTGGGCAGAGGGAGTTGCCGCTACGTCGTCGTCGTCGTCGTCGTCAAATGGCTTCCGCAAGAGACCCCCTGGCCGGCCAAACAGGGGATTCGCAGTGCTGTGGCGCGGCTCCGATGTTGTCTGGGCAGAGTCTTCACTGTCTAGTGAGGATGTGCCTGAGCCAAGATATTTTAGCTCTGCACTTTCTGGGCGTCTAGACTTCACTCTAGACCAGGACGCGAATGGCGACGCACTTCTCGTGTCAGGCCCTCCAGCTTTCCTCGCCGCAGGCTTGTGTGATTTCGGCGTATCTACTCTTGGAGATGGCCGTCTTGCCTGCCTTTTAGTTGCCAAGGATGTCGAAGACGGGACAGACGCTTGACTTGCCAAAGCCGAGCTACCGTTTGACGCTCCGAGTCTGTCCAACGCATTGACAGCCCTGGGGCGGAACTGGTGTTTCTTCAAAAACTCGTGCGCAATCACCTGGAGTAGATTTGCGATTGTCGCCAGCTTCTGATGGCTCTCGTCAAACAACGATTCAATATCACAGGTCTCCATTTCGCCCTCCAGTGTTATCTGCAAGACGAACATGGGCCAACGATCAATGGCGCGTTTTGGCCGCAGCTCTTTCCCCGTGAATCCGGAGGTCTTCCGGGGAAGCCCCTCTTCAAAGTCAAGGTCCTCCACCACGCCAAAGGTCGAGTTGGCAAAGGCCCGGTTGAAGTCTTCGTAGAAAAAGTTTGAATTTGCTTCGTTGTCCAGCGGCTGGACGCCAAGAGCAATGAACTGCACGCGCTTCGTGGCCACAGGGAGTAAAGAGATGCAGCCGTTTACAGAAACGCCATCGGCAGAGGCTCCAACAGATATCCACGACTCTGGCCTCCGTGGTTCTGCCAAGGGAGTTTGTCCAAGAAGCCTCGTGGTCCGCGCAACCATCCTATCAGATGCCTGAGAGCTCCTGGTCTGGTCTGCAGGCTCAGGCGTGGAAAGCGAAACTGCGCGGCGGGAATGTGCATCACGAAGAGAGACAGTCGCTTCTCGAGGCCACGCAAGCAACAGAGCAACAACAGCGTGAGCCAGCTGGTCAAAGTTCTTAACGGTGCCCAGCCGTTCCGCTTCGAGAGCGCGATGCTTGACGCGAACGGGCATAGAGCCAAAGAGATCACGCACGGTGACACGCGTGCCACTCGGGAAAGCCAATATCTGCTGCTCAGGCAGGGCGGGCATGTTGCGGGCTATTACCTTGGCATTGTGGGTGGTCAGGGAGTTGTGCGACCGATACTCGTGGTGGTGGGACGTGATGGACAGCAGCGAGAGCGCCGCCAGAGACGCCACGAGCTCGCCATGCTTGCCATGGCAGTCCGCTTTGGGCGGATATCGTGAAGTGTCTGCACCAGTGCACGCTGTTGGCAATCCAGAATAGACAAAACATAGGTAGAAATAAAACCGAAACGAAATAAAATTAAAAGAGGCAAGACTTGGACTTACAGTGAAGCTTGCCAAGACCTCCGTCTTCTCCAAAGTCGGCCGGGGGGATCCCTAACCCGTTGTCTTCGACGTGGCAGTTGCCCCGGCTGTAGTCGACCGAAACATTGATTTTTGAGGCGCCCGCATCCAGCGAGTTGCGGATCAGGCCGCACACGGCGTCGTTTAGGGTGGTAATGGCGCTGGAGGACCTGATCTGCGCGACGACATCACCGGGGAGCGGCCGGATTGACATGGCGTGCCCGACCTGACATGTCGCCAGTCGCTTCCAGCAGTATCCAGGCGCTTGTTTCAAGCTGTGAGTGTTGTGCCGTGTTTTTGCAGTGTTCTTGCAGGCGTTCTGGGGTGTGTTGCTAGCGCCTGAAGACTCGGCTCCAGCTCCGCTCCGCTTCAGTCAGGTACCAGACCCCAGGTGAACCACCCACCAGGCAGTGCGTAGTAGATGGCCTGGCCTCAAACTGAAATTAGCAAAGCAACAAGGAGCACCGGAAGTTTGGAAAGTTTAGCAAAGGCAGATACGCGTGCGCGACACGATCGCACGGCCAGGACTCAACTGCGCAGAGAACGAAGAACGGAGATTCGGTCTAGCCAAGCCTAACCCTAAGCCAAACCCTACCACTAACCCGCTGAGCACAGCACTCGTGACCCCACACGTGCAGCTATAGGCCTGCCCAGGCCCAAAGCCCTGGCCTGGACCCAGCTTCCTTCATGTTCACACGGGTTCTCCGAAGATCACCCTGGTTGCCTGGCTTCGTCATTGACCGACCTGACCCCGGCATCCGAACGCTTGGGACACATCTGGTTAGTGCAACCTGGTGATCTGGACGGCGTCTGACTGCTTGCTTGCGCTGGACGACCGACGGCATTCCCACCCCAACGTGCGACACCGAGACATCCATTTGACAAAGCGCGCTACAGCAGCACGCAATCCCAACTTCAACACCATACCACACCAGCATCAACCCCGGCGAGCAAGACGATACAGGTATAATACATATAAACATTCCGCCCGACATTCCACCTGCCCACCGACCAGCGCTGTGGCTTCCTGCACGAACCAAATCCACCGTTGATTCTGGCCTTGCTGCTCCAACAAACGTTGACCGTCCTGGACCACGGCAGCCGAAGAACTGAAACTTACGCCGCACGACTACCCAATTAGCCACTGCCCGCTCTCGTTGTTCCTCCACGTCCTCCGACCCAACCATGGCCATGACTGAAACAGCGCCTCAACCGCACGGTACTGTTCCCCTCTTTTAAGCCTACACTTCTGCGCAATCGCGCTTCCATTACGCCTCGCCGCAGACTGACCACACTCCCTTCATGCCTCATTTCCCAAGCACCTTCCGAAGCAGACGCAACTCGGCACCGCCGCTGAGTCCGTTCGACACCGCTGACACCATGCCAGATCGCGCAGGCCGCACCGGCCGCCGCCGGCCCTTCTCGACGCTGATGAAGAAATTGGCCAACCTGAAGGGCTCGGCTGGCGATGGCACGAAGCAGGCGAACGCGAAGCACGGCGCCGACGCCAAAAATCGGCAGTCCAAGAACAACAGCAACAACCCATACCCCCAGTCTGGCCCAGTCGGGCTCGGCGTTCCCATCCAGGACAGCCACTACTCCGTCTCTACATCTCGCAGCGGCAGGTCGTCGAGCATCACATCCATCGATCAGGAGAGCGGGTCAGTCAGGTTATCCACAGATGGGCTCCCACCGCCGACCGCAGGAGGGCGCTCGATGGCGCCGACCGTTTCGACGGACCACACGTCGACGGCGCTCTCGCACGGCGCGTCGTCGCTCGCCGGCACCAGCCGCACAGCCAACGGCGGCATCGATTCGCGCCGCGGCGGTGACAGCACCTTCTCGTCCCCGGCGCCGTCTGTGCGGTCCCTGACCACGACCCTGACCACGATACAGTCTATGGCGCCCAACGGCGCGGCGCCCCCCCAGGCCAACGGCGGCAACAGCAACAGCAGCAGCACGAGCCCGAACCAGTACGCGCACCAGTCGCAGTCCAACTCGCAGATCATCCACTTCAACCAGCCGTTCCCCACCAGCTCGCCCGCGTCGGCCATCCCTGCACACCTGACGCCCGTCATCAGCGGCGGCGGCGGCGGCGGCGCGGCCTCGACGACGGGGCACCCGACGACGTACGCTAGCGCGACAGCCAACAACCTGCTGACGGACAACGCGTCGATCCTAACGCTGGCGTCATCGTCGAAGCGCCGGCGCCGGCGCTCCTTCGACACGGACGCGTCGGTGCGCGCCCTCGCGCCGTCGTCGCTGTTTGGCGGCAGCCGCGAGTCGCTGCCCCTCAGTATCCTTAGCGCCAACATGGACGCAGCGCCCGGCGGCGCGGCGCCCACCACGCCCGGCCTGCACCGCGGCCCCAGCGGCATCGCCAACGAGCGTACCAGCATCTACTCAGCCACGGGAATCCTAGCAAGCGAGCGCAACAGCTTTTACGCGAAGCCGACCATCGGCGGGAGCACAGCGGCAGGGGCAGGGGTAGGAGCAACGGGAGGCGACGCCGCGAGCGTGCGCAGCGGCCTGCTCGGTCACGGCCGCCCTGATAGCGTCAGCGGCAGCATCGGCGGCGGGCTCGTCACGGCCACGAGCCCGCTGGCCAGCCCGCGCGACAAGAGCGGCGGGAGCGCCAACGGGAGCGGCGGCGCCGACGAAAAGGACGGCAGCGCTGGGACGAGGGTGTGACCATGTGTCGCGTCTCTGCACTTTGCGGCGCAGCACGGTGTGGGCGCCTGCCGCCTTGTTTGCGCCCGCATGGCACCCAGCCCCCTTTGGGTTCTACGTTTTCTTATGCGTCGGCGTTCTGCGTTTTCATTGGGGTTTACGGATCACCTCTTCTCGTCTATCATCTCATCCCTTCATCGACAGGAGACGGACAGGCTACACGGCGCTCTCTTTTTTTAGTCTGGATAGGCGGCGGGCGGGCAGGACGTGGCGGACAGGTGCGGACATGGAAGTGGGTGTCTTTGGTCTGGTTGTATTCCATGCACGTGTTGGGGGGGTGGGAGGGAAGGGATGGAAGCTACGAGGCTTTGTGTCTGCCGTATGTGGTCAAGTATGCTCAGTTTCATTTTCACTACGACTAGCCCAGAGGACTCACTACCGGGGACAATGCAGGGCTTGCGAGGGGGAAAGAAAAGACAAAAAAAAGTCATCGGACGACAAAGGCGGGTAAATGGCTGGCTGTCCACGTCCACACACAGCCCCCCGTCCATATGGGGCGCAGGCATTTCCGCGGGGGTTCGTTATTCACATCTTGTTTTATTAGGGGTGGAGCAGGACTACCTAGGCATGTACATTACAGACGAGCCCCTCCAGTGATGGGCTGGGAGGGAGACACCTGAGCGGTGTGTCTGAGCAGACGGGGCCGTTGCAGAGCGTGAGCATGTGTACGGCGGCGTCGGCGCCAGAAATAATGGGCAGAAATATATCTCGTGTGATACCCAGCTGCGGCGATCTACTTTTGGACCCGGCATGTGTTGCGTGTTGTCGCCATGTGCATGCATGGAATGGTCACTGGAGGTGTGGCTGTAGATCGATGGCAAGGCTGCGTGTCAATTGCGGCGGTATATTCGTATACAAGTGCGTGTCGTTCGTGGCTAATACGGCAGCGGCGTCAGGTCGAGGCCTTCGACGGAGAACTTGAACGAGTCGTTTCTTGCGGTCGGAATGTTAGCTTGTCGATGAGGTGGGGACTGGATGGGAATAATACGTGGGTGCGTGGGTGGAATCGGATCATGGGATGGAGTGTTTTCAACGAACAGGGGGACAGGGGATGGATGGAAAGCCAGGCAGAGAGACAGCATCAACACAAATCAGAGGCCTACCTCGAATAGCTCCCCGCCGTGTCCAGGTCCAGCCTGCCGCGGATGCAGTCGTCAAAGTCGACATCTGCATAGATGATGCCCTCGTCGTCCTCCCACTGCGGACCAGCTAGCACCTCGCCGAACGGCGAGACAATAGCGGAGCCGCCGCGCGAGACGAATTTAGTGTCGGACGACGCGGACGCGGCAGGCTGGTGCCCGTTTGCCACTGACAGACGCTGCGCCTTCGGGCCGTCCCCGCACAGCACGATCTCGTTGCCGTCCTCGTCAAACACCGACTGCCGGCGTTTTGTCTGCGACGCTGGGCGGCGCGGCTGCTGCTGCTGCTGCTGCGGCGGCGGCGGCGGCGGCGGCGGCGATGGTAGTGCGATCTCGAAGCCCTCTTCGGTCACGCACGAGCTGCGGCGGTTGCCGCTGCCAAAGTGGTCTGGGTCCGGGAGTTCGTCGACCGCGTCGCCGTTGCTGCTGTCGTGGGTGACGTTTGCAGCGGGGTGCGTGGCGGTTGGTTTGCGCACGCACATGTTGGCGGTCACGACGAAGCAGCGGCCCTCGATGGCCGCCGTGCGCATCAATGGCAGCCACGTGTCGCGGCCGTCGGCGGTCGGGGCAAGGTACAGGTTGATGTTCTGCGCGTACAGCGACTGGCGCACGAGCGGCATGTAGTTCTCCCAGCAGATGGCCGCCGCCAGGTTGATGCGCACGCCGCGGATGATAGTGGTCACGGCGCGGAGCGTCGCGGGTGAGCCCTGCGCCCACACCAGTCTCTCGGTGCCGGTCTGTGGGAGTCGGTGTTAGCGATTCAGTCTGCACACAAAGGGACGCACGCTCGCGAGACGTACGGGCATGACCTTTCGGCGCTTCCCGATGACGCCGAGGCGCGGACACACGTAGACGACGGCGCAGTACATGCTGCCGCCGGCCTTCTCGATGCAGCCCGTGACGACGAGCACGCCCGTCTGGCGGGCAATCAGCTCGAGCTGTTCCCGGGTGCCGTCGCCGCGCGTCTTGGCGTCGGGGCTGCCGTCCAGGCTGGCTCTCGGCGGAGTGGCGTCTCCTGGCCCGCCCAGCTCCCTCCTCAGCCACGCCGCGCCGGCGCCGGCGCCCCCCTCACCCACCGAGTCGCCCAGGTCGACGGCGCTCTGGAAGTAGCGCAGGTACTCGTCGCGGCCCTCGCGCGAGCGGGAGCCCATGACGCAGCCAAAGGCGGTTCCGGACGGGTAGCCTCCGATGTAGGCCTCGGGCAGCAGCAGCACGTCGATCCCCTTGACCGCGGCCCGCCGTGTGATCTGCGCCAGCTGTGCCAGCGTCTCGGCTGTTGTGGCCGCGGTGCCGGGCGAGGCCGCCCCCAGCCGGATTCGTGCGGGCGGTGCCATGTTTCAATCGAGTCAGTGACGAGCAGACGGTGGACGGGATTTGCACGAGTTAGCAATTGGCCAGGGAAAGTATATACGGTTAGCCCAGAAATATACAGGCAGTGCCAGGCCAAGATTCCAGGGCAGCCCCCGAGACAGAGCACATGACCAAGCTAAATAGGAAACTTCTGGTGCTCTGTGTCAACGAGGAGATGCACAACAATGATGACAGCAGGGGTCACACCACCAACGGCGATGCGGGGTAGCCCGTCTGCAGCGCCCCTACCCCGCACCGGGCCCTGATCCGAGATTGAAAACAGTGGGGGTCCAGTGTGGCGGTCCGCCGCTGGCGTAACAAGAAGCACGGGAACGGGCCCTCCCACTCTTGTTCCCGAGCACCGAGCACCATCTGAGGTGAATCGGTCACGAAACAAGTTGACAGAATTCCAATTACAAAAAGACCCCATAGCAAATACATAGACTGTGCGAGGCTAGCCCTCGTTCACATAATCTCCTCGGCTAGGTCCATGAGATCCATCTTCCTGACACGCTTGTACGTGGGGAGCAGCTCTCGCGGAAACCAGTCGTACAGCTTGCCGCCGGGTCGGCCAGGCACCGCCGCGAGCTCTTCCTCGTCAGATCCCATGATCATCACGCCCAGCGCCGTGCCCGACAGCCACGCCCAGACCATGCCGTCGCCGATAAACGCCGCCGCGATCCACTCGGCCGCGTCGTCATGTTCGCTGTCCGTCCTGCGCGCCGGCTTTGCCTTGCGCCCGGCCACGCGGGGGTCCAGCTTCCCGACCAGGGGGATCGCGTCGGCCGAGATGGCGACGATGCCGCTCCAGACGTAGTTCTTGCCGCCCTGGTCGTCAGCGGGCGGCGGGCCCCAGTTGGGCTCGAAGATGGCGGCCATGATGCCCAGGTTGTGCGCGTTGGCGAGAGCGCCCATCTTGCTGTCGTCGTACACGGCGATGTTCTCCATGCCCTGTTTCGGGCCGAGGCTGAAGCCGCCGCCGAGCAGCACGTGGCCGGGCACGCCGGCGGGCGACGTCGGCCGCTGCGTCGCGTAGTCGAAGCCCGAGCCGTAGATGACGGACCACGACCGCCGGCCGTCGAGGTCGGGAAAGTCCCTGCCGGGCCGCTGCGCCGTCATCTGCGCGAGGATCCCGATGGCCTTGCCGCGCAGCCCCGGCACCAGGTGCGGCGCAAACCCGTTGGTCGCGTGCACCACGTGCCGCGCGCGGATGGTGCCGCGGCTGGTCGACACGGCGTACGGGAAGTCTGCCGCGCTGCCCGGCTCGATGCCCTCGACGGCCGTCATGGTCTCGAGCGAGAGCGACTTGGGAAAGTCGGACAGCAGCTTGTTCCAGATGGACGTCACAAAGCGGTACGGCCATAGGGCGCCGGCCTTGTACGCGAGCGCGCCCTTGACCTGTTCGTTGACGGAGAATTTCTAGACGCGGGCTGTGTGAGAAGACCGGCGACTAGCATGCTAGCATATCCAGTCAGGATCACTCGTGCTCACCTCGCGGGCCTCGGCGGCCGTCAACACGGATACGTCGTGCTCGGGGACCCATTTCCTCAACTCCTCGACCTGACCCACCGCCTTGGAAAAGTCGTCGTCGTCGAGGAAGAAGTCGGCCGTCTCGACCTCGCGGCACTCAGCAATGTCGATGTGCTCGGCCCGGCACAGCTCGACGAACGTGTCGAGGTGGCGCAGCTGGAAGCGGATGAGCTCGGCAGCCCGCTGGGGGCTCATGCGCTTGCACAGGCGCGCAAAGCTCTCGTAGGCCGACGGTTTGATGTGCCCGCCGTTGCGGCCCGTGGCACCGCTGCACAGCGAGCGCGCCTCGCAGACGACGATGCGGCGTGCCGGCTCCCCCGTGCGGCGGCTCTCGTGCAGCACGCTCCGGGCGATAGCCGCGGCGGCGATGCCCGAGCCGACGATGACGATGTCGGCCGTCTGCGGCAGCTCGGGCGACCGCACGTTAACCAGCCCAGGGAACGGCGGGTCCTCCTGCCAGAAGGCGACGGTGGGGTTAGCGACAGGCAGGCCGGGCGACTTGTTGGCGCGCGCGAGCACTTCGTTGTAGTCGGCTGACAGCCCGCGGATGACACCGATAACACTCTTGACGCCCTTGACGGCGCCGACGAGGCCCGAGATGACGGCGCCCATGTCGCTGTTGGTTGTTGTTGTTACAGGTTGGTTCCTCTAGACAGGACTCGGCTGAGTCGGGTCAAGTGCGTGGGCGGTGTTGCATCCTTCTTCGGACTCTCTTGGCAATTAGGTCCAGGCCCAGCTCGGAAACGAAATGGTTACGTAGCATCGGCGGAATGAGGTGCTGTACGGAATAGACAGCGTTAGAATTGCCAACAGTGTATCCCGGAATAATCTCAGTTCAGTTGGTCAATTGAGTTCTGTTGCGGGTGTCAGGTCGGCATCGTGCTGTAGGTTCGACTCTAGTTTCCAGACAGAATTGTTTCCAGACAGAATGGTTTCCGGGCAGAATGGTTCAAGACAGAACGTGGGGGGCGGCCTCGAACGAGACGGGAAGCGGTGCGGAGGCTGTAAATACAGTACCCTCGAGGTCAATCCAAGCTTGGACCGCCATCCCAAGCCAGCCATTGGGTGGGATGAATTCGGCCCCTCCCGTCTCACTGCGACTCGACTGCAACTCAACTGCAACTCGACTGCAACTAACTGCGACCTGCAACCTAACTGTCTGTCGACCGTGCATCGCCGCCCATCAACACGGCACGAACATTGGTCATCTTGGGGCAGACGCCTGCCATCGCTACCATGGACAGCATGGTCATGGCTCTGCAGCAGGTGCAGGCTTTTGTGGCCGTGGACGAGAACGCGGCCCACGGCAGCGCGACTGCCCACGCAGCCCAAGCCCAGGCCCAGGCCCAGGCCCAGGTGCCCGGCGCGCCTCCACCTCACGTCGAGATGCAGCCACAGCACCAGCCACAGCACCAGCAACACCACCAGCAACACCACCAGCAACACCACTAGCAACACCACCAGCACCAACACCAGCAACAGCACCATCACAACCACGAAATCTTCCAGCAAAACCCCCAGTACCAGCAGCCCTAAGAGCCGCGTCCGCGTCATCCGCCGCCACCGCAGCCCAAAACGCGGCGCAAGAGGAAAAACCACGTCCCTCGCGAGCCCACGCCGCCGCCCGGCACCAAGCGCCCCAGAATCAGTCGGGCCTGCGACTAGTGTCGCGGCAAGACCAAGAAATGCCAGGGCTACCAACCGTGCGCAAACTGTACGTCGTCTTCACCAGGCGATGGCATCTCCCGTCTCGCCCCCCCGACACCTCACGTGGTCACGTGTTAGGCACGGGGATGGGCCGGAGCTGCACCTACGAGATGCCCTTCCTCAAGGGCCGCCCCAAAACGCCGCCTCCGCCGCCCGAGAACCCGGTAAGCCGCAACGTGCGTCGCGACCTCGACGCGCCCAAATCGTCACGCCAACGCGGCTGGGCTGCCCGGGCTTGTGACCGCTGCCGCGAACTCCGCAGCGGCTGCTCGGGCAAGTTCCCCTGCGATAACTGTTTTGAAGACAGAGTCACCTGCACTATCAGGCTGTAAGACACTCTCTCTCATCTCATCGGGCGCCGCTCACAGATGGCAGCCGAAACACCACCCCGCCGCCGCCCCTTGGTTCGGCTAAACGGCCCGATGGCGAACGGCCCGATGGCGAACAGCCCGATGGCGAACAGCCCGATGGCGAACAGCCCGATGGCGAGGAGGACGACGACGACAGCGAGGGCCATTCCGAGTCGTACGAGTCAGACGCTGGCCCTCGCCGCCGAGGGGTCGCACCGGCTGCTATTACGGCCGATATTTCCGGCCTCCAGCTAGCCCAGCGATATGCGAACGAAGAGCCACCGCCCCTCTTGTCCCTCTTCAGAGCCTGGCACAAACTCACCCTGGCACAAACTCACCCTGGCACAAACTCACCCTGGCCCCCAGTACCTCTGTCTCCCAGTGCCCGCCCGGCCGCCCCGTCCGCCCCGTCGGCAGAGTGCCCCTGGCCGGTGACCTGCCCTTCAACAATTCGGCCCTCATGACCTTTCCGGACCGAAGCGTGTGGTTTATCCTGCACCAGCAGTGCATCACCGCCTGGACTGGCACCTTTCACTTCCTCCACACGCCCACCGTCAACGCGTGGCTCGAGAGGGTCCAGAGAAATGCTAGCGCCGGCTTTGAGCTCGGCGAGGCATCGGCCACTCGAAAGCCGCCATCGCACTCATGACCATGGCTCTAGGGTCCATCGTCCCCGCCAAGGGCATCGAACACAAAAAGTCTCACAAGTTCCCCGCGGCCTGGACTCTGCACAACGGGGACAACTTCTTCTCGTCTGCCCTCAACCTGACCGACTCGGACCCCGCCGAGCCGTCGCTAGAATCCGTGCAGGCCCGCCTTCTCCAGTCTCTGTATTTCCTGTCCACGTGTCGCTTCACCCAGGCCCGGTACACATTCAGCAGCACCGTCCAGATGATTTTTGCCATCGGGCTTCACCGTCGGCTCGGCAGAAACAGAGGCCTCGGCTCCAACGTCTTCTTCCGCCCCGACTATGCAAGCATTCAGTGCCAGAGGCGGACGTTTTGGTCTGCAGTTGTCCTTGACAGACAGCTCAGCATGTTCTTCGGTCGGCCCGGCCACTTTACCGCCGACACCATCGACCAGGACCTACCCGACTGCGTCAACGACGAGGATATGGGCAACGAAGGGCCCATCCGCCCGTCACAGGGCGATTGCTATATCGACGGCCTCGTCTCCTTCACCAAGTGAGTCCCACCGAGTCCCACCGAGTCCCACTAGGTGCGGCAGGCTTAGCTAACATTCTCGACTCAATGCCATCCTCGACAGGATACGAAGCGAGGTCTACGCATTGCGAGACATACCGGAAACCGTCAGGTTTGATGTCGCCACGGAGCTCGCCAAGGAGCTCGACGACTGGAAGGTCCATGTGCCTGGCATCTTGAACACGTACAAGCCTTCGATGCTGCACACCATATTCCGCCGACAGGCCACCCTGCTTGGCTTGGCACACTGCCACGCCCAGATCCTCCTCCGCCGCCCCTTTCTCACAGCGCCGTATCCCAAGGATGACAAGGCGCAGAAGATCCGCGATCCCCAGATACGGACCTGCATCGTCGCCTGCCGGGATTCTCTCCAGCAAATCATTGGGCTCGCTCGTGATTTGGATAGCGTCTAGTTCTAGTCTCTGTGGTATGTCCATCACATTGCCTACTGCGCCGCCGCATGCATCCTGGTTCTTCCTCATATTCGACAGCGCCAAAAGGTCCTCTTCGCCGGGGCCCGTTTCCGGCCAAACGACATCACTGATGCCAGGTTGCTAGAGCTTGCTGAGAAGCCCATCAAAATGCTCACCGAAGACACGAACCAGCATTCCTCGGGTCGCAAGTGGGCCGTGATCCTGCAGAAGCTGAGAGCCGAGACCGAGCGGCAGGTCACCGTAGTTCGAGAAGGGAGCCTTGCGGCCATGGTTGGCGGTGAACAAGTCGTCATCAACAGTGACGACGACGACGACGACGACGACGACGACGACGACGACGAGAGCGGCGACGAGGACGAGTCGCCCAACGCACAGCTAATGGGGGATGCGCTACGGGCCCATTGGGAGGTGGCTGCCAACGCTCCTCTCCGTCCACCTCCGCCTCCACCTCCACCTCAACATTCACGGTCGCACACACATGCCCCGGCAGCCGCCACGGCAGGTAATACCCCGGCCGACAAGGCCGACAAAGAACGCATCCAGCCAGTCCTCGTAGCCGGCCTGTGGGACAAGTGGATACTCACCGACTGGATTGACCTTGATTCTGCGGTAGGTGCCACGTCTTTGCTTTCTCAGCTGGAGCTAACCTTGTGTGTCTGGCAGGCGTTTGGGCCAATATCCGATTTCGAGCACATCCCCGTTGCCCCCCTTCCTAATCACCAGTTCACAACTTCACTTCAGATACACATAACACAGGCTCTTGACTGATAATACTTCTAATCCCGCCCAGACATTTACTCCCGACATATGGCACAGGCTCTTCACTGATAATACTTCTAATCCCGCCCAGACATTTACTCCCGACATCTAGCCCGACAAATATCCATACCCAATCGTACACATCACCTCTGCCGGCCTTGGTCGAACAGTAATCTCCATCTCACGATAAACCCGATATCTGCTTCATAAGCAGGTCCACACTGTCTACCACCTTGTCGAAGCGCTTCATGACATCACTGCCCCCCACGAGCCGCTCAGCAACCGACCCATCATCACTCTCGAGATATTTCTCAACCGCGTAGGACAGTCCCTCGCTTTGTGTCTGCCTATTCTTCATTAGCCTTGCTCTACTCTTGAGTCTGGCTCACTTACTCGTCTCCTGAGATCTTGAACGCTGAAGTGTCTTGCTGAGGCATGCTAGATGTCGACGTGATATTTGGCCCAAGCACGTTGTTCTGCAGTGTATCGGTACTTGCGGTTTCAGTGTCTGAGTTTGAAGCTGTTTGTCATGGACACCCAATTGAACAATTCCCATAGCAAAGATGCACATCTCGCTTTTATATTGAATCTCTACAACCGAATCTCTGCAAACAACACCGCGGATCCGTGGTTCCAACTCGCGATTGAGCGTTTCCAGGCATGGCGTCACCTGCACACGGCGTTGTCCAAGTCTCCATTCAGGCACGAGGCTGAGTCCACCTCACCGAGCTCTCGTGGTGTTTTTCGTGTCAAAAATGATCGTCCCGGCAGCCCGGTATCCGCATTTGCGCCATAGAGTCGGGTTGGAGCCTCAGTCGTAGCTGTCTCTGCAAAGCATCAACGCTGTCCCGCGGGACATTGCCAAATCAGCTGGGCTCTTGGACCAATTCCCAGCTGCATTAAACCCCCAGCAATCCCGAAGCGGAATGGAATGGCTCGGGATACATGTACATCCGTACATGGCCGCCCCGCCCCCACAGCCTTATCTGCAAGACGCAATGTTTCCAGAGAGAGCAGGTACATTAGGCAAGTACAGCACCTTGCTCGTCGCATCCGAGCACTCCATTCGCGCACGCGCACACGGATACCCCTCCCGTGTTCCCAAGCTGGCTTGTGCCCTCATGCGTGTCATCGCTGGCACGTCCAATACCCCGTCGGGCTAGGTATGACTGCGCAACTGCGTGCTCCTCGCGCTCTCTGCACACTTGAAACACGTCATTGGCGAATTGCTCTGCTTCTAGGCGTGTGCCATTACACCAGAGCTCGATTCTCCGCATCTGCGCAAAGCATATTGGGTATAAAATTCCCTCTGGATTCCGTTACGATGCCCTGAAGCCTAGTCCTTTTCTCTCCTCGAATCAATCTTTATGGACAGACGAGTCTCTTGCTCAACTGCCGCTCTATTCAATCCGAAGCTTTGATCAAGCAACACAAGACAATTTACTTGTAAGCTCTTGTCATCTGAGCCCCGCAGCCTTGTCCCACAGACAAGACATCGCCGCCACCTGTGAGCTCTTGCTACCTTCAGCTCCCAAATTTTCCAACACCCATCAACCAACAGTCTTGCACGCCAGCAACGCTTCACTCCACGGTATCCCCTTGCCGAGAGCGTGCATCTCATGTCTCGGGATCCACGGTCTCCATTCAGATACGGATCGATTTGATGATTGTTCCGGCCCTCTCATGGACTCTTCCGACAGAGGCTTTCCGTCATCAGCAGAGAGCCTCCTAAGTAGACGGAAGAAGGAGATCGTCGAGAGATCTTTGAGTATGGTTAAACGGCAGCTGGATGAATGGGTTTCCGGCAACGTCTCGGAGTCAGGCGAGGGGCCGAAGAAGCGCGCGCGATACGGCCGGGCAAGGACAGAGAACGCTCTCAGTCCCGAGCCCGGCAAGACACAGGCCAAACAAGATGCAGACGGCCCTCGATTCGCGTGCCCCTTCTACAAGCACAACCCGAAGAAGTACAAGGCCGTCAAGACCTGCTGCGGCCCTGGCTGGACCGACGTCCATCGCGTCAAGTATGTCCCACTCTTTGTCTGTGTTGTCGGCATAATCTAACAGGGACCCAGAGAACATGTGTACCGACGGCACACGCCCAAGGGCTTCTGCCTCCGCTGCCTGACCCCGTTCGAAAAGGACGAAGACCTGAAGATTCATCAGCGCCAAGCTGTCGCTTGCGAGGTTGTGGAGCCCAGCACCACAACCCTGGAAGCCATTGATGAGGATCAGGAGAGGAAACTCCGTGCCAGGGCCAAGGCAAACCAGACGAACGAGGAAAAGTGGAAGGAGACGTTCAAGATCATTTTCCCTGGCGAGAAAGTCCCGTCCCCATGTATGTCTATCCCCCCTTTTTTTGGTTAGCACCATGCACGGGAGCTAACGATACGGCTAGACTACGATTCTGCCGGAGGAGCCAATGACCAACCTCGAGGGAGTCGGTTCCAGAGTGTCGACGAGCTGAAAGCCTGGCTTCACAGCGAAGTGACTCGACGCATCAAGCCCGTGCTAGAGCTAGAAGTCGAGAAGCATCTACAGGTTGTCCAGAAGGCAATGGACAAGAAGGCCGTCGCCATTGTCCAAGACGTTAAGGACCAGGTCCTGCGAATGTATCACTGGACTAAACAATGTGCCTCGCCCAGCTTCGAGGACGAGTCTGAAGAGAGCCGCCCGCCAAGCCCTAGTCCGTCGGGGCTAATCGACTTTGACCAGATCTTCGAAGAGCTCGGGAACGAATCGCTCGTCCCTGGACTGTTCGATAACGCAGGAAGCCTTGACTTGAATGCGTGCATGCCGCAGGGCTTCCCTGGCGAGTCTTTCACTGACTCTGGCTACAACTCCCATCCGTGGACGGTAGACGGCAGTGCCGGATATGAAGTCCAGCCTTACCACACGTAGAACCACGCGAGCTCGTCCTCGTTTTTATTCTGTGTCTATGATCATGTCGGTATCTTGACTTTACGCCCATTCAACCCGGAGTCCAGCCGCTGTCCTCTACACCTGTTCTTATTTTATTGTATCGCGGACTTCTGATTTAATGGCCTTTTACTTTTCTTGGGATCAGTGCCTGGTGCGAATGGGAGGCACACTGGCTTGCAATTGCCAAGACTCGTTGGCTTAGCTATCTTGGATTCGGCAATATCACTTTCACTCTAGATTTGCGGGCCACGTCTCTGCTCAGATTGTACTTGCTTGAACGGTTGCAATTGATCGGGCTCGACCTGAACGGCATCAAGTGGCATGCTGTGACACGAGGCACAGAGCAGACTTCCCGACTTCTTCCCGACATCGGCTCAAGCCGTTTCTCGCCGTGTCTCGCCGCGGCTTCGTCTGATCTTGGGGGCCAACGCCATTCCCTTCCCCCCCCTTCTTCCCCTCGCTGTCTGCCCGACGCCCCAATCCCGCCTGCCCTCTCCCCCACACTTTCTCTCCCACCCTCTGCCATCCATCCTCCACACTCGTTACTCCTCACGCATGCATTCGGGGAAAGGAGGGAGTGGCTGTCGGGCCAGCAATCGACGCTTATTAGTCGTCTTGGGAGCTATCTCGGTGGGAGTGCTGGTTTTGACTCGCCCGTCGGAGTCGCCCACTCACCAGCCTGGCTTGCCCGTGTCTCGCTCTGGCTTGTCTCGTTGGCTGCAGAAAGCAGCACATGCCCTGCCTCTGCGCGTGCCGACATGCTTGCGAATGTAGCTGATGCTCCTCTTCCTGCACGGCACGGCATCACGCATATGCAGAGCAGAGGCAGAGAGCATCAGGTCTCGCGCGTTTCAGCTCTTGGCTGCGCAGCCTCCTCTCTCTCTCGCTCTCTATTGTGCTCTCTTTCCCCCGCGTCTGCCGCTTGCCTGCTTACTTACCTGCTTGCTTGCCCACATGAGGATGGATGGAGGAGAGTCTGCCTTGCTCGGTGCCCAACAGCGGCACACCTCCGGCCTGACCGGACCCAAGCCGATGCCTGGCTTTGCTATTGTCGTCCTCTCGGGCCTTTGGCATCTGTGGGTGAGCAATTGGCTGCGCATGCGAGCCGCTGCCGCCCACCCTCTTGCCCTCTGGGTGGGTGACCTGGCGTTGGCTGGTGGCTTGGGTGGCTTGACAGGTGTCAATTGGGCCGGCCTGGCCGGGTGAGGAGCAACTTGCAGCTCGGTGATTGTGCGCATCGGCGCGCAGGTCGAGAGTAGCAGAATGCCGCGTCTCAAGTCGGGGACTGACCTGGTGGGTGGTGTCTATGGACGCACCATTATGTCATTAGCACCGTGTTCTCCTGGTTCCCTACTTGGACTGACTGGTGCCCGTCCCTTGAGTGCACTGAGACGGCGAACGGTCTGCGAGTGTGAACATGGCGGCTACATGTGAAAATGGCTGACATTGGGGAGCATTGAGCAAGTCAAGGTCCTTTTCTCTCGACTATCGTACAGGCTCGTCTACCAGTCGCCCCCCTGGTGCCCCATCCCCTCCGTCTCCGGGTCCCAGTCCCGCTCGAGCTGCCAGGCGTCGTCAGCGCGGATGCCGATGCGCGCAATGTCACACCCGCGGTGGCCCCATTTCTCGGCGAATACGCTGCGCCCCGTGTCAATCATCATGCGCAGGCCCGTCTCGAAGCCCTCGGCGTCGCGCGCAAACGGCTCGCCCTGCCCACCCGTCTGCCGCAGCTGCCACGTGTTGCGCCACCCGCCGCCGTCGGCGTACTTGGCCTCCTCCATGCGGTACCCCACGGCCACGAGGTGCTCCCACGTCTCGCCGCGCCGCTCGACGAGCCGCCGCCGCGCCTCGTCATCGTCCTCGTGCACCACCGTCACGAGCCGCTGCTGCTGCACCGCGTCGTCCGCCTGCTCCGGCTCCGGCTCCGGCCCCGGGTCGCCCGCAAACGCCGCGTGAATCCCCGGCACGCGCAGCAGCGCGCCGACGTCGTCCAGCACTGTGGCCACGTCCAGGATCAGCCCCACCGTCGTCTCGCCCTGCCAGTACCCGGCCCACATCAGCCGCACGTACATGTCGCAGTCGCCCGCGTAGTAGGGGATGTGCGTGTCCCAGCCGCCGACAGCCAGGATCGCGTCGCGGTTGACCAGCGTCAGGTGGTCGTACGCGAAGAAGTGGTGCGCCCACTTGGGGATCCCCGCCTGCCGCAGGTACTGCAGCACGCCCACGCACCGCTCGTACAGCGTGTAGTACGTCTGGCTCGAGTCTGAAGCGTCGGTGGCTTCGTTCTCGAGCGAGAACACGATCAGGTCCTGGTGTGACCAGAAGTACTCGGTCCAGTTTCGCTCGAGCGCCGCCCTAGGCCGTATCAGTGCCGGCTGGTGTGTGTGTAGAAAGGGGCAGGATAGGGTAGCTTACCAGGCGAAGTAGTTTTGCAGCTGCGCAAACGTCAACAGCGTGGGAGTCTAGGCAAGCCGGCCTGTCAGCTTCTTCCGCATCTCACTCAAGGCACTCGAGATGAAAGGCAGACCCACCACTAGCACGTTCACTCCCAGCATGCCCAGCTGCGTGTGGTTGAGGTAGAAGGGATTCTGCAGCGTCAGGCGGCCCTCGGCGTTTGCGCGCATGGCGCCCGTGTTCTCGACCACGTAGATGTCGCCCGGCGGCCAGCCCGCCGCCACGTAGCTGACCACGCACTGCAGCAGCTGCGGCCAGTTGCGCGTGAAGCCGATCAGCAGCGGCGTCGCCTCGGGATAGTGCCCCTGGTCTGCGCCGCCCCGGTTCACCGCCGGCGCCCGCAGCACGTCTGCTGCCGGGTGCGCCGACAGCAGAGGGAACGGGTCCGGCACCGGCGGCCCTGCCGGGTACGCTGGCTTGCGCGCCGGCTTCGGCCGCGGCTGCGACGAGGCCGGCTTGTCGGTGTTCCACGTGAAGAAGTCGTTCTCGAGCGACTCGGCGGGGACTTGCTGCTGCTGCTGTGGCTGCACGGGGCCGGGGGCGGGGGCGGGGGCGGAAGCCTGGTCATGTTTGGATGACGCGCCTTTGCCGCTCCGGAACTCGCTCTTGAGTTTGTCCTTGTGCTTCTTCATGCGGTTGGCCTTTTCTTTGGCGACCTTGGGATCCTCGGGCGGCGGCGGCGGCGTGACGGCGTCCGGTTCAAAGTCTTCCCACGCGCCGTCCACGTCGCTATCGCTGTCGGTATCGGCGCCACGCAGCGGCGGCAGCCGCCGCTGGCCCAGCCCCGCCGACCATTCCATTACAGCAGCGGGCGAGATGGAGAAGCGCCGGTTGCGGGCTTGGGTGTTGCTGCCCGCCGCGCCGCGCCCGAGCGGCGAGATGTACACGAAGACGGCCGCCGCGAGCGCCAGCACCAGAAGCCGGTACCGCGCGCGCACCGCCAGGTGCACCACCCTCGCCATAGCGGCGCTCTGTTAGGCACGTTGCGCTTTGAATCGCTGAGAGACGAGGAAAGAAGCAGCGTGTGCGAGAATGTTGTCTTTCCGTCGGCAGCTGAGACGACAGCAGAGGATCCAGGCCAGAGACGGGCGCGGGGCGCAGGATGCAGGCAATATAAATTAAATCATCTCTATACAGACGTGCATGCACTACTCCCGGCTGGAGAGATCAACACGCACGGCCAGAACCGGGGCGAGTTTCTGCACCACTCAGTCGTCGGTTCCTATCGCCACCAGCGCGGCGGGTCTCAACGCGAAACAAGGACAAGCCAAAACGGCGCGCGAGCGTTGCGCTGGGCTGGGCTCGTGGGTGGGGTTTAAACGTCATCCCACGGCCGAGCTGTTCCGGTTGCTGGGCTGGTTGCGCCTGGGCTAAGACGTGGTGCGGCAGACGGCTGATGTCGCAGGCAAATTAACTCCGCGCTGCCCGTCTTGTGCATCCTCGCCGTCTTTGTACATCTTTTGTTGCGTTTTGTGTCTGCAATCACGTAGATACATCGCATAGGTCCAAGTAGTTCACATATTCGCGATGTAAATACCTAATCTGGTCGTAAGCCCAGTTCGCGTGCTTTGCCAAACAAACATACATAGACACATTCTATCTCATCAGCACATATCTCGCCGAAGAAACCAGAGTCAACAACGCCTTCACACCGCGATACATTGAATAGTAGCATGGATGGCCCATCACATGAACGAAACTGCACTTGGCCTCGGAAGGTTCAGAGACGAAGCGTGCAAAACCTTGTCCTGTACGCGTTCCAAAAATAAACCAGATGAGAAAAGGAGAGGGTTCACGCCGTCGTGTCTAAGGTTGCATCGCTAGGCTAAAGTATCCTATCCCCCAACGGTGCGGGGGGCGGGTTGAAGCGAGGAAGTAGTGCAGGCAACAGGCAGGCAGGGGAGGAACGGTTGGGGAATCAGGGGGTGAAAGAAAGATGAGGATATATTCAAAAGGAAAAGACGTTCCCAAATGCCATGTTTACAAGTGCGGTTCAGGACTTGGTGTAAGCATGTCATACTGTCCAAGACTACAAATTCAAAATTTAGAATAGAGATATTAATCTAGCTAAACTACCTCCCCACCTTTTCCAGAGTCGCCATCGAGTTTTAGTTCTCAGCTACCTTCCCATATGCAACCTCAGGTCACGAGGTGAAGATCAATATATTTAGAGAGATTTAACGATCATCGCTCTTGTCTCACTCGAGCTTAAGCACTGAAGTGAACACGGCGATAGAAACCATTTGCTACATTCCAACTCGATACTCTTTGATCATATTCATTGACTTTTCCATTGTGCAAATCCTCAGACAAAGCCTTACGCCTCGTCAGATAACCCAAGTTCATATCACCTCACACATCACATCACATAACCACTTCACCCCACATGACCACTTCACCTCACATGACTACTTCACCTCCCATCATCTCACCATCTCACCCATCACCTCCATGGACACTCATACACACGAGTTTTGAGTTTCATTTTATTTTTCTCTTTATGTAGCCTCCCCGCAGGGCTCGGCAAGCAACCCTATTGACAGGATATACACAACCACCACAACCACAGTCCACAACCACAGTCCACAACCACACAACCTCCACCACCCCTACAACGAACACAACAACAACACCGCCAGCATCCCGTGTCACCACGGCCCGTCTTTGATTCGTTTTACTATTCAACAAAGAAAAACGGCAACCTGCCAGCAAAAGAAAGAGGGGGGGATCTATCGCCCCGCCTGCCCTCGTAGGGCACGCAGGTAGGTATGTAACGCAATGCAACGCAACGCAGCCGTAAAAAGAACAAGAACAAGAAGTAGAAAGAAATGAGGGGCGGAGGTTATCCAGAACACCCACCACCCACCCGATCCCCAGCCCGTCCGTCCGTCCGCGACACGGGCCAGAGGCAAATTAAACAACCCCGTGGCATGTATGTAACCGCAAGAACAAGCAACAAGAAGCTAAGGGGAAGAGAAGACAAGAAGACAAAAAGGTGGTATATCCTGAAGCAAAAACACAAACTTAAACAGACGTAAACTAAAACGACGAGAAGTCTCCCACACCACTGCTCAAACCCAAGCTCCGTCTCCTTCATGGCCTACCCTAGGCAGACACAACGGCTACTCCTCGTCTAAGCTCGTCATCAGCCCATTCCCTCTGCTGCTCTTCTTGCCTAGACGCAGGATGCTCAGCCTCTTCTTGACGCTACCGACGTTGAGTAGCACGACGTTGCTCGCGTGGTCCGTAGCGCGTTCCTTTTCCCTACCGAGAGACGTAGCGGCGGCGGTTGAGGCGTCGGAGTTCTCGTGGGCACCACCAGCACTAGCGCCCGAGTCCGTGACCCAGTCCAGGCCGCTGGCGCCGCCGCTCATGTCCGCCGCGCCGTTGATGTGGAGGCTGGGCCGCGTGTTGTCTGGCGACGAGTGGGAGGCGCGGAAGAAGCTGCGCCGGTTCGGGTTGTCCTTGCTGCGGCTTGTCGAGGCCGAGTTCTCCTCGAACGCGTGGTGTGCGCCGTCCCCGTTAATTAGGAGCGGGGGAAGTATCGGCGGATGGGGGCGCTGCTGCTGTTGCGGCTGCTCCTTGGGCTGCTCCTTCTTACGGCCGCCCAGGAAGCTGAGGCGGGCGCCGCGGCCCTGTCGCACCGGCTGCACGGCGACGTCGTCGGCGCCAAGGCCGTTGGCTGCCAAGGGCGCGGCCCCGGCCAGATTCTGCGGGTGCACTGTGCCCCCGAGGGTCGACGGCGGCGAGCGGGGCCACGTCGGCGACGGGCTGGCATTGCCGTCGCGCGCTGGCTGCGCCGGAGTGAAGACGGCAATCTCTGGCGCAAAGGTACTTTCAAAGTCTTGGTAGAGTAAGTACGGACCACGGAAAGGAAACGCCAGAAAATCAGACTCACATCGCTGAAGATCCTCGAGGTGCCGGTTGAGGATCGAGTTTGAACTCCGGCCAAATGTCATTAGACACCGCTTGATCAGGATCGCATGGTCCACCAGCGCCATCTTGATTGCGTTCTCTTGGGCGTCGAGCTCGGGCGGCTCGGGGTCCATGCCGTCGTCGCTGCCCGCCTCTGGCGAGTCGCCCGCTCGGGACATTCCCGGGATCAGCTCGCGGTAGCACATGACGCTGCTCTCAGAGTTGGGATTCACGCTGATGCTGACGGCGTCCAGGAGCAGCTGCGCCGCTTCGTCGCCGCCATCGCCCTCGGCCACCTTGCGCTCGACAGTCGCCATCTCTGCCGTCTTGCGCACAATGCGCTCCAGCGCCGTCTCCTTTGGCGACAGACGCACCTCGTGCGTCGAAACGACCTCGCTGCGCCGCAGAATGGTCGGGAACGACTCGGCCGTGCTGTAGACAATCTTCTCCGCGTAGTGCTCCGTGACCGGGCCGCTCGTGTTCCGCCGGGAGCTGACAGAGAAGGCCTGGGGGTGGTTGGACACGAGATAGTCTCGGATGACCTGCGGCACGCGTGCGCGCTGGTAGACGTGGTGGCTCAGGTCGCGGTGGGGGCTGAGGGCCGAGATGACCAGGAACTGGCCCTCCAGGTCGTCAATGTGCTCGCTCGCGACAATCTGCGCAGACGGGTACATCTCCTGGATGCGGTCGGTAAAGGCCGACGTGCGCTCGGTGGGCGAGCCCTCAAAGACAAAGTCCTTGTCGCGCACGCTAGTCGGGAAGCCCAGCCCCTTGTACGTCACCTTGAAGTACTTGGGCACCAGCTTATCGCTCTTAGCGATGATCTCGTAGATGTTGGCAATGGCGCGCTCCGTGCGGGCCAGTTTGGAAAAGTCAAAGATGTTGGTCTCGTACTGCACCTGCAGTTCCTTGTAGGCCGAGAGCGCACGGCTCCATGCCTCCCCGTCCTCAAAGTGCTTGATCATGTCAAAGTAGATCCTCTCCTTGCGCTCAAAGTGGGACTGCGTGGGAAACTCGGGATCGTGGAGAGCAGGCGTCGCCCTGTTAGGGTCCCAGTCGTAGAGGTCTGCGTGCAGCCGGAGCGCGAGACCGGCCTCGGCGTGGTTCCGGGCGTCGGCCTGCAGGTTCGCCAGCTGGTGCACGTAGCGGACAAAGATCTCCTCCTTCTGCATGTCGCGCAGGAACTCCATCAGCCTCAGGCGGTGGATGAGATGCGACGCCTCCCCGGACCCGTCTCCGCTGTGGACTGCCACCAGCAGGTCGAGGAACTCGTTAACCGTGCCCATGAGCTCGCGGAGAGCTAGGTGTAGTGGTCCGTCCGGGGTCCGTGATAGCGGCTCGAAGCGGCTCAGCAGCTCGTTGACAAATAGCTTCTGTAGTATGCTCTCGGTCAGGGGTTTGGTTTTGAAGTAGACGTCGAGGCAGTCGATCATCTCGGTTTGTATGACCGACAGGTCCTCGCTCAGCGTCCACTCGCTGACAATCATTGTCTGCAGCACCTCGACCGCCATGCGCCGGAGCCCCTCGTGCACGCTGAGGCAGAGCTCGACAATGGGGCCGACAAGCGTCGGCACGTACTGGACCTGGTAGCCGCCCATCTTGGAGAGGCCGTATCTGCTCCTTTCCTCGAGGCTGGTCTCCCAGCCGATGGCCTCCCAGGTCCTCCGCAGAAGATCGGCCCCGTGCTCTCTGACGTCGCCGGCAATCTTCCAGACGGCCCGCCTTTTTTGCTCGGGAAACGTTTCCAGCGCGAGCGACGGGCTCCCGACCAGCTTGAGCAGCGTGGTGAAGAACAGCTTCCACAGCTCCGTGTTGAAGTTCTCGGCCTCGTCGGGGTGGGGAAGGAAGGACTCGAGCAGGATGCCGGCGAGATACTGCAGGGTCCGCATGGTTGATTTGTGATGGAAGATGTGCACGCTGAGCCAGTTGGCCGGGAAGGTCTCGCCCTGCAGGATGCTCATGTGGGCGCGCAGCGAGTTCTCGACAATAATGTTGAGGTCGTCTTCGGCCAGCTCGAGCTGCATCCCGCTCGGGGAGTTGGACAGCGCAGATAGCACGGCCGAGAGCTCGATGAGGGCCTCGTCGAACAGCTCCGGCGCGGCGGTTGGCTTCGTGGGGAAGGGGTACGAGTTGGGAAAGAGAAGCGAGAGACGCGTCTTTGGCTTTTGTTCGACGGCGCGGATGGCCAGGTACGACTGGATGATCTTGGGGATGTAGTCAGGGATCTCGGGGCCGAGGTGGTCGACCTGGCTCGCAAGGACCGAGCAGCACAGGCGGACCTGCTCCTTCCAGGGCTCCGTTACCTCGTCCGTCTGGCCCCAGTGCGGTGCAATCCACCTGACAGTATTAGCGCTCAGGGCGGATCGCTGCTCAGGGTGCGAGAAGATTTCGAGTTTGGCGTAGTTGATGATCAGAACCAACTTGTACAGGACGAGCTTCCCTTTGACGCTGGAGCAGGAATCCATAAAGTCAATAGCAATATGCAGTATCTCCTCCGTCGTCAACAGCCCGGCCAGCTCTGGGAGCCACGTGTGGAAGTGCTGGACGGCCAGTGTCTGGCTGCCGACCAGCACAGGCGCGGTGCTGCGCATCATGGCGTCGAGGGCCTTGAATATGCTCCGCAGGTGGCGCGTGAAGCCCGGGCTCGTGCTCGTAATTCCGATCCCGGCCTCCTTGGCCTTTTGCTGGCCTCGGGCGTGCGTGATGAACTTGAGGATGTGCCGCGCGACTTTGAAGGTGGCGCGCAGCTTCCTAGCCGCCTCAGGCTCGGTGGGTCTGGACAGCAACCGGGTAAAGGACCGGACCAGGCAGGCCGTGGCGTAGGGGTAGTTGAACTTGCTCTCGGCGTACTGGTCCACAAGAGGCGAAAGGTTGAACCGGCGGTCGTGGACAATGTCCAGAACCCTCACGAGAGCCGTAAACACCAGATCCTCGTAGTCGTCGTTGCCCGAATACTCGACGAGAATGCCAAACAGCGCGTCCAGGACGTCGTTCAGCAGCTTGACGACTTCGATCTCGGCGACAAAGATGAATTGCTTAAGGAGGTCCGGGATGCCTTCGCGGGACGACTCTTTCCACCCCAGGAGCCCTAGCACCACCCTGTCTTGAGAGAACCTCGTGCTGCAGAGATACGTCTCGACACGCAGCATGGCAAGAGGACCCGTCACCTCGTCCTGCACCCCCTCTCTGCTTTTGGTTGTAAACGGTAAGCTCATATAACCGCCCCTGCCCTGCGCGCCCGACTGGGGAGCAGAAGTGTTCTCGTCCATCTTGTACAGCAAGAGGCCGTGGGGCCCGTCGTGGATAAAGGCCTGCTGGTCCCAGAGCGGCATGTAGGCGATGGCGAACGGGTGGCTCGGCGCGTCTGCAATGTGCAGCACGGCATGTGCCGAGTACACGTCTTGCGGCGCGAGCACCAGTTTGATCGTCTGCCGCCACGGGTCTCCGCGCTCGGTGGCGACCGTCCTCCACGTGCTGATGCCCTCGGTGTTTGACGAAGGGTAGATGCAGTTGTCGATGCGCTCGCCCGTCGACCTCCTCACCTCGAGCGTGACCTGGAGGTTGTGACCGTGGATGCTGCTCGGGACTGACGTTGCGCTCCCGCCATACCGCGACAGCAGGGTGTGCCGGTTCAAGATGGCTTCGTCGACGGTCAGGTAGATGTCGGACCTGGGCTTGGTCGGCGCGCCAGTGAAGCCCATCTTGTTGGTCTTGCAGACGCCCGACAGGATGGTCGGGGTGGCCTTGATAAGCGCATCGGCATCGGGGTTATTGAAGGCCTTGAGATGGACGTGTAACCGTTCGGCGCGCCTCGACTTTTCGTAGTGGCCCGTCTTGCTCTCCATGATTTCGCGTATTATCGGGTCCCAGTCCTCGCTGTCCTCCTGTCTCTCCGACGACAGCCGCGCCGACGGCGCCCATATGCTCACGACATGCTCGACGTCCTCGTCCTGCTTCATGATGGAGCTCAGCTTCAGGACGCCAATGCCGAGGGTCCTATCTGCCGTCGTCTGCGTGGGCTGAACATCCACCGAGGCTCGGCCGCTTTTGGAGTTTGCCGTGCTCGGGGGCAGGCCGTCTCTGCTCTCGGCGCCCGCCGTGGTCTGGTGGTCCTCGACCTGCTCCGACAAGACATCCAGCTTCGGGTTCCCCCTCGAGAAGGCCGACCGCGTGCTCTTCCCCCACATGAGGCTCCTTCGCATGGATTTGTTGCCGGCCGACAGCGGAGGCTTCGACGATTCCTTGGACGAGAACTGCGACAGACCCTGCGCCATGGAGCCAGACCGCGAGCTGGGCTTAACCGCCACGACCTGCTGGGGCGCGTGGATCTTGACCACGAGAAACAGCTCCGACTCGATCGAGGGAATGTCGCCAATGTCGGCGGCAGAGAGGTCGGCGAACAGGGCGCGCATCTGCGTGTTCCGGGCCAGCTGTCCCATCTGCCCGCCCGCAGGGACCTCGACGATGTAACTCTCCGAGAGGGGCGTCAGAGTGCCTCCCGCCGGCTTTGTTGCAAGGTATATGACCAGTGTCGTCGACTCGGTTGACGCGCCGGCGAAGCCTTTGATGTCCACCATGAGGTGGTGCAGGGCCGTCAGCTCGACCGTGTGTGTCGGAGGCTCGTCCAGGAGGCTCATGACGGACTGCAGCCTCGTTATTTCCACCACAGAGTCGTCCCCGGTCAAGACGCGCCCTCGTTCGTGCGGGTCGCGCACGATGACCTCGCCCCCGCAGAGCTTGTTGACGCGCACCAGGTCCCATACCGTCTTCTCGCGGAGGTTGTTGAACTCCCAGGCCGTGAGCACGTCGTGAAGGAACTGCTGCCTCGAAAAGTTCAGGTTCATGATGAGCTGCGACAGCGTGTCGAGCTTCGCGTACTGGCGAGAGAGGAGCAGCTCGTGGAGGTTGGTCGAGTGCCACTCGCGCAGGCAGGAGGCGATCTCGTCGATGAGCGGCTCCGAGGCCGACGTGGGAGTCTCGTCGCCGATCTTGAGCATGGGCACGGGGGCGGGCGGCCGCGGCACGTTGGGGTCGCGCTTCACGGGCACCGAGAGCCGTCCCAGCGTCCCGTTGGGCAGGCTCCTTCCCTTAGAGTCAAGCCCGCCGAGAGAGAGCTCAAGCCCCTTGGCCCTGTCCCGGTGCCGCCTCTTCTCTGCGTTCCCCAGCCCGCTCTTGGCCGAGTCGCTGCCGACATTCTGGGCCTCGGCGGCGCCATCGTCGGTCTCGTTGTCGTTGTCGTCGGTTTCGTCGGTCTCGCCCAGCACCTCGCGGACCTCGACGCAGCTGCGCGGGAAGATGCCGCTGAAGACGCGGGCCTCTAGCGTCTGGCCCTTGACGCTGGTGAGGCCGGCCAGCAGGCTGGGGGGCGCGACCAGGTATCCGCGGAGCCAATTGCCATCGGGGGTCTCCTCGATGATGTACAGCTCATCGCCAAGCTCGAGGGGCAGGTCGGCGGGGCTCGAGGCTGTAAAGGGGTATGTCGCTACGGCGAAGGCGATGCGAGGCAAGGGTTGCCAGGGCATTGTGTCCAGGAATGCATCTATCGAGCAGGGCGGGAGGGAGGAATGAGGTGAGGGTCGGAGGGGGATCGGGTCCGAGGATCGAGGATCAAGGTTCGCGCTCTTTCCTCGCGTTGCGTCGTCCCCCGAAAAACCTCCTCGGCTGCGAGGCGAAAAGCTCGTGTCACGTTGGAGCGCGTCGTTTGCCGGCTGCGATGCGCGCGCTATAACACTGTGTGCTGTGCTTGTGTTGCTCGTGATTCCGCAGTCATGGGAATGGCTCAGGTCGGTCGGCGACTGGTTCGGTGCTCCGCTCTCTACCGCTCTCTATCGTCTAATCGGGTGGGGATATTTCATGTGTCGGGGAGCTTGGACGTGCCTCGTGCCTCGTGCTTGATCGGACGGCTGCAGGATGTAGGGAACGTGCCTGCCAGATTGAGCAGCGGATGCAGGCGCAAATGCAAGATGTCAAGTCAAGTCAAGGTGAGGTTTCCGGCCGAGTAACCAAAAGAATTCGTGCCGGATCGCGTGCAAATTTTTACAGAATAAGCAGATGGTTAGACTCTAAACGCAACGCTTGCGCACCCATGAATGCAGGTCGGTCGGTCTGGTAGTGGTGGTGGTGGTGGTGCTTGCGGGTTGGAGTTAAAAATTTCCGTGAGGGCGGGTAGGGTTCGTGCCAAGGCCTCCTACTCGCTATTCTCTTAATCGATATCGGTACACGGCTTTTTGCAACTCTTCTGGCCGCTTCTCGCCACAACAGGATCGAGAGCCGTGGGATGTGCCTTGGAGTTTGCGCTTACGAATGTCTGCGCGTTCAGGACCTTCACAAGAGATGCACACTGCAGATGCGCTGGTGCTGACCCAAAAAGTGTCCTTCCCCGCCGGCTTGAATCCAGCAGTTGAGCGGACCTGGGGCTTGGCGCTCCAACAACACCCGAGCAGTACTTTCAATGTGAACTGCGCATATGCGGCGGAGGTGTCTACGCGGTGCAGGTCTCTCTTCTGCTCCGTTTTGTCCGCATCAGTTGTTTCCATTGTTCTTTACTGTCACTTCTAGAAAGCTTTGGAAGAAGCTACGGCAAGAGAGAGGCATCATGCCGTGGTCGCAATGGCACTGCAACTCGTAGCGTGGCGCTGGAGCACACTCGGCCCTGGGATGCCCGACCAGCCATTTGCCGTGCTGTGGCTCCAGAGCCAGGGGACTTGGACCTGGGCAGATCCTGTTGAAGATTGTCTAGTGCCCTGCTTGGCAGCACCGTTGAGCGATTTGTTGCTGCCGTCTCCTCAACTGCGAGAAAAAGATTTGCGGGCGCTCAGGCCTCGCGGCCAGTGTCTGTGGGTGTGCTGAAGTCCACCGCCAGCATCCGTGCTCCCACCATTGGCACAGCTCATGCCACCGACTGGCTGGGCCGCTGGGCCGCCATCCCACGTCGATGGGCACGGTCCACTGAGCGGCGAAGGAGTCGAGGAAGCCGCACGTCCCAGCACAGCTCTCGGGCTGAAGAGGGCATGAAGGGCCGGTGTGGTGCGTGTGCGCTGCTCCCATTTTAATATGGAGCCGCCCGCTTGTGCCACGGTGCCCTGGCCCTCTCCGCAATCCGCGTGCAATTAGCTCCTCTGCCGGGCAGATAGCGCGCGACGTTGGTCGTCAACAGCTGTATGTCGACATGTGGCCCGCGGTCAAGCCCCTTTCCGTTCTGGTCGGCTGGGGTCCGTCATTCAATGTGACCGGGTTTCTCTTCGGCATATCACGGCTGACACGTCCAGCCGGCTCTCTCCTTTATGCTTGGGAGGAGGATCAATCGATGTCGTGGGCGCTGTGCTGGTAGCCTGACGATTGAGGCCGCGGCCCCAATTCCCGACACCGACTTGCCATGGCGCGCTGTACTCGGCGACTTGCGAGAGAAAATGTCTCCTTCAAGAGCTGTGATCCGATGCTTCTGCTCGACAGGATGCAGGTGCAACAGCTCCCGTCAAGGGTTTCGTTGGCCAATGCACCCCCAACATGTCCCTGGCGGGGCAGCTGCACCGCGAGCACCCGCTGATTGGAGCCCACCCTGCGAGTTCCTGCATTGTGGATGCAGGGATTGGGTGCGTCTGCCCGAGGTTCGCAGTCGCAGCACGCCAGGAACATCCTTCTGGAAATTTGCAGTCACGGCAGATCGAATCCATGACATCTCCAGATTCACAACTCCACTTTCGGTTCTTTGACAGCCATTATGGCCGCCATCCCTTGTGGCGATCACATGACGAGAGTTAGGGTTGTAACGTCGGATTCCTTTCCGTTCAAGAGACTATTAGACGACTAGGCACGATCACGAGTGAGCCAACCAACCAGCATTGACAATACATCGGTTTTGGAACAGACCTGGCCAGCTACTACAAACTGGCTGCCCTGTCAAACAGAGTGTTCCGGCATAGGCATGTGACGGATTCCCGTCGAACCTTCATCTCAGTCTCATCGCGTTTCTGGCACAATGCCGACTGAGAACCGCTGGAGGACTGACACAATACTCGGCGTAGCTGTCTAAGGAAGAGCAGCGAAAACAAAACCGCATCTGGTGCAACGGATGGCACAAACATTGAGAAAGGGCGCCAAGTTGAAATGAAATAAGGAAACCAACCCCCGAAATCCATTCAGCTCCTTGTTCGATTGCTCAAAGTCTGTTGTCGTGTAGACAACCGATTTGAAAAGTTTAGGGCTTCAAGCGGGGTTCCAAGGCTCTCGTTGAGCACCGTACGGATCCGTAAGTCGAAATTGAAATACACCTTATAAGACAATAATTACCAAACACGCCCATTGGAACTCAGAATATCTGTTCAAACTTCAACGCCTATACATACTACCTCTAATCCTCCCCTCATAGACAATCTTTTTGGGTGCGAGGAAGCATGTTCTCGCCCTCTTTAGTCGGCGATAGCTGGATCTCGGAGAGCTGCGTCGTCGGATGCTTCTTGGGCGCGAGGAAGCATGTTCTCGCTCTCTTTAGACCCGATTGGCGAGTGACTATGCTCTTGGCTGAGCCTGCTGGTTGGAGTTCCCGGTCCCTCGAAATGAAACCTCGAGGGCGAACCGCAAGTCGGCGAGGCCGTTCACTTTCTGGACCGCGCCTAATTTAGGCAACAGAAGGGACAGGCAGTCGAGCCAAGACCCTCACAGCGCGACGCAGCGCCCACTCAACCTCGAGGACCGTGGTCTCGACCCTGTCAGGGCCGGGGGCGCGGCCGGCCTCCAGCTCGAGGAAGCACGTCTCGACGACCTCGCGCATGTACAGGTTGAAGGTGCGTTCACTGCCCCTGAGCCGCGCGCGCACCGTGTCGTGCGCTGCGCGCATCTCGGCCACCGTCGTCACGGCGGCAGCCTCGGGCATCTCGTAGCGTGATTCTAGCTGGTACAGCAGCAGGCCCAGCTCGGCCGTCGGGTCGAGGTTGGTCGCCGCGAACTCGTCGTCGCCCGGGATCTCGCCGCCGTGCGCGTCCTGCTCGCGCCCGAGCCCGAACTCGGCGTACAGCGGCCGCGGTGTCACCACGGTCCAATTCAGTTGGTGCTGCTGGGGGTGCGCGGCGTTGGTTGGTTGCTGCGGCTGCGGCTGCGGCTGCGGCTGCGGCTTCGGCAGCTCCTGTGGCAGCTCCTGCGGGCCGCAGAGGTGGAAGCTACGCAGACGGCGGGCGCCCGCAGTGCTTTTGAACGGCAGAAAGTGCTGGTGGGCCAGGGCTATCTGGGACGCCAGAAACACGCGCTGCTCGTGCTGGAGCGCCGCGTGAGAGATGAGGGCTGATAGGTTCTGCGCCACCACCGTGTCGAGCGGGCTCCTGACCCGCTGTAGGTGGAAGATGAGCTGGCCGTTCACGGCGACCGTCCCGATGGTGCGGTACGAGGGAGGGTTGGTGATCAGGACTGCCAGCTTCTGCGGCAGGCTCTGGATGTCGCCGTCGGCGCTTCCGTTGCGGCCCGACAGCGTCGTCACGAAAATGAGCCCCTCTTCTGGGTGCCCGTTGTCCGTCTGCGACGTCTCCATGGTCAAGAGGTACATGGGGTTCGGTCCCAGGTTCAGCCCGCGCACGTACCGCGTTCCCTGCATCTTGCTCTTGGTGTCGCTGGGGTCCTCGATTTTCACGGCCAAGACGACGGGCTGCCCCCCATCGGGCGAGTTGACTCGCCGGAGAGCCTGGTCCAGGTTTTCGAGGTCGGTCCTGAGCTTTCTTACGTCGTCCGAGAGCTTCGGCCGCTCTGTGGACTGGCGGATCTTGAGAAAGGGGTCCTTTTCGACGAGGCTCGGGATGAGGTCTCCCAGTTTCTCGTTGGCGTCCCTGAGCTCCCGGAGGTTCTTTTCGAACTCGTCTTTTCCGTTCGCCGCCCAGAGCAGGAGGCTGCGGAGCCCGGCGCGTTTCTGGGCGGCTTCGATGTCCGCCTCGAGTCTTTCCAGGTGCTCTTCGGCCGTCGCCGGCGCGTTCGCTGGACCCGGTTGAGCAGTGATCTGGTCGTCCCCTATGCGGATCATGAACTGGGCCTTCTTCTCTTCAGCGATCATGGCCAGCCTCTTGGCCAGGGCCCTGTGCATGATGTCTCCCCAGGCTGCCATGGCCGACTCTTCTTCTCGGGTCTTGGCCAGCTCTGTCTCTTCCTTTTGGTCTGAGGCATCGTTAGCAGGTAAGCGGGTGCGAGGCATCGGGGGCTCGGGCACGCACAGTCACGATTGTATTTCCGTATGATGTCGTAGCACTTGTTGAACAACTTGACCATGGACGCAATCTTCTTTCCTACCTCCTTGGCCGTGTTGGACCTTCCCCCGAGCGGCGACGAGACCCACACATTGTACTGCTTCAAGTAGCCGGCGAAGGTCCACTCCTGGCAGCGCAGGTCGAGTTGGGAGCTGTCAAAGTCGCGGCCAAAGTTCTTTGATGTTTGGTAGAATTCCCAGGCAAGCCTCCCGGCCTTGTAGGCCGCCGGAATGGCCTGCAACGCAGGTCTGACCACATCGACCATGGTATTGGTATCACCGTACGCCTGAAAATAATATGGGCAGGCCTTAACAATATGGGCAGGCCTAAACAATATGGGCAGGCCTGAGGATATTTCGGTGACGCATGATCCAGGTTCCAGAGCCTCGAGGTTCGCCCCGAAATGACACCCTCAAGCGGGCACGCATCGGACTTTCATTCTGCCATGCCGATGCCGTATTTATTGGCTGCCCATTGGACGGCTGAAACCATCGTGCATGAGGGCGCTTAAACTGGGGCTCTTTACCAGGATTCCTGTGGGTGTGGAGAGAAACATCACATGAAGTAATCAAATATGTGAGAGATAAAGACTTGCTCTGTAGTTTCTATAGCCCTGGCTATCCTAAAATTGTATTCTCTGCGTCGCACCTGGCGCTCTCGGACACCAACCACCTGGCGCTTTTTAACACAGGCCAACCAGGCTTCCATCTTTCAGTCACCTTGGCACTGTCTTTTCCAATACGGGCCTGTTATACCGTTCAACAACCTCGACCAAGCATATCGACACGTGGCGAAATGGAGGTGACGTTCAAAGATGAGCCTCATAAGCCTACTGACGGCAGCAGTCGTGCGTTGGACATTTCGGCCGACCTCAACATCAAGCTCGCAAGTGTCATCGCAGAGCTAAGAGAGCTCGAGGGCACCCCCCAACGCCAAGGGATCCGAGATTATATTACTCGCCGCCTCCACGCCCGAGATTCTGATGCACATTTGGCCAAGCTAGCGACGATTCTGAACGAGTGCCGGATGCTCAACGGCCAGCTAGCCGATCAGCTGGCCGATCAGCTGGCCCGGAGCACCACCGAAACCAGTGGCGCGCAGCTGGACAAGATCACAGCCAAGCTGGACGACGTCATGCAGACGCTCCGCAGTCGTGAATCCAATCCCACCACGCTCCAAGCCACCGAAGACCCTCTGCACGCCGAGGAGGCGCCGGGCACTTTGAAGATACTACACTGGCTCTCCGTTCAGGGGCTGTGCATCCTCGCCGACGAGTTCAATTTTGAGGAGCTCAGCGAGCTGGTCAGCCGCCTGCGCATGTGGGGGCTCGGCATCCTCGACGGGCCGCTGTCGTTGGACCACATCTTGGCCCCGATGGCCCCGATGCCCGACCAAGGCAACGACGAGAATGCCGACGCGGCGTTGCGCGCCGCTGGCTTCTCGCTGCTGGCCGCCTCCTTTCTTCGCATACTCTTCAGCATAAGTACGTCGCCATGGGCCGGCATGAATCTAACGACAGTTACACGCTGTAGCTAGGCACATATGCTTGATGCTGACAGACTCTCCTGTACAGAATATCTGCTCGTCTGCACAGGATCAAACGCGAACTGCGTGGTATGCTACTTGGACCAGCTGGTAGACGCGCTCGACGCGGCATGCCTCCGAAACGAGATCGGCGGGCTCGACGGTTTTGCAGCGCAGCTGGTGGAGCCCAGGATCGGCAACACAGAGAACAGCTTCAAGCTCTGTTCGTCGGAGCTCTGGTCTGGGGTGGACGCCCTGTACGACGCGGTGCCGGCCATTCGCACGATGCGACACGTGTGCGCCTCCACTTCCACAACTGCACCAGCCCCCGCAACCACGCCGGCAAAAGCGGACGACAGCGCGGAGAAAGAAAGCGAGGGCAAGTCTCTTTTCGAAACCAACTTGGCACTGGCCAGGAGCCTCATATACGAGATGAACCGAGGCGTCCTGATGAAGGGCTTTACGGCCCACCAGGACCGGAGGCTCGTCAACGAGCTAGAGCAGGAGAACAAAATCCTCGCCGGGCTGGGAGCAGAGGCCAAGTGGCCTCCCAGATCAACTGACTACATGAAGATGGTCCTGGAAGAGCGCATCGTAATGCTCAAGAGTGAGTCCCCATGCTTATCGAGAATGCGCGCACATCTGGTCTTCCTAACAGTGTGGACCAGGCATCCTAAACTACATTGGAATTTATGAAAAAGCTCTGAAGGTGCAGTCCGAGGGAGAGGACCGCGAAGACCTTGAGGCGATGCTGAAGATGATCCGCTACCAGCAGGGGAGCTATCAGGAGCGCCACTTTGGCGATATTTTTAAAAGCTCTCTCTTCCGGAAGGCTCAATAGTTACTTGTAATCACGAGAGGCCGGCTGGACGCTGGAGCCACGTAATTTAGCGAAGGACTTGGAGTTTAGATCCTCACGAACACAACGGCTATGAAAAGCCTTTAACTGCCAGGCAGCTACTTTTGGATAAGAGATAGGCCTCTGGGATTCTAAAATAGATATTTCCATGGTTTTTACCTCCCTCGGCGAAAAATCTTTAGGGAGAGCCGTAAAGTATTGAGGCCTTTCGAATCTTGCAAAGTCCCCTACTAGCAAGTATTCAGGAATATGTTTGTCTGCAGGGTAGACGAAAACACCGTTGAATTTGCGGCACACTGTTAACATGACCGTTTCGCCAGCTTCACCGTTGCGGCGGCGGCGCAGTCTATTTAAGGGGAGCTGGGCCTCCCTGTCTGTTGGCAGCTCTCGCTATCGCAAACATTTCGCAACGCGTGCATTTCGCAAAAAGCATCCTTGCCGAGTCGTCGCGCTAAACTGTCCCGACGCCCCGTCATTGTTCTCAGTAAACCTATCAAGTTGCACGGCCACAAAGAGCGACAACGAAAAGCGGACGAGGACGATGAGTTACTCGTAGATGACAATATCGATAGCAAGCGGAAAGTATGTTTTCGTCTGCAAGAGCGGTTTCGCGCATGGCAAACGATGCGGCTGTAAGTAATCTCGCGGATTATATTATTTGCTCTCGTTAACGATAAAATATTAGATTCGTTGACAAATACAAGGGCGAGAACTTTGACTGGATTTGGTTGGGTCTTGTCGCCTGTTCCCCAATTCGCCGAGTATGCAGTCCCGTAAGGAGGACTGTGGAACTTTTTGCCATAGTCTCCGTGGTAGCCCCCGAATTAGCATCCCAGCCCGGCATCATGTCCTCGGAGGCGAGTCTGGTGCCCAGCCCGAAACCGATAGCTCTTCGTTGCAGTGAATGGTTAGTAACGAGGCCTTTCAAACACATAAGGCATCATGCGGTAGGCTACGTAAGGTGGACATATGGACTTACCCTGTCGAACCCTCTTCGAGGATTTGTATCTTAAACACTAAGCTGCCCACCGGAGGGATGGGGTAATCTGATCGAAGCAAGCTCGGCCTATGGTGGGAACCCTGCGGCATCCCGAACCGACCCCGCTCCGAGAAGGACAAGATTAACTTGTCGTCACCATCATGGGACAGTGAAAACCCGCTCCAAGACCCGGGCTCTTGCCACTGGGTGGGGGCCTTGAAATCGAACCCCGAAGCGTCAGGGGCTATCTTTTGAACGGTATTGTTATTACCCGCGGGCCCGTTATCCGGGGATGCGAGACTGTTGACGTATCGGATCCAGGCCAGGGACCAGCCATTGCCATCCACCAGCTCGCTGAGGTCGGGGCGGATGTCTATAAACACATTGATGAGTTCATTGTCATCTAGTGATGTTGCGATATCGAAGAGCAGGTGGCCTTCCAGCTCCTTGATTAAGTCTGGCTTGGTCTTTGCCAAGTACTTGACAAGCTTTATCACGAAACCCGGGTCCGTGACGAAAATTTCACGAAGAAACGCATCGTCGGTTGAGTCGGCAATAGCCAGGTCGAGCTTGGTGAGCCTGGGGTCGTTTATGAGATCATTGACCATCTCGATATGTTTGTTTGCGATAGCCTGCCGGAGCAACGATGCGCCGGTCCTATCTCTCTGGTTGATGTCGACATCTCGTCTCTGGAGCAGCAGCTTAACCACTTCAACTTGGCCGGAAATAACGGCCAAGGACAGCAGTGTACGGCCGTCCATGTCCGTGTCCGCCAAGTCCGGCGTAGTGCGGCCAGCGTCAAGTGCGGCTGCGACAAAAGGCGTCAGATCAGACCAAGCTGGTGTCCTGCAAGCCGCGTGAAGAGGAGTGTCTTTGTCAGACTTGGAGGTAACGGGACTCGCGCCAGCTTCCAGAAGGGTCATGGCTACGCTCACGAAGCCTCTAGATACGGCCAGGTGCAGTGGCGTCTCGTCATCCTTATTCTTGGCGTCGGGCTCGGCCTTTGCCTTGAGGAGCTTCTAGACGACCGATGTCGAGTTATACGCCGCATGGAGTGGTCTCCACCCTTCCTCGTCGGCGTTTTCGATGTCTGCATGATATTCGCTGACGAGGAGGTCGACCATGTCATCGTCCGCGTTCCAAGCCGCGGTGAAGAGCGCGGTGCGCCCGTTGGAATCCCTGGAATTGAGATACGAGTTGTTGGTCTCTAGCAGGAATCTGCACATATCTCGATCGCGCCGGTTCACTGCGATGTGCAGCGGGCTCGACCCTATAAAGACAACGCCTTCGAGAGCTGCGCCATGTTTGAGGAAGAGTTTGGCCACATCCAGCTGGCCGTTTTCCACCGCGATCCCGAGGGCTTTATTCTTGGCCTCGGTATCTATCGCCCGATAGCTCCCCGAGACCGCTGGACTGGTCTCAGTCAGGAGGAACTCGACAATCTTGACATGGCCGGCCTCGCAGGTTTGCTGTAAAGCCTCAACACGAGCATCGTAGCCGACGGGTGTCTGGTTCTCGCAAAGCCGCATCAAGAGAGGTAGATGTCCACATTTGGCTGCCTTTAGAACGCTGTGCTCGTCCCGGGTCATATGCTGGACCCGATCTGACAGCCAACTCCGCATCCTTTACCACATAATCCGAGGCTACAATCAACGCAGTTGGATAGACCCGACAGATCTCTTCGGCGAGAGCTTTAAGGCTATGGTTTGTAATATCTATTTTGTTGCTTTCAGAGATCAGCGTCATGAAGCGGTAGCAGATTGGAAGGGATGAGACGCACATTATTCTTTCAGCCACATCTGTAAACGTGGTTAGCAAGAGTGGGTATCGCCCGGGAAGGGTAGCCCAGCGATTGCTCAGACGTGTAAGTTCGTGGACTTCCTCCCTGTTCGTTCTTCCAGTGGCACTAAGGTAAAGATTAATGGCGATGGTGGCATCCCGTTGGCTACGCTTGCCAACAATCAGTCCGTGTCGTCGGTCGTTTCTTATCTTCTCTTTGAGACCGTTCATCATCCGTGCTAGTTGTACGTAGGCAATTCTTAAGTCAATATTATTCTCTGGGCATTCAATGATGTTGTCCAAGGCCCTAATCGTGTCTGCCACACGGCTGTCTGTGTATTTAGTACTGTCTGGCAGTGTTGTCTTATCTAACAACAATGCCCAACCCTTGTGTATAATTTCACAACTTTCTGCGAAGCATTGTATGGCATCGGTTCTGATTAGGGCATGCGCGACCCTATCAACTTGGAAGGGAGCTGTGTTCATGTTTTACACCGAGACTCGGTCGACATACAATAGCAATATCCAGGTCTGATAGCAGCGCAATCTGAGTGGGTACTTGTGTGCAACGTTAGCGTGAGATTGGCGTCCCTTAGAAACAAGCGTAGCGCAACAGCCGTGTTCGTTCCGCTGAAGAGAGTTTGTATATATATTGAACCTGAGACTGTTGGAATGAGTAGTATATGTTTCGGTTTCCAGAAGCCAGGTTTACGGATACCAGGGACCGCTGCTCACTAATGGAATAAAGATGGTTGCCTTAGCCCTGGTAGTGGCGGATGAACCGGGATCGTGGGCGGCTGCCCTAGATCGGGACCCCATGGAGGGGGATCCCATGGAGGGGGATCCCATGGGTCCCATGGAGGGGGTTCCCATGAATTGGGGACACCATGGAAGGGGTTCCCATGGATTGGGGGCACCATTGATATGGCTTCAATGGACATGGCTTCCCTGAACGGCAGTTCCCTCTGATGTGGCTCCCCGGGGCCGGTTACCCTGGATGCGGCTGCCATGGATCCGGCTTCCCCGGATGCGGCTGCCATGGAACCGGCTTCCCTGGATGCGGCCAAATCGCGTTAGTGCGTATGTCAAGATCGAGTATATGTATTTAGCATAACCTATGACTCATATACTGAGCTTACCCGGAACTCCAGCTACTCATCCTGAAGAACCACGACCTTGTAGGATTCGGGTAGAATTTCGCCTTCATTTCGCGCTCCATTTGAGACGTGGCAATGATGTGATGCGAGAGCATTCCTCGCTTCCCCTCTCTTTCGTTTTCTCCGCCCTCGACTCCCTCCCCGCCCAACTCCGGCCTAGTACTGGCGAGGGAGCTAGTTCTAATTGGACCGATCGGCCATGATCCGCGTGGAAGATAACTCGACTTGGTTAGTACATCGAAGCTACGAGCAAGACGTGTCGGCACACTCGTAGTCAGGGGGCGGACGCTTCCTGCGTCGTTGGGGGTGACCAAGTTTCCTGGTATCTATCGATGGTGGCTGTATATCTGGCTTCATCAATACGATTACCAACTTGGTGACAAGCGGGCATTCTTCGGCAGCTTTGCCGGTTGAAGGCCTGCTTGGTGTCCATAATCTCCTAAGCGCGTCACGACGCCCAGAGCACTACGACACCGCCTCGTAGCTCGTCGGGACCAGACCTTGGCTCAAGGACCAGAATTTGGCGTATGGGGACGAGAACTAGGTCTCAAAGAGAACTGAGCGTGTGAATCCAACTCCTGTCCCCAACGATGACAAGACAAATTGCGGGCAAGCGAGCAAGGGCCTTTATCGCCATCGAGAACGGCGCGGCGAACTACGTAAAGAAGGTTGTTTCAATCTAGAGATACATGCGTATTTCGAGTGTAAGTCCTAGGCATTGTTTGTGCCAAGGTCGATCATCCTGCTCGAGATTCCGGCCTCTTCGCTGCAATTCAACTCGGCTTCATAAAAAGGATTTGGTCCAAGATCCACGGAAGCAGGATGTGATACCGTGCTGTAGCCCCCTTGGCACTTTTTAAGAACGTTGGTGGAGGGTTGTGGCGCCCTTATCGCGAGTGCGTCGGCTAGATGTGGAATCTATACTTCTCATCGCGAGTCGAGATGCGAAATACGGCAAAGAATGTACAGCTTTACGTCTCGAGAGACCCAAACGTACACATATTTCTCCAAAAGTCGGTAACGTGAGCTGCCAGGATACTGCTGACGCCGTTCATGATTGTTCTGCTTCTCGCTCCAGTCATTAGTTACAGCTTCGTCGGCAGTCCAATACCGCAGCCAGAGGTACTCGTTGTGTCGATATCGACCTTGCCTATGCCAAGCATCCAACACCTTCGTGCCCGTTCTCGGCGGGTCATAACAGCGGTGTCTGGCATATCTCATCCTTAATATTAATTTCTCTAGGAATACATCTCGCCCAGGTCTAAGAGCGACAGATCCGTCTCCAAGAAGCGTGTTACGTCGTGAACCGGATTGCCGACAGTACGGCGTTTCCTCCTCCCAGCGCCCTCGTAGTGGTAGGAAGCAGACAAGGCGACCTCGGTGCTGTCCTTACTCCCCAGCACCTCGGTAGCGATCTGCGAGCGACGTTGTTAGACTGCGGGGACATGCGCGATCGGACGCTGTTGCGGCTGCCAGCGTACGGGCTAGAGTTGGAGATGCTATAATGCAACAGAAATTGCGAGCACGAGTAACAGGAGCTGCTCAAGGATCGGATCGAGAATGCGTCAGCACCATCAGCGTCAGTCTTCGAGAACTGGATGGGAAAGGAACCGACTACGCGTACACTGTTAGCGGACGATAGCCATGAAGAGACACTGGACTCCATTGTCTTACCATTTGTCCTCCGTTCAAGAATTCTCCGTCTTCTTATGTGGATGCGATCGGGAGCAGCCAGAGACACGTCGACCCCCGTGATCGACGCGACCTGGCGCTGTTGACGAATCTGTTAGATGGGTTCGAGTTTCGCCCAGGAGAGTTCGTCAACGTGCGCGAACGCCGCAGTCTGCGTGGCAGTAGCGCTGCGACCAGGGATGTGGCAGCCTACCTTGACAGGCTTGGAAATGAGAGTACTTGGTCATCACTTCCAGCCATTCCCGCGACAGGATGTAGATAACGGCATGCCAGATAGCCGAAAGTCTGAGTCCCTTCACCATGAATCAATCCTGCCAATGTTCAGGTCCTTCCCTATGGAGACATTGCTAGACCCCGAGTTTTGAACGCCCTGGCCGCGGAAGATGTGTTGCGCAGCTGGACGGTTGTGTCACGGCACGGCGGTAGGCGCTGAGGCCCTACGGGTGCGTGACCATACTATAACCCACTATAGAATTGCAGCCTGACGGCTTGTAATTCTGGCACCCTTCTGGAAGGTGTGGTGCAGCGGTAGTGGGTGTTGCTAAACGCCGTCACAGGTTGCCCATAGACGAGTCGAATCCATGCTGACCGACGGCTGCTGTCGTCGTGGAAGGCTGCGGCAGGTCCACATATGAAAGGAGCTCCTTAGCGTACCCCGCAGCCGCAGCCGCAGCATAATACTGCCAGACGTCGTTCTTGTGTGAGTCTGCGTAATCCGAGACGCCCCGGACGGCGATGCACGAGTACTGGGTCGCCATGCCCGCCGCCTCCATCTCGAAACACAGGACATCGCCAACCACCCTCCCATCCATTTCGGCCGCGTTCGGGGCGATCCGCATGACTTAGTCTCCAGACGCAATAAGCCCATAATAAATCTTGGGGGTCGGTTCACGCAGCGGACGCTGGACCCGTTTTGTCTTGTCACAGAGCTGACAGGTGGCTTGGTTGGGGACATGACGATATCCCAACTGGAAGAGCTCATCCGGCTCTACAGGCTGCTGGTACGAGACGCGAAGGTCGTCGCTTTTCTGAAACATGGCCGACAGGAACTCAGGGATCTTGTTTTGCGAGACCCTGTGGTCGGATCGTATAATACCCACAGCACTCCTCAAAATCTCGGGTGGCGGCCAAAGGAATCCTTTCATGATGAAGCCGTCGTCCATGTTCTTGCCCAGATCGTACTGAACCACGCCACCATGCTCGCCGTCGGGCACACTCACCACAACGTCGCCCAAGCGAATGTCATTCTTTCCGCTCGGCACGCCTCCTCCGATACCGACCATTAACCGAAGCTCGATCGACGGAAACGTACGCGCCATATCCTTTGCCACCGCCGCTACCGCGCCCTTCCCCTAGCTACCGAGAAGGCTGGCAAGGACCACGTTGTGGCCGCTGAGCTCTCCGAGGACATACAGAATCGAGTCGCCTAGCTTTCTGGGCAAACGGGCATATTCTTTGTCCAGCATGTAGCGGACAGCGCTCATCTCGAATTCTAGCGCGCACACGATACCGACAGTGTAGGCTTCGAAGCCAAGCGACTGGACACGCTCTGCACGCCTAGTTAGGGCCCGGTGTTTCTCGGTTGGGCTGACGTAGCTCGTCTACCTTCCATCTTAGTAATTGTCACGGCACAGCGCATTTCGGGTTCCTTATCGCATTGCCGTGTGACGTCACTTCCCGATAAGCCCAGTTAGGTCTAGCGCATTGGTCACGTGGTTGCAAGCTACCCCGCCCACAACCTTTCCTACTGATCGCACAATTCGCGATTCGTCTTCTTTTTCCTTTTTTTTCTTCCTTAGCTTAGTTTTACACTAAAACAATACGGTATATTGTTGGCAACAGTCCTTCAAAACCTATTAACCGTGACAGTAATTTCATTTCGTACGACTTGGTTCGGGGGTGATCTAGGCTTCAGGACCCTAGAGAGATTGACGCCAGCAATGACGCGCAGGATAGCAGTTGCTGTAGTTGATGGGTAAAAGTTAAAGTTAAAACCGAGCATCTCATTCCACGAGAGTTCCAGCCGGTGTAAAAAGTGGAGAACTGATGTGGTCTGTGCACTGCTGTATGTGGTCTGTGCGCCACCGTAGGAAATGCCCCGCAGTTTCAATTGGCGCCCAACACTCAATCCCGTTCAGCCTTTCCTTCAGAATTCTCAATGACTTAACGTCTTTGTACTTGACTACTGCGAAGAGCTCGAGGAAAACCACTCATGGATACCAAATCCAACAAGCGCCGGGTTACCGAGGAATCTCTGGCAGAAAACAGACCCTCAAAGCGGCCCACAATAGCGGCGGATACTGCTCAATCTTTCTTCGATGGACACGGATTCCAAAACAGTGGAAGTGGGGATATCAAGGTGACTGGGAATGTGACCATAGGTACGGGGTATGGTCTTGCCTACATTTGTAAGCCTGCTGCTAACGAACTGCCAAGGCGCTTGGACGGAGAAGCCCGGGGACTGTCTACGCGACCTCTTCGTGACTGATCCGCTCGAGGACAAGAACGCATTGAAGCAGAAGAAAGGAGACCGTGCTCTCGGAACCTGCGAGTGGATACTCCGCACGGAAGAGCTCACTGCCTGGCTTGGTTCCGGCCAGACAGCGGGCCAGGAGAGCGAGACGACCCACGTCCTATGGCTCCATGGGAATCCAGGGACTGGGAAATCGACCATGGCCATATACCTTACCGAGGAGCTATCGACAGCTTTCTCTAAAACGGACAGAAAAACGCTAGCCTACTTTTTCTGTGACTCTGGCTTCGCGACACGGAGGGAAGCGACCTCGGTTATCAGAGGACTTCTCTACCAGCTCGTAAAACAGCACCCACAGCTTCTCGATTACCTCTTACCAAAATATAATGAGCGTGGGGCAGAGTTGTTCAAATCCTTCAACGCTCTCTGGACCATATTCATGGCCGCCGCTGCGGATCAGAGCACCGGTCGAAAATACTGCATCATTGACGCGCTGGATGAATGCGATCGAGAATCGCAAAATACCCTGTTGCAACAGCTTGAACGATCCTTTCAGAGCCAAGATGTCTCGTCAAATATCCGGATTTTGGTCACCAGTCGGCCATATTCCGAGATACGCGAATACTTAAAAGGGTTCCCGAACAAAGATTTGGCTTCTTTCTCCGAGAGACAGCAGGACATTGATCTGTTCATCAAGGAAAAAGTGGCAGACCTTGCCCAGAGAAAAGAATACACCGACAAGGTCAAAGGGCAAGTTAGCGATATCCTCAGAGACAAGGCCAAAGGTACTTTCCTCTGGGTTGGCTTAGCCTGCGAGGAGCTCAAGGGTACCGTTTCGCAACGCGCCGTCCAAATCTTACAAAGCATGCCCAAAGAACTTGATTCGCTCTACAAGAAGCTTCTTGACACAGCTCTTAACCAGGATGAGATCAGCCGCGATGACATCCGACGCATCCTGAGCTATGTGGCTATATGTTCGCGGCCACTGACCGTGTTGGAGCTCTCTGAAGCATGCCGCCTGCACCAGGATGAAGAGGACGTTGAGACCCGGGTCCAGTTCACACGCGAGCACATCGCGTCCTGCCGCCTAATGGTCATCATTCAGGACGACAAGGTGCTCCTGCTGCATCAGTCTGTGAAGGACTATGTATTTAGGGCTCTTGCTGACTATTTCCCTGACGAGCGCGAGGCTCATGCCAACCTTGCCTATCGCTGCGTTGATCTCCTTACCGACCCGGATCAGTCGCGTAACAGCTTCTTGGACTATGCGACTCTGAATTGGCCTCATCACGCACTCATGGCGCAGTCGACATTCAAGGTCGGCTCGCGAGCCGAGTTTTTCCGAATTGATTCTGCGCTACGTGAGCAGTGGCTACAGCACCTAAGATCGAAAGGGCTTCCATATTCTAAGATTCCACAGCGATTCTCCATTTTGCATGTGGCTGCACAGTGGGGAGTCTCCGCTCTAGTAGAATATATCTCTCATCCGGATGGTCAGGAACATGTTGATTTTGTCGACGGCTCAGGTATGACGGCACTTGAGATAGCTGCTCGGTCCAAATACCCAGACGTAGTTTCTGCCTTGCTAGGGCTTGGGGGGAAGGTGACTATGCCGGTAGTAGAGGCTGCAGCTAGAAATTACATGAACGGCAAGGAAATAATAACACTGCTTCTCGACCAGCGGGGAGACCAGATCACCATCACCGAAAAGGTGGTGTCTATGATTGCCAGGAGGTTTGATAAAAAAGTAATGGCACTGCTTCTTGACCGGCGAGGAGACCAGATCGCCATCACCGAAGAGGTGGTGAAGGCTGCGGCTAGAAATTACGGGGATGGCAAGGAAGTAATGGCACTGCTTCTCGACCGGCGGGGAGACCAGATCACCATCACCGAAGAGGTGGTGAAGGCTGCGGCTGGAAATTATCGGAATGGCAAGGAAGTAATGGCACTGCTTCTCGACCGGCGGGGAGACCAGATCACCATCACCGAAGAGGTGGTGAAGGCTGCGGCTGGAAATTACCAGAATGGCAAGGAAGTGATGGCACTGCTTCTCGACCGGCGGGGAGACCAGATCACCATCACCGAAGAGGTGGTGAAGGCTGCGGCTGGAAATTACCAGAATGGCAAGGAAGTGATGGCACTGCTTCTCGACCGGCGGGGAGACCAGATCACCATCACCGAAGAGGTGGTGAAGGCTGCGGCTGGAAATTACGGGAATGGCAAGGAAGTGATGGCACTGCTTCTCGACCGGCGGGGAGACCAGATCACCATCACCGAAGAGGTGGTGAAGGCTGCGGCTGGAAATTACGGGAACGGCAAGGAAGTGATGGCACTGCTTCTCGACCGGCGGGGAGACCAGATCACCATCACCGAAGAGGTTGTGAAGGCTGCGGCTGGAAATTACCAGAATGGCAAGGAAGTGATGGCACTGCTTCTCGACCGGCGGGGAGACCAGATCACCATCACCGAAGAGGTGGTGAAGGCTGCGGCTGGAAATTACGGGAACGGCAAGGAAGTAATGGCACTGCTTCTCGACCGGCGGGGAGACCAGATTACCATCACTGAAGAGGCGTGTCTATGATTGCCAGGAGGTTTGATAAAAAAGTAATGGCACTACTTCTCGACCGGCGGGGAGACCAGATCACCATCACCGAAGAGGTGGTGAAGGCTGCGGCTGGAAATTATCGGAATGGCAAGGAAGTGATGGCACTGCTTCTCGACCGGCGGGGAGACCAGATCGCCATCACCGAAGAGGTGGTGAAGGCTGCGGCTAGAAACTACCAGAATGGCAGGGAAGTAATGGCACTGCTTCTCGACCGGCGGGGAGACCAGATCACCATCACTGAAGAGGTGGTGTCTATGATTGCCGGGAGGTTTGATAAAGAAGTAATGGCACTGCTTCTCGACCGGCGGGGAGACCAGATCACCATCACCGAAGAGGTGGTGAAGGCTGCGGCTGGAAATTACTGGAATGGCAGGGAAGTAATGGCACTGCTTCTCGACCGGCGGGGAGACCAGATCACCATCACCGAAGAGGTGGTGAAGGCTGCGGCTAGAAATGAAGGGAATGGCAAGGAAGTAATGGCACTGCTTCTCGACCGGCGGGGAGACCAGGTAACTATCACCGAGGATGTGGTGGAGGCTGCGGCCGGAAATGAAGGGAATGACAAAGCGTAGCTGAGTGAGATGTTGAAGGATTCGCCGTGAAGGAGCGACTGTCTCAGAGTAGACTTGGTGTCTGTCTGTTCCACTCGAGAGGGAGATGTCTATAGTCCGGGAAAACTAGTAATCTTTTAAGAAAGTGTATTCGAAGTTCCTTTCAAGGCTTTTCCTTCGGTATTGTTTCTCTCATAATGAAGAAATATATTGTTATGAGGGACCCGTGAATCTAACACTCTTGTCCACGATATGAGGTTGTCGGAACCAGAACCTGTTGAGGGACAGGCAGATGCTGGGACACATTCCAGCCGAGGTAGTACGGCCGAGCACATTTCCAGCGCTAGCCGCTGGAATAGAAGGGACCGGAGATGTGACAGTGAAGGACATGTATTTTGCTGGTGTGTGATCAGAGGTCTCTCCACACACATGTTTCGCTCAATTCCCTTGTGCGGAGGAGTACGAAGACGTTCGACTTGAAGGATATAATCTCTAGACTCTGTTTTCCCGAACTATTTGGCAGCTTCTGCAATCTAACCTCGCTGTCCATTCGTAGCGATAGCAACCGTCTGCTATGATAAACAGATCTTTGACGTTACCCTATCGCTAGCGGGCCCAAAGCTCACGAGACGCAGTGTCTTTCCACACAATAGGGACATTTCTGGGGCCTCTTCATTTTTACATAACCATCCCCTTAATTCACCGTAGCTGTAGGATGCACAGGATACTCGATATGGTGGTCCTGGGGGCCCACTGGATGACGCAGTCCTAGGCAGCGATGGAGAGTCTAACCGCGGCCATTTCGATGACAGCCGATTGGACACCGCATTCCCGCCACTCGAGGTGACTCCGACTGCTCCACGGAATGTAGCCGTGTCCATCTGCAGGGCTTCACTTAGATTGAACAAGAAAGCATGAGCAAGGACAACGGTATGCGGCCCTACGCCACCGCCGTCGAGGCCCCGGTCGAGGCGAAGATCGAGGGCGGCGAGGTGAAAACGACACCCGAGGCCGAGCTGTCCTTTAGCGAGGTCGTCCACCTGCTGGCCGTGCTCTAGCGCTCGGTCGCTGCGGCTAAGCAGGACCTCTTTCGTCTTGATCTCGTCGTTGATGGCGCTTCTCCTCAGCAGCGACATGGCAATCTCTGTCACGGCACGGCGGTAGGCGCTGAGGCCCTACGGGTGCGTGACCATACTATAACCCACTATAGAATTGCAGCCTGACGGCTTGTAATTCTGGCATCCTTTTGGAAAGTGTGGTGCAGCGGTAGTGGGTGTTGCTAAACGCCGTCACAATCTCGGTCCAGCCATGCTCGGCTGCCTCATCGAGGGCCAGCCGCCTCTGTTCTTCAAAGGGACCGTCTTCATCTTTTCCGACCGGCAGCTTCACCAGGTCCTCAACAACCTCACTAACACCCTTTTGCGCTACCAGAAGCAGGACACGTCCGTGTTTGGCCGTGTTCTAAGGCCCAATTTCGGAAATAAGGGAAAACAGTTCCTGGAAAATCTCGCGGTTGGCACTATACTGCTTGGATTCCTTATCTTTCGGCTCGGATTCCTCGTCGCTTGGCTAGTTGGGGATGGCTTCCAGAAGCTTTATGACCGTCGCCAGATCAGCCCAGTCATTGCCTTCTGCCGAAAGCTGCTTGATTCTCTTGATCAAAAAACGCACCATGTCCTGGTTTCGGAGAGCGATGCTCAGAGGAGATTTGTTGTTGTGATTCGGCACCGCGAGGGACTTGGCATCGAGATCCCCGAAATTCAAAAGGGCACGTATGGCTAAATTCTGGGCTTTGACGGCCCTGTGAAGAGCCGAGTGGCCTCGCGAGTCCCGGTAAAAGGGGTCTGACCCAGCGGCCAGGAGGAGAGCCATCATGTCCATTTCCCCCTTCTCGTACGTAAAATGAAGCGGCGTCTTGGACTCGTCGTCGCTGACGTTGGGCTCAGCGCCCTGCTCGAGGGTATCGGCGGTATCGACGAGTCTGTATCGCGCCGCCAAGTGCAAGGGGGTTTGAGCCTAGTCGTCGAACAGGTCCAGGCTCTCATTGCTCCGCTTGTGTTCCCGGCAGAGCTTTTGCACCATTTCAAAGTTCCCGCTCAGAACGGCGAGGTGGATGGGCATCTTGCCATTCACGTCATCCATTTCGACCCCCGAGTAAAATACGACCCCCCGTTTCCTCTGCTCCTCTTCCGTGAAGCCTGTCGACTCTTGGGCTTGGCCTGTGAGCACGTCCACCAAGTCGCAAGCCTCCCGTCTGGTAGCGAAATGGAGCGGTGCGTTTCGCCTAAGAGTCAAATGATATAGAGCAGTGAGTACCTACCTACCAAGCCCGACCTTGTCTCCCCCCCAAACTTGTCCCTGTATTCTTACACTAAGCGCATCATCGCAGGCTGGAACTCATCCAAAAGCTGCAAGCCTGCCACAACTTTCTCACAACTATGGCCAAAAGAAAGGAGCATCTACGCCACACCAAGAACTTCGAACGGCTCCGCGAGCCAAACGCGAAAGAAGGCGAGGACGACCCGCAGCTCAGGTGGCCATCATCGACAACGGGGCCGACAAGTTCCGGCAGCGCATCTACGACTGCATTGAGCGAGGCGTGTCTTAGTCAAGGCCGACATGAGCCCGGCTGATAGCACCGCGGCCGAGCGCATCCTCCCGTGGTGGATGGTCTCGGACCCGCACGGCACGCAGATGGCGTCGCTTGTGTCGGCGGTCAACCCGTGGTGCCGGCTGTACATTGCTCGCGTCGGCAAGGGCCGCCGCGACATCCTGCCCGAGGGCGCGGTGCGGGCCGTCGAGTGGGCCGTCGAGCAAAAGGTCGACACCATCTCCATCAGCTGGGTGACCAAGTCGGTGGTGCCCGCTCTCAAAATGGTCATTGAGAAGGCCGCCAAGCACACGCTCATCTTCTGCTCGACCGCCGACCGCGGCACCGGTTTGGGCCCGGCCTATCCGGCCGATTACGACGGCACCGTCCGCATCTCGGCCACCGACAAGTATGGTAACCTGATGCCCGCGTCCGACAAGACGGGGTCCCACGCTATCAACATCCCCGTGCCCGGCGAGGACATTCCCGCGCTCGGCCCCTCGTACATGAGCGAGGGCATCGCCTCCTTGACGCTTATGATGCTCCTGGTCTTTAATGATACCGACAAGGACGTGCTAAGAGTAAACGGCCTGTACACCAACAATAAGGCCGCTATCAGCCCCGGTGCGTAGGTCGACCCGCTGTTCTCCGTCGTCTTAAAGATCAAGGAGCTGCCCGAGAAGTGGAACCTCGATGCCATCATGGCTCGGCCCGGGATGGATGTGTGAAATTGCTTGGCGTACTATTAATAGTTCTGTCACGGCGCGCAACGGCCGTAGCACACTATAACCCACTACAGGTTGCAAGTCGTCGACTTGCAATTCTGGCATCCTTTTGGGGGTTCTAGCGCAGTGGTAGTGGGTGCTGTGAGCTGGCGCCGTCACAAGTTCCATGATTTCTATCGCTCTGGATGGAGCTTTCCGAGACAATGACGCACAAGCAGCCAAAAGACGCTTTCTAAGTCGAGAAGAAGGTAAAACAAATACATCGTCAGTGGTTCAGTGGTAAAATCCATCGTTGCCATTGATGGGCCTCGCGTTCGATTCGCGGCTGACGCAAGCATATTCACTATCCATGCGACTAAAATGTTCCATTGTTACTTTCAAACACCAGGACACTCCCCACTCTTTGGGGGGTGGGGGAGGGCCAGCGCGCACCTGCCCGGAGCAGTCGAGGCACAATTGCGCAGGACCAAATCAGCCGCTTCGGCGTGCGCGTAACTAGAAATCTAGATTATAGTAAAAATTCAGTACGTAGATTACAACTATCAGATTGGATTTTGCGAGCACGCTCTGCGCGAGATGGAATTTGCGCTGCAAATTTTCGCCTGTCTGCGATGCTGGCAAAAATTTAGACGCGCAAGGGCGTGCCCGTCAGTACTGATTTTTTACAAATCTTGGCAAATCTTGGCAAATACCTCAGGCATTTGGTCTCTGTATTTCTTCTGGAATATCTCAGCGCGCAGAGCAACTAGAGAAAATCCGAAAGAAGATCTATATTCGCTGCGAGGAGAGCAATGCCTCAACCGTGCTGCAGCTGCGCGCATTTACGGCGCGTTGTGCGATAAGGGGTTGAAGTTTTGGGTGAAATGCTAAAAAAGCCTGTAATGAGGCCGCTAACCATGAACCTGTCGTACACCAGCGAAGAGGCAGTGCGTATAAAGTAGCAACTACCTACCTACCCAACAGTTTAACGTACAAAAGCCTATTCACGGCTTGCTTGCACACCCCATTTTTGCAGGCAGTCGGGTGGGTAGGTAGACAAGGTGGGTAGACAAGGAGTCTTAGATGCTACGCAAGAACCACATTAACAGCGGCAAGCCACTGGCATTGACCTAATACTCTAGCGCTGGCCAAGTCGCCGCGAGTGATTTGTATTCAACTGCCTCTAATTGCTCGCGCGACGATTGTTACGGCACGGCCGAACTATGGTCCGTGGTGCCGTAATCATGCGCTAAGGCTACAAGCCCCACTTGCAACCGATTAGACGACGCTTGAATTTCGCTCGAAGCGAGAACATAGCGGTGCGCCACAAAGGAAAGGCATGCACGCTGAGGCCCGTATTCCGACCGAGCCGGTTAGCTATCAATTTGGCTTATCGCGAGGTCACTTTCAGCGGGGCATAGGGTGGGAGGCAGCCTGTTCGAAAACGGAAGTCACCGTTTTATAATGGTCAATTTTACACAGGTCCGTGGGTCACTAACAGAGGGAAAGAGGGACCCGTTTTTGGATCCCAAGTACCCCGGTTTTTGACCCCCTCTACCTCGTAGGGCAAGCTTCTAGGGATTGGATTGTAGTCTTGATTTGGTTGCCCATGAATGACATAGGATCTGGCTGATCACTTGTAGTTAACAATCTACGGCTGACAGAGGCCGCGCTAGACGGTAGATAAAGAGCTCATCCCGAAAGCTCAATTCATACTTCGCATTTCACAGTTGGAGCTAGATATCTGCAGATATTTTCGGTCGCCAGCCCATCAAACCTCACCCACCGGCTCACCGGCTCACCGGCTCACCGGCTCACCAGCTCACTAGATCACCGGCCTACCCGCTCACTCACTACTACCCACTCACTCACCACCACCCACCCACTCACTACCACCCACCCACTCACTACCTACCCACTGACTCACCTAATTAATTAGGTAGCCTACTAACTTGCCACTCCCTCACCTACCACTCACCCTACAGTCCCTCAAATCTACCTCAAACAAGCCTTAGCACCTCCAACGGCACGCCCCTAGCCTCGAGCGCCGCAGGCGCCATGCGTGGGTCATGGTTCGCCGTTTCGCCTGTAGCGCGGTTGACGAAGCGCTCGAAGATGGCCGGGTCGCCGGCGCAGCGCTCGTACAGAGCGCGTTCCCACCCCTCACCATCTTCACTATTACCGTCACCCGGCAATAGGGGCTGTAGCCGCGGGTCGTCGACCGTTAGCTCGCCCGTGGCCTGATTGGCGAACCACTGGCGCGGGCGGCCGAGGGAGTCGCCGCGCAGCACGGCGCGCCACGGCGCCGGCACGGGCCCCAGCAGCCCGGCGGCGTCGGACAGGCCGTGCACGAAGCTCTCGCCGACGACTTGGCAGTAGGAGTGGTCGGGGGTGTTTGGTGTTGTGGATGGGACGGCGCGGAGGATCAGCGGCGCGTACGTGCCGAGGACTAGGGCGACGGTGTCACCTGGAATTTTGGAATCAATGAAATCAGTTCATGCCGTTCATGGTCTGGGCTAGAATAGAAAAGGCAGACGAAGGCTACATACCGACCTGCACGCCCGCGGGCGCAGTCCCAAAGAGCCCGTCGGCCGTCCTGAAGAATCGTCGGCCGCGGACCTTCTGGATCGTGTTGGCAATCTCGCGCTCGGCGTAGAGCGCCGCCGCGTCCTCGCCCTCCCCTAATCGCACGATGCGCCTCAGCATGGCGACCCACTGGGCCTCGTCGAGGTTGTGGTTCCCCGGGTTGCGCTCGCGCGTGCGGTCCATGCACAGCGCGAGCACAAACGCCTGGTCGAGGGTCTCACCCGTCAGGGGGTACGTGCCCGAAGCAGGAGAGCAGAACTGCTCGCGCCACTCCCTGACCACGCACAGCGTCTTGTCCTCGACCTTGGCGGCCGCGCGGCTGCTCACGGCGGCGACGGTGGCGTGGCGCACGCCCAGCACCTCGAGCACGTCCCCGCGGTGCGTGAACCACGCGCGCGATATGCCCGTGGCCAGCTGCTCGCTCAGCACGGGGGCCGCGAACTCGGTGCGCGACCAGTCAGGGACCCACGAGGGTGACGGCGCGTCGGACGACTCCACATCATGGGCGGCGAGGTCGCAGTGCTTGAGCAGGTCGAGACGGAGGGTGGCGCGCGAGTGCGCGAGAAAGGCGTCGCGGTAAACGTCGGGCGCAGGACGGCGATAGTCGACAACAACGGCGGTGCCGGCGCGGAAGTAGGGCGGCGTGATGCCGAGCAGGCCGAAAATCTTGTCGCGCGGGTCGGCGCAGCCCTTGCTGCGCGCCACGTCGAGCAGGTTGGCCAGCGACTGCGTCTCGCCGCCGTGCTGTAGGAACACGATGTGGCGGCACCGCTCGCGGAACCGCAGCAGCTCGACCGGCGGCAGCTCGGCGGGTAGCGATGTCAGCAGCGCGGCGTTCTTGTTGTTGAGGCACAACACGGCGAGCCAGAAGTCGTGCCACGCCACGCTGGCACCGCCGCACTGCAGCACCGCGTCGCGGCCGGCGCCGGCGGTACCGAGCTTGATCTCCTGCCAGGTCCAGATGCGGTAGAACCAGGGGCGCTCGGCCAGGGCCATGACGGCGCGCCAGGCGCGGGCGTCGAGGGGCGGCGGGTAGTCGTTGCGCCACAGCCGGGGCTCGGCGGCGGCGGGCGCGGCGATGACGCGGCCGCTGCGCGTGATGCGCAGCTGGCGGCCGAGGTGCTGCAGCGTGGCCACGGCGTGGTCGCTGTCGTGGGCGGCGTCGCCGAGCCAGGCCACGACGCGGCGCGCCAGCGCGTACACGTCGGTCATGCGCTTGACCTGCTCGTTGCGCTCGTCGACGTCGGCCTGGTTGATGCACAGCGCGTCGATCCACAGCACGCGGGGGCTGTCTGCGGCGGCCGGCAGCCCGCGCCGGAAGTGCCGGAGGCACGACGCCAGGTTGGGCCGCAGGCCCAGCGTGCCGACGACTGCTGCCCCGTCGTCGACAATCTCGGCGAGTTCCGACACCTCGGCGGCTCCCCAAGTGTAGGACAAGGCTTCGAACTGCGGCTCGTATGGTGGTGTCTGTTCCGGCTGCGGCTCGCTGGATGCAAGGAGTAATGGGCGGGTTTCGCCCGTGGCGAAGTTGAAGGCTAGTAGGTCGCCGTTGTTGGTCTCTTCGATTGTCCAGGGCATGGACACCATGGCCCGCAGCGCTTCGTGGAGCTGTTCGTCGGTTTCTTTTGGCGGCGGCGTGGGCGGCACGGGAAAGGGTACGTGGACGATGCGCAGTTTGATGGTGTCCTCGGGCCTGCCGTGCAGGAGATGGACTAACCGGATCTCTTGCTGCGCGCTCCTCAGTGGTCGGTATTGATATGCGACTGGTGCCATGGCCGACTGCTTGATTGGCGGCCTGGCCAGAAGTCGTTTGAGCAAGTCCCGCATCAGAAGGTGGCACGAAGCAAGAGGTTGGGGAGTAGGACTCTTGGATTCGAGCTAAAATGTGTGGGGAAGTAGTCTCAGCTCCGATGCAACACACACCGCAGCGGCCAAGGGATGCCCACCGCCCACGAAATGATGTTGTGTGAAGCTTTGAACGTTGATCCGAGTCGTGGCGGTCCCAGTCTCTTGCCCAGTTCAATCGACATCCAAGTCCTGTCATCTTGAACCACAGCCTACCTCTTGCACATCACTACCGTCCTATGATTCGGTTGAAAACAAATCGACTTCATTCGGTTGAAAATAAATCGACTTGATTCGGTTGAAAATAAATCGACTCGGGACTGCAACTCGAAATGTATCCTTGCGTAATCTCTCTCCTTCTCTCCCAGTTTGATCCTCCTAAATCTCCAGCCTTGAATATGTCCTTCAAACCCTCCCTCCTACGGCTCACCACTTGTGCAACAGCTTAATCTCCCTGTTGAGTGCCGATCTCAGCTCACTCCGTGGCCCAAGGACTGTGAGGAGCCGACTCGACTCTCGGGGCAGCATCATAGCCGTTCTCGCTCGCCCCACGCCTTCCATCGCTGTCGTCATCTCTGTATACCTCCTCGTCGCCCTCCTCGGCCCCATCGACAGCGACACCCACCAACACCGGTTCTCTAGCTGGAAGAAGCCTCGCCCTCCCGTCAATGTAGCCATGCCCACCCGGGGTATGCTCCTGGGGACCCAGAGCAGAAAGCACCCGACGCCACCACGGCTCACCACTGCCAGCAGTAGCCCTGCCACGCGCACCACAGAACACGCGCGGCAATAGCACACTCGCTAGCTGCACTAGCGCGACCGCCAGCACGACGGCAAAGTCGGCCCCGGCGGCCTGCTGCAGCGCGCCCTCCCACGGCGCGGCGCAGGCGGCCTTGCGCCCGAAACGCTCCGCGCAGCCGGCCGCGTCGCCGGGGTGGCTGCCCTGGGGGAAGGGCCAGGCCATGTCCTTGAGGGTGCGGAAGCCGCAGCAATCGAAAGCGTCCTGGACGGCGCGGATGCGCGACGCGTCGTGTGCTGTCCAGAAGCCCTTCCACTCGCTCTCGAGCAGGCACTGGCGGACTGGGGAAGGGATCATGTCCGACGCGAGGCGCGTGGCGAGGACGGTGCTGAACACGAGTTGTGCCGTCTGCAGCGCGGCGGGGACAAGCTTGGATTTGGTGCCGGCGGCAGGTTTCGGCAGGCGCAGCTGGGAGCGGGTCGTCGAGGCGAAAAAGTAGAGGGCATTGGCGCCGGCGACGAGAGGCAGCAGGATGGTCGCGAATGTCAGGCCCGACGAGATGGGAAGGGAGAGGCTTGTCGCTTTGACGTGTGCGTATCTAGCAAGAGGTCGGTTACCCGTCACAGGAGACAACGTGTGCGGTGGACTTACATGGCAATGCCGCTGAGTGCCAAGAGAAGCTACAGCTGGTCAGCCAACGCACGCGAAGTAATTGGAGAAGGATCGCACCAGAGGGAAGAGCACGATCCAGGACGCCATGTTGGGCGTGTTCGAGAATGAGACTGGTTTGGTGGAGTTGCTCTGTCGAACTTGGCGCCGCCGGAATGAGACGGGAAGAGTTGGGGATGGGGAGACTTCGTTTGGAAGAGCTGCAAATTAAATACCAGAAAGGCTCAGCCAGGTCCACGGCCCATTCTCTGCCCCGAGTGGAAGCCGCAACCGGTCAAACAGTTGGGCAGGAAGCAGCCAGCCGAGCTGCAGAAGGCCTCGCTGCAGGCGCGCCTGCCTCGAACAAGCGATTCGCCGATTGCCTCTGTCACGCTGCAGTCTGCCCCTCCATTTCGCGCACGCGGCAGTCGAGGACTGGCAAATCGGCTCCCAGCTTCATGCCGACCACTGCATCTGGGGCTGATGCTGACCTTGCCATCTTTGCACGCCGCTCATCACTCTCAACCTCGACCTCTCCGGGCCGCCGTTTCAGCGTGGTCTCGTGAACCGGCGACCGACTCTCGCCGTCCAAATCCACACCCAGCCTCGCCACGATCCCACGATAAATGCGCGTGGGGAAGACGTCTCTCAAGCTTGCGACTGACGAGTACTTCCTGGTGATCCCCTGCGCCTTCTCAGCGTTGAGAAGCTTCTCGAGCACTGTGGCTTGAAATGGCCGTCTTTCCGCCACCACGTCGTCCGAGGGGTGCGCCGACGTGGCGAGCCCCAGAGCAGAGCTGGTGAGCTGCAATGCCGGCATGCTGAGCTGCGCGATGAAGTCTGACACGAGATGGCAGCACCCGAGCTCGCTAAAGTCTAGTCCGGCCGCGACAAAGCCGTCTAGTGTCTGCAGAAACAGGACCTGGGAGGCTGGCTGCCAGGTGGTGTGGACACAGCTGGCCAAGAAGCTCGACTTGAGCCAGTCGACTGCAAACACTCTGTTTACGTGGGCGCCGTGCTTGAGCAGCAGAGGCAACACGCCGCTGCGGAAGGCCGTATAGTGCTCGATCTTGTCCTTGGTTAGCTTGCCCAACAGCTCCTTCCACGGTGTTGTGAGCGTGCGCGCACTTCCCCGGATAAGGTGGCCTTCGTTGGGGTCGCAGCCGTGCTCCAGCAGATATCGAAGAATCTCCATTTGCTTGTCGCGTTCTTGAGCCGACAGGTTCTGGGAAAAGAGGGTTACAACGTGCGAAATTATTGGCTTGCCGAAGCCCGAGAAGTAGTCAGGCTGCGCCGGGAACACGCGGTGGACGTATTCAACGAGCCCGGCCTTGATCATAGGTTCGCGGAAGAAGAGATAGGTCGGCGTGGGGCTGTTTGCCCACGGTTGTAGCGTCGCCTGGCCGTCGTTGTGCATCTGCGGAATGCAGCGCTCTAGCTCGCCGACAAGATCAAGGACGTCACTAGTCGGCCCGGCCTCGCTGGCGTGTGTGAGGGCTTCTTGGACCGATTCCATCAGCATCTGGCTGGTTTGATGGGGACAGGAGAGCTCGCTGGACTGCAGTCTGTGCTTGGCAAACCCCATCCTGGATATCGTCCCGTAATAGCGTGTTGTTTTGATGCATGCGACATAGGCTTTCAAAAGGACGAGGCTTGCATCGAAGCCGCGTGCCGACTTTTCACGCAGAAAATTGGTCATGTCGTTAGTTCTTAAGAAATCGACGACGGTCCGATGGAGAAACTCGACTCGACGGGTCGTGCTATTCACCTCGAGCAGCCCGCGGCATCTGCCTGCCAATTGCCGAGACACCCTTTCCTGTCGAGCAGAGGCTTCGTCGTCTCCGAGTGGTCGAAGCGGCATCTTGAGGGCATAGTGTTGATCTTCATGTTCAAGGTCCTGGAACGCGTAGAGTTCGACAGACGCCGACTTTCGAGCTGCAAGGGCCATGAGTAGCGTTGTGGCCATTTTACCATGATAGAATGGTTCCACAGACTCGAGAATCTGGCGAAAGAAGACTTCAAGGTCTGTCGGGATGGCTTCGAGCCTACGCTCCAGATCCGAAAAGCTGTCGTACTCGGTTAGGCCGCTCCGAAGCTCTTTGGTGACCAGAAACACCCAAAGAAACACGCCGGCTGCCCTCTCGGTAATCTGGTCCACCAGCCACGTCCTGTGCTCAGGTGGGACTTCGAGGTACTGCCACCTCGGGTGCTCCTGGAGACGCCGTCTGGCGTAGGACCGAATATCGCCCCGGGTAAGCTCATGGATATACAGCTTAGACGACGTGGCGCGGCCAAATGAGTCTTCAAATACATTCCACGGCCTGCTCGAGATGCACAGCTTTAGACTCGGCGATGCGGATAGGTCCTTCAAGATGGTACAAAAGTCGACGTGATCCCCTTCGTACTCGTCCAAGCCGTCGATGAAGAAGCACATCTTAACACGGAGCGATCCCCGATCGCCAATGTGCTGCAAGATGCGATGCAGTTCCGGTACGGTCCACGGCTTGTACATGAGCGCCTCGGGTGATTCCGACCAGCGCCCAGCACATGCGAGCTCCATGAGATCTGGCTGCTGGCGAAAAATGTCGTGGAGGAGAGTCTGCAGCAACCCCTGCAGCGACTTCTGCATTGATGTGCCGGCGCTCCAGAAATAATGGCAGGCGATGATGGGCGGCTTTGGAGAGGACCAAGCCGTGAGTGCTTGGACAGTGCTGTCGTGGTCCGCGACAAACTTCATCAGGGTCGATTTCCCCGAGCCCGGCTTGCCAGAGATCCAAAAGGTACCTTTGCCGTGCTTCAGCCAGGCGATCAAGTCGCCAGTGGCCGTTTGCGTGTTAGGGAAGTGGCTGTTCTCCTTGAAGACCCATTGGAATGTTTCGCGGTGGGCTTCCCGGATAGCGTTGTGCCGTGCCGGGAGGCTATCAAATGCAAAGCTCCTGAGGATACAGTGTTCCCTGGCCACGTCTGTGGTTGATACGGAGAGTTGAGACATCTTGCTCTGGATGAAGACAAGGTCGTCGGCGATCAGAGGCTTCTCCGCAGTCTGGGCAGCCACTGCAATTCGCGAACTCAGTTCGTGGAGTGTTTGAGCCATGGCATCTAGCTTGGCAGACCTCTCCGATTCCAGAAGCACACTCTCCTTGAGGAGGTGCTTGAGCTGCTGTTGATAGAGGCTCTGCCAGAAACTGAAGCAGCTTCTTGATCAGCTTCATGTGCAAGGCAGTGCTTTGATTTTGAGGTGATGCAGCAGGGACTCGCCTCGTCAGCCCATTTACCTGGAGCGTGAGCGTCATCTGGGTGTGATGCAGCCGCTGCTCGAGGTCTGCGATCTCGTTGCCTTTCCAGACCGTCTTTAGGGCTAGTCGGAAGCTCTGCCAGTGGCGCTTGGTCACACTCCCGCCTTTGAGGCTCTGGACAATGTCCAAGAGCCTGTCGCAATCCTCCTTGCACACCCGCGCCAGCTCGGTGATGGCCAGAGCCTGCGTCGGGACGTGGCTGTCGACCTGCGCTGCGAGCTGCGCGTCGAGCTGCGATGCCAGACCCAACTCGGCGCTGAAGCGGCTCAGCTCCCCGTACACTGTCTCGAGCGTGGCAACCTGTCGGGTCGAGCCGCTTGCGGACGCGTGGATTTCCCTCGTCTTTGAAATCAGCCCCGAGGCGAAGCCTACGAACTGCATGACACTCGCCGAGAGCCCAAAGGCTGTCACGGGATCCATGGCTGCGCTGCCGTGGCCTGACTACCCAGACGGCGATGCAAACTACGAGATCCAATTCAATCTGAGCAGGTCAGCTTGGTTGGAGATGGGAGGTGGACAGCCGTCAAACCGTCGGTGCCGTCTCTGGACGGAAGGCAGCTGGCGGCCAAATGAGCCTGAGGGCCAGGCTCCAGAGCGGGCAAGCACAGCCCCAATACGTCGGGGGGGCAGAGCTGCACAGCCAGTTTTACGTGATTATAACAAGCAAGCATTGGACGCCACTCAATGTTCATTTACGTATTTCGCTTTCTAATATCCATACTCCGCACTGTGCCCGTGAAGGCAACTCTTCGCTAAATGTGGCGGAATGGAAAAGCAAACCACGCGTTCCTTTTCCAAAGCAGACCCTCCTACACACTAATGTCAAGCTGTCACCCGTGCTTGACCCATGCCATCTGCAGTATCGCCCTCAGCTCGTCAATCATGATTTTGCGGAAGATTTTGCAGTTTTTCCGAATCACAATCGCGAGCAGGACGTAATACTTCATGGCGTAGACGGCGTTCCGGCCGTCAAAGTCGGCTCTGGGCGCGGATATTGGCACTAGGTTCTGGTACTCGTCGATGCACGGCTTTCCCAGCTTGTACCGCGGATTCCGGCACACGCCGAGGTCAGCTAGACAGGTCAGCACAGCGCAGGCTTCAGGAACTCCTGCGAGAGGAGCAACACACCTTCGTTGTGCCCCCAGTACGCACAGGCGTCAAAGATACATAGATCACCACCCGACGCGGCCGTCAACAGCCGCACATTCCCCAGACACAGGTCCGAGTGCAGCAGGCAGGGCACGACGGACCGGCCGTTGCGCTCCAGCGGGCCCAGATACCGCGGGATGGCCTTCTCGAAGTAGGCCTTGCGGAGGCGCGTCAGCTCCTCGTCGGGGCCGTTGAGGCGCTCCTCCCGCTCGAAGAGGCCGCGCATCTGCTGCGCCCAGAAGGCCTCCCACGACGCGTTCCACGTGTTGTCGACGGGTACATCGGCCAGGAACGTCGGCACGCCGAACCCGAAGTGGTTTGGGACCGGCGACTTGCCCATGCTCTGCAGGTGTAGCTGTGCTGCAGCCGATGCCCAGTCGTACGGCGGCGGCGGGATCTCGTGGTTGAGCATGTGCGCGAACTCGCATAGGTAGAAATGCCTGTCGGGGTCGTTCGCGAACGAACCCCGCGCCATCGGCCGCGGCACCTGTGCCGGCAGGAACGTCGCCACGGCCGTCTCCGACTCGAACGCCGAGTCCATCAGCGCAGCCCCGGCGGCTCCGGCGGCGCTCTGTGGACGCCGCGTCAGCGGTGCTTCCGGACAGGACAGAGCTTTGGGTGTAACGTGTGCATACCTTCATGAAGAACTCGGCCGTCGTCTCGCCATCCTCGAGCTGGACGACAATCTTGACCGCCTCGATTGGAGTCTCGGGCTTTTTCTCTATCGCCAGTACGGTAGCCTCGAGGACTGCTTTGTGGGGTGGGAGTTCTGCCACGCACGATGTTAGTCAACGTGCCCAGGAGTCGAAGTGGCGATGGGGAAGGCACAGCACTGACGGGCGATGACGTTCGGGTCGAGCTGCACCTGTGCGCCGCCCGCGCAACTGTCCAAAACGTCCGTCATGCTGAGGACGCTCGTGGAGGATCAATCCTGGCAATGGAACGATAGGAGAATGAGCAGAGAGGTGAGAGAGAAAGAAAAAAAAATTGCAGCAACGCGGGTGGAGCGGGTGCAAGCGGAAGGTTCAACAGCGTGATAAATGCTTGCAGCGTGCGCCGCGCAGAGGAAGGAAACGGGAAAAGCGTGCAAACGAACGCAGTGCCTTTTATTGGGCCCCAAAAAACAGCAGCGGGCACGGCTGGCCTCCCAGCGGGCAAGAGCGTTCGTTGGGTGTTAGCTTAACTGTGAGACACGTCGGCGGTCTGCGTGTCGGGTGGGCGGGTGTCGTCCGGCCCGGCCCGGCCCCGGCCCTGGCCCGCGGGACGCCACGTCCGCACGTGATGACTGCAGCGGTGCACCTCGGCTCTCGGCCCACTGCAAATTGGCGGACTGCTTTCCCGGTCGGGCTTGGTGGCCGCCGGGCAATTGAATTCGCGACTGAGAGAATGCGTTGAAAAACTTGATCTGAGCATATCGAGGATGCAAGTCGCCGTGCTCGCGGATTGCACGTGTTGACAGATTTGGAGGATTCCAGAACCTGGACGGCTGGTGCCGTGATCACATGCGCGCACTGGGTTAAGGTGCTCCAAGGGCTGGCTAGGATGAGCTTGGATTCCTGGCCTTTTGCCTTTGGAAGTAAAGAAGAAGGCCGAAGCAGGTAGACCGGATTACCACTGCAAAATGGATGACACCAAAGTGGCAAGAGATACCTTTGCATCCCGCGAAACTAGACCCCGCCAACGGTCTACGAAAAAATAAGGATTAGGTTCAGCAATCAGACTATTGAGCGCATTGCACAGAAGAATACCTGCAAGAGACAGATCCAGATGGAACAGCGTGTCCTTGCTTTCAGCGGGCGAAAGAGTACATCCATAGCCTAGACGATCTGGCACAGGCAGAGAATGAAGGATCAAAGGCGGGTCGGTGAATCTGCTGCGGGAAACTCAAAAAGTGCTTGACTAGAACTGAAGCTGACCTGCCAGCAGCCTCCTATTGAAAACAAGGTCTCGCAACTTCAAACTTGGGCTGGATTAGGCAGCATGTTTCTCTTTGTCTGGAAACAAGCAGTTAATTATCTGTACTCTGTTTCTTTTCACCCATACTTTTTGTTCAACAGAATTCGGATATATAGCGGAGGAGAGCCGTGGTCCGTCATACTGACCTTGCAGGCTCGGCAACCGATCTTGCGACTCTCTCTTGCACCGTCCAGTGTGCCACCACAGTAGACTTCGCCATGGCCGCGGCCTCAAGCCAGCAGATCACCCTGCGACTCTTTCGCTTCTTGAGCCTTCCTCCCGAAGTCCGGAACATGATCTACGAATACTACCTTGCCCCACGAAAGTGGGTGGCCTTTGACAAGATCAGGTCCTTACCGGAATATTTACAGACCGATATTCAGCATATCGAGCGCCTTCCCGATTTAATGCGCACGTACAAGCAGCTATACCGAGAGATGCGGACACAAGTCCACCACGAGTTGCTAGGGGCGAGGAGGTGGAAGTCTGGAAGAGAGCCATTCGAACGCCCGTCTTGACTAGACCTGGCAGAATTTGGCTTAAAACAAGTATGATTTCACATGAGTCGGCGTCTCCTTCTCGGCCGACTTGACTAGCTCTCTCAGAAAGCAAATCATCATGACTCCGCCGTTTTGCTTCAGTTTGTCCAATATCCTGTCGCTGGTGTTTCGTGGATGGGGGCACGGAGTATAGCTTGTTTGTGGTTAGTCACATGAGAGAAACAAAAGAGACATCATCTTAGAAGTTACTACTACGACGAGTGAGAGAAGATCACTGGCGCCTATCTAGTAGCCAAAACCTGCGACTGCACTTCCTCGCTGCTGGGAGATATATCTGCTATTCTTGGGATTGTTAGTCAGGGGCATCCGTGACCCAAAATATGAGCAAGTGACATACAGCCCAACGCGATTCATTTCCCTGACCACGGCCCGCCCGCGCTCCGATAGCCCGCCGCGGGCTTGTGTTTCCGCTGTCTGTTGGACCTTTCTCAGCATAATTTTGGTGAACATAATTATAAGAAAAGAAGCAATGAACTCGCTTATGTATAGTCTGAGAATGGTGCCCTTAAAGTATACATAGCTCTAAAATTCTCGCATTCCGCTTCGCTTGAGTTTCGGTGACCGATCGGGGCGTTTAATGAGATTTTTTAAGCTGCCGGCGTGCGACTGAGCACCCCGACTGAGCACCCCTTTAGCCCAATTTCCCCCAACACGGCAGAACCCAACCTCTTACCCAAGTTCGCTGTCGCCACCCATTCCGTTCTGTCTTGTTGTCTTGCCGTCTTGGATCCCAAGGACGAACTCTTCAGGCGGTTTGGGATTCTACAGCAGCACGGTATCATCTTAACTGCTCCAGAGTATCAGAAACCTCTGTCAACGCTTTACAAACAGGCAGCACATGCCGCCATCATCGTGCATGATTTGGAAGTCAAGCTTTTGCACTGTTCCTCCGCCGGGGTTTGGGGCTGCCCATGATGTGTGAGTGAGCCACCCATGGTCTTTGAAATGCGGTTGCTGTAAGCTCCCAGCAAGCACGGTCCTTGCGCGAGCACGCACATAACATACCCCCTGAATGCTTTGTTGTTCAGGCTTCAGGGGTTGACGCTATGTCAAGTGTGCACAAACGCGGCACAGGTAGACTTCAGACGAGTGGATGAGACTAAGAGAAGAGTTGTCCCTTGTCTGTGATTCAAACCAAGCCTTTTCATAATAGCCGTTCTTGCGTTTCCTTATCGCTCTTTCTGCAGAAAATTTATCCACTCGCGGACTCTGTAATTGCCAATAACGGTGCCTTCAGACCAGGAGGTAATATCCTAAAGGGACCGACGAGAGTGGAGTGCAACTATGTCAAAAGTGCACCTCTACACATTTATTATGTCACGATCCAAAGTCCTGTTAGGTGCGAAGTAGATCTGAAAGTAATTTCGTGTCGGAGTAAGTTGAAGATGCACATTTGAACTGAAAGTGCGTGACTTATGACTTGGTGTCTCTTCAAAGTGAATCACGAAATGAACCTGGAGATAATTAGCACTGTCACGTTTTTTCTTGAATACTTGACACACCGCGCAAACGCTGTCAATTTACAACCAGCATTTCAAATGCCTGCTTTGCCTGAGTGGTCGAGACGGCAAGACACGAGTCACACATCACCGTTAAAAGAGACGACTCAAAAAGCAGGCCTTGTGCCTATGGACATATCATTAACATCTCTAAGGATGGTCTATGTATCATTCATATCAAGCAGAGCCATGCTCTCTCCCCCACCCCTCGCTCACAGGGGAAAGGTAGTTTCGGGGCCAATCCTCTATATCTCCCGCACACCCCCAACATTCACGTTTACCAGGGGTTGGTGGCACCGTCGTGGTTCTGGAAGGTGCCGCCGATGTCGCGGGTGGCGGCATCAATGGTCTTGGTCATGCCGGCAACGCTCGTCTCGACGGAGATGGCGCCGAGGTCCTTGAGGCTGAGGCCGGTGCCGGTGATGGAGCTGGCAGCGAGGTCCGTCTCCACCAGGCCGGGGTGGAAGACGAAGCTGGTGAGCCAGGGCTCCTCGAAGTGGAGACGGCGGACGAACCAGTTGAGGGCCGCCTTGCTGCCGCCGTAGGGGCTGGCGGTGTTGGGGAAGTTGAGGGCAACGAGGGCATCGATGGTGCCGATTGAGCCGATGAGGGTGGAGATGGCGATGAACTTGGGGTTGCCGGTCTTGCTGGCCTGGAGGAGGTCGGCGGTGGCCTGGAAGAGGAGGATGGGGGCAATGGTGTTAACGTTGAAGTGCTCGATGGCGTTGGCGGAAGTAGTCTCGCGGATGGGGGCACCGCCGGCGGCGATACCGGCGTTGGCGACGACGACGTCGATGGCGGTGATGTCGTGGTTCTTCTTGAGGGTGGCTACGGCGTCGGCGGCGGCAGACGTGACGGAGGAGTCGAGCTTGACGGTGATAAGCTTGGAGCCAGCGGCCTTGGGTAGGTCGGAGAGGGCCCGGGAGGTGGCGTGAGACGGGTCACGGACGGCCGCGATGACGGTAGTCGAGGGCCTGGACAGCAAGGTTGAGACAAAGCCCTTACCGATGCCGCGGTTGGCGCCGGTGATGAGGTAGGTGGTCTGGGTGCTCATCTTGTCTTCAGTGTTGCTCTTCGAGTTCTACAAGTTGAAGGCCTGCTGGGTGGTGGATGGCGAGTGTCTAGGCCGATGCGAAGCGAGGGAAGGAAGATGTGAAGAGTGAGGATCTAAGACACGACAAAGAGCAGCTTTGACGGGATTATTTAACTTCCTGCCGTGATTGATCGGTGCATCTACAGTATATTCCGTCCAGTCTTTGCAACGCGCCATTACCTGCTTGATTTGACGCCTTAGGCTCCCCGACGCACGACTGCTCGCTCAGGTCTCCAGGACAAGCCCACAATAGTGCCGAGCTATGTGTGCTAGCTGTTGCCGCACATGGTGCGGTGATATCTTCTAGCCCCGGGCTATTCCGTGATCGATGGACCCGAGTAGGGGGGCAAAGGGGAAAGGGGGAGGAATCTGGATGACAAATGGCCGACGTAGTGAAGGAATACGCCAGGCGTGGGTGGGTATGTACATCATAGTGCCGTAGTGACGGAAAGATTACTGAACAACTGTTTTATTCTTATTGTTAATCACGCCATGGACAGAAACGGAATCTTACTAATCCCAGGCCACGGTTAGGACATGCCACTCTTTTTAAATGACTAGGGTGGAAGTGCTAAATGGTGGTCTCTCGGGGTCGGGTCAACTATCGTGCCATTGCAGTTGCCCACTTAATTAGCTTCAAATGTCTAGGCCTAGCCTCGCGTATGAGGACCGGAAGCATTTTTACATCAGCTAATGTCTCGGTCTTCACGATGGGTCATTGTTGTCGCCGTCTGTACGGGCCATCGTTGTCGCCGTCTGTACGGGCCATCGTTTTCGCCGTCTGTACGGGCCATTGTTGTCGCCGTCTGTACGGGGTAGAGCCAAGCTGGGGGATCCGACTCGGGGTTTGCCACAACGATCGTCTGCTCAGTACACTCCGGTTCTGGCCCCGGCCGTGTTGATTCTGAGCAGCAAGCCTCTGGCTGGAAGAAGCATACTGTAGTTGTCAACCTGCTACAAGCATTGCGGGTGCGATTAGCCCGTCACTAGCCTGGCCTCGTTTCCTCAGCTCTCGGAGTTTAAGCTCTGTCCCGCTATGAGGCTGAATGGGAGTCACAATTCCAAGCGATGGAAGGAACTAAATCTTTTAACACGGGGGTAATTGCAAATCTATTACATGGCATCATCATGTCGGCTAAAACGAGCAACTCGAGAGTAGGAATCCGGTATTCTATTGACCCAACCTCATTACGCCTACAACTTGACAACCAGCTTGCCACCGGACACCTTACCCGACCGCAGCTTGTCTAAGCCGGTCAAGATACCATCCCAGCTACCCTCCTCGAGCGTTATCGGGGGGGGCCTAACCGTCTTGTTGCTGACAAGCTCCGGTAGGGAGGCGTAGAAGCGCGCAAGCGCCTTACGATCGTCGGGGAGCGCGGGGAACTTGGGCCCAAAGGGCGCCAGCCACTGGAAGGATCTACCAAAGAGCGTGTAGGCCATGACGAGCTCGTGCTCGACACCGGGGTACTTGGGCTTAGCAGGAGGCAGTAGGGTGATGAGTCTACCGCCCTTATTCTTCAGGACGGCGTCGCAGATGCCGAAGGACTTGCCCTCGGAGAAGCAGTCGACGGCGACGCGGATATCTGGGTACTCCTTGACGATGGCATCAGCGACGTTGTCGTCGCGGTAGTTAAAAACGGCGTTAGCGCCATAGCTCTTGACGAGGTCAAAGGAGTGCGGCGAGGCGGTGGTAACGACGGTGTAGCCGGCAAGCCTAGCGAGCTGGATAGTAAAGAGGCCGGCGGACGTAGAGCCAGCGTAGATGAAGATGGCGGGGGCAGACTGCTGCTGCTCCTGGCCGACCTTGCACTCTTCGGCCCAGGGGAGGTGGAGGCGCACATTAAGGGTGAGCATGGCGGTCACGGCCGAGACACCAAAGGTGGCAGCGGCGGCATCGTCGATGTCGGCGGGGATCTTCCAGGCCAGGTCGCTGTCGGTCTTGAGGTACTCGGCAAAGGCGCCGCGGTCGGGGAAGAGGCCGCCGTGGACGGCGCCGGCGACACGGTCGCCTACTGCCCAGGTCTTAGCGGCGTTGCCACCGACCTGTGCGACCTCGCCGGCATAGTCGCAGCCGATAACGCAGCCGGGCGGGGAGACGGCGTCGATGTGCTTATAATCAGTTGGGTTGAGGGCGACAGCGCGCACCCTGACGAGGATCTCGTCGGGAGAGATGGTCGGCTCCGGGTGGTCCTGGATAGATGCGCCGGGGCCACCGATAGTCTTGCCAAGGGTGATGGAGGCTATCCTGGAGAGGAGGTGAGGCTTCGATACGACGGCCCTCATGTTAGCGACAGTGACGGTGAGGCAACTGGTGCTGATACAGTGATAAGGGGAAGGATCAGTTGAAGTGGTAATAAGTGGTAGGCACAGTCGTGCCGTGGATGTGGAGAAAGAAGGAACTGCAGGTGCACCGCGCGAAGCAATTGGTGGGTCAGATGAGCTTGACAAAGAAGGAAGTGGACATGCCGTTTTCTAATGCAATCATTCCATCATTCCACTATTGCTCCCACCAAGGCAAAGCAGCCAGGCCAGGCCGAGAGCGGCAAGTGTCAATGGCTCCGCAGATTGCCTTCCATGCTTAATCAGTAGTCGGAACATCGTCCAGTTGCATTGCCTCCCGTCAAGTTTTGTGCCGGCCCCTTTCGCATGAGCGGCCCAACCATCCCTCCGTCGGGCCTCCTGGGTATATTTGGGCGGGTACTTGGCACACCGGCCGATGCAGCGGGGCACTCATCGAGGCCATCCAAATGACTCGGCCACCTGACAGCGGTGGACCCTCCTTGCCTTCAAGTTCCGCCCTTGTAAAGTTCGACCGGCGCTAAACCGTATCAAATGACGATCCCCAGCTGCTCTCTTGCGAGCCTCGGCAAAAGCGACTTGGCTACTTTGGTGATTAGTATACGTGTATACTGGCTGCGCACGGCTCCAGCAGAGGAGAACGCACGCAGACGTTCCAGGCCACGTTCCAGGCCACGTTCCAGACCCCTGCCACGATGCTGATGTAAACTAAGACAGGATACGGGGTGCGGAGCCACAATCATGGCGGCACTAAGTTTGATGGTTTCGTCCGACTCTCAGCTACAGTGCTGTATAGAAACTAGTAGGCATTAGAAATCGTGCCGTCGCCCGGCAGCGTTTCCGTGATGCTGGCGGTGCTATCTACCTGACTTACTTTAAGCTCCGAACTCTTGTTCTAGAATTTCACCATCTCCTCACCGCACCTCACCATGTCTTCATCACTGGGTTGCGTGACGTACTCCCAAGTTTAATGACGTCAGTCTCAGCAGCGATTTGCGTCGTAAACCCCTCTTACATTGGAGTAACCGACTAACACGGCAAGCACGGGTATCTGTATGTAGCACCTCCCCAAGGTGGTGCCGGCCATGCTCGAGCCATGCCCGAGCCTCGAGTTCGCCTCCAGGGGCGTGCAGGTTCTTGCGACCGCTCGTTCTACCAAGTCGCTCGTCGGTTTCGAGGAGAAGGGCGTTGGGACCCTAACACTCGACGTCACCAACGCTGGATGTGCGCTAAGTGTACAGCCGGTGTTTAGCACCAGTGCAGGTCGCGTGGAATAAGCCGAAGTAAGCCGGGAGAACAAGTCTCGGTTCCTCCCTTGATGAACCCCATCGACCCCAATCCTCCTTTCCCTCGACTTTCCCTCGAAAGTACAACCATCTTGCCAAACGTGTGCCTCTTGCGAAGCAAACTCACTCGAGCGCCACACTCCATCCTCGACAACCAGCCATCCCCTTGAAATCACAAAGCATAGGCGAGTCACAAACATCGTAAATCCTCCCGGCGAGCGTGCAGGGATCTACAGTCATCTGCGGATACCTCACGAAGATGGCCCCGTACAACAGCACAGCATTCACGGAGCCTAGACATGCTACTACCATCCACGCGCATGCCGAATGGGTCTCCTACGTCTGTGATGGGCTGAAGGGTATGGTTGACAGTTAACGTTGGCGTGAACTTGGACAAGACCGCCACGAGCCCTACGATCGTGGTGAACATCTCCCGTCGCATGACGGCTCCGCTCAGGCCAGTGAAAACAGTTGTCGGCGGCGTGGTTAGGATCGAGGTCTGGGTTGATTGCGGTCTTGCGGAGAGGCGGCGGTATGGCTCCATTAAGGAGACTCCTGTTGTTAAAAGGGGAAATAGTTAGGAGGAGCTGCAATGAATGGGAAATGGGCAGAGAAGTGAGACTTGGGTGAAAAGTAGTAACCCCAGAAAATGGAGATTGCTACACCGAGCCCTGTGAACAAGATGCGCACGCCAAAGTTCTGGTCGTCCATGAACCTCTCAAATGATGTGTCCAGTAGTGTGCTTTCGTAGCATCCTACGAAGGCGATCAGTCCGAGAAGAAAGAAGATGGCGGAAATGGCGATGATGCGGTCGGATGTTGGCTTGCGGTTTGTCGACTTGGCTATCCTCTGGGGCGTCCTCAGACGTTTCATCCGCCTCGGTATCCTCCGGTGCGTTCATGGACGCCTGTTGGTCTCGGATTTCCTGTCCACTAAAGAAGTTCAAGTTAGCAACGTTCCAGGTCGTTTATCTATAGGCATCATGGACGAAAGCTCACAGGTATTAAGCTCTGCTGAAAGAGTCTGGGCGTCAGAGCTCCCTGATTTCCGCAGCGAGGAAGTTGCCTGAGTAGGGTTCTGTCCGCGGTTCTGGGCGGGCACTGCAATACGGCGACGAGACATTGCGGCTGGCGCCGCAGCCCGGGAGGTCCGAGGATTCTTGACAGAGTTCTCGAGGGCGTCGTCAGACTCGTCAGCCGCAGCACTAGCCTTTTGCAATTTAAATTAGGGGAGCTACTCGGACTGTAAAAAACATCACTATGCTGTAGGCACACCAAAAAGGTACAGTTGGCCATCACGCCAAGCCACTAGCCTAGTAAAAATCGGAGTTCTGCACCTAAAAAGGCCTAGCTCAATGGCTAGCACGCTTTTTCAGATGTTAGCCGCTTCATCCGCCTGCCCCGCCAGTTGGCTGCATGTAGGCTGCCTGCCGCCAAATATTTCCCTGTAATTGAAGCCATCGCCAAGTCCACTAAACTACCCAAAATACCGGTAATTGAGCCACAATGATATCCTCGCGAGAAATGGCCGTATATATCGATTTATCCGATTCCGACGATCCTTTTTGAACTTAGCGACCGTAAAGATGACCGCGCGCCGCGTCCCCCGCCGGATTATAAGATTCTTAACTGTGAGGACCCGTCCACCAAACTGGCCCTCAAGCGGCCAGAGCCGCCCAGAACCCACAGACCTATCAGAAGCCTCCTCGAGGCCCCACCTACCCCACTGATAGATGCAAACTTGTTCGCGCGCACACGACGCGTTATTGGACTTTTCCTTCTTTCCCTCCTTAGTTTAGAATCTTCGTCGATAGCACCCAATGGACTGAGTTCACCTCAATGCCTTGCCCTGGTCGTGACATTAACCATAAATACGACTCCCTCGAATAGTTAATATGGGACCTTCAAGCCTAGGTATAATTTAGGCTTTTCCGTTAAGAAAGCTTGTATTAGTAACTATAGTAAGGACTTCGGCGCTTTGCGAGTCGATATTTCCTACCTATGAGATAAAATCCGGCGTTTAGAGGCGTATTCGAGAGCTATAAGTACTATAAAGCGTGATGAAAAGTGCCTAAAAGGCGGTATTGTGGTAGAATTTTCGACTCTATATGTCACGGCCGGCTTGGAATGAGGGCGGAACTCCTCTATTGGGCGCTATAGACGAAGATTCTAAACTAAAGGGAAAAGGGAAAAGAAGCTCAAAAGCCTCCCCTCGCGAGATTCTTCCAGGGCGTCTCAAGGTGGGGCTCTGGCTGGTCGGGTGGATCCACCCAACTGGCGTCTGATTAGTCAGAGCGTCTGGGAGGCCTGGAGGACCAGGCCCTCACACTATACATAGAAGAATGGGAGTGCAAGTCGAGGAAGAAGATTTGTTAAAGTCGAGGACTTTGAGTGGGAATTGTAGGCCCCACAGTAATCATAGGCCTAAGCCAATGATACCGTTGGAGAGGGCGGCTAGAATTATATGAAGGAAGTGTTAGTTAAAGATATGGTGGATACGTTTGTAAGGCACGCCGATCGCACGGCGCGGTTTGGCGGCGTCGTTGGCACAGTCACGGGAGAGGACCAGCTGTGGTGGGTTGATTGGTGGGTTGTTGGATGTTGTTTTTATTGATTATTGATGTTGTCGTTGGTCGTTGCTTGGGTAAAAAAGGGCTCGTGCTACTATGCATATGTTACAGTGTTCTTTTTCGCCTTGCTTTCTAAGTGCTCCGCTGTCTGGACAAAGGCACTTCAGACTCACGAAGCAGACTCATGAAGTAGGTTGGATCAAGGCGAACAACGCCTCAACAGAGATGTAGCTATGGCTAATGTGAGATCTCAACTTATTAAACTGTACAGTTGTACTGATGCCATGAGTGACAGCTGATGTTGACTTCTTTCGCTAGCTAATCTCACAATTCTACCTTGTTTCTCTTGATTGCTGGTTTGAACTCTTTAGACGTGGCGACCCAACAAAGAAATCGCCCCACAACGAAATCTCTGCCCCTGTCATCTAATTTCCCGCCCTTCAACTTCAACACAACACAACTTCATCAATTCAGGCTCGAATAGCTTCAAAATACATCATGTCGAACCGTCGAGAGCAGCTAATTCAATCTGCAATACTTGCAGTTGAACAGGGCGCATCGCAGAAGCAGGCCGCGCATGACTTCGGGATCCCTCCTTCTACCCTCTGCAAACGCATCCACGGGGCAGAAAATCGAGCACAAAGTAAACAAGCCGAAAGAAACCTCTCCAATGCGCAGGAAAGCTTCCTAGCCGACTGGTGCCTCAATGAGGAGGCTGCAGGCAGGGCTCCTAGCCGTCGTCAGGTGCAGAGATTCGCTCAAGCTATACTCAATGAGGCCGGCACGAAAAAGACCATTGGGGAGCGATATGTGGACCGCTTCCTACGCCGCAACCCGGCGGTAAAGATGAAGAATTCAACCTTGTTGGAATCCTCTCGAGTCTGCGGATCTACTCGTGAAGCTTATGAAGCTTTCTTCAAGCGCCTGGCCTTCCAAATCAAGGATAAAAAGGTCATCCCGGCCAACATCGCTAACATGGATGAGCACGGCATGCAGGAGCTCGAGACCCGGGCCGGAAAGGTCATAGGAAGCTCCCTGACGAACCGAACCTACGTGAAAAGCTCTGATGCAACAACCTGGGTTTCAGTTATCGAATGCGGCACTGCTGAGGGCGTTCGTTTGAAGCCCGTGATCATATTTACCGGGGCCAGTCTTCAAGGACAACACTTTCCTGATAACTTCAACCTGACGAAGGAATTCCGGGAATGGAAGTACGATTACTCAATTACAGGCTGGAGCAACGCCAGTATTGCGCTGAAATGGCTCAAAGAGGTCTACCTGATCCAAACAAAGCCCCAAAGGCCGGGCGAATGGCGTATACTGATCCTTGACGAACATTCGAGCCATATGAACGAAAAATTCATGTTAGCGGCCTTCCAAAATAAGGTCCAGTTCGTCTATTTACCTTCTCATACATCGCACAAGTCTCAGCCTCTCGATCGCTCGGTCTTTTCACCTTTAAAGACCTATTTTAGGGAAAATACCAAGGCCCTCGCGAGCTTCACATCGTCAGCTCCTGTCAACAAGGTTCGGTTCCTTTACTGCTACAGAGATGCCTCGGGTAAAGGCATGAGTGCCCGTAACATCATGTCGGGCTTCAGTAAAACCGGGATTTGGCCCTTCAACCCGGCTTGTTTACTTGATGACCCTGAGGCGGTCAAGGACAATGAGGCACTCCCGGCCCGGCCTTCAACACCGCCGCCGACGGCCCCGAACGACGATGACAGGCTCTTCAAAACACCGCACGGCAGTCAGGACATCAAGAAGTACCAGGACAGTATTCGGAATGCCCTCAGTCCGGCTCAGCGGCGTGTGCGGGCCTTGTTTACTAAGGTCGGGAGGTCCCTGGATCTGAAGAATACAGAGATCGCGTCTTTGAAGGCACAAATTACGCATCTCACAACCGAATTAGAGGCTTCAAAGCCTCGCACGCGTAAGAGGGTATATGAAGATGGAAATGAGCGATTTGCACGTATAGAGGACATCGCCAAGGCACAAAAAGCTAGTCAAATACCCCCAAAGCGGAAAAAAACGGCTCGGGCAGAAAGCCAGCCACATGCAGTCGAAGAAGCCCGGGAAATAATCGCCCGTGGGCTCGAACAATATAGACAGGCCGAAGAAGAGGATTGAGTATTTTTTTGCTAGTTATTTTGTGTAGAAATGGATAATTTGCGCCCGTGGAGTGGGTGTGGGCATGGCGTGGGCCAATTTCGTTGTGGGGCGATTTCTTTGTTGGGTCGCCACGTCTACTTGTATCCTTCTCTCGATCCCAAATGAAACCTACACGCAGCGTGACCGCGGCTTGCTTGCACCACACGTTTGTGCAACCGATCCGTCCTTTGCTACTCGTTGTACTCTGACCCGTCCTCGTCTTCGTCATCTTCGTCGTCCTCATCTTCGTCGTCCTCATCTTCATCCTCATCGAATTCATCTTCGTCAAGCTCGTCCTCGAATTCATCTTCGTCAGGCTCGTCCTCGAATTCATCACTCTCATTACTCATTGGGCCCCCGGCAGCACGGAGCCGCAGCAGGTGGTAGCCGAAGTTGCTCGGGTTGCTGACGGCGTCGCCAGCGGCCGCCTGCTTGGCCGAGTCGCTGACGGTGCCGCCGAGGCGCTCGACGACGCGCCGGGGGCGGAAGACGACGGTGGCGATGTAGTAGTCGACCAAGCCGGGGGCGGACTCGTCGCGCTCCCAGCGGCGGCCGTTCCAGGTGCTCGCGCCGGACCAGCGGCTGATTTCCACGGCCTTGCCCGTGGCGTCGGGGTACAGCACTTCGCCATCGATGCGGGGGAACAGCCAGCGGTCGGCCATCTGCTTGGCGATGCCGTCGACCTGGTCCTTCTTGCGCTCGAGCGACTCGAGCTCGATGCGTAGCTCGCGCACGCTCGCGGGCAGGACCTTGGCGACGGCGCCGATCCAGCCACTCTCGAAGCGCAGCGGCTTGTCCTGCTCCCACCACCACCAGTCGGCGTGGCGGATAGTCAGGGTTAGGCGGCGCGGGTGCAGGTGCGGCGTGTGCAGCAGGCGGGCCAGGGCGTAGTCTTCGAGGGCCCACATCTGGGCGAAGACGCGCAGGCTCTCGATCTCGACCTTTTCGCCGCCGTGCTGGGCCGTGATGCGGGCGAGGGTGATGCCTAGGCGCGACAGCTGTACGTGCTGCACGTACTCGGGCGGAGCCCGCTCCTGGCTTGTCAGCCAGTGCGTCTGCTCGCGCATGGTAAAAGGAAGGAACCAGGCCTCGTGGTAGACGGCGCGGCAGGTTCGCAGCAGGCGGGTGTCGGTCTTGCGCGGGGCAAAGTAGGCCGGCCGCGTGAAGCACGTCTCGGCTTCGTAATGGGCGTCGGGCGACGGGTCGGCGTAGTCGGCCAGCGCGAACGCGAAGATGTCGCTGCGCACCTCGGGCGGGATCATACTGAACAACGGCGACTGCGCCTGCGCCTGGATGGGCGTCGACAGGATGCGGACGTGCAGCGGGCCTCCTGCCGCCGCCACCTCGTCTGTCGCCATCTCGTCTGCTATTTCAGGCATTCTTGGCTCCACAAGAGAAGTCAAACCCACCCTCGGAATTCGAAAGAATGCCGTCTGGGAGGAAAGCGTCAAAGTCAAAATCCTTGACCTCGTTTAACTCTACCGCGACCTCAGCTGCCTCTCCTTCCACCAAATAAGCGTCAAAGTCGAAATCCTCCAAAATATTGTCTCCGCCTAGCGGGGGGTAACGCGTAGCCGTCGCAGTTGATGTTGTAGTCGATCTGAAGCGGGTTCATTATACTGCGGAGGACATTCGTAGGATCGCTGATGATGGTTGGGCCAGAGGCGGGGTCGAAGTGAGTCTCCAGCCCACGCCGCACGCACGCCGAGCGAAACAAGCCGGGTCGCTTTCGTCTGATATATATAGGAGTTGGAGATTCGCACTATCCAGAAGCCGTGATTGGCCGTTGCGCCTTCTTGGTCTATCGGGTTTCAGGGAAGCGTGCAGGCAGCAATCGCAGGCAGCAATCGCAGGCAGCAGCGGCAAAGCTTGACCCCAACAACGGTTGTAACGGCTCTGCACGCCGGGTTGCTCCACTCTCCGTTCAACGGTGTTGGAGTCACCTGCCCACTTCTTGGGGCCGTGGAACAGACTTCGATGTAGCATTATAATTAGATCACAACCATGTCGAGAATTGTGGAGGAATTTTGAAATAATTGCAAGCTCTTCAAACATGCATATCACGCTCTGAATGCCTTGATGCTACAATGCCTTGATGCTACTTGATATTAGATGACATGACACGGTGGCAATGGACCTCGGCGGTTAAGAGATATCAAACGTTGACGTTAACTCAGTGTTGCTCGCTGGTTGCAAGACTGTAAGACAGGTCGTCTCTGGTTGCAAGTTTCAAGCCAAATCTGACCCAGTGACTCTTCCCTTGTTCCAACCGGACTTTATTCGAGTTTCAAAGAGCAAGGACATGTACAAAAGACATGTATGGTGAGTCTTGAAAATCTTGCCCGGAAGCGAATGGTGGTCATTTTATTCAATTTGCGACGACTGCCTATTACTCCGTGTACCGATCGATTCAAGGTAAATAAGATGAGATTGGTCGCACGCCTTTGGACTATGTATACAATCATTCGTTCATCCCCAACGATGTGCCAACAGCCTCTCAAACACGCAGTGTTACCTACCATGAGCACCTTAAGTCGTAACGTCGTGTTTCCGCAGCTCCCGCTCACAGCCACGCGAGGCAGAGCACCACCGCGCCCAGACCCGACGCCACGGCGCAATACGCCTCCAGCAGCCGTCGATCTGCCGCTCTGCCGATGCCGCTCTTCGTCGACGTCGTCGCAGCAGCCACCGAGGACGACGCGGACGACGAAACAGACAACCCCGTGATCGTCTGGCCACCACTGCACGCGCCTCCCACCGGCGCCGTCTCCGTGGGCGCAACCGACGCCGACACAGTCGAACTCACACCCGCAGCGCCCGTCCTAGAGCTTGTCCCTGTCCCCGTTCCCGTCCCCGTCCCCGTTCCCGTCCCCATCCCCGTCCCCGTCCCCGTCCCCGCAGCCCCCGGAACATAGCATCTAGCCGTATCGCCCGGCAAGCCCGACCAACACGCTAGGCATCAGAGACACCAACAGTCGCCCACGTAGCACATTTAGCGCGCCACGCGACGAGCAAGTCGGTCGACGCGAACGAGCCCCCGCCGCCGCTTCCGCCAATATCATAATCTTGCGTCAACACAAATACCCAGCATCTTGCAAGACGCTGGCTCCCGAGTCCAGACTTCAAGATGCGGCCTTCAGCTCGCTTATCAATGACGTGTATGGTTGGAATGTGGCTAGCATTTTTCCTAATACAACGTCTTTGCTGTGAAACTATTGAATGGGGGTTTGTTTTTCCGAAATCCTCATTGGCCTTTTCCGATATGGACGGACAACTGATTGGGTGGTGGGGCCAGGTTCGAGACCCGACAATCACCGCCCGTTGTCACTCGACTTCCGGGTGGCAATTTTGCACCTGTCTAAATTAATTATACTCGACGACGGGATGGCTGATCACACAGCATAGTCGATCCCAACGTCCACGCGCACACCAGGTGCGCGTCCCAGGTCAGCGTGGACCGGAACGGGATGTTGGATAGGAAGATGGGTGCTGCTTTGGATAGGATGGTTGCGCTTGCGATCGCGCTGCCCAGGATGTCGCGCTGCCGTACGGCACGCCATAGTCCCGTCACGGGTTCGGCTGCGCGCGGCGTGAGGATGGCGGCGGTGGCATACGAAGGCGCTTGTTGGCGGCGGGAAAGATGACGGTAGGGCTCCAGCATTGCCATGTCTTTATGACCGATTTTGGTTGTCAGCGATTCTTCCTTTCTATTCTTTTTACTTGTTGTGGGGGGTCATGGGTATGTGTGATATGCAGTGAGGTTGTGAGGTAATATCAGGTTTGTAATTAAAGAACAGATAGGTGGGCACGCCGAGGTCGCAAGAAAGGAGAAAAAACAGGCAGGCCCACAAGAGAAAAATTAGCCCCAGAAAAAGGCAATAGTCACGCCAAAGCTGGTGAAAATAAACCTGGCCCCGAAGCTCTCATTGTTCATAAACCGGTCCAAGGGCGCGTTTCGCGCGGTGGCCTCGTAGTACAGGATTATGCCTAGAAAGCTACACAGTAGGGCCACGAACAACACGAGAGTGACAGACTCCGTGGAGATGGCGCGTGGCCGTTTCTTGATCGTCTCTCGTTTTCGACAAGTGGTGTTCGTTTTGCTTGTTCTGGGTGTGCGTTCTTGTTCTGGGTATGCGTTCTTGTTCTACAGGCGTTGGGCTTTCGTCCTCGACGATGAAGATGCCGTACTAGCCGGTCCCCTTTTCTCCCGCCGTGTAAAAACCAAGGGCAAACCTCTTCCCTGACAGCGCTACTCCAAGCCTTTTTTTTGTAATTGCTCCCATTTGGTTTCACCTCGACGGGATTAGCGCAGACCGAAGCAACTTCTTGGCCGGACTCCCCTCGAGCAGCGACGCGGCGCCAATGACGCTCCAGGGGGCCGAGGCCAGCCCGGTACGCCAGCGAGCCAGACACACGCCAACAGGCACATGATGACCAGGAGCCCTTCGGTGATCTTAGCGGTCATCTCGACAACCGTGAGGCTTATCGGGCAGTATCCCGCAATGAAAATGGGGAAGGGGATGTGGTCGCGGCACTTCCCATACGGATACATTCCCACAGACTCGGTCGACAGAGTGGTGAGCAGGGCCGAGCACAGCACAAGAAATATTCCGAGAAGCGGCAGCGGCTCGTAGTGCTGCCAGAGCAATTTGAAACTCGTCACGATGCCGTCAATGCCGTCAATGCAGCCGGGTGCCAAGAGCAGCGACTGCTGCTGCTGCCCCTTCAGGCTTTGATGATCCCCGCCGCCGCCTGGTGAGGGCATGAAACGGCAAGAGGTTTTGGATGTGTGTGCTAAGGATCTGGATGTGTGTGTTGAGGATCTGGATGGGAATCGAGACCAGCTTGCTCAAGATGACGGGCAGAAACGAGCCAACAAAATAGTCCTTCGACATCGGTTCGATCAGAATTGTCCTTGGCAACACTGGCAACAAGTCTGGCTCCACTGAAGAAATGGAGTCGGCGTTTGCCACGTACCCCATTGTAGTTGCCGTCATGACACCGTTGGAGTCTGCCAGCGGAATTTTCACGGTGGTTACAGGCGCATCCGTGGTGATGGTGCTAGTCGGCATCCCTCCACTTCCCCTAACATACATTGAAGTCAATCGCCGCGTACCTGTTAGCTGCCCTAGAGAATCTGTGAGCGTAATGAGCTGTGATGCGGCCAGTCACCCTGGCAATGTTGCATTGTTGCTCATCGCCACGTAGCCAGTCGTTGTCGTGGTCACCCCACCCGAGCCTGTAAGTGTCAACACTGTGGTGGCCACTGGCGCGTCGGTGAGCATGATTTCCGTCGTAACTCCCATTTGATCGACAAGAAATGTCAGCACGATTTAGCGAACGACGGTAGTCCGGCCAAGCTTGAGGGTCGTAAGCTGAGACGGGTCCAGAAGCCTCGGGCTGTCAGTCGGTGAAATATTCATTTGGGTATTTTCGTAGGGGAGGATTGTCCTCCTGCGAATCTCGTCCAAAAAGCAGTCCGATGTCACACCTGGGTCTTGAACGCCCGTACAAGAGCCACCGTCCTGATCCCTCAGGTCAGCAGCAACCCCCCTGAAGCCAGTGGTTACACGGGCGCGAGAACTGCCTGGATAAAGGTCATAGAAGAACATAGCACACCATATTTCGCAATAATTAGGGTTGTTCGTAATCCACTTGGCCCAGTAATAGGCATCGCAACGGTCGCCGACATCTTGGCCCTCGGGGACAGGAGTGGGAGACAAGTCAGGCCCGTGTGTCCGTACGGACTTGAAAACAAAATTTGATAAGCTATATTCCTAGCCGTGGGGATAGTCGCGAGCGACTGGATGACGCTCGGGACTGGATGACGCTAGGGACTGGATGACGCTGGAGAAGGGGATGTATCGCGTAGTTGGATCTGATTGCTGTAGAGCTGACGACGAGACTCGGCGTCGCAGTGGGAGTAGTCGAGTTGGCATAAGGTGAGGATGGTTCTTGGACTGCAATGACCTGTTGGACTTGTGCTTCCAATTTCTCAGTCGACGTTGATTGTAAGGAATACGATTGGGCCCTATTCGCAGGCACTATTGAGAGAAATCCTCGGCCGGGTTCAACCGGAAGGGTACGTCTCGCATAGTCCAGGAGAACCGAGAGACCACAAATCGACAAGAATAAAAAGGTCAAGAATGGCCATCGAAGGGGAACCGGCTTATAATTTGGGAGCCCTGGGTGGGCGACAGTCCGATGCTGCGGCATCTCGAAGGCGTTGGGTAGGCGAGTAGGCGATTAGCACCTAAGTCGGTGTAGATAGGTAATCCTATTTTCACAATGATTTAAGGAGTTCCATAGGCTACCCCACGAGGGTTTAAGCGACCAAATATACTGGCATTCACGCATCAAATCTCTTTGGGGTGATCGTTAATTAGATGCGCCTGTCTGCCTTTATCAAGGTAGAGGCGCAGCGCTAATTCGAACGAGTCACCGGGTGTCTACTTCAGCAGTGTTGGTGTTTGATTATGGGTGTTACTGGAACACAGGCGACGCAGGGCTGCAGTCCTGCATTGTAAATATACATGAAAGAGTTGCGGCGCAGCCTGTATCAGGACACACATTTCCGACCGAGTTGTGATGCTGAAGTACCTAGGCAGCGGGAAATTGAGGGCGGAGAGCCCGTCTGAAATTAATCCAATTACAAGCATTGACGAAGTGGTAAAGGGGCCACTACAGGAATTCGCAGATGTGAACACGACAGCGAGAGAACCCCTCCACCCTAGCCCTCCAGTGCATGCTTGAGGTGAACTTAGCAAAGAGCGTGACGTGGCGACAGTGGCAGCCTGGCACGCTGGTGAGGTTATTGATTACGAGTCTTCCAGCAGAGCCGCGATCCGAATCCGGTTGGCATACAATCACACCTGTCCCAGGAATCTTGGGTATGTCAGGGACTAACGCAACCATTTCAAAAACCCCGCTCTTTCCCGGGAATCCAAGTTGCTGGCTTCTGGGAGATGAGCATCGTCACGCCGCGGTTGGCTGGCAAGACCTCAAATCTCTGCTGCCTACTCGCATCGCCCAACTAGCTACAGCCTAATAACCAGCAAAATATACCGCCTTTGGCGCCCTGGTCAGGCGAGGCAGCGTGACAGACAACCCTCGACCTCGCCACGCAGCGGGACGGACACCGCCCCTGAGCAGACAGAATCTGCCGGCAATAAGCAAGCCGCCCCGCAGGCCCAGCGTTGCGATATACGACGTGGCACACCAGCCGAGGCATGGAAGTTCTCGAACGACGCAGCAGACTAGAGCTGATTGGCCGTGCGAGCCCAGACGCCGCCGTATCTGCACTCCGAACCCCGGTCTTGGCTGGCAGGCGCTCGGCGCCAGAGGTCGGCAGTCAGTGACCTGCACGCTGTTGCGGTCTGCTTCCAGGTTACCGCCCAACACGGCCCGCAGCCGGCAGACATGTCTCTGCGGAGTCCCTCACTGCCGTGGCCAAGGCCAAGGAAGGCCCTGCAATACAAAGCAATACTTGGGTGCTGTCTGGCCCGGGCGGGGACATGTCGTCAAGGGTCTGAAAATAGATGGCCCACCTCCAAGCTGCCAACTTGTAGTCAACCGTTTACCTGGTCAGCGTGGGGCAAGCTGTCGTGAAAGATGTTTGGACTCTGCGAACCGCATTTCACCCACCGCATCCTTTGAAAATTAATTAACTGGTTGGTTGTTGATCCTGTTGGAGCACCAACACGACAGGTCCAACAGCGTAAATAAAGACAGTGGTTCAGACGCCAGCATATTCATCTCCGTCCTTCTTCTCGCCCGGTGGCGACCAACGTGCGTCTACCCACAGGTGAGAAGCAAGTAAACATGACACTTGCAGGGCAAACAAAGCTTCTCGAATAATTCCGTGGCGGCTTCCGCCACACCTTCCAGACTGGCCCCTCGCGCGGGTCGGCGCCGTCGAATGGGAGCGCCAATGGCTGTTGACGTGCCGGTTTTAGGCGGAATCGTGGGCACAAGACTTTTTAATACGGGGGAAATGAAAAAGGCTCAGCACCGGGCCTCCTGACCCCCGCATTTTATATGGACGACGGACGTCGACAGGCGTCGTGGCGGCTAACAGGCGCCAAGCCGCTTTCTGCCCGTGGGATAATAACAGGCAGTCATCAGGGAGGGCCTTGGCGTTGGGAGCAACAGACTTTTATATCTTTGGGCCCGCCATGGTCTAGACCTTTTGGGGGGGACAGGTCTCGCATCGCTCGCTTCGCTTCTTCGAACCCGGCCAAGACGAACAGCAACCCAGCAAAGATGAAGTGGCTTTCTATCGCGCTCGCGCTCGCGGGCCCGTCGCAGGCGGCGCTGCGGTTCGGGTGCTCGACGCTGACGATCCAGCGGCTCGACCCGCTGGTCGAGCCGGGCAGCGTGCCGTCGGCGCATCTGCACCAGATCGTGGGCGGCAACGCCTTCAACGCCAGCATGACGGGCGACATTGGCGAGCAGGGGACCTGCACGACGTGCACGTTCAGCGAGGACTTTTCCAACTACTGGACGGCCGTCATGTTCTTCAAGCACTCCAACGGGTCGTACAAGCGCGTGCCCATCATGCAGAACACGGCCCTGCCCAACGGCATCAACGGCGGCATGACCGTCTACTACACGCAGCTCGACTTTAACGGGAATGGCAAGGACAAGATCACGTCGTTCAAGCCCGTAGGTGCCCTTCTACTCCTCTCCAGACAGCACTGACAAAAGAGACAGGGCTTCCGCATGACCGTCGGCAGCCCGACGGCAAACTCCAACACGTGGAAGGGCCTCAAGTTCGTCTGCCTGGCGGACAAGGGCACGCGCTTCCCGGAGCTGGACGACTTCCCGACCAAGTCGTGCAAGGGCGGCATAATGACGGTGCACCACTTGTAAGCGCCCCCCCCCCCTTCTCTAACCTCTCTCAAGCTACCAAATCTCACAACCCACAAACAGCCCCAGCTGCTGGGACGGCAAGAACCTCGACTCACCGGACCACCAGTCGCACATGTACAACACTGTCAAGGACGCGTTCACGCCGTCAGGGCCGTGCCCGGCGTCGCACCCGGTCAAGATGCCACAAGTCGCCTACGAGACGCTGTGGGACACGACGCAGTTCAACGGCATGTGGCCGGCGGACGGGTCGAACCCGTTCGTGCTGAGCTTCGGCGACGGCAAGGGCTACGGCACGCACGCCGATTATTTGTTTGGCTGGAAGGGCGACTCGCTGCAGCGCGCCATGGACTCGAGCTGCATGTTCCAGGGCTGCGAGAACGGCAAGCCGCTCAAGTCGCAGGCCGTCGCGCCCATGAACAAGTGCGCCGTCAAGAGCCTGGTCAAGGAGGACATTGATGGCTGTGAGTTTCTCTCTCTCCGGCGCCGTGAGGACAAATGCTGACATTCGCAAACAGGGCTGCCGCACCTCCCCGGCATGAAGATGTAAAGGCCGCTTGGCTTGGGCATTGGTTTGGGCACTGGTTTCAAGTATTTTGTTAGCGGCAGAGACGGTGGCGTGATAAGATGGGTGCTTGAGTGCATTGTTTTAGTTATAATACTTTGAGACATTCAGTAGCAAGACTTACCAGATCTGTGAAGTTCAGTGCAAAGTGGCAGGCCTGTAAGACCAGAGATCCTTAGGCGGTTGACATTTCTTTTTTTGGATGCCAGAGCATGCGTCTGAGATAGTTTCGGCGGGTCTTTGGCGGACGGTTTGAAACAGAGAAAGAAAAAAACAAAGATTGGTAGACGGGATCAGACAATCTATGTACATCACAAATTCACCGCGCCTTAGCAAGCTCGAGCGGGCCGCCTGGCTTCGTCGCCGTAATGGCCACATACCGCCAGCGGCCGCGGCCACGATACGACTCGACCCCGGCGATGGTGTTAATAAAATACCGCTCCAGCCCGAGCAGGCGGACAAAGACGTAGGGCACAATGGCCAAGACGAAAAAGAGGCGCGTCATAGGCTTGATATTCTCGGAAAAATCGCGGACGACGACGTCCTCGAACCCGGCCTCCTCGAGCATCTGCTTGAACACGCCCGGGTGCGAGCGGTGGTTGGTCGGCATGGCGGCGTACTGGTTGATCTTGCGCATCGAGGCCGCCATGTCCTCGGGCGCGTCGCCAACGAGCTCGTGGTCATATTCAAAGTGCGCGACCCGGCCGCCCGGCCGCAGGAGACGGTAGAAGCCGGCGAGGACCGCTTCGGGATCCGTCGCGTGTACAAAGGTCTCCATGGTGTAGGCCCCGTCGAGAGACTCGTCGGCGAGGCTCTCGAGGTGGTGATAATCCATCTTGTGCACCGCGATGGTGTTGTTTGGCAGGCCCGAACGGCTAATGTTGCGGCGCGCCTTGGTGATATGGTGGTCGACAATGTCGATGGCCGAGATACGGAGCCCGTGGGCCTGGGCCATGCGAAGCGCAACGTGGCCGACTCCGCAGCCAGCGTCAAGCACGTGAGCGCCGCGGGGTAGGGCGAGAGCTTCAGCTAGCTTGTCTTCCATCGCCCTCAGCGACGTTGAGAGTGGGAATGGCCAGTATGTGCCGCGGTTCCAGTACCCGAAATGGCGGGTGCCGCCGAGAAGCAGGCGGTACCCGATGCGGGATTCAAACGAGTGGTAGTACGTTTGGAGCTGGGGGTTTGAATTCACCAGTGAGGGTGTGTCGGACGGCTCGGGCAACAAGGCTGCCATGGTGGATTTTGGTTGGTTTGGTTCGTAGTTGTCGCGCAGAGCAACTCAGGAAACAGGACGCAGAGAGTGTGGAGGTGGAGAAGCGGTTGGTCGGTTTTCGCATTTGGTGGCGGGGGCAAACCCCTCCTCGGACTCGTGGGCGGAAATCCATGCTGCACGGTACTCCTCAGAGTCCTCACACCGTACTAGGGGCACGAAACCGGGGCCTAGATTGAAATTAGAATCGATGCGTCGCCAAGACCGAAGGCTCCCTGGTCTCAAGTCCATCTACAGACACAAGCAACGGGATCCAGCCGGAGATGGAGAGAGCAGCTCCCGAGACGCGTAGTAGTGCAGCTAGACTGACTTGTCAGGAGATGCGACGCACAGCTAGATCGCATCCGGAATATTTCCGCCGACGGGAACCCGGAAAATGGCCCTGCCGCTCTGCGTCATTGTGCCGGCCACGGTTGTGTGTGCGCTTTAAGTACACCGTTTGCCGCGTCTATTTCTACGTTGAGGATTTCACGTCTCTCCAAACCTAGCCCGTTAGCATCTTTGTGACGGTGAGCCAATCTGTATCTTTCTGGGGAAATGCGTAGATATTACCGGCAATTGTGTTTCTCTGTTTGGCGTTGCAGGGAAGGCTTTTCAATTTTCGGGTTTATTCATGTCCGATACTACCAGCCGGGATGTTTATCTCAATGATTTATGATTCAATGGGCTTCTACCGAGGTGCCTAACTCGAAGTTGATCACGTCCACTTTTGCGCATCACGCTTTGCAACATGAACATCAACCAGATGGAGTGAAAGTAGTTCACAGGGCATCATTTGTCCCTATGAAGTAGAGCAAATTAACGGTCGTTCGCCCACCGTCCTCTGCGAAGCGCCGAAGAATCTTCACCTCCATAGACTCCGGTAAACTGCATCGCCCAGTGGTTGGCTCTCTCCGTTCAGTCGGCTCACAGGTTATCCCCCTGATTCTTCCTTAATCCATAGATCTAGTGAGACCTACCTCCGGGGTTCCAGCTTGAGCAAGTTACATATCGAATACCAATCCTGAATCGCTAGTCCGAGCGCCTTTCGCCGGTTTTCTATCCGTTCTATGTGGTTGGGTTTCAAGATATCCTTCAAAAGTTGGACCCCAATGTCAATTTTGACCTCCTCAAACTCGGCCGCCGGCGAACAATCTGCGTGGCCTTCGAGGCAATCCAATTCAATCTTATGGAAAATATTGTTAAGAACACCTAGCAGCATTTCAGGTCTTCCCGATATGTCGCTCGCGTTTTCAGAGAGACTTCCGTTGGAAGATTCCATCAGTCCCCGGTAGATACCGCTAAGGATAAGCATATCGCATCTCTTTCTTTCTGACACGGAGTCAGAATCGAGCTGCCGCTTCTTCTTCACAGACACAGAGCATGCAGAATTATTCCCTGCCCGCAGACTGATTTGTTTGTGGAAGAAATCGAGTGCTCGTTGAATCATGTTGAGTCGGGCCTGTTGAATGACCTCTATGCGTTAACTAGGTCAGTAAAATGCCGTGCGATGGAGTAACCAGAGACCTTACCGATCAGATCCGGGGGTCCAAAGTGGTCCCTGTTTATAAGTGCAAAGTTGGTTTTGGAGGACTCATAGACGAGCCCGCCGCTACGGCCATCCACACATGGCCGAAAGACAGCGGCAATTAGATCTTTGGGGTAGCGCCAGTGGTTCCCAAGTTCCCAAGCCACATGTATCCTTGCGGCGCGATCTGAAGCAGGGATCTTGGTTACACTCTCTAGTGTCTTCGTCCATTCCTTGACGCAGGGTCTAATGACGTGAACTACGTCGTACTTGTCCACGAGGATAAGAATTTGGTAGATCTGGGTGAGGGAAGGCGTGAAGGTGTTAGGCAGACACTGGAAGCGTGCGTGGATGATATCCAATATGACTTCCAGCGCCGTCGATGGATCATCTGGGAGAGAGACGACCCACTGTCCTTCTTTGGGCTTTGCTTCGGCCCACAGGCCAAACAGCATCTTCTTCCAGACCGGGGAGGCACGTCGCAGCGCCGAGGAACAGACGCGAAAGAGGCGGTGTTCGGATTCCTCAAGCTCTGATCCAACTCGCAGAAGAAGGTCGCCGTCTTCGTCTATGTTGACGTTCATATTCACAATTTCTTCCAAAAGCGATTTCTTGATGCGCGCGCTAGATTCCATGATGGGCTCGTCGGCCATGGCTAGGGCAGCCCAAACACGAGTAGTTAATTTGCAGCAGGTATGCGCGGGCGTGAGAAGGAGCAGGTGCTTGGTTATATGATGGAACGAGCCGTCCGAATGCCTCCCTTTTCCAGCGCGTGCGATGGATTGGAACGTACCGGTTGTGCCAGTTGGGCCGCCTCAAGTATATTTGGTTGTGGTTGATTTGGTTGATTTGATGGATTTGGTTGATCTGGTGGATTTGGGTGAGGACTAGAAAGTGTGTGCAAGGGCAAGACCCTTTCGTCAATTGCAGCATTCTTGTTCTGTTTGTCCTCGTGCCGGCCGATTGAGTTTGACACCACGGCACGGGCGCGAGTCTTCTTAGTCTACGTGTCATCGGGTAGCAAATCCATGGTTGTGCCGAACCTTGACGGCTCCGGGCCCTTCAAAGTCCAGGTGTGTGGAGCGGAGCGACCGGCATGTGATGCGCCAGTTGTAGCCGGATCCGAGAACCTTTCGTGTTGGACTTGTGCTTCGTGCTTCCGCCGGGTATTGGCTTTTTTTTTTGACCAACGTTTATATATCACATGATGGAACAAGTTGAAAACTCGGCTCCTGTGGTGTGTTGCAATTAAAGTTTGTTAACGAGCAAAAGAACCGGCCTCTACCTAGTGGCGGCAGCAATGAGGAAGGAACGAGGCAGGGTCGATTGATTTTACCACACTCCATGGGTAGTTGCCTGAGGAAACTCGGAGAGCGGTGGGATGAAATTAAGGTATATATGGCTCAATGGGATGAATGGCTTTTTAAGGCTTCCATGTCAGATTGTCGTGAGCTGTGCTCCCAGGTGCAATCCTTGCCGTTCGTTGCACCACCAAGACATCAACCCGGGCCCTCGTTGCTAAAAGACGAGACTGCATGTAACTAGAACACCACTAGAGGAGCTGATACTAAAGTGTCTGCTTTCGCTAAAACCAGCCTCGCTAGACGGTGCATTTTCAACATCCAATTGATCTCAAATAAAATCCAACACCAAAACGCCTACCAATACTGCCTCCCCCTCCTCACCATCCGTTCCGTCTCGAACGCCTTGCCCTGCCTGGCCCCCGTCGCGCCCGTGAGCGCAATATACCCTACATCGTCGCGGGGCGCGACATCCGCAATCTGCACGCGCAGGCCTCTTAGCCTGCGCGCGCGCTCAGCGCCGCCCATGGCCGTCCCGCCCGGCGGCACGCAGTCGGGCGGCAGGTGGGGGTTCTCGCGCGTGAGGCTGCTAGCGTAGTCCAAGATGTCAGGCGCAGCAGTAACAGCGCGCAGCACGAGCCCGAGCACGGCCAGCACCATCAATATCCCTGTCGACGCGAGCAGCACGCCGGCCCACGCGCGGTTGAGGCGGTAGACGTCGGTCGCGGTGGCCACGGTGGCTGTGGCAGTGCGCATGTCGGCGCCCGAGTCTTGTGAGGGGCCGGGCAGCTGCGGGTCGGCGGTCACGCTGGCGTTGGTCGCCTGCAGCGGGTCGAGCGACGCGAGGAAGAAGGTGTTGAAGGCGGTCGTGAGGCGGCGCGAGACGTCTGCCAGCGGCACGCCCGCCCACGCGCTCGGATACCACGTCGCGTACGGGAACTCGGTCGATCCGCGCACGAAGTTGTCGGTTGGTGACGCCGAGTAGCGGTCCGTGAACCCGGCCGCCAGCGGGAACGCGCTGAGCAGGTTCGTGATGCCTGGGTTGGCCTGCGTCCACGCCATGAGTGTCGGCGGCGACCAGGTTGCGTTTTGTGAGAGGCGTAGCCGTGTCACGCCGCAGCCGTCTGCTGCCGAGCAGCCGATGTTGAGCTCCACCGCCACGTTGTGCACCGTGCAGTTGAAGAGCGAGTATACGTCGTTGGCGTTGGTCGACTTGGAGCCGTAGACGACGTGCAGCGCGCTGTCGAGGCGGCCCGCCCGGTTCCACCGCCACACGTCGGCCGCCATGAAGAAGCTGGAGCGCTCCGTCGCGTTGGGCTGCTTCGGGACGAACATGTTGGCCCGCAGCGTCGGCTCGTAGTCGCTTACGTTGAGAAAGGTCAGGATGCTGGCGTTGATAGGCATGTCGTGCCCGACCAGAGCGCAGTCAAAGTCTGCGTACGACGCCTCGGCCGTGAAGTTGTAGTAGTTGTTTTGCGCTGCCAGGTCCCGCATCCCCTGGACCTTGATGCCGAGCAGCGAGGCGTAGCTGTCAGCTTGCATGGCGGCGGCGTCGACGTGCTGCCACGTGTACTCGGTGGTACTGTTGCGCGGGAACCGGTACGCCGGCAGCAGGTGCGGGATCTTGGGCCGCGACCACATGTCGGATCGCGACTGCTTCTGCAGCCCCGACGCCAGGAGACTCGCAGAGTAGAGCGTGTTGACTGCTGCCTGGTTCACCGCCTTGTCGGACGCGGAAATCAGCGCCGTCAGGCCGTCGGTCGACGAGTGGTAGATTGTTGCCGTGTCCGTCGTCACGTTGCTCGCCGTCTCGATCAGCCGTGACGAGCTTTGCCCGCCGACCGGGGACAGCGCCCATGTTGAAAAGATGAGAAGGCCCAGGATGATATGCGTCCGTACCTCGAGGAGCCGCACAACCGTCCCTGCAAAGCTCTGACTCCCCAAAAGCTGTTCGAGGGCGCCGATGCTGATGCCGCGGGGCCGCGCCGCGGTCCACAGCGCAACGCTTCGGTAGAAACGGCTGGCTACCGCGGTGAAGATGATGGGGTAGATCGAGGGGCCGAGCCGTGTTGCGTCGACCACGTTCTGACCGTAGTTCGAGAGCGGCTGGCCATCGAGCTTGGCCGCGAGGATTGCTAGTACTGTTGTGCGTGAGTAGGGCAAGACGTCGCCTTGGGCATGTCGGGACTCACTGATGAAGCTGATGGGGAGGATGGTGAGGGCCAGTTCGCCGGCGAAGCGGAGATACCAGCCTAGTCGCCTCTTTTCAATCTGGCTGGGGCCAGTGGGCCATTCGTCTTTTGTGCCCAGGATTTCTCCAACGAGTATTCTTCCCCTCAACAGCAGTCCCATGATCACAAAAGGCTCCAAGCTGGCTGCAAGATTCAAAGGGCGACGTCATGATGGACAAAATTTAGAGTAAACTCAAGCAGTGCGAGTCCGGTTCCGAGTATTAATAGGAAATTGTACGTAAATGGGGAAAAAAGAGCTATCCGTAGAGCTGAGCTCTCAACTCCGAGCCGACGAATGAAATTCGGGGGCCGAATCCTAGGCTCAGGGGCAGTGCAGCTCTCCGGTAGGCAGCCGAGTTCTCAGCGAATAGCAACGCCAATGCCCCCTGAAGCCAGCAAACCGACCTTTCCCCTGCACAGCACCCGTGGCGGTTTCACTGCCACGTTGTTTATTATTAGCTGACGGGAAGGGTGCTTACCAGATGCTCGGGACAGATGCAAGATGCAGCTTTTTCAGCTATCAGCCATCCAATCGCACCTCTTCAAAGGACCGTCGCTGCTAGTTTTCGAAGAATGAAATACGCTTTGAATGTCTTGGATAATTCTCACCCTGCAAATGTTCTTCACACCCCGAGAAGCCTTTCCACTTCTCATGTCTTTGTCCATGCTGTATTGCCCAATATCGCATGCGGTTCTCCCCTTCTTTCGCCTAGGTTGACTGAGTTGATGATGGGCGCGAGGGGCAGATAATTCGGTAGCAAAATCCCTATATCAATCCTTCCAGTCAACGGTATTTCCGTCTTGTTTTCTTTTCGCTTTTCTGTTGCCTACCAACGAGGCCACTGTATCAGGCGATTTCCAACGCCATTCGAAGAGAATGAAGATAGAAAACTCGTGACAGTAGGAATTGGGGAGGCTGTCGAGACCCTTGCTCAATCACAACAGCAGTAAGCACTGGCCCTAAAAACGGGTTCTTGGCTCTATCATGGTTTGGTTAGTGACGCCATGCTGCAGAGGCAGTGGCACAGTCATCCATCCCCGCACCGCCCAGAGGGGAGGGGATGCATGGCTGGCCGTCATCCGTGGATTCGATTTGTTCAAGGCAATCTCACTATCGCGCCCTCGCAATTGGCCACGCCATCTGCTGTTAACCGACCCATAGCAACAGGCACCCATATGCGACCCATAGCAACAGGCACTCGCATATAACCAAGGCACGTCTTGCATCAGTAACTGCCCTACAATCGACATGGCGGCGACGACCAGCCACCCCGGTTCAAAACCGGAACTCATTATTAACCCCAGCCCGTACCTGCAGGCGTAATACGCCCTCTAGAGTCTCGCATCGGCTACCGCTTCGTCCTCGGCGGCACGAAGCACTTTAGTTTCTATGAGAAGGAAATCTCCTGGCCAGTACCCATCGGGAGGGCCCTGCGCGCCATGGAGGACAAGCTGTTCGACGCCCTAGGCCTGCCCGCCGGGTCGCAGGTGATGGATGCCGGGTGCGGCGTCGGCCAAGTGGCTCTACACATGGCGCGGCGCGGGCTGCGCGTTACGGGTATTGACGTGGTCGACCACCACATCGCCAAGACCCGGCAGAACGTGGCCCGCTCGGCGCTCCCGCCCGGCCAGGTCACGGTCCAGAAGATGGACTAGCACCACCTCGAGTCCGTCGCCGACGGCTCGCTCGACGGCGCCTACACCATGGAGACGTTCGTGCACGCCACAGACCCCGAGGCGGTGCTCGCTGGCTTCCACCGCATCCTGCGGCCCGGCGGCCGGCTAGTCCTCTTCTAGTACGACCCTGCGATTCGGGGGACCGCCCGGACGGCGACGACGCGCAGGCTGTGGCCGAGGCCCTGGGCTACCGCGACGTGGTCAACAAGTACGCGGCCATGCCGGCCAACCAGCGGTCGCAACCGGGCGTGTTCAAGCGCATGCTCGAGGGCGTCGGCTTCGACGACGTCGTGGTCCGCGACTACTCGCCGCACATCCGCCCCATGCTGCGCCTGTTCTGGCTGCTGGCCGCCGTGCCCAACTTCTTCATCCCCCTGCTCCGCCTCGAGCGCTTATTCATCAACACGTTCGCCGGCGCCCAGGCCTACCGCTACCACACCCTCTGGCGCTACGTCGCCATCTCGGCCACCAAGCCTCGGGAGATATTCGCGGCCGAGAGCGCCAAGACGAAGTGAGCTTCATTTCCAGAAGGATGTTTCGGTTTTACACATCTGTTGCATGAAGTCTTTGGGCGGGCCTTTTGGCTCTTGCCGAGGAAGCCCACATGGATGGTGCGGCAGGGCGCAAGGAGCTAAAGTAGATGTCTCAGGCAAGCTTGTCGTATCTTTCATAGAGGTGGCTGGTGGATAGAAGGTTTACAAGAAATAGCACAGCCGAGTTTTGCACTTGGTTTCCACCATGACACCGCCAAACCATTCCCACCTCTAGTTATGGCCTCCATCTCGTGTGAGAGAAGCTCCCCTCAACCTACCAAGACAGAGCCACCTAATAGCAGCATTGCACATCGTCCCCGCCTCCGCAGCGATTTCTTCACCGTCTCACATGTTAGTTGACCTAGCAACCAAGAGGGAAAGATCCCCGGAGCCGAAGCTCAAGAGATCGGATCGACACTTACGCGATCCGCTTCCCGTTCGTCGCGTCGCAGTGCGTCGTCGTCGTACACACGCCCGTCTGGCCCGAGGGGCCCTTGCAGAGCTGGAACACGCAGCAGCGGTTGTTTGATCCGCCTGTGGCCGCCGGAGTCCGTCAGCACGCCGTCCACTTGGGGCTGTTTACAACGAGAAGCCTAGACAGCCAAACGCACCCGAGCAGAGCCCCGAAACCCAGTAGCCAAAGTTGTCATTGACGCATGTGGTCGGGTTCCGGCAGGTCCCGTCAAAGTCCTGGTGCAGACAGAATATCAGCCGAAGCGTCGTTATTTGAATTGAAAGACCCCCGCGCATCCCCCGTAGTCGTATAGAGTGAGCGTGACATGTTTGCAGGTATACGTCTTGTTTCTCCGTGAAAATGGGGCCGACTTACACCGTACTTGCTGCTATGATAGGTGCAGCCCTCGCTCGCAACGAGTGCGGCATACAGGGAGAGCATGACGGTGTTGAGAAGCTTCATTGCGAACAAAAACGACTGTTGCCGGTGTCTGGGTCTGGTTTTGGCCTCTGGTCTAGTCACAAGAATCGCTCGAGACCGAGACTCCCCCTCTTAAATACCCCTTTGCTTATCCCCCAGCCACATTCACTTGCCTGCCTGCCTGTTTGAACACCAACAAGCCCTCATTCTCCTCGCAGGAACATCCCTCGGGAGAACTATACGGCGGTCTTACTCTTTTATTCAAACGCCTTTGCGTGCCTACTGCGACGCTGCCATCGCCGGCTGCATGGGTATGTTGGAACATCCAGAGTCTCATTGGCTGGTCGCCCTAGGCTCAGCCTCCAGACCACACCCAAACACCAGACTATTTTGAGGTTGCGTCCCAAAGTCACATCGGTGCGGGGCGGGTGTAACTGCACCTTCCGTTCTAGACTCTTGTTCCTGGCTTCTTATCTGGGCTTTGCGTAGCGTGCAGGGCAGCCGTCGTTCAAATGAGTGTAACGCTGCTCTCGAGACTGTATCGTTCGGTGGTGGCAAGTTCTAGGCTGAAGTGACACCCGCCCCTGTCCAGCATTGTTTACCAAAGGTAAGTAGTAGGTCATACGATCCGAGAGTCATGTCTGGAGCAATGTCTCTAAGTCTTCCTTACGGCTCGCCCTGGATGTTTCTCGCCGAGGGAGGTAATAGCTAGTAGAGTCCTCATTACTGAATCCTAGAGGCCTATCTCTCTCCTATAAATACCTATTACAGGCCTTTCGTAGCCGGCAAAAAGCGGAGAAAACAAAATCCGCCCATCTTGCCTCAAACCAATGTCACTGGCTCCATCACCGGATTCCAGTTGACCGGACCATCATCGCCCGTCCCATCTTCACTCTTACGCCACAGCTCCCCTTGCACCACAGCTCCCCTTGCATGATGCCGTGAACGTACGCGTCGCCAAGGAGACTGAACTCGCCAGGCACGTCTGTCTGTCTCAAGACATGTGGGACACGCGCGCCACCCAGGGCGAAGACCTCATCTCTAGGACGCAAATTACCAGGCTCCAAGCCGAGGAGGCCGCTCTCCGTGACAAACAAGCATCTGCGTTTGCAGATAGTCAGCATGGGCCGGCAGCTCTCCATCACTAAGCACACACGCATAGTCTCGGGGTCTAGTGGAAGATCATAGCTTGGCTGCCAAGACCACACGAGCGCGGCAGCAGCCTGGTTGGCTGCGTCACCGTCAATAGCACCAACGAGAGGCGGGGACGAAGCTCGGGTCTCCTTAAAGAGGAGCGTGTAGACGGCGACTAGGCCGTCGTGATTCCCAACCCAGTCCCGCCTGTTTACAAGGCCAGTTAGCTCATCCTGTTTTCTTAAGTCGAAATAAGCTTCGTTTACCGCTGGTCCGTGTTGGTTGGATCCGCGCGACTGCAAACATTTATCGACTAGGTTTCTACGGTTGTGCCATATGAGATATCGGACTTGGTTCCTCGTTTCATTTTGGCGCTTAGCGGAGTCACATCGCTGCACAGTGTTCGAAATGTGGCTATTTTAGCCGCTTCCCTAGTGAATCGATAGTGGCGATCGATGCGTATTTGAGAAACGAGGTCGCCAATTTCTCGAATCTGGGGATTCCAACTTCCCCTCTTTCCAGTACGTCTTATCGTTCTCAAGCGATGCTCCAGCGGCAAAGCGCGTTTGAGTAGGCCGATTTGTGCGCCATGCAGTCCGAGTTTTCGGGGTTCGACAGTACAATCGACAGAAGTCTGTTCATTCCTTCCACGGTTGAGGCGGTACAGAGCAGTTATATAATCCATACCGGCTATGGCTGAAGATTTTGGATTTTCTCTCCAGTCCGAAACCCATGAGGGCGGATCGAGGCTGGGCAACTCACGTTGCACGTCGGCCAAGATGTCGAGTGTTTTGCTGTCTTCAATAATGGCCCTAGTGTACGTAATACATGTATCTTCTGTTGAAGTGATGTAGCATGGGCAGATTTCGGGGCCAGTGCTTCCTTTGACAATGCCGAGTAAGGCCAAGATTTTATCTCGAGGATTCGAAGCGACTCTTTGTCTTGTTCTTCCTAGTAGCCAGGTCAGGTTCCGTATTGTTTGGTCGTGGTCGACCCGTTGTCCATAACGGATCATATCCCATGCCCATAACAAGTGACTAGTTTGTGCAGAATAGCGACAGTAGACAACCGAGTTGGCTTTTTTTGCTGCGTCGTAAGCGGCAGAAACTGCGGAAAAGTCAATCTTTGTAGTTCCGCATATCAGCTAGCCATGACTGGCCAGAGTTATTTCTTGAAAAGTCCAGGCTCTACTGAGCCATGACCGGTAAAAAAAGAATGTCCTTAAAGAGCAGCAGCGCTTGAGCATATTCTCGGAATCTCGTTCATGCTCTGCCATGTTATCTGGGGCGTTGCTCCACTCTGCCCACTTCTTGAGGGTTGACATGGCAAGTCGCGAGTCTTCGTCTTCCTCCCTAAGCCAGACCAAGACTCGAACGGCATCGGAATAGATGTGTTTTATGAGTTGAACTTGGTGGCCTCTCTCGTCCAGGTCTGCCTGGTTGAAGCATATCGCGTCGATTCACAGGACTCGAGAACTCTGTCCATCCCGGAGATACTGCAAGGCCGTATGCAGCACTTTGGTGACCATGATGGCTGCTCCTGCACAAGACACTGAGACTCAGCGAGATCCAGTGCCCCAAGCATAGGACAGCCCTCAAACCCCAGCAAGGTGGCTGCAGACAAGTTATAGGCCTCAAGCGAGACATGAATAGGGCCCTAAAGTTCGCCTGTTTGGAGGGTAAGGAGACGAGTAGAAGTGGTGGCTTGGAGGGGAACATATTGGTACATGAGACCCGCCGCAGGCTGACAGGCCTCAACGGGTCCCATATCCTGTACAGCGCAGCTCAACATCTGGTCGCTTCGGAAACCTTGGTATCGGCACTTTCTACCGATTACCTAGAAAATAAAAGGACAATTATATAGGTTGAATGATTGCAATGGCAGGCAGATACTGGGCAAGTGTAGATGGCGGCAACGGTGAGATCGAGAGAACGATGACCGAGGGAACGATGACCGAGAGAGTGAAAACATAATTGAAGATTGGGCGCCTTCACAGTCTGCCTTAGGTACTACAGTCGATACCGTACGGCGGCCATGCGGCTGCCTTGCTCAGCCGCCAACTCTCGCCTTTGCACAGGGGCTCCATTCCTTAAACTTGGGGAGGAAAAGAAGTTGAAGATCGTGGGTTTGCCTCTGCTGTGGGTAACAAGGCCGCAAGAACTCGGACAGTTCGGCAAAGGTTTTAAACAACCCGAACAGGACTCAAAGCAAAAATGCATGATCTGAGCCAGATTAATAACGCATGGCGAAATAGCAGCGCATGCAATTGCACAGATTGTTTGGCAGAGGTTGAGCCTACCTAGCCTGGCATCTGTCCCAATCAAGACCCATCCATCCCCCACCCCTAACGTACCCAGGAATATACTACATTTGTTATACCATACGCGCCTGATATCATGTTGATACAATGAACGGCGTAGAATCACTTCTCTGACCTTACTTGGCGAAGAAAGGCGGCACAAGGGCCAAATATCCGGACCAGCACTCCTTCCGCCGCGACCACCTACTCTCCGTAGTCGCCGACTGGCATGCTGAGATCAATCCCGAGCTCGTCACGGAAGAGCTGGTTTATGGTCGAGTTGTCGCGCAGGTACAGCCACTCGCCACAAGCCGTGTCCTGCTTCTCGTGCTGGCCGTCGCCCATAACGACGTAGTCGTAGCGCTTCGGACCCGACTTGGGGGACGACAGCCAGATCTGCTTGTTGGGCGGTTGCTTGTTGATGACGTAGGTGCCAATGTCTCCCCCGAAGCGGAGGGTCAAGACGCCAGCCTAAATCCAGTTAGTCGAATGTTGCAAGCAAAGGCGGAGAGCCAAAGCGGGACGGTATACTCACGGAATACTCAACATCAACATCCTCTCTCGTGTCCTGGATATCCTCCAGATGCGAGACAAGCCTCTCCAGGTACTCGTCTGCAACGGAATGGTACTCGGAGTCGGTTATAACAGCCGGCGTCTTGATGACCGGGGGGAGGTCCACGTCTTTCGGCTGGGGAGGCTTGTCGTCGGGTGTGATGCCTTTGCGCTGGGGGCTGTTGGAGATGAGCCTAGGAGTCACAACGGCGGACGGGAACCGGGCCACAGGGTGGGGGAAAGACGGAGCTGCCGTGAGGCTCGGGGAGCCGAAACGCACGAGTCGAGATGTCCGGAGACCTCGCGAGGCCGCTCGAGCAACGAGTCCTAGACCTTGAGATGCCATGCTGCCGTGACAAAAGAATGCAACAAGACGCAATGCAGGCTCGTGCAACCGAAAGGTCCAATCGAGCGCCGGATTGGGGGGGCACACGTCGGTGACGGCAGCAAGAAATCAAGACTTCACGAAGAGCTGAAAGATTGCTCAAAGTCGTGCGTCTTGGGAGGAAAAGAACCACCCAGGAATGTCATCGGGCGATGGAGCTCGTATGTTTGGAGCTCGAAACCACCCCACTCAAGCTTTCTTTCAGTCAAGCCGGCAGGCAGGGAAACCCTGTCGTTTCAAGTGCGCTAATAAGGCGCTACCCAGCAGGTGGCAGAGACCCTGCGCAGAGACTCTGCGCAGATGCAAGTACCGGCCTAACACCCCTGTCCACTGGCGTCATTTTCCCCCGCAGCCCACAGCACAATGCAGTGACCAGGACGCGGCCAAACTTCGCGGGCTAGCACACCTTGGTCCTAGATATTATTTGACGTTGACCCTGCGAACACGAAATAGTGACAGCCTGCTCGGAACATGATCAACGCATTTCTAGTCTTCAACGGCCAAGGCCAGCCGCGACTGACCAAATTCTACACCCAACTGGTGAGTTGGTCCCTGATTCCGTTCTGCGCGACCATGCACCGGATCTGACAGCAGTCGCGTGGGCGGCCTCGATGACAGGACACGAGCATACAGCAGCGGCTGATATCGGAGATCTTCACGCTCGTCTCAAACCGGCCGCCCGGGTCGTGCAACTTCCTGCCGCTGCCACCGCTGCTCGCCGCCTCGGGCACTTCGCACTCGGCCTCGGAGCCGCACAACGACGTGCCGTCGCTCGTGACGTACCGCAACTACGCGACGCTCTACTTCATCATCATCTCGACGTCGACCGAGTCCCCGCTGGCGCTCATCGACCTGATACAAGTCTATGTAGAGGCGCTGGACCGGCTCTTTGAAAATGTCTGCGAGCTAGACCTCATCTTCAACTTTGAGACGCTGCATGCCACGCTGGGCGAGATGATTGTCGGCGGAGTGGTCATCGAGACCAACATGGACCGCATAGTGGCTGGTGTCAGGGCACAGGGAACAGTGGCGAAGAGACCGGTCAACGAGTCACGGTCAACCGGGCTGGGAGCTGGGCTTGGGATGGGCGGGAACTTTGTCTGGCATGGCCGATGACACGGCAGCACACCACCCTCTCGTCGCCCAGCCGCCCGAATCCCACTTGCCTGCTGAGCCGGCACAACAACCGGAATTATGATATACTTCCCTCCCTGGCATTCGCGCATATCCTCCGAGCCGCCGCTAGTAGAAACATAGAAAGAGCCGTGTCGGGGTTCAGGCCATGAACATTGGTTGGTCCATCTACACCACCATTCCGGCCGCGATGCCACTGCCCCGGGTATTCAAACGCCATGTAAACTCCAAAAGGCGGATCACATATTGTACAGGAGGTGGGACAGCAATTACTACATAGAATTGTTGCATTGTGGTCACTTTGAGGCCGTTGGCTCGACAGACGCATCCTCTCTCCTCTCGTGTCTTTGCTCGGGGGAGAAGACGCCCAAAGCGCCCCAGAACTTCGCTCGGAGCTGTCGGGCCAGTTAGACTTGTAATTCGAAAGCAGGAGAGCCTATATCCTACCCCTTCGAACGGCTGATGCTCGTTTTTCGCGTCCATAAATAGAACGCTGTACACAAGCACGACTTAACACACAGTCAGCCCAAGATCTGGCTGGTCTGTCCCAATTGCGCATCCCCTTACATGATATTGTGAAGTACTGCGTGAGCTTGACGATTTTGTTCCACCGCGGCCGCTGCGCCATGTGTGCCAGCCTCCTCTTGTATCGCTTCTCGAACCGCAGCTGCTCCTGGGGCGTCATCTTGGTGAAGTCGGGTGGCCAGACTTTCTTGAGCTTCGACGGCGCTGTGGCCGATTCGAATATCTGAGGCTTGGGCGCTTGCGCCAATCGGCGTACCAGTGTTGGGAACATTGTCGGCGGAGGGAAAGCGGCTTCCCGTCTCGAGATCAAAGGGTCGAGGAAAAGTTGAAGCGTCTCGCGATGACGCGAAGCATTGGCGCGGGAAGCCACAGGGCTAGCAGTGGCTTGGCCCGCTACGCTACGCTAGTTGCGCCACATCCTGAGACCCTAGGCCCCAGCCCAGGCCCTGGCCCAGGCCCCACATCGCAGTGCATAGGTTGGACCCCGCGGCTGTTACTTACCCCTCCAAACGGCGGCAGGAGTCAATAGAAAATTCACCCCCCTCTGACTCAAAACAGTTGGACACATCGAAAAAGTTCCGACTTGCGAAAACAGCTTCTCTCGAGAGCAGTCTACCCGACAAGCCCAATGCGCAAGGTCTGCAACCCGGCGCATACATAACCTCGGTTGTCGACCGTCTGAGCACCAACACGTACCTGGAATCCGAGATCTGAACCCGAAAAGACGACATGGCCGACACGTCGGTGCCCAAGGCCCTCGAGGCTCTCACCCTCTCAAAGACGAAGGAGCTGAAGGGCACGGAAAAGCGAGACACCTTGGTTGAGATTGAAAAGGTCCGTCCCGTCTTATTCGTCCGGTGTCTTCTTGTGTGCTAACACGTCCCATAGAAATACCAGCTGAAATGGGAGGAAGACCACATCTTCGAGGTCGACGCCCCCTCGACGACCGAGATCCCCCTCGACTCGATCACGGCCGATGAGCTGCGCGAGAAGTACGTACATGCGCCGGCCCGAGATAATTCTTGAAATTCTACAACACGGCAGGGAGAGGGGCGGTCACGCCCCGGAAAAGAGGCTGCTAGCTTCGCGCTGGCCCGCTTCGTCTTCACCTGCGCGTCCAAGCCCTTAGACATGGATTGCTGACTTTGTTTTGCGTCTCTAGATACCCGAAGTTCTTCGGAACTATTGCGTACCGTATGCGCTCACGCCCCGCGAATGTTTGCCCTCAACGAACGACTAGCTGACTTGTTTCCGCAGCATACATGAATGGCCGTCTCCATGCCGGGCATGCCTTCAGCTTCAGCAAGAGTATGGGATATTCTGCTCCGGGGCGCCTCGCCCACACCGTCTGCGCTTGCGAGTCGGAATGCAACGGTTGCTAACCGTGTCTTCGTACAGTCGAGTTCCACACTGGATTCGCCAGGATGCAGGGGAAACGATGCCTGTTCCCCCTCGGATACCACTGCACTGGTATGTTGTCGGCGCCCGGGCGTTCCTGCTCAGCCTAGTTTGGTTATGGTTCAGGCACTGACTTCTCCAGGACTTCCGATCAAGGCGTCGGCGGACAAGCTAGTCAAGGAGGTCGAGATGTTCGGCCGCGACTTCCAGCGCTACAAGGAGGACGACGAGGAAGATGCCGCGCCCGTAGTCCCTAAAGGGGCAAAGGACGATGTGACCAAGTTCAACGCAAAGAAGGGGAAGGCTGCCGCAAAGACAGTCAAAGCGAAATACCAATTCCAGATCCTGCAGTCCATCGGAATTCCGACGGAGGAGATCCATCTTTTTGCCGATCCTCAGTACTGGTGCGTCATTCTGTTGGCTCTGAGCGCTCGTAGTCCATAAGCTAACAAGCATCCCAACAGGCTGCAGTTTTTCCCTCCTGAGTGCAAGAAGGACCTGACCAACTTCGGCGCCCGGATCGACTGGCGGCGGCAGTTTGTGACGACCGAGGCAAACCCGTACTACGATGCGTTCGTGCGCTGGCAGATGATTCGCCTGAAGGAGCTGAACAAGATCAAGTTCGGCAAGCGGTATGTCGTAGCAACACGCGCTTCGTGTTTATGACCCACTTACAACGTTTAGGTACACAATTTACTCCATCAAGGATGGCCAGCCCTGCATGGACCACGACCGCAGTGAAGGTAGGCTATTTCTGTTACTTGGCAAGCATTGACGGCTGACATCCATGCTACAGGCGAGGGTGTTCTTCCCCAGGAATACACGGCTCTGAAGTTGAAGGTTCTTGAATGGGCCCCCAAGGCCGCAGAAAAGCTGAAGGGCAAGCTTCCCGAAGGCGCTAACGTCTTCTTGGTGCCCGCCACTTTGAGGCCTGAGACCATGTATGGCCAGACGTGCTGCTTTGTCGGCCCCAGTCTGAGCTACGGAGTATTCAAGGCCGCGGAGAACGAGTACTACGTGATAACTGAGAGGGCCGCCAAAAACATGGCCTTCCAGGACGTCTTTGCGCAAGAGGGCGTCATCGAAAAGGCAGCCGATGTCCTAGGTTCCGATTTGATTGGAACTTTGATCAATGCGCCCCTAAGCTTCCATCCCCAAGTCCGCGTTCTCCCCATGGACACCGTCCTGGCCACGAAGGGCACTGGTGTTGTGACCTCGGTTCCGTCTGATTCGCCAGGTAGGTTCATGTCCTTTGTGAATAGACTTCGCCAGCTTACCTTGATTAGATGACTTTGCCATGGTCACGGAACTCGCCAAGAAGGCCGATTTCTACGGCATCAAGAAGGAGTGGGCTGAACTGGAGGTCATTCCGATTATCCAAACGCCCACATCTGACTTGTTGGCCCCCTATTTGGTCAAGAAGCTGAAGATTTCGTCTCCCAAAGACACCAAGCAGCTTCTGGAAGCAAAAGAGCTTGCGTACAAGGAAGGCTTCTACCAGGGCGTTCTCACGGTCGGCGACTTTAAGGGCGAGAAGGTCGAAGTCGCAAAGCCGAAAGTAAGGGAGCAGCTGATCAAAGCCGGCGAGGCCTTCGCATACTGTGAGCCTGAAAACAAAGTAGTGTCGAGATCCGGCGACGAGTGCTCCGTGGCCCTCCTCGACCAATGGTATATCGACTACGGCGAGGAGTCCTGGAGAGCCATTGCCTACGACTATGTTGAGAACAAGGACGGCACTGGCCTCAACACGTATTCCTCCGATACCCAGCACGCGTTCAAGGGAGTCGTCGACTGGCTGAGGCAGTGGGCTTGCGCTCGCACCTACGGCCTGGGATCGAAAATACCCTGGGATCCCCACTTCCTCGTTGAGAGTCTGAGCGACTCGACCGTTTACATGGCCTACTATACCGTAGCCCAATGGCTGCACAAGGACCTGTTTGGCCGAGAGAAGGGCAACGGCGATATCGCGCCCGAGCAGATGATTGACGAGGTCTGGGACTACATCTTCTGCCGGGCACCGCTGACGGACGATGTCATCACCAAGTCCAAGATCCCCAAGGCAACTCTGGAGGGCATGAGGAGAGAGTTTGAGTACTTTTACCCGCTGGATCTCCGCGTCAGCGGCAAGGACCTTATCCCCAACCATCTCACCTTCTTCCTGTACAACCACATCGGTATGTTCTCGGTGTCTGTTGAGCAGATATAGTGTTTGTGCGTTTTGCTAACAGTCGAAGCTCTCTTTCCCCGCGAGTATTGGCCCCGTTCTGTTCGTGCCAACGGGCATCTCCAGCTGAACGGAGAGAAGAGTAAGCCAACCTTAAGCCACCAGGCTGAGCTAGCGCTGACCTGTTGCAGTGAGCAAATCGACCGGAAATTTCATGACTCTGGACGACGTAAGACATCCATTCCGTCAAGCGCTGGCCTGTAAGTACTAACTTGGAACAGGTTGTCAAGAAGTACGGCGCCGACGCTGCGCGAGTTGCCCTTGCAGATGTAAGAACGGCCCTTGGTTATCCTTGACGCACACCTATGCAAACACTAACCCCTTGTCGTTCAGGCCGGTGATGGTATCTCCGACTCAAACTTTGTCGAGGATGTGGCAGACAACACGATCCTGCGCTTGTCAGTCTATTCTACTCCTTATTTGTATGAGCTATGCTAACTTCTTGCAGCTGTATGTGCCCTTGCTCTTCGTATTTTTGTGAATGCTAACATAAAATAAGACAACAACAAGGAGTGGATTGAGGAGACTGTCAAGGGTGTCGACCAACTACGGGCCGGGGAACTCAACTCGTTCCAAGATGCGCTCTTCGACAACGAGATGAACGGGCTTGTGAACGATGCCAAGAAGTACTACGAGGAGACGTCGTACAAGCTTGCTCTCAAGGCCGGCCACTACGATTTCCTGAATGCGCGAGACTCGTACAGGTTTGTGCTTTCCCGTTCAGTCCCGGTGTACATAAACAAAACAGACGGGCCGCTGTCGTCGCACTCATCTTTGGTAACTGACATGGTCTGCAGAGAGGCATGCAACGCTGCTGGAATTGCGCTCCAGAAGGACTTGGTATTCAAGTATATCAGACTCCAGGTATGCTCTGTTGGGACTTGGCCCCAGCTGACTCGACTCACTGCGGTATTCGGGCTTTATTGACACTACCTGCTCTAGGCCCTGATATTGACTCCCATTGCGCCGCATTGGGCCGAATACGTCTGGCAGGAGGTCCTCGGAGAGAAGACGTCGATCCAGTCTGCCAGATACCCCGACGTGCCGGCTGCTGACCCGATCCTGACTGCGGCTCGCGAGTACGTTCGGCAAACGGCGTCGAGCGTCAACTCGGCCGAGGCAGCGCAGCTGAAGCGGATGGCCAAGGGCAAGACGAGCGACTTTGACCCTAAGAAGCTCAAAAAGCTTACGGTCTTTGTGACTGAGTCCTTCCCGGCGTGGCAGGCAAAGTACATCGAGCTACTGCAAGAGGTTTGGGATCCGGCGACAAACACGCTGAAGGTTGATGAAAAGGAGCTGAATGGCCGGATCGGTAAGATGGGAGAGATGAAGAAGGCCATGCCCTTCGTGCAGTCTTTGAAGAAGCGCCTGCGCGATGGAGAGCCCGCCGATGCGGTCTTCTCGCGCAAGCTGGCATTCGATGAAAAGACAACTCTTTTGGTAAGTCCCAATCCCCATATCTATGCCTGTAGAGGATGATGTCTGACTGTTTTTCAGGCAATGGTTCCGGGCTTGAAGAGGACAGCCGGTCTGGAGTCGGTCCAGATTGTAGCCGTGGCGGAGGGCAGCAAGAAGGGCAAAAACCTGGCCAACGGCGGTGAGGAGGTCGATATTAAGACGCCTGTCGCTGACTCGGCCATACCCGGCCAGCCGAGCTTCCTGTTTCAGAATGTTTGATCGATTACGAAAAGAAATAAAAAGGACGTGGGAGCGATGGGTGATTCTGTTTGGTGAACACCGATGAATGAATAGACTTTGACCACATCATGCTGTGTTCATTGCTGGAGGAAGTCATTTACCCGCATGCCGTGACATGTTTCTTCGGCGCTTGCAGCTTCATCAGAGGTTGTCTCTCGCAGGCCCAGTTTTCCGGAGCTGACAGCTTAGGGCTGCGAATGGACGGAGAACAGTGTGCGTGTGGCTGCGACGTCCTGGTGAGGTCATTCTTTCCTAATACCTGCCTCCCCTTCCTATATCCCTGCCTCATTTCTAGGGTAGTTTTGCAAGTATTGTTCACATCACCAGGGACTCTCACATGTGTCTCGAGTGCTTGGTGGCTGCAGCCTACACCCGAATGATATTGTCGAGTCAAGCCCTAGCATCAGGACGAGGTTCTAGGATCAAACCCTCATCGCCTAATCGCAACAGCATCATCCATGTCTGGCTCCTCCTTGGTGAGCTGTAGTGGGAATAGATGACGCACCTGCTAAGCCATTCTCACAGCATTGATGTTGATGACCCAGCTCTTGCGAGCACTCGCAATGGGCATCATCACATGGCGGTTCGTTGTGAATCACTTGTATCGTTGAGGTAATTGTGGGAGTTCATATAGACCTGTCCCCCCGAGTCTGGCAGAGGCTGTGATGTTGTTCCCCAGTCCGCCATTCTATAACCAAATCGGCTGTCTGTCCTGGCCACTGCCGTCCGCATCTTAACTTCCGCCCGGAATCCATAACATATACCTTTCATATTCCCCTTTGCCAGGTAGCCCAGCTATCTTCCTTCCTGCCCGCCTCCGACCCGCAGATACACAACACCGCCGCCATGCGCTTCTCCCACATCGTCACAGGCCTCGCAGCTAGCTCGCTCGGTGTTGCTCAGACCCTCCCGTCCGGCGACAGCGTCACCGTCATCACGTCGACGTACACCCCCTCGTCGACGGCCACCTTCTCCAGCGCCGTGTCGGGCATCACGGGAGGGCCCGTCACGCCATGTGAGTTATGTACTTGACAGACGAGTACAGTGCATCATCCTCTTGACGCGCACACGCTGCATCCCAGCCATACCATACCATCCCATCTCGCATCCCCCATCATCACCCATCCCAGGAAGTTGATACTGACGCCGCCGTTTATCAACAACAGCAACGACAGTCACGTCGGGCACGTCCACCGTGACGTCGACGGCCATGCCGTCCGTGGTCAGCAGCGGCGGGGACCACCACCTGGCGGCCCTCGGCGAGCCCATGGCCGGGCTCGTGGTGTTTTGCGTGCTGAGTCTGATGATGCTTTGAGGATTGTTTGCCTCCGAGATCCTGTGAGAAATAAAGTAACGATTGGCTAGAGTGTTGTTGCTGCTGCTGCTTCTCTTCTCCGTAGCTCTCTTGCCTTTTCCCCAGGATGGATGGATGGACGTCGATCAGTTCTCTGGACGGAGGTGAAGGCAGGACACTCGAGGGATTAGAAACCAAGAAACATGTGTAAATCAGCTTCTCTTTGTATTGTACAATACATGGAATGCCGGACGTATATATGTCTGCTGCATATAAAAACGGAAGAAAAACAAAACATCGCTTCTCTACCACCTACACCGTTGGCGAGCATCTGATATCTACTGCTTGCACAACCTGGCTGCCTCGCGGCAAAGGACTAAATCTTCATCTTTTAAATTACCCTGTACATACATACATACGACCTCCCTCTACAACGCAGGCTCGATCCAAACCTCAGACTCTAGTGCCTTCTTTTAGGTTGGCCCAAACAATCAACGCGTCCCGCGGCGCAGCGGCAGTTCACTGGTTCGACCTGGCCGGCGCGGAGTGTGATATCTACGAGCTTCACATCGCGTGCGAGCCGTAGATGTACGCCAGCCAAGAGAGAACTCAAACAGACCCATCTTCTCCTGCTGCCTGATCTTGCCCTGTCGTCGCCATGTGATTGACGGCTACGCGGTTGACTGCGTGCCGCAATGACCTTTCGGACCCGGCAATGACGGGTTCCTCCGGCCAGGTTATGCTCAAGCCAGACAGGCCACTCTCTCCCCATTATAAGTGAGCCATTCCCCTCGGCCATCAAGATGTCAGGTGGAGAAGCACGCCTTGTCGCGCTAGCACAGCATCGGCGAATTCCCGTCGTGTCGTGTCGGAGAGGGAGCGCATTGCATCGCATCGCAAGGCATCGCGTCGTAACAGCTGAGCAGCTTGTTTAAGCAGCAGCAGCAGCAACCGGAGCCTTGGTGACCGCAGCAGCGTCCGGGCCCGGAGGAGGCTCGGGCAAGTTATCCTAAGTGGGCATTCCCGTCAGCACACACACGCACGCACACAAAACCATCGACGCAAAAAAACAGAGACATAGTACAACATACCACCTCGAAAATGACGCGGATCATCAGGCTGCAGCTCGGACACACGGCAATGTCGGCAGCGTCCTGCAGGTCGGCGAGGGCGATCTCAAAGCGGTCGCCGCATGGGCAGGGGTAGTGGTACAGCTGGCGGGCGTCGTCGTACGTCATGTCCTCGATTTCGACCTCGTCGTAGATGGCGAGCTGGTCGTCGTCGTCGGCCATTTTTGTCTCTCTGTATGTCTGTCTGACACGCACGCAGTCGGGCTCCTCGGCTGCTGGTGGTGGTGGCAGATAAAAATGGTGGAGCGGGTGGCGATGTGAAGAGTGCGTGCGGCGCCGACCCAACACAAACGGATATTACTATGCTGCGTACTTCTAATCCCTGTCCGCGTAATGGGGTAAGATAGATGATACGGTCTTGGAGTGTTCCTGGTAGCGCGACACCGTCGTCTGTGTTCCTCGGCGAGAGCTATTGGGACCTTGATGAGCCTGGGGATAAAAAAGTTGGAGGGGTCAAAGTTTTGGCGGGGTATCCGTTTGCCACTATTGGCAAATTGTTAGTGGCTACACGCCACGGGCACACGTCTACAAAGCATACTTCGGTACACATTAGATGGCACATTAGATGGCACATTAGACAGCAGGCGTTCACAAATAGATATTCTCTACAGCAGCAAACGCACAAGATGATAGACGAGAAGGTTGTATTTACGCTCCAGGCAAAGGATGGACATCGCCAAGGTACAATACATACGTATTATACATTATACCGGCCATGCTGGCTTGGACGGATGATTGAGACGGGGCTCGAGACGTAGACGTAGGGGTGGATGGGCTGAATTAGGTATAGAAGAGAAAACAAATAAAAGTACGAGACAACACTCGGTAGGCTCCCCCAGACAATGCAAACTTATCAAAAAAGGTATCAACCGTGAAGAAATAAATGCCACAATCTGCTCGCCGTCGTGTCTTTTGGTCATCCCACTCATCCAAAGGTCTTCCTCTCCTTCTCTCCGAGATATCACTGTTCGATGCTATGCCATACCCGTTGTCACAGCTAAGACTGGCTAGCAAGGTAGTTGGCCGCCTAAACCCGTCAGTGAAACAGTCCAGCCTCACATCGACCCCAATCATTACCAACTTACCCTTTCCAAGTTGTAGTCGTACTTCTCGAGCGCCGCCAGTCCATCGGCTCTCGAGTAGCCCATGCTCGTCAAGTTCTTCAGCATCGGGTCGTCGTGCTCTCCTGCCTCGGTCAACGCCCGGCCGGATGCATTCGGCCGCGCGGCTTCCTTTGCGCTGCCATTTCCACTGCCAAGCGGCGGGGACGACGGGGTCGGGGTGTCGTCAAGGCTGGCAAAGATGGCATCCCAGTCCTGCGACTCGGGCGGTGCGGGGCCCTTAGCTTGGCCAGGCCCGGAGCTGGACGGCGCTGCGCCAGTGCTGCCGGCCACCGACGCGGTCGAGAGCGAGGCAAAGTCAAAGCTGCTCTCAGCGCCGAATGCGGTATTGGCGTTGACCGATTCGCTCTTTGCCTGGCTGGGTGGCGGGCTGCTGTCAAAGACCGGGTTGAAGTCGTCCAGACCGGATCGTGAAATGTTGGCAAAGTCATCGTCAGCAGAGCCTTCCTTGGCATCCTCGAGTCCCTCAAAGTCGTCGTCGAGGTCGTCGAATGCGCCCTTCGGAGGCGGCGGCGGAGCTGAGGGCTGGCTCGCAGCAGCCGCTGCAGGGGCGGGCGGAGGGGAAGCCGCAGTGCCAAATATGTCATCAACACTCGACCCCGTGAACCTCTTGTTAGTGGCGGCGACGGGGGGCGAGCTAGATCTCTCGCTGTAAGCGAATACAGGTTAGCGTCCATGCAACATACAACAAGAGCAGACATGAAAGGTATCAGAGGGCATACTTCACAGCTGACTGCTCGGGTCCTGAAGTGTTGAGGCCAGCGGCCGGGATCTCCAAGGCAGCCTTGGTAATGGTCGGGGAGACCGACTTCGTTTCCGGGCTCTTTTCGACAGTTGCCTTCGGCGGAGGGGATGCCGGTGCAAAATCATCATCGAAACCCCGGTCGCTGTCCGAGTCCGTATCATCGTCACGCTCCAGCTCGGAGATGGGAGGGAACTCTGAGTGGAATGCAGAGAAGACGGTATCGTTATTCGAGCTTGCCGGGGCCTTGGCGTGGGAATTCTTGAAGCTCGCAAAGGCCGACTCAAAGTCTTCCTTGGCCTTTGCCTGGTCCACAGCTGGGAACGGTTCAAGCTCAGCCTGGGCTGCAGCCTTCTTCGAGTCATCTCCCGACGAGCTAGTCAGGGGATGTGTTCCATTAGCACTGGCTCTAGTCTCGGTTGGCGATGCCGGAGAGGCGGCCTTGGGGGCATCCGAGCCTGATCCAGAGGCAAGACTCTGTCCAGTCTGCGCCGGTTCGATGGGTGCGGCCACGGGATGTGCCAGCGCCTGGGACGGCGTCTCGGGCAGGCTGAACCGGCTTTGCGGGGGCGAGGCCTGGCGAGAGGTGCTCAGAGAGTCGCTAGTGTCTCCAAACGGCAGGTAGCTGGGATTGAGCTGTCTCGGTTCTGGAGCCGGCGGCTCAGCTGCGAGAGTGGCCTGGCGGCTGACAGTTGGGCTGGTGGAGCCTGGCGTAGCAAAGGACCCGACACTGCCAGTGGACGTGCCCGTGTTTTGCGGCTTGAACATTGAGATTGCAGCAGGCGGCGGCGGCGTGCCGCTCTGGCTACTTGGTGCGGCCGGCCCAAAGACGTCGTCAAAGGACTTGTCATTGAAGGACCTGATGGGGGGGGGGCTGTAGGTGGCGGTGATGTCGGTGCTAGCGGTCCGTCTGAAGAAGGGGTTATTAGCACTCGCCGTGGACAGCGCGGGGCTGGCGACCTGGGTGAGGACGGGAGAGTTGTTGGAGCTGATCTGACGCGCCAGCTCCTCGTTGCTCTTGGTAAGGTCTTCGGCCTCCGTCTTGAGCTTCTCTCGCTCGTTCTCGTTGGTGGTCAGTTGCTTCTTGTTGATAGCAACGAGACCCTTTTGCTGCCGAGCTTCCAGCTTGAGCTTCTCAATCTGCGGCTTCAGCTGGGCAATCTCGGCATTCACAGCCCGGATCTTGTCCTTCAGGCTGGAGTTCTCCTGCTGGTCGGCTTGGAGAGCTGACAAGGTCTGGCGGTGCTGGTTCTGCAGGTCTAGCTGGCTGGCTTCGATCATGGCCATCTCGGCCTGCAGCTTCTTGGTTTCGGTCTTCGAGACGTTGAGCTGCGCCTCGAGAGAGCGCACATCCTGCGCCTCCTTCTCGTACATGGCGCGGAGTTGGGCAAGTCGCTGCTCAAAGTTCTTCTTCTGGGCGCTGGCTTGGTTCAGCTCGTTCTGCGTCGCAGTGCGCTGGCCCTGTACGTCCTGCATCTGCTTAGAAAGAGACCCGATTTGGTTGGAGAGGTTTGCAAGCTCAGTAGTCTCGCTGTTGAGGCTCTTGTTGATCTCAGGCTCGGTATCTCCAAGCAGGTCGTCTTCCACGGCCGTCGGGAGCGGGGCGGGCCTAGCGAAGCTGGATCCCGAGTTGTTCGAGCCCCCAGTAGCCTGTGCGGTAAGACCGCGGCCGAAAGAGGATGAAGGGACAAAGGGCTTGAAGCCTGATGCCACAGGCGGAGGTCTCACGGGCGAAGACGGCGCCGGCGGGCTGATGCTGGTTCCAAAGGGGTCGGTAGCAGCAGATCCGCCCGTGCCGAGCGCGACTTGAGTCGGCGCCGGCGGCGGAGGGTCATCTAAGCCAAACAGATCATCCAAAGCAGAGGGCTTTGGTTGGGGTAGTGGAGGCCGCGGCGGTGGGGGTGGTTCGAACGCCGAGGTCGCTGTTGGGGGGCGTACTGGGCCGCGCAGGCTCGGGGGGATGAGGTTGGGCGGCAGGGTGGCGGGTAGCGGGCTCTGTTTGGTTCTCTGTTGCCTAATAAGATACATGGCAATCGCAAACTCGTCTTTGGTCAGCCGCCCCTCGGAGTGAACGTCGGCAAGGTCCCAGATCTGGGCGAGCGCAGCCTCGGGAAGCTTGGACTGGCTGAAGAAGGGCACGGCTTCCTCGCCAGTGATGAACCCCTTCTTTGTCTTGTCGAGCTCGTCGTAGAACTGGTCGAATTTAACCTTCTCAGCGGCCGTCACCAGCCAGTCTCCCGTGGTCTGTGGCGCTAACGGTTGACGCCCGAGCGGGCTGCCCGTCCGCAGCTGCTGCACCGACGTTTGGCCGGTGAGCTGGCGCGGCACGGCCGAGACGGGAGGCGTAGCGGTGGTGGGCGACTGCTGCCTGGGAACGGCACCCACGACGGAAGCGCGCCGGGTGGCAGCCTCATAGAGAGCGGCAGGCAGGATGTTGGGCAGGCCGCGCAGTGTCCCTGTCTTCATGGACGTGAGCAGGTGCATGGCGATGACGAATTCGGTCAAGACCAGAGCGCCGCGCTGCTCCGTGTCGGCAAGCATCCAGATGCGAACCAGCAGGTCGTTTGGCAGACCCGATTTTTCAAAGATCTGCTTGGCCTGCTCGCCGGGGAGCATGTTGCCGTTCTGGAGCGTTTGCCGCTCAAAGAGGCCAGCATACTGGGCCACTTTCTCGGGTGTCAGGGCCGGGATGCGAATGGGTCCTCCCGCGCCCGTCCCCTGGGCCTGCAGCACAGGCGGCTGCGGCGGCGGCGGTGGCAGCGGCGCGGGGGTCGGGGTGAAGCCATCGAACCGCGGCATAGGGCCCTGACTGAGCGCTATTTCGGGGCTGGGTTCGCGGCCGGCTTGCGCATGGCCAATAAGGCGGAGGACGATACCAAAGCCGGCGGGCGTGAGGAAACCGCGGTTCTCCTTGTCGGCGATCTGCCATATCTGTGTTGAATAAGATGCATGTCAGTGCCAACCCCCAAGCAGCGCACGCTCTTAGCTTATTTATCTCTAGCACTGACCTCTCCCAGGACCCTAGAATCCAGTCTCGTCTTCTCGAAGAACTTGACGGCAATCTCGCCCGTGACGACGCCGACACCATCGGTATCGGCCTGTCGAAACAGCTGTCCGTACACTCGTTTCTCTTCGGGGGTGAGGTTCAAGTTCGGCACATCTTGGGAGCGGATTCAACGTCAGCTTTGGTCTCTTCAAATTTCAGGCAAAACGGCCGCTGCATCCGTTGGACACCGTGTCGGCATCTCGCGGCGCGCGAAACGGCCGCAGGGAAAGGGCAAAAGAACTCACTCGCGTCGACTGATGACTCGGAAGCCATGATGACGGTACTACACCCTCTGTGGGCAGCCGAGGGCGGGTGCGGCGCTGCGATGGTTCGAGGAATTTAGTGGCCGCCGGGTAAGGCCGGAACAGGTGCAGCGAGCCTTAAATCGAAATGCGTAGTCGGTGTGAATGCTGCGTTGGGATGAGCGGAGCCCTGGCGAGAGGAGAAAGCAAGGCAGCTTTACACATGCGGAGATGCAGTGCGCTGGGGAGGAAATTGGCGTTGTTGCTCCCTTGTGCGCTACTTTGGAGGTTGGGAATGCGACCCCCAAGCTCCCTCTGGGCGATGAGGAACCCAAACAGCTCGCGGGTGGTTTGGGTGCCGCTGAATGGTCGTCAGCCCGCCGTGTGCGGGCTCTGATTGGTCGCTGGGATCCGTCGCCCATGCAGGCATCTGCACTCCAGACTGTCGAATAAGCACAGACGGTCCACCGAATTATTGGCACTGCACTGCGTATAAGCAAAACTTCCAGAGCCCTCCATACCACGAGAATAAAGGTTGCATATGCACTCTACTGTCGGCCTGAGCTGCGTCTTCCATGCGACGCACCAAGGTTCAACGTCTAGAGTTGGGACGTAATTTAACCTAAGCGCTAATGCCACGCCTTGACCGGTCCCGTCGCATCAAGACCACAGTCTACATAGTATCACGTACAAAGAACGCGCATAGAGCCAGATGTCCCTCCGAATAAATGGGCTTGTTCTGATTAAAATCGACTATTACTTCAGTCTAACATAGAAAAACCAAGGTCCTGTGCTTGCCAAGGAAGAATACCTATCATCTCAGAGCAAGACAGCTACCAACGGAGGCTGTAGCCTAACCGCTGCGAACCAGAGAGTCGACGACTGGGGGTGTCCCATCAAAGTACTCAGACAACGTCGTCATACCATCACCATCACCAGACAACTCTACCAAGTCTAGTACTCGGCCTCAACCTCCTCGCCCTCCATCGAGTCGGCAGCAACCTCCTCGTAGTCGCGCTCCAGAGCTGCGAGATCCTCGCGAGCCTCGGAGAACTCGCCTTCCTCCATACCCTCGCCAACGTACCAGTGGACGAACGCACGCTTGGAGTACATGAGGTCGAACTTGGCCGACAGGGCAGACCATGCCTCAGCGATGGCGGTGGTGTTGGACAGCATGCAGCTATTTTCGTCGCGTTAGTTTCAAGCCAAGAGCAGTGAAGGGGGGCAACGTACACAGCGCGGTTGACCTTGGCGAGATCGCCGTTGGGCACCTGGTGGGGGGGCTGGTAGCAGATACCGAGCTTGAAGCCTGTGGGGCACCAGTCGACGAACTGGATGGTCCGCTTAGTCTTGAGAGTGGCCACAGCAGCGTGAGCGTCGTTGGGTACGACATCACCGCGATACAGCAGGCAAGTAGCCATATACTTTCCATGACGAGGATCGCACTTGACCATCTGGTTGTTGGGCTCGAAGCACGACATGGTCATCTCCTGAACCGAGTTGGCCTCGTGGGCAGCCTTAGCAGCCGAGATGACCGGTGCGTAAGCCACCAGAGGGAAGTGGATGCGAGGATAGGGGACAAGGTTGGTCTGGAACTCGTTCAGATCGACGTTGAGGGATCCATCAAAGCGGAGCGAGGCAGTAATGGAAGAAACGACTAGACAAAAAATTAGCAACACGAAGCATCAACAGTAGCGTCAGAGCTTACCCTGGGCAATCAGGCGGTTCAGGTTCTCGTAGTTGGGGCGCTCAAGGCCAAGGTTGCGACGGCAAATGTCATAGATGGCCTCATTGTCGACCATGAAGGAGCAGTCGGCGTGCTCGAGAGTCGTGTGCGTCGTCAGGATGGAGTTGTACGGCTCGACGACCGACGTGGCCGTCTGGGGAGCGGGGTAGACGCAGAACTCGAGCTTGCTCTTCTTGCCGTAGTCGACCGAGAGACGCTCCATCAACAGAGCACCGAATCCGGATCCGGTACCGCCACCAAACGAGTGGAACACCAGGAAGCCCTGGAGACCACTGCAGTTGTCGGCCACGCGGCGGACCTTGTCGAGCACTTGATCAATAAGCTCCTTGCCCACGGTATAGTGCCCCCGTGCGTAGTTGTTGGAGGCGTCCTCCTTTCCAGTAATCATGTGCTCGGGGTGGAAAAGCCCGCGGTAGGGTCCAGTGCGGACCTCGTCGACGACATTAGGCTCGAGGTCGCAATAGATCGTCCGGGGGACGTATTTTCCATTTCCTATGCAGTGCACCTGGTTAGAAGTGTCCCACAGGAAGCTTCGGGTTATCTCAGTGGGGACGCCGTACCGGTCTCAGAAAAGAAGGTGCTGAAGCCGTGGTCGGGGTCAGCGGCCTTGCGCTCCTCGGTGAGGAAGCCATCGGGCTAGCGAAGAGCAAGTCAGTGACGGGTCGTCAGAGGTCAGAGTAGGGGAAACTCAACGCACCTGGATTCCATGCTCGAGGCAGTAGAGCTGTGACAGTTAGCATCGCGCCACAAGGGCTAGAGGCATTGGGTGCGGCCCAGAGGCCTGGACGGGCGTGAGATCCTACCTCCCAGCACGAATTGGCAATCTGGCAACCAGCCTGGCCGACTAGATAGCAAGCAACGTTAGCACGGCGTGGTCGGGAAGCGCTGGGTGGCGGCCTGCAGCTTCGCCGACGTCGAATGGCGGACGATGCGGTGAAGGAAAGACGCGGGAGCCGAGGCCACAGGATTCAGGGACGCCACGCACCGTTGAGACTGATGATTTCACGCATCTTGATCGAATGCTGCGAGTGGTGTGCAAGTTGATAATGGATAAATGAGAAGAGTCCAGGCGTCAGTTGGCCAAAGACAGACTGCTTGACGGTCGGGAAGTTGAAAATTGTGGTTTCTGCGGAAGCCTGGCTTCTGTCTTGGGTAGTGGGGAAATTTGATTGTTGACAACCAGCGATCCCAATCAAGGAAAGCGCGGGCTGTCGTGGGTGTCCCAGCCAGTCGTGGCCGAGAGCTGCTTAGCCGCGCCTTCCCGGGGTTGAGGCGGGGCGCTCGTGGCACAAACTGGTCTGTGCTTAAGCCACTGTAGGGGAAAGGGGTCCAAGGGAGAAGCTTGTGCTCGGTGCGCTGGGATTGCTTGGACCCCCATTCGATCACTGTGACGGCGACGACTTCTTTGCCACACCGCCTACACGTGTCCCTACAGTGGCCGTATCACGCGAGGTTCGGTTCTAGACAAGGGCCTCTTTGCGCGACTAAATAGGACTAAAGCATACTTATAAATGCGATAGCGTTGAAAACTTTTCGCGCTGCCAGTCTGCCAGACTGCCACACTCGTTGCTCGGAGCAATTACCCTTTGCAAGTCATTTCTTTCGCTGTGGATCCTGCTATGGGCCGAGAGAAGGCCATGTTGGATTGCTTTATTACTTGGCGGTTCCCGTGTCTGTCTAAACTCGCGATGCACAGAAGGTGTATGCACAGAAGATCCGTATCACCTCTGCATACTCCGTGTTCCCAGATCTATCATATTCGTATTCCACATGTACGCGCGAGCGACAATGGCGAGCTAGTCGCCTTCCTAGGCTTTTTCTACATTCCCGCCTCCTTTTTAGCCTCATAGACAGGATCTATGGAGTTTCTTGCCTCGTTCTCAAACACCTAGCGGTATTCTGTACTTTGACATTGACACGAGTTGTACATGTGAGTTGTGTATCTTGCGCATCCGCCGTCCGCCGGCTTCAAGCAATCCACTTCCATCCCCTGCCCTTTCCATCGGCCCACCGCACCCCAACGCAGCAGGCCGTTGCCCCCATCAACAAGGCCCCGTCCCAGTACGCGATGCTAGCATACGCCGCCGTGCTCTGGTCTGACGTCCCCAGCAGCTGCCCGCCCACTGGGCTCCCAAACATGGTGCCCAGCCCCCGCACCAAGAGGATGAAGGCGTTGACGGCCGCATACTGCCGGATGCCAAAGACCTCGGCGATCAGCGCCGGGAACAGCCCGTAATACCCGCCGGCGGAGAAGCTGTAGAGCACGATGAAGGCCAGCCAGAGCGGGAGCGAGGCCGACGACGTCGTCGCCAGCAGGCTGCTGAGCCAAAAGGCAAACACGCTGGTCGCCGCCAGGAGCAGCGTCAACACCAGCGTGTTCTGCCGCCCGAAGCGGTCGCCGGCGTACCCCGTCAGGATGCGTGACACGGCGTTGATGGCGTTGCTGGCCGCGAGGAGCGTCGCGCCCTTGGAGGCGTCGAGCCCGAGCACTACCGTGTAAGACGGGATGAAGGAGAGGGGCAGCTGGGCGCCGGCGGCCTGAGTGGTTTTAGGGTCAGTCGTTCATTGACACAAGGATGCATGGACCATGGACCATGGACCACTGACCTGGAGAAACGCGGCCACGGCAGAGAAGATAAAGGTCGCTCTTGAGGCCAGCGCGCGGGACACGTGTGTGTTGCGTCTCTCGGGTCCTTCCGCGGTCGAAGCGGCTGCAAAGCGGCTCTTGGGCACAGCCCAGGCGATTGGTAGCCCCGCAACGAGGTTGAAGGCCGCGTAGATCCTGAGAGTCCAGCGCCCTCCAACGGAGCTGAGGAGCGCCCGGATCACGGGTGAGAAGATGAGACCGCCGGTGCCGCCGCCGGCCAGTATCTTGGAGAATTAGCAACCATAACCTGGGGGTAGGGGGTGCGGGACGCAACACGTACAAAGCCCATGGCCGTGGCGCGGTGGTTCGTAAAGTACTCTGGGGCGGGGGCCAGGAGCGGAAAGTACAGCATCGACATGCCCAGGCCGACGAGGAAGCCCTGCGTGAGCAGCAGCTGCCAGATGGACGTGCTGAGAGACGCCAGCGCGAAGCCGGCCGCGATCAGCACCACCCCAGAGATGGTGATTGTCCTCTGGCTCAGCAGCTTGCGCAGGATCCTGCGGCGCCACAGCCTGTGGGTCGAGGGAGTGGCCGGGTCCCAGGTCCCGTGCTCTATCTGCGATATGACGGGATTCACGAGGATGCCGCCTGCCCACGTCAGCCCGTAGCACAGCGTGCCGACAAAGGCGAGCAGCGCCGTCGGCGGCGAAACCCGTGAAGCCGGCGCCGGCTCTAGCACGTCCTGGCTGGCCGAGAGGTAGTACTCCTGGAACACGCCGTAGCACTGGTTGTAGCCGATGGTGAGGGCTATCGTCATAAAGGCGGACAGGAGCACTGCGGCTTGCTTCTTGCGCGGGATCGGAGGCAGGGCCGGCGGCGCTCGGGTCGAGTCCAAGTCAGATCCGAGTCCGGACCTGGGCTGCCGGGCTGCGAGCGGGATTGCGTGCGTCTGCGTTGCCATTGCCACTGATCACTGGTCAATTGATTGTATATATGATCCTTTGAAGCCGCAAGCGGCGAACAAGAACGAGAGGGGTAAGTTAGGCGATGGACTCGGAGTCCGAGTAATGGAGAAAACCGGAAGGAAGATGCACCTCAGCAAGCAGGCTTTTACCCCCCACATTTCCTCACTCGTGGTCATACGTAGTGCAACGCCATTCGCACTAATAGGCCTTTGGGATTTTAACGCCCAACGGTTTGGGGGATTACTGCCTTTCTATTCACGGCCCTAACTATAGCCAAGGTTTTCTTGATTCGACGACTCATCTTGGATTCCGCCCTTCTTGCGTCCAAAGTGTGAGTGTCATCCTGCCAAAGTCTAGGAATATGAGAATTGGTCCTTGAACTAACTACGTTGAGAATTTTTTACCTTAGTAGCTGGAGTGGTGGCGTCTCCTTTTCCTCTCTTCTCGTGTTATACAGAAAGACTCATAGCTCGCAACTTAAAAATAAAAGGCGAATGGACGTACAGAATATATTTTCAAATCGGGGTTTATTTGCTTGTACAACCGCCCTCGGATCAATTATCATTCAGATATTGCTTCGTCACAAGGATCGACATTACAGATGACCAAGTCGGCGAGTAACTGACGCTGCCAAATATCAACCCTAAGCTGCGGCTCAACTAGGATTCGGCATGGATAAAGATAGAAATAAGTTCTTCAGAACTCTCAATGCGTCCCAGATTGGCATCCATTGATCGACTCGGTGGCAGGCTCTTCTTCTGATGTGTAACACTTTCTTGCCATCGAGTTCTGCTCAGCGAAATCACCATAAAGGGTATGAAATCAGACACACCTAAAGAATTAAAAATCATTGTTTATTTTGTACTTTCCATTCAAATCTTCAGTTTTGAAAGTCTTCGAAAAACAATTATAATTATTCAAACTCTTAATCGAGAAATTGACAACCGATTATCATCGACAACGGCAACCACTAAACAGCACACAGTCGCCTCCAGCCAACAGGACCCCATCAGCACCCTCCAAGCATTTCACTAGATTTTAACCCTCAGACGACTTCCCCAGGCGCTTCACGCGCCCTTTTGCCCACCGCCAGCCTTTGAGGATAAAAAAGATCTGCTGTCCGAGCTTCCCTCTGCCCCGTTCGTCACCGTCATAGACATGCCCCTGGACTTCCTGCTGTTGTGCTTCTGCCTGCCGCTCAATCTCCCAGAGCTGAGCAGCGCCTTTTCCTCGTCTTTTGCTGCCAGCACCGTGCTCTGAGCGAGGGCGTAGCCCGGTGCCAGGGCGTCGTGCTCGTCAATGTCGGGCGAATCAACTACGCGAAAGCGGGGCCAGACCACGATGATGCCTGATATCATCAGATCGGCTGACGTGTCCACCTGAAGTTTGGCCTGGGCCGCCGTCTTCTTGTTAATAGGGCCATTGTCGCCGCCGCCGGAACCGGGGCCAGACCCGTTTCGGTTCCCGGCCTGGTTCTTTGGAGGCGGGCTCAAAGACGGGAAAACGACTGGATTCCAGTCCGGGTCGTTAGGATCGGGGTCGGCAACGTCGGGCTCGATTTTCTTATCCAGCGCCTGCATGTGCTGCCAGAGCTCGGAGGCCTGGGAACACAGGTCGGTCAACGCGTCAGAGAGCTTGTCTCTCTGCTCGGCAGAGCTCAAGACGTCCTTAAAGCATGACATCACGGTATTCACGACGCTCTGGACATATTTCTGGGCTGTCAACCTGTGGTCGTCCGGCGCTGTGGCCAGAAGCACGGAGCGTAGATACGCCTCCCGCCTCGGGTCCTTCTCGGCTAGGCCCGAGAGCAGATCGGAGAGGGGCCTACCGTCTTCTCCCAGAAGGTAGGTCGGCTGGAAAAGCTTCTCTGACAGCTCCACCGAGAGGATGGCCAGGAAGGCAGCCATGCGCATTTGCTTGGCGGGAGGCGTGTTGGACAGGGGCAGAGGAAGTATTGCTCGCCTGACCGTTTCGTGATCCTTTATCCAGCTCCAGATGGAATGGTCTTCAAGAATGGTCGAACTAAAGTCCACCCCAAAGTATGCTTCGGCAACTTTGCGCGCCTTGAGGAAGAGATTGTTCAGCCAGGACGCTCTAATTACTCAAAATGCGGTTGTCAGCATGTATTATTCAATTATCACTGAGAAGCCGAGCCATTGAAAACTAAAGAGCAGGAATCAGGCGGACTTACATATCCTCGGGCGACAACGGGATCAGCTTGATTGCAAAGCCCTCCAGTCCCTCGAGCTCGCGCTTCTTGGCGTCGAGTTCTTCGGTGGCCGATTTGAGCTTCTTCCTCGCCTCAGCAACTTCCCGATCCAAAGCCAGCTTCTTCTTGAGATGATCCTCCAGCTCAGCTTTTTTGTCGCTGTACTGATCCCTCAGGCTATTCAGTTTTGCCCTGAGTTCTGCATTCCTGTCTTGGTTCACATCGTTTGCGTCCTTGAGCCTCTCGATGTTCTTCTGAAGGCTGCCGTTTTCAGCTAAGATGTCGCTTAGATGCTTTACCGAGGGGTTTGCCAGGACGTTGTTCAACAACGCTGCCACATTCTCGGCATGATTATTTGAAGAGGACATGTTTCGTTGGCCTAGGTCGGGTTGCGACTTGATGCCCTGGCGCCTTAGTTGATGAGGAGTCGGTTGGAAATATGAATACGGCAGGACAAGATGTTAGCAGCGAGGCCGGATCGCTGAAGGAGAAAAGAGGGGAAGAAGAGGACCGACTCGAGTCAGAGTTTGCCTCCCTTTTCATTCCGTTTACATATTCCCTGGCCAGCCATAGACAGCAACGATAAACGACGCCATCCTGCAAGCCGGGTGCATTGTTTGCTGCGATAACACCACCAAATTCCCGTAACGGCTCCGTGCTTCAATCGAGGCAAGGCAACAATCAGCGTCTTGGCCAGTCAAAGCGCTCGGGGCGGGATGTGCAGTCCCGACTGAAGGCCTCGTGCAGGTTGTCCAGTTAAATCCGGCCAGCCATGCCACCACACCATTGTCTTGCAGCTCTATGCGGCTTCGTACAGCAATGATATGATTCACCGAGGACGGGATGCGACAATCACCGCGGGGCATCTCCATGTTCAAATGCGTGCGAAGACGCAAGTGGCCAGCTGCTATCGGCATCTCGTGAGCCGACCCTGCAGTGTGTTAATGAGGCGTGCGGTTGATACCGTGTGAACGTGAATTCCTACTCCGTGGTGAGCATTATCTCCTTTTCTCCCATTGGGCCTTGTGTCGCCCAAAGCATTACTATCAATGGGTTTTCACGTCCCATCGTGGACACGAACATTTGGCGCACAAATCACCCGAAAATCTTACACCCAGAACTCCGCGCTAGCAGGATTCTCGAATTCACGGTTTGTTCCTTTGCGGCGGTCTCCGTAGACATCAGACGGCAATGGCAGACAGCATGCATGCACGTTGCATAACTGGTGATACGAGAGCATCACGGAGCTGTAGCTGAAGGCTGCCTCTTGTCGTACAAGGCGCGTCTCCAATTGGACATAACCTCGAATGAACATACTATGTAGGCGAGCAGCTGAGCTGAGCACACCGCACGCTTCACCGCACTTCTCGCGAGAGCCAGCCTTGTGAGACGCCAGCCTTGTGAGAAAAGAGGCCTCAGGTATGTGGTCTCAAGGACGTCAGTCCAGCCCCGGGGCCTACAAAAACAGCATACCAGCGTTGTTTTGCAGGCGGTGTGGAGCAACCTCGGCCCGGCCTTTGCTGTGCGGACGCTTGTCCGGCTGGCAATGTGTAGTTCCGCCTCACTGTCCATGCCGTAGCTGACCGCATACCAGAGCCGAGCGGGAGAAGCACTGTTCGCAATTGGCGGCGGTGTGGGGTCCCATCATGAGAGGTCGCCAACGGTCCCGCCTAGCTTGTTCGCAAAGTCAGATCTGACAAGCTGCTGCCGTGCCGCACAAGCCAGGCCAGAGTCCCGATTGAGGGGTCGAAATGGACACTGTCCATGCCATTGCTAACCGAAAGCGGCAAAGGTACACCTGCCCAGCGCCGTGCACGTGCTGCAGAGGCAGGGACTGCCCGGACGCTGGAGGAAAAAACGTTAGCGGGCTTCGCTTGCCCTTCTAGCGCTCGCGCCACCAGCCACTCGGCCTGGCCGTGTGGATCCCGTGCCAAGGCTAGAGGACGACCTGCAAGAGCAACCCTAAGTAATTGCAATTAGAGAGCTCGCGCCAGCGGTGGCTGCAGCACGCTGTAGTAGCCCAGATTTCATCCAAGTTACCGAGCCTTCCACGGGGAATATGCGGAAGGGCGGCAACCCTCCCCTGTTGCTGACATATTGAAAGCTTCAACTGATTTTCAGAGGGACAAGTTGGGCCATGAATCGTCATCTTCCCTCTGCCCTACATTCCATCCGAGCTTAATAACTGCCTGCCTGTCTGTACCTGACCTCAGACCGCCAGCCACACCACAACTCAACTCTCAATAGAATCCCAGCCGTGACAAGAAAACCCTTGACGACGACGACGACGCGAGACGAAAACGATGAATGACCGCGTCTGCCCGACACAGCACCACACAATTGCGCACTCCCAAAGTCGCAACGTCAGCAGCCATGGCCATGGCCACCCTAGGCGACGGTAGGCCCGCCACCGCTAAACACGTTCAGAGGGGCGTGCATCAGCAACCACGCCAGCACCAACACCAGCACCCGCACATGCAGCAACAGCAACAGCAACAGCAACAGCAACAGCAACAGCAACAGCAACTCCAACAGCAGCAGCACGACGACGACGACGACGACGACGATGACGACACGGAGTCGCCAAACCTCCACAGCCCGCACATCCCCAAGATCCTGCCTCATGAGCGGGTTTTCCCCATCCAGATAGGCACCGAGCTGTTCAAGCTCTCGGGCGCATCTCTCTCATCCGACGGTGAGTGCTCATGTCACTAGCGCTAATTTCAGCTTGGATTCCATCCCTTTCCCATCCTTTTCCCCTGACCGTGAGGGATCGAGCTGGCGACTGACTAGCCCCAGCGCCCTCATACTTCTCCCAGTACTTCCACTGCCAGATCAAGGGCGCCGAGGAAAACGGAGACGACATAGGACCCGTTATCCGGACCCTCTACATCGACAGAGACCCCGTCACCTTCAGAGACATATCGCTCCATCTCCAGGGCTACCATGTCAGGCCTCGTGACAGCACACACTTTGTGCGCCTCTTTGCCGATGCCCAGTTCTACAACCGTGAGTCTCAACCCGCGCCTAGTCGTCTCATGGCCTGCTAATAGTCCCGCTAGTCCCAAAGCTTATATCACAACTCTACGAAGAGTCCATCTTCACTTCCGTTGGCAACCGGGAATTCCAAGTCTCGCGTGAGCTATTCGCGGGCCCGGGCAACTCGCCAAACTTCTTTACCCTCAACCAAGCCCTCTACTTCTCCAACAACACCGACGAGTTGTTCCCCGGCCTGGAACGAGTGAAGCTTTTGCGGCCACCTTCCATCATGCCACCCTCAGTCCCCCATCGCAGCCCCGAAATCTTTGCCGAGATTTTGCATCTGCTGCGTGGGTATCCGCTGGCAATACGTGACGAGACTCATCGCGCCGAACTGATCCGCGACTGCAAATATTTTAACTTTAAGGGTTTGGAGCAGCACTTGGTACCGCACTCCATTTCGTTCAACCTGGCCCGTCAGCGCAACGAGATTGTAATGCGCCTCCGAGACATCCTCAAGAGCGGCATCTCGATCGGCCCGGAGCACAACTCAGCCGACCCGCTCGCCGCCTGGGTCATGTACGCGCGGCCCTGGGTCGACGACGGCGCGCGGCCCTGCGAGCTGGTGCTCGAGATTGGCGACGAGAACACGCGCCTGCGCTTCAGCCCCAGCGTCGGCGGGGGCACCAGCGTCCGCGCCGAGTTCGTGCGTGATGCCAACTCCCGCATCGCCAAACTCTTCGAGACCATCGCCACCAAGCTGAACCTGCCGCCCACCACGCAGCCACTGGGTCTGCTGATGGCCAAGGGCGGCGCCAGCAGCCAGCCGCCGACGCCCGGCAACACGCCCCTGAGCGAGGACCTGGTGCGCGTCATCCTCGACCCCGAGGCCAGCGTCGTGCTCGACGGCAAGCCCTGGACCGCAGCCGACGAAGATTTCGGCCACGTCTATGCCGCCGCCGCCAACAGTTCGGCGCCGTCGTCGGCAGGCGGGCCAGGGGGCGGCGACCTGGAGTCTCCCATATCAAGCACCGCGCCGCCTTTCAAGCGCAGGCGGGTGGAATCGCACGCCCGCGGCGGGGGCGTTGCATTCGGCGCCGCTGGCGGTAATGGAGGGGCCGCGGTAGGGGCCGCGGGAGCGGACGAGTGGATTGTGAGGGCGGGCCAGTGGCGCCTGCGCATCCAGGGGGCCAAGCACGGCAAGTCGGCGGTCGAATGCGTGCTGGTGGCGGTCAAGCTGGACGCCCTAAGCTCGGAGCACGCAAGGAATTCCCAGCGAGCGTTTCTGGGCACCAGCTGACGCGGATGCCTGCCGCAAACACACAAGAGCTTGGGGAGGCAGGTGACGTTCAAGGCTGGAAATTTGACTGTTTAGGAACTGAAAGGGATAGTGATAGGTGTTTTAGAATGCGGCAGGGCTTTTTAAGTTTCACCTCTGCCGCACTTCCATTTATAAGGGTGCATTAGAAGGACGCGGAGGATACATATATGGGTGCCTTGACAATCACGGTTTGTTTATATCTGTTTGTTTTTATTCCCCATAGCGGCGTTTAGATGGTGCCTCTCAGTACAATGTATATATGCATTTACGCGCAACGAGCAGGAGCAGTGAGTTGTTGACCTTTCGCCCATGGACTTGTCCGTGGCAGATGGGCAGCCCGGGATGAGAAAACGATGAGAAGGTTAATTGTGATATTTAAAGATTGCCAAATTTGCCCATGACAGACATTGTGGAGGCAAGGCTGTCTCAAATTGGGATGACGCTCCGGGGCTCGAGCATGTATGTAGATGGCACGGGTCTCTTCTCATTCGTCTTGGCTTACGACATGCACACACACACACCACCACACCGGGCAAGCGAATAAAAGTGTCAACGCACATAGCTTCCGGAGGGTTGGGCGGCGGAGCACAACACCGCGCTGAGGAAGTTGTCCCCGAACTTGGCGGCTCTCGCCTGCTGCCTGCACGGAACTTGTGCCAACCAGCCCCCTGCCGAATGGATTTTGTTCTTCTTTTCGAGGACATGCACACCCACACGACACACTCCCGTTCGTGTACTACCCGAGTCTCACTCTATTGTTTTCTGCTTTAGGAAATATTGTTGCGACGAGACGCCAGCTCGCTCGCTCTGCTTTGGGCTATGCATGGAAAATATGCACAATGCGAACGGGATGTATGTTCTTTTCTTGTGCAGGTCGTGGTGTGGTGTGGGATGAAATGGGGTTTCGGTTCGCACACACACCTAGGTGAGGTGAGATGAGGTTGGCCGTGAGACGTTGTCAGCGACACTCCGGTTGTTGTCATGTTCGCCTTTTCTGTCTGCTGAAGAAGAGTCTGTTGGGCGTTTGGTTGCATTGTGATACTTTCGTTCTGTCGTTGGTAGAGACACGATATCCCGCCTGGCATGCTCTCTGTAGGCCTGATATCAACACACAAGATGCGCCACTGCTGGGTTGCGACTTACACATAGTACATACGGAGCACGCACCCCAGCAAGAACCCTACAGGCCGGTGGCGTCCCTGTTGGACCGAACCCACCCGGCGGCGGAGATTCCGTCGGTGGCGGCGAGCTAGGATCTATCACGATCCACTGCCGGGCGCGCACAGAAAGGTAATAAGGGCAAATAGAGAGTGCCCTTTCAACAATAATAGGTTACAGCTGCGACAGTGGTTTAGTGGTAAAATCCATCGTTGCCATCGATGGGCCCCGCGTTCGATTCGCGGCTGTCGCAAATCCGGGCTCTTCGGAGCGTTGTCCGTCTTCTTGTCTTGTCTTTGCTTTTTATTCTTTTTATTTTTACCCTTTTATTTTCTCGCAAGAATCTACCTTTTTGCACAGAGAGACAGACAACCCATTCTGCCAATTTCTATTAGGCAAAATTATCCACATACATCTCTCGCCATCTTATGAACCAGAGTCGATGAGAAAAATGTTTTTAAAGTCTCTGCCCTAGATACGGCCGACAATAAATATTTTATCACTCACTGCCGAGGAGAGCAAATCATAGTACGCGAAAAATATCAGTGTAGCCAAAATCTCTACCAACTTTAACAATAGACCGAGCGGGATTCCCTCGTCTCGCCTTTTAATCCTCAACCAAAACCACTGAGCAATGAATAGCAATCGCAACAGTAACAGTGACAAACCATACGATTGCTAACAAATAAATGAAGTACGTAGGATTAACACATAAGTAGTAATGATAAAAATAAATATATAGCAAGCGGACGAGGGCAACGTAAGATAGGTGGTTAATGATATAAAATATTTGCTTCCATTTTACCCATGAACATCCTTTCCACCCCTTTCATAGACAATCTCTATTGACCCCTTCCTTGCGGATCAAAATATACAAGCAAGCCTATTAATGAGAAGGACAAAAAGGAGGCAGCAGTAGCACCGCCAACCAATGCAGCAGAGGCCAAAAAGCCCAACGTTTTCCTGATTTTTTCCCTCTTTTCCCCGGAAGAAAAAATACAGACATAGAAACTGGGAGGTGAGAGAGTGGTAAAGTACTGCGTGCCAACCCGCCCAAACAGGGAGGCAGGCAGACCAAGTATTAAAGGACATAAATATGCAGCTAGAGCAGGACAGACAAGAGGCGGCGCGGCGGCGAGTTTAGTAAGGAGGCCGTAGTTCAGGACAAGGGAAAAAATAATAATAAGTAGGGTAGGGTAGGTAGGTAATAGTGGTAGTGGTTAGTAATCGTCCCAGTCATTATGAACCCAGCCTAACCCATCCATCCATCCATAACGATCCAACCCAATTCTTCACTCCTGAACCCCCCGATTTTTCATAGTCCAAAGGTTAAATTTGCCTGTCCGCAGTCATGCTATGTCGTTTCCCAGAAAGGAAAAAGGAAAAAAGACGAGAAAATAATAATAATAATAATAATAATAGCGATAGAAAAACAAAAGTGACTCCGGTACTCCGTGCTTTCCTTCCCCTACCTGCAGCGGGAAAAATAAACACGAAAAAAAGGAATAATTAGACAACACACTCACACACACAAACTCAGTGTCTCCCTTTTTTCTCTCACTCAAGACCTCGCCCGCCTCGCCACGCTCGGAACGCCCATGACCCTCTTAGCCGGTGCGCTAACGTCCCTGCGCTGGTCTTTAGCCAGAGCAACAGCAGCGGCGCCGTCAACGAGCTGTCTGCGGGGAGTGACGGCCGGGAGGACAGTGGCGGACTGCGAGCTGCGGACCGAAGAGGTCAACGAAGACGCCGAACCAGCGCCAGCACCGGCGGCGACGCTGCGGGCACGGCCGCGGCGCTCTCTAATCTGGGCCAGGGCCTGCTCGCGCGTCATGGTGGGCGTCAGGGCAGGGTTGTTGACGTCGAACGACGGTGTGTCGCCTGCGGCGCCGCCGGCGCGTGAGGGCGTGCGCTGCAGCTTCATGAGCCGCGCCGCCAGGTTCGGGTCCTTGTTCTCGTTACGAAGAGGCACTTTGGTCGTCGTGGTGGCGATGGTGTAGCACGCGGCCGCCGTGTGCGGGCGGGCGATGGCCGCGGCCGGCGGGGCCTTTGCGCGCGTTGCCGTTCGCGATGGCTCGCTGCGGTGCCCGGCGTGTTGGTATTGTTCTTGGTCGTCGTAAGCTTGCTCCTCGCTCGCCGGCGGCGCCGCGGCGGGGGGCTGTTGTTGTAATGGTGTGACGGATGCGTCGTCCTCGTCAGGCTGCTCTCCGGCGGACGAGTCCCGTGTCTCGGTGTCGAGACCGGGTCCAGGGGTGGTGGGGATGTTGAAGAGCATCGGGCGGGATGCTTGTTGGTGGGGTGCGTCGAGCAGGGAGAGGAGCGAGGTGCGCTGGTGTGCCAGCATGGCAAAGCCGGGAGGCTCAACTGACGGCGTGCGCGCGTACACGGGAGGGTTTGCGTCTGACGAGGGCGTGGCGGGATCGCTCGATGGCGATCCGGCCGAGGGAGAAGACGGGTCAACTGCTATCTTTGCAGTCGTCATGGTTTTCGGCGAGACTGCCGTCGTAGGAGAGATCGTCTTGAGCGTAGTTTCGGCCTCAAACTGCGAGACAGTCCGGAAGATGCCCTCGGCCGGGATGAAGATGGTGCTCCGTCTGGGCTGTTCTCGCTCCTCGCGGAGCATCTCCGTCTTTGACCGCTTTGGCGAAGGGGCGGCTGCTTCTATTGCTACTCCAGATGCTGCCGGCGCATAGGTCTCACTAAGAATGACCAGATCTCCAGCATCCGCAATCTTCAAGGGGCTAGCTCGACTCCGGCGCGGTCCATTGCTCGTGAGGCTCCGCCGCCCGGAGCGGGAGAAGGATTGGGCGGCAGGGCAGCACTTCATGTTGCACTCAACCTCGAGGAACTCGACAAGGTCGAGGGCGCGGTCGGCCCGCTGCCTCTCCCACTGCCAGAGCCGGGAAAGCTCTTCGACCTCGGCCTCGCTCGTGGCCGAGGACTTGATGTCAACTATGCTGGCTGACGATACGCGGGGTCGCTTCTTGGGGGACGCGAGGTAGTCGTCCTCGCTTCCCTCGCTGCTGGGCTCGGATGGCGGCAGGGGAATCCTGCCCTCGGCGGCAATGCGCGCAACGTCTTCCTCGTTCTTGGCGAGCATCTTGAATGCGTCCCGCTCCTGCTCAACCATCTTGATGCGCTCCAGGGCTTGGTCGAGCTGCTCCTGGAGACCAACGAGGCTGTAGCGCGCCGAGAACGCCTCTTGCTCGCGCGCCTTGCTGCGCTCCTTTTCGCGGTCCAACTCCTCCTCGGCAGCCTTCTGAGCTGTCCGGCACGACTTGAGTTCTTCCTGCATCTTCACCAACGAGCTCTGCGCCTTGAACGTCTCTTTGCGTGCGCGGCGGATCTCCTTCTCCCACAGGGCTTGTGTGTGAGCATGCGTCTCTTTGGCGCGGCCGTAGTTCTCCTGTATCGTTATTGATTAGCAAATCGCTAGTTAATGTGTCTCAGAGGGTTGTAACGCACCATGACCGTCTCGAGCCTCTCGCCCACGCGGCGCTCGCGCTCCTTGCCCTCGTCCACCTGCTTCTTGAGGGCTCTGGCTTCGTCGCGGTAGCGGCGCATCTCGCTCTCTGCCTCCTCACGCCCGAGCATAGCCCGCTTCAGGGCGGCGTCGGCCGTCTTGCGCTCAAGCTGCTTGGACTGCATTGCGAGAGAGTTGAACTGGTTGATCTTTTCGTGCACGGAGCTGTCGCGTGCATCGTCGGCGCCAGGGGCGGCGCGGCGGAGGGTGACATCTCGTTGCGCATTGTGCGAGACTGATTGCAGAGGTGTGTTGGCGCCGCCGCCCGGTGACCCGGGCAGACTCGACGAGAAACTCATTGTTGTCTTGTCGTCCACCAAGTTGCGTGTCGTTTGTTAGGTTCAGTCCGGGGGGGGGAGGGGGAGGGTAGAGAAAGGGTTATTGGGTGAGGCGTCGTCGCCGTAATAATGTCATGTAACTCGAGACTTCGGTGGATGGGCGCGGTGGTGCGCCAGATATTGAGTTCGTGCCGAAGACCTTATTTGCGCGCAGATCGGCGTGCTGATGACGGCAACACAGCATAAACACACGAATTGTGCAGCCGAAAAATAAAATAAAAAACAAGATTCGTCTTTGTTCGGACAAGCTGCCGCTCGGTGGGCAGAAGGTGCTCGGCCTAGTGTTCGCGTCGTGACGCGCGACTGTTCTTTAGAATAGCTGTTCAATTAATGATTCAGGGTTTCGGTACGCGGTTGAGATTGATGTATTTACCCTTCCTCTTGCGTGGTGGATCTGTGGTGGGGGCCACCAGGGAATGGGCTTGCAGGCGTCGCGGTGCCCAGGCCCTGAGTTGCTAGGGGCGACGCGCCCGCGAACCTAACCAGCACGCCGCAAGCGTTCTCGGGTAGCCCGAGCTTCTTTTGAGGGCGGGACAGCCTTGCGTTGACGAACCCTGCACGGTCCAATCAGCGGGCAGCATGGCTTCTGCAACGTCGTCAGCGGGGTGGTGCTCGATTGGGGAAGACGGAGCTCCGTTCCAGCATCCCACTTTCAGCCTCGCATACCTTACCTTAGCCGTTGTGTTGTGAGACATCTGGCAAATACGCCCCAATACGCTCTCGCTTGTCTTTGCTCGTCCTTTTCTTTTCTTCTATTTGTCTTGTTGCCGGCAGCTGGACTGTACAGTACACCCCGCGCGCACGCCTGTGTCCACTGCACTGTTCCAATCTTGCTTATTTCTCTATTCCGGTCCCGTCAACCGGTCCTCCCGCCATGGCCAACGACTCTTCGGCGGTCCGACGCAGAACGCCAGAAGAGACTGCGCTGTCCAAGGTGCCCGACGCTGCCGGACCTGTCGAGCCGGAGGACGAGAAGACAACAGCGTCGAAAGCAGCCATAAAGAAGAGCAAGCCTCGGCGTCCCAAGGCCAAGATCGAAGACGAAGACGACTACACCCCCTGGCTCGACGTGCTGCGCGTCATTACCTTTTTGTTCTTTGCCTCGTGCGGCTTGAGCTATTTGATCTCGAGCGGCGAGACCTTTTTCTGGGGCATGAAAGAGTCGCCCAATTATATGAAGCTGGACTGGTGGAAGAGCAAATTGGTGTGTTTCGCCTTTTGCATCCTCTTCTGTTGCGCCAGACACAAATCCAGAGAGAGTGACATTTAGGCCGCCGGCTAACCACTCCTTCTGATAATAGCGCGGCCCACTGTACCTGACGCCGGCCGAGCTGGCGGCGTTCGACGGTAGCGACCCGAGCAAACCCATCTACCTGGCCATCAACGGGACCATCTACGACGTGTCGGCAAACGCGCGCACGTACGGGCCGGGGGGCTCGTACCAGTACTTTGCGGGGTGCGACGCTAGTCGGGCGTACGTGACGGGGTGCTTCGCCGAGGACCGCACGCCGGACATGCGCGGCGTCGAGGACATGTACCTGCCGCTCGACGACCCGGCCGTCGACCGGCACTGGACGAAAGCGCAGCTCAACGAGCTGCGCGCCGCCGAGCGCGAAGAGGCCCTGCGCCGCGTCTACGAGGGCCTGCTGCACTGGGTCAACTTCTTCGCCAACAACAAGAAGTACCCCTTTGTCGGCTACGTCCGCCGCCCCGACGGCTGGCCCGGCACCGAGCCCGTGCGCCGCCTGTGCGACGTCGCCGCGAGCCAGCGGAAGCCGCGCGAGATTCCTAGAAAGGAGACGGAAGGTGCATGATTGTGCGTAAATAGACGAATCTGGTAGCAGGAGATGGGTTATTGGGGGTTTTTTTTTCATGTGAATAAAAGTTGGAAGTATTGCGCTGGCTATTTGCGGTCCCGTAGTTGCTCTTTCGATTAGACTAGGACACTTGTCGAAGCACATATTATAGGTGTATGGCTCTGTTGGAGCATTGTCGTTCAATTGTTTGACTTTTCGCTGTATCGCGGTGTGTACATGGTGATAGGTTCGCATTAGTGAGATCGAACTATGGAAGTCGATCCTCGAGTAGACGAAAGAGAAAACATGTCATAAGGTTTGTATGCACCTCCCAGTGCCTCTTCACCGAATGTTGTCTGGTACTTTTTCCCTCCACCCAGATGCCGAATAAAGCGAAAAGACGGAAAAGTTAATAACAAAATCAGTCAACTGAAATTTCATTTTATGTTCCTTGACATGGTAAAAATAGATAAGGTATAGTATAATATGTATAACACACGCTCCCCTCCCCGGTTTTTGTCCTTGGGTTTAAAAAGGAGGGGGGCGGATGGAAGTTGAGGGGGAGGAGCAACGTGAAATCATGTACAGGATGTCGTCGTTTCGAAGAAGAGAAAAAAGAATATAAAAAAAGCGAAGGAGACAACAAACGCCGCTATCAAGCCGCCACACATCCTCTTGTCGGTCGCTCGCAACCAAATACACACCCACGCGACCAGAGACAGAACCCCCACGGTGGTTTTTTTTACATCTCATAGAGCCCACCAGGCTCACTGCTCCCGTCTCTAAATAAACGAGGGAGCAGATGCAGCCGTCATCCAGCGGGACACACTGCTCAAGGCATCCGCCTGGCACTAGATTAAGATTTTCCCTTATTTTCTGCTGTCGCCCTGCTTCCCAGACAGGCAGAAAAACCGACAGGAGAAAAAGGCAGCTCAGTTGACCCCCACACCACTACTGCTGGTTGTCGTTCGCTCAGCTGATCACGCCCCACACGCCCCCGTCCATGCCGCGCTGGGCGTTTACAGGAAGAGGCTGGCACCAGCTGCCGCCGCGAGGAGCATATAGACGCTGGGCGCCGAGAGGAAGCCGGCGGCGCTGGTGGGCTGGCCTGTGGTGGCGCTGTCGGTGGTCGAGCCGGTACCAGTGCCGCCGGTCGTGGTGCCAGTAGTGCCGCCAGTCGTGGAGCCGGTGCCTCCAGTAGTGGAGCCAGTGGAGCCGGTGCCAGTTCCAGCGGAGCCGCCGGGCACGACGGTGGTCGCGCCCGCTGCAAGAGCCTTGTAGTTGGTAAGAGAGCGGCTCGAGTTGGCAGCGGTGCTGATTTGTATGTTAGCAATGATTTTCTTTCATCTAGTAATCCGGGGGAAAGATAAACTCACTTCTCGTTGATGACCATGGACATTCCCGACTCGCAATGCTTGCCCTGAGCGCAGTAGACCCAGATGGGGTTCGTGTTGTTGAGCATGATGGTGTAGGTGGGGATCATGCCCGTGGCGACGCTGGCGGCCGCGGGCTGGAAGCCCGAGTGGAAGCCCGTTATGTTGGAGTGCTGCGAGATGGGCTGGCACGGCGCATCAAAAGTCGACTGCGTCACCGTGTGGTTGCCGGCCACGAACTGGAACTGCACCATCTCGCCCACGAGAGCCGTGATAGTGCTCGGTGAGAAAGTCAGAGTGCCGTTCATACCGACTGTTACTCTGTGGATCACTTTTTCGCCGGTTGTTTGGGCTGTGCGAGTGGGTTAGTTAGATCGATCCCTCTTCTCCCATCTATCCAGTGACAGAGATTTCCATCAGCCGTGTCCATTTGAACATACCAGATGCCAAGCTCGCAAGAGCGGCAAGAGCGAGTGTTGAGAACTGCATCTTGAAGTGTGTGTGGTGTTTTTTTTTTATTTAATTTCCCTTTTTCCTTATTTCACTCCTGACAGAGATGGCGGACAACAGAGAAGCGGTCTCGGCGGAAATCGAGTGAGCGACAGTGTGAAGACAAAAGCGACTGGCGCTGTTCGAACAAGATAGCAAGCAGGACTAGCCTGGCGAAGATGAAAATAAAGCGAGACGACGAGCACCAAGAAGGAGAGAAAGGAAGGAAAGGCGTATCTGACGACGAGCGGGAGAATGGGAAAAGACGACTGGAAATGGAAGGACAAGAAAAAGAAGGCCAGGCCCGAGGTCTGGGAAACGGCATGAATATAAGTCGAGACGTCGAGACATGCCGGAGAGTAGGGATCGTCCAATGTTGCATGTAGCATTGCCCCCCTGTCGAAGCACCCGGAAGGGGAGGCTCTTGAGGGCCGGGGTGCGGAGGGCGACTTTGGAGAGGGTCCTTGAAACATGGCGACGTTTTGGCCACGCACCCCAGCGTCTGCGTCCTTGGCACGGGCACTCTGGCTGCAGCAGATCGTAAAAACGGGACTAGACAGACTACTGTAAAAGGAAAAGATGACTGTAAGACGGCTATCGTCTCCCTGCCCTCAGCAGCACTTCTGTTGCAGGGTCAACTCGCCCGAGCCCGAAGCCATACCGGCTCCAGCCTGTGTCTCCGTCTTGGGTCTCTGGGCAGTTTTTGCGGGTACGCATCACAGCTGTGGAGAAAAGAACTGCTATCACCTTACCTTCTAGCACCTATCCCTATCAATGAACAAGATTGACATGGACACGTACAAGGGCGGCCTCGCTCGCTCCACCTGGGGTAACCGCGTCGGGACGTTTCACCAAAATACTCCCTTTTACTTGGACAAAGCGAACTGCAGAGGAGCGAAGCCCGCGAGTCGTAGCCGCCCGGAAGACATGGCAATCCGTGCGTCCGGGCCGTTTTGGGGGGCGTGTAGGATGATGGCTTGGGGCTTGGGAGTTGAGATGGGACGTCAACAAGACGAGTAACCTGAGGTTCACACAGCAGTTAATACCTAACGTAAGCTGCGGACGGCCACGGCCATTTTAGCAGCCAGACGCGACACGACAGCGTTCCCCAGAAAATGCCAGGGCGGAAAGCCGGTGCGCAGCCGCTGACGCCGCAGCCACTGTTTTTTTTGTTTAGCTTTCGTCCAGTGCCCTGGGGCAGCCGGTGACAAGCCCGCGTCGACTGTAACCATCGTGGGCCGCAATCGAGGTTGGGTGGGCCGTTCGCGACGGTGGCCAAGGCAAATGGGCCGACGAGATTGGAGCAGCGCCGGCTTGGGGGAAGGGCTGGTGCACCGGACGAAGCTGAAGCCGAATTAAGGTTTGCGGTTGCAGGTGCTGCGCCGTCGCGGGCTCACTGGGTTCGCCAGGGCGGGCACGCGAGGGGACCAGGGAGGGGCAGGGGTTGAGCACAGGCGTCTGCGGCAAGCTGTGACGGCTATCAAACGGCAGCCGGTTTCAGCCCCTAGCCGAACCTGTTGCCGAACAAAAAGAACCCGGGTAGGCATGTCGCTGAAAGCCTCCCTCCACAAACGGCACTGACACCGACAGTCTCAGTAGAGCCTCTGGCGCCTGCCACGCAATTATTGTGCGACACAATCGCTGCCACGGTTCGGAGTAAAAGTAGCAGTCACACCACCTCGATGGATGGGTTTCCGCGCATCCATGTCCCTTGTTTCTCCAGGAACCCAGAACCTGCAGCTGACGACGGCGACGAGGGCTGTCCGTGCTCGAAACGATCTTGACGAAGTCTGCATGCACGATTGGAAGGCTAGCGATACACGCTATTCGCTGCTGGCGTTCATTTTAGCTGGTTTTATGCCAAGCCGTGACGTGCAGATGGAAGCCCGAAATGTCTGCTTCCCGCAAATGCATTCTGGCGTGGCGGGAGTGGAGATTCCCAAAATGCACTACTGTGTAATTCAGAGACGCTGCACTCCGCCAAACGCTACGCTGTCTCGGCCCTTCATCTCCATCGGCACGCGCCCAGGAGTCATGAGCTGTGTCGACTCGGCATGCTACGAAACAGGAGTCGACCTGATCAGGGGACTAGATGAATCTGAAGGTTGTTCGCTGAATCTAATCGTAGAATCAGGTCTAGCTCTAGTCGAGCTGGCTTCCTGGAGGAGACCGTTGTTGCTCTCCAGAGAAGTTGAAGAGCACAACCTAACCATATCCGAGATGCAGGAGTTTGGATGGTGAACCGAACTCGATGCTGGACTAGATAGCCACCCACCAGTGTCTCCGGCATAGTTGTCTTCGTCTTTGCTTGGCCTTTAGTCCAAGTTTACCAAAGACAGCAAACCGCAACCTCAACGTACATGCCACGTGCAGATCTCCCCGTTCCTTGTCCGGCCAAAGGCGAGCCCCAGATACCAGAACATCACAGTCTTGGCAAGTGCAAACACGTAGAGACGTTGTAAACGTTGTTTTCTGCCAAGAGATGATTTCCCTCGCTTCTTTTTTCTCCCCGCCGTGGGTCGTTCAAGTGTCAATGACAGAGGCAAAGCACCTGTCGGCACAATACTGCCGTTGGTAAATGGGCCCGTCCCTTGTACCGCATTGCATGCAGAGTCCATCAAACGCGATCTCCCCATGCCCCATGCCTGTGGGAATCAGCCGATGGCCCAAGAAGAGGCCAGAGGCCCACCGAGATGGAAAGGAGGAGTGGCTCGCTGGACGGGCGTACGGTTATCCGTTGACTGCGTGCCAAGTGAAGAGATCGCATCCCGATGGCACTGACGGTCGGGTGATTGATCTACGCGCGGCCAACCAACCCACTCCCGAACCACTGTTTCGAGGCTGAGCACGACGAGATGCGGAATAGAAGAACAGCGTTTCTTCCGAGACTCTGCCGTCGTCAGCTCCTCTGGTGACTTCTGGACTTTATTTCGCCCATTCCTATAATATGACCGAGTGACGCGTATACGATACAACGGAATATTCGCTGCTATGCCATGTCGACAGCAACGCGTCCGCCTCTCGAGTGAATGCCGAGGGCCGTATGATAATGCCGCCCATTTTCGAAGGCGTCGGCCATGTCCGCACTCTCTTTGAGGCACAATAACACCACCCTACCTGCAAACATTGTGTCTCGTTCATAGATCGAGTAGAAGCTGCGGCGCAACCTTCTCCAGATCCTCGACCTAATCAACAGCAAAAGCCACGTCAGCCAGCTGTCCATCTATGGGGAAAGCGGTTCCCCCGCGTGCACAGAGTAGAGCAGAGAGGAGCAGAAGGAGAAGCACAGGAAAGCAAAACTAACCTCCAAGAAACCGCTCGCTCTCTCGACAGCCGAGCGCGCTATGGCCTCGCGCACAAAGACGTCCATGTACTTTGCCACGGCCGAGTTGGCGTCTTTGGTGATGCGAGTGCCGTCGGCAGTGAAGAACTCGTGGAGCAGGCGCGTGAGCAGCTCCGGCGGAACAGTAGCAGGCTTGTCTTCCTCCTCATCGTCGTCTTCGTCATCTTGCCCGTCTTCCTCCTCTACATCCTCTTCTTGGTCTTCCTCGCGTGTCTCATTATCGTCGTCGTCGCCAGGTGCAATTTCAATGGGTGCTTCCGCCTGCTTGCTGGTCCTACTTCGCTTATTGGTCGCCGCTCCAGCAGATGCCCTTTCGCGAGAGGTGACAGAACCACCGCGGCTGGTAGCACCAGAAGTAGCTGAGCGCTTCGGATTGCTCCCTGCTTGCCCTCTCGAGGACTTTGTCACTGGTGGTCGAGGCATAGTTTGGTCAAACAAACGACGAATCCCTTTGGCCGTCAGGAGGGTAAATATGCCACGCGATACACTAGAATTGCAGAAGTGATCAGTGCATGGAGATCCGAGGTGTAAAGGTGAATTTCGAGGCAAAAGGTACCGGAGACGGAGACGCGACGCGAATGCCAAAGTTAATGCACGTCATTACGTAATTGCGCGCCTTCGCAATATCTAACCAACAAAGGCGCTTCAAGACAAGGAAAATACAAGCAGGCACATCATTGGCAAGAACGAGTTCTGGATGAGAATTAGAGTCTAAATAAGCATTCCCATTGATGTGTTGTACCCGTCATGGGGGTCTATCGAGTCGCATGCAAACAAGGAAACGGCCAGAGACAATCGTTCAAGGAAACCACCGAGAATGGCTCAACAGAATAAATTACAGCGGATGCCCGTGGCTTATTCAGCGTCCCAGAAACGCCAAACGTGCCCATGACCAACCCGCAACTACCACCACCACCCAACAGGCACGTAACCAGTGCCGGCGGCAGCAAACCCACACCGTCTATCTCCACTCCCAAGCTATCAGCCAAGCCCAGACAACCTGTTAACCGCCATTAACCTCCGACTTCCTCCAATTTTGTGGATTTTGTACAGTGGTTGAACAGATTTAGCCGGAGCCGCCCTTGAAGGCCTTGCCGAAGACAAGGACCTGGAGCTGATCATAGATGGAGAGCACACCAGCACCGGCAACACCACGAAGAATATTGGCACCGGCACCCTTGAAGAGAGACTTGACACCCTCCTTAGCAACAATCTGCTGGAAAGCATCGAACGAGCCCTTGTACTTGACGGCCTCGCCGGAGGTCATCATCATGCGACGGCGGACGGTGTCGAGAGGGTAAGAAGCGATACCGGCACCGGTGGTGACGAGCCAGCCGAGAGCAAAAGAGGCGAGGAAGTTGTTGGCGAGGGGACCGACGAGGACGACAGGCTTGATCGAATCGTACATGCCGAAGTAGAGACCACGGTAGACGATGATACCAGCGACGGAGGGACCGAAACCACGGTACAGACCGGCAATGCCATCAGAGGCGATGGTCTTGCGGTAGACATCAACAAGTCCGTTGAACTGGCGCTCGCCACCCTTCTTGGAAGACTTGGCGTCGTTGGCGAGACGGGTACGGGCGTAATCTAGAGAGTAGACGAAGAGGAGCGAAGTGGCACCAGCGGCCTACAGAAAGATCAGCTATGATATCGAGACGACCGCGACACGAGAAAACTTACACCACCGGAGGCGAGATTACCAGCCATCCACTTGGCGTAACCATCTCTCTCCTTCTTGTAGCCGAACATCTGCTTGAACTTGTCACGGAAAGCGAAGTTCAGGGCTTGGGTAGGGAAGTAACGGATGACGTTGGCGGTGTTGCCACGCCACAAGGCCATGACACCCTCGTCGGCAGTCGTGCGGCGGAAGCAGTCGGCGATGCCATTGTAGCGGCGGTCAAGACGGCCGGCCTTGATCATCTCATCCTGTGTGATTGTTAGCGGCCATATCGCAGCAGAAACATTAAGCGAAGGGAGGCGCGGTGCCAATTGCACGTGACAATGTGCAACGCAGTTGGTTGCACGGCGCGGCTCGAGCGCTGGAAGAGCTCTATCCCCTAGGGGAGCTAGAAAATTGATACTGAGATGCTTGGAAAACGTACCTGGTTCTGGACGAGGAGCTTGATGCGCTCGATGGGAGCAGCGGCAGTCTTGGAGACAGCGGCCGAGACACCGCCCACTAGAGTCCACAATCAGCACATGATATCATCATCGAAAGGCCGACAGCCGGTGCGAGCGAACAGCCGCGCATCAATCGCCGGGATGATCGCGTCGAGACTGGAAGCCGCAGAGCGAGCGATAATGGTTCACGTACTCAAGAAATCAATCACGAAGGGCTGTGCGAAGAAACGGTTAGCTCGTTGTCCAAGATTGCCGTGCCGTGGGGGATGAGCAAATTTTTCTACCGTGTCCGGAGCTTGCAATCGTGCCAACAGGCGCCAACATCATCACGACAACCATCGACAATAGCGATTAAGGCCAATTGAAGACAGCGATGGTGTTGACGCGGCATAGCAAGCTCCGAGACAGGTGTCGCGATGTTGATGATGGAGCGAGGGAATTAGGAGCTGGGTGTTGGCAATTGCTTACCGGCATCCCCATGATTCTAATGTCATCGCGGTTGGCCATTGTGCCTTTCTTGGTGATCGAATACGATCGTGAAATATAAAGAAGGGAGTGGAGATGTGAAGATGGCCAAGCTCTGCGGACGAGAGTCTGGGAGAGATGGAGGAAGTCGAGAGAAATAAACTCTTGACGGTTTTGGGGAGAGGGAAAAAAATTCGCAGTGTTAAGGAAAGAGACCAGCTTTTGAGGAGCGACTCTTCCCGGCCCTTGTCGCGCTAGCGCACGGACTCCACGGCAACAGCTGGACGTTGGCTTTTCCGGCCTGGGCTCCCAGCGACTTTTGCAGTGCTTGACGGCACGGGCTGTGGCGCTAAAAGATTTCTGCACCGCAGCACTGGCCTCAGTTGCCGGAAAAGCCCGAGGCGTCTCCAGCACCCTGCGGCTTGACAAGAACATCGGCCTGGCGGCCAGATTGCAGCGGGATTGCACCAACGAAAAAAAGCCGCTCACATGCTTGCAGGTGTCACTCGTAACTTTAATTTATTTGCGATGCGACATCCGCGCATCGCACCCGCCGTTTTCGATGGCATCCTCGTGATGCATTTGGCTGCGCTGGAATCAAATTCCGCATCATTCCATGAATGCTTCAATTCCCATTCAAGACCCCCCACACTTGAAGTCTTTGTGTGACAGAAACCGATCCCGACCCTGATGCGTAAACCTCGGTGGATCGCCGCCAACCTGGAACTTTTCTAGCCTCGCTCGGCTGAAAGAAAGGTTCCATGGTTCACTTCCCGGGCCCTTTTTTGTCATTAGCCTCGTGTCCAGTGGGGACGGGCTCCATTGCGAAAACTTTTTGATACTCTGTTGACTCCAACTCCGGGGCAACCAGTGTTTTGCAACCGCCGTTGAAGGCCAGGGAGCCCCTATTCAAGGAGTAATGGCATTGCTGTTCCACTGTGCCCTGTGGCTGCGAGATTGGATTTCGGAGCCATTGCCGGGGCGAAAGGCGAGTCGCGACAGAATTGTTTGCCAAGTCTCTCCTCCGGGTTTTGTTCTCGGGTGCCAAGGGTCACGAAGCAACCGCGGCAGCAAGGTATAACTCTCCGAGCCAGTCCCCGAGTTGTTGATATCAGCTCCCAGTTATGCATCTTGGTTGTCACTGCATTCCTCGCCTCAAAATGACAAAATAGAACCTCCCTAAAGAACAGGCCGTGCCTAAACTACAGCACCTGCTCTTTAGTCGGCGTAAACCATTCACCTTTGACCCTAAACATTCTAAAAGTGCTTGGTTTGTCGGTGATCTACCAGAATTCTCTGAAAGTCTCGAGAGCCGGTCAGAAGCATGTTGCGGATAATAATCAAGACCATGCCATTCAGCTTCTGTTCCATTGAAAGATATCAGTTTGTTCTATTGCTATTGCTTCCCCGTGCCTAGAGGGTGAATATGAAGGAAACCATAATATAAACAGTCAAACCGTCGTTGCTAGCTACTACCCTAGCCAAACATTGCACTTGTCTTGTCATTGATGGAGTCTCAACTGACTATGCATAAAGACTCGCTGTACGGAGTATCTCTGCAGCACAGCACTCTGTGGAATGGCTTTGCAAGGACGCAAAATTGACAAAGCACGATGCCTGGCATGGACAAGGTCTATTTCTACCTCACTGGATGGATGCCACGTCCCGAAGCGAGAACGTATGGCCACACTCAAAGACAAAGGAGCTGTGCACTGGGGCCGGTAGTGGTCTTGATGAATGCCCATTTGGAGGGACGAGGAACCCAAAGGTTCGTCTTTGCTATCGCAGACCAAGCCAGGCGCGGATACGGGTCTGGCATCGTACTCGGCACGCCCAGCAGCAGGCGGTTCGGGCCGTCTTGGTTCGTTATCTTGATGCCATTCCAGTTCTTCAGAGAATATGGAGCACTTCCGATCCCTATGCTACACCTGTGCGGAGAAAATGATCATTCCCAGAGACGCAGACCCATTGTCCGAATTCCAACCGTAAACCCCAGCAAACCGCCATCACAAACATTGCAATCCTGCCCTGGCCATGTCCGACCAAGATTTTGCGGGATGATGAGTTTTATTTAGTCGGCTTGGGCAATGGCACGAGCTATCAATGCATGTTAGCATGTCCTATGCGCTCCTGCTGGCCTCTGCAGCGGTGTAGAAGACAGAACGTACTGTAGATCTTCATCTTGCTGTGCCCGATAACTTGCTTGATCTGTCCTTTCTCCTCGAGGTCCTTGAGGCACTGGCGTGCGAGCGAGCCGTTGATCTTGAGTCTGTCGACGAGCGTGGCGACCGTTACGAGGCGGTAGGACTGGACATCCTTGTAGAGCTTGTCGGAAGTGGCCTTGTCAAGGAGGACGGCGTGTTGCGCCTTGTCCTTCACTTTAAGAGAGCCAAAGTCAGCGATTCTGCACACCTGGCCGAACCGTTTGGGCGTATGCAAATTGGGCGAGCAATTCCTTACCCTTTCCCTTGGACCACTTCTTCTTCTGCTTCTTCGCACCAGCTGCTGCGGGTGCCATTTTCGATGATTGCTCTGGCGGTTTGATAGAGGTTGCGTACCGGTGGTCTCTGCTGCGAAGGCGGGGAGATTTTTCTGACGAAGTCGCGCTGCACGGAGCTTAGGTCAACCGAGCCCTAAGAAAATGCCGCGCTGTGAGTGGTCGGGTGGCAGCCCTGCCCATTTCCTGCGGGGCCACCAAAAAATTCACGAACACCAGAACACACTGACACTGTGAGCTACTCGACTTTCCGCCAACTTCAATCCACCACAGCCTCACGGTTTCGCAATCAGTCACTAATCTCAAAATGTCTGACGGCGAAGTCGAAGTCGCGGCCTCTGGCTACGAGGTCCTCCCCAAGGAGGTGAGCGTTGAGATTGGTAGCGTCAAGCTCTTCAGTATGTCCGACTCGTTTTCCGAACCCGTGCACCGAGGCCGTGAATGGCTGCATCGCCGCCAAACGCACCAGAAAAGAATTCGCAAAATACCCGCTGCACGAGCTAGTTGCTGACCGAGTTGCAATTACAGACCGTTGGAGCTATGAGGACGTGGAGATTCGCGATATCTCCTTGACGTAAGGCCGCCCTTCCTGGAGATATATCGAAGCCTGGCAATTACAGAGGAAACTTAGGAAGCCGGAACTTGCTGGGATAGGAGGCTAACGGTCTTCTGCTGCAGCGATTACATCCAGATCCGCTCCCCCGTATACATTCCTCACTCCGCCGGTCGCTATGCCGTCAAGCGCTTCCGCAAGGCCAACTGCCCCATCATTGAGCGTCTCACCAACTCTCTGATGATGCACGGCCGCAACAACGGCAAGAAGTTGATGGCCGTCCGCATCGTTGCCCACTCCTTCGAGATTGTGAGCTGCATTCCTTGCTGCGACGCTTAACCAACCGAGTAGCAAACAGTGGAAGTGTCTCGTCTCTAACTCTGTTGCAGATCCACCTCATGACCGACCAGAACCCCATCCAGATTGCCGTTGACGCCATTGTCAACTGCGGACCCCGCGAAGACAGCACCCGTATCGGTTCCGCCGGTACCGTCCGGAGACAGGCCGTCGATGTGTCGCCTCTACGCCGCGTCAACCAGGCCATTGCCCTGCTCACAACCGGTGCCCGCGAGGCGTCGTTCCGCAACGTCAAGTCGATTGCCGAGTGCCTTGCTGAGGAGCTGATCAACGCTGCCAAGGGAAGCAGCAACTCGTACGCTATCAAGAAGAAGGACGAGTTGGAGCGTGTCGCTAAGAGCAATCGGTAAAGGGTTGTTTTGGAAAGCTTGCCGCGGCTGCTTGGCAGCGGTGGTGGAAGATGTCTTTTCGTCGGGTCGGGGCGGGAAGCACACGGTTTTTTACAAAGGCATGTTTTTCAAGGGTGCATCTGCGCGTTACGGAACTGGTGGAATCGGTTTCCACACGGCATTCTTGTCAAACAGGCACGAGGGCTCTCGCTAAATTGAGAGAAAACCTGCAAATTCTTTCGACACAAGCGAGGAATACCGCCCATATCATGATGTTGTGACGGGATGGTGAATGTGTCATGCTCACGTCTTTTCTAGTCTGCTTTGAGATACCGGCCGTCGTGATTCCATGACGAGACCTAAAATTTCGCGGTACGCGGTGCTATGTCCCTTTTCCCGTCCTGTCTATCATCTCTATGACCTGTACGGGTTATGTACCGAATGGAAAACAACCGAATGAGATGTCATGCCAATGAGGTCTAGGCTTGCTTTCCTCTCTCTCAGCCCTGCTCTCTCAGATCTGGGGTGGACTCGGCTCCAGGGTAAGGCGCTGGAACATGCCAACATGGGGGATACCATCCTCAAGCCACCTGCCCATCTTCTTGTCGACGGCGAAGCCGGCCTTCTCCCAGAACTTAACGGCGTCCTCTTGGGCGTGGCAGCACAGCAACCCCCGCCACTTGAGCATGGGCACCTCGCCGCTCATCTCGCCGCCTAGGTGGTCTAGCCCCAGCGCCGCTACGCTCGGGTTGAAGTAGTTGCCGTGCTGTGCGGCCCACCCCAAGGCCGCCCGCACCAGCTGCCCCGCGATCCCCCGCCCGCGGAACTCTTTGAGGACGGCCAGCCGCCCCAGCTTCACGTACAGCTCCGCCCCGTCGTGGAACTCGGTCGCCTGGTCCCGCCCGAACAGCGGCCGCGCGTGCCGCTCCAGCTCGTTGGCCGTCAGCGGCGCCACGGTCTCCCCGTCGTTACCGTTGCCGTTGGCGGCTGACGGGTCCCGCTGACCTTCTTTGGAGACGGGCGCCCCCGCGTTGGTCAGCTTCCAGTCCGCGTACACGCCGCCGTTGCGCGGGTGCGGCGGGTGCGGGAACGGCACTAGCCGGATCGTCCCGATCGGCAGCGTGCGCGTCTCGCTGCGCTGCCGCCCGCTGCGGTTGAGCTCGGGCAGCCCGTTGTCCTGCTGGTGGTGGTGCTGCTGTTCTTCTGCAGCTTGGTCTTTGCTTGGTGTTGGCGGGCTGTCGTGGGCGGGCACCTTGATGTTGACCGAGGCATAGATCACCCAGTGGCTGGAGGGGTGTTAGTCAATTTTTCTTTGTTTTCGATTTACTTCCCTTCATCTCTACGTAGCTGGTAGGGTGTGTGCTATACCGTTGGAGAAGGTTGTGGTGTGGCTAGAGGTGACGGGCAGACAGGCAGGTGGGGAGGACAAAAAGGGGGGACGTACCATGACCGGCTGTCGTCGAGATCAAACTCGTTCTCCTGGGGCACGCCCTGTTCGGTGACGTAGACCTGCTCACGCACTTCCATGGCATCGAGGAAGGTCCGGGGGAGCGAAGCGCTGGCGGGCTGCTGCGACGAGGGCAGCGACCTGTCCCAGTTGAGCAGCGTGGGCTCTAGGAGGGAGATGAAGGGTGTTCCCATTTTGTTCTCTGTGATATGTGTTTAAGTGTGGTTTGGCTTGATGGATCTTGGATTCTGGATTTTGGTGATATTATGCCAACCTTTATGGCGATGCAAACAGTGATGGCGGGGCTTGGTGGTTGCCGGTGGAGGTGCGTAGACGGCACCTGTAGTGCGGCGCCGGTTGGAGATTACCTTGGATACCGGCTAGCGAGAAGGTGCAGGTAACGAGAAACTTGTGGCCACGGCCGTATTTCGTTTTGTCTTGGACGCCTTTCTGTTCCGTGTTGAAGACACAATTATACGAATATCTTGGCGGGGGTGGAGGCCGATGAGGCGAGCAAGTGAGTCAAGTTAGTTGAATCAGAGGAGGCTCGGAGTCACCGGACCGTGCGATGCAGTGCAGATCTGTCAGCCAACCAGGGCAGCGCTGTCTCATGTACTGAGAACGAAAAGCGGAATTCTGCAAGAATGTCGACGCTGGAGTGAGACAGGATGCAGTTGGCAGCTTGGCTTGTTGCGCGGCCAGACAAAGACACAGGACGCCGTGCTGATCTTTGGCCTCGTCGGTTCGTGCCGATCCGCCCCGGGCCTGACAGTCGTTCGAAAGATGGGGCAAGGTCGGCGGTGTCGGGTGTGCTGGTGGGGTTGCCTTGTGCGGTTGTTCGGGTGGATATCCGAGTGCTGGGGCTCCATTCCAGGCTGACTCCCGGGCGGGTGTCGACGGCACAGGGCTTCAAGATAGGGGGTCGAGCTCGGAATTACAGGGCACTAGGTTGATGACCGCTGTGGCTGGCACTTACACGGCTGCTGTGCGTAATTTCCCCAATTTAAGGTTGCTGTCGTTTTCCCGACCCCTCCATCCACACCACCAAACACAACACAGCGTCTGTCTTGGACGCCACCCTGGACGCCACCCTGCAAAGAATGATCGCCCGAGCACAAGTACGGTATGTACGGGATGAGGGTAGGCAAATGCGATGTCTTACTTAACTTCAAAATGACAATCCCCGGCCGAGTCTAACATAACTTTATGATACTTGAACGGCGTTTCGTAGGTTCGAGTACGAGAACCGATACCATACCCCACCCCCCAACGGATCACCCTGGCAGTGGATCACCCTTTTACACTAAAACACTACATCTTTTAACAATAATAGCGCACTCAATTGTAAAGATATTTACAAGCCAAATATAACAAAATGTAGAAAATTGACTATTCAATCCATATATCTTGCTGGCATACGAAGTGTACGGCCAGATCTTGTCAGCCTTGTAGGTAACTCCTCTTCTTCAGCCTCTTCGTTAGCCTCATCTTCATCATCCACCTCTTCAATCTGAGGCTCTGCTTGAGGCTCTGCTTGAGGCTCTAGGTACATGCCGCCCCGTTTCGAACCTGGATGGAGAGGACTTCGCAACCAATAAGCCTGGATTCAGAGCTGCAGATCTAAATATACTACAAGCTCTATCTTTGCCACCTGCCCCAAAAAAGAGCCCTAGTCTGGGATTCAATCGCTATTCTAGTCGCTAAGCTTGCTCTCTCTTGACTCTTTTCTCGGTTGCTGGGATATGATGGCCGTCCCGGTCGCGAAGCTTCCTCTTGATTCTTTCCTCGGCTACCCCAAACCGCGCCTCGTCTAATATTGTGAGTTCCTCCGGTGGTGACCGATCCTTTGGCCGCTTCGGAAGATTCTCATGCTATATCTCCCCGCGATCCTACATCTTACAATCACAGAGCCCCGCTCTAGCCTCAGCCTCCTGTACCATTTCGTAAAGTTGAGAAAACGAAATAGTAATCTCCCCGGGGACGTCATCGGTTCCGGGGCAATTAGGCCAGTGCCCAAAATCTTTGAGCCCGATACGAAGGATCCGTTCCCCATCGACCAAACTACCATCCGCTGCCCGAAAGATAGCTGTTTCCGTCTTAGCTACTTCAAGTGCGGCTTCCCCATCTTCCTCAATATATCTTGGTCGCCATACAGTAATGCTGGCCTCTTTTCCCTTCTCCTCCCGGTTTTCAATATCAACCCCAATAACGACGTTAGTCTGCCCATTTAAACCTAGGATATACTCATCTACAAGGAATGGCAAATCATATCGTTCTTATGAATAAGAGACCTCCAAGATACACATATTTCCCCCGTATCTTCGTACGTAAACGACCCGTCTGGGCAATGGGAACCATCATTCCTCTTAATCTTGAGACTTCCTACTGGGTATACGCCCCGAGCGAAATCGGCAGCGACTTGGTCGTTACCTCGCCGTATATCGATCAACTACTCTATAACTAGGCTTTTGAATGCTTCGACAACCCCTTCGTGGATAGTGCCCGCCATTCATAAGACGAACTTGGCGAGCTAAGGGAAGTAGTCGTACCTAATCAGACGTTAGCCAATGTAATGCTGGATAAGGGGTAGCTGGACGAAGAGGGGTAGAGAGATAGGGGGATAAAGGGATAGGCTACCTACTCTGGCTAGCGGTAGTCCCCTTCGGCTTTGAAACGCGCCTCGAAAGCCTTGAACTCGTCGGGATTGGGGAAGACGCACGACCACTCCTCTTCGACCTTGACCCGGCCACAGATGCGATTGCGAATTTCGGCGATAATCTTATCGACACGAGAGGCCGGTAAGCTCACGGATGGTTTGAGGGGGAGCCGATCGAACTGGGCGGCGATTGCTTTCTTGCTATCCATATAGGCGGATGGATGGCTGATGGAGATGGAATGTTGGTGTAGAGCGATTAGTGTTTTGGGGTGCCGAGGTTAGGGGGTCCAAATTGACTACGGTATTGTTGTTTAAAAAGGGAGAGTTTTGATCCGTTGGGGGCCAAACCTAAACCCAAAATTTGAAGCGGCACAGGGAAATTATATCTCCCGGTGGTGTAGAGCGATTAGTGTTTTGGGGTGCCGAGGTTAGCGGGTCCAAATTGACTACGGTATTATTGTTCGAAAAGGGAGAGTTTTGGTGTAAAAGGGTGATCGTGATCCGTTGGGGGGGGGGATTTTCTACACTACAAGGCGCCAACACGGACACCATACCCCTAACCCCTATTTGGGCCTCGTGGCGGTCCCTACGTGTGATCGCTACCCAAACATCGAGTCTCCCATTTCCGAGGGCACATACGACGCAAGCACGGTGCCTAGCTCGTCGTCAGCCTCGGCCTCGGTCTCCCAGTCGGAGTCGGGCTTCCACTTGAGGTAGTCCTCGGCAGACTGCTCCTCGTCCTCGGCCGGCTCTGGAAACGCGCCCGGGGCCGACACACGCACCATGCCGTTGTTAGAATCCGCTCCTCGTCGGCTGTCTAGTGATGGCAGCGCAGTCACAGGCGACAGCCCCGACCGCACAGCGACAGGCGCCCCCTTGTCGCTGTCGTTGTCATCATTGTGCTTGTCGTCGCCGTCGTCGTCAGGCAGCGGCGCCGCCAGCGCGCGGCCGAGGGGGTGTGTGAGGATGCGGCGGGCGTCGAGCACGGAGAAGGGGACGCCGGTGACGGGGTTGCGCATGGTCACGCCGTCGTCATCACTCTCACCATTCCCATTGTCGTCAGCACTGCTCACCTCGGCATCGGCCTCGAGCTGCGCCACCAGTTCCGCCATGTCCCACGCGAACCCGTCCTCCGACGCCAGGAACCGCTCGCGCGGGATCAAGGCCACGGGCGCCTCGCCGCGGAACGTGAGCGTATTGACGTACTGCCACCACTTCCGCGGCTGCTGTCGCCTCTTCCTTCTCTGCTGCTGTGCAGTGTAGTCCTCCTCCTCGTCGTCCTCCGCCTCATCCCAGTCCTCCCACTCTTCACCGGCACCACCATCCCCAGCACCACCATCCCCAGCACCACCATCCCCAGCACCACCATCCCCAGCACCACCATCCCCAGCACCACCATCCCCAGCACCCCCCACAGAGCCAACACCAGAAACAGAAGAGACCAGGGACGACGCTAGTGGGAACAACGTCTCGTGCTCAAAGTGCATGACGGCGTTCCCGCACGCGTCAGTCAGCGCGGCAGGCAGCGCCGCCGCCAGCAGCTCGGCGCGGTCCAGCACGCACTGCCGCAGCGACGAGACAGGCTCTTTCGGCGCGCCTTGCCGTGCCTGCGGAGATGATGCCCGCGCCCACGCCAGCGCCGCGTCCAGGTCCGCTATCAGCGCCGCCTGCACCGCAGCGTCCCTTCCAATCTGCGCCTTACTGTCTTCAGCAAGTGAAAATAGCGGTGATGACAGGGCGGCCACCTCGCGCGCCACGGCTCGCGCTGCCCTCAGCGCCTTGCTATCGCTGCTGCTGCTGCTGTCGCCGCCGCCGCCGTTGTTGTTATTGGTGGTCCCAGTATTGCTGCCGCCGCCCAGCTGCCCTGCTAGCAGCCCTTGTAGCGCGGCGATTGCTGCCTTGTCGTCTTCGTCGTCGTCTTCAGCCCCCTGGCCGCTGCCCTGTAGCACTTGAATCTCGGCCAGCAGCGACCGGGCGCGCGCCTGCAGCTCGCCGTGGCGCGCGGCGAACTGGCGCTCGACGCTGGCGCGGTAGTCATCGCTGCCGATGCTGGATTCTTGCTGTTGCTGCGGCGGCTGGGACGGCGACCAGGGGATATCAGTGCCGGCGGTAGTGGAGGAGGCGGTCGGCGACCGCGCTCCGGCTGCTGATCCTAGTCCTGACCCTCCCGGTGAGCGCGGACTCTGCTGGCGGACGGGCAGAGGCACGAGCATGGGCACGGGGTAGCGGGCCGAGTTGCCTGTGGCGGTTGTGGCGGTCGTGGCCGTGCGCGTCGGGGTGAGGTGTACGCCGCCGCCGCCGCCAAGGCGGGTCGAGGCCGACGTGGAGGCTGTCGAGGCTGACAGCAGCGACGACGCCGCCGAGATGCGCCGGCTCTGGTGCGACGACGACGTGTGTCGCGTTGGTAGGTCGTGCTGCTGCAGAGAGAACGGCCGCGCCGAGGCCGGGTGCAGCGACGAGGGCGATGATAGTGACGCGGTTGACAGTGGCGCCGGCGGGCGCCAGCCGGGGTCGTCAAAAGGCGACGCCAGCGGCGGCAGGTTGACGCTGCTGCTCCGGGTGCTCCCGGTGGTACTGTTGCGCGCAGGGTACGGGGAGGCCATTTTGGTCTTTTGGCCCCTTTTTGATTTCTTATTGAAGCGTCCTGCAACGAGTTGTTAATGTCGCTCCCGTCATGCCAAATGACCACACACTCCAAGTCAGGGGTGTGATACCAGCTCAAAGCACAACTCACAAGATCTGATGTGAATCAATCCCCAGCTCAGCTCACCCTGCAGCCTTGCGATGCGATGCGATGCGTTGTCTAGTGTGTCGGTTCCCGAGCACGACAAAAAGGGGCATATAAACTCGGCAAAAGTCAATGAGCATCACCTCAACACCGCGGGTGTGAGAGGATTGCTACTGGCTTTTCAACACGGAGAGCCATGGATGGGGATTGAAGGCTGGCATCCCCATGTTGTTAAAGCTGAAGCTAAAGCTGCAGCTGCAGCGGCGGGGGTCGGGTCGGCATAGTTGGCCGCCACCAAAGTAGGCAAGGCAGGCTGTCAGAGCCTCGCGCAGAACGACAAAAATATGCCCAACTCCTCGCTGCGATAACTCACTAGCGAGTGGGCTGAGCATTGGGTCATCTCTTGACTTGCAGTGCAGCTCAGCTTTTTCTTTCGGCCATTGAGGATTGCGCCATATCAGCTTTGACTTTTTACTTGTCTTGTTCATACTTCTTTTTCTGCTTTCAGTTTCTTGCTCGGACCGCTCTGCGAGCCCATCCATCCAGTGATGTCAAGGGGAAACCCCGCCGCAGCCACTGCAGTGTCCCCCCTCCACACGAGTCCTTTTGTCGCCCCTTGTTCCACAGCAGTTCTCACCGCTGCATCTTGTGAAGCGTTGTACGGCAGGTGCAGGCTCGGACGATATCTCGAGTTGCGAGTTGCGAGTTGTCACTTTTTCGCTAGCATCACCTTTCTTCTTTCGACTTTGTGCATCATCGTGATCAGTCAATTCTCATATATCATTTTCGATATATATCAACAAGAGCTTTCTAGCAATACACGAGAATATACGGATGACCTGACTCCTCCCAGTCTTTTTCTTTTTTTTACCTTTTGTCTCACGCGAGCTCGGCCTCGATGAGACCCTCTTCGGCGGGGCCGTGAGTGTGGAACTTGATGGCCTTGAGCCCGGCGGCGGCCAGCAGGGCGCGCCACTCGTCCTCGGTGCGCTCGCGGCCGTTGAGCAGCGCCATCATGTTGACGTCGAGCAGCGCCGGATACAGGGGCACGTCGCGCGGGACGAGCACCCACTCGAAGATGAGCAGCTTGGAGTAGCCGGGCGCCATGGCGGCGGCGATGCGCTTCATGATGTCGACGCAGCGGTCGTTGGGCCAGTCGTGGAAGATGTTGCGCATGTAGTAGGCGCGCGCGCCCTTGACGGGCTGCTCGTCGAACATGTCGTGCGGCTGGCGCACCACCTTGGCGTCGAGCTGCTTGATGTTGGCAATCACGGGCGGCAGGTCCTGCAGCACTAGCTTACCGGGCGCGTCGGGGAAGGCGCGGCCAAACGCCTGCACGTCGTGGCCCTCGCCGCCGGCAATGTCGATCAGCAGCGCGGCGTCCGGGTCGTCGGCCCGGGCGCCGTCGAGCACGATGCTCTGGGCGTCGAACTTGCGGAACCAGTCCTCACGCGTCTCGAGCGAGCCGGCCATGAAGGCGTTGAAGTTGGTCATCATGGCCGGGTGCTTCATCAGGTACGGGAACATGAGTTCGTCGGTGGCGTTGCTGTCCTGGAACGGGCCCGGCGGCCCGTCGACGTGCTGGAACCCCGTCTTCTCGAGGAAGCGCGGCATGTTGGCCAGCGACCGCGTCGCCAGGTCGAACATGAACTGGTAGCCGCCGATGAGGGGTGGCGCCGTCAGCAGCTGCGAGATTGGCGCCGACTCGTACGTCGACACGCCGACCTCGCGGAAGATGCCCAGCGCCGTCAGCGGCCGCATCATGCGGATGATGAGCGTCTCCGACGCCCCCGTGCTCTCGGCCAGCTGCTTGGCCGTCTTGGCCTTGCCAGCCGCCACGAGGTCCGTCAGGACGCCGCTGCGGATCATCACCATCAGAGCGGCGGGCGCGTGGGGCTGTAAGAGTCGTGTTAGACATGTCTCCCGGATTAGACTGCTCAGGGGCTAACTTGCAGACATGATCATCCTCCAGATGGTGTCCATGGGCGTCTCGACCTTGCCCATGGCGCCCTGGATGACGTTGAAGAGCTCCTTGCGCGAGCGCTCGTCATTGGCCACTTCCTTGTAGATGGCGTCGATCTCTTGGGCAAGAGAAGCGATGCGGGCCTCCGCAGTGGGAGCTGGAACACTACCCATCTTGGCGGTTTTCAGGTGGTAACGAGCTGGGGGGGGAGGTGGTAAGCGGTTCTAACCGGCGCGGCGGGTAAGCACTCTGTTCTGTATAAGCGGCGGGGGACTAGGGATGATGATGATGATGATGATGATGATGACAGTCTCGGGAGTTGTGAATGGGCCTAGCCTTGCTAGAGACCAAGAGTTGAGAGGATTCCTGTTGCGGCGCAGAGCACGAGCTTATAACCAAGTTGCGCTACTGACGCGGCAAGCCCGGACAACTACGCTCCAAGACAAAACACAAATGTTGCGAGAAAATACGACCAAACCGGCCATGAAAGCGAGTGGCATGTCCGCCGTTCGGCTCACCTTCTCTGGTTTGTCCTACGCCATAATCTCTATTGCGCCGCATGTTCCGTGTTTTGACAGATAACCACCTACCCGATCGAGACGGCGCCGGTCGGTGACCGCAGCCAACAAGTCCGATCTGAACATGCGTTATGTGCATTATCAACAGTGTCTGCCCATCGAACCACGGCCGGAGCTACTGATAGCTGCCTCGCCACATGCAGGCCTGGGGCGTCTTGGCTGTTTATTCGTCATTGACGACCAGTCGTAGGATTCGTGTGTGGCGCATTTGCCCCGGATATATAACGGCGGCAGCCCGGCAAATGTGCTGGCGGGTGCTGCCTTGGCTGCGGTGCCGCGAGCCTACATGCGGTACTCTATAACGACCCCCATATCTCGGGCCCGAGGCTGGACCGGTTTCCGGCGTGTGCTGCTGCAGTTGCCGTATGCAATTGCAGGTTGCAGTACCTACCCTCCCCCCTACACAACAGCCCCAGCGTGCTGTCCTTTCGTACTGTACATACATACAACTGGCCGGGAGCCTCGTAAACAACCGCCCCCATCAAAAGACAGCTAAACATGTTAGTCCGTCCACCCGGTCAGCAGTCAGCCGTTCAACCAACCCCCTGGCACCCGGCCACCCGGCCACCCTCACTCGGTGCTTTTGATACAGTAGATATGTAATACCCCCCAAAACCCCCCAAATACCCCCCAAACACCCCCCCAAAGGAACGCCGTTGTATATTTATTTATATCATCTGCCCACACACCCGTCCATCCGAGGATCTCACTCATACACATCTGGGCCCTGAAACCCGCCGAGCCGCAACCAGCGCACGTCCCTGGCACAGCAGTCCCTTGCCAAAGTGCACGTTGCCTGGTTTTTATATGGCGAGATACATTATCGTTGTGTATTTGTCGTTTCGTGCCGAGCAAAGGAGCGAGGATGATCCGAGGGAGAAGACGGTAGTATATTGGCCGGAGGAGGGACACGGTGAGATCAGGTAAACGAGTCGGACGGATTATCCGGCGGCGTCGGTCGGTCGATCGACCTGCCTAAGAAGGCAGCGAGGTAGCGAGGAGAGGCAGAGAGGCAGGCAGAGAGGTAGGCAGAGAGGCAAAAGGCAGAGAGGGGAGAGCAGAAGCATATATTCCCCGGCCCACGCCGCCAGCTTAGTTGATCCCATTCTGGGATCGGATCCGCAGGCTGCAAACCGCATTCACTCACCTCTTGGACCCCAGGCTCCTTCACTGTGAAGTCTCGTCTGTGACCTCGCCAAACTCTGAGCGTGTACATACATCTCTGCCTCCCTGCCCAAACAAGCAAACAAACAAACAACATGGCGTCTCAAGGCCCTCTCCCCCCGTATGTTGACCACGGCCCCGGCCTCCTCGCCGTGACCTGGGTCGAAGCTAGTCTCGGGCTCCTCCTGCTCGGCGCCCGCATGTACACCCGAGCGAGGATCGTGAGAAAGGTGGGATGGGATGATTGGACCATGGTCTTTGCCGCCGTAAGCTTCCAGTCTGCCTCTACAAACAAGCCGCCATTCCCTAACCAGAGCCATCGCATGTGTACAGGTCCTGGCTATCATCACATCGGTCGTCGTGACCATGGAGGTGCACTACGGCGTGGGCAAGCACGCGGCGTACATCGCGCCGCCGGACCTGATCAAGGCGGTCGAGTGGATCTGGATCTCGGCGCCCTTCTCGACCATGAGCGCGTGCTTCGGCAAGATCTCCATCGCGCTGCTCATCATGCGCATGATCAACCGCAACCGCGCCTTCTCGGCCTTTCTGTGGACGCTCATCGTGCTGCTCTTCCTCATCAACTTGTTCCTGACCGTCATCACCTTCGCCCAGTGCACGCCCGTCACCTGGCTGTGGGACCAGCTGAACCCCTTCGCCGGCTACCAGGGCTCGTGCTGGGACCCGAATATTCAGAAGAATTATGGGTATTTCCAGGGCGGTATGTTATGTCGTTCTCCTCTCTCCCTCCCTTCTAATCCAGCCCATTCTAACCCGTCGCGCCTGACTCTAGCATTCTCGGCCTTCTCCGACCTGGTCCTCGCGCTCTTCCCGATCCTCGTCATCAAGGACCTCAAGATCGACGCCAAGCTCAAGGTCGGGCTGTGCACGGTGATGGGGCTGGGCATCATCGCGACAGTCGCAGCAATCGTCAAGACGGTTGAGCTCAAGAACCTGTCGACGCCCGACTTCACGTACAACGCCATCGTGCTCGTGTACTGGTACATCACGGAGAACTGGGTCATCGTCATCGCGGCCTGCATCCCTACGCTGGGCCCGCTGTACTTCATCGTGACGGGCCAGCGCACGGCCGAGAGCTTCGCGGCGTCGGGCGGGCGGCCGGGTGGTATTGGTGGTATCGGTGGCGGCGGCTCGAGCAAGCGCTCGTGGAAGCTGCGGTCGCCGCTTGTCCGGACTAGCGACGCATCTAGCAGCAGTGGAGGAAGTAGCAAGTACTCGCGCATGGAGAAGGGGTTGATCAGCACGCAGAACTCGCAGACCAGCGCCAGCTACCCGGAGCCGCCGTATCCGGCGCACCGGGGCGTGGCCGTCGGCGCGGCGGCGGGCCGGGGGAGCGAGTCGGACTTCATGCCGGTGGGCAAGCACGGGTGGACGGCGACAAACATCATGAAGACGACCCATGTGTCGGTCCAGGGCCGGGCGATCTGAGGGCCCGAGCAGGTGGGTAGGTATCTGTATGCTAAGATGGTCACTGTGTTAACCTGGGAGGACGAGCGATGTATTTTTAACCGCCTCAAACACTCACCAGTGGTTGCCACCAGTTGGTTGGTGGCTGTCGGGCCCCCTTTTCGCTGGCCGAGGTGTCCGGAAGGCCCTCACACATTCATTAGTCGTGCAGAACTGTAGCCATCTCCTCATTTCTATAGGTACCTAAATAGTAAAATAATCACAGTTCAAAAAATGCGAAAGCAAATTGTGGTATCTCAAGCCAAAACTACTAGAAGCAAGCAACTAGACCCAACAACTACCTTGGATTATTACACGGAATCCTTCACCTTGAACACGGCCCCCGAGCGCATCGCCGCATACGTGGTCCGCAGCGCGTCGCCGATGACGCGCATCTGCGGCGGCACGAAGCCCTCGGGACACAGCAGGACGTAGCGCACGGCGACGCGGCTGGCGTCGCCGACGACGTGGGTGCCCTGCTGCGAGTGCTGCGTGAGCTCGCAGGCGAGCAGCACGGTGCGGTTTTGGAACGCGCTGTTGCGCCACGCCGTGCCCGTCGACCCGCAGTAGGGGAGCGCAGCCTCCGGCTCGTCGACCAAGCAGATGCCGGCGGCATCGTCTGGTTTGGCGTTTGCGGCGTATTCGGTCCGGCTCATGTTGCGGAGGCCCTCGGTGAGGATGCGCCACATGCGCTGCACCGTCGTGCCGTGGAAGGTCACGCCGCCGGCGTTCCCGGCCGCCAGCGCGGCAGTCTTGGAGAAAGCCTGCTCGCGGTCGGGGTCCGAGTTGAGCAGCATGAACTGGACGACCTTCGGCACCGCCGGGATGCGCCGGCGCGCCGGCGCCGGCACCAAACATGCGCGGAAGCGGGTGCACATGTACGACAGAAGCAGTCCGCGGTCGACCGAAAGCGGTTCGCCGCCGCCGCGGATTTGCGAAAGCAGCTCGGGGAAGGACGCATTGGCAGGCAGGGGCGGGAACGAGTCGATGACTTCGCGGAGCCGGGCTTTCGGTATCGGGCAGTTGGGCAAGAGGTCCAGAGCCGAGGTGTCGCCGGCAGCAGAATAGACGCATGCAAGGAGGAAGTCCAGCACCGGAGGGTCGCCGACAAGACTCCCGAGCTGCACCTCGAGGGGGGCCTGCTGGAACACTTCGCCGCAGCCGCCCAAGCACACTGTTGGCTTCCACAGCTGGCAGCCCATGGTCCGACAGCACACCAGACAGCCGGCGGCGGGGGCTCGGAGAACTGACGACACGATGTCGTGGATGAAATGCAAATCGCGTTTGCCTTGAGAGAGATGTGTACAGAGCACGCGACTGAGGAGGTAGACAAACACGGTCGGTTTAGTCCAGCACACCACGCCGTCAGGCGGTTGTCCATTGACAGACCACAGGCCGTGGCTCCGGTTGCCGGCATCATCGTTAGGGTGGAGGTGTATACAGAAAGCCGGTCGTTGCTTCAGGTACGAGATTCTCACCAGAAGCAGACGAGATGTGTCGTCAATGCCCAGCGCCTGCCTGGTCTGCGCAGGGAGACGGCTTAATGCAAAAGACAGCTCCCATTGCTGCTCCCCGACGCTCTCTACGGAGCCGCTCAGCCTGTCGGGTATGCCTAGTTCCGTCCTAGGCACTTCATCCTCGACGCCGAGTTTCTGCAAAAAGGCCGACGTCTTTGAACGGTCGTGGTTCACTAGTTGCGACCGCATTCTCTCCAAGTGTCGGGCTACAGCCATGAGTTTCGCATGCTCCGCCATCAGCAGTGTTTTTGCCATTTGCCGCCCATTGCCTTGGGGCACTATACTGAGGCCCATGAGACCACCCACTGCCCACAACGCCTCGCGGTCGCTGCTAGTCATAGCTCGCGACTGCCCCCACGCCACCATGAGCGCTCCCGTCGCGGGCTGAGACCAACCCCCAGAGGCTCCCTGCTCGTGCCGAGCATAAAGGCTTGCAAAGGCCGTCCAGAGACTCGGGGTAGCTCGCTTGAGGGCCGAGAGTGACGCGCAGACCAGCCGGATGACACGGATTGACGGCTGGAGACACGACATGACAAAGGTGTCGACGGACGACGACCGCTGGTCTTTCCGCTGAAAGCGGTCCAGCAGGGCGACGGTCTCTGGGACTTCCTGGAACCAGAGCCAGCGGAGGTTCCCCCCTCGCTTGTGGAGGTCCTCAAGCTGGCCTAGGGCGTCCCTATATTTCGACGCCAACAAGTCCCACCACCTGTACTTTTCCGGAGTAAACCCCAGTTCCGACAGGGAGAACTGCCCGCCTCTCGGGAAGAGGACCCTCAGGTCGTCAAGCCAGCGGAACCACTGGCCCACCGGGAGCTCCTCCGCCGACCACACCAGGAGGTCGTCGGCTCGCAGCAGCAGGAGGCAGAATAGGAAGTCGTACCAGCAGTCGTCGACCTTGTGGCCCAGTATTACTCGGCGGGCGAAGAGACGGGCAATCTCCACGCAGCAGTGGTTGCTATCTGTGCCCATGACGGGGGAGAGAGCCCGCACCAAGACCAAGTCCTCGACCAGGACGCGCTGCAGGCAGTCTTCGCTGACCTGGGCTTCGATGCCGTCCATGTTGCTGATGGCTAGGGCGAGATGGGCCCGGTCCGAGTCGACGTCCTTCCCCCAGAACCTGATGTTCCTCTGGATCGTAGCCAGCATAGCCGCCGCATCCCCGTCTCCCCCGGCAAGTGCTACCCTTAGATAGGATTTTATCAGTGCCGTCGGGGCCTGCGGGGTCTGGAGCGAGTCGAATATGTCGTGGAGTGTCTCCTGCGGCGGGAGGCGCCTCAGAGTTGGGACCAAATCTGGCGGCAAGCTCGGCCATAGCCAAGTCGCCCAGACAATAGCCTTGCCCAGAGCGTGAATGTTCATGGCCAAGTTCTCTGCCACGCCCGTGTCGAGCATGGCCCCGTATTCCGACTGTGCCGACAGCATGACCTCGACTACGTCGTTGCTAAGCTCGCCCGCGAGCATGCTCTGGAGGTCAAGGCTGGACCCTAGCACGGGCAGGACCTTTGTCAATGCCACCATCCGGTTGTTGAAGCCTGTCAAATTCGATAGCCATTGCAGGATGGCATGGATTCCGTCGTCGCTCCCCGTGTCAAGGATGGTGTCGGTGAGGGACAGGAGATTTCCATCAACAGGGTCACGGTTATCGACGCAGAGGTAGATGAATAGATCTACGGCGTGGGACCCGGAGATGCCTTGGGCCTTGTCCAGGAGACGCAGCAGACGGTCTAGGAGACTGGGATCCTGGTCGAGGACACGGACGAACTCGAAGCAGCCCGGCACCGATTCTTTGAGACAGCCATGGCCATGGCCTGTGGTGTCGGGGCCTTCGAGATCGAATACGGGGCCGAGCCGCTGCTTCTGGGCCTCGGTGAACCGCCCCCCTTCCCACTTCATGAGCCGGAGATAGTCGGGTCTCCACTCCGTGTATCCCTCCCAGACGGCCAGGTTCCTTGCAACCAGCGTCCTCGCCAACGAGCCGCTGGGTAGATTGTAGACGGCACCCAGCCAGGACAGGGCATTGTGAAGCTTCATATATCTGCGCTCTTGTCTGAGCGTGTCTATCTGAAGTTCAAACGACTGCCCGATTTGTATTTTCTGCAAGATGAAGCCGAGGTAGACCACCGAGAGAACGGAAGAGTTGGCCACGGCATCCAAGCTCTCAAAGAACAGCTTGACGGAGCCAAGGAAGTCGGGGCCGGTCAGCAGCCGCATGAGAGCCTCGGCGGCCCGGCATTCGCCAGCATGGATCTGCGAGGGGTTTGCAAAGTGAGCGAGGACCAGACATTGCAGGAACCGCAGGTCGGCCGACATCGCAGTGCACTCTTCCCTGAAGGCTACGAGCACCCTGTTCCCCGCCGAGAGGGACAGGACATGGAGGCAAGCCAATATCGCGACCTCTTTGGCCCCGTCTTGGCTTTGGACATGCTCCCACATCATATCGACGAGTTTGCCATCGCACAGCGATGTGAGGGCTACTAGCTTCTTCTTTGCGAGATATTGGTCGGTTGCCTGCCTCAGGACATCGAGCGGGAATGCTTCGAGGGGCTGCCCGCCCGAGAGAGAGGGCTTAGCGCCGCTGGCGATGAGTTGCCGATGCCAGACTTCCCGCGGTGACCGCGAGAAAGGAGCCATCTTGGAATCGGGTCAAGCGATGGGACTTGTCGGTGGCAAGATCTGGTTCGTGACGGGGAGCGCTGCACCGAAAGTTGGAGACGCATTGCCATGCGTGGGTTGAGCAGAAGTCGCTGTAAGGCTGTAAGTCGTGTCTTGTTCGCGCTGGGAGGGGGAGTATCTCGGCTTCTCGTTTCCCCTCCCTCGTGAAAGACCATTGAAATCTACGGAGAGCACTGTTGGATCATCACCAAGAGGCAACAAGTGGACTGTTCGACAAAGTCATGGCACAATGGCCTGAGCGAGCCAGGACCTTTGGCAAGGTGGAAACTTGCAGGTTCAAGGCAGGTGGGCGCCTGGGGCGGGACGACAGGACAGGCACATACGATAGCCCATACGAATACCTATGACATTGGGCCATCCGCTCTACGACGTGAGGCGTCTCCATGGCTGCATCCAACGGCTGCTGGCTGCAAGAGTCGCTCGCCCATGACATCTGACATCCATGACATGACGGTCTGCCTTGTCCTTGTTCACAGCCTTCTCGGTCGTCGTGTCGTGCGAGTTAGGGATGCCGCGTATCCGTCCGCCGCTTGGTCACCGTCACTTGAACGGCGCCGCCTCGCTTGAGAGTCGACAAATCTAGTAATGTAGTAGGCGGGCATGCCGGGGGGCCGGCTTCCCGCGTGTTTGTGGGATTTTGGGGAGGGGAGGGGATTAGCATCCAAGGTGCATGCATGGCTGTTGCAGCAGTCTGGCGTGGGACAATCGCGCAAGGCTCTGGCGACGAGACCAGAAGACCAAGTACCTTTTCTCGACCGACCGAGAAACATGTCGGCCTGCGCACTGTGTCCCCCCAACCATTCCCTCCAGCGCCAGGTGCGCCTTTTAGGCCGCCTAATTCGACAGAGCCTCGCCCTCAATAGTCTGATGCAGCCCGTGATGTGATGGGATGCAGCTGAACGCCACGGAAGAGGGGTTTCCCAGCCGTCAATCGTCCCAACGGTCCAGACTCCAGGCCTCGCAGGTTCCAAAATTTCCACTGTCATCGCCGCCACTGGAAAAGAATTGACTGTCCATCGGAACCAGGGGTAAGGAGTTGCTCAGCTGTGCTTGGCATCGGATTTTTGGGGAACTGAAGTCCGATGTTGAATTTCCATGGAAAGGCTGGAGCGGGCATGGAGGCGAGACTCTCGAGACAGAGCCCAGCCAAGCCCTGGTTGCTTGTGGGGCCCGGCCGCCTGGGGACCAGGGTGGTAGGCGGCTTTTGGAGGACCCACCCATCCGAGAGAGCGTTTGGAAGTCGGAGAAACTCAAAAAATACAGAGTGCGGTGTACATATGCGCTATAAATTACTAGTGTAGATTACGGCCAAATCTTTTAGCAGCCATTCATGTACTGGAAAGTCGGGTTTCTACACTCTCTTCTGGACTAACATGCACAGGAACAGGAACAAAAATTCCTTGAAATTGCGACTGTGATCTTCTTCAAGAGCTCATACTTTCTTGCAAAGCTCATCCTTAACAGCCGTAGTGGATTCCTTCCACAGCGTGACTGGCCATATTCGAAGACAACAATTCCATTACAATGCTTTGTTCAAAAGTCTGTGACAGGATATACATAAGTAATCCGAGTCAAGCAATATCGAGACAATTTCCCCTTAGAGTAGACCAAAACGCTAGCTTCAGCAAATGTGTAGAACAAGGAACATGTAAAGAGAAAGTAAGAAATCCGAACAAACCCCACTCTTACAGACCCCGTGGTTAGGTCTTGGTCAGTCTTGACCTGTCGCTCGCCCAAGGTTCAAGATCGAAGGGGGTATATCTCGCCGGCCACAATGGTCTTGCGTGTCGTGAGATCGTTCCTCCCGTCGCCGATCCGGTACAGCTTTGGTGAGATGGCAAGATCAACCTCCTCGATCGTCCCGTGTGTCCCCGCCCCGTCCTCGCAGTCCTCAAAGTCGGGCCCCATCTGGATCGACTCGCCCCTGTTGGGCATCTGCAGGCCCAGCTGTGCTCTCTGCGACCCAAACTCGAGCGCGAGCTCACTCGCCAAACTCACAATCGTGTCGACCTTGATCTCAAGCTCTTCAGCCGCGCCCCTGCCAATGACCTTGACGAACAAGTCGAGAATCTCGCTTTGCACTCTGTTACAGTTATCCGCGTAGGGACGTACTGCTTCCGCCCCTGACACACCCTTCTTCTGGCCCTTGGGATGCACCGTCATGAGAATGGACTGGAATGTAGACGACCTCCACTTGTTGGCTTCCTTGTCAGTGCGGAAACGCTCGAAAATCTGCTCCCGGGGGTAAGAATCCGGCGCTAAGCGGTGCTGTTAGTAAAGAGAACCAAGGGGGTGCGTTACACTGGAGTGCTTACCGGCGAGCGATGCCGCATCAAACAGCCTCCGCCACGACGAGTAAAGTGCGACCAGCATTCTCGCCCCATCCCCGGTCCCAAGGGCACCAAATCCAAAGGGGGACGAGAAAAAACCGTCAACGAGCTTACTCCAAACGATACTTCTCAGCAAGAAACAAAGCTTGCTTTTGCTCTCGCGGACCAAGAACCCGTCCGGATCAACACCCTCTGGGATGGTGGTGGCGCGAATGTTGAAGGGGGACGTGATAGTCTCGATGGTGAGCTTGATGTCCTTGAACCGGACCTTGAGAGCGTCGTCCGAGGCCGGCCGGAAATCGTCCGAGTTATCCACCAAGTCGCCCTCGAGATTCTTTACCGTAGCTCGCAAATCCACCAAGTTCCTCTTGTGTTCGTTCTCCTGTCTTAGGAGCTCTCTCTTGTGGGCAGCGCGTTGCCCTTCCATCTCCTTTTCATGGACAACCCGTTCTTGCTCGATCAGCTTCCCCAGCTCGCCTTCTCTCTCGTCCAATTCGGCCTCGAATTGGCTCTGCTGAGCTGCGAGCCTGTCCTCCAGCTTCTGCCTGTCTCTGTTGTAGGAGTCAAGGTGCTGTTTGATCTTCTGGGCAAGGTCCTCTTTCTGCGTGTCGAGTTCATTTTGGAGATCTCGAACTCGTCTGCTCAAGGCCTGTGTTTGAGCCTCATGCTGTTGTTGCACTTCTGACTGCCGAGCTGCGGACTTTTGCTTCTGCCTGTCCAGTCGGGTTTCCAACTCGACAACTTTTGTTTCACGCTGGTTGATCTCGTTCCGACTCTCCGCTATCGTTATCTCAGCTTTTCCTAGAACCTCCCGCAGGTCATCAATTTCGCGCTTAAGAGGCGATAGATTGTCCTCTGCCGTCCGCAGTTCCTTTCTAGTTCGTAACAGATCTCTATCGACAGTCTGACGCCGCTCGTATTCCAACTTAAAGTCACGGTGGCTTGTCTCTGCAATAGCCAAATTGTCAATCGCGTTCTTATAGAACTCCCTGCAGGTTTGATCAAGCAGAGTTACCGGATCGTCTCTGAGTCGGTCGAATGCTGTCTCTGGCTTCACGTCTTTGAGGCATTTGAACATGATGTCGTCCGCCCTATTCTTCTTTTCCTCGGCCAGGGCGTTTTGCGTCTTTAGGGTCAGCACTTCATTCCGAAGTCCATTGGAGTCGCTTAGCAACTGAGCAATATAGAGATCTTTGCCCTTGATTTCGCCGCTCAGGTCCGCCAAGCGATCAGTAGAGCCATTTCCACCGTTGAAATCAGCCCTCCCGTCGTTCACAGCCCTGATAATGTCTGGCGTTCGTCTTGTCTCGTCCTGCAGCTGGACTGACTCGTTTGACATTCCTCTTGGCATGCCCGGGAGCGTTTTGGCTTGATTTTGACTCATCACATCGTGAGAGTCTCTGCGCCCTGTTCCACGTTTGCTCGACGTCCGGTTCAGATAGGACTCACGTCCGACCGAAGGGTTGGAAAGAGGGCTGGGCGGCGCGGTCCATTCGGCATGTCTGCTGCTGTTTTGGGTGTCCCAAGCTGTCGGGGGACCTTCCCTATTGCCACCTTGTGCCTGACGAGCTTGTCTTGGGGGCATGATGGATCGTTCTGGAATGTGCTCATTGTTGACAAGGGGCTGCTCGAAGTCTAGAGGCGGTATTGAGGGACCTGGAATGACCCGGGTTTCATATGGCGATGTTAATGCAGAGTCAGCGGGCATTTTGGGAAGTGGTGCGGGTGCAACTAGGCGGCGGATTCTTTCGATGCCATCTTGGTTGTATCTACTCAGCACATGTGGGGATATTTGGAGGAAGATATCGTTTCTAAGTTGCTTGGGGAACTGGTTCAGAATGTCGATGCGAATATCGCGGGCACTTTCCTCGGATATTTCGCACAAGGCCAACGCGAGAACGTCTGTTCTGATTTTTTTCACAGCGTCTAACTCCAGATATGGAATGGCTGGTGCAATAAGCTTGGGCGGCAACTTCTGGAGGTTTTTGATGTCCAACGTGCTCAGGGTCCGGGGTGGCACCCGTTGGAAAGCTTCGATAGAAGGAAGTCTGGCCAGAGTTTGTGGGAGTAGCCGGGCAAGAAGGTCTGGAGGTAAGGATTCGAGTCGTTTGGTGGACAGTTTGTTCAGAGCCTCTGGAGGCAGAAACTCAAGTCTGTCGTCGGGAAGCTGCTCGATAGTTTCGGCTGGCAGGTTATTGATGGCATCAACAGGTAGCTGGCGTATGTCAGGCGGCGGGACATATCTGGTGCCTTTGTTGTTGCGGAAGATCTTCTTCATGGCGTATCGTGACAAGCATGAGCAGCCGTTGAGACGGCGGCTATCTCGGCTGTGAGGGCCACCCTAGGTCAGGTTCCTTGAAAAATACCCAAGTGAGAGCAGTAAGAGCAACGGGACCTCTTTCACGGGCGTTGCTTCGACGGGCGTTGCTCGACAACGGCCCAATTCGCGCCGAAATGTTGGGAGGAGAGAGCCCAAACTTTTGCGGCTGGTTTGCAGGATAAGGAGAGAGCCTCAATCCGGGTATCTTCGTTTTCGGCATGTCGCAGCACAGCCTGGTCGCGTCCCCAAGCATTTCTGCGTCGTTGGAACCCATGCACCTAGGTTAGGCAGGCCGGCGCAGAGCACCCCGCAGCTGAACCGCCGCCCTCTCCCTCTAGCACTCAGTAGCTGCATGCGCAGCAATCTGTCTCGCACGCACGCACACCACTCGCCATCCAGTCTACGCGGCCACGTCGCGCCGGTATCTCTTCCTCGAGCTTGATAGCACACAGTGCCACAGAACGTGCAGTGTCCCGGGCAGCTTCTCTGTTCCCCCATACCATACCTCATTTGGGCCTGAAGCGACGCGGCCGGTTTAGCTGACGCCACCTCGAAGCATTTCGACTGGAGGCCAAACTAGCCCGGCTTCCCACGCCTGCTTTGGCGTGCCGTAGCGGAAATGTACGTACGAAGCGCTGCATAGGATTTCGTGCACACTGTCTGTACTAGAGACAGCAAAGGGTGGGGTCGCTTGAGCAAGCTCCCGCGAGGAGCTGCTCAGCCTCGCCAATGGAACGGTCACGCACTTGGGGCAGGACCACCTCAGCCATCCCCCTAGGTGCCCCCTCACCCAAATGTACCTTCCGGAGGCGATGTGAGGTTCGCAAGTGGGAAGGAGCCTGAGCTGGGTGCTTGCTTCGAGTCTCGAGTCTTGGCGGCCTCGACTGACTAAAAACTTCACCACGGCACTCATATGCTCCTTCTTTGAACACCCTGAAATCCCCTGGGCTTTGCTGCATGTGTACCTTCCCTCCCTGGGAACAGGTGTAAACGAACCTGCCGAGCTTGTACGTGCTTGCCAATTCGTTCCTGGCATCCATCATGGCCTCTCCGCCGCCTCCTCCCCCAAAGTCGCCGACACCGTTTAGCAGCATCCCGCGGCGGCACTTCACGCCCGCGTCGCGAGCCGAGCCCGTCTCTCCGCGGTCGTCAACCGGCTCCCTGCCACAAGCCACCGAACTGTCGACGGCGCCTCCAAGCCCGTCTCCCGATGCTGCACCAACGGGCGAGACGCGCATGATAATTGCCTTGGACTACGGCACAACCTTTACCGGTAAGTTGAGTCTCGTGCTGTAACTGCCTTATAGAGCTGCGTCCTATGGGCTGGGCTGCGATACTCAGACGACAATTAGGCATCGCGTACCTGTCCATTGCGTCCGGGCGCAAGGAAAACGACCTCGAGCTGCTTGCCGACGACATCCGCGTAATCCAGTCATTCAAGAAGACCGAGTCCCAGAAAGTCCCCTCGGAAATATCCTACTCACCCTCTCCCAAAGGCTGTGAACAATGGGGTTATGACATTGACGACAACTCTCGAGTCCTCAAGTGGACTAAGCTCGACCTTGAAGAGACTAAGAACCGCACTACAGAGCTGCGTACCCTTGCCGAGACGTTGTACGGTCTTAGGACCTTGAACTTGAGTGAAGATGAGGTCATCAAAAACAACATTCCCCGACATCTAGCAAAGGAGCCCGAGGACATCGTCAAGGACTATCTCGACCACATCGCCGAGAAGACACACGACGCGATTAGCAACGAAGTCGGAAGGCTTGTCTTGGCCAAATTCCCCATCGACATGGTTGTCACTCACCCAGCGGTGCGTCCTAGACTCTGTCGCGCCGCCTAGGAATACGCTTAGCTAACTCGCTGGGCAGCAATGGTCGGATCGGGCACTTAATTCAACATACCGCGCCGTTCGTGCAGCATTCAACCACGATTTGTTTCCTAAGATCCGAGATATTGCATTTGTGAGCGAGCCGGAAGCATGCGCCCACTACACGCTGCGCGAAGCATGGCGGAAGGACCACTTGCGGTTTAGAAGAGTTCGTCAGAACCCATATGCCCTCCGCCCCCAGCCGGTTCCTCACTAACTAATGGCCGTTAGAACGACTGCTTCATTGTTGTCGACGCCGGCGGTGGAACTGTGGTAAGTCCCTGGAGAACCACATTCCATGAATGTGGGCGTAACTAAGAACTCGCAGGATTTGGCTTCGTACAAAGTTGTAAATATGGACTACGATACCAGGCAGATCAGCCTGGAACAAGTGGGCCGTCCGATAGGTACGCGACTTTCCTCCGAAGTAGACAGCTCGCGAAACGAAACTAATCGAATTTCAGGTGATAAATGTGGCGCTACAGAAATCGATAAAGCTTTTGACAGGTTCGTCGAGGAGCGGTTAGGTCCAGAAGACTGGGACAAGTTGACGGATGCCGACGCCCAAGACCACGCCACCGGAGGACACTCTATTGTCAAGCCGAAGCTCCGGACATTACACGACCGTTTTGAGCCTATCAAGCACCAATACGACGGCAAAGACCAAAAACTCGCATGGCCGGTTCAGCTACCGCGAGGGGTTGGCACGGTTGACAAGGAGGAAATGGGCATCTTGAACGGAGCCATCAAGATCACGGCGTAAGCTATCCGTCTCTGCGTTCAAAGAGCTGGCCAAGACATTCTCTAACTTCTCCACAGGGACGACCTAAAAGGAATGTTTAATTATTCTGTCTCTAGAACTTTGGTCCTTATCGGTCAGGCGGCAGCTCAGATCGAGATTGGCCAGCGACTCAAGGTCAAGGTGAGCTCCATGCCGACCAGCCAGTGTTCGCCAACCCCTCTAATATTTAAACAGAAAATCTTTCTCTCTGGCGGTTTTGCCCGAAACCAATATCTGTATGACAGAGTCAATCAGTTTGGTCTTACCCGACGGATTGAGGTCGAGAGAGGCGACGACTGGTGAGTTGAGGCGATATCCGCCCTTCCTTGGATATTTATGCCTACTAACACGGCGGGCGTAGCTGGATCGCTGTTGCAAAGGGGGCCATAATAAAGTCGTTGGGCGTCTACACCGAGAAGCCAGCACTGGTAAAGAGCTGTCCCCGGCATTATGGCATCAAAGTTCGGACACAGTTTGCATCATACAAGCACCAGCAAGGCGATGCTGAGGTCGATGTTGAGGGCATCCAGTGGGCGACAGACCAGATCCGCTGGTTCATCCTGAAGGGAGATGCTCTTTTCCCAAACAAGCCCATCGTGGCTACCTACGACTGCCACTGGTCCATGAAGGCCACCGAATTCCCCTCTCCCCAGAACAAACGGTCCTCGCATTTGCCGCTGTCGTCAACGGAGGTTTATAGAGATGTTGTTTTCGTTGCTTCATCGCGAGACGAAGCGCCCACGCGCTTCGCATCAATCAGCACAGGTACGTTGCTCCAGCCCTCTCGCACATGTTCCTGGCTGACAATCTTGGAAATGCAGCTCAAGACCAGGTTGTTACGCTGAGATGCGACTTGACTAAAGTGCCGCCGAACAAGACGGGCGAATTCACGAACAAGCAAGTCGGCAAGTACCTGAAGTTCTGGGTCAAGGTGGAGATACATGTCTCGGACAAGGTTGAAGTCAAAATCACGAGCGGCGACAAAACACTGGCATCCAAAGAGTTACCCCTTGGGTCTCTGTGATAGAGCTACTGCGACGTTACGCATTGGGGTTTTGAAATAAGAGCACTTCTGAGACGTTCGAGAAAGGCGGAGCCGAGCGTGTGGACTGTAGAATGCACAATAAATTATTGCTACGGCCATCCCATGAGTTCGAGGCGGAAGGGTGGCGAGTAACGTGAGATGGCATTTCAGCCTGGTCCTTGGTCTAGATAGAGATCGCCAAAGACTATCGGTTGACGGGTGCATTTGATCGGCGATTGCGCTGTGGCGCTGTTTTCTTCAACTTTTTCCCACGTTATTGGAGCTTGTCAGTTCCGATTGTCTGATGCACTGCAAGCACAAATGGTGTTCGAAAACGGCAAATGCCTTGCGGAAAGACTGGGGCTGCGCTTGGTCGCGGAGCCTGACACCTTCACCCACCACCAATCAGACCCGTCGCAACACTACATGGCGCTTATGCAAGCCTCGACCTCAGGTCGCAGGGGTCCCAACGAACAGCAACTCGCACGGCCTACCTTGAACCCAGGTACACACAGTGTCAAGGACGGCCCAAGTCTTTTGCCCATTGGGGGCGGGTTAATTGACCTGAAATGCTGGCCCGTCGGATGGCCTTCTCAGGCAAGGCTCTCTGCTGTGTGAACAAGCCGAAGGGAACAGCGGGGGCAGATTGACTGCGACTGCGGCTCGATGCGCTCAAGTGAACGAGGCTCTGTTCATTTTCCAACCTTCCTTTCCCTCGGCTGTTTCTGCCACTCTCCTCTTGCACTGCATTTGGGGATCACGAGACTCGCGTTGAGGCTGGGCTGTAAAGGAAATTGTTGTTTGCCATCGCACCCTTTGCGCCTTGTAGCTCTCTCTTTTTTTCCAATACGCCTTTTGAACGGGGTTTATTCCTACAGCCCTCTGCTGTTCCCACTACACCCAAAGCCGTCCCACCTCAGACTTGAAACCTCTTTCAATTATAGGACAGAGCTGGCGCTCTACTAGAGCCTCGTTCTACTCGGTCTAAACCCCAGTTCGGCATCTCTATCCTGAGTTAAACTCGGCTTCTCCTCGTTCCTCGTTCCCAGCTAGGGAACTACCTGTCACCATGGGGAAGCTCAAGAAGATGTTCGGCATCAAGGAGAAGGAAGAAGTAGCCTTTCCGCGCGCCATGGAGCAACCCGGCGGCGGCTATATGCCAAATTACGGACCCGGGTACAACCCAAACAGGAGTAACTACGGCGGGTTCAACGACAGCACTGCGACCTTTTCGACCACGGACACGCGGGGGACGTACTCGACGCTGAATCCGATCCCCGAGTTCACGACGCCGCGCCAGATGCCGAACCAGACGCACCAGATGCCACTGCGTCCGGCCCCGCAACCCCAGCTGCAGCCGCAGGCGAAGCCCGACCAGAGGAGCGCCAGCGGCGGCAGCTACGGCGCGGGCAACAGCTTCGCCAGCTTCGCCGGCAGCACGGGCAGCGCCAGCACGGGGTTCCGCAGCGTTAGCACGGGCAGCACCAAGTCGACGGCGACCAGCGCGACCGGGCCAGCAGCGGCGGCCGACTCCCTCGAACCGACCGTCGTGGCGGCCGACGTGCGGCGGTGCACACGGCTGGTGCGGCGCATGTTCGAGGCGCACCTGCAGATGTGGACGTACGCCAACGTCTACGAGTCGGACGACGATCTCAAGATGCAGAAGAAGCGCGAGGTCGATGCCATCCTCCTCGAAATCCACCAGCTCGTCGCCACCTGGCGCTCCGTCCCGCCCTCCACGTGGAGCGACGAGGAGTTCGACCAGGTCAAGTGGATCTCCACGACCCTCGACGATCCTTACTGGCATCTATAACAACTAGGGCTAGAAAAGGAAGCCGACTGCCGTTGCCCTGTGGCCTTCGTCTCTCTCGCCTCCTTTACTTTAGCCCGGACGCCTTTTAGCCTGCTGCGCAGGAAACTGCTCCCTGCCCGGCCGGTATCGAGTGGTTAGGGGCCAAAATACCATGTCTAAACCGAAACTACACGTATATCTCATTCTGTATGTTTTTTCTTTGGCGTTGAATCGCATTTCCCTTGGTGCATTTTCTGTCATGGCTCTACGATGGAATTTTCGTCGAATGGCGAGGACGAACGGGAACAACGAACACTCATGACAACCTCCCAAGAAAAAGATTGGATATTTAGATAGGCCGAAGCCAGCCGGAGGTGGGAGAAGATTCGAAAAATACCCTGAATAAAATCGACACAGTCAGCGTGTTTCTATCTGACATGTTCTCATTTCCTTTCCTTTTTACCCCTGGCTGAAAGATACCAAGCATTTTTTCGCACCGCATCCTTGTGGGCGAGATGGTGGTGTGTCGTTTCGGATTTATATAAATATATACGTATCTACTTTACCTACGTACTGCCACTTTATGACGAATATACAAAACTTATCCTGCTGCCACGGAGAACAAGAATATACGAGAACGTCTTAGTAAAAAAGAACAACACTCAGTGCATCTGGACTACAGAAAGACAAGAGGCCACAGCTGGATCACTTTTCCTTTCCTCGTGACCCTCGTAGCCCAGCAATTGACACCAATCTAAGACACCCTAAGACACAAGTTTCCACGGAAACGCGGCGGAATTCACGTCACAGAGAAAATTCGCAACGCAAAGTTGTTTATTTTATTCATGAGACGTGTGTGGTATTGCTCTACGTCATACAGAGCCGGCGGCCAGCCTCAGGGAAAATGCTTAGACGAGACCTCACCAGGTGCAAACCACTTCCTGCATGACACTACGACTCTAACAAAACACCGCCTTTGGTGTCTCCTCTCTATACGACGAGAATTCTTGTCTAGCGCACGGATGCCGAGAACAAGGTCGGGGGCTGACAGTGATAAGCCAGAACCCCCCACTGCCGATGATGATTTCGCGTAATTATGCCCCCGTCGCCCCCAATGGCGAAAATAATTCTAATTATGAGCAAAGCGCCGCCCCTTTAGTTAATAGCTGTTAATCTTCTTTCCGTCCGTCCCATCCCAACTCCATCCCAGCATCAATTCCAAGCGCTATCTGTAGGCAAAAGCCAAAAAAGAAAAGCCAATTCGAGTAAACACCCACTCGTAGTTATGACGCGTGAGCATGCTTCTCTTCAGATTATACTCAACCTCGTGTCGTCCTTCGCCTTTTTACCACGTTGCCCACGGCCTCTGCCTCGGCCGCTGGCGTCTGTGGCTCCTCGGCAGCCTCCTCTTTAACGGACGAGGAACCCTCGTCGTAAGACATGGAGACGTCGCGTGCGTTGCCGGCGGCGACACTAGCTTGCCGAGTACTGGTGCCCGTGGTGGCGCCGGGGCGCGCGCCTTTACGCACCTCTGCAGAGCGCAGCTCGCTAAGCAGCTTCTCTACTTCGACGAACATGGCGCGGGTATCGTTGACGACGCCGAACTCGTCTACCTTGTAGCCGAGCACGTGCTCTCCGCCTTCTTCCCCGTCGCCTTGTACCTCGTCGAGGTTACGCAGGAACGTGGGGCCAGGCCCGTGGCCGGGGTCAGGGTTGTACATGATGGCATTGGCAAACATGTGAGCCAGCTCGCGGTCTAGCTGGCTGCTGTTGACGATGCCCTTGGGGGGTCTCAATTCTTCAGTCGTAGGGAGATAGAGCGTTTTGTTGCCGGGATCGCCACCGGGTAAAGAAGCAGCCACTTGAGCCGCTGCCCTGTTACCATGATTGATGGCGACGCGTATACTCTTGAGATCTTGGGGCTGCAGGATCACTTTATGATATCCTGGCGCATCCCTATCTCGAATGGGTACCGAAAACATACTCCCGGTTCGGTGGTGTATGATCTGCTCCATAGCCGAGCCGCTCACCTTGTTGAAAGCGCGAGTCCATAGAACCTCGCCTTCGACAGGTTTCTTGCCCTCGTCGGGCTCCTCAGGCGGTTGCTCGTGTTCTGCAGAAGGCTGCATAGGGGTTGGAGAGTCCTCACCCCGCTTTCTCTTGGTAAGGCGGGAAGCCTTGTGCTGGCTGGGCGTGCTCTCGTCTGCAATTGTGTCACCTGCTTCGAAATGTGGCCTTGGAGTAGTCACTTCGTCCTTAACGACGGACGACCCAGGCTTGTCCATAGACTGCGATACTTCCTTTGCGGGAGAGCTTACTCTCGGTGTTGGCTGCGTGGGAAGAGCTGGCAGATCGGCTGCAGAATCGGATGGCACTGTGACCGGCGGAATGGATAGAGGAGAAGGCGTGACGGCATCCGGTGCGCGCTGCGAGAGACGTGGTCGCCCTTTACGTTTTGGTCCCACGCTTTCAGTCGGTTGTCCTGGCGTGGACACCGGGACCTGGACTGGAGCTGGAGTAGGCGCCTTCACCGGCGTCTGGACAGCTGGTTGTACTGGTGTTTTGGCCACGGGCTGCACCGGGATCTGCGTTGGCGACTTTCTAGTTGATTCTTGCCGTTGAGCAACGAGCGGTTCTGCCTCTGGCAAAACGGGGCTCAGAGGCTCGAATGCGGGGCTAGCTATTTCTTCGTACCCGGTGCGAGAATCAGCTCCAGGTTTGGGGGTAGATGGGGTAGCATTTAATCCCCATCTGGTACCACTGCCAGAAACTAATCTCATGGGGAAAGTCGGAGCAGGCGTCATGGGAGGAAGGCTAGGAGCAGGGCCCAGTGTAGGACCAGGGCCGGGACCAGGACCAGAACCAGGATCAACACCGGAAGCAGAAGCAGGACCTTTCCTAGCCAGCGGAGATGGGGTTGTGACGCCATACGGCTGTTGGGTTTGAAGATGACCCGCGGGGTCGGGCCTCCGATACGGTGAGTTGTAAGGTACCTTTACGGACTCTGACTGAACAAACGGTAAGCTTGGCTGGCCATATGACGGCGGCGCTTGTAGGTTCTGAGTTTGTACCCAAGGCTGAGGTGGTGCAGCGAGTCCAGGGCTAGGCCTCGGAGGAATCATGGCTGGAGGGGTAGGGGGCACTGTCGGAGCGGTTGGTGATGACACCGGTGTGTTGCGAGCCGGGGGGTGGCCTGGGGATGGGACCGGTTGCTGGTAGGGTGACTGTGAAGTTCTGATCAACGGCGAGATTGGCGCAATAGGCTGGTGGTGTCCATTTCTCCCTGCACCCGCAGTGGGTTCCAGTGCCGGTCTTATTGGCGCCGGTTGTATGGAATGTGCGTATTGATGCTGGCCGGCATTCTGAGGAGCAAGCAGAACTTGCTGCGGGGCTGTCTTGTTTGTCTGCGGCTGCAGTTGGCGTGGCGTGGGGTGAGGTGCTTGTTGCTGGGGGGTCCGCGGGTACAAAGGTTGTGAAGTTTGTAGAGGTTGTGAAGTTTGTAGAGGTTGTGAAGTTTGTAGAGGTTGTGAAGTCTGTAGAGGTTGTGAAGTTTGTAGAGGTTGTGAGGTTTGTAGAGGTTGCGAAGGTTGCGAAGGTTGCAGGGGTTGTATAAAGTTCTGGGCGGGTTGCTGCAGAGTCGCATATGGTTGTTGTCGGGAATTGGGTGTACTGGGTTGATAAGGAGGTTCCCATTTCAGCTGCCCCTGAGCCGCCGGTTGAGCAAGAGTCGGTTGGGGAGCTGGAGACTGCCGAGATCTTGCAACCCCCTCAGGCCTTTGAAGACCTTCAGCCACGACTGGCGGTGCTGGCGGGTAGGATGGCTGCGAGGATGGAGGAAGCCCTTGTGGTGGCTGAAGAACTTGAGGGGTTACGTTTGTATGTTTCGGTCCTTCTTGGGGACGAGCTGCAAGAGCTTGAGGGGTCGTCTGTGGTCCTAGACGTGGCGAACGCGCAGCCTGTGGCTGAATGAGAGCCTCTGCTACAGGCGCCGCAGTTGAAGCAAGGAGTACAGGGCGCGGGGGAATCTGGGAGCCCGAAAGAGGTTGAGCAGCCGAGGGAGCAGAAAGAACCGGGAGAGTCGGTGGGGCTGGGGTAGCTGGGGGTACTGGGACCGTTAGGGGTGCCATGGATGTCGCGACAGCTGGGACAGCTGGAGCAGCCGGAGCAGCCGGAGCAGCCGGAGCAGCCGGAGCAGCCGGAGCAGCCGGAGCGAGCTCGGGCTTCGCAGGTGAAGGCTGCCGGGGCCGAGGGCCATTTCGGATGCCCTGCGGGGCCGAAAACTGGGGCGGTTGCGGAGGCAGTACTGGAGCAGCCACCTTGGGTGACGTCGCCGGGGACGGACCATTGCCGTTAGGTAACCCGTTCTCAGGTTTGACGGCGAGTGCCTGGGTGGCCTCGTGACTCTTGTGCGTGGGCTGTCCAACATCCTGCTCGGCGCCAATTTTCTCGAGCTCATCAATATCCTCCTTTACCTCATAATACCGGCATTCCATCTCTTTTATTTCCTCAATGGTGCTTCGCACATAGACATTCTCTACCTTGACATAGGTGGCCTCAATCTTGTCGACATGGCGGAAGGCATCCTTGATGGTCAGAGGCAGAGGGAGCTGCAACCCGCGCTTCTTGGACGTAGGCGACAGAGGGCCATCGACGCGCGAGGCGGCGTCGCCCTCTAGCTTCAGCTCGTCGGCGACAAGGCGCAGAAAGTGGTCCTGTAGAGGCTCAGGTCTAAGTCTTGCGGGATCGAAAGTCGATCCATTCTTGATTTGGCTGATGCCCTGAAGCGTCTCCGAGATGCGGACAAAGGCGGCGGGGTCGGGGCCGTACTGGGCAATTCCGCGAAATAGCAGGAGGGACTCGAGAGGTGTGTAGGGCGCCGCCGTAGTATTCATTCCCCTGACTCCACCTCGCCAGGGACCGAGGGGACCGTCTCGCCGCTGAAGAGGATGAATCGGCGCCACGATCTGCGACGAAATAGGCAATTAAATGTTAGCAAACGGCGCCGCTACGAATGAAAGGTCGAACGCGCTCGCAGTCGCGCGCCCTCGCCGTGTCGCGTCCAAAATCCGTCGAGACGTACCGGCAGCCTGAGCCTGAGACTCGGTTGACAACGGGTAAGGCGGCGCGCTGAGTCTAGTAGGTGGCATGGGGCTATTTGACCCTCTCGTCCTTCGCCGCCCGTGGTCTGCCGAAATGTCGTGAAATGATTTTTTTTCGTTCGCGATAGGCTTAAGTCACGTGAAATGCGGTTTGCGCCGGTTGATTCATATGGTCGGGTCGGGTTTTGATGGACGCCAGTCTGAGATGCAGCGAGCAAATGGTAGCATTGATTTTGGCTTGGTAGCTGAAGGCCAAGACAGGGCAAAGCTGGTCATTTTGGACGTGTCGGCACTCGGCGCACGTGATCTTGACTTACCTCAGTAGGTTTTGTCTGCCTCGGATAGCTCCACGGCAAGCTTTTCCCCAGCGGTCTATCTACTTTCAAGGGCAAGGGCATTCCAAGCAGAACTTGGGCCCCGCGGTTTTGACACCGGCTCTAAACTGGTACCTAATGATTTTACGTCCTGTCAAGCCGTATGCTAGCTCGCGCAGGCAGCCGCAAACGACCGACGGTTTATTTACACATGTAAACCCGCAGCCCCGTCAGGCGAGACAAAATTGATGCTCAGCTGAAGCCACAGCATCGTGGGGATGTAGGTACGGAAGCTGGCTGTTATCCGTGATGACAACTCGACCACGGTACTTAGACCAGACCGTAAAGCAAGATGGAAGAGGAAGAGTGGGTTCTTATTGCGCAGCACGCCTAGCTGCAGCTTCCAGATTAGTCTTTGGCCCAAGCTCAAGATTTAACAGAGATTGCATTTTATACCACTTGCATCGTGACGAGCTCACTGGCGATGTGGCTACCAGGTGAGCTCTGGTCATTTGCAGTCATTTAGTCACCAGTGACCCAGTCTGTCTGGGGCACGCCGCAACATCTCGCGTCTCTGGTGCGGGCCGGCCCTCAGCGGCCAGGACACTCTGAACCCGGACCCTGTGGAGCCCTTCTTCCCCGCCTGGAATTACCAAGCTCCAGGTATTACAAATTTACAAGTTAGCGCCCCTACCGCCACCACTTGCTAGATTAACTTCCTCAAAGGGGTCGTCTGCGAGACCATAAGGTCTTCTGCAAGCCCGGAAAGAAATGCCAGGAAAGGGGTTTGCACTTTGCAGGGTAATGAGGTAGTGGCCGCCCGTTTGTGGGTAGCCAACGGAATCGCTCGTGGGAAATACGTGGAAAGTACGTACGGAATACTCAGTATGTGACAGACGTGCGCAGTACCACAGCAGACGCAGGCGGGTTTCATGATTTGCAGTTGCTCAGATGATGCAGAGGGGTCCGTTATGCCGATCCGCTGAGACACTGTTGACAGGCCTGACCCGGATATTTGGATCATCTCTCTCGGCGGCTACTCGAGTACTGTACTTATTAGAACAGTCTAACTCCAGAAACTCTAGCTCGTCTGCCTCGTGAGCAGCCTTACAGGCAGTTTGCGGTGCGGTTTGGTCGGCGGATAGAGTCAGGAGGGCTATTAGCAATTCCGATGGAGTGCTCTCTTGCCTAGCCAGGCAATGAAGGCATCTGTGGACGGACGGTTGGTGAGGTCACAGACGGTTGCGAGGCGGACAAAGACAGGCAGCCCGCGGGCCTTCGTAGTATAGATTGAGCGCACCGCATTGTTGCCTTCCACCTCTCTGTACAGGTCGGCAGCATGTGTGTATCTGTTGCACCAGGGAAGGAAGGGAAGGTAGGGAAGGTAGGCAGACAGGTAGTTGCCTACAAATAGTTCCGCATTCCTCAGAGTCTGGAACAGGCCCCATCCGTCATCCACCTCATGCCGGACGCGAGGTTCAGCTTCGTTAACATCCATCCATCCATCTATTTAACGGCGGCTCGCTCGCATTCTCAAACCGATACGCAGCACAGCGTAATTACCGTGCATTTCTGCATTACCTCCCTTTCCCTCCTCCGCCCCTCAGCCCCTGTCGCTAGTGTGGACTAGGCCCCGGCTGGTAGTGGTCTAGCGACAAATATCCATCCCGAATTAGGGCGCCAGTGGGTGCCAACCTTCCTCCAGGCCTGTCAGGAGTTCGTCGCAGACTTCGGCCCAGCTTGCCGCTTGCCAACAGCTGGAACGGGGCCTGCTCTTCAGTTATTGCATTTGGCTGCCACCACCAGGCTACCTGCAACTCGCAACCCTCCAAAGCTCGATAACCACGCCCCAGAAACCATAACCATTCCTCGCACCTTCGCAAAAGTCTACGCCCGCCTCGTCGTCACCGATTGCCCAACATGAACATGACAGACGAGGAGCTTGATCGCGACTGGAAGCCGAGCGGCCGCCGCCCGCAATCGTGCGTTGCCCCCTCTCTCTTGCCCCCCTCTCCATCCCGCCGCCCCCTATCTTCCAGCCCAACTTTGGAGCCGACAAGACAATGCCCGAGATGAATCCCACGCCGGTGAGGTCGCATCGTGAGCAGCAGCGGCTAACATTACTCTCGCCTGCCGCAGAACGATTGCCAGGTCCTTTTCGCAGGAGCTGGTCGACATCTTCCGCATCGAAAACAGTGTCGCAGACCTGGACGAACAAGTGAACAAGCGGTCAGTCTCCCAGCAGACGGAAGGCCGTCTCCTCCCAGTCTCGTTCGGCGCGCCAAGCTTGGCAACTGCACCTGAGCCGCCAGACTGGTTCCGGCGATCGGTTGGCTGATTTGGAAGCTTTGACGTGCTTGCAGAAAACAGCAAATCAATACCCAGACGTCGGAGCTCGAGCAGCTCGAAGCCCGCATCCGCGAGATGGAGAAGCGCCTCAAGACCCAGGTGCCCGCCGGCGCTGAAAACCAGAACGGGAGGCCGAGCGGTAGTCCGCGAACACAGCGGCCGTCCTTGGCAAACGCATTCGACGACCCGAATGCTCCCCCAGCGCCCCCAGTCAAGGACCACCCTGCCAACCCGCGGGGCCAGCAGGGGCAGCAGCAAAACCAGAAGTACAGTGGCCGGCCACTCGCGACAAGGCAGAGCCAACAGGCGGTCCCGGGAGCACTTCCGCCAACCCCCGTGGGCAGCGAAGGTGAATGCGAACTTGTTACCCGCCCCCGAGTCCCCCGGCCGCCAACACAGTCCCAATCCCGCTTGGGCGCATCCCCCTCTGCCGGCACTGCGATCACCACCTCTTCCTCCTCCACTGCACGAGTCAAACGGGCTGACCGAGACGATTCAGCGTCTACGAAGTCCATGTCCGAGAGCCTGAGTTTTGCTGACTATGTAATGGTTGCTGGGCCAGACGGTGACCTTGAGCAGGACGCCTAGCTTTCTCCGACAACATTTTCGCAGTCTCCCCTTTTCCTCGCAACCTCAGCGACAGCCGGCAGCCTCTCCAACCAACCCTATATCTGCCGTCCATTGATCGCAGGACCTAGCTGTAAAGAGTACGCTCCTTTTTCAAGTCGGGCGATTGTGCAGACATGCTCTCTTTGCTGGCAGCACTTTCGTTTCCTATAGACGGCGTAACGATTACGACGATGGCTTTCTCCATTTACAAGCTAGACTTGTTTAATTTCCCACATGAAGCAGCAGCAGCAACCCACAGTCATCAGCAAACAGGTCTTTGTTTGCGGATAATAACTGGCTTGCCGCTCAGCTACCTATCTCAGCTCCGCCGAGTAGGCTCCTGCGGTTTGTTACCCCTGACCCAGACCCTTCCCAGCAAATGATCGACAAAATGAGGGGGCGGGATGCGACAGGCCGAAAAAGGGACAATGGCCACAAAAGACTTTGCATACAGCCCATTCCATCATACTTTGCAACACCGCATCGTCATACATTTTGTGTATCGTCGTCATCATCACCACCGTCAATTGTCGGGCTCTGGCTGTTGATTACTGTCTCCCTTTTCTTGCTGTCGGGCTTTCCCTGGCATGAGAGACATGTTTTATTCTTTTCTTTCCTGCTCTTTCAGTACTGCTGCTCATTCTACGGCGTGAGAGCAGGCAGTCATGTTATTCTGATGGTTAATTACTGTTGGCGTTTTTTTATTGTCAAACATTCTCTTTTTCCTTGCACCGGGGGGATCGGGATTTGCATTTGAGGAGAATCGTCTATGCTTGTCTATTTCTGTGTTTCTGCGTCATGTGTGCGTAGGTTTGAGAGTGGTTGTCAGTGACACAGGATATGCGCGCATGCCGAGGGGCGGCTCGTCAACAATTGAGTTGCTTTTGTTGTTTGGCAGCGGATGAGTGAAGAGGCAGAAGGGGAAGCATCTCCCTCGGCCTAGTCAACTCTGCGGTGGATGAATCTCTACGGCGTACTGTACATAATATAATATGGGCTTGAGTCTATGCATATGCGGACTGCTGCCTGCCCAACCTGCCGCCATCTGCGTGTTGGAAATAATACCCTAGAAGTCATCATTCTTCTACAGAGTCTCATCGTTTTGTCTTTACGTGTACGGAGTAGACGGCAGCACGAGGAAGTAGAAAGAGCGAATACGGTCGTCTTGAAAAGACTTGTGTGGACCGCATATCTGTGCTCGGGAGACTGGTGTAAATCTGAAAAAGGGTTACGTTGCCAGCTCTAAGTCTGAGCTTTTATTTAACGGGCATCAGAATCTCACATCACTTTTACTTGCGGCCATCAGCAAAAAGAAAGACAACGGCTCTCTTGTGTTTATGTCCGTTCTTTACCTCCGCGAAAAGTGGCCTTCCACAAGGAAGCAGTTGGTCAAAGGAATGAAGGAATCGGGGCGGGGGGATCAACTGGAAGTTTGATTCGCAAAGTCTCGACGTTTGAAGGGGGCTCCCTACCGCCTGCTCTCCCTGTCCCTGTCTTCCCCATGCCTCGCCTGCTCTCCCCATGCCTCGCCTGCTCTGGGCTCCGCTACACCTTATACCTCACAGTAAACCGAGCAGTAGATAGACAAGGGCTACCCACAGGGACCTTTTTTTTCTTTCTTGGGGAAGAGAAATGGGAAAGGGGAATCACAGCGCATAGTCCGGCTATTTGCAAACTGGCAAGCTGATAGCCGGGTCGGCGCCCGCCGGCATAATGGCCTCTGCTGCAACGCTGCGGCTGCGGCTGCGCGGCATGAACGTCCAGAAAAGCCCCAAAAATCATGCGGGTCTAGGTGCGAGTGCGGCTCTGCTGCAGTCGGAATGGCAATGCCTTTTTTCTTCTTTTTTGCTTTCTCACCCCCGCAAGAGAATACACATCATCAATTAACTCGATAGGTAGGCCAGGTAGGTTATTGCCAGCCCAAATTGTCATTTTTTGAGATTCTGAATCTTCATGAACCAAGAGTTATTATGGCGAGTAAGACGCCCCCCTTCTATTCCGTCGTTCCCACTTTACCCCCTTTTCGCTGGCGAACGCACCCGGCTTACGGGCCACCACCGCCACCAAAGCAAAAGGAAGAACGCCGACAGACAAAAGTACACATACAAAGAAGAGAGTTAGGTCCCCGAATTAGAAAAGGAAAATATCAGAAAGAAAGAAAGCCCACCCAAACTTGCTCCCAGAACCCCTTCCCACACACGCCGCCCGTGAGAAAGAAAAAAAAGATGCACACTGCATATATGCTCCCTCCTCTTTTTTTTGTCGATGTGCTCGTGCCGCCGCAGCCTCGTAGAAAGCTAGAAAGGAATGGGGGAAGTCGAGAAGGCTGATAGAAAAGGAAAGAAAAGAAAAGAAAAAAGATGGATCTCCCCCCCTTTCTCTTTATGTTCTTTCTCAAAAGACACACACGCAAGATTAGACCCTAGTGGCGTAGATTCTGTTTATTGTCCCGGTTTTCTTTTTACTCTTCTTTGTGATCGGTTTTCTTTTTTCCTGTTTGATCTCTTCACAGCGTCTTGCGGGCGAAGCCCACGCGCTTGTTGCCGACGTCGAAGACGGCGTAGACGGCCTTGAGGAAGACGTCGCCGAGGATGCCGAACTCAGAGCCCGCTGGCACGATCTGCAGGGCGCCCATGCAGCTGGACGGCTCAGCCGAGTGCCGTTCCGACTCTGGCTCCGCCTCTGGCGGCAGGACCGAGTAGTTCAAGAAGCGGCCCGGGATGGTGGCGAACCAGTCGTTGTCGAAGCCGATGCTGAAGTCGGGCAGCTCGTTTGACGTCACGTTGCTGTTGAGGCGGAGGTTGCAGGGGTAGCTCCAGTACCCGTCGCCCTGCTCGTCGACCGTGGTGAAAACGGCGCCGGGGACCTGCGAGTAATACTGGTTGACGACGTCGGGAGACAGCAGCATAAACGTGGTGCCCGTGTCGGCGATGACCTTCCAGTGCGAAAGGTACCAGTACCCCTGGCCGGCGACGTGGTAGCCGGTGAACATAAACTCCCAGAAGCGCGCGTCGTCCGACAGGGGCACGTAGTGCAGCTGATCCTCGGCCGCGTACACCGCCGTGTCGATGCTGCCGAACAGGTAGCGGCCGTCGGCGTGCCAGCACAGGTCGACCGAGAACAGCGGCTGGTCGAGCAGCGGCAGCAGAGTCGAGAGAACCGTTGGGCGCTGCGGGCGCACGTGGCTCGGCAGCGCGAAAGCGAGCCCGAAGATGCCCGTCAGCTGCGCGTCTTCGAGGAGCGACTCGGACGCGAACGTGGCCGACTCGACCACGGCGTTGGGCACCGTCACTCCCCCGACATTGACGACGTCGGTCCACGCCGTGCCCAAAGCCTCGCTGCCGTCTCCTTTCGCACAGATTCGCGTCAGCGATTTTGTTTACAAAGATATGTGCCCTCCGACATCATCCACGGCCATCGAGCTGTATGGGAGAGGCGGAGACATTGACTCACCGTATGTGATCACCCAGCTGCTGTCGTTCAGCCTCTGCGCAGTTGAAGACTGCGAGATGTTCCAGTACGGGTGGGTCGGCATATCAACTAGATTTGTCTCGGACGTGAACAGCCACCTGTAGTAACAACGAGCCGTGTCAGTCGTTAGCCAGAGTGTCTTTTAGCTGCCCCCATCTCCTCGTCATCAACTCATAATAGACAGCGGTATTACACGGGGACAGCCTCGCCAAATGGAACATGACATGCATTCTGGGAACGAATCCACGCCTCCCAGAAAAAGGCAAAACAGCAACAGGGGCGCTCAAGGGACAGAAAGACTCACACATCAGCCGAACCAGTGTCCATGTCGACGGAGAAGTTCTGGAGAGGCGTGCCGAAACCGACGTGGCTCAGATATTCGCGGTCATTGTTCACGCTAAAGGCATCGGTAGCGCCGACTAGAGAGAGCCAGGCGGCCAGTTAGCAACTGTTTCTCTTTTCCTATATTTCCTGTTTCCTTCTTCTCTTATATCCCAGCTCACCCCCTGCTGCACACATAGCAAGGTGGCAACATGGTTGAACGGCAAGTGCCACCATGACACCACAGCAGAAACGAAAAGCCAGTTGTCCAGGCAACCACTCGAGAGAAAATATATCCAACACCACCGCCAAAAGCGCAAAAGAATTAAAAGCACGCAAACGCGAGACAGATGGGGGGACTCTGCTTACTTGCTCCCTTGTTTGACACCAGCTTCGAAATGCCCTCGGGGACGCTGGAACCGTACTTGGCGCGGGCGCGCATGTACTGGGCGGGGCCGTTGGGGTTGTAGTTTGGGTTGCGAACGACGGAGATGGCGAAGGCGCCGGCGCTGTTGTCGTTCTCTTTGGCATTGGTTCCTCCCACCATGCTGCTTCCGCTACCACTTCCAGCTCCTCCGTGGTGGCCGAGGCCGAAGAGATTGAGCGGGAAGGCCTGGGCGACGAGGGCCGCGGCCAGCAGCAGGGCGATGAGGCACATGTTCGAAGAACCGCCCGTCATCGTGTTTTCTCGTCGGCCAGTCTAGTGAACCAAACAATAACGCGATATTTTATTGCGATATTCCTTTGTGTGCTACGATCAGCGCTGTCCTGCTCTACCCGGGACGCAGTTCAGATAGCTGGCGGATGGATAAATTCTCCTATATCGGACCGCGGGAAGGGAGAGGTCAAGAAGAGGAAAAAGAATGAAACGAGTGAATGTGCGCCAGAGGATCAAAAGCCGGAAAGAATGTGGTGTCTGGCCGCCGGGTCGACTCACGGACTGACACCCTAGGAGCGGGCGAAGATGAAGCTGTGAGGCGGGTCTGCGTGAGAATTTGTTAGGAGCGCACCAATAACCTAGCACCATGTGGAAGGCCGGGCCGAGTAGAGGGAGGGAAAGAACAAGGCGGTTTGGGTACCTTCCGGGCTGGAAGACAGAGGCGGGGTGGGGGTGGGGGTGGGATAAGGTAAGGTATTACTTCGCGAACGTTTCCTTGGGAATTACCTGTGGAGGGGAGGGTTAGGGGGACAGGCAGGCAGATAGACAAGTGGGAGAGGGAAGGTGGAAGGTGGAAGGGGGAAGGTGGAAGGGGGAAGGTGGAAGGGGGAAGGTGGAAGGGGGAAGGTGGAAGGGGGAAGGTGGAAGGTGGAAGGTGGAAGGTGCGCACAAGGAAGGTATTCTACGCAGCGCGGGGTACTCTGCCGTGAAGTGAAATTAAAATGACGGCGGCGAGGTGAAGCGCGTGGCAGGCCGGGTCTGGCGCGTGGGGGTGGGTGGTAGACCGAGGACTCTCGCTCTCGTGGCAAAGGGCGGAGGGGGAAGGAACGGCTCGAGGGGCAAGCGCAGCAGCAGGTAAGCGGCAAGAAATACGTCAAGAAAAGGACCATCGCCCAGACCAGATAAACATGAGATGAGGGGAAGGAGAAGGAGAAGGGGACAGCTTGAACCACGACGCACTCACTCACTCACTCACCTACCTACCTACCTACTAGTCTTGGTATCCACCGACCACGCCGACGAGCCCGACGAAGCACATACAGACAGAGAGAGGGAAACAAGACAGACCAACCGGCTACGAGAAGAGACAACAAGCAGGACGAACGGGAGGATCTTCGCGTGTTGGCAGGCGTAAGTGCGTGCTTTGGCGGGGCGACGTTGGAAGAAGAAGGATACCTAAGCAGGGCAGTCTCGCGCGGGTGCAAACGGGAGCGGGAAGGGCAGGGACACAGCAAAATCTCCGGCTTGGGGCCGTTCCCGGGACCTTACACTACCCCCCCCCCCCCCTTCTTTAGATAATATCTACTCTCTGGCTCCAGCTGCGTCGGCCCACCCGCGGGGCAGCAGCCAGCGCACGATACGAACACCGGTGACCGTTTGGAGTGTAACGTGACGGGGCTGTGGGTTTCTACCGACCTACGGTCTGGGACGGGATGAGAACGAAGGAAGGCAGGGGATGGGATGGGATGGATGGCGAGGAAGGAAGGGGAAAAAAACAAGTCTTGGGGTCGTCGTTGTTCCTCCATGGGCACACACGAGTCTGGTGGACTGGTGACTGACGTGCGGAGCTTGTGCCACCCACCCAGCCGCCCTGGCTCATTTCCTGCCTCGAACATATCAGATGAAAGGAGAAGAAGCAGGAAGTAAAATAAAAAAGAGATGAAAAAGAATCTGCCACGGCCCAGCTGCTTGCTTGCTGTTCGCTCGGACCCGGGGCCAAAACCAACCCTCCCTCGGAGACTTCCGCGCAGTTGGCCAGCGATGCGTACTAGGGAAGACGTCGAGGGCGGAATGGGACTAAAGCAAAGCCCCTTTTCTCTACACGGCACTTTGTTTCCTAGATCTCCGGGGGAGGGAGGGGGTCATGACACACAGCTTAGTTTGCGCGCCGGGTAGCCACAGGCGGCATGCGCAGCACGAGTGTTTACACAAACATTGGCAGTAGCCGCCATCGTACATACATACCATACCTACCTTACCTTGCCTTAGGTACAGTACCTTACATATGAACAGGAAGGTACCGCCCATGAGCTGAGTGTCAGTATTAGTCGTAGTCTCGGGCGGGAGAAGCCGGACGGAGACGCCTGTCCCGGTCTGTCTCAGTCTGTCTCTCGTTAGCCACGGCAGCGCATGTTTGGCAGATGAAAAAAAAGGTACTTACTCTAGTCTATATCTCTTCGGGGCCCCTTGTCGAGACTGCCTGCGTCAAGTCCTCTGGACAGACAGCTCCAAGGAACCACGACTCCTTGGGACCGGCTGTCACCCGCTCGATCCTTCAGCTCGTGGCACCTTGCAGCGCGAATCTGGCGCCTCCTTTGTTGGCACGACGGGGCCGTCTATTTGGGCCACGCTGCTGTCCTCTCTGTACGTATCTGTATGCAAGCTGCCGTGACACCTGTGCGTGATACCACCGGCCGGGGAACAGTGCATCGCGGATCTCAACGTCCCTTCCGTGCCAGTAGATAGCCATTCGCAAACGAGAGCAGTATTATATAAGTTCTGACAACCATTCTTACCTGTTCCAAGCTTGCTCGGTGCCATCTGGAATCGGGCCAACACAGCAACTTAACCACCGCCCACATACGAGACAAGAATATACATGTATATATATACGTATTACATACCATGTCCTCGTTCCATTTGTATTGTATGGATCTACATTTTCACCCAAAACTCCATAACCAAAGCAGCCGAAATGCATCCGTCATCTCTATAGCTCCTCATGCTTGCGCGGGGTCTCCTCTCCGGTATCCTTTTCCTTGTCCGCACTCTGAGCCTTGGACGCCTGTTCTGCCGCCTCCGGATGCTCCTTCATGAACTTCTTGAGCATCTCATCAATCTCTTCCTGCGTGGGCATCTTGCCGTCTTCGCCCGGCGAGAGCTTGATTGTCTGCGCCGGCTTGGCTGGCTTTGTCTTCTCCTTGCTCAGCTTGGGCTTCTTGCCGCCAGCGCCCTTTGGCTTGTTCTTCTCAAAGTTGCGCACCCCCTTCATCGCAAGGTCGATTCCGGCCTTGTCCAGCTTCTCTCGCTTGTCTGTGAGGTCCTTTATAAGCAGGACCGGGTCTTGGGTGACTCCGAGCTTGTCTTGCGCAACCACCTTCTCTTCCAGCCAGGTAGAGATGGAGACGTACAGGTCCTCGCTCTCCTTTAGATCGTCCAGAGTGTACAGAGGCGGGACTGGTCCCCGCTCTTTCTCTAGGTCCTCCATCTCCAAAGTCTTAGTTGTCGAGGCAGCCGCTTCCTCATCCTCGAGTCCGTCAAAGTCTCCAGAGGGAGCTGCAGTCGTCGCGGATTCGCTGCTGGTGGAAGTAGCTGAGCTCGACGACGCAGCCTGAGATGACACAAATTCTTCATGGTCGGCAATCTTTTTCTTGATGTCATCCACGAATTCCTTGGTCTTGACTAGCGCGTCCTTGAGATCCTTGACAAGCTCGGGCCTCTTGGACGCTTCCTCAATTCTCTTTTGCACCGGGTTTACGATGTCCTGGAGGTCCTTTAGGCGTTTCTTGAGCTGATCTCGTGTGGCGTCTGCCCCCTCGCCGTAAAGCCAATCGCTGGTCTCGCTGGTCTTCTTCTCCAGCTTTTCTCTCTCGGCGGCTGTGGAGGCAGCGATGAAGTCTTCGTTCTCAACCACGTCTCTGATCTTGTAGGTATATGCTTCCAGCTGATTCAGCGCATCCTCCCGCTGCCTCCGGGACCGGTCTGACGCTTCAAACGACTTGAGGCGGTCCTTGATAGAGAGTAAATCGGCCTTAGGCAGTTGAGGAATGCCAGACTTCTCAACTGTGAACTTGACTGGGATGACGATGAGCTGCTTCTTCTTGCTGGCCGACTTGGCATCTGCCGATTCGGATGCAGATCCCGAGGATGATGATGTTGTCGAGGTTGAGGTCGAGGTCGAGGTTGTCTCGGATGTGGAAGACGAAGATGGAGACGGAGACGAAGACGAAGACGAAGTTGAAGCGCCTGCTTCTGGAGCCTCGGCCCCGTCGTCCTTGAGAGGTTGCTGCTCTTTCTTGCCGAAGCCGAACAGGTTCTTGACCCCGTCAACAAAACCTTCCTTTTCTGGCTCGTCGGCCTCGCATTCCACAGCAGCCTTGGTCACATCCACCTCACCGTTTTCAGTGGCAAGGCGAACGCTGACCTTGAGGCGGATATCCGACTTTTCGCACTTGAACTTCTCAACGAGCTCAGCCACAGTGGCAGTCAGGTTCGTGGTGGTCAGGACTTTGGTATCCGCCTCCACGGACTCGGAAGTGAGCTGGTAGAAGTTGACAGACAAATCCTCGTGGTTAGAGAAGGTCAGCTCCTTGGCAGGGGCGCCGAGATGCGACGCAGCAGTCCAGAGACGCTGGTGCTTGGGCTTTCCCTCGTCATTCTTCCACTTCATGCCGGCGGGATACACGGCGGCTTCAGAAACCCGGATCTCCTTGACACGAAAACTGGGGCTGATCTCTGCCGCCCTGAAGCCTGCGCCGAAAACAGCAGCCTCGTCTGAGTTGACATTGGTGCGTATCTTTTCACCGCCGCCGAGGATGTTCTCGAGCTCCCTCTGGACGAACGGAGTGCGTGAGGCCCCGCCGTGCAGGATCACAGAGTCGAGATCCTTAATCTGGAGGCTAGCTGCGTCAAGCGCATTCTGAGCGACCGCGCCAACCCTAGAAACGTACGCCGCCGCCACCATGTCCTCAAATTCGCCGCGGGTGATCTTGTACTTGAAATCCACATCGTCGTAGAGACCCTCGAAGCTTGTCTGCGTTGCCTGGTTGGCGCTGAGAACATGACGCAACCGCTCCGCCTCCTTGGTCAGCTTGGCGATGGCACGGCCATGGGCCTTGACGCTCTCGGCGGCCACAGCCGCCTTCTTCGCCTTGGGGGACTCGACAAACTTAGCCACCATGTCATCCACAATCAGGTAGTTGAGCGCATCGCCGCCGAGGGACCGGTCCCAGCCGCTGCCGAGAACCTGAACCTCCTGCACCGTCTTGTTGAACTTGCCAATGTCCTTGACCGTGCGGCTCTGGAACTTGAGAACTGTGGCCTTGGTCGAGCCAGCACCCATGTCGAAAACCATGTGGTGTTCGGGCTTGCCTCCTTCGTTGATGTTGGGGAATTGCCTGCTCGTTGCGTAGTTCAAGCCGACGGCCAGCCCATCGCTGATCAACGACAGGACCTTGAACCCTGCCAACTCGGCCGCCAACTCCACCGACCGCCTCTCTTCGACCGTGTAGAAGGGCGGGACGGTCAGGACGACAGAGCGGACCGAGCTTCCGGCACCGGCTAGTGCCTCGGCGTTGCTCCGGATGCTCTGCAGCTCCATGGCCAGCAATTCCTCGACCAGCCAAGCCTCCTCCTCGGGGGTGAATGCGCCGGCGCTCTTGAGGGCGGCCGTGTTCCGCAACTTGTGAGCTTCCAATTGCAGTGCCGGGTGACGCGCGGCGTACTCCTTCACGGCTTTATGGTCGGCAGGCAGGCCCAGGAGGGTCTTGAGGTTCGGGTAGACGTCGCCGGGAAAGCGGCCGACGAGAGCCATAGCATCGGAGCCGTAGACCCTCTCGGGGTAGGCGCCTGATCTAGGGCCATTGGACGCAGGCTTGAACGTGACAGCCGATATCTCTTTCCGGCGCGAGTCCTTGGTGAGGACAATCTCGAGGGGGATGCCGGGCTTGACGAGGGCTGCCTTTATGTACTCGGTCCCGAGGTCGACGCCCAAGACGGCCGACACTGCGAAGACATGGGCGGAGAACAAGACGGCCGAAAGGAATATGGACAAGGCCGATAGCGTTGGCCGCGCCATCGTCGGCGGGTGTGGTGGGTTGTCTGTCGGGATTCGAGGGTTGAGGACGGAATAGTATGGAGGGGTATCGACAGCGTGGGTGTAGTTAAGGGACGGTGCCCCGTTGAATGCAAGCTTGCCACGGCCTAGCCGTAGTCTAGGAAGGACTGCAATGGAAGAACACGAGGCAAGCAAAGAACGCTATGCGTCGCAGGAAGTTCAAAAGGGACGCCCCGAAGGAAACAAAAAAAATACGGTAATTACTTTCTTATGGTAGAGACAGACCAGCTAGCAAGAGCACGAATCTGGCCTCAACTGGTGAGCTTGGTGCTGTGCTGGCCCCGCAGTGTATTGGATGTCCTCTTTGAATCTGGCAACCTGTTCTCACAAAAGGACAAGTTGGAGAAAAGTATAACCCTTGTCCGCTGATGTAACGCCAGAGAACCGAGCCGCTGCGGCCAATCAAATGCCGTTTCTCCAATAATAAGGCGGATGGCTTCCCGTCTGTGCAGGACAAGGGCCTAAGTGCGGCTGCTTACATAACTTAGGATGTTCTCACCGATCTTGGTTCCCGTCTACATCTTTATCCACAGCAGCTTTCTCTTTGAAGCATAGTCATTTTCGGTCACATTATGATAGTCAGTCGTATAGTCAAGCCTGGTTTAGTAAGATTCCCGGCTATTTTGTGAGCTTCTTGACTATCAAGCCTCGGGCCGGAGATTGTGTCAAGCTCTGATTCCCTGACGTACTCGGAACCTGAGTTGAAGTGGACATGGCACGGTGCTGTTGGATGCTCACATTAAATCGTATAGCCAACAAAACCCTTCCTTTCCTTTCCTTTCTTTTCTTTCTTTCCCTTTTGGGTTCATTTGTATTCCAACGTTATGGCCTCTTTCACTCCCCGGCCTCTTGCCGCAGCTGCTCCAGCGCAGCTTCGTAATGCTTGATCCGCTCCTCGCTAAACTTACCACCGTCCTTGTCGCTGCCGCTGACTCTGACACGCTCAATTTTCCCACTCCGCACAATGCTTGTTGTAGCATCTTTGCCTTCGCCGGCAAATTCGCGCCAGAACCAGCGTGCCTCAGCGTGCTCAACGAACGTCCAGGCGTGTCCTGCCCGGCCGGCACGAGCAGTGCGGCCAACACGGTGGATATATGATGTCTCGTTGATGGGCACATCATAGTTGACCACGTGGTCGAGATTCAAGAGATCAATACCACGCGATACGAGATCTGATGCGACAAGAATCTGGAGCTTTCCCTGGGAAAATGCGCGCAGAGTCTGTGCGCGCTTCGACGTCTTTGTCGTCGATGTGAGTGTACCAATAAGGGGCCCGAGATCTGGTACGAGGATCGCTAGGAGGCGCGACAGGCGCAGGGCAGCCTCGTTGGACTTTGTGAAGACGAGAACAGACGCATTGGAGTTCTTTCCCTTGGCTAGTAGAGTGCGCGTCGTCTTGGCGGAGCGGGCTTTATCCCCGCCTTCAGATGAAGCGCTAGAGGAAGAGATAGACGACGAGCTATCAGAGTCTTCATCAGAGGAAGACGAGGAGTCCGAATCGCTAGTCTCGTCAGAAGAGGACGCGCTTTCAGCATCTTGTTGCGACTCCGTAGGTTTGGCGACTGCGGCTGCGTCGGGACTGGAAGCAACCAGTCTTCCGCTGTCGAGCAAGTCGACCAGATAGAGCGGTTTGAGACTTAGTTCATGAACCTTAATGACCGACTCTCTGAGAAGGCTGGGGAGGGTGTGCTCGCCAGCCTTCGCGCCTTCGAGTACTATCAACCGGGGCCTTGACAGCTTAAGTCCGTTTAGTAGACTTAGGTCTCGCGTCATTGTGGCGCTGAGGATAACCTTGCGGACGCCACTCTTGTTCGATCCTGGAAAGTCTCGGGCACCCGGCCTTTCGACACTCAGCTTCTCCATCACCGTGTTGAGCCACTGCTGGAAGTCCTGGGCGAGCAGCTTATCTGCCTCATCCACAACCAGCCAGCGGACGTAATCGAGAGTGAAACCAGATGTCTTGTTAATGTGTTCCACGAGTCTTCCGGGTGTACAAATGAGGATATCAACCTTGGATGCATGGGTGACGACATGATAAGGTAGCGGCTTGGAGCTGCCCAGGCCTAGGTCGTCTTCTTCCGTGTCCGAGTCATCTAGGCTGACGTACTGTCGTTGCTTCACGAGATACCTCTCATATCCCTGGGGATCGTATCTCTGTTCCTGCTCCATAATAGTCGATTGTTCTTCTTTGAACGCCCTGTTGCCCATTGCGGTTCCGACCTTGACTCTCTTGCCCCTGCCTATGGCGAACGCAGGGACACAGACATCACAAGCCGCCTGTACCTGCTGAACGAGGTCTCTGGTGGGCAGCACAATGATTCCCCTGAGCTTGGTTGTCTGGGCTTGGCTGATATCGCGGATCATTGGAAGCGCATATGCCATTGTCTTTCCGGACCCGGTTGGGGCAGCGACAACGACATCGCCTTGCCTGTCCGCCGATGGGAATAAGAGAGGAAGCACGGTGGTCTGCACGGCAAACGCATCCTTGAATCCTTTGGACTCGAGAACCTTGGTCGACTCCTGGCTAATTCCCAACTCTGAGAACGGACGCCGCATGTCGGCAGTGACACGCACAGGAGAAGCAAGCCAAGGAGGCAGCGTCTCGTAGTTCAACTTGGATGCATCGAACACCGCTGGTGCGGGTTGTGGGAGCGGCTCGAGGCCATGCACCTCCTCGGGTTCTAGCGTCTCTTTGTCCGAGTCGCCCTCTCCTGCTTCGACTGCGCTGCTCGCCTGGAGAGCCTTCCCGATCTTTTCAAAGACAGACTTGTGTCTTTTACGAACATCATCGCCGTCAGCTCCAGCCGCGTCGGCCTCCGAGGCACCCTCCTTCAACTTCTTTTTCCTCTTATCCTTCTTTTTCTCCTTCTTCGGCTCCTGGTCAGGCTGTAGGGCTCGGTCCACGGGTGATTCGGACTTTCTGCCAGCAGCATTCTCCTCATACACGTCTTGTTGAATGTTCGCTGTTTCCCGGTTCTCGCCTTTGCTCTTGCGCTTCTTGGAGGCCAATTGTTTTGGTTCGCTCAATGGGGGCTCCTCCTCCAGAATCTCGGCCCTGCTTTTCTTCCGCCGTTTTGCAGGACTCTCAACTGGATCCGATATATCTGCGATCGGGTTTGCCCGTTTTGCCTGGTTCCCCTCTATCCTGCCGGCCACTTGGTCGTCTATTTGCTGAGTTCCATTTGTCGCAGTCGGGGCGGAGATGTCCGCTTCGCCAAATACGATTTTTTTTGGCTGCGCAAGTGTTGATGGCTCTGGCTCCTTGCTCTTAGGAGGCGGGATGTAGCGGGCGTATGGAGGCATCGCAAAACAAGAGTAAGGCCAAATACGAGGCGGCGAATCTGGAAACCCGGAATTTCCGAACCTTAGACGAAAGCTCTAAGGTGTACGGGGGTATCTTGCTGGAGAAAGATCACGGGCTTCAACTCGATGTTTCCTTCAGGGGACGCGACAGCGCTGCGGCCGCCGTCTCCAGGCGAGATGTGGGGTCAATCGACGGAACGACAACTTTTTTCGCTGGGTCCTTAATTGCCAGAGCTTACCGCCTTCCCAAAGAGCTCTTATGTTATCAACTCGACCATCAAACTCAAGTGCACCTTACCTACTTAGGTTAGCGCTATGGATGCTTTGAAGCTCCAACTGAACACTGCCTGTGAAACACCGCCCGAAGTCGCGACGCTGCCGCGTCTCTCGACACAAAGACTAGGCTGTCCAGCAGCGTCTAGTCAACGCCGTAGCCCAGATATAATAAAAATGAGGGCGTGCGAGCCAGCACACCCGCAGCAACAGCAGCAATGGCGCCGACCTATAATATCGCCATGGTCAGCGACTTTTTCTTTCCGCAGCCTGGCGGCATTGAGAGCCACATCTATCAGCTGTCGACCAAGCTGAGGGACAGGGGCCACAAGGTTATCGTCGTCACCCATGCATACGAGGGTAGGACCGGCGTGCGCTACCTAACCAACGGCATCAAGGTCTACCATGTCCCGTTCCTGGTCATCTACCGCTCGGCCAGCTTCCCGACCGTCTTCTCCTTTTTCCCCGTCTTCCGCAACATCATGCTGCGCGAGCGCATCGACATTGTGCACGGCCATGCCAGCCTGAGCAGCCTGTGTCACGAGGCCATCTTCCATGCCCGCACCATGGGCTTGCGCACCGTCTACACCGATCACTCCCTATTTGGCTTCGCCGATGCTGCGAGCATCATGGCCAACAAACTGCTCAAGTTCAGTCTGAGTGACGTGGACCATGTTATCTGCGTGAGCCACACCTGGTACGCCCCCCTGCCACGACAACCCCTCAGCCCCTCGCCCCTCAGCCCCTGAACCCCTGAACTAACACTCCGATATAGCAAAGAAAACACCGTCTTAAGAGCCTCGCTAGATCCGCTCATGGTATCTGTGATCCCCAATGCTGTAGTGGCAGAAAACTTCAAGCCATTGCATAGCCGGCCCGAAGTATCTGCCAACTCGTTCGGCCACAGCCCCCCGCCTGTCCGCCAGCTGGGCCCCCATGACACGATAACCATTGTTGTCATCTCTCGCCTGTTCTACAACAAGGGCACAGACCTCCTGACAGCCGCCATTCCCCGCATCATCCAGAACCACCCCAACACGCGCTTCATCATTGCTGGCTCCGGACCCAAGGCCATCGATCTAGAGCAGATGATTGAGCAGAATGTCCTGCAAGACCGTGTCGAGATGCTCGGCCCTGTCCGCCATGAAGAGGTCCGCGACGTCATGGTGCGCGGCCACATCTACCTCCACCCGAGCCTGACGGAGGCGTTCGGCACCGTCATCGTCGAGGCCGCCAGCTGCGGGCTCTACGTCGTGTGTACCCAGGTGGGCGGGATCCCCGAGGTGCTGCCCTCGCACATGACTGTCTTCGCCAAGCCTGAGGAGGAAGACCTAGTGGCAGCCACGGGCAAGGCTATCGCTGCGCTGCGCGCGAATAAGGTTCGCACCGAGCTGTTCCACGAGCAGGTCAAGACCATGTACTCGTGGACCAACGTGGCCACGCGTACCGAGCGCGTCTACAACGGCATCTCGGGCGCCATCAGCGAGGCCGAGTTCTACGGTTACGACGCCGCCAACGCCGCCAGCTGGAGCGCCACCCGTGGCCGCTCCGGCGTCCAGAGCTTCGCCCTCATCGACCGCCTCAAGCGCTACTACGGCTGCGGTATCTGGGCGGGCAAGCTGTTCTGCATTTGCGTCATCGTCGATTACCTCCTCTTTGTTTTCCTGGAGCTCTGGTTTCCGAGAGAAAAGATCGACATATGTCCGGACTGGCCAAGAAAAACCATCAACGAGCAGAAAGAGACCGTAAAAGACGCGCGTAGCAGGTGGTGATCAGGCGATTCTCCATATCTAGCCACGCGTGCTAATTACAGCGGGCAACCGCTCTCATAAATCTCTCTGCCGCTTTATCCCGGATTTTTACCGGTTACCGAAAGCTAGAAAGGGGTAAATGAGCAAGATAAATCCCAACTCGCCCCGAGATTGAGGGATTGGAAACATATACAACGCAAACCATTACAACTATGTTGACGTCAAACAATGACAGCAACAGCTATCTGCCGCCGGTAGCAAACACGATGCAAATACCTAGAGTCATTAAGCGATGTCGCGCTAGCTGTGACACAAAGGGGACTGATGGCATCTATGGCCCAGGTGGCCCGCTAACTCATGAAGGAGATAAAGTCAGGCTTAATGAAAGGCGAATTACTATGTAACCCTTTCTCCATTCCGGGTAGAATTCAGGCTCAAGCTTAGTCTCGAATATGATATACCGAATATGAATCTAATAATAATTTTTCTGTATTACTCAGTAAAGGCGTAGACGAGATGCTCGCTTCAATTTCCAGCGGCAAGGCAAAACCGAACCAAATAAATGCGATTGCGGTTGCGATAAGTGTATAAATACGGGACCTTGGTTGCGAAGCCCGCTTACTAGCGCTGTGCTTGAACAGAAATAGGTTATGGAGTACAGATTCTAATAAATGAAACTGACGAGGAGAGGCCTTTGCCAGGGATCAGTAGGAGGGAGATAGGTTTGCGGGTTTTTTACGAGCGGTCACTGCCTGCCTCGGAAAAGTCATTCAAGTCGAGCTATCCCGCAACCTAGACCTAAAATCTTTAAAAGCCACACGGCGACTGATCATCCAGAGACTAGGTTGCAGTGAATACAGTTGTTGGCGTGAGAAAATAGAGGCTTGCAGGTCTGCGGCTAGAAATCATCACAGGTACTAACTACAGAGCAAAATCAACGTTGTATGTTCCCCCCTCAAGGTGTTCAAATTTCGAAAGAAATCTGACCGCCATCCAAACGACGCTACCAGTCCAGCAAATGCCATAGTATTTCCTTGTCGATACCAGTGCCACTAGACGTACTCGGTCGTGACAGAATTGTATCTCTGGCCGTTAAATAGCAGAGTATATTGGGTGGATGCGGAGAGATCTGAGACAGGAGAAATTAATTAGTATAGAACACATCGGGGCTGGGTGGTTGGTTAGACTATGAACATACAGACTGCCTCGATCTTGCAACTAAGCTCATAGTATAACTGTAGGGGAACGCTGTTAGCGGGGTGGTCCGTGACGAGTGGCTGTCGGGAGAGCTGCTTACTTGGCCATCGACACCCTTGCGACGTGCGAACTGGCTCTCGGGGATGTGGCTGATGTCGGCCTCAACGTGGCAAAGCAGTGACACATCTCCGTCCCGCGCAATGGGGGCATCTCTGGCCGTGCGGTCGGTGTAGATATCCATCTTGATCTTGCGGATCTTGCCCTGGCTCACGGAGCCGGTCCACACAAACGAAGTGAAGAAAGGCTCGTTCTCCGAAATGTCGTCTCCTCTCTTGATGAACCACTCCATCGTGTAGACCTTGTAGCAGCCGTCTAGCCCGCACCAGTGTTTCTTGATGTTGCCGTGGAGAAGAGGGTCATATTGGGTGCGCCACTCAGTTCCATAGTGTTTGCGACCCTTGCGTTTCCCAACCCTGACTAGCTTGTTATTCTCGGGCATGCTTAAGGCAAGACCTTTCATAACGGCACCATGCACGACAGCGAGCCACGCATTCGGCGGTTGCATGATGTGGATATTATTGCCGATGGCATTGCGCAATCGCTCCTTCAGGTAGTTGGATGAGCCGAAGCCCCCAACCAACAACACGGCTCGGATCGGGACCTTGCTCGTTCTGATCTGGTCCATGACAAGCTGGATAACTTCCCTTATAACAGGTTCAAAAATTTCGCGTATATCCCTGCCCTTGTGTGGTGTTAGCCAACGCATATCACATTTGCCAAATCGCTCAGTCAACCCACCCTCAACGCAAAGCGGCCTCGATTGATACCCAGTTCACTGTTGTTTGCCATTCCGCCAACAGGAATGGGGAATGTATCGTCTGGAGAGGCACCCAGTGTGTATTGGCGTTTAATCTAAATCAGGTCATTGGTATCATGTGTGGGCGTAAAGAGACGATTGGAGTGTAGACGCTCTGGCTTACCGTCTTCTCAAACTTTTCCATTGCCTCAGCCAGCACTTCGTCGTCAAACCCCTCCTCTCCCCCGAGCTTGCGTTTAAGAAAGTTTCTGAACCTCATGTTGATGTAGGTTGAACCGCAGAGAGCACCCGTCCCGGGAGCGGTCTCCCGAACCTCTAGGGCTGGTTTGAGATTGACGATGGTGTAAGTAATGAGATCAACAGTTCCACCGCCGGCATCGCAGATCACGAAGCTGCCCCCAGTCAGTTCATTCGCCCTGCTCATCGCCTTAGATATGGATGCTCACCTGTCACCAATCAGGAGGTTATGGGGATCCAGGCCCTGGAGAGCATACATGGCAGCGGCCTCAGGTTCCGAAACGAGGTGAATAGTGGACTTGGTTAGCGAGAGACCGCGTGCGCGCTGGCATGCCTGTTTTGTTCTTTCTTTCGCCTGCTCACTCCAGATTGCCGGAACGGTAACGACAAGCTCCAATGGTGTGTTTTTCACAACACCTTCGCCGAGCTTCTCACGCAACGTGTACATGAGGTGATCACCGAGAGCTGAGATATAGTCGGTGATGACCTTATCGACATCGCCAATATTTGCACTCGCCTTTTTGCCTAGCTCGCCACCGATGGAATCGAGGCAACCGTCGAGGCCACTAGTGCGATCAGCAACCATGCCAGACACAATCAGACACGAGGTAGTGTTGCCGTCCTCAGACGTGAACTTACAGCTTAAACCACTCAATCACCTCTTCCGTAGGGGCGGTGACGGGAATCGAGAATCCCCATTCAACGTCCTTCCCCGAGTAGCGGAGCTTACTCGGGACTTTGTCTGAAGACTCCCCCTCGCGGATCGTCTTGGAGATTGGCCAGGATGTAATGGCTACTCGGCGATCCGGACGCTGCGTTTCCGCCCAAGCTACCCCCGAGTATGTGGTGCCAAAGTCGATTCCAACGATAATCTTGCGCTCCAAAATAGAGAGCTTGTCGAAATCCATTTCGGCTGATTCTGTATTAGCGTGGTTAGGAGGTTAGGTTCTCGCCTCAGTGACGGTGGATGAGATGCGAGATGCCTCGGTGACAGTAGGCGGACAGGCCAGTTGTAGAATGATGTTCGCGGCAGAAAACAAGGTACGCCAAAGGAAAAGAGAAGATCGCCTGAGCCTAAATCGAGAGGGACACAGTGCTGTGGTACACGGGGCGGTCTGAGAGAGGAAGCCAAAGTAAACCTTGATTTGGAAAACTAAACGTGATAAGACGGGAGTGGTCCAGGTGGCAACGCGGAAGGTTCAATCCTACCAAGGGAATGCCCATAAGGTCATGCTGCAACCCGCTCTACTGACCTGGAATTATCTGTCCAGTCCGCTCTCAAGTTAATGTGAATGAGCTGTGCGGTTTGTACCTGAAGTGGAGACGATGGAAGGAGACTGTTCAGCACAGGTGGCGCTTTCCCTCGCTGGCAATGGAAGCGGTCATGAGGCCTCGATCGTAACTGCCTATAACAGTCGAAGGCATCACAGGACCTGACAGCCCTGCTCAGTTGTACCCGACAGCATCCAAGACGTGCTGAGACTTTCCAAGACGTCAAAGGCATAGTACTAGTACCTTGCCAGTACGGGCAGGAATAGTGCCATGACAACGTCTTTTAACGGCCAGATGGACAATGGTTGTCTTTATCTCAGTTAGCAAGGGTAGGCATTCAAGACGAAGTCCGGGAGCCAGACATCCCAGGGTATTTTGCGACTACATCTGTTATTTCGAGGGCAACTCTGCCCCGAAGTCACCCAAAGTGTCGTTCTCTCGTGTCAAGTATGCCCAACCAGCTCAGCGCTGCAGTAACCTCTCAAGTTCTAATTCGCCAAATGATTCCCTTCCATTAAGCATTAATTGCAGAGCTGTACCCAAGAACAGCAAACAATTGGATGTTGGCATTCTTATAGGATTTTGCTGGATGGTAGTGAGGTACCGTCCAGGTTGGTTTGCGTCCAACAGCTTGCCCAATGTCACAAGTACATGTACCTCTTGCCATATTGCATTGCGTAAACCTACGGTAGGCCCCTGGCCAATAAGGTGGAGTGGGCCAAGTTGACACGCTGCCAGGTGGGGGAGAGCAATGTTCGGGGATTTCCCCCCATCCCTTGAAGGTTTTCGTGATCTGTGATCCGGAGCCTCGGATTTAAATCAGGATGAGACACGGACGTTCTCACAGGGAAGTTGGAAATAAATGTAGGGCTGGGGTTAGTCTAGTTCTAGAGTCAACGGCGGTGCACTTGCCGTGTGGACTGCACGCAGTGTGCTCCGTTCTATCGATTTGGGGATTGCAATGGAAACTGAGAGGGATTGATTGCCACCAACTTCACAACCTCCAGTCCACCAAGTATAAAGGCCTGCATTCGCTCACGGATGGCACGAATCTGACCCGAACCTAGGTACCCGGCATAGTGTGACTGCCTTTGGTACCTTAATCTTGGTACCTTACCACGCGGTTTAGATAGGAAGATACCTTGGGCAGCCGTACTTGCCCTTGATGTTCAACGTCACCACCTTCCTTCCTCGCCTCTCTATTTTAAATCCCAACCTAAGTCTAGTTCAGACATTTAACTTCCCTACCTGCTGCTTTCCATCCCTTCCTTGCAGCTTCCAACACCCACAGTTCTCCTTACGCCAGTGTCCAGCCCTTGCTTCCCCGGGTGTCGGTACTGGAACCTACGGTACCATCCACTTTCAGAACCTTTTCAGTCAAATCTTCAATTCCGACCTCGGCCGGGGAATCCGCATCTCAGAGCAGCCTACTTGCTCTACGGACAATGAGACTGCGCCCTCGATTTGCCCATATTCGTGGAGGTGCGAGAGCTTACATTGGTCGGCCCCTTTCCAACCCTGGCATTCCCAGAATTTAGTTTCACCAGCCAATTTCCGCACATCTAGCTTGCAGCTTACACTATGGAAGACCTCAGAGCTGCCTTTGGGGGCGGGTCGGCAAAGATGCCACAGTCGCAAGAGACTTTCAGACGCCAGGATAAGATCCCTATCAACCCCAATCCAGGAACGGTTGCGATTTCCATAGATAACCCGACGAGACAGCAGGGCCAAGACCTACGGGTGATCAACTATACCAATATTCACGACATCGCATTCAGTCAGGATGGTGCAGATGCCGCCATTTCGGGAGTTTCCCGGCTAGAGATAAAGCAGAATGGAAGATCGGAAATGGTTCCGCCAACACGGCCAGATGACCCCCCGACTTCTCTCCGCGAAGAAGACTATATCAATATGCTCAAACGAGAGGTTGAGTTGCGGAAGCCCAGATATACAGGCCATCACGCAGAGGAAGCGGATCAAGCAGCTGAAGCACTTGTGAGGGAGCAAGAGAAGCTCATCCACCGTGCCGAGACTCGAAATGATGCTCTTGTTCAGGAACTGGAGAGGCTACAGGCAGAGAACAGAGGCTTGAAGGCAGACCTAGATGATGCTCGGTCACATATCTTCAGTTTGCAGCCTTACCGGAAGGATCTCACGCCTGATGAAGTCGGACGGGTAGGTTTACTGAACATGATGCATGGACAAGGCTGACTCCCACTAGGAATATGACGATCTGGTGAACGGAATCACCGACTGGGTGACCCGATTCGCCGAACCTGTCCTGGAACACCCCAAAAAGATGGAGGAGGTCTTGGCGGCAGCAAAGAAACGGTCTCCTGAAATTCACATTCTTCGAAAATGGCTGCAGACCCACGTTGATCTTATGCACGGTTCCTTGTTTCCAGAAACCGACATTGACATAATTATTGCCATCATCATGCGGTATCTTGAGGTTCATATTTTCCGCAAGATATTGTGCGGAGTCGTTCCCGGCTTTGTGGAGGTTCTTAGCTCTGTGGAAACGTCGATGCAGAACAACGTTGAGCCGAAGAGAGGTAATCGGTCCTTGCGACGAACCCACACACGCCCTCTACCATCTTCGTGTCCTTCTTCGGTTTTCGCTTTATAGGTTTTTTTTCTAGCTGCTAATAAGAAATATCTACAGATCTCTTCGCGATGAGAACGTGGCGAGCTGAAGCACTGAATGCCGTTATTTGCTCCCCCGAGTACCAAAAGGGCCGAGCAGATTGGATCAGGGAACTGACTTTAAACTTGGCATCAACTTTCAAGATTTTTTCCAAAGATATTCAGAAGTTCTGCGTTATCTGGCAAGACACTGTCATCAAGCCGGCCGTGGCACTGCACGAGAAAATGGCCACATCAACGCACCATTTTTATACCGATCTGAATACATATATGATGTGGAATCCACACCACGAGCTAGCGCAGAATCCTAACTTCCTGGACGACTTACACAAGTTGCGATGCGAGAACATCCTGCAGCACCGCAAGACATTCAACATTGCCAAGTTGAGCCCAAAGCCCACGAGAGAGCAGCTTTCTGCCAAACTCACAAACGTGATGGCGGTGGTTCCAGCGCTCTACATGCGGCAGGTTGGCAGGAGTGACATCATCAAGGAGCCGAGGCTCATTCGCCCGCAGCAGATGCTTGTGGCCTGGGGCGGACAGGAGGCGCGAGAGAAGTTCGTTGCTAACAAGGAGCGCACCTTGATGAATGGGGTTTTATACCCAAAAGAGAAGGACCGGGCACATGAAGGCGGGTGGCTAGGATGGAGTTAGAGGCGTCTGGGCCAGATGCTGCAGAATTCGATCTTTTGGAACGTCCTGGGAGGCTACGATATATACATCAAAGACGGAATTACGGTCTCGGGGCGCACAACGAGCCACACGCGTGGAAAGACTAGGCATTGCATTAACGAGATATACCAGCGAAGGCTTGTCACCAAAGGCCCAAGTCAGCAGGCTTGAGCAACAAAAATACGACCACTACAGCAAAATAGAACTGTGATGTCCAGTTGGCTGGACTCTGGAATGCGGCTAAAGTGGATCGAACACTTGACCTTCAGATAGAGGATTGAAGTTGGACTTCAGTCTGACGCTCTCCCAGCTGAGCTATACCCGCATCGGATTTGTTGAAGTGGAACAGCAGTATTAACGTTGATGCTGCCAGGGCGGGCCCTGAACGAGAGACAGATTCTTCTGGGTGGATGTGGGTTGTGCAGTTGTGGATATGACATCCATCCACATCCACCATGACCTGTTCAAACATACGTAACCGGTCGGTGGTTCCACGACTGGAGGTCAGCCACGCACATCCACGCCATCTCTGCGGTTCTCCTGCATCGACGCCTTCGGAGCGTTGACGATGTACCGGTACATGCAATACGGAAGTCGGGTATATCCGAATGGATGCGACACTGGACCAGCTCAGCGATGAGCGTCTTGACGTGCTTGGGTCAGCCGCCCAGGAACAGGGCGGACCGTAGGGCGGGATTGGGTGTGGGGACTGGGGAACCCCCTGGTTGGCAGGTGTTAAACTTCAGAGGAGGCTCCACATACATGTGGGGCTGCTTGGGTGCACTTGGACATTAGGGTTCGCAGCCTGACCTCCAGGAAGACGCCGCCCATGTGGCCGCCACGTACTCGAATGAGTGAACGAGAGGTTGCCGCGTCGGGCGGGCAGGAAGGAACCCAAGATGAAAACCAAGAAGGTCTTTGCGCCCTGTGCTCGCGGAAGACTAGGTGTGGTGCAAAGCTCCACTGTACCCGTGGACGCCGCCTCGGGAATGTCAACCAGACGGAACTCACGACGCCACGCCTCTATATGCCGGACGGGTGGTGTCTGAGAAAGCGCCTATGCGATTTGACTGTCCCTGTCTTAGTAGACTTAGGATGCCGAATGCACGGTGAAAGGCTTTTGGTGGGCCAGCCACTTGGGTTGCTGAGCCAGGTGAACCGGCGGTGTCTGTCGGTCATTCACTCCCCAATCGTCTATTCTCTCGGTAACCCATGGCTGTCTCGTGGCATATTTCACTCTGTGTTGCCTTACAATTGTTCGCCACCGCTGCTCTGGTCCTCCCCGCTGTTCAGGTTCTTCCCTATTGTCCAGACCCCTCCCTGTTGTTCAAGCAATTTTACCATTGTTCGGCACACCCGGTAACCTTACTGGAGGCGCATAGTGGCTCTTCTAATTCGTGTCAGAGTTCTGCATCTTCTTTCCCGGAACCTTCACAGACACATCGCAGAGTCTTATCACCACCGAGAAGAACCCGCCTTATCTTCGCGAATATTGTTGCTTCATTTACGAGTAATACCTCCAAGTGGGATACTTACCTGAAGCCTTACTTCAGTGCCCAATCTCAACACCAGCAGGTGAGTTCCAGTCACAGTCTACCCATGTGGCCCATCGCAATTCGACACATCACCGTTTGATACAATCCAATCCCCGAGGTGAACCAGAGTTAGTGTGGGACTTTCCAAGATGCGAAAGACCTAATTGCTTTACACCACGCCCCGAACTGGAACCCCAATACAGAATCCCGAGGCCCATCTCCTTCCTACACATACTTTTTCATTCGTCAGAGTATCTGTCAAGGCTCTTTTATCCATCCATGGATGTATGGCGCTAACAATCATCCAGGGTTGTATTGAGTTTGGAGCAGAAGAACTCCTTTGCGACTACATATCCCCGCCCTTACTAGACACTCGACCACCATGTTTTCCTCGCAGATGCCTTTGCGTTCAATCTACGGGCAAGTCAGCCCTGAAATTCAGGAGGAGTACGACTGGCGCACCGGGAGAACCACTCGCCGACCCCAGCAGTCGCAATACAGTACGAGCCGGGCTGCGATGCCCTCCTCGTCCGCGACTCCGAGGCCAACCTACAGGCCAACCAACCCCGAAATCCTCGAAGACTACGACTGGCGCACCGGGGAAGTTACTCACCGACCTCAATGGGGGGAATATTCCGATCGGGCTAGGATGCCCTCCTCTTTCACGACCCCAAGGGGACATTACGGGCCAGTTAGCCCAACGATCCTGGACGATTCCGATTGGCGCACCGGGGAAGCGATTCATCAATCTCAACAGACACAGTGGGAATCTCGGGGTCGAAACGCGACACCCCCCGCGGTGAGCTCTTCGGCAAATGGCTCATACCGAGTGGTTCCCGGCCTTCTGGAAGACTTCGACGACGAGTTTTCGAGCAGGCCATATTCTGGCAGCGGGCGGGGATCAGTATCGCTCGACATCCCGGACATCATTGCTGAGTTCGGCGAGTTCGGCATCGAGTTTCCGAGAGGGCCATCTTCTAGCCCCCGAAGATATCCCCCGGTATCGTCCTCAATCTGGGCTGGCTACGAGGATGGGGCGCCTGCTGTCTCGCGGAGAACACCCCCGCAATCCCTGGGTCCTGAGCCACACAGCATTACACCGGCTGCTCTTCCCGGATTCTTCTTCCCAGAGGTTAGGTAAGTATTTGTCCCCCTAGGCTCCATGGCCGTATGATCCTTGTTTCTAAGTCTCGATTGCAAGATTCGGGCAACGATACCAGGCGGCGGAAGGCAGCGCCCCGGCTGTGCTCACGAATCAGCACACAACAGCCGAGGTTGTGAGCCGGACTCGAGAGTGCATAGTCTGCACCGATTCGAAGGCAGCATCTGAATTTCCGGCATCCACGGTCACCAAGGCATGCAAACACGCGCCATCAACATGCCTTGAGTGTATCGCAATATCAATCAGATCGGACCTGAACAACCGTCTCTGGAACGAGATTGGGTGCCCGGAGTGTCGGGAACGTCTTCAGTATGAAGATGTTCAGAAGTTTGCAGATCCCGCAACAAAAGAGCGGTAAGATTGCCAAGTGTTATGCAGTTCCCTAATAACAAAAATATTCAGTCTAACTCTGGACTCTAGGTATCAAACCCTGTCTTTCCGGTCTGCCGTCTCCGAGGCAGATAATTTTGTCTGGTGTCCTTCTGGCTGTGGACATGGTCAAGTACATGATGGTGGGCTTGACCAACCAATTGTTGTTTGCATGCACTGTAACGTCCGATCATGCTTCCACCATAAAGTTGCGTGGCACGAGAATTTGACTTGCGAGGAATACGACTCTCTCCAGGCCGACCCTTTAAACTTCCGCAGCCGGTTCGATATCGAAAACGAGACGGCTGAGATGGAGGCAGAAGCTCGTCGAATTCAAGAAGACCGGGACCGCGCTTTTGCTCAGAGTTTAATGGCTCAAGAAGAGCAAATAGTGCGAGAAACGGCGAAGCGGGAGCGGGAGAGAGCCCGAGAAGAGAAAGAGAGAGCCCGGGAAGAGCGGCAGAGACAGGCAAGAGAGTCCAAGGAGCGGAAAGCGCGGGAAGAGAGAGAGAGGAAGGCTCGGCAAGCTCGAGAGGCCGCCGCGAAGCGCAAGGCCGAGGAAGACGCGAGCAATAAAATCGTCAAGAAGACGACGAAGCCGTGTCCTGGCTGTGGGTCGCCGATCGAGAAAAATCGCGGTTGGTGAGCATCCCCCTTTCATTGCCTCGCATCTCAATACACTGCTGACTGATTTTCTGTAGTGCGCACATGACATGTAAGTAGCAACCCCTTTTCTTAACACCCCAATCCCCAGCTGCACCAAAAGCACACTGCAACAGAACTGGAATGCCGCCTTCAAAACGGTCCGTTGACTGGTTTGGCGTTTCTCAGGCACCCGGTGCAGATATGAGTTCTGCTGGGGCTGCAATAAAGACTGGGACCTAGACCACAACATTCGCTGCGGCGGCCGCTGGGCTTGACTGCTTCTACGCTGCAGATTATGCACTCCAAGTTCAAATGTTCGAAGACCCTTTCAGTCACTTTTGGCCACGATTACTCGTGTTCCTCCAGAATTGCTAACGTTTTGCGACGATGTAGGCACAAGGTGTAATTTCCAATTTTGCTGGGAGTGTCTCGCCGACCATCAGGTGATAGTGAGGGAGGACAACACTCAACACAGGAGGACTTGTCGGTACCACCCATTAAACCTTGGAAACTGAACGCTGGACTTTTGTATCGGGTTGTGGGATAGAGATGGATTTCACGGACTGACACCGACACGATGGTCAGGTCCTGGGCTTAAATGTGCTGCATGCATCGTATATCACAATGGATTGTTTTGGGAGCTTTTGAGGAACGGTTTCGCTAGGTTGACGGTTTACATAAGAAATATCGTACATAATAACTAAATAATAGGAACGGTCTAATCCGTGTATCATGATATATTGTTGCTGTGACATTCATATTTGCATCTTCCGGGATTGTGCTACGATCGATCTCCTTCATGTAAGTCAATCTTGGGGCTCTAAGAGACAGGTATACGTGGAACGTCTTGTAAACCCGTTTAGCTCTCTGTCTGTTCTTCCTGGCGACTTGAACCCGGTTCGAAGTGCATACAGCAAATCTAATTATTTCTGGCTCAGCTGGGAAACTCTTTCGTCTTTTCTCATGTTTTCTTTTTTTCCCTTTTGTCTTTGGCATCGTACATGTGCTGCGTACGGGGTGGGAGGGGGGGGGGGTGGGGGGGGGGGGTGAGACTTGGGCCTTTCGGCTGCTGGCAGAGCCCCACAACGCAACCAAATCGTCTCCACAAAACTAACCCCAAAACTCGACTTTAGCACCCCCTCCTTCAGCATCCGTCCATCCTCCACAATTCTTATCTTCCTTGGCAGGCATCTTGGTCGTGGTTCTTGACTGCCCGCCGTAGTATGATGCATACTACTTGATACCCTAAGCATGCGGCGATAATGCGTCTCTTCTTCATTCGACACGGCGAAACCGTGCACAACGTGGCCGGCCTCTAGTGCGTTCGTTCCCAGCGACGAGGTCTCTCCCCTCTCGGCCCTTGCCTACTAACCGTCTTTCCCAGTGCCGGTGTTTGCGACTCGCAGCTGACGGCCCATGGGGTCCTCCAGGCCCAGCGCCTAGGTGCCCACCTCGCCGCGCGGTCGGCCTCCGTCGGCCCTGTCGTCCGCATCTTCTCTTCGGACCTGCAACGGGCCGCGATCACGGCGCAAGCCATCATCGACGCCCAGACACCCAACCGGAGTAGCGGCAGCGGGGCCGGCGGTGGATATAGCTATGGAATCCCGGACCAAGAGCGGGCCGTCCGCCTCGTGAAGCTGCCCGACCTCCGCGAGCGTGACTTCCGATCGGCCGAGGGGAAACCCTACGGCACGCCCCGTACAGACGCTGAGACGCACCAGGAGATGGCTGCGCGTTCGGACCGCTTCGTGCGCACCCATTTGGCCCCGGTGCTGTGCGACCGGAATCTGCTGGAGTCACCGACCGAGGTCTCGGTGATGGTTGTCGCTCACGGGCTGATTCTGAATTTCCTCTTGCGGTCGCTTCTGTCGAGGTTCGCGCCCGCAGAGCTCGCGCAGTTAGAGGGGCCTGGGACGGAATACCTGTCCGCCTGGGGCAACACCGGCTACATGGAGGCTACTGTCGGGTTGGCTCCACAGGACCCGACTGTTGTTCCGACGGGGGTGGATAGCAAGTTCGAAGATGCCGTGTCCACCATCAGCACGACCCGGCCGAAGCGAAGGATCAAGCTAAATGTGCTGCGGCTAAACTCCTTGGACCACCTCGATGGCTTGAAAAAGACCCGGGGAGGTATTGGCAGTGCCCAGTTTGACAAAAACCAGAAGACGCTCGATTCGTTTGTTCGTCCGAGTCCTAAAAAGCGAAAGCTTGGGGAGTGAAGTGGTCTTGTTGGGCTGGAGAGCCAGCTACCCACGCTGCATTTGCACAATTTCAGCAGGGTATGTCGATCCCCCCATCTTCAGCGCATGCCTGAATTCCAGCACCGTCATATGATGAGAGACACAAGTTCACAGACCTGTACCGAAATACCTCATGTGGATGCAATTGTTCAACCGCTATCTGAGACGTCATTTCCACCCTTCGAGTCAAAGTTTGCTTGGGTGGTCTTGGAGCTAACTGAAATCGCCGAGTTTGCCCAGGTTCTTCCTGGTGGATGCTGTCGGGCTAGCCCGGGTGCTTTTTAGGTGAATATTTCTCGTGTCTTAGTAGATGCTCCTGTAGGGTCCGTTCCCTCGAAGAACTGAGGCGTTAGGCATAGCAGGATGTGACAGTGATATCTATATCCATAGCGAATATGGCATGGCTGTAGCCGGCCGCGACTTTTAGAGATACAGTGACAAGCAACGATGATCGTGCCACTACTATGACGCTTCGTCGTCGCCACACCGAATAGCCGCAGTGAAAGACGTATCCTGTTGATGTAGCCATCTAGGTCAAGATCTCTACTTCTTTCAACGCATTGAGGCTTGCCCAGGCCGATAGTATAGCGTAAATGCTTCCCGACAGCACCAGCAAGAAGTCATCGTCGCCACTGCCTGCTTATAACAAAGACCTATTCATCATCCTCATCATCATCCTCATCATCGTCGCTATCCTGAGGCACCAAGCCCGCCGCCTCCTCGGACGGCAGCTGCCGCGGAAACCATCCAAATTCGCCAAGGTCCACCGACAGCTCGCCCAGCGCCCCCGCCGTCACCACCACGCCCTCGGCCTCGAGCGCCGCCGCCTGGTTGAGCGTCCCCGAGGGCTGGGATCTAGTGAACACGGCAGGGTATGAACAGCCAATATTTAGTTTGAGGACTTTGTTTCTTTGCATTTTTGGGGGGTCGTTTGTTGTGATAGGGGCGTGGGGGTAGTAGGTAGGGACAGTCAGGTAAGGCCAATGAGCTATGGGCAAGTGAACTTGACATGACATGCTAGACGTATTTTGACGTATTTTGAGCATGGGTAAGATAGAAGCGATTAATGGAAAAAAAACTTTTTGAGGAAATAATGGATGCCAATCATGCTAAGACGCACCGTGGAGAAATGACGCCCTTGGCGTTGATGACGCGCTGCCACGGCACGTTGGCGTGGTTGAAGCGCGCGGCGGTGTCCGAGGGGAGGTGTTTGAGGCACACGCCGACCTGTCGGGGACGCTGTGCTGTTTGGTGTGTTTGTTCTTGTCAATAACGCGACTGTTTCTTGTTTCTTTTTAAAGACGTAGACCGATGGGGGTTTGCCACTCACGGGTGCCGACCAGCTTCGCTATGTGGCCGTAGCTAGTGACCTTGCCGTGCGGAATCTCCTGCACGGCGCTGTACACGGCGTGGAAAAACGCGGCCGCCTCGTCGGATCGCGCCATCGGACTGCGTCGGGTTGTTGCTTGTAATTACAGTGGGCTTGCTAAGTGTGCGAGTTGTTGTTTGCTATACTAAGAGAAGATACATTTGAGGAGACGTCAGGCTCTAGGGGGCAGCATGCTGAACAAAGGGCGCAGATCGCCGCAATAGCGCCTGGTGAGCGGCCATAACCTCAGTACCACAACTCTCGGGGTATTCGACTCAAAAGAAGAAAAAAGAGAGGGATAAACCACAATGGGTTTTATTTACTCATGCGATACGTCTTGATTACTTATACGATACGTCTTGAGAAGAGCCCAAAAGAAATACCCTACTTGCTGAAAATTGGCAAAAGGAATGGATACACCCGGGATCGAACCGGGGACCTTTCACAGTAGCGCATCTACGTCAATGCGAAGCGAAAATCATACCACTAGACCATGTACCCGAGCTCAGTTCGAGTTGATTTATTGGAGGGTTAAGCTAGCTTCTCGCGTTATCACAGCTACACGACACGGAAATTTGAGCAGTGATTATTTCTTCCTTTCATTCAAAATAATCCATTTCATACGAGAAATACTCAGGTAGTATGCTGTTTGCAGGCATCTTTTATCTTACACTCTACTCTAAAATATCTCTGAATGTCAATTAATTATTACACAATGAAGACTCAACCTTTTCTTCACATAAACTCTATGACATGGCAATCTAACACCTTCCCCAGTCCGGTCTATCTCATTTGGTTATCTCACAAGATTTCGATCAGTTTGTCGACCTGCAACTGGGAGGTCGTTCAGTTCCTGAAACGGGGGGCTTCCTTTCTTGTCGCGGAAGAAGATTCCAAACGTCAAAATTGACCCGGCCTTGGCCAGCATGGGCCGCTCGTCGCGCCCCTTATCCCCCTGAATCTCCGTCCTACCGTCCCGCGCTAGGTAGATGTGGTGGTCGCTGGGCAGATAGCGGCCCGGGTTCCAGACGTTCCAGATGACCGAGTTGACGAGCATGAGCGTCGCCTCGAAGACCCAGAAGAACCACTCGTAGCGCAGGATCGGGCTCAGGCTCCGGAGCGCCTGGATGTCCTTGAGCCGCACCGTCGTGTTGCCCAGGTGCTCGACCAGCCGGTAGATGCAGCGGACCAGGATCAGCGCCATGCTCGCATACAGGGTAGCCAGCGGAGTCGACACCGCCCGGCTATGCAGCCCGGCCTTGGCGCACCGCCGGTGGAAGAGCGCTGCGAGGACGACGAAGGTGACGATGACGGCGAGCTGGATTGCGAGCGCGACGATCGTCAAGTTCTGTCCCATGTCCTGTCGGCTCTGCGACGCCGACGGGTTGGCCGAGAACGACACACCGAGAGAGTTCAAGACCTCTACTATCATCATCAGGCCGCCGAAGGTCGAGAGAACCCTGCCGGCGGGGAGGGGCGCAAAGTAGGGCATGTAGTGGAATATCCGGCCGAGGACGTGGTAGTTGGCAAGTTCGAGGAGCGGGCTGTTTGCAACACCCAATCAGTCATCTGCCCAGGGAAGTTTCCAACTGCAAGTTTCACTCACGGGCATACGAATATAAAGACCTGGCTGAAGATGAAGACGAGCAGGTTCCGGGTGCTGTACATGTAGTTGAAGGCGCCGTACTCCCGCAACATATAGCCGACAGAAAACACCACTGCACAGACGGGATGCAGTCCAATCATTCTGAAGCATTTGTAACGGCTTTCTAAACGTCAGAGGGATGAAAAGCAGCATGGCACAGAAGAGGGGCACTCACTAGCATTGCCGGATATGGCCAGCCGCCGAGGCAGCAAAGGCAGCAGCGAAGATGACAGGCGCTACCTTGTTCGGAGCATATATAAAGAGGCTTCCCAAGACTAGGGCATCGTGTCAATAACGATAGGGCATGAGAGGAGGGACTCGAGGTCTTACTGGGCTCTCCATCCTCCATCGTTAGTTCTGTAAGTCTGGGGTTGTACAGGAAGAGTTTAGCAAAAATAAACGAAAATAAACAAAAGAGCGAGATTACCAAGAAAGGAAGGACAGAATACAGGTGAATGAAAAGTACAAAACAAGAGAAAGTAAACAGGAAGTAAATGGAAAACCACATCGTCGTCGCTGGGAAATGCTACCTCTTTTGCCTACTCTCTTAACACGGAGCGGAAGAAGCCGAACACGCGTGTTATCTAAGCCAGGGTGAAGCGACACGGTGATCTGGCGCGGCCCAGCTCCGCCCCATGCGGCTGCGCTGCGGTCTGATTCGCCAGCCCACCTCGCATTACAACTTCCCATCTCGGCTCTTCTTAGGGGAGGGGGAGGTCAACAAATCGGGCAGTCTGACTTGTTGGGAATGGGAGGAAGAGGCCCAGCCAGGAAATCTAGTCGCTTTGTAGGGCTGTAGGTATGCATGGCGACTCGCTTTCCATGACGCGTCCCCATTTCCAAGCTTCCTCGGACGTGTGAACGCCGCCTTGGCCTCTTCTATTTGACTAGGTGGGGACGCAACTCGGGGCATTCGGCGAAAGGAAAATAGAGTCAGATACTGTCCCAAGAATATGGTTAATTAAGTTCTGGAAAAGCATTGAAATAATTACATGGCATCGCTAAACGCAGTCTTTCGGTTTCTTTGGTGCAGTTGGGCATCGCTTTTCGTCGCTACAGACAGCAGAAATTTTTAAGGCGAACGAACACGTATTGAGAAGAATCTAATTATAGGAAATTATATAGCACTCTTTACAGAGGGATATTTGTCTTGACACAATTCAGAGGTGATCAAGAAGACGGTGGTATGCATGTTGAAGATCAATTATTAAACTTCATTTTGAAGAAATGTAAGCAAAGAACAAAGTAATAAACCAAGTGTAGATAGAATTGAAGTGATAACCCAGAACGAACATTCCGTGAGGATTCAACTGATGAGTTTAAATATCAGAAATACCTTTCTAGCTCCGTCTTGACGGGTTCGCGTCAACTTCATCACGGTGAATCAAGCACTCGAGCTAATTGAAATGTCATTCAACATGCACTATACAGCAGTTACTAGTGTTTCTATCTTAGCTATCAAGCTCTCTAGTTCTTGTGGACAAAGCCATGTTCAGTTGGTTCTACCCTGAAGGAGGCTGAAAATCCACACATCATCTCTAAGACAGTTCTTGAGTCCTAAATGTTAAATAGCAGGGATGCCGTTCCGCAAAGAGTGAGCAAGCTATCTACCCTATTGCGTAGTACGCATTGTAAAGAGGTCGAAATCCTTGGCCGGCAACTCACCTAACTACCAATAAGATAAAAAGCGTATATTCACGTATTAGGCTTTTACACTTCAAGGTCACAGCAATTGACATGAATAAGTATCAAGCTCCCCCGTATTCGTTCAAGAGATTCTCATGTAATGCTCATTCGCCTCGATTGTACAACCCTAGCCACATGGCACGACGACGTAGTTGTAGAACACCAGAGTAGGGGGCGGGCACACATTCACGCATCACAAATTCCAGAAGCCACGGAGGACATGCAGACCAGTACTTCACCCAGAGAGCAGTCAGTCGTCCCGTCTTGGACTCTAGAGAAAGCAGCGGGAGGACCAGCAGCAGCGGCAGCAGCAGCAGAGACCAAGGAGGGAGGAATGCGCATTGACACGGACTCGCTTGTGCTCCAGACACCTACTTACATTGTATCCATGTGATATGCACCTACACGGTCCAGACAAGAAAGCCAACCGGATAGCCAGCCTGGCAACCCGCGCCACCACCTACCCACACAGACACACCTCAAGATGGTGTGTACTATAGGCATATATCACCGCAACTGCTTGCCATAACAGCAGTCTCCGCAGATGGCGATCTCTCGCCGTGTAAGCAAAAAACTGGGAACCCGTTCCTTCTGACGTGGGGGGAGGGAAAGGCCGGCGGAAGAGAAGAGGTGGGGTTCCGGAAGTATTCCCCGCATTGACAGCTGGGAACGGGGGGGTCGATAGAGGAGAGAGGGGGTGGGTGTGTGTGATGAGAAAGAAGAAAAAAAGGTATTGAGAATGCGTAGTACGGCGAGAGAACCACCCCACCTTAAGGAAACCCACTAACGACGAAGGAAGACCAAGAGACGAGAGAGGATGGGATTGACCGGCAGGCACAAAACGGGGCCCGGTCCCGTCCCTCCCATTACCACCCACCTGCGGGGGACTGAGAGAGAGACGGTGGTTGCTTGCTTGCGCATGGGCTGAGGCCCGAGCTCAACAAGCCGAGACACCGGGCGCACGGACGGAGGGGAGGGGGAGGAGGAGGAGGGGGGGTGTGAGAGAGAGGGGGGATGAGTAGGGATGAGGGGGCTTGACTATGGCTTCTTCTTTTTTTCTTTTTTTCTTTCCTTGCTTGATTATTTTCGTCTTGTGAAACAAGCGCCTGCCAAATTTCAGACGAAGGGAGTTGTTGGGGGAGTAGGCATTTACGGCGCAAGTCGGAGAAATCGGAAGTCGAGAGCGAGGCAGACACATAATTACGCATCTTGCATCCGCTCTAAAAAGCCGGATGTCTCTCGAGCCTTTTATTTTTTGACTGTGGCCGAGTCGCTGCCGCCCGGGCTCCGGGGAGGCATTTTGTGTCTTGTTGGGAGAGTAATGAGTGTTGCACCACCGCCGTGGTGGCGTTTCGAAGGGTGACGCCCGCTCGGGTCTGGCTGGGTTGAGCGTTGGCATGAGCCGAGACAAACATGTCTCCGAAAACGCCGGTGGCCGCGCCATTTCTCTGTCTGTCTCTCCACGCTCGTCCCAAGATTTTATCTTGTCTCGTGTCCTTGCAGTAGCCCAACGGGGTTTTATTTTTACTTATTTCTGGCCGCCCAGGACACCACTAGACGACGCTAGTTTCGCGGAAATAGTCAGCCAGACAGCTGCGAACTCTCGTCGTTAACTGCATGAACGTGATCTGGGGGACAAGCGAGCAGAACGCCCACCGTGGGCGCTAGCACTAGCATCAGGGGTCAAGGCAAATGCGCTGGGGTGTGTTTGCGCGACTTTCAACGCGCCGGTGCGGCTGCGGTGCGATGCGGTGCGAATGTGTGAGCGAATGCATTGCGTCGTGGCTCGAGGCCGTATGCGGCAGCAGAAGCAGCAGCAACGTATATATCACGAGAATATATCACCAGACGCCCAACCCCTCTCTCACTCGCGAGGGCAGCACTCGGTAATCAACTCTCTCTCGTTACCCCTCACTCGCATCAGCAACTTCTGGCAACAAGGATATCTGAGTCGTGGAAGAAGCAATTCTGAGCAATGCATGTCTGCGCTATCACAGTGGCGTCTGCGTGTTTGCTGGGCTTGTGTTTGCCTGATGACCGAAATATGGCTTTGGATTGTGGACCTGGGATCCAGGGCAAGCAGCTTGGTCTACTAGGTCGAGGGTGGTGAAACTTTTTCGTGATCATCCGAAGACCGAATGTTTCGAACACGATCGCTTCTCGTCTATATCGAGCGATCGGCCTCTTGCATGTCGTCCACATTAGCGAGAGACGTGGTAAGCTCAGGCCTAGGTCTAGGTCTAAGGCTAGGTCTGAGGTAGGCAGCTAGTGAACAATCGGGAGGGCAGTCTCCCAGGCGGTGTCCAAACGGAGGATGCTCGGATCAGTGTGTGATCTCCCAGTTGCCGACTCTGCGACCTGGTGACGAAGAAGCTATTCTGGGCCTTAACGCATTAATGCCAACTTCGCACCCATCGCAACTGGCACCCGGATTATGGCTCACCCGGCTGGGTGCGTACCACGAAGCCCTGTAGGGAGCGGCCAGGGGGTTTGGAGGCTGAGACGGAGTTAGTCTGATGTTCTTCCTATCACGCCGACGTTTGGTTTCGACCACAGCGATGCAGCTTTCGCGCCTATCTGTGGGGCCGTGTATGCAGTTATCCAGATTAATTGGGTCTGCGACGTGCTTGGGGGAGATGTTGTGTAAAGAGAGTCAGGGATGCACAGAATACTGGGCACTATGCCGAGAGGAGTTGCTGGATGCACCTCACGAAAACGTCGTGATTAAAGGAGATACAAGACGCGAGTAGCAAAGAGCAATAAGATCAATAGCTAATGGCCCTCCACGGCCGTGAAAGTCTCTGCACAGCAACCCAATCGGCGTAGCTGAAACAAGGCATCTCGCCTTCCTTCCAGTGGAGATGTATACTTGGGAAGCCCGAAAAATACTTTCACGGCGGGTCAAAGTCTGAATCCTGGACACAGAATCCTGTATGTCTCTTGACTCCCGAAAAGTGCCGTTGGCTCGAAGTCCGCCTAGGGATCTAGTGCAAACAGCAAAGCCCGAGAGCGACATGTGATAGAGGTGAGTTATGACGACGGGCAAGTTTGCGATTTGTGGCGTTTGCGTCAAGCTATTCCCACATGTCTTGGATTGCAAACCCGAGGGGCGTCATGTCTCGGGAGGAGGTGGGGAACATAATGGACATCTTAACGAGTATTGCCATTTCAACTGGCACACCGGGCAGACCTGGCAATCGGAGGTCGGAGGTGTGCCGGTCCAAGTGGGCACCCGGGGCAAACAGCTGATCTCGAGGTCCGTCGGTATCTGGATTAGCATATGTTCTAGCTTGACTTGGAAGCAGTCAATTAGGTATGTGGTAGTATGGGGACGACGGCCGTCGCGATGCTCCCTTGCGCTACCGAGATTGTGCTTTGTAACATCGCGCCGGACCCCGTATCTCGGCGCCGGGCATTCGTCACATGCGGCAACCAAAACCCGGCGCGATGTGTACATACATTTATCCGTTAATCTGGCAACTCGACCGAATGGATGTCCAACGTCGTAGCATACGCGTCCTAGAGATGCCACTGAGAACATGTTAAGGAGAGCGCGCCGCAGTATTGTGATGGCCAAGGTCGTGGTGTTTGTGAGGCGAAAATCGGCTGCCAATCATCAGAATGAAGCTCCTCCGTAGCCTCGAGGCCGCGCTTTCGACTGCATTGCTGGTTGATGTAGCACTCGCCGCAACAGCTGGGAAGCTTAGCATTCTCTCCATGAATGTGGCAGGCCTCCCAGCGATCCTCAACTCCAATGACGTCCCGGGAGACAAGACCACAAACGCAGAGACAATCGGATCCAAGTTTGCAGAATATGACTACGACGTCATCCATGTCCAGGAGGTAATGTCGCTTGCCCATGCGGTGGCGCTGTGGGACCGAAATGCAGAGAAAGACGAGATCCTTCTGGAACGGCCACCCACAGCTCCGGCGCAGCATGAAACGGGGCATTTTCGTCCGTGGCACGAACCTCGCTGACTTGTGTGGCGTCCGCCCCCTTGAGCAGGACTTCAACTACCATGCAGCCATATATCGGACGGACAACCACCCGTTCAGGACCGCCACGTCAGGCGGCGTACCGTTCGGGTCTGGTCTGAACACACTGTCCAAGCTGGACTGGGTACAATTTGAGCGTGTCAAGTGGGCGACGTGCTCCGATGCGTCCTCTAGCGACTGCCTCACGCCAAAGGGCTTCACGTTCATGCGCGCAGCCATCTCGGCCGGCGCCGCCGACAATACCACGGCGGTATATGTGGATTTTTATAACCTCCACGCCGACGCGGGAACCGAGAGTGGCGACAACGTCGCTCGCCAAGCCAACATCAACCAAGTGGCCAGCTATATTGCCGCGTCTAGCCAAGGCAATGCAGTGCTGATCTACGGCGACACGAACAGTCGGTACAGCCGTGCGGCCGACACGGCGATCCGGTCCCTGGTCGCGAGCACCAGCGGCACGAGCTTTGGCATGCGGGACGCCTGGGTTGAGCTCCAGCGCGGCGGGGTCGTTCCTAGTGAAGAAAGCCTGTGTGCTAACCCGAGCTCTAACTACTTGTGTGAGACAGTCGACAAGGTCTTTTACCGCTCCAGCCCGCTGGTAACGTTGAAGGCTGAGACATTCCAATATGTCAGCTCGCTGTTCCTGCAGGCCGACGGGAACGTGCTGTCAGACCACAACCCCGTCAGTGTAAACATTACGTGGTCCTCTGGCCCGTCTCTACGGCAGAGCGCGTTTTGGGGCGGTCCGCATGGCACCTGGTTCAGTGATGTGTCGGCACTGGCAAACGTGAAGAAACCCAAACCTTCAGTGTTGAGCTTCCGTGGCGGGGCTCGTCTCGATAGTGTCAGCCTGACTTTAACAGACGGCACGAGGTTGACGCATGGTGGCACCGGCGGCTCGGCGACATCCATCACGCTGGGAGCTTCCGAGTACTGGGTCGAGGCGAGGCTGTGTCAGGGGCAGCGGAGCGGCCAGACCCGGAACTTCTACATCCAGGCGAGCACAACCTCCGGCCGGACCCTGGCTGCCGGAACGGCGACGCAGGACTGCGCGACCTTCTCGGCGCCGAGCGGTTGGCATATTGTAGGGTTCCTCGGACAGGCCGGTGACGAGTTGGACCAGCTAGCATTTGTTTACGCGCCAAAGTGACGAAGGAATGTGATGAGGGGGGGGGGGTGGCAAAAGGGCGGAAACTGAAAGTCCCTTGGAGCGGGCCACTCGGCTCCAACCAAGGCGGCGTTGCGGTGAACGGAGTAACTCGGGTGAAGGATCACGAGAGAGCCTTCGCTGCTTGGCAACGGTAGCGTTGCCGATCTGGCGTTGTCTCAACCGTCGCGGCACCGCGGGTGTATATACTTGACCGGCCGGCGGTCTATCCGCAAATATCTTCGGTGCCCGTTGACGACGGCATGTGGGGTCGACGCTGGCTCGGGCGACGGGAAGAGGTTGGCCCCTCGTGAACGCTGAATACATACCTGGTTATAAGCATCTTGGAAAAAGCAGAAACCGAGATTTTAGGGGTAAAGGAGCCCAGCCCACGCAAAAGGCGGAGCCGGTGAATGAAAGGCAGATTTGTCGAGGCTACTTCGTCCCTCCGCTATGCTGATGACAGCAGTGATCGGCCCTCTCGCGATGTTTGACATGGGCTAGAGATGACAAAAGTTTGTGACCACGGCAGGCCATCCCGGTTCAGCGACGGCGGTGTCGATCAGGGGGCCTGGCCCATGCAATGCGGCAGGGGCGTTGTGGGGTCGCCTGGCTGGATTTTGTCGGGTTCCTAGAAGCTACTCCGTTGGTCAGTGACGCGTTTTAGAGCAAAGTTTACTACTGCGTACTATGTAAGTGTAGCCTCGCCGATCTCTTGTCGAAGGAGGGATACTTCCTGGGAAGCAATCTGCACAGGTCCACGGCAAACGGAGCTGCTGTAAACAATGACAACATAACGGCATGTTATGTTAGGTTTGACTTGTGCCGTGTTGAAATCTTGAGGGAATATGGCCCGATGCTCGTCACCAGAGCAATCGAGACCCCAATGTTAGCTGTCGATCCCCCAAGAGCCGCAGCCACCGAAACCTCGGCAGATTCAACACAGTCTACCATTCGGCTCTTGACGCTGACTGTGTCACGGCTTACTTCACTTCAAAAACGGAAACAAAGGCTTACTTGCCTGCGGAGACCATCAGACTAGAAGAAGGAAAGAAAAAAAAAAGAAAGAAGATGACTGAATGGTGCGGTAAAGGGCCGAATGTGCTTTCCCTCAATGGCAGGCGCAACCCTCTGTGGACGGGTCTGGGCAGCGCTCCTAGCCAGTGGACCGTCAATGGTCACATCTCCGAATAACAACAGCTTCTCGTTGGAGGACTGCGCTGATTAGCAGAATAAGCAACGGGCCCCGTCTGGCCTGGCCGCCCGGCTTCCGAGTTTCGATCATCTCTATCCGCGCATTGGGATTCGTAGGTTTGAGCCGGCCTTGCACTTGACCCAGCCATCAGGTGCACTGTTGGCCGAGGCGAAAGTCAATCGAGCTGAAGAACGTATTGTTCCGCTCGGGTCATTCGCAGAGCATCCACCGAGTGGTCGGAAGGACGGGTTTTCTTCAACCTGGCTGAAGCCACTCGGAACGCTCGCCCTTCTTTTGCGGGAGCGGTTGCGGGAAGCAACAGTCGGCGCTACACACGTGTTCAGCCATGTGGTGGCACAACTTACAAGACACCCCGCGACAGTCTTCCTTACTTGCCTGCCTCAAGCGTTTCCTTCCCCTCCTTACCCGACCCTGGAGGAATTGATCCGAACGGCTCGCGCAGGAAAGAAAAGGCGTGTTTGCTGCAGTGTAAAGTGTATATCACTCGGCAACGCGGCACCACCCGAAAAGAATTAACTCTCAGTGGGGGTCGGAAGGCTGAAGTCGTGTGGAGGTTGCCAAGTGCAAGTGCAGCCTCGATGTGAATGAATGTGGGCAGAACTCAGCGCAGTTTGTATTCTTTCCTAGCTCCTGTCCCGCCCTGAAGATCTCTGCCGCTTCTAGATTTGGCTGGCGGCAGTGGCGGCCTCGTTTCCAGCCTAAGAGGGAAATGGACCGTGATATTGACTTCCGTCGTGCTATGACCACGAGAAGACGGGAAAGGCTGTTATTTGTCGTGCCATATGCCGTGGCTGCAGATATTTGTCTTGGAAAACCCGTCGGCAATCGACTCAGCACCCGCGGCATCTTGACACATTAGGAAGGCACGAAGCCCGGTAAAAATGAGAAAACCTCACGAGACGCCGAATGCAGAAGCCTTTGGTTTGCTATTTTTGCGTCTTTTTCTCCATTGGAAGAGCCAATTCCAGATCCCCACAGCCTGAGGTCGCGACTGGGGTCTCTCTCGGGCACCTTGAAGCAGATAAGCCCGGGCCCGGGGACTTGTGCTCCGATTAAACTCCTGTGATTCCTACGAATTACAGTGCTTATTGCGGAGAACAAAAGTAAACACGCCCAAACCCCGTTCCCTTGGACTAGACTGTCCTGGGCAGGAGAGACCAGGCAAGAATCCTTTGGCCTCGAGTCTAACCAATTTCCTGGCCCGAGGAGCGGGTGGAGTCAAGCCCAGAGGCTCGTCTAGCGCTTATTAGCGTCTTTAACCCGTAAGCGATCGCGTCGGCGACGATCCGCCGCCAAAAGGAAAAAGAAGGTTTTCCCACAGGCCACACCGCTCACGACGGCGAGGGGGTCGTGGCGGGAGTCGGGATCGCGCGGACCGCGCCCTGAACACGGCGTGTTGAAGGTGGCGGGGTTCTCTCCATGGGTGCCGTGCTTTTCGTCTCCAGCCCACCAAAATAGTAAAATCACCCTGCCGGTTGTTCACGCTGGGCACCCTGATGTCAGATTTCTTTTTTTTTCTGCCGCAAAATCTTCCCCATTTTTCGCGTCGCCATTCGCGCCGGCGGCGCGCCAATCACTCGACGTGTCGTTCAAAGACGGCTCGTTGGGACACGTGCACTGTCGTATGGAAGCAACCCACCATAAACCGTTATTGCGACAAAGACAGCTGCCAAACCAAACGTCTAACGTCTGTCGGGCTGGGAAATAAAATGAGAACCACCAAATAAGAACGCGACGAAGGAACCTGTCCAAATTCGATAGCGTGTAGGTTGGTGGCGCGCCGGTGTATGGGTGTGTGCTAGTCGCGTCAAGGAAATGTTCTCCTCTGGAAGCCGTCGAAGGCAGCCAATTTCCAGGAATAGAGTTGACTGCATGCGGCGCGAGCTTCGGATTACCGACCGGTCGGCCGGCCCTGGGCCGTGCTCAATCCTTATGCTCTGTGCTCTCCGCGGCACCTGCCACGAGAGGCTACTCGTACTCAGTAAGTTGTCGCCTGGTACTCCTTACAGTGTCGTTCATCGTTATCGGGTTGTCGAGCGAGCAAGCCGCGCTTGCGAGTTGCAATAGCCGATGTCGCAGTTGGGAGGCGCCAGGGGAAAGATTCCTTTGCGAAACAGGCGCCAAATATTATTCGTACCTGATTGCGTATTTCGCTCGTTTTTTTCTTTCTACCCTGACCGTCAAGTCCTTGGCAGTGTGAATCGGGCTGCAGGAGTACGACGACATCGGTTGGCGACCTATCCGCAGGGACAATGATCCCATATGCAGCTAACAGAAACTTGGTCGGTATCCAAGGTAGCCTATCGTGTTTCCCCAGGTCGTCCACGTCCGTGGGACTCCGAGGGCTTGGGCCAAGAGGTTCCCGAAGTGGACTCGAATACGGTCTTTCCCTATCTCCCCGCCTCGAATGCGCAAACCCAGACAACTTTTACTGTGAAGCCTCACAGAGACAATATTCTTATTCCTTAACTAGGTAAACTTGACTCAGGATCGCTGCCGGCAAACTGTCCCTGAATGAAACGCTTGGGATTGAGCATTGGCATTCGTGAAACCTTTGGAGCGTCGACGTCAAAAGTCGGGACCGCCTTGTGGCTCTGCTGTTCTTTGCAGGAACCGGGGAGGCTCGAGAACAATTCTGGGAGAACCAATGGGGGATCGAACGGGGGTGTGGCTGCGTTGCAGAAGCTGAAATGGGGGTCAAGAGGGGTACACACCACGATGTCCTAGTGCGAAGACCCTGAAAACCAGTCTGCCTGTCAAAGGGGCAATTCTTTTCCGTCCTTATCGATATCCAAGAGCAGTGCTAATGACACTAATTACTAGAGATTCTTAGCGTAAAACTGAGGCTGCCTCGATTCGTCCCATCGTTGCGTCCAAGTTAGGCGATGCTGTCATGGCTCGATAGAGTAATGGGGCAGGTGTTCGCAATATCAGTAATAAGCCCCCGCAGGTGGAGGGCGAGTGGTGCGCCCCCAAGGCTCCCCCACAACGGTTGCCCTCGACGACAGCAGGCTTGCGGCAGCCATTCAAGCTGGGGGCGTGAATTGAGTTGGGCAGATGAGGGGCGTGAAACTAGGAAAATTACAGAGTGGCAAGAGTTCATCCCGAGATTTGGTGCAAGTGACTCGACCAACGTGGCCTGTTTTTGCTTAGATGAGCTTTACAACGACGAGAATAAAGGCTGGCTTGCTGCGAGGGAGCTGATTATCTGATTATTCGGGACTGTGGGAGGACAGCGAAGTGGTGGTGTGAGGGCTAGAATGGAGAAAGTATGGAATAAGATGTGATATCTTCTGCAGTCGGCAGCCACTATTTTGCGCTACCAATTTTAGTCCATCAAGGTCGAGGACGGATGTGGGAGCTGCGCGAACTGTGTATTTATCATGGATCCATACTGTACGGCAAATATCTCAACCTCCGCTCTGCTCCTATGATCGGCGTAAACCGACACAGTCGAACTTCTTCTGAGTGGGAGCATCTGGCCAGGAAAAAAGAAACACGGCAGCGTGGTGGATTTGGTCTTTGCATAGATGAGCCATCCCACCCACAACCACCTGGAGCCATGGAAGCGGGATGAAGGCCACAATCCCGTCGCACGTGCTTGGAAAACTGGAATTTGTTAGTGGGCTTTCGACAACGTGGGTGGTGTTATGAAATAAAAACGCCTGCCTGTCAAAGCACGAGGAAAGAAGACAAGCTCTGCGAGGGTACCTTGCAGAGTCTCTAGCCCAACAAGGCTAGTCAATATTGGCCCCTGCATTCCCCAATCTTCAGCATCATCCAGGAGTCTGGCGCAATCCAGATTCCAGACCCATGGTGTATGTACCAGAGTGGTACTAGGCCACCAGCAGGCTCTTGCCCACGGCCTGACGTGGACAGCAAGAGCCCACCAAATAAAGCGAAACGAAGAGGGGGATCGAGATCTTTCAGAACCCTAAACTTTCCCAGTGCGCGGCCCGCTTCCGCCTTTGGTGGGGGATCGTGAGATTTCCTTGGGCTTATCACGCTACTTGCGGCTGAGTATTCCTTGCTTCTACGCGGCAAGTTGTCTTGAATCTGGGTTGGGGGGAGTCTGAAGTTAAGCCCCCGTAGCCACGAGTGCAATACTCGCGGTTTTACGTACATAGTAGTGCGTTTTTGCTAGTTTGCCCGCTCTGAGGCTGGACTACGTCAGACTCGAGTTGCCATCCTAAGCATTGCCACAATCAATACGGGATTCTCAGTGCGATGCTGACGAAAGGAAGCGCGCGGAGGGAAAATGACCGCAATTCGCTTCTTACAGCGAATGCCACGTCGCGTCGTGGTTGGTGGTTGAGGAGCGTTGGAATCTTGGACGGATGAGTGCGGCGTGGACACGGGATGGCGTCGTCTTGGTACGCTACCTTCCTCATCAGAGTCAGATCCCCATATCAACGAATCTGCCCTATAACGGCTAGTCAGGGGCATTGTGGGATGTGAGCGAAGCAATGGAAGGCGCTGGAGCTGGAGCAAGCAAGAACTGCTCCTTCGTCTGCGCTCTCCCGTGCAAGCTGTGCAACCCCAAAAGGCTTTCGTGGGGAGCCGTCTGTCGGCGAGCGGTGCTGAAGCATCAAATCTACCGTTGCGCCTCTGGCGAGTCTGGCTCTGGCTCCCTCGGAGTTGCACGCCTCAACTATGACAACTAAAGAGTCTCGTCCGCCTCAACTTTTTAACCCGCGGGTGCAGGCGCCTCGCACGCTGTTGTGGCCATGGACCTGATAGCCTGAAAAAGACAGAAATGTCTTGAAACTCAATGGCTCCGTCGCCGTCTTGCAGTCGCCTTGGAAGAGGGTGCCACAAACACAAACAAGGGGCATTGCCTCAGGTTTTGAGCCCCTTCTTCGAGTCCCGAGTTCTCAACTCTGTGACGCCGACAGGCCCCGGGATTCTCTGAAACGAGAATGCCAGTTGACTCCGACTGTTGTCGAGTGCCCTTTTGTTCGACGATCTCCAGCACCGGAAGCCGAGGCAGGATTGCAAACAGAAGGATGTAATTGCGACGTTGACATCTATACTACAGTGGACACTGGACACTGGTTTGTTCTTTCCCAGGACCTCTCAACAAGCGACGGGGGCCAGTTTAATCCCACGTCCAGCGGGTTTTGGTCTGAATTTGCGGTTTCCCGCCTGTTCCGTGGCTCCCGAGGTTCACGCCACGGCGCGGCGCTAGCAGAAAGAGCATGTTGCCCCGCTAAGCTCACTGGCTGGTCCTGGCGGTGCTGGTGGGCAGGGGGTGGCCCGTCCCCACCACACGAGCATCCAAACGTCTGCCCGACTTTTCAACTGAGCTTTGAGCTTTGAGCTTTGAGCCTTTGGCGGCGTGCTTTGGGCCATTGGCCGCCAACCGGGGCAGGCAGGCCCAAGAACCCTCAGGCTCTGGTTGGCTGTTACTAGCGTGTGCTGGGGTGCACCCGCAATGTACCCCAACGGGTAATAGCGACGAAAAATATTGCAGCAAACCCTGTCAGAGCACCGGCCAGCCCGCTTGGAGGGAGTGGAGACACATGCCGGCCAGGGAGGTGCAATCGAGAGCTCAAGCACCGCTAGCAACAAGCACCTGCCCGGGCAGGGCAACATCCATCGTATGGCAGCAGACAGCCAGCATGCGGCCGAGCCTGTTCAGTTCTAGCACCCTGCCTCTGGGCTCCTTCCTCGTTGCCTCCCCCAAAAGCATGGAGAACCCGCGGAGGAGAATCTAAACCTCTCGGGTCGCAGCTTTGCAGTCTGAGAGCAGAAACAAGAGCATGCATTGATGTCTGATGCCACCACGCCCCGCTGGGTGAATAACACGTACGTACTCGGTGCTGCCCACCACGACAGCACCTCGGTCCGCCCACGATAGGTGGACGACCACGAGACTCGACCGACGGACGGCTTAGTCGTCTTTCAGGGCGAGCGCCCAATTCGGCTGTGGCCTTTGCCATCTGGTCGCTCCCAGGTTCAACTCGCCAGCCATTGACCCGATCGTGCTTCTCCTCGCCCTCGTACACTGCAGTGCTCCCTTTGCGCCCTGCCATATTGTTATCAACCCTCCCTCCCCGACCTTGCTGCTCGAAACACTATCCGTACCTACCCAGCTACAAATCCACGAGAGAACCAAGAGCTCTGCCGTATCGTCGGCCGGCACTGTGGGGCCAAGGTACGAAAACATTGGCCTTGTCGCCGTTCAATTCCTTCTGTATCGTATCTCTCTCTGGAGGCCGAAGAACAAACTGGGTCTGGTGGCACTCGTGTGTAAAGCAGAGCTAAGAGCTGGCTGCATTGTCCACAGGCGCAGGGCCCAGGGTCTCCCCTGGTATGCAGCTATCCAGTGTTGCGACCCCATTGCGACATCCTTGACATTCCTCCGCTTCCCATAGACCTCCCTCCCTGCATTCCTCCCATACTCAAGTGCGGTGCTCTCCCACCTGTCATAACAACCCAGCGTCTCTGTGAGATCAACTTCGCTTCGACCTCTCGGCTAACTACACGATCTTCAGCCTTGATCAACAAACACTCGCCCCTGTGGACCAGACGCCCTCGACCAGCTTCAAGAAGACGCTCCAAGTAAACTACCTAGACTGGGACCTCGCCGTCCTGTCTTGACTATCCGCGAAGGCGACGAGGCGGAGTTTATTCCGCCTTTTTTTTTTTTTTGGAGAGGCCATCTTCGCCGACGCCAACATCAACCCGTACTGCTGGGAAGGGAAACTCGCTTTGGACTGCTGGCTGGCCGACTTGACCCGGGTCCGGTCGCCACCGTTCGGCCTATGTTTCTCTTCACACACATATCCGCGCAGCAATGGCGGCAATGCTGAGTAGCCAGCCCACGCGGTCGAGCCTACAGGTGGCTCCACTCGCTATCCAGAAGTCAAGGGAAGACCTGTTTGGCAGCGGCCGCGAACTGTCTGTCTCTTCCAAAGGCTACGCCCAGTCGCACATGACTCCACCAACAACGCCAAATGGCTCCGAGGAAGACCTCAGCGCCCCTGACCGTCCCCCGAGCCCGTCTCCGGTATTCCACAACTTTCTACGGGCCTTTTATCCATTCCACCCCAGCTATACGGTCAGCGACTCAACCGTGACTTTGCCGCTTAACGAGGGAGATGTCATCCTGGTGCACTCGATACACACGAATGGTTGGGCCGACGGTACTTTGCTGGTGTCGGGAGCAAGAGGGTGGCTTCCGACCAATTATTGCGAGGCGTACGACCCGGAAGAGATGAGGAACCTTCTCAAGGCGTTGCTTAATTTCTGGGACCTGATGCGGAGCACCTCGGTTAATGACAGCGAGATGTTTGGCAACCAGGAGTTCATGAAGGGTATCATTGCCGGCGTTCGTTATCTCTTGGTAGGTTTAGGTGCTACCGTGATTCCTCGTCTGAACCATGTCGGCTAATGCGTGTGCACAGGAGCGTACCAACTGTCTGACAAGAGAGTCGGCTATTGTTCAAAGACATGACGGGCTGCGGCGGAGCCGAAAGTCCCTTTTGTCGGAGCTGTCGTCGCTGGTTAAGACCGCGAAGCGACTGCAAGAGGCGCAGAGGCTGGCCGAACCGGACGAGGAAGTTAATAACATCGTCGACGAGATGATTCTCAAGGCGTTCAGGATTATCACCAAGGGCGTGAGGTTTCTGGACATTCTCGACGACGACAGGAGGTCGCGGGCGCCGGCAGTTGCGGTCATGGCGACGCTAATAGAGGAGATCTACGTCCCGCCGACGCCACCAGCTGACTCAACTGCCTTCGACGCCAACCAAGCCCAGGACAATGATGCAGCATCCCGTACCGACGAAAACACAGACGCTGCCGAGCAGGCCCCGTCCGAAATACGCGAGGTAGCACCAGAGCATACTCCCGCCAACAGGCGTTTGTCGTCCGTTTACTCGCCAGGTACAAATGTGCGCCGATCATTGAATGGCACCCCGCAGGTGAACCGGCTTTCGTCCACAATCTCGCATCGCGTCAGTTTGGCCGGTCACTCGCCCCTTTCACGGCCGCAAAACCTTGTTTCGGAGCGCCTCGGCTCGTGCCATGACGTCTTCCTGTCACACCTAGGGTCCTTTATCGGACGCCTTCAACTCCAGTCGCCCTCGCGGCCGCATCTCGCCCTCGCCATCAAGCAGTCAGCCTCGTCGGGGGGAGAGTTGCTCGTGGTTGTTGACGTAGTCTGCGCCCACAACTCGATCAGCGTCGCAGCTCTCGACCAATCCCGTGCGGCAATGTACGACCACATACAAAACCTCGTGCACACAGCACGCGACATCCTCACCAATGCGGGGCCGGAGATGGAAGACGTGATTGTCGCGCAAGACAACCATCGTTTGTTGGGGGCGGCGACCGGCTGTGTTAAGGCCACAGGCGAGTGCGTCGCGAAGACAAAATGGATCATCGAGCGTATCGGCGACTTTGAGTTCGAGTTTGATAACGGCGACCTTGGTATCGATCTCGATCTCTCCGGTCTGGACTTTGTGTCGTATGAGAAGGAGAGGTCGATTGCAGCTGAATCCGCAAGCATCGCCGAGTCAAGCGTGTCGGAGGCGCCGACTACGTCCACTGCCCATTCCAACACGTCGTCCCTCGCCGTGCGCCCCACGTTCCTTTCTATCGACAAGCCGTTGCCCGAAGTTCCCCAGGTTTCGGAAGTCAGCGACGATATCCCAGAAACACACTACCCGCTTCCGGAATCGCGACCGGAATCGCTTGTTGTTGACGATAATGCTCTAAACATGGTTTCCTCCGCAGCTTCCCTTCGAACCTCCCTGCCCCCGCTTCCCAAGATATCCACCTCGTCGCTTCCCACAGAAGACTACAGCCCAACGGAACAGTCTGCGCCACATGGTAGCGGGTTCCGTTCGTTTAGAACGGACAGCCTAACCGCCTCGAGTTCGGGCTCCGGTAGTACATACCTCAGCCGAGACTCGGAGTCGAGTATTGTCTCTCAATCCTCGACCCGCGCTACTACACCTGACATTACGATAGTACCAAGGAACCAGCCATCTCTATCCGACCTGAGTGTGACTGGGAGCTTGGTACAGACCGAGGAAGTGGACGACGTGGAGTCCAAGCTTCTCGAGAAGACCTTTGCCCATGAGCTGATGTTCAACAAAGAAGGCCAGGTTACAGGGGGCTCCCTGGCAGCCCTGGTTGAACGCCTTACCACACACGAATCGACACCCGATGCTATGTTTGTGTCAACATTTTATCTCACTTTCCGGCTATTCTGCACACCAATCGCACTTGCCGAGGCCCTTATTTACCGTTTCGACTACGTCGGCGAGACACCTCAGGTGGCGAGCCCGGTACGCCTAAGGACGTACAACGTCTTCAAGGGATGGCTCGAGTCGCATTGGCGAGAGGAGGCCGACCACGAAGCGCTTGATCTGATCAAGCAGTTTGCCGAGACCAAGCTCACCCCCGTCTTGCCGTCAGCAGGCAAGCGCCTTCTCGACCTGACCGAGAAAGTGTCGTCAATCGATGGAGCATTGGTGCCACGCTATATCTCGTCCATGGGCAAGACCAACACTCCCGGAGTTTATCAGTACATACCAGCTGAGACACCCTTGCCTCCGCCCGTCATTACCAGGAGCCAGACGAATGCGTTGGCGCACTGGAAGACAGGCTCGGGTTCCCCCTCGATCCTCGATTTTGACCCGTTAGAAGTTGCCCGCCAACTGACAATGAAGCAAATGTCGCTGTTCTGCTCCATCCTCCCGGACGAACTTCTAGGCTCTAAATGGACAAAGTTTGGTGGTGCCGGGGCGCCAAACGTGAAGGCAATGTCGGCTTTCACCACTGGATTGTCAAACCTGGTCGCCGATACCATTCTGCACTTTGACGAGGCCAAGAAAAGGGCCCTGGTCATCAAGCAATGGATCAAGATCGCGAACCAATGCCTAAGCCTCAACAACTACGATGCTCTCATGGCAATTACCTGCGCTCTCACCGATACGAGCATCAAGCGTCTCAAGTTCACGTGGGATGCCGTCAGTGCCAAGCGCAAGGACATGCTCAAGTCCCTGCAGTCAATTGTCGACTTCAACCAGAACTACAAGGTGCTGCGAAATCGGCTCCACGACCATGTGCCACCATGCCTGCCGTTTCTGGGCATGTTCCTGACCGACCTCACGTTCGTCGATGTCGGCAACCCGGCAACCAAGACTAGCGACACGGGCTTGACTGTCGTCAACTTTGACAAACATAGCCGCACTGCAAAGAGCATTGGAGAGCTGCAGCGTTTCCAGATTCCCTACCGCCTCACAGAGTTGCCAGACCTCCAGGAATGGCTCTCGGCACAGATCAACCGCGTCAAGGAGAAGGACAGAGCTGGCACCAATGCGCAGGCCTCTCACTACCGCAAGAGCCTTCTTCTCGAGCCCCGGGAAGCTCAGCAGCTGCGAGCTCCAATTGAGGGGCTGCCCAGCTCCGCCGCTGTCAGCACTGCCATGTTTGGGTGGATAAGGAATAACAGCACGAGCCACGGCCTTGCTGCTACTCAGGTCTAATCTGAGTCATGTTGCCGGCACCCATCGCCGCTACTATTTTGCCAGCGAAACACAAAATTCCGCATTAGCATTCTTTACCGATTAACTGCATTTGGCCGCCCTGTCGCCATTATTTTCGGACCATGTTTGCAAACACACTCGGCTCCGAAGTTTACTCGATTCTTTTGATACCCATATCTGCATTCTCGTCATTTGCAGTTGTTACGCCATAATGACCTTCAGGAGTTTTTATTTACACTTACGGCCGGACCCTCATTTGGGCCTATCGTATCCCTCGCTTACCATGCCCGGCCTAATGTCCGTTGACACTTGCATGCTGAAGCGTTCAAACACACTAGGCAACAAGGTTCCCTCACCTCGTCTCTTGCGAAAGAGCTGTTGCATCATCACATGGGCCAAGACAAAACCATACACACAAAGACCAGTTCATCTGCGGGCCCGCGCCCTACACTATTGCTACGGCATGCTTCGCATGTCTTCATTTCGATACCTTTATACCATATTTGTCGCTGCCCGCAGCGGCAGTTTGACAGTGCCTCTAGCAGACTCACCTTCTCTTCGCCTATTGGGAATTCCGGTTATTCAATCTTTTCAGGATTTGGGGTGCGAGTGGATATCATTCAGAAAGGGAACAGGAAAACGGAGTTGGAGGCTTATTGACGCCCATGCCGCACTCGCTATTTGCCAGAGGGTTTTACGAGAGTGCTTTGGAAGGGTCGTTTCTTTGCATATGTTTGGTGTCCTTTTTTGACACCCAGAGTGGGCATCGGCGGATACCCAGGGCCATTTGCTTTAGGGCGGGTTGGGTTCATGTCTGAAGAGACGGCGTCTTTGGCCCATACACAGGCAGCCCGGGGTGGGCGGATGGTAGATGCCATTATGTAGATGGACGGAAGGACTGCAAACGGTCCCATTATTTTTGTGTATAATTTGTATAGGCTCCCGGCAGCATGAAGCCTCGCGAGGGGTCTTGGTGCGATGCACGGGTCCTCTGACCATCTGGATTGAGCTGGTTGGATGTGTATAGCACAACAAAGAAGTAACCAAGTCAAGCGATCGTGGAGTTGCGTGAGTGCCATAGAGGCAGCCAGTTGCAACCAGATTCTTCTTGATGTTGATGCGGCCCTTTTGTGTTTGTTCCTCTCCTTGTCAGCTCGGTCCGGCCTCATGGCATCTTGGACGTGTATTTGTAGTGAGTGTGTTGACAGAACCACAAAGGGGCTGAGGTTGGAGGCCGTTATTTGACTACAAAGTTCTCTCCTGATTCGCCTTTGGTCTACAGCAAGGTGCTTTTAGTTGCCTCTAGATCAAGTCAAGTTACCAACCCAAAGATAATACGTCCTTCGCATCGTTTTGTTCCCCTGAAATACAGACCTTTCTTTCACGCATCCGGCCCAAAGAAGGTCCTCGGCCAGATGTTCATGGCCGTCTTGACGCCGCCCGCGATCGGCAGACCCGCGTGCACCGTCCGCGCGTCGCCCGACCCGTTATGCGGAAACAGGTTCACCCAGAACGCCGCGTTGCCCGGCACCGGCCGGAACGCGAGCCCACCCGACGCGTGCTCGTACCATTCCCTCCTCCCATCACCATCACCAGCACCCAGAGAAGATGCATGACCGTGGATCGGCCGCACGCGCGGAAACCACGTCTCGCCCGACCCCGCCGGCACCCCGTCCGCCTGCAGCACCACAAACAGCGTCGCCGCGCGGTTGTACATGCGCCGACGGCCGGCCGCCGCGTCCTCCGCCAGCACCCGCGGCCGCGCGAACCAGTCCGCGTGCACGTCGTACTTTTGCCCCGCCGTGTACCGCACCAGCTGCGCAGTCCCCATGTCGTCGCGCCCGTCTGCGAGTAGCGTGCCCAGGAACGCTGCGCCGCGGGCGAGCACGCATCGGACGACGTCGGCGGAGGGCGGGAGTGGTGCGCTGCTTGATGTGCGTGCCGATGTGCCGGTCGAGTCTTGACCTTCCCCTATTCCGGTGATGGGCGAGGGTTGCAGGAGCGGCTCGCCGGCGGCAATCAGGGCCGCGGATTCTGCGGCGGACACGAATGATCGGATGTAGATCACCAGCGGGTCTAGCGAGACTAGCTGTGTCGTGTAGTTGTGTGCGGGACACGCAGCGGTGGGCGGGGAGGTGTTGCTGTGGTTGTTAAGGGGTGTGGTGGACGGAAAGAGGAGTAGGGGGTAGAGAAAGGGGGCGGCCAGGTCGTGCAGCCTTGCGGCTGTTTCGGCGACTGCTGCAGAGGAAGAATAGGTGTGTACGAGATACGCGAGCGCCAGAGGGCCGAGATAGGCGCCGGCGGCGACGGCGACAGTGAGGGCGAGGATCTGGAGCGGCCCAGCCATGGTCGTTTTGATGGCAGCCGGGGGGCTTTCTTCGAGATTCCTATTCTAGCACAAAATCCTGTTCGGATCGAGATGTGAGCTTCTTGTTTGGTTCGTTCGTCTAGGTAATGGGTGGCTGACGGCCGGCGTCGCAACACCTCTCCACCCACATCCGCCGCAGACACGCCAGCCGAGTTGGGATGTGTTTTCCAGAGCTAGCTACTGGGCGGGCTGTATAGCTTGAGAATTCTGAGATAGGAATGTAAATGTCTTCTTCTCTGCTCACACCGCATATGTGCGCTGGCGTGCCGGCGTGCTGGCGTGGTCGAGTATACGTGTTGCGTTTCCGGCGAGCTGCATGGCAAGCAGCCGGGTAAATAGACATACGGCGGTCCAGGCCAAGAGAGCAAGTAATGTCGGTACGTATCTTCCATTATTTCTTTATATATAGATGTGTGTGTGTCTGTGTTTATTAGCCTGATGTGTCCTTCCCGGCCTGGCAGTTGGCAACTTCTGTCTACGCTCCGTTACTGACGGTGTGAATATGAATATGCCGAGATAAGATGGCCCAATCTGCAAGATAAAGCTTGTTATCTGTCTCTGGGCTGATAATGGCCATATGTTAAAACGCTAAGGGAATCTGTAGATGGTTTTCTATCCTGCCGGCTCTAGACCAAGACAGCCGTCTGCCCCCCGGATTCCACAGCCATGGGCGTGATGATACCTTGGCATCTACGACTTGGCCATGAAACTTCCCGGAAGGTCTTCATCTCTTGGTGAGAAATGTCGAGTTCCTTGAGCCGAGGAGACTCCTTACCTTGCAAACAAAACCCTGGGATCGACAGAACATGATGGAAATTGTCCACTCTCGACTCCATCGAAGCTTGACAAGGATATCCGGTCAAGATCAAGATGGCCCGCTGGCGTAATGGTAGCGCGTCTGACTACGATATTGCAATCCAAAGGCTTCAGGTTCAAGACCTGGGCGGGTCGTGCATCTATTTTTGCCCTTTGCTGTGTCGTTGTCGTGGTGTTTCTTTTGGGGGGAGACAAGCAGCAATGTAGCCGGCCGATCCCGCTCACTTTCGTCCCGAACTTCTAGACAACGCATCATTTGAACGTGAAGCTGGGAGTCGTAGATGCATCGATCCAACCGAGTCTACCAAAAGCTCACAATTAAATAGAATAGATAAGAGAAATAATTGGTATCATAGAGATTCTCGGGAAGACTCAGGCAGGAACTAAATGCGTAGTAGTAAACAGAATGCGCAACGTTGTGCAATAAATCCCAGACCCGCAAAGTCTAGGCCCTGTCAGATTCGTTGCTAAATAAAAACCCACTGTCCCCTAGGCTTCCACCTCCTTGGACAGACCCAAAGCCTCGATCTCCTTGGTCGGTGCGACATCCTGGATGGTCTCGTCGCTGAACTTCAGATCATCCTCAATAGGGACAGTATCCTTCACCATCAACCAGATCACAGGGGTAGCAAAGACAAGCGAGGCAGCCAAGAGACCCCACTAAGGCAAAAGTTAGCGATAGTATACCATCATATCGGGCTCAGATATAACTCACGGTTGCGCCAAAAATGACATCGTGCGGCTTCTCAAGGCTGTCCAACCTCCAGAAGATGGCGGCTCCGGCTGACTGGATGCCCTTGTAGAAGCCGGTAAGGTTGGCGGCTTTCCGGCCCGAGTTGCTGAGGGCGCCCATATACCTGCAGGCGAGTTAGTGGGTGCCACGAGGACATATGTGCTGAAGGCTCTGTAACGGAGGCTTACCAGTAGACGCATGTTTGCCAGGCGGCGTCGTAGAAGCCGTAGAACATGAAGAGGAACATGGGTCCAATGTACTTTTCGCCGCCATCGGTCCAGTCATACAATCCCGCGTAGCCAGGCGCACTCGTCACCTCACGGGGGTCCTGCTTCCTCTGCCAGGCCCAGCCGCCTCCAAAGATAATGAAGGTCAGAGCAGCGAGAGCAATCAAGCTCGCCTTGGCACGGATAGAACGGCGGGCCTTTCCATAATCCAGGGCATAGCCAAAGACAATGGCGCCAAAGATCTGGCTGGTATAGTACAGGACCGAGTTCAGTGCGCGCGTGCGCGTGTTGAAGTGGGCGCCGTTCATGATGTTGAGCTGGTAGGTGTAGAAGGTGTTGGAGGCGAAGAACATCGGGAAAAGCAGAATAACCCATGGCGCCTGCGTGATGGTCTCAACTAGGCCCATGATCTCGGTCTTCCAGCTGGGGTTCTTCATGAGAATCACCTTGCTGCCGTCGTCGCGCACCACGTTCGTGGCGTTGGAAAGAGCCAGGGCAAGGAGGGCACCGAGCAACATCAGCACGATGAAGCCGATGTAGGTGCCGTCGGTGACGGGTCCGGCCTTGCTGTTGATGTTCTGACCGAGGGGGACCAAGCCACCAATAACGGCGCCTAGGTTGAAGATGATCCAGAAGTACGAGATGTAGCGACCCTTTTCGTGCTCGCGGGGGTAGCTCATCATGATGGTCCCCTGGGCGGTCCAGAGCAGGCCGGCGCAGACACCGAGAAAGGCGCCGGCAAAGATGACGAAGCCAAAGTTCTCGTTGTGGTTGTAGCTCAGGAAGCTGGCGGCATAGATGCAGTATCCGAGACCGCCAAATGAGAGGGTCAAGCGGACACCGAGCCTGTTGGCGATGGTACCCGAGAAGAAACCGACAACGGCAAAGGTGCTGTACAGGGCCGTGCTCGCATCGGCTTGGGCCTTGGAGTTGACCTGGCCACCGGCGCCGAGACCGCTGATGGCGTTGAACATGCCGGGGCACAGGAAACAAACGAAGGACACGAGAAGGAGCTGGACAATTGGCGACGCGTACCACACCTCATGCTTTCCGACCTTGAAGCCCTTGTACATCCAGCCAGAGGGCCGGGCGGGGCCAGTAACAGTCTCCGAGGGAGCGGGGGAGACGCCCGCCTCGACGGGCGCCGATTTCTGCTCATCAGCCATGGCTGACAACAGTGGCTTCTGGTTGACGTCTCGGTCGAGGACTGGAGAGAGAGAAGTGGACGCGACTCAACGGCCTCGAGGCTTGATGGCAGCAGCAACAGAAGCACCAAGCTAGCTAGCTAGGAAGCAAACGGACATGCAAGGCGGGGAAGGGCGAGAACGCCTGACAAGATCGGCGGCAGCACGACCCCGATGTAATAAGGGATCAGATCAGGAATGGGTCTTGCTCCGTACCACAAAAAGGGATCAAGGGCAGGTGGTTCGGTCGGTCTCTCACGGCTAAAGATTGGTTGGGGCGGGAGGGTGCAGGGGATTAATGTAGGTGGCATTCAAAGCCGAGATAGGCAGACGGGCGACGGGTGGGATTGGGAGGAGGCAAAGATTAGACCAAAGTAACTACCTTAAGGTCAGGTAGTAAGGTAGGTAGTGGGACGGATGCACTCGTCTGGTTGAGAAAGAGCACGATAAACGGTACATACGAGCCAAATGCAACTTGACCTCGCCAGAGACCCTAGTCGAGGTGGTAGGTTGTAACACTGACTGACAGTCGAAGTGCACCTACCTTAGCGGTGGTGGCGGTAGCTTCAGCAATAACAGCAACGAGCAGCACCAGTTCCCGTTCCATGTTATCTTGGAGCTGGCTGGCTGGCCACTCCAGGCCCCCGAGCGTCGCCGTGCATGCGGTGCTGTACATGCCCCAAGCTACGTGACAGCTCGGACAACGTGCGAACCCCCCGGGCCCAAGTTAAACCGAGCGACCATGGTAACACGAGACAATCGGGCACCTGTGTCTGTGGCACATAGCTCCGGGCTTGAGGGCGGTGGTTGGAATCGACGCGGCCTGGGGTAGGAGAGACCTACGGGAATGGGCCTCTATTGCCCCGACAGCGTCCCGACCTGGTGACATGTCGGGTGTCAAGACTCCAGGCATGGACTCGAGAAAGCTCCCGTAGTTCAAGCGAAGAAGGAATCGACAATCTCAAGCGACACTTGCTCACATGGCCTGTCGCAGGAAGCAGAATGAACCCATATCCAGTTCGTCCAGTACGTCCAGTACTATACCGTACATGGGGAGCGAATAGAGCAAGAGGCGGGCATTGTGTCCACTGCGCCGTCAACGCGCCGTCGCGCACAGGCTTGATAAGACGGGAAGACACGCGGGGGAAGTCTAAATCCCAGCAGCAAACGAGACGAGAAAAGCTTGAGCAAGGTCGAAGTGGCGGGGATTCCTTGGGGGATTGACATTTGATAGCATGACACCGGACCGAATGCAGCGGTGGGGGGCCGTTGATTGGCACCGTTAGCCGTACAAACGCAAAAATCACGAGCGAGGACCACTGAGGGCAGCATAGCAATTGGACGAGAGCGTGCTGGAGCGTCTGTTTAGGAAGGAGCCCAACGGCAGTGGTGGGTAGCAGACGGAAGAGCTTGGGCCACGTCTCCACAATTGACCCCGGCTGTCCAAGAGCTAAGAGTTAGGGAGCCAAGACGGCCTGCATAACCGTCCAGAGTGCGCGTTGCGGAGCGGGCATGTAACGTTCCCTAGATTTGACTGCAAACCTTGTTCGGCCAGCGAATCAAGTCGACCAACACGACCACCCACAAAATCGTCCGTTGCTGCTTCTTAGGTAGGTAGCTTGCACACCTAGCTTCACCTCGTCTCCAGGCTGCAAACTCACTAGGGAAAAAGAGCGACGCTGCGTGTGGACGACCCAAAGTCACTGGATTCGAGGCCGGGGGAGAGGACACCACCTCCAGCCCACCAGGGCTACCAGTCGCTAGCTGTGCTGCCATGTTACACGACCGTCTGCCAGGAGTAACACCACCAAAACCTATCTCCGCACCAGTATCACCAACTTCGCACGCCAAGGCACGCATGTAGATAATAAGGGTACCACGAACCTGAGACAATAAACCCCAAAGAGCGGCAAGGATGCAGCAACCGGGGACCCGGTCAGTAGTAGCCATTGGATCCTTCCCAGCAGGATTGTAGACTTATCCACTGCGTATCGGGCACCAGATTGTTCGGGTCTGTACTCTGTGATGCAGTGGTCTTCTCGCATCTATCTCGAGTCCGTGTCTGCCATCCCAGCTCCATACGTTGCTCTAGGGATTACATGTTGCATCTGCACACAGGCAGCCCGTCACGTTCTGGCATACGAGACAGAACGATAAACTCTGTCTCGCGTCGGTTTCCCCTGAGGCCTTGCTTGCCCTGTACCACAAAAGTGTAGCATGGCGATGGGCAACAAGGCACGAAGCTCGCGAGCTACCCGCCAGCGTGGCAACCAAACGCAGCGGCTGCGGGCGGCCACCAAGTACCTTACGTAATCGTGGTTCACCACGGCGGCACTAGCCGGGCTCCCGGGTCCCAGCATCGCCCGATTATTTATTACCATGCGTTGTATCCGTACACAGGCGAACGTCTGTGTCTCCGCCCTGCCTACCTAGCCAATTTAATCCTAATGCGGACAGGCACAGTTCCTGGGGAACGCACGCCCGCCGTGCGGCTCTTGGGACTGCGGGGCGGGAGAAACCCAAGGCGGCTTTGCTAAACAATAGGTGGTTCGCTAGACTGCCGAATACGTGAGAAACACATGGGAGGTCGGTTAGCGTGTACGTATTACAAGGACAAACTCGCGTGTATATGAGAACAGCGATTCGCACCAGTTGGCACAAAAACGACAAACCCGCCTGACTTTGTATGTGTGTTTGCAATCCGTATTGGCTGTGCCTCAAGACACGAACGGCTCGATGCCCGGTTGCGGCCAGGCGAGAACGTCGTCAACAACGGGAGATGCGCCGGCCCCTTGCGCATGCGCTTATGGCACCCGTCAACCCTTCATAACGGTTTTGATGTCGAGAAGACCAAGGGGGGCCGCGAGGTCTCTACTTTAATGCCATTGTCCTACTCTAGGTAAGGTATTCGTGTTTTGTTTCTATGCAAAAAATAGCAGCGTGCCTGAAGTTGTGTTAGCAAACGATGACCGAGAAACCTTGGTACACGTGTAGGCCGGCTTTGACGCAGATGGTGCGCATCGGCCGTGGCGACCGCTTCGATCGGCTTGCAGAATCCTAAGTTCTAGGAGACCGGTTGGGTTCAGTTCATTGTTGGTCGACGCGTCCTTGGGCGGGGGAAGGAGGCAAATAAAGAAGCGTGCATTCGGCAAATGCTCAGGTTGGCGACACTTAAACAGCCAAGCTTGGGCCTCCGTAGTGCGGCTGAGCGGAAGTTGCGGAAGCGGCGCGAACGGAAGGGGGCGCGGAAGGCCGAGTTTCGGCCGTCGCCGTTGATCCCGAGTCCCCTAGTCGCTTTTCTCTTCGTCCCGTTTTTCAGCGCATTACCTAGACGAGACGAGTGGGCCCACCCGGGGCAAGGTGGGGCTCACGAAGGAGCTGCCCCCTAATTGGTCAATGCGGTGCAACCTGTGATGACATCATTCTTCTCCAACCCGAGTGGCATGATAAAAAACAGTCGGCTGAGTTGAACCTCGAACTACCCTTAAGCTGTGGAGCAAGAGACTGTGGAATATCACAACTCGCCAGCTTCTCTGTGCCTCTTGGGAGAAATCGGTGTATTTGGTCAGAGTCGGCATTTTGAGACTGGAAATGAATCGCGCTAGCTCTTGAAACCGCTTGTGGATGGTGAAAGTGGGTAGTTGGTGGGGAGCAAGACCCCGCTAAGGGCGCCGAGTGCCGGAGCCCCCGAGCCGCGAAATCGCGATGTTCTCCAGGGCTGTCCACCGCCCAACGATTTAAAGACCCCAAGCCCCGCCACCTGCTGTAGCCGTTGATGGGGTCTAGTGTAGAATACTGAATACTAGGGTTGTCAATTGATTACTGTAGCGGCTTTTTTTTTAATTTTTCAATCGTTTGATCCATCTCCTTTGGGGCTCTCTGTCTGGGGTTGGACCGCGGGGTTGGCTAAGTGATTTTGTCTGCTGTTGGCCCTCTTTTCTTCTTCCTCGTCTTTTCCACTTTCTCTCTCGGCCCACTTTCTCGCCCACCTCTCGACAACCGCCCCAGGAGAGCTCCTCAGCCGAGCAATCTGCAGACATTGCATTGCGCTTTCCCGACGACATGGCGTCCCCGATCGCATCCGCCGCGCTCAAGGCGCGCGTCAAGCGGCCTTCGATGCTGAAGCAGCTTTGCCAGCCCAAGGACCTGTTGCACCACTTCCCCAACGGCTCGTATATCGGATGGTCGGGATTTACGGGCGTCGGCTATCCCAAGTTTGTCCCCCTGCCCTCTCCCCTCGCCGTCCTCTCCTGGCTGGCGCGCATGCGGCTGCTGACTGGTGGCGTGCAGGAAGATGCCAACATACCTAGCCGACCACGTCGAGCAGAACAATCTCCAGGGGAAGCTGCGCTACAGCCTCTTCGTGGGGGCTTCGTCGGGCGCCGAGACGGAAAACAGATGGGCTAGCCTAGACATGATCGAGAGGCGGACTCCTCACCAGGTCGGAAAGTCCATCGCTAAGGGCATCAACGAGGGCCGCATCAACTTCTTCGACAAGCACCTGTCCATGTTCCCCGTCGACCTCGTATACGTACGAATCCCCTCTGAATGAAGTCAACACGTTCGCAACGAATAACCAGAGACATAGGGGTTCTATACCAAAGACAAGCCCGGCAACAAGCTGGATGTGGTTGTCGTGGAGGCGACCGAGATCTTAGAGGACGGGAGCATTGTGCCTGGCGCGTCCGTCGGTGCCACTCCCGAGCTCATTCAGATGGCGGATAAGGTAAGCCCGAGATTCTCAGCTCTAACCAAATGGAGGATAAAAATTGACCGCTCCAGATCATCATCGAGGTCAACACGGCGATCCCGAGCTTCAAGGGTCTGCACGACATCACAATGACGGATCTGCCTCCCCGGCGGAAACCGTACCTGATCATGGGAGTCGAGGACCGCATCGGGAAAACCTCGATCCCCATCGACACAGAGAAGGTTGTCGGCGTCATTGAGTCCGACTATCAGGACCAGACCCTGCCCAACTCGCCTGCCGACGACACCTCCAAGGCCATTGCTGGCCACCTTATCGAATTCTTCGAGCACGAGGTGCGCCACGGCCGCCTGCCCGCCAACCTGCTGCCGCTGCAGTCCGGCATCGGCAACATTGCCAATGCTGTCATCGGCGGGCTGGCCGACTCCAGCTTCAAGAACCTCAACGTCTGGACCGAAGTCATTCAGGACACCTTCCTGGATCTGTTTGACTCGGGCCGCCTGGACTTCGCTACGGCTACGTCGATCCGGTTCTCGCCTACGGGTTTTGAGCGCTTCTACAGCAACTGGGAGAGCTACGAGAACAAGCTGCTCCTGCGCTCGCAGCAGGTCAGCAACTCGCCCGAGATCATCCGCCGGTTGGGCGTCATCGGCATGAACACGCCAGTCGAGGTGGACATGTACGCGCACGCCAACTCGACCTGCGTCATGGGCAGCCGAATGCTCAACGGGCTCGGCGGCTCGGCCGACTTCCTGCGCAGCTCAAAGTACAGCATCATGCACACGCCGTCGACGCGCCCGACCAAGACGGACCCCCACGGCGTCAGCTGCATCGTGCCCATGTGCACCCACGTCGACCAGACCGAGCACGATCTCGACGTCATCGTCACCGAGAACGGCCTCGCCGACGTCCGCGGACTCAGCCCCCGCGAGCGCGCCCGCGTCATCATCGACAAGTGCGCCCACGACGTCTACAAGCCCATCCTCACCGCATACTTCGACAAGGCCGAGTACGAATGCCTGCGCAAGGGCATGGGCCACGAGCCCCACCTCCTGTGGCAGGCGTTCGACATGCACCGCGCCCTGAGCGAGGAGGGAAGCATGCAGAAGGTGAAGCCCTGGTAGATTATAGACGGACGGGCCCAGGGAAATTCTGGATACCTAGGGTCGGAGTTGGTCGTGCATTATAGTGCGCATCTTTCTGGTCTCGGAAAAAGGAAATCAAAGAACTCTTGTAGCATCACTGCTGGTTGGTGGGAGCATGTCATGTCAGGCCGGGTTTGGGCCAGGTTCAGGTCATTCTGGATGGCGAGTTAAGTCCCAGGCGGGCGTGATGGACGAAATGTGTGTGGCGGCGTGCGTGTGTTGAAAGCAGCAGGGGGGGCGAGCGATCTTTATCTTTTCCCTTTTTTTTTTTTTTTTGCTTTTAGTCTTCTAACCCTATTTTTGCTGTGTATATGCTTCATATGTAGGTACCTAGGTTAGGTAGTTGGGTCACGTTCGCCCGACGGCGTTGGTGAGGAATAAAAAGCATATATGCATACACAGAAGAACTTGGTGCCTTGGAAAGTTTGGATGGGGAAGAGTTGTCTTCTGCATGCTCGGAAGCCTGGAGTTGGTCTTGTCGGTTTCTGTTTGCTAGCGGTAATGGTGGTAGTGGCAGTGGCGGCTGTGTAAGTCACCCGAGCAAAGTAGAGTTTTATGTGGGGATTTGTTTTTTCAGATGGCCCCCCTACGTTAACCTCGGGCCAGAGAGACAGCATATTATCCAATTTGTCCGTTAGTATTGGCGGTGGTGGTGTACCTGGGTCTTTTTCTGTACCGGACCTGGGCGGTGGGTTTTGTTCCCCTTTTTCCTTAGCGTATTTATTAGGGACTTAGCTCTGGGGAACAGGTCCCTGAATTGTAGAGAATGAGAATGGCCAACCATAATTCCAGCTACCCCTTTGTTCAATTCCTCTGTTCTTCCCTCGCAACCCACCCTCTTTCATCTATCTTGTCTCGCGGTCACGGGGGATTTCCTGTCTCGGCAATAAGAGTTAGGATTGGCAATAAAATGCAACTTGCAACGAGAGGAACCTTCCATTGAGGTACGCTTCGTCTCTTAAACCAACTCCGAGGCAAAATCTAGACTTGCTAACAGTCTGCCGCCTTTAACGTTTTCGACAGCCGATCCTTGAACCACGAAGAAAGGGTAATTAGGAGGGCCAGGGGAGCAAGGTCCAAGCACGACATAAAGCTTTGCCGAGGGGATTTACTTTGAACAGAAAACAGGTGGAAATCCAAATGCCATACGGCTTTGTTCCACCGAGGTTCATCGGCGCTTATTCTTATACCACCCTACGTTGTCCATCGCTGTCACAGATAGCCAAAGCAACCAACGTCTTTATGTTTCCGCTTGACCCTCCAGATGTATTTCGATGAGACTTGAACGCCGTTGTCTCTGGAGGCAAACGGCTTGGCCAAGCTGTCTAGCGGTGGAGTGTGCCCATGAGAAAAAGCATAGAATGTCAGTCTAATTAGATTCGCGATAGCCGTGGAGCGGGTCACGAGAGAAGTCGAAGAGCAAGGGAAATATGCACCACTAGCAAACCTTCGAGTAGCCGAGTCGGTCTCGCAACCTTCTTTTGCCCAACTGTGAGCTTACGCTCATTCATGGAAGGTTGTCCAATGCCCCTCACGGCGCATAAAGACGCTCGTCTTCCCTCTTCCTGCCGGTTCACTTTTTCTCTCTTTCCCCTTGGCCGAGACATTTTTCCGGCAAAGAGCATAGGGCAGGCAAGCTAGTTCCCGCGTCACAACAACATCGCTAGCGCACAACAGAGGCACAATCGATTCCTCCCAGAAATCGCCTTCCATGGCCAAGACAGGGTTAAGCCAGGACGTGGAAACGAAGGAGAGATTCCACAGCGTTGACCTAGAGGATGGCACCCGAAACAACCAGAACGACAAAAGCAAAATGACAACCCGCAGGCGGCCCAACATGTGCCCGTTCTATACAGTTGGACTGATTCTTTCATGTCTCGGCCTGTGCCTTGCTTTCTCGGGCATTGCTATTAGCTTGGCCCGCACTACTGCCCGGGCCGGACTCGACGCAACCCAGGCCCATATCTCGGCATCGACAGCAAGACCGAGGTCAACCACCACGACCACAGTTACGGGCGCGCACACCGTCACCGTGACGACAACCATGTTTGTGTCTCCCACCACGCCCCTTGCGCAGGCTAAGCGGGATGGCACCATCGCCCAGCAACTCAACGCCTATCCGTCGTGGCTGATTGGCGCGGGGCCAGTGGTTCCGGACCCGACGGCCAAGCCGGCGCTGTCGATAGACGGCCTAGAGACACCGCTAATGGCGGCCAAGCTGAACGATCTCGAATCGGCCGCACGTCACGGCGGGTACCCGTTTGAGTGGCGTGGGCGCGCGTTTGCCGAGCCCGACCATGGCGAGGCCAATATGAACCTGGCGCAGCTCGGCCAGCAGCCCACCGCTGTAGCTGAGGCAGAGGCCGTGATAACCGTTACCCCCTTGCCGGCTGTCCTCGACTCCGGCGACTTTTTGAAGAAACGGCAGCCCGGCAGTTGGACTTATTGGGACCGGAACCGGAACACGCGCGATCCTCACAAATCGACGCGGACAATCAAACGTCCCGAGGGGCCAAGTCCGCTAAGCGACTACTTGGGCGTGCAGCATGTCCCTGGTTCCCGCGGCAACCGCAAAATCGACAAGCTAGGCCATATGAGCTGGCCGGAAGTTGCCAATAGGCCAGATCCGTGCAAGCGGGGCGAGGGAGAGGACGATTGCAATCACTGAGTTAGCCTCGCTCGTTCTTTGAATCCTTGTCTTGGTCCTTTTCTCGTAGGTTGTCGGTGTTGTTGTCGTTCTATAGCAACTGTTCAAGGTGTGGGTTTGGCGAGGACTGGCACAAGTCCTGGAACACTTCGGTTTTCAACGAGCTTCTTCCTTTTCAGATAACAAGTCTGGAGCTGCAAATTCTGGAACTGGTTAGGTTATTTAACATACTTTTTGCTTTGTAATCAATCGGTTGGCTGTTTATAAAGAAAGTGCTAACGCAGTTGAGAGAAAAGAGGTAGGATGATGACAAAGGCGGCCTCTGTAGGTTCAGGAATTATTTCTATCAAACAAAAGTCCGTGTTTGTTCCCACATATTGCACAATTGCCAGTGAAAAGGAAGCTTCTCATGACTTTTGTTTGTAATTACCCTTCCACACATAAAACAACCCAGTTTGTAAGAAAAAAAGGTGGTATCCTGAGATGCCGTACCAACGCAATGCTTGGCTAGTTGACGACTGCAAATGGGGTGTTATTTAGGATGTAGAAAAAAAAGAATGCAGTTGGCGAAGGGGAAAAAGAAAGTCTACTAGGACCGTAGGCAACGTCTACGCTTTCTCATATCATGAACTCCGGCGGCCGTAGGGCTCAAAAGGGAACGCGGTGCTCACTACGCTCATGGCCACAAGGAGCGCGCCGCAGATGAAGATGGGCGCGGTCGTTGACGTATCGGACGCCGTGGCGATGACAGAAGATATTATGCCCATGGTGCGACTGCATGCCACCGCCACACCATTGCCAGTGGCTCTATGAGCACTGGGAAGCACTTCAGGCGTATATGCGTACAGCGTACTGTAGTAGACGTTGAGGCAGAAGCCTATGGCACAGGAGAAGCCGACGTCCTGGGAACCTGTCCGCACCGCTGTATAGGCAAAGAAGAATGCGGCCGTCACTAGTGCTCCAATGACCATGGTGTACTTGCGTCCCAAAATGGGTGTTTCGCACATCCACGCCGCCAGAATAGGCCCGAAGATGGAGCTAATGTTGGTCAGGGCATAGTTTCGCCAGGAATCGAACGACGACACGTTGAGATTCGCACCACACGACGCGAGGTAGCTGGGGAGGAAGACGTAGAACAAAGGGTATGCCAAGCCTACCATGGCCCACGAGACCCAGACCAAAAGGGTCGATGTTGAGATTTTTGGGGTGGCGAACAGACCACGGAGGTGGATTAGCGTCTCATCGAGTGAGAACCTTTTTCTGCTGTGGGCGCCTGTCACGACACCGCATGCATCGAGCTTCTCGAGGGTCAGACTGCACGAGCGGCCGTGTTTAGTCGCCAAGAATTGCAACGTCTCGACAACCTTTGCATCTTCACCCACGCCAAGAAGGTACTTCGGTGTTTCTTTTAGACGGATGACGGTGACCCGAAGGATCGACATGACGAGGACGATGGCGCCGCTTGTGAACATGACGTATCTCCAGCCCATATTGCTATACTTGGTGCATGTCTCGACCGAGGCGCAATTCCACTTCTCCGGAACTGGAGAAGAATTCTGTCAGCTTGGTTCTGGCCCTGTGCGAAGACGAGAGCGACTTACCCAAGAAGCCCCAGGCGATAAACCCCATGATTGCTTGACCGAGACCCCACCAGGCAGCCATGAGGATCAGCGCCCACTGCTTACTTCCGGGGAGGTATTCCAAGAAGACGGTAGTGTCAAGAATCAGGTTCCCGCCTGCACCCAACCCAATACAGGCGACGAAGAATCCCAAGGATGCCCAGTTTGGCATCCCACCAGCAATTATCGTGGCGGCCGAGCATATCAGGAGCGTGACGTTGAAGGCTAGGCGGCGGCCAATGATGTCGGCGCCGAAGCCCCAGACGAGAGCGCCAATAAGCATGCCAACGTAGGCGGAGACGGTCAGCCCTTTCTCGTATCCGACGCGGCCAAACTCGCGGAAAGCCGGTCCAGCAACGACCGATTGTAGTAGCAAGACGAGAGAGTCGACCGCATATCTGCAGTAGCACATTAGCGGGTTGTCTCGGCAGAAAGGGGTAGGAGCACACATGCCTAAAACCGTTCAGGAAAAAGAGTTTGGTGTGGTAACGCGTCCAGCCGAGCTCCTCGATAGCCTAGTTGGAACAAAGAGATTGTATTAGCCAGAAGGCACAAGGCGCCGCGCATCTAGGTACCACACGTGGAATTTCTGGGTCAGATTAGTAACCCACGTTGTTCACCAGGTGCATCTTGCGGTTCAGAGCTGGATCCAAATCCTGGAGACCCAGGACGTCCTCAGATTTGGAGGAGTGATCATCGACCAAGCCGCCCTTTGGCGCCATCTCCACGTCGTGAGGACTGACCTCTGCACAGCTCCCTGTTGACTGGTGTTGAAGTCGCAGTTTCAGGAATATGGCAATGGGCTGTTCTGTCGGACCACGAGCGGGAGAGATGCGGGTGTAGAGGGTCTAGAGCACCGTTTCTAGATGGAATTCGGATCCGGTTTGGCGTGGCGAGCGAGATGGGCTCGGGGCTCGGGGCTTAAGACTGATCAGGAAAAGTAAGATGGATAGAAGGTAGCAAACCGCCGCAAGAAAAATAAAGTGTCTTCTTGACGAACTGGCAGCCAAATTGGTCTGGGAGACGACTGCTGGGTTGGCCCGCCCGTTGGATGGAGATTGCGTCTAGCGTTTGGGCTGCCTGTAAAAATGTGGCATGGTGTGGGGTGTTGTCCACGACAGAGGCTTGGGAAGGAGCGAAGGTTCACAGTCCCAAGCGGTCCCCCCAGTTGACCTCCTGCCTATGAGGGTGGGTTTGTATTGGTCCGACAAAAGAAGTACTAAGAAGACCTCGTTGAAGTGCTGTGAAATCTCGTGCTTGCATGCTAAACGGTGATGGACTGTATCCCTAAACACTATAGGTGTTGAGTGTGAACTGTGGGGAAACTTTGTTGAGGTTTTGACTGCTAGAGACCAGTCGACTGCGATTAAGTTTGTAGATTCAGCAGGGACTGGCCATCTTGATGTTGGATCTTCTATCAATTGGTTCGATCTTGGTTATTGTCTGTGTGGCGTTGACATTCCCCCGTCTGCCGACTTCCTGCCATTGCCGCAAGGGAACGCTGAAAGGAGATGATCACGAAACCTGAATTGCCTCGTGTTGTTGTTGTTGTTGTCGGTCCGTCACGTTGACAAAAGCACGTAAACTGACTCCAGATGGTCATGTCGCGCGTCTCTGAGCAAATGAGGACAGAAACGTCAAGGAGGACGGACAGCAAGCTATAGGACCAATCAATTAACTAATCGTGACTCTGATTCCCTAGAATTTATTCCTTGCCTCGCCCCAAACTCCGGAATCCGATCAACGACAATGCTCTCTTCCTTTCCCAGCAAATCTTAACCCTGACCCCCAAGTCCCGATCCCTCGGAAACCCGCGTGAAGTACCACTCTACCAGCAAGCCACTCCCAGAGCTGACGAGATGTGAAATGTCAAAAAGGCGTGCCCGTGTGCCGGCGTCTCTCCACCATGTCGCTCTCTCTTCACCACGGGTGAGGCGGGAAGCTTAGGTCGGGGGTGACCACGATACTGGCGTCGAGCTGCTGGTCCGTGTAGGCGGGGAAGGCGGCAAGCTTCCAGCCGAGGTCCACCAGTGAGAGCGTCGTGAAGCCATTCAACTCGCCGAACTGTCCGTTCCAGCCGGTCGAGACGCGAAACGGGCCGCACTCCCAGCCCTCTGAAGGCGAACGGCTTGCTTTCTGCCCGTTGACGCTGCGCACCGTGAATTCGCAGGGCGTGGGCGCAATCCATCCCACGTTTTTGTTGACCACGAACGACCAGTTGCACGTGGTGTCCGCGCCGTCACAGACGCGGAGCATCCTCTCGACTGTCCAAAGCTGTTCGTTGGCTTGAACCGACTCAACCACGTCGGCAGGGGCTGGAGCCGCCCCATCGGCTGGGATGGGACTGGCAAAGGCAAGGGCCGAAGCGAGGCCTGCGAGAATGGCGGTGGAAAACTGCATTGTGATGAATGCTCTGATTTGCTCTCGTGTCTGCGAGGAGAATGATGAGAGACCGTAAGAAGGCAAAGATGCGGCGGACTTCCTCGGAGATTGGGTAGGGCTCCAAAAAGGCCTGAAAATGATGTATGTGTCTTATTGCGGTATCTGGGAGCAATAATTGCGGATGTAGAAGAGATGAAGCGACGGAAAATTTCTCTCGTGAACAGAGACTGGGCGTGTTAAAAGCTGCTCGGTGCCCGACAGGCAGAAAGGCCACTGCGCCTTCCTTTTGGTACTGGGAAAGTGTAGCTGGAGTTCTTGAAGGTTAGCTGAGAGTGGCGGGGTTCTCGGCTCACCGTGGCTGGCTCTTGCGTTTAACCTGGCACTGGCAGCCGGGAATTGGCGACTCGTTCCTTCCTCGTATGGCCGTTGGCCGGAATTCGCTGGGCAAAAACTTGGACTCGAAAGAACATGCTCAAGATGGAAGGCACAGGCGGTGAACATGAGACGCTGGTACCGCGCCAGATCAAGCTGACAGGATCCACGGGAAAGCACGACGTGGTGCTCGGCTCGGCCTCAATCTAGGCTTCGCTCCCGAAGTCCAGCTCGAGGCCGGCACCCACCCGAAAGCGCAGGAATTTTGCGTCACGACCCGAACGGCCTAGGGTGGAGTTGAGCGCGGTTCAACGAGCAGGTCAGGGATATGATAACCTTGCATACTATGGATCGGAAACTACCGATATGCGGAAAGAAAGAAGTGTGGACGAGAAGAATTGAAGTGTCTATTTACATGATGTGTACTAGTTGACGACGACAAAACATTGTTATAGGCATTGAGAGTACCAGTCATTCGAGTACTTGCACTTGTATGGCGACGCACATGATGTGCAGCCACTGAAACCATTGCCACCACATTGAGCCCACTGAGACGCTGTGCAACCGCTGCTGGAAGTTGTGGTGGCCGGTGCAGAGCTGCTAGTGGTTATTACCTGAGTCTTGCTAGATGTCGTAGTGACCGGTGTAGAGCTGCTAATGGCTGTTACTTGAGTCTTGCTGGATGTCGATGTAATGAGGGTTGTGGGGGTTGAGGATATGGAACTCGTGGTGCTCGATTTGATGCTAGTGCTGGAACTGGAGCTTCCACCATTGTCGACCGGTGGTGCGCCTGTTGGACCAAAGTTAGTCTCTCTTGTAAGTCCTATTATTTTCGGAATTCACTAACCAGGGCCAGCAACAGATGTGGTCAAGCTTCCGCTCTCGATATAAACACCCGACCAGAAATAGTCCTCGGTGGAATCTGGGTAGCCATCTCGAGGCAACTCCAAGACACCAACGTGCCAATCAGCTCCGTTGCTGCTAGTGCTCGCCTTCACTGGGGCCACTGTCTGGGCTAGAGCATCACCGCCGGTGGAGTGCCAGAAACCAACAGTGCCAGCGGCGAAGTCAATCTCATAGGCAACGTTGTGCCAGACGCCGGCGCTCCATTCGGTGCTCCACTGCGTTTGGCCGCCGATGCACCATCGCAGCAGCGGATCAGAGATGCCGACAGCGCCGGACAGCCACCCCGACTTGAGTTCGGTGAAGTGGCTCTCGAAGAAAGCGATCTGGTGCTCGCGCGTGGTTGCTGGCGCGTTAACGTCTTTGCGCATCAAGGAGAAGTGGTAGTAGACCTTGCCCTGATTGATGGCAGCGGTGGTCTGTGGAATTAGCTCTGTTCGCCTCATGTTTTGGCCATTCCAGTACGCCGTGTTGTCCAGCGTGATCTTGGCGCCCTGCTTGGAGCCCGAGTCGGCCGGGTTCTTGAACGAAGGGGACAGGTTGACGTAGGATGCGACGGCAGACGACCCGTGGATATAATACTGGTATGGCCCGACCTGATTTCCCCATGACCATTTTTCCAGGTCGGTCGACGCTGTGAAGTCGTTGAACCTGCCATCCCAAAGCACCGTCCCAGCAGAGACGGCCGCAACGTGGGCGGTGAGGCCAAAGAGAGCTGTGCACTTCATCTTGACGAAAAGAGCGACGCGATGGAAAATCTAGAGATTTGGCTGTGGTGTCCTGGAAGGAGGCAACTTCTTATAGACAAGCCGGGAGCAGGCCCATTCTCCAGGCATCGCCATCCTGACAACCCGCGCTTCGAACGGACGGATGGTCATATGTGGGAAATCTGGAAGCACCATGTGGTGCCTGGCAGAGGAAAGATATTCTGTTCTCGCGATGGCGGCCCGATCTTGGCTAAGGTTGCAATGTTGCGGAAGCAGAGCTCGAATTGTCCTGTTCAAGCCATAGTCTGGTGTTGGGGGAAGGTTCAGAGTGGATCGATCGGCTGTGTTCCCGGGCGCCGGGCCGTTTTACACGACTGGGATCTGCAATTTCCAGACAGCTGCTATTCCCACAGTGATCTTCGAAATCACCAACTACTACCAAAGATCCACAGAAGCTAATCAGTAGTATATAACTATATTACTAAATGAAATCCATGTCAATAACCCATTGGCTTTTTTCATTTTGACGGAAGACCCCGGAATACTTACTGCTTCCCGGTCACTTGCCCCTGGTGGATTTCCCAAATCGGCTAGACTTAGTCCAAATACGTTACCAAGTATTAAATTGGCCGCTAAACCCAAAAACAGAAGGTGGGGGTCTTTCCCCAGCAGAATGACAACGGCGCCGGGCACAACACTTTCTCCAAGGTTGAGATTGCAACCCAAAATGCTTCCGACTTCCGCGCCGGATCCTGGCCAGATATATTAGCAGTCCGATTGCAACCAGGATTGACTTTCAGCCTCCCGCTGCATTAACAAATCGCAGCGCTAATTTTTCACTTCGTGCGGTTTTCCTTTCAGATGGGAACAGCGGCCAGGTTCGCAGCTACTACAAGGGATTTGGGTTCGTCAGTGAGTGCTCCTTCAAGTTGCGACCTGGTGGTCGCCTTTCAACTCACCTCCTTCCGAATCACAGGCCTCCCGTCCTCTTGGGCAGGCACCCGCCTGCTATTTTCAGTATTAAGGAACATCCCAAAGGAACCTTGCCCATGAAGGTTCTTTCAGTATTGGTACGTACTATTTTTCCATTTCGCCCCCTCCTGCCTTCGCGTCCTGTCACGCAGCCCTCACTGGCATGCTTGCTCTGCTTCTAGCCACCCAGATCTTTCGACGTTCTTTCCCTTTCAATATGGATGCTGCTTCGAGTTTTGTATCTTACCATCAGCCCCTTCTGCTCTGTTCATGCCATGGCGTCCCACTCGACCTGGCGTCTCTGCTTGCCCTCGACCTGGCGTCTCTGCTTCCCCTAGACAACCTTCCAAGCCGTTGATGTCAAGTGGGAAACTGGGGCCGAACAAGCGAGCGATTTTACAGCCCTGCAGCAATTCCTGTTCCCTCCAAGCCGCCCCGAGTTTACCCATGTTTCTTCAACTCTTTGCAAGGCAGAGACCAGCTCGGCTCTTCCAGCTTACCATCTCCGGCCAATTTTGCCCTTCTCGGGTCAAGGAGTTCCTATCTCTACAACCATTCCTCGAACGTTCTTCCAATCGCCCTGAGAAATTTATCTGACGAGATGGAGCGTCGCCGTAGCAGCCATCGGCAAAACGCCTTTCCGTCCTTCATCCCGTTGGACACCACCAGTCACGATGCAGCCCAGGGACAGCGCAGCCCTGAAAGCACAACCACGGATCATCAACTAGATCAGGTCAACCCGCTCGTAGCGCAGTGCTATCAACTTGAAGACGAAGTACGACAGCTCTCTGAACAAGTCCGAAGGCTGTCCGAGTCGCTCGCCACTTCGCCGCCGGAGCGGCGGGACCAAGCCAACACATTGGCAGCGGACCATGATCCGGTCTCGGAGCCACAGCCATACCCGGAGGCCTTAAAAGAATCTGGAGAGGCCTCGAGAGAATCCAGGACGGCCTCGAGGGAATCCGGAACGGTCTCGGGAGACTCGAGAACGGCTTCAGAAGAATCTAGAAGGACTTCAAAGGAGTCTAGAAGACAGTCAGGACAACCGGATCATGCCTCAATTCCGCAATCGGGACATCCAGAGCACGCCCCCATTCAACAATCAGGACTTCTAGAGCATGCATCTCTTCAGCAAGAGGCGCAAGCAGCTCAGGCATACCGTCGACCAAGCTTCAACATCCCATACGCCCTGAACCTTTACGACCGCGGCTTTTCAGACCTACGCGTCGGCGTGCATCAAAGCTGCTTGGGCGAGGACTTTTGCGTCGATCTGACCCCGTCTGATGTACCTGGGATGAGTCTCCTTTATGGCTTCATTCGTCAACACTCTTCAGCATTGGCCAGAGTTGAACTTACTCGCCATGGACGATACGCCATCACCGTCCCTTTACTACCATGTCGGCCAAACGGTTCCAGCAACCCGACAGACCTCCCCCATACCTTCCGATTTCCGGACGAGTACGGCGTGTTTGGCTTTGTTGCGGAAGTTCAAGACCCCAGCGGCACTGGATTGCTACTAGAACGTTTCAGGTGGCAGCAGATTGACTGGCCCAACCTTGAATGGATAACAGACTGGAAGTCCCATCACGGGTGGTGTTTGATTGGCGATGTAGTCTCTGGCCAGAGCTCATCGCCCCCCGGTGTGAGAGACGTCGTGGCTTGTTACGCAAGCAACCGCGCGTGGACGGCATCCAGAGAGACGCTGTCTTTGGCCAGGAGTAGCTCCAAGGTTGGGAGAATCAGGTTCTTAGATAGTGTTGACATGGGAAGATTTGATGAGCGCTGGGTCACGTTGGCAATGGTGTCTGCAATGGCAATTTATGGGTTAGAGGAATGGATGGATGATCAACTGCGGCCGAAGTATGGAGGATCATCGGCTCAACAATCATCGGGGTTTCCACCACACATGTTGATGACTCCTTCTGCACCTCCACCTGCGGCTGTTGCTCCTGACCCTTTTTTCCCTCCACGTCGCATAGTATAAATTCCTTTAGTATTAGACAGTAGATACGCCCTAAAAACAAACATTACGCCTCTAAATTTGTCTTTTGGGCCTCCCCGTGAACAATAAGGCCTCCTGTACAAAAGCAACAGCTCTTGGTATTTTGGGCGTGTACGCAAAGTGATCAAAGACATGTCCTCGCCACGAAGTAGGCGCCTAGCACTAGCGCGGCTAACAAAAGAAACAGGTTGACAAAGGCACGCTCGACCCATCGCTTGTTGCACTGCTCCTCGCGGGCCTTCCAGCCGCCGCTGACCGCGTTGGCGTGCGGGAACTCGGCCTCGGGCACCGGCTTGCCCAGGAATCGGCACAGCGGCTCCCAGCCGTCCTCGATCTGCCACTCGAGCAGCCGCTCCTTGGGCACGAGGCCGCGGATCATGCTGCTGTGCTCTTTTGGGGGGTTAGCTTTCAAGGGTTCGTTTTTGGGACCTGCTTGTTGTGATGGGTTTGTGCAGCGTTGTTTGTGAGGGGTGGGGTTTGTCCCGCTGCTAGGGGGGAAGTGCACTGTGGAAAGGGGGAAAAGGGGGTAAAGCGTGCACCCCGACAAGCTACACGCCCTCACGCCCGAACGCCCGAAACAAAAGATAAAGGGAAAGCACAGAAAACGCAAATGCAAAATAAAAGCTCACCCTGATGAACCCACGCGGCGTTCCCGCGTATCGCCTTGGCCATGTCGCCGTCGGGGGCGCGGAACAGCAGCGGCCAGAGGAAGCGCTCGAAGACGTGCCAGGCCCAGAAGCACTCGCGGTCGAGCCACGACGCGACATAGAAGGCCCAGCTGGCGTTGGCGTGCACCAGCGTGGCCTCGAGGCTGCGGCGCCACGCCGCCCCGTCGCGCCGCGTGTTGAGCACCACCTTGGCCGACGGGTACGCCGCGATCATGTCCGCCGCGAACACGCTGGCCGCTGCGTCGGTGACGGCTACCGCGTGCCCCAGCAGCGCGTCGAAGTCCGCCGCTGTGAGCGTTGCTGGCGGGGTTCGTTTGGAGGAGGGGGATGATGAGGGCGACGAGTACCATTTTTTTCGTGCTAGGCGCACCCAGCCCGGCGAGTGGCATTCGTCGTCGTAGACTATATCCCTTTTTGGGGTGGAGTTGTGGTGAGCTCAATTGTCGTTTTTTGATTTTGTCATTTCTTCTTCCCTCCTTTTTAAAGACCCCCCTTTTCCACCTCTTTTTTTCCTTCCCCATTTTGGCGTGCATTCCATTCCGACTGTATTTATTTGCGTTGCGACAACAAAGGCAAAAAAAGGGGGGCGGGGCAATTAAAAAACTCACCAGCCGTGGTACGTGTAGTCGTAGCCGAGCATTAGCAGGGCCTGCTGCAGCGACTCGGTGCCGGACCGCGGTAGGCCGACGCAGATGACCTCCATGGGCCGGGTGCGCTTGCGCGGCGACGGCGGGTTCGGCAGCTGGTACAGCCGCTCGATGGCGCGCCACAGCCAGCTGTCGAGGCTGATGTGCACCGACGACGGCGCGAGCCAGGCGAGGCTCACTGCCTGTGCGGCACCTTCATTCCCTTTGTGCGAGCGCGGCTGCCCGTCCTGCGGTTTGATGTGGCCCATTTGTGTGTGTGTTTCGGGTCCTTCTCCCTGGGGCTCCCGGGCCTTGGCTTGGCTGCGTCTGCGATGCACTGTGGGAGAAAGTCTGGGGAAACGCTTGGCGACGGGACTGCGGTGGTTAGCGAGCGATAACACCAAACTACCCTGCGATGAGGTGATCTGCCTCTGGGAGGCTCTGCTTTTTATACAAGCGGATCTCGGATGTGTGTGTGCACTGGTTGACCTTGTCAAGGGTGGCAGTCCGGTTCCTGCATTGCCTTGCCGCGTCCAAAAACCTCCGGCGCTTTATAAACTCTACGGTTTCCCCTGCCATGACAGCCTCTTCCTCACTTCCATTCCCCCAGGCCTTACCGAGCGCGGCTATCATTGGCGACAAAAAGTCCAAGAAACGTCCATGCCATGCCGTTATATCCGTGCTGTTCACTCCCAATAATACGAGAAGTCCAAGGCAATCCCCTAAAATCCCATGCGGCTTCCCCAATGCCGTTATACCCGTTCGTCACCCCCCTGAGACGATCGAGCGTCCCCCGACCTGGCTGGCTCAACCAATGCCGATCAGCGGCGCGTAGCGTGGTAGAGGCATGTTTATTTTGCCTGCCTGTCTTGTTGGGGTACAGACATGACAGACGAGCGAGCATTGTTTGTACGCGCGTCTCCACCCGTTCAGAGGTTTTATTTCGCCCGACATGTCGTGTAAAGACGGCTTGTGCAATAGCAATATGGAAGCCTGGCCATAGTCGTATAACTGAGAGAAGGAATGATAGGCTGATGGGGGGATTTGGGGGAGAGATGGCGGCTAATGCCAACAGTTTCCAACATTTTTCCTTTTTGCGGTGGCTGCTTTGTTGCTATTTTGTTGCTATCCCTTTTTACACATGGCTTCTCCGTCGGGAAATGGCGTTACTTGCTCCCGAGCACAAGTACCGGCCGGAAAAGGCTACACCGAAATCCCAAACCCGGGTGTCGGCAGCGGCACCTTCCCCACAGTCCCACTGGGGGATATGGAGGGCAGCGCCTTCCCCGTGGGGTAAATCGGGGACTTTGCCCTGCATGCCAGCCCCGGCTGCGATTTCGGATGCTCGTTTCGTCCCGCTTCTTTGGTTCTGCATCTTCTGGCTATTGTTGCGCTGTGTAATATCCGCAAGCCTTGATGGCTAGATACATCCATGTCTAGACAGAGATGATTGTCTGTCGAAATGGCTCTTGGCCGGGCGTAGTGACGTAGCCCTCCTTTTTTCCCCCTTTCCTGCCTGTGTCTACTCTGCTGTGCGACCTCGTAATGTACCTCGACTTCGACGCCGCCCGGAAAGGGGGTTCAATGTTAGGGGGAGATGAGGGGAAGAAGGGGGATTACCTGTCCTCACTTCCCGTTTGGGTGCAGTGCCGTATCAAATTAAGCGCTACCATAAATGGCGACACACGGCTCGGCTGAAGTTCGCCTATGGATGCTGCCGGATCAGCTGCCGTGCCTGTCTTGACACGCCTATTAACACGGACTGCTGTGGAGATATTTGCGTCTCGCGGCGAGCAGAGAGGACCCGGGTCATTGACAATCTTGCGTTCGGATGTCGCCCTCGGCTACCTGGAGGGTAGGGAGCTCTTGCCTCGTACGACTTCCGTGTACGTGTTGGTCACTCTTTCCTCAGCTTTACAGGCCTCGACATGACATTCCGAGCAGCTCCGAGAGGGGTACCCGCTCCGTTAGAGACAGCCAGAGGTGCATCGTCTCTGCCTGCGGGCAGAAGCCACAGCACGAGGTAGGAACACGACCGATCGACAAACACGCTTCATTGCTTTCATTACTCTAAAATTACTTCTTCAAGCTGTCGACGTACTCCTCGACCAGCCCATCGACCGATTCGTCGACGACGAGCCCGAGGCGCAGGGGCGTGCTGATGTCAAAGTCCTGGGGCCAGCTGCGAAGGATGGCCTCCTGAGCGGGGTCCGTCTCCTCGCGCAGCAGCTTCAGCCGGTCCTCGCCGCCGTGCCGCGCCAGCGCGTCCATCAGCTCCTGCACAGACGCCGAGATGCCCGGGAAGTTGATGTGGCGACGGTGCGTCGGCAGCGCCGCGCTGTTCATGCGCAGCACGCGTACTAGGTTCTCGGCGATGGTGCTCGGCGACGATAGGAACGACTTGAAGCCGCGGTCCGCGACGGGGATCACGCACTCCTGCCCGTGCATGGGCTCGCGGATCATGCCCGATAGGAACGACGACGCCGCCTGCGTTGGCTTGCCCGGCCGCACCGAGATGGTCGGGAAGCGCACGATGAAGGCGTCGAGCAGGCCCTTGCGGTGCAGGTCGTTGAGGAAGATCTCCGTCATGAGCTTGTGCGCGCCATAGGTGCCATGGGGAGTGGGAGCGACGTCGTCGGTGACGCGGGCGGGCAGGGGCTGCCCGTAGACGGCCTGGGAGCTGGCGTAGACGACGCGCACGCCTGGGTTAGAGCGTCGGAGAGCGTCGAGCAGGCCGCGCACGCTGTCGAGGTTGACGGCGAGCGAGAGGTCCAAGTTGGCCTCGGACCCGGCCGACATGATGCCGTGGAAGATGAAGACGGCGCCGAGGGGCTGGGCAGCGGCGATGACGGACCGCACAAAGGCTGGGTCTGTAATGTCGCCCTTGATGCACGTGGCATGCTCGGGATACTTGACGCCCTCGGGCACGATGAGGTCGGCGAGATCGGTCAGCACAAGGCGGTAATGCGGCTCGTTGAGCAGACGCGAGGCCAGCAGAGGGCCGACGAGACCGCTGGCGCCCGTGATAATGATGTTGATGCGCTCGGAGTCCATGTTGCCGTCGTTACGTCTCTCTTTGTCTTCTAATATGATGCTTCATATGATGGAGAAACTCGATCGAGAGACGAGAGGGAGATGGCACAGATAACGGTCGCGGGGCTTTCCATCGCACATCTGGCGCCCCTTGCCCCTCGTCGTGGCGACGCATCACCTGCTGCGAATGCGGGGGTAGAGGCTAACGTGTGTATGCACCTTCCATGGATTCTGAGGTGGATGCCCATGGTTGGAGATGGTAGGGGCGCCGCCGCGCTAACACTGTACAGCGGCGTTCTGCAGAGGTAGCGGTTGTTAGTGAGTTCGGAGCAGGCTTGCTGCAGCTACTCCGTATCGCCGACCGGTGCTGTGTATGCGCCGGCGCCTAACTTCTCGGCACATTTTGACCAGCTCATCAGATGCATGTATTTTTTCTCATCTCTCTTTTCTTGTTTTCTAACTTCCTCTCAACTATTTCCACCTCCTAAAATTACTTTAGTTAGACGAAGCCGCTCATACCGCTGGCAATAGAGGAGACTAATACCACCGGGTCCTCATAAAACTAATCTCCTCTACCCTAGCGTTCCTCCTTTCTCTTTTTCTTAGCTAACCAACTTATACAAGTTGGCTAGACTACCCTCCCTCATCTAACGGGGGCACATTGGGGCTCCTTAGTCCACATGGAGCAGCGACCGCGATATGGAAATAAATAGGTATATACCGGCAGTTTCTTTTCTCCTCCTTTCCCTACCTAGGTCACTATAGAACGATTGTAAATCTACAATCTTTCTATAGTGGCCTAAGTCTTCCGGGCTTGCGCACGGGTCTATGCTCTTCTTCGATATATTGACGGCCTGGTATGACTACTTTCTCCCTTTGAGTCTTACCTTGTGCTTGTTTTGATGCCTTGTGGAAGATAGAGCTTCTACCGCTTCACTAAGAATTGTCGGGACTGCTTTCTGCTTTAGCTGACAGACCGAACGTGGGAACTTAGCCCAAGGGGGGTCGTCTTGCGCAAGCCTATCTCATCGCCAAGCATACAGCACGGGATAGGGCCAGTGAGGCAGCTGATAATCTTGGCCTCAGTGCCCGCCATTAAGAAGAATAAAGTCGGGGCTCCTTGGTCCAGGTGGAGCAGGGAACAGGACGGGGAGAAAATACAAACTGCCAATTTGGTGGGGGAGGAGGGTGAATGCCTCCATCACTGTCCGGCGCTCCAGCGACCGGAGCCTTACCTCTAATTGTCATGGCAAAGATTTTAATACGCCGTGCTGCGTTGGACAGATTGCGGACGGCCTTTTTGCTGATGCGAGTATTCCTACTTAATAAAAAGAATCGGGAGAGTCGATTGCTACCAGGAACTGTCAGTCGATTGAGAAACAAATCGGGACTGTCGATTGCTGTCGGGAAAGTCGATTACTGCTAGGAACTGTGAGTCGATTGCCATCAGGAGAGTACAATCCAATCCCTGAAGTTTGTTGGCAGTGGACTTTCTAACATTTAAAAGGCCTTAATACCTTACGGCTCGCTCGAAAGATTTTTCGCCGAGCCGTAAGGTATTGACTATCGATTGGAAACCCTTGGGCATAATTACTCTGCCTAGTCTACAGCGGTATTCTCGCCGTCAAAGTCTGGGCCCTTTGTCACACACTTTAAAGCTCGGTACATATAGAGGACTGTTGTTACAGCCATGCAAACTTCGCGGCTTTGGTCGAGAATATCGAGTAGCGGAGACGAGGGGTTGAGCATCCTTGATAGGACCAATTACGTGTAGGAACGAGATCTGTCGATTTTGCCGATCAAGGCTACGAAATAATTATCCGGGGGTTGCTGGTTAACAAGATCGAAAATTTATTACAACGGGAAGAAGAAGTGGCGAGCTTCTCTCCAACTCGGTTGGACAATTTTACCTATAATGTGCTAAAGAGCTCCAACTCTACAGCAAATATTAGCTAGCATCCTAACCACGATCAAGGCTCCCAGTCCACATGATGTAACACATCCAGTCAAGACGAGCCAACACTGCGTGGGAATTCAGGATATACCCTCTGTTAGAGCAAAACAAATGCAGGTAATGTACTGTGGTCAGGAAATCCAAAATATGTCACAAGTTATGCCGGATTGAGTTCCGATATCTTTGGGGTGATGGGGTTTCTCAAACCCCCATGACCTTCGTTGTGCTTTTCGACTACCTTCGGTAAATTTTGTAGCGTAGTTCATCGTCTTGTCTGCTCGCCGTCTGTTCTTTTGTGCCCGCCATAGGAACCGGCTCTGATAAGCTTCTTCGCAAGCCGCTTATCTTATCGCGGAAGTAGAGGTCCCCAAACAAGAGTAGCCCAAGACGGGCGTGGCCGAATTCGTTCCTCTTGAAGACCCGAAGGGCCGGCTTGCCAAATGGCCTCCACCCACGGCCAAAAACGCAAGCAGAACTTTTTCCGCCAGTACTGGGCGAGCCGAGAGACTGGCGAGGTGCTGCGGAAAGTGGAAAATCGCGAGAAGGAGGAGAGGGCCAAGCGCCGGGCGAATTTCCTGAGGCTAGGTGTGTCGGGACATCTAAAGCCGCCTGGTGTTGGGGGAGAAATCGCAAACACATTGCTGGCCGTTATGTCAGATAATTAGTTTGGACGCCTCAGCCATCGGAGAATTGCAAAACGGAAGACCAGTCATGCCTGGAGCGCTATGGTGTGTACATGTCACATCCGGCAGCACCGATCACCTCTTCGCCTCGCTCCGCAAGTCGGCCAGGGATACGTCGTGGACATCAAGCACAAAGTGGAGGGCATATCCGTTTCACGCTGTTGGCGAGCCGCGGAAGTCGGTTTCGGTCGCTAGTATCGCCTTTGCCGTGATGCAGGGCGGCCGGCGGCATATCTTTGTCGATATCGACTGTGAGGCTGGCTACCACGTCGACCCGTCCCGAGAGACGGGGAGGTAATGGGTGGCGCGCTAACGTGCTAACGATCCTGAGCTTAGGAATTATCAGAGCTTAGGAATTATCAGAGTTTAGGAATTATCAGAGCTTAGGAATTATCAGAGCTTAGGAATTATCAGAGCTTCATGGGAGGGCTACGATTTGATTATAAGCCGCGGCTGCGAGAGTGTAAGCACCACTCCTGGAGACTTTCAGATATTTCTAGGTAAAGTCGGTAATCTTCACCCAAGTTGCCGTTTGAGCCTCACAATAGAGTAGGTACCTAACTATCAAGATACAACATGGCTGATCTTGAAAGCATGTAACAGGGTTGTCCGATTTGAGGGCTTTGGCTACTAGTCAGTCAACTTTTCATCTGATACTATACCTTGGGCCACGAACAATTCCGTTTGTGCTTTCAAGATCAAAATCAACGTTGCGTCTTGTTCTCTCCAGTCTCACCTGGACATGATGGGCAAGTCACTACAGATGTCTTGTCCGGGAGCCGTGTCCCTACACGAGCCATGAGCTGTGCAAGGAGAGCTCTATCTACACGTCCAATCGTATCGATGTGTATTAGGCAGAATTAACATTTCACGAATACGGGCTATTCAGGACTCACAAGGCAGTCACAAGCGCGGGTGCCGTCATAGAACATCAAGCAAAGATACCACCAAAGGTAAGAAAAAAAAATCCCGAAGTTACGGTCTGAATAGTTTTCTCAAGTACTAGGAAGACCTCCCAAAAAATAGAACGCAATCGAACTCCCCTCAACGCTGCCGAACCAAAAGACGAACAAAATGACAAGCCCAATCCCGTCCTTCCTTCGCGTCCAATGCGCCCGTTCAAAGCCCACCAAAAGCCAAAAGAAGCTGCCCATGTCAGATCCGCTCAGAGGCGCCATTGCTCGGCGCAAGATGTGAATGTCGGGGGCTTAGCGAGGGTCGAGATAGAGAGTCGTTGCTTGCTAGCAGAGCACTGCTGACGAGGGAGTGGCGGGCAACGAAAAAAAAGCCGCCCCAAAACAAAAAAGGTCTCAAAAAAGCGATATGGGCGCCGAATGCAGCAGCAGCAGCAGCAGCAGTTCCCACGGGTGGCGCATGGCACGGTATGCGCGCAACAAGCCGCCTTTGGTTGTTGCGAGTGCAATCCCGCCGTGTCAAATCACGACGCGCCGACTAGTTCTTCTTCTTCTTGGGGTAGCATTTCGTGCACCTATCTGGCCAAGGGCATTTTCCCGTCTGGGTCTCATACTTCATCGTGCAGTAACTCGACAACGTGCCCAGGGCCTCTGCCTTGGCGCATTTAGCGGGCAGCGTGGTCCGGTATTCGCCGCAAGGGAAGGTCTCGCGGATTGCCTCACACATGGTGATTGCTGGGGGTTTGCTGGCGACGAGAGGGAGGTGGCCGAGTTCAAGTATCGACAGGCGGTAAGCTGTCGACAGGTGGGGTTTTGCAGAGATGTGTGGGAGGCGGCGAGTGCGAGAAGCTTTTGCTGGTTTGGTGGATGTGGCTTGGGTCTGGATGCTGCTTGGTGGTGTTGAGAAGGCTTGGTGTGTGGTGGATTGATGGATGGTGAATTGATGGTGTAAAAATCGACTGGAGAGGTCGCGGAATCCAGATATATTTATACCCAAATTCTCTTTCGCCTTTTTGAGGCAATTTTACTCATACTGCAGGTTGACAATGCAAACGTGTTGATGACGGCAGGTGAGGCTGGTTTGACAGAACTGCGTGTCAAACATGGTCCGGTGGAAATGGCCGGTTTGTTGGGGTCGTAGGTAATGAATTACGTAGTCAGGTCAGGCGCATGAGAATCCGGCGGTTGGCAGAATAAGGAAGGACCGAAAGAGATGAAAAATGGGCAGGTCCGTGAACCTTCAAAATTGACGTCTTCCTTGACAGCGGCACCTGCATTGCAAAAATTGGCCGCGGCTAGTTGGACGATTGTCTTATGAGTGTCTCAACCAGCAATTATGAAAAAGAATGAGTAAAGCGGCAATGAAATGGACATGGAGAAGTCAAGAAATCTGCGATTACAAGGTCAGCAGTCAACATTGGGCTTACTGGTCCCAAGAGGTGTGTCCTACATCAGCCAAAAAAGACGCAGAAGGCATCTTGCAAACACGAGGGATGTATTACTTACTGACGTGAGCGACCGTCACCATTATCAATGCAATCAAACATCGAGTGAGCGAATATTGAGGCAAACGAACATAGAGGCAAGCGATGTCGAGGCTCTGAGCCAAACCCTAAGCATTGGACAACTGCAAGGAACCTATTTGGCCGGGAATCCCTGCCCTTCGCACTTTCCCTCATCCATCCCAAATTAAATCCTTCTTCCCGTCTGTTGGGCGCAGCCTCACCACGAGCTCCCCCATACGTCATCTTTCCAAACGGCACCCAACATGTACTAGAACTAGGGCGATGCAACAAGCCGTTGCTGATGGCAAAGTTCCTGGGTGAGGTCTGAATTTCTGAAAGCAGCTGGAAGTGGCAGCCAGCCATCGCCAACATCAAGTTGTTGAGTTGCGATTGGAGAGGGAAACTACGACTTGAGATAATTATCGAGGTCTTGAGGATGACGTTTGCCGCGTTGCCAGAAGCTCAACCTCGGGACTGTGTTGGGGATAATGAGGTTCCATAAATTACCTCTCAATGTATTAGGGTATATTTTTATGCTAGCCCCGTCTTGTCGCCTGCAAAGTCTTTTGCCGGTGTGTTGGTTAAGCTGGCATTGAGTCATTGAGATAGAAGCAACATCATTTAACCCTAACCCTTAGGCAAGCGGCAAAGAAGAACGGGACAAGAAGCAGCTGCAAGAAAGATGAAACAAATACAGTACCAGGGATTGACTAGAGGTAATTATCTATTTATCTACCATCTAGCTTGTGCTGGAAGGAAAACATGTTGGAACAACTGTATATAAAGGAATGCTGCTCAACCAAGAACACCTCGATTGCAATGAACAATCTCTTGCCGGTCTTTCCATTTGTCTGGGCGTGGTCAACTCGCCGTAATTCTCTTCTTAATGTTTCCGCAGCAGTTCTCGTGGCCGGTGCTTTCGGCGGATCAGTGGGCTGGAAAGTCCATGAAACCTGGAGAAACCCAGTCTGGACTCTCCCCGGAGCTCTGAGGAATATCAATCTGGACTGGGTTTTGTGCGCTGACAAACTCTCCCGTGAATAGCTTGCTAGAAGAGCCTCGGGGCCGCCGGCATTGCCTAGAGAAGCGCAAACGCGAGTAACAGGATGCCAGGCGTTAGCGTATGCTGCTATATTATCGACTACTGAGGCTTACTAGAGCGCTCTACGTTATTCAGCCCAACCCTGCCGCACATCAGCGTGCACAGCATCAACTGGGATCCCCCGTGTTATTATGTTTTCCCGTTGTGCCGTCCGACTTCCAAAAGACTAAGTCGAAACCGGCGTGGAATCCCCGAACGGGGCGATGGTCGGGGCGGCTCAGGTTCGAGCCGGAGCGGTCGTCCAACACATGGTGTTGTATTGGATTAATTAGTTAGGTCGTCGAGGCATCTTCGCGGCTGTTCGGGTGGGGCTGGAGGCGGAGGGCTCCTGAGGATTGTTGGATCTCGGGACTTAGACAGGCAGTACGGCGCCACTTCCGCAGACTCCAACCGCGGACTCTAATAACTGCGGAAGCTGAAACTTGAAAACAAGAGACGAAACAGGCTTATGTTGTTTCATCTTACACGGAACTCGATGGCAACAGGCCTGAGAGGCTTCTCGTCCGTCAACACAAAAGTTTCGAACCTGAGCTAACGATTAAAGAAATATTTAACCATAAAGCGTAGCCTTCCTCCACGTCTAGACCACCCCCACAACCTCGACCTCGACCTCATTGGGTCCTCTGGCCCTATTCCTTCTACTCCCCGGTGCCAGGACCCGATTGATCTTCACCGCCGCTCGTATGCGGTATTTTGGACAGGCTGGCCTCAATGGATGCCACCGTAATATCGACGGGATGGTTGTTTTACTGCAAACTGAGCTGAGAAAAGACTAGGCTTGAGATATCGGCGGCCTGTAACTCTGGCTGGTGTTCTTGTTACCAACGCACAACCATACGTGGCTTATAAAGGTTACTTGGCGCGCGGTAAGAGCTCTCAAGGTTAACCATCGGCCAATAAATTCTGGCCTCGGTATAGATTACCGCCCTTAATATCTCACCTGTTCTCGGTGCTGATATATCATTGCCCCCCACCCCACCAGAGTGTCACATCGTAACGATATAAGACGACAATTAGTTAGCTCAGCCATGTCGCTTACAAGAAGGCCCACTAGTGAAGCGTCCAAGGCATGGCTTTGTGAATAAAGGACCATGGGGGGAAGATATCAAACGCTGCCGTCCTAAGCTTGCCTCTGTCCTTGCTCTGAATTCCAATGTAAGTGAAACCAAGCTCGTATTAATTACTCGCTTCGATTCGCCTGGCGGGTGAAATGGTTGTTGTATTATCCACAGATGATTTACGGGTCAGAGTAGATAGCCTCTCGTGTCATACAATCACAATCTCAGATTCTTCGCATCCGGCCTTTTCCAAATCCTCGATGGTCCCATCCATCATGCACCCTTCGACGTAGGAGTCTCCAACCAGGTTGTATTTCGAATCTGTTCTTGCCCTAAGAATCAACGGAACCTGCACTCCCGCGAACACGCAGCAAACATCTCCAGATCGAGCAGGAGATGTCACGATAGCGAGCCTGCCGGACTCGGTTCTCGCTAGTCTCGTATTCCATAGATCTTCCAGCTCACTCAAGTACACGTACGCTTGACTAACCACCGTGTCATCAGGTTGCATATCATCCCCTGTGGCTGCGTCAAAGCCAGCCTGCTTCGCCCTGTGCCGAACAATATTGCGGTATGATGTAAAACGCGGTTGTAGATATTCCCAAGTGGAAACTCTGGCGTTGCTTGGGAATCCTCGCATAAGCGTAGTTGCGAACCGCTCTTCTAGGTCCTCCAATTCAGGCAAAGGTGTCACGGTCTAGCTTTCTTGTAGATCCCGCTAAAGTTGATCGATGAGAGTTTCGTTGCCTAGATGGTCCTTATCCCACTGGGCTGTCTCGAGACCAAAATTCCGCCACATAATTGCATCTGACGTCCAGACAATGCGGTCAAACAGAAACCCGTTGGCCACCACCGACCTTTTCGCGGAAACGACTGCATGAAACAACTTGTCGCGTCCCCCAGAGCAAAACGGAGTGAGTGGAGAGTTCATCGAGGAATTATTTCTAGGCTGATCCCATCGCGGCACCCAAGACGGAAGTCCCCGGAGCCCTGCGACGTCCTCGTCCGACTGGTGAGCCACAAATGAGAACAACCATCGGGCTTCCTTGGGATCTCGCAGAACCGCACAAGCAAGGTCGTAGAACACGTCGTTGGGTGTCTTACCATAATCAGGCTCGATTATCAACTCGCTTGCTCCGTCAGTACTAGCGTCGATCGGTCGTCGCGCAAGGGGATGCCCCAGAAACGCTTAGAGTCGATCAACCTCAAGGGTCGCTTGAAGTCTTCTCGATAGAGCGAGAACGTGGAGGAACGAGGTATTAGTATTTGATATGATCTTGTGGGTGTGTGCGATGTTCGGCAGGCTGTTCCTCATGTTGTTGTGTCTGTATAAGTGCAATGGCCAGTCAAAAACACATTGGCTATAAAGCCAGAGTTCGGTTGGCTACCGGTGGTTGCGGCCATGTCTTTTCGGTGTCCCAGCCAGTGGCATAACTCATAGAGCTCGGCAATATTCATCTGCTCTCGCCCCCATAGAGACACGCAGCTCTTAGCCAGAGCAGCTTCCTGCACGACCCACACCCGTTTGAACCAGGGCATATTCATAAGTGTCGCTACTTTTCTCCAGCGGCCACGATCGAGTGAAATAAGTTAGCTTACCCAGATTTGGCCAGGCCCCACTTTTGGCCCGGGCGCCGCCCGCACTTACACAACGCAACGCATGACATTTGAAGCTATAGAAAAAGGTCAAATCAACTAGTTACAATGCAACTTTCGTCTTCTTCTTCATCTTCCGAGCCCTCTGGTTCGTCTGAACTGTCAATATCGCGCCCAGCTGCCCTCTGTGCCTTGCGAATGTCCTCAATCGTAGCAAACTTGGAATTCGGGCTCAATTGGACCTTCTTCTTGCTGCCTTTCTTGTTCTCAATTTCGGCCTTGAGAGCTTCATTCTCACGTCGTAGCTTAGCCAATTCGAAGTCCTTGATGTTGAATGCCTTTTCGATCTTCCTGAATAGCGTACGGCGAGTGCGGCGAGCCGCCGAATGTATGTTCAATTTCGCCAGGGAGACCGTGAGCTCCGTGACCTTTTGAGGAGTCTTCCAGACGCCGTATTTATCATATACCTGTTGCTGCAGGTAAGCTAATGACCTGGCTTCCTCCAGGGCCTGTGAAGCTGTATTTGTGGTGCCTTGGTTCCTGTTTTCTAGCAACAACTTGCTTCGCAGGGGCTTTTGCTTGTTGACAGGCCACAACCCGGCGGCATGCCAACCTGCCTTGCAGTTGCTGGGCTGAAATGCGGTTTTCCGGGCTTTGAAATAACAAAGCAACATAAGCCGGCGCCCTAGAACCGTGCTGTGCGATAACGTCGGCCTGCTATTGAGCTCCTTCCTGTATGCCCTCTTCAGGACTGAGAAGACAGTCAAATCGAGAGGTTGAAGAACATGAGAAGCGTGTGGAGGTAAATAAAGAAGGTAGATGTTGTTTTGGAAGCATGACCACATATAATCATTGGTGGTATGACTGCCGTGGCCGTCAATAATAAGTAGTCGTTTTTCTCCGTTGGCTGGCCGGGTCCTAGGAATGAAGACCTTCTGAAGCCATTCCAATGCCCTTGCATCGTCAATCCAGCCTTTTTCCTGGCTTGTGAAGTGCCAACCAACGAAGCATTTGAGCTTTTCTGGGTAGTGTTGTTGTTGAACGGTCTTTCCTTTCATAATGACCGCAGGAGGTAGGGACTGGCCAGTTGCAGAGATACATTCCACGAAGGTAGTCCAGCTGCGAGATCCGGGTTGTTCCTTCATCAACACCTTGTTTTCTGAGCTTTCTATGACCTGGCCGTTGGAACCCTGGCCTTCAAGAATGCCTGTCTCATCTTTATTCCAACGGTGCTCGGGCTTGATGCCCCGAATAACCGGGAGGGCCAGGTATTCGAACCAGGCCGTCACGGCTGCCTTCGTAGCTCCGTTGAGGCGCACCGAGTCGATCCGCTGTGCTCTCTGGGTCCTAATGGTCGGGTTCCGGGCCATGAAATGCCGCACCCACTTCACCCCGATCTCGTCAGGCTTCCCGAGCTCCCGGGCCAGCCGGCGGGCGAATTCCCTAACCTACGCATGCGTAGGAGGCAGGCCGAGGGCACCCTGCATGACGATCCACTCGGTCAAACGCTCTTCCACAGGCTTATCTAGAGTCTGCATGTGTTCAAACGCAATGCAACGGGCTTTTGTGCCGGCCAGCCGGTGCCGAAGTGTACTCCTCGGCACACAATATTTTGCTGCCGCCTGACGCACACTGCCGCCGTCTCGCACAAACTTCATCGCGGTCAGCATCTCCAATTCGTCGTATTCAGGCATGGTAAATAGAGGATTGATTGAGCTCTCGATTAACCAAGAAATGGAAGAATTTGGTCTTGTTTTGAGGAAGTTGCGGTGTGATGAAGAAAAATCGGTCAATCACCCTTGGTGTAAGTGCATGGTGGCTTGCGCATGGGCCAAATGTAGGGCCTGGCCAAATCTGGGTTAGTTAACTTACGTCCGTAATATTGAGCTTTACTAAGAGTTAAAAAAACATACAGCACCAGGGACTCGCTGGTGGTCACACAACCAACTACTAGTCTGGCGGTTAGAAACCTTATCTCTGGGACTCAAAGCGGCCGAAAACGAGGGTATACAGGAGTCGAAAATGGGGCTCTGGAAGTACACCGAATAATAATGCGGCATCTTATCTCTTATCTTAATTAAAACTGATTCCATATCGAGTTTAGCGGATATAATATCGTTTTTTGAAACGCCTTAAAGAGAAGCGCAGGGCCGAGTTGAAGGCGCAAGAAGAGCTTAAGGGAGCCACCCCTAATACTAGCGATAATAAGGACTATATTGAAGCTAGAGCCAGTCTAGGGAAACCAGCGGCGGCACAAGACCGGCCACAGAGGCTACACCAAGTAGACTAGCTCGCGACACCACCAAGCTTAGACTTCTATCGCTCTAGTCGCAGGTTGACGACCAGAACCCACCCGTGGGGTTCAATCTCAGGTCAAGCTCCGGCGCCCTATCCCCTTATTTGCAAAGCGAGGTTCACTAGAGCGCCCAGCTGCGTCGACCCGTCCTCCCGTACTACCCCACCCTCCATGTCCTTAAGGATAACCTAGATATAGTCCCTAGCGCCTGAGAGGTGGAGTATATGCGCTACCTCGAGACCTCCATATTGGTTGCTACTATCGAGTAGATTTTCGTCATCGTCTCTAGCGGGAGGTTGCCTTAGCCGGTCTTTAAACTCCGCGCGGTCGAAGGTACGCGTGATAACGCAGCGGTGACTGTCGCTGGTAAGGCAGGAGCCCCGTAGAGCCGACAAATGCTCAGGTCTTCCCACAAAGTCTTGTACACGTTGCTGCTCCTCCTGCGTTTGGGTTCGCTGGATCGTAGCATAGTAAACGGGAGAGGGTCTTATTCGTAGCGGCGCGTACTGCTAAAGCTAGCCGTTAGAAAAAGAAGATTAGAGGTTAATGAGCCAAGAGATTAAAACATACGAGGGAGGAAGAAATTGGTAACAAGGTAGTCAGTCAGCAGAACTAAATAATAGTGAGTGAAAATTAGCTAATTCGCTGTCGTCGCTAAGGTCGATACTATTATCAAGCATTCCAAGGGCGAGAGATCGGAAAAAAGCCCCAAGAAGCCTATTCTGCGACTCCTGCGAACACGCATATTCGAATGTGAGACGAATGAGGGTCGGGCGATTGTAGCCTGAGCCGTATCTAGAAGCTGGCTGCTCAGCGGTTTCGAAGTGGTTGACGATACGACGGAACCTACCAACGGCCTGGGTACGCTGCTGCTCGTTTGCGAACAAAGGTTCGGCGGTGTAAAAGTCAATCACACTCTCCAGGGACGATTGGTGACGGTGCGACGGAGCCGTCATAATGGTGGTGTATCGGCTCAGAACAAGGACCGTAGGATGGCGCGGTAGGATGTCAATGCCTTTGGGACAGTCGGTCGACGTGTTCAAGGATAAATGGTCCAGCTCCGAACCGCCTGCCTAGAGGGACGCCGTACTGCTCCACGACATCCGTAGGCTCGTGCAATATACCATTAATACATCCAAGTCGATGGGAGTGAGGACAGCAATAGTGGAGAGACAGGCAGAGCGCGGGGTCGCTGCGTGGGCGCGGAAGGGCAGCGTGTCCGTGAGCCCTGTTCACCCGATGATATAAATGAATGGATTCCGACTCCCTAGAGCGGCGCAACAGGTCGAAACGGGACAGGAGGCTGGATGCTGTTAGTGCGCGATGAGTTGAGAAGAATTTAGAACGGGATGGAAAAGGCTAGGGGGTGCGCCCTGTTTCTGCCTTAAGGCCCTTTCAGGCAGTCCCTGGCTTTACCCATTTTTAGCAGTACCCCGCTAATCTGCTACTCATTACCGCCTTGTAGGCCACGTCTGCATCTCCTGTCGCATTCTGTTCTACCCCCACCCGAAAGCAGTTCCACCATATTCCCCCACCTTTTCTGGCCCTGACGCACGGAGCAACTGCTCAGGCTGCTGAAGGCACCTTCTTCTGTATGTGGCCTAGAGGTGACTACACACACAGCAAGGACAAGGCCTCGCTACTGCTTGAGGGTGCTAGGGAGGGCATGAACGTAGGGAAATTTTGCAGAAGCCGCATTTCTCCCTGGAGATTCTTCCCCGGGCGTATTTCCCAGGCGCACTTCTCCTTTTCTCCCAACCCTTGGGATTTACTCGTCTTTCGATTGCAGCTCATGGCATCCCCTAAATTGGGAGGTATGGTAAGGCAGTGAGTGGTCAAGTGTGTACAGACGGTGTATGAACGAGACCTCTCCGTAGTTCACACGGCCGCCGCTAATACATTTTCTTTCGCGTCAGATAAGTCCCTGCAAAATCTTCTCATTTCAATCCGTCTGCTCTCCGCCTTTCGCCGTTCGATCCAGGCACCTTGAAAGACATGTCCTTACCGCCTTTCAGCAACCGCCGAAGCCTGAAAAACGGGCGCTCTAAAAGATACGTTAGAGCACAGGTTTTTCGAGACCGGAGAGCAAAAGTTTTTTGAGGCTGGAGAACGTACTCTCACCGCACTCTTTGCTGTAACAACCGACAACAAGGCGTTAGTGCCCAACCTAAAAGAGCTTTCCGACAGTGAAGTCTACGAATTAGTATACTACATTAGCACCTCAAAGGCAGCGGAGATTTCGACGACATCATCGGAAGCTTCACAGAGGTTTTTTTTTTTTTTTTTTTTTTTTTTTCGAAATGATAGCGAAATTGGTCAGTGTCCCTGGCGGCAAATCCCGACGCCGTCGACCTCGTTCAGATGCCGAGAGTGCTGAGGCTCCCACGTCTCAGGCAGTACCTGAAATGCTAAATCTCCGTCAACCAGCGCTGTGCTTTGGGCCGACGACCAAGACAATCCGGAATCGGGCCCTCGCTAGAACCGGCCGCATTGTGGAGATCGTGAGCTTGCTTTGGCTCTCGCCGAGTTAATAACCCGTGAGATGTTCTCGACGTTCCTTTCCTCAACATAGCGCGCGTTGCGGTAATCTCGTTGCGCAAGTAACACGCAGTGCCGTGGTATCTGCAGCGTCGACACCCGCACCCCACTAAGCTCGGGGCCCTGCGTGCAGCGTCGTTCAGCCGGCACGTCCAGGTGGTGGGAGAACCGACCTCCCGCGATCTAGGCTCATTCTTTTCGCCGGCGTTGCCGCTGGCGTTGCCGCTGCCGCATTCCTGTGGCTGTCGGCGAAACAGAAACCTCTGGCAACAGAGCGGCCGCCTGCTGTCGAGGAGGAGCAAACTTTCGGGTTGCCATCGGAGAGCCAACAGGTATGTCGACCCTGCCTTGCTTCTACTGCATGCTCATACCGTGGTAGTGTCGTTCTCGGCAACCTTTCGACATCGTTTATCCTGGCCCTACCGACGGAGAAGCCGACGTTGAGTATGCCTCCGAGCCCTTGGCCAAGACGAACGATCTAACCAAGGTAGCGTTGTGGCCGTCCATGGCCTCGGCGCCGACGCCGACTGGTCGTGGACATGGAAGGATGGCGACAGGCCCGTCAAGTGGCTCGAAGACCTCAATATGCTCCCTACGAAGGTGTCCAAGACGAGGATCCTCGTGTACAATTACGAGTCAAAATGGCACGCAGACGCTCCGAGTACGCGCCTCCAGCTGTGTGGAGAGGAACTTGTGCACAGCATCCACTCGTTCCGCCGCGATAAGGACCGTCCACTTGTCTTTGTCGGCCATAGCCTAGGTGGAAATGTCATCGCTCATGTGAGCCGGCTTCCCTCACATGCAGTGCATTGCTAACCAGGTCAAGGCTCTCGTATACGCCAACTCCGGAGACGAGTACCGGTATTTGCCAGAAGTGACGGCGGGTCTCGTATTCCTAGGCACCCCTTTCCGAGGCACGAAGATGCAGTCCTTACTCGACTACCTAGCATGTGTAATGCAATCAGCAGGCTCGCACCGCGGAATTACCAAGGAGCTTGGGTACGACGAACCGGCCCTGTTGGACATCTTGCAGAAATTCTGCCGGCAGTGTAACAAACTGTCTACGCCTGTCTGTTGTTGCTTTGAGCTCTATGAAACGGACTACGGGGGGCGGTTTGGGGTTCTAGGCATAGCAAAAGGAAAGGTACGTGAGAAATGACAAACGACAAGACCCCGCTGACGTCTCTAGGTCGTCGAAGAGGCGTCTGCTTGCATCCCCGGCTACGACAGATGTGCCCTCCAGACCGATCACTTGAAGATCAACAAATATGTCGGCCCGACCGACCGCTCCTTCTTAACCGTTTCTGGGAAGATTTCCGAGATGTGTGCGAATGCGCGCAGCGTTGTCCAACGCCGGCGAACACGTGCGCGACTCCGCCCCTATTCAACGTACCTTACTAACTTCTTTGACAGCTAGCAATATCATTACCAACAGAGATTGTAAGTCTCTCGCCAGATTCGTGGAACCCTGCTAACGGACGGCCAAGATGCACTGTCTGAGAAGCCCGAGGCCCGAGACTGTCTCCGCGACCTCTTCCTAACGGATCCATTCGAAGATAAGAACGCGCTGAAGCGGAAGGGAAATCGCGCTGCAGGCACCTGCGAGTGGATCCTGGGCACAGAGGAGCTCACCGCCTGGCTTAGGGCCGGCCAGACGGCCGAGCCCGAGAGTGGCACGGCCCATGTCCTGTGGCTCCATGGCAACCCTGGGACGGGGAAATCGACCCTGGCCATCTTCCTTACCGAGGAACTGTCGAAGGACTTCTCGGCAACGGATGGCAAGACGCTTGCCTACTTTTTCTGTGACTCCGGCTTCGATAGGCGGAAGACAGCCACGTCAGTCGTCCGTAGTCTGCTCCTCCAGCTCGTCCAGCAGCACCCCCAGCTTCTTGACTATGTCTTACTCAAGTACAACGAACGCGGAGCGGAGCTATTCAAGTCGTTCGACGCCCTTTGGACGATCTTCATGGCTATAGCTGCGGATGTAAAGACGGGCCGGAAGTACTGCATCGTGGCTGCGCTGGATGAATGCAATCGAGAATCGCAAGAGATCCTACTACGGCAACTAGAAGAAACCTCTAAAACCAAAACGCCACGTCAAATATCCGGATACTTGTTACTAGTCGGCCGTATCCTGAGATAGACAGTTACCTAAAAGGATTCCCAAATAAGGACTTGGCGTCCTTCTCGGAAAGAAAGCAAGATACTGATCGATGTATCGAAGAACGAGTAGCGGATCTTGCCCGGAGACGCGACTACACAGACCCGGAGACGCGACTACACAGACCCGGAGACGCGACTACACAGACCCGGTGAAAGAACAAGTCAACGACATCCTCAGAGAGAAAGCCCAAGGTACTTTTCTCTGGGTTGGCTTACCCTATGAGGAGCTAGGGGATATTTTTTCAAAGGATGCCGTCCAAACTCTACAGACCATGCCACGTGGACTTGATGCGCTCTATGAGAAGTCTCTCGGCATAGCTCTCGGGCAGGATACGGCCAACGCCAATGCGGTTCGACGCATTCTCGCCTTTTTTACCGTGTGTCTACGGCCAATGAGCGTCCTGGAGCTTTCTGAAGCCTGCCAGTTACACCAAGAACAGGAAGATACGGAGACTCGGGTTCAGTTCACACGCGAGCAGATCGCGTCGTGCCGCCTGATAGTCATCATTCAAGACGACAAGGTGTCCTTTCTGCATCAATCCGTTAAGGATTATTGTCAGACTGCAACAGCACTTTTAGGATTGTGTGCATCATAGTGAATTGCTTCTGTTCTCCTCTTCCAGTCTTTCCACAAAAGACTCTCTCTTATACTTCCATATGTGGCAATTACATGACGAATCCCAGTGGCGAAGATTACGCATCGTAGGTTCCAGCACCTTCTAGGCCATTCCATCTGACAATTATCTAGTTACAGAGGGGGCTGAATATTTTATCAACGAGCACGAAGCACATGCCGACCTTGCATATCGCTGTGTTGATATTCTTATCGAGCAGTTCTACGTTAGCAAACAGCCGGGCACCAGACTCTCACACTATGCGACTCGGAACTGGGCCAATCACGCTCGCCTCGCTCAGTCTAGCTTCGAGGTCAGAGACTCTCAAGCCGAGTTCTTCGAAGTTGATTCTCCATGTCGAGAATCTTGGCTGGTATCACGGCTCAGTCAACGTAAAGAGACAGGGCTGCAGTAATCATCGCTGAATTCGTAGAATCTAAAGATGAAGAAGGAAGCTATGACGGGGACCGCGCAGGGCGCGGGGAAATGGGTAGTTGTGGGCCACGTGATACGTCAGGCACAGACCACACTCTAAACAGGAGCCTGTCCAGGCCATGCCGTGACAGCTGGACTATCTAAGGTTAGACCATAAAAATATGACCTACCCGGTGATTCCATTGCGATTCTCTATCTTTTACGTCACTGGGCGCTGAGGGATTCCCGCTCTGGTGCAATACGCCTCTCCCTCGGTTGACCGAAGTGAAACAGAGCTAACTCATATTACGAATCTGGATTGCCTCAATGAAAAAGGTAAATCACCACTCGAGGAGGCTATTTATTGGGCATATCTAGATGTTATTTCTATTCTTCTAGACCTCGACCGGCGAGGAGACCAGATCACGATCACAGAGGAGGTAGTGAACGTGGGGGCTGGGAATTATAGCAATGGCGAGAAGGTAATGGCGTTACTTCTCGACCGGCGAGGAGACCAGATTACGAATACAGAGGAGGTGGTGAAGGCGGCGGCTGGGAATAGCGGGAGTGGCGAGGAGGTGATGGCGCTACTTCTCGACCGGCGAGGAGACCAGACTACGATTACGGAGGAGGTGGTAAAGGCGGCGGCTGGGAATTGGACTAGTGGGGAGAAGATAATAGCGTTACTTCTCGACCAGCGAGGAGACCAGATTACGATTACGGAGGAGGTAGTGAAGGCGGCGGCTGAGAATGACGAGAGTGGCGAGATGATAATAGCGCTGCTTCTCGACCGGCGAGGAGACCAGATTGCGATTACGGAAGAGGTGGTGAAGGCGGTGGCGGTTGGGAAATACAATCGTATCAAGAAGGTAATGGCGGTACTTCTCGACTTGCAAGGAGATTAGATTATGATTACGGAGGAGTTATAAACGCGGCGGGGAATGAGGAGTAGTCGCCTTTGGGTTAGACGTGTCAGAGCCCTTACAAGAGGTGACCGGCTCGCTGTGCCGACATGACCTCTGTTGCGGAGGGTGCAGCTGACTGTAGCATCCCAGCTTTAGTGAGGCTTTCAATAACAGTTGGTGGTACTTACTTCAAGCATCCGTTTGCAGAGGGTTTTATCCCGTACGAAGCCTAGGAAATACCAGCAGGTGAGGCTGAGGTTGTAAGCATCGCAGATATCAGTTCGCTCGACGATGTTAGCAGTATCTCGTTTGGGAGGTTACAGAGAGGAGGAATCGCGGCGCAAAAGAAGGGCTCCCTCTCCTCCGGCCGAACTCTGCCTCGCTGATTTTGGGTCATGCTTTGGAAAGATGCATGAATAGTACTGAGGATTGGCCCCGGAGGGAATCTTGGCACGCCTGCCGAGCTGGAGAGAGGGTGTTAGGCAAGCAGTGACTGAGCATGATTTGACACAGTTATTTCGCCGTTTGTCGCCTTTCAGGGTGTCAGCCAGACATGGAACACCTCAGCTTGGCCCGGAGCCCATGAAGCACCAGTCATCGTGGTACATGGGGAACGCCTGCAAGAGAGATTACCAAATTCTCCGAGGTAGCTGGACGCCCTGGCCCCGGCATTCCCAGGCTGTATCTTGTCCTCCATTACTCTTGAGGCCTCTCTGTCATCGTGGCTAAAACCTAAATGGAAGTTTGCCATGTCAGCTCCCGGGCTAGCCATACAAGATGAGAACTAAAACTCCACCAGGACGTCTAGCCATGCTTTCACACTCATAAAACTCCCTGAGCAGCAGTAGTCTTATCACGATATTTTGAGGTCTCGCCTTGTTTGGAGCAATGTTGCTAGACAGCTGAGGTCTCCGTTTTTAGTGGTACAAGCCATCTATGCGCCTCCGTTGGCTCGCAATCTGCCGCACGATCTCGAAGGTGAAAGGTTGTTTTGAGGAGCTAGGCCCTCGGCGAGTCAAAGAATGCCGCTTCTTCGAAGAGCGCGCAGTCAGCGTAAAGCCCACCCGACGAGCAGAAGTCCTGGTTTTATTAGCCATCTTGATGCCCGAGGCGGCGGGCGCTACTAGCGGGAATGCCCGCCGCCGTGCTGAGCCGTCAGGTTAGTACACGCCAATTCTCTCGATGTGGGCAAGGACGGAGCGACGACGTCTCCGCTTGCGGTGTGCTTTCGGTGGCAAAGGTTTGACACCTACGCCACGACGATTCGCCCTCCCACATCGCCCCCGCGGCGATACCGATAGTCTCTTGTTCTTCGGCGAGTGTAGAGTTGTGAACTCGATATCCGCGGTGTTTGGGCGCCTAGGTTTGTCGACACCAACTGACACGAGCAACTCGGCCTGTGATGATTTAGGCGCATCTAGGCCAGGCGCCTGTGCCGGGGGGGGGAAAGACCGGGTCTCCATCCCTAGAATGCCAAAGCAGCCCAAGCTATAGAGCCCTAGGTCGATTTCCTCATTCGTGCTTTGGGTGTCGAGACAGCCGGGCTTCCAGAACGCCTCGGGCGTACTCCAGAGGTAAGCATACGGGTCGATGCTCTCCTCCAGGTAAGACGTTGGCTCGGCAGGGCTGTCATCTCTCAGGTCGCCTACACCCAAGAGTGTCCCATAGAATGACCGGAAGTCCGCATCGAAGTCATCTGATGATAGGAGGAAGCAGTTGTAGCCGAGAGGCTCAGCTCCAAGATCTCCAGAGGAGCCTGCCCAGGGTAAAGCATATCTTGGATTAAATGATGAGAGAAGAGACGAGCTTACGACGAGGCTTCGCTGGGACCTCTATTTGAATCATCCAGTCAACGAGTAAGCCTGATTGCTACTCAGGCATGAGATTGGCGATGTTGAGGGAGGGAAGGATAGCTGGAGAAGACGCAGTACGGTTCCACTGACGATCGAACCTCTCGGCGCACAGCTGTTCTCGGATGTGGGCCATCGTGGGTCCGTAGCGCATGGCGTTGCTCTACAGGTGGCTAGAGGCATTCCACCAGCAGAGGAGATAGACAGTGGCTCTGCTTCACTGTGGCGAAAGATGGCAATTGACATGTCTACAAAAGAGACCTCCCAAATCGCGGGAGACAGCGACGCCAGCGGCGGGCCATGTACGGAATGCATCCCAAGTCGCGAAGCTAGTGGAGGCAGCACAAGGCAGCATGGGCCGGTTAGGGCGCCAGGAAATGCGCCCTGGCAGAGCTCATGACGAGACGAACGACACGAAGCACAGCACACCGGCCGGTAGAGGAGTCGGCGAGGTTTGTAAATATCACTGGACCTGAGTACAATGTGCAGCAGGCGGTCACGGTGTGAGACTGTTCCACAAGTGTTGAAGAGGTTATATCGATAGAGTATTAATTGTATTTCAAAGCGTTTGAAGGAATGGTAGTTATGGAAAGGATTTGAAGAAGGTTAAACTTTGGAGCGTTGTTTGGCAGAAATGGAAAGCGGTTAAGGGCGGCAGAATGGCTGATTAGAAAGAGCAGGGAAAGTGGAGCAGAATGGTGGTTCGATTATTGTGATTTGTTGAAGACTTATAAAGATGATAATTTTCTAAATACAAACGTGGGAAAATGCCCCCTTATTATACCAGATTGAATTGGCTCAGTTAAACGGAGGTTTGCAGCCAGGTGGCAAAACCAACAACAAGTGAAAATGCAGACCGTTGCTTATCCTGCCGACTTGCTGATACCCGGACGCAGTATCCCAGGACCGGCTACCCCAATATAGACCAGTTCTTTGTTGCCGGAAGCGCCGTCGGCATCATTTCGCTGGGCCTCACAGTCACAGGGTCTCTCGTCGACTTTTACTCGGTCTACAAGAGCCAGAGATCGGATATCGCTCATACAGCCAAAAAGTTGGAACATCTTCGACGTGCTTGGGATTCTGCGCTCGACGACAGCCCTCGCGGGACGCACCGCAAAGATATGCTACAGGCCTTACGCGACCTGCGATCCTGGTCGGAGCCCAGCCTTCATGTCCTTGTCACAAGCCGAGACGAGCCCGACATTCGCGATGAACTGGATGCAGCAGAAGATGAGGCTATCTCGATGACGGAACAGCTCTGTGGACGGCGATATCAGATCCTATATCTCCGGCTCCTTAAAGGACGACCGTCGATTGCAAAAGTGGGCAAAGTATCACGACCAGATTGAGAAGGCGCTGACCGAAGGCGCAAAGGGCGTGTATGTTCTCAGTCTTCTACGAGAAGCTACTTGCTGACCCGATCAGGTTTCGCTGGGTTGAATGCCAGTTTACAGCATTAGACTCCTGTGCGAGAAGCCAGCGCCAACTGGATCTATTGCTGGCGTCCTTGCCTCGGTCTCTGGACAAAACATACGAGCGCATGCTCCTGGGCATTAGCGAAGAGCCCGCAGAGGATGCAAGGCCGGCCTTGACACTGCTTTGCTGCTCCAAGGAACCATTGACTGTGCCAGAGCTTATCGAGGCCATCGCTGTGAAGCTTAGGGATGTTCCGCGGCTCAATCCTGATGGTAGATTGGACGACGAAGAGGAAATACACCAGATCTGCCCTGGCCTCATCGAGCTGGACCGACACCCAGGAAGCACGCGTGTCACCGTTCGTATCGCGCATTTTTCCCTCTAGGAATATCTAGAACCGGATCGGGTAAGCGATAAGGTGGCACGCTTCAGTGTGAGAAGGCCGAAAGCTCACGCGGAGATAGCCTCTGTCTGCCTGACATATTTGCTGGAACCTGGGGTGAGCCAATGATGGAATATCCGCTCGCACTCTACGCTGTGAAGAGGTGGTACGATAATTTTCATGACAGAGAAAAGAGCATGCCTCTCCACCAAGTACGCAGGCTGTTTCAAAATACTAGAAACGTGTTTGAGAACTGGGTTCGAATCTGGAATATTGACGACTACTTTGGTCAATATCCTTCTGGAAGAATGCCATCACTTATCTATTCCGCTTCAAGTCTGGGGCTTGACTCAATTATAGCCGAGCTACTCTGTAGGAAGTCGCGAAAGAATTCATTCCCGGAGCTTAGCCCATCAGGAGTCTCTGAATTGATCAGCGCCCAGGGTGGAAAGTACGGCACTGCTCTCCAGGCGGCGTCGGCAGAAGGCCACGAAGTGACCGTCAGGCTGCTGCTCGACAAGGGGTGCCGACGTCCAGGCCCAGTGTGGATACTACGGCACTGCTCTCCGGGCGGCGTCGGCAGGAGGCCACGAAGCGACCGTCAGGCTGCTAAAATCACAAGGCGCGGAGTACGCCTAACTTCTTCCGGGCGGTTCACAGTGGGTAGCTGGAGGCGGCATACCGCTAACATCGGCGCGAGTGGGTGGGGCAAATGCAGACCCCAGCACTTACTCGACCTGTTCCGTGACGGAAAGGGTGTTGATGAATTTGCTCAGGGTGCCGGCTGTGGCTCCACTCTCTATCTGCTCGCACACTAGCTTAACCACCAGCGCCACCCAGAGAAATATACCATGGGACTTTTCCAAAATCTCTCTGACGAGGAGAACCTTGCGTTGGTGTCTTCGATGTGGTCTAGTTTATCTTCGACATATTTTTTCATATCGAATCTCTTCAGTTGGTGGAGACAAAGACGCGTGTCAGCTGGGAAGGCGTTCATGAAGACGTTATCCTCGCGGCTGTACACACATAGCTTCACGGCCCCAAGAGATGCTTTACGCCAATTTTTCAACAGATCGACCATGTGGCGCCGGTCGTGTTGCGCCGTTTCCTCATACTCGTCGAGACCGTCGATGAGGAAGCAGAAGCAGCGGCTGTCGTGGAGCGCTGTGTTGCGTTGCGTTGCGCGACACTAGCTGGTTAAAGGCTAACAAAATTACACTCGGTGGAATGGAAATTGGAGACCCGTCGTGCCAGGGCGTGCGTATTGTTGGCCGAACTCCATTGTTCAGGAAGAATGTCAAGGATTATCTCAGGGTAGCTGGTTAGGATACCGTGGAGGAGTGAACGCAAGAGTCCAGGCAAGACCTTTGCAGCTCTGAACCTGGTTTCCAAAAGAAGAAGGCGGCGGAAGCGAGTTTTCGATCTCCTTTGACAGGTTAATATCAGAAAAGAAGCGACCTAGGTGCTTGGAAATAATTACCTGCCCACATCTTCAATCTATCATTTGTTTCTGGGCATTGAGCTAGGAATTTCATGATGGTAGACTTCCCGGATCCTAGCTTGCCGGCTACATGGAGGACACCGTCCTGCGACCGAAGCTAGCTGGCGAAAGTCTGTCTGCCTGGCCATGGCACGCATATGTCTCTCTTCTTGGTCAAATTTTTCAGAGTTGGACCCCTCTCTCACAATCCAGTGAAAGGTTTCGGCATGTGGATCGTGACCGCATCATAACGCTGTCTCATGTCTCTGAATGATAGAGCCCGCACATCTTCGTGCAGGCCTAGCAGCCGCTGAAAATCGCCCAAGACTCTCTGGTCAACGGAGGTAACATGGAGACCCTGGCGTAGTTGGTCTAGGCCAGCTTGTAACTGCTGGAACATTGCGGCGTCCTTGGCAGATGCATTGGCCAGAGTGCCCAGCAGGGCTTCGGTCCGGCGGCCCATGTGATGGGTCGGCTCTAGGTGCAGCTGGCTGCGACATGCGTCTAGCCTCGCCTCGAGATCATTGATGCTGTCCTCGTGGATTTTGGTCCTGACGGCCGCCCGAATGGTTTGAACCCTGGAACTGGGGTCCTCAGGCTTAAGCCGCTCTAGAAGGTGAACTACTTAATCCGATACGGCGCGGCATTCGAAGGCTAAGTAGAGCAGGTCGCGGTCCTCAAGGACAACCGTTTCTGGCGCTGATAGGTGGTTGCGCAGACGGGAGGCGAATCGCTGCACTTGGGCGATGACAAACTCCCGGCTATGGCTCCCTGCTTCGTCGGAGCGGAGCGCACCGTGGATTTGGATTGCGCCCTTGACTAGGCTGGTGCTGAATGTGACGAAGGATAGAGCCGCGGAAACGATGCCGATGGCCGTGACTGGATCCATGGTGCGACTCTACTCTGAGATACGGTAGAGACAATTGGTTGACACTTGACACACAGTCACAGGACGAGTTGCGTTGGGCAGGTTGGGAGTCTACGGGGGATGTGCTAAGTCAAACTGCGCTCTTCTGTAGCCAGAGGCAATTTCCAAGTTCCAACTCAGCTGTAATCGCGCGTGATATTTTGGTTGGCTAACTACCTTCGCAGACGATGCGCCTGGCAAAATTGGACTATCTCATCGCGATTTATTGTCGAAGTGCGTTTCCCACAGGAAAGGAGTCGTGCAGTGCCCTGGGGCCGGGAACCCGCCAAGCTCCTTCCATGACGGGTCCTCCTGGGGCTGGATGATTCCCTGCATCTGTACTACCCGACCGCCAATTGATTGTAAACAGGGGTTAAAACTTACCAATTACGCCTTGCTACCACGTAATTACAACACTGGAATGTGACCCCTTGAGGCTATTATCTCGTCTTTCCGAATCATTCTCAAAGTTCATGTCTCTCAAAATTCATGTCAACGGAAAGAAAGGGATGACGGCCTCTGCAGCTATTACTCTGACGTGGTTCTTGCAAAGAAAGCCACCTAATTAGGTAAGGCAGGGTAGGTGATTGCTGACGGGACATTTCGTCGATTTTACAGCCGTTGACAGTGGGTGCATAATTACCGCTTATCGACCCCAAAGGCAAAGAGCCACCATGGGCATGATGTCAAAATATCACAAAAAATGCCGACGCGTGCTCTTTTTTTTATTCTGAAATTTAAAAACGAAATCAGTGCCACATTTGCTCCAGCAGCATGCCCCTCCCTGTTACGTCGCTAAGCAGCTCGCTAACCACATACGTATCCGCGGGCCGCGGCCATGTCCGGGAATGGGCCCGAGCACGTGACACGCGTCGGCAATACGGCCGGATTATCCCTGACTGCTTTTTTTTGCGCCGCACAGATTCTTTCCTTTCGACCTTCATTTCCCGCTCTGCGTAGATCGTAGAAGTCCACGTCAATGCCACGCAATTGCGCCAATTGCAGTGAATTGGCTTTCCAGCGGCGTTAGATTCAGCAGACCCAATTGGCCGTGCACTGGCAGACTCGGCTCGTGGTCTCGTCCTTCGCGAAAACGCCGCGAGGACTGCTCCAATTGCGACGCGGCCCCAAAAACTGAAAATTTAAAAAAGCAAGCGCCACGAGGTAATTTCGCCGCATAGCAGGCAATCCTTGACCGCCCACCACCATGACTGCTTCACAGAAGCGCCAGGGCGAGGAGCTGGAAGGCGACATCGCCTTCATCGCCACTCCCCCGGCTGTAGCCTCAAAGTTTGCGACGGGCGAGGACTGCGGCGTCGAAACCACCAATGTGAGCATCATGCGATTGACCGCTCCGTACCGCGTCAATTGGCACCAATTGATGGCCAGTTCGTCCATGCTGACCCCAATTGAAGTCCCCTGCCATCCATAATGCTCCCCTACCTGCCGAGGGCCCTGGCAGTGAGTCCTTCAACAACTACGTCTTCGCGGCGCTGCTCTTCGGCGTGCCCGTCTTTCTCGCCCGTAGCCTCGGCGGCGGCTTCAAGACGAGCATCTTCTTCATTCTCGTCCTGTTCGTGCCGATTGTGATCGCTGTCTGGTTTGTGAGCTCGCGTTTCTCGCCGCGCATCAACGACAAGGTCAAGCTGCCTAGCCGCCCCGTCGAGCACTACATCACCTTCAAGAAGGACGAGGACCGCCAGAAATGGAGAGGCCGCAACAAGATCCCCATCAAGACATTTTACGAAATGTACTTTGACGGCGAAGTCGAATTCAACGGTGACTGCCTCGATATTCTGGAGTACCGCCATGACTGGGCCAGCTTTGCCTTCACCTGGCCTCTGTTCCAGTTCATCTTCTTGACCTTTTTCGTCGACGTGCTCTTTCACTCGCGCAAGCAGGACGAGGAGCAGGTCCGCCCAAATTACGACCGCGGCAACGACCACTACTCATTCTTCCTTGGCCCCCGCATGGTATACACCAGCGGTGTCATCTCCGATACCACCCGCGAGGAGACGCTCGAGGAGATGCAGGACAACAAGATGGCCGTCGTTTGCGAGAAGCTTGGCCTCAAGAAGGGGGAGTCGCTTTTGGACATTGGCTGCGGCTGGGGCACCCTCGCTAGATTCGCCAGCGTCAACTACGGCGCCCACGTCACGGGCGCGACCCTCGCCCGCAACCAGGCAGCCTGGGGCAACGACGCCCTCCGCCGCGCCGGCATCCCTGAAAGCCAGAGCAACCTACTTTGCATGGACTACCGCGACATCCCGACCAGGAAATTCAACAAGATTTCCCAGCTCGAGATGGGCGAGCATGTGGGAATCCGCAGACTCTCGACCTTCTTCCGCCAGTGCTATGACATGCTCGAGGACGACGGCGCCATGTACGTCCAGCTCTCTGGTCTGCGGAAGGCGTGGCAGTACGAGGATTTTGTCTGGGGCCTTTTCCTGAACAAGTACATCTTCCCCGGCGCCGACGCCTCGACTCCGCTTGCCAATTACGTTGGCGCCCTCGAGAGCGCCGGATGGGAGATCAAGAGGTGAGTTTGGCCGCCCCAAAACGGGAAACAAGTTTTCGGTTACTAACCCCCGCTCGCTAGCATCGACACGGTTGGCGTGCACTACTCGGGCACTCTGTGGCGCTGGTACCGCAACTGGCTCGGCAACGGCGAGACCATCAAGGCCAAGTACGGCCTGCGCTGGTACCGCATCTGGGAGCTCTTCCTGGCCTGGTCCACTATCGCGTCGCGCCAGGGCAGCGCCACCTGCTACCAGATGCTTGTGGTCAAGAACTTGAACTCCACCCACCGCATCAACGGCGTCCCGTCCCAGTACGGTCTCCACGGCGCCCTTGCCGCAGCCCGCGCTGCCGGCAAGGCCATCCTGAAGCAGTAGAGTTGGATCTATGGGCGGCGGCTTGACAGGGACGGGAGACCGGAAGATTAATGTTTGAACAGCTTTTGGCGATTATCAACCCGAGTGTGTGTCATTCAATCCGGGGACCCAATACCTCACACACTCGATAGATTAAGAAAGGACTAATTAGAAAGCGGGGCTTTTTTACCGGGCGTTGATTCCCTCAGTTTAGCATGCGATTGATTAACTGAATGGGAACTTTGTTCTAATAATTACTTTCTGCATCCCGAATCTCTGTGACTTGATCTTCGCTGGTTCGGTTCTAACTTGAAATGTGTTGGAACTCCTAGGCGAGGATAGAGGTGGGCTGCAAACAAGGCGGAGTTGGCAAGCAAGCAATTTAACTTCACAAAGCGATCTCGGGTCTGACAGACGTCACGAGCTAGCGTTGCAACAGGATGCATCTACATATATGTCTCAACTTACCCCGCCTCTGTAGACAGTGTGGCCATTTGCGAACAAATGTTCACAGCCCTAACCAAAGTCCCTCCATCACAGACCTGAAATGGACCCCGCCGCGTCGTCGTATCTCATCGTCGGCTCCGGCGTTTTCGGGGCCTCGACGGCGCTGCACCTCGCCCGCAGATTCCCAGGAGCGCGCATCACGCTCGTCGATCGCGACCACTACGACGCCCCGCGGCGCGTCGCAGCATCGTGGGACTGGAACAAGGTCGTCCGCGCCGACTACAGCGACATCACGTACGCGCGGCTCGCGCTCGAGGCGCAGGGCCTCTGGCGCGCCGACCCCCTCTGGCAGCGCTTCTACCACGAAAGCGGCGTCGTGTGGATCTCGCCCGGCGCGTTCGCGCAGACGGTGCGTGACAACTTCGCCGCCCTGGGCGCGACCCCCGACGCGAGCGCGTGCTCGGTCGACGAGGCGCGCGGGATTTATGGCGGCTTGTTTGCCGGCGCCGACTACACCGCCGTGCGCGAGGTCCATGTCAACCGCAGCAGCGGCTGGGCCGAGGCCAAGGAGGCGCTGCAGAGCACCGTCGCCGCGGCCGTCGCGCTGGGCGTCGAGTATCGCGTTGCGCAGGTCGCGGCCGTCGCGTTTGATATGAACGAAGGCGCGAGGGGGCGGTGCTGCGGCGTCACGACGGCCGACGGCGCGCTCCTCGCTGCCGACCGCGTCGTCCTCTGCTCCGGCGCGTACACGCCCAAGCTGCTGATCGACAGCGACCCGACGTGGGGCGAACTGCATGCGGGCGGGCGCATCCTCGCTGCGGGCGTCACCGAGGCCACGGCGCCGCTGGACGAGGACGAGAGGGCTGTGCTGGAGGCCATGCCCATCGGCATCAACGAGAATCCCGTGCAACGCGGTGGGTATCTAGCGCATTCATTCATCTATTCTATGCATGCATGCGTTGTTAACTGGGGTTGGGTTGTGTGTGTGTGTGTGTGTGTTACTTGCTGATATTGTTCGTTTGAGTACCTTAGGTTGCGACGTCGGGTGTATGCCGCTGCCCAGCCTCGGCGCCTTCAAGTGCTGGGGCCAGGTCTTTGTCCGAAACACGGTGACACACCCAGTCACGAACGAGCAACTCTCGGCTCCGCCACTGCAGCCCGATTATAAGCAGTGGGATGTCCCCGCGGCGCTGCAGGAGGACGTGAGCTGGGCGCTCAAGTCGCTGTTTGGCGACAAGTTCCAAGGCAAGAAGATGGAGAACTTTAGGGTTTGCTGGTCAGTTCCTGTGAAAAGTCGCATTGCTAAATCTGCGGCTGACTGTGGCTGCGTGGGTTTGTACTGACTGGCCTGCATATCCCAGGGAGGCAGTGACGCCCAGCGACGACTTCATCGTGTCCCCGCACCCGGCCTGCGACGGCCTGTTCATCGCCACGTGCGGGTCCTTCCACGGGTTCAAGTTTCTCCCTGTCCTTGGAAAATACGTCGTGCAGATGCTGTGCGACGAACTCGCACCCGACCTGCAGAAGCAGTGGGCTTGGGACCGCGAGCTCTCTTCGACCGAGGGTAACAAGAAGTGGCCGTGCAAGGAGTTGGGAGACTTTATTGCGGAGGACAGCCGTGAATGAACAGACATAGGGTTTGCTGTATTGTGGATTCTACTCCTAGTTGAATTGTACGTTTGCTCATACCTCAAGGTGCCAACTGTGAAGAGTGCGAGAGTGGTGTGCCAAGTTCAAGCTCCGACTCGCGTGCGAATGTGTCGGTGGGATGGTGGTAAATGTAACACGAGCCTGTAAGGGTTGGGCAGACCCGCTTGTGCTTGCGGCCGTTGGGAGGCATACTCGTTTTGAAGATGTTATGTAGTAGGTTATCGGGCACTACACTGGGGGGGTTATTCACCCTCCCAACACCCTCTGGAGTCCCGCGTGTTAAGCCTTGTCGGGTTGCATCAATCGCATTGACCAAGGCAGAGATTCGGGATCTCGGTAGATTAGGCGCGAGTGATGTGGATCTTGAAATGGATCTAAGCGCAACGCTTAACCGGCTCGTTATAACGCCTTGGTCCGGGTAGTTGCTGATATACTGAGCCTTTGACTCAGCCACGCAAACGCTGAGGATTCCCTCCGCAATCCAGTCGTCGTCCATTTCCCATCTCAGCGCAATATCGCGTAATGCGCTGGACAGGAAACCAGGCACCGAGTGATGTGTAAACATTGCAATCTGCACCCCTTAGAATGTTCTAGCCTCGACAAGGCCTTTGCACCAGCTCTGCAGTCTTGAAACCATCTGTCGTTGCCGGTTACAATATTCCTTTTAGTCGACACAATTGGGAACTAAAAAGGCAATACGGCTGTTCCCATCGCCAGGCCTATCGCATTCAAAAGCGTCGAAGATGTGAGAGAGACCGAATATCGACGGTTCGCGGAGTGAGTCGATCTCCAGACAAATATCGCTGGAGAAATCACGACTGATGCAACAGCCACGCAGTCCTAGCATCACGGCAAAGACAAAATAAGCTCCTCTGGAATGGTGTTTGGGGATTATGTCCAAGACCCTCGCAAAGAACTGGTCCAGGTATTGTGGTGCTGTCTCGACAAGCTGCTGTAGCGTCGGGAACGACGACTCGATCGCGAGTTTCTCCTCCACTAGCTTCAACAGGAGAACAACCCACAGGAAGACACCTTCGGCATTGTCGACCACCGACGATTGAAATTCAAAGCTTGCAGTGAGAACTGACTGTGCTAGAATTTGGAAATGCTGGTTCGGTTCGATTCGATTCGAGCTTGTTGCGGACTACCACCCTGACATCCGAGCGGGTCAGCGTGTGGAGGGTGACGCGACGAACTAAAGGGAAGCTTTGATTGTCGGTGGCTCTTCGCGACTCGAGACGCAGAGCTTAACCTTGTCGCACTCGGCAGTTATGCAGCTTGCTGGATAAAGCCCACTTGCTGGATAAAGCCCAGAGAGATTCGGCCAGTTCATCAAACTCGTCAAGTCGGTCGATGAACAGGCAGATTTTGAAGCGGGCGAGTCTCTCCGCGCTGTTCAACAACCTATCATAAAGGCGGCCTTGACTTGGCCGTCGGAGATGCCGAGTCCTGGAATTTGAACCGGGAATCGCGAGGCGTACCGATTTGGGGCCCAGAGCTCCGGAAAAGCAAACTCTGCTACCTTGGGGTTGCCCTCAGTACATCATAGAGAATTCCCCTCTCCAGACCGCGCATCGTCTTTTGCTCATCGGTCCCCAGTTTCTAGGAGAAGAAGCGAGAGAAATCGAGCTGCTTCCCATCGCTGCTCGCCCATCGTTGCTCGCCCATCGTTGCTCGCCCGTCGTGTCAAGAGTGAGCGAGACGTGTCGTGGGCGGCCAAGTACTTCATCAAAGTTGACTGCCTGATCCGGGTTCCCCTATAATGGAAACACACCCGAGCCTGATTTCAGCCATTCCATAAACTCTAACGAAATTGTTGGAACAACGCGCATTCCAGCCACATAGAGGTGGCTGTGGAGGCGTAGGGGTCCCAGATTCCATATAAGTGGCCTACGGCCACCTCTTTCTTCTAGACAGACATAGACAATAATGACCATCACTTGAACCACCAGTTTTCGGCGTGCAGCACGCCCTGTTGTTTCCAGTACCGGTACCTGGTGATTCCAACAGAAATTTTGGACCTGAGCAAATAATCTACCGACACCGGGAATCCTGAACAGACGGATCTCCACGAGCGGACGAAGACACAAAGTCTACACTAGCAAGACTGTTTGTCTCATCACCGCGAAAGATCTAGGAAAATGTATCGGCGGCTGGATTATTTATCATGTCGAAGCGCTTGTCAGCGGTAGCTGGGTGCAGGGAGCCAAGAATTTCAGCATAATTCACTGCCTTCAAGGAATCTTCGGACAAGAAGATGGCCTCCTTGATTGTTTCAATCAGCTTCAAGCTCTCATCAAGCTTGGGCAGCTCGTCGCCGATCGCGTTAAGCTTAGTGGTCAGCTGTTTCTGGGTTCTGTCCGAGTGGTCTAGGAGCCGCGCCACTCGTGCTACGTTAGTTCTACTCGCGGTTAGAATGTAGCCGAGTATAAGAGGTCCTAAATCATGGCCATTATTTAAATGCCTTGTTGCTATTGCCAATGAAGTCTTATCCGGGACGTTGCTGATTCAAGGGTAGCCTGTAGGTCCTCAAGCTTTGCCTTGTGTGTGCTAGACACATACAAGCCCTTCATAGTAGCACGAAATGAGTGCGGCTTGGTGGGCCTGCCTTGGTCGACAAGAGCTTTAATGGCCTGTATCGTCTGGCTGCATTGTTTAGCCGCGTCTTCGATTCCCGAGCTCTGCGCGTTAGTAGGCTAGTTTTTTACAGCATTCAGGCCAACAAGCGCCTTCTCGGGTTCGCCGGGGGCCTGCACGAGCTCCCGTGTCTCCCTGGTAAAGCCCGAAGTTGTAGTAGATTCCCTGCATGGAAATGAGGGAGGAGCAAAGTTGGGCAGCCATGCAACCTGAAAGAAGGGGGCCACCCACCGAGTAGCCGCCAAAAGGGCAACTTGACTTGTGCAAGTGGGTGGCCTAGTTAGTTAAGCTGTGTGATACCGATGGCTGGCCCATGCGCACAACCCACGAATCATGATATTGCATATCAGCTAGTGTTTATACCCTAAGGCTAGCATCCGTAAAATCAGTTATCCCTAAGATACTCTGATTGGTAGTACTCCGTGGTGGACAAAGGTACAATCACTGAACCCTGAGGTGTTTGGGGGTGGGGGGTCCAATGATGACCCTCAAAGAAGCAAGGTGGGAAAGTGATCAGTATTCATCAATACTAAAACCAGGTAAACAACTCACCGCTAAAGAACATCTAAGTATGCGCCACTCCCACCCAGCCTTTTCCCAAACCCCGTTTTCTTGACCGAAAAAACACGAAAACAGAAGCCACTTAATTAACTGCTCCGCAGCGGATTCAGAGCAATGTTTATCTAGGAGGCGTTTTGAACGCTATACCTGAAACTTCGCCGTTCTCGGGGTATTGTTATATCCGCGTCGCTGTCAGTGGTCTCGGCGCTTTTGCGACTGCGAATCGCGATTTTCGCGTACTTGATCACTTTATCCCGCTTCCAAAATCCAGCTACGGCGACCAATACGCCGACACCCGAAACAATGACTCCAGCAATGCCGTCCTTGGTCAGGCCCAGCTTGTTGTCATTGTTACTGTTGCTATTGTTGTTGCTGCTCGAGTTATCATTGTTGCTGTTGTTATTGTTGTTGTTGTTCGAGTTGTTCGAGCTTTTGGTTGACGATGCCAAGCCTGGGGAAATGATCCAGTTGTCTGAATTGTTGGTTGACGATGTCAAGCCTGGGGAAATGGACGGTTCCGAGGATGTCTTGGTGTTGGGGCCGGTGCTGGTGCCAGCGGTTGCAACGGTAGTGCCGGCGTCAGTGGTTGTGGCCGTGGTTTTATGAGCATTTGAAGGCGGCGAGGCCTGGCTATTTAGGCCCAAAGGAGCGACTGGTATTGGAGTGTCTAACGCAGTGGCTACAGCCCCCGAGGGAGAGGGCGACGGTGGCGGCGAGGGGGATGGTGCGACTGGGGAAGGGGTTGGCACCTCCGCTACATGTGAAGACGGTGTGGAGCCTGTTGCGGTGGGAGACTGGCTGCTGCTTCTAAGCCTGACTTTCCACTTTGTGGCATCCGCCGGGCTGCTGGAACTATTGTCCATAAAGGCGACTAGGTCATGGGCAGCCGTCGTGGAAGTCATCAGCCAGCCCGGAAGTCCTCGGCTGCTAATCTTGTTGTATCCGGTCCCGAGATCCTTAAGACGAAAGGAAATAAGGGTTAGCAGTGCACATGTGGCGAAGATTATGCACACTTACCTAGATCTGCCACCACTGGTTGAGGTATGTGTCGTTTGAGGGTCCCATCCACATGATGCAATCCGCACCTAGCTTCTGGCAGTTGATGTCTAGCCTCCGCTCCACGTCTATCCAGGTCTTGTTGAAGATGTTGTACCCGCCGCTGCCGTGTAGGTCGAAGCGCCAGAGGGCGTCGTCGCGTAGCGGATTGCATGGCTCGAACCTGACGGGGTAGGGGACGGACCCGTCGACGCCGACCAGGGCGTAAAGGCAGTTGCCGTCGCCCTCGGCCGCCGTCGACATTGTGTACCACAGGCTTTTGTCGGGCACCCAGCTCCGACGCCGCACAGCGGGCAGGGGGGCGGTGGGGGCTGGTGGGGGAAGATCAACGCAGGCGACAGACACCTCGGCGAGAAGAAATACCGCGAAAGAGAACATAGTAGTCGACATCATATTGGCACGAGTGAACGGAAGGTCAAATTATGAAGATTAAAAGATACCGGTAGGGCGAGAAGGATCAAGCCCAAAAGATCAAGTACCAAAAAAATGACAAGGAAGAAGGATAAAGGCGAGTCGATGGCAGCATGGGGTGAACGAGTGAACCGGCACCTGACGGGGCATCCTGCGGGAAAGAGGTGTAATTATAAAGAGCTTTGATCTGGGCACCCCATCCAAAAATCGGCGTACCCCCTCGGGGATCCTTGCCAGCTGCTGGCAGTTGAGATACTCAGGGCCTATTATTATTGGCTGGTAAAATCGTGAAATACTATCCTACCACGCACGCGCTTCCATGTGCCAGCCCGGCCGCCCGGGCCAACAAGCTTTGAAGCCTTGAAAACGCGTTTGCCGTGGGTTCCCCATTTTAACGATTTCTTCGTTACCAAGTGCCTCAAAATAGGGGCAACTTTCAAATGGCAATTCTGAGGCCCTGATTTGTGCGCAAATTAGCTAAAAGTCATGGTTGGCGCTTAGTTGCCTGAGTAATCCGTTATATCCTGATTTGTTGATATGTTAATATACTTCCTTGGTATTGAGTCTATAAATCCACCTAGCCAGCAGGAAGGCCTATAAAGGCCACCTACCCTATACAGTCTTGAAGCCACCGGCATGTGAGACTGTGAATGGTGTTATTTTTACTTTGCCGGGCTTCCTTGGCGCCCTGTATGGCGTTGGGTGGCTGCTAGGAAATACGGCGTTTTACCATACAAAAAGCGGTCCCTGCGTTCGCAGCTGCTAATGGCCCCCGGGGGTAACGCCGATTTTAGATGGGGTACCCAGATCAAAGCTCATAAAGGCAAAACCACTGGAGAGGGCAGTGCGGGCGATGGCGGGCATCCATGGTGTGTGCTCCCGCCATTGCGAACAGATAAACAGGCACCTAAGCGGTTGCCCGTGGCGTCTGTTTTACTAGAGAAAGTTTACTCGGACCTTGGGAAACATCTATTCGGACCGTAATCTATAAAAAGGGCATTGAAATCCCCGCCAAGCCACTAGCCTCGCGCAATCCCCGTTTGCCCGCCAAAAACAATTTAATGGCCAACCCCACTCATCTTCAAATGGTCGGTACTGTACAATGCAGGCTCAACTGCGCCTTGCGCCCCCCCACCAAACCTAGCCAAATTTTCCCCTGCAATTGAAGCCATCGCCAAATCCACCACAACCACCAAAACCAACCAAATCATCGTCAATTGAGCCACAACAACAACAACGCGATTTTATCGCTGCGCAAGTAGGTGCATCGCTTCATATTCAATCCTCAAGGCCAACTAGCCATAGAATGGCCGCGCGCGCTGATTTGCCCGTCGACGAAGACCCTTTCTACCTCCCACCCGACATACCTGCTTGGTCAGTTGAACATTCCAACCATGCTGGCACCGTCTCTCGGCCTGGGGAGCTGGGGCAGCAACGTCTGAACCCAGCCGACAATCTGGGGGGCTTGGATCGAGATCCTGGGAGAGTGAGTAATTGCATTAGTAAATGGCAGAGCCGCAATGGACACGGCGTTGCTGGCACTTACTTGCATCCGGTAGCAGTGGACTGCATCTTGGTCTTGGAGTTGGACTTGGACTGGCTGCGCGACGCAGAGACTGCAAACGGGCCGTAGCCGACCGAGACGTTGGCCGAGGTCGACGACGCGGACACGGCGCTCTCCAGGGCCGACGTGTCGCCCGAGAACTTTGGCTCAGAGTCAGTACTCTTTGTACGTCAGCGGGCCAGAGAAAGAAGAAGAACGCACGCTCAGCTCGACATCAGCGGCAACAACAAACGCGGTCGGGTACGACGAGAACTGCTGGTAGTAGCCGGCAGGCACCTCCTCGTTCTCGTACATCTGCTTGAGGCGGGCCTCGCCGGGCGAGATGTCGAAGCGGCCCGAGTCGAGCTCGGCGTCGGCGAACAGCTCGGCGTGCAGCCACGGCCGCTCAATCTCGACCACCATGCAGTCCATGGTCATCTCCACGTCGAGGTTCGCCATCGACTGCATCGCCTTCGCCGAGCTCTCCGTGTGGCTCGCGCCGCCCGACGCCGAAAACAGGCACCAGTTCGCCTTGGCTGCGATGGAGCTGGCTGATTGCGACGTGGATGTCTCTCGGATGTCCGTGTTGGAAGACGCTTTGCACGAGATCTGGGGGAGGGTTAGTTTGGCCTTGAAGGGGGAAGAAAGACGCACTTTGGTCCAGGGATCGGCCTCCTCGCCGTCCTCGCCGACATTGGGGTTCTTCTTGCCTACGAGCTCGGGGTTGACGGCAATGTCGCTGTCGCTGATGACGATGCCCTCTTGGTTGACGACGGGCAGGGCCAGCATCTTGCCGGCCGTCCCCGAGGCGACGCTCAGCTGCTTCTCGAGGTCGGCAATGTCGCGGCTGAGCTGGCCGATGCGCGCGTCGAGCCACGACTTGGCTGTATCCTTAATGCTCGCCTCGCCGCTGCGCACCGCCTGCGCGCTGCGCTTGGAACCCGCGTCGTTCCAGGCCGCCTGCGCTTTGACGAGCTTGGTGAGGGGGTCTGCAGATGGCGACTCGGTGGTGCCCTCGGCCGGATGGTCCTCGTTCTGCCCCTGGCCGTTGGTAGTAGTGGAGCCCCTGTACCCACTCAGCCACGCTGTCTTGTCGGTCCTGGTGCCCTGGAGCTGCGCATAGTTCTTGTCGTCCATGTTGGCATACACCTCGGCATATGCCCGCTTCAGGTTGTCGTCGGCTGTGTTCGAACTGGTCATGGCCACAGGGAAGAAGGCATCTTGCTCGATTCCCTGTATCCCGTTATTAATTGCTTGTCACTCCTCTTCTTGCAACTTCTCCCGTCGAGCGTGGCTCACCTGTTTCAGAGTCTCGTGGGACGCCAGCAAGTTCTGCAGCCGGCGAAGTTCTACTCGAATCTCCGCGGGCATGGGTTTGTCGTTGCGCTTCTTCCAGCCCCGGACCTTGTCGCGGATGATGGTGGCCCAGTGGCTCGGGGTGAGGACGACTCCGTTGTACTCGCTCGCGCCGTCATCAGCAACGATGGTGAGGTTTCGGTACGCCTCCTTGCTGTTCTCGATACGCTTCATGCCAGAGCTGATGTCGACGACGCCAAAGTGGAAGTCGACCATGAACTTGTACCCGTGCACCACCCAGTCCATGTACTTGGCCTGGATGTTGTTTTTGTACTGCGCGCGCACTACAGTCAGCTAGACTTGTCTAAAGATGATGGCGTTGATGGGATGCACTCACTGCGCGGGCATTCTCTTGAAGCCACTGCATGTACTTCTCGCGCGACTCTTTGACCTGAGCCGTGCTGGAACCCTGGGGTGGTGCAAAGTCCTTCAGCGCCTGTCCTTGGGCATGGTCGTAGGCGGCTACCTCCTTTGCCCAAGCCGACTGTTTCGCTACGTAAGTTTCGACCTTGCTCTTTCCCGCGGAGCCGGGGCTGTCATCGCCAGACTTGAGATAGTCCATTGACGCCTTGTAGCGGTCCCGAATGACCTTCAGTCGGTCGTCCGTCACCTGAGTTGCCGCGTTCCCAATGACTCCAGAAACAGAGGCCTCAATGGGGACGAGGAGATCTAGGGCTGCAAGATAGCTGCGTGCAACACTCTTGCCCGTCTTACCAGCGGTGAACTTGGACAGCGGGATCATGCCGTCGGCCAGTCGGGCTTCCTGGGCCCGGACAGCTGTCGGAGTCTTGATTTGTTCGTCGGCGTCGTAGTAAAAATCTCTGGAGACCAGAGGTCAGCAATTGTGCCGCGCTGTAGCGTCGCGAGGAAAATAGAATCTCCTTACTTCCAGTTGATAATGGTACCAGGGACAGCGACGGTCAAAACCTGGTTCGAGGCAACCGGGATGGCATTGGCGATAGCCTCCCGCACAGTCTGTGGTTTGGTCTGTCAACAACCTTGAATCAGCCAAGGGTAAGATGCAACTGCACTCACGTTGGAGGCGATTTTCATCGCCTTCAGCACCTTCTTGGCCTGATCTTCCTGTGAAGGCGTCGACATTTTGGCGATCAATGAGTGTCAAGTGGAATTGATGGGAAAGAGTTGGGGGAAATCAGAAGTGATCTGTGGTCTGTGGTCTGAAGCGTGGCTACTAGGCACTTGCGTTTGCTTTGGTCGAGAGATGTTGAAGTGGTTGTTTGCTTGTATTTATTCTCTTCGTCTTCAGTCTCGTTGCAGTCCTCCATGGCATCTCCTGGGATATGTCTCTTGGCATGGCCCCCTACCGCATACACCTCTCAACACTGCTGGGCGTGGGATATCGAGGAGGCGTGTTGCCGAACTTGGCAATCGGTTTTGATTACTGTGGCGTGCGCAGTCATCCATGGTCGGGGCGCTATTTGGTCGGGAGCTCCCAATCGGGAACACAGTGAGTCAACACCTACACCCGTCCAACTGTACTGTTTTTGACGGCTAATATTATCCCATAAACCCATACAGCTAGACTTATACGGGTTAGCTACTTTTATTGCTGGGGCTGAAGTCCAATCACTTCACTCCAGCTCCCCGAACGTTTCAATTGGTCAGTGGGACACGGGCTCTATTGAACATCTTCTTTGGAATAGCCAGAAGGGCAGCTCTCTGAACCGTGAGTCATATTTGCCTGCACCCGATCATGATATAGGGTCACAAATAAGATTAGTCGGGAACATTGCCCAAGTGAGCGTTTGGCAGACCTGGCCCGACTCCAGACCGGGTGATGATCAGCAGTTATAGCTTGCAACCGCCACGGAAGTTTATTCCTAATAGCTCGAAATCCCTTAGGTACTAACCAAACTAATACATCCCTCTTATTGAAAACCACCCAAAAAATCGCTGCTAATTCTGCTACCACCCGTTGAGCATCTTGATCCTCATATCATACAGCGGCGGTGGCGTGTCGGGCATATACGTCTTCCAGCCCTCGTCGGCCAGCACCTCGACGGCGCCCGTGCCTGGGCTCCTACGCACGTGCACCGAGAACGCCATGTTCCAGAACTGGCAGCGGTCGTCAAAGAGGCGGCGGGGGAATCGCAGCTCGAGGTGCGTGAGCGCCGCCGGCGGTGCTGCTGCCTGCTCTTGTTCTGAGCCTGGCTGTGTCTGCTGAGAGAATTGGTCGAAGATCTTGCGCGCCAAGTCCTGACACGCTTGCTTGTTCGGTTCCGGAAAGACTGAGCTGCCCATTATGGTCCACTTGTGCTCCCCTGCAAAGGAAGATGCCGCGTCTTCCAGGCTGACGTTGATGCGGATGGACTCTAGGCCGTGGAGTTTCGTGGCGGCGTCGAGGACCCAGTCTTTCTGCTCGTTCGCGGTCGACGGGGCCTGGTCCTCCTCCTCTTTGGGAGGCGGGGACGGAATGTCGGCGACAGGCAACGTGTCCTTCTTCATTGGCGACAACAGTGACTTTGGCGACAGGTGCGCCTTGATCGATGACAGGCGGCGCCAGATGTTGCTGCTAGTGTTGGCCAAGTAGAACTCGGCCTCGGCTGGACTGGCGTCCAGTTCGAGGTGCTTCAGCAGCGGCAGGCGGTCGGCGAGGACTTGGACAGCATCGTGTGTCCACAAGCCGGCGGGCATGGAGCTGCAGGTGGGAGTGTGGATGGCCAAGCTGCGCAGGCTGTGGCCGTGGTGGAAGATAGCTTCCCAGAGAGCGGGCACGTCGCGCTCGTAGTTATAGATTGTTAGCTCCTCGAGCCCATCGATGGCCGTGATGAAGCTGTTGACGGGGCGCAGGTCAGTGCTCCACAGGTCGCACTGGTAGGCTTTTTGCGTCGACGAGTACGATGTCTGCAGCGTCTTGATCTTGGCCACCTGTTCCGGTTCGTCGTGCTGCAGGTCCCGCATCACCGTGCCTGGGCACGTTATGCCAAAGTCCACATTCCCGGAGCTGATGTCAAAGATCCCCATGGCTGTTGTGTTGTTGTTGTTGTTGTTGTTGTTGTTGTTGTTGTTGTGCTGGAATGATGTGATGATGGGTGAGATAGGAATTAGGAAACTGACTCTGATCAATCTCGAGGGCGACTTATACTCATTTATTACATGTCCAAATTGTTCATGAAACACCTACTCCCTCAACGGCAGCCGTTGGATAATTGTACTCCGCCCGGCGTGCGTGGGCCTCGATTAAGCCTGACATTAAGCCTGACAAGGAGCCTCTGTCCAAGGCTGGTTCAGGAGGCGGAAGCCTGAGACTGCGCCACCCCCAACATCCACCAAGGCATTTGGGAGACGCCTAACAAGCAACAATACGACCCTACCTAGGCTGCAAGTCTCACTCGCCAGTGCCTTATTCACTAATCCTACAGCACACATATTACCCGTTGTACATCTATCGTTGAGCCTCGGCGGAGTTCCGTGATGAAACGTCGACGCTAAAAGATCAACTTACTGAACACTCTGTTTCTGAGGCCGCCAATGGACCACTCAACATGCACTCACTCAAACAAGGCAATATCATCAAGACAGGCACGATCACACGAAAGTCCGAAACAAGTTGTAAAAGTCGAGGTGAATTATTATACCCCTGAGGGTCTGTCTCCTCTCATGCAGTTGGCTCGATGCGATCCACCCACGCATGAATATTACCAAGAGCAAATCCGACGCCCTAGGGAAAAAAGTGATGCCGATTGCGCCGTCCCTCTCAGAACTGAGCCAATGCTAATAAATGCCAATGCCAATGCAATCCTCCCAATTGTTATGTTCCATGATCATATCCGTCGCGCCAATCCCATCTCCATTGTCGAAAGGCGAGTACCTTAGTTGATAGCAATGCGGCGAGCCTCGTGCTTCTTAGCCTTGGGCACCGAGACCGTCAGGATGCCGTTGTTGAGGCCGGCCGACACTGCCTCCTGGTCGACGCGGCCCGGGAAGCTGAAGGTGCGCGAGAACTCGCCGATGGAGCGCTCGTAGACCCAATACTTGTGGCCGGGGGCGGCCTTCTGGACCTCGGCGCCGGCCGTCTTGTCGACCTGCGTCTCGGGCGACGTGGTGCTGTGCGTCTCCTCCGGGTCGTCCTCGACCGTGGCCTTGTGCGAGGTCACGCTGTGGTTGTCGTAGTCGTCGGCGGTGTTGGCGCCGGAGTGCTCCTCGGGCTTGTTCTCGTAGGTGCGCTCGACGCGGCCGCGCACGACAATGGTCTGCGGGTCCGTGAACTCGATGGTCAGGTTCTCGCGCTCAATGCCCGGCAGCTCGCCGTGCAGCTCGTACGTCTTCTCGGTCTCGCGCACGTCGAACTTGGGCTTGAACGTGACGACCTTGGATCGGCGGCCCGAGGCGGCGCTGCCCTGCTGGTCGCCCTGGACTTCGCGGCTGTACGTGTCAAAGTCGTTGAGGAGTCGGAAGAGAGGAGTGAAGGTGGGCTCCGAGGGAGCAGAGTAGAGCGGGCTCGACAGGAAAGACATCATTGTGGCTTTTTGGTCGTGGGCTGCAAAGATGTGAGTGAGAATGTTGGTTGTTGAGCAGCCTTGAAGGCGTGAGGTTTTGCAGGCAGAAGCTGAAGCTGGAAGCTGATGTTGCCGATTGATCTGTGTTGTGATCTGGGAATGAGAATGAGAAGCAGGCCATGAATATATAGGCCTGAAGGTGGTTGTCTAGAGGCTTCGTGCAAATTCCTGAAACTGCCTGTTTGGCAATTACGCGGCCTTGTGGCAGCTTCCCGGAGTTGCTGGACACTTCTGGATGGCGGCTTTGTAAGTCGGAATGCTGCTTTGTGGTTCGCTGATGGTCGCGAATTTGCGGGAAGATTCCAGAAGAAACCAACACTTCTTGGCAGGGTTAGGGTTTTACATGAACGCGCCACCACCTGCCTTCTCAGTCCTTCGGTGCGACGTAATTTCCTGAGCAACAGGACAAGCCCGAATCAATTACGTCAATCAGAAAATTCTAGATACACCAAAAATGGTAGGAACAGAGCAAAGGCCAATTGCATTGTAGCGGAACCATGCGACGAGAAACTTCTCCCAGCTCATCGAAATTCGAAATTGCGTAACAATCGCGGACCGGCGGCAGCGCTGGCAGCGCACTGATGACCCCCAAAAAAAACCCCAGAAAACCCCAAAGTAACCTCCCAACGGACTGACTGCACTTTAGCCCCTGAATCTCACTGTGTACTTGTCGATCGAAAATTCTAGAAGGCCATCGGCTTCCATCTGAACGGGGTCGACGTAGAGCCTGACGTCGACCTCGGCCTTGTACAGGTTAAACACGCGGAAAATGATGTAGACCGAGTCGTCGGTTGCCAGTTTCTTCATCTGCTTCTGCAGTGTTAGTGTATGCTAGTTTTGCATCCGTCGTGTCTCTGTCTCACCTTGTTATACTGGGCGCTACTCATGAAGAATGGCGCGTTGCACAGGAGCGGGGTCGACTTAACTTCGAAATGGTACTTAGGCGTTCGACCCTGCCACGTCGCCGACGCCAAGTACCCCTTGTAGATAAGCAGGTCGGTAAAGGCACCGTCGACGTCTTGGTACTCGAAATCTGCCTTTTCACGGCCTCGCCAGTGGGGCATTGACTGATGGTCGGGATGGACAGCAGCATGCTTTCTGATGTTGCTTGTCCAGTTTTCGCGCGAGAATCCGGGCAGAGCGGGCTTGAGTGCAGATAAGAGCTCGAATACCTGGTCGGGAAGATTTGTCAGCGAAGGAGCGCTTTTCAGACCAAGTAGGATTTCAGGCCAAGTAGGATCGTAAACTTACGAACAATTCGCCAGCGGCCCCAACCATGCTGTCTCGTTTGGACAAGAGGCCAGGAGCCCCAAACAGAGAATTTTCGGTGTAGTCTATGAACTGTTGGTCTGGTATTTCTAGCTCCAGCAATGCACGCAAAAGTGTGTCCATCTCGAAAGTGCTGTCGCTGGCGACTTTGTTGGGGAACGGGACGCTCCGCCCAGCCGTTATTATCTGGCCCAAGAGACTGCGATACTTGGCCAAGGGGTCTTGGGGCGCTGGTGTAGGTGAGCGCACGGGGCTGTGTGAATCTTCAGGGGAAAACTCTGAATCGAGTCTGTCTTCTTGTTCTGGGCTGCGTGGCTCGGGGATACTGGCAGTTGCATCTACAGGGCTGGATGGGCCCGCCGAGAAGTGCGTTGCATGGTCGTCGTCGTCATGCGGTTCGGGATTTGACAGATCTTCTCGACTCAACGATCTTGCTGAGGAGTTCTCTGCAACTGCCTCGTCTTCTGGTGAACCTGAACTTGGTGAGTCTAGCAGAGAATCGTTCGCGGTGTCGTTTTGGGCCTCTGGACTCAACGAACGTTCCGAAGGCGGAGCATCCACAGCATCAAATAACAGCTCTAGGGAGAAGTCTGCTTCACTTTGAGCCAGGCCTGGAGAATCTAGTGGGGAGCCGGTTTCGGTTTCAGGTCGAGGCTCTGGACCCAATGAATGTGGTGAAGGAGGCGCCTCCACATCGACGACGGGCTCTTCTGCAGAGGAGTCTACTTCATCTGGTCCTGGGCTTGGCGAGTCTGGTAAAGAGCCATCGGTGGCTCCCATCATGACATACACTTGGAGGGCTCGCTGGCTCATCGGGAGAGCCTCCAAGAACTGCCTCCTCAATGGCTGGGCTATTTGCACCCGTCCGAGAGTCCGTTTCGGTTTCTCCGAGGCCTTCCGGCTCTGGGCTGAAATGGCGCGAGACGGATGCCGATTCTGCAGGGCTCGATGCATCTGGGACAACGTCCTCTGGGTCCGATTCAGCGTATCCTAGCTCTGATTCGGCGTCCTCTGGCTCCGACTTTGCTGGAGTACGGTATGGGGCCGCCTCCTCGGGTGCTAGGCTTGTTGAGCGTGCTAAAAATGAAGCTGCGGCTTCGTACTGCTGGCCTAGGCTAGACCGGCCGGGACTAGACCGATTTACCTGACTGGGTGGTCCAGCTGGATTAGATGAACCTTTCGGGCTGTCGCGCTCCACTGGAAAGTACTCTGGACTCATGGGTTGAAATACCGGCGCTTCCACCAGCGGGCTAGGGGTCTGAAACGACAAAAGGTCGGTTCCCAGTGTAAGTTGCATTCCATCGCTAAGACTCGACACTGTCCTCAATTCGAGGACTGGTGATCCGACGTCAAAGACAGATTCCTCTGCAATGAGTGGCGAGCTTGGGATGGGCTGCACTTCTGGTACAGAAACAGCCTCTTCAGCCTCTTCAAGGTCCGCATTTCGAGTTTCGACATCAATTATCCCCTCTTCTTCTAGGAGTTTTTCGACCGATGCAATCCTGGCATTTAGGAGCCCCTTCAAGACTCCCACTGCAGCGCGGTCCACTGGGCGCGGAAATTGCGTGCCAGGCTCCGTCATTATCCACTCCCCCAGCTTCTCCGGCAAAGAGTGTTGTATGCACAAGTCCTGCCGTATTTGATCGCGAGGGATGTATATCTTTAGTGTGGTGTGGCTGTCATCGATGTGGACCTCTGTATGGCCAACAGTGACACTGAAGTCTTGGCCATTCATTGAAATGGACATTTTGTTGATGATGCCGTTGGTTTCCCAGGTCTCCGCCCCTCGCAGCAGCGCATATAAAGCCCACTCGTCCCTTTGCACTCGTGGACTTTTGAAGTGTGCGAAAACCCTGAAAGTGTATGCAGTGAATCAGCAACAGACCTATGCGCCTCCCGAATGTTGCCCTCAGTAATTACCACAGGCAGGCATGGCCCTGAGCCGCCGCTGCTTTACCCTGAGTTGTGGTGAGCGAGGTGTGTACTGCACAGCCCCTGTGCCGCGTTTCTGGCCACCCCGGCTAAAGTTGCCATTTACCAAAATAAAAAAAAGACTTCCTGTTTTCCTATAGACCTATATCTGGGTACATACGATCGGACTACTATTGTAGAGAGTATTCGTTGAAAACCTTTCAAAGGCTCTAGTATCGGTATAGTGGATGTTTATAAAGAGGCATTGTCACGGCACAGCGCATTTCGGGTTCCTTATCGCATTGCCGTGTGACGTCACTTCCCGATAAGCCCAGCTAGGTCTAGCGCATTAGTCACGTGGTTGCGAGCCACCCCGCCCACAACCTTTTCTACTGATCGCACAATTCGCGATTCTTTTTCTTTTCCCTTTTTTCTTCTTTAGCTTAGTTTTACACTAAATCAATACGGTATATTGTTGGCAACAGTCCTTCAAAACCTATTAACCGTGACAGGCATTACCATTATTTATAGGGCTATATTCGTGTTTTAAGGATGTTGAAATAACTAGTTTAAATAAGCTAATTGTAAGATAAGGCAGGTACGCCTGATCAAGGTGGTCAACTGGAAGCAACGTAGTAAGGCGAGCAAGAACTGGTTTTGGTGTAAGATGTCACGACCAGGGCAAGGCATTGAGGTTAACTCAGTCCATTGGGTGCTATCGACGAAGATTCTAAACTGAGGAGGGAAAGAAAGAAAAGTCCGACAACGCGTCGCGTGCTCGCGAATAAGTTTTCATCTATCAGTGGGGTAGGTGGGGCCTCGAGGAGGCTTCTGATAGGCCCGGGGGTTCTGGGCGGCTCTGGCTGCTTGAGGGCCAGTTTGGTGGACGGGTCCTCACAAGTGCTGCAGGCTGGCGCCGTCACACTGCAGGTAGTAAGCTCTTATTATATAAACACTGAGCCTCTTACGCTCGTAATAGCTGGGAGTCTGTCTCACCGCTCAAGCCCACCGGTTGTGGGAGTTCTTTTTGAAGCTTTGGGCATGGATTTCTTGCTATCGGCGAAGCATTCCTCTTCTTTCCTTGTTTGGCAGGCAAAGCCCGGCCTGGATTATGCCCATTGGGCTCTTCTTGCGGTTACCTTATTTTCCAGACTTTTTGGGTGCCGGCGGCCCTGTTACGGGGGCATAAATGGCCCGAAAATAATGCACAAAACAAATCTACAACTTCCATGGCGTCTTGAATGTGATATTCCTCATGGCGTTTAGTTGAGATGTATGAGGTTCCTTAGCTGTGACTGGGGAGCTTGGAAGTTCGCAAACTACACGAACTAGGTAGGTCCTGTGTTGAGGGTGAACCCCACGGAGCTGGATATACGGGTATCGGAGCTGAGGTATATAACATCTTCCGACATTTTCCATTCTTCTTTCCTTTTTGTTATTGACATGTTACTCTTTTTATAGATGCTGGATCCTATCTCTGGTCTCGGGGATCCGACCTTTTATGTGCACCTCACCTGGCTGGATAAGATATGGTGGGAGTGGCAGCGGCTTGGCTTATCCATCTGGTTTAAGGACATGGGAGGCATCAACAGGGTCAACCTCAGTGCTTCAGTCGGTGGCAGTTGTCCGCCGCCAGGTGTCCCCATGCCCTCAGAGGGTGGAAGTTGAATGGGTTTGTTACAGCAAAACTAACGCGCCCGTGGATTGTGCCGTAAGTAACCGATCTAGAGGGCTAGACAGTGGAAGATTGAAGGATGGCAGTTAGGCTAACTGATGCGCAATTTTAGTGAGCCCACGATTTATGGAGACCTAGCCAACATTAAGACGCCAAATCACCTGCTCCACTTGTATGGGATTGTGATAAACAGGACGGTTACCGAGGTCATGGGCATACTTTTGCTTTAAGTTCGAGTGAGCGGAATGGTAGTTAAAAGTCTGTTCTTTTTAGCAACCACAAACCATCCAAATGCAGATAGAAATTCGGGTAATTGGCATTTATCACTGACGAGGACACTTCCGGATACCCAGGTAATTAATTTCTTGGTGCAATACAACTCTGGTGACCTAGTGAAGATGTGTTACGTACCTTAGTCACCAGTAGAACCTCCGATAGTCTCGGGGTCTTCGTTCCTGACCGCTCGAATACGGTATTCATGTAGTATCGTGCCGGGAGGGGTCATTCCGGTGCTGCGGCGGTCGGGTTTGGATCATCACGATCCACATCCGATAGCAGCTTAAGGCTAAGAACTCAGGTGAAGCAGCCCAAAAATCTTACGGCGGGGGCAGAGCGGTGCTGACATTTCTTCCCATCCACTCATAATTTCACTCTTACACCGGCGAATGCCAGTGAGGTGGAGGAGTCAGTGAAAACCAGGGCTGCACCTCTGGTCGTTATTTGCAAGCAACCGTCTTGGCGCAATATATCCTCCCCTAAAAATAGGTCAAATACCCCGTGCATGATATAATGCGGGCATCTGGACGCCGTCGAATTTGCTACTCTACCTTTTGTCGAAAATGTTGGTACATCGTGGTGCAAACCTACAAGTACAAGTATTTAATTCACACGATGCCCTAACGACACCGTGATTTAAACCTCACCCACATGTAAATCCCTAACTTAGATAACAACCACAACAAAACCAATCATCCACCAAAAAAACCTCTTAAAAATGCATCTCCCCACCCTCCTCCTCACTCTCGCCGCCCTAACCCTCACCACCGCCACCCACGACAAAACCCCCTGCGGCTTCAAGATCGCGCCCTGCCCGCCAGGCAACATCTGCCGCGCGAACGACCCAGCCTGCACACGGGGAGAAAACTGTCTCGGCACCTGCGTGGGCGAGCGCTCCCCACCCGTCACCGAGACTCCTCCCCCGCCGACATTTACCACCTCCACCAGAGCACCACCGCCGTCAACGACAACCAAGACCCGCGCGCCGCCGCGGCCGACGTACCAACCCTGCGGGGGGTTCCGCGTGGATCCCGCGCGGACGTGCGGCGAGGGCTACGCGTGCGTGGATAACCCGTTCGTGTCCGGGTGCGGCATGGCGTGCGACTGGCCGGGGATCTGTGTCAAGGTGAAGGGGGCGCCGTTTTGTGCTGGGTTTGTCGGGAAGATGTGTCCAGGTATTTTATCCTCCCTAATCATTTCGCACTCGGACGAGGTGTTGTGATGGTGTGGGCTGGTTTGAGGCTAACAGGGCTGATAGATAACATGTACTGCATCGATTTCCCGGACGATGGGTGTTCGGTTGATGAGGGCGGTGCTGATTGTATGGGCTTGTGTATCTGATGGGAAGGGCAATGGCGTGGAACAAGGGCAATCTCGGTCTAGAGAGGAGTGGTGATATATTGGCGTAATTGTTGGAGCTGTCCTCCCAGTAGGTAACTCTATTGACTAGTAAGGCTTAGGTACGACGTCATATATAGTTTCATCATCACCTCCAGAGTATGAAAGGCGCATCGAGGAGGATGCATCTTGTTTCAATTCCGCGTAGACTAGCGACGACGGAGCCACGGCGGTGGCCTGGCATTTTCTCCTTAAAAAAGAAACTGACCCAATTTTAAAGAGGCAGTCTATTCGTACGGTAGGAAGCGTCTTTTTGTACGGTAGGGTACAAAAAGTGACATGCGCGCCAAGCCGCCAAGCCACTAGCCCAGCCAAAAGTCGGATTTTTACACCTTAAAAAGACTAGTTGAATAGATTGAACGCTTCTTCGGATGGCTTGCCCGGCACCCTGCGCCCGGCACCCTACGCCCGGGCCACTTTTTTACCTACAATTGAAGCCATCGCCAAATCCACCACCTGCGCCCGGCACCCTGCGCCCGGGCCACTCAGGCCAAATTTTACCTACAATTAAGGGCATCCGCCAATTCCACCAAAACCTTCCACCTTCAACAACCACAACACCACAACACCACAATACCGTCAATTGAGCTATACCAACAATAACGCGATTTTATGGCCGCGTAAGTAGGTGCGCAGCTTCATTTTGCATCTACAAGACTAACAAGCGATAGAAATGGCCGCGCGCGCGCCTTCGCCCGGCGAAAATGATGATGCGCACCCCGCGCCCGCACCGGTGCCTCTCTCAATGCCTCCGCCAGACCACAAGCTTTTTACCCACAAATACGACTTTCTCGTTGACTTGATGGATGACTTGGAAGAATGGTCCGCTTCAGCGCTCTTTTGCGTACGAAAGCTTCGTGCGTCGAACAAGATCAAGGACTTCGGGCATTCCTGCGTTGAGATTTCCTGCCAGAGAGGCAAGATTCGACTTAGCGAGGCAACCACACAAAAGAGTCAACAGAGGACTATAAAGTGCGACTGTCCTCAAGCTTGTGGCTAAGGCGCTCGCGAAAGACGAGCGTAAATGGACCCTACACATCGTCAACAGCACACATAACCACCCGCCCGCCGAGTCCCGTGCCAATTTGGTCGGTAAATTCCTCCCTAAGCACAAGGCTTTTGTGGCGACCTATTCCGACAGGCCCGCGATCTCGAATCGGGAGATCGCTAGGGATTTGCGCACCAAGTTCCCCGGCTTCGTCTTCAACCGTAGGCAACTTCGAAACCTTCGATATACGCAGCGACAAGAGACCCTTGACGGGCACACACCGTTCCAGGCCACGATGAAGTTACTTGACGATAAAAAGATCAAGTATGATGTGCTTTGGTCCGCCGGGAACGACAAGAAGCCAGAGGGTCTTTTTTGGACTACTGAGTGGTGCGAGGAGCAGTGGAAGCTTCATCCTTGGGTGCAGATGTACGACAATACGTACAAAACCAACAACAAAGGACTGGCATTCTTCCAAGTCGTCAGCGTCAACAACCTTGGCCAGTGCTTCAGCTGTGCGTTCGGGCTGATGAACAACGAACGGCAGGAAGGCTTTGACTGGCTGATGGATAAGGTCAATGAGAATCGTAAATGGATCAAGGCCAACAAACCAACTATCACAATTTCCGACTTTGACGTGGCGATGAGGGCTTCAATTATACGTGTTTACCCTGACGCAGACCCTCAACTCTGCATCTTTCACATCAATAAGAATATGGTGTTGCACATCCACAAGAAGTGGGATAAAAAGGCTGTAGCAGAGGTCGCCGCCGCACATGCCGCGGCACAGCCGGCTCAGGGCGACCAAGCGGGTGGAAGTCGGGACAACAACAACAATAATAATGAAGCCGAGGGCCCCGGAGATGACGATGCGGCTGCCGGAGTTGTGAATCGCCTCAACCGCATCGCGGTCGACGAAGTCCCTGTTAGTCGCGTGCCTGATGAAGTCGAGTACTCCCGAGCCGGGGTCTACAAGATTTGGGAGCATATGCTCTATGCCCTGACTCTTGATGACTTCAACGCTGCATATGAGAAGCTCAAGGCATTCTTTCCTCAACAAGAGGAAATACTGGCTTACGTCGAGAGCATGATGCCTTTACGCGAGCAGTGGGCAACGTGTTACACCAACAAGCGCCTCAACTTTGGCCACCGCACCACGTCCCCAGTTGAGGCTCTCAACCGTTACCTGAAGAGCTTTGTTATCAACGGGAATAGTGACATTCTTCAGCTTATTGAACAGTCGTTCAGAATGCTTGAGGAAATGCAGAGGTCTATTAGCGAGGCTCGCCACTCCGCGATGACTCGTATAAAGCGGTCATATATAGGCAGAGTGTGGCTCGGTGAGGCTCCGTACAACATCGTTGAGAGGGCCGTGGATCGGGTCGTCAAACAATTCCGCATTGCACTCCGTGCCTGTCCGACCGAAAAGGACCCGAACCCGGGCCCCCTGCCGGAGTGTACGGGCCAGTTTACCGCCCAGTTCGGCATCCCTTGCAGCCACAACCTTCTGCATAGAATGATCGAGGGAGATTTGAGGCTCACGAAGCTAGATTTCCACCCATATTAGTGGTTGGGTAGATCTCTTACTGACGAAGACCGGTATCTACAATATCATGAGTTTGACCGTGTTGAGCGCCTCCGAGGAAGACCCCGAGGCTCTGCGGCGGTTGCTCCTGACCCCCGGGCACCCCGATCAACAGTCCCGATCTTAACGGCATCACCGGCGGCGACAGCGTCTCTAACGCCGGTGGTAATAGTAGCATCGACGACGACGTCAACCGGCAGGGCTTCGGGCGTCATGCCTTCCATTCGCCGTAATGCCTCACAATGGGAGGGCGTCAGCTTGGAGCAGGAAGACAACAGGGATAACAGGACTCAGGAAAACACCAGCGAAAACGCCCCTGCGCAAGCACAACGAACTGTGAATGACCTCACTATCCCTCGCGGCGGCGCCCGCTTCGGTGCGGCGAAGAGAGGCCCGAGCAGCCGGGGCGGCCGGGGCGGTCGTGGTGCAAAGGCAACATCAACACCACGCGCATCATCAGGGGTATTACGAACCCCGGCTTCATCTGGAGCACAGGCTTCAACCACCAGGGCGCGCGGGTCTCGAGGAGGCATTACAAAGGCATCAACACGCGGTGCATCGACTCGTCGCACTACGAGGGCTTTGGCTGCAGCATTTGAGGCACAACAAAGCGATGAACTTGACGATGCGTAGGCAGGGCAGGTTTTTATTGCATTTTTAGGCATGTTATGTAAGCAACAACACAGGTTAAGCCTTCGGGTTTTATTGCAGAAATGAACGATTGAGCGCATCTACGGCCCTGAGCATATATTACTGCATTTGGAAGCATATTGACGTTGGCGACGGCGGCGTGGTGTAATTGCGATGCGATTGCGATTGATCCGAAGATTTCTTACGCTGGTATCGTCCCAGGAATTAGCGTTATTTTTAGTGCGAAAAGTGGGTTTTTAATGGGCGGGTCCTAGCGCGCATGTCACTTTTTGTACCCTACCGTACAAAAAGACGCTTCCTACCGTACGAATAGACTGCCTCTTTTAAAAATGGAAAATATTGTAAACCGTCAAACGAAATCACCTTTCATTGGTCACAGAATAGATAGCAAAATAGCCGGAGGATATAGCCCCCCGTCGTGCCGAGGCTTGTAGAGCTGAACAGCCCGATAGATATATTTGCCGTCTCCGACGTCCGAGACGTTTGGCTATAATTAGGCTGTCTACTATCTTCAAACGACTGGTCTGAGGCTTTCCAAGCGATTCCATCATTGTCATGAAGAGAACACCTCTTCATGACTTGCATCTATCGACACCAGGATCGTGTGGTAATCAATTCTCGCGCACTCTCTACCGTTCTTAGTATTAGCCATACCCACAACAAAGTTATTGCCCTCAATCTCGAACGCTGGCATCTATGGTGGAGGCATTCCCAACAGGCTCCACGTCGCCCGTGACGGCCCATGTAACATTAGCCCAACTATTTTCCCGAGAATTCACTCAATATTGACCACGATACCGTTCGATCATCTATAAACTATAAGTAACAGAGCTACGCTCACAGGCCCGTCCCGACCCACCCACCCGTCTCGAGGATTTGGTCTTCCAGGGCTTTGACACCATCCAGCAGCACATGGTGTGCTAATTACCTCGCAACACCCAGTCACTACAGAAACGCAGTTTCACTAACATTTCATGTTTACAGTGCATCATGAACGTCAACATAAGGGACGTCTTCACAAAGGCCACCTGTGGAAAGGCGCTTGACCCGTCGTATAACGCATTTTGTACGGTCTAGGGGTCATGAGAGTGCGGGTTTGCTTTGGCAAGGAAGGAGACCCTGGTTACGTTTGAGACGGGGAGTGTATCTTCCTTATATGTTACACGACGGTGTTCCTCCATACCTGTGCCCCCTGTAGTCACGGACAGTCTCGGGTCCTGACACACCCTCCATTTCAGAAGTGGGCAGTTACCAGTAGTCGATAGCGTCAATCTTATCTTTGCCAATTGGTGGAAACTTTGGCATCGGAAGGTGCATAACCGTGAGACGTTGCCCGACAACCGAGGGAGAACGAGTCACAACAAGACTACAAAAAGCGGAAGGACGACGCCTAGATGGAGTTCGAGGCTTTGGGGCCGCCCAAGCAGAACAGGAAGAATATCAAGGGAAAAAAACCGGAATCGGATTCGAGAAGCTATTAATTGAGCAGAGAGATGTTGCTGAAACGAACAGAAAGGAGGTAAATCGAGGGCGCGGTGGAAAAGCGCAAGGGGCACAGGCACAGGGATGTGATAAAAACGTTCAGGAAGAGTCTTGGGATTTCCCAAAGCAGTGGCCAAAGTAGTGTGAGCGGGCTCATCTTGGACTGATCTGGTAGACCGTTGATCAATACACATGGTGTTTTGATCAGAGCTCATGATATGATCCGACAACTCTTTGAATGGAAGCCAATACTAGCCCTATTTGCACTTGGCACGGCCATTTCACCGGATAGCGCATCTCCGGTTCAATCTTGTCTCGGCTAATAGTTGCAAGCATGTATATCTATCCTGCAGTGCGTCACAGACGGCACCGATTCACTCGACATTTCGCTCGTCTCGTTCAACCCGACGGTCTCGCCGACGCCCTACGACGAAGTGCCCTTCCACGACGTCCTTCCACGACGACCCGCAGCGTCACTCAGGGTGCTCGAGTGACCTCGAAGCCGGGGTACGAGAAGCTGCTGGGATGTTGCCTGCAGGCTGTTGCAGACGGCTACTCCTACGTCTGGTCGACACGTGCTGCATCGACAAGAGCAGCAGCGCCGAGCTGTCCGACCACAGCATGGTCGGCACCGCCGACGCCACCCGGATCGACACGGAGCCCTATGGATGTCCATCTCCGAGGACCGCTGGCCGCTGCTCTGGCACCCGACGACGACGACACAACACAAACAGCAACAGCAACCACAAGCAAGCCGCCCCCTGACCCCGAAAAAACACTCTCGCTAATCCTCGGCACGCACCAGAGCATCGAGATCAGCGACGTGTTCCCCCGCGACGCCGTGACCAACGGTAACGAGGTCCTGCTGACATCCCTGAAGGGGAAGAACAACTGGGTCATGAAGCTCACAACAGCAGACAGCAGCGGCGACTCATCTCCAGACGACAACCTACCACAAAAGCCGCTCGTGGAAACATTCCAAACCTGACCGAGCTGGCAATGCACGCAATCTCTTTCCTTAGCAGTGTCGTTTTGTGGCGTGTCGCGTGAAAGTGTGTTGAAGGCACGAAACCGCGCAGCCAATTACAAGGTGAGTGCCGCAGGGCGGAGCATTTTAGTGCGTGTGATCCTGTTGGAAAGCTGGCACCAAAGTAGGCCCAAAATCGGTTCAATGCTACGGTCTGATTCCCATTTTACCCCTGCCAGTGTCAGAAATCACGGCTCGCTTCGTTCTCGGTGGGAGATTTGGGCGAAGCTGAAATATGCTTACATGTAGGTACGGCCTACCTTCCACCCACCATCCCCGAACCTTGGTTTTTACTTGGCACAGGAGGACGAAAGTCCAGCCGAGACGTCGGCTATCTTACAAGTCTTCACAAAATAGCATTCAAGGGTTGCCAAAACAGAAAAAGGCATTTAAGAATGCTCTTATTTCCTCCAAATTCCCAACTGTGCTGTCGCTTAGCTTTACGCAAAGCAAAGACAAGAAAGCTTCCCCCATACAGCCAGCTCAAAATGGTCTCCATTAAGCTCATTATCGTCGCCATCGCGACTTTTGTCGCCGCCACCGTCTCGGCACACCCTCTCTTCGGACGCAGTGACTCCGTATCTGCCTCCGCTACGCGTGCAGGTCTCGCCAGAGGCACCTGCTGGTGGCGTTTCCACAAGTCGAATGTGATTGACCAGGCGCATTGCGCCGTGGAGGACCTGTCCGGCAACAGTCATTCCGTCTTTGCGCGCATTGTCTATGCAGATCCGGTCGGCGAGAGCAAGAACTTTGCGCAATGGGGCAACAAGAACGGTGCTGGAACCGGGATGTCGGTACACATTCCCCCCCCCTCCCCCTTTTTTTTTTCCCCTCCTGCTGCTGTCGAATGAGAGCACCCCGCTGATATGGACGGGAATTAGTATGATCAAAAGTTCCATTCGACTGGCGAGCTTCGGTTTGTCGCCTGGAATGCACGGGTTCAAGTGTGCGATAATGGGCCGGTTGATCGGTGTATGTACAGTAATATTATCGCCAATCCGCATTAGTTTCTGTTGGAATCTGTCAAGCAGAAGGGCCTCGAAGGTTCTAGATAGAGACTTCGCCACCCACTTCGCCACCACAATAGTAGTATAAGAACGGGCTTGAACCACCAGTTTTCGGCGTGCAGCCACGCCCTGTTGAGTCCAGTACCGGTACCCTGGTGAATCCAACAGTTTCATCTGAGGCAGCTGGGGACACGGACTTTGGAACAACACCAGGGGCTTGAAAGGTTGTATATGTATCTTACATGTCATGGAATGGGTCAGAGGGAATATTGGCATCTTTTTGAAGCAGAAAGACCATAGGAATAGGAGTGCGCTTGACACTGGAGTGGACGGTGTGGAGTGATGCATTCCCAATAAAACATGATTGTTGGATGTGTAAAAGAAGCAAATTCACGCTTCTCTCTCAAAATGTGTTGCGCTCGACAAAATCTTGATATACGCATGGATAACCTCGCAACTATCCCCCTTGCGTGTAAACCGCGCGCTCGATGGCGCCATAGTCACTTTGAGAGCGTCTGAACTTTCGAACATGATAGTCTCTCGGGAAGTCTGCCGCTGCCCCATGGCATCTGCGTATAGTATGCCTCGTAGGTATTCGCGCTCTCCTAAATCGCCCTCCAACTCCTTGGCTTGGTTATCGGACTTCCCGGTAGGCGGAAAAGCTGAGCCCGTAGACCCTCCGCTTGCGGTAGCCGCTACGATTCCAGAGAAAAAGAAAGAAAGGCGAATGAGTCGAACCGTTGTTGTAGCCATGGTCAACAACAGCTTGTCGAAGGCAGTTCACGAGAAGCTTGTCGCTCGTAACTGGAACACTCGAGAGCAGAACCCGAAGGTTACCTACGATCTAATCAAGGAAGTCATCCCTCGAGTCACGCAAGAAGCCGTGATAGATTTCGTCTTCGAACTCGCTATGATCGAGCGCAAGTCTTTCACAACAATGTCAGCCTTCCTTACTAGACTTCGATTCCTGCACACCAAGATCACAGACCTGAAGGCAGGGGTAACCGAACAATTCCACCTCGACCTTCTTATCGCCAAGCTCAAGAAATCCTACCCTAAACGCCATCTCTTCTGGGTCAACAGCCTCAAAGAGCATACAATGACCTGGAACAAGCTGAATCAAGAGCTGGAAGAGATCGCTGCAAGCGGACAACAGCGAAGTTCGCGAAGATCACGGTGCCTACACAGAACAAGAAAGAAAACAAAGGCGACAATGGAGTCCGGAGAGGTGTGGAGAAGCCCTGTGACAAGTGCTCTGGGAACATCTACGAGAACTACGAGCATAGAACTTGTGGTCATCACGGTCCAAAGGGAAAGACTGCCTGGAGTAAAAACGAGGAAAAAAAAGTAGGCGCAAAATTGCCACTGCGGGTATTTCGTCTTTGAGATGGGATTGTTCGAGATACGAGAAGTTTACTAATGCAATTGCAGCATCTGTTACAAAAAGGGGTATCTCTGGGTACGCCCTACGCCCAACCCTTCCTAGCCAAGAAGTGAGACGAGAAGTCCCTGGCCATATACACTTTCGGCCCCGGGAACACACTGCACAAGTTTTGCTCAAAATCTGCAACCCTTCTCATGCACGCCGCTACGCCTGACATGGAGCGTGTTATCAAGGGGAGGATCTCGAAAGTACCATCCTGTACTATTCTGATACTCTGCAAGACTCGTATCATCCAGCAATTGGACATTCGAGAGCCAAGCGGCATACCGTACGTTTCGTAGCACAAAATTTCATCATCATCACTAAGGTCAGTGTGGCCAACAACACTATCAACCAATAACAACAGGTTGATAACGTTGTCAAAAATTATCAACAGAACCCCTGCCACTATTCGGACCCCTGTACGCCGCCGTCCCCCCCCACCTCCTCCCCCCCCTCTCCCTCCTCCCCCTCAGAAATAATCCCTGAAGCAAACCAGCTCTTCAAGCATTGCGTCTTCTCAATAGTAGACACTCCTAGCTGCATTCGATCCCATGAAATCGTCCTCCGTGCACCTGAAAAGACCCTTTCAGGTTCGTCGCTCATCGCAGGGATCGATAAGATATCAATCGCCATTTGCGATAACCTTGGCCAAGTTGTACGTCGCTCCTCCGCTAGCCACCAGTTGAGTGCAGACATCTGAATTGGGATCGCTTTCTCTCGTGTGTACGATTCGTACTCGTTGCTGTCTTGCATATCAATAGCCTCGAGCTTTCTTGCGATCTGGTCGTACTCATCGAGATCAGGTTCGTCAATCTGAGGATTTTCGATGACATCCCGGTCTTCGTACAACTCCCAAAGCTTCTTGACCCCTGTGAACGCTGGCTTCTGCCACTCCTTCTTCCAGTTCTTCTTGATGTATATAAGTCGACGAGATGGATGAAGGATAAGTGCAGCAGCATACACCACAACTGCTTCCGTCTTCGCGTAATACTTGTCAAATAGTTGCCAACTTCGTACGATATTTGACTGAAGTGGTGACTTCGCAAAACGCTTGAGGGATTTGTCGTAATGCTGAACCAGAATATCCATCGAGAGAAGCACACCATCAAGTGTTCCGCTGTGGCCTTGAGTCGCGAGTGTTGCGCGATGAAAAGGAGCGAGGAATGCTGCAATGTCCTTGAGATAGCCCCAGTCGTCCAAGTCGAGATAATCGTCGCGAAGGTCGTCAAGCCACTTCTCCAGATACGTATGAATTGAGCCAGAGATCTCGATTGCAACCTTGAGCATGGTATACCAGCTATTCCATCGGGTCTCGTTATCGAGAGGGAGACCTCGACCAGCAAGTAGACCGAATTCTCGACTTCGAGCAGGAGAGCCACGGATATGCACAGCGATGTTGTGCAGCTTGCCGAGAGGGCCTCGCTGCCTCCATTGTGTTTGCCGATCGCTGTCGCTGTCGTCATCGAAAGTCTCAAAGAGAAAGGCCTGTACAGCAAGGTTGATGACATGGCCGGTACATCGAAGCCGGTGTTGTGAAGCATTCCATGGCAAGGCGAATTTCGATTCAAGCGATCGGCAGAGAACGTCATTCGATGGGTGATTATCTCCAATGAAATACCCAATCTTGTTGACGATCCCAAAGCTTTCGAAGACCTGGAAGATTTCCGCCGCTTGTTCGTCTCCACGATGGGTGAGAATTGGCCGGAGGCCAAGAAGGACTCGTGCTAGTTGAGATGTCTCTCGGTCAATAAAATGGACACAGATGCCGAGGAAAAGATGGCGATTTGGTGAGGTCCAGATATCAGCCGCGAAATGGATCATCGAGATAGACGATTGGAGGCGCATTCGTAGGTCGTCTTTCGCAGACAGCCAGAGAGAGTCAATCTTGTTCGAGACCGATGAATGACTGGAGATAACCCCTTTCTCAACCTCAGGATGTCCCAGAGACAAAACTGCGCGCATCGCTGGCCATTCGACAGCTCGAAAAGGGAGGTTGTGCCGTACAATGAGTTGGAGAAGAGCTTTGTTGGTTCGCTCTTGTAGCTGATGTAGCTGATGAACGGAGGAGGCCGAGGGTATCGAAGCCGGACTGGGTAGCTGCTGATCTCGTTCAACCTTGTCGACTAGAATACCATGATGTGACACAAGATGGCCTCGTGCTGCAGTTGTGCTTATACAGCGGTATTCAGGGCAGTATTTGCAATACCACACAAGATGCTTGCCGATGTGTTTGGGTTCGTCCGGCTTTGGTGGTCGAGAATGGTCCCATGTGGCGACAGCCCTCTTCTGACGGCCTTTGGTCCTGATCCCGGTCCCAGTCCCGGTACTAGAGGGAAAATTCGTCGAACCATTCGATAGAATAGAGTCTGACATCTTGAACGAAAAGACTAAGGGTTTGATGCTGTAGATATAGGAAAAATGACAGGAGTAATGAGGGATGGAGGGGGGAGGGGTAAAAAAGTGGGTCTGTGAGCCTCTGTTGATAGTGTTGATAACCGTTGTTATCGTTATCGATTGATAGCTTATCAATGTTGATTGTTGTTGGCCACACTGACTAAGGTTTCTCGAGCTTATGTGGTGATAGCTTCGATGGTGCAGCAAAGGGGTCTTCCTGCCAGCCTCCGGATTACTCGGGCCCGATGCCGTCGGCGGACATAGAGAACGCAGCGATGTACTACTTGCGGGGTGAATATTACTAGTACTGCCGCTAACCTTGACGAAGAGCAGATATCGATGCTCGATGACAACTTCAAGAGACTCCATCGGCGCATCATGGCGCTTACTCCTCTCAACTTGAGGGCCGTGAACCAATTCAATATTGCCAGCATCAAGCAACCCGAGAAAGGTACTCGGGGGGGTTGAGATCAGCCGTATACGGATCCCTGAGGTTTCACGGGACACACAATGCTCGATATATAGATAACTCTAAGTCCTCGGTCTTGAGAGATTATACCGAATTATTTAACAATGCAAGTTCTCCATCCTTCTAGCGCTACCACGTTGCTAATATTATAGGTAGTAATATATCATGAACCTCCACCCACGCTGGTACCCACGAAGACAACAAGAACCGCAGCATATGTTGCCGTCGACACAAGAGTCTCAACATTGGTCAGCCGAATTGCAAACGACAAAATAAGCGCAAAAACAATGACTGATATCGACACAGTAACCAAGCTCTTCACCTGCGATGATTGGATCGCCATGATGAGCATCGGTATAACGAGAAATGTCCCACCCGTGATAGAAACCGAGAACCGGACAAGTTTATCAACAAACTGGGACACTCGCAACGGGGGCTTCCCCTCTGCATATTCCCTACTCCTCTGTCTTCGTTCCTCGTCTGAATATGCAAGCCGTGCGGGGAGATATCGCATCAATGCCCGGCGAACAGGGTCGATCTGCTTCTCGCCGTGCTTGAAGAAAGCGTAGTGGGAGTGAAAGGGGTCGTTGAAGTCGTTTTCGGACTGAAAAAAGCGCTGGAGCAGGAGTTTACGCTTCTTGGTTTCAGCATTGTCAATGCCTCTTGCTGATCTGAGTTCCCTGTAGTCGCGGATTGCAGTTGCTGACAAAATCAGCTATCGGTCTAGATATCTAAGACTAGACCAGAGCATGCAATGACATCAAGAACGCTCACCATATGCAGCAAGAGTAGTTTGGAGTGTCTCCAAGTCTGCCGGCGATGCCTTGCCGCTCTTTTGGAATTGGCTCTTTGTCCGCACAAGCTTCACCTGTAGCTGGGCGAGATTCAGTCGCTGCAGGAACTCGAACCGCAGAAAGTGGAAGTCTTCCTCCTCGTCTAACGACCTGTTGACGTATTGGACAAAGTTTTCGCCGTCTGAATCTAGTAGCATTGTGTCAGTTTATTGAGAATATGTCGTCGCTGACGACGTTGAAGGAGGGATGCATCCGGTCGATGTCGGCGGGGCTCCGAAGCAGTGATGCTGTGATAGGAGGAACGCGCAATGCCAACACAGCCCCTCCGTTGAGGCTGTGTGATACCGCCCCAGCTAGCGACAGCCAATCGAGGGTCTCACAGCGAAACGCCCACACCAGGCTGTTCCCAGCTCCGCCACAGCACCCCGCAAATCCTTGTCAATGAAGCACTTAACGTCGAGCTCACCCATATCTTGTAGACTCACAACCAGCACTGCCTTACTTGCCCAAAGCTCACCGAGGCAACCTTCACCAACTTCTCAGACGCCCTCCCTCAGGTCACAATGCCTGGCTGGGATCGATTCCGCTTCTCCATCAAGCGGAAAAGATCCGCCCGATCCGCCTCATCAGCCGGCAGTGCCGTCTCCGCCCGAACCCTCGGCTCCCAGGTTTCTGACGACGCAAACGGCCCTATTTACAGCACGCTCCAGGCGCTACTCGACATGCTATGGGATTTTCCACGGAGTTTCTCCAAGGACACCCGATTTGGCAACATCAATTTATCTCTTGAGACTTTTCGCGATCAGGTTGCCCAGGCCCAGAGCTGCATTTATGATGCGGCGGAGAGCGTTGTAGGAGGAAGCAAGTTAACTACTTCAAAGGACGCATATATGTATCTCACCGTCGTGAACGCTGACAGTGTTGGTGTAGATTACGTTCACTCGCAGTTAGTCATACTGTACGACGACACACGATTACTCCTCAAAGAGTTCTCTCCAGATGCGGTTCAACAGGGAATCGGAAAACGCCAGCAGTTGTCCCGAGACGAAGCATACGATGAGTTTGCTCAGAAAGTCGCGTCACTACGGCAACGATTCGAGGGCTGGTCGAGCCGCCACCTCTCAATCCCATCTCAGCTGTCACCGTCGGCACTCCAAGCTGCTTCGTCACCAAACAGTATTCCTCAGATATACGGAAGCGCCTTCGGCCTCATTCCCAACCCAATCGCCCGACTTCCGCCACACCACATTTTCCACATTATCGTCTTTAAAAACGAGCGCCCTGGACTCTTTTACACCTCACCCACTGAAGACTCCATAGCCATTAAGCGAGGGGACCAAGTCGTCGTCTCAACCGACGATACAGGCGGCGAGGACTTCGGTCTGGCGTTTCGGTGCGACATAGCACCAGACACAGCCAGGGACGTCCTCCACCGCCACGTCATCAACCACCAACAACTCCTCGCAAGGCTATCATCGCTCACCTGGGCGAGTATCCCGCAGACGCCGGGGCGCGAGGACTTTGTTCTCACCGAGGCGGACCGGCCGAGGCGGGTATTGCGGCTTGCGAGCGAGGACGAGATTGCGGACGCCGAGACGGGGAAGAAGAAACGGGAGGAAGAGGTAATGAAATATTTCAAGGGGTATGACACGACGCGGACGATGGCCTCTGACCCCAGCGGACGACTCGCGACGTTGGGTTTCGAGGTGCTGGATGCGGAGTTTCAAAGTGATTACAAAAAGCTCCGTCTGTATTGCGTCCGTAACCAAGGCTGCTATGGCCTTCAGAACTTCGCGGCTGGGCTTTGCGAGAAGTATAACGTGGCGGTCGAGTTGCGGGAGTTTCTTCATCTGGGATCGGACCTACCTGTTAGTAGCCAGGTTGCAGACAGCACGCTTGGGAGCACTGGGCGAGGCGCTCGAAGGAGGAAACTCAGCGGTTTGAGCTGGTTCGGCTAGTGGGGGTAGAAGAGTAGTATCGAGTTGGTTGACCGTCTGTCGCTCTCAAGTGAAACACGGATCAAATTGCCTCTATCCTGGTGTCTAAATGATTGCTATATATAGTTGATGTGTGTGATGCGGATGGAACCCATAAGGTTTTCTGCTTCGTCCATCCAGACTTGACTGAGACTAAGTACATTTCGGCTTTGGCTAATGAACGTTGTGTGTGATTTAGCTAGATGCAATGAGATTTACGCTGAGCACACACACCATAAGTATCAGCAAGAGAGATTTCTGTGGAGAATTTCCTGTTGTGATGATTGTGGTGATGTTGTTGGCAATATTTAACTTGGCGCTAATCACCGTCAACCACGATTTCCGTCTCGAGAATGGCGCTGATGGCCACCATATATTAGGTCGATTCGAGATGGGACTCAGGCATGGCTGAGATACCTCGAAATGGCGAAGGTCCTTATCGCATTCGCTATGGAGGCAGAATTCACGAGGTATTCAGAGCCTATGAGAATGGCAAGCGCGCAAACACTAAAAATCGGTATGTGTCTACTATTCCAGACGACGTTGCCAGACTGGTGAAGATGATCCGGGAATCGCGCTTATAGAACTAATATAGCCCTCCCGCTCTACGTGCTTTTTGCTGGCATAACGGCTCACCCTTACAGAAGTCGTAAAGCCGGTCGAAGCGTTCTATTAGGTAAGGTACATGTCTTTAAGACGTAATAGATACTTGGAATTATAATTAACTCTTCTGCAGCAGCGGAAACCAGAACATGGACAGCAGGACACACACGACGGCGAACGGGATCGACGCGTTCTGCCAGTCGTCGCCGTGCCCCAGTTTGGTCTGCCACACGACCCAAAACGCAAACGGCCCGGCCAGCGCCAGCACGTGGTACGCAAACACCCTGGCCAGCGACGGGCACTCGACGGCCACCAGCCCCCAGACGACCTCGCGGTCGGGCGCGCGCGTGCTGAGCGGCGCGTCGCGCTTGGGGATGCGGCCCAGCGCGCCGCTCACGCCCGTGTACCGTGCGCACGTGTGCCCGCTGCCGGGCAGGTAACGGATGTGGGGGTCGAGACGCGGGCATGCGTAGAAGCGCCGCTTGAACTCGTGCGCGTTGATGGGCGGGACCGGCTTCGGCGGCTTGGGCGCGAAGGCGTAGGCCGCGTCGCTCGGGTCCGGGAAAGACGGCCGGAGGTCGCTGGGGACGTAGGCGTCGACGCCGATTCGCTCGACCTGGGGGGACACTTCTGTCAGTATCGGTATAAACAGTGGAGTTTTTGTTTTGTTTTTCTTTCTTCTTCCTTCCTTCCTTCCTTTCTCTCCTGTAAACATGATTGAGTCACTTACGTGAGCAAACTCGCAGTGGTGGTACACGCGGAAACTGAACAGGCGACGAAACCACCCTCGCATCTGGCAGTATGTAGCTCGCAAGGCCTGGAAGAACTCCTCGTCGCTGATTTTGGTCACTGGAATTTGGGCGAGCTGGTAATCGCCCTATACGTCGACGGCAAGGAAGACCCATAGCGAACTTGAAAGTGGAGGTGCTGAGATCCCGGATGCGGAACCCGTGGGCTGCGTTTGTGTCTGACCTGCCGAGCTTCCTTGGACCGCGCCCGGTAATGGCGGTGGAGCAACGCCTTGGGCCTGTCTAAGGTGCGCAGGTGGCGGCGGACTGGGCCGTGATCCCTGTGGTGCCGGCCGCGTCGAGCTGTTGGGAGGCCGGGTGTTGAATTTGCCGCCGCCTCTCGTAGTCCCAAACTTGTTAACGAGACGCTTGAGCGGTATTGCAAGGTCCGGGGGGACCTCGCGGAACCGTCTTTCCCCACAGGCCTGTACGGTGTGTTAGTCCCTTAATTGACGGCACGGTAACTAGTAATTAGACTCTTACGCAAATCCAATGGATGCAGGCCTTTTGGGCATTTGTAGGGGGGTGGGGGTTTGCGAGAGGCCACCAGTCCCATTTCTCCTGTGTAGCCCGTTCGACAGTCCGTTTCGCCGTATCCAAATAGCTCGATACCTTGTGATAATGTAGCTCAAAGGCGACGATATCGTCCATACCTAGGTCTAGCTCCAGTTTACTGAGGTAGAGTAGTCGAGCCTCTCGGTACGGCGAGGCGGTTGCTGGAGCTTTCGAGACCTCGTTCTGAACCAACTTCCGAACCTCAGATGGAAATGTGGGAGAGAGGAGGTCATAAAGCCGAGTTTGAAGGGTTTGGAAAGCGGTGCTCCTCAAAATGAACTGCTTCATTGCTTCCAAGGCTAGTAGTTCATCGTTGTCAGCTTCCTAGTACTCGTCCTTGTTATCTATCTCGTCCTCGGAAGAGACCGTGTCTATCTCGTCTCCTTTAATAGCCTCATCCGCGCCAGCCGGGCTCGGCTCGAGATTCTGCAGGAAGTCTTCGACGAGGCGCCGTTTATCGACCTTCGTCCTATCAAGGAAGTCTCCATACAGCTACGTCGATGTTTTTAGGGCGGACGACTGTCCAGACCTCTCCTGAATAGCCTGTGAGATTTGGGATGCTCGGGATCTCACCAGCTTGGCGGCGACAATATCGCTAGCATTGCTCGCCTCTGCTTTCAGTTCGCCCCCAAAGCGTCTTAACAACTTTCTCAAGCTACGGCCCAGCTTTTCTGGGCCAATAGTGCCGGATTCCAAGGCGTCTTTACAAAGGCCTCCGATGAGTTGCTGCTCTATAAATATCTCGGCAAACTACTCAGCTGCGGCAGCCGCGACAATATTCGCCGGCGCAGAGGAGCCAATCTATGTGATAGAGGAGTCGGGACTAGGTAAGCCTTCAACGGTCTCAGCGTAACTAGAAAGCTCATCCAAATAACGCTCCAATATGAGGTTCCGCGGCGATTCGCTTGCCTTTCCTTTCACCTTCGCCTGCAAATTTCTAATCTCCTGAAGGAGTTGGTCCGTGTCGTGTCTAATGTCCCCGGAGTTTACCACATTCTCTTGGGAATCTATCCCGTCCTGAAACTGAATCCCGAAAAAAAAAGTCAGTAGATGTACCCAAAGTGGCGATGCTTGTCGAGGCATAAATCAAACTCACGCGGTTATTACGCTGAGGATAATGTTGAATGTGGTAACGTGTGCGGCGAGTGTCGATTGAAGTTTTTCCATTTCGGTCTTCCAGGTCATGGCCCAGGACGTGCCGTATGAAGTACCGAAGAACCGATCATGGTATTTATCGACACATACTTGGACTTGGTCGACCACGACGGAGCAGTTGTCGATGGCGGACTTAATTTGGCTCTGGAAGCTGTCGGGGATGACTGCCCTCTCGCCGCTCCCAGTCGAGAATTCAACATCTATCAACTGTAGCACCAACTGAAGCGAACTCAAGTCCCTCAAGATGTCGGCCACGTCGGCCCGCGCAGCGCGCACATCGCGCACGAATCTCTCGAGGGTGACCGTGAGATGATTGATGGCTGACGGCTGACGCAAGCTCTAGGTAGCCGATCGCGTTGGATCTGGTAGCAGATCATGGCGGTTCCTCACGTAGTTAGTTAGGCCGAGTGCTTGAGATGATGACTTGACAACGAGGAAGCGGCAACCCACAGAGGATCGGCCATGACAATCAATACGCGCTTTTGCTGATAAACAAGCTCGCGTCGCGCTGCGAAAATATTCTCCTGGGCCTTGGAGTGGAACGCGACGGGTCCAAGTTCCGTGATAAAGATCAAAGGTGGGGTTCGATATCGGCCCCGGCGTAGCGCTTCTATGCCTTTTGCTTGCTCGCTGCGGCCATGCAAGTTGTCATTGGACACATATTTGGAATTTCGGTTCAGTAGGCCAGGCTCTAGGCACACCCATAGGGTGCCACGAAAGACGCCACCGTGCTGCGCCCCGAGTAGAAACTGCGGCTGAGTTCTCGATAAGAGTGCTGCAAGACAGATCACGCGCCGCCTCTTATCTTGCGCGAGAGACTATGCCTAGCCATTGCTCCTCACATATTTCCGTCAAGCAGTCTTATCGCGAAACAGAGGCCTAGGAACTTTGCCGGGCGTTGGCTCGTCATTCGATATATAATCAACCAACGAAGATACCCTACTACAGGCTAATTAAGAAGTAAACAACATATGCCAAGGCAACAGTCCCTATCGTAATAGGAAAAAAAAGCAGATACAGCTTAACAACGTAATCAGCTGAAAGCCTTTTAGACATCGGATATGGCGTGTTTTTGTAGTGCTAAGAGCAGACGCCTTGGTATTGAGGGGCTACGGCCTGCATTAGTTGATTCTGTAATTGTTGAATGAGTGGATAAGGTCCCTTGGTATTCTACCCACCACCGCCGGCGGGCAATAATACCCCCTAATTACGACACAATTATTTCACTCAAAATAGAACTTAAAGGGACCTCGCACAAAACTGTCCGCTGTGACTTTCCAACGCCGTGTTCAGTGCCCAGGCTTGGGTATCTGAAATGTTTTGAAACGCCCGGTTTGTTGCCTATGACACAGTCCCCATGAATCTTCACTTTGAACCTCCTGGCATCATATTTTTGCTCGCAGGCCAAAAAGGCGAGATCGGCATTCTACGAAGCCTTGAGTCGACACGTGACGGCTGCCTAAAAGGCGCCTGACGGGCTTTCCCGAAGGCTCCGACGCCAGCTGCGGGATGGCTGCGTGGATTAATTAGCCAACTGAAACCGAGTGGCGCTGCACAGCCCGACAGGGCGCTCCCCCAGGCTTTTCGCCCCTCCTTCGCTGCTGCAGATTTTGAGAGTTCAGAACGCGGCTTTTCCACTGCGTCTCATGATCTTCCCTTCTTCCCTCCCTCCCCCTATTTCGGCGTTCGTACTCAGCCGGTTCCCAGCGGGAAAGGCACACCGACACAAGATGGACCCGCTCAGTATTGCGGCTAGCATCTTTGCGGTGATCCAGATCGCCGACAGGGTAATATCGCTCTGCAAATTCTATCTTGAACTTGCCAGCGATGCTCCATCGGATCTTCGAGTCATTTTGATCGAGGCGTCGGCCCTGAAAGCGATCTTGGACAACATACAATTCCTCGCGTCCAATGGACACGGGCCAGTCTCTCTTAACACGCTGATCGGAAAGGAAGGTCCCGTCGAAGGCTGTCGCAAAGCACTCCACCATATGAGTGCACTGTTCCCGGCCGAGTCTGCGCAGGGCACGTTGGGCATCAAATCCAAGCGGCAGAAAGTGGCGGAGATGCTGCACACCCTCGGCTGGTCTTTCAAAGAGACTAAGGCTAGGAGACTGTTAGCGGAAGTGGTGCAACACAAGACTACTCTCAATCTGGCACTTACGGTAGACATCAGGTGCACTCGGACTCTTTCCGTGCCGCGTTTTCTGTGCTGACACGGAGACAGCCATGACATCAAGAAAATTAAAGGCAAAGCGGGCGAGATCCAGACGGCCCTTTCGGGTAAGTACGACTTCCTTGGAGAATTTACTTTCAAGACCAGGTATTGACTGACTGATGGCACGGTAACTTGAAGGCATTGAGCGGCGCGATGTTTACAAGTGGCTTGAGGGCATCGATCCGTCATCTCTCCATCATCGAGCTTGTAGCCAATATGAGCCGGGGACTGGCGGCTGGGTACTTCGATCCGATGATTGGAAGGCTTGGATCTCAGGCCCGAACCGCGCTCTGTGGATCCACGGCATACCGGGGGCCGGGAAAACAGTGCTCGCGTCTCATTTGATCGAAAACGTCAAGACGCGCTGCAACGCTGGTGACGCGGCGAAAAGCAGGAACGCATACGTCTACTACTACTGCTATTTTGGCCACAACACAGACGAAGCATTGCACTTCTTGCGGTGGATAATTCGTCAACTCGGTCGGGCGGCAGACACTATGCCTGCCAACTTGTACAAGCTTTACAGGCGCGGCGAGGGACCTAGCCTATCGGACCTGTTCTATGTGCTGGAAGAGATGATGGAAGCGTTCGACTGTGTCTATGTCATCCTGGACGCCATCGACGAGAGTATGCCTAGGACGAATCTCCTGAAAGTCTTACGAGATCTCATCACCGACCCGAGATTTTCGAAGACGCGGGTTTTGGCAACTAGTCGCGAGTACCTCGATATCGAAGAATCCATGAAAGGGATCTCGACGTCGATTTCCATGAGGAATCCTTTGCTTGACGAAGATATACGACTATTTGTCCAAGCACAACTTAAGACGCACCCCAAATTAAGGCTCTGGCCTGCTAGCGTGCAAGACGAGGCTTTGGAGGCACTGTCCGCAAAAGCGAAAGGAATGTGAGTTATTCTGAAATCTGTGTCGATCTCTGTCAGCCTTCTAATTATATGATTAGGTTTCGCTGGGTCGTGTGTCAGATCGATATCCTGCAGCGTCTGAAAGGCGACAAGGCCACTATATTAAAGGCATTGGTCTGCCTGCCGCGGACTCTGGACGAAACCTACGAGCGGATATTCCTCCAAATACCCCATGAGTCCAGGCTGGTTGTCCATCATGCGCTGAAATGGATTTACGCCCATGATGACTTGCGCGTCGACAACATACCCGCTTCCAATCTTATCCAGGCCATACAAAGGAGCACCGCTCTGCTCGGCTCTAGTGGATACGACTATGATTACAACGTGGATCTTCTCCGCGACCTCTGTGGGTGCCTGATATCGCTGTCACCCCAAGAGCGTGACAACGACGATGTAAAATTCCAGCCTACGACTGCTGTAGCTTTTGCACATTACACGGTCTTGGAATTCCTGGATTCGACGAGAATACGAAATGGGCCTGCTTCTTTCTTTGCTATCGACGAAGAGTTGGTCAAGCTCGAGTTTGCAAAGATGGTTATGCTGGAAGCGCTCGACACCGAACCGAATGACATCTGGGACACAGAAGACATCTACCTTGGGAATGAAAAGATCGCTGATGCCATAGAAGAATCCTTCAATCTTTATAGTATTGTATCATCAATACTTGCCGTGAAGTGTTGGGGCCAAACACTCGCCTCGGACACCACTTTGTGCGAGCTAGCATTTGCAATGCTCAATGCGACGAGCCAGCATTTCGAACACCTCGCACATACTGCAGCATGTATCGAGAATGCCACCCATGTCTTTTCGAGTGACTTGCTCTATGAAGATGAGCAATTCTGGAATCTGTCATGGAGGCAGCTACCGACAAATGATGCGGTGCGAACACTCATCAACTTGTTATTCACAGATGAAAGTTCTGAGCTCGGGCGGAAGTTCGTCCAAAGCATCCGCGCAGGAAGCTGGCTACAAAGCAGTGTCGATCTGAGCCTTCCGATATGGCATCCGATAAGTGAAGAGGCCATAGAACTGTGCCAATTTGAAGGGACACTTGTAGAGCTCTTTGCCCTGTTCAGCAACGGAAGGTCAGACGCTTTGAAACTGTTCCTTGAACTTGTAATAGGTTACTTCGACCCTTCGAAAATCCTGTTGCATTTGGTTGGTTGGCACACTCACGACGGGAATGATGGCAGCTGCAACGGCAGTTGTATTTTGGCCCGTCAGCTGCAGCTTGGAGCAGATCCTGACGGCCCTGGATATAGAATCTGTCCGTTACAAATTGCAGCTAGGATGCGGGACTTGAAAGGAGTCAGGTTGTTGCTCGAGGCTGGGGCGAACCCAAACCACACCGGAGACCAGAAGGGCGAAGTGTGGAAAGAGGGCACCGTTCTCGCTCGGTTCAACAACATCCTGGATTGCAGCCCTCTCAACATCGTGCAAACGATGGGCTGCTATTTTGTGGGCGACCAACTTGACAAGAGAAAAGAAGATGTGCCAAAGATAGTAGCACTGATGCGCGAGTATGGGGCGAGGAGTTTCACGAGAACTGAGGCTGAATCCTAGGCACTGGCGCCAGACCCTCGAGGTCGGGTAACCTGGGCAGCGAGCTGTCGAGGTAGAAGCAAGACGGCGATACGTGAGGCGTCTTTAGAAGATCCAACTTTCTATATTTCAACATCAGTAGTATATCGCATGCGGGTGACTGTCGAGGTAAGTTGACTGCATAAATTAACCCAACTCCCCAACCCCAACTCCCCAACTCCCCAACTCCCTAACCCCAACTCCCCAATTCCTAACCACATCACCCAGGTAACAAAGCCTAGTCAAGGCCGCTTCAACCTCGTAACCAACGCCTCCAGGTCCCTGACCGCGAGTCCCTCAGCCTCGGCACCCTGGTAGAACCCCTTCAGCTCCGCAATCGCCTTCCGGGCATACTTCGCCGCGCCCTCGGCGTCTCCAGCAGCCAGACACAGGCGGGCCATGACGTCGAAGTGGTCGCCGAGGTGGGGCACGAGCTTCTCCTCGGCAACGGCGGCCACGAGGGCGCCGTTGAGCGCAACGGCGGCGGCAAAGTCGCCCGCCTCAACGCGCTGCAGCACGCGCTGCCCCGTGGCGCGCATCTCGGTGCGCCGCGCGTCTGACGCTGCTAGTGTGTCTGCGTCGGCGGAGCACAGGGCGCAGCTGCACTGGAAGCCCCATTTCTGGAGAAGGATGCGCTTTCTCTCGGTAGAGGCGAGGCCGAAGTCGGAGTCTGTAGCGTGGCGGCGTCAGAGGGACTGGGTTAGGGGGACTGGGTTTAGGGGGACTGGTTTAGGGGGACTGGGTATAGGGGGACTGGGCTTAGGGGGGCTTGGTTTAGGGGGACTGGGTTTAGGGGGACTTAGTTTAGGGGGACTTGGCTTAGGGGGACTGGGTCTAGGGGTTTGGTTGGGGTGCGTATAGTTGGTGGGCACTGGGGTTAGGGGTTTGGTTGGGGTGCGTAGAGTTGGTGGGCACTGGAGATGGGAAAGTCAGGGTAAAGAAACATCACACATACAGCTGATGGTAATCTCTTCGCCGACGTCAATGTCGCGAAACGCTGTCACGGTGTTGGCGAGGGTGGATTCGTTAAAATTGGTGAGTGCACTGCATTGCGCAAGTTAGTAAACCAAAGCTTCTTTCAACCGTGGCAGTGTGATAGTTCTGCAGCGTGGTGTGGTTGATGAGTCTCAAACGATTCTCGATTGACTCAAAGCCAAAGTTGTGGCGGCTGCAGTCCTCCCCACCAGCCCGTCGACGGCGTGTTGAAACAGAAATGAACGAACCTTGGGTTGCAGGCGTGGTTTATCCTCTGCGCTTAATTAGCAGGTGCAAGATTATACAACACACCACGAGGGAAAAAAATGTAATCCGACGAAAGCACGAGAGGAAGGAAAACTCACCGCAATCCTTGGAAACAAAGCCATGACTGCGACGCCGCCAACCTCAACACTGAACGAATTCGTCTTGACCACATCCTCGGCCACCCGCACATCCACATCCACATTTCGCCCCACCGCATCAGCACCAGCACCTCCAGCATAGTCCCTGCTCCTCGCGAGACCTAGCACCTCTTCTGGGCTTGACAGCCTGTCTATTGCCGCAGCCAACAGCTCCTGACCCGTCGCGCGGCGCACGCGGCCCGGGAACGCCGCGCCGGCGAGCACGGCCGCGCCGTCGACCATCAGCACGCTGCCGCGGCGGATGCGGCGCGTGGCGACGAGACCGAGGCCTTTGCCCGGGATGGGCTGGACGGCGTAGGGTGCGGGGGTGTCTCCGTTCTCTTCGCTATAGTCACTCGCGCTGGCGCGGGCGGAGGATGCGGTGGCAGCGGCCAGGGCTTGTCCCACGGCCCGCGCGAGTCCCGAATCTGTTGCCGCGGTGCCTGTGTCCGGCCCCGGCGCAGGCGCAATTACGCTCAGCCCGCGGCCTCGGCGGAACGTGGCGTCGGTAAAGACGCAGTAGGCGGTCGTCTTGTGCTCAGCGTCAGGCTCGGGGTCGGGGCAGTACGGACGGTGCGTCCAGGGCTCGCTGGCAGACTCGGACTGTGCGCCGTTGCTCTCGAGGTGAAAAGTGGCCGGACACGGCGGGTGCGCGGCGTGCTGTAGCGGCCCCGGCAGACACCCGCCGGCTTCCCACGCAGGTATTGCTGCATCGTTGTGGGGAAGGGTGTTGGGAGGCACAGACGGTTCTGCAGTGCACTGTGCAGCAAGCAGACATGAGATGATCGCAAATGCTGTCCTTACTGGTCTCGACATGGTGGACACTGGACAGGGTAGCCGTGTTGTGTTTTCGGGAAAAGGGGGCCGCAAAGCCCACGACGAAGAACATGTCTAGCCATATTCACCCAGGATGGAAAAAGCAATGCCATATCTGGCCTTGACGGCCTTGGTTTGTCTCGCGTATTGTGCTACCATGAACATGCCAAACCGTCCCGTCCTGTTCCGTATAGCTCCGGCTCAGCCGTCTTGACATTTAGGTTGCGGGTTAGTAGCTTGTAGGTTACTCGCCCAACCCATCGAGTCCTCGCCCAACCCATCGAGTCCTCGCCCAACCCATCGTGTCATACTTGGTCACTCGACGGCGCCCAGCTTGGAGTCTACATTAGCCGACTGGGCGTGTTTTCTCTCGCACGGCCGTCCGCAGTCTGCTTACATTCTCAGACCGTCGGAAGATGGTGCAGCGGCGCCAAGGTGCTGGGCAGTGGGTTTAGTTCCTGGGCAGTGGGTTTAGTTCCTGGGCAGTGGGTTTAGTTCCTGGGCAGTGGGTTTAGTTCCTGGGCGGATGCTGGGCACGCGGGCCGGAGCCGCTCCGGCTCGCAGAAAGACGGCCAATCCTACCTTTTTCTGCTTGACAGCCGGCAGCATGTTTCGGGTATATTATCTTGTTCGAATTCTTGATAGTTCACTAAACTGATCCACTTGGCAACCCGCGATAGGAACAATGGAGGTCTATCCTTTTTGTTGCGGCTCGAATTGACCAAATAAGAGAGGAGGCTCTTACATAACCGCCTATTCCCGCCTGCAAAGGCTTTAATACTACGTGTTATAGAGACGCGGCAACTTATATTGCGCCCCGCCGCCCAGCAACCAACTTCCCGGGTGGGATCCCCAACGGCTGTGCGTATTTGTGTGCAATGTGGCTAAAAGCTGATCGGTGGATCCGGGGTTTGTCGACGTGTGGGCTGCGTGCCGATAACCGTAGCATGCCGTGCGTGTGACATGCGCACCCAAACGGTCACTTTGGTCTTCAGAGCACCCTGGGTGATTGGAACAGTGCAGTGTCAAGATATCCAACTTTTCTTTTCCTACTGGACATGACCAGGGCTAGGTTTTACAGTCTTTTCCCAGCAAATGTTCTATCGCCCATTACCTCGTCCTAACTACAACCCCAGATCCAACTCCTTCTCCAGCTCCAGCACGAGCGGCATCTTGACGCCGCCGACGCGGACCTTGGTGGCGTCCGCGTCGTACCCGTCAACCTCAACATCCGGCCAAGGGCCCATGGGGGTGATGCCGCGCGGGTTGATGTCGGCGTGCGACTTTGTGTAGTTCTCCTTGATGTGGCGGAAGTCGGTCGTGTCGCGGAAGGCGGGGACGCGCTCGTACAAAAAGGCCAGCCAGTTGCGCAGCTGCGGGTAGTCGTGGCGGATGGTGCCGAGGTTGCACTTGAAGTGCTGCACGTAGACGACGTCGAAGCGCACCACGGTCGCGTACGCACGCACGTCGAGCTCCGTCAGCGCCGCGCCCAGCAGGTACGGCCCCGCGGCGGCCGAGGCCCCGCGCAGCCGCTCGAGCGCGTTGAGCGCCGCGAACACGTGCGGCACCGCCTTGTCGTAGTCCTCCTGGGTCTGGGCGAACCCGGCGCGGTAGACGCCAGAGTTGAGGTCGCGCTGAATCCAGGGCGTGATGGTGTCGATCTGGGCCCGCAGCGCGGCCGGGTACAGGTCGACGGCGGTCGACGCCGAGGCGAAGCCGGCCGAGGGCAGGTCGTGCATCAGCTCGGCCGACTCGTTGTTCACGATGGTGTTGGTGTGCGTGTCCCACAGCACGGGCACCGAGTAACGGCCCTGATACTCGGGGTCAGCGCGGAAATACAGCTCGTGCAGATAACTCGAGTTGAACAGCGGATCGGGGTTGGCGCCGGGGTACTCGGTCGCGCTAGACGGAAAGGCCCAGCCGGGCCACCCCTTGTCGTTGCCCTTGGGGTACGGCTTGACCACGGTGACGGGGATGTCGGCCTGCAGCCCCAGCAGGTGGCGCACAATGTTGACGCGGTGGGCAAAGGGGCAGAAGAGGCCTGCTCGCGTCAACTCACGTCCCCCAGTCTAATATGGGCTAAATACCGACCAATATAGAGACGGTACCGGCCGCTCTCGGGGGGAAAGACGGTGCCCGGAGCGACCTTGCCGTGCCAAGCTTGGTTGGAGCCGGCGAGGTGCTGCGCCACGGTCAACGGCTTGGGTTTCGTAGGAGCCATATTGTCCGTACGGCTTGCAGTTCGAGCGAAGTTGGTTACGGTAATGTTGGGTGGTAAGGGGTGTGCATTGGGGGTGAAAGCTGTGTCTGGAGACTGGAAATCATGACTTGAAGCACATGACATGATGCATCATCCCACATCCGTCGACCCCGCACGCCCGGGCAGTCCGACCAGTTGCGTAAGAGCGAACGGATTGGTTTGCTCGGATTGGTGGCTAGGCACCTCTCCAAGGGGCTAGTTTCCCGAAAATCCACCTACCTTTCCGAGTAGCTTTAGTGTGGCCCAAAACTCTCCCACACCTTTAACCCTAACTTTTAGTCAGGGCCCCCTTCTCACTAATGTAGACAAAGAATTCGCAGTATTACAATCGGGGTCTACTCCTATTCTGTTGTGCTCTGCCTGGCTACCACGCCGAAGTAGGTGGAATGATAATCTATATTCTTGGGGGCGTCTCCGGCTACTGTAAAGTGGTCCCCATCCACGGTCCGCCACGTAATTTACCACTTTTTACCGCAACCCAACCTAATTACGCTGCAGCCTTCGTATTCCACTATAACCTTCCTTTTGCACTGCAACCTTTCTTTCCAACCAAACCACCACCAAAATCATCGCTGGGCCGCCCGCGCCGCCACCATCACCACTTTCCAACCCGCCGGCCAACCACAAGCTTTTCACCTTCAAATACGACACCCTCGACCATCTAGTCGTCGATTTGAACGAATGGGCTACTCCTATACGCTTTGGCGTATTCAAGCTACGCGGCGCCAATCATGCCAAAGACTTCGGGCCAAGAAGAGTGGATTTTGGCTGTTACCGAGGGAAAGTCGTGAAGTCCAAGGCAACGAAGAACATCACCACCGATCACGGGGACTGCCCCTGGCAGGGCGTAGCCAAAGCGCTTGTTTTTATCGACCGGAAATAGACCTTTGAGCTTCTTCCCAAGCATACCAACTATGCAAATCATCCGCCTATCGAGAGAGACTTCAACAAGTTGAAGCACAGAGTCATCTTTGGCCCTGAGTACAAGGTATTTATTGCTGTATATATCAACCGGCCAGCTGTCCCTAATAGGGAGATTTCTAAAGACTTGCGAAGAGCTTTTCCGGACCTGGATTTCGATCATAGTCACCTACGAGAATGCCGCACTCGTACTAGCAATAAAGGCCTGGCTCTCTTCCAAATCGTCCACAAGAACCACCTCGGTAAATCAGTTAGTTATGCGTTCGGCCTAATCGACAACGAACGTGAAGAAGGCTTTAACTTGCTGATGGGTGAGGTCAACGAGTATCGTGAAGAAATCGGCGTATAACGTCCTACGGTTATAATTACCGACTTTGAGAAGGCTATGAGGTCTGCAATTGCGCGTATTTACCCTGACGCTTACCCATAACTCTGTATTTTCCGTATTAGTAAGAATATAGTCCTGAGCTTTAAGAAGACTTTGTGATGGACAGGAAATCAATATTGAAGGCCTACCGGCCGCAGTACCAAGAGTTTGATAGAGTCAGAAACCTTCGGGGCAGGCAGCGCAACTCGAATGCCTTCGCCGCCGAGCCGATCCCGACTACACAGCCGAGAGCCACACAGCCGGCCGGGCAGCCGGGTAGGCAGTCCGGGCTTATGCCTTCTATTCGCCGGCATGCTTCACGATGGGAGGGGGTCACCCTTGACGATGACGACGATATCGACGACGACAATGTTGATGAGCTCAGCTAACTTGTGGAACCTCCTCGCCGTACTGTCAACATCCTTAATGTAGCTCGGAGTAGCCGGGGCACAGGAACCCGGGGCACACAGCGCGGTGGCCGGGGCGGCACAGCATCACAAGCTTCACAATACCAAGGCACACAACGCGGTGGCCGGGGAGGCACAACATCATGAGCTTCACGTGGCCCTGCAGCCTCTGCAGTTGTGAGCAGTTGAGAGTAGTTGTAAGTAGGTATACAGTTTTTTATTGCAATTTTGGCCCCGTCATGTAAGCGAATTCAACCAAGTCAGCTTCGCTTTTTATTGCAGATTTGAACGATTTGAGCGAATCTACGGTCAGGAGGTTTAATTACCGTATTTGGAAGTTGTTGACGTTGGCGACGGCGGCGAGGTGCAATGGCGGTACAATTACGATGCCAGCGCTTAGGGCGGGGCAGCCAGCGAATGTGGTAATTTTGGCTGTAAAATGTGGTATTTTCCTGGGCGGTGAGTTGTAACACCTGGGGGCCTATGTACCTACAGTGGATGGGGAGGATTTTACAGTAGCCGGAGACACCCCCATATTCTTTGCCTTGCGCTTCATCGACTAGAACAGTCTCTCAAACTGAGGTGCCAAGGATCGTGCCAACAACTAGGCGTAGAACTATGTTGTTCCGGGGCTGCTTTATAACTCGATAGTAAGGAGACAAGGCCTAGGCAGGCCAGGGCGGATCAGGCAGACGGCGGAACTTGGTCGCAGCAGGGAACAGGCGAGGCAAAACTCCCGACTTTAACAAGGGCCTCAGAGTATCTACGTGAATGTAGGGAACAGTTTCGGGCAAACTAAAATTCCTTGCAAATTGTTCGGGGTAGTTGCTGTTAGGCCCTTTCAATCCGACCACTGGGTTACAATTCGCCAGGGTATCAAAATAGTCCAACAAAGCATAAGAGGTATAAAATTGTAAAGAGTGTTGCACGTGGAAGGTCGCGGAACTTGAGTCTGATGTTTCCGTGTCATCTTATTGTCCAGCTCTCGACTATTTAAATCAGTGCATTGCGGGCGCTAGCACCTTGGACTTTATTGTTTTAACCGCACGGTCAGTCTTCAACACCAGTTCTCGGCAAGGATTTCGCAGTGAAGCACCGGCAATGGCACACCGAGATCGGCGTCTTTGCTCGGAGTGGGTGATATCCAACTTCTCTGATGTCAACGTTGCCAAGGACCGCGGCTGGTTCGTCGAGTACTGGCCATATAGCTCGTTCATACACTGCGGCCGCAGGAAGGAAGTGATCGGAATTGGCACTGTCGAACTACCCGTCATGATGTCCTGGCACGAGGGGACCGGCTTATCCCACGGCCACGGCACCCTGCGTCTCTAGTACGTCCTCCACTGCCCCGACTCGCTCTGCAACGTCATTGGCGGCAGTATCTACGGCGGCATGCGCTCTCACGATGGCAGCACCTCGGGAGTTCTCCTGGGCCGCGACGAGCGCGCCATGGCCTGCTACACGACGAAGCTGCACATTAAACACTGGTGGACCGTTGTGCTCCGTAACTCTCCCGACGGCTACTTTTTTGGCTCTTCGGCGTTTTGCAGCACGGACGTCTCAGTCGACACGTCCTGGCCCCCTGACGAGCGAGAGAAATTTGAGCTGTCTCTAGAGCCGCGAGACCGAGAGAATATTCTGGCATATCTAGGGGTAGAGAGGGTGGAAGAAGAAACGGTAACTCTGTCGAACGACGCCACGATTAGAGAGTCTGGCGATCACACCGGTTGCGAAAAACAGAACGACGGGCAGAAACAGGCACAGGACGAAGGCGAAGACGAGAAGATGGGGAACATTTCTGCCCAGCCGGACTCGGCACCGAGTCACCCCGTGGAGAGCCGGCCGCCTAGTCACAGCAGCGGCAGCAGCTACACCATAGATACCGATTACGAACCTTCGGAATGTAGTCATTCTTCCTCCTACTCGGGCAGCAGCGGCGCCATGTATGTCGATTACTAACATAGCCACGCCTCTTCCGACTCATCCGGCTGCAGAGGGGCCAATGCTAAGACTAGCTTGGCCTTGTTGTCGGGAACAACTCGAGTGCACTGCGCATTCTACAGGGTGGAAAGTATGCGAGGCACGGCGATGTATGAAAGGTCATGAATTGCTTGGGGAAGCTAAAATCTATCGGCCCGCAGGCGGGAAATCTATGTGGTATGGATAGGGTGGATCCGTAGGGGCCATTTGGTGGATCCGGCTGGGCTAGGTTTGGCCTGTGCCAGCACAGAAAGGAGGCGGAAGGCGATCGGGGGCTGTAGGAGGGGGTTTTCTTGGGGAATTAGTGGCCATTCCATTCAGCACTTTGATGGTCTCACTGCCTAACCTCTCTATTCACGTATGTTCGGCGCATGGGAATTGTTTTTTGAGCAAATGCAGTAATGCACGGAGTATTGGTTTTAGAGTCTAAATGAGGTAGACAACCCCTTCAGTCTCGAGACGCGTATGTCCGGCATAAGCCAAGTGGAGTCCGCCATTTGAACCCAAACACGGTTCTTTTCTCTTCCATTGCCAGACGCGACAAGGGCACTGCAGACCGCAAAGACGAGCGAATCAAAACCCATTACACCGTAATTTTACTGCAGATTTAATACCGTCCCTATCGATAATTAGCGAATATGGCCCCCGGGCAGCCGTGGCGCCATAGCACCCACCCCTCAGTCCCGACTGAGTAGTGCACGAGGCGACCAATCCAGACCTTTACAGCAGGGTCAGGGTCAGGGTCAGGGTCAGAGCAGCAGGCCATCGGAGTTGGCGTCGTCGAATTGCCAGTCAAGCGCAGAAAGGGCGCCAGAGCCCACGGCACCCTTCGCCTCCAGACAGTCCTGCACATTCCTTCAGCGTCATGCAATGTCTTTTGCCCTTCTTCTGACGGCTATTCTGTCTCCATAAACCTTGCCAACCGACTTCAGGGCAGATCCAGAAGCGTCAAAGACCACCGCGGTGGACGCTTGGCATTCTTTGCCTCTCATTCGCCTAGATCCCTTGCCTAACTGAGACTGAGTGGTCCTCCCGTCGGCCCCGTCTTAGAACCCTCCCACTTGGGCCTGTACAGCCCGTCCACGCTTAACGCAGTCTGGCCTGTCTCCGAGGAGGAGAGGTGGCTTGCCCAGAAGGCCAGCACCTTGTCCTCGCATCACGTGGCTGCTAAACCATAGATCATCAAGGTTGAGGAAGACTAAGGCGAGCATAACTCAGCTAGGAGTGGCTAGCAACTCACATGCCCATTGGCAGGGGGCTAAGGAGAGAATGTCTAAGCCACAGAAAGCCAGCCACAGAAAGCCAGCCACAGAACGGCCGCAGCGATATAAGCGGCAGCAGTCGCCTGGCCTACACTGAAGCGGAGAAGGCCATGATACAGAAAATGTTTAGCAGCGAGTTCATATTCCATGAGTTGTTCAATTTGAACGCTTATGGACATGGTCCAGACGGCTTAGACGCCCGCGTCAGAGAAGGCCGCGAGCTCCTGCGCGCGATACAAAAGGCCAAGAGCGACAACTGCGACATCTCAGACGACGAGATAAACAAGAGCCGGCTGCAGCACGTCGCCGACAGCGCCTTCGCCGCAGACGAGAGGGAAGGGATCCAACTAAACTACAGGTGCAGCTTTCGGTTCATGTTGATCCACGGGCTCATGTTCTACGACGATGAGGACGTGCAGGAAGCCCGAGCTCCAGTGCGGGACCAGATGCGAGGCTCAAGTGTTGGTCGAAAATAAATAACGTGTCGGTCCGGAATGATAGGCACTTAACGAAGAGAGAAATTCCGGTAAGCCCGCACTCCGCCAGATGATGTGGCATCAGCGACGTTGGGCAAGCTGCAGCTCCATGGCCTTGAGCAGTTCGCCGACAACCTAAGCGTGCGAGGAAGATGATTCATGTCAGCCCATCGAAGGGTGCCATTGTTCAACCAAACCAAAGGAGAACAAAAAAAGGGCAAGCAATCATGAAGACACGTACCCAACCCGTATAGTGGTCAACATTGTCATTCAGGTCGGCCAGCTTGTTGTCGAGCCGGTCCTCCGAGTAAAGCACCATGTCGTTAATGTCAGCGTTGCGGTTGAGCGACTTGAGGGACTCGGCCGCGGTCGCGTCGTTGCCCACACGGCAGACGAGGAACAGCACGGCCGGGCCTGGGTAGTGCTGGCGCACGACCGTCTTGAACTTGGCGAGGGCTTTGCCAAAGTCGGCCACGTCGCCGGTCTACAGATACCGATTTGCGTTATCAGAGGCCGGAAGGGAGAAAAGAAAGGGGAAGTTGGGAAGGGGAATTTAATTTAAATTCGCGTCTCAAGCGGGCCTAGTGCCGGGGACCCGCGCTGGTAGACCATCCTGCCCAGCACCTCGTTGACGGCTGCGAGGCTCGAGAGTTGCTTGTGCTCCGCGCCGGTGAAGGGCACGAGCGAGAAGGGCTGTGCAGAGCCGAGGGCCCGCAAGACGGAGAACAGGCCCCAGACCGTGGCTTCTTGGGTCGCCTTGCGCGGCTCCGTCTTGTCCTCTGATTCCCCACTGCCGGCGGCGGCAGCAGCCTGGCGAGTCAAGAGCTCGATGCTGGGCGCCAGCAGCTGGCCGATCCTTGGGGCGACTCGCGAGGCCGTCTCCTCGGCGACCTTCTCGGCGACGAGGCGGGCATGCTCCAGGCTCGCTTTCTCGGCCCGGCCTCTCTCCTCGGCCCGAGACGCCTGGTCGCGGAGAAGAATGGTCTCAAGCGAGGACAGGATGGACGGCCCGGCCTCTCGCGCCGCAGCGTCGATGCAGCAGGCGCCAAACTTGCTGAGGGCTCCTTCGGCTAGGGACCGATCGATTGCGGCCCCGTGCGGACTGTTGGGGGAAGCGAGGACATAGGACAGCTGCGATGCGACGGTGCCGAGGATGGCTGTCGAGGAGGGCGAGTGCACGGCAATAGTGTCATGGATGCTTCGGGAGTTCAAGCATTGGGGGCATGGTGTAGCAACTGCGCTATGGTGGTGGCAGAGAGACATGGTGATCTTTGTGTCTTACCTCTTTGTGTCTTACCTAGTTGTTGGGTGAGCTGTGTGTCTTACCTAGTTGTTGGGTGATCTGTGTGAACTTGAAGGTTTCCGGCTAGGAATGTGCTTTGGTAGACACTTCAAGCCGATGACCAACTCAACAAGCAACTTGAAGATTTGGGCAGAGATTAAAGGGAAAGGAGGGCTTTGTCTAGAAGAGAACGCCTGATTGACTTGTTCTCGTGTGCGTTTCCAAAGCGTCCGGGCTGGGAAGTGGAAGAAGTGGAACACGGCGAAAACAATGGTTACGAACGCATGACACGAAATGACTCAAACTCAACCCGTTGGGCAGCGATGAAGCTCATGAGGTTGACGAGATGGTTACCGAAATCTTGCCCCACGGATTGATCCGGCGGGGCGGCAGGCGACGGACGTGTACCTCGAGGCTCCCTACAGTGTCGAGCACCCACGATCGTGATTGGCGGGAGGACAAGTGTGAGGAGGAGAAAACTGCTAACGCGCATAACGCGCATGGGGCCTCACCCCCACCCCCAACTACCAGCCCGATGGCTAGTCATGAAAGTTCAACCACTCCAACCCCGCCTACAAAGAGAAAAGGGGTAACTCCGAGGCTCTGGTGGATACCCAAACTAAACCCCGCGTCTTGAGCTGTCCCGGCCGCCCGTCGTCGATCCGCTTCTCGTCCTGCCCGACACACGGCATTGCCTCGTTGTCCAAAGTTCATGACGAGCTGCTTCAAAGCACTGCGATTTTCCAACCTAATTATCTCTCAGACAGTCCATTAGCCTCGAAATCATGGTTATGGTTCGTGGTCTTCCATTACTCCTCCCTCGTATTGGGTCGAAGGCATTTCTGACTCGAACCTTGAGCTGTTGCAGAATCTGGTCTACCCTGGGGACAGCCTAGTTACTGTTGAGTTGGTCTTTTAATGTCTTCTTCCACCCCGCGATCCTCCGCATGAGTCCTCTTGCTGATCAGCTACGTCTGTAATACGCGTCAAGTCTTGTCCTCGTCCACGACCTTTCGGGTGACGTCACCGCCTCATGGGAATCGCCCACGTCGAACGTTGTCTGGCCCAAGCACCTGCTACCGCTCTCCCAGGAGGTCCGCCAGGAGAGCTTTCGGGTCCTGAGCTTTGAATACAATGGCAACACGGCCGTTGCGGGCAACGCGGCCCCGGCCGGAGGCAACACAGTTGATGAGAACGCATCCGACCTCCTCTCCGAACTTGGGTCGCAACGTCGAGGACAACCTGTACGTGCGCAGTTAGGCTAGACAAGACAATAGAATAACCAGAAGCTGACCCTGAGGTAGGCTGATCGTCCCATCATCTTTGTTGCTCATGGCTATGGCGGACTCATTGTCAAGGCGGTTAGTGCACCTCTCTCTATGCTCCCTTGTGCGAGACCGAAAGGGTTGATATAGGCTACAGACACTGAGCAGGTCCCGCGAACTAGCCACCAGCAACATCAACCAAGCCGCCATCGGCGTGGTGTTCCTCGCAACTCCATACAATGGTTCCCACATTGGGAATTGGCAAGATGTCGAAACCCCCTCGACGGGGCTCGCTCCCAAGACCTACAGCGCTCAGATCGCCGCCGACCTCAATCTGGGGTCGTCTACAGTTTCTAGGCTGGCACGCGAGTTCACCAACATCGCCAATGACGGACTGCAGATTGTGTCCTTTGCCGAATCGCTTCCAAGCCGCTGCATATCCGGCGGCACTAAGTTTGTATGTCGGGCATCAGCGCAGCAAAACCTCATCTCAGCATAGCACCGTACTGACTCCACCAGCTTGTCTCGGCCACCAACACCAGAATCAACCATTTTAACGAGACTACGCGCAGTTTCGCGGCCAAACACTACGACATGACATTCGCCGACAACATGAACGACCCCAGGTTCCTGAGCCTGGCTGGGGAAATCGGGCGAATTCTCAAAACGTACAGAGACGGTGTGTTCCATTCCCTGTCTCAACCGGTTACTTGTAGGCAAATAAGCCATTTTGGAGGCCAAATTTAGGCCAAATTGAGAGTCAGGTTAATTAGCATATTTGTAAATATTCCCCATTAGTTGAGCCATTTTTGGGCCCAATTTTCCGGGTTTTCCTGGCACCAGGGCAGTCCCTTACCAAGGCCAACCCTGCATTTTCTGGTCCCGGGAAAATCCTCGAATGCCCTGAATTCGAGTGCCGCCGTGCCGCTACAGTGCAACTATCGCCAACCGCTGTAAACAAACTGCCGAATCCTACCTCCTGCAGCGATTTCCCTGCTTCCTTGGCTCCCGAGTCCTCGACAACATGCCTACCTCCACCGTTGATGTCACGCCCCTCTTGACAAGCCTCCCTACTGCCGAAAATCGTCCTTGGGCGAGTAAATGAGGATCCTGAAGGTCAAGGGCTTTTTTCCGGTCTCAGGGTGCCATTCGGGGCTCGATTTCCTTGTTTTTTAGTAGAGCGGTAAATTCCGTTAATTGAGTCAAATAAAACCCACCCAATCAGAGAGAGCCTCTTGCACAGATAAATACACCATTTTGAGCCTCATATACAGTCAAATAAGGCTTTATATTTGGCCTGATTGAATTCATGCTAGCGCTGCCCGAAAACACCTGAAACCGGGGTAACCGGGGTAATGCTGTTTTCCTTTCTTTTCTTCAGTCCACCCCTTGTTCTAACCCCCGGCTGACGATGATGGCTTGAACAGCCCGACCAGCCGGTGCAACCGGGCTAGCTCACCGCCGATCAGCTTTGAATCCTCTACCAAGCGGCCTTTAAGAGGTTCGACATTGGCAGTGCGCTCTATTATAACGAGCAGCTCATCAGCTCCTGTCAAGCACCAAAGGAATCAACGACCCCGAGGCGCTCAGGGAGCGCGAGAACTGGAAGGTGCTCCGTTCCTATCAGGGGTACAAGTGAAGCCGGAGGGACGCAGTCTAGCGATAGAATTGTGCCTAGACTGGTTGAACAAAGCCGACATATAGCTTGGCTCATGACGATCGGACTTGGGTCCCATCTCGTTCGTACCGCCTAATAATGTCTCATGTTCCCAAAGGTCTGCTGCTGCTTGACGTCGTGCGTGCTGCAATTGTGCCTTGGCCCCTGCCGCTCCTCATCCTTCCTTAGCTCGCTGAATGCCTGCCTCGCTATCGGGATGTAACCTGCGAGCCGCATATCCCTCGCCGTCCGACTACTAGCGATGACGTCAAGGCCTAGAATAGTTCTAATAGAGAAGTGCAAAGCGATAATATCGAAATCTAAAGGTCTTAAAATAGAAATCTAAGGGTCTTAAAATAAAAATCTAAAGGTCTTAAAATATATACTAGGGGCCTGCTAGAAACTAGGGGCCTAGACGTGGCGACCCAACAAAGAAATCGCCCCACAACGAAATCTCTGCCCCTGTCATCTAATTTCCCGCCCTTCAACTTCAACACAACACAACTTCATCAATTCAGGCTCGAATAGCTTCAAAATACATCATGTCGAACCGTCGAGAGCAGCTAATTCAATCTGCAATACTTGCAGTTGAACAGGGCGCATCGCAGAAGCAGGCCGCGCATGACTTCGGGATCCCTCCTTCTACCCTCTGCAAACGCATCCACGGGGCAGAAAATCGAGCACAAAGTAAACAAGCCGAAAGAAACCTCTCCAATGCGCAGGAAAGCTTCCTAGCCGACTGGTGCCTCAATGAGGAGGCTGCAGGCAGGGCTCCTAGCCGTCGTCAGGTGCAGAGATTCGCTCAAGCTATACTCAATGAGGCCGGCACGAAAAAGACCATTGGGGAGCGATATGTAGACCGCTTCCTACGCCGCAACCCGGCGGTAAAGATGAAGAATTCAACCTTGTTGGAATCCTCTCGAGTCTGCGGATCTACTCGTGAAGCTTATGAAGCTTTCTTCAAGCGCCTGGCCTTCCAAATCAAGGATAAAAAGGTCATCCCGGCCAACATCGCTAACATGGATGAGCACGGCATGCAGGAGCTCGAGACCCGGGCCGGAAAGGTCATAGGAAGCTCCCTGACGAACCGAACCTACGTGAAAAGCTCTGATGCAACAACCTGGGTTTCAGTTATCGAATGCGGCACTGCTGAGGGCGTTCGTTTGAAGCCCGTGATCATATTTACCGGGGCCAGTCTTCAAGGACAACACTTTCCTGATAACTTCAACCTGACGAAGGAATTCCGGGAATGGAAGTATGATTACTCAATTACAGGCTGGAGCAACGCCAGTATTGCGCTGAAATGGCTCAAAGAGGTCTACCTGATCCAAACAAAGCCCCAAAGGCCGGGCGAATGGCGTATACTGATCCTTGACGAACATTCGAGCCATATGAACGAAAAATTCATGTTAGCGGCCTTCCAAAATAAGGTCCAGTTCGTCTATTTACCTTCTCATACATCGCACAAGTCTCAGCCTCTCGATCGCTCGGTCTTTTCACCTTTAAAGACCTATTTTAGGGAAAATACCAAGGCCCTCGCGAGCTTCACATCGTCAACTCCTGTCAACAAGGTTCGGTTCCTTTACTGCTACAGAGATGCCTCGGGTAAAGGCATGAGTGCCCGTAACATCATGTCGGGCTTCAGTAAAACCGGGATTTGGCCCTTCAACCCGGCTTGTTTACTTGATGACCCTGAGGCGGTCAAGGACAATGAGGCACTCCCGGCCCGGCCTTCAACACCGCCGCCGACGGCCCCGAACGACGATGACAGGCTCTTCAAAACACCGCACGGCAGTCAGGACATCAAGAAGTACCAGGACAGTATTCGGAATGCCCTCAGTCCGGCTCAGCGGCGTGTGCGGGCCTTGTTTACTAAGGTCGGGAGGTCCCTGGATCTGAAGAATACAGAGATCGCGTCTTTGAAGGCACAAATTACGCATCTCACAACCGAATTAGAGGCTTCAAAGCCTCGCACGCGTAAGAGGGTATATGAAGATGGAAATGAGCGATTTGCACGTATAGAGGACATCGCCAAGGCACAAAAAGCTAGTCAAATACCCCCAAAGCGGAAAAAAACGGCTCGGGCAGAAAGCCAGCCACATGCAGTCGAAGAAGCCCGGGAAATAATCGCCCGTGGGCTCGAACAATATAGACAGGCCGAAGAAGAGGATTGAGTATTTTTTTGCTAGTTATTTTGTGTAGAAATGGATAATTTGCGCCCGTGGAGTGGGTGTGGGCATGGCGTGGGCCAATTTCGTTGTGGGGCGATTTCTTTGTTGGGTCGCCACGTCTAGTAGAGAATGCTGAAGCCCTGGCCCCTGTCACGGCGGGTGTCGTGGTGGTGTCAATGACGTATACTGCGCCCTGATTGGATGCATCCTTTTTTAGAGTGTGGTCTGTGCGCACTCGGCTTCCTTACGTCAGCCCTGCAGCCCACACCTATTTCCCCGCGCCCTGCGCCCGCGAATTGCTTCCTTCCTCTTTTCCTTCCTTAGCTTTAGATTCCACAATACAGGTTACGGTTATATTGAGCGTTATGCCAGTCGAATCCTCTCCTTCGTGACAGCCCCTATCCCCTTAGCATCTAGTGGTATTGCTTGTCAAAACTATATTGGGTTCTAATTTTTTATCTATCATAGATAGATACCTAAGCGGGCGTTTTAGATCGTCCGAATAGACTTTCTTCATTATTTCATTCGGGAATAGTTTAGCGCGTCACGCCATCAGTCTTTAGACACCCAGGGTTTGCTTTGACCTGGTTACCCAGCTGCATTGTCCCAAGCGGTCATATAGAAACAAACCCCGTCTCTGTCACTTGGCACAACAATCGCAGCCTTGTCAGGTAGCAGAAATGGGCAGACATGGTGCGCGGCCGCAGCGGTCTGCTCTCTTCAACCTGTTACTGGCTGCTTCCATTATCGAGACTGAAAATGCCTGTCCTTGCGACGCTGCTGGGACATTGGTTGGGCTTGAGGGTGGGTGATATCGGCGGAAGGAGTCTCGGGGAAAGTTCTTACTCCTGCCGGCCGCAGCCAAGGTTGTACATGATTGGAGGCCATTGCCCGAACAGGCATGGACTTTCGTTGCTCCTCACTGCTCCTCAGTGCTACCCAACCTGCATCAGTATGTGCTCATCTTCTGTGGCTAGCTGAAAGCTCCATTGCCTTGATGCATCGGTAATTCGTCCACTTTACGACCTCAAGGAAGCTGATAGAAGTGATTGAGGGGCAGACGCTTCTAGCCTTCTAAAGTGGTGTGGTATCTGCAGGTTTCGCCCACGTCCAGCTGAGGAGGATTTGCCAAAGTACACAGTGGAAAGTGAAATAGGGGTGCACTGTTTCTTCGTCTGAGGCGGGACTCGCTTGGCTTGCCATTTTGTGGCCCAGGATGACCCACGTGGTTTACATCGAGGATAATGAGGCTGACGATAGTACGCTCCCCGCTGAATTGTGTTTATTTTCGTGGGTGCATAGTGATCGACAATCGACTTCACTTTCACGATAGATCCAGCTGCAGGACTCACTCCTTGAGTGAACGACAGATAATACGCCCTCCCACCCCCAAATTCCCTCCTCTCTAACAGTATTCAGGATCTCAGAGCCTCGAAACTCGGGGTCAAATATTGTCCAGCAATCAATCCATCAAGTTTTCATCTCCTCTCACGCTTCTCTCCTCTCACGCTTCTCTCCTCTCACGCTTCTCTCTCACGCTTCTCTCCTCACGCTTCTCTCCTCACGCTTCTCTCCTCTCACGCTTCTCTCTTGTCATAACACCACTTTGATATCCATCAGTCACCTTGACAGACATATCTACAACTATCATCATCCCTGCTTACAAGACAACAATAGTTTTGTTTCCCATCACCCAACATGTCTGAGAATAAGACCCAAGCCCCCACGGCCGCGTACACCAAGTTCAACTTAGCGGCAGTCACCTTCGTGCATCCGCGCAGCCCCCCCGATATCAAGCAGTGCCCTTGCGAGCACGTGGACGCGCCCCAGGCCGCTCAATCCGCCAGCAAGTTCATCCGCGTCTACCATACCGAGCGGTCCGGGTATCCCTACAACCGAGATTTGTGGCTCATCCGCGAGACTCGGTACAGCACTGAAAAGGGCTGGCACCCACCTAATGATGACCTAGTCGCCGACGACGCCGCGCCAGGGTCTCCGGTTGCCGCTGTTGGGTGGTGGTTGGAGAACGAGGAAGGCGCCCCAGACGTTTGGGAGGTCAGTTGTAGTCGCTTCCTCCATCAAGGATACATTCTCTTACTAACATTACTCTCCTCACAGACGCGAGTGTACTACATCGACAAGCTGGGGAAAATTCGCGAGGTAGGTTTACCGCAGGGACTACGAGTGCGCGAGTCTTGTTTGCTGACCACCTCTGCGTCACACAGCGGACCAACCACACCTCGTTCGGCCCTTCGGGAATCAAGGATGACTTCGACTCGACTCTTCCCGAGCCCGCCAACCTCGTTCTTCCCACGCCCGGGTGGAAATCAACCCCTCTTGCGAATGGCACCGACGATGCTCTAGAAGAAGCAGCCGCCGCTGCCGACCTGGTCCCCTTCCCCATGACCACCCCACTGCCGAGCTCGAAGCTTGGAGCCTTCAAGGTGGACAGCGGGGCCCTCGAAGTTTTTTACCAGGCCTCTGACGAGTCGATCAAGGTCCTTGAATATGTCCCGGGGAATACGAAGTGGAATGCCGGGGAAAAGATCGTCGTCGGCGTGGGCAAGGTCAAGGCCGGCACGCCCCTGGCTGCGTTGGTGGGCGGCTGGTTGGAGCATAGGCTCTTCTACGTCACACCCGAGAATAAACTGGCGGGCTTCTACGGAGACGGGCACACCCAATGGCGGGCCAGTAAGTGACCTTTTCCCCGAGCCATGCATTTTTTCCTCAAGCCACTAACCAACCACGACCGCAGTCGAAGAGACCCTGAGCTACCAGATCCCCCCCTCGGCCATGATCTCGGCAGTGGCGTGGAACTACGGCACCAGGTTCTTCGAGATCCGCATCTACACCACCGATGACAACGACGCCCTGTACGAAATATCGTACTCGCGTCACCTGGACGGCTGGAAGCCCCACGCCGAGTCTGTGGCGCCCGTTCTGGGCCCGGCGTCCAAGTCTCTGGCCCCCGGCGGCATCGACAGTCCGCCGCTGTCTGCCGTCGCCGCCATCCTGCTGGAGGGTGACTGGAAGACCAAGGTATACTTCCACCCGCGCCGCACCATTGGCGAGTGGGACGTCTGCGCCAAGGCGCCCGCGTTTAGCGGCATCCCCAAGGCGAGTGCGGCCGCGGCGGAGAGGCGCGAGCTTGAGGAGAAGACCAGAGCCTTGATCAAGGCGGACGAGGAGCGCAGGGCCAAGGAAGAAGAGGAGCGCAAGGAGAAAGAGCGTAAGGAAAGGGAGGAGGCCGAGAGAAGGGCCGAACAGGAGGCGGCGGCGGCGGCGGCGGCGGCGGCCCGGCGAGGAGAGCCTCAGCCCAAGCCCGCTCCCGCACTGGTGAGTCTCGGAAAACACCTGGCGTCTATCATATGGCCCTCACGATACTAAACATATCCCTCCTTGCAGATGCTCACCAGGCCCACCATCGTCATGGGCGACCCGGCGTCGGCGCCGGACAACGTCGACGACGTGTACAAGCGCGTTAGCCTGCCGTTCGATGTGTCGCTCTTCGAGAGCATGACGACCCGGACGATCTGGATCAGCGACAACGGCATCATCAGCATCGAAGGGGTCAGCCCGGAGAGCAAGTACTACACCCACGACCTGGCGCAAAAGTACAAGGACGCGCGGCGCCTGCCGTTCAACGCCGCCGCCGACTTCTCTAAGCACGCGCTGTTCCCACTGTGGGCCGACCTGCTGATCTGCAAGGGCAGCAAGCACGGGGTCTTCTACCAGGTGTCGGGTGACGCGCCCGCTAGGATTTTGACTGTTGAGTGGCTCGTCACCCAGTACGGCGCCACACAGGACTACTACCACTTCAGCGTGACCCTCTACGAGGCCCGCCGCGGCGTCGCCACGTTCAAGTACAATGCCGTCGACGGCGACGCCGGGTCCAAGTGCACTGTCGGCGCGCAGGGAGGGGCTCGTGAGTTTCCCAGTTCTGTCTCTATTAATCAAGGCCATCTAGAGTCGTCTTCTAACCTGAACCCCTCTCTTGTTCCAGGCTTCTTGCAATTCTCGTACAATGACAGCACGTCCAAGATCGCGCCGGGTGTGCAGGTCGAGCTTGACACGGCCAGGGGTACGGTTACCCCGACAACCTTCACGCCCACCGCACGTGGGTAAGTGAGTGTGTCGTGAGTGTGTCGCACACAAGCAGTTGGCCGGGAATGGTACCATATCCACTCGGGGGTATAACACAGAATCAACTAATGCAGGCCAGGCCATAGGCCTTCAATCACAAGGCGTCTACCCTCATCTTCATAAAAGCGTGGGGGTCGCCTTGGCGTACGCTTTTTTCTTCTAGATCTATGATAGCTTGTATTAGTTGGTTCCGTATTGAATGGTTTGGATATGGTATGCTCACGCGGTCCGCGCCAAGTCTTGTTCCCCACCCCCTATCTGGGCGTCTTGCGGTCTTTGTGGGTGCTTTCGGCTCAATATCACTCCCGCAGGGGCTTCCTATTCAACCCCTCCTACTCAACCCCTTGACTCGCAGACATATAGTACAACGATTTGCAAGCGTACTCCCGCTCCGTGTTACATTTTTGCACCATCTTGGTGAGCCTGGCATGCGCTTCGTTGATGCTGAGCCTTCCCTTGAACGGCTTCGGATTCTTGATTACCAACAGCCCCGTTTCGATCAGGTCCAGAAAGTCGAGAATGAATGGCGTACACCTCCTGTCGGAGCGGAGTCTCTTGATGAACTGCATATCGCGCAAATGAGTACTCTTGATCGGCAGCTTCATCTCGGCATCCGGAGACTCACCGCTGTAACCGATCGCTTGACGGCCGCGTAGAGTTCCTTCGTTTCGGGGTCCTTATGCAGGTGGAAGAACGTGTCCGTGTCAATCTCGTACCATGCCATGTCCATGGACAACCGTTCACGTACGAACTCGTCGAGCAGCGCCGTGCCTCCAACCAGCCAGGTGACGAACTCGAGATACAGGCATCCCAGCGTCCACATGTCGTACTGCCGTCCCTTTCCGCCCTGGTTGGGCAAGTCGCACTCGGGGGCGCGGTAGTTGCAGGTCACGGCGACGTTGCTGTGGAACCGCCTGGATGCGGTCCGGCGGGAGCTGGAGTCGGCGAGGCCGAAGTCGGACAGCTTGAGCGTCCCGCGACCGCCGCCGCCGCCGGACTGGCCGCCGCCCCGCGCCTCTGTGTTGTCGCAGAACCAGAGCACGTTCTCCGGTTTGATGTCGCCGTGGTTCCCCACGATTCTCTTCAGGTCGTGGGGCTGTAGTCGGGCGTTGCCCGAATCGTCCTCGTGGATCTTAAGCACCCCTTTCGCAATCCCCAGGCACTGCTCCGCCGCCCAGCGCACGCCGCCGGTATCCCCGGCGGGAGGGGGGGGCATCTTCTTCCAGTAGGTTTGCAGGTCGTCGTCGGCGCACGGGAAGATGAGGAAGAAGGTTCCATTTTGTTCGTACGTGGCGAGCAGGGAGATGAGATTCGGGTGTGCATTGTTGCTGAATTTCTTGAGCATGTCGACTTCCTTCTTGAAGCTCTCCTTGTCCTGCGAGTGAAGGCATTTGATGGCGAAAACGCAGGTGCATCCGGGGCTCTCATCACCATGGTCTGACGGGGATGCGGCGCGAGGGCAGTCGAAGAAGGCGTGAAAGTTATGATGGTCGGGGTGGATGCCGGTTTTGAACACGCGGCCGCCGCCGCCGAGCAGTTCCTGGTTTACTTCGTCCTGTTTCTTGTTTGGGGAGAAGGGCAGTATCACGCGATCTTGGAGCGGGTAATGGCGAACCTCTTTGCGTTCTTCGCTATTGGAAAAGAATGGAGCCAGGGTCGTCCACTGATAGTCCACGAAGTTGCGGATTTGGATCCCCGTCCATCCGCTCCGGAAGCACTTCAGCTCTTTATCGAGGGCCCGAGACCTTCGCATGCCTTTCCCGGTTCCTGACCTAACTAGCGGCAAGTCTGAGTCGTTGACCCCCTCTCTGATGAACTGGCGAATGGCTGGCGCCTTGTCGATTAGCACGAGGATGGCGAATACTCTGCGGTAGGTTCTGATTCTTGGCTTCATGCTTGATGTCCCATCCTCTTCAAAGCTGTTGACCCGTTTTTCAGAGCAGATCTTTCGCGCGTATTTCGTACTCTTGTCGCCGTAGTGTTTGTTGAGCTCCTCGGACACAGACTGCTCCGTGAGCAGAAGTGGAAGCAAGTTTACGGGAAAGAAACCTTTTTTGCTCTTCTCTTCGGTCGGCGCGAGGGCTTTCCAGAGCCGATCCTGCAAGGTATGGTGGCCGCTTGGTTTTGATCGACTGTCCTTGCGTTGCCTCGACTGTCGGTGATTATAGTGCAACTCGGCGCCAAAATCCGTGATTTCGCTCTGCTGTTCTGACAGAGGTGGAAACACTGGTCTGTAAACAAGATTCGGGAGAGGGCTATCTTCTCTGCTGAAAGTTGCTCTGGCTGCTTGGTTGACATCTAATGCGAGTGCCTGGCGGCTTGGGCCACTCGGAGCGAGGTCCAACCCCTCCCTGGTCAATTCGTCGTCGGATTGCCCAATCTCCTCATATTCCGGCCCCGTCGCTCCCAAAACGACGATTTCCGGCAACTGTTGGTCGTCTTCTCTACTTAAAAGCGACCCAAAGCTACTGCAGGATGTCGTGCAGTCTGATTTGTTGTCAGGCTCTGTCGCTGGGTCGGGCGAGCTTCCGTGGCTCGCGCTGGGCAGGCCTGGGCTTCCGCTGTCTAGCGTAAGTCTGCTATGGGGAGTTGATTGCCAGCCGTTGTCGGAAAACGGGGTCGCTGCGGATTCAGTCTGACCCAAGTCCCCGTATTGCTCGCTGTTGGGTGTAGCGTGTGTTGTGTTGGTGGCTATTATGAGGGGCGCTCTAGTGGTCTCGGAGCGCGACCTCTCGCTTCGCCCTGGGTGATTTGGCGGCAAACGCATGGGTGAGTTGCTTGTATCGTCTGCCGATGAGGCCATTACTTACCCTTGGGTTAGTTGGTGAGTGACGATAAGGCTGCGCTGTTTCATGACGAGTTAAGAAAGGAACTGGTGAATATTATGCACGATGCTCGGGCTGCGCGCCTAACCTGAATATTGTCGAAGAATATGTGAGAGGGTGAGTTCGGCTTGTCGAGGCTCAAGGCGTTGCTAAGCGCGGGGCGTCTCCCAGAAAGGCGTTCTTTGTCTGGGGTTGTGTCGGGCACCATGCATGCCACCGGGCGGCGGGTAGGTGAGAAAGCCTGGACCGCACTGCGCACCATCTTACGAGACGCGCTGTGGGGGCACCATGAGCACAATATGGAGGCTCAGGACAAAAAAAGGGGGTACTCTTCACAACGGTCAGGTGCCGTCCTTCACCGAAGGATCCGTTCAAGCTTCGTTGAAGCCCCCGTGTGAAAGATTGACTTGTTGACCACTGAGGTTACCACTGAGGTTAACCACTGAGGCAGCTGTTGAATCCAACCTCTTATCTAGGTAATCCCTTTAGGGATGCATGTGGCATTTTAGTCCTCGCGCTGGGGAGGGTGACCCATTTCTTGGCCCCACGGGAGCCTCGTATATACCGCACCGTCAGCGAACCAAAAAAAATGGCATTCTGGGACTACACCGACCCTATATTTACTGGAAAGAATGTGGAGGCTACTTTCAGACACTGGGTGGGTCACGCGGCGTGGAGAGTGGAGGAAGGTGCGATGGAATTTGCGACTTTGATTGGCTTTGTCGGCCCTTTATCAGGAGACCGGGTTGGCCGCAGGGAAGGATCGCCCGGCGGGAGGCAACCTTAGGCAACCACCCTCGCCCCTCCGGTTTCAATGTCGGTCAACCTTGCCCTCCTACATCCAATGGCGCAATGCCCGGACAAAGAGCCTCGGGAGACAGTGCCACACGGTCTCGGTCAGACGCCTTGCGGCAGCTTGACTGGCCGCCGACCGACCAACATCGGATTTGGGGGCCGGTGGATGTGTCAATCGGAATGCCACTTTCGCACCAGGCTCCGCTGCGGCAAAATGCCTCGTAAAATGCCTCGTCTACATAAACGAAGGAAGGCGCCAGCGGGCAGCTCTATAAGTACCTACGCGAGCGCTGTCGAGCTCCACGGCCTTCTTCTCGATCTCTATCACCATTAGCTGGACTGTAATTTCGTGTTGAAGCGACATGGAGGCGCTAGAGAAGCAGCTTGCGTCGTTGCAAGAGCTTCCGGCACGGAACACGAACCCCTTGAAGTTAATCGCGCTCCTGCGCGAGCAGTTTGGGCTTGGTCAGTACAGAATATCAGTGAGCATCAGCAACCGCTTCCGAAACGCCAATCGGGCTGTCGCTGTGCAGGAGCTGATTGGCGCGACAGATGATCCGAGGCGTCTACAACATCCGCACCCCACGACGGCTCTCCCTCGACGAAATCGCACAGTGCAAAGGGTTCTAGCCGACCGATGAGCTGGAAGGTGCATGTCGGCTCCTCACAAATCGCTCGACGAGGCTCTGATCCGCCCACCAAATTCTAGGTGATGGAGGGGGGCATGCTTCGACTGGCACAATGTCACAGGGCACTAAACTGTCTTTGGCCGAGCTGAGTCCGGAGGGGGCGGTCTGCGACCCAATAGTGTAGCCTACCGATGTTTTGTATTATTAGAGGCGGCGGCAGCTCGCCCAGAACAATGGTGCACGGAATTTTCTCCGCCTGTCTTGTGCTCCCAATTTCACCCGCATTCAAAGCTCTACCTCATCCCTTAGCCGACACGTTCGAGGCCCTCTTTCGCCGGCTGCTGTCCGTGGCTTCGAGCTCGAAAATGTTTACGAGAGTTCCCTGTACCGTCAGCGAGGACGAGTCTGAGTCCAGCGAGTCGTCAACTTCGCTGATCTCGGAGTCGAGAGACAATGTCCCGACCCCCACGAGCTTGGCTGATTTGATTGAGAGTCATTTAGCGACAAGCAGCTACGACAATAAAGACTTCCTTCCCGAAGGGTTGATCGAGCAGTTGGTCACCGAAGAGGCTGTCCGAGAACAACTGGGCTGCCCCGAAGACAAGAAGAAGGATGAAGATTCCATCGTCAAGTATATTTTTCATCAAAAGAAATGCGCCAAGAAAGTCTTCGTGGTTGCCCTTCTCTGCGGCATGGACAAGAGCGACCGAAAGCTTCTCAAGGCAATGGCTTGCTTCAAAAAAGCCAAGACTCATGACAGCCACTTGCCTCTCAAGCCAGATACCTGCCCTGGTAGCTCAGGTCTAGAACTTGATATTAAGGGGACTGTCACCTTCTCCTTTTACAAAAACCTCAAGATTGGCAACTTCGGCGAGAAACAGTGGGCTGTCCTTGCCCCTGTCTTCACAGACAAGAACACCAAATTGACACTAGACCCTGGCTCCATCTTGCCCGTTGTGGGTGAGATGCGAGGAATGGATAGCGGCGCTTTCGGCGAGGTGTCTCAGGTAGCCATCCATGAAAATCACTGGTCCAAGCCCATCCTGAGAGTACGTACACAGGCCATCCCATCGCGTGTGCTGTGGAGACACTAAAATGCATCCAGTATGATGGCCTGCGAGCCGACATCGCCATCAAAAAGATCAAAGGATTTGGGAGAGAGATCACGGACACTCAAAAACTCGACCAGTTACAGAAAGAGTGGGACCGGGAGGTTGGAGCACACATCGCCATGCGCGACGCCCAGCACAAGCACATCATCGAATTCATTACAGCGGTGGAGAGGGGCTACGATCGGTTCTTGATGTTCCGCTGGGCTGAGGAAGGTAACCTCCGAACCTTCTGGGGGAATAACAACCACCCGGCCCTCACGAGCGCCCTGGTAAAGGATGTTGTTTACCAGATCCGAGGCCTTGCAGACGCACTTCACAAGCTCCATACTGGAAACAAGGTCGGGGGCGAGTCGTTTCGGCACGGGGACCTCAAGCCCGAAAACATTCTTTGCGTCACTCTCACGCCTCCCCAAGACGACCATGGCACCACCAGCATCCCAGAACTGAAAATCTCAGACATGGGCCTGGCCAAACGCCACAATGTTGCCACTGAGCTCCGCCCACAAACCAGCATGCGCTACACAACTGCCAGGTACGAACCTCCGGAAGTGATCTTGCCGGAACTCGGGCAGGGCCGTTCCAGGAGATACGATATGTGGTCGTTTGGGTGCGTCATCCTCGAGATGATCATCTGGCTCTTCTATAGCAACGACGAGTTGGAGGATTTCAACAAGCAAATCGTGGACGAAATGGGCCATGGGAGTCACTGGTTCGAGAAGAGTCAGGGCCAGGCCGCAGTTGTGCATCTTCACGTGCGGAATATCATGCACAAGCTACGGACCGAGGACCACGAGTGCGCCACCGAGACGGCTATGCGAGATCTCCTTGACATTGTGGAGACGAAACTTTTAGTGGTGAGGCTTGGAGTCGGCACTGCCACTGCTGGCGGGGAGTCGGGCCCCAGGTCGAGCCCTGGATCTCGGATCTACACAGAGGAGCTCTTGGTGGATTTGGACGGAATGGTAAGGAAAGGCGAGAGGAATGAGCGCTACTGGTTTACAGGCACGAGCCGGGAAGGGATCGGCAAGCTCAGTGAAGCCACCAAAGATTCACAAATCCCGATACGGCAGGCCCTGCTCTCTCCGGAAGCAGCGCTGGCTCCCGGGCAACGGCCCCTACCGGCAATTCGAGGGCCCGATGACTATCTCGCACGCGAAGAGCACGAACACATCATCAGCGTTCAGGTTCCAACCGCATCTGAGATAAGAACGAGAAAAGTAAGTTGTTCTTCAGGAGCTGCGCGCCGATTTACTGACCGCTTCACTGCAGAATGTATGCTTCTCCTCTCTCCAGCTCGTGGATTTATATCTCTTTCTTGGCTGTGCGTTTCTATGACTAACCCAGATGGTTCCGATGCCTAACAAATCACAGGAAGTAAGTTCCCCGCATGACGAATCTCAAACCCAGTGAAAAGAGCGTGGCGCTGATATCACTCCTTCTGCAGTATGTAAGTGTAACCCATGATAATCTTCAGCAGCCTAAACCAAGGTTGACGGTTCAAAAGCGCGTAAGGCTCCCCATGCGTCCCCATGCGATGAATTAATGCCGGTCGCAGAAGTGACTGGCAACTCGAAATTGACAAACTTTTGCTTCGCAGAATGTGAGTACTGTCCTCTGTCACACCCACCAACACAACCTACTTCAGACCTCCCCGCTCACCTAATCGGACACATCAGGCCGTAAGTCTCTCCCCCAATCCATCTGGCCGCTTCTGCAGAATCTAACAGGAATATTTAGATACAGGTATGACGACCTCGAGGGAATGAAGTTTCAGATGTTTAATGTTCCTCCTAGGTCTACAAGGTCGAGTTCCCAGTCGACAACAAGTTTGCGACTGAGCTTCTTCAACCGCTGGCAAACAACGATCTGTTTCCGATGTCCACCCCATCAGCGCGGCTGTGCGACCGATGCCAAGGGTTTGATGTCGGCAAGCCCTTCTTCAACATCATCGATACTTTATCAGACCTCGAGTCCAGCCGGAGCTCGTGTGACTTTTGCAAAATGCGGTGGGAGGTTTGCCACAGCCCCAACGGGGAACCAGTGCAAAGCATCCGCTTCGATCGTGACCAGTCGACTCTGAAACTCAACGAGAGCCTTCTTCCCGTCATCTCCATCTGCCGTAGCCCAGGTAGAGCACCTCCTCGCGGCATTCTCGCCGGGATCCACTAAACGCTGACTTTTTCAGATCTCGCCAGCCCCCACGCCAACGCCATCCAGATCGGCCTGCCCCAGATCGCCGAGGCCGCCAGCCGCCAGCACTTCAGCACTCTCCGACGCTGGCTTTCAGACTGTGACAAAAACCACCCGAAATGCCACCCCGTCGAGAGGAGCCGGCCCGCCCCCCGCCCGCCAACCCGCCTCATCGACGTGGGCACCGTCGCCATGCCGCTCGCGCGACTTTTGGACACCCAAGCCTCCTTCCCGGCATCCGCCCCTTACAAATACGCCGCGCTCTCGCACCCGTGGGGTCCCGAGCCTCACTTCTGCACCTTCTCGTCCACGCTGGATCAGCACAAGCAGCGCATTCCCGTCGAGCGCAGCGACTTCCCGGCCACGTTCCGCGACGCCATCGCCACGACGCGCGAGCTCGGCCTGCGCCACCTGTGGATCGATTCCATCTGCATCGTCCAGGGCCCGGACGGAGACTTTGGCGTCGAGTCGAAGCGCATGGAGGACGTGTTCAGCTCGGCGTACTGCGTCATTGCCGCCAGCCGTGCCAGGGGCCAGACGGATGGGTTTCAGGGCCCGAGGAAGCAGCGGCAGTTCCTGGAGCTTCCCGTCAAGAACGCGGGGGCCGCCGCCGGCGGGCAAGGAGGCACGGGGAGGTTGTTTGTGTGTCAGTTCATTGACAACTTCGGCGAGCATGTGCTCAACAGCCCGCTCAGCAGGAGAGGGTGGGTGCTGCAAGAGAGGGCGCTCGCGCGGAGGAGCATCTACTTTACAGACTGGCAGGCGTACTGGGAATGCGGCGAGGGAGTGCGTTGTGAGACGCTGAGCATGGTAAACGAGTGAGCCGTCCGTTCTTTTCGCTTCCCTGGGTACCCACTTGCTGCTGCCTTTCCCTTGGCTAGGATTAACTAGACACCACTAACGGATGGCGTTTCAGCAAGCTCGCCTCCTTCTTGGGCGACCCACACTTTCCCTCCAAACTCTCCAGCAACCTGACCGACCGCGGCGAGAAGATCCGTTTCTACGAAGACATCTACAAGCGGTACTCGCGCCTGGACTTCAGCCGCATCACCGACCGCGCCGTGGCCATCGCGGGGCTCGAGCGGCGCATGCTCACCGATCTCAACGCTCGCGGCGGGTTCGGCATCTTCGACGACGGCCGCAGCCTGCTGCCGCGCACGCTGCTGTGGCGGCGCGGGGAGGGGGTTGCGGCCCTGCAGCGCATTCCTCCCGACCAGGACGCCGCCGCGGCCAGTCGTCGGGCTCGGCCGCCCAGCTGGTCGTGGGCCGCATACGACGGCGCAATCGACTTCCTGGCTCTGCCGCTCGGCGAGGTCGACTGGTGCGAGGACCAGATCCACAGCCCCTGGAAAGACCGTGGGGGGGAGAGAAGAGGGGAAGAGGCGGCGGCGAACGGGCTGCGTGCTGTCGCCTACCCGTTCGTAAAGCAACCGCTTCGACCACTCCTCGATCCTGGCCAGGGCGATTTCGAGGTCGTTCTCGACGCGGGCGAGAGCGTAGTTATTGAGGGGTGGGAGGACTGGAGATGCGTTGTCGTTGGGACGAAGAGGGTGCCCAGTCACCAGCAAACGCCCGTCAAGGAGAGGACGCACTATCTGCTGATCATCACCACGGCAGGGGGTGGGGCTTACACTCGAATCGGGGTTGGTACAATAGTAGGGGGTTTCATCGGAGAGCGCATGGCTTCAACAGTTGTGGTGCATTGAGTCATAGGTCCTAACAGTGCCTTGCTGGGTATCTTACATGTACCTACCCAATGATGACTGTACATATACTCTAATGCCTGAATGTTTATTAGCGTACTTGGGCAGAGTAAATACCATGGCCTAGTAAATAAAACGGTTAGGAAAACCATTGGGTATCTGTAGGAATCACCAGGGTACCGGTACTGGAAACAGCATGGCGCGCTGCGCGCCGTAAGGTGGTGGTTCAAGTGATGGATTCGTTTGTGTCTGTCTTTCTTCTCTATCTGAACAGGTGGGCGTAGGCCAATATATATGCATCTGTCAGGCCCGCTCCTCCATAGATGTTGCTGTGGCCAGGAATGCGGAGCCGCATTCCTTGGATCAGCGCGTCATTCCAGTATGTTATTCCAACAGTATCTTAAAGAAGAGATAGGCCTCTAGGAATCCAAAATAAGGATAATAATAGCGCTGATACCCATCAGCGGAAATCTTGTAGGGCAAGTAGTAACAAATTGAGGCCTTTCAAACTAAATCTTAGAAACCCCCGATGCTGTGGAACTGGCGTCAAGAGGCTCTCTTGAACCGAATATCTGGTTGGAAACTATTCAATCGGGGAACTTGTCCCTCCTGCTGTCCGCGTTGATACATGCCCCTTATTGTCCCCAGGAGAAGGGTTCGTCTTACACCTGATGATTACCATTTGGGCATCTATCTCCGTTGTGTCAAGCCACTCCACAAGTCCACCGTATTGCCCCTATCATCTTGTGGGACACGGAGTGCCAAGTTTATAATAGGTAGTGAATCCTTGAGTGCCATATTGGACGTGGCCGTGCTAAGGGAATGATTGTCTGGCCTTCAATCACATGCCCGTTGTGGCCAAATATTAATATTGATTGTTTCTATTCTGCTACGATGTAATATGGGACAGGGGCAAAGTCTTCGTAGCACTAGTGATAATGGGCGCTAATCTGCAGCACCGACTCGAGCCTTTTAAAGACCCAACATCCACCGATCACATATATAATTTGATGGACGCCCGACAGCTCCCTTCTAAAACGTCAAAGATTCTTTTTCTGATAGAGCTATACTAATTATTGCTCCTTTTTGACTAATTATTGCTCCTTTTTGTTCCGTACAAGCAAAAACGACCAATGGTGACACTTGCTTCATCTTTGACACCAACGAGATCGTGAAGCCTACCTCCTGTTGGGGATCAAAGGCTTTGCTGCCCGGCAAGTTCCGGATTCTTAGTCAGATTTCACTGTTGGAATATTTCCTATAGACACATCTTTCTTTATTTCATAGATATATCAGCTGTGAGGGCCTGGTCCTCCAGGCCTCCCAGACGCTCTGACTAATCAGACGCCAGTTGGGTGGATCCACCCGACCAGCCAGAGCCCCACCTTGAGACGCCCTGGAAGAATCTCGCGACGGGAGGCTTTTGAGCTTCTTTTCCCTTTTCCCTTTAGTTTAGAATCTTCGTCTATAGCGCCCAATAGAGGAGTTCCGCCCTCATTCCAAGCCGGCCGTGACATCAGCTATCCGTACACATGCAGTTCACGGCAGCAGAACATTTTCACGCTCGGGCAATGTCAATACATATATTCTTCCTTTCGGATTGCCTTTGATTAACTCTACTCCTGGCTAGGATCCTCACAGCTGGTGATGCAAGCCGCCTCACAGCTTTCCCACTTACCTCATCAACTTTAATCACCGACACCGGTAGCATTCTACTGATGAGTGTTTCCCCTGCTCCAACTAACAGCACAGGTTCAAGTTCCTTCGATAAGATGACTTCGGGTGACTTGACAAAAGTTAACAGAGTTGCAAAAATCGTTCCCCTGGGGGCATTAGTAATAGCTGCACCTTAGGTCACGTTCTCTACACGAATAAAATCGGAACAAAGAGAAGGCTGCTGCGCATAACACTCAAAATCTCGCGCGAGAGGTTACAGGGAACCGGCCGTGCACAGCGTCGCAGGCTTTTTAAGCCGGATATGTGGTGTTAGAAATGGAATCTGGCACACCAAGGGCACAACGTCAACGACGGAATAGTGCCAAAGCTGCCCCATGCCACCCACGTCAAAAAACCCACGTCAGCACATCTTGACCGTGATACCTGGAAATCGTCAAGTCCGCTCGCGTAGGTAGTGAAAATATCAAATCGTCGGGTAGATGCCTACAGAGAGGATCTAAATACTGGCTGATTAGTAATACTTGTTAGTTACCTTCTCTTCCGATTCATAAATTTTTCCCGCGTTCACACGTTTATAAATGTGCATGGTTTTTTTTGGAATAGCGGCATTCATAACCGTACTTCAGGGGAAGAAGGGATGTGGCGTAAGCCACGTGCCTACCCACGTGCCCGCTTGATGGGCCACGTATTCGCACGGGCCTCGCGTCAACATCCCCAAACCAGAGTCGCACGGCCATTCCCTTTCTAGCATAGACATATACAGCATACAGAACAGAACCAATCAATTACCCCACTTGTAATACGACTCATAGATAGGCAAGCCATTAGTGGTATGACATGAATACAGATTACCACGAACAGCTTTAGTTGTTCATCTTATTAGGTAGAGTAGCTCGTATTGCTCTTTCCATAGTACTTCTCACCGTTCTTTTTCAGCTTTATGGTGTGATAGTAACTTTACCCACTCCCGCACACCTGTCTTGGGTAAGAAGCACTTTAAAGGGCGTTGTCACGGCAGGTGCCAAGACAGGAGCTAGAAAGCACGTGCCGACTGGCTGCAGCAACTTGGGACGTGGTCTCTCGATCATCCGCGGCAATCCCGCGGCTTGGAATGGGTCGGAGCCTTGTCGGTTCTCAGCCCACCGCCTTAATTGATCCTGTGGCTGGGGGTATGCAGGTTGTGGAGCAGCGGTAAACCAGGATCGGCTTGTTCTCATAGGCCACCGCGCCAAGGCCAAGAGGGCCAAGATTTCCGACGCGGTTTCAGTGCGCTTTCAAGTGCGACTTTTCATTGGGTAATCAATCCGCCGATGGGCTTGGCAAAGGATCAACTGCAAGCTTCCCTCCTTTGCGGCGCTGCTCTCCCCCTTTTGTAGCAGTGCTGTGGTAGCAGTGCTGTGCACAAGGCTGTGGCCCCCGCCAATCATGATTTACCGCGGGTGGCCAGCCACGGGAGCTCCAGGAAGCTTGCACACTTTCGCCGCTCCTCGGCTACCTTGACTTCTTCTTTCATCATTTTTCTTTTCGCCCCATGCCACAGTGCAGCGTTTTGTCCTGTGGGGGGGCTTGACGCTCAGTTCGTCATCCATTCAACGACGTCCTAAATGCCCGATGGCAGGCCGCCCTCTGCTGTCCTCCGCTAGGAAGGCTGTCTTACTTGCCGGAGTTGCCCACCTCCTCGCGGTTTCTTTCGCCCAGACTAGCGAAATCACCTGCTTTGGCATCAGCGGCCGCGGATATACAAACAACACACGATGCCCCGGCTCTAATGCTTGCTGCGGCGCTACCGCGACATGCCTATCGAACAGGCTCTGTCATAATGCTGGCGATCCCCCAGATTTATGGATTCGCGGGCCATGCGCCGTGGAAGGATGGGATGGCATGTGTGGCGAGATCTGCCTCTACAGTAAAATTCCGAACCCCCCTGCCAACTCAAAAGCACAATTCCGGTAAAATTATTTAATACGGACGGCGACTCACATTTTGAACTTACTATTAGACGAGACAGAACAAGGAGGAGGCAGGTTCCCGCGTGTGACGCCATGCGAGAACGGGAGCCTCTGCTGCAATAACGACCCGGGATGCTGCTCTAACGGTCGCGGCATCTTTCTCGACGAAAGCGGCGACATTGTCTCCAGTCATGTGACAGCAGCCACGACGAGCTATCCCCCCGTTAACGGGACCGGACCTGCAAGATTCACGGAAACGCCGAGCACCTCGAAATCGTCATCAACATCAGCGTCTTCTTCGACAACCCAGACATCTACATCAAGCTCTACAGCCACCTCAACAGCAGCCACCTCAACGGCAGCCACCTCAACGGCAGCCACCTCCACGGCAGCCACCTCCACGGCAGCCACCTCCACGGCAGCCACCTCCACGGCAGCCACCTCCACGGCAGCCACCTCAACGACAACCACCTCAACGGCAGCCACCTCAACAGCAGCCAGCAGCTCTTCAACATCGTCGTCCACCTCCATTCCCATCAGCGAACTAAAAGACGCCTCTGCGTCGGGATCAGACGTGGGGTTGAAAGTCGGGCTCGGGCTGGGTATCCCACTAGCTGCATTGCTAGCAGGGGGTCTGGTATACTGGTTCTTGCGGTGGCGGCGGAAAGAGGACTCCGTGTCCTCTACCGGCCGCGGCCAGGATTGGTCATCGGGAGACGGGGGGACAAGAACTTACGCTGCAGCTTATAGCAGGGGCACGCCGGAGTACATGTCCGCGGGAGGCGAGCCGGCCAAATATATATACACAGGATCGGCGCCCCTGGTGGAGATGGGGGATGCCAGGCCATCAGAGCTTGACACCGCTCCGAGGCCGCGCCATGAGCTTGGCTAGGGATATTCTCAGCACTGAGAAGCTACCAGTAATCCTCATCCTGGTCCTCCTTCCAGGCACTCTCTAGGTTCTTGTTCATCTAGAGCAGCTTTGCTTGGGTGTTTGACTCTATGCTGCTCACAAACAAAAAAAAAGTCGGTCATTGCAGCTACAGTGTGGACGGGATGCTTCAGGGTTTGGTGTTTTGCATACTTGATGAGTATTGGGCAAGAAGTTTCTGGACTACGGCGGGTCTCTTGGTTGATGGATGATATGTTGGGGTGGAGAGCAGCAGATACTTGCGGGGAGTTGCTTTCATTTATACCTGAACAAGTAACCAGGTAATACAGTTCACCGTCCACATCCTGTTATGAACTTCTCCGCAAAGGAGAACAGAACCACTTCGGCCACAGAAATCAGGACGCTAGCCCGGCAGGGTCAAGTCCGTCCTACCGCTAAAAATTGAGATGGCGGGAAAGCTCGCAGCACCCATACATCAATCACATCGGTTCGAGCATCACGACAAACAGTTGTCCCGAAGATTTGATACTTCACTCAACTGAGTGGGGAAGAGAGGCGCGCAACAAGAATAAGACTGATCTCAGCCAGCCTCGGATCGATATATACCAGCGCTGCTAGAGCCATAGGGAGTTCGAGGCCCAGATTGTTCTGGGCCCCTAAAGGGGTTACAAAGTTCACTGCAGAGTCTGGCTTGAGAACGAGGAGTGTTCTCAAGGTGTAGATTGACTGGAACTGGAGTTCATGAAGTTTAATTGGAGAGTCTTGAAAGTGTGCCGGTTCACTGCAGCTTCTGGTCCTAGTATCTCCCTAGCCCTGTGTAGCCCCACTCCATTTTCACGAGACACCGCTCTCTCTCTCTCTCTCTCTCTCTCTCTCTGCAATAAACTCCTCACTTGCAGGTTAATCTGCACTAGGGGGTTGCAGATTCGTGGCTGGCGGTTAATGTTCTTGGCAGCTGAAACGTGGCCTGCAATTCCTCCAGCCAACAATCCGTAATAGGGTCAGCTGCAGGCTGCAAGACGCACGAGCTTGCGACCATGTTAAGCAACGTCTCTGTGACTTGAATTGGCGATTGCTGTTTTTGCGGCTAGCTAGCTAGCTAGCTGACTTTGATGTTTGTTAAATGATACTTTAGAACGAATTGCGTCTTAGTATGCTACCGTTTTGATGCTCAGTTGCGGCTGGCTGAACTTGCTGGTTGTCGGGCGGGCGCCTTTAGCGGGAGTTGTGGTTGGGGGTCGAGACTGTGAAAGTCTCCCGGCCGTGCAGGTAGACATCTATGTCACGGTAATTAAGAAGCGATGGCGACGTTGAATAGTAACCATGAGTAATTTGGGATGTCGGAATTAGTACTTTAACAGCAGAGCAGGATTAATAATCAGGCAGCAGATGAGTGGGAGGATCTGTTTCCGAGCCCCCGGAGCAAGGCAGTTCCATCCCTATTAACAAAAGTGAGAACACCAGCGAAGAGTTCTATCTACTTATTAGTAGACACCACGAATCCTTGAGTCGCGGTTCACCTCACCCTCGGGTGCAAGACCCAAACGACTCCGGTCTGCACCTGATCATCCGTCAGTTCCACGTCGCAGCCCGCACTCTCCTGAAAAACATCTTCATTGCAGGTGACGGCTCAATCAAGATGTGCTCGGGGGAAACCCCCAAGCGTTCGGCAGTGTCGATACTGCCATCGGCGCATCCATGAGAGAGCCAGACCACTATTCTCATCTCTGTCACAAAACAATGAACGCTAGTATATGTCTTTCATTCTGCTGTTGTTAGGATTCCTCCGAAGACATGATATCCTCGCCATCGTAGTGAGCCCGAGAGGCGGTAATGATCCCATCAGCTGCGGCGTCCGGCAGCTGATAACACGATGGGCCGGTGCCAATCTCACCGAGCTCAGACCCCGTAACCGACAACAAGAATCCGTCACCCTCTCCGCCAATGTGGCGTTTTCTGCGTTCTGCGACCCCCGATGCCAAGTATAGGCAATGGCCGGGGTTTCGCACCCGGCAATCCGTAGCCCTTCGTTTTCGTTTGTAGATCCCATCGTATCCGCGTGCAAAAGGGAGGCTGGAACAGTTGAGGAAGCCATGACTGAGCATTTGGCAAGACGCGTGCCTAGACGCGTGCCTAGAGGCGGTAGATGATATTCAGTAACTTGGTTGAGGAGATGATGTCTTTGATGACCCCTTTGGAGATGAGGAGCGGGTCCTTCTCGTGGTCCGTGGCAGTCTTGTTGTCTTTCGCCAGGTCTGCGACAGCGAAGATGGCAGGCATCTCGGGGATTCCGGCAGTTGAACGTCGGCAGGTATGAAACAAGACTTTCGAGGGAGCATAGAATTTTAGGATCTTAGTGTCCCGGCCGCTTTTCACACGATCTAGTTCAGAGCTGCAACGAGGGAGTCTACTCCTGCACTAGAATAGTGATTGTATTTGCCCGCCGCCCACCCTCACCAGATTTTCCAACAAGAACATATCGGTCGAGAGAAATGCAAAAATTACTAGCCTAATTATAGCGGCGGTTTGAAGGTATATACGTCATAGATAAAATATATATCCAGTCCACTTCAGAATTATTTCTTCCACGACTTGTCCAGCATCTCCTTCACCCCTAGCGGCTTGAGCTCCGGGAAAGTCTCGTTCAAGAAGCTTGCGGGTTTCATGTCCAAGACACCGCCCTCGAACCACAGACCGAAAGCGGCGGCCATGCCATGCAGGGCTGGCTTGGGAAAGAAGGCGTACAGCGGCACCTGACCAGGAAGTTCAGTCGTCTGGCCCAGCTTGAGTTTCTCCTCGTTGTCGTAGGCGACGTTGAACTTGGTTCCTGTGCCGTGTCAGCAAGCATGCATGCATGCATGGAGAAATTTGCTGGCAACCAGCGGGATCTATTACCTTTAGCCTCCTCGGCCAAGTGAAGAAACTCATTCCACGTCACTCTGTCGCCGTAGACGAATGTATCGGGTTCCCATTTGGGGAGGTCCAGGCTGGCAGCAACAAACTTGCCGACATCGGAGGTGTGGGTGAAAATGATGGGCGTGTTGCCGGATCCGGGGATGGCGGCCGCGTTGTTGACCATGTCCAGCCAGAACACCAGCGGCATTCGGGCCATGTAGGACTTGACACCAGGGAAGCCCCAGTAGTCCATAAAGTAACCGACGTGGAAGACGGTATGCTCGAGGTTCTTGGTCTTCTGCAACTCTTTCTTGGCATTGATCTTGTGCAGTGTCGACGTGATCGTGCCGGTGCGTCTGCGAAACAGCTTGTGTGAGTCATCAACCATATCGACATGGGGGGAAAAAAAGCCAATCACTTACTCGTCCTCCACAGGCACGCCCCACCCGCTCGAGACCAGTCGCTTGGTGGTTTTGGATAGATCGGCAGCTCGGATCAGTTCGACCTCGCTTGGCCTAGTTCCGTCGGCGCTGTGCATGGCGATTCCCGATACCACGGTGTCGATGTTGTTGTCTTCGAGGACTCTGGCGAGGGCATCGACGTCGGAATAGTCGACGGGGATAATGGGCACGCCGATTTCTGCCTCAAGATCGGGATTGGCCTAATTGTCAGATAATTAGCGCAATTATGATAATTAACGCGTAGCCCTCGGGACGGAAGCTCAGTAATTAATTAATACCTTTCGGGCAAGGACCTTAACTTGATGCTTGCCGGTGGCCACAATTGCATCAACAACGGCGCGGCCCACGTTACCGGTACCTCCTGCGACTGCGACGATTGCCATGATCTGAGTTGGTAGTTCGGTTGGCTTTAGATATGACCCTAGTATTATTTAGTCCTGAAAGTTTGATGTGACTGTCTCTGTCTCTCTGCTGCAAAGAAGAAAAAAAAGAGTCGAGGAATTTATGGTTGTTTTTATAGCTGCTTCTGTCGGCGGTAATGCTATATCCTTCCTCACTTACACGTCATGGCTTATCCAGCCGATTGCCTCGAAGGAGCGAGACAATCCTGTCCGGATGCAGATTGGTTCCGGGCCGGTCTGCCTTGCTGCTTATTAACAGCATTGGGCAGGCTACTGCGACCCCGCTTGGCCATTTCTCAGCTAATTATATGTTAAATTCCGTCATGACGACCCGCTTACTGTCTCCACCTGGAGAAATTTGGATCCGTCAAACCAGTGAGCCAGCACTGCAGATTCGTCGTTCTGCTTCCGGTCTTAAACAGCACGCATCTCGAGTTCCACATATCTGTTCAGCTCGGATTTTTACTCCACCATAATTACAAACTCAACTCGTCATGCCTCGCCGTCAATCCCCCCCGCCCGGGCTTTCCGGGGCCGAAATGGCAAACAATTCCCCGAGCCCACTATCGAAAAGAACACGAGGGCAACGCGTCTCTAAGGCAAGTATCGTTAGTGTCTCATTACTAATAGTTTGTGATTAGACCTCGCTGTTTTCTGACAGTATCTCGCAGGCATGCACGCGATGTCGGACTGGAAAGATGCGGTGCGATGGGCAGTCACCCACCTGTTCCGCCTGTTCTGATCGGGGCCATGTTTGTGCCTACCCTGCCACCCAGAAAATCCGCGGGCCGGGAAAAAGGTACCAAGATCTAATGCCGCTCTCGAAGAATTTGGAAATTTTAGAATTAATTAACCTTGCGTAGCAAACAGCGAATTGAGGCGCTCGAGGCGCGCTTGGCGAAGATGGAGTCCAAGTTTCGACACGAGTCGACAAAGGATTCGTCATCCGATGATACAGTTCCGAGATCGCTGGAGGAGCCGCAGTCAGTTGCCCACGCCAGCCCGCCGCGTATCGACCATATCGATGCTGGGTCTTTATCAGACCTCAGTGATGTCGCGTTTCCCTTCCACCGCCAGATATCCCAGCGTTTCACCCTCTGGCAGGGAGAAGAATGCACCAAAAGACTCGAGAGGGCAGCCCTTTCGCCCTTGACCGCTGAAGCGCCCGAAATGTGGCTGGCGGAGCGGTTTCTCAATGATGTGTGCGCAGAGCTTCCGTTCCTCCACACACCCTGGTTCGTCGACCAAATCAAGCACCCAGATGCAGCCAATAACCCCGACGCTGGGTGGCAGGGCGTCATGAACGCCATCATCGCCAGCACCGTACACTTCAAGACGCTCAACAGCTCTTTTCGCGAGGTCGCCGTGTATTCATGGTGTTTCTTTCGAAACGCCTACGCCGTCTTACCAGAGCTCATCGTCCACGGAGATGGCCTCGGAGCAGCACAAGCCGCCATGGCCATGGCCCTGTTTATGCGGCAGTCAGCAGACACACGAACAACGTCGCGGCTGTTATCCATGGCTGTCCACATGCAGCAATCGGCTAGTCCTCGTGTCATCACGACCGCAGCGTACCACATCCCATCGCTAGGCGAAAGAGAGAATCGGAGCCGGCTTTTCTGGGCAGCCTTCGTTCTCGACATGGAGATGACAGTAAACACCGGACTGCTACCCGTGCATCATCACGCCGAACAGGGTGCTACGGCAGGCCTGCCAATAGAGTCGGGTCAGCGTAATATGGTCTTCAGACTCAGGGCCGAGCTCGCCAGAATTCAGCAACGGATTGGAACCGTGGTCCAGCTGAACACCCCCAAACTCGCAGACCTCTTCGCCCTCGAGTCAGAGGTTGAGGCATGGTGCCTTCGAGTGCCACTCGAGTTTCGTCCACGCTGGTTTTCTGACCAACTCGAAAGTGCTGGTAGCGACGAGTCGCCCATAGACGTGTCCGTCGCCATGCTACACTTGGTCTACTACAACAGCCTGTCCTTGGTGAGTTGGGTTTCTGTGCGGCAAAGCACTGCGGAAATGCTGCCAGTTGAATCACCTCGCGACATTGATTCCATCAACCAACGGACAAGTCGACATAAAAGCGTCTCAAGGGCAGCCGCCAGAGCCGCCATACGCTCCATGGCACGATTCCCCACTCAGTCATTTACAGAGCTCTGGTAAGTACTACACTCCTGCCATTCTGGTCATTCTCGTTTATTAACCTTGGTCCCCAGGAGAGCCTTGTGCTACCCCGTAGCCGCCAGCATTGCTCTCTTAGCCGTCATATGCAAGGAGCCAACACATGCCGAGGCACAGGGTGACTTGTCGTTGCTATCCTGTTTCGTGGGGTTTCTAAACAGGATGGTGCGTGATGAAGGTTGTGACCTTGAGAGAATGCGAGACGGGATGTCCAAGTTCGAAAAAGTCGCGGCGGACGCTGTCGGCGTGGCCTTGGCCTCTGCCATGCCCGTGAACCCGGCGCTGTGGCCCTTGAGTATCGCGTCAGGCCATACTAGCAAGGTGAGTACATAAACCCCTGAACCATTAAACCGCCCACTGCTAAATTCTTGAATCCCAGACCATTGCGACTCTCTTGACGTGCTCATGCTACCATCCCATGTATGCTGCCCAAGCCTTGATGGGGAACACGCCTAATCGTGATACTGAAGTTGCCAAGCAGCTCGCTGAGATTCTTGGCCTGTCGTGGGGCGACACTGGATATGGCCCCTTTGTCCCAGATTGTGTAATACCAGCCACTTATGGATTTAGGTACAGCTCTATATAGAAAGAGTCAAATAAAGTGCCATGTCCTTCATAGTCCGACGTAGCAGCTTATCCAGCTTGTTTATCTTCCCTAATCGTCTTAGCCGTAAAACCTTTCTCCTCTTAGCCAGCACACGTTGATTTTGAGGGCTTGCTAATCCTGATTCTGCGGTACTGCGAATAGTAGTAGCATTACCAGTATTTGCATCATGTTACGATCCCCGACTGTACCTCGGTGAGTCCCGGTGTCTGGAGTAACCAATCAGGAAAAGGGGTGTATAGGGATGGCGCGGAGCGGCGTCGCTGAACCATCGGGTCTGGCCCGAGGCGCGAAGAGACAGCTACCGGGCCCAGGGCTTTTCATAATTGGACCAGTACGCTGGCAGGGGCACGAGGAGCCAATAGCGTACCACCTGGGACTAGACATCTCCACAGCGGGTTCCGTAGAACCCGCTCTCGAGGTACTGACCATCGAGTTCAGGATGGCTCTAATTAGCTACTCAATATAGATAAATTCAATAACTAAAACTATGGTCCTCGATTGAGCGTACTTACTTCTTCAGGCAAGTAATATACATTTACTGTACTCATACACTTTGAGTAGCAATCCTATTCACTGTATAACTCGTGTATCAGGAGTTTGCCCTCTGTTCGTATCAAAATCCCACCTAGAGCGTCACCCCTGGGCGTCCAGCCCTTACAGACAGATTAACCCACACAGTCGAGCGGTTTGTAGTACATTACTGCCGCTGATTAGTTCGGCGAGGATGGGCTGCAGATTCGCGAGGGTGTTATTTCACCGTAATAGCAAAACCTTGAGCTCTTCTAGCGTTGTGCCTCTAGCTGGGGAATCTCGAAGACCGCTGGGCGACGAGTTGATGAAGCCGCCGTCTTGCACCATAGGATCCGTCTTGTACTATAGGATCCGTCTTGAACTACAGGATCCGTCTTGCACTATAGGATCCGTCTTGCACTATAGGATCCGTAGTCTAGAGCATCACCTTCGTATATATCGTTCGCCGTAGCCTAGATATATTCCTTCCTTTAAGCAATACGGACCCTAGTTCCGTCTCTAAACCTTTGGCCTATCTACCTTCCCAACATGTGAACGACCTCCATTGGCCATGCAACCCAAGCCACCCATGCCAGGCCGATGGATTGGCCAATCAGCTTTACCATATGCCTTGGCTTGTTCTGCCACCACCAAAACTTGTTCTTAACCACACGTATGATTAATTCGACTGCCGCATAATAGTGCGCCAAGACGGCCAAGGCAATCGGATCTTGTTCGTTGGTCGCAGCGACGAACGCAGCTGGACAAAACGCCTGCCATCTAAAGCATGCCAAAAGCAACTCTTCGGCTACCTCAGCCCCGATATCTTGCCTCGTAGCTGCAGAGAGATATGATGTGAGAGACTCAATCCGCTCGACATATAGCTCTCTTTTTTCTCGAAAGGGAGAGCTAGCAGCCAGTCCGTCAAGAAGTCCCATCAGGGCTGCACCAGGTCCGACGACCGGGACGGCTCGTGGAAAGAGGGTCGGTAACAAGAGGGGCGGCGCAACCAAAGTCTTGAACAGGCCGCTATGGGCAACAGAAGAGCTGTTGGCGACAAGTGTCTGAATGCCGCGAAGGAATGTAAAAGAGGCGTCCTCGCAGGCCTGTGCCGGGGGTTGATCGGCATTGCAGGCTGCGCTGGCGTAAAAAAAGAGGACGAATGACGTGGCGAGGCCTGCATCTTGGGTTGAATGAGTGCCGCTATTGAACCCGTTGCTGAAGCCTGACAGAGCTCTCTGGAAATGATGTGCCTCGAGCATACTATAGTCATAAGATGGGCAGTTCTGAGATAGGAGGGGTGCCGCCTCTTGCAGGTGGCGAGCTGAGAGAGCAAGTATTGCATGCATGAGGAAATTGTGCTGAAGCAAATGATCAGCATCAGCAAAAAAGTCCTACATCGATTCGATTGGAGCTGGTTCGTACCTGGAACGCGAGCTGCATTGCATCTTTAGCCCAGAGCTTTTGACTTCCAAGCAGGTCGAAGCTAGTAGTTGACGTGAAATGAACCAAGAGGAAAACGTCTCGAGTGTCGAAAGATTTGCTGGAGTCTGTCATCACCAGAGACAGATAGCTCTGGTGCATTGCCGATTCAGCATTTGGGGCGGTAGCGATGTTGTCGTGTTCGCTCTGGGGGAGAATATTGCTCTGGTCATCGGTTCTTGCGACCCAGGCAGGCATCTCGGGAACATTCGGTAGAAGGAAGGTGATGACTTGATTGTTCCATCTCGGCACGCTGACGGATGGATAGGCGCAGAGATGGGGGTGAGCAGTACACCGCGAGCACGCCGGGCGCACCTCGTCACACTACCTACGGTCAGTAGTCGTCGTTTACTAGTCGTCGTTTGCTGGTCGCCAAGCATAATCGCCGACGTACCTTGACTCTCCGTTTCTTGCACAGCGAACAGCCCAACCGAGACTTTCCTCTTGATTTTCGCGCCTTTTTCGGCTCTCTCGGAGAGTTGCAACACGGCTCGTTCACTGGCCTCGATTCCGGCATGGTTGACGACACTGCCCAAAGGGGCAAGGTGTTATCTCTGCAACAGAACGGGGTGTCGCAGCCGTCAATCGAGTTGGTCTCTGGCGGGATTTATGGATGGATCCGGCAATTGACCATTGTGGCGGCCCAGGAGAGCATGAGAGTTAGCCCTACTAATTAAGCAAGCCCCCTTATTAGGCAGCAGGTCGATCTCAGACATGGGGCCTTTCCCAAAGAGGGATCTTACGAGGCCGGTTTGCAGGGATACGCATCCTCCCACTGGCGCTTCGCCATTTCTTAAGCGAGATGTCGCAGCTCCGATCCCCATGCCTTCGGCGGAATTACCAAGGGCCTCGAATTACTAAGGACCTCGTAGCTCGTAATGCCGTGTATTTCCCGTAAAGGAAATATTCGACAGCGTCTGAATAAGTCATAGTGTGGCCCTCTCCCATCCTGTTCGCCTCATTCCAGACTAAGTAACTAGCGAAGAACAGCATACGCAGCCTCTGAGCCACCAAGATGGCGACCTCTGTGACGTACGATACGCATCGTTCCTATATATATGAGGAGGCTTCACCACCTTCGTCGTTCCCGAATTCTCACCACTCACGCTGCATCTCAACCTAGTTTAATCGTTTTCCCTCGTCGACCCAGCACTTGAACCCTACTCAATATGCCTTCGATCTCCATTCTCTCGATTTTTGTAGTGGCGGCTACTGCGGCTGCGACCAGCTGCATACGTAACTGTTGCTCCAACAATACCCACGCCGCTGGTGCGTACGTCAACGGAACGGTTCATATGAAGGACAGTCCGTGGACTCCCTTCGATGCGCCCATGACCGAAGGCTTCAATCTGACCAACGGCGAAGACTGGTCGTTCGAGGGGGTGTCCGCCGACGGCCAGTCCGGGATGGGATTCACGTTCAGCCGAGGCACCGTTGCCGGGCATGCCCTGGCTCAGCGGATGTTCTTGGCGGTTGTCTGGCCAAACGGAACAAGATTCATCGAGTCGACTTTTGCGGACGTCTCGACGATTCAGGCCTGCAAAGACGCGACCAAGGGGATCTGGTACAACGGAACGTCCGGCATGAACTGGACCTTCGAGGCAACTAACGACTACTCGCGCACGCTTGTCAAGGTTGAGTCGGCCACGGTGCGAGGCACGTTCACGCTGGACGCCATCTCGCCCGCCGTCTACCCCAATGGACTCGTCTACCCACACCCGCTTGGCGACAACTGGTTCGCGCCCTACCTCTACTGGGTCGAGAACGTGCCCGTCGGGGTCGCCGAAGCCAATCTCACCATCCGTGGCACGCCGTTCATCCTGGGAGGGATTGGAGGTCGCGAGCGCAACTGGAACTCTTTTGCCTGGGCTGAGATCAGCGCCAGCTGGGACATGGTCAGGGGAAAGGTTGGACCTTACACGCTCATGGCGTGGAGATTCGAATCCAAGATCGACGGCCAGACATACTTCAGCAGCATGCTCATGAAGGAAAAAGAGGTTATTTTCCGTACCTTGGCCCAGCATGTCTCGAGAACCGAGCCCTATGGGTCGCTCGAACTGGACAACAATGGAACAGTTCGTTTGTCGTCTGATCCAAGCGCCGCAACGTCTCTACCGGAGTCGAGGCACACAGGTTATGTGCTTGAAATGGTGGCTCCAGCGACGGGGAAGCGATGGAGGTTCGAAGTCGACTACACGAAGTGCGTATACTGGTTCGCAGCAGGCTCAGACGGTAGGCTAGGCGGCTTTGTCGGTGCCATCAAAGGAGGGTCAGTCGGTGGACGTCAATACAGCGGTCTTGCCAGTGGGACAGCCATGGAGAAGAACTGAAGAGGGCACCCGCGCTTTTTTCTAGACGGCGGCCAAGCTACAACATCCCGCACGCTGTCGAGATAAAGATTCGCAATAGAATAGCTCAGTGTACCCTAGAAAATCCATGCTGCCTCCCATCAGTTGCGCTTTGATGACCGTGTTAAAAAATGGCAGGTAAAGCGTAAAGACTACGACTATTGATAGCCAAGCCACAGCTATCTTTGGGCAATATCGTTTAGATAGGAAACTGATGTCCCACTTATTCGCAGCAATCACACCCCCGATCCCCACCGTCAAGACCACCACAATCGCCATGGCCAGCGCCACTTCCACCCACCAGAACCCATCCACCACCGCCTTGCCACTTCGAACGCACTCAACCAACGCATCCAGCCATGTGCGGCCAATAACAGCGGACCCCTCCTTCTTGACCTCTCCGGTCTTCTTGTCACGGCCATCAACGCCGCCGCTTCCACCCGTGTCCTCGCCGTCACTTCTACCACGTTCGAGGTCAGAGATGCGACGCTTCTGCGTGCACCTAAACTTGTTAGCTTAAATGAACTAGCAACGGACCATGGACAAGGCTAGGTTTGAGAGAGAATGAAATAGGGTAGGAGTGGCTTACGCTGATCAGACGGGGCTTGGGCGGGAGCCCGGGGGAAGCGGCGCTTTTTTGGGGGGGGATTTGTGGTCGGGGAGGGAGGCGTGGTCTGAACTGTTGCTGGCTTCGAATGACTGGATACGTTGGCCGAGAGGTTCTAAAGTGGCAAGACGGCGTGAATGGTAGAGTTCTGGTGGTTGGAATTGGCCATGGCCACAGTGATGGTGGTGATGGGACGGTGGCTGATCGAGAGTGGTTGCTGCGAAAAAGTGGGTTGACGACTGGACGGATTGGGATGGTCTCGTAATGGCTAATCAAACAATTATGTATGATGGCAATTATGTATGATGGATCTGACGATGTTCGGGTGAAAATTTTTAAAAAAGAAAACAACCCTCCAGCCTGCACCGCGCCGTAAATCAATTGCCTGGTGGCCGTAGAGCTCTTTCCTCTAATTTTATCACACCTGAGATTGATCTTGTTATCCACTAACTGCTCTTTCCTCAAATAGTCTATTTCGTCTAATCCTCCCAGCTCCGCACATTTTTGACCAGGTCCCTCGAGTCGTTCCACTCGTTCCACTCGTTTCCCCTCATTTCTTGCACCATTCCTTCCTTCCTATTGAGTGCCCACTGGACACTGTTTTCGTCTTTCCTCTTTCTCTTGCCCCTGCCTATCTTGGCAAAACAAACAACAGAGCGATTGCTGGGACTCGATTGTCTCGGGCCATCCACGATGCAGCCTCGACAGTGCAAGTGTGAGCGAACAGTGCGCGTGTGGGCTCAAAAGCGGCTAGTCTACTCCCTCATCGATGTAGAAGCGACCGCCCATTACTTCAATGCCACTTGTGCCGGCTTGAAAGCGCCCCTGCCTGTCCCCCTCGTCTGCGACGACGACGCCGCCATCCTCTCTGCCACGCCGTCCACCCTTGCCAACGGCGCTACGTCCTGGGCCTTGAGGGTCACGTCAACTTTAACGCCCTGGCCGTCCTTGGCCTTGTGGAGTGTCAATGCGAGTGCAGCCGACGTCCCCTCCATCTCAGACATCGTTTCCGCCCTCCAACAACAAGCCCCTTCCGTGTCAGAGAGCAGCACGACAGTGACTGGCTAGGGTCTCTGTCGTAGTAAACATACCCGTCCCGGCGCAGCAGTGTAGCTCCCTGAGCCTACAGCCACCTGCAGGCATGCTCGCACCTACGGTGCCGTGCTCATATTTACCCTGCGCACTCTCTTTGTATAAATAAGTAGCCTTTTTCCTTTGTAAAATAGCTTCTACTCTACATGATTTTCTCAATGGCCTTCCCCAGCCCTATTTTACCTGTGACAGTCTCCCATCTCCCAACACGCAAACCCCGATGGCAGCCACCGCTAGCGGCGGGACGACCATGACGGTATACCAGACCATCTCACCGACACCGGTAATAGCCGAGCAAGACGCCAGGCTCAGCGCGGGCGCGAGAGCAGGCACAGAGCAGGCATCGGTGCGGGCGTTCCAGCGGGTATGCTCGCGGCGGCGGCGGCGGGCGCGACTGCCGGCAGGTCGGATCTCGGGGACAATGCATGCACAGCTGTTCGAGAAGGAAGCCGCCCCCGCCGTCATTCTTCTGTCGTGGAAGTTTCGCGGGGCGAGCCTGCACGAGCTCCCGCTAGACGCCCCTAGGAGATGCCCATGACGCATCCGCCGCCGCCGCCGCGCGTGCACGAGCTGCCCTGACAGAAGAGAGGAGAGGGGAAGTCGAACTGTAATTTACGACGGCAGTGCATGGGCTGGCGCTAGTTAATCATGAGCATCGAACACTGGAAATGTGGCCAGAAATCGGCGTCGGACTTGAAATCTAATTAGGCCCGAAAACCGAGTACTGGATGGGTTTCACAGTTGCATCGCGTTTGTTGCCACAAGAACTGAGCTTCTGATTTTATTATGCAAATATTGACAATTCTAGAGGCCCGTCTCTCTCTTGGAAATAAATGGGTGATTTACCTATCAAAAAATATCTTTTTCCTAGCTAGTTTCGTTGCTGAAAAATCACAACAACCTACCTTAGGTACTCCGTACCGCGTGTTACCAGGGAACAAGGAGAAGATTATCGCAAATGCACCGGCAGAAATGGCCTTTAATAGGTACTTTTAGAGAAGAGATAGGCGTCTGGGGTTCTAGAATAGGAGTTCTAATAATTATTACCTCCCTCGGTAAAAGAATTCAGAGGGCGAGTAGTAAGGAACTGAGGGCTTTCAATTCTTGGAAAGTTCCCCGCTAATAAACATGCAGGGATTGGAGCACTAAACAAGGCGTTAATTACCAAGAGCCTGTACAAGGAAGGTCTTTGGCGCCTGTGGCGTCCCGAGCAGGCGCACGTGCCTTGGGCCCATTCGGAACCACCACTAGTGCCATTTAGGAATCATTTTTAGCGAGGCCCTTAACCGAAGCGGCGAAGGTACATACATGCAGTACAATCCAATCCCTGAATACTTATTAGCGGGGGACTTTCCCAGATTGGAAAGGCCTCAATACCTTACGGCTCCCCCTCAAGACGTTTCACCGAGGGAGGTAAGATCTATTAAACTACCTAGTCTAGAATGCTCGAGGCCTGTCTCTAAAATACTTAGGTCCTAGGTATCAAGACTTTTCCTAGCCGTTGCATTGATGAGGGTCAACATTTATTCTGCCCAGGTACCACGCCAACAAACATTCAGGGATTAGATTGTATGCCGATTTTCCCTTTTTGGCATAGACTCATGCAAGCCATCGGGGGAGCCTCGTGCGGCTGAGGCGGCTCCGGGAATCGCTTGTCTTTTCCTGCAACATTTAAAGGCGCCAAGCACGCCAAGCGAAATTGAACTGACCCAGGCCACTTTTCTGTTGGTTGATAGCTGGTGTTCGTCCATGATGACGGACTCACAAGCCATAAAGGCCCGTGGCAGCACGGATGCAGTCAGCACTCACAACAAACATGACAGCCTCATGCACCCCATTTCCCAGTCGCACGCCGACCTTGACCAGGAGCATAAACACGAACAACCGCAAGGCATTTCAACGTCGTCCGATGCACCAAGAACAAACGACTCGACGCAACAGCGCCTGCCCTTGCAGCCGCTGCAGCTTGGTCATGACCCTGGCCAAATAAAAGCTCATGCAGAGGCAAATGGCTCTAACGACACCGAACAGGTCAAAGTGAAGGAAATCGATGTGGTTGATGGTCCTACGCTACGTCGGCTGTCCTGGAGGGAAAAGCTCGGGCTCTTTGCCCTTCTTCTCTTTCCCATCGGCACCGTCATCCTCCTGGTCTGTCTCGGCATCCTTTGGTTCCTGTGGCTGGGCGGCAGTGCCGGGAGTGGACTATGGCATGAGATCACGGCGCGGGACCGGCTGAGCGAGATAGTCAATATCATTGCCGAGGTCATCAAGGTCACCGTCAACTTCCAGGTCGGAACTGAGGTCGCCATGATCGCAAGTCTCGCCATGGAGCGCTTTGACGTGCTGCTCCCACACGCCGCTTCGCTCTCTATGATGAAGGCGTGCGCCAGCAGCGGCACCGTCTTGGTGCTGCTCAAGTACCAGTTCAGAGCAATGACCAAGAGCACTGGCGGAGCCGGGACGACAGTCTCCGTCTTCGTAATGACCGCCACCCTATCGGTGGTGTTCGGTGTCACCCAGGTGTTCTCCATTCTACTCATCAGCGACACCGCCGTCCTGGCTATCCCTGGCATTCCCGCGACGGCCAGTCTAACCGTCGGAAGCAGCGACGCCCGCGCCGTTGCGATAAGAATTCTCCAGAATATGGACAACACGTGGCTGCGCTCCCCCGCTCGATATCCCACCTTTGCCGAATACTCGGAGCCGCCGTACGCGGCTGACGGCGTCCTAGACACGGGCGTCACGCTCCGGGCATTTCTGCCCTTTTCGGGCGCCGGAAATCGGCAGCTCCTCCAGTCCTACACCGGCACGGCTACTGTGCTGGACGCGCGCGTCACTTGCCAGCGGCCGAGGTTTTCAAATCTAACGGTAGACGCCTCGAAGCAGCCCGGCTACCTTCGGCTGAGCGGCTGGGTCTCGCCCACGGTGATTACGCCGCGGATGGTGCCCCTCGATATATTCACAGACGGCCGAGGTGGCAACCAGACCTTCAACGGCACGATTTACTTCCCGGGGGCGGTGGTGCCGCTGCAAAACAATGACGACGACTTCGCGGCTCTATCCATCTCCAGTCTCGACGTCGATCTGTTGATCAGCGAGTTCAGCGAGCTCACAGGAGTGAACACGAACCCCTACTACGCGGGAGTTGGTTATCTCGTGCTCAACGTCTCGCAGGGAACCATGCACGACTGGTCGTTTGATTTCCCCTACAACGACACGGCCGCTAGGCTACACCCGACCCTGACGAACCGGTCCGAGTGGCTCGACATCGGCTTCGCAGACGACTCGCTGGTCGTCAGCGCCTCGCTCTGCTACAGCCCCTGGGACCAAGCCAACGTGCCCGTGCAAATCTCCAGCAAGCACAACAACAGGTCCGAGTCGGCGCCGAGCTACGACTGGGCCACCGGCGCCTACACATTTGACTTCCTGCGCAAGCTCTACGGGCAGAACGGCATGCTGAAGCCCTACCAGCGCGGGATCCTGGAGATGCAGAACCAGTCCTGGACGCAGAACCAGGACACAGCCACGGTTCAAAGTGATAATACATCGGCCCCTACCACCGCCTCCACATCGGCGTCGCTGCGGGCACTCTCGAAACTGCTCGGCTCCGCCATGCTGGGCGGCATCTACAACTTCGTAGACCTTACCCAATCGCACCAATTCCTCGCGCCCTTTGACAGCATGGTCTTCCCGCTCGACACCTACGTGTCACTTGCGCACGAGATTATCAAGACCACCCAAGGAGGAGGCGGCGGCAGTGGCATCGCGTTCATGCTGCAGAGCTTGATCACGCTCATGAGCAGCATGACGTACTACGACATCCTCAACGCTTACGACCTACAGGAACCGGTCCAGGTCACCTACTTCGTGCCGGCGACGATGCCGGACGTGGGCGCGGGCCTATGGACCGTGACAGCGGTGCTGGGCGTGCACCTGGCACTCATGGCCGTCGTGCTGTGGCTGTTCCTGCGCCGGACCACGCACTCGCGGCTGGGCGCCACGTGGGCGGCCGTGGCCGCGCACATGCAGGGACTGGGATCCGCGTCGGAAGGAGAGGGAGAATTAGGAGGAGGAGTTGGAGCTGTGGTGGGCAGGTGTTTGGAGGATGCGGCTCGCGGCGAGGACGATGACTGTGTCGAGCGGCGGATGCGGAGCGAGGGGGTGGCGAATAGGAGAGTCGGGACGAGAGTGGTGGGCTGCAAGATCGAGGTCGCCCTAAAGGAGGACTGATGATTCGGTCCCATGATAGTGATGGCACGTGGTGAGTTATACGGGTATAGAGGGAACGAAACTACGTACCTAGGTAAGTGACGGCGCCCTTCACTATATAGGTAGTCTATTTTTCTTTGGCTCGACGACAGGAGATAGGAAATCACCAAGGGAGGAAGACCAACTCATCCCCCTTTCCAATCCAAGATAGACGAGACATATAACCTCAGGGCAACACCGACTAACCGGTAATTAGATGAGACAGGTGCTTGAATCAGGCCAACAAGGCTGGAGGATGAAATCTCAACGAGTGCTGCGGCCTTGGCGCGGCGTGGCGTGGCGTGGCGAACCAACTCGCCTTCCTTTCCAGACCAACACAGGCGAGAGGCGTGGCGGCCCCCGGCAGTACTGACCGAACTTGAGGATGAGAGAGATGTTTCGAACTGAACCAGCGACCGAGAGGCACGGCGCTGCGGTCCTGTGGGGGTGGAAGTTTTGGTTGGGCTTCAGACGCCGACACGGCGCCGCTGTTGGGATGGTCACGAGGCCCAGTCTCAGGTGGGACGAGCGATGCTCCAGGCGGAAAAAAGATGGCTGACGACGCGTACGGAGAGGCGAGGTCGACTAGCCGGGAAGGGGCATGTGATGTAAGACGAGACGAGAAGAGACAAGACGAGAAGAGACAAGACGGGAAGGGGAAGGGGCTGCTACGACAGATCGACGGGAGTGTCCATGGAAGATCGGCACTAGTGTGTGTGTGTGTGTATGTGCCGCTGTAAATAGTGGGTATGTAGTTAAGGAAATAACGGTGTCATGTTAATGGAGTGTTGGTCAGGAGAGGACAGGTGAGGCTTAGAGGCGTAATATTAGGTAGTGGGCCGCCTCTACATTAAACTTGAAGGTGCCCTGTAGGCGCCTATGCTGTGCCGCTGCTAAGATGGGAGGTCCCGAAGATCATGATTTGCATCAGATATGACCCGCGGTGAGGAAGGACATGGGCCAATTGTGCTATGCAGTGCACGGAGCGGGCCGGCACGGTTTTGCCAACAAGCACATACGTCATGGCTCGCTTTTCCAGTCTGTTGGGCGGCTGGTGGTCACACAGACATGGCACCACAAGACGAATACCGCGTCTACTCAGCGAGTTTGGCTTTGAACTAGCCGGGGACTCGGCCCACTTTTGATCAATCCGCCCTGCCTTATCGGTGTTGTTGATCTCTTGCTCGTTCTCGCATAGATAAGGTCTCGTGGCCATTTGATCGCGATTACCGATAGTGGCTAGGCCAATAAAGGTGGCAACCAGAAAAGAAAAGGTGGGACGTGGACCAGGGACCCCGGCTAGTTCAAATCCTACTTCGCTGAGTAGAAGCGGTAATATCAACAGTATTGCCACAAGGCTCGCCGCGAGGGCGAGGTGGCCGCAGACGTCGCAAATTGCATCCATCTCGCTTAGACAGGGTTCAGACATGTCGTGAAAAATAATAGATAGCGATAATTAGCAGGTGAACGATTCTATATAGAGACGGCAACCCCGGGAGAAACGGGAATTTTACCAAACTGGACTGTCAGACCTACATTGACAGCCCTGGCCAGCTGACAACTTCGACCTGCTGGACAGTTGAACCCGAAACGCCCGGATTTCGGAATGGGGTAGCGTCACGGCATGGCCTGGACAGGTGCCTGACGGCTGGACTGGATTGATGCGCCCTGATTGGTTGCATTCTATTTAGACTACTGGCCCGTGCGTAGACCTGACACGTGGCCCGCCGCACCATCACCTATTTCACCGCGCCCTGCGCGGAGCCTGCGATAGCTTCCTCTTCTTTCTTTATCTCTAGACTCTACGAATTAAGCGATGATTACTGCAACCCTGTTTCCTCAGGTTGACTGGGCCGTGATATGGCGCAAGACATTTTGCTCCCATTGTACGCCGACTTTTGGTTGGGGTACCCAGATCAAAGCTCTTAAACAATGCCTCTTTACTAGCCTTCTCGCGCGCTGTAAGTAGAGCCTGGCCTAGAGATTTTACCCCATTCCCCATGTCTAGAACCTTCTGTAATGGAAAGTGAAACTGTAGGTTGGACATTAGCGCATTAAGATTTGAAATAAGGTTGCTGAGCGAAAAACGCCTTGCGCAGCTGCCTGGACTAACAGGGCAGGGTCAATAATAGGTGGCTCAAAGAGGGGCAACTGACAGAACACGCCGTTGATATTTCGGGAGTGGCGGATCTTGAATAAGAGGTCGTCAATCTTCTTCACCGTGGGTCGCACGGGATAATAGCAAACATGAGACTGCCCAGTGCCCACGGAACCGAAAAAAATGGTTTGGGGAATCATGGCTTCTGCCTCGCCGGCTCGCGATGGCGGTGTGTGCATACTGGACGGGATCGTTTCCTCGAACCGCACGATGACCATGATGGAAAAGGCATCAATCTCAGCTGCGAGCATGTTGTACGTCCATTGCTTTGTTGATCTCCGCTGAATCTTTTCCTTTTTTCCTGCTTTTATCGTCTGAATTTCATGCCAAAACCACAATACCGGTCGGGCCGGGTCCTCGCTCCATATTTGCTGAACTTGAAAACGTTCCACTACAACCTTATTCGTCGCCGCTCGCGAGCTGATTTTCCATCGTATTTTACTTTGTGGACCAGAAAATCCTAACCGCCACCAGAAACTGGCGACCGCCTGACCGTGCACAAGCCATCTCTCTTGGAGTTAAATAAGGTGGCCTTTTCCAGCTTCCCCTCCCCTCTTCCCCTCTTTCTCTTCTTCTCCTTCTTGCTTTCTCCACAGGCTTTTACCACAACGCTTCTGTCTCGCATCCCCATTGAGTTAACCCCCCCTGAAGATGGTGGCGGTAGCCCAAGCAAACGCCGCTACCAGCAACGGAGCTCGGGGGAGGATTCGGTTCGCTCGACCGATTCGGGTGATGTCGATTACGGTCACGGATTTATCTTTGCCCAATTGGGACCTCTCTACGCCTTCACTGGGCCCCGTGACTGGGAAGAAGCGCGAAAAGCCATGACCTATGACGATATCATCGAGATGGGACACTGGACTGCCACTGGGTTTGGCTTGTGACAGAAATCGACAAGAACAGCCGTTCGGGCGCCATCTGGCTGATCTACAACTTCTACCAAGATAACTATACAGATGTTGGCCCAATAACGTGCACTCACAAACCCGTCTTCGACCAGGAGACAATGCAACAGCTCCCGGAGATAGGTCGCCTAGTTAAAGGGTGCACGACGACCTTCACAGTAGCAAAGATTGCCGAGAACCTAGGGCAGTTGGGAGCAAAGAAGAGCTTCAAAATCGACCTCAGGGAGTTCGATGAGCGACAGCTAGTATGGGTGAAGATATTGGCGGCCGGGCAGGGTTCACATCTTGTACGACAGTTCATTAAGCAATAGGTTGCTGTCTTGTCCGAGGGCCCCAATTGGCCATCGAAGCGAAATTACCAGGTTTGAAATTAGGTTCTGTGGGAAGAAGTTTGATCGCCGTTTACCAGAGGCGGGAACTAACTCCTTCCTGGCAAGCATAATAAAGCTGTCCTCATCATTAATGTACTTGGGAAAAGCATCCACCGTCTTGCGTTCAATCGAGGGCAGTCCGACTAAATCCTAACCCAGGCTAAAGGCGCCATTTCCGTCGCCAGAATCATACTCTAAGGTTAGGCCAGGTGTGCCTCAGTGAGAGCATCGAGAAGAAGAAACCAGTATCTTCGAGGCCAAAGTGCCAGATACAATATCGACGTCCAAGTCTTCATTCATTCCCTTGATAGCTCCCCCACCGCTTGGCGGTGACGTATGGACCCGGGCTGCTTTCGGTGGTGTCTAAATTGCCCCTTTCATACGCCACGACGACCCCGGCGTAGTCATTGTGTTAGCTCTGATTCGAACCATCAGCGGATATTGGCCCGTCTGGAACACACAGAGCCAAACTTGACGATCAATGCGTTAGATTTGCGAATCAGAGATACGTATTGTTGTATCTTTGTGCCGCATTAATCGCCCAATGACGTTGAGAGACATACTAACGCTGTTTCAGTTAGCCCGAACCCAAAATGCGACTTGGTGCCGAACAATCGAGGGCGAGCACCCATCCAGTGTGTTGAACCGCTGGCGACACAGGTTTTGTGGCGGGAGCTAGGACGCATCACGACCAACTTCGGTACTCCTTGTTCAGCGTCTTGTTCGTTGTGGGGGCAATCGTTATTGACACGCTCTCAGTATCCACGCCCGCCGCGGCAGCTGTTGCTCTGGGGCGACCCCCTCCATAGCAAGCTGTGGTGGTTGGCCACAAGTTGAAGGTGCTACAGCGCATCGATGTTCTTGCCCCCGTGCGCAGAGCTGTGACCTACCTAGCCGACCCACGAATGATCAGTCAATCTGTCACCAATGTGCCGCAGTCTTCGTTTGTGGCCAGCTTCGATGGTCACCTTAACCCCCCCGTGGCTGCGCAGGTTCACAGCACTGCCGCAAGCACGGTTGTCCGCAACAATCTGCCGCGATGCATGTCTTTGAACAACTCAGAGACAGCGGCCTAGCAGTAATTGACGGAGCTACAGATCGAAATGCGCGCATTGTACAGGTGCGGTGATGGCTCGTAGGCCGCGGCGTTAGCCTGAACTTCGAGTCCCTCTTCGGAAGCATGGATTAGGCAGTCATAGTTGAGTTAGCGTCCGTCTAGACCGCCTATTTAGTTGATATTTTGGAGTACCTCCGCTGTAAGAACCTCGATCCTCAGGCGGCCACACCTGGCATGCCGGTGGCCGACGAAGCACCCAGCCTGGAAGGAACTGTACTTGGATACCTCTTCCATCACCGACCTAACCCTGGCAACCTCAGGCTGTCCCCGGAGAATACTAATACCACGCTTCTATACGTGGATATCGTTAATGAAGTGATGGAGTCCTTCATTGACCACCTCGAGACCTATAACGACGATAGCAACCAGCCTAAGCAGACCGTAACTGATGCGTACAATATGCCGTTCGAGACTTCCGACGAATTGCTCTCCCAACCCCGACACCACAAGAGTGGGGCGCATTTCAAGCTCGAAGCGGTCACCACCTTATCTCTCTACCCTCCCACCGGCCCCTGGATGACTAGAGGGCCTTCCTCCGCCTTTTGAAGATTGAGCATGTGGAGCTCATTGATATGTTCCGCTCAGAGCATCCACTCCAGATTCGAACAGCGGCTGGGGGGGTTCGGGCTACCGAGTACATCAAACCTCTGAAGCGAAAGGAGCTCCAGGATATCTCCAGGACACTGCCGAAACCGGTGCAGTGAACTGCGAAGGACTAGATCTGTTTCAGGAGGAATACCGTATCTTGATCAAATGTGCCTTCTGGCCTAGGGGCTCCTTTGAGATTCTGAAAGCTAGACCGCTCACCGATACTGGAGGCTAGTAAGTTTTTGAGGGCGATTAGATGTAATTTTTTTTAGAAAAGGCTGCGACTCCAACCCCTCGAATTATTGCGCCTGGTTTATTGAGTACCGATTGTGAGGGCCTGGTCCTCCAGGCCTCCCAGACGCTCTGACTAATCAGACGCCAGTTGGGTGGATCCACCCGACCAGCCAGAGCCCCACCTTGAGACGCCCTGGAAGAATCTCGCGAGGGGAGGCTTTTGAGCTTCTTTTCCCTTTTCCCTTTAGTTTGGAATCTTCGTCTATAGCTGTGAGGACCCGTCCACCAAACTGGCCCTCAAGCAGCCAGAGCCGCCCAGAACCCCGGGTCTATCAGAAGCCGCCTCGAGGCCCCACCTACCCCACTGATAGATGAAAACTTATTCGCGAGCACGCGACGCGTTGTTGGACTTTTCCTTCTTTCCTTCCTCAGTTTAGAATCTTCGTCGATAGCACCCAATGGACTGAGTTCACCTCAATGCCTTGCCCTGGTCGTGACAATAGCGCCCAATAGAGGAGTTCCGCCCTCATTCCAAGCCGGCCGTGACACCGATGGCCGTATTGCGGGGCCTAACGGGACCGAGTACGGAGAAGGTATTGTGGGGTGAATTGTACTAAATGACATAATCTGGGACTAATGTTCTTTATCCCTTGTCTCTGTATCTGATTTCTTCATAATAGCGGTGGAGATCAGGACGAAATGATCTATTGTATTCCCCACCTTCCCCTTAGTGGATCCTGTGAGGGTTTGGCCTTCCGGACCCTCCCAAACGCACTGACCAATCAGATGCCAGCTAGAGGGATCCACCTGACTGACCAATGAGCTCGACCAGAGCCCCACCTCGAGACACCCTGGAAGAGTCTTGTCAGAAGCACTGCACATTGCACTGCACACTGGATTCAGTGGAAAAGATGGAGTTCAAAGTGATTTTCATCGAGATCTCTACTCGTCCCGTGCTCTTTGGCTCAGTCAGAGAACCTCTATTATAGTTATGAACGGTGGCAAACAGTAGTCGTTGCTAGCTGAACTGACTACGTAAAGTTCAGCTCGCATAAGCACTTTTTCAGCTTGGTTGACCACACCACTTGGTGTTCTGGCACGCAGTGCCAGAACCCCCTTCTTTCTGACAAGTCTCGCGAGGGGAGGAGGCTTTTGAGTTTCTTTTCCCTTTTCCCTTTAGTTTAGAATCTTCGTCTATAGCGCCCAATAGAGGAGTTCCGCCCTCATTCCAAGCCGGCCGTGACAGATCCCTCAATTAAATACCCCTCGTCACCCTGTCGTTCTCCTCTCCGCCACTCCTTTTTCTACCTCTGCCTCCCTCTTCGACCTTCCTCTCTCTCTCTCTATCCCTCTCTTTCCATCTCTACCCCCCTCTCTCCCCCTCTCTCTCCTCTCCCCCTCTCTCTCCCTCTCTCCCCCTCTCTCTCCCTCTCTCCCCCTCTCTCCCTCTCCCTTTCCGAGGAGCTGGCCCCTTCTTTGCCTTTTCTTACTCGACATCCCTCTCAGAAAAGGCACCATCGGAACTATGGCTACTACCGCGTTGTGCGAGCCCGTTACGCCCCGATGGCCAAAGGTCAACCTTACTACCGACCAAGGCCGGAGAATTGCAGTAAGCTAGATAACCAGCGTCCTTACCACTATCCACGTTTGCGTCCTGTTCCTCCGTACCGATCTACGCATATTCGAGAATTCTCAATATTAGTGTGACGGCGGTCAACAGCAGCTAGGAAGAAGGTCGCTAGTATTGCTATACCATTGTCTAAGGATTCTAAGATAAGGAAAAGAAAGGAAGAAATTCTACGACGGTGTGATCCCGGGCGCGGGGAAGTGGTGGTTGTGCCAATCGCGCACGGACCAAGAGTTCGCGCCCCACCAGGGCCCTAGTCCAGATTGGAGATAGTGCCGGGTAGCGTCATGGCGGGGTTCGGTTGTCACCGCACTGTGAGGACCCGTCCACCAAACTGGCCCTCAAGCAGCCAGAGCCGCCCAGAACCCCGGGCCTATCAGAAGCCGCCTCGAGGCCCCACCTACCCCACTGATAGATGAAAACTTATTCGCGAGCACGCGACGCGCTGTTGGACTTTTCCTTCTTTCCTTCCTCAGTTTAGAATCTTCGTCGATAGCACCCAATGGACTGAGTTCACCTCAATGCCTTGCCCTGGTCGTGACACGCACAGTCAACTAATTCGAGACAGGACTGCAATATGGTCGCTGTATTCGTAGAATCTAAAGCTAAGGAAAGAAAAAGGAAAGAAAGTTCCAAAGGCTGCGCGGGGCGCAGAGAAATAGGTTGAGTTGGTGAGGTTATGCACTGACCACATCCTAAACCAGGATGTCTGGTCGGGGTGTGCCAGCTCTTACCACCTGTCTGGCACCTGCCGTGACATCCGTGCAGCTGGGCGCCGACCGTGACAATTAGGAAGAATATAAAAAGGGTGCTAGCTATTACCTAAAGTATTATATTACGATCCTTCGCTATTATATTAATAGCGTGTTCTTGCCTACTATAACTTGGATTGGCGAGAAGAATGCGGCCCATCCTGTGGGTTTATGATTGAGATTTGCTCCGTCAGGTCTCGGATCCTGTAAGGAAAGAACCCCAACCCACGTCTACACGCACACGACTAACTCACACGCGTACCGAGCGGGCCAATATGTATATATACTACAAACCACTCAACTGTTAGGGCCGTCTGTCTGTAAGGGAGCACGGGCTCCACAGGATGCTAGGGTTAGTAATTATGAAGATAGAACAAAGGGCAAGCTCCTATCGCACGGGTAATACAGTCAAATTGGAATGCCACTCAAAGTGTATGAGTTGTAAGGAAACCACCCTCGTAACCACCATGGCCACCGCCACCAGGGCCACCCTCGCCACCGTCGCCACTATCGCCACCGCTAACAGGGCCACGCACTATCGCCACTACCACCCTGGCTACGCAAGGATGACTCGTAACCCCTTTCACGTGTATATAGACCATGGCCTTCGCACACCTCTTTAGCTCAGGCCAGGTTGAAGTCTTACGCCAATACCAGTCATTGCTCGCCCTGCTTGTTGCTCCTATTGTGACCACCTTGATCAGGCGTACCTGCCTTCTCTTACAGAGTGCAGTGAATGTGTATTGCTTGCTTGAGAGATCAAGCAAGAGCTATCTAAAACCGTGGGTACGGTTGTTGTATATATCTATCTACTGGACCAATAACAATGGTCCCACTGTCCCGTGGTCCCGCGTCCGGGACGCCCGTCCTCCGGGGCTGTCCCGTGTCCCCGGGCCCAAGTGCTCGGGACCCTGGGACACCTCTGATTGGTCCACACCAACCAGGGAGTGCCCCACCTTCACGCATTTCCGTAGGGATTCGTAATAGTGGGTGTCGAAGGTAGATAGGTGGGTGTCGAGGGTAGATAGGTGGGTGTCGAGGGTAGATAGGTGGGTGTCGAGGGTAGATAGGTTGGTGTCGAGGGTAGATAGGTGGGTGTCGAGGGTAGATCTCTGGACGTCGAGGGTCCGGCACCAGGCAAAGCTGCAAGCGGATGAGGCACCCAGTCGATGGCGCGATTGTACACGAACTTTGCCTCGATCGGCAGAGGCGCGTAATCGGCAGCCTTCGGCGGCATGGTAACAACCTATAAAGAATTAGGCATCAATCTCTCGTGCGCACGCGTGGGGGTTATTACCGGATCGCTTGTGAGAATTGACGAGGTTTGGAGATTTTGGGAAGAGGCGTTGTGCTACGGGCAGGCAGTTAACTTGGTTAGTGATGTAGAAGAAGAGGAGGAAGTTTTCTATAAATTTCGGTGCTAATAAATAGAAGAAAGTCGGGGGCCCTGAGCTGTAGGTCTTTTGTCCCGTGCCTCGCCCTACTCTTTTTACGCCTGACCGTTTGAGGGGGATATCTTTACCGAGATCTCGAAGTGAAGCACGGCGCTGTCGGAGGCAAGGGATGCGATCAAGGCCAATTGCTTCCGAAGCCGTATCAGCGTTCGGCGATCTAAGATCTCCTAAGAGCTCCTCGCTCGTGACCGCCTCTGAACTCCTGAAGATGTGCAAGGCACATTTTCTGAAAGGGAAGTTTGAGGGGCGCATATGCAGAGAGTATCCGCCTCACCGCACGTGCATCCAACCTGTCCTAGGTTGCTAGAATGCCGGTGGTATTTCTAGTGGGCAAAATCGCCCTTGTTGTGGACTTGCTGTGCTGAGCGGCCTGGGCTGGCGGCAGGTGGTTCGACGGCTTCCTCCTCTGTCGACGTAGTATCCGAGATGCCCTCCGAGGCACCGCCCAAACCCGAATTTGGAAAGCCGAGCCCCGCCAAAGGTCTAGGCGGACACCAGACCATAAGCCCGAATTGGCCGAAAACGAAACCAGGAGGAAGATGTTCGCGAGTGAGGTCGACAAACTACAGCTGGACCTCGTCTGGATCGCCTTCTTTAACAAACAGTCCTTCGTCCCTCCACCTCGCTAAGTTTTGCAGGTCTAGACTACTGGCTCGATAGCGGCCGTTTGCGCTATTTCCTCCCTCTATACGTAAGACATTTGGCCAACATAACATGCTCGAAGGCAGCCAGCCGGAGAACCAGTCTGCCGCTTTCGTCGAGTAGCTAGCTCATCGCGTTTCTGCACGCACTTGTCGAATTTCCCGTATCAGTTTCGCCACTACGGATACCCTGGCGAAACTCGTCGACTAGCTTGGCTTCGTGAGCGGTCAAGAGAAGATCAACTTTGTATTCGACGGCAGAGGCATAGGCAAAGGCAGGTGCGGTTGAGCCTGTGGCCAGCGGTGATTGATAATAGGCTGCTTCCTCAAAGTAGCTTCTCGCATCCTGATCAGCTATGACTGATGTCGCGTATGCTGATTGCTCTAAGGGGGGGTAGTCCCTTGGCTCTCACGCTTGGCACACCATCACCACCACCACCACGACGGCTTCATAATAAATCATTCCATCTATTTATTCGGGGCGCGGGTTCAACCTAGCCCTCGAAAAGGAAGGGGCGATGGCCACTGCTTATATACATGACAGAGTGCAGGGCTAGCGGGCGAGAGGTCATGACAAAGGAGTGAGGTCTTGGCCCGCTCGGTACGCGTGAGTTGGTCATTTGTGTGGGCTGGGGCTCTTTCCTTATAGTCACGCCCATCACCACGTACACATTAATATAGTTCGGTAGTCGGCCGGCGTAACTCTAATTATCGGTAGTGGGGGTTATTATATAACTTTCTGCTTCACCGCGGTAAATACTTAATTATAAGTGTACCCCTCCACAAGGGCCGCAAAATCGCTCATGCCGGTCCACACAGAAGTAAAAGGTTATCCTATCCAACAGGAGCTCAGCTTTCCAAACTCTTCACCCTTTCTTTCCCTCTTCACCCCTTCTTTCCCTCTTCACCCTTTCTTTCCCTCTTCCCTAAACACAGTAATATTCCACTTCGACTTCAGCCTCTCCGCCCCGCACGATCTTCCTTACTCGCAACCGCCATCTGTGCACAATGGCGTGGCATAAACTGCCCGCAGAGATTCGGTTGATGATTTGGAAACTTGTCGCGAAGTCACACAAAGCAGAGTTTTGCCAGAAAGAGAGGTATGCCCTCGTTGTCTATGCGAGCGTTTGCCAAGAGTGGCAATGGTTTTTCGAACCCATCATCTTCAGAAGCGTTGTCGTCGACCAGGATCGCATCTCAGAGTTTGACAAATCTATAAAGTGAGTCCCGCGCAGACGGCAATGTGTCAAACAGATCCACCTCCGTATCAGGCTCGCAGACTATGACTGCAGCGTCTGCCAGACGGAGGAGGACTTGGAGTCGCGAAAGCAAAACAATCTCACTTTCACCAGGACTGTCAAGGACCTGCTTTCTGTCCTCTCTGAGTGGCCTTGGAGGAGAACCAAACCAGATACGACAATGGTGATGATGGGAGGGCTTTCCCTGGAAATTAGCACCTTCTCCCCAAGCGATTACCAGCACGGCTTCAGGGACTTTAGGCTCCAGGACGACTATCCGATCTCCTTTAATTTCGATGCGTGGTCAGACAGATACATGGACTGGCCTGCAGAGAGGGAGCGAGCCGAACAGATGAAGCTGGAGCAACACCACGACCCAGTTCATGGAGGGAGAAAGGTCGACAAGGCCCAGTCAGCTTGGGGGCGCGGAAGCGGATTACCGAAGAGCTAACGCTGCAGGGTGAGAATGATGCGAGTGGCAAAGACTCTCAGCTCCCCAAGGTAGTCGCCATCACAGCCTTTACTGCTAGAAGGCAGTCGTACCGGGGCATCAACACCCCGTCGCTCGAGAAGATTCTCAGGGCATTTCCCTACCTCAACTACTTTATACACGAGCCGTGGCATAATGTCACCCCCGAGCGGCAGCAGCTTTTCGAGTCGGAGCATCTCAAACTGATAAAGGCCCTCCCCAAGACCAACCGCAAGCTCCGAAACCTCAACCTATTCCAAAACTCTTCCAAGACGTTGAACCCTGAGATGCCCACAGACGGACGCGGGTGGCACCGGGGAGCAAAAACGAGACGCCCCCTTGGCCGGGCCCTGGCTAAAACCACGCGGCTGTTGGAAACGGAATTCGTGTCTGCCGCGTTCCTGATTAATGCCTTTAACTTCTTCCACGAGTTCAGAGCCGCCCTCCCGCCGCAGCCCGGCGGCCACGATCCCCGAGTCTGGGGCAACCTCAAAGAGCTGCATCTGATATCGGCCCGTCTCAACCCCCATGTCGCATCGTGGAAGCGGCAGGACGTCCTCTGTAGGGCAGGCCGCGCGGCCGCGCTGATGCCGAGTCTCGACAACATGATCCTCTGGAACGGCGGTGAGGGATTCTCTTACGTCATGTGCTACATCCGCTGTTCCATCAATAAAGAGCCGGGACTAGCATTGGGGTCTACTATGGATGACGCAGTACAATCGGATTTCCCGCCCCAGGTGCTGGCGACCTGGCGGTTGGTCCCGCTGAGCGCGCGGGATCCGCCTCACGGCAATCTGGCTATCAAAATTGATAAGACCGGTATGCCGACGGCGTCCATTAGATCTTTTGCTAGGACTTTGTCGTTTCTTGTCCATTTAGACATTGCGCATGGGGTTTCGGCCCACCAATGATCGCGGAAGAGAAGTTCTTCCTTCCATTGACGGATGGGAGCTTGGAGTGAGCAGTGTCAGCAGAAGGAGGTTCATGAGTTGCATAACGACTAAATCGAGAAACTGTAAGCGACAGAGGGAGGACCATGACACCTAGACACATTTGCATCCATTGCCTACCTACCTGCATTACTTACTTTCGTCTCGAATCCTACGCACCTCTCCCCCGTCTCACGCAATATTTCTGACCAAAGTCCCCTTTTCCTAGTCACTCTTGATCAATGGGTTTAGCTTGAGTGTCCAGTTGCTACGAGAATCCGTTATGCAACCAATGCAGCTGTACGTGCCTGATCTGGACTGTCAAGTTGATCTCGTTGCCGCCTTGTTAGCGCGTCCTGCTATCCTAATGATGGGCGTGGCTGCCGCATTTGCGCCAACCAACCACCAATTGAGGGAGAAAAGAACATGCACCTATCTTAATTTACATGTTCAGGTAGGCACGTACAAAAATGCTCGCGGTGAACACCACCATCCGTGCTCTCAAGCCTGCGCCATCCTAGTTCCTTTGTTTACGAGTTATCAAAGAAGACGAAGACACGCAACCACCACCGCAGTAGGTCCACAACCGCACCCACTGCAGCAACAACAAAAACAACAGCAACAGCACCAAAATCGCTGACGACAACGACACAGAGTGGACGTTTGGCCTTGGCAGCTGCGCGGCGGCGCGTGAGGCTCTCGCCTTGTTTCCGGAGCCTCCGCACATATCATACTCGCTGCCCCGGCGTCAACGACGGCCGCTGGCGCCATATACGCTAGCATAAGGGGGGACAAAAACGATAACGACGACGATAACGATAACGATAATGATAATGACGAAGAGGACGAGGATGAGGAAGAGGAAGAGTAGGTCGTAACTCGTAAGTACCCATCCGAGCTACTTTTACTTTGTCCTATCTCCTCCTTATTACCTTATAATACGGAGCTTTGATCTACGCACCCACCTACTTTTTCATCGCACCTACATCTGGGTCCTTGGCAACTGCTGGTAGTTGAGATACCCAAACGCTAATTACCATCCAGCTGCCCTAGCCCGGCCGCCCAGGTCAACAAGGTTGAAGCTGTCAAAACAACCAAGCCTTTGGGCACTTGCAAAGGGCAGCTCTGGGGCCTAGATTTGTACGTAAAATTGCCAAAGGTCATGGTGACCGCCAGCGGGCTATGTGGTCTATTGAATAAGGGTTTGTTGGCATGGTGATGTATTTCCGTGATATTGAGTCTAGTCTAGGCAAGGAGATCGAAGTCGACCTGGCCGCTGCAGACCTCAAATCACCAACTGCGCGTAGAAAGCCCGGCATATGAAAGTCTAAATAGTTTCATTTTGGATTTAACGAGCTTCCTTGGTGCCCGGTAGACCTTGGGTGGCTGCCATGGAATACAGCATTTTACAATAATTACAAAAGAGCTTCGATCAGGGCTTATACAAAAAGCGACCCCTACGTTGGCAGTTGCCAAGGACCCACGTGTAGGTGCAATGAAAAAGTAGGTGGGTGCGTGGATCAAAGCTCATAATAAGACTCTCCGGTTCAAAGAGCGATAATTTGCCAATAATCCTATTATTATATAATAGGCCGTCGAAGATGATTACGACCCCGATTATGATTATGATGAGCACGACTATAACTACGAAAGGGAGGTGGACACTACCACCTCCATTGCTCTTTGTATCCTAATCAATAACTCTGCACTCCAATCTCTGTATGTTTGTTGGCCTGGTGCATGGGAATGGGGAGAAGATTATCGTAAATAAACCGGCAGGAAGCTCCTTAAATATGTATTTTGAGAGACGAGATATACCTCTAGGTCTAGGATTCTAAAATAGGGGTTCTAATAGTTATTGTTTCTCGTGGCAAAAACCTTTAGGGCTCGCCATAAGAAATTGAGGCTTTCGTTTCTTGGAAAGTCCCCCGCTAACAAACATTTAAGGATTGGATTGTACACTTGTCCCCAGACTGATATAGAAATTACCTAGTTACGAGCCGACCAACGCCTACCTATCGCCAGGGTAAACTTATCTTATCTCACTATACCAACTTCCCGTGACGGATGGGGTCAACCCTCTGGGTAACCAGAGGGGCGAACGGGTATCGCCATCGAGATTGACTACTGATGTCCATCAGCCACAAACCCCGACTGAAGCACAATAAGGCTTTCAAATAATCAGTCCATCAGCATCATCATCATCATCATCATCATCATCATCATCATCATCATCATCATCATCATCATCATCATCACCACCTTAATCCCAAAATCTCCCCCTCACGTCCACAGGAATAGCCGCCACGCCCTGCGCGAGCGGATGGACCGCAACGACACGAGTCCCGGCATCCTTGTCATAAATCGCCGCGCAGCCACGGCCACCGTGTCTCTCTACCGCGTCGCGCAACTCGGCCAGCAGCGCCGCCAGCCGGCGGAGCTCGCCCTGGTGGTCTGCCTCCCAGCGTGCAAAGCTGTCCTCGACATTGGTGATCCTAATTTGGGTGACGGTGCCCTCGTTGTGCGACCCCACAATCAGCCACGGCGTGCGCCCGAACCAGAGCTGTGGCAGGTACGCGCTGATGCCGGTCCTGGATTTCCCACCGGATGACTTGATCTCGGCGGCCGTCGACTGCGGCATCGTGCGTTCCTTGGCGGTAATACCGGAAGGGGAAGCCGCTTGTGGAGCTAAGTGGTTGCCCAAGGCCAGAGCGTACATACCGGCGCGCATCGTCTTGAGCGCATCATCAACCGTCGCGCCGTCCCCTGACCCATTCCCATTTCTCTCTCTGTAGCATGCGTCAACCTCGAAGCCTACGATACAATTTAGCCCTCCGATTGCATAGCGCAGGAAGCGGTCGTGCGAGGTGCTGGCCTCGAGCCCGGGAGGGAACGCAGTGAAGGCGCGCTCGAAGCTGTGGCCCCAGCCGGCGGACTGGAACGCCATGAAGGCGCTGTCGTACTGCTCGACGAACAGCGTGCCGTGCACGACCGACACGGTCACGCGGAAGCTCTGCTGGCTGCGGCGCGCGCACAGGTCGAGCAGTTTGCGCAGGCTGTTGCGCGTGACGACGACGTCGACGTCGCTGAACCGGAACCCAGGGCTCATGAACTCGGCGGCCTGGAAGACCTGCTGGAACGGGTACTGTGAGATCTGCCATGCCGGAACGCGTGCCGACGTGCTTCGGTTATCTTTGGGGAGGGTTACAGGGAGGGCGAGGTCTTGCCATACCGGCGCGTGGCCTGCGATGGTTGTATCGTTAGAGGGATGGGTCCCTTGGCACGCACTCTTGTAAGGCAGAGTACGTCGGGCGCTTACCAGGAACGTGGAACCCTGCAGAGCCCTGCCAGTTGTAGCTGCACACTAGCTCAGGGGGTGTCGTGCTGGAGACGGGAATGGCTGAGGGCTCTAGGACTGCGGGATCGATGATCTGGGCCGGCACTGGGCTCCGTAGTCCTCTCCACATCCGAGCCTCGCGAGGAGAACGGCGGCCGCGAACATTTGCCCTGGGATTCGGTGGTGTTGGCTGAAGGTTTGCATTGTTGAGTGGGGTGGTGGAGCCGTGTTTGTCTGTTTGATGCTGCATCAACCCCGCTTGAGAGCCAAAACTGCGCTGGCAGTGACAAACATGCATTGCCGAGTGAGTGGTTGTGCCTGGTGAAACTCAACGAAGGAAAGGGCGATCCGAAGAAAGTTAAAAAAAACTGGACTGGGCATGTGATTTGGACAAGCGTCGACGGGCAGCGGGTTGTTAAGTGGGGGAGTGTTGGTGCCCAACATCTTTAAGCCTAGGTAGGACAAACAGTCGACTGCTCCTTCCTTGTTATGCCATGTCCCGATTTTGAGTGGGCACGTGATGATCCATTAAGCTCTCCACGGCCGTTTCCGAGGTTTCCAGGAGCTTTGACACCGATTTAACGCCCTTTTGGGGCGAATAATGTGCTAGCAATCGTCCTTTTGTATTACGTGACCCACGCTCAGTTACACCACTTGAGACGCGAGTTTGCACGGAACGCCAAACCTGGATCCATTCAAATGTTGCGAAGCCGGCCAACCTGGCTTCCGGATGCTACTGTGAACTCCCCGACGTCGCGCTCGCTGACCTGAGAGACGGGTTCAAAGTAGACCCATATTTCCACCCACTCATTCGGCGACAAGTCTACGTGTAAGTAAAAAATACGCCTCTGTCAAAGACATCAATACTCACCCGCGCTGTGGCGGGGTCACCCTTGTAATCCACGACACGCAGCTCGACAACCAACTTCCTCGACTCAACACGTTGCGGGGGGATGGGGATTTTGTACTCGAGCACGTCGCCGCGGCCGACCTCGGCGCCGGCGACCTCCCAGACCATTCTGGCCGGATCAACGGGGCGCTGGCGATCGTCGTAGGCCTCGCCGTGCAGCGCAATCGTCTCGCCGTCCTGGTAGCGCCGGCCGGCCTCGGGGCTGCGCATGAACACGGATGGCGCCACGCCCTTGTGCCCAAAGACGTCGCCCAGCGCCACCGACTCGCTGAAGCCGTCGGACACGCGCAGCCGCAGCTGGCCCTCGGGGTTGTACGGGAAGAAGGACTCGGGAATCTCGGTCGTGATGTCGCTGCTGTCGTCTGATGGCTCCGCCGCGCCGAGGTACACGAGCTTCCACTGCTGTTTTCCAGCGCCTGCGGCGTCACCGTCTCCCTCTTGCCCTTCCTCTTCATGGTCGCTCGGCGGCAACAGGTAATCGATCTTGACTTCGAGGGGCAGCCCCAGTTCGTGCCGGGCCGAGTAGATGACTTGGATGACGCGCAGACCGCCACGGCGGTACCAGGAGAGCTTGGGCGACGAGACGATGGGCCCTTTGGCCGGGCGGTCCTTTTTGAGAATCGGCTGGCGCGTCTCAGTGTCGAACAGCTCGACGCGATGGACGGATGTGAAGTCGGTGCCCTCGGCCATCATAGGGATGCGGGCCATCAGAAGCACGTCTTGGTCAGGGGAGGTGTCTCTCAGTGATGTCGTGCCGTCACCGCCACTTGCTGGCCCATCCCCAGCCTCCTCAATGACGCTGACTGCCAGGCCGCGACCGAGCTCGACACCCCGAGCGTCGGTGAGCAGGAACTCGTATTTGCTTTCTCCGCTCACTCCTCCTAGCTCTGTGGCATTCTCAAGGGGCCCAATCTTGGTGAACTCGGCGTGACCCGAGGCATCAATGATGGCATGCACGACCGTGACAGGGCGACGGCGGATGGCGCGGGCAACAGTAGTTGCAGTTGCTGCTGGACCGTCGCTGCTGCTGCTGCCGCTGCTGCTGCTGCTGCCGCTGCTGCCGCTGCTGCCACCAGCGGCCAATGCGTGACCGCCCGTGCCAAACCACTTGATGGTGGCGTCCCAGCCGCGCGTCGAGATCCAGTGCTCTGGGTCGGTCCCGCCGACGTTGCCGCTGTAGCTCATAAAGTCGTAGTACCTCGGGTGCGTCGTGTCGGCAGTAGAGCGAGCGCAGAAGCGGACAGTGGCACCGCCAGTTCGGCGATCGACCCCGACGCCCTGGATCAAACCGATGTTGTCGGGTGGCCAGTCCTCAACCGCGCCGCCGTCACGGGCGTTGTTGGCCGGGCTCGCGTGCTTGCGCCCGCACAGGTGGCCGACCTCGTGCGCGGCGCTCGTCAGCCCGCGCTTGGGCGCCTCAACCATGGCCACCTTGGGCACACCCAGCGCGTCGCTCTTGCGCCCGCCGATGCGGTACTCGACATCGTTGGCTTCGCTCGAGTAGACGCCAACGAGAAAATAGTAATCGTTGCTGTCAAAGTTCCAGTCGTCGACGGCGTTGCGCAGCCGCGACGAGATCTTGCCCGTGCGCTTCTTGTAGTCCCAGTCGTCGCGCCGGAAGATGTCGGTGATGTCGATGACGTTGCCGTACGGCGGCGTCGAGAGCTGGTTCGCGCCCAGCGGCAGCAGGTTCCGCGCCTCGGCGAACACGGTGGGCGGCGGCGGCAAGATGTAGCGCTGGTAGTTGGGCGGGTCTTGGATCCGCAGCTGGAAGGACTGGATCGTGAGAGGCAGCGTCTTGGTGAAGTAGATGTTCTGCACCTCGAACACGTTGTTGCCGGCGTTGACGTCGAACGTCTTCTGCGGGCCGAGTGCGAGAGACGGCCGCAGCTCGGCCCTGAGGGATACCAGCCCCGCCGCCCACGAGTTCGGGACTTCGATGTCGGTCGCCATCGACTCGCGCATCATGTCCGTCACCACGTCGCTCGTCATCGTGGTGCTGAAGCGGACGGAGCCGTAGTTGCGCACGGGACTGCCGGGCAGCGTGATGTTGTTTAGCGTCTTGCCGTGCAGCAGCACCTCGAACCCGTGGCTCTGGGTCGGCGGGATCCGCGGGAGCGACTTGTACGCGACGAAGACGCGCGCGAGCGTGCGGCCCTTCTCGACGAGCCGCACGCCGCGGTACTGCACCGGCTCGGTGACGTCGAGGTCGCGCAGCGTCGGCAGCTCATACGTCTGGATCCCCTGCGTGACCTCCATGCCCACGATGCGGAGGTCGTACGGCTCGCGCACTGTCGTGTACACGGTGACGGACTGACTGCTCGTGCCGGTGGCTCCCGAGCCCGGTCGCCCCGTCACTACCAACGCCCACCGGTCGATGAGCCACATGCTCGGCCGCCTCTCGAGGGCGCGAAGCGAGATGCGCACGACCTCGTCCGGGCGCGCATTCGATGGCTGCGGGTCGATGCGTACGACCTCCAGCCCGTACGGCACATTGGTCACGTCAAGATTGATGGGGCCCGTGGACCCAAAGAGCCGAGTCACGCGCACGGGAACCGACAGCACCTCGAGAGGGTTCATGTAGACATCGTTAACAGGCTCAAGCCGGAAGGTGGGGATCTGCGGCGCGCCGAGGTCGTCAAAGGTCAGATTGTCAAGGTAAAAGTACTCGCCGCGGCCCTCGACGGTGCGGCGGACGTCGAGGCGAGCAATGTTTCCAGCCGCATACACGGTGCCCGTCGTCCACTGCCGGCCGGCCGGCAGCACGACGTAGTTGGTGAAGCCGATCTGCGTGCCCGCGGCGTCCCAGATGCGCGCCCGGAAGCCGATGTTGTGCGTGGCCGTGTACGGCAGCCCGACGCTGAAGCTGACGGTCGAGTGACGCGGATCCGTGAAGCGCAGCGACAGGTACGCGTCGGGAAACTCGACGCTGCCCTGGAAGGAGCATGTGAGCACGTTGGCGGGCGACGGCGCCGAGGCCTCGTAGCGGATCGTCGGCTGCCACGGCCGCTCGTCTGTGAAGACGACGCCGCGCGAGGCGAACTGGTTGGTGACTTCTGTCCCTGCGGGGAGGGTGTCGAAGTTGATGACGGTTGTCATTTTTGTTGTTTCGCTGCCCTACCCCAAGTAATTAGGTGAGACGGAATAGTATCCTAGCACGGTCGGCCGCTTATGAGTCGCTTTTCTGACGGAATAAAGGCTTCCTTACAACATCTTCAAGGAGGTGGCTTCTCTCAGGCGCTTTATAGTCAATTGCCCGCCATGGAGCTTATCGCTTTCTCCGCATCGAAGAGAGCACCCATGGCGAGCTCGATACCCCTTTGGTGAGGAAAACTCCACCGCAGCACATCGTCGCATCGTCACTGGACAGCAGCACCGAGGTCAAGACTTGTGCCGAGTTCCTAGCTTAGTTCCAAGGTCGCCTCTCGTCCATACAAGCGCGACAGCTGCAGCGGATCCTGGTAGCAGGATGGTCTTGGCTCTTGGCCACGTTCAGCTCCGATTCAGCCGCAAATACAATCCGATCTCTGTACGTTTGTTGGCGTGGCACTCCATATTTGGCAGAATAATTATTGTATCCCAGTAAATAAACCAGCTAGGGAAACTCTTTAATAGATCTTTTTGGCGAAGAGATACGCCTCGAGGATTCTAAAATAGGGAGTCTAATAGATTTTACCTCCCTGGGCGAAAAACCTTTACGGCTCGCCGTAAGGAATCGAGGCCTTATAAACCTTGGAAAGTCCCCCACTAACAAACATTCAGGGATTGGATTGTATAGAATAAGTATTCAACACTGAACCATTAGTCTAAGTTCTAATAATTAAACGACATCTTTCCTACTTATAGATCTATTGAGAAAAAGAAACTTGAATCTTGAGACCGAAAGACGTCGCCTCAAGGCATATGAACGATATCCTGAAGGCTATAGATGCTTTCTTAGGACCCCCGGATAATTAGGCGTCCGGATACATTGCCGTGTGTATTCTAATTAGCAAGCTGTTTCCCTCGGTGAGGGTCGAATTTGGGGATCCTGACGGTAAATCCGTCATAGCCATACCTCCGGCAACGACCCGCAGGAAAATACCCTCCAATAGTTGTCTGTTGTCGGAAATCAGTATCACCGAGCTTACCTTATGGTATCTTTTGCATGCCTTCTAGAAACTGTACCTTAGCACGACCCCGACGTCCGAAGCAATAAACTATATGCCGCCCCGTCGCGTGCTCCCACAAGTTACAACAGTACAACTCGATTAGTGAGCAGTCAGGGACTAGTCACAGTACCTGAGAAATACCACACAGACCATTACATGATACGCAACCATGGATATGCCTTCTATCTGCATGCGGCGTAACATCACTGAATGCGATCGCGGCCACCCACTCGCCTCCTCAATTGTCGGCAGCAAGACATCATGTCCGGTCCTGCGAACGCGACAGCGACGGGGCTGGTTCCGCTCCTGCCCCCGACCGAGATAAATGATACGCACAAAGTCTACAGCATGGCCCAGTCGTTTCTGGTCATGATGTTTCTTGCCACGGGCGTCTGTGTGTGGCGGCTGGTCGCGAGGTTCCGGGCGGGCAACTTTGGTCTCGACGATTACACGGCCGTCGTGGCGCTGGTATGTCCTCATACGGCATTGTCTCAGAAATCCCCCCTTTTGGTGGTCTGTGTTTGTTGACATTCGGGAAAACCCCTGAGCTCAGCTCGCATATATCGCCTGGTCGACACTAGCCGTGTACGCCAACTTGAACGCGGGCGTGGGCAAGCCGCTCTGGGAAATCACACTCGGCGAGTACACCATCTGGTTCAAGATCCTGATGGCGACCGCCTTTCTGTATCCCATCATGTCGACGCTGGTCCGGACATCCATCATCTTGTTCTACCAGCGCATCTTCGGCGTGCCGGGCTCGCGCTTCCGTGTGCTGTGCTGGGTCTTCATCGGTGTCAACGTCGCCTACATGGCCACGTTTGCCGTGCTGTCGGCGCTGATGTGCCGTGCTGCCGGTGGTGACGTGCCGTGCTGCCGGCGCTGACGTGCCGTGCTGCCGGCGCTGACGTGCCGTGCTGCCGGCGCTGACGTGCCGCCCGCTGTACGCCGCCTGGCAGCTCGACCTGTTCCCGCTCAAGTGCAACATCGAATACTCGCTCGACACCAACACGGCCATGCACGGCGTCGGGTTCGGTCTCGACGTCGTACTAACCGCGCTGCCCATCTATCCTGTCTTGCGCCTGCACATGCCACGCCGCCAGAAGGCGGGCATTGCGCTGCTGTTTCTGCTCGGCGCCAGCGCGACGGCTGCTGCGGGTGTCAAGTTTGTCCTCTAGCCTATGACTACGCATAAGTAGTGGGCTGGCGATCCGGAGTGTACGTACATTACATTTTGCCCCCTCCCCACTCGCCTGGCTCGTGTGTCCTGATTAAAAGCGCAACAGGGCGTGAATACCTCCTCGTCCCCGCCATCCCGGCAGCCTTCAATAACTACGCCCTCACGTTCTGGGTTCTATCTGTGGCGTTTTCGTTTATGAAGAGGGTGGCGAAGGGCTTGCGGGTGAAATGTGACGCGTTTGAGCTAACAAAGCCGACAAGAGCCCGATGTTGGTCGTTGCGTATTTCTCCCTTGAGATCCTTGACATGGTGTTTGAGAAGTTTCCCTTGTAAGAGGCAGTGATACCCGTTCGCCCCTCTAGTTATCCAGGGGTTGACCCTATCCGCCACGGGGAGGCCGGTATCTGGGGATAGGATAAGAATACACTGGAAATAGGTGTCACATACAACACTGCGTTGATTGAAGGCAAAAGAGTGCTTGCATTCGGAAGAAGTGAAAGAAGGAAGACAGGGCAGGTGCCCTTCTATATCCAGTGAGTTGGGGACAGGGACAGTGTGTGCCGCGGTCTTATTGACGAAGTCGACGTATGGGGTATTATTATGACATTATGCATTCTATTACAGTATGGCTATGCAGTAATGAACGACTTTGTACGCTGGATGTGGAGATGGGAGACCGGAAAGGGTCTCGTTGGGTGGCCCTGCAGAATGCCGCGACGGCATTTCCGCACAGTGGCATCCCGGGCTGTCGTTCCTTGTTCTCGGATCGGGGGGCTTCATGCGGCAAACTGGCAAGAGGGGGCGGCACCTTTGTTGGTGGGATATTTACAGGATCCTGCCTTGGCATCCAGGGCACCCTTGAAGTCGAAGTTGTGGCAACCATCGTCTGACTGCCAGTAGGTGGCTTTGAAAGTGTACCCGCCGGGACTGGTCTCGCAGCACCTGGTTAAATGAAAACAGAGCGGTCAGTTTCCAGACACTTCAAGGTTCGCACGTTGATCTTGGTTCAGGGGGCAACTATCTCACTCCACATTGCACTTGCAGCTCTTCTTGCACTCGCACGGAGGTTTTGTTGTGGCGCAAGCATAAGTTGACGTCGAATAGCTGTCGTAGATGGCAACATAGTTGAAATCGCCAATGTATGGGTTGGCGGCGCAGGGAGGGCCGGCGGGTTTGACGGCAGTGTGTGCGGTAATCCAGCCCTTGAATGCAGAGGCGCTGCCGCCGAAGAGGGCGATGCTGCCAAGGAGCGAGACGAAAGATGCGGTCTTCATCGTGAGAGGGTGAGAGGAGCGATTAAAATTTAAATGGTGTTTGAGATGGGCGGTGATGCTTTGGCTGGCTGATGGGCGGGAACTGGTTATAACCACAAGGCTGAACGGCGGCACTCTTTATACAGAAACAAAACCTCTTGTCGTCAACGAGGCAATGGGCTGCACCTGATGAGATGCACCAGGCCGGCACCAACTTGGTGCATCACCATGATCAACCCATGCCTAATTTCCAGGGGAGCGATGATCGAGGAAAGGCACAGCAACAGCCGCCGCTCGTTGGCAGTAATTGATTACGCTGATACGCAAGTTCTTTTTAACGTCTTGCGGGAGCCTGCCGTCAACATTGCCTCGTTGGGACACTAAGACGGCAATTCCTCGCTTCAACTCCTTGCTGCCCCTTGCTGCAGCTTTGCCTTTATTTATTTGTGGTGGTCAGTCGAGTAGGCACCCAGGAACAACATGGCAGCCCTGACCATTTTCAGGCATCGAAAGCCATTTGGCGCTGATTCTTGATGCGCCCGTGCGGCAATGTGCAACGGTCCAACGTGATCTGGAAGACTTCTGGGGATGCCTCAAGCAGAGAGCGGTTTAGCGTGTGTCCCAAGAGGGGAGGGTGGAATAAGCTTACTTGAGACTCAGCCACTCAGGATGGCGGCACGAGGGGAACAGCGCAGGCTGCTGCCCAGAGTTGGAGGGCATCCCGCCTCAATCGTATCGAAGAACTCTGTTTTCAGATTCCAGAATGCGCCAAGAGGCCATTGACCACTTGGTTCCCGTTTATGGGTATATCGCCAAAAGATGCTCTGTTCGACCTAAAGAAGGTTTCGTCTAGCAGCAGGTGGTTCTTTTGCCGACACTTTTAGTTAGTGTATTTTAGTGCACGGCGCGCCCACTTTATGGTCAAGCCGTCTCCCTTCAAGTTAGGTTGTCAGCTCAGCTTTCAAGCACAGCTTGTGCCCCTTTTGCAATCGTGGAATTCCCGGTCAATGAGCCCTAAAATCTGACGGGAGAAATATAAACACTTTACAGTAGGTTGTTAGTTCAGAATGCAGGAACCAACGTTGGGGGAAAAGGGAATAGACGTGATACTGGCATCGTGGTTCACAAGCGGCATTAGCAATAATATTGGTGCTGCATTTGTGCAGCTTCTCGCGTCAAAAGTTCAGGTTATGTAAGGAAGGAAACCTTATGTAACGCCCCAACGCCTTACTAAAAGAAAACTGAATGGGGCTCTCGACCCGAAAGCCACACAATAGCGCACGTGCCTCCAAGGCCCCCACCAAGGCCCCCGAAGGCGAATGGGGCCCCAGGTCTGAGGGGCGCAACGGGTGACTTTTGCGTCGCTGGCAATTAACAACACTTGCTGGGTTTGGCTGATCGGGATTCGACAGGCCACTTGCAAACACTCTTTCCAATCTCTGGTATTCTTGTCTATCTTTGATCAAACATTTACAAACTTCATGGGCCGATGCCCTTGCTACTCTTCTCGCATTGCCCGGTTCCCATTTGCTTCCCTTCTGCCTAGGTTTGCCTTAACGTGACGCACGCCGTATCGGATCAGACACGAACCAAACCGCGTAGCGTCGTCAATCGTCCATTTACGCCTCGATGCTCGTGGGCCACGCCCCCTTTGCCTCGGTCACCCCGAGCCAGGGCTTGCGCTGAACTGCTGAGCTGACCGCTTTTACTTGCTGCCCCTGAGCTGCGGCGCGGCAGACGCAGACGCAGACGGCAGACAGCGGCCTTCGCTGCCTTCTCGGCTCGGACCCGCCTAAGCCATGCTGTCGCATCTCCGATTCCATCGACGTGCGCCGTCGAACCCCCCGTCGCCTCTTCCCGATCAATCTCCCTCGTGGGAGACGGCGGCGCTTCACGAACACCCACAGACCGTGCAGGATGTCTCGCCGCGCCCGGAAACGCGGCCGCGGTCGGCCAATTCCTCGCAGATGCCGCCGACCCTGCCCCCAATCGCACGCGTAGCCTCGGCCGACCCCGATCTGTCTCCTCCTTTGCGAGACTCCTTCCGCGACGATACACGACCTGTCTCACAGGGATCGCGATTTTCCCCCACCCAGACTCCTTACGATAGCGGAAACACAGGCTTCATTGGCGGGGTAGCTCTCCAGAACTACCGCCGGAACACCCAAGGAGCCCAGCGGCCCGAGTCGACCGGAAACCAGGCCATGCAGCTACCCGAAAGCCACATTTCGCGAGCGAAGCCCCCACCGCCTCCCATAAATACGGGATTTGTCACGGCCCGGCCCGCTCTGGCGGCGAACAACAGGCCATCAAAGTCCACATCGTTTGTCGCGCCGACCGATCTGCAACAAAGTTATGTCGGGGCTGCGGGAAAGCGTCCTTCGGGGACAAGGCTGGCCAGCGAACCTGCTACAACCGCTGCTCCAACACCAGGCCCCGAGACGCAAAAGGGGAAAAAGGGCCTGCCGTTTCTGAAGAATCCAATGTCGACGCTGTTAATGAGGAGGCGGACGGGTCAGAACGCCCCCGACGTCCAGCCACTTCCAGTCCTGGCCGAGCCGAGCTACGACCCACGCATTAGGGGCACGAGGGTCCACGATTTCAGTGCCCCCCGACCAAAGAGGGTGACATCAAGCGCCGATGCCGTAGCCAGCTCTTTCACAAAGCCGGACCCGACACAGGACCCCGACAGGCGTCCAGCTGTGCCTGAACGCAGCGAACCAAATGGTCTCGCGCAACACGCTCCCTTTGATCCCAGCACCAAGCCCACCCCTGAGCCCACACTCGACCGGAAGGAGAGCTTTGCGAAAAGCTCGGATGGCAGCTACGGATCGACAGTGCAAGACGTTGTCAGTTTGGGCGGGGAAAGGCGTCCGGTAGAGCAACCAGTGCCGCCAGTACCCCCAAAGGATGCGTCTTCGTCAATTCGCAGCCCGTCCTCGGCCACGTCGCGTCCCACTTCGACAGCCCCGTCTGCTCGACTGCATTCGAGCGCTTCGGCAAGGACGAACAAGTCTCGATTCTCGGCCTCGGGGGTGTCGACACGCGATTCCGTTCTCTCTTCGGTCCCCAAGCACATGAAGAGCACGTCATCGCGATTCAGCTTCGACATGATTGGGTCCGCAAACCAAGAGAAGATCCTCGAGGAACGGCACAGACAGCGCGAACAAGACAAGAAAACAACCGACGTGGTGACAGGACAACGCGACTCTAGATTTGACGAGTTTGACGACGACGCTTTCGACTATGATGCAATGATGGACGATGACGGTCTGGAGGAGAGAATCCCTGGTGTTAATGCTGACCTCGAGGAGGAGGAGGAGGAGGAGGGAGACTACTTTGAAGAGGAGGCGGATCCGGATAATGACCAGGAGAACTTTGCTGGGTTCGTCTTCCAGCGGTCCAATCCTACGTCGTCGCTGGCAAGTCCGCACAGCCCTGGGATGCTGGCGACACCCCGCGACTCAAATGGCAAAGTGATAGGCTTTGCGATGACAAAAGATACAACCCCCGAACTGCCATCGTCTACTTCGCCCATATTCTTTCACGAGCATCCGGTGGCACCTGGAAGGCAGGACGATTCTGCCGTGTCCGGCCTTGGCATTCAGGGGCCAAGCGACGCAGCGCAAACAGTGCCCAATAGACGGTTGTTTCGACCAAGCTACCAAATATCGCCTGCAGACTCACAACCCGCAGCAAAGACGCGCCCCGACGACCTATATTTTGATGATGGTCTGGCCGACGAGCTTGCTTTCGTACACGATGGCACCGTCTTTGACGAGTCCATCTTTGATATCAACGACACGGATAAGTATGGACGTCCGATTCCCGGCGCCTTCGCTCAGGCCCAAGAGGCAATGCGCTCTGCTCAGCAGCAGAACCACAAACGCGATTCTGACGTCGGCTCCGGTTTGTCGCGACAGTCAGGTGTTTCCGAGTCTACTGCCCACACGTCAATAAGCGTCGGGCCTCAGCACCTGCAGACAGCTACCGAAGTTCAGAAGCTTGCCCTATCACCCAAGCAGGTCCCCGACGAGCCCGAGCCGGCAGCCTCAGTTCAAGGGCAAGATCTAATGTATCAGGCTGCCTTAGCCGAAGCTGCTCAGAAGGCCGCAGCCTCGGGCAAGTTCCGGCGGAGCTCCTCCCCGCCCCTGCCGGCCCAGCTCACCATCACATCGCCAACCGACTCGTCCGAGTCACTGAGGCACTCGCATCCCGACGATGATTTGGATAATTACGAGGATGACCCATTTGCGAACGATTTCGACGATTACGAATTAGACGACGAGGCCATCATTGCCGAGGCGAACGCCGATGCACTCGCTAGCGACGCGGATGGCTTTTATGGCCAGGAATTTGGCTTCTACTCGGCTCCTGCGCCCCAACCACACCATGGGCAGACCCATCACGGTTCGGCGCCGTCTGGCCCACCGGCCGCCCTGAGCGCCGAGAATCTCTATCAGTATGCCAACGGAGGCTACTTTGGCCCCGCGGGGCAGGGAGTGAATCGGAGCACGAGCGGGCGTGTTGTTTCTCGCGAGCCGAACCTGACTCCCATCACTGAGCGCTCAGAGTATTCTAACCGCAACTCTATCATGAGTCTCGCGCTGCCTCCTGCCATTGGCAGCGACGGTGGGAGGAACTCGGTGGGCATGCAAAGCCCTGGCCTCGCTCAGTTGGCCCTCATGTCGGATGACGACAACATGAGTCTTTCTGCCTTGCTCAAGCTGCGCTCCAAAGCTTGGGGCGGGTCGCAGGCGAGCTTACCAAACTCGCGCGAGGGCAGCCCGCGGTTAGACTTCGGAGGTGGTGCAGCGGCTGGAGACAGCGCGAGCCCACCACCCTACGGCCCAGGTTCTAGCATACTCGGGCCTCCGGCGAACATTATCAGCGGCACGGGCCACACGCGCAAGAACTCGGCCTTCTCCATTTGGACCAACTCGGACGCTGGCAGCGGTCCGGGAAGCCCGACGCTTACGATGAACATGACGCTGCCCATGTCATCGCCCGCCGCAGTGCCGCCTGTACCCCCAGTGCCCACCAATATCGGCGGTGTTGCGTCTCCCCAACTGCAGTCCATGTTTTCGCCGCCATTGAATATGTCGTCTCCCGGGCAGCAGCCGGGCGGCAACCCCTGCTCGCCCGTCTTCGAGGATGAAGAGGCCGATGCGGAGGAGGATCAGGGACTCCTCCCTCCACTCTCTCCAAGACCCATGTCTGCGTCGGGTGCCTTTGTGCAGAGCCCGACGCAGATGGGCAGGAGCGGTACTGACGAAGATGCCTCTGAGTCGCCCACTCAGCAGCATCATCGCCGGCCCAGCATACAGGGCCATCGCCACAAGGGCTCCGCCGACAGCATCTCGTACATCAAGGAGGAAGAGACGACGGGTGGCACGACGCGCTGGGTCATGGAGCGCCGCAGAACGGCGGAGACGGGCGAGGTGGAGATCTTGGAGAGGGAGATCGTGGAAGGCGGCCGCATCTAAGCCAGGTTAGACTCTGAGCGAGTGTGTGCAGGCGTGTTTTCACGCACGAGCCCCGCGATTTATGTGGGTTTCTTGCCTTTACGGGGGCAAAGCCTGGTGGTTAGCAGTCGAAGGAATTTTTTATCTTGGGCTTTGTACATATATATGGATATCCCTGTGTACACATAGTGCTTGGAGTCAGATTACGCGCTGGTTTACGACATGGCGGAAAGGAAACATGGTTTAATACAAAGACTCTGGGCTGCTGGGGGAGCGGGGAAACCTAGTGATACAATAGGATACGATACAAAGGGCGAAAAGGGCTTCAATGCTTAAATGACTGGACGCGAAGGAGCGAAGGAGCAAAAGGTTGCTTGTGTACATACACGCTTCGGAACTAGGGTCATATGTGTAGAAACAAGATGCGAAGTTTTTGATGAAGACTTTTTTAGATGCTTGTAGAGGAAGAGTCGGTTGTGACGTTGTTGGGGCGTGTCATAGAAGACCTACGTTAGTGATGATGGTGGGAAGTGGGGAGAGGTGGGGGTTGCCGCGCGCATAATATGAAGAGCCACCAACCAGCGCCACATCTACAATAAAAACATGGAAAAAGGAAATATTAAGTAGAGTAAGTAGTATTGAGTTCTACTACACAATAAACAAAAAGTCAAAAAAACATACAGCACCAGGGATTCGCTGTTGGTCACCCACCTGACTACTAGTCTGGCAGTTAGAAACCTTATCTCTGGGACTCTAAGCAGCCGAAAATGAGGGTATATAGGAGTCGAAAATGGGGCTCTATGTGACGGCGTTTAGCAACACCAACTACCACTGCGCCACACCTTCTAAAATGATGCCAGAATTACAAGCCGTCTGTTACGATCCTGGCCCTTTGTGCAGGATGCGTCACGGGCTCTTGCGTGGTTGGCCAGCAAGGAGTGGGGTTGGACCCATATTCTTGCTTAGGTGCATCCAATTAGGGAGTGCTCAGTGGGGCTGGCGCTAAGACACACTGAGCGCAACCAAGCACGGCCGAGCTGAGTGCTCAGTGGGGCCAGCGCCAAGGCACTCTGAGCGCGAGTGAGCACGGCTGAGCATGTAAAGGGAGGACTCTGATTGGCCCACCTCAGATAGAGATATACGACGGCCGTAGCCACGGTCTTAGATAGTTCTTGCTTGGTTCTTCAAGCAAGCAATACACATTCACTGCACTCATATATTTTGGGTGGCATTCCGATTTGGCTGTATTACCCGTGCGATAGGAGCTTGCCCTTTGTTCTATCTTCATAATTACCAACCCCAGCATCCTGTGGAGCCCTTGCTCCCTCACAGACAGACGACCCTAACAGTCGAGTGGTTTGTAATACGCTGCTCGCTTCCCTCTTTGGTACTGATTGAACAGAGTGCTCATCGCACACCGACAACCTGGCTACGCCTGGGGAGGACACGGTCCTGCCAGACACCCAGCCAGAGGGAGAACCCGGTTCGTCAAGTAGTGACGAGTCTGACGATAGTAGCATCGCTGGATCCATCCAGCCTGAGGATACGGAGATCAGAGACGCAGACACGGCTCCATCCCAGGATAACGCCAGTAACGAAGGAGTCACGGACCTTGCGCAGCAACTCGGACCTCTCTCGCTGAACGACAACATGGCGACCAACGAGCAGCTGGTGGCGGAAGTCACCCAGTTGAGAACGGATCTGACGGAGGCCGGAGACAGGATTCGGGACCTAGAAGCGGCCAAAACACCTCCCAAGAAGAAGCTGAAGATCCCCCACCCCGAACTCTACGACGGGGACAGAGACAAGTTCGAGACATGGAAAGATTCAGTGCTTTCCTACACGACATACAACGTCGACGAGTTTCCGTACCACAAGGATGGGGTGACGTACCTCGGTACTAGACTTGTTGGAAAGGCGGCCACTTGGTTCGAACCCTACCAGAAGGCGCTAGCGCTACAGATTGCGGACAGAAACCCGGAAGTCCACGCCGTCATCCAGAAGGGAGTCAGGGAGGTTCTTGCACGAATGGGAGAATTCTTCGCGGACCGTCACATCCAACGGAAGACGGAGGAACAGGTCAAAAAGTTGAGGCAGACTCGTTCAGTGGCTGAATATGCAGTGGACTTCCAGACCTGCATGTTGCACCTCGACTGGTCGGTTCAGGGGCAACTGCTTGCGTTCTACGATGGTCTCAAGGACCACGTCAAGGATGAGCTTTGCAAAACGCCCCCCCCCCCGGAAACACTGAGGGAGTACATTGACGCGGCAATCAACATTGACGACAGGTGGTTCCAGCGCGAGAATGAGAGGCGCAGAGAGAAAAAGGAGGGACGTTCGACAAGAGGCTATTACGGCAGTCAGGGCAACAAAGCCAATGACAAGAAAAAGAGGCACACTCCAAGCACCTCGTACGGCACTCACCCAGGACCGATGGATGAGAGCGTCGGCGCAATCTCTCAGGCACAGCCCAGGAACCAGGACCAGGGACAGCGCCCACCACCCGACAAGAAAAACGACACTTGCAACAATTGTGGTAAAATAGGTCACTGGGCTAGAGATTGCCGACAACCCAAGAAGCAGGGACAAGGAAGACCTCCGAACGACAGGAGGGCACGCTTCAACGATTCCCAGACCATTGGAATGGTACTGGAAGACGTCGACGATTCTCAGACCATTGGAATGGTGCTGGAAGATATCGACGAGGAAGAGAGTCCACCGGACTACAGAACCGCGGCACTTGCCTACGAACTCGCGGAAGTCTGGGGACCGGAAGTCCCGCAGGTCCCGGAGTCGCCTGAAGGAAGGAGCGACCGCGGAACCGGACCAGAAGACGAACTGGAAAACGAACCGGAAGACGAAGAGAGCCCTGACCATTGGCCCTTCAGCTCAGCCGCCGAAGAAAGACTGGCTGGTCAAGCGGCTACTCGACAAGAGATCAAGGACATCAGGCACTTTCTCGGAAAACTGAAGGAAAGACAGGACCAGATGATCGCGCTGATTGGCAGCGGCACTCAGTCGTCCCAGGGACGACAGCTCGCCCTTGATGAGCTAGCTAGAGTCACCCTTCAGAAGGCCGAGCTCTTGGAACAGCTCAATATCAAGACTGAAGGGTTTGAGGACGAGCCAGCACCACTTGAAAGCTGGATCAACCCAGAAGAGCGGGAGGAGGTCTGGTGTACCCAGAGGACCCTCGAGGATACCAGAATCGGGGAAGCATTCCTGGACCTCGTTGAAATCGAGGAAGCCGAAGAAGACGAAGAACCCGGAGACGCACACCAGCTACACCCCACGCATCCTCAGCACCAGGAAGTAGACTGGGCGAGTTGCGTTCACGATACTTCCCGGCCAGGAAATCAGGACAGGCGATTCCCAGGGTATATCGACATATACCTACCTGGCATACACGGGTCGGTACGGCTACGGAAGACCATCAGGGGGGGGCGGAGATCGTGATCGAACCCCTCTCGCCTAAACCTTGCCGAGAAGGCAAAACCGACTGGAGGACTTGTCGACAGCCAGGCTGCCAAGTCCACCAGAGGCAGAAGCTTGAGGACTGGCACAGAAAGAAGACCCAGCACCTCACCCACTCCAGAAACAGGAGGCTCAACAAGGCGCACCGTTCGTGGCCTTTGGTTGAGTACCGCCTGGGGGCAGAGACGATGAGGAGGATCGAGCCAGAAGAATCCACCTATCAAGGCCATGAAGAACGGCTCGTTAGGTTCCTCCATCGTCAGTACGAGAAGCGGTTGAGAAACGACTCGCAGGCCTCCAGCAGGCCCGAAGGAAGCGAGTAAAACCCACGCTTCAACGGACCGATACCGAAGATTGGAGGCATCTTGCGGTCGGGTCCTCAGAAAGCCCTCAACAACAGCCTTACCCGGATGAACAGATCATCGGCAGGGTAGAGGCAGATGCACGATTCCCACGTGGGCTACACGTTCAGGCCCAGTGCGAATGGAGGACGAAGAACCCTCAGGAGCCAGTCATACTCCTAGCGAAGATCGACGGCGGGAGTGACAGGAACGTCATCTCGGAAGATCTTGCTACGAGGCTCAGAATCCCATGGAGAATGAAGGCAGTACCGTTACGACTACGGACCTTCGAGGGAGAGCTTATGAAGCACAACGGGGGGCGTTGTACGAGAGAAACCCAAGAACTCTTGATCACGGTCGATGAACAATCTCTCAACGTCGTTTTCGACATCCTACCCTTGAGTAAGCAGGTCGATTATGATATACTGCTAGGGGACCCTTGGATGGAAGAATATAACCCCGATATTTGGTGGAAGAAGGGCAAGAAGTTCCTCGCCAGCCGCCAAAAGCACAGCCGAGGCTCGGGACGCCGAACTCGAGGAGAAAACCGCCAAGATAACGGCGAAGAGCCACCCAAGAATACGGGTAGGAGCCAAGATCGCCTTGCAGGCCAACGCAGGGATTGAAAACGGTCGACTGAGCAAGAGGAAGAGCAAGAAGAAAGGTTTATCATGCTTATTCACGCTAGCGAGCCAGATGAGGACGACTTGAGCAAGACACCGGATGGGTTCAAGGGCGTACCACACGAATACTTGAAGTACGACATCTTCAGAGAAAAGATGAGGGACGAATTACCCTCACACGGTCCATTTGACCATGAGATCAACCTCAAGGAGGGTGCGAGACTCAGGAAGCACAAGATCTACCATATGACCCCACAGCAAGATGAGGCTATGAAGGAATACCTGGATGAGAACCTGCCCAAAGGCTTCATCAGGCGTTCACGGTCACCAGTGGCGTATCCAGTGATCTTCGTACCGAAGAAGCATGGAAAACTACGCATGGTTGTGGACTATCGTTCACTAAACGAAGAGACGATCAAGAATCGTTACCCGCTTCCGTTGATTACCGAGATGAGAGATCGGCTTTCCGGAGCTCAGTGGTTTACGAAACTCACATCAGGATCAAGAAAGGAGATGAGTGGAAGACGGCTTTTTGAACGAGACACGGCCACTTTGAGTACCAAGTGATGCCGATGGGCCTGACCAACGCTCCAGCATCGTTTCAGGAGATGATTGACCATACTTTACGCCAAGCGATAGACGACTTCGCTATGGTCTACGTCGACGATATCTTGGTCTATAGCAAGACCCTCAAGGAGCACAAAAAGCACGTGCACCAGGTGCTGAAAGCTCTTGCGGGAAAGGGACTCTCGGTTAACCACCATAAGAGCGAGTTCCACACGCAGAAGACGACTTTTCTGGGATTTGAGATATCGCCAGGGGAAGTTCGAATCGACCCAGCAAAGATTGCGGCAGTTAGAGACTGGCCCGCATCAGAGAACCCCACAGACGTCAAGTCCTTTATTGGATTTGTAGGGTTCTGCCGGATGTTCATTAAGGGATTCGCGGCTATCGCGCGACCGCTTCATGAACTCACCACCAAAGATACCCCTTGGGTATGGGAGGAAAGGCACCAGCAAGCCTTCGACTTGCTTAGGCAGAGGATGATCGAGGAGCCTGTTCTGAAGCTCCCCGATTTCAGCAAGCCTTTCGAAGTCGAAACAGACGCTTCAGACTACGCTCTGGGGGCAGTACTCAAGCCGAAGCATGACGGCCACAAGCACCCAGTCGCCTACATCTCTAAGGCTCTCCACGGCGCCGAGCAGAGATGGCAGATTCACGATAAGGAGCTAAAGTCGATCATCTACGCTTTTGAAGACTGGCAGCCCTACCTCAGTGGAACAGAACACCCCGTACAGGTGTACACCGACCACCAGAACCTCCTCCAGCAATGGGCCAAGAAGCAGAAACTCAGCGGCAGACAGACACGTTGGGCAGAGTTTCTCGCGCCATTCAACTTCGAGATCCACCACATCAAAGGCACAGAGAACGCCAGGGCGGATGCTCTTAGCCGGAGACCAGACCACCGGGGCAAGGGCGAGCAAGTGGAATCTCCACCGCTTTTTGAGGAAGACGGAGATGTGCTGCGCCACCCGATCGAGGACTGGTACGACTGTTGCATGGTCTACAGAGTAGACTGGGCCAACGAAAAGGAATACTAGTTCCAGGTCACTACTCCAGAGGAAGAAGACCTTCCGTTCGGTACTACTACCGACGGCCTAGGCAAAGTCTGGTACGGAAACAAGATGTACGTCCACCCGGACGTCCAGGCGGAAATGATCAGGGAGCATCATAGCGCTAGGCTCAACGGACATCTTGGGCAAGCAAAGACGCTCGCCAGAATCCAGCAGTGGTACGACTTCCCCAAGATCAGATCTCGGGTGAAGGAATTACTAGAAGAATGCGAGGAGTGTAATAAGAGCAAGGCAAAACGGCACATGCCGTACGGACTCAAATATGCTCGGGCGTGGAGCATGTGACGCGTTGAGCCGGTCGCCCACTTGCCCATACAGAGATATTCGATTCCCCGTTCGCTTATCCCACTCCAGACTTGCGTACCGGCTCCTTATCAAGCTAGATGATTACTCCCGGGCCTATGAAATATTAGCATATGGGGCGCAAACGCCAATGTGTATCCGCCTCAAATACTATCCAGAGGACAGTTCTCTACTACACATCGCCATGCCCCGGTCAGCATCCCCCCCGGCCCCCCCGGGGGGAAATAGAGTGCCCCGTAGTTTTCCAGATAAAGAGACATCTTGGCTATGTCTCGAATTCAAAGACTATCCAAAATCTTGCAAATTCACGAACCCAACCTTGCCGCCTATCCACTCCCAAAGCATCCCCTCTCCAAAACTCGCATCCACCCCACCTCACCGCCTCACCCACTTCAAGTAAATAGCCTTCTTATCCCTTGGCCTCAGCGTAATAGTAGGCTGACTATCCTCCAGCACACCCAACAACCTCTTCCTCGCCTGCTCTAACGTCTCCCCCTCTTCGAGCGCCGGCAACACTGAGCACGTCCTAAGGAAAGTCGACAGCACCGCGGCAACCTCGACCTGCGCCATCTTCTGGCCGGGACAAACGCGCGGGCCAATCGACCAGGGGACATAGGCGCCCGGCCGCGGCGTGATGAAGGGGTTGGGTGCGCCGGGGGCGGCGCCGGGATCGAACCATCTCGTGGGGCGGAACTCGTCGACGTCAGGACCCCAAAAGCGCGCGTCGCGGTGGGGGATGGGTGTGCAGATGTAGGCGTCGACGGGGGCGACGAGTTCGTGGGAGACGCCGTTGGTGTCGGTGAGGATGGAGGATTCCTTGGACAGTTCGCGCGCCATGTGGACGATCATGGTGTAAAGGCGGAGGACTTCGAACTGGACGGAGGTTAGTCTCTGTCAAGAAGGGAGTCGGCTCAGGAGAGCGAGAGGGATCGGGAGCTGAATTTACCGTGAAAGCTTGGCAGCGGGTGAGTTTGGGGAAGATGGTGTTGTAATCGACCGGCGTGTCGTCTTTGGGGTCGATAGGTCCCAAGACGTCGTCCAACTCGGCCTGGATCCAGGTTTGCCATTCCGGATAGATGGCGAGCAGAGCGATCGAGTATGTCATGGTGAAAGCAGTCGTGTCGAGGCCGGCAAGCGTGAACTGAAACAGGTTGCCAAACATTTCATTTTGGGTCAGGTACTGCTTTCCGGCGGCGCCGTTGGACTTGGGTGCGTGACCGTTGGTGCTCCTAGCCTCGTCGGAAAGGCGGACGAGGATGCTGGCGATGGTCTCTCGAGGCTGGGATTCGTCGGCAGAGTGGCCCGAGGGGCGCTGGGCCGTCTGCGCCGCCCGCACGCTGTCGAGCAGCTTCTGAGCGAGAACAGGCATCTTGTCGAGCACATCTGCTACCATGTGGATCTGCTTGGGCATGAAACGGGACCGCAAGATGCTTTTTGGAACATGAGAGGCGGCGATGATGAACTCGGCCAGGAACGAGACGGCATCCGTGTACCCGATGTCGGCATCGGGGTCGCTAGGCAGCTCCAAGATTTTCCACGGTTGGGGTTGGCCGTAGGCGACGGCGCCGAGAACATGAGTGGCAATGGCGCGGACGCCGTCGGCGCCATCACGGGACTCCCCGCCCGGCTGGGCGAGCATGTACGATGCCATCTGGCGCGCCTGGAGGCTGCTCTCGTCCCATACGAGCTTACTGATGCGCTCATTGAGACTCGGGGCGACTATGCGGCGCTGGCGTTGCCATTGCTCGCCGTTTGACTACACAGGACATTGAGTAAGGATAAGGTCAGCCTCAAGCGATAGTTGATCACTGACCGACGACAGGTTTTGGCCGACGATGCCTAAGATGTTGATGGCCCGTTTCTCCTGCACCCAGACATTGGCGCGAGATAGAATACAGTGAATCATGGCGGCATCGCCACAGTGCAGACGAATCACGACAGGCGTGACGACGAGAAACGAGGGCCCGATGCGACGGGCAATGTTGGAACGGTTCCAAAACTCATATCCATATGTCGTCACGGTTAAGACGTCGCGAAGATAGCCGGGGCCTAGTCGACTTTCCCAGAACGGTCGCAAGGGATTGGCGAAAACAACATAGAAAGCCTGTTTGCCCAAGTACCATGGTGAGCAGCAATTCACGAGAAAATCTAGATGAAGTCTGCACCCTACACTGTCAATATTCCAGGGGATGACGATCATAGGGAGGCCGACTCGTTTGGCGACACGGTAATTGCGCAGCAGGCCCCAAGCCGACGTCACCATCCACCACAGAGGAATAAGCGCGAGGCCCGCGTATAGATATTGCATCATGTCGACGTTATATCCAGCCGTGTGGCTGGTTGGTGGTTGAAAAAGTTTGCGAAGGTGGGAGGTCAATTGAGCCCTGCAGATCAAGCCGGGAACGTCGGTCGAGGGCGCCAAGCTTTTACCCCTGCCCTCCGTGACATGTCAGCTCGGCATACCGCGTTGGCAGATACTGTTGTGGTCTGCACTTCGGATTCTCCGAAGAATTGATTGGTTATCACCAGGGGTACAAACCAAACTCCCTTGCATTGTTGGAATCTGCGCCTCACGCTAAAAGGACGCGTTCTGGATGGGGCTCGATGATTGCTTAGATAAGGCTAATAATCCCCAAGCGAGTACCACCCAATGCTGTTCCTGTAATGTTGAAGTGGAGGGCTTGCTGTCCCAAGTTTCCTGCGACGTTTGTATCTTGTGAATTGCTCCCCTTCGTTTATCAAGAAACGCTGTAGTCGAAGAGACGACTCATGGCCGCTGTGTCGACAGAAAGTACTCGTGCGATTTAGAGTCTGACACCACCTCAACTCGGCAATGGTCGCACAATCTCTCGAGCTCAGAGTGTGACATGGAATCACATGACAGCTTCCGTCGTCGATAAACTAATTATATAATTACTTCTCCCCAGCTTCTACGTAACCTTCGCCAGCACGACACCGACATCAAGCATCACAGACAACCGGACGTCAAACACAGACGGCGACAAGCCTCCAGGAGCCGCCTCTTTCATGACCGCTTCTCGCATTTCGCACTCTAGCACGCCCGTTATGATTATTCACCGGGCCGTCGTGCACTGCACACCATGAGTGGGTTAATCAAGTGGAAATGCTGTGCCTGCGGGAAAACAGACATCAACATCGAGGGCGAAAAATGTCCGGACTGCGGCCGCGAGATTTGCTGGACTCTGGAGGACACGGAAGGGGGCTGCAACTTGGTCGCACCGTAGTCGCCAGTCGCCACGGCTCTCACTCCCCAGGCTGGTGGCGACCACCCACCGGATTGTTTGCTCTGCACCACCTCACACGCCGCGCTGGCCGCCCCTCTGCCGCCACATCACGGAGACCAGAGTTGGAGTGCCGTCGCCAGTGTGGCGGTTGCGGTGGGGGCTGGAGACTGCAACCTACTGATCTACCTACCGAGCCTATCAGGTAGACCTTCCGAAACACGGAAGTGTTCAGCATGATTTCCGATGGGGGGACATCCAAGCATTTTTCTGGAATATTGTTTAGGACAAGCGCGAGGCGTATTTTCATTAGCTACAGCTCTTGTGGTTTACAGGACCATCTGGCTCTCTTGGCCTCGAAAGGCAGTAGTTCTTTAGACAAACCTAAGATGTTTAAAAGTCCTCAAGAGTCAAGCTGGAGCATAGGAAACACATGTGCAAAGATTAGTAGCGAAAAATCTAAAGTCGAGCTCCAACACTTCACCGCCGGCTTCCTAACCTACCAATAGTGCTGTACTTATAGCAAGCACTTTCACCAGCCCATTGCATAGAGGAACTTGAAAGCGAAGCGATGTTCCAAAAGGCTCTTCATCGCCGGCCTGACCAGACCCTACACAAAGCACTGACTAATATCTTCCTTCCGCATTCCCCGCTACAGTGTGCTTCTTGCAGCATGGCATCCTAGTTCTAAAACCACCTCTCGTGTCTGTAATCTCGTTTGAAGTGACGCCTGATCACAGTTGCGAAGATGCTCCGGTAAGTTCCCCATCCCAATCTTCGACACCACGGAGCCTTGAGCCAAGTCTGCAGCAGTTGCGCCGTATGTCCAATCTCATTTCTCATCGAGCTACACTGACACCACTTCAGCATTCTGCCGTCTCACCTATTGACTCAACAATGCCGCCGTCTCTTTCAGCTTTCCCACAACTTGGTCCCATTGGACAGCTGACAGAATCAAGACAAGAAACAACACCGGTAATGCAGTAGCAAAATACACCCAGAAATTCTCATGCCCCGGAGAGTAATTCTCAGACATGCTGAACACGCTGGCGACCCAAGATAGCGGCACAAACACTAGCGCGATAAAAGTCAGCCGGCTAACGTTGGCAGCCTCTAGCATCCAGCGCCGCGAGTCGAGCAGCTGCACCATCGATGTTGCCACTGGGACCGTGTGCTCGAGCGAGCGGTGATAATGCTCTATCTGTGACAACACGTGCTTGATATCCTTCCGTATCAGATTCCACGGCTGCTTGTCGGCTTCCTGCGGCAACCAGTAGTCGACGAACTCGGAAAGAAGAATCAGTTTGTGTTGGCTCTGCATACTCCGACGACGCCAACGCTGGAGGTCAATGATGTCGCTGTCATGCAATCGGTTCTCGATGCCGTGCAGAGTATATTCGTAGTATTTGAAGTAGCGGCTCATTAGGTGCGTGTAGAGGATCCACTCAGCTAAGACGATGCGTATTGGGTAGTAACCAAGGCTTAAGATGCTAGGTTCAGATGCTGCGAACCCGGGAGGCTGGTTGCGGAAGTAGTGGATTAAGCTGCTGAGTATCGACTCCTTATCCCATGAGCGATCGGTGGTGACAGATGTGAAGGATGCGAAGGACGCCGATTGTACAAAGTCTTCGAAACCCCCGTGTAAGAGCATACTTGGGTATGCTTTCTGGTCGCCTGAACGTAGTGTCTCAATAATCGTCTTGACGGCAGGGTCAACCAGGATTAGGCCTATTGATGTTAATGACAAGGTCAATACGTATAGTAACGATCGAAGAGGACTTACAAATCCATGAGCCCTTGATCTTTTTCACGAGAACAGAACAGCACGCCCGGGCAAGAGCAAGCTGTCGTTCCGATAGATGGGGTAGGCGTCTGATATTTCGCGGGATGTTGGAGTCCGATTTTAGACTGTACGAAGAAGATCGGAACGGATCTATGCTTCCCAAATCCAATACCTGCTGATAATGGAGATGAAGGTAGCCCCTCTCAGCAATCTGAGATGGAAACAACGCGAGAGACGGAGGTGGCGGGGCTTTCTCAATGTCCTTGAAGTCGGTGGTGATGTGGCCGGCGAAGAAGATCGGATCGATATCCAAGATCTCACCTAGAAGACTGATCAGATGGGGTCGAATGTTCTCTACGATCAGAATCCGCCCATGAATTGTAGAGGTGGCATAGATCAGCTCGGCCAAATTAGCCTCGGCTATCGTAAGAGGACTTGGAGCCGGGGGTCCGCTCTGAGGGTAGTCGAGAGTAACGATTGTACTGGCAGCCCCAGATCCACATCCTACATGTTCCGCTAATCCAATGATGCAAGGGTTGGTTTGGCATCGAGACTGGATAAAATGTCTGTACGATGGCTTTTCGTAATTCATACTACGTCTTTTGGACCGGTTTAGGGATGTTGACTTGAAATGAGAGTATGAGTGCGCAAAAGATTGTTCAAGATTTGCAATCTCTGTGCAGAAAGGTGATTCAAGTGTGAGAACTCAAAGCTTTAACTTATAGCTCTGGTTTAAGCTTTTCAGTCCCTATGTCACGGCACGGCGGTAGGCGCTGAGGCCCTACGGGTGCGTGACCATACTATAACCCACTATAGAATTGCAGCTTGACGGCTTGTAATTCTGGCATCCTTTCGGAAGGTGTGATGCAGCGGTAGTGGATGTTGCTAAACGCCGTCACAATTACAAGCCGCCCTACGGCTGCGGGTTCGAGCCCTGCAGTTGCAAATGAGTCCTTTTGTGAATAAGGGTAGCTTGGGGATCCCTATAGTTATGCATGCCCTAGCCCGCGTAGAGCTCCCGAACCGTAGTGCTCGAGGTTCCGGGGTAGTTAGACCTCTACGCGCCCCGCGGGGCCGAGGAGGGGTGATGTCACGGCACGGCGGTAGGCGCTGAGGCCCTACGGGTGCGTGACCATACTATAACCCACTATAGAATTGTAGCCTGACGGCTTGTAATTCTGGCATCCTTTTGGAAGGTGTGGTGCAGCGGTAGTGGGTGTTGCTAAACGCCGTCACACCCTAACTATTGATGCTAGTATGTCTTATCAAAATGCCATATGTGGTGCAATATAGACGTGACCAATTACATGGTTAACCACTCTCACACCATACCATTTGAGACTGCTGTGCAGTTCTCCGCCCTCGGCCGCCTCGCAAAATGCCTCTTTACGGCCAACCATTAGGTGCCGTGTAGCACAGCAGCGACTAAAACCCAGCACAGCCCCGAATTTCATCGTACTGCATCGTGATTGGCTCGTGCCAGCCAATGGACACATAACTGCAGAAATCGCAGCACTGCCTTGACGCCCAATGCAACGGTGGGAGAGCTGCCTGGTGAAAAATTCCCACGTCGTCGCTCCAGGAGCCTTTTGCTTTCCAACACCTTTCCAACCATCTGCTGTACTGTTACGCTCACCTACGAGCGCGTCATCTTTTAACACAAGGCTCCATCGTAACTTCAACACTGCATTCGCACCCTCTCCTACCGCATTCTCTGCTTCCTCTCAATTTGCACCGCCGTTACAGGTGGTTTTGCGAGCTTCATCACCCCACGATCGGCACTTTGTTTAGCCGATTACCATGGATTCACACTCGCCAGCTCCGGCCCAAGCAGGCGAAAGTGATGCTCCTGATCAATCACTGTGGGCGAAAATCAATCAGATGACTCAGGAGGCTGTTTGCCCGGATCCCAAAAGCACCTTCGTAAACGACATCTGGCCCATATTACAGGACGAATACGAAACCATGAAGGAGAGATTGCAAGAGTTTTGCAAAGACGCTCTCAAGCGCAACACCATCTGTTGCCAAGTCAAAAGCAGAACCAAGGAAGTTGCTTCAATCAAAAAGTCACTCGATCGGCGCGAGAAGGCACTCTGGGAGCAAAAGCAACAGCGGTTCGAGAGCCTCTCCGATATATTCCGTAAAATTCATGACCTCGTCGGACTCAGGATCATACTGGAATTCGCTGACGACATGGAGAGAGTCCTCTCTTTTATCGAGGAAAGTTTTCAGAAGGAAGAGGAGCCAGTTATTTTCCTCCCTGGCCGTGAGGTCGGCCGATCCTGGAAAACACTGTTTGGTGCCTACCAGACTCGCAATTATCGCGTCAGCTTACAAAACGGGAAATTCGGGGCCCTTTCTCGGTTTTACGGTGTGATGTTCGAGATACAGGTCACAACCATCGGGGAGGACCTGTACAACAAGCTTGCACACCCGCTCTTGTACAAGGGTTCATTTCTTACACGCCAGGATGAGATTCTGTTGGACATTGCGCATGGTAACGCTCTTTGTTATATGCTCAGCTTGGCGTACATGGAGGACAAACTGAAGAAGCGCGCAAGCGGGATTGGGGGTAGAGATGAAGTTGAAGCGGCAGCCGAAGAAATTACAAGAGATGGTACCAGATTTCGGGAGAGTCTGACGAAAGGGGCGTCCTTCGACGCCCCTGTCTCCCCGCAAGGTCTTCCGGGGGGCCTCGAGTTTCCGCCGGAGGAACACAGCTCCGTTGACGATCTTAAAGGGTGGATTAGCAAGAAGATAACGTATGTTCTACCCCTCAATCCCGAACGCGAAGGTTTCTAACCATTAGCAGTGCCGTTCTTGACGAGATACGCTCCACTTCACACACAATCCTCGATGCTACCTCGCCTAGATCTGTCCAAGAAGAGAAGAAGGTAGAGTGGCTCGAAAGGCTCTATTCTTGTCCCTATAGGGATCGCAAGGACGTAAATCCGCCACGAGTCGAAGGGACATGCGAATGGTTTACTAGCCATCCGCTGTTCCGAAATTGGCAGCAAAGCAACGTAACTAGCTTGTTATGGGTATCTGCGGACCCTGGCTGCGGAAAGTCGGTATTGGCTAGGTACTTGGCGGATGACGTTCTGCGTAGCACGGATACGAGAACGACCTGCTACTTCTTCTTCAAGGACGGCTTCGATGACTAGAAATCTTCGACTACTGCTCTGTGCTGTATCTTGCGTCAAATCTTCAAACAGCGTCCTGGCTGTTTCTTGGACCAAATCCTGAGAAAGCTCGAGGAGGACAAAAGGGTAGAAAAGGGCGAAAAAAAACCTCCGACGTCCTTCCGCGACCTCTGGGATTTGTTTATGGCTGCCGCGATTGGCCACGAGACGGGCGAGATTGTCTGCATCATCGATGCGCTCGACGAATGCGAGGACTCGGGGCGCAATCAGCTTATTGATGCTATCTCAAATTTCCAGTCTCACACAACGGCTCGCACTCCAGTCTTGAAGTTCCTCTTGACCAGCCGGCCCTACCGGGGTATTGAAAGGGAATTCTCCCAGCATCTAGAACCCGAACTACCGACGATCCACTTAAGCGGGGAAAGCGCGGAAGAAGCAAGCAAGATTTCTCGCGAGATTGACTTGGTGGTTAGAAACAGAATAGCGAACGATGGTAGAAAGCTAGGGCTTACCCAAGAGCAGCAAAACGTTCTGAGAGAGGAACTTACGCGGGTTCCAAACCACACCTACCTCTGGGTGTATCTCATCTTCGATATCATAAACAGGAGTATTGTCGACAGAGCAGAAGATATTCGATCGATAACTAATACGATTCCGAAAACGGTTGATGCAGCATACGACAGGATCTTGTCAAAGAGTCCAGATATTGGGCGCGCTAGAAAAATCCTCCATATCGTCGTCGCAGCAGCGAGACCGCTAACTCTGCAGGAGATGGACCTAGCTTTGGCGATAGGTCCTAAACATCAGTCATTCGGCGATCTGGAGCTGGTCCCAGAGACACGATTCCGCGAAAACATCAGGCAGCATTGTGGACTTTTCGTAGTGGTGGTCGATTCGAAAATCTACTTGCTCCATCAAACGGCCCGCGAATTTCTAGTGCCGTCGCTATCACCAAAGCTGCCAGGATCTCCTTCAAGTGGCTCGAAGCTATACTGGAAGTTCTCGCTTCATCCGGGAGAATCCAATCGAATCCTTGCCGAAATCTGCATGTGGCGGCTGTCATTATCGGACTTTAACCTCAAGACTTTTCAAGCAAGTAAAGAACGAGAACAGTACATTACAAAGCGCACGCTTCTGGGTTATTCAGCTCAGTACTGGGCTGAACACTTCCGCGAAGGTGATTGGAATAGCGGAGATTGGACGATCGAGAAGGCAATTGAGAAGGCGCTATCCTATCTAAATCCACAACCAGCTTCTTTAGCGTGGTATAAAATCTATCAATGGCTTACAATAACAATAACACCACAGAAACTTACACCACTAATGGTTGCATCCTATTTTGGACAAGACACGGTCGTGCAGCAGCTTCTCGAGGCCGGCGCCGATGCGAATGCCGAGGACGAGGATGGCTCGACACCGCTTCATTAGGCTTCTCTGAACGGCCACGATACGGTCGTACAGCAGCTTCTCGAGGCTGGCGCCGATACAAATTCCAAGGATAAGGATGGCTCGACGCCGCTTTACCAGGCTTCTAATAGCGGCTACGACACGGTCGTGCAGCAGCTTCTCGAGGCCGGCGCCGATGCGAATGCCGAGGACGATTATGGCTCGACACCGCTTCACCAAGCTTCTGAGTACGGCTATGGCACACTTGTACAGCAGCTTCTCGAGGCCGGCGCCGATACGAATACCAAGAATACGTATGGCTGGACGCCGCTTTACCAAGCTTCTAAGAACCGCCACGATACGGTCGTACAGCAGCTTCTCGAGGCCGGCGCCGATACTAATGCCGAGGACGAGGATGGCTGGACGCCGCTTCACCAGGCTTCTAGGAAGGGCTACGATACGGTCGTACAGCAGCTTCTCGAGGCCGGCGCCGATATAAATGCCAAGACTAAGTACGGCTGGACGCCGCTTGACTGGGTTTCTAGGACCGGCTACGATACGGTCGTACAGCAGCTTCTCGAGGCCGGCGCCGATACGAATACTAAGAATACGTATGGCTGGACGCCGCTTTACCAAGCTTCTGGGAACGGCCACGATACGGTCGTATAGCAGCTTCTCGAGGCCGGCGCCGATGCGAATGCCGAGGACGAGGATGGCTCGACGCCGCTTCACCAAGCTTCTGAGAACGGCCACGACATTGTTGTACAGCAGCTTCTCGAGGCCGGCGCCGATACGAATGCCAAGACTAAAGATAGCTAGGCGCCGCTTTACTTGGCTTCTAGGAACGGCCACAATACGGTCGTATAGTAGCTTCTCGAGGCCGGCGCCGATATGAATATCGAAGACAAGGATGGTTGGACGCCGCTTTACTGGGCTTCTTCGAACGGCCACGATACGGTCGTACAGCAGCTTCTTGAGGCCGGCGCTGATACGAATACCAAGAATAGGTATGGCTGGATGCTGTTACGATCCTGGTCCAAGACTGCAGGAGGCGCTGGAAGCCAATTGCCAATTGGGCCGCACAGGTGGGCGGGGTCGGGCCCCGCAAGTGTTCGACACAGCCAATCAGGAGGCGCTCGGTGCGACTGGTCTGCCAAGACCAGGCGAGCGCACCGAGCAGGGCGCTCGGTAGTCTCTGAGACGCTCGGTGTACCAAGCGTTAGGAGGAGCACTGAGCACGCAAAGGAAAAGTCCTGATTGGTTACCTGAATTAGATATATACGATGACCGTAGCCACGGTCTTAGACAGTTCTTGCTTGGTTCTTCAAGCAAGCAATACACATTCACTGCACTCATACACTTTGAGTGGCATTCCGATTTGACTGTATTACCCGTGCGATAAGAGCTTGCCCTTTGTTCTATCTTCATAATTACCAACCCCAGCATTCTGTGGAGCCCGTGCTCCCTTACAGACAGACGACCCTGACAGTCGAGTGGTGTGTAATAACAGGGTGCGCGCTCACCACCTGTTACCAACTGGCCGGAACACTGCCAGTTGGCACAAGCCACTACGCCACGCCATGGCGCCCCGGGCCTGAGCCCCTGAGCACGTATATAAACAGTGGCCCTCGCCCACCTTCCTTTGCGAGGGCCAGGTTGAAGTCTCACACCAATACTACTCATTGCTCGCCCACCTTCTTACCTGCATTGTGACCACCTTGATCCGGCGTACCTGCCTTCTCTTACACTAGCCTTCTAGATATCTATAGCTATATCTTATTTGTTTTCATAGCCGAGATCGACGCTCTCCTATATCTAGAAGGTCTGGCAGACAGAAGGTCTTGCTACTTATAAGTCTCTAACAGTATGTGTCACGACCAGGGCAAGGCACTGAGGTGAACTCAGTCCATTGGGTGCTATCGACGAAGATTCTAAACTGAGGAGGGAAAGAAGGAAAAGTCCTACAACGCGTCGCGTGCTCGCGAATAAGTTTTCATCTATCAGTGGGGTAGGTGGGGCCTCGAGGAGGCTTCTGATAGGCCCGGGGGTTCTGGGCGGCTCTGGCTGCTTGAGGGCCAGTTTGGTGGACGGGTCCTCACAACGAGTAGGTTAAAGACCACTCACAATTAGGTTAAAGACCACTCACAATTTCAGGACGACATTCCCGCCGATTAGCCCATACTAGTCTGATTCGGGAGGGGACTGTAAGAGAAGGCAGGTACGCCTGATTAAGGTGGTCACGATGGAGGTAGCGAAGAAGGCGAGCAATGAGTGGTATAATGGACAGAGGCTGGAGCGGAATTGATCGGAAGGATATTGGCTGAATGCGGATTGTCTGAAGACAAATTGGTCGAAGGCATACTGGCTGAAGATGGGCTGCCCGTAGGCGGGCACTGGTCACCATTGGACATCTTGCTGAGACAATTGAATGGCACGCAAGGGTGAAGAAACGGTCTAGTGTGCCGCGACCAAGGATCCGTTCAAACCAGTGTATTTATGAAGCGGCTGCTTAAGAACTCCATGGTAATCCTGCGATTGAACCTCCGACTGCATTTCGGACACGGATACCGGCCATCACGACCGACTGGGCTGCTTTTATTGTTATGATTATGGCGGTTCGGGCTGTTCAGGCTGGGAATGACGCCGGTCGCGACTTCATGGTCATGATGGATTACGACATGGGACTCGTCGCAGATCTTTCCTTCAAAGCAGATATATTAGAGAAAATATTAAGAACGTAATCCTGCTTACTAGCGACTTAGGTCGACGGACCGCCGTGCAACGGCCTAAGGCCTCCTCCTACCCAAGCTCCCGGCGGCCCGCATCCTCACATTCGAATTCAATCTATCGCCGTGAAATTGCTACTTGACTAATCGTCTAAATCTCGCGATTCAGCCTTCTCATATGCGGGATTTTCCGGGTCCGATAGTCTCCGTCTTTTCACATCTGCTCCGGACCCATCCTCCTGATAATTTGACCGTTTGAGTCCGCCAAGCTTAGTACATTTTCCATCTTGGATATCCGCTTTACCGCTATCCACCGACGTTTGGTACTGCTGGTCAACCGCACAATCCTGTGCAGCTGACAGTTGATCTCCTCCATCTGGAGAGTTGGGGATGGTAGAGAGACTTGACGGATAATCCTCTGGAGACTCCGCATGCATGTCTCCGAAAGCTGGCGTACCATCAGGCAGCTGTCCGTAGAAAGCCTTGTTGAGATTTCCATATTGCAAAGAGTGACCATCCTCGTGCAGTTGTGTAGTTTGTCGCGGATAATCTTCGAAGCAGTATATGTCAAATACGAGGGTTATCCGTCCGGTCTGAGGATTCGGAATGAAGGAGACCTCTATCCGCCCGTTTCTAGAATTATCGTCTAGTTTTTTGATGTATTCGAACTTCTCGTCACCCCAGCGTGCAGTTATGATACATCGAGTACCACGGAAATCCTTGAGTGCCGGCCTAAGGTTCTCCTGATCCTCTAAGATCGATACTTCATCTGGGTTAAGGCATCCAGTTTGTGCATGCTAATCAAGTTTGAGTTAACAATTCGTTAATGGTGAGGTCGCATGCTCAAACCTTAGTGGGCCGTTTAATCTCCGGAGGTACGGTCGAGGTCCCGGATTGGTTATCAGAAGCCATCAGTGGAAGAGTTGGCGATATGATCGGGAAATTGTGCTTGTCTGTGCTAGCGATGATGACCTGTGATGGGTTTTAAGAATAAGAATGTTCTCAAGTATGCAGGATGGGACAAATCGACAGTTAACTAAGGACTTAAGTATCACCCGCCAACAGCTTCGGCTCGAGAATCACCGACCCTAGTTATCATCAGCGCCGGCCTAGCATTCGGCTGTGCCTTTCATCAGGATCACCAGACTCTTCTGTTGGCGTATAACCACCCGGTATTAGACTTTCCGGAACTAGCATGCCCGTAGGATTTGCTCAGTCGAGCTACCCTTGCCTCTAATCCCGTATACTTTGCAAATTAAGCGTAATGCTCATCTCCGGGCTCCCTTGGTCCCCTAATGTAGAATATGCCTTGTAGTGATGCCGCCACTTCTCCGTCACATCTCCTAATAGACTGTGCCGCCCAAGAAAGTTAGCGGTGCCGGTTCCCGGACAGAGACTGTGTAACAGTGTGGTGATTTGATGGCTGACTCGCTGGAATACGAGCCCTCTGCCAACCGGTCTAGGATACGCAGTATAGGTACGTTAGGTGGGGGTGGAAGTTCATGGTTGACTTTAGGCGCGCGACTACTATTCTATATACCAAGTCGAGCTTGGTGTATGTCGTTCTATGGCAAATAGGGACTCATGACTACGTAGATACCATTAGTGACCAGCAGGCCCTGACATGCCTTGGATACAATCGGAAAGCTCCGAGATTCTCGACGCCTGACTGTCACTCCGGTGAAGGAGCCACGTCCAGCACCTGCTGGATGCGATCCAGGCAAAGAAGGTAGCCTTTGAAGTGGATTGCAAACACCACGATGAAGCCGAAGCGGGACTGCTGCAAAAAACCGAGGCACATAGAGCATTCCAAGAAAAGAAAAAAAGAGCAGATGGCAAGAGCAGCTAAACCGCGCCGTAAAATTAGGTCTAGGAGGCCGAGGAACAAAGGGTGGCCGACTTGAAGGGAAAGCGTAAAGCGACTAAGAGCAACGGCACATAGGTTTTGAGTATGCTCGGTCTCATAGTCTGTTTCGGCCGACACCTATAACTGGGGTGCTAATTTCATTCAGGGAATGACGATACAAGGAAGTGTAATTAACATAGTCTACTAGCGACGTACGAGTATGACGTTACGGATGAACTTACCGACCCTTGTTTATGAAGCTGAACTCGTAGGTGCGAGATTATGAGCAAATTTTCTGCTGGCGAAATAGATACATACCAAGCCCAGCACAGCCGTTTTGGGTTCGCATTCTTTCTGCCATTCGGTACGTACCATTTCTGCCGGCAGAAAATGTACAGCATCCCAGCGGCCCAATTCTCGTCCCTGGGCCTGGGTTTGGTCTCGCTAGGTACGTACCATTTATGTCAGCAGAAAATTTGCTTGTTGGCGCTAAATTTTTGTCCTTTGTGACCAGTTTTGCGGCGTGTGAGAAATGGACCAAAATCAGGCCTAAATAAGAGCTAGTGGTCGGCGAAAGGTAGCCTAGCAGAAAATCCACTTGTCACTATGAGAACAACAATTAGGTTCGAGAGGACTAAATTGGGTCGCCTGCCGTGACCCTAAATTGGATTATCCAACTTTCAGGCAGTAACCACAGAAAGGACACGCCTTACGCTGGCAGAAAAGATACTTAGCTATTACAAACCACTCGACTGTTAGGGTCGTCTGTCTGTAAGAGAGCACGGGCTCCACAGAATGCTGGGGTTGGTAATTATGAAGATAGAACAAAGGGCAAGCTCCTATCGCACGGGTAATACAGTCAAATCGGAATGCCACTCAAAGTGTATGAGTGCAGTGAATGTGTATTGCTTGCTTGAAGAACCAAGCAAGAACTATCTAAGACCGTGGATACGGTCATCGTATTTATCTAATTGCGCAACCAATCAGAGTTCTCCCTTACAGTGCTCAGTGCCTCCGGGGCGCTCAGTCTTCCAGGACGACTGAGCTCTCAATGGTAACTGAGCACTTTCCTAATTGGCTGTTCTTCCTGCTCAGTG